GACGACACAACGAATCGGCTGTGTCGATTCCAGCAAGTGGTCAGGTCGTGGCACCCCCGGCTGAGATTCGGCAGAAAAGTTATTAAGCAAGCCAGCGTCTGATCTGGACTGTTGACTGTTTCTTACGTGAGCGAGGGACGCGGTTGCCAAGTCGCCAGGGCATCTGGGCACCAGCACTGCTGCTGTGCGTGAGAGCGTGGCAAAGGTATGTGGTAAGCATACGGCGAGGAGGGAGGGATGGATGGCTGGACAGGTGACAACGAAACGGCAAGGCAAGGCTTGGTGCTGCAGGACAAGGTCTCAGCCTGATGGGCCATCCTTCTATCACCCCCGACATATATCAAGGCGTCTTGTCGACGTTTGACCAGGTACCCTTGATTGGCCAAGTCTCCTTGCTTCCTCCTCGTATCACCTTCATTGCCTCATCTTCACCCCGCCTGTCTTCCTGTCATACTCTCGGAGACCGGTCTGTCTGTCCTTAGAATCCCTTTCTCACTTACTTACTTCTTTCCTTCCTTCCGCCACAGCAGCATCCAACCGTGCATCCTCGGTCTGGGCATGGGCGATGGGCCCAACTCAGGCTATCCCTGGGAGGCGCGCGGAAGTAGCCTTGGAAAGGCAATTCTCCGCGGGAGGAGGGGGCTCTACGGTGGTTAGTGGTGACGATGACGATGACGATGACGATGACGTTGAAGCCGACGACAACGGACCCGGGGGGAACGCGAACGGGCGGGCGCGCCCACTGTCCGTCCATTCGGCGAGTTTGACGAGGAGCATTATTTGAAATCGATGATGCTGGACGGCGGGTGATACACGGCCCCGGCCCTGGCAGACGACTTACCTGTTGTGAGCCAAGGGGGCCCGGGGGATGATGGGGGTTCGTGTGCTATTGTTTTGTTGTTCCTTTTGCCCCAGAGGAGGGAGGACCCCGAAAAGGGAATTATCTCTGTTTGAACAGCGACCAGGATCGGGTTAGTATAAGATACGGGGGTTGAGGAGGAGTACGAGGTAGTAAGTACGGGTAGTAAGAGTAGTGGTAGTCATACGAGTCAGCGGATAGATAGACAGACACACAGACACACAGATATAGCAATCGCCGCGCTCTCCGTTTCTGCCGGCGCAATCAAGGCACCCCAGGGGGAAAACAAACGAGAGTTTGACAAGAGGTGAGAGAGGAAGGGAAGACGGACTACGATGATTGTTGGCGAGCCACAGTCCCCTGCCCACTGCCCACGGGTAATGGATATTCAATCCTTCCTCCCTCCCTTGGAAGTAATACGGGGTACATCTTACTACTGCTGCTACTAAACGCCCGTAGGCACGCACGGGTGTACGTACGTATGGATGAGCAGGGAGGCGGGGGAGCGTAGTAAGAGCAGGCTGAAATAGGATAGAATCGAATAATATAAAGAGATACTGCCTATGTAGGCAAGTAGGCAAGTATGTACTTTTGTAGTTCAGATCAGATTCCCGTGTTAGGAGTGGCGAATATGAAGTTTCGGGTATGATATACTGTAGACACATCATACAACTCACAGAGAGAGAGACAGAAAAGGGGCGGAGGGGGGCGCACCAAAATGGTGTCCATGCGTGTAATTAAAAAGTAATCGGTTACGAAACGGGCAGTAGAGGCGCCCAGCCAACACAGCCAGCCAGCCAGCGCCAAGGCGATGGAATGGTAAGCGGAGGAGGAGAGGAGGGAGAGCGGAGGCGACTAGTACGCAGTATTACTATTAATACTACGTGGACGTACTCTTTCTGCATTAATGCCTGTATGTATGTCTGGCTGGATGTGTATGGGTTGCATACATTTTGTTAGGGCACTTCTGCTATCCTGCCATTCTGTCATATTGTATTATCACATATGTACATCCACGTGAGGCTCTGTGTCTGTGTGCGTGTTTGTGTGTGTACACATCCCTTGAGAAGATGGGACGACCGCCGATGGGAGGATGGATCTCCCTCCTCGGGCAGAAACACTGCGGAGGGCATGAATACAACAACAACAACAATGAGATCAACGACAAGAACAAATCTCTACCCGTCTTGACACCGGCCTGTGGCTGTCTGGACCGAGCCAGGACAGGATAGGGCATCCATGTGCGTGTATTATTGCCCCCATCCCTACCTCCGCCCTCACTCTGCTTTCTTCTGGTTTTTCGGTGACCCAGGTCGCCAGGAATCACTCACCCCCCTCCCTTCCGGATGGCAATGATACTCTGACATTCCATCCGGACATCATACGCCGCTGTGTGTCGTGTCACCGTTGCCAAGAGACTCAAAGGTCGAGTCGAGTCGAGTTAAGTCGAACTCACCGCACGGGCTTGCTGCTGCTTGGGCCCTCCTGGTCTCCGCGGCGCCGCGGCGGGTGCCTGAGTCGTCTCAGGTTGCATAGTATGACGATATACCCTCGATCCGTATTCTTTGCCGCTCGGAAAAACCCCCTCCCAAACGCGAGGTAGGGAATATGTATGTATGTACTACTGTGCAACGTCCTAGGGTAGCATCACTCAGTGAGGGAAAAAAAGGGTGTATGTGCCTTGAAGGGCACTCCACCGGGAAGGCGGATCACGGCATAATATCAAATAACAATAAATTGAATTAGTTGTTACGCTGGTGCCTGCCTGCCTGACTGACTGACTGACTTGACTCCATATTCCATATTGGTCCAAAAGGAACGTCAAAACGCGCAGATTGGCTTGGTTAGTCATATCCTTATTCTTATACTGCGTAGGTGCTGCGTCCTTGGCCCTGCCACCGGAAAACGGGGGAGGATGGTCGACAAGGCTCCGACGAGCTGTTGGGAAAAAGGGGGCGAGAAAGGGTTTGAAATGACGAGGTGTTGACGCCTGTCTTACCAGTACCGTGGTTGTGCCTGGAGGATCTACTGTAATTCACAATGCCCACCCGTGCCACCCACTGACGGCAGGTATGGCGCATTTAGAATGACACTTGCTGTACTGTACCGAGTAGAGCGACAACTAATTGTTGACCGTGCACGCCGTATCCTGCAGTGTCATGTCGTTATTATTACCTGGTATCAATTTCCACTCTTGGACTGGGCTCTGGAACGGTTTCGGTGGACACCTAGGTATGTCTGTCGTGTTCAACCGCCCGAAAGACCAGGAACATCTCGTCACCAACACTCAGTACTCAGTGTTGGTTTGGGAGGATTGTTCATGCAGCGGACATCACCCCTCCATTGTCCCTCCGGACACCTGCCAGAAGCGGTGTCGTTAAGCATGCCTCTCCGAAGTCTGGTCATCATACTCACACAATCTCTCCAAACCACGCACAAAACAGGAATGTATTCATCCGCCGGATTCAACCCGGAGGGCTCACTAGGCCCCGCCCGCGCATCCCATCGCCTTATGGGGCGCCAGCCGCGACCCGGCCGTCTTGATCAGATGGTATCGTAGGAATCGTGTATTATGCAGCAGGCCACGGTTCCCTCCCTCGCCCTCACTGCAGGTCATCCAGCGGACCTCGAGCAAATTCGGCAGGTCTCCTCATTCTGAACGGGGTCTTTTTTTATCTGACATCCCACCCCCTAAGAATTCCTTTGGGATAGTGTTCGACGGATTGCAGAGCAACGAGAAACACTGGAGCGTTGGCAGGAATGGAGGAGTGGACATGATGGTTGTAAGCACAATCAAACCACGGGCCACGCCAGGGATGAGGCATGTTCAGAACGGTAAAGGGCCTGGCAGATTAACAATGGATCCTCTGCATGGCGTTGAGAGATTGCTAATCCCCCAACAGGAAATTGCCAGCCTTGCTGCGAGACCTCGCCTGGACGCCGCGGACGTACGAAGCCTCCAACCTAGACTCCTGCAGTGTCCTCGCAATGGCGGAATTGACGCGATGCCCAGGCGTGTGCAACCCTGGTTCGCGGTAACGATCCCGAGGATCGAACCCATCCACTGACTCTACCTTGACCCGACATTGATAAAGTCGTTCCAGCAGTTGCCTTTTTTGGGGCGTATTTTGTGCCTGCTATCCAATCGTTCGCAACATCGAGTTTGCAACTGCAACTCTAGATTGCTCTGTCAGGTCTAAGCATCACTTTGGCCGTTTTTCCATGGATTGATCTTGGACAAGAGTTATGCCACTCTGGCTGTCATCAGTCCTCCATAGCCGCTTTGCCGAATGTAGTGAAAGGGATATCAACATCACCACTCTCTTGTTGCAATGGCTCACGGGAGAGTGAGGACCACCGACTGTCTCTGGTAGGGCTCCCCAACGTTTGCACTCATCTCCACTTCCAGTGGTCGATCTCCAGTACATCGCAGTCTTGTCCACCGCCAGAATTTGAAGCGAGGGGAGAGTGCACAACTTCGTTGCATCACCTCACTTTGAGTGATTAGTTCCGCCCACCCTTAGTTTGGAAGATATGTGAAGTGAAATTGGGCGTGTCTTTGCGGGTTTGGTGCGGAAAATGTGACCTCTGGTCGTATCATCAGTCCCTGGCATGTCTGCGTCGTCAATCCCAAGCAAACACCAATCCTTATGCACTGCAGGTTGAGTGGACTCTGCGTTTTCCTCTTTTGCGAGCGTCTGGCGCTAATATGCGACTTGCCATCTAGGATGTCAGAGGTCTTCTACGCCCAAGCCCATCCGCCGCCTCATCGACTCTTTTCGCTAAGGTTGCGAAGCTTCCAATCCTGACAATGGCTTAGCTTCAACGCAGGGACTGCTTGTTGCGCATGGATAACGCGAGCCCACGCACTGCATGCAACGTCCATGGCGTCGGAAAACGAAGCAAGACAAGCATCCATGCTAGTTGAGTGGACACATGGACCTCGCTTTTATGTGCGGCCTCCGTGTAGAGTTTTTCTTTTTCTCACACTGACGGTCGATGATCAGTCAACAAGCCATTATTCACCATGCGAATCTCGCAATAACGAAGAGAACACCCGACAAGGCCTCCAGCAACCAGTGCAAGTCATCACTGCATCGGCTCGACGACTATGCATTCAACCATTTACCCCGTACAGAGGTCAGAAAAAGAAGTAGCTGACCCGCTGGGTGTGATGCTTGTAGACGAAGGTCCCTGGCTTCAGAAGGTTCGCAGTCCTTGTGACAATACGGGATGCCTGATTATTGCTATTCCCCACAGAACACGCACACCGCGTATTGCTGAAAGAGATCAGGCGAGCCGACGAACCGGCAGAGCAATAGCTTGATGCAGGCTTCGTGGAGAAGAGCAAAGTTTCGACTTCCCACATGATCTCAATCAGACCACACTTTGTAACGGTCGTGACGAGTTTGATTTTTAATCTGGGCAACCCTTGCGATTCGGCGCTATCGGCCGCTTCCCGAGCAGACTCATCTTCCAGAGGACCAGCCTGGGACGCCTGATCACGAGAACCCACTATCAAAGCTGTGTTGCAGTTACGTTCTTGGTATTGGCACTTGCCCTGGGCATATGGCGCTGGAAACTGTATCGTTTCGCTTGCTGTTGACGGTCGGGAGGGAGTGGGTCCGTTGAGAATCCGTGAAAGCTGGAATGCCATCTTGTGCGGACAAAAGAAGGGTCTGTGCTGTGGAGTGGAAAGCCTTACATCAGTTCGGGCCGTACGCGCTTCGGCACAATTTGACATATCGAATGTTAGAGACTGGTTGAAAGGCCTAAAACTTAGGCAATACAGCACCGACTCCAAAGACCGACTGTGTGATCCGGCGCTCTGATGCCGTTGGGTACCAGCAAGCCAAAGGGGCTCAGACCGCGAGTGGCCATGCTCCGATGAGTGTGGAAGGCTGAACTAAATGTCACTGATGGATGAGGCTGAAATCCATCCGTGCAGAGAGGTCAGGATAACTCAAGGGACCTCCTATCGACGCCCGCGCCGTGCGTTGAGCTTCTCTCGGTCCTCGTTCGACCGTACAGACATAGGGTCTCCAGCAAGTCCGTCGGAGACATGGACCAGAAGGAGCCTGGAATCTTTCCGTGTCGCTGTCAGGTTATCGCAAGGTCTGTGGGACATGATCATGGCTCTTTGAGCAGGAAGGCCTCAGGAACACTTGTGACGGAGGAGAGCCTGTCGGGATTTCTTTCGCACGGCGGGTGCGAGGAATAGGTAAGGGCGATGAAGCTGAGCTCTGGGTTGCAGATGTACGGTCACCTCGAGCGGCATCGAATGGTGAGGCAATCGAGCACCGAGGAAGCGAATTGCCAACAAAGTGCTGCCAGACGAGGCAAGTGAACGTCGTCACGGGGAACCGAACTGACTGAGGCATGGATCGTTGTGCACATAGTGCAGTCGTTCAGTCGATCATCGATCAGCACGGTGCAAAGGGCCACAGAGACGAGGATGGATGGTGGCATGTAGTGGTGATAGAACGGTGTTTATAGAGGTGAGAGGTCTTGGGGAACTTTGGTAGAGACGTGGAAAACATTTCCGCAGCCAGTTTCTGGATATTTGGCCATCAGCTACGTCCATTTCAGCTCCATACATCATAACACATTCCATCCATCTTCCATATTTATCATGTGCTCAACCCGTCGACATATTTTGACCTTTGCATTCTCCTGAACCGTGCCCGGCGCTAGAAGTGGTGAAGTGATCAGTCCGTTACTGCTGCGCGCTGGAGATATTCCTTCATCCACTTGAAGGGGCCACAATGCAAGTCGCTCCGTTCCTGTCGGATCTCAAGTCTCTCAGTGTTTGTGTAAGTAGAGCTATGCCAGAGAAGCTTCCGTCCTCAGAGATTTCTACAATTTCAGCTGACTTGCGCCGGCCAGTCCCACGATGCCGCCATCGCCCTTGTGAAGCCATCTGTTATCACGACAGGCGATGGGACAAACCTACCGCAAGCCAGTTCTGACGCGACAAATGGGCACCCAAGGCAGCCTCTGCCGGAAGAACAACGAGATCAGGATCTTCAACGTGCAAACGAACTGGTGTCACTCCACTACGACGTCAAGTTGAAATACATTGAGACAGGGCCTGATCCAGAGCTGGTCCATGCCGGCAAGGGTGTCGACTGTGTTATAGCAGCCTTGTCCAAATCAGATGGACAGTCTCGATAGCCCTATAAATACCAGCATTGTCAATCTACACAGTAATGATGAGGGAAAGGGTGTGTGACTGGCTCCTGGCCTTGCTCAAAAACACGATAATGATATTTCTACCCTGTACCATCGTGCCTCAGGGTAATGTGTCTCCTCTGACTCCAGGCAAAGGAGGCTCATTGATGCCAGGCGCTTGTAGGTATTGTAGAGCTGCCGGTAGAGCAGAGTCTCTTGCCTCCCTTCTCTTTCCAGCTCCAAGTAGCCGTCTTTTACATTGGCACTGAAATGTCGCGACTTGAGCCCTGCTGGTTACATGTCTTTCTATCACGCTCGTGGTAGGCCTATCCCTCTGGAGCTGCAAACGTTGATACTTTCGTAGATAGCTTGTGCTTTTTAGTCCTCGGCACGACGGGCATCTGTCAAGCTCCTCCGCTTCCGTGTGTATCCTGGCGCTGGCAATTTTCTGATGGAGTTGTCTTTGTTGGACAGCTCTTCTGTACTCCTTCTTTCCCCCATAGTTGCGAATCAGGTCTTTCGTTCCATCTAGAGACAAAGAGACGTCAGGCACAGTTTTCCCGGACGCGTTGAGCTGAGGGTGGACCACCTTAGCCAAGTCCCGGCCAAGAATGATAGTGAGCAGACGCTTTCTGACGATGACTCGGCGGGCTTTCCGGACGACCCTCTTTCTTTTGCCGAGCTTGCCCACCACTGGCAATTCGGATACAGGGGCTGGGAGGGTTGAAACCACTGCATCAATGGGCACTGCATTCGTGACTGTTGCAGAGTCCACGGGAAGCGTGGTAGGCACCGGGCCACCCACAACCGGGGTCGTCGCAGCATTGAGGGGTTTTGTAGTCGAACTTTGTTCCATTGCCGACTGTGTAGGTGTGGGCGTCACACTCGCGTCGTTCAAAGTATCTGGCCCCATTGAAGCAGACATGACCGTGCCGCTGGGTCTGTGTATTTTGATCTCTGGGATAGAAAATGGCTCGATGTCCTCGACTTTAGAGGAAGACTCTGCAATCAAATCGAGCGCGTCCTCTGACGTGGGCAATGAGGTTGAAGTAGGTTCTGCAGGGGACGGCTCTACTTTCTCCGTTGTAGACTCTTGTTCGATTTTGGGAGAAGCGGGATCTGCAAGACTAGGGAGATTGAAGTCTGGGCTTTCACGGGGCTCTTCAGGTAGCTCAGATGCCTCGGGAGCACCTCTTGCCTCTGCCTCTGCCTCTTTGGAATGGTTATGAAGTGGGTCGGAAACTTCTTCGGGAGGCCGTTCGTGAGGAGAAATAAAGACTCGTCCTGGTGCCGATATATTGGCGCTTTGGGGAGGAGGAATGGACGCCTCAGAAACGTTCAACCGGCCTTTGCTGACTCTTGCGAGAAAAGGCAGTCCCAGACCTGCAATTATCTCCTCACTCTCACTGGCTCGGACTGTACCAGTGGTCGTCTGTTCTGAAAATGTGTTCCGCCGACGGGTTCTCCCCCGCGGGCTTGGATCACCGCCGGTAGCACTGCTTGACTGGCTCGCTTCCCTGACGTTCGAAGTCGACATGGGTGTTTCAAGCTCAAACGAACCTGCAGATTCAATGGTGGCCACAACCGGAAGTTTGACACCTTTTGGGATAATGATTGAGATGGACTGGGCAGATGCCTTTACTTGTATTCTTGGTCGGTCTGTGTCTGGATCGTAGTCGGGTAATATTTGAGAGGCGTCTGGACCCAGCGAGCTCTCTGAGAGCCTTCTCCTAAGTGCTTGCTCGATGAAGTGGATTTCTTCTTCTCGAAGTTCTCGTCCACGGACAGCTTTGTCAGGGCGGTAACCGGGGGAAGTTTGCTTTTGCGACTTCAGCGCAGTCAGATATCGTTCACGCAAGAATGGCGAGGGACTTGTCAGCGCGCGTTCGAACGGGGCTGTAGGTGCTCGACTGAGGCGGTCTTTCTAATCTTGTCAGAAAGTGATAATAACGCATCGGAAATACGAACTGTCTCGAAATGCCCGACGAGTGTTTCAACAGACGGCCGTTTCGGAGGAGCTGTCCAATTTGATGTGGGCAGCACAGCGGAGCCGATTCGACGCCCTGGAGCTCTACGAAGGGTGTTCTTGCGAGAACCTCTAGTCGACACTTGCGGGTCCTAGGCCTGTCAGACATGAGCAAAGTCCTCTGTTTCTCGGGAAAATTTCATGCCAGCTCGTTTTCTTTTTGCAGACTCTGAAGGAGTTCTTCATTAGGGAAATGGGCCAGGCTGGGTGAGTTAGGCGTGTGGTCGCAGGCAGGATGCTCAGGCCAGGGCCAGCCCAAGCCAGTGGAGTGAGGAGAATATCGTCTATTTGAGGGGCCACACGGACAAGATGTGCTCATTACTCATATTGAATGAACGTGGAGGCAAAGCCATAGGCGCGTCTAAGTAAGTGGTATAGGGAACAAGAAAAGAGTACATCGTCGAGCAGATGCAAAAGAATCAAGGATTCAAGAAGTAAGAGACCTGGGAAGCTCTTGCGCCGGAGCTGGAAGGGAAAGAGCAAACCACCCAACGCCTTACATCCATTGTGCCGGCAACCTCTCCAGAGGTCTATCACAGCAGGCACCGTGATCAGTAGTAATCAAGAAGTCCATGTGTTAAGTGTTCAAGGGATGAAGAGTGAGACTCACACCAATATGCGGGGTCGCTCGACCTTCCTTCCCAGAAACTCATCTCCGCTTAGTTTGTCGACTTTTCCATTTTGGAGGCTCGTGAGGCTCTGAGTTCTCCAGGCTCTTCAACCGCGCTCGTGCCTGAACCTCATTCCCAGGGGCGCATCTTGGCGACAACATGGCCACGGCGGTTGACCAGAAACTGCTTCGGCAGACCAAGTTTCCCCCCGAGTTCAACCAAAAGGTTGACATGAAAAAGGTCAACATCGAAGTCATGAAAAAGTGAGCTGGGCGTCGAGGACCACCCGTGTAGCCGTTCTAGGGTGAACAGTTACTGACATACTATCACAGATGGATTGCAGGCAAGATCTCCGAAATACTTGGGTCTGAGGATGACGTTGTTATCGAGCTTTGCTTCAACTTGCTCGAGGGTTCGCGTTTCGTAGGTCTACGTCTCCCAGTCTTCGCCTGTTCTGGACTAACATTCTCAGCCTGACATCAAAGCGCTCCAAATTTCGCTCACCGGATTTCTTGACAAGGATACCCCCAAGTTCTGCAAAGAGTTGTGGAACTTGTGCCTGAGTGCGCAGTCAAATCCTCAAGGTGTCCCGAAGGAGCTACTCGAAGCTAAGAAGTTGGAGCTGATACAAGAAAAGGTACAACGATCGCAACATCATATTGAACTTCGCTGACACCGCCAGATCGACGCCGAGAAAGCCGCTTTGGAAGCTAAAAATAAAAGAGACCAGGAACAAGCTCAGGAGCGAGAGGTCGACTCCATTCGACAGCGTGAACGGGCAGACCGTGGCCGTGGTCGCCGTGGTGGTGGTGGTCGTGGCGGACGAGGATACGACAGCCGACCTCCGAGATACTCAAGATCCCCTCCGCGTCGCAGAAGATCTCCGTACAGAGGCCCTCCACCGCGTCGGGAGGCTGACACATATGTTCCTGGGAAGCGAGGCAGAGGTGGTCGAGACTCGGGTCGAGGACGTTCATTGACCCGGTCACCCTTGTCTCCGTCTCGCTCGCCTTCCCCGCCACGTTCGCGTCGTGCTGGCCGATCCGCGTCGAAGTCGAGTTCCATATCGAGATCCAGGTCTAGGTCGAAGACAGCGCCATATTCGCGAAGCCCATCACCAGGACTCCGGCGGGAACGGGGCTCAAGAAGCAAGAGTCGGACCAAGTCACCTCCGCGGAGGGGAGCAGGCTGGCCGAGAAGAAGCTCCGAATCACCCGGTGATAGACGCACACGATCTCCAACACGTTCTGTTGCATCACGCTCACGGTCGCCTAGAAGACGACGGCCACGAAGCCGGACGGCCTCCAGTCCAAGTCGCAGCCCGAGCCCCAAGCGGCGACGATACCGTCGAGATCGCTCATATTCATCATCCCGGTCAAGATCAAGATCGCGGGACCGACGGAGGGATTACAGAAAGGGTGACAGACGTCATAGACGATCTCCCTCAAACTACTCCTCTGATGACAATCGAAACAACAGGCGCGCTGATATTCTCAGGGGTCGCAATGCACGCGATGTCCGTCGTTTGAGCCGCAGCCCCGACGAGTATAACTCCCGACGAAGAGACAGCCGGAGTCGAAGCAGAAGTCGACGTCTGCACCATAAACGAAGAATGTCGCTGCAGAGATATGAGCCCGCCGCGCGCAGACGACGCAATACTTCATCAGGCGACTCGTCGCCAGAGGCGAAACGTCGGAGGCGTGATGCATCTGACGATGAAGTGATGCGAGACTCACCCGGTAAGCAAAGTGTGGAAAAGCATGGCGAAGGTGATTCCGATTAAACCCTGGAGTGTTGAACTCCTTCCACATTCATCCTCTGGGTGCTTCGCAAGTCGAGAGTATTCACGATGGTCAAGCTTTAAGAAACCTGAGGACAATCCCGACCTCGTGTTGGAGTGAGCTCCATGCCACACCGACCGCTATTCAGTGCAAAGCCAGACAGACCAGGCTTGAAATGGCTGGTAGCGAGATTGCCCTGCTCTGGTTATAATGCTGTCGCCCGTGTTACACGCAGATCTTGAACGTGCTGGATCTGGTAACCAGTTTATGGTCATATTCAGGCCGCCATCAAGCCAATCTGTACGATGAAAGCACACAAGATCGCTACACATAAACGGACAATGTCCTCTGGCTCTCATGCCTCGCACTCATCGCCGTCATGTGACTGTTGTTAAAGCCGGTTTATTTTTGTTGGTAACTCCGATCGAGTGACACGTGACTGCGTTGACTGCGGCGTAGTGCACATCCCGGCCCGACGTCAATGACTTTCCCCTTTTGGGCTTCTTAGCGATCTGGGTTTGAGTTCTGGAACCTGAGACCGGGGCGCATCCCTCACGCTCCCTAAACCCTCACCCTCACACCCTTTCCATACATTTCATAATTCTACACCACGATACAACTTCATTTTATCATTTGACCCAGTAACCACTTCGGATTTTGTTCATTCATTCCCAGACCGGCTTGACGCCTTTTCGATCATTCTACTTTCGAGCCTCCTTCCCTCCTCGTTTCCATTTGCCTCTCAGTTCGTTCATCATGAGTTCCGGTCCTAGACTCATCAGCAATGCTGCGGCCAGGAGACTCCTGTTGCAATGTCAGTGGATGCGTCGCCTCTGGACCTGAATAGTGATTAACTTGTGAACAGCACACCCTCGAGCTTCACACTCTCCGCTCATGAGCGTTTACTCTCGGTCCAAGTTCGTCAGAGACTTCCCCTCCAAGCTCTCGGCCCTGGCAATTGCTTTGCCGCAAAGAAATTATGCAACAGAGACAACTCCGCATGCTCCTGACGGCGGTCCCCCTCCGGGTTTCAACATTGACGAGGCTAAGAAACCATTGCCAAAGGACGAGGCCAAGAAGTCATCAGAAGCATCACCAACCCCTACCGTCGCAGAGCTGAAGAAGTCGGATGAACAACTACATGTCCCCAAAACAACGGCCACTGCGACCGCTAAGACTAAGGCCTTGGAAAAGGCCAGTCTCAGCGAGCTCGCCGCTGAAAAAGCCGCTTCTGCCCAGTCCGAGAAGGAGCAAACAACGGAACTGGCGGCCAAGAAGGAGGAACCCAAGAAACTCTCTATTGGCCAAAAGATCAAGAAAGAAATCCAGCATTATTGGGACGGGACGAAACTACTGGCTGCGGAGATCAAAATTTCCTCACGACTTGCATTAAAAATGGCCGCGGGCTACGAATTGAGTCGCCGAGAGAACAGACAGGTAAGCATAACTTGGCGGGCGCGTGTGCCTGGGGAAGTGTTGACAATCGAATAGTTGCAACGGACGGTTCAAGATCTCGGGCGGCTGGTGCCCTTCTCGGTTTTCGTCATCGTGCCCTTCGCAGAATTGCTGCTCCCGGTCGCCTTGAAATTGTTCCCGAATCTCCTTCCCTCGACATTTGAAGGCCAGAAGAGCCGTGAAGCCAAAGCCGCCCATCTCAGGGAGACCCGTAAGCAGGTGTCTGCTTTTTTACGCAACACGCTGCGCGAGACCGGTCTCCCAGTCTCTGCGGTCAACGCAAGGAAAGAAGAGTTTACCGAGTTCTTCCGCAAAGTCCGCGCCACGGGCGAATCTCCCTCCAGGGAGGATGTTATTAAAGTTTGCAAGATCTTCAAGGACGATTTAACACTGGACAATTTATCCAGGCCACAACTCGTGGGGATGTGCAAGTACATGAACCTCAATACCTTTGGAACCGACGCCATGCTGCGGTATCAAATCCGCCACCGTATGCGCCAGATCAAACGTGACGACAAAGCTATCTCATTTGAAGGCGTCGACTCCCTTTCTGTGCCTGAACTCCAAATGGCGTGCGCCTCTCGTGGTCTTCGAACTCATGGCATGTCGCCGGGCAAGTTGAGGGAGGATCTGCAAATGTGGCTCGATCTCCGTCTCAAATATAACATTCCGTCGACGCTTCTGGTGCTCAGCAATGCGTACATGTACACGTCTGGCAAAGACAGCGAGATCGACTCACAAATTGACGCACTGCAAGCGGTGCTTAGTTCCATTCCAGAGGAATTATTCCACGAGATTGAACTTGAGGTCCATAATGCGGAGGGCGCGGCTACCAATAAACAACGCCTGGAGGTGTTGAAGGAGCAGCAGGAGCTCATTGAGGAAGAGAATGAGCAGGCTGAGTCAAGTAAACAGACGACAGAGGCAAAGGGCGAGAAGAGCGCCACCTCGACAGTGAAGGATGATAAAGATATCGATGAGAAGCCCAAGTCCAAGCTTGCTGATGCCAAACAGGAGGCGAAGGCTGATGCGAAAGAAGAGGCCAAAGAGGCCGAACAGGACGTCGCAGAGCAAGGGAAGCAGGAGGAGATACAAAAGGCTCCCGAAGACAAGAAAAACTAACGGCGCCGCTCCTTATAAGAAGATTTTTCTGCGATCTCACTATTACCCAATGTTGTCAAGCGCAGGGGTCTCTTTGATTTGGCTCGCGTCTTCTCCATGACGGCCGAGCACGACACGGTGCAGCGGATTATAACTTCATATAGACTCAGCTCAGCATTTTGAACATGCGTGCTCCTCACAACGGCACTGAAACAGGCAAAACAAAAAGGGTGGGAAGAGAATCCGGTGAGATTGATTTCATGTGGCCATTCCTCCCCCGATGGACAGGAGGCTGCCAGAAGAAAATGGCCCTTTTTTCGAACGAATTCCATAGAGTTGACAAACATTTGAATCCCACATCTTGATTGAACCTTCTCTTTTTCCGGGGATTGTGCTCTCCATCATCTGTGATTGTTATGGAACAAAGTCGTAAAGGGAGGACGAGTACCTCGCTCGTACAAGCCGGAGCACAGACATGAGTGAGCGAGCAGGCTTTACCAACGCTGTCTGTAGTATTGTACACATCCAACCCACCCTATCTACCACATCAGCGCATTCAGCTGTCTTCTGGTTCACCAAGTACAGTAGATAGGTATCATCAGGTCGGGTAACACGCGTAACCAGGCACACAACTCGTCAGCCGTGGTTCACAGCACATCTCTATCGGAGACATTGCCACTCTTCTTCCGGACAGCAACAGAACACATATCTGGCCTTCAATCCATGCTTATCAATCCACAACACATCGGCCGGTAGGTAGGATCATAGGTTACATCCCAGGGCGCGTGGACTGGCGTGGCCACACATGTGTGTTGGGACCCAGGAACTCGTCGTAGAAGCAGTATTCATTGAACTCGTGGGCATTCGTCGTGAACCTGGACATGGTGAAAACGGGTCTGCCTTCCCAGATATAGGAACACTCCCTGGTGTGCGCCCCTTTTTGTGTTGTGCTACAGCCTTTGCTCCCTTGACAACAGCAGTACAATAGGCCGTAATACAGCGTGAGCAGTCCGGATTTCCAATCTCGCCCGGAAGGATCGCATGAAAAGACGTTCCCAATGCCTCGAAAACTTAGGCGTATTTCCTCAGCTGAAGTTCGTGTTAGCACCTTCACACATACCTTCACGCCTCTAGAAGAGGAGCGGGGAGAATGACTTACATCAAGCGTCAGTACTTTGGAGCTATTCGCTCCTTGATCCCTGTATACCCCCACGAGAGCCTCGCTGCCCTGGAAGAAGCCGGTCTTGAGACTGATCACGATGAACTGCATTCCGGGCCCCTATTATTTCACAAGGTATCGTCAGCGCCAAATCACTCACCGCTTCGCCGCACATGCCGTGCCCTATAGTCGACAACAAGAAGGGGGAGAGGCTCACCGCATGGTTCTTCACATAATTCACCAACTTGCCCACATTAGCATTGTCCAGGGCCGCATCCACCTCATCCAGGACGAAGAATGGACTCGGCTGGTAACTGTGAATCGCGAAGAGCAGCGCCAATGCCGCCATTGTCTTTTCTCCTCCGGATAAATGCTCCATATCTCGAAAGCGCTTTGTCGGTGGCATAGTATGGTAGTTCACCCCCGCGAGATACGGTTCTTCGGTATCTGCTGTGAGATAGGCGCGTCCTCCGGCCGGGAATTCGTCTGATTTAGTCAGGTTGGCGTAAATGGGCTCGATTTGTGCCGAGATGTGGCTAAAGGCCTTGTTGAAAAGTTCATTGCGCTTTTCCATTGTGTTTTCGAACTTCATCTTGAGGTCTCGGAATTTCGTGCGTGATTCTTCGTATTCCTGCTCGGTGTCGCGTGCACGACTTTCTACGGCGGCAAGACGTTCTCCCGCGTGCGCATTGGGCTGCATCTTCTCCAGCGCGGCGTTCAGTTTGGCTATGTCTTCTTGCAATTTAGCCTCCATAGCTTCGCTATTTTCTTCCTTGAGCTCATCATCTAACACATCGAAATCGGGTTCGACACCGTAGTCATTGATGGTCAAATTCTGGAGCGCGGAAGAGGTGGGCTCCTCTTCATCATCAGCTTCCCTCGCTTCGGCGTCTTCAAGGGGCAGGTCGTTGATAGGCACGCTGTCCAGGCTGGCCGATTGCTCAGTTAGCGGAATATTGATGCTTTCAATTTTGCAGCGGCGAAGAAGGCTGTATCTCGCAGAAGAATGGCGTTGCATTTCTGCTTCGAGGGCATTGATTGTTCGGAAGGTGCTCTCCATCTCTTTGGCGCGCGCCTGAAACTCTGCCTTCTGCTTGGCTAGCCTTGCGGCGGCCGCGTTCAGGAGCTCCTTTTGCTCGTCCAGTTGGGCGCGAAGCTCGTCGAGTTCATTCTTCAACGTATCGAGGTCGTCCTGGATACCTTGTCGCCGTTCATTCAGGTCGTCAATCGTCTCTTTATCGCGTTGCTCCCTGTCTCGAAGAGCCAGGAGACGGTCATCTGTTTGCTGAAGCCGTGTTCTCTCGAAGTTGAGTTGGCCTTGGATTCTGGCCTTCTGCGTGACGAATTCGAGCTTCTTCTGAGCAGCTTCTTGCTGAAGAGTTCCCTGTTGGGCCTCATAGTCTCGAATGTCCGCGAAGCCGTGCTTTTGGCAGAACTCTCCGAAGATTTCGTTTTCGACATTGCTCACGGACTCTTGGTATTCAGAAATGTCCTCGTCAATCTTTTCCAGCTTATCCTCTTCTTCTCGCAGCTTTGCACGTTCCTCCGTCAACTGCCGCTTGATGTGATCGACTTCGCCCGCCTTGCTCTTGAGGTTCTTGTTTAGCGCTTCGAGTTCTTCCTTGGCATATCGGAGTCTACTTTCAAGACCACTCAGCTCATTTTGGAGTGTCTGCTCCTCTGCCCGGCGAGAGCTTTCTTGTGGCAGAGCAGCGAACTCCTCCATCAACTTGTCTTTGAGCCGGTGGAGCCGGTCAACTTCGATTTCGTCCCACCGTCGAGAGGGTTGGTCTTTGCCACGACCGCCGGTCATTAGACCACCCTTGTGGATCACACTGCCATCTAGCGTGACAGCCTTTGCATCAACATGGCGGTTGTAACACAGGTCTTTTGCAATGTCGAGATTATCGCACACAATCGAATTGCCACAGGCATATGAAATTGCCCGCGCAACGGACTGGTCATACTCCACCGTCTCAATAGCTGGAAGCATCCCCTTATGCATGCCTTTCAGATTTGAGTTGAGTGCTTTGACCTGGATTGTGTCCAGTGGAATAAAAGTGGCTTGGCCCGAGCGATGATCTCGCAGATATTCGATGCATTGTTTGGCCGTTGCTTCGGTGTCGACAACCACGGAGTCGAAGTGGCGACCTAGCACGGTGCTAACAGCTTCCGCATACTTCTTCTGCTTGGGTTTGCACAGCTCATGAACGCGGCCTTTGACGCCAGGGTAAGTGCGCTTGAGCATGGCGATGGTCTCCCGCATTCTCCCTTCCCTCTCACTCGTCCGACGACCATCGTCAGCTTCCAACAGTTTTCGAGCCACTTCGGCCAGTTTTTCATCGAGCTCAGTCCGAGTCCGAGCTGCTTGTAGTCGCTTGGACGAAGCAGCGTTTAGCTCTTTCTTCTTGGCATCGATTTCCATCTGTGCTTGTTGCACCGCTTCCTTGACCGTGTCCCGCCGTCGGATGAGCGCGTCATGTTCATTCTCGAGGGAGCTCAATTTGAACTCGGTACTTTGGACACTGTTTCTCAGATTGCTGTAGGTGGCTTCGATTGGAGCTCGGTCATTCTTGAGTCTCTCAATGCGACTCAGGTCGGCTGATGCACGCTTGTTGAGTTGCTCGCGAAGTCGAGTGTACTCCTGGAGGTCAGCGTCACTCAACTGACCGCCTAACCGAGATGCATTCCGCTCCCATTCTTCTTGCCATTGAGCCTGCGCCTTGTCGACAGTGTTCAGGTCTTTTTCGAGTTGCGCCACCGTCGCCGCTTGCGTGGTCCGCTCCTTGATGATCGTGTTCGCTCTGTTCGCGTATTTCGTGAGGTGTTGGTTGGAGACGGAGATCTGTTCATCAATCGGGACCAGGGACGAAGTTTTGTCCTCAATCTCCCTTTCTTTAGTCTTAATCAGTCTTTCTATCTTACTCACGTCTCGTGAAGCTTGAGCATGTTCCTTTTTGGCCAGATCAAGCCCTTTTTCATATTTTTCCATACCGCGACGGTAGTCTCGCAGCTCCTCTTGGTGTTTCTGGATTTCGGCGCTGGACTCCTCAATCTGGCGTTGCAGGTGATATAGTTTCCACAACACATGAGTCACGATGGCCTGATCTCGCTCTGCGGCTTTCTTCAGAAAATTATCCGCCTCCCGTTTTTGTTCTTGGTATTGACGTATCTCTGCGTTGATACCTCGACGTCGAATGAGTTGGAAAGCCTGCTGCTCCGTCGCGGCGTCCAGCTCTGCTTTCAATCGGTCGTAATCCGCTTTATACTCGATGCTGCCCGAGACTTGTTCTATCAGGCGTGTTAAATCCTGAGGTTTCTGTGTGGCAATAGCTTCGACATCGCCCTGAAAGACGAGGAAGTTGCGCGCCTTGATGAGAATGTTCTCTTCTTCCAGCGCATCGTTGTACTGTTGCGCCGTGACCACGCGCTCGTTGATGCGATACTCCGAGACGCCCTGATTGGTGATTGTGCGCTTGTATTTCTGTTCCATGCCAGCGTCGTCTTCGTAAACAGCCATGACCCAGGCGGACTTGGGGTCATTGCGCTCTTGTGTGCTGTTCGCTTGCGACAATTGTGCTCCTTCATCATGACCATTCACGCCGTTTGGCTCAGGGTCGCCAGGCGCAACAGACTTTCGCAGAACCCGACCGCGGTAGACCAGTTCTCGCAAATGCGCAGATCGAAGATGGGATGACTTGATTCCGAGGACGAAGGAGATGGCGTCCATGGCGTTTGATTTGCCCGAGCCATTGGGACCGATGATGGACGTAAAGTAGGCATCACCAAAGAGGAGGGTATGATGCCCCTTGTAGGACTTGAAGTTGTACAGTTCAAGCCTACTGAGTTTTCCCATCTCGGCCTTCCACAGGGGGAGATCAAGGCGGGGGATCGCACAAAAGGTAAGTTGGATCTGAAATGATCAAAGCGCAGGCATGGAGGAATGAGAGAATCCAGATCGGATCGAGGAAGGACAGGGACACGCAGGTCAAGTGATGGTGATGTGTTGAGATGTCGGATGGACGAGACGCGATTAAGATACTCGTAGGTCCTATACGGAGTGCTCTGTTTGATACCACCAGTCGCTGAAGGGCGACGGGGGACAACGACGCGAGGCAGACCAAGGGCGCGTTGAGAGGATGGGGACAAGACGAGTTTAGTGGACAGCTTATACTCAAAACAGTTTAGGCTCGATACTCACAAAGTTCGCCTGTGGTGCCCACCCAGTGCCCGGGCTCTTTAGGCTTAGTCAGTGCCTCTGGGCCCCGTAGTACCGCCGAGCGTTAGCACCGCCAGGGGTGGCTGCGGGTGCCACAGTGGGTGCCTGCGAGGTGCAATGCTTGACGTATGTATTGATCCTGCCACTCATGGTGCGTGATATTCGCACGCTCCTCCGCCTTTCGCTCTCAACACCACACACAACTCCCTCTGCCATCGAAAAGAGAAAGACACCAACACGCTTCTCACAAGACTCATGTGCACCTCTGGCAGCATGACCCTCGAATTCTCGGTATTGCTGGCGACCTGGCACGTGCCGTTTCTCTCAGCATAGAGTATCGTCGCCTTTTCTTGCCTACGTGTCCTTGATACCCAGCGCATGCATCACATCATCCCAGGGTCTCCGATCCAAGCGTTCCGCCCTGCATATCAACTTTCTCCCGCGACCCTCCCTCCTACTCTCGCTCTACCTATATCCTTGCCGCCTCTTCCTGTCGCGCTCCCTCACTCTTCTCTCCAACGTCCCTTCTCTAGCTGTATATTTCAACCATGTCAGAACCTATACCCATCCCTCACTCCAAAACCGAAAGTGCCCTGGATGAGATGTCCTCGCACGACGTGGCCGGTAGTGCTGGATCCGATCTCACGGGTGCTCTGACACCGGGCTATCAGTCAGGCTATCAATCCTCCAGTCCGGGAAGCCCATACCTCCTCTCCAGAAATCCCTCGTATGTTGGCAGCCAATCTCTGCAGGAAGATTGGGAGGTGCCCCTCGACAAGCTCACCTTCTTTGACATCTTCGACAATCTCGCTTTACCGGCCAAGCTCGAAAAATGGCATGCGACCTTGCAGGCTCAGAAAGAGAAGCTGGCACGCCAGCAGGAGAAGATCAGGAGCTCGGGCAACAATGCCAAAGACCGCGCCGTGGCCGAATGGCGCAAACGTGTGCCGCCGGCCGATGAACAGCTGGCTAAGTACCGGTCGCGCATGAAGAAATCGGTGGATGATCTGAACAAGAGGTGGAACGAAGTGGTGACGATATCCATCCGCGAAAAGGTCTCCTTCATTTCCGCCGTCCTCAACGTCTTCATCAGTGGCTACCTGATCGGAGCTGTGCCCGAGTATTTCTACTGGTGGTATACCATACAACTCATCTATTTCATGCCCATCCGGGCCTACACCTACCACCGGAAGGGCTACCACTACTTCCTGGCCGACCTGTGTTACTTTGTCAACTTTTTGCTCCTCTGCAGCATCTGGGCGTTTCCCCGTTCCAAGCGTCTCCTGATCAGTGCCTACTGTCTTGCCTACGGCAACAATGCCGTCGCCATTGTCATGTGGAGGAACTCCCTGGTATTCCACTCCCTGGATAAAGTCACCAGCCTTTTCATACACGTCATGCCGCCCGTGGCATTACACTGCATCGTCCACCTGACTCCAGGCGAGTTCTTGCGCCAACGCTTTCCGGCCGTGTATGCCATCAAATACAGCCCGAAGGGTTCGCCCGGGCACTACGAACTGGCCGCCATGCTGCTGTGGGCTACCGTGCCCTACGCGATCTGGCAGTTATCCTACCACTTCTTCATCTCTGTCCGGCGCGCCGAGAAAATCAAGGCGGGAAGACCCACATCATTTACATGGCTCCGTCGTTCGTACGCGAACACGTGGATTGGCAAGACGGTCAACTCGCTACCAGACTACCTGCAAGAGCCAGCGTTTATGGTGATCCAGTACCTATACGCCTGTCTCACGATAATACCGTGTCCGATTTGGTTCTGGTTCCGATGGCCGAGCGCATTGTTCTTGCTGTTCGTTTTCAGCTGGTCAGTGTGGAATGGTGCGAATTACTACATGGACGTCTTCGGGAAGCGATTCCAGAAAGAGCTGGAGCAAATGAAGCGCGATGTGGCCAAGTGGCAGAACTCTCCTGGAGCCATGTTCAGTCCGCCGCATGGACCCGTGGATTCGGATATGAACTTGGGCACGACAAAGGGCGATTCGAGAAACGGCCATGACAAGAGGCCCTCGATTGATAAAATCCCGTTGCTGGATGAGACAGGGCAGCCGCACCAGAACGATCATGCAGACGTTAGTCCGAATTCGGAAGCCAATGCCAGGGCCACGGGCGCAGAGATCCTGAATGAGGCAAACGGCAATGTTTTGGACAGGAAGAATGTCTCGGCGCCGCTTACGGGGGCAACAATGTGAGTCGCCTTGAGATTACGCGAGCCAGCCAGTACCAGACCACGAATCGACACAAGGGATTGAGGAGTCTGTGCGCGCAAGGATTCTGCCATTGGACTAGCCGGGCCAGGATGTATTGGAATGCTCGCGTGCGTCGACAACACAACCAGCCTTGTGACCTGCAGATGACCGAACACAGATGGAATGAGGGACAGGCGTGTGAGAAGCAGATTAAGATTCCTGATGTCCTGGAGGGTTTGACGACGACGCCTGTCTGGAGTTTGTGATGGAATTGTCCTGATTGACCTGATTCTTCTACTGTTTGTAGATAGCTGATACCCTTGTTGTTCTGCACTTGATGAAATGCCTTGTATTACTTGAGACTCGATGCGACTCTCTCTTACAGTCGGGTTGGGCCTGAGTCAGGACTGAGCCGTTCCATCGTCGCGTTCCCTCTGAATCGCTTACGGATGTCCATGTTTGATCACGTGCGCTCACACACACACACACATGTGTCTTAAACCTCGTCGAGAGCTGTGTGTAGCTAGCTAGCTCACCCGGCGTAATAACCAACCAACATACAGGTGCCGATGGAGACGAGCCTGCATGCATTCTTTGGTGCCCGCCCACACGTCCATCCAAGGGAGGATAAGTAGTGGTAGTGGGTGTGCGCGACTCGACATGCGCGGCTCTCTCTCTGTCTATCTCTCGATTGTATATCTCCCTTTCTTTAGGCCTCTACCTCTCTCTTCCCATGTCATCCTCCCTCCTCCAAAAAAAAATAACGGGGGACGAATCCATTCCCTATTCATTGAAAGGACACGAATCCTAATAGCCGAATTGGGCCTGCGTCGTCCATGGCACTGGTCCCTCCACCTGCACGCTCTCCGGGCCCGAGCGCCGCGGCACCACCGTCACCGTCCATCCCGTCGGCGTCCACACGGCTTTCTCCTGGTCCTGGGGTAGGTGCACTGGGGGAGCGATCACGCAACTCGTGACCCGCTGGCCGACAGCGCCAAATCTGTTCGCACATGCCGAGAGTCCCCTGGCCGCCACGTCGACCCATTTCCCCCGCGCCGCGTCGATTTGCCAGGCCACCCGTCGTTGACGGAGGGGTCCGTTGTCGACAACGTCGCGCGCCAACCTGACCCGCTCGCAGTGGGCGGCGAGAGCGTCCTGAGCCACCGTGACGAGGGCGGCGTCGTCCAAGTCCTCATCGTTCTCTTCGTTCTTCTTGGCGCCGCTCGCTTTGTCGTCCTTGGCATCCTCGTCGCTGCCGCACGGGTAGCTGTCCTCCACCAGCGCGGCGAGCAACTTGTTCTTGGGCTCGGAGAGGTGTTGCGGCACTTCGCCCCGACCCGGGTACATGATGGAGGTGAACGGGTCAGTGCGGAGCCGGGCCCCGCCGGCCTCTTCTTCGTGGTCGTCGCCGCCGCCGCTGATGATGGGGGCACGGCTGCTGGCGGTGCTGGAGCTTCGGCTTCGACTACACGGGGTCGATGGGGCGGGGTCGGCGCCTCGCTCCGGGAAGAGCGTGGTGGCCCACATGGCTGGCGTTCTGACTGGACGGGGATGCCGATGGGGAGCGCCGAGAGGATCTCGTCAATGTTCATGTCGGCCTCGTCCACGTGGCGGCCAGGGGGAAAAGCAACCCTGGGAATGTCTTGAGCCGGGGTTGGTGGCGGCAGGGCGATGGGCATCGTCATCATCGGCGACAGGGTGAGGTGGGGAGAGGTCGGGGAGTAGGTCATGGTGTAGCTCGACATCTTGGAGGCGGTGGTGGTGGTGGTTGTGGTGGATGCTTCGGGGATGTCGTAGTTGTGGTCTGGTTGTGAGGTGGTGGTTGATAGCACGGGTGCTGTTCGTAGTGCTGTAGCTTGGTGATGATCGTAGCGAGCGTGGTAGGAGTTATCAACGAAAGGAACTGGCGCGTGCAACGTCGGACTGCATGATCGTCTCAACCTGGCAGCACCACGACGACGGCGACGGCTTCTTGTATAGTGGCTGGAGGCGGACCTACGGGGAGGACCTGCGACCGCGGCCTCTCCTGGAGACGATGATGCTGATGACTCCCATCGTAACAGCTCGACCCGCGGAGGCGATGGGGAGTCCTGGCACGTATTTAGAGGAATCAAGGTTTGCTTCGTTCCGGAACCAACGTTCTGGTCGAGCCGTGTGTTTCTTTGTGGTAGAACCAGACGGTCGTGAGGACCTGTGCGTCGAGACAGTGGAACAAAGACTCGCGGTTCCAGACGCACGCTCGACGAAAACGTCGGCAACGGACTGCGAGCAGCAACATGTTCAAGGTCCCCGTCAACATTCTGCTCTTGGATCTTGTCTCCTGTAACCGTCAAGACAGACTGCTCGTCCGTCGTCGCCAGTACAGGAGAGTTTGCCGTGGGTGGTCCGTGCCCGGGCACAGCCAAAGTATGTTCACACGGTGAAGACCGAGAGCAAGTGTTCTCTTCTCCTGACATCTTCGTGTCGGAAATAGTCGCTATTGGCGAGGAGGTTAATGTCCTGAAGGGATTCTCGTTTCCAATACCATCCCCAGAATCATCATGGCAGTTCGTAGGCTGAGGGAAACAACCCAACACTGGTCGCCCTCCCAGACTTATCCGGCGTGGCTGACTGAATGGTCGCAGTAGTCCTGTCGAGTTCTCCCTTCGCCTATTGCCACGAGACACAAGGGTACCATTGGTACTGTCCTCGGGTGGAAACCAAGGCTGTTGGGCTTTCATTTTGCAGAGTCATCAGTCTCGGGGGGTCGAGGAGTTGAGTCCGGACGTTGGCCCATCAAGGAGGGCTATACATTCGAAACAGAGCTAGTTTGTACTCGAGATATATACTTCGGACTTCGTGGTTGGTGACCAACTTCACCTTGCGCGGACAAACAGAGTCCCGACTCCCACCTGTGACAGCTCACTGTCAAGTCGGGGTTGGTATAGTCATGCAGAGCAGGCATGCTAAACGGCGGCTTCGGGGATGTCGCGGTGGCCGTCCCTTGCCACGATCAAACGAACATCGGTCAGGTAACACTCGAATGTTTCAACATCGACTGGATTCGACTGTGATTGATTCCCTTTCATCGGTACCCGTAATCTCTGACATCGTCAGGGATGTCGTGAAGAACCACTCTCTCGAAGGAGGGAAGAGTCGTCGTCTGCGTTGGAGGCTTCTTCTGACCCAGATTCGGTGTCGATGACCGACATGTGCCGTGTCAAAACCACAGGATGGTCCGTCCCTCAGGTAATACCTCACCCACGCCCTCTTCCTAAGCTTCACTCACTCGCCAAGTCATATCATATCATATACCTTGCGGCATACCTGCCTCTTCACAAAGGAGAGAAGAATGAAATAAATCCACACATATATCAATCAACCTCGGGATTTCCTCCAACATTCGACCGGCGAAAAGTTTGGTGTTGGCAGTAAGTCTTGTCCATAGTCTCCTCATCTCCCTAATTCGCAAGTTCCAAGTTAGTAGTGACTGGGCCGGCGTATTTGGCTGTGCAGGAGCTCTACCCCGACGGGTAACTCCCAAACTCATAGTCTACGACCGCGAGCAGGATCATAGTGATTGGACTTGTGTAGGAGCTCTGATACAGCTCTAAGTGGGAGCATCGCATCGTTTGGCAGCCACCCGAATGGGAACAGAAACAAAAAAACCTCCCCACCAGGGGTTTTCTCACAAGTCTGAGTTTTTTGCCGGTTTGTCCATGCAACGGGCTCGCGGCGGGAAGGGGGAAGGGAGGTAAATGACCAGAGATCATGGGTTCGATATCAATGGCGTTCAATTACTCTTCTTCCTTGTTACACCCGTGTTGGGTAGGTGAGCTAGAGGTTTTGTCTTTTCTTATCTTTCACAGTGGTTGGTGCCGGCAGAATCTCTCTCGCTTTGTGACTGACTTCGAGGAAGAAGCGTTGGTGTAGACTCGGACTCAATCAAGATTTACCTTTATCACTGGACCGTTACTTACCGTCCTTGTATAGCCATCGATGAGCAAATCGCCGAATCTTCTCCTCAGAGTTGTTGAATATGTTCAATGGCGTCTGACTCGGCAAAGATGTATGTTCAGGTCATGTTATGGACGACAATGAAACCCCATCAGCCATATACTCACTCATACATACAGGAATGGTTGCCAGCATGTTGATCCAGCCCATAAACAGGTTCAAGGAGCTGAGATGACGAAAGTGTTCATATAGCCAAATATCAAAACAAGTCAGACAGGAACAGTGGAAGCTTGAAGTCATTGTACAAAACACCCTCCTATGATGTAATCTCCAGCCGGCCAGATGTCGGTTTCAATCTCCGCCACGCATGACATGGAAAGCGAGGAACATATGTACATACATACGCCGTAATACAAACGCGTAGTCTTCCTCAGCTTCCTCAAGCTGACACCCGCATGAACATCGGAGAATAAACAAAGAGTATTCCGTGGCTGCCATCAAATGGATGTGTGTTTTTATGGCCCTCTCTCTATATACAACAAGCGATGAAGGCTGTGTACATATGATCGCTCAGCCCCTCGCCAACCATGTTCATGTGCATGAATATCTGCCTCACTACATATGAATTAAGTGACCTCTGAAGACTCACCCTCCACAACTCCTATTCTCCAGATACATAAGCAAAAGCAAAAGGAATAAAATCTACAATCAGAAATGCAGAAAGCTCGACCTCCCCCTCCTCCCCCCAAGCCCAAGTCCCTCTCATCCAACGTCGTTCCGCCGGCGACCGTGTCCAAGGTCAATCATCCCCACCGCCGCAAGCGTGGCCTTGGATGGCCCTGGGACCAGCCCAGCACGCACTTCGCGCTGTACCAGCCGCACGCCACGTCCGGCAAGATCTCGTGGATCTTCAACTGGGAGTGCTGGATCCCGGACGGCGTGCCTCCGGGGGTGGAATGGGTTCCCTGCGTGCGCACCGCCGCCAACGCCCGCGACCAGCTCGACCCGTTCTTGACCGACATCATCCAGAACCGGGGCATCCAGGTCTCGGCGCTGCTGGGCTTCAACGAGCCAGAGATTCCCGACCAGGCCAACCTCCCCGCCCACGAGGCGGCCAAGCTTTGGACGGAGGTGGTCGTGCCGGCGAAGCGGAAATTCCGTCTTCGCCTGGGCAGTCCGGGGATGAGCAGCGACGTGTCGCGGAGCAAGCCGTGGCTGAACTCGTTCCTCTCCATCCTGGCCGGGGCCCATGAGATGGATTTCCTCGTGGTGCACTGGTACGGCCCGCACTTCGCGGACATGCGGGCCTTCTTGGAGGACATGCACGCCACGTACGGCCTGCCGCTGTGGGTCAACGAGTTTGCCTGCTCGACGATGGGCAACGGGGAGGCGGCCAGCGTCGACGAGGTGGAGGCGTTCATCAAGGAGGCGGTGCCGTGGCTGGACGCCTGCGACTGGGTCGAGAGGTATGCGTACTTTGGGAACAAGAACGTCGGCGTCTGGGTGGGACGAGCGAACAATTTCACCGAAGAAGATGAAGATGAAGAAGCAGGAGACGGAGCCAAGGAGACAGATGGACGACCACGACCACGGTTGACGAGAGTGTCGAGACTCTATTGCGAGCTTTGAAGATGGAATCGGGAGATGGTCGATTTGTACTTGGGGCCATTGAGAAAGGGGTGGAGGAAATGGCAGCAGACAGACCATGTGCGTATATGCATTGCGTTGTGTTGTAAAAAAGGTCTAGTCTATCGCTTCCAAAAAAGATAAAGAAGCCAATGTCCTGTTGCCCGGCGCAGCAGACGTCTACTGCTGTTTTGTTCTCTTGTATTATGCGCCCTCCAAAAGGTCACTCAAGGCATCCACGTAATACGCCGGACGGACGTCTCCCTCTAGAAAGTCCTGCTTGGTCGAGACACCCGTCAACACCCCCAGCGTGCCGCCCAGGTGTCCCTCGATGCCGAACTTGATGTCCGTGTCGGCGCGGTCGCCCACCATGCACACCTTGCTCCGGTCAAACTGGAACTTACCCTCGATGGCGTCCATCATGGCCTGGTTGGGCTTGCCGAACGCCATGGGCTCCTGTCCGCCCAGCATCTTTATCAGCGGGGCCGAGATGGACCCAGCGCCGGGGAAGAACGAGCCTGCGGACGGCAGGGTCGAGTCCATGTTCGTGGCCAGGAAGATGGCCCCCCGCCGGATGTACTGGAACGCATAGCACATCTTGAGGTAGTTGAAGTGGAAGTCCAGGCCCACCAGCACCACGCCCACCTCGGGATCGAGCGCCTTGGGGTCCCCTGCCGCCATGAGCTTGTAGTCCTCAGGCGTCACGTCTCGTCGGTAGGCCGGGTCTGTGCCGCCCAGGTACGGGATGCCCTCGGACTGGAGTTCGGTCTCGATGCCGGCCTCGCCCACCACGAAGACCTTCCTCTTTTCCTTCAGCTGGGGGTACGACTGGGGCAGGATCCGGGCAATGTAGATGGCGGCCGAGTACGACGAGCCAAACACCTCCTCGGCACTCGCGGGGATGCCCATGCCCTCGAGCTTTTTCTGGTAGTCTTGCCGCGACTTGGTGGAGTTGTTGGTCACGAAGACGACCTGCTTGCCCTTCTTGCGCAGCAGCTCCAGGCTCGACACGGCGCCGGGGAACAGGTGGTCTCCGGACCAGAGGACGCCGTCGCAGTCGATGAGGAAGACCTAGAGCGGACACATGCGCGTTAACAGGGGACATGCAGTGCACATGGCTGATTGCGATCCGCGGGCACGGACATCGAACCTGTCTATGAATTGACGGATTGCATCCTTGTTGCCTGCGATGTATGCAGGCGTGGTCATGTCTACGCCCCGCTGGTGGTCGCAGGAAGAGATCGAGCGAAGCAGGAAATCGGTTGGGCAAACAAAGCTTGACGACCAAACTACAGTAGATCGCAGTCTGTGGGCAATAGGTGAATGTCTACGCAGCTTATATCATTGAGAAAATATTGGGATTGGAGATGGAGGCAGTAAGTTTAACCCCGCACCTTTCTTTTCCTCACACCCTCTTCCTTTTGCCTAATGGTACCGAGTATATGATGCTGAGAACCGGGAAGATGTCATGGACGAGTTGGTTGGCTTGATCCTGTGTGTAACTTTTAGCTTGGGGAGACGGCTCACCGACAGGCTGCTTGGACTCGAGAGGCTGTCTCGCATGGAGCATCCAGTTGCTTGTCGTATCCCAGGTTCTCACTATTACTGGTCCTACTCTCTTTGGCACAGTTGCTGACTGTTCGTTCTGCACCGGCCAATGCCGTGTCACACAACAAGCTGCTCAGTCGACCAGGATGGTCTTCTCCAAAGCAGAATAATGCTGGAAAAAGCTGCTGAAAAGCCTGATCGCATGATGGACATCATCTGCACCGCCAGTCTCACGACAGCTGTGCATCGAAAGCTGCGGATTCCCAAGATCGAGTGTGCGAGCACCCAGGTGAGCCGACAGCATCGGGCCAATAGTGCTTCCACAGCTGGAGTCGTTGCGGACGACAAACAGCTGAAGCGGCACGCCCTCTGAGTCACTGTCGATGACTTTGGGCGCTTTCCGCGCAACCTCCTGAAGCAGCACAATACCAGGCGAGTTGGTGGCATATCTTGCGTTGGCATTGATTTTGATCACGGGCCCTTGATTCATCTCCGGTCGGTGGTCGGATTCATATTTGCCTCCATAGTTGGGATTGACCGAGTGAGCCATGTCTGCCGAGAGCAGGAACGAGCTTGATAGGGTTTGCTCGTAGGCAGTTGACAGCTCCGGATCGCTCGCGTGGTCATAAGACTCCTCTGAGTCGTCCCCCACAAATGATGAGGACGGCAGGACAGAGAGTCGGCGGATGATGGCGGGCAGCATCATGGAAAATGCTCCCTGGGCTGTCATACTGCCGATCTCCTCGTGGTCAAAACATGCAATGAGACGTATCGATGACTCGTCGTCGAGCGCAGATGCAGATTCTAACGAATTGATCAGGCCCATCGTCGCACAATAGGTCTGGTTCAGGTTATCCAGCCTCGCAGAAAAGATGAACTCGTCCGTAAGACCGCCCAGGCATGCCTTTTGTGTGTCGTAGAGCACAATCTCAAAATCGACAATCTCCTCAGCCGAGACGCCAGCATCGGCGGCAATCAGCTCAACGATATGAGGATGATGTCTTGTTGTCATGGCCTTCAAAGGAGTGAACGGCTTGTCTTGCTCCTCCTCTTCCGCGTCATTTTTACTCTTCTTCTCATCCTGACGTTTGAGCTCCGCCGCGACGAGACCCGCAATGGGAAAGAGCTGAGTTTCTTTATTAAAGGAGAACGTCTCCTGCCGATCGAGGTGGACAGCAAGGGTGGGAATGCGCAGGATGGGCTTCTTGATGTGAACCAATTTTTGAACGACATTGCCATCAGTCCCTCTGACCATGACTCTTCCGGCGACGCCCAAATCGCGATCGAACCAAGTATGCCACAGGCCACCTCCATATGTTTCGACACCCACCTGGAGAAAGCCGTCGCCCTGTCTCTTACTCACGGGCTTGATGCGCAGACATGGGGAATCGGTATGGGCGCCAACCATGGAAATGGGATTGCCGGGCTTCCACTTCTTGCCGATTGCAAATGCGACGATGGTCGATCCATTTCGAGTGAGGAAGTATTTACCTCCAGGGAGGCACGTCGAGGACCAAGAATCTTTCTCCTGTTCACATGATTAAGATGGGCAGAAGAACCACCTCTGGACTATACTGACCTTGATCTGCTTGAATCCCACCGAGATTAGTCGTTCCTTGACGGACTTCACAGCATGGAAGGGCGTGGGAGATGCATTGACAAAGTCAAGGAAGTCGGTGGCCGCGGTTTTGACATTGACGCCAGCCATGGCTGAGTAGAATCTGGCAGTTGATGGGGCCTTGAGAAGGATGACTCGCTGAAGCATGCGCACTGATACGAGGTGGTTTTTGGTGACAGCCTCAAGACCAACTACCTCCTGCGGATCATGATTCTGGGGAAGGCGTTTACGAGGATGAGATGGCCCAAGCTCCCAGTTTCACTGGTGGGTTGATAATCTGCACGCCTTGCAGGTGCCAATCGCACCGAGCTGAGCCAGGTCAAGGTTAGGGGGGAGTTTCTTATCCACCTGAAACACGACTCTGGTCGAATCAATCTTGTGCCCGCAAGGGATTCTCAAACAGAGGGTGACTACAAGGGGAAGATCCGAAAGGGGGGAAACTCTGAGACCATGATACAATGGCAATAACAATAATGACGGCGCTCCCCTTGCCGCCCAAACACAAAGACACGCGAATGTTGACCGCGTGCAGGGTCACCGTTGTGGCCGTGTAAAGTGTTTTTGTTGATGGCATGTCTTGTCTTCCAGGAAACTAGTTCCGGTTGGAGAGGTTGCCCTTGATAATGCCTATGTAGGGACAATGGGAACTTCCTGGCATGTATCAATCAATCCAGTATACGAGGTATTCTGTGCCTTCTCTCGGTACCTACAGTCACGTGTGAACAGGGGAGTATATAGGAGCTCTGTCTGCATAATAACACAATAAAAGTACCTCGTACATGGGCATGAGCAACGGGCACCCCGGGGCGGTCCATGGCGAAAGCACCCCCTAGCCCTGGACGGAGTACCCTGGGAGCGTCCCCCATTAGTTGACCCAAAGCCCAGTAAAATCCCGATCTGGGCAACGCGCTTGGGGGGCAGCCGCTTGGCAGGATCCAGAAGCGGCGGACGCTGCGACTGGCCAGTCCCTGTCCCTGATTCCCTGGACGTCCGCATTCATCCTCATGTCAAGTCCAATTCACAGATTGCGCACTTGAACACCCCCATTACGACCCATTGCCATCTACAACATTCACCATCTGCAGGCCGCTGCCTTAAGATCTACTTCACGATGCTTGGTATTTAGTTGGACCACGAACCTCCCCCTCTTTCGCGATCCGCGCAGAGAGACAATCGGCTCCGGGGGCGACAAAACAGTAACGGGTCGCGACTGCGGAGGCCATCAACACTTTCACCACCGACATTAGTATCTTCTTAGAGCTCTATTGTCCTCTGTTCTACCTCACCTCACATGCCCGTCACCTTGGTGATTCACGGCAACAACAATAATCCGAGAATAACACAAACACACAAATCGCACCTCCCCACTGCCTTCTCACAACACACTCACCATGAAGGACAATTCTACAGCTTCCCTCGTGGTTGATACAACCGACCGTCCCACAACTCCGACACTACCAACCCCTCTTGGATCCAAGACTCCGCCGACAATATCTTCGAAGCGCTTCGGACACAACGACGAAGGCATGTCCGCCATCCAACGAGCCACCGAGGCCATGGAAGCCGACGCCCTGAACCGGAGGTTAAAAGAAATCGAGAATGCGGGAAGGCCGCGGGACAGAACGCCAGGTCGCAGTCCTAGCCGTAAGAGACAGCGGATATATGGGGATCGGTGAGTTGTCCAGAGACCCTGACGGTCGCCACAGTGAAACTGATGGTGCGCTTAGATTCATACCGAACCGCGATGGACAAGACCTCCAAGCAAGCTACAGCTTGTTGCATGACGATGCCTCGCCCGCGACGCCTTCAAGATCAAAGAAGAAGACCCCTCATGGCGAACTACACTTTCAGCGAACGGAAGAAGCGAACAGGACATATTCCAAGGTCCTGCGCAACGAGCTGATGGGCGATTCAGTCCCGCAAGACTACAGGTCTTTGTCCCCGGATGAATTGTTTGGCCGACGACAAACCCCGCCAGGCCAACCATCGATATCAGCCATGCCTCCTGCTTCCATCACCCCTACCACCCCTCACAAGAATATGTTCTCCTACAAGTCCCCTCAGAAGGTGATCGGCTCAGGCCATCCCACTCCCTCGTCTCGGGCGGGAAAACATCCAGGGATTATCAATCTCAACGCGAGATCCGATTTGTACTCCATATCACCCATCAACTACTCATCACAGTCCATCTTGCAGACGCCGCGGAAGCAACCTCGACCAATTGCCAAAGTCCCCTACAAAGTGCTGGACGCTCCTGAGTTAGCGGATGACTTTTACCTGAATTTGGTGGACTGGGGATCGGCGAACATCCTTGGTGTAGGGCTCGGATCATGTGTCTACATGTGGAACAGTGCTACTGGCAAAGTCACACAGTTATGCAAGTTGCCTGACAATGACCTGGTGACATCTGTGGCGTGGATCCAGCGAGGATCACACCTGGCGATTGGTACACACAAGGGATTCGTTCAGATCTACGATGCGGAAAAGTCAAGAAGACTGCGGACTATGACCGGCCACTCGGCGCGGGTGGGAGCGTTAGCATGGAACGACCACATCTTGACCTCGGGCTCGAGGGATCGACTGATATATCATCGTGATGTTCGCAGCCCAGATCAGTATCTGCGGAGGTTGGCAGGTCACAAGCAAGAAGTGTGTGGTCTACGATGGAACACGGAAGATGGTCAGCTCGCCTCAGGCGGCAACGACAACAAGTTGTGCGTTTGGGACAAGCTCTCCGAAACACCTTTGTACCGGTTCTCGAACCATGTCGCGGCCGTCAAGGCGATTGCTTGGAGCCCGCATCAACACCACCTGTTGGCTTCGGGTGGCGGAACAGCAGATCGCTCGATCAAATTCTGGAACACCGCAAACGGGTCTCTCATCAAGGAGGTTGACACAGGAAGTCAAGTGTGCAATCTCGCCTGGAGCAAGAACAGTGACGAAATCGTCAGTACCCATGGCTATAGCCAGAACCAGATCGTGGTGTGGAAGTATCCCAAGATGGAGCAGGTTGTCAGTCTGACCGGACATACCTTCCGTGTCCTTTACTTGAGCACGAGCCCAGACGGGACAACTGTGGTCACTGGGGCGGGAGACGAGACGCTTCGGTTCTGGAGGGTGTTTGGCAAGAAGGGGAACGAAGGGAGAAACAGTGACGGCATTGCTGGACGGTTGGGCGACTGGGGCGCGATTCGATGATCGAACCACACATGTGTCCGCTGTCCGACCTTTACGACTTTCATGCCCGACATTAATACACACGAACCGAAATCTTTCCCCACCGAGATGAACTCCTTGACGAAGTCGAATTGGAACGACTCAAATGCGCCACCGTCGTAACGAACCCAACGTTGTACAGCAGACAGCTTTATGCCCTTGAACTCTCGAGCTAATTTCCGTGGAGGGATTGGGCTTCGCTGATGATTATATTGATTTTTATTGGCGAGTATGAAGGCCATTTCAGATCCAGGACCAGGACCAGCACGCGACCGATCTTGCCCCGAGCTGCGGTATCATGAAACTTGACCACGATCTCACGGTGGAAGCTTTTGGTGCGGGAGATCTTGTGGCAGATGTCGGAGTCTGCGTTGGCTTCACGAACTAGCTTGAGCGAGTTGGAATTGCGTTGATATTTTTGCAAGCGCGGCGCTCATGGTGGATCCGCATCATAGGTCAAGCGATTTATATGGTTGGGAAAGCAGGCGTTCTCCAATCTTGAGATTACGCTCCTCAGGATGTCCTCCAGGATCGAGGCACAAATGGCTGATCTTTCCTGTAAGGAGGCCACTGCAGATAACAAGGACCGAGCTGAGAGAATCAAAACTGAGTTGAGTCAACGGAGCATCTCCCCAGGAGCCATTTCTTCGCCATAATAATGGACCCAGTGTCCTCCAACCCATGTGTAGCCAGGGGCCCGTCACTAGGTTCGTGTTGAGTTGTTCAAGTACAAGTACACACACATGTATATAAATACCTTCTCCGGGACACCACCCTGTGTGAATCAAAATATATCGGGGTCGGGTCCAAGATGTCAAGCAGAATAGATCCCGGATGACGAGGGGGCGGGCAGGCTTTCGTACACAGATAGATGAAAAAGGTACGTAGAGGTAGAGTAAATCTAGAGATGGATAGGTAGATGGATATACCTTAGGGTAAGATTGTGAGGAAATGAAGTAAACTGCTGCATTTTGAAGATATGGAAGGCCTGGATGGGTATGTAATATGAGTAAAGTATGTATGTTGTTATGTGTTATGTGGCCCTGATCAAAGTGTATTCCTTATTCAATTTTGTACTCGGTACTTATTATAAGCAAGCACCAGTTCGCGAACAAGCAAGCAAGCATGGGCCAGAAAGAGAAGGCTGAGCTCCCCTGGCAAAAGCAAATATGTATTCTCATATTATTTGAGGGAAGTCGCAATCTCGGCGCGAAGAAACCGAAGGGCATTTCTTTGCTTTTTCTCTCCTCTCCTCTCCTCTCGGAAAAGGCACAGTTTGGCTCACATCCCAGAGACTCCATTTTCAATTTCCCTTGCCTAACCTAGTAATCGACCGCTTGCTCATGTCTCCTCCGTGTTCTATCGGCGGCCGTACTCTGTCGCTACACTGTAGACCCCAAAAAAAAACCACAGTCGCCATGAATTTTCTTCTGAAAAAAAAAGGGGTTGATCCAATATGAAACTACATTAACATCGCCTATCTTGATTGAGGGCCACTTGCCCAGACGTCGCTGGATGAGACGTGCCAGTCATCACAACACCAATTTGCCTGGCTCGACTTGCAGGATTGTCTTGACTCTTTCCAGAAACGTGCGTGCCCGCCGCTCTTCGCCCACGGGCACCGTCAGGCTGAACACATTCAAGGCACCTTCTGCCGTGCTTAGGGTACGGCCTGGTATCGACGCCGAAGCCGTGGAGAAAGGGGCCGCTCTCTTGGGCGTGACTTTGCCGGATAGGATATCGATGATGTCAATCTTCTTTGCCGTAGAGGTGGAAACGCGAGGGGAGCGTGAGAGTGACGTGGACTGGGATGTCCTGGGCGGAAGAACGGGAAATGCGTCGATCTGTGGGAGATATGTCCCTCGAGACGTGGTGGGTATCGTGTCCAATCCGAGGACGGCGTTGAAGAGGTCATCTGCCGACGGCTTCGCATTCGTGGGTTGAGGCAAGTCATCGTTGGCGAGGTCAACGGCACGGGCGAGGAAAGTCGATAGAGGCACAGTCACGCCCAAGGTGTCTTTTATGCGTTTTTGCACCTTCAGTACTTCGGCGAGGGAGATGGTGATGCTGACACTGGTGACTTGCGGGATGATCTCTTCAGGTACTGCGGCGGCAGCTCCGGTAGGTTTCACGGCGGTCTTGGGGGTGGTAGGTAGGAGCTTGATGTTGCTCAGGTCGAGATGCGCCATATGCTCGATGCGCTTGGATTGTTTGGCGGAGTAATCTGAATCAATGGTTCCCAAATATGCGAGGACGTCCCCTTTCAGCAGTCTTCCATTCGGCCCAGTAGCGGGGATTTTGGCGACATCGTCGTCGGAGATGTGGTTCTCGTGGATGAGAGCTATCACCGAAGGATAGAGCGGATATTTGGGATTCTGGCCCGGCCCCGTTGGACTTGTTTTCGGCTTGTCCTTCGCCGGTCTCTGGTTTTGCGGTGTGCCCGGTGTCTCCTTTTCAGCTCCGGAGGTCTCGTACTTCGAATCGGCCCCGCCCTTCACATTATCTGCTTCCGACTGCACCGGCTTCGAGTCGTCCGGGGGGATTTCGAGGCTGGAGACGTCGTCCCCCGGATCACCAAGGACAGCTATCCTCGTGCCGACTTTGACTGCTTTGGAGCCGTCACCTTGCAGGATCTTGGCCATGACGCCGTCGTCCTGGGCTTCCACATCCATCGAAGCCTTGTCGGTCTCGATTTCCAGGAGGATATCCCCTGCGGCGAAGGAGTCGCCCTCTTTGACTTTCCAACTCGAGATGTTGCCTTCGGTCATTGTCGGGGACATAGCGGGCATGGTGAAGTTATGGGCTGCCAGGGACGAAGGGGCGTGGGAAAATGCTCTCCGAGCGTGGTGTTGGGAGTGTGAAAAGGAGGAGCATTGGGACGAGGTGACCTGGCGGGCCAGAAGCCGGACTGACTGTCGGCCAGCCATAGCGAGAGGGATATTGCGTCTCGTCCAAAGCGAAGGCAAAGGGAGAGATGAGCTCCAAGGGGGCTATGGGGGGGTTCAACCGAGAGGCGGCGGGCAGCGTTCGAAGGAGTTTTGATGGTACAGGTCGACCTGATTGAGGAAAACGGGCGAATTGTTGAGGAACGAGCTTCATCGGAGCTTGTTGCGGAGTGTCGACTTGGGCAATCAACCCTTGCCGCTTTTAGCGGATAGGTCTCTACGTCGGGGCTCAACCTCTTCTCAGCTACGATATACAACCTCATTCCACACCCACTATAGTCACTCGTGACAATGCAACGTAACAAGTCTCGACGGGCGGGAGAAAGGGATTCGAGAGACCCTGGCTCTTGCTACAGCCTCCGCTCTTCATGTCCCGGTGCCTTTACCGCATCCCATTCTTCCTAACCAGGCTTGTATACGAAGCCTTCTGTCAGCCTGGTATCGCGGGCAGAACAGACTTGAAAAACGTATCCATTCACGAGTCCCCAAACAGACCAAACCGGTAAACAAATGCATGCTTCCAACAAGCTGACTGCTCAAGACTTGTGGAGGAAACTTTGGCACTATACCCGTCCTTGACCTTCGTATTCACGGAATACGAAGTTTCGCACACTTCCTTGTATTTCCCCCGCGCTCTGAGGCGCACATGCTGCTTAAGTCATTCACAGATAGCCCGATCGAGAAAGAGTCTTCTGTAAGATGGTGATGCACCCGAGGTATCAGAGGATCAAGCCCAACCTCTGACCGACTGATAGCAATATTAGTCCACCACACGTCGTCCCATAGGGAAACTGCTTTGGAGTCAACACGTCGCTTTGCTCTGCGGCAACAGTGAACAAGCATTCTACGTAGGCTCGCTTCTGCCTGCTGAAGATAACCAACTTGTTCTGCCAGCCGCAGCATCTTGTCTATAAAGGTAAGCCTTGGACCTGCAAATTGATGTCGTTGCTCTTTCGAAGTTGCCTCGACCACCAAACTTATATACACTCTTCCTTACCAACGTTACCATCAGATTACATACGCCTCAATCATGAAGGGAGTAGTCTTTGCAAACGCCGGCGCCGAGCCCAAGATCGTCGACGACCTTGAGAAGCCGTCTCCAGGTCCAGATCAACTGCTGGTCAAGTCCATCTGGGTAGCTATCAACCCCGTGTAGGTCGCCCTAGCTCGCAAACTCCTTTCGTCGGCTGACCAGTTTGCTACAGTGACAGTTTCATGGCCACCTATGGTCTTCTCGTGGTCGACTGGCCTCTTGTGCTCGGCGTCGACGCAGCCGGGGTTGTGATCGAGGCGGGGAGTGAGGCAGCATCCAAATATGGATTCAAAGCAGGGGATCATGTTTTCGGGTGCACCAGACTTGGTATGTCGGGATATGCTGCTGGTCAAGAGTACTTCTTGATGGACGCACCCGTCACCATTCCCAAGCCAAAGAACATCTCCCTGCTCGAGGCTGTCACGCTGGGAGTGGGCACCGAAACAGCTTGTTTGGCCTTGTTCGGCGATCTCGGTGTCCCTCTCCCTGACCCGAAGAACCTACCTGCCCCCCGGGACGAATGGATCATCATCTTGGGAGGCGCCAGCAGTGTTGGCAAATGTGCAATCCAGCTGGCCAAGGCAAGTGGTTACAAAGTCGTTGCCTCTTGTTCAGCCAAGTCGGCAGCCGAGGTGAAGGGCTTGGGGGCTGTGACATTCGACTACAAGAAGCCCATTGAGGAACAGGTCAAGGAGGTCGTGGACATAACCTCCGGCGAAATTTCCCGGATCTTTGATGCCGTTGCGGCAGACGACCCAGTCACGGCCAAAGAATTGTTCAAGGCATCCAAAAGCGATGGCAGGTTCTTTGCGACCACAAATGATTGGAGTGGAATCGGTGACTTTGAAGGAGCGAAAACCCATGCCGTCAAACTTGGCGGCGTGGGTCGCCCCGACGCGGCAGCGGTGAACAAGAAGATTGAGGCATATGTTCCCGTCATCACTGCCTTGATCGAGGCGGGTAAGCTGGTCCCGGCCGAATATGAAGACATCGGCACCGGTTTTGAGGCCGCTATCAAGGCATATGAGCACCAGCGCTCCGGGGCCGGGGGGTCGCGAAAAGTCGTGGTCAAAATTCAAGATGAGTGAAGATGAGCCGTAGCCCCAAACAATCATGAAACTGTTACGTTTTGGTCGGATGGACCCGGGTGCTGTTTGAAAAGGACGCACTCGTGGTGCCATGCAATATCCAACTTCGCTGCGGAGGTGCTGAAGAGCACATTAGTTCTTGCCGTGCTGTGACTTGTAAGGAGGAGCGGTGACCGTGGGCTTGACCGAGTCGATCGGACCACTATCAGAGTGAGGCTGTTAGCCTTGGTTTGGGCACCAATACTGGTAATGTCGCCACCCAAGGACGTCGGGAGTAAAAGTACTATGCTGCGACCCTATCGTTGCTCTGCGACGACGACGATTTCATGCGACAACAGAGTAGAACAGTCTTGTCGCCCGTGTGGGTGTGAAGGGAGAGGAGCCAGCACACAATGCTTCGCACTAGCAGCGAACGAGTAACAGAATCCCCCCGTTTCTCGCCCACTAACCCACGCAGGGAACAACATTGCCAAAGCAATGCGTTGGGATGTTACTCTGTTCCTCCGCGGCTGCATTAAGAATTTCTTTCTTCCACATCTCCCTGAGGACTGGTTAGCTGCGTTTGCCATGCGTCGTTGTTCCTGGTAAGTCGAGGTGGTGTTGCTCAATTGACGACACACTATCACCGAGCGGGCCCGCATAGGATCCCCCTAAAGGGACGTCCAGATGGATATTTTTGCACTGACAAGCGACGGGCCGAGTGATGCAGTTGCACGACCCGTCTCGGATACAGCGAGCACTCGGGCATTTGTGTTGAGAACGAACCTCGGGGGCTGTCGGACCCAGTGCCACCTGAAAGACGGCAGCGTGCATTGGATGGACGCTGTGCAGTTATCTCGGTCCTGGCCCTGGTCGGCGATTCGGGGTAGCATTATCCTTCCCAACCCAAGGGGCGATATTCCTGATGGCAGACGTGATGGAAGATCCTTACTGTGTAAGTTGACACCAGTTAGTCGGGTTCGCCTCATTTTGGGGAGATGTGAGGTCAGGTACCAGTTATATAGCAACTTCAGGGAAGGATTGACTGAGTGATGGAGAAGCTCACATAGCGGGACAGCGTAGGTAGCGAGCCTGATCGGCCACCAGGGCGCCACAGAAGTCAATTCGCCTGAGCCTTGAGCAACAGTGCGGAGCAGGGGGGGAGGTTTGTAAGGCTGCTCATTGGCAAGCTGCAAGTTTGGTGCTCATTAGGGTCTGTTGGCCCAACCACCAAAGCACAAAATGCACCAATTGTGAGAGCAAACTTGGGCAACTCCAGGATGGAGGTGACGAGGGTCCCACTCTTGTCGAGCCCAAGGCTGCGTCTGCTGTTCAAAGCATGCCAAATGGATGTTTGTCTTTCTGTAACCCGGCGATGCACATCCGATCCAGAGACTTCAGCGAGCACAAATTGCAGTTCCAATGAGAACAGGTCCGTGAGCGGACAATAGCACCCCCCCTGGCGCACGGTTCGTAATCTCCGACCGAGAGGCACTCAGCACGGATGAGGCAAGGCGGTCGAACCCCATCGCTGTCCCTGGGGGTTCAGGGGAATGGCTATATCCGAAAATCAGACATTGCTCCAGTCAATCCCCAACACCTTGTCCCCCGAAACAAACATGAGGCTTACCTAGTGCCAGCTCTGCCGCTGTCTCCATCACACGACCCAGGCATCCCGATGTGCAGTTAGTTGTGCAGGTGTGGCTTCCTTTGCCTCAAAAAGCAACCCTGCTTTGTTGGTGTCTGTTGTTGGCTGGGGGTGGAAGTGTGCAAAGTGACAAGTGACAGGACTGAGAAGGGGAGAGAAGAAGAACCGCAGCAAACGAACGCATTCCTGTATGCTCTCCCACGCTTACTACCCTACATCTCCCTCCCACACCCATTTATTTTTCTTGTCTGTTTCTCTCTAATAGTGCAGACAGCCGGTATTCGTTCGTGATTCCCTCCCACGTTTCTCAGAATCAAGGCAAGGGATTTGTCCATTCGCCTGGGCAACCCACGTCTGCCACCCCAACGCTCCCAACACTATTCGTTCACCCGCGCATTGTCATACTGAGGACGCCCTTTCCCAGACTCGCACAGTGAGGCGCCAGAATCCAACATTGCTGGCTCTGTCCCACTCCCTCCACCTCTCCCACCCCCCTTCCAGTCACTCGAGCGTTGCCCGCCCCTGCCAGACTCCAGCTTGCACAATCAAACTTGTCGAAACCATGCGCCAATGGCAGTAAAGAGTCGAGAGTCCGGGGCACGAGCTTCGCATGAAGAAGGATCCAGAGGAATGCGACGAAGACGGCGTCGGTAACAAGATGGCCGGAGACAAACAAGATGCTCGGGGAGCCTCGGAACGGGTCAGAAACATCCAGAAATATCAAGCTGCAACCGCCAAAGACGACGTGGCCGCGCCGTCCTCGCTGTCGTCCACACCCTCCTCCGCCGAACCCAAGATGCCTGGGCGTGCTGAGTGCGGTTCGCCCAAATGGGACATCAAGACCGAAGAACGGCATGACGAGCCTCGATCTACAGACTCGTCCTTGGACGAGCCCTCAGAGACTCGGACGGAGGCTTCCCAGGAGACCGAACCTTTGTCCTGCCAAGAGTTGCGATCCTCTCCGTGCGAACACTCGTGCTTCGGCGACCATGATGCTGAAGACTCGATCGCCATTCCTCCTTGCATCAGCGAAGCTGAAGTGGACGCTCTTGTCGGAGCCTCTCCTCATCCGCCTGTGACAAAGGAAACATTGGAAGAGCTCGAACTGGTTTACATACAGTCGAACATCAACCTGCGCATTGATATCAACTTCGACCATGATCTCCATTTCACCCCCATTTCTGGGGAGAAGGGAGAGCTCAAGAAGAAGCATGCGAGAAGATACTGGGATGGGCTAGAGGCTGAGTTGAAGATAGTCTACCAACATGAGCCCCTGGGCTCGTGTACTGAGTGTGATTGGAAGCGCTCTTCGAGCTCCGGGAAGCCGGTGCTTTTCAAGCGAAGGCTGCCTCTCTTGTTTCGGAAGCTGAAAGAGTTGCTTGTGATTCTAATCCCGGACAGGGACCAGTACCAGATCAGTCAGTATCTTGACGTCCCTCTGCTTCTGCAAGAGGTGTCTCATGGCCTGCTAGACATTGTCCGCTTGGCTCAATGGCTGGATGGGCTCCTCACGAGCCATTGTGCCCCAATGAGAGACGTCTATGCACATGAGATGGCTGAACAAATAGGACAAGGTGCAGAGACGGGGGACCTGCACGCTCTCGTCATTGGTATTGAAAAGCTGTTTCAGTTTCTGGAAGCAATGAAACTGGATGTCGCTAATCACCAGATCAGAAGTTTCCGGTACCTCTTGATCGATGACACTGTCACGTTCCAGCAAGATTATTTCAAGTCGCGCATCAGGCAGGGTGAGCTTCAGACCGAAGAGTCTCGAGCATGGTACTGTGATGCCCTTGAGAAGCACCGACAGTGTCAGCTTGATAGCAAAAAAGCAAGCATACCTCCGACCGCTGCCTTGGTGCATGGGATACTCGAACTCTGCCTTTGCCATGATCTGGAGCTTCCCGCAACTCTGGCGTACGATCACAAGCGCCTCAAAGAGATCCGGATGGACTTTCAAGACACGATACATCTCGACATCTGTCTATCAGTCTTTGATCAGGTACTTCGAGAGTTACTGGGTCACCATCCAACCTCTACCTGGCAGGGTGTCATGGAGGTCCGCGTATCGGAGATGCACATGCTCCTGCGGAACAGAATCATGGATCTCACCGACGGCGATCTCGAGGGAACTCCTATGCAGGAAATCTGGATGCGACATGCCAGCGCCGTGGCTCTTGAGCTGGCTCGTGCTGCGATCCTCATGTGGCCCGGCTCCACGTTTGCCATACCCGATGCCATGGTCATCAAGACGACTGCAAGATTGGTCGCCCAGTTTGAGGCCGAACATCGAAACCAGCATCACGCAAGGGCAGTCTTACGTGTACTCGAAGGATCGACGAACGATCAGATGAGCAAATTCCAGAACATGACCATATTGGCCATCTCGCAAGCGCAGAAGCAGTGGCAACAAGACCGAGCCTCGAGGCAACAATGGCGCTCTCTCCCCGAAATTGAAGATATTGCAAGAAGAGTTGCACATATTGCGACGGTGCATTGGCGGGTTTGGGCGGACCTTGTTTATCTGGAGTCTTCAGACGGACACGGGGATTTCGTTAAGGAGAATGACAGTGTTTCTGAGCAAGGGGATCAGGATATCATCACGGGCAGTCCGATGGCCCATGTACAACAACAACAACAACAACAACAACAACAACATTGTTTTGAAGAGGAGGAGGAGGAGGAGCAAGAAGGCGAAGAGGAAGAGGAAGATACCCCTTTTCATTCCACGTGATCTCTTCAGGCGTTGGTGCGTTCACAGGATATTCTGGTCAGGATTGAAAGAGGGTTCCAGGATCTGTAGCTTCCTCAAGGCTACGAAGGGCATGGCTTTCAACTAGGACATTGAGGGGGCAAGTCGGACGGAAAAGTTGACTGTTTGGCGAGCTATACAACTAATGTGTTTGGGTTTCGGGTCAATCGTTTACTTCGGAATTCTTTTCACCTACATCATAGCCTCCTTTTTTTCTTGGAGAAGACCCTACCTACTCTGCATCTCACTTCTCTCCCCACCTAGAAAGGAAAGCAAGCAGCTTCGGCGAAAAGGCCGCCGCCGGCCAGTCGGTCGGGCGAGTAGGCGCCGGGGTACGCTGTGTGCCTGTGCGGGCGAGTGAGCACCTGCAAGTTAGCATTCCATTGCGCTTCATTGCTCCATTTGTTGGAGGACCTTTGGTCTCCACCTCCTGGCTGGCGGGCATCTATCCCATCCAGACGATTTGCTAGAACTCTCCCCTCATTGTCCTTTGTTTTTGGCTTGTCGCCTTGGGCATTAGGTATGATGGTGACCCATCCCTCCTCCGCTCGGCTGTGACACAGAGTCCCAAGAAGAAGCTTTCCCCAATAACCGACGGTTGCCGACGAAGGGAGAGGTAGAAGTAGGACCGGTGGATATGTATGGATGGTGGAGGAGGAGGAGGAGAAGGGCAGAAGTACCCGCCGTATCAATCAATCAATCAAGCAATACCCAAATCCATCAGACGCTTGTTTCGGGTCGAAAGAGCTCTTCCAATTCGCAAACAAAACGAATTCAATCCCAGCTTGCCCGCTCAAATCGGCTCTGTTGACCGACCACGCCCGCCCGTGTCAAAGGGTGTCAGATGTTTTGATCAATCCTGCTGCTTGTTATTTTCTCTCTTTATCTTTCCTCTCCTTGCCTTTTAGGTCTGCTCTTCTTTCGCTGTTGGCGACTAGTTCCGTCTTTTGCTCCTCGTCGTGTTCACGTCTATAAGATTGATATATGTCACATATATTATATCACGGTCATACCCTACTATAGACGCTCGGACTAACTACTTCACACTCCTTGACGAGAGGAGAAAGAGTTGTTGGAGAACGGGAGACCCCCTTTTCTGCGGCCCGTGGGAAAATATCAGCCACGGGGCAACAAGATTGACGAACCAGAAGATTGATCCCGAATAAGGGGAGCTTCTAGACATGAGTTGCCCAAAGGAGGACGAGCAGCAGCAGCAGTCTTGTGGGTCGTGTGATGGACACCATCATGCTGGCGGCTCCGTGCCGGACATGGAAGACTACAAACTTGAACTCGAAAGCCTCCGCAAACGGACCCAGGAACTCGAGCTGAAGCTGTCCAAAGCTGGAGGGAGCACCGCGGCCCGAAAGCTGCGGTCTGGGAATTGGTTCAACTGTCCCGAAAACCCGGAGATGATGGCCCTGTATACGGACCGCTTCCTCAATTACGGCTTGACGACATCGGAACTAAACACTGGCAAACCCATCATTGGCATCGCTCAGTCCGGGAGCGACATCGCCCCCTGTAACCGACACCATCTCGAACTAGCCAAACGAGTCCGAGAAGGCATTCGCTCTGCCGGTGGCATCGCATTCGAGTTTCCCACGCACCCGATCCAGGAATCGGTGAGACGGCCTACAGCGACGTTGGATCGCAATTTGCTGTATCTAGGACTTGTCGAGATCCTGCATGCGTATCCCCTGGACGGCGTGGTGCTTTTGACTGGCTGTGACAAGACGACCCCGGCAATGCTCATGGCCGCCGCTACTGTCAACATCCCCGCCATCTGTCTCAATGTCGGTCCCATGCTGAACGGTCGCCTTCAGGGCTCGCAAGACAGAATTGGCTCGGGGACGATTTTGTGGAAGGCTCGGGACCTGCATGCTGCAGGGAAGATTGACGATGACATGATGGTGGAGATGATCGCAGCTGGAACGCCCTCAGCAGGCCATTGTAACACCATGGGCACGGCATCAACCATGAATGCCCTGGCTGAGGCACTCGGCATGGCTCTACCAGGCTCTTCAGCCATTCCAGCCCCGTATCGGGAGCGTGCCCAATGTGCGTATAGGACTGGTAGGCAGATTGTGGAGATGGTACACGCTGATCGGAAGCCAAGCGACATCATGACGAGGGAAGCATTTGAAAACGCCATTGTCGTGAACAGCGCTATCGGAGGGAGCACCAACGCGCCCATCCATCTGAATGCTGTGGCAAAACATATCGGTGTCCCCCTTGATTTGAATGACTGGGATAGGATTGGACTTGACATCCCTTTACTGGTGAACGTGCAACCTGCCGGCGAGATGTTGTGCGAGGAGTACTATAAAGCTGGCGGGCTTCAAGCAGTCATGGCCGAACTTTTGGATCAAGGTAAACTCCAGCCAACAGCGCTGACTTGTAACGGCAAGACCGTAAAGGAGAATGTGGACGGCAAGCACTCTTGGGACAAACAGACCATCAAGCCGTACCTTGAACCGCTGAAACAGCGGGCAGGCTTCCTTCACATGACAGGGAATCTGTTTGATTCCGCCATCATGAAGACCTCTGTGATCTCCGACGATTTTCGGCGCGAGTTCTTGGAAGATCCCAAGGATCCCAATGCATTTGAGTGTAAGGCTGTGGTTTTCGATGGACGAGAGGATTTCATCAACCGCATCGACGATCCCAAGACCCCGGTCGATAAGAGGACGATTTTGGTGATGCGTGGCGCTGGACCACTTGGATATCGTAAGTACTCCTTGCCCTCTGTTCGACAAGATCAAGTCAATTCCCAGGGTCCTTTGCCGCTCCGTAGCCTGTATGCGAGCCAGAGACTTTGGCCTCGGGTTGTCTCGAATACCGATGCTAATTTTTCATTCCAGCCGGTGCGGCGGAGGTAGTCAACATGCATGCTCCAGGCCACGTCTTGAAACAAGGAGTCAGCTCGTTGCCATGTATTGGGGATGGAAGACAGTCTGGCACGTCAGGTTCGCCGTCAATTCTGAACGCCAGTCCTGAAGCCGCCGCAGGCGGTAACCTGGCACTACTTAGGGATGGAGATGTCTTGAGGGTCGACTTGAACAAGCGACTTGTCCAGATCTTGATATCTGAGGATGAGTTGAAGAAGCGACGGCAGGACTTGGAGGCGAAGGGGGGATATTCGATTCCAGAGTCTCAGACGCCCTGGCAGGATATCTTTCGCCGCGAGACTGGACAGCTCAATGAAGGGATGATCCTGCGGAATGCTCCTAAGTTTCAGCGCGTGGCGCAGAAATGGCCGGCTCCTCTACATAACCACTGACAAGCTGGATGCTGGCTGATTCGTTAGAAGGTGGCTAGGTCGTGTACCAGGCCACTCCCAATATCTCCTCCACCACACCGCTGGGACTAAGGCGAGAACAGGCGCCGTCGACTTTGGCTTGACATGTTATACTGTTCGCGCGGTATCGTGCAAAATAAGTTCGCATAGACCTGTCCCGGTACGGATCACCAGTTCTCCCAGATAACGTCCGGCAGCACTGTTCTCATAACCACCCAGTGACCCAACGCACTTTCTGCTTGCCATTTCTCGAGCTCCTTTGTCTGTCCACTTTTGAGAACGCCGCCTTCAGTGTCGAATTCGCTCGGGTCGATTTCATGCTTTGGTATCAAAAACTCTCGCCGAGCACCACTTCCCAGAAAATCTTGGGCCACGGGTCTTCGAAATGTAATCGGCCCTTTCTTCTTCCTGCAGAAGAACACCATGTTCGTGAAGTCGACCTGTTTGGCTCCAGGCGCAGGTGCCTCATCTTCCCGGAAAACGCGACAGGAAGGGAATACTGACACAATCGTCCTATAAATGAGAGAGGATGCAGGCATGGCGAGATCCCCTGCGTAATTGATGGCTATGACTCCATCTGGCTTCAAAAGCATATGCAACCCCGAGAGGAATTCCGTGGTGAAGAGTTCCACGGGTTCTGCTCCACCAGTGAAAACATCGTGGATGATGTAGTCATACGAGTCTGCCTCGGTCGAGTTCGCAGTAGTGACCGCGTGGACGGCATCCCCGATATAATAGCTATGGTTATGGGGAAAGTTGAAGTACTTGATCGCGAATTCGTGAACGACCGGATCAAGTTCCATGACGGTGGTATTCACCCCATGGTGGATCAAGGCAGATGGCGCAGTTCCAATTCCTAGCCCGATGTTCAGAGCGGTCTTATGTGGGCTCGTAGAGGTGCCCTCAACAAGACGGACTGCTTCAAGCATCACGAAGATGGAATAGATCGGTTCCGCGACCTTCCTCGGGGCTCTGTTTGGGGGCGGCATTTTCCATTCTCCGCCGAGGAGGCTGTGATCGCACCTCATGACGCGAAAACCTCGCTGGTTGTCCTCCAACACCGAAATATAGCCTGTAATGGACTCTTTTCGTTCCAGTAAAGTATAGTCGTAGAGAGCCAACGTGTTGTTGAGCACCTGCGTGGTTCGTAAAAGCGTGCAATGAGGATTTGCCACCATCGTAAAAGCAACTGCTGGAAGTGAGGGCCACAAGATGTTGTTCTGTAGAACCATCCCATATAGCGAAGCAACGACCAGCTGCATTCCAATCCGTGAAGTGAGGAAGCCATGCCCGAGGTGTGACGAGACAAACCCCTTGCAGGCTCTGTGGAGGACGGAGAAGAGCACGAACAATCCCATCGACGGCACAGCCTCTCCTAACGAGGAATCAGAACGGCTGGGGCTGAAGGTCTCGTCGAAGTCCTCGATCGCAAAGTAAGTGGACAACAACACAAGAGGATAACATGTCAAGAGCTCCGTGATCAGAGGACCCAAGGGGTTACCGAAAGTCGAACTGAATCGGAAGAGGAAGAATTGGATGCTGGGAATCCAGAAGCAGAAAGGAGTGATGAAGCGTGAGAGCCAGGCTGGAAGATAACCCCGAAGGGCAAAGGCGACCATGAAGGAGACAGTGAGGCCATATTGATGGTACAGGGCAGCTGGTATGTCTCCATAGACAGGCGATAGGTTTAACTGGGAGATGGGTGCATAGAGGGCGGCCAAAAGGACCAGTTGTAGAGCCCTTCGCACCCTTGTATCGAGCAATACTGCCATTAAGGATTTGGGATGCTTGACCGTCGAAATCGCCGCCGTGTCCGTCTGTGGTGGTGGAGGCATCGTAGGTTTGGGACAGGGCGTCGTGCTCTGTGTCTTAACATTGTTGGGCGGTCTTGCTCTCCTGGTCATAGCTGCTCCTATCAGCAGGATACCTGAGGCAAGGAAGAGATACTCTTCAGCTCAGAGAATATGAGATCAGGGGTTGACTGCACAGCTCGGGTGATGCCACTGGTGAGCAAGGAAGGGATGGTGAAAGTGAAGCTACGCAACATCAACATTCGCCGCTTTACTTGATTCGCTACACACCAACAACACCTTCAGACCACCAGTGTGTCCCCTTTTCCCGTCTCTCAGCCTTCTGCATGCACCGGGACTAAAACCCCATCAACAACTAAGCTGCCACAAGAAACAATGGGTTTGACCACCCTTGCAACGCCGGTTCCCTAGATCCAACACACGGAAATGTAACCCGCCGTCAAGTCGCACGCGCAAGAACATACAACCAACCCGTTGCGCAGATCCCGGGTATCAAAGCACCAAAAAAGCACGACCTCCTTCATATCAACCATGTTTTGATCAGCCAACAAGCACTTCAGGCAGGAACATCCTACCGCGAAGAAATGTACCTGAAACCCACATCCCATGCCGCCACTAGAAATACCCATGGACCGTTCCCCCGAAAACCGTCCCTGTCATCTCGTCGTGCAGCTCGTTCGAAATCGTCGGATTTTGTCCCCCGTCCCACATTCCCCCACTACATGTAATTAGGTATCGACAGCGTCCGGTCGCTGAGCATGATCAAGTCCATCTCCCATTAGGCCAACACGACCAGGCCCATAGCTGCGTCCGCCGGATCGCTGCTGAGAAGCCAGTCTCTCTTGTTGAACTTCCTGGCCTCTTTCTCCGCTTCAACGTCGACATCGAGCCCAAGGTCAATCCCGCTGTCGTCATGATTGCCGGTTGCGCGGTGCTTGACTGGACTGCTAAGGCCTGTGTGGAAGCTAGGCAGATCTAAAGGGCCGCCACGTCGTAATTCGTCCAGTTCTGCGTCGGTTTCATCGTCATCGATCTGCTGGCCCGCTTGCTGCTCGACACTGACTGCTGGAAGTGTAGGTGAGCCGGGACCCATTTCCACCTTCACCAACTTACGCGAGTCAGGTTCTGCTGGAGCGTTGGCGTCTGCATCAACATCCTGGACTGCCCTCTTTCTTTTAGTGCCACGAAAAAGTACGTCCGGATGAGTTTTGGTTTCCTCGCGCTTCTCTTGCTCCCTCTCGTCTGCAAGCTTCTGAATTTGTGAGTTCAGTAGCAGTCCTTCCATCTGCGTCATCCAGTCGAGCATTTGCGTGGTGAATGACTCAACGAACCACCATGATTGATAGCTGTGAGCACCACCTTGTCCCATTTGCGTCATGACACTCCTCCATAATCTTGTGTGCCAGTTGATCATGCATTGAGGGTGATGGCCGTCGAAAAGCTGGGGCAATCGCTCCAGCCAATTGATCCACCGCTCAAGCAAAGGAGTAGAGGCATCGCTGGATTCTGGGAGTAGTATGCCGTCGCAGGAGTCGGCATGGTCATTAATAAAGGTTGCGTATGCGCTAGCCGTGTCGTCCTCCGCTGCATGGACCAATGCATCGTCAATTGGATCGACAAGTGGTCTCATGTCGTGCTTCAGCATGCCCAGCATCTTCTCGAGACTTTCGGGCGGTGGCATGCTATCCTCGAGCAGGCGATCAGGATCGACAATGGACATCAGATCGAGCCACATCTGAGTTCTCTGTTGCGGATCCTCAAGCATTCGACTCAGTTGCAACGTCGCTGCATTGGCGCCCTTGAGCTTCTTCAGCACATGAACAAACCTGGCTGCAGGTACAATCTTCGCGACGATCACGTGAACAGGGCATTTTTCTTCGAAGGCCGTGATCAGGTGGTCGACCAGTTTCGATCCGATGCGATCGAACACGTTCCACACAACCTCGGGCACATTTTGTATTGCTAAGGGAGCGATGAATCGGACAATCTGTTTGTACATGCGCATATCGCATTCCTGGATCCAAGGAGCCAAACAGGGCATCGAAAACAATTTGGAGACCGGAACAGTCATCTTCCCATTGAAAGCGGAGTGATGGTTGAAAAACGGCTTCTCCTTGCATTTGCGGAAGGCGTCAATCACATCGATACAGTATGACCGATAGAGATGAAACAAGGCCTTGGCGATAGATGCGTCGTAATTTTCTCCCTCGAGGTAAGGTTGAATATCGGGAAAGTCGATAGGCGTATCTTGCGACGAAGGAGACGGCTGAGAAAGTGAATTGAGGGTTGGCATTCCCAGGTAAGTCGCCATGCTAGCAGGGAGATGTCCACGTATCGAAGGAAGCGACAAGACGACATTCATAGGCATGGACTTGACGGGGAAGCGGATGGTCGGCGTGTTGATATACCTGCAATCTAGCCGCTCCATTTGAGGCTCTACAGGCGTTGTCGTCTTATTCCCCGGCACGTCGGCTTCCTTGGATAAGAACGCAGCACTTGGAGCAGGAAAGTCGGCTGTCTCCATAGTTGCCCGGGACATAGGTCGGTCGAGGGGAGGAGTCACGTTGGATTTGAATAATTTGTTTGCTTCCTGGACCGATCCGTGCCTTTCATGCTGGCTGCCGCTCGATGTTCCAGGTCTTTCAGGGACAAGAGAATATTGTCGGTCGTCGTCATCCATGATTAGCGATAGATCCACGTAGTGATATTTCGATTCGCCCCGAACTCCTAATCTTCTTGTCTGAACATTGGGAAAGATGATGCGGACCAGTTTCCCGAATGATGCTGGATTTAGCGTTGGAACTCGCTCGTTACCACAGCGCTCGGTGTATCTCGTAAACACACGGTCACGACGTACGGAGTTGGAGGAACGCTGACAGTTTTCTTGAAGCCTACAACCATGAGCACGGAGCGCAGACTTCCTTAAATGAGAACTTACCAAAGCATAGCAAAGACTTGTTTTGCTTTCTCAGATTTTCCTCCGGCGCCTTCATTCTTTTGGACTTCCACAGCGACCTCTTTGAGACTTTTGCCTTGATACTGTGCTAGTAGTCGCCGCAGTTCTTGGTCGTTAGCCACGCTGGAAGCAGTACCCTTTCTTCTTTTGGCGCCACCATTTTCATTGTTTGAATCTTCGGGCGCAGGTGAGCCTTCGAACTGTTCAGAATGATGGCGCATGTGATGCATATGTTGAGGAGCGACAGCATATGGCAGTCCGTGAGGATACTGCATAGGATAGTGTTGGATCTCCTGGAACGCTTGTTGAGACATGGGACGCATCTCATGTGGTGGCAATCCCGTGTTGGGGTCAATCGGTTGTTGATGATGATGCGGAGGCATATTGTGTTGGTAATGCATGAGCATTTCTTCAGGGTTAGGACCATACACCCCAGCAGCTGGGTGGGCGCCATGTTGCATGAAGAAAGTGTTTTGGTCTAAGGGCATGGTCGGCTCGTCCGGATGATGATGATGATGATGTTGATGTTGTTGTTGTTGATGCTGGGGGTGCTGTTGTTGCGCAGTTGGTTGGAAAGCGCTCCCCACGCCGATGGACTGGAGGCTGGTCGTCGAGCCTCTGGATTTTGGACGTTGTGTCTCTCTATTATTTGCATTATTTGGATGTGTAGGATCGTACTGGTCTGGAGCCTCCTCCTTGAGGTGGGTTGGCGACTGCGCCATGCCGAACTGTGCGCAAATTAGCTCGACGTCACGATAAAAACAAACAAATCATCATACATATCCTGGTCGCAAACTTTGAACCGTCAACGGGATGAAGATGCTTTATTGATCGCTATAGATACGATGAGAAAGAACCTCGCGTGGTAATTCGGCCGATCACAACATTGCATTCGGGTATCGATGTTTTCGCGGATCAGGTCTGCTGCGGAAGGTCGCGGACGTGTATCTCGACTGAGACCAATCGCGAGAAAAGATAGACGATCCTGAGGTGTCGGGGAAGATTTCGTCTTGGTGCAGCAGGCGGGCTTGACTGCAATGGATCACTTCACGCGCGGTGGCTGTCAATCCATATCGGTGGTTTGTGTTGAGAGTAACAGCCCGATTCGAATTCGACGAAGGTTGTTGCCAGAGAAACAGTTCGCCAAGCCAAACATTGGGCTTTGGTCTGACAGTGCGCAGCCACTGCTAGACTCTACTGTGTTTATCCGTCAGACAGGGTCATCTCTTTATTGGTGCAGGCCGGAATTCATTTGCGCCGGCTGTGGATTCACACATGCGTATTACGTCAACCACTAGAATTGGGGCTCACTTGTGCAGCCCATTCGGATTTACTGGGCGCAGATGAGCGATGAGTTGCAGGTGCCAGGGTCAGGCGGGCCTCTGTGACAGTGAGGACAGCCCATCGCTCACCCCTGCGAGTGACCAGCCGACCTAGCTGACTAGCACCCGGACTGATGCGCCTTCTTATGCCTCCAACATGCCTCCAACACCCGTCGAACAAGCTGGCCACCCATCGCCAGCGTTCGCAGGTCACTCAATCCACCAAACGGACCAACGTCACCTCTTGCCCCTGGGCCACCAGGAGCTTTAAACTACATCAACTCTCCCACTACTGCACCTTTCTTCCCACTCGCACATTTCGTTCGCACTGAGATATTACCAGCAACCCGGATTCATCTGCACTCTCCATTTCCCACATCCCTCCACATCAATCTACATTCCCCGTAGCGATACCGACTCATCATTTTCAAGATGTCGTTCCAGGACAAGGCGCAGCACCAGATCTCGCAGATCGATAAGGAAGTATGTGAGGCACATGTCAATCCAGGCTTCCAATTTCCCATCGTTTCCCGCAATCCGACATCACCCATCATCACCTTCCTCTGTTATGAGGGCATCATAATCCTCTCATCTCACAATGTCGATGGGCGTGATTGAGCTAATGATGGTGCCTGCAGCTCTCCAAGTATCCTATGCTCAACAATTTCGAGAAACAGACCAACGTTCCCAAGGTCTACGCTTTCCTCGGCCTCATCGGCCTCTACTTCTTCCTCGTCTTCTTTAACATTGGCGGCGAGTTCCTCGTCAACTTCGCCGGTTTCATCATCCCGGGATACTACTCGCTCGAAGCTCTATTCAGCAGCAGCAAGGTTGATGATACGCAATGGTTGACGGTATGCTTCTCTTCCGACACTTTCCAATTCCAACCATTCTGACTATGCTTCTAGTATTGGGTTGTGTACGCCTTCCTCAGCGTCCTTGAGAGCATGGTAAATGCCGTGTACTGGTTCCGTAAGTCAATGCGCATGATGACCTCTTCACACAACGCCAGAACTAACCATCTGTCACCGTTAGCCTTCTACTACGTCTTCAAATTCATCCTGATCCTGTGGATGGCGCTTCCCATGACCAACGGCGCCCAGATCGTCTTCAAGTCTTTCCTCCACCCGATTTTCTCCCGTTTCTTCCAACAGCCATCAGCCTCCACATCTGCCGATGTCCGAGGCAAGGCCGACGCCGCTTTCAAAAGCCAGTAAACGTCTCAAGGAATCTCACCGTAACTTCGTGCGAGAATCAAGAGCGATCGCTGACCTTTGATGCGACTCGAGCACACAACGGCAAGGCTTTTGGCATTATGACAACGATTGGAACATGTTCCAGAATGAGATCTGGTGGGAGGTGGAGTCAGAGGAAGCGACGCTGTCTGGGAGTTGCAGCGCGATGACCTACAAAGTTGCTCAGGAAGGCTAAATCATATCATTACGAAGTTTCTCCATAGACCTATTGATTTATGTCTTGGTGGTGGCAACGGCTCTCAAGAGATCAGTTATTCGCCGGTAGGAAGGCGTCAATTGAGGTACGACCCAATGAAATACACAAAAACCAGCGACTTTTGTTTGCTCTATAATTTGTATCTCTAGAGAGGAATGCATTTGTCCCGTCGATGCACTCTGGCACCTCCCTAGCCTCAATTCCATCCTCCCACAAAGCCCCTCTCGGCACTCTCCTGTTGCTTAGGATTGACAAATATCCTGTACGGGAATGGATTCTGATCACTTGTGGTAATGGGAGGAATATGATCCTTGTCTCTGTTCACTATGGCGACAATCTTCATCGCCGTCTTCTGGAGGGAAGATTCCATTGCACGGCGAACTTTGATGCGGTCTGCCGGCAAATCAATAGGTTAGTAACAGGTAAAGCTGCCGCATGACGCACGAGGGAACGAGAGGAGTAGTTTTACCCGCTTCACTTCTAGGTCTTGCGACAATGACCTGTACACACCACTCCTCCCAGCATACTTCCTCCTCCGTCTGTCCTCCACCTCCCAACCGGCCCAACCAGCCCGTCGTGATGCCCGTTTTTCTCCTCTTGCGCTCGTAGAATCGCACTACGATCTCACCGCGAGAGCCACCTGCGGCGGCTGACGGGCTTGTTGGGCTCGCTGAGAACTGTGGCGTCAATTGGGAGATAAGTAAGTCTGCATGAGAGTCGATTGCTGTTGAGATTTCAGGCGGCTCGAGGATCGAAGGGAGTGTGACGGGAAGAGACTGGGTGGAATGCGAGGTGTGCGTATGAGAGAGCGAGGAGGCGTTCGGGGTATAAAGGGAGGGTCGAATCGGTGGGAAGTAACGGTGGAAGAAGATCGTGTGTAGGACTCCTGTGCCCGGGCGCCCAATTGTCAGTGCTCCTCGTCTCATTGTAAGAAAGGGAGGGCAGAAGTGTTGTGTTCCTTTGAGTTCACGGCCATGGGGCCAGATCACACCGTACCTTTGACTATGTCCCTTACAAATGTTTGGTCTGCGAACACCTCGAGGATGTATTCCCGATGGCCCTGTTCCATGATCGCGAGTCGCAATCTTCGTGCGCAACTATACTGTAATCGATTCCGACGGTCAAATAGTGGGGGTTTTTTCTGTAGAGTGGTGCGCTCGGCGGTATAGAAGTAGGGAGAAAGCAAGGAAATGGCAGCCAGCTAAGTGGCGCCTGGGACAGAGCGGCTGTTCAGATCATGGTCGGTCACAGGCTCCAACAAGCTTGCTCTCAGCATCGGGGACTGGTCGCTGCGGTATGACTCTTGAAGAAAGCCGCGATGAGGAGCATTAAGACTCTTTGAATGTTCCTTCAATGGTGGGGTCCGGCGGGCAGGTATGGTCATTCTCGGCTAGGAGAGGTACGGATACGAGGGAGGCATTGGGCATTACGGCCCGGCTAAAAGGACCCCCTAAGAACAACCAAGAAAGCCCTCACTATTACGTAGTTATGCCATTCAGAGCCTTGCTTACGGGCGCGTCTGCTGATTATTGGCCCACGGGGGTGGCCTTCACCCTCCGCTGCCCTTTGACGCTCCCCCAAGTCCATCCCCAACCCAAAAGCCCATGCTCTTTCTCGGGTACGGGTGCTACTGCGTACATTTCCAGCCTTCAACCGAGGCACCGCCACAAGTTTCATCCGATCCATTCGACAAATGTGATCAATAATTGAGTCAATAAAGCTTCGACTTGAATCGGCCTACTCCCTTGCCGTACCTGCCCTTGCGCGGGACGCTCATTCAGAGCACTCAATCTCTTCCTCTGTGCTCTTTGCGACCATGTCCTACGCAGCGGACCAACTGCACCTGAGATAAGGTGCACAGCGTCCCTCACATTGGTCAAAATGATATCAGCCACACGTCGCTGGCTGAGGCGCCATCGCACTGGTATAGCCATCGGCGCTGGCGTTGTTGGCGCGACGTATTTGGCCGCCCAGTATGTCCTGGGAAAAATCAACGAAGCGCGAGAGCGCATGCAGTTGGACAAGATTGCAAAGGAGAAGTGAGAGAGAAGCACACCGTCGGTCGCTGAACATATACTGATCGTATCTTGCCCAGCATTCGGCGGCGATTCGAGCAAAATCAAACAGACTGTACAATCACAGTCCTCGCCCTCCTACCCACGCTGACCGAGAACATCCTGGAAGACCTCCCTGTCGAACAGTTGACTCATGAGCTGCAACAGAAGAAGGCCGAAAGACTGGCACGTGCCTCAGGGGAAGGAAAATCCGAAGCCTCAAGCATGTATGATGGCGATACGGCAAGCATGTCCAGCTTTCAGACGGGGAGCTTCATACACGCCAGTCAATTCCAGACTGAAGGGGTCCAGTTGATGGGGTCACGTCGGACCAAGGCCCAACTATGGAATGAATTGAAGGTGACTTCGATCACGAGAGCATTCACACTGATTTACAGTTTGTCACTCCTCATCATCCTCACAAGAATACAATTGAACCTCCTCGGTCGACTAAACTATCTCTCTTCGGTCATCTCGTTGGCCCAGCCTCCACCTCCCGGAAGAGCCGACTCGATCTCGTTGGAAGACCACGATGACGGAAGCGCAGGGACCGGGTTTGGGAACGACTTTGAAACAAACAGGAGATATTTAACCTTCTCCTGGTTTCTGCTGCACAAGGGCTATGCACAGATTATGTCCAAGGTCAGGGAGGCAGTTGAGGAAGTATTTGGGGGCATCTCTCCCAGCGAGGGAATAACAGCCGCTCGGCTCAGCGAACTCGTCCTTGATGTCCGAAAGCGCGTCGAGGGCGGTTCTGAGCACGAGAGATATGCTACCCGGTGGTTGCCGTACGTGCTGCCGCCCAAGGAGGAGGAGGAAGCAGTGTTGATAGAGTCCGGGGTGATCACTCCGCCCGCAACCTCTCCAGGCTCGGACGCTCATGATCCCGGGAAGGGCGAACACCAGGAACCCACCATCCGTATCGACACGTCGACAGGACCACTACGGCAGCTCCTGGACGAGACCGCCGATTTGATTGATTCACCAACGTTCACGAGAATCCACACCCTCCTTCTCGGTTCCATGTTTTCGCATCTCATCGACACTCGTGTTATTGCCCAGCTATACCCGCAACCGAGGCAGCACTCCCCGTCGTCATCCATGTCGAGTGCGCAGCAGCCGCGTATTCAGGAGCTTGACTCTGCCGTCACGGTCGTGCCGGGAGAGCCCCGGGTCAAGCTGGCCAATATTTTGGCAATCATCACCCGCCAGGCACATGCGATCGGGAATGGGAACAATCCTCCCAACGAATATGTATCTACAGCAGAAGCTGAAGTCAGGGAGCTCGAAGCTTTCGCCGCTGTCATCTACGCCAGCAACTTGGACCAGAGTCTGGAGGAGAATCAGCCAAATACTGGCGACGGCGGTTTGCGAGCGGCGGGCGGAGTTGGCGTGAGTGACGTCGGCGCTGAGTCGGTTGATGAAATGATTGAGAGTAAATTGGAAAGTGCATGGACAAAGGTTGCGGGCGGTTCCAGCTTCTCGTCGCGGTGATCTGCCTCGTGGGGACCAGTTATGTATACTCTTCGAAGAGTAAGCAAGGAATAGCGGTTTTGGAATTACCTGGTCACCATCATGGCCATCGTCAACACCATTTATTTGAGCAAAGGAGATTTTCTCGGCCTTTCTGATGTGAGACAAGCGTAGAGACTCCTCTATGCTGAGACATGGGAGGTTCCAAAGTAGTGCCCGGTGCCCAAGCATTGAATCCCTCCCATCATCCCATATACATAGGACTCCACAATACAGGGGCGGATGACACCAGCCCCAAGCTCACATCGTGGCCAAAGACTTCCTTTTTCGAATGTTCCTTCGATGCTGTTTTATTAATATGCTTATTATACTGTGGAATCCCCCTGGTCGCGGAGCCTGATCTTTGCGCCGATTTGCCGACCATCCAAAATTGTTGACATCTGTCTTCCTGGAAAGTTGTCGCATACTCCGCTTGACGACGAACCTGCATACATATGGCCTTGACTGTGCCGTAAAACTTTCTCCTTCTCGAGGCGTGAGGTTCAAAGGCCGCCTCCTTCGTCCCTCATCCGAAGCCTGCTGGTGAAGTCCATGAAGTCGCCATCGTCATGGATCGGCCTGTTGGTATGGGCGGTCACTTCACCAATGTATTCAAAGACGACAAGTGGCTGCAATGGCGCCTGGTGCCCTTCATCTTGATCTGGGCTGCGTTTGCGGTCTTATTGCTAGTACGCATTTTCCTGCCCTTACACTCTACTCCTAGTGTCCGACCAACTGACTTGGGATTTCCTGTGGGTATTCAGATTTGGATATTCGTAACGCTCTTCGTCCCCAACCCGCGCAAACCCCGCCCATCTGAGAAGACATTCACGACGGTCGACAGGACGGGCGACGTGACAGACCCAGAACCGTTGCCGTGTTGGTACGATGAAGCTCTACGGAAATATGTCAAGGCGAGGCAAGAGGATCCAGACAAAGAAATCGACATTGAGAAAGAGATCGAGCCGGCCGAGTTGTTTATGACACTGGTCATTCCGGCGTACAACGAGGAGGACAGGCTGACGGGCATGCTGGAAGAGGCGGTAACTTTCCTCGAGACAGAATATGGGACATCGTCTACCTTCGGCGCGGTGGACAAAGCAGCAGGACAAACACAGACGCAGGGGCCACGGCGCAGGAAAGCGAACGGCGCTACTGCTACGTCTGCTTCGCAGTCTAAGCAACAAGAACCCCTTCGAGGTTGGGAGATCCTCCTCGTCGACGACGGCTCCACGGACGACACACTTCTCACGGCCCAGACCTTTTCTCGCAAACACATCCTCCATCCCCACCCGCGCCGTGACTCGGGTCCCTGGACGCATCGATCCCCGATCGGTGTGAAGATCCCCCCGGGCTCGATCCGCATGATCTCGCTGGAAGAAAACCGCGGCAAGGGCGGCGCCGTGACGCACGGCATGCGCCACGCCCGCGGCCAATACGTCGTGTTCGCCGACGCGGACGGGGCATCCAAGTTCTCCGACCTCGACAAACTGGTGCGGGCGTGCCAGGAGATCGAAGACGCCGAGGGCCGGGGCATCGCGGTCGGGTCCCGCGCGCACCTGGTGGACTCGGAAGTCGTGGTCAAGCGGTCGAAGCTGCGGAACTTCCTCATGCGCTGCTTCCACCTGTTGCTCTGGGTCATGACGCCGCCCGCCACGGCGCGGATCAAGGACACGCAGTGTGGCTTCAAGCTGTTCTCGCGCCCGACGCTGCCGTACATCGTCCCGCACATGCACATGGAAGGGTGGATCTTCGACGTCGAGATGCTCATGTTGGCCGAGTTTGCAGACATCCCCGTGGCCGAGGTGGCCGTGGGCTGGCGGGAGGTGACGGGCAGCAAATTGAACCTGGTGAGAGACTCTCTCGGGATGGCGTGGGGTTTGGCAATATTGAGGCTCTGTTGGGGCACAGGAATCTTCCGGCGATGAATGGGGGGGCTTACCATGACGGCGATATGCATTGGTTGTAGGACAGATTCTGTTCGTGTGGACCTGAGAAAAAAAATAGAGGAAGGTCGAATCACGAGCGCAAGTATTACATTTTACACCCTTTGATTCCTGCTTAGGCGGATTGTCCATGAAAATATCCTGAAGCAACTAACAGCCTTACCATATATATTTCCGATTGCACAAATATGGACGCTCTAGAGCATGTTGAAGACACAGACCACAATACCATCTATGAGACATCCATCTTGAGCATGCCCTTCCACTTCTTCGCAATCTCCATGCCCTGAGCCAGCGTCCCGACACGCGCATCGATCGCAAAGCCTTGGGCCTCGAGGTCGACCAGCTCATTCCACAAGTTATCCAAGGGCAGGGTGAAGCACTCGATGTACTCACCCTCCTCCAGCTCGGGCTTCAAGTTCTCCTCGTGGTTCCGGGGATCGCGCATGTCCACCTCCACAAAGATCATTTTCGTGTTGGTGTTGCAGAACCCCGGGTCGTTGAACATCAGAATCCCCTCGGCGGCCTTCGCGTCTGTGGGCATCGTTGCGATGTAGCCTGTCTCTTCTTTCAGCTCGCGGATAGCGGCGTCGGTGGGGGACTCCCCCCCGTCGACGAGCCCCGAGGGCACCTCGATGGCCACTTTGTCAACGGCGGGACGGAACTGCTTCTGCAGCAGTAGGGAGGGGCCCTTGGAGGATTTGGGGTCGTTGAGGATGGCCACGACGCCGACGGCGTCGATCTCCGCGTCCTTGGCTCTCGTCTGCAGCTCTGAGTCAACCTTTCCTGTCTCATCTCGGAGCCAGGGAAAGTAATTCGGCGGGGTTTCAATTGACCTGTCGCTCAGCTGATTCCCACACTCTTCGCTTGCCCGCAGGGTCCTCGTATGTGATCTTCTTCAGCGTGATCCATTTCGCCTCGTTCGTGTTCTGGGCCCCTTTCAGCAATCAGCCACACAGCTTTGTTTGCATGGTGCCCGTGTCGCTGAGGGGGGTCCGTGGCCCTTACCATCGGTTCGATAGAGAGGTTCTTGGCCATCAGCGGCGTGTACGTTGACATTTTGTCCGCCATCTTGGGCGAAAGGAGGAGGCGTTTGACGTCCAGTCTATGGGCGCGCCGCCGTATCAACGAAGGTGAACGTAGAGTAAACATACCATTGCTGAGGACGAAGCGAGAAGACTGCGGCATGCAGTGAGTTTCGAGGGACGAAGCCAACAATGACGTATACATCCTTCCACTACTCCGATCTTGGCCTCACGTGCGGCTCACCCCGAGCGTGCCTGGGGACACAACCCGCTGAACCGTCGCGTCACGTGGGGAAAGGCCTTCTCTTCTTTTATTTTTCTTATTATTTCATCGTCGCAGAGCAGCCCTCCCCAGTGCCCTGCGGTCACAAGTGTTAGTGTCCAATGCGACCACCACTGGGACCCCTAATATCACGACATACAACGCAGCTTTCTGGCCTCGCGAAATGGTTTGGGTAGACTCAAAGGTGTCTGGCCAAAGCTTGCATAATCTGTTACATCCCCTGGCGACCTGCACTAGTCATCCGTTTGCCTACCAACCCCTCAATCCTTCTCATTCCGAAATACGGCTTCTGAAACTTGCGCCAGGAGTACGAGGTGCAGATATTCATTGCAATATGGTCCATGCGTCACTCAAAGACAAACCACGCTACGAAGCACTATCTTATACTTGGGGCGACACAAGTAACAAAAGGGATATTTGTATGAACGGGCACCGTTTTCCTATAACACTAAATCTACACATCGCGTTCCAACACCTGAGAGAACAGAATGGCGCACGGACGCTCTGGGTTGATGCGCTGTGCATTAATCAGCAAAATCTGCAAGAGAGGGCTGAACAGGTCTCAAAAATGCGAGATATATTCTGGTTAGCACAACGAGTACTGGCTTGGACGGGTGAGCCAGACGAGAGCGATGAAGCTCTTGAGCTACTACAAGAACTGGGTCATCCATCTACCTTCATGCGTTTGTATGGATTGGCATCCAAGCCAATGGCCTTTTTGAACGACGACTTCAGTCATTGTTTGAACAAATTTGAATCGTTGTTTAGATTTCTCAATCGCCCGTACTGGAGTCGAGTGTGGGTGGTCCAGGAGCTTGCTATTCCCGGTTCGAGAGCCGGTGACGTTGGCTGGTTGGAAAAGGACAAAGTTCAGATTCGCTGCTGCTCGACGTGGGTTCCCTTTTCCACATTTACTGTGGCTTGTGCAAGTCTGGTTCAGTTGATTCCTGGTATTCTTTCTTCGGTTGCGTGCCTCAGTCTCGCCAACCCTTTGGGTCAAACGAATCCAGCCGGCCTTGACATGTTTGGCGCTGTACAGTGCAGTATACCAACCGCTTCGCGACAGGCGCCCAGCATTTTAGAACTCTTACACTTAACTCACTGTCTGAAGGCGACCGACCCTCGCGACAAGTTGTATGCCCTTATAGCGCTTGCTAGAGATGAGGATCTCGCTTTGGTGCCAGATTATTCGATCTCAGCGACACAGATGTTCAGGGAGCTGGTACGACATTCTATCCTCACAGATAACAACCTCATGGTGTTATCTGGAAATCGAGTCTCGCCACCGGACACCGGTGAAGGTTCTTCCTCGTGGGCCCCGAATCCTGAGAGGTTCGTCAACTCTCCAAAGTTGAATTGGGATCCCGCGACAACGACATTCAACGCTTGTAACTCAAGGGCTCCAACCATATCATTTTCTGACGACTTGAGACACCTCACCGCTAAAGGCATAATCGTAGACAGCATTGACACCGTAATTGGACCTTTCGATTTTAAACAGTTTCCCGGGCTCTTCAGCGACGATTGGTGTGCATCAGAGTGGGCAAGCTCCTTCCGAGAATTGGAACAATACGGCTCATCCTTATCCATGAGCGAGCGAGACATATTCTGGCGAACTCTGGTCTTGGATTCTGGGAAGCTAGGCCACGGTGGCTTGGTGTCCCCGGCGCCAAAGGAAATTGGGGAATGGTTCGAAGTCATGCTCAATGGCTTCGCTGAATCAGATGCCGTTAGAGCGGAGCTTACCAAACTATTTTACTCGCAGGCCGGCTTTGTGGATCGGTGTTTCTACGCCACTGCTTCTGGAGGGAGGGGCATAGGTCCTTATGGAACATTGCCAGGAGATCTTGTGGCAATCCTTTACGGAGGGCAATTTTGTTACATCTTGCGAGAAGTTAGCGAACACTATGTCCTCGTTGGAGATGCATACCTTCACGGAGCAATGCATGGCGAACTGCTTGACCAAAGACGTCAAGAAGAGCGGAGAAAATATGAAGAAAAGGATTTCGTTCTTTGGTAGTCTATCTCGATAGGACCCACCAAATCTATAACTCAAAATCCGCAGACCAATAGAACAGCGTCACAAGCAGATTATGGGATCGAGGAAGCACGAAACACGATTTATGCGAATCAAATTCAAGCAGAGATATTCCGATTGTGCGTTCGAGGACGCCTATCATCCACATCAAATTGGCGGACTTTAGACTAGCACAGGACAGATCGGATCTGAAAACTTTCTGCGGAAGCCACATGTATGCTAGCCGTGTTACATACTCTACCCAACGTTGAATATCCCAAAGGACGAGTCTTCATTTCTCATTTGTGCGAAGCCAGCGAGGAGGGACATGAAGGTAGATGAATCCTATCAAATTGGCTGCGGTTTTGCTATTCTGGACCATAAAAGACTGCCGCAAGCCGTAGACGGTGCTACTCGAAGCCTTGGGACGGAGACTCGCTTGGTGGCTTCTGCTTGTAGCGGAACTTTGAAGTTCCATCTTCATGGAGATGACCTGTTCCGACTCTCACACCATTATCATCCAGGAACCGAATTGAGATGACCTTTTTAGGGTCTGATGTGTCCTTGTGAGATTTATGGAGCTCGGTTCCTTGGATCTTCGCTTTTTTGATACGGGGATCCTGTTTACCTATGAGTATTGCAATATTTACACGGCATGGATAGTTGCTGACTCGGTTTTCTTGTTCCTTACAATATTGCGTCACTAAAGCTCTGAGGGTTTCATTTGTGAAGCTTTCTGGGCTGACCCCTCCCACATAGCTGACGAATCTTTTAACAATAGAGGACACATCGCGGATAGATTCAAATGAACAGTAAACAGACGACTTTGAACAAGGAAAGAAGAGCAGAGTAACTTGTCAGGTTCGTGGAAAGATGTCGCACCTCGTTTAATAGTTTGTTTAAAGCATCTCATTTACAGGAGGCCGCTGGACACAGATCTTTTCGGGCGTGAGTTTCGGCGCTTAGGAGAAACGCATTCTGAAGGTCATGAATGTCGACTTACAGACATCCCACACCAATCATAATGTCAAAGATGTGAATACTGACACAGGATCACACGTGGCTGCCTGCGCGATGACTCATGTTTTGTGTCCAGAGTGACCCATGATCGAATGGCTTGAGCATTTACTCGAAGGCCGGCTTGAGACTGCTTCGTCCGAGTCTGACGCATTGTTTCCAAGGGTGCTCGGTAGACCTGCCTACTACATCGTTCGGTCTTGGCACTTGGAGAACGGAGTGTGCACAGCCTAACTTTCATTATGCTTTCTCTGGAGGACATAACATGGCTTCTCTGTTTCAGTCATGGAGACATGCTCTCAGGCGGAAATCCTCTCTCCCAAAGAGCTTTCCCAGCAGCGGAGCTCCGATAATACCAGTTGAAACACTCTTTGAAGAGGAGACTCTACCATTTTACGAGCCTCAACAATATTACCCAGTTCGTATCGGCGATGTATATCAGTCGAAGTACCAAGTCGTTGGAAAGCTCGGATATGGCGCATATTCCACTGTTTGGTTATGCCGAGATCGTTCGTAAGAGCTCATTGTAAGCATCATGACCAATACTGATCTTACCTTGGCAGTGAGCACAGGTTCATGGCTCTCAAAGTTTCTACATCTTTAAGCAGATTTCCAGATGCAACCCTCAGAGAATACAGGGTCTACGAGCACCTTTCATCTCTCGTTTCAAGTCATCCAGGCCAGTCTCTGATACGTGGGCTTTATGCCACATTCGAGCTCCACGGTGCCTCTGGCAAACACCAATGCCTCTTGCAGCCGCCTATGCATATGAGCCTTCTTGATATGATACAGATGGCCCGCGAGCCTTTTGGTCTACCTCTCCTTAAGATGACGCTGAAACGACTTTTAACTGCACTTGATTTCCTCCACACTGAAGCTAAAGTTATTCATGGAGGTATTTTCGTGCCTTTCAAAGCTGCGACTTTGACTAATCTGTGCTAGATTTGAAGGCCGACAACCTAATGCTTACCGTCGAAGACCCGACTATGTTGGAGAGGTTTGAAAAGGCAGAAATCAACGAACCCAGCCCTCGTAAGCTGGTCGATAAATCAAGAACAGTCTACAAGAGCCGACATCTTCCAAACCCAAAGGACGACAAATATGGCCTTCCAATCCTTTGTGACTTTGGGGAGGCAAGAATTGGGGAGACGCAGGAGAGAGGGCCCTTTGTTCAGCCACACATCTACAGAGCCCCTGAAGTGATTTTCGAGATGCCGTGGGGCCCTCCGATTGATATTTGGAATCTTGGAGGCTTGGTGAGAATCTCAGACTTCGAGCCCACACGTGTTCTAAATTGTTTCTAAGGTCTGGGATCTCCTCGAGGGCGAGCATTTATTTGGGCGTATATTCGACGGCAAAGGCCACCATGACCCCTTCCAACATGTTGCCAAAATGGTGAGCCTAATTGGGCCTCCTCCGACTGAGTTTGTGCGAAGAAGTGAGACTGCCGAGCAATGCTTCGCTGCGAATGGTAATTAACGTTATCCTTCTATGTCGTCAGAGTTTGAAAGCTAACAAACGGCCTATATCTAGGAAATTGGATCGCTGAAGAGCATGCCAAAATAACATCAACTTCGTTGGAGGATATTGAAAGACGTCTCGTGGGACAAGAGAAGGAACTCTTTTTCAGGTTCATGCGAGCAATGCTAAAATGGCTGCCTGAGGAGCGTAAGACCGCTAAAGAACTCCTTGAGGATCCCTGGTTGCAGGAATGAATCAATTGTAAATTATGACCAAAGAGTTGGAAATGGAAAGCAAGATCTATTCTTCATGCTGCAAAGACTAATCAGTACCTTGTTGTCTACCGCTGACCATGGTTGGCGCCAGTGTAGGCGCTGGGCCTAAGCTTTTAAGTCCATCTGGCGGGATCTGTGACGGCACGGCCTAGGAAGGGGATGGAGGGGGCTCCAAGGCCCGTGATCGACACGTCATTCCGATTACAGCCGCGTGCTGACGATGGGTACGCATGGGTATATCAGCCGGAGAGAGAGCATCTTTTCACGAGACAGTTAAGTAAACATTCCAACGGCGCATATATGGAGCTTTGTCGAGAAGTCGGCGCATTAACTGAGGCTATACCGCATCCAGACCTCATATCATCGGGACATGATCCACAGGGACGTTGAAATTGTCTTTCAGTCACACAAGTCCATCAGGTAAAGAAAGTATTGAGATAGCTTACGAGGGTGTCGACATTAATCGCGGATCTAACTTCTGAAGTCATTCAGCTGTAAGCGGAGACAGCGAAGCTGGCAACCCAGCTGTCGCGGTGTCAGGATCTAGCTCAAACTGAACGCGGAGCGCGTCAGCAGGTAGAGGAGAGAACCAGACAACTCGAAAATGAACTTACTTCCACTCGAGCAGAAAGAGACGAGTTGCAGCAAGGAAAATCCGACCTCTCCTCGATCAATAAATACTTATGAAGCGAATGGACCAACGGGACAGAAATGTAAAGAAGGCGTTGTCAGCGCAACAACGGTTGGAAACTGATCCTTAACCCACCTAGATAGTTTAGTCTGCAGCAATCTTTAGAAGAGCAGGCAGCTCTCATAGAGAGCCAACAGTGGACCCCTTCTCTACCATAGATATAGCTATCATAGTAAAGGAAGCTATAGACGTAAGAATACGTTCCCAAAGCTATTGGTATAGTGTGTGTCCTTCCGGTCAAATCGAAATGGAAGTCCCACTTCCAGATCCAGAGCGAAGACTTGCAACAGAACGAAGCCTCAAGTAAGGATCGACGCATTACAATTTGCGTATGACAATGAAGGGAACCCCGACCACGAAAACAATGTAAAGAAATTGAAAATTGTGTTTCGAGATGAAGGCTGCTAACGAATGAAGCTCCAAACCCACCTTCCTGGTATCATTAGTCAATCCTGTCTAGATGCCGCAATCAGCTTGTCCGGGATATCACTGCCAGTATGATTAGCAGATACGTCCCCAAGCTCGATTTGCCAGCCCGTAGTCATTTGGAATACTATGCCTGCATGGACAAGCTCGAGTTCAGGCCGCCGCGCAGGTCCCTGCCACGAGGGGACAAGCGTTGGACGGGGCATGTATATCTTGCAGGTGAGTCCATTCGTCATGTTACTCGCCTTTACACTCGCCAAGGCGTCTCTCTACCGTATTATTGGCAGACTTCACGCCGAAATCTGAAGAGTACGAGCAGAATGTTGCAGGCGAAGTGCCGGCGCGGTCAGACCTTAAGCGCCCAGACTAGTTGACATGTGACATCACATGGAATGAAAATGGTTGGCCCGTAGGAATGTGCGCCACACTGGTTCCCCTTTGCCGACACATTGTACTGTATCTTTCTCCAGTTAGCTAATAAGGATCAACTCGGTCGCACTTAAGCTTGCTGTGGGGCTCAGTAGGCGCGCCACTACCACTAAGGGTTAATTCAACCTCGTAACAACGTGGTGGGACGGTCATCTCTTTCAGGTCGCGAGAATCCCAGTCAGGCGACATTATTCGCGACGAGAGCCTCACAAGGGCCCATGGTATTCGTGCGCAATGTATGTGAAGGGCTCCATAGAGGCTACCGGTAGATATAACGACACAGACTGCAATCAAACAGCTAGATAGCAGCTACAAGAGGTCTGTCTCTCATAATCACTTTTCATCCGCTTCGTCCTTGTCGATTATAGTTCAAGGGAGCTGCCCTGCCTTCCTCCTAAAGGTGTTCAACAGTTCATCCACCCCGTCGATCCCAAGTTTGGAATCTCGGGAGCCAATTCCTACATCTGCCAATATAGGCTCTTAGGATGCCCTTTTGGGTTACCGCAACGCTCACGAAGCCTACTGCACAACGAGAGATGCATGAATTTACGGCCCCAGCGACTCACCAGGAAGGGCGCCAAATATGGCACTCACCGCGGGCCTGGGGAATGTTGGCGTAGAGCTGGGTGCAGATTTGGACCCCTCTTCAGGTGTTATTTATGCCTTGGTTCTCCCACCCCCGATAGAAGGTGCTGTGTAGATCACGTGAGCCGCAGCCTTGCACCCTTCTCACGAAACGCGGTGAAAGTCATCCGCCTCATCTGCCCTGAAACACCCAAAATCTAGGACCCTTCTAGTTGGCCGCTTCTCACAATCAACATGCCTCCCGTCTCCTATCCTCCCTAGGTCTGTATGCCTGACCCGGCCGATTTTTGTCCCATGGATGTCGTAAGTATTCACCATGCCGCACTGGGGTTCAACAATCTAACCTCTGATTCCGCGAACAGAGGCGACTCCACAACGCTGCAAGCTGGTGGGCAGGCCGCACAAGGGATGGTCACAACTGGTGCTGGGCGGACATGTTCAATATGGTGAACAACAGACAGAAGGTTCCGAACATCCAAGAACTTGTTCAAATGGCTATCAACGAGTTACTTAGGTGCACCAACTATGTCCCCCGAGCATCCCGGCCACGCTCGTCCAGGATGTAGTCGTCCATCCCCTTCCAGAGCATGACCTCCAACCGCAACAAGCCCAGCTTCATCTGCTCAAAGCTGCGGCTCTGAAAGCGCAGCATGCGTCGCCAGTTCTGCAGGATCCGCTTGGCGGCGAGCAGGTGCGTGTCATCGGGTGCCTTGACGAGCAGGAGCATGGCTAGATTCGACATGGTGGCGAAGCCGATGCGAGACCCTACAGCGGCGAGGGAGAAGGGGTTAGCTTGTTGTCAACCGAATAAAGGGAAAATAGGAATTCGGACAGCAAAGGACGAACAGAGAGGAGAAGAGCAAGAGAGGCAGAGAGCAGACATACAGGAATACCAGAATCCCGCCGAGAACTTCTGCGAATCAAGTCCAGCTGTGAAATGCGTCACGATCTTTGCGCACTTCTCAGCGGCCACAATGACGGCCTCAGCCGCGGCGCGATTATCCCCAACCACATCCGGCAGCGAATGCGGCGAGTCATCCGTCATACTGTGGTCGCCATCGCCATCGTTCCCATCGCGATGATGACCTCCGCTGGCGGTGGCGCCAAGGTTGACGTTGGCACCCAGCCTCGGCCCTCGCCGCAGGTTCATAGGCCGCAGCAGCGCGCGGTACAGCAGCACCTCGAGCGTCAGATAGGCAAAGTGCAGGGCCGAGTTGGATTCGAGCTCAGCGAAGCCCGTCTCGTCCAGCATCAAGCTCTTGCGGATCTGGAGAGAGGCTGGCAGAGCTGCATACCATGCTTTCAGGCGCAGACGGATCGGTTGAGCCTTCGCGAGCGACGCGTCAAAGTCGTGTGAGAGCTGGCGTGCCGCGCGGAGCGTACTGTCGATGGTCAGCTTTGTGCAGGTCAAGTCAAGGAATCCCCTCTGGGGCTCCGGGGGCCGCAACGTACTAGAATGAAGAGTATACTTCCTCGCTGATGATGGACAGCTGCGCAAGTTGGCAAAACCGCTCCCCAGATTCCACCACCCAGCTATTGCCTCTATTGCTTCGGTCACCATTATTAGCCCTGTGGCAGTCATCATCGACACGGTCGATGACAAAATCCTTCTCCGTTAACTCGGCGACGTCCCATTGATCGCCATGGATCAAACTCGGATACCCGCCCAGCAAGCACCTCCACTTCTCCTCGACATAGACCATCCACCACAGCCGTCTCCGGAGCCTCTTCTCCCACGCCGGGATGTTCCAGGCCTGACAATCCAGGTGCAACGCGAGACTGGTCGACAGGGCCATCAACATACTCATCAGCGACCAATGGAACGGCGTGTCGCAGGCCACGCTGCTCTGGCCTGTTCGCGGCTTCTGGAGGTACAGCAGCATGGCTTGGACAAGCGAGAGATGCGGCGTGTGGATCTCGCGGAACATCTCCTCGTAGACGATGCGCCAGATCTTGGTCGCCGACGGTTGGTGGTATACTTTCGACACGCACAGGTGATCGTCGTGCGGGCAGTAGACGAGTGACGACGCATAGATGGCGGCGAGGAGGTGGGTGGGCATTGTTTCCAGTGTCGATGGGGACACGGTCGGGTTGGTGGGCGTGATGCCCAGCTGCGAGCGCGAAATGGCTGGGAATGACGGAAACACGTATTTCAGGAATCTGGACAGATGTTAGCATTGCCCATGGGTGGTTTCTCTGGCGTGGGCTCCTTACAAGTCCATCAGCCGGCAGCCGTCCTCGATCGAGACCAGGTCGTAGAGTTCCTTTCTGATCGTCTCAGACGACACGTTTGGACGAATGGTCGTTTCTTCCTTGATGTCTCCTTCGAGATCGTCTGGAGAGACTTTGAAATAGACGGGCACTCCGTTGGGAGGAGGCGAGGACAGCCACTTTGCCGACGAGCTGTCGTCCGCCACTTTGCGGTACGACAGTTTGAACTGAGTGAATTCCCCCCGTTCGTCGTAGCGGTAATGCTGCAGCAGATATGGGTCTGACTCGCCGGACAGGCCAAAGAACTGTGCGTTGGTGCCTTTCTTGTCGTCGAGGGAGTTCACGGCCAATCTAGAATTGTAGCTCATCTGACTGTCGAGGGGATTTTCCGACGCCCTCGACGCTGGCTTGGGAACATCGACGTTCTCCCTGCGCCCATCGATTGCGTGCGACTCAGATGCCGCCACATACTGGGATGCCGCGGCAGTGAATGGTTGCTCTCCCGCATGTCCCTCATCGGGCAGGCTGACCGGTTCGACCAGGGCAGGCAGATCCGCAAACACATCGCCGGCTAGCCAGCAGTCAAACGGCATACAGCGCTCGAAGTCGAGCTCTGCCATCTCTGGCAGCAGAGGCGTCTCATTCAACCGCGCCGCCTCGTCCCGCCACACAGCGTCGTGCGCCTGTGACTGAGCACTGCTCTTCCGCTCCAGCGGGGTCGGGAAATGGAACGAACTCGCCCGGCCCGTCCTGGCCTGCCCCTCGCGGTCGATTCTTCCTTGATCACGAGCTGCCTGGACCTGAGCCCGAGCCCGGGCCAGGTCACGGCCTGGGAAAGACGGAAGCCCCGCACTCTGAGGCGAGGCGTCGTCGTGCTGGCCGCCTGGTGAATCGTCGTCGCCTTCCAGCTGAACCCGGTGCGAGGACCGCCGCTTGGACGGCTGCTGCTCGAAGGTACAGTTCAGGCCCAGCTTCGCACAGAGACCGCATGGCGGCGCGGTGTTGATGCGGCAGCAAGCCTTGCGGGAGCGACACAGGTCGCACGGCCGGGCCCGTTTGGATCGGTAGGGCCGCGAGCGAGAGGGCGACAATGGTGCAATGGCCGCAGAAGTCATGAGATGAGAGCAGACGGTGGTGAGAACTGATGGCTCGCTCTAGTCACGATGTCGAGTAAAGATAGTATAGGCTAAGTGTCACTGTATAGCTATGTTGGGGTCTCAAAACTGTCGTCTTGAGGTCTATGCGAAATGACACCCCGCGATAAGACTCCAGACTTCTGGGAGACGATAAGAGAGCGTCTCTTCCTCCCTCCCTAGCCAGAAGAGGACTGGGGATAAGATTCATTGCCGACCGGGAAGGCCACTCAGATCACAGGAATGGGAGGAATTTGGCCCACCATTATCTCAAGCCTACTAACATAGCACCATCGGAATTCGGCTCCCGTCTCGTTGCCGCTGGAGACTCAAAGATTGGTTCAAGGAACATTACTAATTCAATTTACACCGACACAGTCAGACAGAAGAAGAACCTTTACAATAAATATAACAAAGTCTCTATGCCGCCGCCGTGATGGCCAGCCCGGCCTCAGCCTGGAGCTGCTTCGCGGCAGCCTCTTCCCTTTCCAAGGCGAGCGCGGTGCCACGACTATGGCGATGCTGGATCCAGTCCTTGACGGTCTCGACCCGCTTGCCAGTGACGCACGAGATGGGTGGCGTCTTCTTGACACCGCCCTGAATGCCCTCGACCATGGCGAGCTTCGTGTCCTCGTTGGCGTGGCAGAAGTAGACGCACGAGAAGCGCTCCTTGCCCTGGTCCTCGGCGCGAGGTGAGCGCGCGACCCGATGTAGTGTGCTCTTCATCAGTCCGCCCGAGAGGAAGGTCATGGTCTCGCCGATGTTGACCAGCACGGCGCCGGGGATGATGGGGGCATCAAGCCACTGCTCGCCTTCCAGGACCTCGCCGGTCAGGTTCGGCGGGCGCACCTGCAGGCCCATGACCTTGTGTTGAAATAGCACCGTCACCACGGTGTGGTCGGTGTGGGCCGGCAGTCGGACTGGTGTGGCAGCGTCGTCGCCAGTCAGGCCCGGGTAGTGGAGGAGTCTCAGGGTGGTGAACGAAGGGGAGTCGAAGTTGTGCAGCTTGGGGAAGTAGTCGGCGGGGAGCTGAAGCAGCATGATTAGTATGAGGACGGACACAGGAGACGTGTCACTTACTCCCAGGGACACAGAGAGACAGGCCAGCACTTTGAGGGCAACCTTTTCGTGGGCAGTTCTCATGAAGCCCTGGATCTCGTTGTTGACTTTCTTGAGAGTGGGTGGCAGAGGCTGGTCGTAGGAGTTGGTCTTGCGGAATGCCTGAGAAATGGTCAGCACTGGCAGAGGCTGCAAGTGACGAGACTCACAAATGACTCCTTGGGATCGTCCTTCTTGGTCACTTCGTTCTGGCCGTATTCCTCGTAATTTCTGACAAAGTGTCAGAACAAGACCCATTGCTGTTCACTTTTCACCGCTGATGCACACACCTCTTCTCTTGTTTTCGAGCTCGCCTGTCATCGTAGCCGGCATTCTCAATGCTGCCCCAGGGCGTGCTCGCCTTCTCCTCGGGACTGGTCTTGTTGAAGAAGACATCGGCCTGGCGAACATTAGTGGTGAGCACATCTCCGGTGAGAACATCCACCATACAATCTCAAACATGCGATCAATCTGCTCCTGCTGAATACCGGTGTTCTTGATGTACAGGAACCCCCATGTTGCAGCAATGTCCTTGATCTCGTTAGCCACACCCTCGAAGTCGGTCTCGAGTCGGGCAAAGTCGATCAGAGGAATCGTGGTGGGATCAATGAGCACCATCTTGGCTGGAGACGCAGTCTGGGGAATTCCAGGCCAACAAAAACCCGGGGTAAGGCTTATTCTCGACAAGGAAGCTTTTCGTTTCTCTTGTCAATCAATATTGACTACATTACAACTATCACCTTCTTCTGATCGATCCCAGACTTAAGTACCTCTTCGCTATACCAGAATATCTGCTCAATCTAGACTGTATTGTCTGATTCTGTCCTCAATTCCCGGTTCCTTGGTATCTCTGGAGGCCCTGTCTGTCCGGTTCAGTGTTATCGCCCGCCCACGGAAGTTCGGCACCGCATACGAGGCTAGCAAGAGTGACAGAATGGCCCTAGATAAGAGCAAGCATACAAGCGAGAAAGATAACCGAAGGTCACTGGTTAGACTCAGACCAGGGATGCCCTCTCTTCTCGAGGGCAGCCCGCGTCTGAATGGGTGCCTCATGGAAGAGCACAACACGATTCACCTGGTCAAGATTGCTTCTATACTCGTATATCCTGGCCGTGGCACGATACACACCAAAGGCCATCTGTTATCAACCCCAGAATCGCTAATCTGAGCCATTCCAGGTGCACTGGACATCCGAGATACAAAATATCGAGTCGATAGACGACATCAGAAGAACGACGGCCATCAACGCGGTCATGTTGTCAGCCACCGCATTCGGTCAACTGGCCCCCACCACTAGAGCCGGAGTATACTGCTACCAGTGGCTTTAGACAGAATCACCTCCATCAACCTCGACTCACCTGCCGCTTGCGGCCCCGCGAAAGCTTCAGGGGATCGTCCATGGATATCTCCGCTCCAACCTCGTCGCGGGGGAGTTCTTATCTCAATGTCAAACACGGCCGTCGACGCCGACGTGCACCCTCATGTCTCATGGGCAGCAAGTTGCAGTTTTCCAGACTCCAGACACGTTGAGGAGGGAAGGAGATGGACGGCGCTGATTCTGGCCCTGGCATGGCCGGCAGCCGGCCATCATCTTCACGATGCAGGTTCTTTTGCGGTGTCTCACTGCGAATGTCCATCGGACTTTGACGGCCGAAGCCCACCTGTCCAAAAAAGATGTTTCCACGAGGCTAGCACTATAGTTTCACGAATCCGCTTCCTTGGCATATCATTCGTCGGCTGAGATGGATCACTGGTATCTGGAAGTCTGGACAAAGGAGCGCGCGGGGTGAAACGAGTCAACACCCGACCGCAACTGCTGGTGAGACTGTCTGAACGAGAATGAAATCGCAAATCTGGACAGCAATCCGGGCGAGAAAGGCAGTGGGCTCACGTCTCCATCGCCTTTCAAGCTTTCGGGATTGTTGGTCATCCTGGTCTTGCATTCTCCTTGACTGCCCTCTTATCCTATCATCCACTATCCACGCTTGTCCCTGCTCTGGTAAGCTATCATTCTAGTCTGGGCTCTGGTCTTGGCTGCGGCGACTGGGACATCTCCATCCCGTCGAACAGATAGGACCTGAACGCGGGATATCAGACTCGAAGCCTGGTGTCTAGTCTCTCTGTCCCGGAGCATACTCCATATCTCTGCACTTTCTGACGCCTGGGATTACCAAGGGTTCTGTTATCGGACCCTGAAGCGGCGAAACCGTCTTAGGGTCTCGACCAGCAGCAGGACAAGTATTTGATATGCAGCCTTCCTAGTTCCAGAATGCAGATCTTGTGTCTCTGGTCGAGGATTTGAAAAAGGTCTCGTTGCTTCCATCTTCTTGCCTCTTTCCCCATCTCCCACCTTGATTTTCTCTCCAACAACATGGGCGCGAACTTCGAGGAGAAGGACGCGAAAGTCACTACCGCCGTCAGCGCTGATGGCACCGTTGCCGAAGCAGATGGCCTCCCTCTGGAGGCCGAGCCAGGCCAGATCGTCGCTGACTGGGGCGCCGACTCTGGCCTCTCCCGTCGTCTGTCCTCGCGTCATCTGCTCATGATGTCCATGGGCGCCTCGATCGGTCAAGGTCTGTGGCTGGGCTCCGGCTCGACCATCAACCGCGGTGGTCCCGTCGGTTTGCTTCTCGGCTACATGATCTCCGGCTCCGTCGGCTGGGCTGTCAACCAATGCATCGGCGAGATGGCGGTGCTGTATCCTGTCCCCTCGGCCTTCCCCCAATGGACACGCAAGTTTGTCGACGCCGCCCCAGCCTTTGTGCTCGGTTGGGCGTACTGGTTCGCGATGGCCATCACCATCGGCAACGAGCTGCAGGGTTTGACCACCGTCGTCAAATTCTGGACCGACGCCGTGCCGACGGCCGCCTGGTTGACCATCTTCCTGATCTGCATCCTGCTCGTCTGCACGTCCGCCGTCGCCATCTTCGCCGAGGCCGAGACCGTCATGACCATCATCAAGTTCACCTGGGTCTTTATCGTCCTGATCGTCTGTATCGTCATCTCAGCCGGTGGTGGCCCCAAGGGTGACCCCATCGGCTTTCGATACTGGAACTCGGACCCGTTCAACCACAATGGCTTTCATGGCTTTCTGAGCGTGTTCCCGACCTGTATCTTTGCCCTGGGAGGCATCGAGTTGACGGGTGTTGTCGCCGCCGAGGCCAAGAACCCTAGCAGGTCCGTGCCCAAGGCGGTCTCGGCCGTCTGGATCCGGCTTATGTTCTTCTACGTCTTGGGCAGTATCGCCGTCGGCATCACCACCGACCCCAACAACGAGGATCTGTTCGGTGGCAATGGCACCAATGCCTCGCCTTTTGTCATTGCCTTCCGCGACTCCGGGCTGCCGGCTCTCGCGCACGTCATGAACGTCATCATCCTCATCTCCGTCTGGTCCTGTGCCAACGCCTGTGCCTACGGCGCGACTCGCACCCCTATCGGTCTGGCGCACATTGGTATGGCGCCGAAGATCTTCCTCAAGTGTGACAAGTGGGGCAGGCCGTGGGGTGGTATCATCATCAGTTTCTTGTTGGGAGGTGGCCTTTGCTGTAAGTCTTCACTCACTCGGATTCTTCTCAGCTACTGACCTTCTTTCTAGACATGAACGTCTCGGAAACCGCCGCAACGGTCTTTGGCTGGCTCTCCGACCTAGCGTCTCTGGTGACCCTGTACTGCTGGGGCTTGATCTTCCTCTGCCACATCCGTTTCCGCGCCGCCTGGAAAGCTCAGGGTCACTCACTTTCTGAGCTGCCCTGGACGACCCGGACATTCCCGTACCTCTCCTACTACGGCCTGGTCGTGTGTGTAGTCCTGATTGTCGTCGAGTTCTACCTGGCCGTCTGGCCGCTGCACGGCCCGACGACCGCGGCCAACTTCTTCGCCAATTACATGTCTATCATTGCGATGGTGGTCATGTATGTCGGTGCCAAGATCTATTATCGCGGCCCACTGTGGATCAAGGCTGAGAATGTCGATCTGGTCACTGGAAGGAGGTATTATGTCGATGCCGATCCCGACACCGACAACTTGAAGAAGAAGCCCAAGGTGTCTCCGTGGATGTTCTGGAAGGCTTTTATTGGCGAGACCAAGTTCTAGAGAGAGTCTCAGTGGATCAGTCTCGATCAGGGATCGTGGCACGTTCAGTCAGCCCACAGATTTGGCTTGTTGAGCGTGTGGAAGCAGCAATAGGTGGTCTTTCTGTCGGTTTCGCTCCAGTCACATTTTCATGTATGGCTCGATAGAGAAGTTTGGAAGTTGTACCCGAATCAATCCAGTGATGAAGTCGACTTATTTCTGAATGCTGGGTCGTATGTTAAAGATGCTCCGATGTGGATGGTCGTCGTAAGGCTGTCTCCTCGAGTCTTCTCCAAAATAGAATCTCTATATGTGTGCTCAAGAAAGGGCCTTATCCATGACTCGGTGACAGTTTCCAAAAACCTGCAACATGGATGGACAGTCTCGTGAAATGACCCATCAATGCGAAGCAGTCAAAAAGATGGAAGGGATGTATGTGGCTGCCCAGACATTTTCCGTGGGATTACCATATATTGTATCTTTTTTTCGTCTGTTGTACTAGTAATTAGGACCATGACACGTGCATGACGGGCCTCTGGACAAATAGAGGCTAGATATGAACAGTATGCCCTGGCTGAAACAGTCGGTGCAATTGAGCCTGGCATTTGGTTACGATAAAAGGAGTATGGCATTTGATCACGTTCCACAGCCCCATCAGAGCCGGCATAGAACCCGCCACCCGTCACCCGTCTCAGATATTCTTCTCCCGAGACCTAAGGGGCATTCAATGGCTCTCATGGCGTCTTCCTCTCCTTCACATAGGCCGATACCGATTGACAACACGGAGACTTGAAAGAGCGTATATTCGATCACTAGACTATTCATCACAGCCAAGGCCGTATTAAAGAGCGATGACACTGAAAGTTTCCTACACCGTGATCCCAGTCATGGCTACGGGCGCCGGCGGCTTAGTCTCCAACACATAGCCACGGTAGGAATGACGGTGCTGGATCCAATCTCTGACGGTCTCGACCTGTTTGCCCGTGACACAGGAGACGGGGGCCTCGCGCTTCTCGGCGCCCTGGATACCCTCGATACACTTCAACCGGGTGGACTCGGTGGCGTGGCAGAAGTACGCCATCGAGAACCTCTCCTTGCCCCAGTCCTCGGGCCGGGGACTCTTGACGACACGGTGCCAGGTGCTCTTCATGACGCCCCCGGACAAGAAGCTCAAGGTCTCGCCGATGTTGATCAGCACGGCGCCCGGGATGATGGGCGCGTCAAGCCACTCTTCATCCTCGGCGATCGGGCCCGAGTAGTGCGGCGGCCGCACCTGGAGGCCCATGATGCGGTGCTGGAAGAGGAGCGTGATCACGTCGTGGTCGGTGTGCGCGGGGAGTCGGGTGTCGTGGTCCACGGGGCCGTCGGAGGCCGGGTAGTGCATCAGCCGGAGCGTGGTGAAGGACGGGTCGTCGTACTTGTGCAGATTGCCCAGGTAGTCGGAGGGCAGGCCGACGGCGACCGAGAGGCACTTGAGGATGTTCATGGCAATCTTGTCGTGGATTTCGCGCATGAACGACTGGATTTCCGGCTTGAGTTTGGCCAGCGTTGGCGGGTACGGGTGCTCCAGCGAGGATTCCTTGCGGCAGACCTGGCATGCTTGTCAACGATGGAACTTGATCCGGGATGTAGGATGTCAGGGTATAATAGGGTCGGCCTCCTGTGGTTGAGTGAGCGGGCAAAGGGTCTTGCGTACAAATGATTCTTTGGGATCGCCAGGCTTCTCAACACCGGTCTTGGGGTCCCGGTACGGTCTGTTCCTGCGGTTGTCGTAGCCGGCATTGTCGATACTGTTCCATGGAGTCGACTCCTTTTCTTCCTGGGCAGTCTTGTTGAAGAACAGGTCATGCTGGAGCCAGGTCAGTCTCAGTTATCGGTCTTGTCTTCTCCAATGGACAACACTCACAATCTCAAACATGCGGTCGATCTTTTCCTGGTCAACGCCATGGTTCTTCACATACAGAAACCCCCAGTTTCCCGCAACATCTTTGATCTCCTGCGCCGTGCCGTTGAAGTCGGTCTCCAATTTGGCCAGGTCAATGACCGGGATTTCAGTTTCAATAGGTGCCATGTTCCAGTTGGTGATTCTCTTTACTTCACAGGTCTTGACTTGGTCTTAACGTGGTCTTCTCGCACTGGGATTGATTCTGCTTATTGCCGGCTGCTGATCACGCTGCATGTCATCTGTACAGGGACTATCGCAATCCCCCCCCAACCAGCCCACGCTCTTCGCCGATAACATCAGACCGTGAGGGCGGAGATAGACATGCCAGAGACATGTCACGTGATTAAAGGCCATATGAGAGAGAGGCTTAAGAAACTAACGGCGAACTTCGAAGTCCCAACGGCCGACGGCCGACGGCCGACGGCGGTGGAGACACCAGGCTTTTGATAAGCGGCAGAGAAGGAATTTGACTTTCGGCCGGGGTCCCCAGTTCCAGCCTCGTCTTCAAGGGTGCGTATCGTTGACCCTCTTCTTAATCTGGATCTACGAGTACAGTTCGCCGGGGGCGGGTGTTGATATCGGGATCTCTGGACGCCTCACCAGGGCCGTCGACCAGTCCACGACAAAGCCTTTCACGTAATGTCTCGGCCATGGACAGCACACATCCCACAGGAAAAGACAGGTCTTCGCGGTCTTTCTGTCGAAGCCATCACGTTATGACCTTTCCTGGCCAGTATCCTATCGCCGGCCGATGGTGCAAAACTTGGCCGATCTATCGCCAAAAGGTCTCGCTTCAAGAATCAGAGCGATGGCAACAACACAATACATTTCGTCATTGGACGGTCCAATCATACCAGAGGCAAATTGGAACAGTGGACACGACCTCGAGTTCATTGCTATATGCAGGAATAGATCAATGGAATTCCAGCCCGACGCTCTGGCCGCCGAAAAACCCAGGCCCTTCGGCGGCTTCCAGAAGCTGACAGGGTCGACAATGTCCCGAGCCTTTTAACAACACTGATGTAGCGATTCTTCCAGTCTTGTCGTTCTTTCCTCATCCCTGGTGTCCCTCATTCCTGTGACTGAACGCCACCTCTCGTGTCCTGCTTCTTGTTTTAATCCCTCCTCGAGTCGTACTGTGGCACCATGGGCAGTTTGGACGAGACCAGGTATGTCGACGTCCTCATCGTGGGCGGTGGACCGGTCGGTATGATGTGCTTGCCGAGCCCACTTTCTCGATTCACCAGCTAATTGAATCCAGGTCTGGTCACGGCATACCAGTTAGCCAGATTTGGAGGCGTGAGTGTGGCCATTGTCGAGAAACATTCCAAGTCGGCGCAGGACGAATATGGACGCGCCATCACCCTGTATCCCCGCTCAACAGAGATGTTGGACCAGCTGGGACTGGCAGACGACCTGGCGCAATTGTCCTTTGCATGCCGCGAGACCGTCAGCTACGATCCGCAAGGCCGCGAGGTCCACGGGCGAGGATGGTCGTTCATGGAGAACATGAAGGACACACAGTGGCAGTTTGCGCTCGTGCTGCGGCAAAAGTACCAGGAAGAGATCTTTCGACAGAGGCTGAGAGAACACGGCGTCTTTCTGGAGTCGCAGGTCGAGGTCACCGAGATCAGCCATTTGACGTTCAAGGACGTGAATGACTACAAGGTCAAAGCGGCCCTCCGCAACACGGCCACGGGAACGACGTCGACCATCGCGTGCAAATACCTCGTCGGCGCGGATGGTGGGCGCTCGTTTGTGCGCAGCGCGTGCGAGATCCCGTTCGACGGCAGCACGTCCGAGGACAAGTGGGTGCGGATCGACGGCATCATCGAGACCGACATGCCCAAACAGCGCGTCTACGGGGCCATCGAGTCCCCCACGCACGGCAACGTGCTGTGGGCCGCGCTGGACCACGGTGCGACACGCATCGGGTTCGCATTCACGGCAGAACGGCAAAATGCGTATGCCGAGTTCGACGAGAAGGCGGCCGTTGCGGAGGCCATTGCTTCGGTGAAACCGTTCAGCTTGACCTTCAAGAAGGTCGATTGGTACACGGTGTACGCGGTTGGGCAGCGGATCGCACGCAACTTCTTTGTCCGGGGCAGTGTCTTCCTCGCTGGCGATGCGTGCCACACGCACTCATCCGGTGCCGCACAAGGCATGAACACGGGCATGCACGACAGCGTCAATCTGGGGTGGAAACTGGCCATGGTGCTCAAGGGTCTCGCTCACCCGTCGCTTCTGGAGACGTACGAGAGCGAGCGGCGGCCAAATGTCCAGAAGTTGATCGACTACGACAAGGACATCTCGCGACTGATGACCATGCAGTTGCCCGCCGAGTGGAAGGGGGACCCCAATGCCGACCCGAACGAGATCCTGGGCTATGTGATGGAAGAAGCCAGTTCTTTCACTTCGGGGCTGAGCATTGCGTATTCGGAGAATATGCTCAACGTGGCCGGGTCGTTCGCAGGGGGGTCCGATACTGCTCCCAAACCGGGCCAGCGTGGCCCAGACGTGGCGCTCACCAAGCCCGGCACGCTGGAAGCCACTCGTCTGCAGAAGGAGACGCCAAACTATGCCCGATTTTCCGTCGTCATCTTCTCGGGCGTGCCGTGTGATACGAACCCATCTCTGGCTGCCTTTTCCACCAAGCTGGCCCAGTCGGTGGTGTTGATGAAGCCTGGCGTACCCGTGAATTGGCTGACGATTCCGGCGGCGGTCGGTCCGTCGGCCTTTGAGTTGCTCGAGGGGAATCCTGTCGGGAAGGTCTTTTATGACCGGGACCAGACGGCTCACAAGCGCTACGGCGTACCTGTTGACCAAGGTGCGGTGGTGGTGCTTCGACCGGATGGATGGATAGGCACGACGGCCAAACTGGGAGAGAATGCAGTTGCCGAAGTAGAGAGATATCTCGCCGGCGTTCTTGTTTTATAATATCTAAAGAATGGCATTTTTGAGGTTCTGATATGATCGTGTTCACTAGATCTGGGAGCCGGGCGAACTCGTGTCGCATGCGATTGTGTGAGCGATGGACCATGGCCAGTTCATTGGGGGTTCGTAATGGACCCAGATGGGCACCAAATCAGCCGTTGCAGAGAACGAACAAGGCACGCCGTGAGAAGCGGTAGGCCTACTATTATAAAATACGCTGTAGGGCGGCGTTTTCACCGCGTGACTCCCTAAGGCGACCTGCTAAGCGTGGCGAAAAGACTGAAGGTGAAAAAAGACGGGCACTGGGAGTACGCACTGCGTACTGGTACGGGGCACTGGGTACTGGGCATTGGCACTGGGACTACGCACTGGGACTACGCACTGGGACTACGCACTGCGTATTGGCACTACACACTACGCACTGATACTACGCACGAGACACTAGTAGTAGTGGTGGTAGTGGTAGTGGTAGTGGTAGTGGTAGTGGTAGTGGTAGTGGTAGTGGCAGTGGTAGTGATAGTGATAGAGACGCTGTGAAAATCGCTGTCCGTATTCTCACCTTATTGGTCAAAGGCCAACTGGCACGTGACGTTACAAAAAACAGCCAATCGGATCTCAATATTCTTCCGCACCAATCAAATCCGCGGCTTCTTTGACGAAGTTGCCCTGTAATACTGTTTTCGCTTCGCTCAACAGGATGAGACAAGGATGCTTGCAAGAGCAAGCGGTCCCATTCGAAATATATTCCTTGATCGAGCCGAGTATAAATCGCGGATGCCCAGACGGATGTGCCATCACGTGCCATAACTACGCCAGTGTAGTTATGACACGTGATCCGGGAGCTTACCGATATTTTCCCGGATATTGGCAGCACGCGAAGCAGCGGCTTCTCGCCGGCAGTTGGGACAACGTTACTCGTCTCGCGGAGGAACGAAGAAAGAGTACGCTGACGAATCACTCTACTACTGTGTATTGCGATATGGCAGAAAGCTGAAGACCCGGTGAAACAAAGGGGCGTTGACTGTAGTTTCCTCCCGGTGTTTAATGGCAGACAGGCGTCACTTCTCCCCCTTCCCAACCTCAGCCTTGTCTCTGACCTATCACTTTCGTCTCGTGTCGAAACTGCATAGCAATACAACTATATGAAAGTCACTGAATGAGGAAGCCGGGTGGAAATCACTGCCTTGGTTTTTGCGCTGTCCAACGGTCTAGGAGTTTACCACCAGGCGCCGCTCGAGCAAGGTAGCAGACCACCATGTCAGCTTTCGACTTTGAGAGCCTTGCCTATTCTTCTTCGATGTGATTCCTCCGACAGGAAGAGATGATAAGCAATATGCCAGATCCAACCCCGGCCTGAGTGCTGTGCAGATTCACGTTGGCCTTCCCCCAGGCCGATCTCAAAACGCCTTAAGGTGACCTCTTCCCGGATCGAAGAGCCGCGATTCAACGTGCCTAACTACTACCACAGGTCTCGCCTTTGCCTGTACCCCATCCTTGGGCGTACATAGATAGGTCTTGGCACCAGCATTCCCACTGTGCCGACAATCCTTGTTTGCAGGTATTGGTGACGGCATCCTCTGAACATTTGACACCTTGGTTGCTGCAAGTCATGATGCCGTCCCAAGAGCTATACGGAACCAGATTAGCCCAGCTGATGCCTGCCCATGAAAGGAAGGGTTAAGTGTCGTGTCCGGCTTTCTTACCAATCGCAGTAGGTCTCACAGTAGTCAGCAGTCACCCCGGCGCAGGTAGGACTTGAAGCCATCCAGCCCCCGTTCATCTTCTTGCATGCTGCAACACAGAAGTCATCCGCGTCATGAGGGTCACCGGCGCTCGCGAGGGCGAAGAGGAAGGTGAAAAGCGCCAAAACCGCCGTGAGATCCATGTTGAAGTAGGGTGGAGTGGTGTGGTGGATGAGTGTGTTTTGTGGCTGGGCGAGAGTGGTCAGTTTATCGTCGCAGGTCATGTCACAGGGGTTATCGACTCACACCAAAAAGGTCAGCTGGTTTGATATCTGAGAACTGGACGGCGAGACAGTGACTTGCTGAGTAGACGGAACGAACTGCCGAGATTAAGGAGGAAGAAGCGTTGGTTGAAAGGAAAAAAGCAGGATCTCACTAGTGTATGGAGGTAATGAAAAGTCACGACTTGTAGCGTGAATCGACTGACATAGTGACCTCAAAGTCACATACCGACAGTGCACCAAGAGTCACCGGATGCAGACGTGAATGAACTCGGTCCCATGAGTATGTATATCTTTGTCGTCGGGCCATAAGCCAGACAGAGGGAGAATTTAATCAAGACAAACCGTTGATTACTGGTAGATATCATCCTCGTCTTCCCAAAGTAAGCTGCCAGTACTCTCTGACGTGTGGCAATAAGAGGGTAAGAACTACCACCCAGAGGTGACAAAAATCATGGATGGGTGGAGATATAAGCACATCCACTCACACTCGACACTCAACACTCAACACTCACGTCGGGCATTTCGCGGGGGAGAATGCGAGTATTAGAGCATCCAGAAGAGAACACGATGTGTCAGCGAAGATGAGGCAGGATGCAGCCACATAATGGCCTTGTTGTATAGAAGAGGTAAGGGGACGACGTTGAGAGGTTGTCGTGATGACAATCCGGCCACGGCCAGAGTAGTTTTTCCGGGGCTCACGTGCCAGGCCCCCTATTTCTCCCTTCAGGCGTCTTGTCACCTCCTAGTCTCGATGCTTGTTCAGACGTCCTCCTTTGTGCCATTGATTGTCAACGGGTATGGGGATAAAGGGGCCTAAAGAACTCTCCATCCACTATACTAATAATGCAGTAGAAGGAAACCGGATATACACACAACACACAATGTGCTTGCCTTCTGAGGTTCGACCTCCGCAGCAACAGTGCGTTGGCAGATGAGGTACCGGCGGAATGGAAAAGGCTAGCACTGCTGGTACTCACGAAATACGCTTAGGAATCCGCCACACACAACCACAGGCACGGTGTCTTGCAGGCGACGCGCTCTGCGGCGGCAAGGTCGGAGTCTGAGTGGCCAAAGCCTGCCGCTTGGGGGACGCTTGACACAGCACTTTGTTTTTCATGTCGAAACTGGGTACGACCACCTTCACAGGCAAGTTCAAGTTTAGGAGAAGGAGAGATCTCGAGGAGCAACGTCCCTTGATTGAAGGAAGACTCCGTCGTTACCTGCTGGACGCCTATTCAGTACAGGACAAGATGACATTCTCCACACATCAGCACAACTTAGCCCCTGTCTTCTATGCACCAACCTGGGTGTCCCAGATACGATGGTCATACTTCAGCCCCATCTTCTCCATTTGCACAGCAATTCTGTTCTTGATCAAGCTCACCTCCTCTGTATCCTCCGTGAACTTGGTCCTTACGAGGGTCAAGTTGATCCAAAACTGGTTCAATCTTGTCCTGTCATTCTGCGCATTGGCTCCCGATCGCTCAAAATGCCCGCCATACATGATTGCCTCTTGCATCTCGACCTCCTCCCTCGACAGATCCATCAACCCCCTGGTTGTGTTGTTTTTCTTTTCCCACTGGGTCACCCCGTTGACGACCTGTTGGTCAGAATAGCTGAGCTGTTGGGGCAGAGGCCAGGGGAGGACTCTCATCCTCATGCGATCCCGACGGCGACGGTGGTTCAGTGTACCTTTGCTGGGTCGAGCCTTGCCATTGTCAGGCTCCGCAGGCATTCGATCGATGAAATCTTGATGGCAGATATCTGGGTCCAAACGGCAAATGGCTTCCATTTCCCAGCCTTCGATCTCCGTGCTGACTTGTTGAGGCATGATGGTCGAGAACTTCAATGGGCGATCGAATGCATTGAGAAGCACCCGACCATGGTGATCCAGCTCTGGACGGAATTCTTGAGGAGCCTTCTTGCGGCGGTTGTTGGTAGGTGTATATGCCCATTCGCCAAGTGGATACAACTTGAAGAGGATCTCCGGACGACCGTCACGTCGACCAGCTTGCCAATGGCGGTATGGTGCTCGGCGGATAGTGACATTTTTGTCACCCTGAGGCCAGTCCGTATTGACAGCATACAAGAAATGAGTTTCATCGGTCCTGACGTATTTCTCGCCATTGACAGTCACGATATCAACTGTGTGACGAAGACGGGTGTATGCGTCGGCTTTCTTGATCCAAACGACTGATGGCAAAATCGGAAGGGGGGCAATCTGCATTTCTCGCTGTTCGCGATATCCATCTGCTGTGGGTTGTTCAAAAGTTTCTGCTTCTTCGACTCCGGATCCAAGATAACGTGGAGGCGCAGGAACCGCGGCCATACGACCATTTTGCGGCGTTGCTGGTGCGTAGACCAGACTGTCGTCATTTGGACGAGTGTTCGCGGATGAGGGGCCATCTTCCTTGACACTGATGTCTAGATCTACACGTTAGGTGAGCAACACACTGTGAAATAGGATTCAAAGCTGGGGTTCTTTTTCTTTACCTTCTGCTGGGGGCCTCGTGCGCTCATACGACTCCGAATGAAGGCCAACTCGCAAGTGGACTGCAAGGCCATCGCTCAATCGCAGTTGCTTGTTGGGAGACCCTACCCTGGCATATCCTGTGTCGTCAATCACTAATTCTGGGGCAAGTGGCTTTCGAACGCAAAGCTTCTTCGATGGTGATCTTTGCAAGACTGCTCGTGCACGTCCATTCTGATCAATCTCCAGCCTCGGAGCGTCCATTCTGGGGATAACAAAGAGGTGCGTAGCGTTTGCGTCTGAAAGAAGTTTGTATCTCTGCCAATTTGTTACGGCGACCAAAAGGGGTGAGTTTGCACAAACGTCTAAAGTCGGGTTCGCAGCAACAGGCTCGTTGCACGGGTTTCTCGCTATGTGGCCTTTTTGCTTTTCGTGGGCGAGACAATCAAGTCACGTCCTGCGGCTGCTGGATGTCGAGTTCTTCTGTTTGTGAGGTCTGGTCTGCCTCATACGTTGATCGCCGCGGCGACGACCACGACACAGAGGTGAGCTAGCGACCCCGACGATGTCACAAACGGATTCGGCAGGACCGTGAATCACAACCACAACCACACCCACGGCGGTTCGTTCGCTTTGAAACTGACTCGACGGACGTGGATCTTCTCATTCAGGGGTTCACAACTACGAGGCGGCTCACCTCTATCTCGAGCCCAACCCAACGAGATCAACACCGTCATCGTCAAGAGAAAAGATGAATAAAAACCAAAATATACATCTTCCAGGGCCTCAATCCAGTGCAGTAGTCTGGGTTCCGAAGTCGGCCATCTCTTCAAACAATCATTCACTGGTGACAAGCCCCCGATGATGAAACACAGCCGGCCAGTCAATGTGTGTTTTTCGTTCCGCTTTTGCCACAATGAGAATGAAGAGGTGTGCGTATTCACTACTCACATCCGTGTGACGAAGTGTCGGTATTGAGACCAAGGCATGACTATATGTGGGGGGCGGGCGAGTGGGTGAAGAAATCGATAACCGTCCTCGCTCCCTCAGTCCGCCACAAGCCATGAGAACAGGGTCCGGACCGACGAACACCCGTGCACACATGGCCCCAATCATGTCTGTTCCAGCGTGTCTATGGGCGTAAGACCACTGTCTTGTATGTATCATCTGTTTCCTGCACGATCGCAAGAGGGGGGAGATACGAGTTACTACACACTACGGGGTCAGTCAGCTTGAGGCCTTCTGCTCCGCTGAGAGGAGCCACTAGGAAAAAGGAGAGAAGGAGAGAGGTAGGGGGAAAGTAGATAGATGGGTGGAAGATCTGCCCGCCGCTGACCATCACAACAAACACCGACACGACACGACACGACACACGACGGGGCGTTTTCTCACGGGGCAGCAGCAGGTCGTTGTTTCAGGTGAAAAAGAGGTTCAGTACCTGGGCTCTCATCCGGAGAAAAAGTCCCAAGATCAAAGAAACACGTGGACTGAATGATCTCCTCACTTTATATATAATCTCTTCTGGCCTACGAGATCTTACAGAAAGTAGTGAGGCCAAACACGCGTTTCATTAACCACCTTATAGAACAGCAGCATTCAGATATAAAAAGGCATATTACCCGCGGAGACAACTTTTTGTTAGGTTTAGGCCATTTCAGCCCAAATTCGTCCCATGATTTGAACAATAACATTAGGTTTTATGTTTTAATATGCCCATTATACACAGTCACGGTCCACCAAGCAATGCATCAATCTAGTAATTGTGCGAAGGCGGTAGATGGCCTGGCCGATATGGCACCCTGCCCTCCATGCGTTGATGGAGAGGAACCTCTCGATCCGCGCCGCGATACCCTCCCTGTCCCCCCTGCGGCTGCGCAGGCGTGGGGTCTTGTCCGGGCAACTCATACGACTCCTGCGCAGAGGGGGCAGAGGGTGCTGAGGGCGCCGACGGTGCAGAGGGTTGCCCAGACCAATATCCATCGTGGCCCATGTTAGCATGTTGGTAGCTTTGGTGCGACATGGGGTTGGAGACTTGGTCATCCGGCAGCTGGTAGACGTTTCTCTGGTCTTCAGGTAGTTCGTTGAGATTGGTGAAGTAGCCTGCTCCAGCTGCGTTTGGCCCTGAAGGGTATTGGCCGCCCGGTTGAAATTGGTTGTTTCCTTGTGAGTACTCACTCTGGTCTGAGACAGACATGTGGGAGTCGCCTTGGCCTGGTGGCGGTGAGTTGGAGCCTCGGTATCTGAAGGGGACGACCCCGGCGGGAAGAAGCCGGTCTGGAGACCGAGGCGGAGGAGATGGAATAGGAGGAGATGGGAGCTCTGAACGCGTGTCGGAACGGTTCGAGGTGTCACGATAACCTGACGATATCGCTGCCATGGCTCCCATGCCTGCGGCCCCGCCGCCGGCGATGCCGAGCCCTGTCATGCTGGGTAGTGGCTCATCTGAAAAATGATCATGGGGGTAGGAGTCTCGTTTCCTCCGCCGTCTCATGAACCAGCTGTACCAGCCGCCAAAAATAGCGACAGCCAGAACAAGAATGCCGACACCGGCCCCTATACCGGCTTTGGCGCCTGTCGACAGACCCGAACTGCTGCCGCCACCGCTGTTCGCTGGAAGGAGGGTTGGGGCGCTGCCTGGAGTGCTTGTAAAAGTTGCTGGAGCGACGAGTGTGGTGGCGGGGTTTGTCACTACCACGGTGGATGTAATGGTGGTATATCCTGGTTGTCCATTTTGCGTGGTTTGGAGGACTTGAGTGACGTATGACGTGGTAGTTGTATAGGAGACTGAGGTACTGGAAGTGGTGACAACGACTGGTGTTTCACTCGTGCTTGTGGTGCTCGATTCGGAAGAGGAAGACGAAGTGACGGAGGAAGTGCTGGAGGTGGACGATTTGGTTGAGGATGTTGAAGGAGTAGTAGATGTAGAGGAAGAAGTAGATACGGGAGTTGGGGTCGGAGTGGTTATCGAAGTGGTGGTGGTGGTGGTGGTGGTGGTGGGCGAAGGAGAGGGAGTTGTGGCTGATAAAGTACTCAATATTAGGGACAGCTCGTAAGGGTAATACGACAATAGCATGCACGGCTGGCGGTCTAAAACAAAACAAGCAAAAAAGACTCACTAGTAGTAGTGCTTGGGATCGGAGAAGTGGTAGTCGAAGTTGTGGGAGAAGGAGAAGGCGTCGTCGTTGACGACGTTGTTGATGGAGGGGGCGAGGACGTGGTGGTAGGGGAAGAGGTAGTAGGAATGGGAGTGGTAGCTATGGTCGAAAGGGGAAGTATAAGCATAAGTCGAGAAGATAGAGGAAGTGGACAACGTGAAAGAAGAGGAGGGGATATCACTTGAGGTAGTAGTACTGCTAATAGACGATGTAGAGGGGGAAATGCTTGAGGTGTTGCTGCTGGACGATGTAGGAGGGGAAACACTGGTGCTGCTGGTGCTGGTGCTGGCGGTAGTAGACGACGGAGGAGGGGGTATACTTGAGGTGCTGCTACTTGTGGAGACGGTCGTCGAAGTAGAAATTGTCGTTGGTGAAGGCAGTGGGGAAGTAGAGGAAGAGGTGGTGGTGATTGGAACGGTGGAGGTAGAGGGCGACGTTGTCAAGCTTGTGGTAGCTGCCACGAAGCAAATGTTATACAAAAGCAGACCCGCGAGCGCAATCGAGGCAAGGCTGAAACGGTGGGGATATCAAGAGTGGAAAATGGCACTGATCAACTTACTGGTGGTGGTTGTCTCAATGATTACAGAAGACGACGACGTCGTCGTCGTCGGTGGGGGGGCAGTCGTCGAATCTGTAGTTGAAGGCGTGGTGGTGGTGTCGGTGGTGGTGGTGGCGACGACACTCGCCAGAGAGCTGACTTCACTCGCCGCCGAGCTGACAGCACTGGCAGCAGAGCTCAGAACGCTCGACTCTGAACTTGCGACACTCGACTCGGAGCTGGCAACACTGCTCGCCATGGTTGCGTAGGGCGGCTATGGCGCCGCAGGAAGGGGACGGGGACGACGACGACAGTGATCTCGTCGCTCAGCAGGCGGGGTAGCCTGCGGGCAGGGTAAGGCTGACGGAGCAAGAGAAAAAAAAGACTGAGAAAGAGCGGGACAACGAGGTCTTGAAGCCTCAACCAAGACAGCGGTCGGGCTAGGGTCTCGCTAGAGGTTGGCAGCTAACACCTTTGGAGAACAAAAGCCAGTAATGCACGAGGAACAGCACATTGTCGTTGGTAGCCTTACCAGGGAAAGCGGGGTTCTTTTTTCAGCTCCCACGCCGAGATACGAGTCCATTGGGGGTCAAAGAGGGTTTGAGTCCACGGGCGGGGTGTCTGGAGCTGGCCTTTCCACGGCTTATGGCCGAAAGTGTTAGCGGCCGAAATGCAAGCAGACGAGAACAAGCAAAATTGTCGGCAAGGTGTAATGGTTCGGAACCAATGGGGCGATGACGGGAGAGAGGGACACCGCAGTAGAGGCCAAGAAAGGCCAGTAAAGGCCCATTGAGTTGACCGCGCAAAGAAGGCAGAGGGTCCCAATACGAGCCGATTAAGCGAGCCATGCGGGCTGTCAAGCATCTGCTGCTGCTCATGACGGGTCAACACGAGCTCCGGCACGGCATGATCGAGTTGTGATGTGCTCGATCAGCCCGCCGCAGCCGGAGGGGAACAGTAAAGAAGTCCCGTGAGCAGGGAAATGGAGGAGGCTGGGGGTGTTTTGCGGCTCTCAGGGACAGAAGAAGGAAAGAAGAATAAGCTTGCAGATGGCAGATGCAAGGGCAGGACGAGCTTGCGGAACAGAAAGGATGAAAGAGAGGATCGGCAGAACAAGAGCGGATACAGTAAGCGAGAGAGTGGGAAAGATGGCCGAGATGATTGGGGGAGGAGAAAAGGACGGGAGGGAAGAGCAGAGAGAATGGAGATACAGATAATAGATGGATTTGGAGATGAAGAGTGGAGGAAGAGAGGGAAGCATCGAAGAAAAGACGCCATTGAACAGCACTGGGTATAGAACAAAACTAAGCCACCGCTAGAGGGTTTATCGATAAGCCCTAGTGCCCGATGGTCCCCTCCTCCTCCCACCCCGTCAGTGCCGTCACCACCTACAAAGTAGCATTGCCACTGGTGCCGTGGGCTCTCACGGTGCCCGAGCTGCCTATCTGTCGAGCTGTGTACCTACAGTTACATGTATGTACATGTAGCTGGTTAGGCCCTGACACTGTATGTACCTACCTGCTATGCCTCTGTAACGCTCACGGAGCTTCACCTTCACCTCACTTGTCCCTCCATCACCCACTACCCAATGCACCCGGCGAGCTCCGTCCACTGGACCACAGCCTCTCGTCGACGCCTTCACGTGGCACCATTGAATCCACACGAGGCTGCTGTCTGCAACGTCATGTTGACTCACAGACCAATCGTCGAACATAGCCACGCAAAATGATTCCAGTTTTCAACATAACACACACACCGACGCTTTTTCCTTCCCAACCACTTTTCACTCTCAATTCGTACGACATTTTCAAATAGTGTTCGTAGGTCGGCCGGACGGTGTTCTATATCGTTGCTTTGTGAGATCGCAGACTCCAGCTGTGTTCATTTTCTTTTTGAAGACTTGATTTTCCAGCGACTCAAAGATCATTAAATCGCGCTTCCCTACCCACACTTACAGTACCACGCGCATTGCAGTCCTTGCTCTTAGTCTTTCGCTGCTCAAGGAGCTTCCACATTACCCGTCTCTACCCCGTCTCAGGTCAGACTGCTGTATCATGCCAGCTGCCCAGGAAAACCGCGGGGCGGACCCCGTCGTCTGCGTCTTGTGCGTCGAGAAACACGGTCTCCCTTGTGTGCAATCCCCAGAAGGATGACTGACAGATTTTCTTCAAGCTGTGCTTCTTCTCCAGGGAAAGATCCCATCCATCTCAAGTCCGCACAAGATCTGGGTCGATCTCTCCATGAGGCCGGCTACAAGCTCGTCTACGGTGGGGGAACCATGGGAATTATGGGTGAACTGGCCAAAACTCTCGTCTCCCTTTCCGGTCCCAGTTCAGTGCACGGTATCATCCCCCGAGCCTTGATCCGCTCAGAGAAGGACCCTTCGTCCCGCAGCGAGACAAGTCGCTTTGGACGGGGGAAGGCAGAGCGAACCATGTCCTCGGAGGAATTGCAACGGATCGACAGTACCGAAGACCCAGATAAACAAATAGTGCCCGAGTCCGAGTTTGGAAGAACCACCATTGTCCCAGACATGCACACTCGAAAACGGTCGATGGCAAATTCGGTCCAGGCTGGTGCCCCCGGTTCAGGCTTTGTGGCCCTGGCGGGGGGATACGGCACCATGGAGGAAGTCATGGAGATGGTCACTTGGAACCAGTTGGGTATCCATCAAATTCCCATCATTCTGGTCAACATCAACGGCTATTGGAATGGTCTGTTGGATTGGGTCAAGACGGCAATAAGAGAAGGGTTTGTCGGTGAAGGCGCCGCCAATATTTTGGTAGAGGTTCAGAGCACAGATCAGGTCATCGAGGCGTTACGTGGCTATCAGGTTGCCCCTGGGAGGTATAAGCTGGACTGGTCATAGATCGGAACATGGAGCATAGTGAAACTCTGCAATCCCACCAATCTTGCCTTGCCATTTCCATGGGACGGCCTTGCGTTGCCTGCTACGCCAAACGCCGTGCAATATGCGTACCCATCACTTCTTGTCCTATGAATCGGTTTCCATGGCATCTGCCCCTTCGGTCGCCGTTGACTCCACGCTCGCCTCAAGCAAAGGTCCGACGTCCTGCCCATCATAGAGCTTGAAGGCCTCCAGCTTCTTCCGGCCGTCTTTCTCGCCTAGACCGATCACCGCCAAACTGGTGTTGTCCACCGTGAGTTCCTTGTCTTGTGCCAGAGACTCCTTCAAGGCCAGCAATGCATGTTTGATCAACTCTTCACGGCTGCAGTCCGCAAACTTCTCCAAATGTCTTTCCAGGTACGTTCGAGCCATCTGACTCCTTGCTCCAATGGCACAGGCCAGCATCTCCTGCGTCATCCCTGAGGGAGAGAACTCGAATAGATGGGGACCCAGCTCATCGACACCCGCAACCAGCAGTCCCACACCGTAGGGTCTTTTCCCGTAGTGTTGCGTGTTGGTCTGGGCTCTGTCGCCAATCATATTCACAATGCGCTCGACGGGTATCGCACGGCCATAGGTCATTTTGGAGGCGAGCGACTGTTGTTTCATAAAGTTGGAGAGGACGCGGGCGTCCGAAGCGAGACCGGCAAGGGCGACTCCCAGGTGGTCATCGACACCGACTATCTTTTTCTGGTAGGAGGACAGTTCTTCTGCGTTTCGCTAGAGACCTTTGTGAGCGGCGGATCTGTGAGGGTAAAGCTACTGGGGAAGCAGACCTTGAGGGCAGTGAGGACCACATGTTTCTTGCTGACGACTCCGACAACTACTGACCCCTGCTTGACCGCCTCTTGAGCATACTCGACCTGGAATATCCGGCCTTGGGGTGAACTGCAAATGAATCAGTACGTCTGGCACGGGGAAAGGTGGTCAATAAGCAGCCTCACAAGGTGACGGAGTCGTTGTCGTAATTATTTCTGAACATTTTGACTTGCAGATTATGTAGATGAACGGGACCGCAGCACGAACAGGTAAGGTAGAAGCTGAGTTGTGGGAGTTGACGTGTTTGGAATAAATTCAACGACAGCCAGGCACTTGCAGACGCGCAAACGCCAGGTTCTCGCGATTTACCACTACTGCGGCGGAGGAGCTTCGGCGCCCAGCCACAGCGACCTTCGAACATCCCTCACCATCACCTCACCACTTCGACCGACCCTTTGACGAACCCACGCATTTCTCCATGCAATCCATATAGGACTTTTTCGGACAGCACTACCCGGCTCACTTTCGCTTCGAACCACACTTTCTATCCTTCCGACCACTCGATACTTCTAGTCGCAGCGCTTGCAATTGCGCAGGCATCAAGGAAACCAGATACAGCCTTCCTCTCAATCTAGCTGCCACCCATGATCATGACGGCCGGATTGAAAACGATTATTGCGCTGTCCTTCGTATGCCGCTTGAGCCTACATGTTCTGCTGAAAGTGCGCGACTGACAACATGGGTCCCAGGTACTTGCCATCGGATTCCTCCTCGTCATCCTCTCTGCGGCATTGTTCCACAACTTCCTCACCCTCCTCGTTGTCGCAACTTATGTGTTGGCGCCTGTGCCGAACTGGGTGGCATCGAGATGTGCCAACGCAGATGACTTTATCGAGAGCAACTCCGGGGCCTGGATAGACCTGGGTCGCTTTGCTACGGGATTTCTCGTGCTTATGGGTATCGGTACGTTTCAGACACCCCGAGAAGGAAATGGCTCAGAGACACTGACATACACCACACGACAGCCTTACCGGTGCTACTTGCTCACTCCGCCCTTATCCAAGTTCCGGCCATGATTATGTCAATTGTAGGTGGCTTGCTGATATACGGCACCATCATCAGCTTCACCCAGTTTTTCAAGGAGGAGCAAGACTTTTAAAAACCAAAAGCGAAGCACAACCGCGCAGACTTTTTGAGGATCTGGATGCATATGCGAGGCGTCATGAATCTGGTTGGTCTAACAGATATTGCTCCGCAATGTTGTACGGAAACATACGAGGTGGAAGATGTTCTACTACTACTCTATGGATCACGCAAGCGAACTCTGGTATATTTGTATCAATGGGAAGTTGGGGGCTCAACCACAAGGCTGTTATTGCTAATGGATTGACTGGCTTCCCTTTCCTTTCCTTTTCTTGACAGTGGCTTCCACGATGTTCAGGTGTCAATGGAGGTTAAAATCTAGCCCATCAATTGCTGCGCATGTTTTCATATCGTGACGGCTGCGATGCACCTCTGCAGCCTGCAGTTGTGGACCAGATTCCATGCCCGTCTGCTTGCTGTAGCTCCTATATTCGACCATCATCATTAGGAGTTATCCCCAGTTATCCTTTTCGAATCCGGTCATCGATCTGGCAGCTGGCGCACATAAAACCGTCAGGGCTGGGCTCCGGCGCAAGGCTACAACGTTCGCCGGAAGAATTCTCCGAGTGGTTCATGCTGCTCGGCATCCACCCAGCACTGCCAGCCTGCGAATTACGATCAGCAGCAGTCAGAGTCCCAGCTTTCCACTGCGTCCAGGCCAGGACAATTAACAATTCACTCGAACATCACACGAGAACGATAACCCCATTCCTATAGCCGCACTCTCCTTTCTACGATGTCGACCTCACAGCGCCTGTTCCGCTTCCCCAAGCCTGCTTGGCTTAACAGCGCCAACACCAGGACCGCAGGCGTCTACATGTCCGGCGCCCTCGTATGTCTACCCTGAACCTTTTGTTCCTGTCCTTTTCTTTCCCCTTCTCGTCCTGCGAGAGGACCGACTCACTCGCTAACGATGCAATGCGGGTCTAACAGTTCTCCCTCGGCTTCTTCTTCTTCATCGATGCCAGTGTCTTCTCCAAATCGCCCCTCAACGGCAGCACGGTGCACATCAACTTCGTCGACTGGATCCCGCTGATCTGCTCCGCGCTGGGCATGTTGGTCATCAACTCGATCGAGAAGTCCCGCCTGTCCGCCGACAGCTGGTCGTACAGCGGGAACGGCGTGGCCTGGAAGGCGCGCACCGTCTTGTTCCTGGGCTTCGCCCTCATGGCCGGCGGCCTGGCCGGCAGCGTCACCGTCATGGTGCTCAAGTACCTGTTCAAGGACTATGCGCTGCAGACGGTGTATATGGGTGTGGCGAACGTGGTGGCCAACGGCCTGGTCATGTTGAGCTCCGTCGTGTTGTGGGTCAGTCAGAACATGGAGGACGATTATACATATACCTTGCAGCTGTGAGCACTGCTGGGCTGTTGCGCAGGACAGAAGAAGAGACAAGACCCCATGCTTCACCATGTCTGGGCACCGGGGGAAAAGCTTCACCCATCCAAGGCGAAGGGATATGGGAGCACGTTTTGCAGCGCAGGGAGCAAGCACATCATTACTACACTGGCAATATGGCGTATCCACATCACGGCGGTCTTGGGTTAATGAAGTCTGTACGAGGTACTTGTTCCGAAAGAATCGAAGGTTTCATTCATTGTATCTCTGTTCTCGTTCCAGTCCAAGAAAACCCTCTGGCTATTGTCTGCCGTGCTTTTGAGACTCGCGTGAATGCACCGATGTGCGGCTTCTGGCTGAAATTTGACCGCCGTCCAACTGCCACCTGATCTCTTGCGGTGCTAATCTGAACTGAGATCTTCCTCTTGTGAGGTGGCGTGATGTCGGGTACCCTTGTTGGTCCAGTCGTTGCTGGAGGCAAATATCTCTAGCCACCAGTGGACTGGGTCTTTCGGCCCTCTTCTACAGTACAGGACTGATGCCGGGTATTGCCACTTTGAAATTTCTTCACTCCGTACCAACTCTGCTCCTCCTTAGCTCACTCCCTGTCTCTGAGCTTGCCCATAATGGCATCAATCACGTCCATATCCGCAGCAGAGACCTGGTCGGGCCCGACAATATCCTTGGGCAACCGCTTTACCGCCTCGTTCATGGCTGGCTGGTAGTTTCTGATGCCCGAGCTAAGTGCGTACACGGCTTTTCTTCGCACACTCCGGTCGGCGTCATCGAGGGAGGCCTGGACGAGCCGCTCGATGCCGTTGAGGGCCAAGAGTCGCTCCTGGGCTTTGACGTTGTTCTGGACGGCCGTGCCGATGCACCAGGCCGCCATACGCCTGAGGTCAGCCGAGTGGCTCTCAAGTTGCGCCAGCAGTGGCGTCCATAGCCCCATCGGTTCAAGGTTGTTGGCGTTGTCAATGTTTTCGACCAGTTGTTCGAGGTTGTCAAAGGCGGTCATTTTGGCGTCGTGGGTGACCTCGGGATCCGAGGACTCGATGATAGCCATGGCTTCTCGCATCAAGTCGGCGTCGCTGGGACCTCCCATTAACGAGCGGAGTACGTCGGCTGTCAGACCTCTGGGTTCCCGTACTGGTTGTTCTGGGTTTCGACCCGCATCGGAGTTTTCGATACTCCATTGTAGGAGAGAGTTCAATCCTGGGTCCATGTCTGACGAGGTTTGGGACAAATTTGTAAAATGAGCGAGGTTTCGATTGAGAAGTGTTCAGGAATTATCTGTTATGAGAAGATGGAAACTAACTGAGGATTGTACTTGGAAAGGTGTTGATATTGTCAATCTTCAAAGCCTTCTTATGAGGTTAGGAAATGGGATGCCTGGCCAATCATAGGGCCAGCACATTCCAGAAGCCACTAGGAGCTTCCTGCACATTCGAGGCTCTCGGTCTCCCTGTGGACGGTGAGAACAGGCTCAAGGACAACCAATATGGCATTTCACAGGGTTGAGGACTCTTGGAAAGATGCAGACTCTTATCTCAGACTGGAGTCTTTATCCTTTACCTTGAACCACGATCTTTGAGAAGTCCCAAAGGGCGAAAGTGGCAGAACAGTTCGAATAAGAGCGGTGACTAAGAGCCGGCTTTGGTAATGGCGTTGGTGGCTGTGCCGTTAAAACGCTGGGCGAATGGGGTGGACGACTACCGGCGCTGATTACCCCGCGAATTGTGGCTGGGAGGCTTGAACTGCGCACGCACACAAACACAAAAAATTCGAAACAAAGAAATATGTTGGTGCCTGCTGGTGGTTGAAACAAGTTATGTGGGTGGACTGTTACACGCCCACGCCCAGGGGACAGTCCCATTTCCATGCCCCTGGGACAATGAACTGGGCGCCTTTTACACTCACTACGTTTCCCTACAGAGTGCTGGGGAGACGGTGAGCATTAAAGTGAGTCCACGGCTGATGTCCATCGATAGTGGGGCAGCAAAGTACCTCCTCTCGCCCCCATCTGTTTGCTCTCTAGGGATGACTGGCAGTATCGAGAAGCCCAGGGAAACTGTTGGATCCGTCATCATCAGCCGCACTTTGGCAAGAGCATTCCCCCTAACAACACGGCCCGGGTTGGCAGCTGAGAAGCCAATTCGCAGTGCTTTGATGGGGTCTGATCAGGCCAGCCTCTTGCCGGAATTGCAGCTGCCTGTTGCTTGGAGACTGGGTGACGAGGCTCATCCGTGCGTGAGGAAGCCATATTGCGTGGCCATAGCGCCACGCGTGGAGAAAATCGTATGAGCTTGAGAATCTTGGGTGCTGCTAGTGCCCAGTAGTCGGTGGTCCGTAGCGAGATGAATACGCAGTAGTAGAGGGCACATGAAAGATGCCTTCTCATATCGCCTGCCTCCCGTTTTATCCATGGAAAGGAGGCAGTCGACCCAGCCCGACTTTCGTGTCCTCGCCTTCCAACTCCTGAGGGTATTTGAGGCTCGCACCTGCTCCTACCTTGTTGTTCAGAAACCAGTATTGAAATCGTACTACTAGCATCCCCAGCAACGCTTTTAGCCGCTCCAAGCGTGGCCGTCTTTTCCTTCACCGAAAGCTCGACTTGCCCTCAGACTTGACCCAGCCGGTCTTGGCGCCTCGCAGCTGCCCGATTTAGCCCACCGCCCAAACCACCGCTACTTCTGCCGCTCCTCCATCTTACCCTCACTCAGCTTCTTGTCTCCATCCTCATCCCTTCTATCTATCCAATCTCCTTGCTCGTCTTCTCGAAGGGCTCTTTACCTTCGATATCTTGAGCATTTTCACACATTTCTCCTGTCGTCCCTTCTGTCCCCTCCCCCTCACCTCGTTCTTCAATAATCTGCCACAATGGAAGGTAAGCCAAAACCCAGCTCTGGTGCAATGGGCCTTTGAACACAGTTTTCATCTTGGACTCTGTACTGATATGTCTTTCTCTCAACAGAAGAAGTCGCCGCACTCGTCATTGACAATGGGTATGCGCCCCTGCTCTCCACCTGATTTCTTTGCCTGCGCCCACCCACAATCTTGCTCTGGACACACGAGCTTCAATCGCGGGTGCCCCGGAAGAGGAGGAGATTAGCGTGATTGTGACCACAATACTGACAATGATGTCTCCAGCTCCGGTATGTGCAAAGCTGGCTTTGCTGGCGATGATGCGCCCCGAGCAGTATTCCGTAAGTGTACCCTTGCCCCGCATTGGACGGTGAACATCACGATCTGACACCTTATAACAGCCTCCATCGTCGGGAGACCTCGTCACCATGGTATCATGATTGGTATGGGTCAGAAAGACTCGTACGTCGGCGATGAGGCTCAATCCAAGCGTGGTATCTTGACCCTGCGATACCCCATCGAGCACGGTGTCGTGACCAACTGGGACGACATGGAAAAGATTTGGCACCACACTTTCTACAATGAACTTCGTGTCGCCCCCGAGGAGCACCCTGTGCTTTTGACCGAAGCCCCCATCAACCCCAAGTCCAACAGGGAAAAGATGACACAGATCGTCTTCGAGACTTTCAACGCCCCTGCCTTCTACGTCTCCATCCAGGCTGTACTTTCTCTGTATGCCTCCGGTCGCACAACTGGTATTGTGCTGGACTCCGGCGACGGTGTTACCCACGTGGTCCCCATCTACGAAGGTTTCGCCCTTCCTCATGCCATCTCCCGTGTTGATATGGCCGGTCGTGATTTGACCGATTACCTGATGAAGATCTTGGCTGAGCGCGGTTACACCTTCTCAACCACTGCTGAACGAGAAATCGTCCGAGATATCAAGGAGAAGCTGTGCTACGTTGCCCTCGACTTCGAGCAAGAAATCCAAACCGCGTCCCAGAGCTCCAGCTTGGAGAAGTCTTACGAGCTTCCCGACGGCCAGGTCATCACCATCGGCAACGAGCGATTCCGAGCTCCTGAGGCGCTTTTCCAGCCAAGCGTTCTTGGTCTCGAATCCGGCGGTATCCACGTTACCACCTTCAACTCCATCATGAAATGCGACGTGGATGTTCGAAAGGATTTGTACGGCAACATCGTCATGGTAAGTCAAAGACTCTCAATCACACGAGGTAATCACTGACAACTCTTTCAGTCTGGCGGTACTACCATGTATCCCGGTATCTCGGACCGCATGCAGAAGGAAATCACTGCCCTCGCTCCCTCGTCGATGAAGGTCAAGATCATTGCTCCTCCTGAGCGTAAATACTCTGTTTGGATTGGTGGTTCCATCCTGGCATCCCTGTCCACATTCCAGCAAATGTGGATTTCGAAGCAAGAGTACGACGAGAGCGGTCCTTCGATCGTGCACCGCAAGTGCTTCTAAGTTATCTTCGGGCATCGGGTATGCTTGAACTTGAACACAACGCAGCAAATTTCTAGAGCGAGCTGTCAACGAGAACAAGGTCATGATGAGTTAAATGGCACGTGGAGCATAGATTGTGGAAACCAGAAGCGACAGGGAAACCTTCGAAAGTGCTCCCGCACGGCACGGAGGCGTGTCTGAACATCTTCAGGACACTTTGAGTCATTGGAGCGTGTACTGGGACAAAAGTAACATCTTCAATGAGTATCACCATTCCAGATAGTGTCTAGAACGCAATGCCAGCAAGCTTTAGGTGTTCCGTCATGTGTTCGCTGTTATGTGCACAAAGCAGTACTCTGAAGCAGTTATACGTGTGAGGATCGTGTCCTCGTGGTGTCCAATTCGAGATGCTTTTCCAGTCCGACTCTGGTCTCGGACAATTGACAACGACTCCGCGTACTCCTTGGTCAAGCTTTACTGATCTCTTTCCGATACATCACTACGTCCCCGGGCACCTCTTGCACGGTCGCCCCATCTTCTGCGGGCTCCAGGACTTTCCACTCACAGTTGATACCTTCCTCGCCGAACTTCTTGATGATAACATCGGCGATGCGCTCAAAATTCTCGGTCGCAAGCGCCAGTATGGTCGGCCCAGCGCCGGACAAGCAGATACCCAGAAGGCCTGGATGTGTCTGGGGGGACATGGAAGATAATATGGACGGTAGGGCTGGGATCAGGCCGGCACGGTAAGGCTGGTGGATTCGATCTTGCATGGCCGAGTAAATCAGGGAGGGGTCGGGAGGGGAGTCGGAGAGGACGGTGGTGAGCAGGGCGATGCGTTGGAGGTTGAAGATCTATGTCACATTCCAAAGGAGAGGGGGTTGAGTCAGTCCGTGAGTCGCCGTGACATGATGCATGTAGAAACTTACCATGTCTTGTCTGGAGTATTCCTTTGGTAACACCTGCCTGGCTTTGGCGGTGCTCACCTCGAAGTCCGGGATGATGGCCAACGCCTTGATCTCCTTGGCCCAGTTGAATCTCCTGTAGTGCCCGATGTTCTCGGGCGGGATCGGGGGTATCAGGCCCGTGTCGATGCCCCCGGCGGGTTCGGGCAGGACTTCAGAGAGCGGGACCTCCTTCCTGGCCATGTCGACGGGGTCGAGCTCGTTGAGATAGGTGCCGACGAAGCCGCCGTAGAGGGCGGCGGCGACGTTGTCTGGGTGGCGTTCGACCATGAGGCAGAAGTCCAGGAGCCGGCGCTTAGGGAGGTTCAGCTGGCCGACGACGTTGCCGAGCACCACGCCCCCAACGACGGCGGCGCCGGAGGACCCCAGCCCCCGACCGAGCGGAATGGGATTGTGGATGTGCACGTGCGTCTGCGGCGGGAACTCGTGCTGCTGGTGGCAGCGCAGCACGTACAGCGCCGTGCGGGTGAGCAGGTTGTTCTCTGGGTCCAGGTCAATGTCCTCGGCGCCCACGCCCGTGTATGTCACGGTGCAGTTGAGCGGGTTGGTGGCCGGGTTTGCGGGCGCCGACGTGTCGACGCTCACGCGGATCTCGAGGTACATTGACAGTGCCAGGCCGATGACATCAAAGCCCGGGCCTGGAAGTTCGAAGCAGCACATCGTCAGCAGGAGAGAAGACTACAGAACGTGGCATGGGGCAAAAACCAAGACCACAAGGCTGAACTTGACTTACCGATGTTGGCTGACGAACATGGTATCTCTGTCTCGCTGTTAGTACCGTGGGAGAGTGCATTAGGGTCAGACTCACTTATGAGATACATGGCGGACGCCGGTCCAAATGGACCTGGGGAGGGTGTGTGCTTTGAATGCTGTGGTGGTCCTGGTTATTATGACACACGACTAGAGAGAGGGTGGATGTTGGGAGTGTTGTGAAATTGGGGTGACCACTGCTTTGATTCTTTCCTCGTATCTTCCCTCTACCACATAAGATAGATGGACCGTTTCGAATGTAATTGGCCTTTCTCCTGTCCTCTGTGAATGCGAGCGTGCCAACCCTCCGAGTCCACCAAAGGGATTTTGTCGAGGGAAGCGAAAAGCGAACGAGATCTAAGCATCTTGACGGGCCAATCGGAGTCGAGCTTACGACCGCCACGCGACTCCCAGAATTTTTCCCCATTCTTGTGTCTTTTCCTCTCCCTATTGCATCTGACAGCAGCTACTTGAACCTTTGGCTTCCCTGCAAGTTATGACAGGAGGGGTGCAACGTGAATGCCAAATGCTTGGTCCCGGGGAAGGACGTGCAGAGCCTCGTTTCAGCAGACCTGGCCAGATTTTTACGTGTGCTGTCGAGTATATCATGGATGTCCACGGTGGGGAAGCCACATAGTCTGCAACACTATGTACGCCGAGATCGCAACGCATAGTAGAGCACCAGCGTACAGGCATAAACCCAGAACCACCTGAAGTGTCTACTGAACTATCCCAGGGCTAGGAAGTTGTTTTTTCTTTTGCCCCTCATCTCACTGCCACCAGATGCTAAATCTTAGTTGATGCTCGCGTGCTCTCACAAATAGATCCATGTTTGTATTGTAACAATCCAGTCCTCATCTACTGCCCAAGCAGCCGTGGTTTTGTTTTGTGCTATCGTTAGACAGGAAATAACAACTGGCCCTGCACCCATTTCTTCGTGTATATACTCTGTCGGGGTTTGGGGGGATGTCTTGTGGACGCTGCTTTGTCTGCACCACTCAAGCTCCCCACTAATACCCTTTAATGCACAGCCATGGCCAATCAGCCATATATGCGAAGATAGCCGACCCTGATACAGTAAGTATGGCGGGCAGTGGTGGGGAGGATTGTAAAATGGCGTCAAATCCTTTCCCAAAAGGGCCGAGCCGCGACGAGATTTTCCAGGGCTTGGCATCGGTCTATTTTTTTTTCTCTCCTGCCCCTCCAGTTGACGGCTTGGATGCTAGGAGCTGGACTCTGCGGTTTGATGATAGACTTCATTTTCACTTCTGGGCGGGACTCTGACTGCTCGTTTTCGAGTCCTCTTCTGACCTACATCCCTGACAATGGCGACGGAGAGACTTCGGGTCCTTGTTGTTGGTTCCGGCGGCCGGGAACATGCCCTGGCATGGAAGCTGGCGAGGTCGCCCTCGGTCGATGTGGTCCATGTTGCTCCCGGTAATGGAGGCACAGAGGCCGACAACATTGTCAATGTAAACATCTCCACCGATGACTTCACAGAGCTCGTCGCCCATGCCCGGAAGCATGGTCTCAACTTGGTTGTGGTTGGCCCGGAGGCGCCTCTGGTTGCGGGTATTGAACAGTTCTTCAGAGCCGTGGGCATCCGGTGCTTCGGCCCCAGCAAGGCTGCTGCGAGAATGGAGGGATCCAAGGCCTTCTCGAAAGATTTCATGCTGCGGCACGGAATTCCCACGGCAGCATTTCGCAATTTTAGCGACTACGCGTCTGCCCGCGAATATCTGGACTCGGTCAATCATGACGTCGTGATCAAGGCTGATGGTCTGGCTGCTGGTAAGGGCGTCATCATTCCCAAGACAAAACAAGAGGCACACGATGCTCTGAAAATGATAATGGTGGACCGAGAGTTCGGCTCAGCTGGCTCACAGGTCGTGATTGAGGAGTTCCTCGAGGGCGAGGAGTTGAGCGTGCTCTCTTTCAGTGACGGTTACACTATTCGTTCGTTACCGCCTGCTCAAGACCACAAGCGTGTTTTTGATGGTGACCAAGGCCCCAACACTGGAGGTATGGGTTGCTATGCGCCAACGAGAGTCGCTTCAAAGGATCTCATTGCACAGATTGACCGGGAAATTGTGCAGCCCACGGTCGATTGTATGCGCCGCGAGGGAATGCCCTTCGTGGGCATGCTCTTTACCGGCTTGATGATTACTGAAAAAGGACCCAAAGTCCTGGAATATAACGTCAGAGGAGGAGACCCGGAAACGCAGACCTTGCTTCCTCTCCTGAGCGACGATACTGATCTGGCGAAAGTCATGCTGGCATGTACGGAACATTGGCTGGATGGGGTTGAACTCAAGATTGAATCCAGGTTTGCGGCTACCGTAGTGGCATCTGCGGAAGGCTACCCTGGCACCTACGCCAAAAACAGACCCATCTTGATCCATCAAACAACTCCGGATGATACATTCATCTTTCACGCCGGCACAGCCAAAGACGGAAAGCAAATTATCTCGACCGGAGGCCGGGTCATCTGTTCCACTTCGACTGCGGAGACGTTGGAAGAGGCGGTGGCCAAGGCGTACAAAGGAATGGACTGCATCAAGTTCAACGGGATGCATTATAGAAAAGATATCGGTCACCGGGCATTCAAGCGCAAGGCACAGGATAAAGGCCCAGAAGCGGCTGTGATGACCTATGCCTCAGCGGGAGTCTCCATCGACGCAGGAAACAGCCTCGTGTCGAGGATCAAGCCTGCAGTGAAGGCGACCGCGCGTCCCGGGGCTGAGGCTGTCATCGGAGGCTTTGGCGGCGCCTTCGACCTCGCCAAAGCTGGCTACCACGAAAAGTCTCCAATCGTTATTGGAGCTATTGACGGAGTCGGCACAAAACTCAAAATTGCCCACGCGATGAATGTCCACGACACCGTTGGCATCGACTTGGTGGCGATGAACGTGAACGATCTTGTTGTGCAAGGAGCAGAGCCGCTTATGTTCCTCGACTGCTACACTTGCAGTATCCTCGACGTTGACATCGCGAGTGACTTTATTCGCGGCGTCTGCGAGGGCTGCAAGATTGCCAACTGCGCTCTGGTTGGGGGGGAGACGGCTGAAATGCCAGGTCTGTTGAGTGGAACCGAATACGACGCCGTTGGTGCCGCTTTGGGCGCAATCGACACACCGGCTGGGAAGAGAATATTGCCTGACACAGAAAGTATGGTTGAAGGTGATGTTCTCCTTGGTCTGGCCTCGAGTGGAGTCCATTCGAATGGTTTCTCCCTGGTCCGCCGTATCATCGAGAAGATGCATCACTCCTTCTCAGACAGTGCACCGTGGAATCCCGAAACAACAGTAGGCAGATCACTGCTCACGCCGACCCGCATCTATGTGGTTTCACTGTTGCAAGCCGTCAAGCGAGACTTGGTGAAAGGAATGGCACACATCACTGGAGGCGGGCTCTTGGAAAACGTTCCCAGAATGCTTCCCAACCATCTTGCCGCAGAGATCGACGTATCCACCTGGGGCCGTCCTGATGTGTTCAAGTGGCTTCAAAAAGCGGGAAATGTCAGCAACGAGGAGATGAGCCGGACTTTCAACAATGGGGTAGGCATGGTCCTGGTTGTATCTGATATTGCCTCAGGTGAGGTGGTCAAAATCCTCGAAAGCCAGGGCGAAACCGTCTACAAGATCGGTAAGCTGGTGGAGAGACAACAAGGAGAGGAGGCTTGCATCCTACAGAACCTCGACTCATGGGGACCTTCCTAGTCCGCTCCGCGCTGAATGAGCAAAACTCTGCATGCGAATTTGTGAAAAGCACAGTGAACAGTGACTTGAACTGTCTAGAGGATGGGAGAAACTATCCACAACCTGTGATGTCTAAGCGGAAACATGGTGCTTTTTTTCGGTCCGCAATACGTCGAGCATTTCAAAACATGGAGGCATAAGGGCCTTCATATGCGTCCGTTCCAGACCAATGAACTGATCCTCCGAAGCTTGTATGCGGTATTTGAGTGGTTGAGATACTCGCGTGCTCGTGACCTGACTCAGCGCCCCTGCGGACTTGCGGAGGCCTTTTCCTTCCGCCGCTCCGTGTGCATTTCAGCCTTGTCTCTGTGTAAAGTGGTCAATGACTAACGGCAGGGAAGACGACATGGGCACTCGCTGCACCATAGCTTGCTCCTCGGCTGGTGAAGCTGGCTATATATCAGACCTTATTGCCCTCTCTCTGGTACCTTGTCCGTTCTCAACAACGAATTCACCTGAAGACACAGATCTCACGCCGACAGAAAAGCGTCGCAACCAAGCATTTCATTCGCGGACGTCTTCATCATGAGTCCTAACACCACCATTGTCATTGGCGCGAGCAGAGGGATTGGCCTGGAGCTGGCAAAATATCTCGCTCAGAATCCTGAAGACCGCGTCATCGCGACCATGCGCAAGCCCTTCGACCTGGGGGCAGCCAACGTTGATGTCCTCGAGCTCGACCAGACCAACCAGAACTCTGTCGATGCTGCAGCTGCGCACGTCAATGCAGCAGACACACTGATCGTCAATGGTGCCATCGGCGAAGATGAGCTCCTCACCAAGATCAGTTCGGACAGACTGCTTCACTACCTCGACACCAATGTCGTCGGTCCTCACAGAGTCATCAATGCATTTCTCCCGGCACTGAGAGCTCGCAAGACCCGGAAGATCATTTACATCTCGTCCACCGCGGCTTCGCTCGCCGGGCAAGTCGGCGAGAAATGGGGACTTCGCGGGCCTTATGCAACCTCCAAAGCCGCCGGTAACATGTTGGCTGTTCAGTTCCACAATGAGCTCCACGAGGATGGATTTACTGTGGTGGCGGTTCATCCCGGCTGGGTCGACACCGATATGGGTCGGGTTGGCGGCGACGGTGCCATGGCACCGATTGAATCAGTCCAGAAGATCATGAAGATAGTCGATGGACTTACGAGTGCTGATGGAGCCAAGTTCTTCAATATTGACGGTACAATTCTGCCTTGGTAACGACCAGGCACTTGTGTTGATATTGTGGTGGTGGTGGGAACAAACAGGGGGACAGAACAACAGGGAATCATGAATACAGTAGATGGAATAGACTTTAGAATTTGGTGGTAGCAATTCAAGCGTGGAGTATTTCCCTCTCTTGCTTTAGTCTGGCTTCAATAATATATGCGAGTACTTGCCTGCAATAAAAGGGATGCCCGTGTTCTACTCTGGGCGTGTCAATGGAGAAGAGTGAATAAAAGGGCGACACGCTCCACTACGGAGGAGCACAACGGTGGACTTGGGCGATCCCTGGAAAAAAGTCCGAGTCTCCCAGCATGCGATTGAAGATCGTCAATTCCTTTTTTCTAACAGGCTCATAGATCCGGTTTTGGCTCTCTGCTATCTGATTATCTTGTCTTAACTCCCATATTGAAAAGTTCGTCTGCCGGAACAGACCTTTGGCGAACTAGATAACGACCGTCATTCCATTCTGTTCTCACTGGGAACATTTTTCACATGCTGCCTCGCTCGGTGAGGCATTACATATGTCCACCATGTCAATTCAACTATGGTGCCTGGACTGGCGCAAGGATACCCTTCGAGGTCTCTCCTGCTCGGAATCCCCGATCATTTTGCTCCAGCAGTGCTCAGACTCTTCGGACCCGTACCCGGATACGGAAAGTCGTGGCGGGAGATCCAGAGAAACAGGACGTGAATATACAAGAGCATGACGAGAGTGCCAGAGGCAAGAAACCTCGTGACGGCAGAAAGAAGACGACCCAGACATCCGGGGCCCAAGGACAGCCAGGGGACGGATCTGCAACAGTGCATTTGCGCTCTCGCACACGTCGCAGTCCGAAGTTGACCGCAGCCCAGAAAGATGAGCTCCATGCCATCTCAATGTTCAGGACGAAGATGCGCCAAATCGCGTCAAAACTGGTACCGGAGGTCGCGTCGAAAACCGAGGACTTGACCCTGGACCAGGTGCTGGATGGGTTAAAGCTCAAGAACAAAATGAAGGGTTTCCAGCAGGGAGCGTCTAGGCTTCGGTCCGCGTACCCTGGACGTTCCTACGAAGAGGTGGACCATGACCTTGAGGCTGTGGTGCCATTTAGGAGCGGGAATAAACCTCTTTCGAAGGAAGCAGCGAGGATATTGACCGCGCTAGGATTTCTAGACAGTCGTCCGGTCCTGGACCCTGTTGGTCTGCAGGCAGAGACTTCTCCAACATCAGACATGACAAGAACTTCAACGACTCCAGAGCCGCAGGCCCTCATTGTCGAGACTCCGAAAGACTTCCTGAACCCTCCGCAAAGCATTTTCCCTGCGACCGATGACCCCAACGAGGAGGCGATCAATGCAATGAAAGTCCCGCCGAGACTAAAACAAGATACAATACGGAAACATGAAGCCACACCGGAAGAAAAGGACAAACAAAGAATTGCCGTCATGCAAGGGGACAATGTACGAGAGGCAATGGCCGATGCCTTCTCACTTGTACCGCTGACGGAGGAACCCACGAATGTACCGAGACTGAGTCACGACTTGTCGCGTGTGCTCTTCAATCCAGGTGTCTACCAGCTACAGGATCCACGGTCGAGAGTATGGAACTTCGATCCGTATCTCGGCACCCTGATGCCTGCCTCCGAGTTCAACTACGAAGCCTTGAACAAGTACATCACTTCATCCGAGGATATCCACCTCCGAGAAGTGGCCCTGCAACACACGAAGCGTTACATCGGTTCCACATCAAGTATGTCAGGGGTCCTCTCCCATTTCCATTTCCTTCTTTCGGCTTTCCGGAGCCTCAACTTGGAGAACTTGACTCGAGGATTCAAGGATGACGGTGTCCATTTTACGAGGCTGCAGAGAGGCCCCACGGCCATCTTTCTCCGGCACAAAGACGGTGTATACGCCGTGGATGCGGATAAAGAATTTGACTCTGCAAATATCCTCATGAGCCTCGGCCGCTCCATGGAGAAGCTCTTGACACTCGACAAGGACGAATTCGAACGATACCGAAGGACCAAGGATGCGGCCAAGGATCCGCAGATGCCTGCCACTGAACCCGAGGTATATCACTATTCCGGACTGGGCGAGTTCCTTTTGCGTTCACAGCTCGACGCACACGATCCTCGCCTGCCTGGAACAGGCATGTTCGACCTCAAGACGCGAGCGGTGGCAGCTGTCCGAATGATGGTGCACAACCACGAAGTAGGAGCGGGCTATCAGATCAAGGAGAGGTTTGGAACCTGGGAATCGTATGAACGAGAATACTACGACATGATGCGATCCGCCTTTCTCAAGTACTCCCTTCAGGTCCGAATGGGCCGCATGGACGGCATCTTCGTCGCGTACCACAACACCGAACGTCTGTTTGGCTTTCAGTACGTACCTGTTTCGGAACTTGATCTGGCGCTGCACGGCCAGTCGAATCGAATCCTGGGAGACCAAGAATTCTCCCTCAGCATTCAGCTCCTGAACGACATTTTCAACGAAGCGACAATGAAGCACCCCGGTCAGTCCCTTCGGTTTCACTTTGAGGCCAGAGAGGCTACGGCTGTCTCTCCTCCGTACATGTACATCTTTGCGGAGCCGGTTACTGAGGATGAGATTGTCGAAATCCAAAATCTGAAAAAGGAAGAAATCCGAGCATTCGAGGACCGTCTCTTTAACCCGCGACGGACTCATGGGTACGAGGACGCCCATGACGAGGAGGAGACAGAGCCTGAGGCCGAAAGCGAGGATGTTGATTCTACCAACGACTCTACCATAGTTGCAGATTCACCTCGTCGCTCCAATGCCGCAAATGTCGCATTTCTGGATAGCATCATGGGCATGAACATCAATGAGGCCCTGGGGTCAAAGTCGATCGAGGGCCGTGCTTCCCAGATGGGGGGAAAGCATACTTCGGCCATCGAAGGGACGGCCGCAGAATCTCCAATGCTGAAGCCATTCTCGGGCTGGAAGCTGAATATTCGGAATCTGGTCAATGGACTGCCTGTCGTGCGACCTGAAAACTTCAAAGAGGGAGATAGCTGGAAGCTGCAATACACATTGAGGCCACTCTCTGATCACGAAGCTCGCCGGCATTACACACTCTGCAAGAATCGTCGCAAAGCCACGCTGGAAGCTCCGCAGGATACAGATGAAGCGGCCAGCTTCTACATTCGACGGCTCATATCGATGAGTCGCAGCGGAGCACAGTGGCGGCGCCATTTGGACAAACTTGATGCCCAACGCAAACGGGTTGTACTATATGGAGATGATAGATGATAAAATAATCTGTATGTATACTAGAGGGAAAGAGAACGCAAAACACACTCCTCCCTATTGAAGGTTGTTCTCGGGGCATGTCATACACAGGGTTAGCAATAGGCGAGAGACATGTCTCATGATCCGAAAACAGCAAAGCTATATTCGAAGCAACAATGGGGTTGCTCATGCAGCACAAACAGGGGAGCTGTCATATTTTTATATCTGCCTTTCCCACCGTCCACCCATGGTGACCCTTTCTATCTCGAAAGCCGCCCCATTGCTGAGACCTCGTCGACCACATGCTGAACCGGCTCCATAATGACGACGATGGATACCCGCGAGAACAAGGGGGTCCAGGCCAAGGTCCTCGTCAAAGCCTGACGGAAACTCTAGATGAATTGCCGCTGTGGCGTGGTCCGGCAATCTCCATCGAGCCAAATGCGCCAGAAACATGGACTTCCGGGCTGACCTCGCCAATCGCGCAGCATCTCTGATCCTACCTTTCTGGTTGCTAGGTACTCCTCGACGAAGGTTGGTCTATCCCACCTGCGCAGAGAGGCTCACTAGGGCCATCCGGATCCCCTCCCCCCTCCTCCTCTGCCGCTGCCACCGAGAGCCCTGCATGGAAACGATGGCCTCAATGGGTACCTGGCACGCCTAGGTAGGAAGCTGTCTTCCAAGATGCCTGTGAGTGGACTGACCAAAAGGATCGCTGTTATCACTCGTCCCATGTGCTCCTCCAGCAGTTCGCCCGTGGATATTTTACCCGTGTCTCTATCATCCAAGCAACAACCGAGCCGTTATTGCAGTAACCATTACGTCCGACTGCCGATCCACCGCCAGGTCCGTTTTTAATGGCCGTGGAGTCCTGAATTGACTTGTCGTGCTTGTCCATCACCAGACAAGATTTCCTCTGCTTCTACGGAGGACACACATCCATCCAACCTCCCAAATTCCCCACCACCACCTCAATCTTCTTGATCGTCTCATCTTGGACCGAATCCCTTGTACCACCTGTCAAACCCTCTTCCGCTCCTGCTGCGTCCTATGAGCTCCCAGACCTGACCTTGTTACTTCTAATATATCGCTCGCGGAGCGTCACCAAGTTCCAGACACGAAGCACAGTCCGAGAAACCGACCTCCTCAGCAACCTACGTATTCGATCCTACGCCGGCACGCCGAGTCACATGCTGAGCTTAACGCCCTTCCCGGCCATGTCCCGGACGCCGACAGCATCTCGCTGAAAGAGGAGGGAGGCACATTGAATGGCGGGTTGGCACGTCGGGGAAGTGCTCAGTCCCTGGGAATATGTGTACCTTGAGAGAGAACCCATGAGTTTCTCCTGAGACCTTGACAGACTTCGAAACAACGCTGCGTCGTGCAGCGTTTGCTTTGGTGGGAGCGATTGGATCACCTCTTGTCTTGTTTCCACCTTTTCTTCCAACATGGCAGACAAACGCAGGAGGAAAAGCCTGAGCATCTTCCGCCAGAAGATGGACCACGGTCCCACGATACAAATACCGGCGAGCCCGCTGCGGGAGAAGCGTTCCAGCGACTACCTCCCTAGTCCCGTGGACTCGGATCCCTCGAGTCCCAAGCCTCGCCCTCGGACCTTGCAGAAGGCCAGTCGAACCTCAGTGTTTGGATCCCTGCGCTCATTACACTCTCTCGACGAAGAAGAGAAGCTGGCTCTGACGAGGTCTGACTCGAAAGCGTCATCCTTTCATGAGGACCCCGACATGAACGTGAAGGGACTCTTGGGCCACAAAGTTCTTCAATATGGTGAAGTGCAGGCCGGCGGAGGCACCATGTTCAGAAAAAGGACGCAGTTCATGGTCCTGACCGAGTCACATCTCATTCGATTCAGGAGTCAAATCAAAGCCGCCGAGATGTTCCCCAGCATCCCCAACACCCTCCACAAGGGACACACGGCGAGAACTTCGTCAGTGGGATCCTATCAGGAACTCCAAATGTCAGCGTATACGGACATCACCTCAGGCGTCCCACTCGACCAAGTGGTTGCGGTGTACAAGATTGACGATGGACGGCCTTCTCCTGTGGTGGAAGTGGCATACCTTGATGAACGCGCAAGAAGAGCGTCTGCCCTGCAGCTCCAATTGAACGAGATGCGTGAGGCCGAGCTATGGATTGCCGCCATTCGTTCAGCGTGCGACCAGGCGAGGTCTCTCGTCGAGCAACACATCCAAGATCGAACGGTTGAGCATCTGGCGCGTGTCGTGGAGCGCGAGAGAGACTATGACCCTGACCACTTCCACGTCTTCAAAGTCATTCAGCGGCATGTCAACAAGTCCACGGGGAGAGCTTCAGCCGAAGATCTGACCAGACTTGGGTCTTCCAGCACCTGCTACCTCGTTATTGGTTTGCATAAAATTCACTTGGTGCCCCTACAGAAGCCTTCCACACGATCATCGAGCACCTCTCTCAGTGAGCTGGACGCGATGACGTCCTACGCCATTGTTACCTTGACTTCGATCAAGGTCGTGGCAGACGACGACGCATTTCAATTGACCTTCAAACCACCCACAGCACAACCGTGCATGGTACAACTAGCTTCGTATTCCGCCGGACAAATTGCACTGTGGCTAAGGTCCGCTTCGGAATACCTGCGACCCGAATGGCTTAGGCAGCCTTTCATCTTCGACGTCCCTCCAGAAATCGACGACCAGATGATTCCGCCGAACTTTCCAAAAGAGGAGCACGACTGCTTTGATAGGACGTTGATCGCATACTGTGCAGGCTATGATGTGGACACATCTCGCATCTGCTACTCTGTCGATTATGACTGTGAGGATGCACCACGCTTTCAGCTACTTCCACCGGCCAGCGGTGTCCTCTACTCCGCCTTAGAATTGCTGGCTGTGTTCCGAGCCTTGCGGTACAATGAGTCGTTCTCCTCGATCTCTTTCGCACGGATCAATCTATTGCCGCTGCGTCTCAGTTACGATGGGTTCGGATCAGACTTGGATAGCCTGTTCACGCGTTCTGGAAATCCTACGAACATCGCTGGCCACCAAGAGCTGCCCGTTCTGGCGCAGGAAATCAGGGTGTTGGCGTTGAAAAGCCGGCGACTGAGACGGCTAGATTTCTCGCATACCATTCCACACCAAGCAAAAGCGCTGGACGGCGAAGCCTTGAGCTGTGGAATCCTGGAGGCACTTACGCCGCTGTGCAAGCGGTCCTTGACCAACGTGGACTGGATTGTGCTCACAGGCCTTCGGCTAGCAGATTCCGACCTGAACTACCTTGTTGATGCCGCCTCGGAAAGAAAATGCCACCTTCGAGCTCTTGAGATTGGCGAATGCGGCCTCTCAGTCCACGACATAGACGTACTTTTGTCCGCGTTGGCCATTCAGGAGAGCACTGTCGAGGTCATCGACATATCCGGAGCGCAGGGCCGATTCAGTCCGGAGCTGTTTCAGCGAGGAATGGGTGCCTTTACCCGGATCCGGCGCCTGAATCTCACTCGAGTGCAGAAGACGGCTGGTTCAGAGGCCTTGCTTCCGCCAGAAGTGCTTCTGACTTGGAGACTCGAAGCCTTATACTTGTCACAAACCACTCTCAATGAGCAGACGGTAGACTCGATATCAACGTACCTGGCGACGTCGAAGTCCGATATCCTCCGAGAGCTGCACGTCAATCAGTGTGGTTTGACAGGATACGATCTTGCGACCTTCTTCCGATCGATGACTCGGGACAACACGCAGCCCCGAATCATGCACGTGAGTGCGAACGAGAACCGGCTCAAGACGGGCAACACGGTCCTTTTTAGGACGATTGCGCAAAGCTGTGGACCTTCATCGCTGAGCTTGCGGATGATGGATTTCGAGAAGGAAAATCACTTCCGCGAGCTGATCAATGCCCTGAAAGTCAATACGACGTTACGAAGTTTGGATATATCACGTGCCTCCCTGCCTTACGACGCCAGTGTTGAGACGTGCGAGGCGTTGAAAGATATGTTTGCTACAAACCAGACCTTGGAGGAGCTGGATATCAGCGGCGAGCACGCGCATCTGGACACCACCCGCTTCGGGATTGGCCTCAATATTGCGCTGAGGGGGTTGGAAAAGAACACCTCCTTGAAGCTCCTGCGCATCGAGTACCAGGCGCTGGGTCTGCAAGGCGCGAGCACGTTGGCCGAGGTGCTGGAAAGGAACGAGACCCTTCTGGAAATCCACTGCGAACACAACGACATCAACCTGCAGAGCTTCACGGCGCTTGTCAATGCGCTGGAGAAGAATCACACATTACTGTACATGTCCACGATGGACCACGATAGAGCAAAATCAATGGATAAAGTGCGGCGCGAGATCGAAACCATGGAGCGTGCGGACACGCCGAAGACTCCCAAGAGTGGCGGCGGGGCGATTAAGAAGGCCTTGACAGGGACACTGACTGGGAAAACACACGGGAAAGGACACGGGCATCGGCACAGCAGCTCGATGTCTTCCACGGCGTCCTTTACCGACCAAGACGTGGCTGCGGTGATGAGCACCCTGGACGAGAAGTGGGATTTGCAGGTTTCCCGGATGCAGAAATACCTGTTCCGGAACTACTGTCGTGCAGAAGGGGTGCCTTGGGAAGATGGTGCCGGGGACGGGGACAGCCGGCTCTCCACCGCAGTGGGCGACTCCTCGATGGCGCAGCTCTTGCAGCGCGTCAAACTCGACCGGACGCCAACCGCGGCACACCCGGATGCCTTGGACTATATCGACGAGAAGCTGGGAGGGGACAGTGGCGGCCAGGTGATATTCCAGATTCCGAGGATTGATGCCTGACCGTGTGGCGGACACCCCGGGGGATACACCGACACGACAGCCCTTTGGCTGGGCGGGCCTACATGTACAGGGGGCAGTGGGAGGTTCAAAATTGGAGGTTCAGTGACGATATTGGTTTTTACTTTTTCTTGTGATACCCACCAATTTTGTTTTTCGGGGTTGAGTACAGGGGTTTGCTCCGGTGGGCTGGATATCAAGCAGTTATGCATAGTATCGCCAAGGGGGGGTGCAAAGCACGACGACAAGGGAGATTGAGCATAACAAGGAGTTAGTCGTACGGGACATGAGTATCGGATGCATTATTGGGTGCTTGAACGTTATGCAGAATGGACCGGATTCGAGAGAAAGCGGCACTTGTAAAGCAAAATTTTGTACACCGAAGCCGAGAGAGAGAGAGGGAGAGAAGGGGTCAGCCTCAGCCCAGTGAGCCTCAGCCTCAGGGGCAATGCGATATGCCAGTTGCATCCACATGACCATGCAGTGAGACCTGATAGATGAGGTGGAAAGAAGGGCGATGCATAACCGAGGCCCGTAATCCAGTCAATGTCCTCAGATGACTGTATGAAGTTGCATGATGCAGATGTACGGGTGGGTGAGCCTTACGGCCGCCGGGGGCGTATTCGGTTTTGCGAGAGATAAGGAGAGACAATATTAATAAATTTGTTTCGTTCTAGGAAAGTGATCAAAATCGACATTGGACCCTTACCCTTCCTTACCTGACTTCGCCATCTCAGGCACCGACGAATAATTCATCGAAAGAGATACTGCTTTGAGCGACGAGTGGAGGTTTAATCATCCGGGAGTCAGCACCCTAAGTAAGGCCTCTTTTGTCGGGATGAGGTGGATGGATGGAGAAAATTGGCGCGTCGCGGGGTGGCGGGCAGGCAATCCTCAATCCTGAGATGGTGGTGGTGGTGGTTGTAGTCGTAGTCATGGAGTCTTTTTTGCGAGACGTAGACTTATGGTGGTTGTAGCTGGTTGGTGCGATTCGTGCGAGGGAGGAACGTGGGAATGCGTATTGGAGGAGGAGCAATCCGAGATCCGCATTTAGAGCAGAGATACTTCAATACGCCGAGCTCTGGCTATGTTATATGACGGAGTAGTACGAGGTATTGTCCCTCGTACTCTTTTGCAATCAGTTGGAAGGCGTCTTGGCGTCTCTCAGGGTGAGAGTCAGGGTGGACGATGGGAGGTGATATGACCTCGTAACTATGAACTTGCTTGCTTGCTGTGCTCTGCTGTGCTGTGCTGTGCTTATGGTGGCCATGGGATGAAAAAGAGCATGATGATGAGTGAGTGTACGAGGTATTGCGTATGTCATTGCGACGCCGTGATTCGGTGATTCGTGATTGATGGGGAAACGACGTGCTGTCATGCAGTGTGTGACGGGCGTGACAAGGGATGCTGCAGGCACTGCCACAATCTTGGCCCTCGCGACACGAGCCTCGATTGGTTCGTATACCGACGCTGCGCCAATCGCTAAGCGGCTTGACTGCTAAACTCCAGGCACGCTGCCACCCGCAACAAGAATTTCCCTTTCTTCCTCTCTCTCTCGCCTTCGTCTTGTTACCTACATACAAAGGGCCCAACTTCTTTTCCCTCGTTTATTTCCTTTTCGTCGACATCATCGTACGCTAGTCCTACGGGTTCACTCCTTCATACCTAGTCTCTCCTTGACCTATTCCCCCCCAATTGGACTTTCTCCCATCACCCCCCTATTATAATCGTACTTGTACTTCGAACTCAACCTGACCTTCCCACACCTGGTAGTAGTTACCCCCAGGCGAACCATGCTCCTCTGTTGTCCTTGAGTCCTCCATTCCATCTCTTCCAGGAGAACTTCATCAGGCCGCCCCAGCAACCTCGAGGGCCTCTCTTGTAACCTCCGATCATACACCAACGACCCTATCTCGAATCATCCTGCGTAACGAATTTGTGTCAAGATGCGGCGCAGTCTGTTGGTGTTCCTCTTGGTGGCTGTCCTAGTGTTGACCCTCCTCCTACACTCGGTGTCGACCCTCCTCTCCCTGCTCATAGAAGACGCGTCGCGGGACGCCATCCACCGATCAGAGCTGCCTGCTCCGAACTCCACGCTCCTTGAAAACCGGCCACACCTAATCCCCAAGATCATTCACCAGACCTACATCAACGAGTCCATCCCTGCCCACTGGGTCCCCGCCCAGAAGTCATGTATAGACTTGCACCCGGACTACGAGTACATACTGTGGACCGACGACAAGTCTCTCGATTTCATTGCGAAGGAGTATCCGTGGTTCCTGTCGACGTTTGTCGGGTACAAACACAACATTCAACGGGCAGATGCGATCCGGTACTTTGTGTTGGCACACTATGGCGGCGTGTACATCGACCTGGACGACGGCTGCCAAAGGAGGCTGGACCCGTTGTTGTCCTACACGGCGTTTGTGCGGAGGACAGTTCCCACGGGTATCAGCAACGATGTCATGGGCTCGATCCCGCAGCATCCTTTCTTCTTGAGGGTGATGGAGTCTCTCCAGGGTGCCAACAGGTCCTGGCTCCTGCCGTATATTACCATCATGGCCTCGACCGGGCCGTTGTTTCTGAGTGTGATCTGGAAGAAGTGGATGGGTGAACACGCTCATCTCGATCCCCAAACCTGGATCGGCCGAGTCAGAGTGCTCATGCCGGACGAGTACAGCAAATATTCGTGGTCGTTTTTCAAGACCTACAAAGGCTCCAGCTGGCACGGCAAGGATGCACGGTTGATATTCTGGATGGGCAAGAATTGGGTCTTGCTGACCGTGCTGGGATTTCTCCTCGTCATGACCGTGGGCTTCTTGTCCTGGTTCATTTACTCGAGGCTGCTAATTTTGAGCGCGAGGCGGAGAACTGCTAGGGGCAGTCCCCGTGTGGTCGCGTTCAGATTTCCCGGTGCTGCAAAGATGCCGCTCTGGCGGATGTGGGCCGGTGGGTTGGGAACGAAGAAGCAGACATACGAGCTGGTCGCTCAGCATGATGCATGACCTGCTGCTACCGTGGGAGTGGATGTGGACATTAGCTTCTATAGCAGCGTCGTTGGAGATTCGGCCATGGTCGACACACAACAGCATGGGGATTTTGAGAGCGAAGGCGTTCAGGCGAGAAGAAAAAGAAAAAGAATCAGGCTGCCCATATATGAGACGTCCGGGTGGACGGCCTCTTGCGAAAGACAGCGCAGCCGGGATGTACTGGGGATGAGATTCGCCATGCTGCATTTATTTGCCTTGATCACCGGGTGTCTTGTGCTCCTGTTCTTCCTTTTTGGACACGGCTCGGGTGATGTACAACGCACTTTACGATATTGTAATAAGACATGTTTCCCCTTTGGACCTACATACGTTCTTGACCTGATTGCCTGGTCGAGACCAGCGGTTCGCTGGCTGGCTGTGCTGGTGCTGGTGCCAAACGCGTCTATCTAGCGGCAGATTGGGATTCAATCTCCACCACAATGTCGTGGAGGCGATAAGAATCCACGAGTAGGCGAACTGTCGAGTACGCCTTACCATGCGTTAGATGATTCAGAGCTATGGGTCTCCTACATTACAGTATTCCCGGTAATATGTACTTCACCACTTCCGTTTCCTGGCATGTCGCCTGACCAGGCAAGAGATTGTCTGTTTGTCTTGGTAATTGAGCATCTACAGTATGTAACCCCCCCTTGCGGCAGTGGCTGAGACCGACATGCATGTTCCGGTATCGATGCTAACTTGGATCAGGCAAAGGCATCTCCCTTCCACCGCCCCGCATCGACTGTTCGACAATGTAATAATGTAACGACTCTACTCCGTACAGGGTAATATCATCTCCTCTTCGGCCCCTCGTCCCCCAGACCCAGCCTCAGAGTCTCATACAAAGTGGCCTAGTCCTGTAAGTCCAAGTCTGCAGAGGAGGGCTAACCACGCTACCACTCCTCGTTCCTGATCTCCCCCCAGTTCCGGATGTGTCGACCGGTGCAGAGACATGGACAGGGGCTGGGACAAGGATAGGGACACAGACTGACTTCCCCCCTTGGCGAAACCAAAGAACCAACTGGCCCCCGCCCCAGCATGGGCGATAAGCTCCCTGCTCGTTCGACATATTCCGTGCTATATACCGAGTACCCTGGTTCTCTTTGATACGACGCCACGGGTCTCCGAGTGCGTCCTCGAACGTCAAGTATGTATCCCCGTTTGGGACCAGCCAGGGACATCCACACTCGTTGTTGAGGTTCTAGAGCATCCTCTCGAACGTATCTGCAACGCCACCTGGCCCCGTGGCCCTGGGGCTGTCCTGACGCTTCATGGAGGAGTGCCAGTGAACTCTCCATTCTGCACATCGTCCGAGCTCATTGCAGCCAGGTAAGAGTACGCCGGAATTGATGTCAGGTGCGAGGCCATGTCGTACTTCGAGCACCACCACCACTACCACCAGCCAGTATAGAGTTCCTGTGGCTGCTTCAATCTGCCACACTAGGGACAGAAAAAGGAACGCCAACTGGCATGCATGCATATGCTTGACAGCAATGCTGGGGGCCAAAATGCTGCGGCGCCGTCCCAACTTGTTCGAGCTTTGCAAGAATGGTTTCCGGCCAACCCCCGCGGCATGATACGCAAGGGTAGGGCGTTCCAGATTCTCTGTGTTTGTGAAAGAGAGAGAAAGATGGAGCTGCTCGGCATTATTGTATAACATGGTCGACCTCTACTGGATTTGAGGTGAGTTCGCTGAGGTCTGTCCACGTTTTACTTCCAGGACGAAATCAAAGCAAGGCCCTGAGCCTCGTTAGTTGTGTTGTGGAACATGTCACTGTATTGTTATCTCTCTGTGATTACATGGGCTCTCAGCCTGATCGCTACATCTGCGTCTCCTGCCTCAGACGTTACATTCAGCAGCTACAATGATGCTGGCCTGACAGAGGTCGAGACGCTGCGGATTCTTCGCCGCGCCCTATCTTCGTCTGGGTCCGAAGAGACGGTGAGCCTCTTCGACGAGACTCTCGATAAGAGCTGGGATGAAGCAGTGCTATTTGCCATGTATGGACAATTACTCCTTTAATTTTCTCCTCGAGAAACACTCGCGTTCGTGTGGCCAAATGTCTGACTGGGGCATTCACAGCACGATGGACGCGGACGCGGACGTGTCGACGGGCACCGGTATCAATGGCTCTGTCGAAACGCAATACGGGGTCCAGATCGTTTGTTCGACCTGCTACATCGCCGGCAGGGTCAGCGGACAGCTCACCCGCAACGCCGACTTCAACATCACGGAGCTCGAGGACGGTGCCCTCGACCTGGTCAAGAACATCACCGAGGAAGCCGGACAGGCCCTGGCGGATCTCGCCGACGGCAACGCCAACTACACCGAGATAGATTTCAACGTCGCGCTCCCTAGCTTCCCGGACTTCGATTACCGTCTGCAGTTCCGCTTCGACGACCTGGAGCTCTACATGCAGCTCGACACCGTCCTCTCGGTTGAATCCACCTACACCATCAACCTCTACACGTCAAAGACCCCCGCGGGTGTCAGCCTGGGCGATCACTTGGCGATCGGTGCGTTCTTCACCGTGGACCTGATCCTGACGGCGGCCGCCGAGGTGGATATCAGCAGCGGACTGCACCTCAAGGTCGACGGAGTTGGCATTAATCTGCAGATGTTCAACCAAAGCGTGGACAGCATAACGCTGTAAGGCATTGTTACTCCTCCTCCTCCTCCTCCTCCTCCTCCCACCTTTCTTCCCTACTAACGCGACCCGTCTCTTCAGCGATGGCGGCATGTTTGAGTTCCTCCCGGTCCACGTCGAGGGTGCCGGCTTTGTGCTCACCGGCGCGCTGCGCGTGGGTCTCCACGCCGGCATCACCTTCGACATCGACTCGTCCCTCACGATTGCGAACCACACGCTCGGCGCCTCGGCCGGCTTGGAGGCGGGAGTCTTTGCCAACATCGCCGAGTTCGTGGCCAACGTCACCTACGACGACAGCGGCCGTGACGGCGACTGCGAGCTGGCCCTCGTCGAGTCCTTCACCATGGCCCTCGGGGCCGCGGCGGGCGCGTCGGCCGCCTTTGACCAGACCACCTGGGGCCCGACGCCCGAGACGGAGGTGCCTATCTGGTACACCGAGCTGGGCTCCGCGTGTGCGGCGCACCGGAGCTCGTCCGCGACGTCATCATCATCATCCGCGCTCATCACCGCGAGAGACGCGACGAGCGGCGCCGTGTCCCTCACGCTGGCGACCGTCACCACCGAGACGACGTCCTCCGGCGTCGCCTGCATCTCGCCAGGGCTGATCAACTGCCCCGTGTCGCTGCAGACCACAAAGACATTCACTGCGACCCTGACGTCGACCACCTCGGTGCCATTCGGTTCCGCGGCGACGTGGCCTGCTACGACCAGCCCGACGCCCGTGCGGACCGTGGCGTTCGGGTCCAAGGCCAAAGCCTTGTCCGCGACGACGGGGAGTCCGGTCTCCTACGTGCCGCCTCCGCCTCCGTCGTCGACAACATCGTCAGCCACATCCAGCGGGACCGCTCAGGAAAGCCACGGAAGTCACGAGGAGAACCATAAGGCGCTCATCATCGGTCTCTCCGTTGGACTGGGCGTGCCGGCGCTGGCCGTCATTGTCGGGCTGACGCTCTGCTTGCTCCGGGGCTGGAAGAGATACACGCCCATGCGAAAGGATGAGGGCGAGAGTCACGGGCTCGGCGTCGTCACGGAGGAGGGAGAGGAGGAGATACAGCCGGCTTCGCGGCATGAACGGCAGGGGATGCTCAAGGGGATGACGACTGTCGAGGTGGACGAGGCTGATTGAGTGGATTGACTGACTGACTGACTGAGTGGTTTGGGGGGCGAAGGCAGTGTCCTCCATCCCTGCCTCCCTGTGTTTCTGTCCTCCAAAAACGACCCCGATCCCATTGTATATATGAGCTTTCATTACAACTGTACAGTACAAACAGCATCGAGAGATTGATGACCTGGAGTATCGGTACTCCGAGGTCCATTAAACACACCATGTACCAGGCATTTCGTAATGAGAAAGAAGAGAGCAGAGCACGGCTGTTGATATACATACAGACGTGCCGCTACTCGCCCTTCCTTGTACCTGGTACATACATACCCTGCTTCTGACTCGTGCCACCCTGGTGTCGGTCCGGGCGGCCTGCTTGACACATGCTTCTATTCCGGCACAGATCTCCGTCCCTTCCTGCATACGGGACTGGAAACCCGTGGCGCACTCCGCTGTTCAGAAGATGGGAAGATGTGTAATGTTTTCAGAGGGTGGGTGGTGTTCGTTCGGTGGATATGCTAGAGGGTGGTGTTCGCCGGCCAGAGCCAGCGTCACATATCCGAGGGTCGCCTTCGTCAAGGTCGCATGGATATAGCAGGGTGGTTGGTGTAGAAATCCGATGCACAACTTTTTGTATGACAAGTGTCCGCAATACTCCTTTTGTCCCCCTACCTTTTCTTTCATAACGCAAGTAAAACTCAGATGTTCCCTACTTCCCGACTCCGCCATCGCCATCGCCGGCCGGGGAGGCTTTCTTCTGTGCGCGTTCCTCCGCCGCGATCCTCCGCTCGACCATCTCGCGCACCTCCCGCTCCTCCTCCCAGGCCCGCCGGCTCCGATCCACCGCCCGACGCTGGCGGCGGATGCCCTCGTTGAACTCGGCCACGCGCTTCTCGGCGAAGATGCAGCCGCCCAGGATCATGGCGCTGATCTGCAGAAACACCTTGAACTGGATCGTCAGCCCGCGGTACACGGGCGTGGAGCGGTTGAGCAGGAAGTGCGTCGCGAAGCTGATGGTGCCGAAGCGGAGGGCGCCCGACGCGAAGCCCTGCGCCGCCACCTGGCTCAGTTGCGGCGGGGGCAGCGGGTCGGTGATGTACGAGGGAGGCGGCATTGTCAGGGTCGGGGAGAAGAGAGGGATGAGAAGGATGAGCGAGCGGTTCAGGTGAAAGGGGTGAGTTCGGTAGTTGGAGGAACCTGGGATATTGATCGGCCTTTGATGACGAGGTTTCTCTTTTGCTTTGGACTGTTGGCTGGGGATGAGACAAGACGATCCTTTTGCTGTTGGGATTGAGATTGCAACAGACCGAAGAAGGACGGCTTCGAGGCAGATGTACTCGGTATCAACAGTGACTCTGAGGCACGAAGCTCTGGCTGTCGACCCAATGATGACGTTGATTTTGCGGACGGCGGCCGGGAAATTGTCGGTTGATTTCTTTTTCCCAAGAAAAGTTCGCGACGACAAAACGAATAATATTAATACACAGGCCTGAAGACTGCACGGCCCGCATCGTCGCAGTTTGAGCTCACCAACAGTCGCGCCAATAGCCTGCTTCTCGGAATGGCAGCCAAACCACCTTCAAGCTCAAGGTCGTCGGCGAAAAACCCCAAAGCCCGCAAGTCCGCCACGACTGGGCCCTCGAGGAAGTCGAACAAAATCGCAAAACGGCCACCGCCAAAACAGGTCAAAACGAGGCCTGGTGTCCATTCCCAGACGGCGGTACAGGCCGCGAAGCCGTCGAAGCGCAGCCAAAAGACCTACTCGGACAAAGACCTCAACCTGCCCTCCCTCAACATGATCACCCCGGTGTCCGCCCCCGAGAACCCCACCAACCACTCTCGCAGGGGAGGCACGGGGAAAAAGAAGAACAAAATCTACATTGACGACGAAGAATCCATGCGCACGATACTGGCCATGGTCAATGCCGAGAAGGAGGGCCAGATCGAGAGCAAGTTGATCAAGGCGCGACAGATGGAAGAAATTCGAGAGGCGCGACGGAAGGAGATGGAGAAGAGGAAGGAGACAAAGAAAGAGGAGCTGGAAGGTGTCAAAAAGGGACTGAAGAAAGGGAACAAGAAAACCAAATCGCAGAAAAGAGAACGGACCGCTGAAGATGATCGGCCTTCTCCCAAGACGAAGCCCAAGACCCAAAAGCGAGTGTCGTTTGCGTGAGCGACAAAGAGTCGACGGGACGAATCTATTCTTTCTATGCTATGGTCCGACCCTCTGTGGTATCTATCATCTACACCATGGCCATGTCAGAGGGAAATCTCATAAGCCTGGGACATGCATCTTCCGCCGCATGGGCTCAAAGACAGGCCTCAACGGCTGTCGTTCACCACGAGAGATTTGACCTTCGAGTTGAGCGTCGTCGCCGTCGGCTTTGGAAATTGCGTCCAATTGAATGTCGTTGGCCATGGTCTGGAAGAATGCTGTGGTCTAAGCGCACCCCGGATGTCAGTTGAAAGGTTGACTTCACAAACGGTCAGGAGGATACCGACCACTCTTTCGAACCATCGCCGGCCACCGAGCTCGAACCAACTCAGATGACCCCCACCGGGAGTCGTACAGAGTACCCCATAAGGAGTCTGTTGCATTTCTTCCCTCGGCAGGGCCTCACTTGCCGTCACCTATTCTGGTCAGCGATGCACTAGAGAACAACAAATATGAAAAGCCCTGACCGGATCATCCTCAGCATGTATTGCCAGGAAAGGGACCTTGATGGCCAACGCCGAATCGACCGACGACGCATCACGGTAATATGCTCCTTCTGTGGGATAACCCCATGTGGGACCTTGGACGTAGCGATCAAATTCATGAAGATACTTCACTGTTCGCACGAGGTCCACGTTGATCTTGGGGTTTTGGGAGATCTGGTCGACGTGGCTCTCGAAGAGCCTCTTCATACTCCGGCCCATGCTGGCGGAATATGCGTTTCGGTGGAACCATGTTCTTTGCAGTGCAAGATTTGCGGCATTGAGATCCCACGGGTTGGACAGGATAACCGCTGCCTTTAGTGGGCAGTCACTGCCTTCTTCGCCGAGATACTAGAGCAGATCAGAAGGAACAATTGATATTGAAGCATACAGCACTCACGTTCGTAATGATGTTGGCTCCCAAAGAGAAGCCCATTCCAAAGAGAGGCCGATTGGGAAAAGTTTTTCTCAGCCACTTAACCGTCTGCCTCATGTCCCAGGTGGCTCGTGCGTTGTACAGCACACTGCTGGTAGTTTTAGTCATGGCACAACCCCGAGAAATGACCACACAAGCTTCCCAACCCCCCTCTCCGACCAAAGGTGCCAGAACATGGCGAAGATAGAGCTCGTGGGAACCGCCACTCAATCCATGGAGCATGACTAGCATCGGGCGTTTGTCGAGGGAGCCAATGTTCTGGAACTCTTGTTCTGTAAAGTAAGTCGTGCGAGACGGTAGATTCGGGTCAAAGTCATTGTTGGGAGATGTGACAAAGTCAACCGAGAACTGGCCTGTGAAGATCGGGTCCTCATTTTCAAAGATTCTGCGCTTGTAGTAGATTGGCACAGACTCTCGGGTTAAGATTGTCCAGATGGTCTGAAGATGACCGTTGAAGAGAAGAGGATTGAGTCGGCATGGTGGAATAAGAGATTTGCACAAGTCTGCAAAGGAGGTTGATCGGCCGTCTTTCGTCTTCAATATCAGCGACTTGGTCGAGTGCCAGTATTTCGGCCTGACCATTCTGAGTCTCGCCGCGGGAAAGACAGCCAATGTCGCCACGAGCGTGAACCCGACCAGAGTGACGAAAGGATGGTCTTGTGCTTGCTGTATGAATGCCCCCAGACCCTCCATCGTCGTCTTTCCCTATCCGAGACACATAGCCTCCAGCTCAAAAAGCAATGGTCGGGGGATCCGTTGATGAGTGTAGGTACACCACGCTTGGCCGGCGTCGCCGCGTCTAATCATCCACCAAGGCGGAAGTACGTTGCCGGCATCCGTCATCCACCTCCCCAAACCATTGTAAGCGGGATCGCCAGTTCTTTTTCATCCTCAAACTACCCTTTCTTAAACAGTCTCCACACCATCTAGACGTGACTCTCTCGTGGAGCAGCGATATGTCGGCTCAGGCATTCAGGCAGAAAGGGACTCGACAGTGATCAGACTCGCAAGGGCGTACTGAGTATTGAGGAGGGATCGACGCGATTCAACCGACGTCAAAGAGAAGAGAAACAGAGAGGAGCCGGTTTGCTCTCACGGGACACATCATTATTGGTGGTTGATGAGAAAGTTGACAGGTCTTGGATCATCTGATCGAAATTTGAAGTGTTTTGTTCTGAAGGCCGCAACAAACTGCGCACGGCCACCTTGGCTGCTGCCCTCTTTGCTCTCCATCCATGGATCCCAACCTCCCTTCTTCCTTCTCAAATCCCAACTCCCACCACGGTCAAGGCTACTTCTACGATCCCAACAACACCTTTCGTCAGGGCCAACACCCTCCACAGCCTCAAGGGCATCCTCAGGCACAGCCTTATTATCAGCCGTTCAATCCCCAACCTCTCCCGCAGAACTACTCTCAGTACTATCAACAACAGGGGTACAATCAGGCCTATCCCTATCAGTCTCAAGTACAGCAGTTTCAACCCTCATACTATCAACAGCCTGTTGAGCTGCAGCCACAGCAATTCGCTCAATCTGAGCCCAACACCATTGGAGCCTCAGTTCTCCGACACGCCGTTCAGCCTCACACCGTTCAGCGACGACAAGCCGATCCAAGACACTACGATGGTGACTACATCAGAGTCGTGATTCCTAGCCGCCCCGATCATTCCTCCCCTCCACAGACATTCCACGGCAAACAGACTCCGAGAGCCGGCCATCAATTCAAATCTCAAGCCCAGAGGCCGCAATCTGCCCACCAGAATTTTCCCAATCATCCCCAGCAGCTTCAACATGCACCACAGCTGCCTAAGCAGCATCTGACACAACGCTCCGAGTCCTCTGTGGTCTCTGACCTACCGACGGCCCCCACTACTCCCGCCTCCTCCTCCCCCTCCTCGTCGAAGAAAAAGGAGAGGCAGATGACATCCGCAGGTGGCTCAAATACGCCCAATATGCCCCTCGAGGGCCAGTCTCGTGTCTTGCAAAGCGTTGAGGTCAATGCAAAGCCAAAGCAACCGGCCACTAAAGCACGGGATCACCGCGACCCTACAGTTCCACTCCACGAGCCCGAACCAGATTATCCTTCCCTCTTGTGCGTCCTTGCCGACGATTACCTCGAAGCGGCGCGTAAGCTGCCCGCTTTGACGGAAGAATATTACTCTCTCATCTCGACCGCACTTGGCTGTCTCGAATCAGTCCTTGCCAATTTCAAGCTGCCTCCTTTGAGAGAAGCCCAGGTCTCTCTACGCTATGCCCAAATTCTGTATGCCGAGACCGAAAACCATGATGAAGCCGAGACGATCTTGACAAAGGCCATAGAGTTGTGCGGACGACACAAGTTTATCGATCTCAAGTACGAGATGCAGCTCCTCTTGTCCAGGGTACTCTACGAATCGAAGCCCAAAGCTGCTCTCAGAGATATCCAGAAATTGATTGAGGACATCGAAGCTTATCGCCATACGGCGTGGCTTTATATCTTTCGCTTCCAGCATGCCATGTTTTCGCTCGCCTCCAGCGCCCCGGGTGACATCCACGGCGCGGTGGTGCAATTGGAGAAGATCGAGCACTTGGCTCGTCAAAATTCCGACAGTGCAATACTCGCATTTGCCGCTACGCTTGAAGCTCTGCTCCATTTGTCTAGCCCGAGCCAGGATGCCGTGACAACGAGTCAGACCGCGCTGGCGAAGGCTCGAGCTCTGCAGTTGAGTCCAGATGTGGCTGGGAACCCGCAGCTGACCGTCCTCATGGAATTTATCGACCTTGCCTGCAGCGTCCGAGAAGCCGACATTGCCCAAAGCGAGATCAAGCGCAAGATCATGCAAGACGCTCTGGTGGAGGCCGTGAGCCATCCAAATTGGAGAGGAGACGGCTTGATTTATATTCCAGTCTCCAGGAAGGCCGTCGCTGGCATGCAACTGCATGGGAATGGGTATGTCATTGAAAAAAATGGAAAGTACCACATCCCTTTTTCATGGCTGGGGACAGATGAAACAGAAGCCTTGGGTTTCCTGTTCTCAGCAGAAAGTTCTGCTTACAAGAATGGGGCTGACGGGGCCAAAGCTGAGAGGTTTTTGGACAGTGGGCTTTCGGTTCTTCGAGCCCTGGGGATGCCCTCCCTCAAAGCAGGGTACCGAGAGTACCAAAGACAGATCACCTCCCAAAAGATTACGGAAGCGGGATTCTTGTTGCTTCTCGTTTTCCTGCAATGCTCGAAAGGGCTTTGGCCGGCAGCCAACGATACATTAGACAAAGCTCATGCAATTTCGCAGGACTTGGGTGACGCTCTTCCGGTCAATATGAAATATTGCCTTTTATATCTCCGGGGAGCCGTGCTGCAAGGAACGGGAGATCTGACAGCCGCCCTTCAGGTCTATCAATCGCCCCTTTTCGACCTCAATACACCGCAGACTTCACCATCAGCTGGCTCCGGGACCTCGAACCGGATTGCGAATTCTCACCACGCAGACTCCGACGTAACCCGGAACTTTTCCATCCTTGCAGCCATGAACTCCGCCTTGATCATCTACAATCCAGCCCATCCGCAACACAAGCGCTTGTCTTCTCTCATCAAGACCTTGATTCCAGCCGTTCAAAACTGTGGAAACCGATACATCAGAGCGCATTTCATGCTGCTCGAGTCTATTCTGTCCACAAACACACTCGCAGAGAAGCAGCTTCTGAGACAAGCGATGGACGAAGGCAAGGCAATTGGCAGCGCACAAACTACGGCTTTGGCACTCATTTACATGCACGACCAGCTGTACAAGGGCACGCTCGAGAAGCCCGCCTTGAAATGCGCCAAAGCGGCCGGTCATCAAGCTCGGAGATGGGGACAGCCAATGTGGATGCATGTAGCGGCGGCTCTGGAGGCGCAGACGCTGGAGATTTTCAGCTTCCCCGACGAAGCACGAAAGAGGCAGGATGAAGCAGATGCGAGCTGGGAGAGGTTGCCGAAAGGTGTCAAGGATGTTGGGGATGTTGAGGATGTTGAGGTAGTCGTGATCGACGACTAGTGCATTTCTCTAGAGTTGGTCACACTCTGATTTGCGACTTTTTCCATGGTATGAGATGACGGGCGCTGATTTTTCCCGTTCCACAGCGTCAGAAAGGGGGATGGTTTCGTCTTTGCAGCAAGGAGCTAAGGACACATGAGCAGAAGTGCGGGAAAATGTCGTTGTCTGGGAAGTTTTGATGCATTTGATTTGAAGCTCGATGAGTTTGATAGCTGCTAGCCTGTGTTCCGGATTCGTTCCATATCCGAGAATCCACCGTCGTAGCCATTCATGTTCATGTGAGGGAGAGTTTTCTCTCTCACATCATTTTCTGATTTTCGGTCGCGCATACTGAGCAAGTCTCCGGCTCTTCCGCCTGGATCGAGCACCATCAGTGAAGATTCAGCTCAGTGAGACGAAGCACGCCAACAAGCAAACCAGGTACTGATGATACCTTCCATACCACGGTGGCATGGGACGTACAACAAACAGACCGACATCGCGCGACAAGCCGGCTCCTTCGTGCGATCGACGAAGCAGGAGAGTATTGTTTCTCATAATCCATAAAAACCCGTGCGGTGACGAGCCCCCCTCCATCTGATCTAATCTGAGGCACTGGGCCAGCAAGCAGAATCCATGACACCGAACGATCGATCCATCTTCATCCCGCGACGTCCGTCGAGGCACTTTCAGGTGTCAACGCCCTCTAGAGCGGGCGGGACATCGCTCAGAGATTCGGGCGCTTTTTTCCCCCTCGCACTTCTTTTCTTGCGCTGGCGGCGCTGGCGGCCTGGGCCCGGGCTTGCTGTTTGGCGCGACGTCTTTCCTTCGCGGCCGCCTTGATCTCCCTTTTGCGTTGGCTCTTGGGCACTTTGTTCGACATGCCCGGCTTTTTCTTCTTCTTGGCCTCTGAGAATGTCAGTCCAGACACTCTCGTCGATTGGTGACTCACTTCGTGGTGGATGAACTCGGTCTTTGACGGCAGGGCCAGCGACGCCAGTGGTAGCGGTCGAAGAACCAACAGCCGGGTGTGTACCTCGATCCTGATTCTGGTTAAGATTCAGGCTGCGGTCGATGTGTTTTTCTAGCTCATCCAAAGCAAAAGTGACATCAGCTGCGGTGTTGACATCCCCAAATCCTCCGCCTGGTTCGTACGCCTTCGAGTTCTCGATATCAGACTGGACAGAAGCGTCTAAAGATTGAACCTGTTGCGAGACTGAAGATTCATGCTCACCGACGCTCGGCACAGGAGAACCGATACTCGGTGTCGGGGATAGCTCACGGCCCGCAGTACCTTGGAGAGCCTTTTGGTCTACTGTCTCGTCGACCACGCCCGGCGCTTGTCGCTGGCCCGTCTGCCACTGTCGAATCGACCTGGATACGTCGACCTGCCATTTGAGTTCTTCCAGTTTCTGCTGTACAGAGTACACAATCTGTTCTTGTTCACGCTGCCAGTCCAAGAGCGCTTGACCCCCTTCTCTGGGCGCATCGTTGAAAAACTCCGGGATCTGCAATAGATTATGGGGTTGCGCCAGCCCTTTCAGTTGGCTGTCGTCAACAAGGACAGTATTACTCTGATCCCATTTCTGACCAGGTCCTGCCTTCTTTCCGATCTTTTTATCTTTCCAGATCGGCTCGAGCTTTTTGTACACCTGAACTTTGCTGTTGTACTGCAATTTGCTCAAGCCGAGCTTATCTCTGGCCCACACACCGGCCATCGCACTCCGTTGGGTCGGATGGAAGAACTGATTTACCATGGCCGCACAATTCTCGGGCTTCGCAGACGAGTAGACCATGACAACATGGTTCTGGAAGAGGTAGTCTAACAACTTGCGGACACCGGGTCTGACAATGATGTACTTTGGACGATGACGTTGAGGTCGGACAAGGAGTGTGCCGTTGAGGTCCAGAATAACAAGAAGCTTTTGTGGTGTTTCTCTCAGGGCCGGTGCCAGCGCTGCTCGCCTCTTGTACTCTTCGCTTGCTACCGGTGCAGGAGGAGACTCGACTTCGGCAGTCCATCCACTGGGCTGAGAACGTCGGGGAACTGGGCTGGTCCCATCCTGTGCACGTCTACCCGCAGCTGCAGTGCTATATGGGGCAATCTGCTCTGGCCGTCTCTCCCGTAATTGATATCGAGGTGTGTCTTGTGGTTGAGTTATCGAGAATCTGCTTTGAGCCTGCTGGATGATCTGCCTCTCGCGTGTGCCATCCGACACTCTGTATGACTTGTCAACTCGATATGTAGGATATCGAGCGTAGCTATGGACTGACCTTAGAGGTTGATATGGAGTATAGTAGAACGATTGAATTCGGGAGTGTGCCACCGCAGCTGAGTCAACACTGATATGGTGAGAGGACTGGGAATTTGTGGCGGTCCGTGAGTGCGACTCGTCGTTCCTGGGGGGCCTCCATGAATCCACTGCATTGTATGTGTCAATTCTGCATTGATTATAGCAACTGAAATAGTCACCTTGTCTGAGTTGTGCGAATCGATCTGGTCTGTAGGAATCATATGCGCCTCCACTCTGCGACTGAAACCCTTCGGAGAGGGTAACCGGTCGCTCATGCGGTCGACCATAGTCCGGTCGGTACCGGTCGCCCCCATCCCTGACCATGTTGGCCAATCTAGGAGTACGGGGAGATAGGGATGAAGAGTATAGAGAGGATTGTAAGATGCGAGGGTTGGGCTGCCACTGGGAGAAGAGTTAGTAGGCAGCGAAAGTGAGGTGGATGTTTGGAAAGGTCAGGCAGACTCTTGGATGCGATCTGCGACAGAGGGCAACCCCCTTGCGCAACGCCAGAATGCGTCGAGGGAGAACCCAGCGACGGGCAGGGCAGAGCCGTAGATGGTGGTGAGGCTGAGTGAATGTCAGGCAGTAGGAAGTAGGACAGGCAGAGAGCAAGTTCTGCACTGTGCAGACTGCGTCGCACCCAGCATGGGGATTCCTCTTTTGCGTAATAATATTATAGCGCAGTCGTCAACTTTATCTGGCTTAAGGTTGTCGATCTGGCGCCGCCTATTACTGAGTAACTACTTATCGGGTTCCATGCCTCCAAAAAAAAAGGCCTCCGGTGGGGTCCGCAGTTCAAGAATCATTACTGTGCACACCGCTGCACTCCCTTCACGACTCCAATGGCTTCGGGACAGCTTCTCCAGCGACCCATTCAATTGAGGCATGAAGATGAAGATGAAGAGGATGTGGAGCTAGAGTCTCGTGACCAGGACTTGAGCAGTCAAACGCAGTCAGAGAGTGATGATGCCTCCGTCGGGAGCAACTCGCAGTCTGAAAACGAGGTAGGTATACAGATACAGGTGCCGAGGTGCTCTACTATGCTAACAGTTCTCAGGATGACGCCCTCTCATCTGGGTTAGAAGCCGGCGACGAAGTCCCTCTCGGTGATATCAGCTTCGGTGCCCTGGCGAAAGCTCAGGAAACCTTCGATGCCAAACCTCGGAAGCGAAAATTTGCGGAGAGCTTGGAAGAGGCCTCACGGGACCACAGGGAAGCAAACCGGGAAGACTCGTTCGATACGCGCAAAAGAGCCAAGGAGGCGCGGATTGATGCGCCCAGACGAACATCAAAACATGCCCCGACCGTCGAATCGGCGCGGAAACCGGTGTCGCGAAAGAGGATCATATTCGAGCCATCCCCTGCCCTGAAAGCGCGAGATCCTCGCTTCGACCCCACCGTCATGTCCGCAAACCGGGATAGAAACGCCACGGAGAAGGCAAACAAGAACTATTCTTTCCTGTCCACCTATCAAGCCGACGAGGTTCTCCAGCTCAAGGCTCAAATCAAAAAGACCAAGGATCCTGACGCTGTGGCTGATCTGAAGCGACAGGTCATGTCCCTGGAATCCAAGATCCGCAATGCAGAGGCTCAGCAGCGCGAGAGGGAGATCCAGAAACGACACAAAGAGAGGGAAAAGGAGGCACTTCGCACGGGACAAAAGTCGAAGCCATACTATCTGAAGGAGGCGGATATCAGGAGGCTTGCCAAGGAGGAGAGACTGCAAAGCCTGGGCAAAAAGGTGCGGGATAAGGCGGAGAAGAGACGGAGGAAGAGGGAAAAGACTAAAGAAGCACGAGATATGCCCCGGGTCAGACGTGAGCGATAGCCACGAGGAATCGAAATGCAGTTTGTTACCATGTGTGTGTGTGAGAGAGAGAGAGGGAGAGAGAGACTATGGTTTCTTCTCCATATCCACGACCAGCTTCCCACCCACACCCCGGTGATAGTCCTCGACCAGCTCATTCAACTTCTCCAGCGCGTACGTCCTGATCTTGGCCCTCACGCCGTTTTTCGCCGCGAAATCGACCATGGCCTGCAGCTGTCGGTTCCTTCCCGTCAGGACGCCGAGCAGCTTGATGTGTCGAAACACCAGGTCGCCGGGCTTGAACCTCCACCCGTCCTTGGGGAAGCTCACGCAGACACAGGTGCCGTGGTTCTTCAACACGCCCATGCCAAAGTCGAAGGCGGCCTGCGATTCGGGAAGGATGATGGACGAGTCGCAGCCCTTTTCGCCCTCGAGCCCTTTTTCGGGCTCTCCGAAGATGCGCTTCTTCGCGTCGTCGACCGATTCCTTCAACGCATCCACCACCGTCACTCTCTGACCGTCCTCTCCAAGTCCCTCAACCACATCCTTCAGCATCCCCATGGCGGGCGTCGTGTCTACGGCGACAACATTCCACCCCAGCTTGGCCGCGAACTGTACCCCCAGATGTCCCAATCCTCCGCCCGCCCCCAGGATCGCCACGTATTTGCCCTGGCCACTACTCTTGCCGGCCGTCGTATCCACGCCTGCCGTCTCAAGGGCGTTCCAAACCGTGACACCCGCGCACATCAGCGGCGCAATATCCACTGCCTGTAGGCTTCCTCCCTCAGGCACGCGGGCCACCTGCCGGACATCCACCAGACACCACTCCTGAAACCCGCCGTCTTTGGTCATGCCCAGATTGCCTGCGCGTGTACACCAGACACCGTACCCTTTCATGTCCCCACCATTCTCGGTGCATTCCTTGCACTGGCCGCACGCGTTGAACGCCCTCCCCGGCACGCCCACCAAGCTCCCCACCTTCAGCCCCTTTGCCTCCGCAATCTTCTTGGCGTCGGGGCCGATCTGCTCCACGACGCCCGCGAATTCATGAGAATTGATGCGTGGCAGTTCTTGCTGCATGGCACCGGCGGCGAAGACCGCGTCCGTGTGGCAGTACGACGCCGCCTTGACGTGGATGAGGAGTTCATGTCCCTGGGGCGGAGGCGGCGCAGGGTGGTCGGTCTTGAAGGTGTATGGGGTATTGAAGCGTTCTAGGACTTGCGCACGCATTGTGGACGGGATTTTGGTGCTAGAAGTGCTATTATAGGTGTGCTTGGTGCCGCTGGAGCTGCGTGTGTGGAATGTCCTGGGGTAACTAGCCCGGAAAGCGGCACTCTCACTGACAGAGAAGTAGTTGATAGATAGAGGTTCGGAGGAACCTTGCGCGTGGTAGACCCCTGTCGAAGTCGCAGTTGACGATGGTGGTGGTAGCGTGCTCCAGCCCCGGCTCGTACGTCGAAGGAGTTGTGCGAGACCTAACGTTACTCGTGCCCTATTCTGCCCTCCCAGCATTCAAAAAAGGAATTATTCCCCTTCTTTCTAGTGTTGGTCGACTTCGAATTGTCCTCAATGAAAGCGGTCTGAGGACTCCTGTCCAGCCCGAGAAAGAGAGGAAGTACCTTCTGTATATCAATCGGCGGAGTTCTAAACGACTCTAATGTATCAAGAGGAAGAAACTGAGACTGCAGGCGGTTTGACGGTAGGTAGAAAGAGAAGCACCAAGGGAAGCTGGCTCCACGGACAAACAACTCCGACTCGCTTTTAAAAAGCATTGCTCGAGCGAGCGCCCTTGGGAGGTAAAAAGTATGGCACTCGGTCGTTGGTGTTGGAGAAAGGACTCTTCAGCCTCGTGGTCCGTGGAGGACGAGAGGGGTCAGACGCTTTTCTCCAAGTGCGAGTTGGAGAAAGGACTCACGTCTGACAGGCGGGATTCTCCTCTCATCTCAGTACCAACGGCACTTGTTGGGGGCCTTCAAAAGAAACATCAACGGAAATGAAATACTATCAATTTGGGCACCGTTCCAAGGCGGCTAAATCTCTCATTTTCCAAATCCTAGCGGAATCTGCTGTGCACTCCCATCCGTTCCCAAACGTAATAATCAGGAGAAATGTGCATCATCATCAGCTTGTGATACCAAGCTTTGGCGCCCTCCACATCTTCCCAGTCCCTGTTCAACCATCCCACCCATTCGTTGTGACCTGAAGTCGGTAATTGGTATTAAAAGCAATGGTCCCAGTCCAGCCAGTCCTTATTCGTCATTACGCGGTTGCCGCCTTTTGAAAGTTCATCGCAAAATCCCCAAAAAAGCACCTTGATGAGTTTCCAAAACCACATTGACAGATCCGGGATCCCACGAAACAAAACCCGCCATGTCTCATTACGCCATGAAGCACCGTCGCCCAAGAAGAGCTAGCAACGTCTTGTCTGTACCGACAAGGACATGAAAACGACGAGCTGTGGGTGCAACTCAGGAGTGGAACAGATCCCAAGCTCTCGAGCACAGGCTCAAGAATTCCTCCTTCTTTGCTCTCTGTGTGGCTGGGCTGTCCCGTCCCTCCCCAAAGGGTCCATTATAACGAATTCGATCGGGACCAGGGCCGAGCGGTGGACTGCTACCGTCCTCGTACTCGTTACGGCTTCTCCTCCTGCTTGTGGATTGCATACTGGGTTGATATTTGTGTGGAGTGAGACTGTCCTTCTGTCCAGCGCGAGGTGAAGGGGGCGTTGGGGGTTGGTGACCACCATAGTGAACAATTTTCGGCAAGAGGTCCTCTCGTCCTCCGGTCATTTCGTGCACGGCTTCTTCCGCCGACCGATACTCCCTAGGTCGATCGAAACTGTGGGACTGGGGCTGGGAGGTCGGGTGGGCTGTTTGCGGAGGGAATCCTGGTGATGGCAGAGGAGGACCGAGACTTTGAGACGAAGTTGAGCTTGCGTGGAGAAAAGATGGTCGACCAGGGCCCGGGAGGAGCTCACTACCCCCAAAGACATCAGCAATAGGGGGCAGCCGGTTGGTGGTCTGTATGGCAGGTACGTGTTGAATATGTGAGTTTTGTGCCAGATTGTGTGTTTGATTGCTGACCTGCCTCGATGCGGGAGGAGGGTCGTGCCGCCCGGTGAAAGTCTGGTTTAATGGTGCGGACTGTATCACGCGTTCATTGGCAAATCGCTCTGCGGGCGGAGGAACAATCGATAAACCTGGTGGGGGTCTCTTCTTCGAACCGGCCACGGTGCTCTTGCTGGAAGTTGGGCCAGCCGCTTCACCGTTCTTTCCAGACTCTGGCGCATCGCCGCGGGCGGATTTAAGAAGTCTTGCCTGGATAATTGATCGTTGTTGATCCCTCACAGAAATGCTCCGTTCGAGCTGTTCTCGCATGGCGGGATCTTGGGTCTGGAATCCGGGCGACAAACAGGCCAACCCGACATCATGCATCACCAAGCCGTCCCTCGCAGTCAGTGGAGTTGCGGAAGGCCTTGAATTCAAACCGGTCGAGATTGCGGTGTTTGTGTTCAAGTCCAACTTCTTTGGCCGATGACGAGTGCTCGCCTGTAGCGAAGGAGAGGTCGGTGGCTCTTTCTTCACTATGATCTTTGGGTTTCCGGTGCTCCTACTGCTGGGTTGGCAGATAATCAGCTAACGTCTGGGAGAGGCTGTCAGAGCAACTTACGACCTGGGGGACCTTTTCCCGTCCGAAGGTGTCCTCTCATTAGTATTCATGCCACCGTTCATTTCCGAGACCATGGCGATATCTACATTCCTGTCCTTTGGATGCGAAATACTCGAAGGAGCCAATGGCGGATATGTTCTGGGGCTCGGATTGTGGTCAAGGGGTGGGAGCGCAGCAATTGCTGCTGGGGCGACAGCGGTCGACATATCGAGGGCGGCCGTCTGGAACTGGCTGCAGAGGGGGTTGAGCGTTCGAGTCGCACAGATAGCCTCTTCAGAACAGCAGTCGATTATCCCGCTCTTCCTCTCCGTGATAAGGACTTGTAGCCTCAAGCTTCCCGTCTGTTGTCGGTTGTAGAGGCGTCGGAAGACGAAAAAATATAATTGGACGCTAAACGAATGGCCTCGCCAGCAAGCAGCGCGAGATGGATGGCGGCGATTTGACAGAAAGCCGAGCACAACCCTGCGAGTAGCGAACGACCGTGATGGCGACAAAAAGATCGAGAGGCGACGTGAGGTGTTTTGTGAGAGACGGAATAGTAGGGAACGGGATGAGCAAAGCAACGAGCGGCTAGGTCGTGTTGAAAACAGACCTCGCAGATGCAGGCGACGGATGAATGAGGGAAGGGGGGAAAGGAAAGGATACGAGCACAAGTGCAATTGGGAAATGGAAATGGAAATGGGAAAAGGCGGGCTGCGCAGGGAGGGGAAGGGAGGTGCAGGACAGGGAGCAAATCGAACGCGCAGGAGAGCTCCAAGGGCGCCCCAAGGACACCCGCAAACGAGAGACAAGACACTGGTCGAGTCTCGCGAGTCTCGTTGGGTTCACCCTAGGGATTCAGAATCGGGGGGTGGAACAGATGAGATCAAGCCCCCTAGCCTCGACTGGTGTTAGGCCCACTAGCCCACCTGGCCAAGCCAGGGACAACGTCGAGAAGTGGCTCTGGGTGGGCTTCGGTGGCACTGGGGTTCCAAGAACCAACTGTCAGAGCTTCTGCTCGGCCTGCCATGTGTCTGCGCAGATTGTGGCCGTTAAGCCGAGTCTGGGCTAGCGATGGATAACCAGAAGGTTTCATGGGCGCCATGGAGGGCCTTTTTCCAGGGGGGCATGCATCTGACACGCAGCACCCACAGGCACCAAAGGTGCGTGCTTAGGCCGCGCCGAGCAGAGCCTACGACATAGCCTGATTCACTCCCCGACCTCCCATCATCAGCCTCTCTGCGGCCAGGCGGCCCTATGACTTGCTGGTCCTCTGACTCGGGGGCCAGGGATCAAATCGAGATATTATTCAAACTCCCCCCATCCTGCTGCCACCCATGACTCCCACCCAACCCGTTCATGTTTCGGAGTTCACTAGTTCGTTCCCTAGTCAGCCAACACACGCGGGAACCTCTCGGATGCGACAACTAAGCGACCTCATTCGACTGAGAGACTAAGCTTAAAGGCTTGCTTCGCGCTCCTGGGGCCTCTCGTCTTGCCCACCATGCGGCAAATCGTGTTTCATATCCCGAAGCTTTGCGTCAATATTGTTGCCATGGGCTTTTCGCCATCCTGGGTTTCACACTGTTTCTGACTCCAACGGCTCCTCCACAGAAGTCACGTTTGGACAGTGGAGGCAAACGAGCTGAACCTCGTGCTGTGAATGCCATTCTGACGCGCGGTGTCACATCATGGTCGCAAGAGATAGAGAGGACCTCGAGTGCACCAAGAGACCCGGAAGTTCGGATTCACACGGGCTGCACTAGGTCCAACATCAGCCTCTGACGAATGCATGTCACACGTTGCAATCGGATCCAAGTCCCTAACCAGGATTTGGACCATCGCCCAACTCAGAGGAGGACATGCAGCTTACCGCCCGCCACACATAGCCTAGGCCACATTTGATAAGGACTAGAGGCCTCGCAAATATTCTAGCTTGTGAAGTCGAAGCGAAGGTTACTCAGGCTGCATTTTCCAGATGCATCGATAGGCTCAATAGCCTTTCGAACGGAGCCTAGCAACAACCGCAGAACTCTCAATTCCCATTACAGTCAACGCTCTCGTCGGCGTCCAGCACTCGAGTATCCTGAATGGGCTACTCCATACTAACTAATCTTACCAGAAACAGGACACTACGCGGAGAAAGCCATACACTCTAGGTGAATCACAGGATGATGGTGAAACGCCTCTAGTGGCCGATCGTGCTGCGGCAGTGTTCGACTGCTGGGGCAGCTGAACGACGAGCAACAGCCACCACTATGGATCTTGATGGTGGCACTCGTTAGAACATGGCTCTTGGTTCTACACACCTTCAGCATTGTCGCCGAAAAAAAAAGGTCCCCGTGATCATTGTCCTACGTGACTTGTGTCAAAATCTTCCCGTCTTCCGAGGACCAGCCATTTCACAATTGGGCGTCTTCTCTCCCGCCAGTGGTCTCATATCTCGCTAGTTTCAGGCGCGGTATTGTCCAATTCCAACTGCCCCAACCTGACGCCACGAGAGAACCCAATCGTGGCGCCCAGATGAGCGAATGATAATGTGCCTTGAAACGCCCGCATAAGGCTAAGGACTCCCTTTGGCAGTCAAGCTGCCTCCTTGTCTCGCTTCGAGTGTAAAAACGGTTGCTTCAGATCATGTTCTTGTTGACAGAACTATCATATCGTCGGGCTTGTGTCAACGCAAGGGTGGATTTATTGCGTTTCCCGCGTGTGTCGCGTGGCACAAACACTGGAAAAACATTCGCTAGTTCGGCCGTCGATAAAAGATCCTGGTTGTGCCACCGGGATCGATAGTTACTGACGCCATTGCTTCAGACATGCCCGTTATGCACGTCTATTTGCAGCCATGTGCAAAGCATCTTCAGAATGGGATCTACCCACCTCGCCACCTTGCCTTTCTTTCACCATCCTTCGGTATGTCCTCGTAGGTCGGCGCATTCACGACGTCAATGTCTACAGTATAGAGCATTCCATGAGCCATTACCAGCTTCAAGTCCATTCACTGGGTCAAAATGAGCAGCATACTGCAAAGCTTTAAACCCCCCAAAAAGTAAGGCAATCAGGATCGCCTGATCAATACAACCATTGTTAAGACTTTTGCTTGGCAAAGACGATATCTCGGGGACGGGTGTACTATCACGTCTTTGTCGTATGCAGCACTCGTATTATAGGGTCTTTTCGCATCGATCTCAATCGGGTACCTTATGCTATTGATGGCCGAAAGGGTTCCTTGCACTGTGCTCTGTGACTTCGGGCGTTTCGTGCCGGCTCTGGGTTGGTCCGCACAATGTGTCTGGAGAGGACGTCACAGTGGACGGGATGACCTTGCCTCATTTCTTATGCTTCAACTATGAGAGCGTAACTTGAAGCAAGTCTTGATAGCGTGCTGTTCCTATTTGTCGTCTGAGTGGGTGGTGGAAGGGGGGCCATTATGGCATCGCGCTTCACAGAAGCTCATAGATCTTCTCGCTACGGCGCCCATGAATCAGGAACGCCCATTATGCCTTGTAATACTTTGAGCAAAAACTCTCCTTTGGGACATATCGGAGACTGTATTCGCACACCAGTGGGTAGACCTACGACACTCGAGGCAGGGTCTTCATGATTTGAGATCCCCATCCGAGCAGCTCCTCACGAATCCTTTCCTCTGTTTTTATGCGATCCCAGAATCAGCCGGTTGTGTCGTCACTGGACCTTTCGGCTGAATGAAACTGCTGTGCTTGCGATGTAACAGAGCACCGAAAGAGCACACGGCGTCGTCATCCCCCACCAGTGATATGCAAAAGTCAAGAAACAGGGCGCAGTCGCCCCTCCACGGGTCATAGCAACAGTGGCAACAGGTTTATAACGAGAGAGTAGATGCGAGGGAGTATTGGAATACCTCGTACTATTCATTATGTTGATCATGTCCACTTCAGCCTGGCCTGTTCCTGATTGGGTGGCTGCCTCTAGGGTCTTGGCAGCTAAACCTGTTCTGTCCTGAGGCTGAAGATTTTACATGCCGCCTCTTCTTCCGACTCGACGACGTTCTTCACCAGCATCCATCGGAGAAAGACATCTTGCACAGATAAAACAAACATGTCGGAGGTTCCGGAACACGACGTGAATGATCCCGAGTATATCGAGGAGTTGCTGCTGCGCGGTGTGAAGAAACTGGTTGTGGTAAGTCTCGAGGGGAAGGATATTCTCTGGGAGGGCGGGATGTATATGAAAAAATCTTTTGACCTACGATACTGATCGCCTCTATCCTACAGCTTCCCGGCGCATCCTCGCACGCGGCGTCATTTCAATTTGAGAAAGAGGATCACACAATGGGCAATGCCCTGCGGTACTTTGTCAACAAGAAGTATGGTCCCCGTAGCCGTTGAGGATGCTTGGCTATATGACATGGACTGATCTTGACAAGCCCCGACGTGGAATTCTGTGGCTATACCATTCCACACCCTTCCGAAACCAAAATGAATATGCGGATCCAGACTTGGGGTGAGTGACTTCTCGTGGTGTTGCCATTTCCGAACACCCAAATTCTGACTCAGAGTAGAGGACACCGAAACGACAGCGGTCGACGCACTCAGGAAAGGGCTGCTGGACATGATCGATGCTTGTGACGTGGTGTCGAAGAAATTCTCCGAGGCGCGAGACGAATTCAATGCCTCAAATTCATGACCCGTTTATCACGAAAAGCCAGGCTTGTCGGGGAGACAAGATCTTGCATTGGAAAAGGCGCCTGGAGTGTCGGCTTGATTCTGCTCTTTTTCATTTTAGCTATGTACAATTGCTTCGCCGCCGCTGCCCAGGTGGGTATTTTGCATCAGTTCCGGCCCTAGGAAGACAGAAGAGTTAGCCAGGCAGGAATAGCATGGATTGGGTGTGCAGTATTGGTTGATGCATACCTCGAGGAAACCCTGGATGAAGTTCTTGGGCAGTTTCGCGTTCTCATCTTCGTCCACCCGAAAATATTTCATGACGTGGGTGTATTGCTTCCAGTAGTTCAACATTTCCTGCGGTGAACAAACGGTCACATCAGTATCCGGCACGCTGTCTCCGAAACCTCATCATTGCGGGATCTTGAACCCACCTGAAACTCTGCATGACTCTGCTGAAGCAGCACGTCGACCGCCTGTACGTTGTTGACATATCTGTGCTTTTCGAATTCTTCTCTGACCTTCGTGCGGATTCGGGAGACCGGCATGTTCAGGGAGTAGAGCTGCTGGATCTCAGGTCCCTGCATTGAAAAACCCTCTGTGTCAGCCCATCCGTCTCTTCTCCAAGTGCAGCAGGTCTGGTATTGTACTCGCGTACCGCTCTCAGCCATTCTCGGTAGGACTTCAGGACTCGCCGTCGTGCATCGGACCAGTTGATTGCTGTCGGCCGGTTAGTGAAACTGGCACGGAAGAGGACTGGAATCGAGGAATGGGCCTGTACAGGAACGTGACCGTTGGGCCAGATATGTGGGATTGATGACCATCTTGAGCTTTCAGCTCTCACATAGGAAGACCTTCGAGAGTCTGTGGAGGGCTGCGGATTCAATCGACGTCGAGGTGGCAGTTCAAGTGTGGTGGTGAGTCTAGCTCCAAGCTCGGGGCGCCAGCGTCACCTTTCCGCCTGTGTTTGCTCCGCAGATCTCACTCACAGTGTACATAGGTACGACACGGAAGCGAAAAAGCAGCGACTGGAAGCTCCGCTTTTGGCAAGAGTCAGACCGAACGGATTTACTGGGTTTTTCTTTTACGACTATCTTTTCTCTACAAGTACTCCTCCAGACAGATCAAGATGGGGTCCATAGAACGAATCATGCCGGTAGCGTTACCGCGGCGAACTCACACACTCTCGCGCATCACCAACGAGACCAAGATCCAGGTGTCGCTCTCGCTAGATGGAGGCCCACTTCTCGCCTACGAAGACTCCCAGCATTTCCCTTCCTCGATATCTCCAGCTCAGAAACAGTCACACCCCGACGTGCTGGTTCCCCTGCCCGCATCACACCATGCGACACAGATCACGCCCACGCAGCAGATAGCCATCTCCACGGGCATTGGATTTCTGGACCACATGCTGCACGCCTTGGCAAAACATGGAGGTTGGTCCCTTGCCATCCGAGCAAGCGGTGATTTGATCATCGACGACCACCACACAGCCGAGGATGTTTTTCTGGCAGTCGGCTCTGCATTCAACGCTGCGCTGGGCAAACGCACGTCTCTCGTCCGCTTTGGCCGTGGTGACGCCCCACTCGACGAGGCGCTGTCGTGGGCCGTCATCGACCTCTCGAACCGACCGTACAGTGTGATTGACTTTGGATTTACTCGAGAGAAGATCGGTGATCTAAGCACTGAGATGATCACCCATGGCCTCGAGAGTTTTGCCCAGGCCGCCAGTGTGACCTTGCATGTGAAGTGTGTCTATGGAAGCAACAACCACCACCGAGCAGAGAGCGCTTTCAAGGCGCTGGCAGTGGCTTGCAGGCAAGCTTGCGAGAGGAGAGCTGAGGGGGCAGTGGGCAGTGGCGATGTGACGAGTACCAAAGGCGTGCTTGGATCAAGTGTGACGGGGTAGCACCAATGAATTGATGGAGAGAGCGAGTTTTATTCTCTTGTGGTTGTCTGGTTTTGAACAGGTTCACGGCGCAAAGACGGGATGACCGGCCATCCCGCCCCCAAGAACAAATTGGCGTGCCGCTTAGTAGCAATGATTTGTCCAAACGGCAAACCTAGCCAAACACCGAATGTTGCAACGCAAGCTCCGCCGAGGGAGTGACTCCCTTCCTTCGTACTGTGAGACCTGAGAATAGAATGCCCGAACAATACCAATTCCTGTGCAAGTCATAAAGTCATGCCAACTCAAACACGTTTTGTTTAACCCAAACCACCCCAGGCGCCTCGAATCCTCCTCGCTAACTGCAAATCCTTCTGCATGATGGTAACCCGCTTCGCATGTATCGCGCACAGGTTTGTGTCTTCGAAGAGATGCACGAGAAATGCTTCGCTCGCTTCCTGGAGCGCCTGGATCGCCTGGCTCTGCCACCGGAGGTCTTGCGCCGCGTGGTATGGAAGGATGGACAGGGCGATTTCACGCACGAGGCGGGCGAACGGGAGTTTGAGGATCAAGAGGTCGGTCGATTGCTGGTATCTTCGGATTTCTCGGAGCGCGAGTGTTCCAGGTCGATATCTTCGGGGCCTTCGCACGGGTACGGGATCGCCAGCTGTCAATGGGTGTTAGAATTGGGGTGCTGGGCAGTTAACATGGCGGTCTCGGGACTTACGTTGCGCGCGAAGTCGCTTGCCAGATACCTGTTTAGGCGATATTCCCACTCGTTGGGCTTGCCCTCTTTTCGGGGTAGCAGGCCCTGAACGTCGCCGGATAGTCTTTGTCTGAGCCATGAATATCACTTGTGGAACGGTAGGTTTGGCCCTGAGAGTTGATGGTAGGTGAAGGAATGAAGGTGCGGAAGCGCCTGGCTGGACGAGCAGCTATCAGATGGGTTTCGAGGTTTGCAGAGATGGGCGCATCGGGATCAGAGCTTGCTGAATGCAGCCCGGACGCAATGCTCCACGGTAAGAAACGTATAGAGGAACCAGATGAAAATGAATGATGCGTGGGCACATTGAAGGTCGCGTCGCTCAACATTCTCCGCGCGTGTCAAGATCCACTTTCAGGTACTGCCACGTGACTGCGTCATAGAGTCTCTGGCCGCTTTACTAAATGGTTGCTCGCTCTACCTGCCCGTTTCATCGCCGTCCCCCTTGTTCGGGAGCCATGGGTCGCCATGGTTGCTGCGCTTCGACATCATTCCATACCTTCATCCCGCGCCCTGGTGAAGCCTGGACAACCCTCGTCTCTTACGTCCTTCCACGAGTATGTCTCATTTCCTATGAAAGAGGCCACCTAACCACTTGACCTTTCAACCCCTACATGAACCTTTCCCTTCCTATACTGTCACCAATTCCGCCTGCAGATCAGTTCTACCATGACTACTCTGACCTGCGCTCTCCGATCCTGACTCAGTCCGTCCTATCGCCTATATACACCATCGTCCAGAGCCCAGAGTTCTTCTCAGACTTCTCCCGTACCATCCGTCCCTTTTTCGATCTTATACCCTGGATAATGGCCGCGATACTTGGGGGTGGAGGTGAAGATGGCCTCGGTCAGCTGGGGCAGTTTCCCCTCGAACAATGGTTCTTTGAGATGCCACCTTGCACCCGGTATTGGACGACCGCAACGGTAATTACATCTATCCTGCTGCAATGCAAAGTCATCACGCCATTTCAGTTGTTCTATTCGTGGCGCGCAGTTTACTATAAGTCGCAGGTGGGTGTATATCTCTTCGAGAAATAAACGGGCGTTTGCTGATTGTCCCCAGTATTGGCGACTATTAACCACGTTCATATATTTTGGGCCGCCGTCCTTGGACCTGGCCTTCCATGTGTTCTTCCTTCAGCGATATTCTCGACTGTTGGAACAAGGATCTGGGCCTTCACCGGCCGTCTTCTCTTGGCTGCTATTATACGCATGCACGTCCCTCCTCGCCCTGAGCTCGCTTACCACCTCCATCCCATTTCTGGGCTCAGCACTATCAAGCACTCTTGTATACATCTGGTCACGACGCAATCCTGATACCCGATTGAGCTTCCTCGGCGTGCTCGTCTTCACCGCTCCTTATCTTCCCTGGGTTCTAATGGCCTTCCACATGTTCATGCACGGCAGCATTCCCAAGGACGAGATACTTGGTGTGATTGTTGGCCATGTCTATTACTTCTTCGCGGATGTCTGGCCTGGTTTGCATGATGGCCAACGACCGATGGATCCTCCCGAGTTCTGGGTCCGCTTGTGGGAAGGCCGACGAGGAGAAACTGGCGTTCGAAACATTGATGGTGACGTGGCGGCCGCAGCTGCTAGGCCAGGCGAAGTACGATAATTCCGAGCCACATCTCGAACTGAACAAATTCAAATCTCTTATCCTGTTGCGGCCAGGATGATGACACCAATAGAGCCTGGACTTTGATCTACACATAGACGGCGCAAAACGCAATAGATCTGTGATTACTCGCGAAATCCGAGTTTATTGGGATACGAATATCAGCATATCATTCTCGTGGATATGTTTCCGAATAGCCTCCACTGTGCCTCGCGAACTTGGAATCGGTGGCGCGCCAGAAGTCTGCATTCCTGGCAGCACTCAACCTATGATCCTCGAGGCATTCCACTCCATTCTTTGACTGCTTGACGACTTTACGGCTCATCATCATTTAGCCACGAGTGCACATTCCCAGCCCTCCAGTATAAGATCAAGACTCTTGGGGATGAAAGTCGCAGAAGCTTACGCACAAAGAAGCTCAAACCTGTCGAGGAGTTTTTGTTGACTTTTTGTTGACTATTCGCCTGGAAAGAGAGAATTATACAATACCCGCCTGCCTGCCTGCTTCGTCTCACGAGGCTGAAACATCTTGGTCTCCGGCAGATCAACCCGGAAGACGCATCTTCAGACCAGCGAATCAGGATGGGTCGACTTTTTCGATGGCTGATCTGGCCACTAATCTCTACAGCTGCGTTATGCAAACATCAAGATTTTTCCAAAAGATGATGCACAGCCACTACGCCTGGCACCAAAGTTTCGGCACACTGTACGATTTGCCACAATGTTGAACGAGGACAAGCATATGGGCTTTTCATCAACATCGCCCGCTATCAAACGAGAAAAACTGAAAGCTGAGGGGGGCATCCAGTCGTTTGAACCCAAGTTTATTAAAAATACGTGACCCACAAGCGAGGGATATACATGGGATCCATCAAAACACCACAGCACCGGATGGATCCAGCCATGCCAAAGTTTGGGCTTCCTCTGGTCACCGCAAGTTTCCGCTGGATCTCCTGTCTACCAAAATTCCTCTCTTGAGCACAGCATGGGAACAGGTCTACCGATGGCACATCCCTCTGTGAAGCCTACACTGGGTTGATCTCGCGCCTGAGCGATTGTCCATAAATACGAGCTCTTCCCTCGAGCAGTCTGCAATACTTTCTTCCTCCACTCATACTCTCATTGCTTCTGTTTCATCCTCTCTACACTTTGTACCTCTGCTTATCTCACTCTTTACCACTTTATCTATCTCTATGGATTCTCCCATTTCCTCCTCCTTTTGCCTTGCGCTTGAGCCCTTGTCGCTTTGCCTCCACCGCATCGCCCTGAGCCTTGCCTGGTCGCATTGCCTTGAGTGTGCCGCCCTGTCGCATTGCCCTGCGTGCCTTGCCTTGGCTCGGCGTCCTATCCTCCTGGCCTACGTCCTTCTCTCGTGGACCTCTACATATCCTTACCACCAACCAACTATTTTTATCCTCGAATATCCTTACTACCAACCGTTCCTACCTCTACCTCTCCACTATCCTTATCTTCACATATCCTCACCACCGACTATTCCTGCCTCTACCTCTACCCTGTCCCCATCCTCACACATCCTTTACGACCGACGCTTCCGACCTCTACACTTATCCTTATCCTCGTATCATTATCTTCACGCTAATTTTAAACCAGAAAAAACAGCTTTCTGTCGCATCAGATTCTGTTCGCATTCTGTATATGTGTGTGGTGTCTCTGTGTATCCCTGCCGGCACGTTGACCACCAATTTTTTGTCCACACTCAAATCGCTTGTGCATAGCTATGGCCTTTCCACTACCGCCACTGACGCAACGAGGTTTTCTTTTTCATCATTGCTCTTTTTGCCTTGTTGCAAAGCATTGGAGAAGAAGGAGAAGAAGGAGAAGAAGGAGAAGAAGGAGAAGAAGGAGAAGAAGGAGAAGAAGGAGATCACTAGTACATGTTCCTCACTCGACCTCTCTTAGCTGGAGCAGTACCTGGTCACATAGGGAAGTAGCGGCGGGTGTGGGTGAATGCTGAGAACATGTGTGTGTGTGTGTGTGTGAGAGAGAGAGAGGGGGCAGGGAGGGAGAACCAGACTGATTGCTTGTTTGCTGGCTAGCTGGCTGGTTTTGCTTCCCGTCAGTAACATACTGCTCGCCGCCATGCCGTTGACGTCGTGCTACGACTTATTTAGGACATCCCGTCCATCGTAAGGAGTTCGTGGTCCGATGTCCTCGACGCGGACGCATCGGGAATGAATTCCCCCACTGTTATGTCCACGGAGACACCTACCTCTATACGTGACAACAGGTGGATTGTTTGATATGTTGCTGAACGACATACGTATATGTACCGCAGGTACGTGCCGAGACGAGGAATGGGAAATGCACATGGACTACTCAACTCAACTCGTGTTTCTTCGTCTGGCTCTATGGGACCTATGGAGGGCAAAGCAAGAGCGAATGTGGGAACGGGCGCCTCTATCACAACCATGCTTGCCACTTTGCGAGATGAAGAAACATTAATGCGCTTGTCGATCGTGTATCAAGGGCTCTCCAGCCGAAAGTTGGTCTTTCCTGGCTCGTTGTCATCCCGTCATGCACAACATCCCACCTGTCATCCGGTCTGTCGTTTGTTGGTATCATCATCACATCCGCTCAACCAGGAGCACGTCATGCTGCCGCGGGATCATCGAGGCATTGCTTTACTTGAAGACTTTGCCGTCAGCCCACTCGTACGTCTTGCCATTGACCTCGATCGGCTTGTCCCACGACCACTGGTTCTCGACGAATTCCTTGTCTTCAGGCTTGCTGGGATCGAGCTTGGTGAACTCGTAGCTCTCCCAGTCTGGGGCGACGTCGAATGCGGGCAAAGCTTCGTCACCACGAACCAAGAAAGCGCCTTGGATGACCGAATCATTGGCCTGGCCGTACACCGAGGCAGCGCCAAAGAGGTATTTGCGAGAAGCCTCCAGGCGGTTGAAGAATCCACCTATTGGAACAGTTAGCTAAATGGCGAAGCCTCACAGACAGAGGCGCGACTCACCGATGAGGTTGGAAGACATGAAAGTCAACGTCAACTCGTCATTGTACTTGTAATCGATCCTCCACAGGGAGTACTCCTCTGGCTTGTAGTGCTCCCAGAACCAAGGCAACGCCACGGAACGAGTATCCTCGTTGGAATACTTTCTCTTCCAGTCATCGAGAATAAGAGTCGGCTTTGGCAGTGCTTCGAGAGGATGTTTGGCCTTGACTTCTGGTTTGGCCTCTTCCTCTTCCTCTGCCTCTTCCTTCTCGGGTTTCTTCTCGGCCTTCTTTTCAGATGCAGCGGGGGCCTTAGCAGGCTTTGCTTCCTTCTTGGGCGGGGTGTACTTCACGGCCTCTTCAACTATGATTGGCTCGGCAACAATGGCCTTCCAGATAGGTTGGTTGGTGACGGTCTCGAACCAACGCGTGGTGTTTGGGTTCTCTGCACGCCATTCCTTGTCAAGGACGTACTGGAAACCACGAGACATTTGCGAGGTCACGTAGAGGTCTGCGAGCGTGATGCGTTCTCCAACCAGGAAGGTGTGAACGAGAAAATGTTGCTCAAGAGCATGGATAGCATCCTGGGCAAGCTTCTTGTGGTCATCAACCGACTTCTTGTTGTACGCCACTTTGCCAATCAAGGGGCTGAACCAGCCAGAAAGGTTGGGGAGAATTTCGCTGTTGGAGAAGGACATCCATCGCACAATAGAAGCATAGTCTTGCTTGGTTTTCCCAAGGAGAGTGGTCTTGTCGTTCTGCGAAGCAACTGCAGTGAACCGTCAGTGGGGGCTCACAGTTTGATCAGTGGCACAAAACAAGGATTGGGAACATGGTCTCTCAGAGTTCAATGTAGTCAACAAGCGTCATTCAGACAGGGATAACTGATTTGATAATATGGCTCATCTTTGGGGGCACGAAATGACCAAAGGACATGGCAAAGCGGGGCAAGACTCACAGTAAATGGCAATGGCAATGGACTCTGTCAAGATGAAGCCATTGGAACCAACGAAGGTGGGAATTCGTGACAGAGGGTTCAACTTGCGATACTCGGGATCTGTGACGGGGGTCCTGGTCTCGACGAGTTCGATGTCGAGGTTGTTCTCCTTTGCGACCGCCAGGAGGACGGTGCTGCGGGCGTTTTCCTACAGTCATGTCAATAACGCTTTTAATGCCTCAGAGATGTAGATCCGCGTGGTGCTTACCTTGTATCCGTAGAGCTTTCCGAACGACATCTTGGCTCTGTGTACAATAGGTCGCGGGAAGAGTAGAGAATGAAAGGATTGCTGGTGGCTAGTTGTTCGTGGAGAAAACGAAATTCAGTCACAACAAATTTTTGAGGTCAGTCACAGTTCCCGCCTTTTGCGGCGCAGGCTCTCGAAAAAGCTTGGCGGAATGCCGTGCCCGAAGTCTAAGCTCCGACCTCACAACTTCTTCCTTTATCCAGAGTTTCGTTCGATTCGACAACCATGGTCCCTCACAGTCGTCTTCACCTCTCCTAGAACATGGCGCGGCCTTCAGCGCGGGCCTTCCCGTCCACTATCGCGTGGATGTGTCGCCCATGTCGACTTCACGACAAAATCCAATTGACAGTTGGTCGTCAATGGGTTCAGCCTCTCGGACGGCAACAGAGCTTCTCTACGACAAAATATCATTCCGCCGCAGAGGTCCAGATCCGTGCTGCCCCCGAGATAGATCTTGAAGACTCTACATCTGTGCCCGCTCGAATCCTTCCTCGGTCTCCCTCCTATTTCACAGCCTCTCCGGTGTTCAACGATCACCTCCTACTATTACAATCTCTTGTCAAGAAACATGCATCACTACCAACAGCTCCTCCAGACCAGATACCACGGCCTGCATGGCTGAAACTCAATCAATACCGAAGCTCGACAGGCGAACAGGTGGCTGCTTCAAAGTATTCCAAAGTGCTAGTGCTCTTGACGAGACTAAACAAGATCCATCCCCGATATTGTCCCAAGGAAGTCAGGCAGATCCTTTCGCGATTTCGACGGCCCGGCTCGGAAGAGATACAAAAAGCAAAGCCTGGCAAAATCGATGACTATGGCAGGTCTGTCGGTATCGGACGAAGGAAGGAGTCTTCGGCGAAGGTGTATCTGGTGGAAGGGACAGGAGACGTACTGGTCAACGGACGCAGTATCGTCCAGGCATTCCCACGGCCCCACGACCGAGAGAGCGCACTGTGGGCGTTGAAGATCACACAAAGAATGGACAAGTACAACGTTTTTGCATTGGTGTCGGGAGGGGGGACTACTGGTCAGGCCGAGTCCATCACGTTGGCTCTTGCCAAGGCTCTGCTGGTACACGAACCAGCTCTTAAGCCGGCTCTGCGACGAGGTAAGCGAAGTGTGTCCCATCTGTGCTCGTTCTTCAGTCACTAATTCTTAATCCAGCCGGCTGTGTTACTTCGGATCCCAGACGCGTGGAACGAAAGAAGCCCGGTCGACTCAAGGCACGCAAGAAGCCAGCTTGGGTCAAACGGTGAGATCTCGAGGTACCGCCAGGGGTACTTGTTTGTACATCAGTATACCAGAGTTTGGACGAGATTCAGGTCAGATCCTTGTGTGCTCTCACCTGCAGAGGGCAGGAGGTGGTGGGCACGAATCCTGTGGTGATTCCCATGGTTTCAATCGGGGGAAATCTTCTGGTTCGTGGCTCCTCAAGGGGGGAGGAATATGTCATTCTGACTTAGATTCTCATGGTACGGTACTACGCCTCAACGTGCTGCATGATGGAATCCGGTGCCGAACCATTGAATCGGCATGGGAAGATCTTGTCAGCCCTGTAGACAGAGTAACACAGACATGACTTCGATGCAGACAGATGCCATCTGTGCTGGTCGAGGCGATATTGACGTTGGCGCTCCTCACGTGCCTCTCGTCCGATACAGAAGCCTTGTTCATATCTGGGTGTTTTTTCTCGATTCCTCCATGTCGCGTCGCACCAACTCATCTCACTACGCTGCCTGCACTTTTGATTCTGACTGCGCCAATCTCACGGCCATCAGAGGGTCTGCCCAACGTTCTCAACGCTCCTCCAAGCGAGATGTCAGATCTCCCAGCAACGTCCGCCGTGATATGTCGCTCCGGCGACACCGTCTTGGTGAGCTCCCCTAAGCGAGATGCCGGCAGATCCCTCTGCAAGACTTCGATGGCCTCGAATGTTGACATGTGCATGCACATGTCGAACCACCAGTTCAAGCCTAGCTCGACGCCCTGCACGGCGCACGCAACTTCGCAAAATAGAATGAATGATTTGCATCCTTGTTCCGTGGAGCCGTTGTAAGAGAAGAGAGGGCTCGCCCTCCCGAGGCTGCTTCGGAAGAGGTTTTCCAGAAGAGCAGGCGGACCCGTCTTCATTCCTGAAACGCGTGTCCAAAATCTGACGAGTACCTAGCCAGATGGGAAGTTGTACCTACGAAGGCTCAGCATAAGCACCACGGGGAATCCGCCGAGTGCCCGCCAGCAATCCAAGGCTCGCCGATCGCAGTCGCCTATGAAACTCCACGGCTCGACGGCTCTAGCATGATTCTGAGTATGGAGAATGTACCGAGTACACCAAGAACCCTTCCCCGACGACGTGTGCTGCAGCTCGCGTCATGAGACTGTACCGAATGTTTGTGTTGGAGTACGGTAGATGTCAACAAGGACCGAGCCACAAAGGACATGAAACGGAGCGCTGAAACGCGCCCTCTAAGCCACACGCTAGACCGAGCGTCCAGGATGACCCTGCTCCAGTGCGGCTCGGAAATACACACATCAAAACAACCCCGCAAGAGCAGTTGAAGATGCCCATCGGCACTTACGACCACCGTGATGCCTTGAACAAGTCGGCATGGATTCAATCTTACCAGTTCCCATAAGAAATTCTGCTGCTGCTGTCGGATTGCGGAGAATGTTTGGGAACCTAAACCGCTCAAGGAACCAGGTGTGAAACACATGCATGCTGCAGGACTCCTTGTTCCCACTCCGCCGCCGTCGCACGGGTTTGCCAATAACGCATCTGAAATTATGTCAAAGATATCATTGGCGTGAGAAGTCCGAGGCCACCTTGTCGCGTCCGCGCAGATGCAGACAGCATGCAGGTCCAGCCTCAGGACGAAATTGGAGCCAAAGCAACAAGTGGACGCCTTGAACGCGCAGTCTACATGACCCGGAGATTGTGATGCTGAGGTGGGAAGGAGACCCAAAATCAAATCTTTTTACCAGATGTGCGGTGAATACGATGCGACCATGTGTACGGGAAGCAAACGTGGCTGCGTCGACCATATGACAGGTCAGGCGTGGGGATTTGCAATGCGTCCAGCTCTGACACAACACGAGCACATCACGCACACTTCAGGCTCTGGCTGACAGCTCGCCAGATCTTTGGGTTCATGTTACCATTATTGTTGCCATCCGACTGGCTGATGCATGGCTCGGCCGATAACGCCTCCAGATCGAGGGATGTCAGGTACACTCCGACATGTCACTATCGGGATAGAAAGCCATTGGGACCTCGAACATATGCCCTACCTAGACTTGTTCCGTCGACCTTGTCGGACAACTACCTTTGGACATAAATCCTTTATTGGGACGATTTTCAAGCCAAAGTAATGCTGACTACACCGGTACTACACACAGTCTTTGCTTTCGGAAAGCCCGTCCGTTGCCCAGGCCGGAGTCTCGTTTCGCAACAGACACAGGAGCCTCCATGTATTTGCGGGATCGCTTTTTCGTCTCCTCGATCGAGGGGACATCTCACTTGGTTTGTAGTCGAGGCTCTTGGCCAGAGGGGTCCCGGTGTACACAGCCACGGTGCCCGTCGAGCCATTGTTCCAATCCCTTAGAACGGGTGCCATCCGTCAAACGGCGGTTGTGCAGCTGACCATAGGCTTCCTGTGACACAACACATCCCCGAGTCGGACTTTGAGGGGGACCTCTAAAATAATTACTTGAATATCAACCAGTGGCGCCAACGTGTGTGCCCCAACACCCTCCTCAGCCGAGTTGATATATACCATCACAGCTGAGGTCGAGCACGCTGGACTTGTCGTCTTGGTCAATGGCTGCTTCCCAAGGCATCACCCAAGACGTCGAGCCACAATGGGGCAACCAACCCTTATGCCTGGTGCAGACGGTTTGAATGGCTTGAGCTCCGACCAGGTGTCATGCTCCCCCTGCTTAATGTTCCTCGGGCGCCACACTCTAAATCTCGCCTGGCGCTCCGGCAGGTGGGTGCCAGTGGCAGACTAAGACGCAAGCCTTGTCAGACCAGTGGCTAGTCCGGCTCCCTTGCGCTTGATGAGAACGCCCCTCGGCCATTAGCGAACCCCTTGCGAATGTCCTGGAACAAGATCCACCGGCGGGGACGTCATGCCCATTCAGACGCTTCTTTTGCCTGGTTTTTGCCCATGGCTCGTCCCATCCTGACGCTTGTGAGGGTGTCATCATTCCAGCATCCATGAACCTTGGGCAGCGTCACCAATGCCTGCTGGGAGGTAACAGCTTGGTTCTGAAAGCCCTACCTGCAAAGCTTTCAACCCGCCGGCTGCTGGGTGGCTGGCCTCTTCGAAATGGACCCTTTGGCATTCGCCCCCAGGCTATGGTGGGCATCTCTGTCCTCCTGTGGCGCTGCCCACTTCAAAAGACTTTTCTGTTTGACACCTGGCAAGAAACGCCTTGCTTGCTCTGCTGGACCTTGGTGAAAAAAAAACGACATCACCGGCCGCGTTGGGAGGAGTTAACTTTGACGTACCAGGAACGAGTGACCCATTCGATTACCTGCCATGCGGTATCTGCGCCATTCCCCATTCAAGCCTCCTTGGTCAAAGTGTTTATTATTGATCTGAGTCGTGCGCACTTTCGCCTGCCACGGCATCTGCACCTCAGGCCTCTTTCTGTATACATTGCGTTCCTCCACAATTCCAAGGTACCTGGGTCTTCTTTCTTCCTTATGCTACCGAACGCTCCTTTATTATTTCTTTCGTACGATCCTTTGCTTCGTGTACTTGCGTCCGTGTCTTGACTTTTTGATCTATTCTTCCGTTCTATCCACCCTTCTGACGCCACTAACCACCCCACTATCCTTCGACACACTTGTCCACGCTGTACGAGCCCTTGGGCGCGAGAAGGTTGTCTTTGGCTGTTGGTACGGAGGAGCATATCCTGAGACCATTCGCGGCGTCCATGTGCGACCGCAGTCGCCGTGTATTCATTTGTGCTTGACCAAACGAACTTGCGCCGAGGACGCTCGAATCGAGAAAACAACAGGTCAGCGACCGAAGATCCAACCACGCACGCTCCCTTTGCCCGTTTCTTCGAGACGGTGTTTGGAGCAGGCGGCAATCCGAAACCGTTTTCGCACGTTTGTTGTCGATTCTTGGAAGTCTTCCCGCAGCTATAGAGGTGGCGTCAATTCTTTTCCTTCCAATATCATCATTCTCTTCGTTTGTGAGGACATCGATCCCACGAGACCCGGCACAGAGCCTGCTGCCGATTTGCGATATCGACCTCCTGCCTCTCTCCGCCTTGTATTGGTTGTATGAGGGACCGAATCCAGGCGAGGGGGAAAGGCGAGGCATCCGTGGTCAAGGAGGAGGTTATCCTTCCAGGTCCATCATATCATATCAGGGCATACGGTTCTTAGGGGGCGCAAGACTGTTTCTGTCAACCTGGCGTCGACAGACGAGTCCGCTTTCCTTAAATGGACGGCAGTGACCGTCGGCGCACCCAGTATGGACCACCATACCAGTCACAGGCGCCATCGCGCCCTCTCCCGGGAGAAGCCATGGGTCCCCCCTCCGGGGACAGGTTTACGCAGCCAGCAACGCCCGCGCGAACGGATATCGGCCGGTCGTCAATGACGCGACCGTATCTTTCCGGCTATACAGGCTACGGGTACCAAGACCCACAGTATGGCAGCTCCCATCTGCAAAGCAGCAGCCCGATGCAAGGGGTCGAGATGCAATACTCCCCTGCGTACATGTCACAGACCTCCAGGCAGCAACAGGTCCAAGCCTCTCCCTCCCAACAACAGCACCAGCCGTATGCTCAGTACGCGGCCTCGTCGATGCTCCCGCCGGTGGGCGCACAGGCGCTCTACGAAAGCATTCCCTTCCAGCCGCGACAGACTGCGATCGAGGTGATGACAAGTCAATTCGCGATGCCCCAGTACCTGCCGCAGGGCGAGCATACGGGGGCGGCTCTCGGTTCCGGCCCGGCGCAGTTCTTGACCTCTCAAGCTGAACAGAGCGGTTATAGCCATGTGTCTGAGGCCCGGCCTTCACTACCTCAGTCTTATCCTTCCGGGCATGTCGACTTTCCGACCATGGAGCAACAAGAGGCCGAAGCACCGGCGGTCCTGAGTGGCGTCCAAACGGCCCTCGCGGACGGCCTGAGAGACTATCACCAGCAGCTCAGGGCCACTTTCGACGCGATCATTGCAGGCAGAGTCACTGCAGCCAGCGAGAAACTGCTCGCCCTCACTCGGTGGCTAGTCAGCTCCGTCACTGCTTTGGGTAAGTTTCCTGCTCGTTGAGGAGGAGTGGTGGAACCGAATCTAACTCTTTCCAGGTCTGCACCATGACGACGAGACGAGACACGCGGAACGCGTCGAGTTCTGGCGAGAGTTGAACTTGTGCTGGGAGGCCCTCGGACAAAGGCAGAAAGATATCACCGAGGAAGCCTTGAGAACCAAGAGACCGCCTGTGGACATGCTCTCGGCCAGCACCATGACGAGTTTAATGGACGACTTGGTAACCCTGTGCGATCAACTCGAACAATACGGCCTCGTTGACTTCGAAATGGGCATCTGGGAAGAGCAGATCATACACATCTTTACGGTCTGCCTCAACCTCCTGCCGCGTGGTGGACTCAAACGACGCGCCAGTGCGAGCCCGGACTGAAACAGGCTCTCCATCACCACCCCGATCTCTATAGCCACGATTTCTACGACGCTTTACGAACTGGGAACCCTTTTTTCCTCTGTGGGCAACGGCATTTCATTCACCTGATGAACTATATCTCGTTCCTTTTCTTCATGATACATGAATTTGTACGACCAGGACGCTTTTCGACTTACATGATGTACGACTATGAATTGTGAGAACCGGTAATCCTGGCTCACCGCAAAAAAGCATGCCGCGGGAGGAGGGAAGTGCGGGAACTGGCAGGCGGACTCTTTTCCTTTTGGTTGGCCCTTGACGGTCTTGTTTGCATGGCTCGATGCTTGTAAAGGAGGAATCTTCTGTACGATAGCTGCCGTCGTGTTGGCCGGTACCTTTTCGGGCTTTCTCTCATCCATCTTCCTTCGACGAAGCGTTACAAGGCTCCTCACGGTGTTTGGAGGCAGATGCTCGTTACCAGTCATCGGTGGCATTGAGTGGTGTGATTGAGCGACAGTCCAGCCACCAGGGGCCAGTATCTCTTGGATGCCACGCCTCGCTCTGGCCTCACTCTGTCCGGATGATCTGTGTGGTTCCTGTGCAAGACCCAATGAAAAGATTCGAACCAGGAGGTGTTCGAAGAAATATTTATCTACCTATCCATAAGTTATATATATTTATAAACTTTCAACGATTCGATGTGTTGGGCAACAAGGAACATTCTCCCACTCTCACCACTGGTTTCCCTGCGCTTTAGTGCTTGAGTGACAGGAATCCCTTGCATAAAAGCGCCCCGTTTGTTTTCCCACTATCTAGTAGGCACACACCTCGACAGGCCTGTGTCCCAGCCCGGATCCCTGTTTCGCTTCGAAGGAGGGCGTCACTCCGAGCCTGTGAACCGACGAACCTTGACGCGGATGATCACCAACTCCTTGTTTCAGGCGAGGGTAATCTTGATCTCCTCCAAGAGGCCTTTCGAGAAGTGGATCAATCCCTGATGTATGTATCAATGGACGCCAATTCGCCCTGGAGGCCAGCTGTTTTCGCCCAAGTCCTTGCCGCGGCTGTGTATGTACTCCGTACACACTGTACCTAGGAGTTCGAGAACTCGTCCGCTGGGGGAGAAGAGGACCCCAGGCATAGTCTTGGTCCAGAATCTTGAAGCCGTCGACCAATATGATGTGTGGACTCTACCCTCCTCTCCTCTCCTGCCCTCTTCTCCCCCTGCAGGTAGCTGGGCTGGACTTTCGTCAACTGTGTTTTGACCTTGTCGCGGCCTTCGCTGGCGTCCAACTTGCGTGCCAATCAGGCATCGTTGACTCACAATTCCACCACATCGATGGAGGAAGACGGAGAGCAAGAGGAGAAGAACTGCGAGAGTTGGAACAGGCTCATTCTCACCCTCGCCCTTATGGGTAGTCGACGCTTCGAAAGGCGAGGCCAGGCCAGGCCAAGCTACCTCGACGCATCATCCTTGTCGGGCAGCTGTTACGTGTGTATGAAAACATGTTTCTGGAGTAAGCTCCTCCGTACGGTGAGGATCAGGGGAAACCCAAAGGCCCCAAGGGACTCTTTGACAGTAACTGCTAATATACATAGGTACATATGTGCCTGTTCCAGGCGGCGTGGGAGCTACAGTGTGAGGGCTCGATGATCCAAGGCTTACGATGGCATCTACGAGCTTCCTGGTTTCTCAGTGGGAGAGTAGCAGAAAACAAGCATGTTTGGAACCAATACATGCGCAGGATTGATGGAGACAATGAGATTCATCCCTCCGCGACCGCTGTCAACGTCTCCAAGCGATATGTGGTGGAATTAAGAGTTAGAGCCCTGAGGAGGTTCAGCTCACTCATTCTCTTCCTTCACAATTGCTTGAGCCCTGGGTGTCAAGCGAGACCCTTTCTTTGATGTATCGCATGATTATCCTGATCAAAAATCACCGTCTATCGTGCGACACCAGCGAGATGCGAAGGCAGAGAGATCGTGGTGGACGAGGAGTCTTCCACGTGTCCGCCTCCCTGCTCCCTTGAGCAGCATCAATACCATCATACCCAGGCACCTCAATACCTAGAAAGGAGCTGCTCCCATCCTGTCTCTTGCAGCACCAACAGGCTCGGCTTCCCGTGGCAAGGTTCGAAAGACTATTTCCGGCAATATCAGACCAGACACTGGCTCAGGAAGAATTTTGAGTTGCATGTTGCGCCCGTTTCGAGGCTGTCTCTGTGAAGAACCCCCGAGACTACGGAGGGCACCGCTGCCGGGGAGGGAAAACTGGGAAGAGACAGACCGACACCCACCAATCTGGCGGACGCCGGCTGACATTAACCGGCAGGGAAGGTGACCGCACATGCGCAGTAACAAGCAACAGCTTTTGTACTGCACGAGGCTGGAATGCCAGTCAGTCAGCTGGTCAACGTGGCAGGCAGGCAGGGTGGCAGGTAAGTTGGCGTGTCTGAGCTGGGGGCCAACACTGGGGATCAAATGCTCAACATCGCCTCCATTGGACAACTCGATCAGTTGCTTTTGACATTCTCCCTTCTTGTCCCAATGCAGGAGACCAATGCTGGACGCAGCTGCAAGCCATGCATTAGCGCCGACACTTGCCCCAAGTCCCACAACCAACTTTTGACAGGGTGAGGCTGAGGGTTTGCACATACCGACTCGTTCAACGACTTTTGTGCTTGCCCGTACTGTGTCATGAGCTGCCATCACAACAATCTTAAAAGGCATGAAGGCACTCTCGCCTGTGCCGTTTTCCTTCACATCTCCTCCTCCAGACATTGAAAATTGCTCTCCTTCTTCTCTTTCTAGTCCAGCCGAGACTGTCCAGCGGCGGCCATGGGGCCACCAAAACAACCCAACCCTCATACACCGCAAGAATGGAAGCAGATCCGCTCGAAGTTCACAGACCTTTACCAAGTCCAAAAGAAGAAGCTCTCCGACGTTATGAAGATTCTGGGCGAACAAGGGTTCCATGCTAGGTAGGCGTCGTGCCGTGGCAATTGAATGCTTGCTGTTAACAAGGGTCTAAGCGAACACCACTACAAGACATATATCAGAAAATGGGGGGTCGACAAGAAGAACAAGCAGTCTGACATGGAGTTCGCCATCCAAAAACTGCGGCAGCGGCAGGGAAAGGACACAACCTTCCTGATCCGTGGAGAGCCTCGCTCCCGCAAGGACGTCGAGCACTACTGGAGGCGCAAACGCTGCAGTCCACCGGCTTCATCTACAGTCCCCAACACCCCCAACGGTGTGGACTATCGCACCCCAAGCCCATGTGCCGAGCGAGAGACGGGCGAGGCTGGATCCCAGGAGCCCCTCCAGGAGGATGCCGATTCTGCGTGGTTTGCCTGGGACGAGGACATCGCTGCTGTCTTCCAGTACATCAACCGGGATTGGATTGTGGCTCCTCGATCCACCATCTTACGCCTCCTCGAGTCACCGGAACAGTTGCGCCCCTTGGATCAAGCCTTACACTATGCCAAGGTGCTCTTCCAAAGGCAGGTTGAGTGTGCAAATGCCGACCTGCGCATTGACTTTCTTGGTTGTGATGCTGCTGTAAGTCGATTCATGAGAACTGCCGAAAATGCTCTGGCGGCTATCGCCTACGGTCTCTCCCATACCGTAATAACGGCTGCGCTGCTCGACACGTTAGAAAGTATTCCACAGGTGGCTGCCTCATCCATTGCGATTGTAACGACGAGTATTCTGCGGATAATCTCTAATTACATCGGACGGACACAAAGCTCAAGGTGGACAATGAGAAAGATGGCCGTGTATGAGATTGTGAACAGATTTGGTAAGGTTCATGGTCTCGCTCATCCATTGCCGTTGATTTTGACGGCCGCTATCCGATCTTGCGAGGACACATGCACGATATCCCAGAGGGTTTTGATGGCTGGGAACGATATGCTACAACAGGGCTCCAAAGTTGACGAGCTTTTCAACGAAGACTTGCTCACGACTCTCGGCGACATTTGTGAAATCTCAGGCGATTACAATGCAGCACTGAAACACGTCATCGAGGCGCACAGGATGACGCTGGACAGACACCAAACGGATATGACCCAGCAGAGCTTCATGGGTGTTCTAAAGGTCCAAGTACAATTATCGGCTCTTTATATACAAACCGGGTCTTTGGAAAAAGCCGAACGCTCTATCGAAGATAACCTCCGAGCATGCGCCGAGATCAGCGACCCGAGGTTTCGAGCCAAATATCGCGCGTTGTTCCTGTATTACAGAGGAATAGTACTGGAGATGTCTGGCAAACGGTCAGCAGCGGTCGAAACCTTTGGAAAAGTCATTCATCTGGGCTTGCCGTGGTTCGGGCCCGGGTACCATCTTGTTGTAGCAGCTGCTCATCGCATGAAAAACTTACAGCAGAGACAGGCTGAAGACGCGCAACGTCTCAGCGCCGCCGAAGAGGATCATCAGAACCAGGACCTCGCAGATACTCGGGGTGCTGGACAGGAGGAGCCTGGCGTCGACCAACATCCACATCCTCTGGGTGATGAAGGAGTCCTCCCCTTCAGCCCCGAAGCAGCACTGCCTTACGACGATGGAAGCTCACAGCTGTGGACGAACCCACTGGAGGCACGACCTCAGACAATCGGACATGTCGAAGAATGGACGGATGAGTACCAGGAGAGCTATGGAGGTGGCCTAGCGCCAGAGCTAGAGCTACCGGTAGAAGAAGATCAGTCCTGGATGGATTGGACTGGTGAAGGTCCCGTCGAGTGGACGTACTGAGTGGACACACGAAGGAGCACGCCATGTTGAAGGCGATAGCAATGGCGATGACGACGACGGTGACGATAGCGGTGATCACGGTGATGCCATCAATAATAGTCTTGGGGGAACGAACAACGACGACGGAGGGATCGGGAGAAGGCGTTTATATACGGGGCGTTACGGGCGATGTTCTCTCATTTAATTTGTGTATGTTATGCTATACATATTACCCTGACTGAGTCAGAACCAGTCACGACCACGATCACGATCACCCACGAGTACGATCAAACTATCTGTACGGAGTACATGCAAACAGAGCAGACATGATAAGTAATACATCCTGATGACCTCTCCCTGTCCTAGTACCGTCTCCTCTCTTCTTGTTACTGCCCAGAGACAGAGACGGAGACGGAGACGGAGACAACATCCCTCGAGGGAGGAGGGAGGGAACAAGAAAAGTAAGTCAGTCAAGTCAGTCCCAAGGCACGACGAAGGGGCGAGGGAAGTAGCTAGGTAGCTAGGTAGCAAGCAAGCAAGCAAGCAAGCAAGCAAGCAACGCAACGCAACGCAACAACAATCAAGCGGCATCTTCTTTTCGTCTCATCGAGTACGCACGCTATTTAGCTATTGTATACAACATTGATCTTAGAGACGGTCGGTCGGTACAGGGCTGTACTGTACTAACCTCCACCCGAAAGACAGACAGACAAACAGACAGACAAATCGCCCTCTTGTGGACCTCGTAATAAACAAAACCAAAAAATTGACCAACTCACAACTAGGTGGTACAGTAGGTATTCGCCTTTGCCCATTGAAAGACACGTCTCACTCACTCTCTCTTTGGGGTTCCGCTCTGATATCCCCATCCCGTCGCCCGTGCTCCTTTGGACTTTTTGGAAACCACATCGCGAACGCCTTGCTGAAAATCCCCCACTAAGATATCCTCCCCGGATCCTGTCATTCACGCCATGACGGCCTTGGAAGTGTCCAATATGCACGAATACAACATAAAACAAAAGAAACAATAGGTCTTCCCCCCCCCCCCCTTCGGCTTCTCCAATGGCACCAGCACACCTCTCCCCAATGCTCAATCTGGTACAGCCGTCAACGTGCCTTGTTCGTTGCACCGGCCGTTGCACTCTGAGGGGGTGCCATGGCTGTACCAGTCCCTTGTGTGTTAGGTCGCAAGCCTTGGCTCTCCCCATCCTCCCCCACCACTCTGACCTGGGGATCCGGGATCTGGATGTCCAGATTCATGTATCCGGTCCTCCTCAAGGGGATGATCTTCACACCGTCCCGCGCACCAACTGTATGATTCCAGTCCTCCAACCATTCTTCCAATCCCTTCAGAGCGCCTTTGATCCCCCAGGGTCGGAAATCCTCCCAGAACCAACCTGTTAATACACCCATGATGCCATCAAACCAATTCCACACCGAGAACGGGTCATATGCTTGACAGAGAGTCTGATTGACGTGTTCTATCACGTATCGGAATTCTTGTTCCTGCATTAACGGGTCGAGGATTTCCGGGTATATGTTGGAGAACGTAGGAGCGAGATCACCCACCACCATCCAGTCGCGGCGGATGCGGATGATGCGTGTGGCGGCGTATTCGGGCGAGTGTAACGGGACGTGTGGATTGAAATGGGGGAAACATGGATGGGACGGACCCCAAGCGAGCTCCTCGGCCACGTCGCTGTCTTCATCTCCGTTCGCCGCACCTCTCTCGACGTCTTCTAGTGATGCCGTGTTCGGGGGTTGGCCGCTATCTGTATATGCTCTTCCACCAAACGCGGAGGAGTGTAACGAGGCAGCGGACTGTGCACGTTTCAGCGACTTGTGGGAGGTAATCCGTCGCGGGGGCTGTAAAGGTTGGTCGAGGGGATTGACACCATAGCTCTGTCCCAGCACGGAGGGCCCTTGCGGCGTGGTCGCAGGGTCGACATTAAATCTCGACGTAGGGACTGTGTGTGCGCGTTCAGGCGGCTTCAGATCACTAGGATCCTGCTTTTCCAAGTCCACCATCAGTCCGGCACCTTGGGAAGAAGACTCGGGAAGAAAATTATTCCCCCGCTGTTGGTTGGGAGGGAGGCCGATGCTGGTTCTGTCGCCCGTTGGGGTAAGATGAGGACTGTGTTCAACGATGGGATCTGTGGGAGAATGTTGACGTGAGCGACGCTGTTCAGGGAGGCTGAGCAGAGTATGGACTTCGCCGGTGCCGCGAGCACCGGCACCCACGTCGGTGGAAAGCTGAGGTCGTTGAGGCTGGACGCGGACGGGAGTAGGACGGGGAACGTGGTTAATGGGATTGAGGACACGTGAGGCAGCAGAGCGGTGGTCGGGTGGAATGGTTCGTTTGGGGCTCGTCCGTGGGAGCAACACTTCGAGGAAGGATCTCCTGTACGAACTGGGCGGTTGTGACGGTGCAGGCGGAGGGGGCAGAGGCTTCTGTTGGTATAGGAGGTAGTCGGCAGGAGGCGCAGGATGGACGGAGGATGAGGTCAGTAATCGTGGATGTGCGATAGGAGGACGGGGAGGATGGGTCTCTGGGGTCAGTTCAGGTGCATCTCTGACAGGCTGTTTTTCAAGCGCCCTCGGTGATAGATGGCTATGGTCGAAAGACGCAGGCTCCGTGGTGTTGGTGTTGACGGTGGATGGTGCAGTAGCAGCAGCAACAGCAGCGACGTGGGCGCGAATGATGGGCGGTGGTGTAAAGGGGCGAGGGATGGGCGTGTTTCTGGTGGGAGGAGCCTCGGGGCTGGTGCTCGCCGCGGTTGGCGGAGCCCTAGAATTTCTGCTGGGCTTCGATTATTATGCAGGAACCAGGACCACAGCAAACTCTCGTCACTGCTGCTGCTGCTGCTGCTGCTGCTTCGGGCACTCATCCGGCTGCGCAGCATCCTGCGCTCTCGACTGGACCACAATACCTTGCTCGTACACTCACTCAATACGACCGACCGCCTTCAACGTGAGGATTCTAAGAAAAGAGAAAACGTCAAGACAACAGAGACCGAGGGGAAGACTCCGTTCCTCTTGGTGCCCTACATACCCGGAGGCTGACTCGAGACCAGTCCGTATCCTTTTGCCCTAATATTATTATATTGACCTCTGTGCCACACCAATGCAATGCCCTCCCGAATCGGCTTCCCTCACTTTCCAGCCTGGTTTGACCAAGTTTGAGCCACTTCGCACCATTTGGCCTAAGCGATCCTCGCCCTGCCCTTTCGTTCTATTGATCGCTAAACGGTGTCCCGCGCCCGGACCTCGTCTCCGCCTGTCTCCGAGGTTCCAATTCGTATAAAATGACGGGCGAGGGTTGGGCATTTCCTACGAGAACCACTCAAAGAGCCTCTAGCTGGACATAATGACATGGGTTGGCAGATCATGGTGCCCAATTCTCTCCAGAGACCTGCGGGCAACGGGGCTAGAGGGGCCTTTGCTCCTTGCTAGACCCAATAAACTTCCACAACGGGTGATAGGCAATTGGGCATCACTTTGGGGAGAAAAAAGGGGAAAGGATTCTCAAGGACCGTGTCCAACGTCACCCTCCCATGCTCTTGCCTTCCTTCTCTACAAAAAATGTGTTGGATATAAATCAAGGACTTGCCATCGCTCGGATCGCTCTGGTTCCGTCCCTTCTTGTATACTGACACGTGTCAGGTCTCTTAAAAGGAAGTCTCAGATGTCTCTTAAGGGATAACTCAAATTCACAATTCGTGCCATATTATGTCATAGCTGGCATGGGGGTCCGGGTGAGGCTAGTGAGGCGTAAAAAGGGGCAGATCCTACAGCGAGGGCAGTCCCTAAGCAGCAGGGCCAGCCGCTTACTTGAAGCCTTCCCCGTTATGCTAGCTAGTAGCCTCTGTTCTGGTCATTGGCCGCCCTGTGCAAGCGGGTCGACCTGCATGAACCGCTGCTCTTCGCCTTCGATATCTCCAAAGACCGCCAGTGATTTCGCTTCTGGAAGCTGATGGACTTCCCTAGCTTGCCCAAGCACACCGGCTCAGTTCCCGGGTGGATATATCCTTGTTGCCTGATCTGCCACCGTCAAAGCGAGATAAAGCTCACGAGGCTTGCAATTCCCGCGCCCAAGATTAACGTCCATAGCGAGGGTGAATTGAGCCGATTGACATCATTCGACGACGGCGATGACAGAGAGGCTGATGAGCCAGTCGTGGAAGTTGCAGACGTGGTCGGAGAACTTGCGGGCGAGCTGGGAGAAGTGCCTGCACTGCTTGTCGACATCGATGTCACGGTAGCACCTGAAGACATGGGAGTGGTTGCGGGAGGCATGGCCGATTGACTCGGTATGGCCACGGTGCTGAACAAGGGATTGGATGTCGACGTAGAAACGGTCGCTTCGGGACCAATCTGTTGTCCACAACAAGTAAGCGTTGTTCTGTCTCCCATGTGTTCGTGCTAGAGTCTAGACCGTTGGATCCGAGAGACCTCCGAGAGAAAGGCTCGGGCCATTTGACATCCCCTTGCCCCAGAGCCGTGAGACTTACCGTCACAGGCACGCTGAAGATGGCGCAGATCTCAGCTATGGCAGAAAAGGTGACTGCGAGTGGTCAGTCTCAGCGAAACCGGCAGCATTCGAAGGACTCGAACACACAGACCTTCTTGATCCGTAACGTTACAGGATGCCACGGTACAGTTATTGAGTCTCTCGATGTACATGTTATTGGCACACAGGCACGGCCATTCGCTTTTCATTCAGACTATCATTAGCCCACCACCACCTCTGCATGTTGGGGTCGCGCACAATATATCGTGGATGATGTCCTACCTTTGCTGACAATTGGTACCATTGACATTTGCGACGCACTCGAGCTGTGTTGTTTTTGCGGGAGAGCAGCTTAGCGACGAGGACGATCCAGATCTCACCAACAGTCTTTCTTACTTACAGCGCACGTGTCAACATCGTCTTGAGCCCACACCCCGGGGGCAAAGCAGAGGCACCACAAAGCCACGAGCAGAGGGAGGAGGTGATGATGGACTGGTTTCATGATCGGTGTCGTTTGAGGTCGAAAAGAAGATATCAGGTTATAGGATGGAGATGATGGGTAAAGGAGAAGCTATGTATGGTGGAAGGACGGAGGTTGTTGTAGTCTTTCTCATACCAAGCCAGAGAGCGAGAGGGAGACAGAGACGTTGATTGTTACTGGCCAGATACATTCAACGTGGCAAAAGCAGGTGACTCGGTATCAGGCAGCGACAATTCACCACCGACATGCACCCGCAAGTCAGATTTCATCGAGCTCGCTGGCTTCTACTGTAGATGGAGCGATTGCTTAGTGCGAAGCCTGATGTTAATCCTCTCCTGACAAATTGACAAATTTCGTGCTGCTTGATGGCCGTCAAGTGGTTGGGCCAAATAGATCAACTCGTATACAACTCAGCTTGAGCCGGTAAAAGCTCTTGGCAGTTCCGTCGTCGCTGGAAAGCTCACGTGAGCGACTCGAATGGGAAAACAAATGCTTAGGGAGCACAATATTTTTTGTTCTTATTCGGTCGTAGTGATATGGATTTACTTTCCAACTCCCCAGTAACAATACAATCCATCGTGAATACCTATAATAATGGTAGAAGTCGTCAATCTCGTAGTCCTGACCATCCCATTGTACTCATTTTCTCCGTGTCCAATGCAGTGGTATCAAAATAAACTGGTGCCCCTGTCCAGAATGCATTTCCCCCCTTAGAAAAGCAATTACAGAGCAATCATGGTGGCAAAGATCGCCGCAACAAGAGCGCCGCAAGCGCTGAGACCGCGAAGCGAAGGAGCGGCGTTGCCCGAGTCAGAGGAGGAGGTGGCTGCAGCTTCGACGGCTTGGATACCAAAGGTTGTGCCAGTAATAACCTGAGTCGAGCCGTCGGTGGTGACGGTGGTGGTGATGGTCGCGGGGACAGGCGAGTTGGTGGTGGTGCTGCAGCCAGACCAGGTACCGGTCCACGACGAGAATGGACCCCAGCCGGCGGTCCAGGTGGTCCATTGATCGCAGTTGACACCGCTGGCCTTGGTGCCCCAAGGTCCCCAGCCACCAGGACCGAAACCAGGGCCTCCACCGTGACCACCCCACATGCCTGGGCCGCCCCAAGGACCTTGACCGTTCCATCCGCTGGGAGCAGAAGGCAAGCCAGTAGAGCAGGCAGAGATCCAGCTCGACCATTGAGCCGAGTTCCAACCGCCACCGGGACCGAAGCCAGGGGCGGCGGTGATTTGAGAAGGCCAGGCAGAGCCGCCAGAGGTAGCGCTGAAGGTGGCTTCTTGAGAGGCAGAAACCGGAGCTCCTGCGTTGGCGCAAAGCTGTGCAATGGCACCGTAGATGGCTGTTTTCAAAATTGTCAGCTCGATAGCTCTTTGTTTCCATGCTCTTCTGGTAGAAAGACGACTTACCTTCTTGATCGGTGGTGTTCGTGCAGGAGGTTGCGACGCAGGTGTTCAATTGGGAGATAGCAGTTTGATTGGAGCAGAGGCAGTCCCAGCCGCTGGAGGTGCTACAGGACGAGCCATCCCAGCTTCCCATGCAGTCAGACCACTGTCGATTTTGTTAGCACTTAGATCACCTGGGAGGGAAGAACTGGCTGTGCGCAGAACATACGGAGCAGGATGGGAGCCACGCGAGAGTGGAGGTAGTGAACAGGGCTGCCGCCAAGGGCACGGCCGATGCGAAGGACTTCATCCTGAAAGGGGGATATCTGATATGTGTGTACGGGTTGGTAGTGATAGATTGGTACGGGGGGTAGGTAATGTCTCTTCGATTGATGTCGGTCGATATCTGGTTCTGTTCAGGAGGACGGGCTGGCAGAAGAAAGAAGCAAGAGCGATGGGAGGTGGCAGGGGAAGGCAAAGATATAGGGATTTCATCCCCCACAACCAGCCTCAGGCGAGCCGTGCGTTTGTCGTCGGTCACCTCTGGCCTTTGAGGACACCACCGCTAATCGCTGGGCTGGGGGACAGGGTGACGAGCACAGCCTTACCGCATGGCTGGTAGCGGTTTCTTGGAAAGTCCGAAGTTAGCATCATTATGCGGGGCTTCAGTGGCTGGTCAGGGACAGTGCTAGCCATGGACAGTTAGGATGCCTCTAGCGCAAGGAACGGAGGTCGGAGGGAAGGACGCGTCATGCAAGCCATGGCCGGGAAATTTCTTTGCGGCAGGTCCCTTGCAACTGATTTCACCCGTGTCTTTTGAGTCCTTTTGAAGCCTAGCACGCCTAATCCAGTCACCTCCAATTGCTTTCAGGGCTGTCAAGGACCTGTCAGGGCCTCCTACGTTGCCCCTCATCGATTGGCTTGGCTTGCCCATCACTCCGTCGGGGGCTAGGCCGCGCCCAATCGGGGCTAAACTCAATCACCAGTGTCCGGCTTGCCAAATCAGCCCAGATTCGTGTCTATTTTTGCGGACCTGGGGAAATCTCAAGTGTGCGGTCCTTCGTCTGCACCTCAGCCTCAAAAACGCTCAGGGCCTTGCCGCCATCACTGCCATGGGGGCCTTCGAAAGGCTGCAGATTCTTGAATTCCATGCAAGCGAAGGGGCATTGTCCGTAGAGCCTGGGCACTCTTCAGCTTCAACCGACTCGGGTGCCCCAACCGACGTGCCAACCAATATACGAAGTCCTGGACGCGTCACGCCGCTTGTCCTACCGTAACCTCCCCGACCTGTCTCCCAGCATCGTAGACCATAGTCATCACATGAGCCATTGAGAATCGATTTGATTGACGTCGGCTTTTCCTCGAAGGGGACAATAGCAGTAGGTGATGACGTGGAATGGGAAGGCATGAAATCGGAGAGTCGGGGGCTGGAGTCCGACATCCGAGTACCCATCGAGGCGCCCCTCTCAGCGCTGAACGCCGCCGCACCCGAGCGAAGATTGGCGGATTCGGAGCCTAGAGCCTAGAGCCTAATGGACAAGCTCGGTTCCAGGTATGCCAAGCGATGTTCCTTATTCTCACCCAACTGCGGTCCCAAAGGCGCCTAGATGGGATCTGGGACGTTGTCATCGGCACGCCGCGGCCTTTGCGGCCCGTTGATTAATTGCACTCCCCTTCATGCTGGCACCTCAAACAGTCCGGGCTTCATGTTGATCTTGCACAATTTCGCCAAACAACCGCTCAGTTGCAGAAAAGATTGCACACCCTCGAGAATGCGCATGTGGGTGAAGCCAATCTCTTTGATGAATTCGAGCTTCGAGTGCTCCGACAAGGTGGGGATGGTTTTCGTGACTCGGAACATAGTGCTTATGATGTCGTGTGAGGAGTATCCCAGATCCCTTTTCAGGGGTGCCCCATGCCGGTTAGCTGTGGCTTTCCATATTTTCGGACTTGGTCCATAATCATTGAAGTATGACTTACCACAATTCCTTCAACGAGTCGACTGCACTGTCGATCTTGCCCTCCCAGCATGCCTTGATCATGGCTTGTACTTTGACCGGATGCGGACTGTCGACCACCCGGAACACGTTGTCCCCGCTGACGAACCCGAATCCTGCCCACGTACTCTGCAGGTTGTTGATGGCCTGTCGCATGTCTCCTTCGGCGCTGAATACGAGTGCGGCCAGGCCGTCCTCGGAGTATTCCACCTTTTCAGCCTCGATTATTTGCATCAAGCGCTTCACCACCTGCGCGTCCGTCAGGCGAGAAAAGCGCAGGATTGCGCATCTCGATTGCAGAGGTTCGATGATCTTGTTTGATTGGTTGCAGGCGAAGGCGAAGCGAGTGGTATTGGAATAAATTTCCATGGTTCTTCGCAGAGCCTGTTGTGCGCCAGCTGTCATGCTAAATTCCCGTGTTAGAATTGCGTAAACATGGCTGCCGTCACCTTCCCTACCTGTCTGCTTCGTCGAGGATGACCAGTTTGTGCCGCCCAGGAGGCAACGTCACCTTCTTTTGGGCGAATCCTTTGATTCTATTTCGAACGACGTCGATGCCTCTTTCGTCGCTCGCGTTCAACTCCAGCACGGCCTCTTTGTACGCATCGCCCAGAAGTGTACGCGCAAGACACAAGACGGATGTCGTCTTCCCGATTCCAGGCATGCCTGAAATGATGACATGCGGCATGTTTCCATCTTTGGCAATAATCTTGAGCCGTTCGATGATTTCCGTGTTGCCAACAACATCGTCGAGATAGACAGGTCTGTACTTTTCCACCCTGCACGCCAGTCAATCCTGTTTTGCAAAAGTTCTGGATGTGGAGGCGATTACTTACCATGGCAGTTCGTAATCGGGCGTTGTACCGTTGCTAGTATTGAGAGCTTTTCTTGCCGCAGCAGACGATGACTCCGCTTGACCTGACATTGTTGCGAGCTTGCAATGCACTGTTCTTGTAACTCGGTTGGGTGGTTGAATGAGGAGATGGCACGCAGCGCAGTTTGTCAAATCCTCTTCAAGCGCGTCGAACGAGACGCGTTAAGTGGCTTGGCGGGGCACCACCACCACAGTTTCTACTCCTAACCTCGAGTACGAGGTACAACTCAGTTTTGGGACAAACAAGACATGGGGACAGTTTTATGCTCAATATCGCTTCGTCTGCTAACGAATTCTGAACGTGGCTTCAGCCAATTTTCCCTCGTCGCATCGCTTTTCGAGTAATGACCAATCCGTAAGGCCATGTACAAATGCGCCGCCGACAACAGTGTAATAGTCCTTGTCCTTGGCTGGTCGAAGGACCCAGGGCATGGACATGCCAGACAGACACACCAGCGCGTCGCCCACTAACGCCCCGGGAACACAGAGGCCCAAGAGGGATTCTCTCCTGGTGATGAGGAGGCTCCTCCCTCGGCAGACCGATCTCGCCTGGCTGAGCAGACTCGTTACTACTTCAGATGTGGACAAGCCGGCGAGCTCTTCGCGTTTGCGTTTGGATTCGGCACCACTGAACTCCCATTCATCCCACCTGTCGTGGTCCGGCGTCTGAAACACGTTCCACCAAAAGTCCAACTGGTCGTCGGCCACTGCGGCCGTCCTGACCCTGCCACCCCAGCCGGACATGGCGCTGAATAGTCGGCGCGTACTAGAGCTGGGAGTGGGGAACAGCGGGCCCCCGGTCGACGCAGAGTCCGGGTTATCACCTTGTCGTCGAAGTCCTCGCCGGTGTTTCCTCATGACGACCTTTGCTCTGCGCTCCATGCGGCTCAGAACATCCATCCAGTCATCCTCTCCCTCACCAAATGGGTAGACCTTGTGTATGACATCAAGGTACACACCACGCAGCATGAGAATATTGCCGTCCTCCGAGAACCGTGGCTCAGGAGAGCCCCAAAGTCGATTGTCAAGGCCGAAGTACCAGCCAGTGTCTCGGGTGTCGTCGTTTTGGCCAACCTGAGAAGAGAAATCGGGAACCCAGGTGGGTCGATCCAGATGAGGCGACGATTGAAAGGACACGGACCCCAGCAGCGATTCGTCGCGGAGAGTCAGCAGTGCCTTTGTGACCTCTCGAAATATCTCCCAGGACGGCCGTTCATAATCAATGGGGATGAGTTGGCTCTTTTCCTCGGGAAGCAGGCTCAAAAGACCATAGATATAGTCGTGTGCCACACTGGCCTTTCGACCGAGGAACGGTGAGATGGTCATGGAGAAGGACCGAGTGCCGCTCGATCCCCCATAGATCTGCCTCCCGACGTCTTCCCTTCCATATTCTTGCCTCGCAAAGTCCAGGAGCTCGAGGAACGACATTTTGCTCGAACATTCGTCGGGGGTCTTTCCAGCAGAGCGATAGACGTCTGTGACCGACGGATGGCGTCCCGCGTCTGGTAATATGCGTATCACCCCTCTTCTCAACTCCCACAGGGCGTCGAAGAAATGAGTCCAGAGGAGAGTCTTTGTGCCACACAGGAAAGTGGGCGGCTTCTTTGGCAGAATGCATTCCTGGACGATCCAGACTCGCACCCACCATTCCCGGGTGGCGATCGTCTCCAGCATTGCGTTCAGTCTGTGGATCTCGATAGCTTCCTCCTCTGGGAAACAATCGTATTCGTGGTCCCGACCCGGCGGTGACGGGATCTCGTCCTTGGAGATGGCTTCAAAGAGGGCGTCCGAGTGCTTGTCGCCTTCGCCGAGCCATATGAGAACATTGTCGGCCTCGGTGTAGATTTTCTTCATGAGAGGGACCTGCTGGTTGCGTTCGATCACGTCCGTTTGATTGATGCACACGGCATCGACCCATAACGTGTCAGCAATTTGGAGTTTGCGGATGTGTCTGAGGGCCGACTCGAGATTGACGGTTGCATTGAAGACCTGCTCACCCACGTGGATGGGCTTTGTCTTGCTCGCGTCTCCCCAGACATACGACAAGGCGTGAAACTTTGGGTCGTCGCCTAGGCTGACTGTACGCAGCTCACAGTGAATGTTGTCGTCGTCATGGCCTGGCAGCAAGGTCAAGAGTCGGATCTCGTGGCGACTAGCATCGAGTCGAGCCGTGTATATACCCTCCGTCGCCATGGAAGTAGAGCCACGAAGGAGTGATGAACCAGGATGCCGACAAGATTGAAGCTGAGGGTTTGGGGCACCATGCATCGGCAGGTGTAGCCATTAGTTCGTTAACCACCAATCGGTGCCCAAGAACAGAGAATGGCCATTGCTACAACAACAGCAGCAGCACCGCCACGTGGTCACTGCCCACAGGGGGGTTTCCAACGTGTCCCTCGTATTCAGAAGAGGAGAGAAGGGGCCGAAAATGGGACTGAGCTAGAGTTATCATCATTTTTCATCGCTGACCATTCAGGCACAGGAACCTTTCTGGAGATTGGGTATCTGCAAATCAAGGCCCGAGCCTGCGGTGCAGGAAAAGCAGATGTCTGTGTCCTGCTCCAGGGTCTTGTGATTGCTCGCGTAATATGTAATACAAGTTAGGGCAAGAGTGTCTGTCGTTCCTCTGTTATTATCATGATCTCGGAGCACATCTGCCGAAGTCTGGAAAACGTCATGACGGCGCGCGCAAAGCTCTGTCTGTCTGGGGCTTCAGAAGTCCGTGGATGATCTAGAAATTTCCCCAGAGGTAGCGAACAACTTGGAAGATATTATATATTCTCCTATACAGCTGCTCGCCCCGTGATTGTTCTTAAACTTTACGATAAGCTCCTTTTGGTGTTTCTTGTCTCGACAAATGCTGGTGCTCACAGGGACGACGGGCCACTTGGGGTCCCGCGTCCTCGACACGCTGCTACGGCACAAATTGATCCCGGCCTCCCAGCTGGTCATCTCGTCCAGCCACCCCAGCGACGTGTCGGCCGCGGCGCGGGAAGCGGGCATCGAGATCCGGCCGGGCGACTTCACGTCTCCGGACTCGCTGGCGGCCTCGTTCAAGGGCGCCGACGCGCTGTTTCTGGTCTCGTTCCCCTCGCCGAGCGTCGAGCGGTGGCTGCACCACAAGGCCGCCATCGACGCGGCGAAACAGGCGGGCGTCAAGACGGTCATCTACACGAGCTTGATGTTTGGTGGCGAGACCGGGCTCAGCAGCATCGCCGGCGTCCAGCAGGCGCACATCAAGACCATCGACTACCTGACGCAGAGCGGGCTGCAATACGTGATCGTGCGCGAGGGCATCTACGCAGAGAGCTGGTGGCTGTACGCCGGGTTCCAGCCCCAGAAATTCCACAAGGGCGACACGGACGACATCAGGTTCGTCATCCCCAACGACGGGCCCGTCTCGTGGGTCACCTGGGACGACCTGGGTGAAGCGACGGCGAAGATCCTGCAGAACTACGAGCAGTATCTTGGGCGGACGCTGAACCTGACGGGGCCCCGAACCAGCACCATCAGCGACGTGGCGAAGCTGGTCGAGCAGCACACGGGGCGCACAGTCACGGTCGACATCGTGGGCAGACAGGAAGCTGAGCGCTACCACAAGTTTGAGAAGAAGAGCGTGCCCCCGGACAACTTCTGGGTGGTGGAGAGCTGGAGTGGCTGGCATGTGAGTTTGTCCCTTTCTTTCCTGATGGTACAGTAGTAGATACTGTAGCTTCCTTGCCCCTCCTGCTGCAGATGAATGTGACGGATGGATGGATGGGTGGCTGACGGTATACATTACAGGACGGCATCGCCCAGGGGGAGACGGCGACGGTTGATCCGTTGATCGGGGAGATTTTGGGGAGGGCACCCCGGGGCATTGAAGAAATGGCACCTCGCCTGTTCACTCCGGAATGATAATGACAGTGTTGGTTGGAGGAGGAACAGGGACATGGGGTGGTGATATAGAAGATGTGGGCAGAATCAACATCAACCCAGGGAGAAGACCATGGACATCCCAGTCAGTTCCTCCTCGACCGATTCCATCTTGTTCCCCGTCGAGCTTATCAATGCCAATCTGAGCCCTGGTACCCGAGTACGTCATGCTGGTGTATATATATCTCTATGTCCTCGATGCAAGGCACTCTCGTCCGCAGTACATTAGAGGAAGATCGGCGATCACGCCATGTTGTTGTTCGCCCACGAGGCTGACTTCGTCTCCTCTGTCTCTCCTTTTAAAATTAAAAACTCCATTGAACCCCCCCAGCGAGCATGGCAGCCTCGTTCGTCATTGGCGCTGCCCACCACACAGCCGTAGACATAGCCACAGCCACCAACGGAACGGGGCTTGAGGGGAAACTAGCGAACTCTGTCGCAACTCGTGGGCGACGGTGAGTGCATAACTCTCCGAGGTGGCCCGGGCTTCTCGTTACTGCTACTACTGAAAGAAGAGGAAGGAGAAGGAGAAGAGGGAGCGAACAAGGGAGAAGCCGATGGAAACGTGAAAAGCAACAGATTTGTACTGTTGTACAGAGTACCGAGTACTGTACCTACGGGTGCCTAGGCACGAAGGGAGGGGTTTGCACAATCTGAGACACAGCCCATACTGGAACCGTGCAGCAGGGCTGCTGCTAGTACCTCGTAGTTAATAACACTTAGGGCCTCTCTCACTCACCTCGGGCAAAAACAAAAAAACTCTGCGCTTACGCGTTGGGACCTTGGAACCAGTCAAGCCCCTCGGAATACGCGGGATAACGGACGCGTTCCCTCGCGCTCCACCAACCCGTTAACCCACACGCACACACACACACACACAATACTCGGTGATAATATGCTGGTTACTCGTTGTTATGCACTCCCCCCACCCCCTGGTCGCTGGTGATGGGATGATGATGGCTGGGTGCTGGCCCTGGTGGTCCTCGTGGTGGTGCCTGGCATCCATCGTCAGGCATTCCGGTTTGCTGCATCCATCCATGAAGGGGGCTTTTTTTCTCTTTGTTTGCGTCGTCATCCCCGTTAAGCGATCCGGTTCGGTCTCCACGGGAGACTCGACGTCCCGAGACATTTGGGCTAGGCTGGGGTTTGTGCCTGTGCTGAGCTGTGCATGAGTAAAACAATTCCCCTTGGTTAGTAGCAGCTATTACTCGACTGCTACTGTACCTGGTACTACTACCACTACTACGCCTACAAGGGATACATACATATGTGTCGGTATAACCCAGGCCTTGTCAGTCAGGTGAGACTTTCTTCCTCCTCCTCTTCCTCCTCCTCCTTCAATTATTGTCCCATCTTGTCCCCTTCCTCTTGAAAAATACATTCCTGTCAATTTGTGTCCCCTATCTGGAATCACATACACACATACAGCCCCCTCCCCAGCCCTTGCTTCCGGTCTGGATTGCAAACAACCACAATAATGGGCATCTCCGACGGCCTGGTGGTGTTCCTGTGCATCTTGATCGCCGGCATCGTGGTTGCCGGTGCCGCCGCCCTACATCGTGTCGTCGCCACCCGCGAGTTCACCGAGGCACTGCCCCAGCCCACCAACGAGCAGCAGTCGTACATGAGGATGTTGCGGTCGCGGAAGTGGCCTGGTCTCCGCGTTGAGGAACGCCAGGCGCCGTCGACCGTGACGTCGAGCTATGTGTGACATTGGAATATCCCCCATTCCTCTCTTTAAACAAACCTAAGCCATGTCGCAAGACAATGAAGCTCCGACCCAGTCGTCGTTGCTCACCCTTGGCCGGAACCTAGACCTCTGACAAACACATGGAACCGGGGCACACACACACGAACGATGATGACGCCTCGTCATATGCTACGTCGCGACCTCTCCTAAAAGCCTGGTCTGCTTGAAGGACTACATCTCGTCGGCCCCGCCACCCACGATGGTCGTCAAAGGAATGAGATCTGCCGCATGTGGGTAGCAGATCCGTGGAGACAAGATTCAAGAGGTCAGAATCGCGCTCGCCGTTGCAAACAGGATATCACTGTGGTTCTTCCAAGACCAATGAACAGTCGGATACTCAACCGTCCATGTCGAGTCCTCGAATGTTCACTCCGCCAGAGCCAGAGCACGACATACTTACATGTCAACACTCGCTCTCTCGAGCACAGCGGCGATGTTCCACCGATCATCCCGACACCTGCTCGGGCATCGATTCATATCTAGCTCGAAATCCACACTATCAATCTCATTCGCTCCGTCTCTCCGCCTCCGTCCCCCAAGGGTACAACGAAGTAGTCCCCGCGAGGTCGCCGAAAGATTGGGCTGTGGGACGGAGCAGAAGAACACCCACCTGCGGCGCGTATTATGCTTGCCTGTTCGCTCGCGGCAAATTTCAAGCCTGGCAGGACCAGCCAGCGAGCCAGCCAGGGACACCCGCTCAATTGATGACCCGCACCGCACCATGACGACCGTGACGAAAATGAGCATGGGATGAGGACGAGGGCGACGAATTACTGGGACTCGAGCCGCATCATGCCGAATGTGTATATCCATTGTCACCCATACATCCATACCCAACACAGTTAGTTCTACACTTGCACAGATCAAATACTAACTATATATCATCTCCCACCATCTATTTCCACATATATACCGAAAAAGCACCCACCCCTGTCGCAATTGAGGGGGGGGTTATGGAATTGCGTCTGGACGGTAGAGGGAGACCTGGAATGGAATGATTTATGGGCCTTGTGACAACGTTGGGGACGGCGCAACCGCCATGAGACTCGAGATTGCTTATGGGATAACGGTGGTGATTCGAAAAGAATGCACACCGCCTACGTCAAGGATATCCGGCACGCTTCTGAGTCCTCTTCATGAGTACTTACTCGGTTGGTAATGTGCATACATGGTGGTTGTCGGTCTGGTAATCTCCCTTCCTACGCAGGCAGATTGATTTGATAGGTCGTTGGTGGTACAGTATTACATGGAAAAAACCTTGTGACAGGGGTGACTCCAAAGGGAAAGGAATATGTATATATATGTATAACTATTCAGTTATATGTATATCAATCAATACACCGTGACTTCTTGTCTGGTCATGATACATACTCTACTGCGCACGGCGGCCATTGCCGCCGCCGTATCTCAAAAGCCTCCGCTGGTCAGCGGCCACGTCGCCGCCGACACCTGTCGATGGCGGAGTCTCCCAAGACTCCCGTATTGCAGCCCGGGGGTCGATAACAGATGCTGGCCTCCCGGATGCTGGCCCAGGCGGATATGCCCCCACTCGCCGTCCGCCAGCACCTCGACGCCCACGGGGTCGAGACGGTCGATGTTCTTCTCCAACTCCTCGTGCGTGTAGCCGCACAGGTCGTCGCCGAACTTGGACTGGATGTGCTCGGCAATGTCGATGATGTTCCGGTAGCGCCCGAAGCCGCGGCCGCTGCGCCAGAGCACGCCGTGGCGGAAGCTGTCGATCCACACCGCGAACATACCCACCACCCACAGACTGGTGACGAAGCACACGATCCAGAGGTACCCGCTGGACAGGCCCCACTGGTAGGTGCTGCTGGGTACGCACTGGAGGATGCCGCTGGGCGTCTTGTCGCTCTGCATGACCCAGTTGTACTTGTCGTCGACGAACGCGTCGAACGACATGTTTTGGCCCGCGATCACCACGTTGGTCCACTGCCCCGGGTGGTGCTCGACGCAACCCCCGTTACTGGCACAGTAGGCGTCCTTTTGGATGCTGAAAAGTTGAGTACCGTTGAGTTCAACTAATGTGTACGTCGAGGCCCCGGGAGTCGTTATATTGGCCATGGTCTTGTACTCGACGATGTAGCCGGTCGTCAGGTCGAGGAGCGTGGGCAGGGCAATGAGATATGCCACGGCCATCGCAAGCCAAATGAGCGTGACTTTGGCACGGACCGTGTGCACCTTGGTGACGGCCCGCAGCTGGAACCATGCGCCCTTGAGGGACGTCGTGTCGAACGCCATGGCAGTGTACAACTGCAATGGCACACAATTTTCCTGGATGATGCGAAGGATTGCCATGCTGAACAGATGGTAGGACAGCCAGGAGAAGAGCACTTGCGAACCTCTGCCCAGGACGAAGTTGACGGCCGCATCCAGGATCTTGACCGACGTATAGGTCAAAGAACCCCAAGTGATGTTGATGGCAAATCGTCCGGAATAGAGAGCAGGGTAACAGGGGGGCAGGTACACGGCCAGTTTGTGGTTCCCAAAGACGTCGAGCACCGTGTAGAAGGGGAACCCAGCGAATATTCCGGGGACGACGGCGCCGACCGTGCATCCGATGTAGACCACAAAGACGCCGAAGGTGATGAGGGCATTTCTGACGGTGCAATACTTGCGCAGAGGTCTCAGAGGTTTGGGTGGCAGGACGTACGGCGGTAAAGGCTGGTGGAGGTCATCTCTCGACGAGTCGGCGTTCTGTATGTCGAGCTGGGGCTCCTTCAACAAGTATTCCTCGACCGAAGTCATTCTCGGAGGCCACAACAGTCTTTCTTCCTCAGGCTTCAGGCAGCAAACTCAAAGAAGATGAAGCACTACATTTTAAGCTGGGCGGGTGTCGAAAACCCTCTGCTTGCCCCCCTCGATTGTGCGGCTGATGGGCCGAGGAAAGATTTCACGTTCGTGCATCTTAGCGACGCCACGTGGATGTGCGCCATCAGTCCAAAGTAGGTACAGAGTAGTCGTTGTTGGGGAAGGACTGGGTTCTAGAACCTGGGCCTCTTTATTAGTCGCACAGTAGTCGATACAGATCCATTTCGCAAAAATGCCGGTTTGTTCCAAAAAGACATTGTCGAAGGATTCGGTCCGTGTTTAGCGGAGTTGCTAAGCCCAGACAAGCATCTACTGGCACGACTTCAGCCAGCCTCGGCGACACGCCACACGCCACGCGCCGGAACTGGCATTAACGCCCTTGAAGTCCATTTCGAGAGTGTGATGTTGACCTGGGGATCTCCATTGGGATGGAGAGACAGCTGATATAGAATCCATATTACGCAGTAGTTTGCCAGCCCTGAAGGGATGCTCGCTTGTTCTCACTTGTTCTCGGTGCTCCTTGATGAACATGCGTCGGCGAGACATGGCCCGTCTGCGGTGAAGACCCCGATGCGATTTCCATGGACCCGGGTGAGCATTGGCCTCTGTCGTATCCTGTTCATTATCAATCAGCTACTCCTCGGGCCGAGTCCTAGGCGTAGAGACACCAGACTGTGTGGCTCGAGTGTCGAGACTCAAGGGCCATCTAGCCACCGTAAAGCCGATCCCTATGCATTCGCCTGTATCAATCATACGGCCGGTCCACGGTTTTCTGAGCTGTGCCGTTCTCTAGGGGGTATAAGTATCGCCCACGTTCATGATGAAGCCGGGTCGTGCTCAGAGCAAATCTGATTGAGCCACATTTCTGTCCACATCTCATCTCAAAGCTCGCAATGTCGGTGTCTCCATATACCGTCCAGAACGACTTCGAAGTTCAAGAGTACAACAAACGTCGTGAGGCGTGGAAGGCGTCTGAGAGGGAGAGGAAGCAAGAAGAGAAGCTGCTCAGAGACAAGGCCAAGCACGACCGAAAGGAAGCGCTGAAGCAGCTGGCCGAGGCGGAAAGAGGTATCGCCGGTGACCTTGACCGTATCTGTATCTGTCACACCTTCATTGACTGACACCGACACAGCAGAGCCTCGAAAGATTTTCAGCTGGCTGTCTCGAAAAAGTCCGTCCAAGATCGAGGTTGTCGCATCGAAGGAGCTTGACGACGACAGTGACTCGGACGAGATTCCTCTGCGGGATGCACTGGCGGCGCTTCCCCCCGAACTTGGGAAGCGGGCGTAGCTTGTGCGACAGTTCGACCTTGGACCTTGGTCAACCCATTTCCATCCCCTCATCCTCCCAAACTCCATAACCCCCTCGTCGTCCCCTTTGCTACGACCCCTCCCAACCACGACCCTCGTGCCTCAATGCCGAGACTCACGCCCTTGGCCCCAACCCACAGACTTACCGCGGCTGTCACGGCGACCTCGTCGTCGCAGGGCACGCGGATCCACGCATTGGGGCCCTCTACTTTCAGGATGTCCACGGGGATGGCGGCGCCGGTGAGTCCGAGATACTGCTGGAGTGCTGCCGTGAGATAGGAGCGCAGTGTGATTTCGTCCAATGTCTGGTCCGCTGGGGGTGGCATGGCGTGCAGGCGCAGGTGAAAGTAGGAGTGCGGTGGGTTGCGGAGCGTGAATGTGGTGGTGGTGACGGCCTCTTTATCAGGACCAGGCTTTGTCTTTGTCATTATGCGTTAATTGCAGGGAGCGTTTGAGGTTCATGTAGATTACCAGGAGTGTGTGATGTTGTATGTTTTGCCTGGTGCGAGAAAAAATGTCGACTAATAATGACCATTGTGAAAAGTTGACGTTTGCCGTGACACTGTCATTTTCCAGTCTCAACGCCCTGTTTCCCTTGATGTAGAGCGTCATTACAGCGTGTCAGACAGTGGTGTTACTGTATCTTGCTGTGATTGGCCCTCCTTTACTTCCACCACCTAAAATATACGACGACTGAGTCTGTCTCACGGCTCTTCTTCCTCCTATACACCATCAACCACCGAACACAAGAATCCCTACCGCAAGACCCGTTATCTGGTCGATGCTCTCAAGATTGAAGCACCTCTCTCGCCATTTTTCACACCCATACCCCTCAGTCCTGGCCAAAGCCATGGCGTCGTCAACGGCGAATACTACGACATTCACCCTCCCCAACACCACACCAGGCATTCCCATAACCCACCCCTCCACACTCACCAAGGACCAGATCCTCAATTTCCCCGCCTTCAAGACCTGGCTGAGCACGCTGCAACGGAGCCTGTCACTCCAGCACAGCTCGACGTCTCACCCGTTCCACGAGTCCCCGTACTCGCTGCGGTCCATCGAGATCCAGTCCGTCGACTTCTTCTTCGGCCACCGCCTCGGCTTCCTCAAGCTGAAGGCCACCGTGGCCAATGACAGGGGCGAGTCGCTGCCCGGCTCGGTGTTTATGCGCGGCGGGAGTGTGGCCATGCTGATCATCCTGACGCCTTCGCCATCATCACCCTCAAGGACGACTTCACAGCAGCGGTCTCGATCAAGAGAAGAAGAAGAAGAAGACGACGACGACGAAGAGTATGCGATCCTAACCATCCAGCCCCGCATCCCAGCAGGCTCGCTCAACTTCGCAGAACTGCCCGCCGGCATGATCGACGACAGCGGCACGTTCGCTGGCGCGGCGGCCAAGGAGATCCACGAGGAGACGGGCCTCGAGATCGCGACGGACGAACTCATCGATATGACGCAACTCGCCGCCACCACCCAGGAGAGTGGGAAGTCGCCGTCGCGGGACGAAGAAGAACAACTGCAGGCCGCCATCTACCCGTCCCCGGGCGGGTCGGACGAGTTCATCCCCATCTTCCTGGCGCGCAAGACCCTCCCGCGCGCGCAGATCGAGGCGTTGAAGGGCAAATTGACCGGCTTGCGGGATCACGGCGAGAAAATCACGCTCCGGATCGTCCGGATCCACGAGGTGTGGAAGGTCGCGTGGAGAGATGGCAAGACGTTGGCGGCCATGGCGCTCTACCAGGGTTTAAAGGGCGAGGGAAAGCTGTGAGTGACCCTTGCCCTTGCTGGGGCTTGGAGTTACGACGCAAAGGACCCGTCAAGTTTGCAAAGACGTGAAACTTTTCGGGAATTGTCGTTTGTTAATTCCCACGCGCCCTCTCTCCCTCGCCTCCGCCTCTGTCGTCACGCGTGCCGCATTCGATGAATGACGGTCACAGCTGGGTATCTAATACAATCCTACATCAGAAGAAGAGCCCACGAGCACAGTCTAATCCGCAAGTTCGGCGATACGCATGGCCCACAGTATGCGAGCTCTCTCCTAGCGAGCAGCAGTAGATGAGCCTGAACCGCCCGGCACCGGGACCGTGGCCAAATACTTCTCATGCACCTTCCTCTGTGCTTCCCACTCCTTCTTCAACCTTTTCACCCGGCTTGCCGTCAGCGGCGTCCCGTCCTTGGCCATCGTCGGCACACCGTCTTCGTCCCACGCTGAATAGTCGACCGAATGCGGTGGTCTGAACATCTCGGTCGGACTGACTTTGGCCTTCTGGAGCTTCTCCTGCGCTTCTCTTTCGCGCTGCTTTCTCGCTTCTTCTTTTTGGCGTGCCTTTTCCTCCTTTTCGCGCCGCGCAGCTCTAAGTCCTTCGGTGACGGGGCGGACCAGGGCAGGCGCGTTCTCCCGGTCTTCAAGGAATATGTCCAGCTGCCAAAGATCGATGTCTCGGACCCGGTCGCAGAGTGCGAGGATTTGTTTGTTAAGATCACTCGAGGAATCCGAGCTAGTGGTGGAAGAGGCGGCTTGAAGGGCGTCTCTGTTGAAGTCGCTAAGTGCACGGGCATACGAAGGCCGCGCTCGTCCAACCGACGGGGTTTCTTCGACACCTGTCGGCGTGGTGGAAACAATTTCCTGGACTTTCTCGGCCGTGATGGCTTTGGCAATGGCGGCTTGACGCAGTCGGTCTCGAATTTTGGCCAGTGGGTAGACAAAGTCTTTCGCGGCGTCGGGGATCTCGATACCTTTCCAGCCAACCCGATCCGTGTCTCCCGGCTCAGAGCCATTCAGACCAAAGATGTTGACGAGACGTGTAACGAAGAGGCCGACCCGGCGATGATCTGCTGCTGTTAACTCGGAATTTTTGGCGGCGGTATTGTACGTGTTTATTAGCTGTGAGATAATGTTCATGGCGACCGGTGTGTTGAAGGAGTCGAGCAACGCAGCTCGGACCTTCTCTTCTGCGTCCTGTACGGCATCCTCTAGACTGGCTCGCTGTTCATCTGCGGTGGTCGTATTCTTCATGGCATCGATGGCATTAAGGAAGAAGTTGTCCACACGATCTTCCCAGTTTCTGCCTTCGGTGACCATGTCGTCCGTGATCTCGATCCCGTCTTTCCAGTTTCCGAGCAGGAAAACAATCCGCAGACTCCTCGAAGTCCAGTCCTTTCGGACATGAAGAGCTTCTCGGATGGTGGTGAAGTTCTTCAGCGATTTCGACATCTTCGATCCTTGGATGGAGAGATGACCCATATGGAGAAAGTAATTCACCCACTGACCATGGTTTGCCCAGAATGCTTCGCTCTGGGCAAGCTCATTGTCGTGGTGAGGGAAAGCCAGGTCAATCCCGCCTGAGTGGATGTCCATCTGATGACCGAGCTTTCCGGACGCCATCGCCGAGCATTCAATGTGCCATCCCGGACGACCGGGCCCCCATTCACTGTCCCAGCTTGGCTCCCCGGGCTTGGATGCCTTCCAGAGGGCAAAGTCGGCCTCGGATCTCTTGACAGTGGCGTCTTTCTGTGACAGAGCACCTTCTCCATCGGCCTGCAGTTCCTTGTCGTTTTTGTTCCACGGTTCTAGCCGTGCATACGGGTAACCAGCCGCCTCGAAGGCTTTTATGTCGAAATACACCGAACCCTCTGCCGTCCTGTAACCCATTTTGTTGTCGACAATCTTCTTGACAAACTCGGCAATCTCTTTTCCGTGCTCGGTGACCCGCACCAGGTCATCCGGGTCCATGACGTTGAGATCGTGCATGTCCTGGAAGAACCGCGCTTCATATTCTTTTGTGAGTTTCGTGAATACGCCATAGTCGTCCCCACGGATCGTGTTACCGAACTGCTCGTCCAAGAGCAGGCACATGGGGTCGTTCACACGGTTGTAGAACTCGTGTGGGGTCAGCATTTTGGGATCTTGAATCATCGCTCTCGCCGCGTTGCGGGCTGTGTTGATGTGCATCTTGATCTTCGCCTCCCGGTCACCAGCCTTGACACCCGGCTCCAGGCTCCCTCCTGCGAGAATGTCTCCGTAGATGGCATCGACGACTCCGTCGAAGTTCTCGGGGGCGACCATGTCCTTGGGTCTTATGCGTTTGAGGTTCTTCTGGATGTAGAAGAGCCAGGCCTCGCGGATGTCTCGCCGAACTTGATCGTCGATGTACCTAGAGACGGCAATCAGCAATCTGCAAAAGAGTGTTTCGTGCCACGGGCCAGTTCAGTACCTGTGTTTCTTCTTGTATTCATCATATAGATGCCGTTGCCTCGCTCTTAGAATGATCTTGTCGTCGACGTCGGTGGTGTTCATCACGAAGCGAATTTTGAAGCCAAAGTAGTCGCGCAGAATGCGACGGATGATGTCCGTAGTCACATAGTTGCGTGCATGGCCCAGATGGGCGTCGTCGTAGACCGTGGGACCGCAGGCATACCAGGAGATGTGCCCTGGCTGTATAGGGACAAAGGGGACTTTCGACCGGGTCAAGGAGTTGTAGACCTTCAAGTGCGGCTGGTGGGTGGTGCTCGTGGGCATGGTCCAGGGAGGTTGCGCCATTTTGGCGGGTTTGTTGCAGAATCTCACAGCTGATGAGCAGAAGGGACGCTTCAAATAGCTCATGAGACTCCAGGGCCGCTCACTGAGTCACCGTCCTGGGTCGGGCGCAGGCAAGGAAAGGCACTTGAGTCACGCAGCCACAATTTGAATGGTTGGAATGAGGCTCGGAAAATCGCAATAATACCCCGGAGCCACTTCATCCACTAGGAGCTTTTTGGACTGCGGGCGAGATGCCACCACGGAAGCGGGAAAAGTGAAGTCGTTCAAACTGGTAGTCACTATCTCTAGATATATACAATTGCGAGCCCATGCGTTGCTTATTGTATGTCCCAAGTCAGGAAAACGCCGTTGTATGATGTAAAAATGCCGGTCTAATGGCAGCGTCACGACTTTTTCCAAACCACCCACGAGACGCCTCTTCTACCGGCTCCCTTGTGCTGGGAGACCCATTTATAGCCCATCCAGGCGAGTTTGGAGGCCACTCCCCATAGAAACACTGCAAAAAGGAAACCCCACCAGCTGCCAGAGCTTTCTCGTGGAGCGACATCGGAGTATCCCAAGATCTGACCTTCTCGATCTAAGGCTCCCACGCGGAATCGAGAGTAGTGGGATAGTTGTGATAGATCAAAGCTCTCTTCATAGAACTCCTTATCAATGAAATCGAGATCGGACCATTCCTCTTCATGTTCCCCCGTGCCACCCCCCTGCAACACCCACGCTTCTACCTCGGTCGCTCCATTCCAACTGACATAGATTATGTCGTCCAAGATCTTGGCTGCAGGCGGCTCCCGAGGCTTACCAACCCAGGCGGCTGTTTTGAAAGCCCTGTACGAAACTGCTGTGTCGAAAACGTGCAGCCACTGTGCGCCGTAATGGACCTCGCAAAGCAGAGTTCCGTCCAGCAAAAACTCACTAAAGACCGGCGAGTGGCCAAAGCCCACAAACATGTGGTTGCTGTCGGGGAGGTATTGCGCCGAGCCTTGGGAAGGTGTCCGTGTCTGGTACTGCGAAACATAAGAATGCAGGAGGGTCACAGTCTTGCTGGCGATGTCCAGTTGAAGCATGAGCGCTCGGCTGTAGGGGCCGTCGACATGTAAGGGTCCTCCTTCCTTGTTGTCGAAAAGCGTCAGGATCCCTTCTTCCTCGTTGAGCCACCGGGCATCGTGCTGCCACCGGAAGTTGAGAGCGTCACCTCCTGAAAGGTCTTTGAATTGATTACGTTGGCCGCCAAGTATCCACATGATCTGGCCATCTGGGCTGATGCAGGTGACCGAATGGGTATGGCGTGAGGAGACGAGGTAGTTGCCCTTGGAGTCTTTGTCGACGCTGTTGATGTGGAAGAAATCGAAAGGAATGCTTTTGATATATCCGCCGAACGGGTGCGTCATGAAAGTTTCGTTGACTTGGAAATGCTCAGAGGCTTTCCATTCAAAGAGCAGCTCGCCTGTGGCAATATCGATTTCCTGAAAACCACTATCGGTGAGCCATCCGTTCTTCCATTTCCCCAACGAGGAGAGATCTGCCGGGGTAACGTTGTAGAATGTCACCAGTGCAGTGTTGTCTTTGGTGATTTTGAACTCGTGCAGGTCACCTTCGACCTCGTGTCCCGGCGCAACTGCCGAAACGGTGTGCTTGATCTCGTACGAGCTATCTAGCTGATTCTTGGTTAATCGAGAGTGGCTTTACATAAATCAAAACTTACCATGTGATAGACACCTTTGCCCATAGTCCCACCCTTCTTTCCAGACCAAAAGGTCAAGTAGGGCTGACCCATATAACTCTGCACTTTCAGATTCGTCGTCACACCAAAATTCTGCGCCTTCCAAACAAGCTCACTATTGCTGTCCAGTATCGCAGGACCAGGATCGGGCACTGAACCCCCATTATAATTGAGGAAGGTGTATCCCTTTTCACAATCCGGGTGATATTTGATGATGCTCGTCCGCGGGGAGCTCAAGCCATTTGATATATATGTCTGCGAAGGTGAAGCACCATATAAACCCAGATCATACAAGGTCGGATTCAACGTCGGAGATAACCAGACAAGGAGCGGAATCGCAGCATATGAAACGGTTAGGTAAAGAGCAAAGACACCGGCGGCGACGATGACGGCCCAGAGGAGCAGCCGGAGGACAAATGGCTTCATCTCGCAGCGCCGATGCCCCATGAGAAGCATTGGAGCAGGGGCAAAGCAGCATTGTAGCCGTCCTTCACGAACAAGAGAAGACCAGCACCTACTATATGTGAAAAGATATGGGTTTCATGGCGAACGGGGTGATAAGAAGACTAGCGACTATACCAAGCGACGGTGTGTCTTTTGACCAACCAATGATGCCTGCCACACTGTTGACGACCACCCGGTCCAGCATTAGAGAGGGTCGACGAAACCGGCAATCGATTCATCGTTGGTCGACTCCGAGACTGAAAGCAATAATCCGCGTAATTTCGGGGGGGTGCGTCTGGCGGAGCAATCGATCTTGGAGGGGGGAAGATTTTCCTTGCTCAACAATGATGGACAGGTTAGCTGGTAGGATGTGGATATAGATCCCGCCAAAAAGGTGGCTTAGCAGACGCAACGATACAGGATCCTATCAAGACGGCAGGGAATGCGACAAGAGGATAAGGTGGGGATGGATAGCGGGATGCCAATGCTTGAGGAGATGCTCCTGTCCGCTTGTCCGTTTGGATGGGTAGTCTTGGTGTCTTGATTGTGGTATCGTCGGTCTTGAATGGCGCTGGTGACCAGTTCGGAACCGTGTCAGGTGTGGTCCAGCAAACACCAGGACCTTTCGAGATGGAGAACTGGAGCAGCCAGGGTCAGAGGCTGCGACCTGGTCATGGACTTGGGAGTTGGGAGACACACCGGGTCGACTTCCCGTGGGTGGTGTATTTTCTCTCCCAGCCTCAAGCTATTAGCTCGCAAAAACTGCCCGGACAAGGATAGTTTGCGATTCAATTAAGATACGGAGGGTGAAGGTGAAGGGTAGGGCATTTGAGAAGGAGAATGAGAACGAGAGACTCAAGAAAGACACCCAGAGATGCCGTCTAAGCCGGATCAACCAGCGCAGGCGAATCCACCCGGGAATTATCCGTGTCGCCGTCTGTCGTGTCAAGCCCGTCACCACCGCCGCCACCATCATCACCACCACTGCGACTGTCACTTCAACTACCACCATCTGCACCACCATTCCCTTCGCTTCATCAGGTAGCCCCCTGCTGCAGTTCGAATAAACACTCGGAACTCGGCCACGGGCCACGAGCCCCATGCTGCAGTCAATGATCGACACTCGAGCGTGACAGTGGCTGGCCACCATCAGTCCTGCTCCCATGCTTGGCAGATACGGACTGGTACAGCAGAACATTGCAATGGATGGATGGGATACTCCGAAAGGCACAAGTACATACAAGTTGATCATACCCAACCCCAGTCCCGTTAAATCCCAATCATTTCAATGACAACCAGGTACAGGACCACAACCGAACACCACTATCCACCCTATCCACACCCACGTGCATCGTTCAACCCTCCTGGATCCGCCTACCTACCGAGCTATCTCTTTGCCGAGCCAAGACTCTAGCTCGAGGTGCTCGTCGTCACCAGCAACGGCGCAGACTCCGTCCTTCCAGGAAGAGACGAGCAGAGATTATTTGACCTCTACCCTCTCGGCACCAGCCCTCCGTCCAAGTCCCACATGCTCCGCCTTTCCGAAACCACTCTTTTCCGGGCTGCCACTACTAGACGAACTCACGACAGTTCCATCGTCATGTGGCCTCGTCCAAGTTTAGCAAAAGGCCCCTTGTCTGCGTTTCTCGAGAACTGTTGCTCCCTCCTCTTGATCCCCAGATACGGCAAATAATGGCCCGGGTGAACGACAATGAAGAGTATCACCACGAGGAACATCAGTGCCGAATCAAAAGCATAGAAGAACCACTCGTGATCGATGAGGTAATTTGTCGTGCCCAAGGCGAATTCGATGAATCGAAGCAGCGTCCGAATCAGAATCAATATGTTGGCCACGTTGATCACCGTCAGAAACAACTGCCAGTTGCGCTCCTTGGGCAGTGAAATGTCTCGCAGCGTGGTCCTTAGGAGGACGTTCAGTCGCAGGGTGGCAAAGACGAAAAAGCCAAAGGACGCCAATTGTAAACCGAGTCCGACCAGCACCACGTTTTTCCCTGCGTTCGCGTGTGATTTCGTGTTTGCCCCGGCCACCATGGCGCCTCCAATGACCTGGACAAAGAAGCTGAAGACATCGGATCCCACAAAGACTGGAGTTATCCTGCGTGCAGGCACCCAGAGATGACGAGCTGACTGAAACCGTGGAGGTACCACCCACAACACGACCCGGCCGAATGCCATGTAGCAGGCCGCCGCCATCACGGCGGGCGCGACGAGAACTGCCCTGGTTTTTAGCGAAGGACGAGCAGAGTAAAGAAGGAGCTTTGTGAGCCGTCGCAAGGCTCGTATATGAGACTTACTCATAACAGTCTGGACTATGAAGACGCTCTTCTCGTCCAGATTCTTGATGGAGATAGCTCGGGTCAGATATCCAACGAACTCCACTGCGTCAAGGTCAGTACAAGTGTGCTGCAGTCTTTGCAGATGGCGATGGCAGGCTCACTGGCGACCGCAAAGTTCATCGACCACCAAAACCAAGATCGATGCCAGAACATCATGCCCAAATTCATGATCAACGCAAGGCCGTACAGCACGAGGAAGATGACCGCCGCGGCGAATGATGGAACATAGTTGTATCGGCCTTCCTTTGCGAAATCTTGTGGAGACTTGTCGCCGGGCTCGCTGCCATTGAAGGATCGAGAAGTGAGCAGGAGGAGGTGCGGGATGGATTGTCCCATGGCATCCATGATGCTGTCAACTGACGTGAAGACTGCGTCTCAAACAACGGAACGTGAGCAAGTTCAGCACGCTTGTGCGACGAAAGAGTTGAAAGAGTCAAAATTCTAGGATTGCCACGCAGAATGCCCACCAACGGACTGCAAGTTATCGGTAAGAAATCCTGGATCGGACAATTCCTCAAAGTCTGATTATTATACTGGGCGATGGTGGCACAGCTGTGGAGGGTGGACAGGTAGGAAGATGATGCATGGCCTGCTGGATTCAAGTGCCCAACTTGAGCCCATTTTGACAGGACGACGTATATGCGCCGATGTGGGAGTCTTTGCAAGCCCCGCCCAATTCGGAAAATCCGTGTCAGGTTTGAACAAAGACGACCACCCCTGAGTGGATTGTTTCAGGGCGCCGATAACATCACTCCCCTTTAAGCGAGCAGCAACAGGCAGCAGGCATTCTTGAAATCATTCGAAAATTGGCTGACGGTTCCAAGTTCGCAACTCCTGCCGCAACAGGTTTAGCGACAGCTTGAAGAGACTCAAATATGGAGACTTCACGGGGGCGGTGCTTCTAGGCGATATCTGTTTGCCCATATCCACAACCCGAGCAGCTATGCAGGATCTGCAATCTCGACCTTATGGAAAAGCCCAGACTCTCGAAATGCCACCATAGAGTGCATTTCCCTGCCAATCGACCGGCGGTTTTCACTTTGATAGCCCTCATCACGTGGCAGGCTGAGCATTATGCATACGAACGGAGATGCAAATACCCGAGAGGACACTGGATCAGTCGAGCTTATAGACTTGACGATGCTGGCGGATATCCTCTTGAGGCCCGCCTCGAATAGACGTCCTCTCTGTCTTCGGGCCCGAATCTGGTTCGACTTGACGTACTCGTATCGTACTACTCCTTGGATCTGATGTGGCCTCGTATATTTCTAAAAGAGGTAATCCATGATCTTGGATTGTATGCTTGCACCACACCACCACCACCCCGCTGTCACCAGCTGGCCATTAATCAGCTAGTCTGGTAAGTAACTTCATGCCGCATCCTTCGCCGCACCTTCATCTATGTCCGACGTTTTCTCCTTGACCCCGTTCTGGCTGCGGCCTTTTGCTTTCAGTTTCGCTTCCTTCTTCAACTGGCGCTGGCTCTTGGGCGTGTGCGACACGATCTTAACGTGCTTCGCCCACTTCTGCTGCGCTAACGCCTCGTCCTCGTCACTCCATGTCCGGGGGAGAATCGCAAAGACGAGATACGACGTGTGCGTTTTCATCTCGGTCTCTGTCCGGTGCACGAGCCTGCCTCCGTTGAACGGCAACTTCGCTGCCTCGCCCTGCTGTTGCTCCTGTTGGTCACTATTGACCTTGTCGGACTTCTTGCTTTCGTCCAGGTTCTTCCCGGCGTGGAAATCCCTCAGCCGCTGTTCCACGTCCTTCAGTCGCGACACCGCCTCCTCCACGTCCGCCGCGAAGGCATTTGTCCCGCGCACGCCGTTGTACTGCAGGCCGGTGTACTCGCGCCGGACGTCGATGCGCTTGTGCTGCACTTCCACCATCTCGATCTCGATCCAGTCATACCGGCGCAGAGCAGAGATGGTTTTCTGAACCTGCTCGATACACGGGCTGAATGTACAGATATGGACCGCCGAGCGCGGGTCGAGGACGCTTGGTGACTCGCGCGTCAGATGTGGGAGAGCTTCCCACGGACACGGCAGATCCAGGAAGATGGCGTTGGCGGCGGGTGAGGCCTTTTCATTGGAGGGCGTTTCTTCAGAATCATACACCAAAAAGCCGTCTTTGTAGACGTCGCGGTGCATGGCGTGCACGATGGTGTCGAGTCCATGCTCGACCATTTCCGCCTTGACTTTCTCGTGCCGTTCACGGTGGAACTCGTAGCTGAAGACTCGTCCGAACTTGTGGCTTTTCCCTTTTCCATTGACTTCCCCTTCTCCCTCATCCTCTTCACCTTTGCCGTCTTTTTTCGTGTCCGCGTCCGCTCCATTCCGCTCGTCCTCCTCTCCTTGCCGTGCAACATCATTATCGAGGTGACTGCTGTGCCTTTCCTCCTCCTCCGCCTTTGCATTTTCACCGTCACTACCCGGCTCCTTTCCGGGATAGCCGCTGAAGACGGCCCTCGCGGCCGCGTGGGTGAAGCTCCCGCTCCCGCTGCCCGCCTCGATCAGTCTGCTGCCGGGCCGCGCGCGGATGCGGTGCAGGATGTAGCTGTAGTCTGGGGTGTAGACGACCTGCGTGCGGTGCGGGAGGCTCGTGGTCCAGTTCTCCGGCGTGGGCGGGAGGACGTGCACGAAGCCTGACTCCGCCGCGACGGCCTCCTTGATCGCTCCTCCCGGTCCGGCGCCGTCTCTCTCCGTTGCATCCTCCTCCTCATCTCCATCTTCTTCCTCCTCGTCTAGTAGTTTTCTTCGATCATCGTCATCTCCCAAGAGCGCCTCGTCGGCTTTGCGCTTCTTCCCTCCGCTGCCGCCACCAGCGGCAACTTTGCCCGACTGCTGCTGCTTCTGCTTCTGCTTCTGTTTTTGCTTTTGCTTCTGTTTCGTCCGGCCTCTCGACCCGGTGTCGACCTTGCTCGCGCGAATCTGGCTGCCCCAGGGCACGCCGATGATGGTCGAGTGCGGGAACGAGCCGAACCGCGTGTTGGTCACCACGCCCTCGGCGTACCCGTCGTCCGCGTCCCGCGTCACCTGCGTCGCCAGCACCACGGGCAGGGCCTGGTCGCGGCGCAGGTGCAGCGAGGCCAGATCGTGCTCCTGGGCGAGTCGGCTGGGGGTGAGGAATGTGGAAACCATTTTCGGAAAATTAATCCCTTGCTGTGCCGCTTGGGTCACCGCCGCGAGATCTGGTGGTCGAAATTGAGATGCCTTTCCTTGCTCAAATAGGTGGCCGGTTTTCCCTTTGATATATCTTGCCAACAGGGAGGGAAATTCACCACTCTTCCTTCTCGTGGAGTGCCGAGCAGAGCAAATGAAAAGCGAAGAATGAACAAGAAGAAGACTCTAAAATATGTGGCCCGGAGCTCTCGTCTATGTCAAAAATGGGGGCTCAAGACATGAGTTTGAAATCCCCTCGCAGCTCACAGACAGCGAAATCCCTTTGTCTAAAAACTAAAAAGAAAAAAAACACAATAGAATCCTGACAATTGAAGAACAGTGACGGAGGATGCGAACTGGAAAGTTGGTTGAAAAATTGATATCACGTGCCTGTAGGAGTGGGTTTTTCTTTGGTCTCCTTATCTTATCTACGGAACAGCGGCGTAATCTTCCAGTTTAGACCACATTGGAGGGCTTTTTTAGCTGTACATATGACGGCTAGATATATGCGAGTGGGTGGACTCGAGCGTGGTATCCTAGTGCTCTATGAGGCTGGCGCCACTCTCAGCGTTCAACTACTGTTTGCACCTCCAAGACTTCCTCCAGTCCGGTCCCTGCTTGGACATCAATAGCACCCATTTCGTTCTCAGTTGTCACACATCCCAGGGCTTCACAGCCGCCTGACACACAATTCCAGCCTCCGGCAGCTCACCGTGGGCGAAGAACCTTTTCAAGATCCCAAACGTGCACACGCTCGGGTTGGTCGTGCCCGCGCAATGTCCTGGCATATCCTGCGTCAACACCACGCTGCCTTCGTGCCGTTCCGCCATCTTGAACGCGTTACGCACCGGTGTGACCGGGTCCGCCGTGTTGCCGATGAACAGCAACGGACTGCCACGGGGGTCGTAATCGGAGAGGTTGGACTGAAACGGACCCGTGAATCGATTTTTAGCCGACGGACGATTAGTCGCGGGCCAGTGGATGCAATGGAGAGTAATTTCCGCCCAGACCGACCCTACCAAGGGAGACTGCGATAACAGCAGATCGAGGTACTTCGTGAAGTCTCCCTTTGAACGGAAGGTGATGTCGTCGCCGTCCCCACAGAGGATGGAGACGCCAGCTTCCAGTTGCCACGGATAGCTCACTGGAAGCGGCAGGTCCTTTCCCATGAAGGCGTTGGGGACCATAGCTGACGGGGGGGTGTTTGGAAGCAGTGGTCCAAAGTCCCGGAATTCGGGAAACGGCCAACTCTCCCATGCTCTCATAGCACCAGCGACATCTCGCTCCATCAGGGCTTTCAAAACCAGGGCCAAGAGTGGCCACATCTGAATGGGCTGATAAAGGTGTAGATGGATGATGGTCTTCATATTGAAGTGAGTGAGGATGTAGGCGTTGTCGTTTTGGACCAAGGGGAGAGGGTTATTCCGGAGCCCATCAAGAAACTCCTCGACTTGCAATCGCATCTCTTCCGGCCCACTAATCTGGGGATCCGAAAGAGCACATTTTGTTCCAGCCTCGAAACAATACTCGAAGAATTTGGTCCACGACTTGATGTTGTCCTGGAGATTGCTCGTCCACCCTGTAGCGGCATAATCCTCTGCGTCGACGACACCGTCCAAGACCATGCGACCAATGCGGTGCGGAAACATAGACGCGAATGTGTTACCCAGGTAAGTGCCATACGACAAGCCCCAGTAGTTGAGGAGCGGAGGGCCCTCATTCGTAGCAGAAGAGACAAGCGTCTGTTGGTTGCCGATCTGACTACCCCTAGTTTTCAGCTCTTTCCGCAGATGTGCGTCCACTTGATCAATGATTTCTACTATATCATGGGCCACCAATTCCGTGCTCACAAACTGACGAATGGTTGAACCGTCGGGAAATCTGCCTTTGCTCGTCTGTGCGCAGAGAAGGCCAAGGCTCTGAGCACTGCCCCATTTAACCCCCAAAGCATGGGGATTCGACTCGAGGCTTCCGGACCCTGCTCCCAGCAGATTGAGAGTGTCTCTCATTGCGTCGTCCTGGAAGCAGGCCAGACTGGGAGTCGTAAATTGTACACCACGGGGGTCGAAAGACAAGATCTCGAAATGTTTGTCACCGTCCAGGACATTTTGGATGCTCTTGCCAGACCAGAGCACAATGGCCACACCGGAACCGCTTGGGCCCCCGGGATTGATGATTACTGTGCCACCAAAAGACTTGTCTTCCACGTCCACCACGGCAGGCAACCTCGTGATCGCTAGAATGACCGAACCGGGATTCGAGAGATTGGACCAGTCCAGCGGGACCTCTAATCGGGCGCATTCAAAGGCACCAAAACAACTGTGATAATGCAGTTCTCTTGATGCAGGAATCTCCGCCCAATTGAAAACGTCTGTTGTATTGTTGCCAGCCGGAAATGGGGGAGTCAAGAATGCAGAACCTTGGCCAATCAGTCCGGCTATGACGCATCCAAAGAGCGTGCTCAACCCTAGCTTCATGTTGATCCACACTGCTTCTTGATGTCTGATATCCAGAGACTGGAAGGAGGTAGGTGTATACTTCGACCAGCGCATGAACACGGGACGCCTCAAGCGGGTGAAGCTCCCCACTCACCAGCTAGGCAACAGGCACTGGCTTGGAGACGGATGGCCCCAGGAGGCGCACTGTCTCATCAAAGAAGATCACATCCAGTCTCTTCTTTTCCCTGAGGGGGCAGAAATCTGAGCCGAATGATGCTGGACCGTGGGATGGCGAAAGTCCAAGACGGTCCAGGCCTGTGACGGCCCAGCTCAGGTCAGCCTTGCCTTGGCGACGAGGCTGTGGATAACCCCCGCTTAAGTTGCCTAACACAGCTTGTGCCTTGGTCATGTCAAACATCAGCACAGACTCCCAGACGACTCCGTCCTTTGTACCTCGTACAGAATGCTTGTTCTCAACGTCTCGTTCTAGAAGGGCTGTGCCCCTGGTCGGACAATGGGCAGCTACCGATGTCGTTCTTGCAACAAAGTGTTCAGCAGGATAGAGCACGTCAAACGCCATGAGCAGACTCACGAAGATCCTCAGTTTCGCTGCAACAAATGCTCCAAGGCTTTCCACCGGAGGGATGCACTCAACAGGCATGAACAGACTCACCTTGTCAATGGACCAAGTCTTTTGCAACGAGGAGCAAGGGCTTGCTCAGGTTGTGCTTCAGTGAAATCTCGCTGCTCGGGAAACAGCCCCTGTGCAAGATGCCATGCCAAAGCATTGCAATGCGTCTATCCCGCGAGCAGGGCTCAGCCAACCACAAGCAGCGTGGCTGACGTCCGATATCGAGGCGGCAATGGTAGGTATACTCCCGATCTTTCTAGCTCGCCGCTCGTGCAGACAGGAATCCGAGATAAACCTACAGACTTGCTCGCCTACCAGCCAGAACCTCATGACACGCAACTTGATGCGGTAACCAATCCTCCGCTGCACATCCGGACGGAGTCGTATCCACCTGACGCTGAGGTCCTCCTGCAGCCGTCTGATTCCACTCAGTACAGCACATGGCAAAATCCCCTGCAAGACAACGCGGCGACCTCGACGTTCCAATGGCCCTCGAGTTCGGGGCCGACGATTAACTGGCTCCAGCCGGATGACATCAATTTCGATGGCGGAGACTTCGATGATTTGGTTCCTATATTTCCCGTCGACTATTCTTTTTCGCCGAGCATTGGCTTCATGAGTCCTACACAGCAGGAACATGGTGTTGAGTTTCCGTCAAATCTTTCGGGCGCCTTCGCTCCCCGATCGACATCTTCGTCGGCGAATGATCAGGTCACAGATCCTTACGCTTCTCCCATCATGGATTCGCCGAACTCTGCCGACAATCCCACTGTAGCAAAGGGGGAGTACTATGTTGACGGTGGTGTTGGTCGACTCCCGAAGTCGAAGCGACGGAAAATCGTGCCCAGACCCAACAGCCTCAACATTGTCGACGAGCCAGACTTCTCGCTACAATATACCCGACCTATCACGCCGTGCACGCAAGCTAACCTACTTCTCTCACCCGAAATATATGGAAAACTCCATATTCTATATCAACGACTGTGTTTGGACACGACGATGTTCAAGGCATACTTGCACGCGGATTTCCCTCCTAAGCAAGCACTGGAGGGCCTGCTGCCCCTTTTCTTTGCTCATTTTGCCCAGACCATGCCGTTCCTCCATGAACCAACTTTCACTGCGGCGTCAAGGCACTGTGTACTACTCTTGGCTATGATGGCCGTGGGCAGTTGTTTTCTAGAGGGAGAACATTCCGAGGGCTTTGCTCGGTCACTACTCGAGTTCCTCAGGAGATTCCTGATCTTTGCTGAAGAAGACGATTCCTGGCGGCCAACAAGCCCAGAGACCCTGGCGCAGACTCAACTATTGTATGCAGTCGGCGCCAAATACACTTTTCATGACCCTCTAGGTGCTTCCACGTCACGGTCACTTCGTGCAGCCACTCAGTATTGTCGGGACAGATGGCTTCGGCAAGAATATGCTCACTATCCTGAGCAGGACGACAGTGTTCCGTTACAATGGAAGACCTGGTCCAGAAAAGAAGAATCAATCCGGACGGGCTTTTGTATTTGGTTGATTGACTGTATGTGGGCGTATCAGTTTCAGCAGGAGTCGAATCTGCGTCTTGATGATGCCAGTGGGGTGATTCTACCTTGTCCTGATGGCCAGTGGACAGCAGACATGGCAGAATGGACTCGGCTCAGAACTGCTGCTCTGCACAGTCGCACCCCGACGCTACTCGAAGCACTGCAGAATCTCTACGTCGATAAGCGGCTGCTACCAGGTCTGGGCGAGTTCAGTCAGATCCTCCTTATCAATGGCCTGTTTCACCGAACTTGGGAGGTACAAGGTGTGGTCACTCAGAGCCTCTCCCATTTTGAACCATCAGCACAGAAGCAAGCCAGCGACAATCTACAACCCAAAGTGCCGATTTGGCCTCCGGCCATACCTTTGTTCAGTAGATGGAGGAATTCGGCGTGTGATTGCTTGGATATATTACACTGGAGTGCCAATGCGACCATTGGAGCCGCGAGCGGTATGGAACACCCAACGGTGCTGCATCTCCACCTCGCACGCGTCGTACTTTTAGCGCCACTCACCGACATTGTTCTGTATTCTTACTACCTGATTCGGTCATCTGGAGAACTGGCCCGCTTTTTCCCATATGTGTCGTCGACGGAAGCTGAAGAGCATCGACAATCGATCCAGCGTTGGGCAATTCAAGATCAGTACAAGGCACGGCTGGCCGCCATACATGCTGGGGTTGTCTTCTGGCATGTCCGACTCTACTCTATCAATGGGTTTTACGAGTCTACCGCTGTCGCCCTAGCGGCATTGTTGTTCTGGGCTCTCAGCGCCTTTTCGCCCAAGAAGCCGAAATCGAGAAGAGTGGGTGACGAAGGAGGCACTCCTTCGCCTGGAAGTCCGCATTCTTCCGACATGTGCGACATCATCCTCATTGACCGCCCCACTGATGACGAGCTCGTCCAACAGTTCGTCCGGCAGGGCAATGTCATGCGCGCCAACATGACCGGCGTCGGAGACATTTTCGGGCCCAAGGGACCCCGGAGAGTGCTCGCCGAAGGACAGAAACTGTTGCTCACACTGGCAAGCTGGCGAGGCATTACGAACTACTGGCTGAGGGTCCTCAGCAGACTAGAAAAGGTGACCGCGGCAGCAGGCCTGGGGAGCAGCCCTGCCGAGGTGGGGAGTGCTACAGTAGCATGACCATTTCTTGTCCCAGCTGTGTGGCGATGTCTATTCTCGACCCTCGTTGGAATACTGGAGTATCCCTTGGACATGATGAGCAGACGAGGAGAAAGATGGCATGCCGACCCTCCGGGGTCTGGAGAACGACTCAGGAACGAGATGCGGACCGCAGGTCGCTTTGGACTCTTTGAGGAAATCCAGACATACAAGCCCCAACCCTTGCGCTATGCAGAATGGAGGATCGAGACCAGCAGTTCACAGTAGCAATATTTCCTGTGAGTCCAATACAGTGTGAGTGATCGAATATACCACAGAGTCATTGAAGCAGCGTCCTGAACATGATGAATGGGAGTTGCTTATGTGGCGCTCTCACTTTTGGTCTGGACGTCATGCCACCGACACACAATGTGGTAATCTTCTCTTGGCTCTGTGCTTGTCAGCGACACCTACGAGACATGACCAGACATCAATTTTGTCACTGTCGGCCTTGCCGGGGGATAACTGGCAGCACAACTTCATTGAATTTCACCGTCCCATCCACAGCCTTCAGTTTGAAAAATGGAAAGTTGAAGTCGAAAACGCTCAAGCACATCGACGAGGGTTTCGAGTATACCTTGTCCTTCTGTGAAGAATGCGGGAGTCCAACCTATGCAATACCTACTTTCCTGCCGGACAAACGTCATTCAGCTTGGCACACTGGACGACCTTGAATTGTTAGAGCAAACCCCGGCGGTCGAGCTTAATGTGAACCATCGTCTTGCGTGGGCTCGTCTAATTGCAACGGCAGAGCAAAGGGAGAGATATACATGAGCCTTATTCAGAGGACCACTCTTGTCATTTAGGGCCCCCATAGATGCATATCGAGGTATGCAGTCAGCATTCGAATTCTATATCTCAGCATAACTGAGCATCAACCTCCCAGAAAGGTCTTTTGCATGACTCGACGAGATACAGCCACTGATCTTGCTTCAAGGTCACGATGCAGCACCTTGCCATGCAGTAGATATGACAAGCGAGAATAAAAGGAACATGAATTGCCCAAGTTGGTGTTCTGTAGCGAGATGATATCAAGATGCCTCAATCGATATCATATCTCGTCTCTTTCGCATATTTGGCCATTCTGCTCGCACCTGATCCTTCAGTTGTCGGAGGTGGACGTGTCAAATACTAAGACCCAAATAGTAGCCCGGTGAGATGTTTTTGAAAATTTGACGGCGTCCTTTTCTCGCGTAACCCCTCGAGGCTCGTCCCAGGGTTCTATTCTCTACTCCCATCCCACCTAACTCCTATGGGGTGGCAGTGATGTTTCGTGACATCTAGTCTCCATTCACATTCTGGCGGGCAACGTGTCGCTATATCTCATGTGTTTCGTGGTGGCTGGACGCTCTTTGAAGTCGACGACCGGGTGACAAAAGGCACAGAACCATGCATTCTATTTTACTCTTTTCAATAGGCTTGTTGCGTGTTCTACGCCTTTCTCATTGGTGCCTACTTCCTCAGCGGAGTGAGACCGCTTGGTTTGTTCCGAAAGAGGAAGGAACCACTCCTTAACTGCAGTAGTGTGGGTCTATCCAACGTGCATTGCCTGGTTCTCAATCTGCATCGCATACAAAGTTTTCCATCATGAAGCTTCACGATCAACTGTTGAGTCATTGTCAGGGAGAAACTGACCACATTGGAATCATGAATCTGCCTTCCAACCTCTCGTCTCGAATACCAACATATTTTGTCCTCACAGCTACCAAATACCCACCATGTCTAAACGAAGATTCATTGCGTCGTCAAGCGAATACGAGCCTCCCATGAGCAGCGACTTTGAACATGATCTTGAAGCGAGCCTCCGACTGCTAAGTCTGCTCGAAAACCCCTCGACGTCACCTCCCACCCACGAGCCACTGCAACCCCAGAAGACACAGATCGAACTTGCTCGGATGCTAAGCGCAAAATCAATCATCTCGACTACATCCTCGTTTGCGGCGGAACAAGCAAAAGCGAATGAGGAAGCCAGTCGTACCCGAACCTTTAGGAAAATTGGAGCAGGTGCTTGTGGTGCAGTCTTTGCGGCCGATGGAGAGTCACTGTCATACAAGATTGGGAAGACAGGCATTTCAGACGATGATGCTGCATTATGGACAGATTTCTACATGCACGGATGCATTATGACGGCACTTCGCAAGTTCAAGGCCGATACCGAGATCCCAAACGTGCATATCTACATTGATCACGACAACAAGGAATGGTGGGAGAAGCACCAGGAACTCGAAAAGGCAGCAAGCAGTGTCTGCAATCTTCCAGCAAGAGTACTTGTCACAGAGCGAATCTTGCCACTACCAGCACCGATCCGGGAGAAGCTCATCGACCAATTTTGCAAGGAAAACCTTCGTGCTAGTGCACTAGCCGATACCGCCAACAAGGACTGCCTGGTAAGAATCTATTTAGGGTCCATGAAAGGGAGAGCTACGTCCTTTTTCTCCTTGCGAAATTTCAAGCTTCATCTGAATCAGATGATTGACATCGGCCTTGACTTTGAGATGCTTGCTGTGTCGATAGGACAAACCTTGGCCATCATTCATTGGGAAGCCAAAGCCGATGCCCGGGACGTCGAATTCGTCCTTGGTAGCTCTGCCACGGTCATAGATGGGAAACAGACCCAAGACATCCAAGAAGACGACAGCATCGGGAAAATCAATAAGCCAGCAGAGAACTTCGTGCGCAGAGAGACTCGCCTATTTGTCCTAGACTTTAACCAAGTGCGTAGGATAACCATGGATGATGACGGAGTTGCCTGTGCCGTCGAGGCGTTTTTCCTCAACGATCCGTACTATCCCCGTCCCTGCGAAAGGTCGAAGGTCCAAGAAGAGCTTTGGAATTCCTTTGTGAGAAGTTATCTAGATACGGCAGATATCATCTTGAGGGACCAGAAAGAAAACCGAGTACTCCCTCGAAGGTTTATTTCCGGTGTTATTGAGCATATTGTTGGGAAGAAGAGGATGGTATTAGCAGCTGAGTAAGATGAGGACGAATGGGTCTTTATGCAAGGTGATTCTGTGGTGAAAGGGCGTCAAAGGGAAGGAGCATCAGGCAGCACGCCCCTATAGCTCCCCCGGTGCTCAGGCGCGCTCCCCTATCCTCTGGCGTGGCTCCCGCGACACTCTCCCGTGCTCCGCTGGGCATATACAATATATATGTATATATATATGCATGATTTCTTAGATTGAGATCCAAAGAGATATATATGTGTGTGAGCGCGGTAGGATTGTCAGGCCGGCAATCTGGGTGCCCACACTCGCTCATATCAAAGTCCTCATCATCAGAGGCGTGGCTAACAACTCAGAGTCCCCCCATCAACAACACCACCAACAACAGCCAGCTCGAATTCTTCAACTCATCGACATACCCAATTTCTCTTGGTCGTTGATCACCACCTCTCTGCCCCGCTCGTGAGCCATGAGGTCAAATTCTGTTGTTGTTTCGCTTCGTCAGCACGGCGCTTATCTCCAGCTTCCTTCCCTTTCCTTCCCAAAGAAACGCAAAGTAAAGGGGAACGGGAAACACTTACGATCAACATGGGTGTACTTGAATTTCCGGGCCGGGACGCGATTCTCGAACATTAGGTCGATCTCCCCGAAAGTGCGGTCCTTGGTCTCGGGTAGACGGAACCAGCACCAGATGTTGCAGAGGAGGTTGGTGCCCGCGTAGAACAAGCCAGTTTTCGCACCCCAATTCCACGCTGTATGTACCGTGATTGTTAGCAAAAATTACCTTTTCGTGGGAGAAGGAAAGGAAAGGGAGACGTGGGGAGGTGCAGAGAGACTTGCCCACAGGAGATATCATTCGCGGCGTGACTGAGTTCGAAAAGATGCCCGTCAGATTGTAGACGCACCGCCCGATCACGATGGTCTTGTACCGCAGCCTGCCTGAGGGTGTCTCGGCCACGATGGGATAGCACGCCGGGCCGGTGGTGATCATGTTGCACAGCGTGGAAACCACCAACAGGATGCCGACGGCCAGCTGCGCATCCTTGGAATTGGACCAGCCGAGGCCACCGATAGCCACCAGACAGAAGAACATAAAGGTCAGCCCGCCCATATAGATGGTGGCCCGGCCCAGGTGCGGGAACATCAGCCAGCAGATGATGCCGCCGATGATGTAGCACGCCGAGAGCGAAATGTTGACGTCGAAGGCCTGCAGTTCAGAGAACCCGGCCGCTTCAAGAAACACCACCGAGTACCCCAGGATGGCGTTCCCACAAAGAATTTGGGCGGCCCAGACGACGCAATTCTATTCCAATTCAGAAAAGTCAGTCAGAGAGGGGGGAATGGCCCAGGATAGATGGGATATATCACACGTGCCAGTACTTACAATCTCTGTGCGGCGTAGGTTAGTTCCCTTGAAGCACTCGAGGAAACTGGCGTTCTCCGTCTCGGCTCTCTCGAGTTCGGTCGTGTATTTGATATAGGCCAATGTCGAGTCCACTTCCCTCTCCTTGTCCGGCGTGTCTTGTCTTAACCGCATCAAACTCTGTCGTGCGAGGTCGAACTTGCCGCGCCGCACCGCATTCCAGGGCGACTCGGGCGCGAAGTAGGCGCCGATGAACAGCGGAAGAGGCCAGACGAATTGGATCGCGAAGGGCAATCTCCAGCCCAGGTTGCCCTGGACGCCCGCCACGGCTCTAACGACGCCCGACGAGAGGAGGATCCCACCGCCCCAGCACATGCAGACATACGCCGTCACATAAGGTCTCAGAACGGTGGGGACGACTTCGCAGGCGTAGGTGGTGGATAGAGTCTGGAATGGGAGTGTCAATCTTGGACAGTTTCTTCGAAGACTCGAAGGCTAGAAATACCTGAAAGACACCCCATGGGATGCCACACATGGACTCGCCAAAGGCCAGGACCGACAACGACGGGGCGAAGATAGGAATGAACAGGACGCAGGCCATCCACACCATGAACACCATCATGGTCGGGCGGCAACCGAACCGGTCCTGCGTGTAGGCATTGATCAAGAGGCCTGCCAGCTGGCCCACGAGCGCCGAGTTGGACAAGCCTGACTGCCACCTGGCCGGGATGAGCTTTTTGCCTGTCGCTGAATCCAGGACGCCGAACCGGTCCTGAAACTGCGTCTGGCCGTAGAATGAAGTGATCTATAGACTCGGTCACAAGAGAAAGTCAGTCATTGTCATCCTGTTCCCGGTTCCCCGTCCCGTCGGCATTAGTACAGGAGGAACTGCTTACGATGACCAAGTCGTATCCTTCCATGACCAGGCTGGTCGAGAGAAACATGGCCCAGAAGACGGCCTTCTTGTATTTCTTCGCCGCCTCACGGACGGTCAACAGCCTGTCGGCGGCATCGCTCTCCTGTGCGTGACGGATGAGGTCGAGAGTCTCCTCGTCGGAAATGTCAATGCTCTGACGCTCCCGATGGGTTGGGACGACTTTGGCTGTCTCCATGATGGGAGTTCGATAATGGATAGCAAATCCTACAACCCAGGTCAATATCCCAAGGACGGGAGAACTGTTGGGAGTCGGACGCATGGAATGGACCCTCCTCCGCTCAAATACGCAAAGCACATCCTCGCACCACCACCACCACCCCAACCCCGGATTGCGAGACTCGTGGAGTTCCCACGGGGCATATGCACGCTAATGCCTACTCCCACCGGCGAGGGATGTGCAAAAGACCCTCCCCCACCGCCGGTGTGAGTCCTTAGCGTCTGACCTGGAGTCTAGCCGCCTATAGCAGAGCTGCCCGCTTCCGGAGGCCAGTGTATACAGCAGCCCCCTTGGGTTAGGTGGGAAAGGTGGGTCGCTCGATCGGGAAATGAGCACTGAGAATACCTTTAGCCGTCGTCGCTTGGGTGCTCACTCTCCGGGAGGCGAAGATGAGATGCGATAGAACCACCACCGGCCATATCCCACCGGAATTTCACTCTGTTGGATGAAAACCCCCGGGAGAGTAAGGCAAAACGGCGATCCAGGCCATTCTCCGCGGGCGGTATCAGTAAACACACGTTGACATCGCGTTATTCCTCTTTCACGGTCCCTTGTTTTCGAGATTCTTCAACATTGTAGGGCGGGCAGAACCATTGCTTCCCATAGAACGGAACTGGACCCCAGATGGCGTACCCTCAAGAGACATTTGTGCGGTCGTCGCTGTCACCAGGGTCTCTGATCGCGCAAAAACGTCAAGTGGCATCGTCCACCACGCTGCGGTACCAGCTGGAGGTGCTGAAGAAGACGGGAAGATACGACGCGTTCAAGCTGCAGTGGCACCCGTCGTACTCGGACCCCCCGAACGTCTGGCCCATTCCTAACCATCTGTTCTGGTAAGTGACCGACTGAGCTCGAGTTGAAAGACCAGAGAAGCAATCAAGAAGAAACGCCGACTCCGGATACTAACATTGCGCCCTCATCTAGGGACTCGGACGTTGCCAAATGGATCGAAGGGGCGTGCTATTTCCTCCACCGTCAGCCTGATGCTGAGATCTCGGCAGCGGTGGACGAGTTGGTCCAGATGATCAGATCCGCCCAGCAGCCTGATGGATATATCAACATCCATTACACCGTGGTCGAGCCCGGGAAGCGGTTCACCAACCTCCGGGACTTCCACGAATTGTACAATGCTGGGCACTTGATCGAGGCCGCCCTCGCCCATCACGACCTCGTCAAAAACAAGGAGCTCTTGGAGCCGCTTCTGAAATATGTCGATCTGCTCTATCGCACCTTCGGCCCCAGGGAGGATCAATTGCCGGGCTATCCAGGCCATCCGGAAATCGAGCTCGCTTTGCTGAGACTCTTCCACCGCACCCGAGACAGCAGACATTTGGAGCTGGCACGTTTCTTCCTGACCGAGCGAGGTCGCACCACCGACGGCAAGCACTTCTACGAGGTCGAGGCCAAGCGACGCGGCGAGGGATCGCATACGAGAATGGCCTATTGGGGCGAGGCCAACGCTCTCTGGTACTACCAGGCCGACAAGCCACTGGTGGAACAGCAGACGATCAAGGGCCACTCGGTCCGGGCGATGTATCTCCTGACAGCCGCTTCAGACCTAGTCCGCCTGGGAGAGGCCCCCGGCCAGCTCAGCGAGGCAATATATCGACTGTGGAACAACATGGTTCACTGCAAAATGTACACCACCGGGGGGATTGGCGCCATGAAACAGTGGGAAGGGTTTGGCCTGGACTACTTCCTTCCTCAGGGCACAGATGAAGGGGGTTGCTATGCCGAAACCTGTGCGGCGATCGGTGTGATGATGCTCGCCCAACGCATTCTCCAGTATGACCTTGATCGTCGCTTTGGCGATGTCATGGAACTGTGCCTCTATAACGCGGTTTTGACCTCCATGTCGCACGACGGCACCAAGTTCACGTACGTCAACCAGCTTGCATCCAGCGACACAGACCTCTCCAAGAGAGAGGAGTGGTTCACGTGTGCCTGTTGTCCGCCGAACGTGTTGAGGCTGCTTGGGCAGATTGGGGGTTACATATACACGGAGCAGGAAGGAAAGCGATCTTCGCAGGTCAACGTCCATCTGTACATTCCCAGCACGTTCCAGTTCCAGGCTGGCGACGAGCCGGCCATCTTGACCCAGAAGACCAATTGGCCATGGAGTGGAAAGGTCGAGTTCGAGCTTCAGACGAAGTCTTCACAGATCAGTCTGGCTCTTCGGATACCGGCATGGGCAACGTCGTGGAAGGTGAGTAGCATCATTAACCCCTGTCAGTACGAGAGTGAAAGTCACAGGATTGACATGCGGTCCCAGGTTGTCCCATCGCCGCCGACTTCGGCTCCGGAAAAGGGCTACCTCGTCCTGCCTGCGGCCTGGGTTTCGGAAAACCCATCATTCACGCTGGAAGTAGATTTCCGTCCTCGCCTTGTCGCGCCGCACCCATATACCAACCAAGACACCCTAGCCTTGACCCGCGGGCCTATTGTGTATTGTATAGAAGATTTCGACAACCCTTGGGTCGAGGATCATTTCAAGAGTGTGCAGCTCGATCCTGAATGCGTGGTGCAGGACGAGGCTGTGACGGATGAGGCCACGGGGGAGACGTATGTGGCGCTCGTGGTGAAGGAGGGCGCCAGTCTGCTCCAGGTGCAGAATATCGACGCCCATCCCACCCTTGGAGCCGAGGAATTGCACAGCGTGGAAAAGTCTGATGATAAGGTCATCAAGGAGTTGAAGTTCGTGCCGTACTACTTCAGAGCCAACCGTGGTGGCCGGGGGCATGCTAGAGTAGGGTTGAGAAGGTGGCATAGATAGGTGCCCTCCGTAAGACAATGCTCTCTGTTTATGCTTGGGTCTTTGGCTCATCGACATGCCAGCCCAACGGCCTTGCCACCGTTGAGACTGTGTGGCTAGTCGCCGTAACAGACATGTCCTGCTTGTCCCTTCAAGCCGTGGTGGAGAGTCAATCACCCTTGAGCGAACTCCCAAGTAGGCTTGCAAAAGAAGATTCCATACCGGATTGAAGGCTGGAATGCTCCTGTGGCATTCAATCTAGGACAGCGGGTAAAGCACACGGTATGTCATCAGCGAGGCACTGGCAGGATGCATGGAGGATACATAATCGATATGTCATTCCTTGGATAGGTAGCATTTTGTGGCTTTTCTTCCCTTTTTTCCTCCAGAGGTTTTCTTACGAGATACTAAACTCAAACGCCCACGCGGTGGTGTTGTCGGTGGTCACGGGCAGAACCAGCAGCCCGTCATCGGACACCGACACCTCCAGATCTCCCAGGTCCAGGGGCGCCTCCATGATGGTCCACTGCGACGTGCCGGGGAAGGCGATCCGGTGCACCGTCTTCTTCTTGTTTTCCAGGCTCGCGGGGCTCCCCACCAGGCCGGCGACGGTGATGTTCCAGCTGCCGGCGGTGACCCGCGAGCCGGCCAAGACCCGCGCGGTGCCCGTGCCGGCATCGACGGTGGCGTACACGTCGAAGAGGGCGTCGGCGCTGCCCTCGGTCGCGACACGGCTCCCCGTCATGTTGGTCGCGTAGTACTTGTAGACCTGGAACTCGGCGGCCGAGGTGTAGTCGGTGGCGGTGTAGTTCGCCGGGTCGTCGTACTTGGAGAGCAGGTTGGCCATCAAGTCGTGCAACTCCAGACCGCTGAGCCAGTTCCCGCGCAGGCCGATGGCGTTGTATCGTTCGAGCCGGGAGATCCACCACGCCGCGCCGGCGGGACGCTGTTCGGGGGCCGTCGCGTACTCGTTGATGTTGACCTGGCGATCGGGCAGCCCGTACTGGCTCAACAGAGATGCGAGAGATTGGTTGGTGTAGGCAAGATCTTCGCCCGGTGAGTGAGCACCGCCCTCAAGATGGTACACGTATTGGTCGGGGATAGTGTCGTTGCCTTTGACAGCCTCACACCAAGATGTCCACCAGGTGTTGTTAGCCATGGGCAGGTTCGCGAGCGTTGGGCCCGATATCAGCACGGAAGAGTAGGACGGGTCAGCTCTAAGATATCGTGATCACTCAGCCAGGTCTTTGCTCAACCATAGTGCGTGTGGGTTCTTTCCACCTGCTTGAGCTTTTGCTCTTAACCTGAAAATGCAGCAGGAGTGGCGGCCAAGCGACGGATAGAGGATGACTTACCGGATGATCTTGTGCGTGCGCACGTAGAGCTCCACCCACTGAGCCTGCGAACGCTCCCAGAAGAAGGTCAGATCGGGCTCATTCCAGATGTCCCACACCAGCCCGTTTAGGGCATTGTTCGCCTTCAAGTCGGCCAGCAACTGCTTCACAAAGGTGTCGTAGTCAGTCCAGTCGCCGCGGTCGCCGGGCCAGACGGTGCTCGAGTTGGCATGATCCGTACCCCAAACATCATGGGGCAGCAGGATGAAGTTCGCCCCGTACTTTCGACAGGTGTTGTAGTTGGACAACGTCGAGGCCAGACGACCCCGATACTCTTCGACACCCCAGATCCACCCCCGAGCGGGAGCGGCCAGTTGAGCACCCCCCGCACGGCCGTATCCAAAGTCGATGTCCGTGTAGAAGTGATCTGGGATCTGATTGGGCGTATCGGGCAAGCCGTAGATGAAGCCAGATGCCAGATGGTGGGGGGAGCCCGAGCTGTTGCTGAGGTCGACCTTTGCCACATTGTCCTGTCCCCGAGCGACAGTGGCGAATGCTGCAAGAACGAGGAAAAGTGCCATGGTAGAGGACCCTCTGAGAAGAGGCTTGCCCGCTGTTTTCTTCTGGCGAGGACCTTCTCAATATAAGAGACGCCCATCCACTTGATCAGGGAGCTTTCATCGTGACAAGAAGTTCTCCAAGCATGAAGCTCCTCCTGAAATACCTCCTCCAGGCCAACTCCCGGTGGGAGAGGTCTTTTGCCGTAATGTGAAGCTTCAAGGCCATGGCTCTGATTAGCCTATATGTAATAGTCCCCGGTGGGCGAGTGGATATATGGAGAATGTCCACGCAGATGTGCAGCTCGCACCGATTTGTTAGACATTAGTCCAGAGGGGGATGGTGTTTCTCCTTGTAGCCCAGGGGCTAAGTTCTGGGAACCTTCACAGTAGGACTCTGCTCACGCTACTCAGGGAACGCCTCCGAGCTCACCAGGCCGAGCTCAGAATCGTATATGTCGTCACAGCTCAGAATGGCTCAGTCATGACTGAGGTCGAAGCTTGGGTCTGGAAATGGCAATGGGACTTTACAGGGATCATTCTTCGCCGCTGAGTACGATCAGCACTCGGTCCTCGGTACTGTGCCCCCCGAGACTGGCCCCTAAAGCTAGCTTAGTAGGCCCCAATATACCCCTGATCCTCCTTAAAGCTCCCCTGGAAGCGCCCCGTAACTTCGAGGCAGTCTCTCTATTGTTGCTGTCCCTGGCTTCACCAGTCTCCCGTATAGTAAGTACCTCCCCCTTCCCCGGCCACTCACTGTATATTAGAAATGCTCTTAATGTGCACGGCGGCCTACAGACACGCATTTGCTCTTGTAAGGGACTGAATTCTGCATTTCTACGAGAACGGTCACAACTTAACTCCTTGACGCTACTATATGTATATATGTGATTGATATATATATATATATATATATACACAACATATATATATATATATATATACACACATATACACTCCATACCTGGATCGATCTCTTTCCCTCTCTCCCTCTCTTCCTTTCTCCACCTCACTCCTTCCGCAGCCGCTTGATCGTGGGCCCCATCTCCTCGCCAGCCCGCAGCGCGGCAAAGGTCTTCTCGTCAATCTCGGCCCGCTCCTGACACAGGGCGACCACCTGGTCGATCAGCGAGGGGGGCACGACCACCACGCCGTCCGCGTCTCCGGCCAGGATGTCGCCCGGGTGGATCCACAGGTCGCCCTGGAACTGCAGTGGGACGTTGATCTCGGAGGCGCGCGTGAAGCTGTACGAGCCCAGGATGGACGTGGCGCGGGCGAAGACCTTGTAAAACCGGAAGGGATGGCTGTTAGCTAGGATGGATGGATGGATGGATGGATGGATGCACTTCCTCCTGGGTAGCCGGTGCAATAACGAGAGAAGGGAAGGTCGATAGATAGAAGCACAGAAAGGAGAATTGGGAAATGGATGGATAGATAATAGAGCCCGTACCGGAAACCCGATCTCGCGATGCTCCCTGACATCCCGCATACGTCCGTCGATCATCACCGCCGCGGCGCCAAGGTACTTCGCGCGTGTCGACATCAGGCCGCCCCAACACGCCGAGTACACGCCCTTGGGCTGCTGAATGAACATGACCTTGCCGGGCTCGTTGCAGTCGGCGAAGTGGCGCGGCGGGCGGGGCGCCTGGCGGTCGCTTTCCTCGACCATCTTGACCGTCACCGCGGGGCCGAAGACGGTGCCGGTGGCGGTTGTCGTTTCATCGGGTGAGGGCGAGTACATCTTGATCCCGTCCAGGAAGCCTCCCAGCGGGTATTTCAGCTTGACTAACGCGTCGCCGATCTAGATGAGTGATACAGAGAGAGAGAGAAGACCCTTCAGCACAGATCTCAGAGGCCTAGGCGTGGGCACCTCGAACACTCACATCGCATGTTGTAAAGGCCCGTAGCCGCTGCAGCCCAGCCATTGTGGAACTCTATCACGCCTTTTTGACTGGGTAGATCTTTAGCGACGGGAAAAATCGACAACCAAGACGATTTGTATACGATCGTGAACGTCGTGAGTTGGGAGAGCTATGTTCGGTGGCTCGGTTATGTAGTTACTGTAGTTCATCGGGTAGTTTCCGCCTGCCTCCTACTCGTTCGTCCTCGGGGCATCTTCCTCCGTGCCATCAACACAGAGCAGCATGGGACAGGCTACAAGAGAGACTTTCAACGCTCGAAGTGCCCGTCCAAGGCAATACAGCGGGCATCGCTATGGCTACCAGACACCCGAATCAGGATCTGTATAATGCAAGGAAATCGTGCCTCTATCCGAACAAGACGCATAGCTTGCTGTGTTGGACGGACATCTCTCCGAGCCTTCCAGACACCCTCGCACTCTTTTGTAATTTAGCACGGGAGCAGGAGCAGATACTCTTCCCTCTGTGGAACGTGCGCCCTCAAAATCTCGACAATTTCACTCCAGGCCTTCTTCTGCAACACCTTCCCCTTGGGACTTGTGACCAGTTCGCCTTTCCTGCATCGCTGGTCAGAACCAAATCCTTCAATGTGCGCGGTTTTCGAGGTAAAGAGGATCTCGACTTACTTGTCAAAGACATCGTGGCTCCAGAACTGCCCATGCGCGTCCTTACCCAAGGTCGTTCCGCTGACGAGGATCCTGCTTCCCTCCTCGGCTGACCGGGCGAAGACGGCTTGGAAAACGTAGTTCGGGAGCTTCAGCAGGCAGGAGAAGTCACGCCCGAGATTGGTGCGGCACAGATTCGGGCAGCATGTCGTGACGATCACGTCTGGGCCTTGGTGGCCTGTGGACGACAAAGATGCTGCTGCCACGAGTCCCTCCATGACATACATCAGCAAGAGCTTGGTGGTGAAGTATTGCCGCTCGATGTCGAAGAATTTCTTAACGTTGACGAGGTCCAGCACTCTCGAGCCGCTGCTGAGGGCTACATCGAGTGCGTCAGGCTTGACCATGCGATGGCCAACACTGCCGACAAACTCGAGATGTGCTGGCTTGCCGGACAGCTCTGCCGATTTCTGGAGTTTGGGATACAACAGCACGGCAAGCAGGGCGGTCGAGAGCGTGTTGACTTGGAGTGACATCTCAAACCCTTCCGCAGAGCACTGGTACGAAGATGCCGCAACGCCCGCGTTGAGCACAGCGACGTCGACTCGGGATTCGGCCGTACAGACTTTCTCGGCGAAAGAATTGACGGATCCAAAGGTGCTCATGTCGAGTGGATACAGCTGTATGTCTGCGCTCTTGTAACCCGCTCGTCGGCAGATCTCTTCTTTCGCCGCTTCACCACGCTGTATTGATCGGACGCCGAGAACGAGGCGCGACGCCCCCAGCGTAGCGAACTTGACTGCGGCTTCGAGCCCCAGGCCAATATTCGCACCGGTGACGAGGACGGTCTTGCCGGAGAAGGAAGTGCGAGGGTTTTCTGGTGGATTCTGCAGTTGGTCAGTCACCTGCTGGCCAGTTCTTCACGCGAGGCTGTCGCATCCAGGAGGTACTTCTTACCCGCGCACTCCACCACATGGCAGAGATACCTTGGTTTTCTGGTGGAGGAGACGATGGCATGATAGTGGACTGGGAGAGTGAACTGCTGGGAGCACGCAAATGGCACCAGTATTCACGACCTCGTTAGTGGTTTTATTGCTTCTCGGAGCCACCGTGGAGTCGGATCGGAACGTTTTGTTCGAAACGCCCTGCATCCATCCGAAGAGATGCAAATGCTCCGAAGTTCAGCCCCCAATATTCGGTCATTTTGTACCTCGACCATTTATCGTTTGCTTTAAATCGGCAAGAATGTCCCTCAAAGACTTGCAAGGGCCTCGAGGTTCATACAAGGGAGGCTGCTCACGAGCCTCTTCCTCTACCATCATGCTGAGCATTAGATGGGCTCTTGTAGACTCGAAAATTCCCTCATCGGCGTTGGCACCTCCGCAGATACCAAGCCGGACATCGAGCTTTGAAAGCATGTCTTCGCTGACCTGGACCAGGATCTGAACCTGCAGATCGAGGCGCGTCTCCATTGTGAAACCTGCCAAATTGATGCCAGGAAATAGTTGCGGCACAGGTTGTTGCAGCGACAACAGAACAGGCATCGAGTCGTGAATGCAGGAAAAGATGGTGCGGTAGATGCGGATGAGACAAACGTAGCATGAAAATATAGAGAACACTGTCGGCACGTCGCAGTGCAGGCTTCCGGTGCCCGGCTGGATGGTGTCATTGCCTGAGGAATAGTAAGAAGGCGTGGAGGAAATCGATCTAAAAGAATCCAAGATGCCGAGTAGAGCTCTTGAATGGCCAAGCATTCGACCGACCAGAAACGAAGAGTTGTATGTCAGCTCTGGAGAGAGCGACAGTTGAGCACAGTCGGTGGCTGTTTTGCATGCCTTCACAAGCTCCAGGTCAACGAGGATTGCCTTCTGTAGTTCTCCTAGTCGCTGTCGACAGTCGCTGTGAGGGAAGATCTCGGGGAAGGCTGGCTGAGAGGTGTTGGCGGCTAGGGGCTGGTGGAATGTTTGCGACCCATCGGTATCCTGTTGCATGGGATCTGGCCACCCGTTTTCGAGACTCTCAATCGTGATTGGTGCCAAAAGGAATCGCGTATCTCTGCCAGCACCGGTATCATGGTCCGGGTCAGGGTCAGGGTCAGGCGTATGGTTCGGTGTTTGAAGCGTCCTATGCAGAGACCAACTCTCCACCGTCATCGCATCGGAGGGTTGTCGATTCAGCGGAGGGCGTCCTGACTTGAGAGCCGTCCCAGTGACACATACAACATTGGCTTTCAAACACCGACGGCACTGCGCCGAGTCTGCAGGACGCTCGCACCGGAGCTTGTGGCGTCGACAGCGATCACAAGCCGAACGGCCATTGCCTTTGCCATCACTAGGGGGATGAGACGTCTGCATGCTTTGAAGCTGTATCAGATGCCATTTCACGCACAAAGCTGATGCGCCAATTGCAAGAACGGCCCAATGGTTCGAACCTTTCGAGTTCTGTGTCAAGATGTGCTTTTTTCTTCTGTCGTACTGCGCCTGTTCATGAAGGGCCAAGGAGGTTTGATCGAAGATGATAGACTACAACGTTCCGACACCGAGTTCAGACTTCCAGCCAAAAAAGGCTGTGTCAGATTGACTTATTTTCGCCAATAGACCAATCAGAGCCCTCCGAGCGACGCACAAGGCTTCAGCAGAGGCTTGATCTATCAAGGAAATATTCTTGCGATTGAGTGAGGAGGGGCGATGATTCGATGTCGTAGGAGATTGAAGTGTCTCTCGGGACTGCTGAGGCGGTGTTTCATAAGTATATGTCCAATCTAGGTGTGTATGGTCGAAGAGCCTGAGCCCAGATTGCGGCTGGTCGCATGGCCAGTCGTATCTGGCCGGGATCGGCCATTCGATCGTGTGATACATGCCACCATATGTGACCAGAGACCGATCTATCATCACGGCACAGGCAAGTGCAGACCGCGATACCGATCTCGTGCTCACAGGAGTCCAATGGAAGGCAGGAAGTGCGAGGATCCAGATATCACCAAGCGCATTGTCGCTACTTTGTTACAGTCCACCGTATACATAGATACTGGGGCTGCTCTTTGTGAGACGTGAGTTCCAACCGAAATAGTTCCAAGAGAATGTGGTGTCGATCGGTAGACCCGTCTGCGAGTAGTTCTGCAGTGCAGTATCCACGGACCATTGGCCCAAGTCGACATCTAATATACCCAGTGGATACTCTGTGAGCCCTGGCCCTCCCTCTGTCAATTAATCACTTCTGAAGTGATCGCATCACAGACCGTTACGTCCACATTGCGGACTTCTCGACCTCGCGCAATTTATCCGATCCTTCTCTGATCATTGCCGAAGCTCTTCCCGATTTTATGCTTACTTTTGATGAGGGTTCTTTCTAGGAAGATGGTCGGAAGCGCTTTGTCGTGGCTGTTCTGTAGGGGTGCTGGTATCACCTCACGGAACAGGGATCGTTTGTGGACTCGGATTGGAGCCTTACAGACCTGTCGGGGTAAAGTATACACTATTAGATGTCGACTTAGGCCAATGGTCCGTGGATACTGCACTGCAGAACTACTCGCAGACTGGTCTACCGATCGACACCACATTCTCTTGGAACTATTTCGGTTGGAACTCACGTCTCGCAATAGGTTACGTCCTGGACTCAAGGTGAGACGCCTACCCAGGGTGGTAAGGTACGTAATAACGTATCCGAATGTAACTCTACTTCATAATCAGCGAGGCAGCAAATCACATCTCTAAGGCATTCAGACCGGTTACCTCAAAAAAGCCGCGAATCTGATCGGCCCAAAAGAGTATTCGCATCCGATTTGTTTTTCTTTTGAAACGTCCCGTGTCATTACGCTTTTCGCTTAGTTATATTCAGCCTAGCCTATACACCTAGAGTTCACCACCACGGGCGCCTAGAGGCTATTATGGAGTACCTGGAGTTCACCACCACGGGCGCCTGGAGGCTATTATGGAGTACCTGGAGTTCACCACCACAGGCGCCTGGAGGCTATTATGGAGTACCTGGAGTTCACCACCACAGGCGCCTGGAGGCTACTATAGAGTACCTAGAGTTTCACCACGAGCGCCTAGAGGCCATCATTAGAGTCACCACCCTACTACGGTATATTTTGATAAGCTTCCTCACCAACACTTTGAAGCTGAAACGGATGTGAAAGATCGGTAAGTTAAAGATCAGATGAAGGTACCCTAACAACCGAATACGGTCGTAATAGGGGTCAAGATTCTTTTTGGTGTCGGATCTCTCTTCGCCGTACGTTTCTTCTTTTTGTTGTTACGCTTCGCATACGTTGAGGTCTCTGCGCCTTTCTTCTTGAGCTCCACGTCTTTCGCGGGTTGGATTTCGTCATCCGGAAGCGATTCGAATTCAGGTCCCGACATCTCCTTGAAGACGGGTCCGAGCAAGTTGTTGGTGGGTTGGCAAAGCCATGAAAAGCATTTCGTCTCACTTGTAATCATGCTAGACAGCCGAAGTTTATGGCTTTTTGACAATAGATAGAAAGGCCTTCGGGCCCATTACTCAGCTACTTGATGGGCTCTCTGGGTGCTCCTCAAGGGGCGCGCCCCCTTTTCGCTTCCATGTCTTCTTTCGTTCCTTGATTACGGTCCAAAAACAGAACAATAAAAACTTGAAGAAAAAAAATACAACGTGGAGAAGCTGGGAATCGAACCCAGAACCTTTTCCACTTACGTAATCAGGCCGCTAGTGCCCGTTAGGCAAGTGCTAAGGAAACGTCATACCACTAGACCACATCCCCTGATGTTGTTGATTGTTGAATTGAATTTTGGAGACTTAAATATATAACTAGGATGTAAATGGCGGGTCCTTGACCTCGGCTGAGACCAAGCCGTGCCCCGCCCAGACTGGCCGCACTTAATTGGTCAGGCGGGATCCCCCAATAGACATAGCGTGTCGGATAATAGTTTGAAGTCACCGGGGCTTAACTGCTGTTCTTGCGAGGAAGCCATACCCAGGTAAAAGTCACTACAGGGGGGGCATGTACGGGCTGCAACCCCCCCCCCCTGGTCCATTAGCGCGTTCTGAGCATTGCATTCCTGCGCACCTCGCTGTTGCTCTCTCTGTCTACCTCTCTACCTATATCGTCGCCGCCCTCTCTACCTACCTCGCCGTCGCCCTCTCTACCTACCCCGTCGTCTACGATACCCGACAAGCATAAAAATCGTAAATCGTACGCGGATCCAGATCGAACGCGAGGCCAGCGCCTAATAGAGCGTGAACGCACTCAGATTCTAACGCTATATACTATAGCTAAATAGAATCAATCACAAATTGCAAAAGAGCTTCGAATTGCTCTTTCTACAGTACGCCTTTATATACGCTCAGGAGTGTGTACACCCTAACGTCCTATCGGACGTAAATCAATACTTACAACGAGAAAGAGACGTCGTTTAATATAACGCGCAACACTTAATGCATTTTATCGTCGTCTTTCCTATAAACATATCGCTCAAATCGAAGGCATTCAAGCCTATCGACGCTCTCTTATAGCAGCATTCGAAAAGGAACAATATTATCGTCGTACGGCGCAGGAAAAGTGTCATGAATGACAAGCATATAAGCTAAGAGGTCCAAGATCTGTCATGAAATGACAGGATTCTTAGTCTTTTTGGGCGATCCCCAAGGGGCTGTGGACCTCTTCCTGACAAAAAGCCTCTTCTATTACCTGAGCATCAACAAGCCCGTCTAGAATGGGCGATAAAACATCAATCCTAGGATATATTAATGTGGAAACGCGTTAGTTAGACTAATGCGGTATCATTTATAATAGGTGCGTTTGGAAAGGTTTTCGTTACGCGAACTATCGAAGAGAAATATCGTCTTGATTACTATATACCGAAATTCGCTGGTTTTTCATCTGTAATGGCGTACGGAGCGATATCAGGAGTAGAAAAGGGTCCTTTAATACTTATACGGAAGAAATGGGGAAGTATTACAGCGCGAGTATATATAGAAAGAGTCCTTCCGCATTTCTATTAATATCTACGTAATATTAAACGTTACGTCGTGTCAGGAAGAGGTCCACAGCCCCTTGGGGATCGCCCAAAAAGACTAAGAATCCTGTCATTTCATGACAGATCTTGGACCTCTTAGCTTATATGCTTGTCATTCATGACACGTCGGACTAATGCGAAGTATTCTTATGGAGGATAATATATCGATTCATACAGTAAAACTTACTTAAGGCTATTACGTCTATCACGGCGTTATTCGAATGGTTTGGCCTACGCATTCGCCAGATTTAAATCCTATTGAGAACGTCTGGCGCCTTTTGAAGTATAGGATTGGAAAGCGGTTTCCAAAGACTGATGCGGAAGTACGGCAATATCTACTGGAAGAATGGGAAAAGCTACAGCCAGAGAACTATATGAAATATATAGAGAGTATGCCTGAGCGTTGTAGAGCTGTTATCGCAGCGCAAGGCGGCCACACCAAGTGGTAGAATGGCGACAGCGAGGTGCGCAGGAATGCAATGCTCAGAACGCGCTAATGGACCCGGGGGGGGAGGGGGGGAGGGGGTTTTGCAGCCCGTACATGCCCCCCCCCCCTGCCCCCCTGTACACGTAACTAGGTGCCTAAAGTGACATGGTCTCACTTTGCAAACAATACCTTGTACTATCGCCGAGGACAGAGTCCAGATCTCTCTGTCATATGGATCTTCTTCACAGAATACCGAAACTATAGAGATGGCAGAAACGTCCCCAGATATCCTTCCGAGCAATGATTATTCCGTCGTGCTGTCGGCCTGATCTAATCTTATCAACGACTCGGACACAGAAAATTGTGATTATTAGAACCGAGGCAACTCCCCCATTGTGGCGGATGATATCCGACGCTTTGCCTACGTCGAGTACACCCGGTGGGATAGATGGGCGCATAAGTAATCACACTACTACCGCCACTACCAGTCAGGGAGGAGGAGGATGATGTTGATGCCGCAAAATCAGTAGTATTTAGCTGAGAAAAGAAAGACAGAAAGAAACTCACCAGTCAAAATCAGAACGTAGTTCGTCTCGTCTCTTATCATTGTCTCCCACAGTGGATCTGAGGTACTGATCGAGTATTCGTCCCGAGGTTCGAGAGTTGGTGCTGCCTCCCAGTACCGGCTTAACGACGGAGTCGCATTTTCCACGGACAAGGCTGTTCTGGAGACGAAGTGAACGGACAGAACAGAAGAGAGTTCAAATCAGTTCCAACGCAACTCACCTCCTCGACTGAATATGGCGACCGAGAACAAGCCCTTTGCATTGGTGGCCTTGGTACACCCCAAGAGCACCGAGAGCCGGAATAAGGTATCGTAGGCTCCTCTCCTCTTTAATCCCATTGGCTTTTTCCTATTCTACCGTCTTGATACAGGCACATCGAGAGCTGCTTGCCTCGAGGCTTGGATCTGGATTGGGCACTTGATCCAAGTGCGTCTGCACGGATTGGTTTGGAGAGAAGCAAAGGAAGAATGAGATGTCTGCCAACAGCAGGATACTAACAACTGTCCTCTCCCTTGCCAGGCCCTTAAACTCAACGCCGCCGTGACGCCCTTCTTCCGACAAGCCAGCACGCAATGCACGACACGCAGCATCTTCACGCCGGCGACGCGCCCGAAAGCGAACATGGGCATGGTGCCGGCTGCCGAGAAGGGGACCATGTTTGGAGTGGTGGAGATCTGGACGTCGCAGGCCGCGTTCGACGCCATCAAGGCCGGCCCCGAGTACAAGCAGTACCACGCGACCGTGGCGCGTGAGGGCCTGTACAGCGCCGATACGGACATGGACCTCTCCGAGTGGACGCCCTGCGCCGGGTTTGTGGCGCGTCAGGGCGAGAAGGAGACGCCCAAGGCCGGCATCGTCATGTTAGCCAAGTTTGTGTGCAAGGATGGTGAAGCGTCGAAGGACGGGCTGGTGGGTGTGATTGGGTACGTCCGTCCGTTTTGTCAGATCCCAACCCTGCTTCTGCAGACCGCTGGCTGTCCTCTTCCTTCTATATCTTTCTCCCAATTCCCTCCTACACCAAGCGAATAACCTCACCGACACCGCTAACACACGACTCCCGCCAGAAAATTCTGCGACTGGGTCGAAGCCAATGAGTTCGGCACCCTGACTTACTGCGTGATGGCCAGCAAGACGGCGCCTAACGAGGTGCTCCTGTTCGAGCGCTACAAGGACCTCGCGGCGCTGGGTGTGCACGGCAAAACCGCCGAGTTTAGAGCCATGTTGTGAGTCAAACGCCCTCCTCCTCCTTCTTCTTCTCCTTATTCCCTTACATTGGTGTATACGACGGGCATAGGGCGGTCTTCCCCAAGGGTGAGCGCGGTGATGTCTCTGTTCACCCCCGACCGTGTGCCTGCTGGCCCGCCTCCTGTCCCTGGCGCCCTCCTACATGTCAATAGCATCACACTTACATAGCTAACACGCTATTCACGCCCACAGCAAAGGAACAGGCCGCTTCATCCAGGTGAAGAAGACGGTGCTGAGCGAGTGGGAAGAGCTGGACGGGTCGTTCGTCTCGAACCAGCCGGGTGGCGCTGGCGTTGGAGGAGTGGCGAAGCTGTAAGAGCGCCCGGCCTTCGGAAGCACTGCATGCAGCCCTCTACAGAGGATGCTCTTATGATTCGCAACCTTGTGTTGTGCCGGGGGAGTGAGTTGAAGTGGGACACAGGTGGAAATGCCACGTGCGGACCGATACGGCAGAGAACAACTGCTGATGAGAGAATGAGAACGAGAATGAAGAGGGAATAAAGGCATAGCTTTTGGGGATCGACCACAGGCATATTCCGAGTACACCTGTCATGCCAGCTCCATCTCAAGTGCAAGATAAATCATTCGCTGTCAGAAGATCGACCCCGAGTTCTTTATATTGGTCGTGTTCACAGCGAAGGATTGTATACATCATACAGCTCTTCCACTCCTGTCAAATACCCCCGTTCCTGGTGGGATAATATTCTGATGTATGCTCCGTAGTTCAACACCTCCCATATTATACTGTCATCATGGTGTATCACCATTGTGCACCTCAATACCCCATATGCTTCCTCACAATCCAAAGATTGTTGCCGATCGATGCGGACATGCCAACCGCCCCATGTAGTGGGCTACAAACGCCGCTGTCCCGTTATATGTCGAAAACGCCAGGATAACCGTGTATGTCTATGTTGAAGGATCATATCTCCTCCGTTTGTATGTACAAGATCGAGGCCCAGCTGCTTCCACCAAAATGACGATGGGTGTGTTGAGCTGCGCTTCCATTAATTCAGTTTTGGACCGTCGCCATCTGAAACCGACAGTCATGGACATGCTCGTTGCATCATTAATTTTGTTGTATTGTTCAGTCTCAGTAAAAGAACGCCGCCACAAACACGAGCGCCGTGAAAGCAGTGGTGACGGAATATTCCAGTTCAAAGAAAACTGACTGCGGAGCAAATGCGATCTTCTTCGCCTCTGGTGTCGGGTGTGCGACATTTGTTTTCGGGTCGCGGATCAGGAGTTCTTCTCGATCTGGGCAGTTGGGAGGGTCACAAGCATAGGTGAAAGGGATCCAAAAGGATGAGCACACGATCAACCACGCAAGAGGGGGCTATATCCACAGTCAGTGCATACACGGTGGATGGAGTGTTGAAGAGGAACTTACCCAGAACGCGTGGGTCAAGAGGCCGACAAGCTTGCCCCGCAGGGTATGTTGGGTTAGGAAAGTTCGGTAGGATGACAAGGTGACGGCGACGAGGACGAAATAGACGTATGCCACGTGGAAACCGGCGAGATAATTGACACAGATCGTCCAGATACGTCGCCACATGGGTGCTCGCAGTTTGGGGTCTCGCTCATTCAACGCCGACTTGATCGAACCGGTGGCTTTGAAGGCTTGTCGTTGCCCGCCCAACCAAGTGGGCAGAACAAACGATCGGATGATGGTGAGAGAGATGTATGGGGCCATCCAGAGCTGATACCGGCTACCTCTTTGTCCGGTGGCATAACCAGCGGGAATGAAGAGGACAAACTCACACAGCCGATTGAACACCATGTTAGCGAAACATGCGCGGATCAGCCACCGTAGTTGCGTGTCGTTTGCGTACGCAACGAGGGGCTTGTTGGCGATCAGGACAATGGGCATGGCGAAGATGGAGAGGGTGAGGAAGATGTTGAACAAGCTGAGGAAGGCATAGATGAAGCTGGACGACCGCTGCGCAAAAGTCATATGCCTGACCTTGTCGCCCCACAGGCAGAATTTGAGCTTGAAGGCAGTATCGACCGTGCCAATGGCCCACCGCGTACGTTGCTTGAGATGCCCACCATAGTCTTCAGGCACAGTGCCAAACTGAAGCGCCTCGTGGACAAAGGCAGTCTTCCAGCCAGAGCCAAGCAGCAGAGTGCTAGTAGCAACATCTTCCGCAAGCGATCCGCAGGGAAAATTGCCAATCTGGGCGAGGGCGACAGTTCGAGCAACATATCCAGATCCTGTGCACCACGCAACTCCCAAAGCGTCCTTCACCGGTTCTGAGACGTGAACGAAGAAATCGAGACTTTGGCAGAGGGGGTCGTCTTTGGGGACGTTGTAAAATAGCTGCGGTGGACAAGCAAGACCCATTTTTTCATCGATCAACAAATGGGGGAGCACAGCCCTCAACCACTGTTGCTCAGGAATCATGTCAGCATCCAAAGCGGCCATGAATTCCGAGGATCCGCCTGGCAAGCTCTGGACCGCGTCCAAGCCATAGTTCAGATTGCCAGCCTTGAAATGGTGAGGGACGCCAGGGAATTTCGGACGACGCATGTAGAAGACGTTTGGAAACGACTCCCGCATCTCTTCTAGCACGTGCTTGAGTGCGTCTGACTTGCCGTCGTCGAGGAGAACGACACGGAATCGGTCTTGAGGGTAATCCAAGTCACAAGCGGCGCGAACCGTGTCGAGAATCAGATCGTCGTCCTCGCCACAGCACGTGATGAAGACGTCGACGGTAGGCACCTCATTACCGACAAGCCTCAACTTTGGTCGGTGCCGTTTCTTGAGGATGAATAAAGACCACAAGGTCTGCATGAAGATTGGCACCGCGATGGAGATTTCGATGGCCACGAAGATCCAGGCAAGAGGGAAAGGCGACTTGTAGTGGTGTTGGGCGTCAATGATAAAGGCGATACGCAAGCCAAAGTAGAACCAATACAACGAGAGGGAAATCAGACAGAGGAGCGGCGCTATCCAACGGAAAAGCCATCTCTTCTTGCCTGAGAGGAATTCTTTGTCGTCCCTCGAATGGAGCTGAGCGATGGAACCTTCCTTAACCCAATCTTTCTTGAAGTACGTCGTGGGAGCATCGGGGACGAGGGGTTTTAATGTTTCTTGACTTCGCTATGAAACGGGTCAGTGGCCATGATCTCTCGAGACGAGACTCGAACTTACGAAAGGTGACGGTACCGGATAAGGAGATGAGCTCCGCGTCTGCGACTGCGACTCGGAATAGGTCGAGCGTGGACCAGGAGCAAACGGCGGATAACCCCCATTTGGAGGTTCCAAAGAGCTGTCCGCGATGCTCTCAGTCATGAGATCCGAGAGGGTTCTGTTGTGGAGGTCTGATAAACCTGGTCTCCGCGACAGTCTCGGCGACTCGACGCTCTCTCTGTAGCTTCCATATACCGGATGAACTGATGTGGGCTTTTCAAGGAATGACTCTTGACTTTGTCTCAATGTGGACTGCATCGACACGGTCGACATCTCGGTCATGGGCGGTTGTTCGGATCTCCTTCGATCCGCTTTTCGTAGAGGAGGCATTTGGGCAAAATGAGGGCGGTGAATTGGGGGGGGGTGTCAGAGAGAGAGGCAAGGGTGAAGCTTTGAGCAGACCGTGGCCCGGGATGCGTCTGTCGTGTCACGGAACGAGCGTCTTCATCGTCCACTTTCTCGAGATATGATGTGGATTGTTGGCGGATCTCTTTCTGCTTTTATTACGCGTGTTGGACAAATAACGAATGTCTGAGCAAGAGTGCTCACGGGAAGTCGAGGCCTCTTAACGACAGTATGGATGGTGAATATACAAAAACGAGGGATAGATGGAGTGGGAGAGAGTCGAGAAATTGCACCGGAAGAGTAAAGGGTGAGAGTAGTGGCAGAGTTTGACAGGTGATGGATGGACTGGGCCTTGTCCGAGAAGAGGCGTTGTCTGTTTTCTGCACTAGGTACCGTCGGTGCGCAGTGAACGACCTTATCATGTCATAGTGGAGTGGTTGGGACCCTCCAAGTGGGCAACAGTAACAAGCCGTAGATCACCAGAGTGACATGGCCGATGGCCGACGAGGGCGCTCAGAAGCCGGGAAGGCTGGAGGGCAGGGGAGAGTCACGGTGATTGTTACTGGGGAAGACAGGGTTACGGAGAAGAAATGGAGCCCTAGCAGTTTACTCGTTAGCAGTGATGGCAAGGCTTTTGACGACGATAACGGGGCGGTACGGATTACGGAGTCCCTAGTCGTGCTCGTGCCCAGACGGAGAACCTACGAGTGCCTACTCACTACTTGTTCCGGGGGCAGGACAAACAAGGCAATTTGGGAGGAAATAATGCAGATTGGAACGCGCAAAAGTGACGAGGCTAGCGGCAGGGGCAGGGGGGCTTGAAGATTAAAAACAAGGCCAACCACAAGCAGCCTAAGCAGGCCAAAACAAGCGAGAGTGGGCTGGGGCCCGCTAGGACTTGATCTGAGCTAGGGGACCTGCAGCCGGTGGACCACCCTACGCCACTGGTGCCTCGGGGTGCCACTGGTGTGCCAAGCTGTGCAAATCTCCTGGCCCTGCTTGGCCCCTGTCCACCCTCCCAAGCCAGCCTGACAGGCACGGCACACACACGCCAACACACCCCCAACAGGCACTTGTCTTACAGGACAAGACAAGATTCGCTGAAACGGGCTCCATGCCGCCGGCCAATGCTTGACCGTGAATGGGCACGCCAGCAATTGGCACATCAAACCATCTTTCTCTTTTAATATCTCGCCCGAGACTGAAACAAAATTATCACTCGCCACATTATTGTTGTTGTTTGTCGCCTGCACTTGCAACTCGCACCTGTATCAGCTGCACAGCCCCGGCTCTTTCCAGCCAGTCCTCCGGCCTTTGCTGTACCGCACGCACGCGTCGGCTCTCACTCCCTCTTCACACACACCTAACCCCGACCATCATCGTCATCGCCATCTCTTTTTTTTTTATTTTCTCAGATCAGGGCAGCTTCGTCTCAAACAGTCATTCATTCATTCATTTCTAAACATCAGCTCGCCCTGCCGCTTCCGAGTATAACCATTTCATTCCGTCCACCCTCTCTCTCTGAGCAATCTATCAGCACAGACACCTCTCCCCATCAACATGGGTGTCAGGTCGCTCGTCTCATTTGGCTTTGTTCTCATCCCTATAGCGGTTACTATCAGCGTGCTGCTGGGGATCCAAGCATATCGCGAGTCCAAAGGACTACCCTCGAACCCTTTCGTGGACAACTCGATCAAATCACACCTCTACTGTCAGAAGGCATTTGGTGTCACTCCCTACACGAATGGCCAACAATATACATTGTGAGTGTTTTCTGGTCCCCCCCCCCATGATTCTCAATGGGCACGAGTGTTTCGTATCCTGCTGTGCAATTATCAGTACCCCTGTCATGTTTGCCAGCTTTAAGTTGTCAAGGTTTTCTGTGTTCCTGAACCATCACCCAGTTGGGTTTGGCTTCAGTCGGCGTGGCAAGGATCCGCTATCTGCAGGGATCGTTGTCCGGTTCTGCCATCTCGATGCTTGTTGGATATGCTTTCCGATCACCGACTGCATCGGCCAAACTGACGCCGCCACCCAATCATCGTTGAGGCAATTTGACAACTGACAATGGCCGTCATTCACAGAAACCCGAACCAATGGGCTCTTCCCGACGACTATACTGGGCCGGGAGGATTGTGTATGAATGTAAGCAGATCACCTGGAATGAATGATGAGTATCGCTGACTATGGTGCTAGGTCACTACCTTTGACGTAAGTCTCCTTCCTGAAAAGACTACGTCGGGCTATTCAATACCAAGTTCTGTCTCGATGCATCTTGTCACGTGAAGCTAATGATGTGCAGAATGGCTCCTACCCAACAAAGACATCAGCGGCAGAGTGGTCGATCACTGTAAGTTATGTCCTAGTTTGATGGGGATATTTTTGGCAGGACCATCTGGGCTCGGCATCTCTCGACAAAGCAACTAACAGTGATTTGCAGTGGCAGTTTCCCCGTGGTCCGCCGACTCAGCCCGTTCACGCGTTCCCCAATATCAAGATGGACTCGAATGTCTTTCCAATCGAGATCTCACAGGTCTCGGCTATCAACTTTGAGACTGAATGGTACTATGGAGTCGGCAGTGACAGGCCGGAGACCATGGACATCGCCGCCTTGACTGCTGCTCAACTTGACGCCAATGTAGCCATCGATATGTTCTTGGACTCGGATCCGGACAAAGCCACAGACACGGTGCAAGCCAAGTACGAAGTCATGATTTGGCTTGGACAATTTGGTGCATCGACGCAGCAAATTGGTCTGCCGCAAGGAGCCATTGCCACCCAGGTTGTCAACGGCACCACTTTCTCCTTGTACTCCGGCGTCAATGGCATTGGGCAAAACGTTCTTACATGGGTGGCCAGTACTGCGGCGACCGGAGTACAAACCTTCAACGCGGATATCGGCCCTTTGCTACAAGGTCTGACCGGTTTAGGAGGGCCTACCGTCAATGGTAAGCATTGTCGAAGTCCTCTTGCAGTGCACCTGTTTTTGGTGTCCTCATCTGGAGATTGCTAACAATACCGCTTAGATTACCTTGGCTACATTGCGTTCGGCTCCGAAACGCTTGATTCGGGCTCCAACGTCACTTTTTATAACAAAGTTCTCGCCATGGACGTTATTTCTTCGTGATTATCACGTCCAGCAACGAAGTGATCCAGCTTCCGGTATGGTAACGAGGCAGTGTCAAACAAACCTCGACGTCAACCATATAACATGGTTCCATGTGAACTTAAGCATGAAAAAATACCATCCGGGCAAAGACAATGGCCAATGATCCAGTCAGCACCTTGCACACAATCGACAAACGACTGACACGACGACACGGTTAGCCCAGATCTGATCGAGGTGAACTTTGCAACGAATTTCGGAATAATGTCGCCGCTATGTTCACGATCAATGTCAAGAATATTATTGTGACAGGTGTGTGCACGGCTTCGCGACGTTCCCCGTTCGATCTCCTCGAGGGGCAAAACTACCGAGCCCATTGCATAGACAGGGTTGTTAGGCCGAACGTCGCCGACGAGCAACCTGGAAACCTACAGCACACGACTCAATTTTGAGGTAATGGTGGCAAACCTTGGGTATATTTTTCATGGCCATTTCAAGTCTGAAGGCCGAGATGATACCACTGTGAACGTCACAGTCACAGTGAGACATGCAGAATCAGGATCTCAACCCTGGCTACTACGGTGGATCGTTGTGTGGGCCAACCACACCAACGAATACGAGGATGTTTCTCGGGCGCAGAACATGCCCAACAATTTATGGCCTTATCGAGTACTTGGTGGACCCCGTTCCAAGCCTCCGCCGGAAAAATCCTCAGTCGGCCTTGCGAGTCCCATGTGGCAGGACGTGGCTGGTTCTTCCAAACAACATCTGTATATAATCGATTGCGCCATTATGATATGCTTGGGGCAACGGATGGCGGCGCAATTGGCTGGGCGGCTCCGATCGTACACTCAGAGCTCACCCCGCGTCCTGCGAGTAAATCAAATCCTTTGACAGGGAATAAGCAGCTTATCGGACAGCCATTCCGTGTAGGCTGGGCGAATCTGCACCAGGCACACATCTCCAGACTTCCAGGATCAGGCGTCCCTTCTCTTATCAAGAAACCTTTTTGTCCAGGTTTATAATCACTTTAGCGTGGTCCAGCTTGCTGCCAGCCTCCCCAGATTTCCTAGCCTTATCGCTACCCGCGTGAGTACGAGTGTATCACACGACCTCTCTCCACAGGCAACCCAGGAACAATCCTCCCGCTTAATCTGCACTTCTTTTTTGCCAAGCACAACGCGGAAAGCTTCTTGGTCAAAGGGCATCATCCTCTTCTGTATCAAGTGGAGTGCAACTGCCAACGTTTAGTAAGACGAACTACGGAAATCCGGCGGCGGAGATCCTGAGGGTGGTTGGTTGAGCGGTCAAAGTTAGGTACGGAATACTCGGTACATAAATCTATATGGCTAGATGCTTGCGAGTATCCCCAAACAACTAACTACAGTACGTACATCGAGACTTGACAGGACTAGACTGTGTGTATGGCTAACCCGGATGGGATCCTGTCGTTCCCAGACCTTCCGATCGTTATCGCGGAGCCCACACCGTCCAAGCCAGCTCAGCTCAGCTCGGCTCCTTCGAGTCGAATCCAGCAACTCGATATCCGCGCTGGACACAAGTAGCTAAGTCTCCTAGCAGGTCAGTCAGGCAGTCGTGCAGTCGGGCGGTCGGACGACGTTTCTTGTTTGCATCCTCCGATCATCAGCCATAACGAAAAGCGCACATCTTCCCTGCTGGATGACTGTCGGAGTCAGGCGCCCTAGTGCTTCGGACTTGTCTCCTACCAAGTAATACCATTGGGACAATTGCTGCCCTGGTTACCGATATTTCTGTTACCTCCAGACGCAAGTCCTCTCTGCCCAAGTGCGGTTCGACCCTTGGAGAGAGCGGTGTCCGTTCAGAAATGAGCCTTATCTTAGCCTTACCGAGCACAGCATGAGCCAAATGCTGGACAGACGGGTATTCCTGGTCCTTCGCATTCGGCTTGAAGTGCAGTGGCCGTCTCCCATTTCGGCGTTGGTGTCGAAAAGATGCCTACTGCACCTGGTAAGTCTCTGGCCCTTTCCTCCGGCCTGAAATTCCTTACATACGACAAACCTCCCCCTAATCCTGCCATCGATTGACCAAGGGCTGGAATATCTTTGCACGCTTTTGCGGTATTTACGAATACCCTTCCACCATCGAGGCGGTACATGAGTTGTGGTGCTTCAAAAACGTTCCAGATCCTTTTCAGGAGGAACCGATTTCGAGATCGCCGCTTTTCTGCCAACGACACTATTCTTCCCCCCCCCCCCCCCTCCCCGGCGGGGTTCTGAGAAGCTCACAGTCGATCCTTTAATGAAATCGCGTATTCACATTGCATGGAGCTAGCTTGGAAGTCGAGACGGTCTTCAGCCATGATCATCGGCATACAATGAATCTAGAGGCCAGCATTACTGCTTGATATTGAACGGCACTATGCGTGTGACCAGCCATCAACAAGGGTGCTTTACTGATTGCCCATGTCGGCCATGATCATGTATAACGCACAGCCCTCTTCACTGCCCACGTCCCTGGCAGCGTTCTCTTGCCGCTTTTCCGTTCAATTTCCAAGTGAACGTTCTTTGCTCTTTCTGCCACATCGACCGGCTGCGGTAGGCAACCCAATTGGTGATGAAATCACTTGTCTCACGTTTTTGTGCCCCGTTTCCTGTTTCCGTTCAACTCTACAGTTCTGTTGGCGTAACATCCTCAGTCGCATCATTCCCACAACCGCGATTTCGTGCGGATTGCCATCTGCTTCCAGTCACGCTTCTTGCCCGGAATTGCTCACTGAGGTTAGTCTTGGAGGAACATGTTCACCATTTCGTCCTTCACTCGTCAGATACATTGCTATTGGGATCAACCCTCATGCCTTTTTGTTGTCGAATATTGTCAAAACTTGATACATCCTAACCACCACATCACAAATTCAAGCTTTGAATGTCTCAAACGGCACCGCTGAATCCTTTGGCCGAGACTGGCTCCAACTCAAAGGCCACGGACAGCAAGGACCAGACACCGCTGCGACTGGCTGGGGCTGGAAGCTACGCTAGCGTCGTGACGCTACTCTCTGCACGCTCCTATCTCCGGCTGATCGATGAAGTGTGTTACAGTCGCGCACCGTCTGCTACGTTTATCAATCTGACAGCTATCTTGCCTTGCTCGATATGCAATCAGTATCTCCTCATCTTCTATCTTTCTACTACACGTGGCTTGGTGTCTAATCGAACTTCTGACTCACAATTGACTTCGATTCTCCTGCTGCTTCAGTCAATCCTAAGTTGTCGAGCAGGCTATTACCACACTTGTCACATTGGAAACTGTCCTCCATCATAGCACGTCGAAAGCCCACGGACAAACAGAATTGAATAGGTACAGATGCCTGCAAAAGATCAACATCTCCCTCCAGGAATCCTCTCTCTTAGTTTCCTCCCACAGGCTCCAATTTGCCCTCGGTCCGGCCGTCAATCTCGACATCAAACCTGACCGTGCCATCCTGCGCAGCAACCGCCTCTTTGCCCATCAGACTGTATTTCTTGCCGGGCTCGCACTGCGTGAACCCCAGGCTGAACACTCCCGGTTCTCGTCCATTGTACAGAACCAGATCCACACTCGCTCCATCGTGACTATAACACTTCGCAACCAGGACGTCCGGGAATGACACCTCGTCGAGGATCGGAGCCTGGAAGATTTGCTTGGGCGGGCCGCGCTGGATCATCTTGGTCCAGTCCTGGAACCGACCCAGCCGGGCCCGGAGCGTGGTGCCCTGCCAGAGGGTGCTGACGCCCTTGTTCTTGAGCGCGCCGGTCTTGGTCTGGAACACCGGGTGGTACTCCTCATCGATCTGGCGCAGGAGTTCGTGGCGGAGCGTCTCGTCGCCGTACTCGGCCGCGGCGGCCGCGCAGATGCAGCGGATCGCGCCCTCTCCGGATTTGTAGTTGCCCGCGTCCAGCATGTCGGCGCCCAGCAGGTTGCGGACCTCGAGGCGTCCCTTTTCGTTGTACTGCAGCGTTTCCCTCTTGGCGAATGCTACCAACCCACAACGTTCTTGGTTAAGCCTTGTTCTGTTCATCATGGTCAGGGACAAGGGTAGAGCTGCTTACCCCAGTTTCGGTGCGCGATGTGAGGTAGGTATGAGGCGCAGAGAAGCGAGTTTACCATGTCGGACATGGCGCCCGCGAGACCCGGGATCTACAACATGATTTTACGTTAATTCCATATTTCATTAAGAACACCGGAGCAGAGATACTTACCGTGAAACCCGTTAGTTCGCTGCGGATCGGCAGGATGGTCCCGTCGGGCTCACTGAACTCGGTCTCCAGGGCATGCTCAAACCGCCCTCGTAGTTCCTCGGCGTACTTGTTCCCCAGGAGACGGTCGGTGAGAAGAATACCACCGATGCCGACCAGGCTAGAAAAAGTTTCAAGTGTTAGTGATCGTTTGATCGAAGTTCACCGGCGTAGAGAGGACCAAGCACCTACTTGCAGGGCGTGTACAGCCAGTTCGGCTCGCAGGGGTACAGGCAGTACGGCGCCTCGTTCATGTTTCTGTAGACGGCATCGGCGACGCCCTTGACGTCGTAGGGGAACTTGAGGGAATCGGTGATCTCGAAAGTCATGCTGCCGGGTTTCGTGTACCGGTCGTCGCCCGTGTTGGATTGATAGATGCCGACAGCTTGGAGGATGTAGCCCGTCACCATTATATTGTCCTTCTTGCAGGGATCCCAGTCGTGGGCGTTGAACTTGCCGGCCATGGACTCCCATTTCCAGAATCTGCGAGTGTGCGGAGAGATATGTTAGTAGGGACCTTGATGGCATCCTGCCGAGGAGTTGTCGACACTTACTCCATCACCTTCTTCGTGAAGCTGTAGACGAGATGTCAGCAGAGGCCGTCGTCAATTTGCTGGGCCGCAGGAAGTCCTTACCTCTTTTCAATGGCGTTGCGTTGTGCCTGGGACAAATAGCCGCGGAAATTGGGGCAGTAGACATTCTGATAGAGTCCCAGGCAATTGACGGCCTCGTACAGTTGATACCGGATAGCCGACGTCTGGAACTGGTCGATCACGTCGTGGTAGGAGAAGTCGTCCTTGGGCGTCAGACCGAGCTCCAAGAACCATTGCACGAAGCGGAGGGTCTTCTCGTCGACCTCGCGCGTGCCGGGCTCGGGCGCCACAGCCGCCTGTGTCTGATTCTTCTGGACTTCCTCGACGAGATAGTCGTTGCGGGCTGCTCGCTTCTTCCGTGCCTCGGCATTGGCCCGTTGGCACGCGTATGCAACGTAGACGATCCCACCAACGCACACGGCTGACATCAAAGGGCCGGCGAGTTCCAGAACAGATTCTTTGGCCAGGGCTGCCGAAAGAACGGCGGTGCCCGCCCAGAGCACGATCGGGAATACCAAGCCACCCATTCCAAACCACGCGAAGAGAACCAACGGAATCAGAGCACAGGAGACGGCGAACGACAGGATCGACGGGACAGTGCAGACAGCGACGAGCCCGGCCCCAGGGAAGAGAAGACCCAGGCCAGCGGCACGCAGAGCCGGGGACTGGAACTTGTAGAAAGACGTGAGGCCGGCGGCGAACAAGCAGGCATATTGCATTAGGGTTCGACGTTGGTAATGCCATTTGGTGAGACCGGCTCCCGCGTTTTCGGGCACGAGTACATCTGCGAAAGAACAGTGTGAGTATCACAGTCAATGGACGGAGATCTCTCCAGCTGCGTCACAACAGTACCTTGCCAGTTGAAATCGCCTACCAGCGATTTCCCCGATGCCTTGCCAGAGCTGGATTTGGTCTGCACCTGGGCAGGAGCTGTAGTTGTCTGGATGCTTTTGAGCTTCGGCGTATCTTCTTGATGACAGCACCACGCTTACCATAGTCGGCATTGCGATGAGGCCAGGTTTTCCTGGGATTTGCAACAGTATCAATGCACTCAACGAATACAGTGAAGAGAAAACGAAGAGAAAACCACCACCATTATAGCACGGCTGAGCTCCGTCAAGCCTGGACCTCTTATGGACGGGCCTCACCTATCGAGTCGACTTACCAAGGTATCTACCTAGGTAGCCACACTGAGCGTGTGTGTCCCTGGCATCATCTCTGCTGCGTTGCCCGTCTCTGGTACGTCGTCGCAACCCCGCAGTATAGGATTCGAGGGAGCAGATTTGCGGGGAGCTGGATGGTTCCTCGCTTATGCAAATCGCACGAATCATTGCCAATGACTCGAGGACCGTTCGGGGATTTGGTAATAAAAGTCCCAGTCACCCCCGAAAACCTCAGGCTTTACGAGAGGAAAGGGAAGCATCCAACTTTAAAGACATCCTCCTCGTGCCCCGGATGAGCCTTGGATCCGTCCTCCGGCCTGGATCGATCCATGTCTGGGCCCCTCACGGTACGTCCGATCACTGGCGCGGCTGCCTGTAGACCATGTCTCGATGCTGTCGATTCGAAAGAGGATTGCCAAAACGTACGAGTCGTGCTTTCTGACTCGGAGCTAGGAAGGGAGCATTGAGGCCTGAAGGGCGAACCGCTCTCTGCTTTCCAGGTGTTCCAGAAGAGTCAGACACGCTGAGAGCTCGTCTCTCGCATGGGGTCTCTATTGGCCGGTGCGGACCAATTCGTCCATGCGACTAACCTCGGTCAGGAAGGTTGCTTCGTCGTGATCCAGGAGTGACCATCCGAGGTACTTTGCAAAAACCGCCACGGCGATTCTAGCCGTGCAGATCGCCTTTGAGGATCCAGACGTCGCTGGACGCGCCATGGCGTCGATGGCTCTAGAAACCCGTTGTCTATTCCGAGGTGATTAGCCGGAGTTAACGTGCCCCGCGCTCTTCACTGCCCCTCGTCTCGTGGTATCGATGCTGTTGCATAAAAGAAAGAAGGTTTGCTGCTTTGCTTTTCTGTTGCCGATGAATTTCGTCCATCCTGAGATTCTTGAGTTGAAAGAAAGTCTTGAAACCAGCTGTTTATAACACCATTAACGTCGTCAAGATGGGTTCAATCTCAGGTCCAGGACTCGACCTTTTTAGCGGGTATTATAACACCATCAATGGAAAATTGACCAGCACAGAGAAGACCAGACACGGTATCAATCCCGCGACGGGCAAGCCCAACCCAGAGGTCCCTGTCTCTACCCCAAAGGATGTCGACGATGCTGTAGCAGCTGCCAAGGAAGCATTCAAGTCATGGTCGCAGACTCCCTATGAGAAGCGCAGGGAGGCTGTCCTGGCCTTTGCCGATGGTCTCGAGAAATATGCCAATGACTTTGGAAAGCTCCTAACTCAAGAGCAAGGAAAACCGGTAAGTGACGTCCGAGGACGATCAGCCTGGCGCTCTACTGAACGCCCCAACCACAGCTTCAATTCGCCATTGGCGAGGCTCAGACTGGTGTCCATTGGATCCGGGCTCTGTCCAAGATAGAACTCAAGGAAGAGGTTGTTGAAGAGAACGACGAGAAGAAGACCATTGTCCGGTATACACCTCTGGGAGTCACCGTGGGCATCGTCCCGTGGAACTTTCCCATTCACCTTGCTTGCGGCAAGATTGCTCCCTCGGTTCTTACCGGCAACCCGATCATCATTAAGCCCTCGCCCTTTACACCCTACTGCGACCTGAAGCTTGGGGAACTCGCTCAGCAATACTTCCCCCCTGGTGTCGTTCAGGTCCTGAGCGGCGATGACAACCTGGGCCCCTGGCTGACCGCCCACCCTGGCCCCGATAAGATCAGCTTTACTGGTTCGACAGTGACTGGAAAGAAGGTCATGGAGAGCGCTGCCAAGACATTGAAGCGAGTAACCTTGGAACTGTAAGTGTGATTCCTCGGTCATCTGTGGCTCTGAGTCGCGTACTCACATTCCTAGGGGTGGCAAAGATCCCGCCATTATTTGCAAGTCCGTCGACATCAATGCCGTTGCTCAAAAGGTATGAGCTATTTCCTCTCCTAAGCCTGTACAGAATTCGTTACTGATGACGGTGACAGGTTGCGACTCTTGCGTTCCTCAACTCTGGCCAGATCTGCTTGGCCGTCAAGCGTATCTATGTCCACGAGTCGATCCACGATAAGTTCAGAGATGCCATGGTCGAGTTCACCAAGACCCTGAAGGTTGGTGATGGTACTGAGGAGGGCGTCTTCCTTGGCCCCATCCAAAACAAGATGCAATACGAGAAAGTCAAGGTAGGTTTTGCAATACAGCCGTCCTTGCTTTGCATCTGTCTAACATCCTCGTAGACCTTCTTCAACGACATCGAAAAGGAGAAATGGACCGTTGCCGTTGGCGGCAAGAACGAGGACAAGCCCGGTTACTTCATCACCCCTACCATCATCGACAAGCCTGCCGACGACTCGAGAATCGCCACCGAGGAACCATTCGGCCCCATCGTCCCCCTCATGACCTGGACCGACGAAGACGATGTCATTGCTCGCGCCAACAACACCAAGATGGGTCTCGGCGCTTCGGTGTGGTCTGATGATCTGGACGAGGCCACTCGCATCGCTCGACAGCTGGATGCCGGTAGCGTCTGGGTGAACACCCATCTTGAGGTCGACCCCAACGCGCCGTTTGGTGGCCACAAGGAGAGTGGTATCGGCTACGAATGGGGCATTGGCGGCCTCAAGTCGTTCTGCAACGTCCAGAGCTTGTTCTTGAAAAAGAAGACTTCGGCATAAACCTTTGCAGATAGGAACAAGTGACTGTACTTTATGCACCAGACGATCCTGCTCTTCAAAAACTGCCTGCGAGTCCGTAGATGATATGCCAGTTATGCTTCCGGGGTACTTCGTATGTTCGACCCGAGTTGTTCAAATGTCCCGTTTACCGAGAGCCATCTGGCTGTGGAGCATCCCTGCTTCGAATAAAGTACAGATCCAGTGATTCCTCCAGATATTAGTTGGCACAAATCACTCCTGTCACACGCCAGTCGGGCTGAAGCCCCTTTTTACTTTCGTGATCACGGCCCAATGCTCCGCAGTAGACTGCCAAGTGTACGGTGGGTCATTGGTACAGTCGAGCGCGGAAGAATAATTGCGCGACGGAATTGGCAAGTCGAAGATTGAGGACAGACATGCACCTTTGCAGGCTGGAGTTGCAGAACGCGGTCAGCAGAGGGTTGAACGTCCGTCGTGCCCTGGCATATATGACTTTGAACGGATATCGCAGCGTTCGTCCACCGAGGACGTTCGCATCTCTCGCATCCTCCCCAAATGGCGACGCCTTCTGCCGCTCCCGCTCCGCAATCTGCGCCTGCGGTCAACGGCACCGCGAACCTTGAACTGGACGTGTCCAAGTTGCACGCCCTTCCGACTGAACAGCAAGACCTGTACCTGTTGACGTTTGTCTCCGACTTTCAGCGGCATGTCGAACAGTTGTCGGCCGAGTCCCTACCTTCCTATCAAGCTTCGATCAAGAGGGAAGTCATCAAGATCGTCGGATTGGGATCTCCCGTGCCCTCTCGTGTGATCCGAAACGGCCTCGGGAGAATCCTCGCAGATGCATTCGGTCGTGGCAGCCGCAGTCTCCTCTATGAAACGATCAACGACCTCTTAGCCGTCTTGAATGCGGGAAAGACGGACAAAGAGCTGGGCTCAAAACATGCGGCCGTCGTTTGTCTCAGGGCTGTTCTTCGCGCGGCAGGAGACAGTGCTATCAGTCTCTCTGGTTTCACGGTTGCGACGATTCTCAAACTCTTGAAGTCTTCCCATGCAGGAATAAGGGGATGCGTCTTCCGAGCACTCGGCGGACTGATCATCGGGATAAAAAGAAGCCTGGATGAGCATGTTGCTCGGGACATCTGGAAACAGGCCCGACATGCTGCAACTGGTGACAAGTCAACCTTTGTCCAGAGATGTGCATGTTCATGTCTCCGCAGTCTGGCTAGTGAGACCGGCTACTTCAACAACTCGAATGACTTCGATAACCTCAAGACAACTATCTGGAAAGCATTCGACAGTTCCACCCCGCCGGTCAGGCATGCCGCCGCCGGCGCTATGGCGGCTGCACTGAATCAAGCATATTCTGTGAATGGGCACGCCGAGATACCGGTATTGCGGAAACCCAAAAAGTCCAAGAAGCCAGGAGACGACCTGGATGAGGAAGTTGAGGCTGAAAGGCCAGCCTCGCCCACACCTGGACAGGCAAAGGCCTCGATGCGGCTGACTTTTTCCTTGAACGAAGTTCTCCGAATCCTCTCGCAGCAATATTGTCGGGCGTCGACAACGAACAAATCTCGTGCGGGCATAGCAGTTTGTTACAAATATCTCCTTCACTTACTGCCTCGGAAGACCTTGGAGGAAAACTACGCCTCGATAGCAGTGCATACATATGCGGATCTACTGAATCACTCGACCATATCATTCAATCGACATCGACTGCTCCTTACCCGGAAACTGGTCCAGTGGATCCTTGCCGATGTCACGGTCCTGCTGACAGAGAACGCTCAGGTCAATGCAGCCCGCTACCTTATTAATGATGTTATCAAGAACTATCCCCAGGTACTGCCGGAAAAACGCGAACCGTCAAAGCGGATCCTTGCTGGAGCGTTAACGACTCTGACAGACTTGTTGTTGCGCCTGGGACCAGCAGCCAATGTCTTTCAAGATTCCTGCAGAGAAGCATTATTCCAAGTAATCCAGCATCCCAGCCACACGGTCCAGAGCCATGCCGCTCAATGCTTCAGGGCCTTTATACTCGCGTGTCCGACCCAGCTCATGCGTGCTATCGAACATGCCATGTCGCAGTTGCACAGAGAATTTCAACCGGCCGAGGCCAAGCAACCACACCGAAAGTCAATCGGATTTGCCGCCGCCATTGCAGTTGCTGTGAGCTGCGCACCCCAAAGACCGCTATATGGCTCCGTCCAGACGTATTCGGCCATCTTCACATTCGCGACGGACCTATTGAAGTCGAGTGCAGCCGCCGAACTACGGCTCTCAGCAATGCAAGTGCAGGTCGCCTGGACTTTGATCGGCGGTCTGATGAGTTTGGGACCCAGCTTTGTCAAAGTCCACCTGAATCAGCTCATGTTACTCTGGCGAAACGCACTCCCTCCTCCGCTGACCCATGAAAATGCCGGCAAGAGAGGCCATTTGGAGCTCAGCTTTTTATCACACGTCCGCGAATGTGCCCTGAGCGCACTGCTCATGTTTCTTTCCTCTTGCAGTGGCTTGGTCACCACAGATGGCTCGAAGCGAATCTCCACCATGCTGCATAATACTATCCTTTTCCTTGACAGCTTGCCGCCTGCTCGAGAGTCAGAGGATGTGTCTCACCGATTACTGCCTGCCCTTCAACTGCAGGACTTCGCAATCTTGCTCCGCCGACGTGTGCTCCAATGCTTCATTTCTTTGGTCAGTTTAAAGCACCTCGAACAAGGCGACGTTGTGTCGCACTCGGATTTGATAGGTCTCACAATGAGGACGTTCACCGACCCGGAACGTCCGGTTCTGAAAAGCCTGGAGGCGTCACTGGCAAATACCGCGAGCAACTTTGAGGGGTTGTGGGCCACCGAAGACAACTGGAGCTTCGGCGTCAGCGGTTTGGCGGACAGTTTCGACACCTATCTACCTTTCGAAAATCATAGTGAATCAAGCATTGACGCATACACGGAACAAGAGATTTCTATTCCAGATATCCTGGTGCGATGCCCTGCCTTGCCGGCAATTGAACACGATCCGGCCTTACTATCAAGGCCAGACAATCGCCTGGATGAGGCGGAGATTAGCTCACCTGCAACATCCTGTGTGAATCTGGCAATCAAGCTCTTCGCCATATCATTGCCTCTCCAGTCTCCCCGAATCCAAGAGAGCACGGTGGAGCAGCTTATCACTGCTGTCTCTCAACCACTGCAACGTGAACCAGGCCGAAAAGCGGCAATGCAAATCAACACTGCCCTCGCTTTCCTATGCGCACTAGCTGTTGCGAATAACGAAACGCCATACAATTCTGGGAAAATGCATGCCGGCGCAGTGGGACAAGTCATCACTGAACTCTTGGACAGATACCTGTGCAGCTCCGATCCCATCCTGCGGCACATATCCGCTCGGGCTATAGGTCGCATATGCAATCTCGCGGGAACTCAATTCACTAACAGGGAGGTCAAAGTCCTCATCGACATAATTGTGGCAAATCGAGATCCCAGCGCTCGTGCTGGATGTGCTCTTGCGCTCGGATACATCCACTCTGAAGTGGGCGCCATGGCAGCCAGTCTTCATATCAAGACTATCGTCGGCGTCCTCCTATCGTTGTGCAGTGACAGCCACACGACCGTTCATTATTGGGCTCTCAAAGGGTTGCTTCTGGTGGCAGAGTCCGCTGGACTGGCTTTCTCAACTTATGCTACAAGCACGCTGGGTCTGCTTGCTCAACTCTACTCAAGTGATACTCACAACGAGGAAGCTGCATCGCTGGCGACATCTAACCTTGAACTTGAGCATTTCACGCCTTTGGCACTTGCGCAATGTGTTGATAGCATCATCAACGTCTTGGGCCCCGACCTGCAGGACGTCTCCAAAGCACGCAATCTGATACTGGTACTGATCGGCTACTTGCAAAAAGAGCCCTCGGCAAGATTACGCAGTGCAAGTTATCAATGCCTCCGTCATCTTTGTATGTATGCGCCGGCACATCTTCAGTTTGCCAAATACGTCCTGGATCTGCAGGCCAATCTTTCGTCCGATGAGGATCTCCTCCGGTCGGCTGCGATGAAAGGCCTTGGGGAATTGATGAAAAGGAATTCGTCTGAGGTTGCGCGCGTGGCAACTTCTAAGCTGAGCGACGATTTGTGGACACGCCTGGACGACAATCCAGAAAACAATGCCTTGCAGGGAATGCTGCAGAACTGGATGCAGCAAACCATTCTGGTTGACACTGCCGCATGGATTGACAAATGTCAAAGCATCCTCTCCAGAACGAGAACAAAGGCGTCAGCACCAACCCGAGTCACCACCGCGAAGACTGCCATGCCGGACTTGGCAGATGAAGAGGTTGCGGGCTTTGCGGCGGCGGCGGCTGCTGCACAAGGTGAAACCGCTGATGCCGCGCCCGAAGGTCAAGAGTTTCTCCGCTGGCAAACAAGAGACTTTGCTATGCGGTTGCTCAGTGAATCAATGGACATTATCCAAGCAGCTATGTCGCCGGATCGAGTCATTCCTGCCGAAGAAGTTCTACAGAGCAAGATCGCGGATGTGATTCGCGTTGCCTTTTCAGCCTCGACCGCCAACGTGGTCGAGCTTCGCGTCTGGGGTCTTCGAATAATTGACCAGATCCTGAAATTATTTGGCAAGACTCCGGATCCTGATTTCCTGGAAGCGTCCCTTCTGGAGCAGTATCAAGCCCAGATCAGCTCGGCTCTCACGCCCGCCTTCGCATCTGACTCATCCCCAGAACTAGCAGCTGAAGCCATCGGCGTATGCGCTACTTTTGTTGCTACAGGGATCGTAACCAACGCAGAACGCATGGGTCGTATCTTCAAGGTTCTTGCCATGGGCGTGGACAATCTTACGCGACCTGTCCCAGAAGCCGCCATTGGTGATCTGAAGAATCTCAGCCCAAATGCACAGGCCATGCTTAAGATGGGCATCCTTTCTAGCTGGGCACAGCTGCAGCTGGCAAGTTCTGACCAACCATTCCTGGAGGAAATCTTGCAGCCATACATTCCCAAACTGGCGCCACTGTGGTTGACATCGCTGCAAGAGTTTGCCGGGTTGCGATTTGAACCGGAGATCTCAGATACCCTGGGAGGCGAAGTTGCGGGCGGCAATTTGGATGAACGATACGCGTCCTTCAACCGAGAAGTCCGATTGAGGTTCTACCAAAAGAACTGGCTAAGCATTGTAGATGCCATTGCTGTACTTGTGGAAAGGGACAGCGAATCGGTGTTCGACGCTCTCGATAACAAACGCAATTCTGCGGTTGACGGCCCGGCAGATGAAGCTGCTGCGCCTGGAAGAGACATGAGCTTCCGTGAGGAACCTGTTGCATTCTTCTTCATTCTCTTCGGACTGGCTTTCGAGGCCTTGGTGACCCAGGCTAGGGAAGACCCTTCGCAGGCACTATCAATTTTGCAAGCTCTAAGGAAGATACTGACGCCTGAAGTCTGTGGCAATGCCATCTACGAAGAGGCGGTGTTCAATGAAACAACAGATACTTTGGATCGACTCGCTCTCACGAGCACGAGAGAGACACAGAGCGTTCTGGTAGAAATTGCGCGGAATTTGTCATTGGATCACGTCGCAGCAAAGAATCAGGACCGTGATGAAAAGCTCTCAGATGACATTGAGCAACTGTTTGAGTTGACAAGGATTATCATCTTGGTCTTGACAGGTCTCATACCGACCCTCGAAGATCCGCCGGTTTCTGCGTTTCGAAGGCTTGGAGACGATGGCAATGCCCTCGTCCGGCTCTGCTTTCAAGCGCTCGTGGATGTGGCCTCGATATTTCCGGCTATCATTCGGGCAGATCTACATGCCTGTATTATTCACAGCTACTGTACCCTTCTTGCGACTGGTTTATGTCAGGATGAAGTGCTGCCACAAATCATGCCTATATTCAAGGCGTTCCTCCAGGATGTCGTTCAGTCCGGCCCCAATGAAGTCAATTCGAGGCTTGTCCGCGGGTGCTTGTACCGCATGCTGTCGATCTTGGCTGTGGCTCAGCGCCGAGAAAACGAATATGCGATCACCTGTGCAAAGAACACTTTGCTCTCGATGACGATCTTGCTCACCACAGCCAGCTCGGTTGTTCCAGCCAACGACGAACTTATCATAAAATCCTTGTCAGAGTTACTCGACTGCCTCCAAGACGTAGGCCTTGCAAAAATCGCAGCCGGCTGTATGCGGTCGTTACTTGTCACGAATCCGAAAACACCTTGCGACGATGCCGTTGGAAGAATCCTGTGGACACGGCTGGTACCATATGTGGGTGATCCGGAAGCGGAGGATCCAGAGAGTGTGAAGACATCATTGACACAAGCTCTGGTGGCCGCTGTGGTCTCGATCAAAGCCGCCGGACGATTTGCTGCCATGTCCATATTGGTGCCGCTACTCCTGCTTCGTGCTAAACAGATCCCCAAGGGAAATAGCTTGGACGCTATGCGGAAAGAGAGCGCCGCGAGACTGCTCGAACTTGTGGCGACAGATCAGATAGCGTTCCGGATGACGGTCGGTTTGTTGGACGAGGAACAGCGCTCGAATTTGGAAAGCCTCCTGCGTGCTGCCGGTGTGGGCAAGAAACAGGAAGCCACCTCGGAGGAAAACGTCCAAGCAAGGCCGGCAATTGAGCTGCGCATGGACTTTGGATGAGGGAAAGTGAAATAGTATGCCGAACATAGATAGAGAACAACAAGTTAATGAAACTGACCACGAAGGGGCTTTGGCACACCTGATATATGTCCTCATTAGAATCCCCCTATATATACACACGCAGGTATATAGCTTCCTCTTCTTATTGGTGCTTGGCGTCGCCGTATGCGGTAAGTTTGGACGAGACTCGCTCAACCAAAAGTTTATCTCTGCATGGCATTTTCAACTCCCATATAACACTCAGACTCTGGTCGAATCTCTGCTTGCATAAAACATTCAAAAAGAGGAAGAGCATCAGTGCGTCAGTCTCGATTCTTGCAGTGTCCTTCCACCAGCTCCGGCACAATGGAGTACGATCCCAAAGTCCCGACTTACCAGACTTCGGACCCCACGTCCTTCGCTCACAAGTCTGCACGGGAGCGATGGCCGGCCATCGTTACAGGTGCCATAGACGATGTTCACCGGACCGTCTCCAAGCTCCCAGACTCAGAGAAGGATGTACTGACGGAAGGCAAATCTATCATCTCGACCCTAGGGTCGTTGAAGTACGAGCTACAACATAATCGGACACTAACACCGATCCCGGACGACGGATTCCCAGACGTGGAAGGATACAACAAGGAGCTGGCCGCGCGGGGACCCCCGACGTGGCACAACGTTGAGTGGCTGTTCTCGGAGTGCTACCTGTACCGACGGCTGGCGACGCTGTTCTCGCGGGCCACGACCAAGTTCTGGCGCGACTACGACCCGTTCCACCGGCAGAAGATGGAGACGTTCAAGTCGTCGCGGCCGGCAGTGTTGGAGCTGGCGGCTGAGTACCGCGGAATCATCGAGCAGATCGCGTCGTCCCAGGCGCACGCGCCGGTGGCCGAGGGCGTGACGGACGCACAGCAGATCGCCGACGCCGAGCGGCTGCTGTTCGTGGAAATGGCCGAGATCTGCCTGTGGGGGAACGCTACCGACCTCAGCCTCCTGACCAGCCTGACGTACGAGGACATCCAGAAGCTACAGGGCAGCAACGCGCGCAAGGAGTCCGAGAAGAACATCCTGGTCAACGACCTGGGCCGGGCGTTCCAGGTGCTGAGCGCCGCCCTGCGGGAGGGCAAGGAGCACCGCCGCGTCGACATCGTCCTGGACAACGCGGGGTTCGAGCTCTTCGTCGACCTCGTGCTGGCCGGGTACCTGCTCGCGACGGGTCTGGCCACCGAGGTGGTCATGCACCCAAAGGACATCCCGTGGTTCGTGAGCGACGTCGTGCCCAAGGACTTCCAGGCGCTGCTGCAGGCAATGGCAGACCCGAAGGCGTTTTATGAGGATGGCGACAGCAATAGTGATGGTGACAAACACGCTTCAAAGGCGTCGCCGTCGCCAGCACCCCTGTCGGACGAAGAGGCTGCCAACGTCCAATTCCTCTTCGACCACTGGAGCCAGCTGCACGGCGAGGGCAAGCTGATCCTGCGGCCGAACCGGTTCTGGACCCACGCCGGCAGCTTCTGGCGCATGCCGCACGTAGCGCCGACCCTGGTGGAGGATCTGAAGGAGAGCGAGCTGGTCATTTTCAAAGGCGACTTGAACTATAGGAAGTTGACGGGAGATGTACGTTTGGGGTTCCTCCTCGCACTCTTTTTCTCCCCTTTTTCTCAACTTCTCTCCCCATTCTCAGTTTCCATTCCTGGCTTGAGCCGCTATATAACCCCTTCCATCCCTCTCTGTCATCGCTACTGAATTCCAATGGTGGCCCACTTCAGCTAACGCGAAATCTCGGTACATTGTAGGCTGCCTGGCCCGCCACCACACCCTTCACGGAAGCGATCGGCCCACTTGGACCGTCGTCAGGTATCCGAGTGCTGGCGCTGCGGACGTGTAAGGCCGACGTCGTGGTCGGGCTGCCCGAGGGCAAGGACGAGGAGATCCGTGCCACGGCTGGCGGCGGGGGCGATTCGGGGGCGAGGATGTGGGCGTGGAGCGGGAAGTGGGCGGTCGTGCAGTTCTCGGATGGCAAGGCTTGAGTACAACAACCAGGGAGCATAGGAGAAGACACCCTTCACAGTTTTCTTGATGGTTTGGTTTTTCTAACAGGCCGAGCGATCTTTCAGCGCTAGAGCAGCCGCAGCCGGTAGACCAGAGCCTGGACAGACCGATTTTAGAGCAAAAAACATAGATAGGCAGACGGCGGACAGAGAGAATCCCCAACAAATCTCGGATGCATAGGCAATAGCCAGATCAGGTTGGATGGAACGATGTGTTCTACTAGACCATGTACTTTGGCGAGGCTGCAATGGTCATGGGAACATCATGCTCACAACCGACTTACCTATCCTTCGCAGGAGGTTGAATCCAGTTACTCACTCATCATCGTTCTCACGCTCTCCCATCTCTCTCTTTTATTGCCCAATGCAAACGGGCTGTCCCCGGAGTAATGCAACTTACCCATGAGTTCGACTTATGTCCTTGTACAGGCGATCGGTGTTGTCGGTAAGAGGAGCTCCTCGGTGCGTCTGCAGCTACCAGCCCAGGAATACGTTTCCCACACCCTGCCTTTCAATTCCAGTTGAGACATGACCTAGGCCCAAGTCCGAAACTTGCGGACCTCGGGATTTGGTGATCCGTGGCAATATATGGAACGACCATCATGTCCCCCAGGCTGGAAGTTTGATGTAAGGCTGTGAGCGAAGTCCTTCCGTTTCCAAACTAGCAGCCCACCACGTAAGGGTTCTGCAGCTTCACAGACCGGGGACCTCGACGCCACGAACCTCAACCCGAGTTCCTTACCGCATTTCCATGATGTGATGCTGAATATGCACCCGGCCGGCGCGATGCCCAATGGGAGACCAAAGCCCGGACGCTGCCGGATGAGTCTCGGACGGGGAGTGGATCAGTCAGCGAGGCAGTGCAGAATGGAACGCCCGCTTCTTGCACCTGAATATTTGGGCAGGCAAGCGGGCGAGTCAAGGAACCTGAAAGTGCTGAGGCCTGAAGCTAAACAAAGCGACTGAAGGGGTGGAGGGGGACCAGGATGATGACTCCGGTTCCGCGCCGCAGAGGGCACATTATTTCTTGCACAAGACACTCCAGCACGGACTCTTGGAATTCACAAGAGAGGCTCATCGGTGCACGTCTGAGAATATCACCTCCGGTCCGAGATGTGATGTCGACGGGCAGATGGACGGGAAATACACTGGTAAGCTGGAGCTCGGAAGATCTCGCAAGGGGGGGTTTAGCGGTCCGAGATGAGCAACAACAAATGTGGAGTCAATCCCCCGAATACTAACTATACCTATAGTATGTCTATCGTGGAGTTTTGGCTGAGTGGATGAGATGTGTAGGTCAGCAGCAGCAGCAAGTGGTTTGGCTTGGGTAGAGGTGTGGTATGGTAGAGATTAGAGATAGAAAGATGGCATGTCGCAGAGATAGAGTGATCGATTTCATGCCTGGCCAAACCTTTTCCCCCCTTCTAGAGTGTGGAAGGGTATTACCGTAAGTACCAGCCAGGCGAGAAATAGGCATACCTACCCTAACGGGGCGCCCACTGGTGCTTTTTTCCGGTAACGCATCCCCCTACGTGGTACACTAGGCTAATCACCTACCTAACGTACAGTATGTACTGTAACTAGCCCATGGATCCCATGCTCACGCCAAGGGGGGACACTAGCCCCTCCATGCCACCCACTCACCGGGCGCGCCTCTTCCTCTGTCGGCTTCGCAGTTAAGCTAAGCTATGGCCCTAGATCATTACTGGCGCCAGTCACCCGCCCCCTGTGCCTCTCTACCTGGCTCCAACGCGTGGTCGCTTGCCAGACGCCGCCAAACAAAGGCGCGATCGTTGGCGTCACAATCTTTCCATCCCGCGTGCAGTGCAGGTAAACTCTTTCGATCCCTTTCGCATTTTTGCAACACCGAACATCTCCCTCCCCTTCGACTTTTCTTGTACAACTAATCCTCTTCGCTCGCTTGAAGTCCTTCGACAATCAACCTGTCCCTGCCTGCTATTACCCCCTTTGCCCTAGCCCTTTTTTCTCACTCAGCGTCGTGCGTTGCTGAGAGGTTTAATTTTTTTTGTTTGATTTGGCTGAGCCTCCTTTTTCCTCTCCCACCGCCCGGCCGCCCTCACCTTCGTTTACTATCATTCGCCGCGCTCGTTCCTAATTACCTACCACGACATTTTCCATCCCGGAGACCTGACCCGTGTCCTCATTGGATTACTCTCGCCTTCTCCCCTCGGTAGCTTCAGATTCCCTGTCAGAACTGCGTGGAAAGAAGTACTCGGTGCAATCACCATAACCACATATCCTCGACCACCACCACTACAGCAAACAAAACTGCATCTTTCGGTCCCCTGTAACTGTCCACTCAAACCTCATGCCGATGCCTATTCTCACCTTCGCCATGCCCGTTCCCGACTATGCCAAAGTCGCCAAGGAGGGGAAAAGATCACAGCTGTCGTCTTTCCTTCGCTGGGTCCAGCTGAAGAAATACCAATATGAAGTCACGTTCTCCCTTTACATGCTCACCCCAACGGAGAAGTTCATCTTCAGTATGTTTGCTGCTCGCGCGCCTTTCCCTCCTCTCTCTCTCTTTCATGGCGTGTCCACCAGAGAACTGATCATCATTTGTTTTTTTGTAGATTTGATCCTCTTCCTGCTGGTCTCGATGCTGGTCACCGCTGCAACTCTCTACCTCCCCAACCACATTGTCGTTATCTATCACCGTATCTGCTACTATATTTCCGGGGAATTCGCCTACAAGAACTCGACGACGGCTCTTTCCAAGGAAGCAATGGCCCTCACGGCAGATGGGCTGCGGATTACTTCAGAGGCAATCGCGTCGGCTGTGATTCCAACCTTGCGAGTAGTGGAATCAGCAAGGGAAACCTTGAGAGAACTTTGATATTTTGAATGATACCCCCTTGTCTGCTTGTATTGGAGCTGACGTACGCATGGCCACGGTCACGGTGTTTTTTGGGCGTGAGCCATTCAGACTGGGAAATTTGTAATGTATGCACGCGGCGCATTGCTGCTGGATATGGTCACAGCGAAACAAACAATCTTCTGATTCGGCGTTCAGTCACGCGCGCTGATGGTATTCCAGATATTTTCAACCACAAAAGGTGTACACTGATGAATTTTGTTTGGAAGCTCGAACTCGTGTGAAGAGCGTGTATTTGGATCGAGTGGACGGGCCCATCATCCCCAGTATTGATACAGATTCTTACTCTCACATATCAACCGCCCACACACCTTTTGCCTGCCTCTACCCAGTACAGTCTCCATGATTCCCCTGCTGCTGCTGCCCACACTGGTCAAACGTGCTTGTTGCGCCTCCATTGGAATGTCACAACCCCCCGCCTCAAAAATGGGTGTAAATATACATACAGTATGGTCATCCGCCCCCGGGGAGTGTGTGTGTCTTTCACAGCAATGCAGTCATTTTTTGAGTTTATCCTCGTAGTAGCACATGCTCCAGTGCATGGCTGCATGCATATCCCATCCCACTGATCTCTGGTCAAATCTTGTTCCCCGTTGCGCCGTCGCCATGCGATTTGTATGTAAATGCAGATGCGCCGCGAGCCAGATTGCCGACGAGTCTATTTTATTTCATGGCCACATCTTCTTTCCTTTTTATAATTATTATTTCAGACCGTCTCTTTCTGCTCGTCATCGCTCCCTGTCCCCAGCTTCTGCTGCTGCTGCTGCTGCTGCTGTCCGCCAGCAAAAGCCAGCTTGGCCTGTTCCAGAGCCTCCTGGCGCTGTCGGTCGCGTTGGTCGCGCATGGCACGCTGGTGGCGCTCGATCTCGGCGCGGATCTCGTCCTTGTCGTAGGGAATCTTGTGCGACTGCTCGGCCGAGGGCCAAAAGCCCGGCACCGAAAACCGGTTCTCCAGGTTCGTCCCGAAGTAGTACATGTAGCCGATGGGGAAGGAGAGGTAGAGGCCGAACTGGTGGACACAGATACGGTAGGTGATTAGTTATATTGGATGCGGAAGGGAGGAGGGGGGGGTGGGAGAGAGGAGATGGGCAGAGGGGAGCGAGGAATAGAGGTGCCAGTGGAGGGGGAAGGGAAAGAGTCGATTGGGATCGGGCAGGCCAAATGGACAGGTCGGTCGTGGGCAAGTAAATATAACGAAGTAAGTACCTTGAAGATCTCGAGATTCGTCCCGCGCAACGTGCGCTCGATGAATTTGCGAACCATCACCGCCGTTGGGAGCGCCCTGTCGGCATGCGGTTTCACCCAGGAGGAGAGTTGAGTGACTGGGAGTCAATGCACTGCACTGCTCTGCTCTGCTCTGCTCTGCTCCAGTAGAGAAGGGGACGTCCGGAGGAGCTGGATGACGGAGAGCGGGCACAGCTTTCTGGGAGAGGTACCGCAGCTGTGAGGAATTCGTCAATGTAGGAAAGAGAGTGTGTGTGAGTGTGTGAGGGTAGGAGAGTGGGGAGAGCAAGATAATATTCGTACGGTAGGTCAAAGCAGAGGAGTGAGTGGCATGACCCTCATCTAATGTCCCCGTTTTTTTTAACTTGGGCGCGAAGCTTTCAATGACTATTTCCGCAGTGGGAGAGAATTCAGCCTTGCCTTGTTGCTCGTTCCTCCTCACAACGGAGCAAAAGAATCACGATGTCTACCTTTTATATACCCAGATATGTGCCGCATGTACATATGGGTGGATATGTATCCTTCACGTATGGCTCTATCACACGTTTTGCGCTCTCTCTTTCTCTCTCTCTTCATCTTCTCTCATTCGTCTCTCCTCCTTCTCCCTCCGCTTCGCCCTCATGTTTATTCCGAACTTGATCATCACCACCAAGAGCGGCAGCGTGGCCAGCTCAACCAGCCCTACCAGCGTGAGAGTCCACCCGTTGCCCATCGCCTCGATCATCGGGTTCGTCACGGCGCTGGCGCCCGCTCCCAGGAGACAACGCACGAGATTGGCGGCGGCACTGGCAGTCGCCGCCCGTTTCCGGTGCAAGTCGATGATCAGCACGCTGATGGCACTGAACCCGACCATCGTGGTGTACCCTATCGCGCCGAGCATGACGACCGGTCCGGCAATGTTGACTCGCCGCTCCAAAAGCCATCCGTAGATGATCACAAAGACGGCTCCGAAGGCGAAGAAGGGCATTGCGATCTCGAGTCTGGCTCGCTCGATCGGCATCTTGATCAAGTCACCTTGTTTTTTGCGGTCCACCTCCAAGCCCGCCTTGAGTGCATGTCTTTTGAAATTTCGGTCAAGAATCCTTGTGTTGGTGATCGTCGCCAAGATGGTCCCCACGACCTGCGGGAGAAAGAGCAACCCTTGTAGAGAGCTGCTCAGGCCGTAGATGTTGTGGAATTGGACCGTCAGACTGGTGGAGACGACGTAGAAGCCGGCGTAAACGACTCCCATGTACAAGAGCAAGATCGCCGTCTCCGGATCACTGACAATGGTGAGGGAACCAAGGACATCCCATTTGCGCTGCCGGGGAACCGCCTTCTCCTTTTCAGATTTATCCTTGAGATCAGTGCCCTGTTTAGATCCGTGCTCGTCGTCCGGTGTCTTCTTCTGTCTTGACAGGTTCGTCAGGCATCTGTTCCACTTTGGCGGTTCAATTGAGCCGTCTCCGACCACTGATCTGCAGGTCTCTGGAAAAAAGATCGCCAGAGGCACCGCATACACCCCACCGAGGATCAGCAAGAACCAGAACACTGAATGCCATCCCAGATGCTGGGCCAGGACACCGCCTATAATAGGGGCGAGACTCGGTGCCAAGATGCCAGCAAGGCTGGTGATAGCAATATATTTGCCTCTCTCGGCGCTGGTGACGATATCTGCAATGGTGCCCTGCACCAAGGTCACGAGCCCAGATCTCCCAGCACTCTGCAGACATCGCAGTACCAAGAGCCCTGCGTAGGACTTGTTAAGCGCAAGACCAAGATTCGCTCCTAGGTAAATCAGGAATCCGATCATATATGCCGGTCGGCGGCCAAAGTCGTCTGCTATGGCGGAGGTGAAGGATGGTGAGATGCCTTGGAAGATCATGTACGTGGTAATGGTCAAATTGACATCAGAGACGCTCACCCCTAGGGCGTGGCTGATGGTGTCGATCGCAGGGAAATAGATGAAAGTGCTGAATGGGCTGAAGCTCCCGCCGAGTGTGGCAACCAGGACGATGGCCGCCTTTTGTCGACTCGTGAATGACGAGTACGGCCTGTCATTTGTTGGAGTCCGTTCGATGATTGTGGTGATCTCATTTCCAGTCTCAGGTGGTTTGGTTGACACTTCAATATTGACTTCTACCGGAGCAGAGTCCCTGTATTCAGTTTCTTGCGGTGTCGCGTGCGAGATTATTTCTCTTTTGTCCGGATCTCGGTCAGACGCGTCATGGGATGCCATCCTGTCAGAACATTTCTCTTCGATCTCGCTATGTCACTTCATCCACCCGCCGCAAGCATTCAGCGAAAGTCAGCCAGACATGGTCAAATATCTCTCAGTTAGAGCACCAACATGGGAGTCCATGGATTCAACAGAAAAAGAAAGGCGGTCGCGACTCAGTCTTGATTAAATTAGTTGTCATTCGCCCTGGCTGATCGTCCCTCGTTATTGGATGTATCGAGCCAGTGGGGTCCTTTCCAGGACCGGTAACGGGCCGGTGTCCGGGGCTTTGGGGGGTTATGTATACAATGACCAAGACCATCTCTGGCCAGTGACCGATCATAAGTATCGGATCCTTGATGAAAGAGACATTTCATGGACGAAACTCGCATGGACTGATTTAGATACCCAGCTGAGACAAGTCTTTCTTCGGCGCTACGACTTCGGTGTGAATCTCGCGACGATCCAGTTCAAATCATTCTCGTGCGGCCGCGGCCATTTTGCATAGTAGTACCACTTCTGGTCGTCCATATCCCACTTACGGTGTGGCACGAAGGCTCCCACGGTGTAATAATTATCGCGCATATAAAGGGGTTGATAGCTCGGCGGCCCCTTACGATCCAGGAATTCGTCAGTTCCAGCAGCGGCCTCGGCGTCGGTTAAACGATACAGGCGCGGCTCCGGTTTTCTGGCTTTATCTCCTTTCTTCTCCCATTTCCCAAAGCGGATGATGGTGCGGATGATTGTGTCGAGGTGTATTTGCAGGATCCGTGCATAGGTGAGTGGGCTTTTCGTCGCTTTCGTAACGATTGCGGCATGTTGGTCCAGTAACTGAACATTCCAATCCGGGTTCCGTCCAGGCGGGATCACTGGCAACGGTTCGCGGGTTTCTAGGTTCTTCTGCCAGTGAGCGAGGTCGAGAACGATGTTAAGATTGTTCCACGAAAGGACGCAGCTCATACACGTGCAAACATTCGAGGGATCAATCTGTTTGATGTGCTGGTATTGGATTTTGTGGATTCGACCCCGACCCTGCCGTTGCTCGTTCATCAGCGCGGGCCGTGCCACCGAAGGGACTTGTTCGAGTGATACAGGGGGCGGAAAGCACTGTCTGAGGATCCAATAGCGACGGTTCATGATGTCGTCAGCAATTGACCGTTCGTTGTTCAAAATAAACATGCGCATGGACTGATTGAGCAGAAGCAAGTTGAAGATGTCAGTAGGTTGCAAGAAGCTCAGAATTATGGAGAGCAACTCTTGTGGGAGATCGAGGAATGACTGGACATTGGATCGCACTTTTCGAGCCTGCTTCTTTTGCTGTCGTTTTTGAAGGCGGGCCGTCTTCTTCGAATGCAGTGCCAGAGCAGCCGTAGTGTCGACTAGAGGTTCGTTCTCCGCAACGACTCTCTGTCGCTTCCAGGCCACGTTATCCACGTATTGTATGGGCACCTCATTCGACTGCTCATCCACCTTTGCTTCGGAGATGCTGTTTCGACTGGTGACATCGCTGATACTCGACGGATCGGTCGCACCGTCAAATGTCTCCGAAACATGCGATGCAACACGCTCAACAACATTGCCTGGTCGTCCTGGCATCACCACCACCTCGGCTCGAGAAGTGGGCCAGCCAAGCGTGTGATATGTACTCGGAGAATTAGAGCAAGGAGTATTGGGGTAGAGCACAGGCCGAAATATCATGTCTGACGGTTCAGTGAGACAATTGGATATACATAAACCAAACACCGGCCTGAGAATGTGCAGAATTGCCGTCACCCTTGGTAAGCAGAATTATTGTAAACTATGTATGTGGGCCTGGTCCACAATTACCCACTCTTAACTTATCACGGTTAAGACCTAAACCAAGCATGTAAACCAATCCGATCAATTCTGCAATACCAGTCTCCATTCATCCGTCATTAGAAGAACCCCGCCAATTTTAGCTACGACAAGGCCTTTCTTGGCGCAGTTGTGGATAGTCACGTGTTTCTAGGGGGTCTCTAAAAACACTACAGGATTTCTGATCACATGCTGCAGCGGAATTAGACTTGGCTCTCTTCCAACGCTTCACTCGCCCGTGTCCATCTCCTTGCTGCGCAATCTACACAATGCTCTGAACTTATTACTGTACAATAATGCTCTCATCTCTGCGTCTAGAATATCGCACCAATCACAAGGTGACGAGCGGTTTTGTGTTAGAACAGTCTCAATCAGGCTGGACCGCCACGTGGCGGTCGGTGTCTAGATGTTTGCTGCCTGATCGCCTGACCCAGCCTGATCTCAGCCGCACCACCCTGTCAACTATCACAACTTGCCGAACATGAACCCCACTGTCGAATCCTATTATGCCACCATTCTGATGCCATTAAGGAGCGCTTTTTTTTCTGTCACCCCCTCGACTGTACAAGCGTGCATCCTCCCTTCTGACGAGCCACATGGGATCCGTTCCGGCTCCCCACGACCGCCGCGGCTTTGAGATTGCCGTGATATGCGCACTCCCCCTGGAAGCAGAATGCGTACAAGAGGTATTTGACAAGTTCTGGGAAGATGAAGGCAAGAGATATGGGAAAGCGGCGGGGGATCCCAACGTGTACACCCCTGGGGTGATAGGCGACCACAACGTGGTGCTTGCCTACATGCCCGGGATGGGGACCACCAGCGCCGCGGCCGTCGCAGGAGCCATGCGAGTGAGCTTCTCCAACATCAAGCTCGCTCTGGTGGTTGGCATCTGCGGAGGCATGCCCTACGATGCCAGTGGAAACGAGATTTTGCTCGGCGATGTGATCATCAGCCAAGCTCTTATACAATATGACTTTGGAAGGCAATACCCGGAAGGATTCAGGAGGAAGACCGGAATGCAAGACACTCTTGGCCGACCCAGCCCGGAGATCCGAGCCATCCAGGCCAAACTGGGGACGAGTCGCTATCGGCAAAGGATGCAAAAGGATATCGCCACATTCCTCGAGGATTTGGAGAAGAAGCTGCCGAAGACGAAGGCTCCTGCTCGGGAGAATGATGTACTCTATCACTCCTCCTACGTGCATCAGCACCATCCACCAGAAGCATGCGAGTGTAGTGAAGAGGACCAAATATGTGTGAAGGCTCTTCAGACAAACTGCGAAGATCTCGGCTGTGAGACTGTTAAGCGAGTTACACGCCATCGCTTGGGCAATGCAATGACGGAACCTATTGTCCATTTTGGTGTCACGGGTTCCGGGAATACCGTGATGAAATCGGGACGGCATCGCGATCAAGTGGCCAAGGTCGACGGAATCATTGCGTTCGAGATGGAAGGCGCTGGTGTTTGGGACTATTTCCCGAGCATCGTCATCAAAGGGGTGTGTGACTACGCCGACAGTCACAAGAGGAAGGGCTGGCAAAGGTATGCCGCGGCCACGGCGGCGTCATGTATGAAAGCTTTCTTAATGGAGTGGGCTCCGCGGGAGAGATCGTCTAGTCCAGGTTAGCTTGAAATTCCGTTCACAGGTATCACAACCAACAAGGGCTGACCATTCTCCAAGTTAACGAGATCAACGCCAAGACGTATTTTGTCATTCCAGTGCAGCGAGTGAAAGATTTCATCGGTCGTCAAGAGGAGCTTCGCCAAATTCGAGCGTACTTTCACGAACGGATCGATAGACCTCGAGTCTTAGTGCTCCACGCAATGGGAGGACAGGGCAAGAGCCAAATTGCTCTTGAATACTGTCAACAGCAGCGAAAACAATATCGTGGGATCTTCTGGATCAATAGCAGCTCTAAATCTACCCTGACACAAGCTATTGTCAGCATTGGACGCGAAATCAATATAGCAGCAACGGAAGCATTGGGTGACGACGATGCGAAGATCGCTTTTACTGTCCGTACACTCGAACAGTGGGAGGAGCGTTGGCTCATGGTGTTTGACAATTGTGATGATCCGGCCACTTTCTCGGATATCGAGCAGTTTATCCCTCAAGGTATGTCGTCTGGGGAGGTCACTTATATAGATGCTAACTTCAACAGGTGGCCGAGGGGATGTTCTCTTCACCAGTCGTCATGGGGGTCTGAGAGAGTTAGGGCGTATCATCGATATCCCACCTCTGCCGGACAAGGCCGGTGTCGAGTTGCTTCTGCATCGATATATCGGCATCGATGTGAACCAATACCTGTCTGAAGGCTCTACCATCGTGAGACGGCTGGGGGGTCTAGCCTTGGCCATCGACCAAGCATCCGCCTATATGACGTATCAGCAGCTACCGGTCTACCGGTTGGGTGATTTCTTGGCGCGCTTTGAGGCGGAGCGGAAGAAGGTGCTTCAGCATACAGCTGAACATTTTTGGCGATACATGAAGATTGACGATGAGAACGGGCGGGGGAAAGCCATCAATGCATTCACCACGTGGGAAATGTCATTCCAACAACTCCTCTCGGACTGGGATCCGCCCCAGGCCGTGGAGCACTTTCTCACCCTTGCGGCGTTCCTGGGTCCTGCTCAAGTCAATGAGTCTCTGTTTAAGTTTCACCGAGAGCTGGAGTACCCTCCACCGGACTGGTGCGACATTTTTACTCCTTCCTGTCGCTCAGACGATGACAGCTCGTCCAGCGACGCCGAGGAAGAAGTTGACCGCCAAGAGCAAGTAACACGTGACCAGCCCGCGGAGGCTCACAAGACGGCCCCAGAAGGTTCGAAGAAGATGTGGGACGCTGAAAATTTTTGGCGTCTCCTCCGGCAGGCGCACCAGATGTCGCTCTTACAAGATATCTTACCATCGACACCGTCCGAAGGGGCCAGCTTTGTGCTACATCCGCTGATTCGCGACTGGCTGCAATTACGATTACGCTCGAAAGAGCGGCAGACGTATACTCGCGAAGGTGTCGATGTGGTTGTTAGTTCTATTCGAACATATCAAAACCGGGTTAGCGATGCCACGATCAAGCGGTCGATTCTTCTGCACATGGATGCCACTCTCTTGACGGTGAGAGACTTGTTTAAAAATGGTGCTCGACTGGGCCAGGATATTACGAGTTGTAACAACGCGGATTGGTTTGCTTCATTCTATCGAGACCAGGGACATTTCGATGCTAGTCTCGATTTATATCGTACAGTCATTATGACGAGAAAGAGGGTGCAGGGGAAGGAGCATCCATCGACGCTGACAAGCATGAATAACCTCGCCGCCGTGCTGAGCGATCAGGGAAAGTACGAGGCGGCGGAGCAGATGCATCGAGAGGTGGTAGAAGTGAGGGAGAGGGTGCTGGGGAAGGAGCATCCAGAGACGCTAACAAGCATGAACAACCTCGCCGGGGTGCTAAGCGATCAGGGAAAGTACGAGGCGGCGGAGCAGATGCATCGAGAGGTGGTAGAAGTGAGGGAGAGGGCGCTGGGGAAGGAGCATCTATCGACGCTAACGAGCATGAATAACCTCGCTTTAGTACTGAGCGATCAGGGAAAGTACGAGGCAGCGGAGTAGATATATCGAGAGGTGGTAGAAGTGAGGGAGAGGGTGCTGGGGAAGGAGTATCTAGATACGCTGGCAAGCATGAATAACCTCGCCGCCGTGCTGAGCGATCAGGGAAAGTACGAGGCGGCGGAGCAGATGCATCGAGAGGTGGTAGAAGTGAGGGAGAGGGTGCTGGGGAAGGAGCATCTATCGACGCTAACGAGCATGAATAACGTCGCCGGGGTGCTCTGCGGTGATGTCTAGTACGACGAGGCCGATCAGATACATCGACCGGTGGTAGGCGTGGGGGAGCGGGTGCTGGGGAGGTGGTAGAACTGACTGAGCGACCGCTGGGTACGGCGAACTACACGGCGCTGATGGTCAGCAATAACCTCGCTTTAGTACTGAGCGATCAGGGAAAGTACGAGGCGGCGGAGCAGATGCATCGAGAGGTGGTAGAAGTGATAGAGAGGGCGCTGGGGAAGGAGCATCCATCGACGCTGACGAGCATAAATAACCTCGCTTTAGTACTGAGCCATCAGGGAAAGTACGAGGCGGCGGAGCAGATGCATCGAGAGGTGGTAGAAGTGAGGGAGAGGGTGCTGGGGAAGGAGCATCCAGAGACGCTGACAAGCATAAATAACCTCGCCGCCGTGCTGAGCGATCAGGGAAAGTACGAGGCGGCGGAGCAGATGTATCGAGAGGTAGTGGAAGTGACGGAGAGGGTGCTGGGGAAGGAGCATCCATCGACGCTGACAAGCATAAATAACCTCGCCGCCGTGCTGAGCGATCAGGGAAAGTACGAGGCGGCGGAGCAGATGTATCGAGAGGTAGTGGAAGTGACGGAGAGGGTGCTGAGGAAGGAGCATCCATCGACGCTGACAAGCATAAATAACCTCGCCGCCGTGCTGAGGCATCAGGGAAAGTACGAGGCGGCGGAGCAGATATATCGAGAGGTGGTAGAAGTGACGGAGACGGTGCTGGGGAAGGAGCATCTATCGACGCTGACAAGCATGAATAACTTCGCCGCCGTGCTGAGCGATCAGGGAAAGTACGAGGAGGCAGAGCAAATTCAAGCCGTAGTTGTCGTGGGGATGTTAAGAGTCTTCGGTTTCGACCATCCAAACAGCAAAATTGCTATCAACATCATGCTCGCAATATGGAAATACCAAGACATGGATGAACGTACAATGGAAAACGCGCTTCTTGCACTCCTTCATGAGGCGGTAAGGGGAACCAGTCCACTGCACCAGGAGCCCCGAGAGACAACAGAGGACAGCGCAGCGGATCTTGGGGCGGTATATCACCGAGGACACGCAGAGGGTGAATGTTTATATTGCAGCCATGATCCAACCTTGACAGAAGTGGATTAAGACAGCAATGTTAATGAAATACTCTATGACCACAACATGAGAGCTTCTGCACCCTAACACACCGCTATATGGCTGTACCGGCAATGCAGCATCGTGAAGCGACTGCCCAAAACAGGAAGCTCTCTCCCTCCTCCTAAATTGCTGGTTAACTACAATAATATTTGATCTTAGTCACGGGACAAGGCGCCTTATGGTGTAATGATCCACGGCGCCTTTTCCGTGTTGCCAAGCTGTCCTTTAGTAGTTCCATTCCCATTGGATGCAGAGAATACATTTCAAATGACTCAATTATCTTTCCCTCATACCATAGCATTTCTAAGCCCCTCGGTTCAAGTCTCAAATCATTGGCCCTTGCCATTGTGTGAAGTTTAACTATAAGTGGTAAGACTAGGCTGCAGTGGAGGCAACTGACATGGGTGTTTACAGATTCTCTGCTTAACAAGGGTGACGGCAATTCTGCACATCACTGTATGAGGCGGCAGCTCCAGTTGTGTAGCATGCCAAGAATTGACGTCACCGACGCCCGAATAAATAATATTGATATTGACCTTGTGTTTCAACGTCTTGCCTTCGAACACTTCTAGCACATCCATTTCCTGGATGCCTGCATACGTCTCGACAGATGGCACGTGGGGTGATGCGTGGTGGGCACGGGCCGGCTAATCTTCTGCTTCCCGCGTTTGCTGTAGAACCACGGATGGACGGACTATGGAGATCAAGCCTGAGGAGGAAAGCACTGAGATCGCCCTCGTATAACACAATGAATGGGAATTGCAGGAGATGGAGGATATCCAAGGCTCCCAGGGGTTGTAAGACCTTGATCGAGGGACTGACTCATCGAGAGCTGCATGCCTAGCCCTGCTGGTCGTGATTCTGTCTGTGGAAGGAAACAATGTGAAAGGTATTTTGGGGGTGCGACAGCTGTTGCGCATTGAATCAAGGTGAAGTGAATCACCAGGCAAATTCTCAACCTTTTCTCACTTCCCCTCCCACTCAAAACCTTCCTCTCCTCAGTTTCTCCTCCAGCCCTGAAGGCACTATCTTCAAGCCCTTGCCTCACTCGACAAGTCCCAGCACTGGCTCGGACGATACACTTCTCACCTTCCAAAGCTAATCACAGCGAGGTAGATCACGCTCTATCATGCCCCGGATGAGGACGGTTCTAACACAGTCTAGAACAGGAAGAACGTCCGCGTCACACAGCCCGCTCACTCTCGAGGCTACCTGTATCATGTGTCCACGTCGCGGTTCAAAACTTTGCCCCCGTTGCAAGGATGCCCGTTACTGCTCCAGAGGTAGACAAACTGGGGCGAGGCCGATGAGATTCACGCTAATTCTGCCTGTAGACTGTCAGAAGCTTGACTGGAAGAATCACCAGATCCTCTGCCCATCCTTCCAAGAACCCAGTCCTCCTGTGACCGAACCGAATGGGCGCATTGACGGTATCATCGAAGATTCCTCCCCCGAGGCCTTTCGGCGAGCGCTTTTCTTCCCTGGCGGTGTCCAACAGCCGAAGTTTGTCTGGATCAAAACCTGGATCTTGACAGACTTTGAAAATTTCGACAAAGTGGAAATTTTCGGTCATGATAGGATAGAACGTTATTTTATCATCCACAACTCAATTCAAGCACGGGGAGAAGGCCCCTATGCAAAAGAGCTCATTGCGTACTACTGCAAGGCTCGTGCGTTCGATGAGCCACCGAATCTGGCCGTGCGAGCTTTCACCCGCTCAGGAGCCTGCGCCTCTGACTTCAGAGGCCCAATTCTGCTCATACGGCATTTTTACGACAGAAATGCCAAAGAGCTCCTCCGAGACTTCGACATGCGTGACTCACGAACTGCCGCCGACTTCTTCTCGTCGGCATTTCGTCGTTGGAGTGGTGACAGCGTTCTTGAGAAAGAGCACTTTCTGGCGACAGTGCTTCCTTGTCCCCGGGACCGTCCTCGTTGGCTACCGCGACGGCGATGATCCCATCTTCCAAGCAGAGGGCAGTGGCATTGCCAATCTGTTGGGAATCCCAATTCTGGCCCGAGCTCAATGCCCGCTGGGCCAAGTGGAGCGTGACGGTGATCCGGAAGTCGTTCTTGATGGCCGTTGTAACCCCGCCGCAGAGGTTCTCTTGCGAGATATCACCTCACGAACTACTGGTGTGCAGGAAACGCCTACGATTCCCATTTTCCCTCTGGATGATTGCCAATATATGGGGGAAAATGGCTTCGGATCGTCCCCGATGTACTGGAAAGTCTGCGGGTCTGCTTTCTTGGTTCGTGCTGACGGCGTGCCACTGCTGAGTCAACACGTTGAAGCCCTTCTCAGCTACATTCGCGAAGAAGTTGAGCCCCGCCTGGCCAAGGCATTGGTGGGGGTCGCTCCTGGTGATGTTGTCGCGGGTCGAGAGAATGTACTCAACTCCATCACTCCGGCCGACTTCTCCAGATACTTCGACGCTTTCAAGGTTTCCCAGTCGGCCCACGATTCCGATTGGGAAGATTTGGAATCTCCGTATGCGATGACAAAGGAGACCATCGCAAGACTGAAGATTGCGATAGAGGAGCGATGGGAGATCCAGAATTCCATCCACGACCGCCTTACATCTACGTGATGAGATGATAATGATGTGAGCTGAAAAGAGGTTTGCAATCAACAGAGTTTGATCCAGATGAGGCTCGCTTCGGGATGACGATTACGGCCGGCCTCGACTTGTACGATCGACGTGCGATCCGCTCTCTCGTGTTGCGTTGGGAGGAAAGCTCGGAGAGGATGTGGACAGAAACAACCGAACTCTGGTGCTGAAGTGAGGAAACGAGCGGCTGCAGTGTCGCAACATTGAGTGTGTCTTGTCTACACATCGACTGGGTTGTGGACGCCGATCTTGGGAAAGGACAAGCGAGGAGTGCTGAATGCATGTACTGCCGGATCGAGGATTTCCCTCTGAAGAGCTGGTTCTCCGGTATGATTGGACACTGTGGCTGATGTGATAGAGACTCAGAACATGACTTGACGCGCCATAGGACATTGTTGCTGCGTCTCAAGACCCGAGATAGACGCGACTGAGATGACCGACTCTCTGTTAAGGGCCTCAATAAATCCGCAAAACATTCAAGACAGTATGATGGAAACTCGTGAAACACTTCTGAATAATTGGGAATAGGCGCGGATGCCTTGTTTATTGCATTTCTGTACAGGAATTGGCCATCTGGGCACAATTCAACATTAGTCTCCCCGAACTTCCAAGATCTCCATATCATATTAGAGGCTTCTTTCCAAAAGATCCATCTCGCTCGCTAAAACCCAAACCACAGAATCCCCTCCCCCTCCAATTAGTCATACAGTTCGACACCTGGATGTTTCACACAAAAGTATTCGCCTCGAGATGTCTGTCCCTCGGTTAGGAGAGGGAGACTTTTAGAAGTGCAACTTCGACTTCAAGCCCTCAAAGGCCATGCCGGGATGCCAGCTCTCCCTCCGCGATTCCGTGGCGTCTGCCGAGCTCCGTCTGCGCTCGCTCACCACGCTGTTGTTGCGGCTGGCCTCGACGCTGTGCTCGTTGCCCGGCCGGGCCTTGTGGAAGAGTTCTCGGCGGAGCGGCACGTCGTAGATGCGGCCCGGATGCTGGGGCTCGTCGGTGGGAAGGAGGAAGGACGGGACGTATTTCTTGAGGGCCGGCATTTTTTATGTAGTTATTGATAGTTTGGGTTTTGTTTGCTGTGTTTTGATGGTTTGCCCGCTGCTTTTTTTTGGGGGAGTGCTATGTTTGGTCGCAAAGATAGCGGACTGGCTCGGAGGTGATGTTGAGCTTTTGGTGAGACTGGGATTTATTATGTATTGAATACTGCAGATGAGAAAACCTGTCTATGTGCTACCCGGACGACTGGCACGGGAGCCATATATACGTTTCACATTTGAGGCTCACTCGCCTGCCCTACATAGACAAAAAATGTCGCAAAAGAGGCGCGTACGAAAGGAGGTGCGTCATTGCGCGGTCTTCTCTACATACTACTAAAAACCGCGCAGAACATCTTCAAACTTGTCCGGGGGCACGGTGACAAAGCTGAGCACGTACCCAGCACCATTCGAGTAAAGGGCGCATCTTTCAACAATGTGGAATGGGCCACTCGATTGGGTCATCTGAAAGCTGACACAGCGAGGGATTTTCGTTTCCCCTATTATTACCTGGCGAGCTGGGAGCCAAGACATGACGTCACTTGAACATTGCATCCAACACCACATCCGTGAGGCTTTGCTCAGCTGTTGTCAGATCAGGCTCCGTCTGATGGAACAGGAAATTCCCAGCACGAGCCATATCCGAATCCGAGTTCTGCTCCAAATGGGCTTTTTGGCTGATGCGAAACGTGGACTTTCTGTGCCATGTTCCTTTTTCTCACTGCAACCCCTTGCGAGCTTGTGATATGCGATACCCGGCCTCGTCCCGAAGCTACGGCTCAAAGTCTAACAACGACAAGACTGCCACTGTCTACTAAGTTGAGCTAAATCTAGCCTCGCAGCAGTTCCATGTTGCTAGCAAGCTGGAATCTTTCAGATGTATGTTCTGTGCCGTGGGACGCGACTTGGACTCTCTGTCACGGTAAGAAGCATAATTGGCATCTTGTGAAAGAGAAAAGTCCAAATTTGCACGCTTATCCGGTGTCTGGAAGCACTCGCATACCGTATCCAAACGAGATACCCATCCACACCCTCAGAATTGCCTTTCGCCCAGAAATGCTTCGAGTATTCGTCTCTTCCGAGCGTCCAATGCCTTCTTGTCTTTCCCTTTCAGCCGTGCTTCATTTTCAGCCCTGAAAACGGCAGGTGCAAATACCTCAACGTATGCAGTGACCAGCTTCTTTCGTCGTTCTGCAATCGCTGCTTCCGTCTCTGCACCCGTCTCCGATGTCGCCGACGAAGACGAGATGCTATTAGTACGGCGTCGGCGCAGGGCCGGAAAGAGACTTCTCTTGCTGGATGTTTCTGGCGTAGGTGCCGAATGCCGGTAACCGGAGTCCGTGGAGACAGTGGACGCTCTCGACCGTCCAGCAAAGGAGGTTCGACTGGACGAGGTCGGTGTAGTTGGGGTGGCCGATCCGGGCGCTGGACCACCGTTCGTCATCATCTCATTGACAATCCTAATGAGCAAGAATGTGATAAACGTTAGCGACACGCTGTGGACCGCAGAAGAAGACAATGCGTCCATGACCATATCCTGGATCTCTTGTGATGTTAGCTGCGTCTTTCCCTTTTCCAAAGAGCTCAGTCTTCTCTCGATCTCGGCCCACGGGCCTGCCGGGACTATACCGTCCCTCAAGGACTGCAGGAAGGAGATAAGGGTCTCGGCAAGCACTTCCAGCCGAACGATACTTGGGACATCCGGCCTGAAATTTATGTCCAAACGCTTTGCGTTGTCTAATGCCTCCCTGACTCCGATCAACAGTTCGGACCGTTCTTCGCCCTCTGGCAAGGTCCAAGTGCTAGCACTGAAAGGCCAAGATGCTCCTCCAGTCTCATATTGCCATGGCGGCGTTTCCCCTTCGTGCAACATCCCCCATTCTGCTGTTGATCTCTCGATATAAATCGGCAGGATTTCAGTGAGGGTATACAGCTCCTTGGGCGCTGAATGATGAGCAGCCGAGTTTGTGGTCTCCGTGTTTGGTGCCGACCCATTGGCTTTCTGGGGCCGAGAAAACTGTCGCACACCACCTTCGGGGGCCAGCACTAACTCGTCCAGTGTCCGGAAGAACGACGACTGAAGCCATGTGCCCTTGATCGGGATGAAGTGATCTCGACCGTCCTCGACTCTGAGGACAAGCACGTCATCAAGATCTGCATTTCCGTTATTCAAGTCGTGTACCAACTCGCCATCCGAAATATCAATGGTCAGGTCGACCACCGTGGTTTCGCCGGGCGACAAGACGATTTCGCGTGTCCCTTTGTGCTCACCGCCCTCTGAGGGACGGATCGAGCCAGGTTCGACGCTCAGTTCAATCCATCTCGGGACGGCACGTGCATCTTTGCCCGAGTCTAGTGGATGTTCCACAAAGGAAAATGTGGCGCTGATTTGTCCCGTATTCGCTATAGTGACCATCCTCATCTTCCTGACACCGTATCGAACTTCACCAAAGTGAACGACATTCATGTCTGCCGCACCGTCAGTGTTCGGTATCCGATCATCGGAATGATTGTCCACTACCACTGTTACCGATGGACGACCCTCATTCTCTGCCTTGTCCAGCTGTTTAGCGACGTCTTGATGCACTTTTGCCTTGAGTTCTGGGATGACGGCATCGTACAGTATGGTGAAAACGGCATTTAGGGGCTTATGGTCAGATGAGAGTATCCGCTGGTGTGACATATAGTTGTTGAGTTCGATCATGTCTCCATAGTCCTCGTGTGACTGCACTAGTTCGGCATCATGCAGTACATCCTGTGTCTCGTCGTATTCGTCGTAATCGTCGCCGTACGCAAGTCCATCCGTGTCGGGATCATAATCAAACAATACGTCGTGCTCCGCGCTGGCTTCGTCAATGCCGCGGGCTTTCATCGAAGCATCCTTCTTGCGTGCTTCCGCGAGCTGCCTGGCCCTCTCGTCATAAATGTCCTTGTCGCGACGGGTTCTGTATAGGATTCTGTCGCACCAACTCGGACTCCTCTTCTTGTCTCCCGAGTCGAACATCCCAACACTCCCCACGTCATACTTGTAAGTGGGCAAAAAGGTAATGTCTCCTTCCCTCCATCCTTCGTGGAATGCCTTGCCCAGCTTTTGTTGTGCGCGTAGTTGGTCGTGAGCCAGCAGAGACTGAAGGGTGGTGTGGAGTGAAGCAGGGTCGGATTTTGGATCCAGTTCTGGTTCGGCGGTGCTTTCGCTGGCTGGCCTTTCTTCGTCTTTGTACTCGTAGCGCGGGTGTGGAGCTGGTAGTTGCGAATCGCTGGTCGAGGCACTCACGTAACCTAGCTCACTATCGATTTTGCGCTTCGATTTGTTCTGGACGTCGTACTCATTCTGTGTGTGTAGCAATAGCAATCTTCTGACATCCTCACCAGGAACATCGTCCAGACGATAGTTGAGGTCGCCAAACCAGAATCCAAAGTCCTCGTCCCCGATCTTTTCCTCTCTAGGCTCAATGACCTCGCTATCCATGACGGGGGAAAACCGGGCTTTGCTCAAAATTTGACCGGTGTCCCAGATGCGGCGAGCCAATGCTGCTTGATCTGCGCCGGCAGCCAGGTGACAATTGACAAAACAGAGCTTGGTCGCCTCCGCCACCACGAGCCTCGCGGCAACAGCACCTTTATTGCCGAAGTACCCCATCAGACCAGTTCCGACGGACGTGGTACTTACCGAACTGATGCTGGGTGCCAATTCAGGAGACGCAAAAATTAGGAGGAGCAGACCAAATAGTTGTTCTTCCGCCACTTTCTTATAACCCTTCGGCAAAGCTCGCCTTAAAGCCTTCTTCCACTTCTTGGCCGGGTTTGGGTCTGTGTAAGGTTTGATGGCTTCGGTCATGGAGGTCACATCGATAACTTCCTGTAGCCCGAGCACGTACAGGTCGATCTGCTCGTCATGGGGCTCGGCCGGAGCATCATTCAGGGGGATGGTGACACTCTTTCTTGTCCTTGCCACACGTGCTTCTTGAGCCTCGACAGACTCGACGTTTCTGTCACTGTCAGAATCGTCGTCACTGTCCTCGACCGGGCGACCCGATAAATCCTGCGAAAGGCCCCTGACACCATATCCACTGACGAACCAGGAACCCAGGTCCTTTTCGGTCCCACTGAGGGCAGCAACATTCCAAGTGCCGACTTTGATTTTCATCGACTTCTTGCGGATGTATTCGTCCTTCCGGGCCTTCACAGCAGCGGATAGTGATTGAGGTCCGGAGTGGTCGATTTCACCGGGTTCGGGCGATGGTGGATAAGCGCCTGGCAGCTTGGTTGCCGCTCTCCAAGGATCTCCAGCTCTCCATGGCTTTGGCGAGAGATAATTCTCCTCGCTTGCCCTGGACGACATCGTCGTTTGGTGACGATGAACCCGTCTGTGATGTTGATTTCCTTTAACTCATTGTGGTTGCGTGTTGAGGACCAGCTCAAGTCGACATCGACGCCAATGTCACGGAAGCCCGCGGGAATGGGTGTCCTCCTGCAGCTTGATTGGGGTGATGAACAGTCGGTGTGCTGCTGTGGTGACTGTGCAAAGTGACTATCAGAGGGGTCTCATGGCTATTTGATCTTTCAGCAGTCGAGTCGCGTGGGCAGGTCATGACATCTTGCCGAAGTTGGCGGAAGAATGTTGGATGAGTTCGGATGACACAGCCACACAGTTTAACTACACCAGACACCAATTGGCTGTCGTGGCGGTTTTCTAACGGGGCATTCAATCAGCAGGGACCCGTTGCTAGGGGTCTCCCGGAGCCTATCCTGCCCATCCATGCTTGCCACTGGGGGCACTCTGTTTGGTGCGGATAACCAACCTACCGGCCCGCCAAACCTAGCGAGGCCCCAGCGAGCGAGCCTAAACGAGGTGCTCATTCCCAGCTACCGCACCCTTGCTCGATAGGCACCTAGGGGAGGCCTACTAGCCTTGGGCTCTCAGCTATCACCACCTACTACTCTGCAGGCTCCTACTCGTAGGCCTCAGGTGCCCACCTGCGTCATCTTCTTGATTTGTGGGCGTTGAAGCCACGCTTGATGATCTTGCTCGAGAACATCGTCCGGTGCGACACTGCGCAACATCTTACCAACAGACAACATGGGAATGTTCTCAAATCCCATACCCGATCTGCTGGCTCCCTGATCGATCCTCCTCGTCTCTCCTCACAATGATCGCATTGTTGTCGATCCTTGGTCTCCAGCTTCATCATGAATACCCGTCCCGTCATCGATGAGTCGTCTGGGCCCATTGCGCTCTCAGCCTCGTTCAACAGCGATGCGAGCTGTTTCGCCATTGGGCTCGACACGGGCTTCTGTGGTATGTATGGGCAAACTATCTCCTTCCATTCCGTGAAATGAGCTTCTCGGGTGTTGATGGTCTCTCTCCAGTTTTCAACTCGGATCCCTGCGAACTCAAGGCTTCCAGAGGTACCACGCTCCTGCTGACTTCCTTCGAACGCCGGCCATTCTGATACGAGATGCAGACTTGAATGCCGGAATCGGTACAGCTGAAATGCTAGGGCGATATAACTATCTGGCATTGGTTGGAGGTGGGAAAAATCCCAGATGGCCTCAAACAAAAGTACGGAATGAGGCGAGGAATGAAGACGTCTGGAAGCTGATATATTTGGCAGGTCATGATATGGGACGACGCCAAACAGAAAGTCGCCATCACGCTCGAGCAAAAGACGGCTGTGCTGCGCGTACGCCTGACCAAGTCGTGGATTGCCATTGCCATCCAGAACAGCATTAATCTCTATAAATTCTCCTCCCCCCCTGAAAGAACCGCCATTTTTGAGACGGCAGATAACCCGTTGGGCTTGTGCTGTCTGGGCTCTAGAGTCGTTGCATTCCCTGGGCGCTCGCCCGGGAAAGTCCAGCTTGTGGAACTGGGTTCGGGGAACGTGAGCATCATCCCAGCACACACGTCTGCCCTGCGAGCAATGGATCTGAGCAGAGACGGTCAACTGTTAGCCACTGCAAGCGAGACTGGCACACTGATTCGAGTCTTCTCGACCGCAAATTGCACTAAGATTGCGGAACTGCGTCGTGGGGTGGACCCGGCGTATATCTTCAGCATCGCCATCTCTCTCGATTGCAGTATGCTGGCCGTAACATCGGACAAATCGACCTTGCACGTCTTCGACCTGCCGCCAAATTCTTCCTCTTCACAGCCACAGCCGACCAGCCCGCTTAGCCCTTCGTCGCAACAGCGTCGCTCTCAATCACCACACATTCCCACCATGACCGAAGAAGAACCACCGACGAATCAAAAATGGGGCTTCCTTTCGAAGATCCCGCTGCTTCCCCGTGTCTTCTCAGATATCTACTCCTTCGCATCTGCGCATTTTGAGATGGGCGACGAGAGTGTCGGGTTTAATCACTCAACGCTATCGTACTTGCCCGCGCTAGGATCCTTGCCGAACCGGCCACAGAAAGGAATTTTGGGGTGGATGGACAACTCCACGATCATTTGCATTGGGACAGGGAGAGATGCACGATGGGAACGATTCAGGGTCGGTGAAAGACCCGGCGTGACGGACGAAGGTCAAAGAACTGTCTGGAGGGATGGGTGGAGGAAGTATTTGGGAAGCTGAGGCTGCCGACGAAACTGGGTTGCGGCAAGAGCGATTGAAGACAACACAATTGAATGTCTGCTTCCCGGCGCAAACAGCAACGTCAGACTATAATCGCGACGGGTATCAAATGAGATGAGGTATGCGGTGACATTCCACGATGAGATTGCACACCCAGCTCAAAACCAGGCGGAGGAAAGCTTTTTCGACTTGGGAGAGGAAAGAAGATGATGAACCACGAACCTTATACCTCGAGAAACGGCTGGAAAGGGATTCATCAGGCATTTTCCAGGCCAGACCGGCGTTGACTTTTGGATGGATACGGGAACAGACGTCCGCTGCAGGTTGCGCGAAACGGGATATACACGAAGTCTTTGGCAGTTATTTCTCTCATTCTCCTTCTCCTGTCTCTTGTTTTTTCCCTTTCGTTTTCTGGCCGGATAGAGGGGCGTACCAACGCATTTCGTGTTTCATTGGGGCTGGAAGGTAAGCGAGCAAAATAAAACATTGCCATCTCCTCTAGGCAGTGATAAGACCAGACCAGACCAGACCAGACGATGGCCTCTGAGATATATAGAAAAATGAATGATTTCACCTGTCTGGCTGGATTCAACTTTTCCGTGGATTTAATCTATGTGCCATTCTGCATCCAGTACCAGGGAAATGAGAACAAACAGAGAGACCAGGGACAGGGGAGGGAGGTGTGGTGGCCTCTGGGCTCTTTTGAATCCTGCACAGTGGTGAAAAGGGACGGGAAAGGCAAGGCAAGGCAAGGCAAGGCAAGGCAAGGAAAAGTGCTCTACTCAAGACACAATGCTTTTTCTATATAGCATGCATACCCTGCCAGAACCTGGGACGTTACAAGGACCCCAGCCAAACTAGGGTGAGTGAGTGAGTGAGAGAGGGAGAGAGAGTACACAAGACCGAACACGCAAACACACGGCACTGAACGCGCAAAGATAGCAAAGCACACACACACATTTTGGCCTTTTCACTCCCCTTTCCTTCCCCTTTACCTCCTTGTTCTTCTCCCATGTCTACCTCCCCATCTCCCACCCTCACTCGTCCACTTCTCGAGTCCCGATGCTGAATCCATGTCCGCAACCCTATTCGCATCCCGGCCTCCTTCCCTCCCAACCGCCGTACATTCCCGAATGATACCAGCCAGACCTGGTCTGGTCCCAGGAGCGCCAAAAGGGGGAACCGAAAAAAGCAAGACAAGAACAGAGGAACGCCGACTCCGACTACCATTTTGATTCGATTGAATTCCCAAGCCGCCAACACAGAAGAGGAAAAAGGGGACAACAAGAGAGCTCACAGGGGTGAGATAGGGTGGATAGTAGGTACATGCAGATCAAAGCATCTTCAACTCCCAGGGTCCCAAGACTCTTGATATTGCCAATATACAGGCTCATAAAACTGCAGCCCAAGGGGCAGAGGATATTGCGCAGGCAGAAGACGACAATGCGGCAGGCTGAGCCATTGCCAGTCCTCCGTTGCAGGAACAGGACTCAACACACTCGGAGGCTGATGAAATATGTCCAAAGCGGGATCAAGGCCCAGACCAGGCACCCGATCAAGATCAGGACTGCGGCTAGTGATCCGACCCAGTCCCCTTTTGCCTCCCCCGCGTCGGCGACGACCTTGGGGAGGCTTCTAACTCATCGCCTTCTGGTACTGGAAATTTCCAAATCCTCCAGGTGTCATGGACCCCATCATCCCGGCGCCACCAGCGTGTGCAGGAACAGGCGTGTGCGAAGAAGGCCCTCCTCCACCCTGTCCACCTGCCAAACCGATGTTACCAGTCTGCGGTGTCGTCGGCGTTCCATTTTGATTGTAGAAGGTCGCTCCATTCATGTTCGGAGTGTTAAAGTCGCGAGGCGCTCCCGGAGCGCCTCCTCCACTTCCACCACCCGAGGCATTTCCACCTGTGGGTATCTGTGCGTTGAGTCCCCAGACTTGAGAGCGGTACTTATCCTCCTCGATTGTGCCATTGAAGATCTTCTCCTTCATCTTGAAGTACACCTGCCCAGTAAGCAGGGAGTCTGAGCCCGCCTGGTGTGCTTGTCCTATCCTGGCAACTGCCAGCTCTTCAGCGATGTCTTGAAGACCCGACTTGGTCATTATGCGCTGGACCATCATCGCCGCCTCCTGAGTGAGGGGTTGTCCGCTGTTAACTTGGCCTTTGACACCGGCGTGCTTGAGAATGAATTTGATGTCGAACAAGGAAGGGAAAAACCTCTCCAAATACTTGTGGAATGTGACTTCGTCCTCGGGCAAGGGCTTGCAGATCATGAGTTTCATGAGGTAACCAAAGTCATAGCCTGAGTGAAAAGAGATCCAATGAACATCAGGGTCCAGCACCAGACCGGAGCTGATCAACAGTGCTCCAAAGTCATTGGGGTCGATGCCGTGCTTCGCGTGCCGGTCAAAGTCGATGCCAGCTTTTGAGAGCATCTGTGTCGATTCCCGTGCGTACATGTCACTCGCCAGAGAGAACTTGAAGTTGAACTGCCACGTACATGGGGTGGGGAGAACATTTTGGTGGAATTGGGACTTCTGCGAAGGAGCGGCATCAGGCGGAGGGAGGGTTCCGTCAGGCTTGAAGAGAGTTATTCCCAGTTGTATCATCTTGAGGAGATCGACATTACAACGTAATGTTTGGTAGTGATAGTCGGCCTTGGTGGTAAACTGGCCGATGGGCCGCGCAACAATCCCTGGGAATTCCGTGTCCTGAACAATCCATGTGAGCGCAGTTACGAATAACCATAAAATGAAGACAAGTCGCCTACCATAGCAATGTACGGATAGATATCCACAAGTTGTCTCAACGTGGCCATCTCTTCCTTGAGGTTATGCTTCCAGACATTTCGGATCCTGGCGTCGTCCTTGTTCTCTAATGGGACCCCCAGCCCATCGTACGATTGGTGACCCTGCACAGGACCTCCTCTTGAGAATCCCATCTGAGCCATTTGGCTGGGAAGGAGGCCGCCATCGAGCATGCCACGCTCAAAGCCATTGTTTAAGTTGCCTGCCAGAGCGAAGGGACTTGCGTTGGAGGACCCAGCCGCGCCGAACGACGGCGTGCCCAGGTGAGTGGGAGGCGGCAGGGTCCCATGTTGATGTGAGGACGCGTGGGACTGAAGGTGATTTTGCTGCATATGATAAGGTCCGTTTATGGACTGATTTCCATAACGCGGAGGAGCCATGATGAAGGTTGCGTGGTTTGAGGTAGTCGAAAGTGCGGAGGAAATGCAGTAGACGATGTTATTTCAGTTGTGGTCATTGCGGGAGCATGGACATGTGGTTGGTGACGGTTATGGTTTCACCGCCGACTGATCCATGAGTGAAAGGGTCGAGGTTGCCATTCACATTACCTTGGAGACGGAGGTTGCGCGGCCATGGTTCAATGTTTGTGGTTTGCGCAGGACTCGGTGCAAGTTGTGCTAAGTTGGTAGCAGCGCATGCGGCGGGACAAAAGTCTGGCCCAAGAGTGCGACACTCGTAGCCTGAAATGCTCAGCCGTAGTAGGGGAAGTATTGAGCCACACCTACGAAGATAGAATTGCAGTGTCTGACAGCGTCTTTTCCGAGGCTTAGCAGGTATTTTGTGCTAGAAATCTCATGAAATTGCTGTCAGACTACGACAGACCACTGTTCCGAGTAGAGCTCTTTCGGTCATCACCTTGTCCATTGCTTTCCTGAGCCGAAGATCTTGTCCCTCTACCAAGGTCTACCCTCAAGAGTCCCATTCCGCCTCACCTCTACGCGACCCTCCACCGTGAGCTCCGGAGCCCCAACATCAACCTGATCCTGTCTTTTATCTCTCAGCACCGTTTACCATAGGACCCGATCAACCATGGCCCCTCCGAACAACCCAACCGGGTTCAGCATGAAAGCCTTCACCGACGCAGCAACAAGCAAAGAATGGCGGGCACGAGACCCGTGGAGCAGATAGTAAGCAAGGCACAAGATTTTGGCAGAAAAAACAGACCCTGACGAAGCTCTAGTGAGGCATGGCGATACACCGGACCTTTCACAAGATGGAATCGATTCAAGGGCGCATTTCCTGGATTTGGAATTGCTGTGGTTGCCTTCACGGGCTACGTGATCTTCGAGCAACTGTTTCTGAAAGACTCGCACGGTCATGGGCACGATGAGAAGTCGGGACACCACTAGACGACATCAGCCGCACAACGACTCTACCGCTGCTCACGACCAAGTGCTGGAGTGAGCTGAGGGCGCACCCTACAGAAGAGCACGACTCGAGAGATAGTCATTGTATATACAAAAGAACAATTGGGGTGGCCATGTACAGAAAGCGCAGATGAGGCGACTGGAAGAAAAAGGGCATCCCACATTGCAGCGTTGCCGTGGCACCGTGCAGACACATCATGTTTGTTATAGGCCTACCACTTGCAAAGGACGTCCATCCTTGGGTTCCGTGCAGCAGAGCCCAGGGATCAGAAACCCTTGACACAACGACGCGTTATCGTGGGAACAGAAGGACTTGAATCTATTGTGTGAGGAGAATTCTCGGCCAGAAAGCAATACCCCGTGTCCTCTGTGCTTCTTTCCACGTTTTTCCTCGACCTCAGACCTGACCGTGCGTAGTTTGAGTATCCAGATTGTCGTGACCCGAAGCACTCAGCTCGTGGTCACCTTCTCTTTCTGATTCCTGAGTGTGGAGTGAGATCTAAACCATAAAGGGCAAACTTTGCCAGGCCAGTCAGAAGTCGGAGCATGGATTCTGATGCGGAAAAGAGGAAAGCGACCGCGAAACGGGCGAGTAGCAAGACGCTCTCGCAGACGCTTATCTCCTTATCGTCGGTGTTATAATGCAGTTGACGGCGAGCTCTAGATGTTTGGGTCTGGGTGCTTGGTGTGTCGGCTGGAGCAAAGCATTACCTTTTTCATCGTGAGGAGGTGGCAGTCCAGATCGCCGCCAACGATACATATATATCTCTGGATTGAGGCCATCCCATCAATTCTCTCCTCATCTTTCTGATCGCTCACCGCCCAGTCCATCGATACCCTCAGACGATCCGCCATGGTTCTTGAGCGTGTGAAGCAGCTGGCCCAACAGGTGTCCAACACCGTTGCTCCTCCCCATCCTTTCGACCCTCTCTCTTCTCTGGAGATCGAGACGGCCGTCGCTCTGCTTCGATCACAGTATGGCAAGCTGTATTACAATGCCGTCACTCTGTTCGAGCCACCAAAGGCCCAGATGCTGAAATGGCTGGCTGACCCCGACCACACGCCCAAACCACACCGTGTCGCCGACATTGTGGTCATCACGCCCGAGGGCAAGGTGTTCGACGGCCATGTTGACCTCACAGAGCGGAAGGTGATCAAATGGGAACACACTCCCGGCGTTCAGCCCCTGATCACCATGGAAGATCTCCAGATTGTCGAACATGTCGTTCGCAAGGATCCCGGCGTCATTGAGCAGTGTGGCCTGATCGGCATCCCGCCCGAGGAGATGCACAAGGTCTACTGCGATCCCTGGACCATTGGTTACGATGAAAGATTCGGCAATTCCGTCCGACTTCAGCAGGCGCTGATGTACTATCGGCCGCACGTCGACGACTCTCAGTATTCCTACCCGCTGGATTTCTGTCCCATCTACGACGCAAACAAGCAGAAGATCATCCACATTGACGTGCCCAAGGTTCGACGTCCTCTGAGCAAGGCACCCCCGAACAACTACACTGTCAAGTCGATCGAGGAGATTGGCGGCTACCGGACCGATCTCAAGCCGATCAACATCACCCAGCCCGAAGGCGTCAGTTTCCAAGTCAATGGCCGCATCATTGAATGGCAAAACTGGTCCATCCATGTGGGCTTCAACTACCGAGAGGGTATCGTGCTCAACAACATCACCTATTTCGACAAGGTCGAGAACAAGGTCCGACCGATTTTCTACCGCCTTTCACTCGCAGAAATGGTTGTTCCCTATGGCAACCCAGAGCATCCGCACCAGCGCAAACACGCCTTCGACCTGGGCGAGTATGGCGGCGGGTACATGACCAACTCGCTGAGCTTGGGCTGTGACTGCAAGGGCAGCATTCACTACATGGACGCCGAGTTCGTGAACAAGGCCGGTGCCGCACAGACGATCAAGAACGCCATCTGCATCCACGAAGAAGACAACGGCATCCTTTTCAAACACACGGACTTCCGAGACGACTCGGTCATCGTGACCCGGGCACGCAAGTTGATCATCTCCCACATCTTCACCGCCGCCAACTACGAGTACTGTGTCTACTGGATCTTCCATCAGGACGGCACCGTCCAGCTGGAGATCAAACTTACCGGTATCCTCAACACCTATGCCATGAACCCGGGCGAGGACACCAAGGGATGGGGCACCGAGGTCTACCCGGGCGTCAACGCCCACAACCACCAACACTTGTTCTGTCTACGCATCGACCCCAACATCGACGGTCCCAACAACACGGTGTTCCAGGTCGACGCCGCCCAGGGCGCCGGTGAACCGGGCTCCGTGGAGAACTACTACGGCAACGCCTTCTACGCCAAGAGGACCAAGTACACCAACCCCAAGGAGGCCATGGCGGATTACAACGGGTCCAGCTCGCGGACCTGGGACATGTGCAATGAAAACAAATTGAACCCATATTCCAAGAAACCCGTGTCGTACAAGTTGGTGAGCCGGGAGGTCCCGGCGTTGCTGCCCAAGGAAGGATCCCTGGTGTGGAAGAGGGCCGGATTCTCGAGGCACGCGGTGCATGTGACCAAGTGTAAGTATTTCCTCTCTGTCTATTGCGCCCCCCCCGTCCCTTTTTCCCATTGTCAGCCTCAAGTTACCTCCCACCGACCGAGATGTATTTTTTGGGACCACCCCACGCTGATACTTATCGTCACCCCGTTCCAGACGCCGACGACCAAGTCCACCCGGCCGGGCGCCACGTGCCGCAGACGTCGGGCGAGCCGTCGATGGGCCTGCCGCAGTGGATCGCGGCGAACCCGACGGCCAAGATCGACAACGAGGACATCGTGCTGTGGCACACCTTTGGCATCACCCACTTCCCGGCCCCCGAGGACTACCCGGTCATGCCGGCCGAGCCCATGACGCTGCTGCTGCGGCCGCGCAACTTCTTCGTGCGCAACCCGGCCCTCGACGTGCCGCCCAGCTACGCCCGCACGCCCAGCGAGGTCGCCGCGGGCAAGAACGGGTGTGCGTGCGAGACGGACAAGGCCAGCGTGCGGGTTTGAAAAAAAAAATGAGAATGAAATGAAATGACGCGTCTGCCTGTCTGTCCGTCCGTCCGTCTGTGTGGATGGGTGATGTGGTTTGATGTGTTGTGATATGTGGTGCTGTGTGCTGCTGTGCGCGCAGAAATGATATCCCATGTTTTCCTTGTGGATTTTGTTGATATGTGATGCCGGAAAATGTGAGGGCCTCTTCCTACTTTTGATGACTTGAGAAGCCTCGGTGACGAAGCTATCCGAAAAGGAATGTTACTATTTGATGATTGGGCACGCAGCATCTTCTCCCCTTTTTATATTATATTTACTAGTCTAGTCTAGTCTGGATGCGAGGGCCACTGTAATTAATAGTGGTGGTTGTTGTTGTTGTTGTCCCGACCAGGTCCTACCTACCCCAATCTCTCCCTCCCTCCCTCCCTCCCTCCCTCTATCTACGTATCTATCTTTTCCGTGATGGATGGGCTAAATCTACCACGTCTCCTGTTTATATCTGCCCACTTTCTCCAGCCTCGCGAGGTACTTCTCCGCGTCCTCTTCGCTACGTATCGGCTCTTCGGTCTCCCCATTTCCCTCCTCTTCTACAGGCCTTCCCATGCGTCCTCCAGACAAGGCGGTTCCCTCGTCCTCCGTCGTCGTTCCTTGCTGGACAAGCGCCTCGACCAACGCCCGACGGACAGCCTTGGGCATCTGGCCGGACGACCCGCACACGATGATCGTCGCCTCCCTTTGCCGGAGAAACTCCCAGATTAGCTGACTCCGCTCGCGAATCCGGTCTTGCACGTAGACCTTGGATCGTTGGTCTCGAGAAAACGCCGGAATGACTTCGAGGCTGGCGCTCAGGGAAAAAGGCGGGGCCTGGAGGAGTGCCGTCCATTCGTCGCGGAAGAAATAGTCGGATCTCTCGTTACGACAGCCGAAGAAGAGCGCCGTTTTACCCGACACCTGACCGCCCATGGCGGCCTTTTCGTGGATGAGTGCGCGGAGAGGCGCGATGCCCGTGCCAGCGCCGATTAGGACGTGGCTCCGGCGGCCGGCCAGCTCACCAGCCTTGGAGAAGCGGCCCTCCGTCTTCAACGAGACTTGGAGCGTGGTCCCCACCGGGAGCTGCGCCAGATACCGCGTACACACACCCTCTCTGATGCGTTTGATGACGGTCCTGTACTTGACGATTGCAACCAGCAGTTCAAATCTGGTCGAGCCATCTGCCGCGCTTTTCAAGAGTCCACCACTCGCTATGCTAAACTGCCTCGGGCGTACGGGAGGGAAGATGTTGGTGACTTCCTCCCACGGCAAGGACACGGAGTCGAATTCCTGCAGAATCTCGAGGATGCTCCGCCTGGGACGGGTCGCGTAGTCGTAGTATTCGTCGAGGTATTGCGGGTCGGTGAACTCCAGAAGTCGCTCTTTGTGCATGTCGTTGCTCGTATAATTGGCAATGCAGCCCAAGAACGAGCGGCGAGGAATGGCGTTGATGTCGAGGTACTCGGTGAGCAGCACTCGGAGGGTGAGATTGGCACGGCTAAAGATCGTATTGGTTGTGCTGGTGGTCGAAGACGGCCGTGTCGATACAAGCCGGATAGGCGTGTCGGCAATATGTTGCCAGCTCATGCGATTAATCAGGGATTCCACGTCCCCAGGCATATTTTGAGGAGAAATGGCGATGGCATCGCCAGGCATGTAGTCAATTTTGGTTGAGGCTTTGAGGCTCATGAATCGAACATCTTGCCAATGATCGGGTGGTGTGACTCGCTGGTTACACTCTAAAAGCACGGAGAAGGAGGTCGAAGTCGAAGGATCAGCCGAAGGCGGGGAGATGCCGTTGGCGACGGGTGAGGTGCCAGGTTCATCAGATATTCTTTCCAGACGCCATTTGCTTGGCAACAGGACATCGTTCGGAATTGGTTGCTGGTGACCGACAAGAGGAAAGGTCTTCAAGATAGTCTCCCGGAACAATTGAAGCCAGGCCAGAAAGGCGCCATCGGTTCCCTCGTCGCCTTGTTCATCAGCCTCGCACGGCTCGACAATGGGCGATGCCCCGAGCTGACGAAGCCTCTTGTCCAACTTCCGGGCGGCCCAGTTGAACTTGGGGTACGAGGTGTCTCCGAGGCCGGCGAGTGCGTAGTCAACGCCCGCGAGGGTGGTGGCGACGAGCTTCTTGCGGAGGAGGCTGGTCCAAAACCGTCGAGCGTTCTCGGGGAAGTCACCCTGCCCCGTCGTGGCCACGACGAAGACGGTCAGAGTGTATCGGTGGAGGAGGCTGTGGCTGACAGCGTCCAGTCCCAGGACTTCGGTATGGAAATGAAGCCGTTCAAGCGTGCGGCCGATCTCTTCAGCCAGGTCTTGGGCCGTGCCGGTTTCTGTCCCATAGAGGACAAGAGCGGATCTGCCGCGGCCGGGTTCGGTCATCTTTTTCCTGATATATGAGGCTCAGGGCGAGCATTGTGCGGTGTCCCAGTGAGACTTGCGATACGAGCAGGCTGTCTCTGGAACAGAATTTGACGTGGATTTAAAGATAGGATGTCTCGATGAAAGTCTCGCCACGACCACCTGGCTACCGGATAAATCTATCTCCGTCATCCGGCCTTGGCATGCCAAGCATCGTGAAATGTCCCGCCGCGCCGCACAACACAGCACAGCCCAGCACAGAGTTCAGCTGCAGGACCGTGTCGTGGTTCGAACAGCAAATAGTAATGACATGAAATGCACGCAAATTCGCTTCCTACAAATCTACAGCCAGGTCCATCCGACGAAACCCAAGCAACGGCACCCCTGCGAATGAGAACCGACCTGCCTCCCACTCTTCCACTCTACATATCCCGAGCAACTAGTAACCGTCATGGGGGTGTGGTGAGTACTGTGGCTGGTCGTAATCATCATCGCCTCCCTGGTGTTGTTGATGGTCATGGTACTGTCCGCCATGTTGCTGCTGATCATGGTCGTGGTAGTGGCCCTGGTGGTCCTGATCGCCATACTGGTCATCGCCTCCCTGGTAGTCATCGCCCTGATAGTCACCATCCTGATGCTCGCCACCATGCTGGTAACCTCCCTGATGGTCGTGGCCCTGATAGTCGCCATTTTGGTGGTCGTGGCCCTGGTGGTCGCCCTCTTCATAGCCATCCCCATAGCCTCCGTCTTCCCCATTACCATCCCAGCCTTGGTCCTGGTGGTCCTCGCCCCAGCCTTGCCCTTGGCTGTCGTCGTCTCCGGCCTCCGAATCCGAGTCCATGCCGGACTCGTCTTCAGACTCGTACATCAGTTCCAGTTTGTACTCGACCGTCTCGCTCGTGTTGTCCTCGTCGTCGTGCTCACCCGCATATTTCCCCCTCTGTGCGTGCTTGGCCAACTTGTAGTAGGTCTCGGCCTCTTGGCTGCTGGGATCGATCTGTCGCAGTTGCCGCGCGAGGCGTTTGATTTCTTTCAGGACCTTGCGCAGGTTGTTTTGCTGGTCTTCGTCGGACGCTAAAGCTGAGAGTTAGTCGGTGGCAGAACCATCAGAGATTGACTTGACTCCGAACTTACTCGGGTTGCTCATGTGGTGCTCATAGGTGTCGACTTGGATGTGTATCTGCGATATGATCAAGTCCCACGAGCCAGACTGATCGCCGCCTTGACCATTCATTTGGTTTCCTTGGTTCCCAGCGAGACCATGTTTGCCGTTTTGACCGTAGTGATCGTCTTGACCATATTGATCGTCTTGACCATATTGACCGTCTTGACCATATTGACCGTCTTGACCATATTGACCGTCTTGGCCATATTGACCGTCATGACCGTCAGGGCCACCATTATGACCCGCGCCCTGCCAGGCATGGGGGTCCTCATGCGCGTATCCGGCGTGGTCCATGTCTCGTGAAGTTGTGATGGTAACGTCTCACTTCTCTTTTGCTGTCGATGGTTGTGGAGATAGAGAAACATGTGCGAAGCCCGGATCAGCTCTATTATACCCCTCCTGGTATAAGCTCGGTATGGCGCAGGAATATAGCTGAGGCCATGGTCATCAGAACCTCCATTCGGCGTCGCAAGACTATTTCCAGCACACCGACAAAAGTCTGATGCCCGCCACGCCGTCGAGGTGTCTAAATTTGGCCCCGGGTTGCAAGGCCCTCCTTCTCAAAATATCACATGCCCATAAGCAAAAGTCGACCGCGACGGTGGCCGATATTTCAGTTGGCCATGGGCCAACCTGCTTCCTAGACCGGGGCGTTCTTGTCAGCAAGGCCGGAACCCACCATTGCCCTTTCTGACCAAATATCAGTAATCCCCTCGAGCTGTCTGCTACTTGACGATGCTCGATCTGGCAGCTGAATGTGTGTGATGACTGGCTTATAAGCCTGTCCCCCTTCCCCTCCTAGCGATCTCTGGGGGCCAAATATATGCCAAGCTAGGGCCACCAACCAGAATACCAAGCTCTGACGGTGAACATCCACAAGTTTATAGAGAATCTCAACTTTAAGTTTTTCCTGGATCGGAAGTATGTGGGAAGAATTCAGCCCAGCCTCGTGAAAGGTGTTGATCCGATGCTGACAGTCTACCCAGTAGTAGGTAGGCCTGTACTCCGTAGTGCTGCACCCCATGAAACCCCGGCCTGTCTATGATTTTGGGGACTTCTTACACGGCTGCTTTACCCGGTCACAATACCTAGGAGCGGGCAACAGATCGTGGGTGGCAATGTACAGTGCAAGTCCTCATATTGGGTCCCACGCCATTGCGAAATGCAGAATCCTCTATTTCTGAGCCCACTAGCCTCTTAAAACATCTAGAGCCAACTTTCGCCATCCTCGAGATCTTGTTGAAACCCTATCAGCACAGGGACCGACTCTGGAGAACCCCCTGTCCGCACCGGTATCTTGTGGCGATGAGGGCCCCTGACCGTCTCAGCAAGTCAACAGGGCAGATGCAAATTGTGATATTGCTGGTCTCAGACCCCACGGAGTATGCTACAGCCTGATGCAACGTGCAAGCATTCTCGCGAGATTCTGCCAAAGTGCGGGAAGATCTCTGTCTCTTGCACGGGCCCATGGATGATGTCGCGCTATTCGTTAATTGGCCGTTCAGATTCCCATGCATCACTTAGTGGGAAGTACTATGCTGGAAGCTCTAGTCAGTGTCGACCTATTTTAGGACGCCCCTGAAGAGCAGCATTCTCAGAGACGGATGTTTGATCCATCGTCGTTGCCGCGGTTCATGGCAGTCGACAGCTTTGTCCATTCGCTATAAATGTGAGACGGCCCTTCCCAAGAAGAGTTCTGCGGACTATACTCACGCTCGCCTTCATACCACACCACCCTTGGTCGGCAACTATACGGAGGGCTGCTTTCCTCTCACTTTTTGATTCCTTACTGAGTCTTCCACACAGGCCCCTACTTATCCACACGATATGAGCCAGTCAATTCCGGTGACCCAGCACCCAGAAGCTTCAAGTGGTGGAGGAGGCCTCCAGCAGGCGTCAGGGCCACCAAGCGGTTCGACGGCATCGAGCTTGACTCCAACCGCCTCGCCACTGAAACCAAACCCGCAGGCACAAATAGTGTAAGTCCTCCTTCCAGTATGTGACATGAGCCACGGCTCCGCATTTCATGCTCGCTCGAGCTGACCCGACGGCCAACAGCGTCCTTCTCATACACGGTCTGAACAGTTCCGAGTCCGCCTTCATTGGACCAGATGGGACCAGCTGGGCGACGGAACTCGACCAGCAGATCGCACCCCTTATTGGGAACAAGCAGGTCGAAATCTTTCAGGTCGGATGGCAAACCACGCCGAAATCCCCGGCGAACATCAGTTTGAACATCACGGATACAACACCAGGTCTGTTGGATACCATTTCTGCGAAAGTGCAGGGTCGAGCATGGGTGGCTGTTGGCCACAGCATGGGTGGCATGGAGATTCTGGCGGTCAGTCAACGGCGACGTTGGTTGTTTTCATCGTCCGCACCACGGCACAAGCGAGCTAACACCCACACTACAGGCCATGGGAACAGCCTTTCAAGAAACCACCCAGCAGGGCGGAAACCCCAGGACATCGGATCCTCAACGACTGCAAGCCTGGAGAGTTCTGTTGGATAGTTGTCTAGGCATATTTCGGCTCGCATCCCCTGGCCAGGGTTCTCCTTGGGGGCTGTTTGGGTTGGCCATAGCAAACGCACTTCCTCATTGGAACCCCGACCAAGTCCGCGGCCTACTGATCAACTCAGAGGAGTCAGAAGCCATTACAGCGTCTTCCAACCTGTGGTTTGAAAGCCGCAAGACGGCCGGCCGTATAGTCAACGTGTTCTCTGCACAGGAAACCAAACCAATCGTCCCACTGACCGGCAAGGCAAGTTTATCCCTCCTCCTCCTCAAGGAGAGGGGGAGAACACTGCTTCAGAAGAGGGCACCAGACTAACCTTGCAATTAGATTGTGGACTACGATGGATCGGCCTTGGCCAACAGCACCAAAGAGCTAACGAACAACCTGACCGTCTCACTGCCGGGACAATCCCATACAAGTGCTCCGAAGGCCCCGGCGGGTAGTAGCACGGGGAATATTCTTGTGGCTGGGGTCGTCTTCTGCATAACTGGGCAGGTACCAGAAGGAGTTGAACTCCCGCCTGGGAGGGAGGAAGCATCGGGCGTGACAGGCACGCTCAGGGGCATATTGCCACCGAGTAGCACGTTAAGGAACAAGATCCCAGAGCAAAGCGGAAGCGGAGGCGGAGGCGGAGGCGTAGGCTCATCATTGGGGGAGGATCCTCCGCCCGCTGAGTCGTGACGGGCTTCTTCTCAACATGGGAGTTGCGTATAGTGAGGTGGAGTCGCACTAGGGACAATGTACTTGTCGTGGAAAGGGAAATCCTAGAACATTTGTAACGCCGTCCCGGGCATCAGTATGTGAGATGACGACGCTTGGATCATTCTTCCTCAAATCCTGTCATTGCTGCCCTGTGGCCAATATCATGGGCCACTCCATCCATTCCGACCAGTGAGGACCGAGATGGGAAGATATCGCTTGAATCAAAAGATGACCAGATTCCCCTACGGCCCAACATTCTCTGTAAAACGTCATCAAGGCTGCGAAGTATGCCAGGATGATCAAAGCTTCAGGTCTCCGCTGATTGAGCCTTTCAAGGTATGGCGCTTTGAGCTGCACGGGCCAAGCCAGTAGCCAGCGGATGGTTGTGTGTCTTTGATCCGGCACGTTCGAGATCGCAAACACCCAATGCAATCTCTCGATCGCCGGTTCGTAGGCGTCCCTGGCTTGTTCCCCCAGGTCCGGATTGGTGATCAACTTGGACAGATCGAGGCACGGCTGAGGGATCTGGTAAGGCGTTGGGGGCTGTTGGACCGAGAACATTGGTTTGAGCTCAGTCTCCCGGAGATATTCATACCAGTCTTGAATGATGAGCTTGGGGACATTGCGCATAAGCATGACGCAATTCACCACGTGGTCGAGATACTGGTTGGAATCGAGGCCCGTCGTGCGCGAGGGGTCGGCGAGGATATGAACAGCAAGAAGCATTGTAAAGATCAGCACGGCGGCACAATTGGAGGCGTTGATGTCTGTTTCCACGCTGTTGAACTTGTTGAGGGCCAGAGTCTGTAGTTCCGTCGATATGGTGTGGTACTCGGTGGCGTGGTCAGGCTTGCAGTGTGCGAGATGTAGAGCCGAAATGGCTAGAAGCTCGTGCATAAGGAAAGGAAATGAGAAGGCCATGCGGACGATCTTTTCTTTCCATATCCGCTGCAGTGTTCCTTCGGCATTGAATGTTCTGTACGTGGCAATAAGGAAATGGTGCAGGAGTTCCAGATGTTGTATGTTGAGATTCGGGTCAAATGTTCCAGGAGGCGTAAATGTGGGTATGATGTTGGGCTGATCAGGCCCTTGGGGCCGCTGGTCTGGGGTGGAGGTCTCAGACGCACTGGCAATGACCGTTTCCGTATCTGTGGCCGTCGTCGTTGAAGGAGATGTGCCCGGAGCAAAGTTGCAACTCAGCTCGGCGGTCTGGCAATTGACGCATCGAGGGCGATGTTCATCACACTATGGACATGGTTTTCAGCGGCAGAATCGAGTATGGCATCTGCTGTCCTCTGCAACATCCTGCACTCACCTTGATGTGTCGTCTTTTGCAGGCGACACAGCCACTTCGAGACTTTTTGTGCGGTCGTCGTGGCATTGAGATCTAGGCCTCGGGGACGTACACAACGGTCTTGTGGGAAGTGTTGGCTAAAAGAGACGGGGCCCCTAGGCAGGTAGAGATGTGGCGATATATCGGGTGTTGTGAAAGGGGGAGAAAGCAGCTGAGTTGAGCATGCTCGGGGAGAATTGCTGTTGCCTGGATGCCTTGCGAATCATGTCGCCTGCGGCCACAGAAGGTGATCGGGTCAACGCCACAGCCAGACGATTGCTGTATATCATTGCACTTGAGAGTGGTGCGAAGATGGTCAGTTAGGGAAGCTGTATTAATACTGGAGAAAGTGGTGGGGGAAACCTAAGTAATTAATCACATACTGTATGTGCCGTAAGCGTTTGCAGTATGTGCGCCCTCTGCCCACCAGCCTTGAATGTGTCTACTGCCCCTTCACTTGCATCAGCCCATATCCTCCATCACTTTTCCATTGCGTTCTTCATACCAGCCAACGGAGTCTAGCACAAGCTGGACGTTATATCACTCAGTGTATTTGCCAATTACCATTGTTTAGCAGCATTTGTGCCCTTGAGGCCACAGGCCAGTCCAAGTCAACTCAAGATGTTAGCATGTCTCTTCTTCTTCTTCTTCTTCCTCCTTCTCACTCTGCTGCAATCTCCTGCAACTTCATTTCGAGTGTCTCGCCCCGCCGTTCCATCGGTCGTCCTTCGTGCCGATATGAGCTTCCATTGTCCCTGCGTCGATCACTGGTTCAAGCACAACCGACACTGGATCCGCGCCTCCTCCACTACCGGTTGCATGTCCTTAGAGACCGTTCCCGACAACATCTACCTTCTCAATGCTCTCCTAAAGCCCGACTATGTTTCGAACGACTTCCCGACCCTGATTTGCAGCCTAAACCAAAACAGATGTGGTTGGGCGTATAGTCCTCTCGAGTCTCTAAGGGCCGTCGTCACTACCACGTCGTCTATTCTACCCTACGATGATGTGAACGGTACTGCAGAGGAGACACCGGCGTGCGAGGAAGCATTGGACACGATGGTTGCTCACGCTGAGGGATTCGTTGAATCGACAATGGCTTAAGAAAGGCAGGCTGACGTCGAAGATAGAAAAATCAGGATAAGGAATGTCAAGAAACCAGCAATAGGATGACGGTGCCTTTGTACTCTTCTGGATTTACTCAGCGTCGGCGCCTGCTCATCGTTGATTGGCTCCCGCCAGGGCATCTCATTTTTCTCTCCCGCCAAGCTCCTCTTCGTCTTCCTCCCCCGGATTTTCTACCCATTGCATTGACTCATCTTCCAAAAGTACAGCTAGTCGCAAACCACCGGCATAATCGGATAGAATAGAAGCCACTCGCCTGCTGGTTTGGAGTTCTTTTCCCACACAGCTAAGCACATCACCAAGAGACGCCATTTGAATACCGTCTTCGCCGTCCTTGCCCACCATCATGCCTGATCGTTCAGAAGTCGCCTATTTTGGCGCCGGTCCTGCCCCTCTCCCTACCCCTGTCATCGAGACCGCTGCTCGAGCATTCGTCAACTTCCAAGACACCGGGCTCTCCCTGGCAGAAATCTCACATCGCTCTTCGACAGCCAACAAGGTCCTTGCCGACGCCAAGGAGGCCTTGGCAACTCTGTATGATATCCCGACGGATGACTACGACATCATATTTATGCAAGCAGGAGGCACCGGAGAGTTTAGTGCCGCCCTGCAGAATCTCGTAGGATGTTGGATCGAGCGGCGTCGGAGGAAGGCCGTGGCAGATCTGGGGGAAGGCAAGGACGCCGAAGTGCTGGAGCGGGTCAAGAAAGAGATCGAGGCCGAGTTGAAGGTCGACTATCTGATCACGGGGTCTTGGTCCCTCAAGGCCAGTCAGGAAGCCACGAGACTCATTGGAGCAAGATATGTCAACGTCGCCACGGACGCCAGGAAGGCTAACAACGGGAAGTTTGGGACGATTCCCGACGAAAGCGAGTGGTGTCTCACCCCTCGGGCGAGTGCAATGACTTATTTGTGCGACAACGAGACGGTCGACGGTGTCGAATTCCCCCGATTCCCCCAAGTCTTGGAGAATAGCAGTGGGAATGAAGAAGACGACCGGATTGTGGTGGCAGACATGTCGAGCAATTTCCTCAGTCGAAAAATTGACGTTCGAAAATATGGAGTTATCTTTGTGAGCCAGCCTTTCCCGCCACCTTTTTTTGGGACGCCATTATGCTAACATTTGTCCAGGGTGGCGCTCAAAAGAATCTCGGGATCGCTGGCATTACCGTGGTCATCATTCGGAAATCCTTGCTAAATCTTGTTCCGCCCCCAACGTTCCTCCACGCCTTGTCCCCTGTGATCCCGACCTCAGGGTGTCTACCGCCCATTATGCTCTCTTTCTCAACCATCGCCGCCAACAACAGTCTCTATAACACCCTTCCGATATTCAACCTGTACGTAGCGACCCTGGTCCTGCAGCGCCTCGTTTCCACATTCGGATCGAGCAAAGTATCTGGCCAGGAAGAGGTCGCCGACCAGAAGGCCCAACTCTTATACGATACCCTCGACTCTTACCCTGACACGTACCACGTGGTGCCGCACAAGACTGCGAGGAGCAGAATGAACATCTGCTTCCGGATCATCTCCGGACCCAAGTCAGCGAGCGGAGAAGTGGTGCCTGATGAAGCCAAGGAAAAAGCCTTCCTTGCCGGCGCGGAAAAGCGCGGGCTACTTGGCCTCAAGGGTCATCGCTCAGTCGGTGGGATGAGGGCCAGCAACTATAACGCCGTCCCGCTGGAAAATGTCCAGAAACTGGCCAGTTGGCTGGTGGAATTTGCCAGATCATGAATGAGCTCGGGACCTACCTGACTTGTCTGAATCAGATAAAACAGACTGTCGGAACGGTCGATGGTGAACATACATATAGACACACGAAAAGTGATATTCGTTATGACTAGAAAAGTTACATGTACTCTATGTATTCGGGGGGGCTGAACCGTCAAGGCGGTGAGACTCCTTTCTCCACCTTCCGCCAGAATTCTGCCGCTCAATTTTCTGGTCAAGTTCGTTTGTGATTAGCACCATTGTTTTTCTAGCCACACAAGTGGTATGGTGCAGCATGAAAACTCGACTTCGGTGACACTTCTGTCCCTCTGAGCACGACTGACGCTCCACCATGTCGCGAGGTGGTCGAGGAAGAGGCCGTGGCGGCGGTGGCGGTGGTGGTCGAAAAGGCCCTCTGCCTCCCGAGTTGGACTTTGAAGACGACGACGACATTTCTCTCTCGCCGACCGAGAAGAAGCCCCAGGCACTGTTTCCGGTACTGCTGGCACCCGTCTGACCCTCCCCTTCCCCATTTTCTGCGCCAGACAGAACGCAGACAGATCGTTCTAACCACGCTCTCGCAACGATTACAGGATATCGACCTCCCCGTCCCTCGCCCGCCCACGTCCCGCGAACTCGCAGCCGTCAGCCGCTACCTGTCCTTCCGCACCCGTGCGCGCAATGGGCCCTACTTCGCGACTCTCGACCCCAGCAGCATCGCGGACGAAAAGACGGGCAAAACGCTCAAGCGTGCGGGATTTGACCCCTTCAACGATCAGGAAAAGTACACGGCCAAATATCACAAGAAGAAGAGGACTCTGCCGGACTTGAAGGGAAGCGGGAGAGACTATGGTACGTGATCACCACTCCCGAACAATAATTGGGGCAAAGGGGGGAAGGAGTTTTAAGGGCGGCTATGGCTGATGAGAGGATTTCTATCTGCTTCCAGCATTGAAGCATTTCCCGCACGAGCTCTGGCCCCTCCTCGATCCGGACAAGAAGAGTGCGCTCTGGAAGTCTGCCGACATCGACATCGACGTGGCGACGAATGTCCCGAAGCACAAATCGCTGAAGCGGAAGCGCGACTCCCTCCTCCTCGAAGACGACGAGGAAGGCGAGGACGCCGCCACGGCGGCCAAGGTGGCCGACGACGACGGTGACGACACCGACGACTCGGACCCGCTTCTCCCCGCGTCCCGTCGTGCTCGGACGGCACGAGCGGCAAAGAAGAAGAAGCGGCGCCGTCGCGAGACCGAATCGCGCGAGAAGCGCGGTCTGGACGCCGAAGACGATTTCGGGCCGACCGAGAAAAAGAGCCGGTCCCTCATGGAGAGCCTGCGCGCCAAAGAGAGAAAGCGGCAGAAGCAAAAGTCTGGCGGCCCGGGCGGAGAGTCGGACGATGACGAGGATGACGACGACGACGTGCCCGATGCTCCGGATAACGACGACGAGGACGCGGGCGACGACGACGACGATGACGACGATGACGATGAGCCTGTGGATTCCGAGTTCGAGGAATCCGACGATGGCGAGGCCGACGACTACAATGCCGAGAACTACTTCGACGGCGGAGAAGGGGACGATGACGATGGTTTCGCCTATGGCGGTGGAGGCGGCGACGAAGGGGGTGAATATTGATAATAGGTTTTTTTCTCACTCTCTCGAAAGGGAGAAGCGAGATGACCAAGGAGCAGCCTGTGTCTGAGCAAGGTCGACGAAAGCTGTACATACATAGCAGCTGCACGGAGGAGATGGGCAGAGGGTGGCTCAAATTTCAGACACCGGGATCAAAAATCAAAGATCAATGTATTGCATCCATGGTCTTCAAATATGAGAAGACTTGTCGCCACGGTCGAAGTCCGTCCAGCAATCACCACAGGGCCCGTCCAGAAAGGCTTCAAAGAATCTGACATCCAAGGAACGCCCCCAGGATCTCATCACTATCTGTATGCTACTGGGAAGCGAAATACAAAATGTCTGACTGCATCCCCGCCGCAACTGATGGTGTCGAGGCAACCGCACCTTCCACGACTAAAGCAGATTTATTAAGGCTGCACCTTCGCAGGGGAATCATGCCTGACTGTTCGTCCCATCAACACTGGCATCCTCTTCATTTCTCTCTCTGTTGGGACCTCAAGGTGGTGATCGCAGAGTGAACCAATTACACTTTTTCATACTGGCTCACTCAGACCTGCCTTGTACTGAACTCCAAGGCAATACAAAATCTTATGCATACAGCTTTCAGTCGCTCTCCCAAAGCCCTTCCAACTCTCTGTTTTACAGCCGCATCAACATAAAGATGGCCCTCGTCCCTCAGAATCCCTACCACAAGCACACACGTGGCATTATCGTCATTGCACGAAAGAACTCTAAACCCTCATCAGCTGTCGTCAAACAGCTAGAACAGCGGAACCAAACCCTGATCAAAATTTTCACTCCTCGATTGTCTGGCAAGTCCCCGACAGAATACACCTCCCTGGTCCTGAATGGTTTTTCATCCAATTACAACATCCAAGACTCCAGAAAGAACGAGCTTGCTACTTTGAAGCGAAAGATTGAAGCGTATAATACAGAGCCACAAGCACTGACAAGCCATGTCTATATTGTCGTCAGTGGCGATGACGGGTTCTTTACAAATGTTGACGGTATTTATGGCTTCTTCGATCGGTACAAGAATGTGACGTTGATGCTGGTCATCTACCATGGAGAAAATCAATACCTGGAGTACCGCATTCGAGACATTCTTCAAGCAATCTCAGACATCAAGTCACACGTTGCCAAACCCACCGATCAGTGCCACATGCTGGTCAGAGCGTGGATTGGTATTGCTGTCAATACGGAGATACTCGCTCAAGCAAATAGGGATCTCAAGAGATTTATACCCCAGAAGAGGAACGCATCAACTGTCTTTGACGACGACCAAGTCAAACTTGAACATCCTAACAATACTGTTGTCAAGGCGGCCAAGAAGCGAGCAGTTGTCGAGAAGAATGGTGTTGACATCAATGATTGTGGCGATTGTATGTGTCCCATCAAGGACTGCAACGTAAGTCGGCCAAACCTAGAAGGACTTCGAGACCATGTTCTCCATCACTGCCGTCAGGCCGGGGAGTGTGTGCTCTGTGCAGATCAACACAGGAACCCGTTCACCCACGAAAGCTTTCGTCTTCCCAGCGGAACCATGCGACAGGGCTTCACAAAGCCTCAACGCGAACACATGGAAAGAAACTTGCCACCTACATACCATTGCGAAGTAGAAGACTGCAACAAGAGCTTTTACACCGAGTCTGACTATCTACAACATCAAGAAGGGCACGAGCAAAGTCGAATAATTAATTGTACTAGTGTGGTCAAAGCATCAGAAAGATATATTTAACACAACATCTCCAGGCTCACTGCCCGGCTAGAGACAAGGCGAATGATAGTATGATCAAATGCAGTATATGTCAAGCCGAATTCTCGAAAGTCGATATGTTCCATAAACATATGAGAGCAGCACATCAAAGACGAGATGAGATAATCAGCACTGCTAAATCAGCTAGTCTTTTCTCTGCTGGGATGCCTGGTCTAGGCTTGGACGTCTCGGTGGCCATTGAAGAGTCTACTAGAATGAACGCTTCCTTGAAGGCCATGCCACCTTCGGACTGCCTTGATTCAGCCCAAGCACCAAGTTAGAGGAGGAAAGTCAATGGAAAGAGCGTTGGCCAAGCTGTAGGATTCATTTAGTGAACCATATTCATTCACCACCCCATCTTTGTATGCTCGGGTACAATAGTGTTTTCGGAATAGATCTAACGAACTTGATGCTGGGGAACCTTGTGAGGTCCAACTTGTGATGTGGTGGCATGTATTTGAATGGACATCAAGTCCTCGAGGCTGTTAGCATTGCCAGCCTTCTATATATGGTGCTCTTGAAGAGGATGAAGTTCTTATGCGTAGTCCGTAACTGGGCTTCCATAGAAAAATAACTGATCCTGACTACCCCGAAGGCCTTCGGCGAAGAACTAGCGTCGCGTCCCTGGGTTCATATGTGCCCGGGACTGGCGAGGAGAGCGAGGAATGGGGGAAGATAGGTGGGACGAGGTCCGTCTCATCCGTTTCAGAGTCTAAGCCAAATTGTTGGTGGGACCTGGCACGCGTCCTCCTTGACCGGTAAAAGGCAGATGATATGGTACGAGAGTGGGGAAGAATATTCTTTTTGCGTTAACATATATTTTACATTATTTGATTTTGTTTCAACAATCACAGCACTGGTGGTTTAGTGGTGTACGTCTCCAATCCGATACCTCAAGCGCTATCAGTATTCTAACAATGACTACAGAAAATCCATCGTTGCCATCGATGGGCCCCGTGTTCGATTCACGGCCAGTGCAAAAACACATCTTGCCTTTTTTTTTGTCTTTCTGGGCTTTTCGATTTTCTCTTTTCTCTTTTTACTTTTCAAAAAATCCTCATTTTATATCTGCCTCGTATGTATATTTGTATGCATATAGTCGTGTTTCTGTTTTTTTCGTGAATGGGGAGATAGTGCGTGCGGGAGCAGGCTGGGCAGGTAGGCCGAAGCCGCGGACGGGAGCGTTGGGTTCTGCAAGCCTGCCAGTCCTCCACCTCGTACTTGGTTAACATGATTCAAACGCCACGTGCAGTTTGTTCTCTACATCTCTTTTGAAGCTTATTTGTAGGGTAGCCAGTCTTTGAACCAACGAAATATAATATATGTATGTATTGTCATCAAGTGAGGAACTCGAGGAGGAATTGTGCAGTCTTTAGAACATCTACAGCCTCCCTTCCCCCTCCTCCAAAGGGCAACCCAAGACAAGACAAGACAGACTCCCGAATCTCCAAGCTGATGCCCCCCCTCCTAAGTAGCTCTGTTGTGTTATAGCTTGGCCGAAGCCTTCCGTCTCGCCTCCCGCTCTCGGTCCCGCAGTAGCCGCCGGAGGATCTTGCCGCTGGCGCTCTTGGGGATGACGTCGATGAACTCGACGCCGCCGGCGAGCCACTTGTGGCGGGCCTTCTCCTTTTCGACGTGCTTCTTGATATCGCGCTTGAGGAGGGCGTCGCTTTCCTCCAGGCCCACCGACTTGGCCTTGACGACAAAGGCTTTGGGCACTTCGCCCGCGCGGTCGTCGGGGACGGGGATCACGGCGCAGTCGGCCACCGCGGGGTGATTGAGCAGGCACGCCTCGAGCTCGGCGGGCGCGACTTGGAGACCCTGCGGCCGGGTCAGATTTGACATACTCACGGGACTGCCTGTTGAGGGGCGGTAACTTACCTTGACCTTGATCAGCTCCTTTATACGGTCCACGACCCAGATATGCTCGTTGCCCTTGGGCGACACCCTGAACTCGACCTCGTCTCCGGTCCGCATGAATCTGCCTTCAGGCATGTCCACAAACGTTTCCATCGTGGCCTTTTGGTTCTTCAGGTACCCAAGCACGACGCTGGGAGATTTGACGAGCAATTCACCAGGTTGATTGTATCCGGTGATTTCGTTCCCCTCCACGCTCATGACCTTGGCCTCATATCCAGGAATCAGACAACCTGAGGAGCCAAACCAGATATCGTTCGGAGAGGTCGAGCACACGACGGTACACGTCTCTGTCAGCCCGTAGCCCTGTCGAACCTTCCACGCGGGAAACTGGGCGGCCAGTTCCTCGGCGGTTTCTTTACCCAGCGGGGCGGCGCCGGTGAAGATGCAATTCACGCTGGACAGGTCGTATTTGCTGGTCAGATCCCGATTTTTGACCATGGCGATGATGATGGGCGGCACGATGTAGAGGGTGTTGATTTTAAAATTCTGGATCCCGGCGAGGTAGTGGTTCAGGTCGAACTTGGGAAGAATGATGACTTGGTCGCCGCGGTAGGTCGAAGCGTGGCAGATGACGATCAACCCGTAGATATGCGACTGAGGGAGCAGACCCAGCGCCACCTCGCGATAGTTGGGGGCAATGGCATCACGGGACGGCTTCTCGTACACGGAGATCTGGACGGTGTTGGCGATGACGTTCTGATGGGAAATCATGACACCTTTCTGCGGATTCGCGTTAACAAAGATCGCTTCATGTTTCCAGCAGGGGCACAACGACTCACCGGGAGCCCCGAGGTCCCACTGGAGTAGCACAAGAATGCGGTCTGCCGTGCCCCCTGACCCTTCTCCCATCTGATTGGCTCCAGCGGTGGCAGGGATTGGCCTTCCTTGATCAGTTGAGACAAGGTCTTGAACTCCTTGGGGATGGGAGGGTCGTTGGGCATTTCACAGACGTAGATATGTTTTCTGGGGATGTTGGACTTGGCCGCGGCGTCCAGGGCGGTCTGCAGCAACGGCATCACGGTGAAGAGGACCCTGGAGCCGGAATTGGTGAGTTGGTAGCTCAGCTCGTCGGCGTTGAAGGCGGCGTTGGCGGGGGCGGAGATGCCGTTGTTTCGGTGGATGGCCCAGTTGAGCGTCATGATGTCTATCTATTGACCCCATTTTGGTAAGTAAGAATTTGTCTTTTCCCCGTGTGCAGCAAATCATCTCTTCTTGACAAGTCAAGGGTCCGAGATATATACCGTATTAAGGGCGAAGATGCCCACGACTTTGTCATATTCCGTGCCCTGGTTCACCCCCCAGCCAAACTCCTTGGCCAACGCGCGAGACAGGCTGTCGACATCCTCCTTTGCTTGCCGTGCTGAAAGGCTCTTTCCCGTCAGCCCGCAGGTGTATGCTTCCTTGGAGTCGGCGAATGAGCACCGGCCGTATTTCTCGTCGAGCATGAAGTCGCAGATGGGCACGGTGTCTGGAATTTCAGGGAGCGGAGGCACCCATTTCATGGGATAGAAGACCATGATTGCGGGTGTTTGCGAGGAAGGATCTCACACGACAGAGGGCAGGCGTTATGATAAAAGTGATGCGCTGCGGCCGCACCTTTTGCGAGGAGAGGAGTGACGGTGGTTTTTCTGGGAATTCCCTCTCTCTTTTCTCCTCTGTCCCGTCGGTGCGCAGGCTTCCGATGAATATATTCCGATGGTGAAGAAGCAGGACCGGATCTCGAACAAAAAAAAACACAAGCACCAATATGCGAGATCAATGGACAACGGAAGTACCTTCAGCCGAGAAAGCTCCATGGAATTATTGGGAATGCGCTCGTGCGGTAGGGGAGTGCACGGAGTGGGACACGAGTCGTCGTTTACCCGAGGTTCACAGATGAGTGGCCCAAACGCCCTCTTACCCCAGAGCTGGGGCCTGGACCTTCCCCGTCATGGACCTGTCAGGGCATTGCCGCAGCTCTGCCGGGCAGTTGGTCTTAGCCCCGGGAGGTGATCGCCCGAGTCCCGGTGGACGCCCGGTGGGCGGCCGGTGGCCCCCGTGCAGCTTCCATCGTCCCGCAGGCCCCCAACACAAAGATTTCGTCCAGGTTAGAAGCAGGAAATCATCAAACTTGCCCGCTGTCCGAGTGCGGGGAAGACGGCAAATGCATCAACGAGGCGAAAAAAGGTCCTTCCTGCGCTGTAGCTCGTACTGGACGCACCTTTCATATGACCAAATTGGGCGGTGCTGGGTTCTTGATCTATTCGTTTGGGGATTGTAAAAAGTACACAAGGAACCATCGCCGTGGGCGCTTATTGTCCTCTTTATATAAAGCATGGCCTTGACCGATATTCAAAACAACAAGGGGAGACGGCTTCTGAACGGGTCGGAAACGTGTTTCCGTCTGCCTTTCCCCTGTCACACTGCAGCAGCTTGTGTTACTTCGGACGCAACAAGGATTGTTGATGAACCAATCAATCAGCCATGTTGACAGATCCGTTGGAGGAGCATGCCAGAGCATTTCCTGTGAGATACCAGACAAGGGAGAGGAGATCAATGTGAACGAGTTCGACTGACCTTGACATCTAATGCTTCGTCGAGAAAAAAAGGGGGTTGTCACGTGCAGACAATCGCCAACTCGCCCACAACATACGGACTTCTTACAGAGAGGACCGAATATCGAAGTCACGAAGGAGACGGGCATCCGCTCCGTCGTCGTTGACCAGCAGATTGACCGGACTCAGACAACCCACAACATCTACTCGGTAAATTCCCATCCTGCTCAACAAGGCTGAATCACAAATGCCCGTGTCTCAAAATCCCCGGATTTCGTCATCGGTGTAACCGTTCGAGTCTTTCGACTGGGGTTATGAAACACGATCTTCCAATCAACCGAGATGAGTGACAGGGTCGAAGAACCTATGACTGCTGGCTCATCTCAGGTACACCTACCTCAGAGGTTAGGACCACGATCACACTGGGGTCCTCGTTGCACATTTCTAGCCGTCCAGTACTCGCAGCCAGCTGATGTCCGTTGATTGACAGGCCAGAAGATGACATGGAGAATTCCAGAGATGAAGTGTGGGCATGCCAATCACGTCGAAAAGGCTGAATGGTAGCCTCGGGCTGTTTGGCCTCAATGCTCCAAGGCAAATGACGTAGGTGGAGGTTGATCAAACAAGGACTCAGCCGACAACCTCGTTTCCCGCAAATTAAACATGTCTTGTTGTGAAACAGTGTGGTCCTCACCTGTGTGTCCAAAGCAACAACTCTGAGATCGTTTGACATTGAAATGACCGTTTCGACAGCCAGCAGGTGCTGGAGCTTATTGTACCTCGTACTTGGCACCTCGCATGCATAGCAACATTCCGAAGAGGTTTGCCGGCATCGAAGAAGGGAGAGGTCGGTCGGTCGGTCGAGAGAAGCTCTGTGGAACTAGGGGGAATGCACATGCGGCTCCTGCGTACTCCGTAGTGGCTTATCGTGTCAAGAATTCTCCATGCGTAGCGAACAATCTATATTCTCAGGCTTTGATGTGCTCGTCACCCAAGACCGGCCACTTGCCTGCCTCGCTCCATCCAGCCTCTAGGGTGCCTTGTGAGCTTCAATTGAAAGAAACTACGATCTGCTTGTGTGCTCAGAATCATCTCACAAATCCTCCTGCTTGTGATCGTATTGTGGCTGGAGTCTCCGATCACGCAATGCAGCCTGCAGATGCCGGTACCTGCGTACTTGCGGACATATGCCGGGAGGCACCGGAAGCGAGTCTGTTGTCAGTTCCTCTTCCATACGGAGGATTTCACTTGCAGCACAGCGGTCTCAACAAAGAAATCGGGGGGGCTGGCTTGCCCTTGTTCATACCGACCATCCAGTCTAGACCTGCCCCAAGACGAATCATAGGCCATCCAGACTTCCGCCGACTCTGGTCTGAGTTTTGATCTAGGCTCCGGAAGAGGAAGACCGTGCTGCATGCACGTCAAAATGTACCACCTCATGGCTACATCGGTACGCCTGACGGCGCGATTGCCCGGAGAAGAAGGAACCTCATCTCACTATTCTTGTTCTCTTGTCAAGGATTGGCTGACCGAAGCATTCAAGAAGCATCAGCCTCGGCAGGACTTGTCCATCTTATGAGCTGCGAGAGGTTTTTTTTTTTGGCTGGAGCGAGCCGTCGGGATTTGACGTACAGGACGAACGCAGCAAAATCATCCCCGCCCCCGCACTTTAAGATTGGTGTATGTATGTAGACAGGAAGACGAGGAACCCAGTTCACAAGGTTTCATCTGATTGAGCGACCACTAGTTGCATCGTGCTCTCGCACGTCCTGCTTCGTAGACACGAGCTGCCCGCGGTAGCGGCAAGCTGGAGATGAGACATAACCAGTCATCACGCACTTGACCGTGCAGATTGCCCGTAAGCGAACCAGTCCCCGCCTGCGTACAAATTTTGGCGTGAAACGGCGATCAGGTAGACTAAACATCGTCAAGGGTTCTCACACATGTTTTCGCCACAGGCTCGCAAAGGGCACAGAGCCCAAACATGTGGGGTCCAGGTAGATGGTGAAAGAAATGATAGCGATTCGTCCTGTGCGGTGATACAATCGGTACCATTTCGAACAGACAGCAGAAGGGCAAAGTCCTCGAAACAAATTCCTGACGCGGACACCATGCAAATGATGAGCTCGGCGTGCCAGACTTTCTTCAGGTGATTTCAACTCGGTACCTAGTGCTGCAGGCGCCACATCGTGAGGCAACACTGCATGATGCAGCAGCGGCAACCAAGCACGGAATCAGGCCAATCAACAGCCGAGCAGTGGCCGACCATCGGGTTCTGGTTGATGGCGTTGCACATGGAGCATATGGTTTCCAAGATTTTCGACCGTCTGAGGATCCTCTTGTTGTGTGCCAGCAGCTTCCCAACAGGCCGGAAATGTCGGCAGCCAGACGATGTCAAAGTGACCACCTTGGCCCGTGTGGATCTCAGGTGGTACGGCACACACCAACTGCACAATAGCCGGTATGAATAACCTGCAGGGACTTTGAGATACCACCACACCACAGAGCATGAGTGAGGTATCCGGGGCGGGAGAGATCTGAATTCAAGATCGACGGGCCTTGCAGAAACGTAGAAGTGCAGGGAAAGGCTTGTGCGGAAGAATGCGTCCTGCGAGATAAGAAGAGGGATGAATTCAGTTCATTGGGGTGCATATTGACAGCAACCAATGAGCTGCCACAGTTCTCAGGACAACAATAAGTATCGAGTAAGGTTTGAGGGAGTTTCCCATGACAAGCAGAAGCAATTTGATATGTTCTCTGAGTTAAACGCCGTTTCGGGCGGAGAACCACGAAATATGCTCAGGGAAATAATGTTCTAACACGGCACACAGGTGTATAGGTACTTAGCATCAACAATAATACCCAGGAATACGAATTCCCTGATACGGGATGTACGAGGGACTCGGTACTTGATCCAAACAAACTGACTGCGGACATGGCTAGAGACGCCGTAGGTGGTTTACCTTCCCGACGAGACCGGGGGCGTGGTGGTCATATAGCAAGGATTTGAGGGGCGGAAAAGCGCAGATAGCTGCGGGAAGGGGAACATGTAAGGACAAGTAACAAGGTGTTTGTGACATTTTAACTGGGGCACATCGAGTGGTGGCTGCGGTGGCGGTGGTGTTTTGGACCAGGTCGGGTGTGAGAGGTGTGGGCGTCACTGACATTTGACTTCTTTTTCATTGTCGCTGGCTACGGATCAATCAGCATGTGAGTAGCTGGTCAAATGTCCGCCTGCACCAACACCAAGCTCCGCGCCCTCAGCTTCAGGAATACATAACAACAGCTTGTCATGGCTACCATTATTCTTCCTCTTGTATGTCTTGTTGTCATGTTGATCGTGGATGGCCACTACTGGAACCCACTTGTTGCTGTTTGACGGGATCCCACCACTCCAGCCCATCACCAGATACGTCCAACTGAGGCTCCACCCCGGAAATAAGACCATTGTCTATCACTGCTCATTTCGAACCTCTTGGTCAGTCTCTCCTGCAACCTGCGTCCTGCGTCCTCCCTCTGTTATTACTACTACTGCGAAGTCCGTTGCCATACCCGGCCCTGTCTTAATGGTCCCATTATTCACTCGCTAGCATCCGCACCTCTCTTCCTTCTACCTTCGCTAGTCCAACTGCTGCTACCACTCCCGTTACTTGCTGCTGCCAACATCTGCGCGCAAATTCCAGTTTCCTTTCGGATCTTGTTTCCACCTCCCCAACATTCACCGTTGCAACACCTGTCCCATCGTCGCTATCTGCAACCTGTACGCATAATTCTCATATGGACGAATAGACCACTCGAACCTCCATAGACCTCCCTCGCCGCACCTCCATCGCTCCGGAGATCCAGAATCTGTTCCCCTCGATCTACCTCCCATGTCCATACGCGCACCTGCGCTTGTCACTCGGTCCAGCTGCTCGAACACCTCCCGGTCGTCTCTCTCTTACGTCGAACCCTGCTCTTAGGCAACAAACAGTTGGCTTAAGAGGAAAAACAAAATAAAAATAAAAAGAGATCCAGTCAACTCTGAGTCGAGTTGACTTGTCTGACGTCTGGTGCGATACGTTTCACGCATAAAAGTACCCCTAATCAACACACCTCTAATGCAATAATCGCCCGATCGAAGCACTGTCACGACCGACTGTACGATTGCGGTGGCCGAATCTTTGATGCGTGGCTGAATAAGAGCATTGCGATGCAGTAATAGGTGGAATACTCCTCATTGCCACAGGCTCCAGCCCAACTCTTGACAATGGTCGCTCCAACACCAATGGGCTCACTCTGGACTCTCCTGTTGTGCACGGTCTTTCTCTCGCTGTGGGCAACACCATCTCAGGGCCTCGACATTTCGTACTGCTCTCCAGACAACAACGCTGGCAGCTACCAAGGCCGTAAGTAGTTCACCCCCAAGATTGTGCAAAGATGCGCCTCTCACTGATACCCGACTCCAGACTACAACGAGTTCCAATCGAATGGAGCCTGCCAACAGCAATGTCAAGGCTCTTTTGCCTTTGCTGTCCTCCAAGGCTACTACTGCTGGTGCTCCAACTACGTCCCTACTCCGCAGGAAAGCACATACAACTGCAATCAGCAATGTCCTGGGTTTACCTCTGAATGGTGTGGCAACACCGACTCTGGTCTCTATGGATACTACCTCTTGAGTGCAGGAGTCCCTCTGGGCACCTCTGGTTCAACACCCAGCACACCATCCTCAACTTCCTCCCCTCCCTCATCGTCGGTTAGTATTGATACCTCCACCTCCACCGTTACTTCCAATGCCATATCCGCATCCTCTCCCTCCTTGGATACTGGATCCCCCACACCTTCCCCTGCGTCTGATACCTGGATAACCTCCCACTCTTCCTCCGTGGTAACATATGGATCGTCTCAGAGTTCTAGCGTGGCTGGCGTTGTGACTTGGTCAAGCGACACCTCGATGAGCTTCATGAGTTCCACTGTATGATAACCCAATTCCTTCTTCACTGACCCTGTTTCTGTCCTGATGGAAGCTCCTTCTTTTCAGACTCGTGTGCGCCGCTTAAGTGCAAAGCTGACAACCGTCGCAGACTTCTCCCCCTCCTGCGTCGACGACGGCCCCACCGCCAAATTCGAGCCCGAGCCCAAGCTCCAGCAGCTCTGCCACCGCATTATACACCAGTGTCACCACTGTGACGGGTGAAGTTCGGACTGTGGTGGTGACTCCGTCTGCAGCTGCCACCTCGGATGCTACCCTTGGCCAGAGTTCTACCGCAGGTGGCGGGGTCAGCACCGGTAAGGTCGTGGGCATAGTGCTCGGCGTGGCTTTGGGCATCGGCGGCCTGATCGGAACCGCGGTGTACCTCTGGTTTCGCCAACGCCACAAGAAATTGCAGCAAGAGAACGGCCCAGAAACGGCCTACCTTCCTCGAACAGGCGATAGTTCGCCATCCAACAATGTCCCGTCACGGCAAGTTAGTCAGTTGTCGTCGTCAGGCCTGTTAGGGACTAAGACTCCCCGCATCAACACGTCTGGAGTCACTCTGAGCAACGACCTGCGAAGTGCCGATACCGGCTCGACGGCCTTTGATCGTCGGAGCTTGGGCACAGACCAGAGACTGAACCCGTATGCGTTGTACATCCACGACGAGAGCCGCCTTAGCAATGTGTCTCTTCAAGACAACCAGGATTATTCCAGGCAGTTACGGGTAAGATTTTGTCCCTGAGCCAACCTGTGAGCCGATTGCTGATTGTAGACACAGGTGGCCAACCCAGACCCGTGAAACAACCAACATCATGGTCGACAACCGGTTAGGTATTTCTAATCTTTAATGAGAAACCGCACAGCGAACAAAATGGAGAGGGATGTGCACCTCGAGGAAACGAATTCTACGATGAGACGAGATGTCGCTATTGGCGACCTGCAACAGTTGGTACACGCATCCGTGAATCGGAATTGGAGGGCGTTCTGTGGGCGCATTGTACATTTTAGCATCGCAAAAAGTGGCGCATCGCCAAGGGATACGCAGCGAGCACATGTACGCATGCGGACCAGGCGTTCGATCTGTGGGAGCGGGCACCTTCAACGGGACGCCGGTTTGACGCCCGTGGCGTCCCATTCTGAGCGTCGAGAGCAAGTTTTTGCACCATGTCTTCAAGGGCGGGAACATTGGGTGACCACGTCGACTCTGTACAGGACCTGGTCTGAGCTCTTTTTCGCCAGGTCTACTTGTAGGTTTGGGCTGAGGAAGGCATATGGGTCTATATAGATGAAGACAAAAGTTGGGTCTCCCTGTTTTTTTGGTGTCCCCGATGATGCTGTGTGTACCTCGTACTCGGTAGAAAGAGGCGGCGACCTGACACACTCAGGTGGTGGGAATATGTCATTAGGCTGACGGGGGCTTTTGGTGTCTGGTGGTTGATGCCCAAAGCCCCCGTAAGAAGCAGGAATCGGCAAGGCTGTGCTGTGCCCTGGGCGGCGGAAGTTTGACTCGTCGGGCTTCGGCCCAGCCCGTAACCCAGAATTTGCATTGCGTGCAGGGGCAGTGAAAGCCGAAGAGGGACCCCAAGTTGGACCTCGACGTGTGCTGGCCTAGGAAAATTCGAGAAGATCAAGAACAAGCCCAGACCAGTTCGCATCACTGCCCAAGGCTCACAAGTGGTACCTGCCTACCTGCCTTATGATTGACTAACAAGCAGACCTAATAAATAATACAACTCAGGCATAGTAGACCTACAGTCGCCTAGTGGCCGCAGGTTGATGGCCCCTCCTCAATCAGGTCTGGTGTTCTTCCTGGTTTTTGTTCGTCGCCCATCCACTCGACCACCAAAATGCCCCTGGCACAAGTCATTGGGCTCGTGTGCACAACACTACTACGTCACCTGCCCTGTGCCAGTTGCCGCCAGTCGGTGGTCCCGTCATCGCCCTTGGGAGCACCTTGCACCTGTTGCAGCAGGTGGTGATGGTGATAGTGTCCTTTCTGTGCCCATCACATCGTGGCCCTCTTCCTTTGTGGGCATTGTTACTGGCTATCTGTCTCGTCGCTTTGTCAGAGATATTTGGGAATGGCAATGGGTGGCCAGTGGGATAACTGGACCGTCTAGGACACGAATGGAGATTGTGGGCGTTGTCTTTTGCTGCCAGAGGAAAAATGCCCTGGTGCATGCTCCAACGCTCACACATGCACATGTCCCAGTTGGCACAGTCCAAGTCCCACCCAAACTAGGCTCAACTCCTCAGCTGGCTCTCTTCTCACCTCACCACCTGCGTAATAACTCAACCAACCCCCCATCGTCCTCTGCTACATCTTCCCTCAACTCTCTTTCAACGTTGGCAGCGTGCATTTGTGCTTCTCGTTTTTCGGTTGTGGCTGCGGCTGGTGTGACAGCCTCTCTTCCTGCAACGTTACGCTTTACAACCTGCATCTTTTGAACAGTCATCCATTTAGGCAAAGACTTTGGCCCGCATCCCCTCCCCGAACTGGGCTGCCCAACCCAGCGAGCCGCATCTACGTGATCAGCCATTGTCCTCCCTGTTTCCTTCAAATCCTGTAGCCACGCCCTGTCATGGCAGGACGCCGCTATGCCGACGACGTGTCCATTTACGATGACCGTCGAGAAAGTTACTCCCGGAATGGTCGACGATACTACGATGACCGTTTCGTGGAAGAGGAGGTAGACTTTCGCCGTCCCACGCCTGTTCGTGAACGGGAAAGAGAAACCATCGTGCGAGAAGAAATCCGTGAACGGCCAGGGTCGACTCCTGCTTTCCTGCAAGAGGGCTATGGTCGAACCACTGCGGGGCCGGTGGTGCTTCGAAAGCGAGAGCAAGAAGACTACGAGTTCGTTGCTCGTCCTCGTCGGCGCTCACCCTCCCCGCAGCCAGAGAGAAAGGTGGAAAAGGAGGAGATCATCATCAGGAGAGACGAGTCGGAACATAGACCCCCTCCACCACGGGTAAGAGAGCGGGAGCGAGAGGTCGACCATGAAGAGATTATCATCCGCCGAGACGAGCGGGAGCCCGAGCGCAGACTGCCACCTCCCCAACGTGATCGAGATCGGGAAGAAATCATCATCCGACGAGATGAGCGAGAACGAGAAGTCCGACCACCGCCGCCCCGGGAAGTGAACTCTTCCCGGGAGGAAATCGTCATTCGCCGTGATGAGCGGGAGCGCGAGCTACGGCCACCGCCACCGCGAGAAGTCAACTCATCGAGGGAAGAAATTGTCATCCGCCGTGATGAGAGAGAGCGCGAGGTGCGACCTCCGCCGCCGAGAGAGGTCAATTCCTCAAGAGAAGAAATCGTCATTCGTCGTGACGAGAGTGACCGGCGCTCTCGCTATGATGACTATGACGACGTCGTCTCTCGCCGAGGGGACTTCGACCGGAGATCCGTTCGCGGCGATGTTGACAGGCAAGAAATCATCATCCGCCGTGATGAGCAGAATCTTGACGCCCCCCGCCGCTACGACGACTACGCGCTGACTCGTCCCAAATCGCATGAACGAGCGAGGTCGCGAGTTCGTCGGTCCAGCAGCGCTTCGAACGATGAAATCATCATCCGTCAACAGGAGCGAGAAGGACGCAGTGGCACTCGCAACCAACAGGAAATCATCATTCGCAAGACCTCTCGATCTCGGTCCCCTGCGACGTCAGTGACCTCAGCTCGCACGGCCCCGGCGCCTCTGCCTCCCACAGAGCCTCCGGTTATCAACGCTCCCACCATCCATCAAGAGGTCATAACACATCATCGTCATATCGACCATGGCTTTGAAGTTGCCATCCCGACCCGACCACGGGTGATTTCACGACCACCATCTCCGCCAAGCCCGCCCCTGGCTCCTCCTCCACCACCGGTACGAGCCCGATCAGAAGAGCGTATTGAGATCAGCAGAACCCAAACCCGGAACGGTCGTACCGAGAACGAAGATATTGTGATAGACCGCAGGGATGGTCCGGCCAGCCCGAAAAGCGTGGCGCCGTACACTCCTCCCCCGGTACGTGATCCGTATTACGACCCTCCACCGGCTCGTCGTGACGTCTATCGGGGCTATGAGCGGGACGTGCACGAAGAAGCAGAGTACTATAACGCTCGTGCCATGGATCGAGCTTATATCGGCGAGGCCTACCAAGGAGCTACCCGTGACTGGGAAATTGTCGATGTTCCCCCGGGTACACGTCGTGTCCGGATGGACGGTGCTGGCGGGGCAAGTCAGGAGATCACCTGGCAAAGGTACAATGGCGTGCGGAGAAGCAAGTTCATGCCTGACGGAGTTGATGAACGTTACGACAGCGCGGTTGCGAGACCCCTTCCAGCGCCGGCACCTGTGCTCCCGGCGCCGCTCCCGGCACCGATTCCAGTGCATCCTCCCGCTCCACTGCCAGCCGCTAATGGAGAAATTGGCCGTCGGTATGGAAAGGAGCGCAATCCCAAGGACGGCCTGTGGACCGAAGTGACCAAGGATCTCGTTGTCAAGGAGGCGATTCAAGAGATGGGGTACGAGTATGAGGAGACTGATGACTTCTACTATATTATCGCGTACCTGCGTTACGTGAGTTTTTGCACCGCACGACATACATTGCTTGCAAAGTGCTGACCGTGAAATAGGAAGACATTGCTCGTCTGGTCGGTCTGTCGGACGATATTCGCAAAGAGCGCCGTAAGCGGATCAAGGAGATTGAATGGGAAAATCGAGTGCTCCCTCCCGCAGTTGAAGAGCCACTGCCACGCCCTCTGGCCATCGAACCTCCACCGCCACGACACCGCCAGGAGTGGGATCGAGAAGAGGAGCGCTTTATTGAGCGGGAAGTTGTCTACCGAGGGGGTCGACCACCTCCACCACCCGGCTGGAGGCGTTGAATTTGAGCCGCAATCTAGACTCGGATTTATGGAGAAATGATGTTCAAGATGCTTCACGACGAATCAAGTGGAGACGAATTCCCTTTGTTTGGTGGATAGCATTTTAGCAAGCGTGAGTTTCCTTGACAGCAAAGACAGAAAAACAAGAGATATGCTCTATACCGATATACGAATTTTCCGATCTCAGGCTCGGTCAGAGGGGGAGGATGATGCTTGGGTATATTGGTGCCTGGGGTGCTTGATTTTCACATGTGATACGATTGACAAGATACGGCAAGATACGGCCTCGAAGAAGATTATGATGGTGTGATGATAATGTGGTGATGATGATCATGTTGATGAACGCTTGTCGCCTTGTCCTATGAGAGAGTCCATCGCCTGGGGAGCTACTTCCCACAACATCATATTGTTTGACCCATACGACACTGGCACACGATGATAATGTCCATGATGGGAGTGACGGCCTCTGCTGTGTATCGCCATTTACGACCTCTCCCGCACTCGATATAGCAACAAGATAATCTCCTGTCCATACTTGTGAAGAAACCTGGCTCGATTTGATGCTGTAATGTATGTCCACTGGCCTGCCATACGCAACAACAGCAACAACAACTGACGCTCAATCAAACAATCAGTCTGTGCCGAGTGGGGGGCGCTCCGCGAGAAAACTGAAAAAAAAAAAAAAAAAAAAAAAAAAAGAACGAGTTGAGTGTGAGAGTGTATGTATCCCAGACAGTTCGAACAGCCAGCCAGCCAGCCAGCCAGCTAGCTACATACATATCAATCTATTCACCATTATATACCGTCTTTCGGTTACATTAACTCCACACCTGGATTCTGGTTACTAGTATATATATATATATAATTTACAGTAAGATGTACTGCACATATGTACGTACTTATCTATGTATGTATAAGTAGGTATAGATAGGTAGGTACAGCGGGAGGGAATCTCGGGCGGAGGGACAGCCTAATTAATGAGCCTAGTGAGCCTTAGGAGGAAGGGAGGGAAGGGAGGGGACGGGGCGTCGACCGCTGAGGGAATACAGTATAGTTAGTATATAGGGGAAGGGAGCTAGCCACTTAAGCTATATAGCCATCCACCTACCCATTCATTCATTCATTCACTCACTCTTTCACTCACTCAGTTAATCATTAAGCACAATCAAACAACAATTATGATCAAGAAAAACAACACTCCCTCTAGGCCGTGATATATATTGCCTCGACCATCGCCGTTCTGTCAGGTCTATCTATCTATCTAGTCCCTCGCAGGAGAGGGGAGTAATGCCCCCAGTGGGATACACACAGGCAGGGTACAGCAGGCAGGGTACAGCAGGCAGGATATCTCTGCTTCTACTTCTACTTCTCCTGCCGTACTCGGTACGTACATAGAGATACATACATGCATACATACATACATATATACATACATAGCTAGATATACAAAACTCGTCTGTCTTCTGTCTGTCTGCGACGTGTGTTTTTTCTCCCTTTCCCGCCCGGAGTCAGGATTGGTATGATTTATCTTGTCTTATCTTCTCTGGTGTCGTCTTGGGGCAGGTAAGCCCGTTTATATTTCTCCTTTTTTGTTTTCTCTCTCTCTCTCTCTCCCACTCAAACCGGACTCTTGGGATAGTGGTAATCGGCGTCGTTCCTGCGGCTGGCGGCGCGGTCCGCTTCCTCCTCGTCCTTGATCTCGATGCTCGTGTTGACGTATATCTGCTTGTTGGTGTTGAGCTCCTCCTGGCTGGAGCTGTCGTTGGCCCAAAACGTGTCTGTCATGCTGCTCATCTTGTCCTTCCACCGCTTTGTCTGCCCGCCGCCCGTCACTCGGGTGGGGAGGTGGCCCATCTCGATGTCTCCATTGGGTGCGCGGCTGTTGCGGTTGTTGGTCCCCATGCTCGTGCTGCCGCCGGCGGTGCCCTGCTTGGCGTAGCCGTGGCTGCCGTAGCCGTAGGAGGGGGCCATGCCGCTCTTCTTGTTGGACGTAGTCTTGCGCGACGAGTGTGCTTCTTTGGCCTTGGAGTACAGGCCCGGACAACAGCCCACCATGACGGTGACCGCCGACTCGACGACCGCCCACAAGGCGAGCCACGATGAGGACGGGGTCGAGTGGCCCTGGGATTTGACGCCAATCTGGACCACGCGGATGGTGGCGAAGATGATACAGACCAGCCCGACGCAGAAGAGAGCTCCAATGCCGACTTTTTGCGACGTCGGCCGTTGCAATTTCCAGATCAGCCGCAGGGGGAGGAACATAACTGAAAGGGAAAGAACAGAAAATCAGCGACATGGACAGACTCGAGCCTGGCAGAGGTGACTTGGACTTACTGAAGAGATCTGACAAGACGTCCACCGCATAAGCGTAGTAGAGCGAAGCAATCTGAGCATCTACGTCTCTTTTCTCGGTGCACAACCCTGGCGTGAACCATGCGTGCATACTGTGGCAGCTGGTAAAGTTCGTGATGACACAGCCAATCAAGGTCTAGGCGGCGCAGTCAGTGGATGAGGACAACCGAACTTGAATCTTCGCGCAAAAAGAAGACACATCGACGGGGTTGGTTCTTACCAAGACACAAAATGCTGCAGCCGCCCACCAGAGGCGCAGATACATCGGAATGCCCATCATCAGTCGGCGATAGAGGCACAAAAAGGCAAACTTGACCGAATATAGCGTAAACCAGAAGATCATGGTGTTGGCGAAGAAGATCTTGATCATGAAGAGGGAGTCGGCCAGGATCTCGGGGTAAATTGGTATCTTGCCCGTTGTTGCGTCCGTGACGCGGAACATGGTGGGAGTCAAGACGATGTACATGACGGTGAGGGAGAGAAAGAAGAGGTAGGCAAGCAAGAGGAAGAAATCCTCCGCCTGGAAACTCTTCGGTTGACGGACTCTCACCAGCGCCCTCGCCAAAAAGACAATGCTGGTGACCGCAAGCATGGAGTATGCCACCCCAAGCAGCACCCTTTCAGAGACATAGTTCTGAGAGGATGACATGATAGGCAATGCAGAGTGTCGTTGTTCGAGGGTGGCAAGGCTGCTGGTTTGCTGGGCAAACCCCAGACCTCAAAAGACAGCAATAATGAGTGGACGGTGGCCAGGAAAGAAGGGATGGAGAAGAGAAAAGGCCATCTCTCAAATAATATGGGGAGATGGAGGACATTTTCCCTCTTTGCAAATGTCGATAACCATCTCCTCTACCGAGTACCACGAAAGGGTTTTGGTGCGACGCACGATGGGACAAGCGAGGTCGCCTCATGCTCGAGACCGGTTGGGATTCGCATATACCATGGTCTGGCGAAAACTTCCACGCCCCAGAGAGATGCAGTAACGTATACTGGGTCAACACCACTAGTGAGAGTCTTGGGCTTTGGCATACCCAGGGCAAATTCTTGATTTTCACGGTTCCGACAACGGTGTGGTGCTAAGGGCATCCTGGCCGAAGTCAAACGAACGCCCAGGCTGGCCTTAAACGTCTGCTAGAGGACGGACGACTCCGGTCTCTTACGGTCATCAGGGATCTGCCGGGTGCGGCGTCCAGGGAAAGTGAATAATTCATGTTTTGCTCCCCCGTTTAGCTCTTCCCCCTTCCCTCTTGCTTCTCTGCTTTCTGACACTCTTCGTCTTCACAAGAGAGGAAGCACGGGGGATGTGCTTCACTCCGTACAACCTGCAGCGTCAGTCTGGTCCTGAAGAAGGATTGCAAGAATAAAATGCCGTTATAGGCCAGGCCGCGGCCCATCAGGTTGGAAAAGGCACACCAGTCAAAGACTGCTCAGTCACTATCGAGCCCTTCAGACTGCATGCAACCTGCTCGTGGTGCCTCCAGGCTAGCCCTTAATCTTCCAAGATCGACAATTGGCCCACTTTGCTGTGAAGCCGTTACTGGCACTAACCAGAATATCGACAGAACGCCAATAAATGAAAACCAAACCCACTTGGTGCAAGACAGCATGTTGCATTAACCGTGTCGGCGTAAAGCTTAATGCCGACGAGGCCGAAGTCTGGGGAACCGGGCGATCGGGCGAACAAGATAGCCTCGTTACAAGTCGCTGTGGCAAAGGTCGACAAAACTTTTGCCTCTTCCCCTGTGAAGTGCATAACAAGTATGAACCCGGTACGAGTCAAAGTCTCCGTGTTCGCACAAGCACCAGCCTTCCGATACAAAGAGTATAGCTCCACAACGAGTGGTTTTTGGGCACTTGTCAGATAGGAGTAGGTCCAAACTTCGTCTCGATCGAGAGCTTTCTCGCTTCGGTAGGCATGATATCGGTGAGCGAGGGTTGGAACAAGGGGGCCATCATCTGTGAGCTCGAGCGTTGGATCAGATAGATATAGCGAGTCCTCGGCACGGTGCCTGAGAGTCTGGCGAATTGATGATTGCAGGATCAGATGATGGAGAGGAGTTGGGACGTGTGCCCTAGGTGCGCCAGTTCGGTCACGTGATTCCGCTAGTCTGAATATGGTTAGCGAGAGCCTAGTTGCATAGTACTAGGATTCAGGGGTTATATCAAAAGACTGAAGCCTTGGCATTCCATGGCACAATCTAATATTCCAGTCTAGGGATGCAACACGACAGTAGGCGAGGGGCTTTAGCTTTCTGTGTAGCCTGTCAACCCTTTCTTCCTATCAAGTCTGGCGCTTCCGCATTTCCATGAGCAAGAAAAGGAATTCGAGCACCAAAGTACAGGGTATGTCCTCGTCACCTCTCCCACACCCCCAGTGCCTCGTGGCAGTGAAGGGTAATACCCAGGATGTCCGGGTGCTTTCCGAGCTTTGCATCTATCCGAAGTTTCTATTGGAACCGATGCTCACTAGTTCTGGCCCAGTCCACTAGACTGCCTGGAGTGGCAAAACCGTGAGCTTCAGCAATCCACGAGTCAGAATCTTGCTGCGGCTCTAAAGGTTAGTTCCAGGGACAGAACCTTCTTCCATGTTCAACACGGGATAGGAGTGATTCAGCTCACCCCCAAGTCTCCGCTAGAAAGTCTAGGCAAACGCCGAAATCTCCAAACGTGGCAGATCCCGACTCCAAACTCGGGAGGTTTTGGATCCTTATATCGAACCATTGAAATGAACGCCCACTTGTCTCTATCAAGTCCACCTTGTCTGAATTTCGACACAAAGAAATGAGAATGTCGAGCAACTATCAAAGCGCCATTTGACCACGCGACAGGCCCACATCGTTAGTACGAGTATCGAGGCCTTCCACGACGTCTTCTGTGGAGAGCTTTGTCGTAGACGAGATACATCAAGGAGGAGTTATTGCGTGGTCGACGAAATTTGATCTGACATTTCGGAAGGGTGGGCACCACCAGATGGCTGATCCTGGCCAACGTAAGTAGCCAGCCTTTTCTCCTTGATCCCAGTTCTCTGGCTTCCCCTTCTGCATCTCATTCTTTCGCTTTTGGGGACTGTTCAAGCTTGCAGAGGCTAGGCACAGGCTGAATTTGCTTTGAAGCCTTGGCAAGTGTAAAGCGAGCATCAATCGCTGCATCCACAGAGGTTGCACTCCTTTTCTAGAATTCTTCTTTCTCTCGCTTCTCTACATTTTCTCGTATTTTTCTCCCCCCCCCAATCATGCGCTTCTCTCTCCACGTGGCCGCCCTCGGCCTGGGGTTTGCGGCGTCCGTCGCCGCTCAGAACACGTTTGAGCCACCTGATTTCAACGTCACGGAAGCTCTCTTGGAGCAGGGCGTCAATGTATCGGCGTTGCCAGAGCTTGACTCCCTAACCAAGAGATCCTCTATATCTGCATGCTCGATTGCGGTGAGTGTCCATCCTGAACACGAAATTTCGGAACACCTCACTGACTGTTTCCACCAGTGTGACACTCTGAGGCTTCTCTTCGGCTCATCCAACGTGATTGAGCAAGGCAACCAAGGCTATAACTCCTTTACCAACGCCTACTGGTCCGTTCAGCAAGAAAATGTCGATCCTTACTGTATCTTCAAACCGGCAAGTGCGGCCCAAGTGTCAATAGCAATTTTGCTCTCTCGACTCACTCAATGTCCCTTCGCTGCCAGGTCTGGCGGGCATGCCGCCTTTGCCGGCGCATCCAGCATCCAGGGTGGTATCACCATGTCACTCGAGAAACTCAACACGATCCAGCTCTCATCCGACAAGAAGACCGCCGCCGTCGGCCCTGGGAACACATGGTTCACCGTGTACACCGCCCTTCAGCCTGCCGGTGTGACAGTAATTGGCGGCCGTGTCTCAGCCATTGGAGTGGGTGGCCTCACCACTGGCGGTGGTATCTCTTTCTTCTCCAACATTTACGGGTGGGCCTGCGACAATGTTGTCAGTTACGAAGTTGTGACCGCGTCCGGTATCATCGTTACTGCTAGCGCTACCCAGAACAAGGACCTATTCTTTGCCCTTCGTGGCGGCGGCAATAATTTTGGCATCGTGACCAAATTCACATTGAACGTTATTCCTCTTCCTGGCGGCTTGATGTGGGGTGGCGGCCGCGTGTCCCTGGAAGACCAATTCGACGCTGTCATCGATGCCTTCTACAATGTTGGCGTCAACTCGCCTCAGGATCCCAACGCCGCCCAGATCCTTTCGTTCGCCTATGCACAATCTGCTGATCTCAACGTCGCCGCTGCCGACCTCCAGTACGCGAAGCCCGTTGCTAATGCGCCAATCTTCGCCGAGTACTTGTCCATCCCTGCCATTTCCGACACCACCAAGGTCCGCACACTGGCAGACCTGACTCAGGAATTCAACGCCAGCAACCCCGATGGCCTGCGCGAGACTTATTGGGCAGCCACGTACAAGCTCAACAAGAACCACACGGCCTCGGTCCGAGACATCTTTTTTGAAGAACTCGAATCGATCAAGGATGTCGCTGGTTTGGTGCCCGCCGCGACCTTGCAGGTCATCACCGAGGGTCAACTGGCCGCCATGACCAAGAACGGGGGGAACCCACTGGGTCTCTCGACCTCCGCGGGTCCGTTCTTGCTGCTCAACCTGAACATGATGTGGACCAACGCCGCCGACGACACGAGGATCCTCCAAACGAATCAACGGATTGTTAGCCGGACTGTGGCCCTGGCTCAATCGATGGGGCTGTACGAGGACTACATCTACATGAACTACGCCAGTCAGTTCCAGGACGTCATTGCCAGCTACGGTTCGACCAACAAGGCGAAGCTGAAAAGCATTGCCGCCAAGTACGATCCTACCGGCGTCTTCCAGACGCTGCAGCCGGGATACTTCAAGCTGGATGGACCGCCTAGCCCCACTGGGCCGTAGAGGGTTGTTGTACTCGTGACGAGATTGGGGGTTGAGATGTGGTTTTAACAGCGGAAAAATCATTCCTTTGTTTCAAATCTCACCTATTAACACTCTAGATTTCATGTTCAGCGGCTGTCCGTCTTTTCACATGTTGCAGCCCTCCCTGCCCACTGTATTATTGTTTTAATTAATCAAGGGTCTCACCATGTATGATACTATGCTTTACGAGGGGCAGGGCAGGGCAAGGCTCGAAGGATCATGTAATTCTAATAGTAATTCTACAAAACGATCTCATGCGTTTCAAACTTGGGTCTCGTCCAAACCTCAGTTTCTCATTGGGAGGGTCCTTAAGGGTCGATGTGGGTTGCGATGTATTCTTCAACATGGCCTCAAGGCCATTGGCTCTCACCCTGACAATCTCAGTTTCAGGACCCGGTGCATCCTTGTCCGGCCAACCTGACACAAGACACTAGCAATATGGCAGCGTAAGCACTTGAATCATATGGCACAAATCAGCCTAAGGGTCCACGGTGCGTGTGTGTAGGCCTTCCCAGCAGAGGTGTTCCCAGCCAGACTTATTAGAGCGAAGAACCCTAATCCTTTCGCAGTCACCCCAAAGAGTGTGTGCGGGCGGCTGCGAGGTGGGTAGATGGTCCAAGACATAGATGTACGGCATGTTCATCGGGAAGGGCGTATGGCCATGGAAGAGAATGCCATGATGTCAACGGTAGGACCTGGACGCCCAGGGCCCTGGCTAATCGATACATGCCGTGACTGAAAGAGAAGATGTTGAGGCAGATAACAGCTCAGCACAACTGCAAGGTGAGCGATGTGAGTTGAAGCCGCAAGGCTGAAGCTTACCTAAAACAAGTTAGTCTGGAGCTAAACCGCATCTGAATCTCTCTCTGGGCAAATGACGGCATCGTCCTTGGAAGTTCACAAAGTGCAAAGCAACACCATTCCACATCTTCACACAGAGCCTCCAGTACCTAGGTTGTTTCCAGGGCTGAGCTCTCCAGACATCAAGTCCCTCCCAGTAAAGCTAGCTCATTGATCTTTCCAGGCTGCATACCACCGCCGCCGCTGCACTCATACTGCCACAATCTCACTTGGCTTCAGCAAATGAACTGAATTGGTCAGTGATCAAGCAGACCCCCACGCCTGACCTTCGTTTGCCACAAGAATGGCCGATCAAACCACTTCCGACCATGACGATTCGCTCAACGTCTACATCTTAACATACAACTGCGCACGAACCCTCGTCAACCCTGCCATTTTTGCACCGTACCTGTTCCATGCTCTCCCTCCAGACAGCGACGCCCCGGAACTTCTCGTCCTCTGCCTGCAGGAGCTCGCGCCGATCAGCTATGCCTTTCTCGGAGGCTCGTTCCTGACGCCCTACTTCAAGGCGTTTCGGGAGACCGTGAAGCTCGCCTCCAAGGACCATGGGTACGTGAACGTGGTGAGCAGGAACTTGGGCATGACTGCCATCATGGTCTTTCTGAGGGATGACGTCGTGGACAGCCTCGCGTGGGTCAGGACAGCCGGAGTTGGCGTGGGTGTTAGCGACATGGGTAACAAAGGCGCCGTGGGGGTTCAACTGGGATATAGAGTAACTCGAGGCGACCTACCGACAGCAGCAGATGGCGAGGTCGAGGGTGGAATCGGAGAGGTTGAGTTCACTTTCGTCTCGGCCCATCTCGCGCCCATGGAAGATGGTCTCGAGAGGCGAAACGAGGATTACAAGAACATTGTGCAGAGATTAGTGTTCCTGCCGGATCAGAGACGCAAGGCTCCGCTACCTCAGGGCGAAGAAGGGGAAGACGCGCCTCTGCTACAGGGGTCACTCGCTTCGCAGGAGTTCCAGACCCTTGGTGGGGAAGAAAGAGGGATGTACACAGCATCATCATACTTCTTCTTCGCTGGTGACCTCAACTATCGCACATCACTGCTTCGACCGTCTCCACAGGATGTCGAGGAGAAATTCCCGCAGCCCAGCCCGGGCAGGGACGGTCCCATGCACTTCCACGATCTGCTCGCGGAGGACCAATTGAATCAGCAGGTCAAGGCTGGGAAGACTCTGCACGGGTTGACAGAGGCTCCAATCACGTTCCCACCGACCTACAAGTACGACACTGACGGAAGCAAGGCTGTCCTCCTGGTCGATGGAGATGACCGTCAACACTGGAGCTGGGCACGTCATCGCTGGCCCAGCTGGTGCGACCGTATCTTCTTCTCGAGCCCCCGGATAAGTGACGTCAAGGTGACTCCGCTTCGATACACGTGTCTGCCGCTGTTTGCAACCTCGGATCACCGCCCAGTAGCACTAGCAGCCTCAGTGCCTCTGAAGGCGGTATCGAATGCAGGGCAGGGGGAGGGTGAGAGGGGCCCGACGACGACAGCACCATTCGGCATCGACCCAGACTGGAGGAGCAGGAGGGTCCAGGCACGCAGGAAGGAGTTGGCCGTGGGGATCATGGCTTATCTGGCACTGACATGGGAAGGTAACGGTTTGCTGGTTGCAACGACGATTGGTGTTGTGGGTGGATGGTTGATTATCAGATCTCTTCTCTTGCAGTGAAGCGACGACTGGATCAATGGGTCAATGGGGCGGGAAGAGACAGCCGGAAGATCGGCAATGAACCCTACATTTCTTTCGCAGTGCCGACATTCAGGATTCCACGAACTTGTCCAAAGGAGGGAATTCATTGTGACTTGGAAGAGGATAGAGGCAGCCCAGGGTGGGTGTTGACCAGCTGATTCACCAAGTGTGTGGGGAATCTGGTCTGGATTGAAGAACGGAGTACCCCCCAAACGAGTATGGGCAGAGGGGATTACGCGAGTGCTTCTCGAAGGTCGGACAAAACGCTTCGATAGGCATTCTAGCGCCCGTCGTGGAAGCATTCTCGGTTGGGACATTTCCCCTGCTGATCTTCTTTTTCTTTCTTCCTGTGCTTTGGCGCCCACCTGTCGACCAGTCGCCGTAAGAGGAAGGCGCGGGGAATAGCCTGGATGAAATCACCCGGCATGTATGTATGTATGTATGCATGCATGCATGCATGGTTCTGGCTGCTGGATCACGTTGGCGACGAGTAATCTGGGCCCAGGCTGAAAGGTTACCGAACTGGGCGCCTTCCATGTACAGTATGTTCTGGGTCGGCACCAGCCGGGGCCATGATCAGTGCATCCTCCTCGATCAACTTCTGCAGACCACCGGAACTCACGTACGAGGTGGTACTATGGACTTGTTTGCAAAGCTGGTCGGCGACAGCTAGCTATGAAGGGGACCTCATATTTGGGATTCTGGGTGCTGTTCGTTCCACATTCCTCGCATAATGCCCTCCTTTGGCAGCACATCCAGCGTCTTGGTAGCGACTTTGTTCTGACGGTGCCGGCTGACATAACGAGCTGCAGCTGGATGATGGAGGGCGGACCTCTGTTGGGTTCTTGTCAGCCTTTGGTGCCAATCCGTCAGGCCCTTCATTGGTCCACGGCCCGAGGCGCGAAGTTGCGGGCTCGGTGGGAGTGGTGTGATGACTACTGTTGGTCCGGTCCGAGGATTATGCGGCCTTGATCCTTTTGTATGTACATCGAGTATGTGTGGGAGCGAGCAAGGGGATCCAGCGGAAGAGTTTCGTACAATCCCACCGTGCCAATCGTGCCACGTACCAAACCCTTCATCCAACTCAGAGATGAGTCTAGACCAGCCGGCCGGACTTGTGGTCTGGGTGCTCAAGCCATCAGCTGATTCACAGACGCTGGCTCCGCGTTTCAGGTGCGGCGTCCGGAATTGCATGTATGTCCTACATACTGTACGGAGTACGGCCCAAGTACGGGGATATCAACTATTGAACTGCGGAGCTTTGTCATTGTTTTTCGACCCCGAGAACGCTCTTTATGTATTCCACGCTGAAAGGGTAAAATTTTCCGTGGTGTGAGTGCCTTGAGACCCTATGAATGATCATCCCACCAGGCCAAGAGCATACCAGGAGATGACTGATGCTAGGCTGAGACCCAGTGAAGGGACTTGGAGTACCGAGTAGGGCATGAATGGCAGATGTCGGATGAGCCCGCAGGGTTCCGTCGAGGGGAGGGGGGGGAGTTTCTCTCAGGCAGAGCGTTACGGGCGGTGATGGGCGCTGCGGGAGCCTGCCTGACACCTAGAAAATAATAATGAAGGAGCCTTATGCCTAGCAGCCTGTTCTGACTCAGGCTATTACTAGGCGCGAGTCACATACCCAGTAAGGAAAGCGCACCTTGACTGCTGGTTGACGCGAGAAAGGGGTAAGCGTACTCGTAAGTGCTGGATCCGGCCCCCGGGAACACAGCGCAGGGCGCCATGTAACAACAACACAACGCAAGGTAACCAGTTGACGAAACCTCGTGTCTGCACTGCACTGTACATAGAATATTTCCCGGAAATCTGGCTAATTTTTCCCCTGCAGTCTCGGCGATTATTGACGTGCTGAGGTGAACCAGGGCTGAGTGGTCCGACCAGAAGAAGGATAACGGGATAACGCTTCTGAACGATACCGTAGACGTGGGCAACAGGAGCAGTGCTTGCGTGTTGGGTGTGCGTCCAGTCCAACCAAGCACGGAGCACGGAGCAATGGAGGGGAGACTTGTATTATTCGCTACCGAGAACTCTTCGTGGGTGAGAAAAGGAGGTGTTCGGTGCCGAGCCATCCAGGGCGCGTACACGTACACGTATGTACACGCACACCAACAGGCGCAGGCGCAGGCGCAGGCACAGGCAGCATTGGGAAAAAACAAATTCGGTGAGGGCACCCAACGTTTGACCAAACCAACAAAGGAAGTCGTATGTTCTGCTCCCGTAACAATGTGCAGGCAGGGTGGGGTGGGGAAGCAGAATAACGTGATGAGGCCGCGACGGGGCGGAAGAACAGTCAGGCGGTGCCCCCTGTAGGCTGTAGGCCCAATAACTCGTACTGCGTACTCGCAGGTTATGCCCTGTGGCTGCTAGGTCACTACTAGGCCACCAAAGCCTGGTGCCCTGATGCCCGGATGCCCAGCTAGCTAGTCATGGATGTGTCATGCCAGCCCACACGCTGAGCGGCCCCATTAGACTTTTGCCCGAGGGTTTCGGAGCCCCAGGGCGTGACATCTTTCTGCATTGATCATCGATACGCTAAACCATAATCCGGTGTAACCACCACCACTCGCCAGGGACTGGGCACTATATCACCCTCGTTCCATCCGCTTTCTTCAAGGCCTTGAATCTCCTTTTTTCTCTGAACAACAAACTCTCCCTTGAACGAATCAAGACTTCGCCTTGAGGACGACGACGACGACGAGTACTCTGGCGTATAGACTGCGACCCAGTTGTACGGTACAACAACAAATCGCCTTGACCACCCTGAACATATTTGCGCGACCAATCATCCCAATTGATCACTGATCTGAAACGAATACAAACGTCATCACTTTCATTGGCAACTCAACACACAACCCGCAACTCACGTTCACATATCATCCAGCGACAGCCTGTCCCGCTCGGGATTCTTCTCTCTGTCCTGCACTGCCACCTGGGCGTTGAATTGCGGCGCCATAACAAAGCCAAGCAAAAAAGAAAAACACACACAACATGTTCTCCTGCTCAAATCAACCTCGGGGATGCCGTGGGCGATGCGACACTGCCGGCGGCAAGTGCGCCGAGTGCAGAGTATGTTGGCCGTCTTTCGCATCTTCACACACATGGCGGTTATTCTAACCTCTCTTTTCCTGCAGATGTACAACTTCCGCAGTCGATCCAGTCGTCCCTTCCGATCAGTCCTCACACAGCCGCTCAACGTCCGGTCGGGTCTGCTGACTACGTCATTCGAGGCTGATGTCACCATGCCGCGGTGCCCTGCAGATGAGGCCAGATAGTTGCCCACTCGGACTCGAAACAAACCCAATCATCACCCTTGCACCAATCTCACCCATTTATCCTTCGGCAACTCATGCCTCTGGGTTTTGCCCAACCTTGGCGACAACCCAAGGCCTCTGCGCACCACCCGTCTGGATTGGGTGCTCATGAAACCTTGATACCCCACGAGCTCTACGACCATTGACGACCGCCGCCTCCGATTGGTGTTGGCCTTCTGTTATCCGGCCATTACCGCCTTTTACCAATTTCACCTTTTCGACTTATTCCTGTCCTTGTTGGGTTTCAGCGTCGGCGTTTTCCAAAGGGGGAGGGGGGTGGATTACACTTTGGATCCAGCATAATTTATTAGCGACTTTTTTCTTCCTGCATTCCGAGGCAACGACTCCTACGACCGTGCATTTTCACCTGCATTTTTCTCGACTTTGTTGATGGGAGCCCAGACCGACCACGTTGTTGTCGGTCTGCGGGCCCCCTGTGTACCAACGCTATGATCAGCACCGCCCGATTTGGACCACAAGTGACGACACAGCTTGCAGCGTGCAGCGTGCAGCTGCAGCCGAGGAACGATCCTTGTGACAAGTTGGGGGAGGGCGGGGTTTGTCGATCCTTTTCTCAAAAGCACACATTCAATGGAAAGGGGTTGGGGGGTTGGAATAGCACAAAAGCGAACGGGGACCGGGCGTCTTCGTCAATCGATAGTGAGCCTGCAACTGGTTTTCCTGCTCATGTACCAACACTGGTTTGCGTCTGGATATGTCTCACCTACGCAAGCTGCGACTGTACCTTACAAGACATTGGGTCCAACTCATTCCTGCACGGAGAGTGACCTAGGCAAATGAATCAAAAACCAAAAAAAAAAAAGTTGAACAATCTATCTCTAGCTTCGCTGCATGTTCTATTCTGCGTCCTGTGCTTCTTGCATCAATTACTACCAATTACGCTACATCCGCTGATCAATCTTTAGCGCCGTGCTCGCACAATGCAAAGACCTGCACCGCCTGACAGGGTCTGACTCCGTCATGCATGCCAATACCACAAGCTACACCGGTATCGCCCACAGCACACACACTCACACACTCACATATCTTCGCATCACTTTCTCAACACAGGGCAACCGGCGACGCAGGGACTGTGTGTGGAAATGCCTCATCTCTTTCCTCTCCTCCCCACACGGTCTGCGGGCCGGCAGGGGAAAGGCTTTCCAGTCCGTTCCGAAAGGAAGTCCACGGTTCAGCACTACGGTATTATTTCTCTCATGTGTTCATGCCACCTCGCATGGAATGCGCCTCGGCTCGTATTACTCGTGGTGCTCGAGGGGTGCGCTGAACGCGGTAACCTGGGCCGAGGATAAGCAGTCAGTTCAGTCAGTCGCGTGGTGGTGGTGGTACTATCTCGTAGGTGAGTGCTTTCTTTTAGACCATCTCGCAGTAGTTCGAGGAGGAGAGGAGTGCCTAGTTCATCTCTAATTTTGGTGTGCTGTTCCTTTGGCATGCATGGCGAGCTGGGTGAGACACAAGCGGGCGGTGCTGTTCTGACCTGCAGCAACCGTTCACTACGGTCTGGGTGGTAGGCCTCGTCGCCCCCAAAGTTGCCGGCTCTCTCCGCCATTTCCGCTTCTCCCGCATGACCGAGTCGCTGGCATTACTCGCATTACTGCGTATGATTCCACTACCTGCATGCCTCACCCTCGCATGGTTGCCCCTTTCCTTTCAAGGTCCGGACTTGTGGCATGATTGGTGGCCTGCCTGAGGCTCGTCGTCGCTCCAATGATGTGGGAAGCCCATTTTGCCCAGCATTCACCACCTCCTCTGATTGAATGGTCCAACAGCCTTGCAACCTCGAACCAATTCTTCGGATAATGGTTCTTTCACGTGAATCACGGGAAGCCCAGTCCCGGCCAGGCCTGTGCATGTGCTTGCCTCTGTCGACGTGCTCGCTGCGGTCAGAGCACTCTGCTGTCGCCATGTCTTCAGCTCGACACTTGGACGCAATTGTTTATGATCATTGCCGCCGATGTTCTCTTGTTGAGGCCCAGTTCGGGACCTTGAAAAGGAGATAGGGCCTTGTCGCACTTTGAAGTCATGTCTCCATGTCTCGCGCATCTCCGGACGCCACCAGCTTAAACATGGCTGCTCCAGTGTCGATTCTCAGAAGAATGCAGAGGTAGGGGCGGCTTGGGTAACGGAAATGAATGTCGAGTTGATGCTATAGACGATGTCGAGCGTCATGGCTGCCCTTTCCCCTCAACTGAGGCGTGATTCAATAGCACCACGCAACAGCTCCTTCCTGAAGATGGCCGCTGTGGACTATTTCTGCAGCCGGCCTTTGCCAACGTCTGGTCTCCGAACCATATCTCCCAGCCTGCAATTTTGGATATATCCAGTATGACCGACTGTCTCTATCGCAATAGAACAGTGGGCGATGCTTTTGCTATGGTGGCTGCGAGGCACGCCATGACCTCCTCAGAAGTTGGTCCTGAAAACTATGGAGCTCTACCATCATCGTACCGTCGGATCCGGAAGTCGAAATCGCTCGTGGCGTTTCCCCACGGCAATCTGCGTCTGCGTCTCCAGCGCTCCCTTCCTTTCCTGCGACACCGGAGTACCACCACCTTCTACAAAGGCTCAGACGGCGATTGGGAGAGACACGAAGAAGCGGTCCAGATTGCTCGAGCACAGTTCCTCGATGGCTCTGGTCAGACAGACCTGCAGGAGACAGAACAGCACATGCCGCAGAAGGTGAAGAAGAGAAGAAGAACGCCGCACAAGTTCAGAAAGACTGTCCGGGCCAGCGCCTATCTCGACGCTGTTCAGCTAGATACCCCAGCCACGAGATCGTTCTCGCTCACTTTTCGCGATCGAGTCCGCAGGGTGCTTGGGAAGTCCCTGAGTAGGAAAGAAAGCCTGCCTCCGCAACAGTTGGAGGCTCAGCGCAACCACTTCGCCGAATTTGACCAAGAGGCCACGCTGGTGAGTGGGTTTGACGCATACCACATCACCGACGACGGTCACACTCCAAGTCGAAGTAGATGTTCCCAACCTATCCGCGAAGATGATCTGGTGGAAGATCGTGACAGGGTGCCGTACACCGTACATTCAGCTGCAAGTCGTGAAAGCCTCCACTCCAACGCACGATCTCGAGTCACCAGCTGGACCAACTCCAGCATAACAAGCTCGATTGGTTTGCGGTCTGGTCCTATAGAGCGCAATCGGCTATCGATCATCAAAGAAGATGGTGGTCCGCACCAGCCATCATCATCTGCCGGGAAGCATATCGGTGGGGTCGCAGTGTCTCTTGAGCCATCGCAGTCAGCCACGAACAATGCCCGGACATTCCCGGCGGTGGACAGTCAGGAAATCTATTCGGCATTGGTCAAGCGAATCAGTGAGGAAGAGGTTGAAGTAGAGAGGACGCGAATTGCACTGGAAGCAATCAATCGGGACCGCGAGCCGAACAGCAGCAGTGAGGTCTCGGACGCGAGACCCACCATCAGAGCTATTCACAGTGATTCTTCACTCAATACAATGACCGCGCATAATGCGAACCGGCGATCTAGCAGCCAATCTGGCTCATGGCAACAATCTGCTGACACGAGGACGGATGAGCAATACAAGGAGAATGCTGACAAAACATGGGAGCGGCTGGCGGAACAAGAGTCACAGTCGACTTTCTTCCCCTTCTCGAGCGAGAAGAGACCGAATATTACTCCAAGCCCCTTCAAGAAGTTCCTGGACGAGAGGCGTCACCGCAGCCACAGCAGGAGCCGACGGCGCGACCACGCGGATGTGGACAGGGGCAGCATTATTGTCAATCGCCAGTTGAGCAACCCTGTGATGGAGCGCCCGCAATTCGGTCTAAGCACTGCGAGCATCTATTCGCGAACGACGAACGGCGGATCGAATGAACAATACCAACGGCCATTCGACAGCTCGGATGAGTTGCGTACAACTGGTCCCGTAGAGTCAGAAACGAACGGTATGGCAACCATTTTGTCGACATCATTTACCTTGTCTGCGAATAGCCAACGGAATCCCTGGCCAGATGCTGTCTCGCGCCGTGATATTGAGCCAGATATCAATTCCAGTTGGCATGCGCGAGAAACAGCTCAGATCAATCCGGAGGAGGCAGTTGCTGACGACGAAGAGATGGCCTCGCGGACACTGGCGATGTCAGCAGATTCCCGTACCGCACCGAGCCGATTTCCCCTGCCCAGTGTCGGCGCTGCATTAGGATCCGCCACTCCGAAAGTGTATAGGACTCACGCTGATCTGCTCAAAAGGGCCAGCGCCGACGCCTTGAGCAGCATCTCCAACAAAGCCGAGGATGGGAGCAAAGGTAGCGGCAGCCTGCGAAAACTGAGCCCCGGAAACATTGCAAAGCTTTTCAAAGAGAAGAGGAGCCAGAGATCACTTGGACCTCAAGGTGCTGGCAAAGAAAACAGTCCGCCGGTTCAACCAGATTCCCCACCCGTAAGTACCCCAGGAAGGATGCACCTGCAGTTCCGAAATGGTACTACGAATGGGCGACTGCGCAAGAGGGCCAGTGAAACTGTGTTCTATTCTGGAAATGTTTATGCTACCTCTCATGGCTCTATCTCGACCACGCCCAGCAGGTCGCACGAAAGCCCCAGCGAGAATGTCAAACACCACCTGGTCGCCCGACTCAGCCGGCCCTTTGATATGGACGTTCCCCCACACAATCGTCCATTCGACAGCATGTATTTGGGTAAGAGAACGTCAGGTCATCCAGATATATTTGGGGGCAACAGATTGAGCGTAGCCCCTCGAACCACATTGGACGAACCCGGCCTGGACATGCAGACAGATCCGGGAGATGGACATGAAGGCACGACCGCACTACCGCCCCGATCTTACTCCGTTGGAAAGAGTGCAGCCAAGGTGTTGGGACTCCTGGGCAGCAAGAGAATGGTCAGCAACTTTCTGAGAAGCCGACGGGGAGAAAGAAGTACAAGTGCGGGTGAACATATTTTGGGCGAGGGAAGTCCAGCATTCATCTAAAACACACACACGGCATAGTTTGACTCCAATCAGTCCAGCATTGTTTAGAGGCTACCAGGCGCAATTGTGTTTAGCTCACTTGCTAGTGATCCTAACATGGTAGCATACAGCATTGAGCCGGGCTTGAGAAGCCGAGCAAACCAGGAATAGAAGGGCTGCAAGAACTGGCAATATCTTATCTTAACTAGAGTCGAGTCAAGCCCGTGAGTGGACAAGGCTCAGGGAGCCGCATTTGCCTTTGACACTCGCAATTGCCCCAACCGTCGTTGTATGAACATGAGTATGAGCTCGAACCTGAATATGGACTACGCAGCAGCCGTGCCATATTATCTCCTGGCATGCTGCAATATCGAGTGTAGCTACAAATAGAGACGTTAGTGGTTGTCAGCACGTGACGTGGTGCGGAATCTCAGCCTTCCTTTCCCTCTTCTCGACCTTCATGTCACTCTTCCGATCAATGAACCTCCCTTCAACCCTGTTGTTTATCGAATTCATAATCGGGTCTTGATGGTCATGCGTATTTTATTCATGAACCTTATACCGCTGATGACCCACCTGTTTTCCGTATCGTCGAGTGTCCTCTGTTTGATACCGGCGTCGTTCTGTTTGTATTGCAGCTCCCTACCAGGCCATTGTTACGAGTCCCACCCGTTGCCGCCGTTCAAGAGCCTGCGGAATCACTCTCGGGGACGCTATGGATGACCTTACCATCAGCTTTTTCCGCCCCATATTTAGAACGCATTTGTCAACTAGCCCGTCGTATCAACCTGAAGAGCCCCCAAGAAACGCTACTGCCTCTCCTGAAATCCTGTGAATTCAATACGATAACCCTCCAGGGAACCTTGTCCATGCCGCGTTTCTCTGTCTACTCTTTGCGTACAGACCAGCGAGGAGAGAGACTTACAACCGGTGGAGCACATTATCCACCGAAATAAGAAGGATGCCCGTTTGAACCGATATCTGTGCAATGGAAGACTGCTACAGCTCTTGAACGAGGCGAGTACCACAACTGAAAATACTGAAGAGCTGGCTCAGGTCCATACTCGTATCAGGCTGGCTCCACAGGAACGAATTCCTAACCGTCTCCATCGAAGAGCAGGACTACTTGGGTGGAGATGCGCACTGTTCCACCTCCTGAGCCACTGGAACGAACGCTGTATTATTGTCAACAACAATCATACAACGCTGAAGCGTGTGAGAGGCAAGTGTAGAAAAGGCCTGTTACATCCCGCCATGGCCAGAATCTCTTCTTTCTTCTCTGCAGGTAACTCTCCCCAGTCATCCGTGCAGAACTACAGAAAAACTTACAGTTTACAGATTTCAGACATGATGGCGAAGGAGTTCGTCTCTGAGCCATCTTCATCTTCCGGCCGTTTCGACCTGAGGAGGTCTCTGAGGGCTGCCAGGGCTCGTCCTTGGTTGGTCAACAGCGTCCTTCGTGGACGGTCAACGGCCGCTGGGGTCAAGGGCGTTGAGGATGCCCCTTCATCGTCCGCGACCACCACTGTGATAATTGTCTCCGACTCTGCGCTGGCCGCTACTGTCTCGTGTGATGCGGAGAAGCAATCCTTGCACAACACCACCGCTGAGGCGAAGGCTGCGACTTCTGTCAACGCTGGATCCAAGGCAAAGGTCATGGGATCTCGGATTCCCGGACCGGTCACACCGGTCCTTCATGGCACGTTGTCGTCTCGGCTTTGTGGATCCACCACACTCGACAAGGAAGGCGATTTGAGAAAGGACAGGACAACCGCCACGTCTCTCACCATCACAGGGGGGACAGCCTCGGCGTCACGGCTCCCGGTTCGCAACAAGGCTTCGCACGTTGGGCGACGGCCGGCTCTTGAGCAGGTACGACACAGCAAGCACCTTGTTGCTCACGCCAGGAACCAGGTGGACAAAGAGGCCGGCAACAACAAAGGGATTGGGGGATCTGGCGGCTGCCGCCAACTTGTTCGACGACTGGAAGCGATGTCGATCCAGAGTTGCATAAACCCGGAGCCAATCAGGAGTCATCGAGGTGACCGCCTGGTCAAATCGATCCTGAAGCATCGTGTTGAGCCCTTTGAGGAGACTGAGCGGACTGCACCGACTTCTGCCGGCCAGGGAGTGACATCTGATAATCCGGCTCAGAAGAAGAGTGTGACATTTGCCCCGTCGCCGTTAATCACACCGGCCCGTTGTTGGCCCAAGCACATCGTCCCGGAGTGGCGATGTCATCAGTGTGGTAGCTGTGGGCATTTGCCGTGGTGTCGTGAGCTGGTGGGCGCGAAGCTAGGGCTGCAGACTTCTGATGTCTGGCTGAAAGATCAACAGATCCGAGGCTACGACTACTTGAGGCATTCGGGAGGCTATCTCAGCAAGTACGGTTCTCATGCTCCCACGGAACTATGGAGTTTTTGAGACTTGAGTTGCCTCCGAGAGTGGTTTGAACTCTTTCAACGTGGGCGTCTTACTGGCTTTGGGAATCCCCGATTCCATTCACACGTGGTTCATTTCACACACGCATCAGACAGTTGCTCTTTTTGGCTCTGTGGGTTCTGGGGGATTTACTGCAATGGCTGCAGACAGTTTGAGACGTTCGGTGGGGCTATCACTGATTGAGGATGCTGTCTGTCTGGTCGTGGAGGTCTCGCAGGACGCTGGAGGCTTCTCACCTTTGGTTGCCTGATGTTTGGTGGAGGACCGCTTGTTGAGGAACGCGCAGAAGCAGGTATTGTGACGACCTCGTTGGCAATCGAGCACAGTTTGGTTTTTCAGTCAATTGCCCCCCTCTATAAAATCAAAAACTGGTGATTGGGGCCGCTCATGAACCGCCAAAAAAACTTGAAATACAAAAAATCATACTCAAATTACATAGTTGCAGTACATAGCTTTCTCCCCTTTGTCATACACACCATTCTGTGCTCAGGTTCGTGGTCGCTCAACAAGGTATTGACCGTCACTTGGAGGATACATGGAATAGAGAGTCACATGGCCATTCAACCCAGGGTTCAGATGGAGCACTTCGGTGCTGAAACAGGGTTCTGAATTCCTCGGATGGTTGTTGGTTGATACAGTGCATTTTGTTGTACATTGGCTACTCGGATGGCTTCTCGCCATATCATCCCGAGCAATTCCTCTTTATACACAGATCAGACTCATCACAAGACGGCCACGGTTGGGATTGGGATTGGGTTCCGAATGAGACGTCCGACCTGGCCTAATTGTCTGCGACACAAATTCTGCTTTCTTTCTTTCTCGACTGGCTCTGCAATGGACGGGAATCGTCCTGTTGGTGTGGAGTGTGGAGATGGCGGTGGTGTCGGCGAGTTGCAGACAGATCTGAGCCGTTGTGATGGCGGAGATACAGGAGCTCGAAGCACGGGGTTGTGATGAATATGGGGAATGTCGAATGCTTATGGAGCCCATGTCCGTGTGTGTCTGTTTGCGGCCACGAAGAGCCAAAGGGTCCACGGGAAAGGGGAGAAGGGGAGAAGGGGAGAAAGGGAGAAAGAAGGACGGACATCAATACCAACCAGGCACACACACACGCACACACACACACACCAAACGATACAAATACCTCCACACCATCGGCCAAGAAATGACGGCGAAGCGCGGATGCTGGATAAGGGATGGATACGGACAGGAATAGGGAGCACATGGCAGAGACAGCAACGGCAGAGGCAGTAACGAAGCAGAAGCGACATGAGGTCGAGTTCACCCTATCTATTCTTTCCACGGCCTGGGCCAGACCAGGAACAGCGAGCAGCACATGGCATCGACGACGACGAAAACGGCACGCCATACGTTAAACCTCAACGGGCAGCTTGCGTGAGACAGACAGACACCAGGGACCGGACTTTCATCTTACATTTCATTCCACTTCATTTCATTCCCCGTCGACGACCACTGGGCCCTGCTGAGGGGAACGAATGAGTCGTCGACAGTTTGGATGATCGAGGGAAGGGTGGAGGGGAGGGGAGGGGCCAGAACTTGGGTCGGGTGGATGATGATGGCTGCTACATGAATGAGGCCCTCGGCTGGCTGAAGGCTGGGTGACGAGAATACGACGTGATGTGTACAAGACCTATCGAATCGAATCGCAGGGCTGATAATGATTACGTATCTACGGGAAAGTAATATATGGGAAGGAACGGAATGGATGAATGGATGGACATTTTGGAGTCTCTCTCTCTCCCTCAGTCACTTCCTCTCTCTGTATATACATACATACATACACAATGCAATTCTTTCCGTCGTGCTCGAGAGGGAAAACAAAGGACCTCCCAAAGAAGGGAAGAATAGAAAGAAAGAAAGAAAGAGAAACCACTCGAGAATATCGAATCCATCCACCATCTTACTTAGATAGGTCGGCCTCTTTTCTGTCGTGTTTCCTACAGCGCATTGCATTGCTTTTTCCCCCCCTTCTCTCTCTCAAATCCTTTTTTAGGCTTTTCGCTTCCCTTCCCCTTTTCTTCTTGCCTGGCCTTTCCTTGCTTCCTTTCCTTTCTTTGACACTGTGTGTGTGTGTGTGTGTGTGTGTCATGTCTCTCAAAAAAACACAGAAAGCAGTGCGAGTGCGGTGCAGTTAATAGAATTGTTGCTCGTTCCGCTTGGATAGATCCCATGACCCCCGTAAATGCGCGGGATAGCGAGCTCAACAGAGCGAGCTCGCGAGTGCAACCAGCTGGTGTGGTGAAGAGAAAGGCCGCGTACGAGACGTCTACACTCGGAGAAGCATGCCTCGTCACCTCTTGTTGCTTCCTGCCGAGTGCATGCTGGCCCGGTACTCGGCAGGGGTGACTGCGTCTTTCCAGTCTACTCTCAATACCTCAGGTCGAAGTGAGCAACTCGCTACCGAGCCATTTCACCCTCTAACATATCCGCATAAATTTCCAGCGCACTGCCAATCATGTCCACGATTGCCCAGCTCGTATTGCCCTTGAACGTCTTGCTCCACACCCTTACCACCGCCACACTCAACTCCCGCATCTTCTGAGTATCGTCCAGCAGCTCCCTCGACTCGTTCAAGACAGTATGGTCATTTGCATCTCCGTTTAGCGGGACGGTCATTTCCGTTTCATCAAGGAGAGATCGGACCCAGAGCAGGAGCTTCCTTTCGTGCTCGGTGACTGGAGCGTCGCCAGAGCTCTTCAGGTTGGACAGGACATAGAGCCATTTGCTGAGGAGGAAGGCGCATTCCAGACTGCACAACGAATGTTGAATTGACCAGAAGAAGGTTTGTGTGCGTGCAACGAAGTCGATCCCCAGTCGGACAGGAATGGAAAGCGCATGTGCAGAGTGTAGGAGAGCCGGCGTCAGCCGAGGGTCGCGGCGGATGTCGGGCGTGTTAAACAGAGCTGTGGCAATCTGTGTGGCATCGCGAGTCTCGAGATGGCGAAGTGGACCCATGTCGACATGGAGACGAATGTATGCAAGACCCAAGAGTGCGGTCGAGGTGAAGGCAACGGGCCCGTTGGGGTTTTGAGGATCCAGACTGGATTCAGGCGCGCGTTTCCAACCTGCTTTCCACGACGAGAGACCCATATCGAGGACGGTAATGTCTTCCATACGCAGACTGGACCCTGCCACGCCGGGCCAAGCCAGCGAGAGTTGTCGTGCAAAGAAGATCTGCTGAATGAGCGCGTGGACGAGGATGTAATTGCCCAGTGGGGAGATAGGAGTCACAGTGGATTGGTTCTGCTTGCTGAATAACCGTGAGAAGGCTGTTTGGAAGGGCATTTGCGGTGCGGCGTTGGCTTGTCGCAGTTTCTTCCACTGTTCGGCGCTGGTGGCTTTCCACTCGTTGGCAGGGTCGGGTAAGTTGAGCTTGATTTCCGAGTTGAGGATCAGCGGAGGTACATTCCACGTAATAGAATGCAGATTGAAGAAGCAGTAGACGATCAGCTTGGTTCGCTTCTCGCCCTCGATCTGGATCCAATCCTCCCAAGTCAGTTCCTCCGGTGACTGCATGATTTCCGGACTGGTCAGGCCAGCCTCTCGCACAAGCCGTGCTAGAATGCTTTGAAATGCCAGAGCCTCACGCAGCAGCTCGGTGTGCCTCTCCCACGTGGCAAAGGCCGTCAGCAGCAGGAGCGCTTGTATTGAGTCCATCTGCTCTTTGCTATCGGCGGGAAGTGCGTCTTCGGGCGAAATCTGCTGGAATGGACTGCTCGAGTGACTCTGGTTTGTGAACCCTCCTCCTGGCGACTGGGCCATGGACCCTGTCCGAGGTCTGTTCCACAAGTGGGTTGTCGAGGACTCATCGCGGCGCCTGATCTGTTCCAACACAACAGCTTTAGCGGCATAGAACAGTTCTATCCCTCGGCTATTCTCAAAGCGATACTGCGCCCCCACCGCGGCCAGCGCCAGAACAAGCTCAGGAGCACTGCCTGCGACCTGTAGACTTGGCACATGGATGAAGGGAAGATGTTCGTGGAAACCATTGACATAACCCGCAAGATATCTCGAGAGTGAATGCCTTGATGGAGGGATAAAACCTTTGGGCATGACATTGTCGAATGCGGCCAGTTTAGAGGCAAACATCGATCGATCTGAGTCCGAGACATCCCAGGTTGTCCTGATCACTTTGGCCTCGGCTTCTTCGACCGTACTTCGTGGAGGGTCTGGCCGAGTGAAGTCAGAATCTTTGGATTCTGGTTGAAGGGACGGCAGTCTTGATCCAAATCGCGAAAATGTACTTGTCTCTTCTTGAAGAATGCCAAGTTTGCTATCGGCGGGATGCTCACCGTTCAATTGAGGCCTTGATATGTTCAAGTGGTCGCCTCTCAACTCGGCCGGGGAGTTGTAATGATCAACCTGATCATGGCCAAACATGTTGGCGTACCATTCGGATGAGAGACCCACACTATCGAGGAAGACAGTGAAGTCTTGCATCGGATCCCCAAGGTCGGGAGGCTCAAACATCGGAGTCGACTGCCCATATCCTTCGGTCAGCATTCGAGGCTGATACGGCCCTTCTGTGGCCGCCGGCATTATCTGTTGCAAGGGCTCGTTGAGCTGCTCTTGCGTGACTTGCGGCAGACCGGACATGTAGTGATCCTGTCCACTAGAGGCGACATGGCTCGCGGCGTGAGAGAGCAGGTTCAGGTCGTAGCCCCAGGATGGATCGAGCGATGTCGCGTGGATAACAGACGACTGGTGCCCAGACATTCCGTCCACCGAACTGATGCCATTTGTCGGTTGCATGAGCTGCGGATCCAGCATGTCCATCATCCCTCTCCCCTCGTGCGCAGCCTGAGGTGACAGCAAGGCGTGATTCTGTTGTGGCGCGATATCCATCGGGTCGGAATGGTCCGAAGGTCCATGCGGCACCTGCGCCCGGGCTGCGGCCTCTTTTGCGGCGTTGGCATTTTGAATATGGTGTTTGTGTGACTTGCGTGTGGTATGCTGCTCTTCCTCGCCCGGGTGGACGAGTCTCTCGTGACGCACCAGTAGGTCACTGCGCGCAAAGGTCTTGGTGCAAATCTCGCAGACGAAGGGCTTCTCTTTCGTGTGGGTGCGAATGTGCCGTTGCAGGTGTTCCTGTTCGCGACCAGTTTTCTCATCAGTCCTCTGTCCCTCTGCGGTCCGACGGACAATCCATCTCAATGCGAGCTAGAGGTGGGCAGATGGGGGATGACTTACTAGCCGAGCAAAGAGTCGCTGGCAGTGCGGGCACGGCAGCGTCTTGGTCTTGTTGCCCGACTGCTTTCTTTTGACTCTGCCACCGCCGCCAGTTGACTGTGTTGAGTCCATAGCTGCTTGAAGCCTCGTCTCTTTCTGGGCTCTGATGCTAGGTGTGGAGATGGGAGCCCCTCATGGAGAGAGAGGGGAAGATGAAGTCGGCCGGGAGACGACTTTGGTGGAAAGCGGAGAAGCGAACTCGAGCTGCCAGCCACCGTGGGAAGAAGTTCGACCGCAAAATACCCATGCAGAAACGGGTTAGCATCACGGAAAAACTCTATTATCCGGGATGTGTCTTGGCGTATCCCGGCTATACGCCGTGATTTACCGGTCATGTTCGGCAATGGCCGTGCAGGACCAAGGACTCGGTAGGCTATAGCATACTGTTCAAGCTTTCCGTCCAAGTGCTGGTAAAGCTGACGTCGGTTGTGATATACACGTCTTCTCTATTCACGAAAGCGGCAGGATGCCCGGGTACACAAGGGAATGAATGATACATAACAGACACGCAACATCTGGGCTCATCTAGTAAATCCAACACACCGAATTCCTTCGACGACAGTCGTGACTCCATCGAGGTCTTGAAAGGAAGTTCGTAAATTTTGTACAACAAACTCGAACCAGGATGCTCTTAAAGTGCAGCGAATCCTGGACCGCTATCTGTGCAAATATGAGTCCTTGAGACTCCATGCCGGGCAGGGGCCATATGGTTGCCTGGGTCAGATCACTTCTTCTCCTTTGGTGCAAGCATCAGCTCGGGTCGGACGTATTTGTCAAAGTCCTCCTCTGAAAGAGCCTTCAATTCCATCGCCGACTGTTTCAATGTCAAGCCCTTCTTGTGCGCATTCTTCGCCACCTTGGAGGCCATGTCATAACCGATGACAGGGTTGAGGCAGGTGACAAGCATGAGACTAAGCAGAAGTAAGTAACCGCACCGTGTAAACTTGTCAAGGGGAAACTTGAAGACGTACCTTTCGTGGAGAAGTGTGGCGATTCTCTTCTCGTCTGCCTTCAGACCATCAACCAGATGCTCGACAAATCCATTCATGGCATCAGACAAAATCCTGGTGCTGTGAAGGAGATTTCGGATCAACAGGGGCTTGAAGACGTTCAGCTCGAATTGACCGTTCATGCCACCAATGGTAGCAGCGGTATGATTTCCCATGACCTGGGCAGCAACCATAGTCATAGCCTCGCACTGAGTGGGATTGACCTTTCCAGGCATAATGCTGCTGCCAGGTTCGTTCTCCGGGAGGACCAACTCTCCCAGACCACAGCGAGGTCCCGAGCCAAGGTATCTGATATCCTGCGCGATCTTGAAAAGACTGCAAGCAAGGGTGTTCAATGTTCCCGAGGCTTCCACGATGCTGTCGTGGGCAGCTAGAACCTCGAATTTATTAGGAGCGGTCACAAATTCTGTCCCGGTCATTTTGGTGACCTCTTCAGCAATCCCTTCCGCGAAGCCCTTGAAGGTGTTGAGACCAGTGCCAACCGCGGTACCACCCTGGGCCAGCTGTCGTAGATGAGGGAGAGATGCTTGGATCCTCTCAAGGTTTCGATCGAGCTGGGCGACGTAGCCGCTGAACTCCTGACCAAGTGTCAACGGTGTAGCATCTTGCAAATGTGTCCTGCCAATCTTGATGATCTTGTCGAATGCTTCCACCTTCTTCTGGAGTGCCTCCCTCAGGTTCTTGAGGGCAGGAATGAGTCTCTGTTCAAAGTCAAGAACAGCTGCAATGTGCATGACGGTAGGGAAGGAGTCGTTAGAGCTGGCAGACATATTGACGTGATCGTTGGGGTGTACAGGCTTCTTGCTGCCCATTTGTCCTCCCAGAATCTCGATGGCACGGTTTGAGATGACCTCATTTGCGTTCATATTGGACTGCGTGCCAGACCCTGTTTGCCAGACGACGAGCGGGAAGTGGTCGATCAGCTTCAGGGAAGCGACTTCGGCGGCAGCTTGCTGGATCGCCTCTCCAATCTTGGGATCTGCCTCTGAGTCAACGGTACGGTTCGCTGCGGGCTTATCGGGAGGGCATACCAAGGCCATATTTCATGTTCACAGTCGCAGCCGCCCCCTTCAAGATGCCAAAGGCTCGCACCACACCTTCCGGCATTCGATCTTGAGGCTGATTGATCTTGAAATTTCCCAGAGATCTTTGCGTCTGAGCACCCCAGTACTTGTCTGAGGGGACCTCAATGGGTCCGAAGGCATCCGTTTCGGTCCTCGTAGATGCAGACATCCTTGCTGTGCTGCTGAACGCGCGGTAACAGTGGGAGGAAGCTCGAGGGGATATGGAAGTTCTTCTTTGTGAAGTCTGGGAGAGGGAGGAAGAGAAGTTTCGTTGGGAAGCAGCTCTCAAGCAACTACTCCGCACAGCACCGCAGGGAAAGAGCTTGGTTACTGATGCTGAGGGTTTTGTAGCAACAGAAACCCGCCCCAGCATTTTGCCGTATGTAACAACGAGATGCTCGAAGAGAGGAAGGTCACTCCAGTTGAGGCAGAGAGGCTCTATCGGCTCTGTTATGCAATGTGATCTAATATATTTGCCAATCGAAAAAAAAGTGCACCACAATCGACCCGTCTGCTCGTCTTCCCGGAAGCAGCACTACGGAAGGTAGGAAGCCATTGGCTGGGCAATCGTCGGCGCGGCGGTCACTGGCGGATGTCGACGTCTCAACGGAAGAGTACCCAAAACAGAGAGCATCGGGAAATCTCGCCATGGCGCCGCGCAGAGACATCTCCATGTCCTAATTATCCCGATCATGCGCTCAATTATGCACTTGCTCGCTTGTTCCAACTGCGGATCGTTATAATTACTGATGTAGTCTCGCCGCTATCTATGCAAGATCATCCCAACTCAAGCAGACGCCCTTTTGCGCAGCCGCTCACAGTAAGACCGGGTATCTTTCTGAAAATCCAAACATAAAACACAGAACGCCGCAAGGTTCTACCGAAGTCTCTCGGCGATCAAGCAGTGCCATCAACAGTCTTGGGAGCCTGGCCAATCATGAAGTCCTTAGCTTTCGCCATCTTGACCAGGAAGCTGGGGAGCTTGAAGCCGAAGGCGATACCAACGCCTCCTTGAGAGCCAATAGGAACGAATTGCATGTCGCTGGTGATTTTCTTGTAGATTTTGCTGGTGCGAGGACCACCTTTTGAAAACTTGTCAGCTGAAATCGATAGAGGGGGAGAGAGGGCAGGTTCACTTACCTTTGCCTTGAAGATCCAACTTGATGCTTTCCAAGAGTGCTGGTGCGGCGAATTTGACGTCGAGGATGGAGCCATCCGAGTAGCTCGCGACGGTTCCGATGCAGTAAACGCCAGTGACACCGGGAACATCCAGACGGAGTGTGTGGGGGTCGGTCTTGACCCTTTGCTTGTCATCCAACCACTCCTGAGGAACAAACTTGCTGTTTGGCTTGTCACCAGTGGCCTCGATATAGACATCGACAGTTTTGGTTTCTCCGTTGCTCAACTTCAACACCTCCTTTCCCCCTTCCGTGGTGTGCTCGACAACTCGAACATTGTCGTTGATAACCTTGACGCCCATCTTCTCGAGCCGAGACTGGGCATCTTGGCCCATCTTCTTGTTGTGGAGTCTGGAGAGCAGCGAGGTAGTTCCAGACAAAATGGTGATTTCCTTCTTCCTTCCGTACACTTCCCCCAACTCGCCGGCGGTCTCTACACCCGCAGCACCTCCACCAGCGATCAGGATGGATTCTGCACTGGGGATTTTCTTGTGAATCTCGCTGATGGCGGCCTTCAGAGACTCAGAGCCGTCTGAGATGGACCACAGGTTGCTTGCAAAGCTGGTACCGGAGGCAATAACGAGGGAATCGTAGTGGATGGCGTCCGAGGTGCTGGTGTGAACAGTCCGGCTCGAAGGGTCAATCGAGGTGACATAAGCTTTAATGAACTGGTATTGCTCTTTCGAGTAGGCCTTGAACCCGGGAGGAATGGGGATGAGGGCTTTGTCGAGCGGCAAAGATTTCGGGTTTCCGATGAGTCGAGGGGCCCCAATCTTCCAGTAGAATTCGTCGCTGGGGGAAATCTGAACGATCTTGTAGGCTTTTTTCTCACCAGTGGACACTTGTGGAAGGACGGTCTTCAGGAGGCCATGGGCAACACTGAGTCCAGCGAAGGACGCGCCGATGATGACGATGGTGTGAGTAGACATGGCGTCGGTTGAGGACGGTTAACGGGGTCGTCGAGGAGGGATGACAAGGTGAGGAGGTGCTCGACAGGGAGGACAGGCTGGACGGCGATTGATAAATATTCTAAAAATGTTAGTCGCCCGGTCCAGAGAAGCGCAGGTCGGACCTTGTCTGAGACGGCGGTGGAGTCAGGGGTTTGTTGAAGGCTGAGTGGTGCAATTGCGCCCCGGGCTGAATGCGTGATGGGATGTAAGACGACAGTTTACCAGCGATTGACGGCCGCCGGGGGGACGCCTTGATCTTCGTATATGTACACACCCTCTACCAGGTCGACTCCCGGCGGATTTCCATCCATCATATCATCGGCTGACAAAATCTCGGGGCCGTGGGCTGGCACAGTTTGGCAATTTTGCAATTTTAGCCATTGGCTTTATCTCACACACCAAACAATCCACGCGTGGTTTGGCAAGACGCGATCATCGGGGCCGAGCGTCCGTCTGATTGGCCACTGGCCATGGCCCGTTCCCCAACCTGGCGGAGGCTTTTGACTTGGCTTTTGTCTTCTGCGGGTTTAAAGCACGTGAAACTGTCTCTCGGGCGAGTGATGATGTGCTTAGTGCCCGGTCTAGCACAATGGGAATGTCGTCCGCCTCCGGGATTACAATCCACCGTGGAAGATCCCAAGGCTCTCGGTCGAGAGAAAAGTTGTCGGTTTGTAAAGCATCGTGGACGGCACATGTTTGGCTGGGGCCTGTTTCGTGCGAGAGAAATCATGGGCTCGTTCATGGTGTCACTTCAAGCTCTCTACAGGCCCGGTAGGACAGCATACCGCCCACAGAATCTGCTGGGACTGCCGAGGTTTGCGATGATTTGGATCAGGAAACACTAGTTGGGTATTGGGTTGATAGAGCAACGCACCCCACCTTTGAAGAAGAGCATTGACCAGTCCCGACAATAGCAGGCCAACACTAGAAGAGTACCGAGCATGTTATCCGATACTAGTAGGATCCTTTTCATTTTATAGACGAAGAGTCTCCTATATGATTACTTGGTACAGCAGGCACGTAACAATGAAAGCTTTGGAAAATAAGGAATTTTTGTTGATGCTCCTGATGCTCCACAATGTGCTCCTCCAGCTTAAAAATACACGAATAATTCGGTTTGGGTATCAATCGTACGACATCATCAGGCTCCTCCCTCCGTCACCGTCCTTCTCACACATGCTTCACAGGTCCTGTGCTTCCTTCCTTCATGGGTGCGGAACCCAGGCAAAGCTTCGGCGCAAGGAGCCAAACCTATCCTTCTTGGCGATTGTAGCTTCTGCGGCAGTCTCAGCCTCGACGCTTTCTCGTGGCTGCTCAACGGGAGCCGGGGTGGCGGAGGTTCCCTCAGTCTCGGCGGCAGCCGTAGCAGCAGGAGCCTCGACTTCAGGAGCAGCAACAGAATTCTTCCGGGACTCGAGGCCTTCAGTGACGACGCTGTGGCGTCTGGTGGACTTGCTCTCGCGACGTCCGTCACGAGTAAAGTGTTTGCGGTAGAATTCCGAATGCTTGATGAGCCATGGCTCAAGCCAGGACTCAGCGGCGTAAGGGCGGTTGCCAGTGCCCGCGGGCTGGTCCATAAGCACTTGTCCGTTGAATGCTTCGGCCATTGTGACTGTTAAGTCTACGCTTCGTTGGTGTTTTAAAAATTCGGGTTGTAGAGAATTGAGCTGTGGAGGGCGAATTTGGTGTGTGGGACCGCTTCTTTTATGGACTCGTGTGAGGATCGAACTCGATCGAGTTGTGGAATGCTGGAATATCAGGCCTCTCAGGCGAACAACGCCCCTCTACTTATGCACTCACGCTGACGGCCATCGAACACGAACTCACCTACTAGAATCATCGCAATGACGTCTTTACCCCTCTGGTGCACAGTCAAATGGCGCACTTACTTCAGCCGGGAACGTTTCTGTTGCCGCGACACCTCAGATAGAGAGTCTGGGGAAACGTCAGCATCCTAGGGAAGGGACCAGTCGGATTACCACGAACATCCATGTATGAGGCTGGGTGGCAAGGCTGCGGCCGTAGGGCTCGTCTATTTGTCGCGGGTTGGTGCATGGGTCATAAGCGCAGCGGAAGCGGTCGGAACGGTCAAGGCTGCATTGGATGCCCAGCTTATGCGATGTGGTGCCACGCGACACATTACGACTGAGAGCTAAATCACGCAGCCCTCGGTTGCCCAATTGTCCATCTCTTTTTGTGGCTGGCTTTTCGCTGCTGTTGTATATTATTGCCTATTGTTGTTTGCGGTCAAAGGCTCACGGCGTTGTGAAGATCGGCTCGAACCAGGACGCGTAGTGCCTCGCAGACTTTCATCTTCAACACAAGATTGTGGTTGCTGCCGTCAGCAAGTCTGGCGCAATCCGTGGGGTGTGGATATTGGAGAAACTAGGCATCAGCATAAAAGTCGCGCACCGTCAGTCATCTCTGGGTTGAGTCATGCTGTTTTGGGGGATGAGGAAGTTCTACAGAACGAGGCTCAAGTAAAAATAATGCCTCTCTGACGTCACTCGAACATGTGTCCTATCTCACGCTTTACCTGTTTAGGAACTGCACAACTTTTCACTCGCCTCGAGTCGGTTGCCAGTCTTCCACACCTTCTTCACACCTCTATCAGGCCTATTGTGGTTCCTTGTCGACTTCTTATTTGCCGGGCGAGTCTGCGTTGGGTGTCCCTTTTTGCCTGAATTTTTGCAGATGTCGGACAATGGCGCCGTTTTCCAGGGAGATGAGCCCCTCCTCAGGACAACTGGTCTTGTGCTTGTCGTGAATACACCAAAGGGTAGGTTGCAATGGGAAGTCATTTAAACGTGGCTTGGCCCCTCGTGTAAGTGTATCACGAGATTCCTTCCCCGTATCAACCTCCACAGCCCCGGTTCCATGTAAGCCAAGGTCTTCGGAGGACAGTGCTGGTCCACCCTGACCGCCCAAAAAGCCACTTTGAGTTGACCCTGACATATCTGCATCTTCATGTTCTTAGGTCGAGGCGTCTTCGCGACTCAGGATATTTCACGCGGTACCGTAGTGGAGGTCAGCCCGGTACTAGTATTCACCGAGGATGAGGTTGAGAAACACACACAATACACATGCCTGCAGCACTACACCTAGTAAGTTTTGATCCTCGAGCTTTGCAAGGCTAATCTTGTCGCCTATGCGCCGATGTTTTAATTCCCGGCTCATGTGCTGCTCCACGGGATACTTATTGGGCTGATCCTGTTACAGTTATTGGCCATCTGCATCAGGCCGGACCATGACCCAAGCCCTGGCGTTGGGACTCGGATCCATGTTCAACCACTCGACGCGAGATCAGAACGTGGGCTGGAAACGCAACACCGAGACCGAGGTTATCGTCTACACGGCACTGCGTGATATCAAGGCCGGAGAGGAACTGTGTATCTCGTACGGTAGCGTGCGGCTCTGGTTCGAGGATGTCGACGCCAACGCCGAGGCTGACGAAATAGGAGTTGATGAAAATGACACCGGTGGAGAGACGTTGGCCGAGTTGGAGTTGAGTGGGTTGGGTAAGATGGATCTCTAGCACTCAACCCAATCACCGTCAAAGAGCAGGGGCGCCTGAGTTACGCCTGAAAACTGCGCTGGTGGTGGCATACTGCACAACCGTGAAAGGTGCACACCGACCAACACTGCAAAAGATACGGCCACGCGCCACCAGCTACGCGCCACCAGCTATCTCTCGACGGCCCCAACCTACCAAGGGGCCGATAGGCGACAGTCTCCAAGCGAATCTCAGAGAGGGTTTTCTGGCAGAAACCATGAACGACACATATCCGTCCAGCCCAATTACCACAGCCAACTGGCGAGATGAAGCAGAGAACCACATGGGAATGATCTTGTCCCTCCGCCCCTCTTAGAATGAAGTCGCCTAGGAAATCCCTATTGGAGGATCCGCCTGATTCAGATCGGACGAAATATCCCTAACGTTATCTCTTGGTTTGCCCGGCGGCCAATATTCCCTCCGCGTGGCCCGTGGCCCGCTTTATGACAATTTGCTGTCACCGGTTCCGGCTATTCGTCCACTTGTACCTATGCGCAGGGCTGGCCAAGACAACGGCACATCGCCAAACGGTCTTGGAGGTCGGGCGCTGTTATTATGTGACTCTTCAGATATCTGCCCTCGGAGTAATGGAGCCGACTCTACCAGAAGAACAACACCAAAGCACCCCACAACCAATGCACCTGCGATATATAACTCGTACAGTAGACAAAAATCTCGAAGTTCCTCGGCAATGCCTCTTCAAGAGCCCGTGGTGGGACACGGCTATCCAGCGAGCCAGTTCATGTTAGTTCCCACAGGGGGACCACCTCTGATTACTTAACAGATCAACTCCTAATAGTAGCTTCAGTCTAGCAGCTCTGGCACATACAGAATCGTCACTATATGCACAATGATATACTATAGGCCTCATTTCTCTTTCTTTTCTTTCCGACAAATTGTTCTGTTCTATCTTCGGTCTCTTGCCATCCCTCTGTCCCTACAAGCTGGCTGGACCACTGCTTCGCGCTCCCCTACTTGGCCCAGTTCTCTTTCTGGACGCTCGCTATTCCCGTCCCGATGAATCCAGTAAAAGGAACCAACCCATGGCCCGCTATAGCCAGGCCCAACCCACGGATCCAACGAGAGAGCATGGCTGTTCGACGAGTGCGTATGTGAGGGAGCAATATCGACTTCGAGGGTCTCCTGCCTGGTTCTTCTCTTTCTCCCTCCCTTTTCTCGCACGAGTCTCAAGCCCCGACTTCCCCCCACCAAAAAAAAACAACCGACAGACGGGACTTGAGTCGGATACGCACGCATGCGAACCCCTGGACCCACGAGAGCACGAAACGGAAGGCACATAAGCCAGCCCAGCCCGAAAGACCAACAAACCCCGTCTACCCATCGATCTGCTGCTCAACAATGCTGCCTGCCTACCCCCTTGCGAATGCGAGTACGAAGGGACCCCCTTTCGCAGCACCGAGGATACATAATAATATGGTTTCCGGTCTTTCCGCTTTTGGGGGGCAGGTCACCGGACCGCACCAGTCGGGACGACATGCCCTCGGGCTAGGCCTCGTTCTACCGTCTTGGACAAAGTACATACAGTACTCGGTCTGTATTGTGTACCAACGGTTAACCCAGCCAGTCAGTCAGCTAGGTGGCCTGGGTCTAGGCCCTATCTCGATCGATCGATGGGGAGCAAGCGAAACGAAAGCATAACGGTTGCTCGTTTCGGCTGCTCCTAGGATGGAAATATGTATTCCCACTTTCCCCCTCCTACCTGCCTTAGCCGGGCCTGGCGCCTTGTTCTAACCCATGTGGACGCCAGCTCCCGAGGCTACGACAACAAGAGCCGGGTTCCATACATTTACAGGTGTCCGTGGGTGCAGATGGGCATGCAGGTAGGTTGATAGGTAAAACCCCTCCCACATACCTACAGTGTACCTCGCTCGGCACGTCACCGAGGTCTGTCAGTCAGTCCGTCACATACCTACACAGCTCGCCATTGGTCTTTGTCCCGGGGGATGGCGGCTCAACGTCCTGTTCGTTATATTACTGATCATCGCAGATCTGTGTTTCTTTTTTCCAAAAACAGAAAACCCGAGGGGGAGGCGGCCCGTTGGCGGCTCGGCAGCAGGGGCCACACAGATTGCGGGGATAAAGCTGGGGCGGATCAACATGCTGCTGTCAAACCTAATAATACAGCTTCTAGGCTCTCTTGAACATGGGCTGGAATCGAGAGAGCCAGGGTTGGTCTGGGGAAAGACGCAGAGCGGTCTAGAAGTTGGTCGTGTTCCTCGTCACTTAAAACTCCCCCGCCCCTTCCACCCCAGCTTTCTCTTTTTCTCAAGCTTGCAGTTCATGGAGGTTTTTTTTTTTTGAAAAAAGGAAAAAAAGAAACAGCAGATCGAAATGTGGACATGATTGTTTCTTATATCTATGACAGACAAGGTCTGACCACTGACCAGTTAGACCTTCGAAGGACCGGACTATAGTTGCCCGATCAGAGCTGGAAGTGGCGGCGGCCACTCCAATACGAGACGAGCATCGCCCAGTTTCAGCTCCTGCAGAATCACCGCTGCAGCTGTCCGCCAACAGCAGATCTTCTGGCAATATTGGTCCCATGTCGACAAGGCATCTTGCAACTCAGTGCATGACCACAGCAACATGGTCGTCCATGTACTTGTCAATATTTCCCAAAAAGATACTGGCCAAGATCGCAATACAACCGAACGCAATACTCGTCAAATATACGTACTTGTACGACTCTGCATAGGCCACCTGGCCCGCCACCACGACCATTTCATAGGCGGTATCGTTGCCAGCAATTCCAGGAATCGTCTTGAGCAGAGGCAGAAGACTGGCTGCTGTATACTCGATGGCGGCGCCGATGTAGGTTACGTTGGTTATACCAAGCTCGAGAGCCATGGTGCCACCAATATATTTCGTGGCGTTGGGGACGAACTTGTTGAGGAAGACGTTATAGTACACGGTGTATCCGATACAACCGCCAATGACACGGATTGACAGGGTGAGAGCGGCAACCGTGGCAATGATGTCGTCCGGGCAGATGATCGTGGTTATGATCGACGCGGGAACAACGATACCGCCGATCCCGAGACCGGCCAGGATCAGTAAGCCCCAGAGCGTGCTCAGGTTGTCTCGAGTCGCCACGGCGAGCGCACCGCAACCGGCCGTCATCAGCACCGAGGAGAGGATCATCAACTCGCGGTTGTGGCCTCGGAAGACGGAAAGGAGCCATAGCACGACGCAAGCACCGGTGAGAATGCTGAAGCCGATGGGGATACCTCGAATTCCGACTCCCACAGGATCATGGCCGTAGACGTTGAAGGCCTGGGTGGGCCAGAACATGATGACGGAGAAGAAGTTGGCTCCCGAGATGGCGGTGATAATCAAGGTGAGTGTGAGGATCCTGGCTTCCTTCTTCATTCTTGACGGGAACATTGGGAATTTCGCAAACTTGATCTCCCAGATGGGGAAGGCAATGAGGAGGAAGAAGCCGCCGATGATCAGGGGTGCCAGGACGTGCGCCGAGTGCCATGGGTATTGATACCCGCCCCATTGCAGGCCAGCCAGGAACAGGATCATCCCGGTGACTGAGAGGAAACCACCCACGAAATCGATCTCGCCAATGATCTCCTTCTTGGTGAGGCCTCGGGAGTTTGGTCGAGGGGGTGGGAAGTAGAAGATCAAAGTGCCGACGAAGCCGACGCACGCCCACAGTCCGCAGAGCAGGGTGCAGTATCGCCAGCCCGCGTGCGAGGCGATCAGCTGACCCCAGAGGACGGACGGGCAGAAAGGGATGATGGTGAAGACAAGAATGGAGACATATTTTCCTCGTTTCCGGGTTGGGGCGAGCTCGGACGTCACGGCAAGGGAGGTAAGCTCGCAGATGCCAGCCCCGATTCCCGAAAAAGTCATGCCCACTACAAAAAGGAAGATGGTCAGCCTTCTGGAGCCAAGGTCAGTGGACGACGATGCTTACTGATGAATATTCCCATGCTATGTGCCGTACCACAGATGATCATGGCAATGATGAGCAGCCCTGAGCCTCCCAATGCCACCCATCGTCTTCCAATGAGGTCGGAAATCGATCCGACGAAGGGGCAAATGGCGGCCAAAGCCAACAGGTAAGCCAGGACGAACCAGATCCAGCGGTCGACACCGCCAATATCGGCATAAATGTATGGCGGGACACCACCAAGGATGTACACCGGGATTTGGGAGCCAGTCCACAAGAAAGCCATGGCCACCAAGCTGAGGGCTCTGTGGATGGTCATCTGATGGAGCAGAACAAGATGGTCAGTATTGCCCGGAGCCGGTCGCCGCGATACTGGGGTGAGACTGCACTCACCGGCGGTTCATGGTCATGGTCTTCATCGTCACCATACGTTCGCAGACCATCTTTTTCATAATATCCGGGGTGGCCTGGCACTTTCTCGTTGGTGTGAATCTGCTCGATATGGGCCGAAGGGTCCTTGTCGAGGATGGGTGAAGGAACATTGTCACTTGAGCTGTCCTCTTGGGCAGTCATGATGGGCGACACAAGCAGGAAGGCGAGGGAGAAGGGAACGAGGGATTGTTCAGCGCGATTTGGTCACTGGGAAAGCACCGGGAAGGGAGGGAGGGTGTAAAGAGACCGAGAGTCAGGAAAACAGATGGGGAAGAAAAGGATTGATGTACTCGGCGAGAGCGAGATATGGAGTAGGACGATCGACTCGGAGCATGTGTTTCCCAACCGGGGCTGTCAAAGTTCACTGTTGCTTCATGCTCTTCTCCGACAACCTATTTGCAGGACATTGAGGGTTGGGGGGACGGCTAGAGAGGGCGAGACCCCTGCGGGAACCGGGGAGTGTGGGTGGCCAGAGCATGGAGTACGGAGCAGGGCAGAATCCTGTGGCTAACCTATGGTGAGTGACCGGGGACGTTACCAATCTCAACACTAGGAAGAGCAGTGGGGGGTGGAGGGCTCACGGAATGGAGTCTTCTCCGTGCCTGGAGGTGGGCCAGTGGGATGGTGGAGCGATGCGAGAACCATCGTTGTCTCTGTACTGGAGCCAGGATGGGGCGCAACGCCGGCAAGGTGGGTTGCGATGGAAATACTGTGAGACCTGGGGTCGCCTGGATACGACTTGACTATTGCTTTCAAGCGAGCCCGAGACCGACAAAAAACCAAATCCGACAGGAGGCGTTTGCCACTTTGTCGATGCCTGGGGGGTTGAAAGTTGAAAAAGAAAGGGTGAATTCCAACCAGCAACGGAAGAAAGAGGAAAGAAAATCCTTAGTCACAAGGCGTTACTGCAGGACTAACAGTAGCTTGGTGGTTGACGCAGGATGAATCAGATACGGCAATCAAGAACCCTGGGCGATGAGTTGCGACTGGTGGACCAAGCATCGGTATGTAACGAGGTCCTCAACGCCAGGACCAAGAGAGAAGAGAAATCAATATCTGGTAAAGAGAGAAAGAGGGAAAGAAAAAGAGAGTGTATGTGTTTGTGTCTCCCCCCTCTCTCTGTGAGGTGAGGGCGCAGGCTACGGCTCTGATGATTCATCAAAAAGCACAATCTGCCGTCGAAGGAACAAAGGCACCTGCCTACCTTCTTCCCCCTATTCCCCATCATATCACCCTTTCTCTCTCTCTGTGCGTTATCTCTCACATCTGGAATCGGATCACCCCGGAGAAGTTCCATCAGCCCTGCTCCATCACATCGTCTCTGGAATGTCCGGAGGATCTTGGCCTCTCGTCGGCTATCGGTGTGGTCCGTTTATGCTTTCTCCAGGGGCAGAGTGGTTACGAGGAACAGATGATGGGCAATAATACGAAGGTCAGTCCTCGTTCTCGGGGCAAGCCGGTCAAGCTGCATTGCAAGCACTGGCAAGCATTGGAGCTAATAACTAACACGCACGCCAAAGGCAATTGTTTGCGCAGCCGACTGTGCGGGACGCGGGGGGCTCGGGGGTGCCAGTCAGGATTCAGTGCAAGAGATGGAGGTGGCGCTTGGATAACTGGGCACTGGGCATTGGCACTTGGGGCTGCAAACCCCCCCTGACCCCGGAAAAGTCGCCCTCTTCGCAGTCCTGGAACCGAGCCCAGCGTCCTCCTACCTAACCCTTTCGGCGTCCTTTGCGTGCGGCCGCCCCCATTCTACGTGTCATCGACTCGGTCACCCTCCACCACAACCACCCGACATCGCGAAAGGCGGGCGAGCAGACCTCGAAGGATTCACCCAGTGTGGGACATTACGGGGCCAAACGACCTGAGCCAGAGGCCCACTTCTCCGCAAAATTGAGTCTGGAGGTGACAAAAAGGTGGCAAGGACTGCTGCATCGCGGACAAACATCCAAATCGGTCCAAAAGTCGGTAAAGCAAGAACCTTGCAATGCAGGCAATAGCCGGCCACATACCGAGGCCCCTATGGAAGAAGACCGACGTCGACCAGCATTCGACCAGTATACCACAAAGAAGATGCAGTGATGGCGCCTGACATGCGCGCTTGAACGACACTCCAAAGCCATCATCGACCTCTCCTCAGAACACTGGCCGCCACGGGTTTGCTCTCGTCGTTTCTGGTTCCAAAAATGCTCTCGAGCACCCAAAACTCCTCGATGAATCCTCTGTCCCAGTCTTTGGCCCTGTCAGATGGTCACACAGTCGGCGTCTCGCAGCGCGCCTCGGTATCTTTCATGCACGCTGTTAGTTTTCACCCAGTTAGGGGAATAACCGAAACTCTCCCCGTGGGATCGTGGGATCGCCTAATCTGGGCACCAGTCCGGTTGTTTGCCACGCTCTTTGCACGATCCCAGAGCGCGTTGGCGCCTTCAGCCTTTGTTAACCCGCAGCGAGCGACAGCGATCGAGAAGTTTAAGTTGTGTCTGTGGTGTGGCAGCCGTTTTGGTGCCTAGCTCGGTCGCACCACGTGTCGACAACATCGAATCGTCCCTTCGCCATTGTCCTGCTGGCGGTTGTCGAATAAGAGGAGAGCTTTGCCCTGCCACCCTGTGCAAGGGGACCCTGTCACGACTCGCAAACAATTGCACAGGGGAAATGTGTCCCGAAGTTATGCTGCTTCGGCTTGCTGGACAACCGAGGCTCCGTGAACGATGTTCTGTGCGAAAATGTACAGTATGCATGTAGTTGCTGGATTTTTTGAGAGGGCGAAAATCTGTGCCAACAATAAGTCCAAGTATCGAACAACGTCGTCCCCAAACAACGAATGCATACCGATTCTGTCAGGATCTAACATTCGCTGTGACGCTTCGTTGGTCAATTCAGAGGTAAATGTGAAAGGCTTTTCACGACTTCGTTTCACGGGAGATGAGACGCCTCAGTCACTTGTCTTCAGTCGATCTTTTTGGAGGCTCCGTCGTCCTCGAGCTCCGCCATTCCGCCGTCACCCCCGGACTGCACGAGTCGCACCTGGACGTTGGCCAGCGCATGCAACTCATCGATGGACTGCAATTCGATGGTGAGCAACTCGGGCGTGATCCTGGGGGGAGCCTCGATCCTCAAAACCATCGGCGTCATCTGGAGATGCATCGTGCCTGGAGCTGGGTTTGATTCCAACTGCGCAGGTGGCACAATCACCGCATATATCTCTCCAGGCCGCATAGGTCTTTTGAAGTCAATGGAAATCGTCTGCTGGTCCTGGCCTCCGTACTTCTTGTAGAAGTTGTGAATCTGTCGCTGAACGCCCTCCTCGACCAGAGTCGTGGTCATGCCACCATGGATTGTATCTGGCCAACCCTCCACGCCGAACCCCAGAAAACAAACCATGATGGTGAACTCCTGCGTCGGGTGCTTGAATGTCTTCATAGTGACTCCTTGCGTGCCTTGAAGTGTCTCCGCCACGAGGTGTAGCCCTCTGTTGTCCAGGCCACCGCCCTGCGCCGCGTAGTAATTCTCCTCGATCCAATTTGCCTGGCGCAGCGAATCGACCAACGGGTGCAGCTCCATCGCGTCGAGGATTTCGTCGTAGAGCTCTTGCTCGGCGGGCGACCCGGGCTCGAAGGGCGGCTGGAGGTACTCCCAAGTGATCAAGGCCGTCCCGGCCGTGACACCCAGCGCGCCAAAGAGGAGGGCCCAGAAGACGGATCGACTGAAGCTCGTCAGGAGCGAGAACCCTCCGCTTCTCGACGTCGGAGGAGGCACGGCCTGTATCTTGGGCATGTAGGGCTGATTGTGGGTGTAGGGCGTCGAGTCCGGGACAGGCATTTGGCCGGGCGTCTGGAAGTATTCCTTGTGCGGGCCATGGTGGTCATGCTGGGACGCTCGCCGGATATTCGACAGCAGGCCGTAGCGAGCTGCGAGCTGCTGGTGCTGCTGGGTCGCGGCGGTGGTGGTTCGGGTCTTGGGAGTAACAGTGGTGAATGCGCGCCGTGCTCCTCGACCAAGCAGCAGCGCCGGGCGGAGCGCCTGCATCTCCAGCTTTTTTTGTGGCGCCCGCGAGGAGCTGAAACCGAGCAAAGCAAAGCAACGTAAAGCACAGCTTGGGACAAAGAAAAGATAGCCCAACCGGTCGATGAGATTGCAACTGAAACCCGGAACTCGTTATGGAGCAGACTGCGGCCGAGTAGTAACAGCAGTAGTCGACGGCAAGGGACCCCGAAAAAAAGATTGGAGTGGTTGTCGCCATTGGGCTGTCGGCGCCGCCTGCATCCTTGGCGGTAGCAGCGAGAAGGGGTTCTTGACCAGCGACAACGACGCCGAATTCATGTATCAGGCTGCCGCCTTCTGACCAGCTATTATCATGAGGCGCGTGAGGCAGTTAGTTCTCTTCTAGGAAGGGCTCAAGAAATTCCCATTCACTCCTATGAGCTTACACAGGTGATATACCTAATTCGAAGGGCTACGATTCGGAACGAGAGGTATCACGACAATGCAGGGAGTCACCACACTCGCCTCTTCAGGGTTTCCGTGACAATTCGTGGTTTGAGGAGCCGTTAAACGTGAGAAATGCTCCGTCATGTGAAATGTGTGCACACCTTGAAGCGATCGGAAATCGGGAACAAGAATAGCCAATTCAGGACGGGCTTTTAATCATTCGTGCACATGTGCCAGCCCATATCAAAAACGCCTCCTGTCGACCATCACCACGGCCCAGCATCCCATCTTCAAGCCGTTGAGTTTGTTCTCCCCTGGCTCTAGGGAATCAGTGCATTGATCCACCTGCAATGCAATTCCACACTGCCGAGGATGGCGGTACACCATCAGTTGTGCCATAGCCATCGCAGCTGGCGCCTCCATTTTCAGCATCACTTCCGCACTGTACATGACACCATGGTCGTTCTTCATCGTTCGGCAACTGCACCAACCATCACCACCGCAACGCAGGGAAGCTCGTGTTTTATGATGTCGGGTTGGGGTTCATCTGAGGAATCGATCATTAGCATTCCATCATCTCAGGCGATCCGCATCGTGGTGTCCATGGCATCCATACCTTTCTCTTGCCACCGGTCATCGTCACGTTGACGAACCGTCTGGTGTATGTGATCCTCTTCTTCGCGCGCCCCTTGGGCGTCTTCTTCTTTTCTTGCTTTTCAACCTGTGCCGAAGAGTGTCAGCCCGGAATTCGTCCTTCGTAGGCGACCACAGAGCTTTGTGAATGATGAAATCGGCCTGAGGTGGGCGTTGCCAGTGTGGAAGAAATTGCTGCTCGATCCTGCTCACCTTGGGGGTTTGAGACTTGACTTTGCCGGCACGGGCGAGGGATCCGTGAACTTTACCCATGATTGCGAGTCGATTTCAGTCGAGTTGATGGATGAATTCTGGGGTTTCGAGCGCGGGTTACCAGATGGACGTTGATGGAGTGATGGCAAAGTGCAGTTCCATGATGATGGATTTGAAGTTTCCAACTGGTGGGCGCCAAGAAATCGCCCAAACAGGCAAGAGGCAACTTTCCCGCACGTGAGTCAGAAACATCGGCGTATTTCGACGTACCAAGATGGACAACCACTTGGGAAGAAGCTAATTAGTTGTATGAATCACAATCTTTAGGTCGCTCTATCATACTGTACGACGAAGAAAACCCCGGAGGAACTCGTTCGAAATATATGGACGCTAGCAGTCTAAGTCTAGGTATGCATCGCTGTCTTCGAAAGGCCCAGACGCTGTGGATTGATACTCAGAACCAGAAAATGCATTTGGTCACTTTCCTCACGATGAGTCCTCAACTTCATCCTTGGTTGGTAGATCAATTGCTCGGTAGAGCAAAATGAGCGCAGAAGCGCTTTCGCCACCACCGGAGAGAGTCATGATCCTCTCCGAATCGACCTCGCTGACTTTGTCATCGTTGAACCACCACCATTTTCCATCCTCTTCTCTGCGCTTACCCCCCGGTGCTTTGGGGTCATCTACCAACCTGCCCTGCTTCTTGACAAAACTGGTGTAGTGGCCGCTGTCCGCACTTGCGCCTTGGTGAGTGATGACACCTCTGAGCTCGTACAAGCCCGATTTGTTCGACCCTTCATCTGCTGCAAGCTCCGGATCAATGAGAGCGAAGAGTTCTTTCTTCGCTTGCTTGATAGACGCAGCGCGTTCGGCCTCGTACTCTGCATCCGTCTTGTACACGTCCATTTCGCCACCTTCTGGCTCCTTTTTCTTGCCTTGGTCTTTTTCCTTTTGTTCGCGGAGCTTTGCAATTGGAGCAGCCTCTACGCCCTTCGTTGCTTCATCTTGCTTGCGGTCTTCTTCCTGCTTGTGAGCCAGCTTCTGTCGCTTTCTGGCTCTCTCGACGTCCTGTTCGTCCTTGCGGATGTCGCGCACCTTGTCACGAACCGGTATCAGTCGCTTCTTCATGTCGTCGGTACAAAACTCCACAATGTCAAGTTCTTCGGGAAATGTGACTTTCCGCATGATCTTGGTTTTCTTCTGTATGTCTTTCCTCCAGAAGAATCGAACAAAGTGCACGGTCAGGTACTTAGGCAGCCGGGAGATTCGAGAGGTCTTGATGTATGTTGCATCCCGCTCGAGAGTGGGTGAGAATTTCTCGATTTCTTCCGTCAAAGCGGCCAAGATCCCGTCTCGAAGATGATTGATTGACTGGTCAATGTGACAGTCTAGCTTCAGGAAAGAATCCTCAGACTCAACAACAGGCTCGTTGTCTCCAACCTCCGGAGGCGGCGCCAGCGAGGAATGAAACGAGCCGGCCATGTATCGGTCGATGAATGCGATATCTTTCTGTTCTTGAGTGCTTTTGTCCGTGATCATGAGATTCTGTCTCAACTGGTGAAGAATCTGGGACCAAGCCTCCTCGGCATCTTGCTGGGCGTAGCCATGTCCGTTCTTCGCTTTCTGCGCAAACTGGGGATAAAGATTACGCAGAGCGTTCAGAAACATCATAGGGGGAAATCCCTCCTGCGTCTCCGACATTTGTTTGTAAAGGTCCCGTAGCTGCGCAGTCAGGTCGCTGGCGGAGCCGAGGCCACCCAGGCCGAGACGACTGAGGTCTTGGAGACTCGGACCCGCGCCCGTGTTGGCCTTATAGATCTTCAACGAGTCTTGCATTTCAGGTATGCTCCGGAGAACCTGCAGCGTCGAGTTCAAATAACAAGTGTTGCCGAGGTTCTGGAGGCCCGCTGGAGTAGCACCTTCTTGAGCGGCGGCTTCAGCTTCAGTCATGTCTTCAACGAATTTTGGTTTTTCGACGGGGGCGCTGACTGCGCTGCTCTCGCCAGAAGCGGTGCCAAGCATGGTGAAGACCTGGCCGGGTTTTGCATTGAGCTTGGAGAGCTCGGTATCATCTTTCAGCTTTCCTCCTTTGATCAGGATGGATTGTCGCTCGGGTTCGACGCCGGTGAGAGAGAAGAGTTGGAGTTTGAGCATCTCGCCATTTGCCGTAGGGTCGAGGTCGACATCGTACTTCTTGCCCTGGTGTTTGATGACAACTGGAAGCAAGTATGTTAGTGTCTGCGGTTCTTTTGGTACCCATCTCTCCATGAAACATACCAGGTATAGTCGCCATGATGTTGATCTATTCTGCGAGTGACGGGAGAAGAGTGACAGCAGAGCCTTGTGCAAGAGAGTACAAGAGAGCGTAAGAAAGTGCAAGGAGGCACACGTAGAGGAAAACAATTGCTTGGAAATTGTTAGAAAGCGGCGAAACTGTATGCAAGGCTCGACAGGCACAAAACAGCACGTCACCCAAAACCGCCCCAGTCAGTCACAGCATTAAACTCCCCGCCAAACAACGCCTAGTGAGCCTGTGCCAAGCCTGACAGCCGCAGGTGAGCGCAAGGGACACCAGCCGTTGCTGCGGATGACGGATCTCGCGGGCAAGTTCCCCTCCACAAGTGTCTTTTAATTGTTCAACGTGAGTCGACAGCGACGAGTTCTCTTGTCCTATTACGATTGTCTCTTCCAGGACCAAAAAGAACGCAGATTACCACTCTCAATTTTGGATGTCGATCTAGGGGTCCATGAACCGGTGAACCGTTGTTTGCTCTGCTCCCAATCCGCGTTGAGCGAGCGCATTGAAGATGGTGTGCCTACTCCCCTTCCAACACGACGTCTGGGCTGTGGAAATATGCTGACTGCTGAGCCCAGTCCCAATCATTGCGCCCGTATCTTCAATGTGTCCGCTCCTCTCTGACCGCTGCTCTTTCCCTCTCCAACTTCGCTTCTCAAGCCTCAGAACGACACAATGTGCCCGAGATCGAGGCAGCCAGTTCGCCCGAAGTCCTGTTGAACCCTCTCACGATCGCCCGCAATGAGAACGAGAAGGTTCTGTTAGAACCCAGTGTGAACAGTGTGCGAGTGAGCATCAGAATAAAGCAGGCCGACGAGATTGAGAATATCCTGGTCCATAAGTTCACCCGGTTCCTGACCCAGCGTGCCGAGTCCTTCTTCATTCTGCGACGGAAGCCGGTCAAGGTGGGTAGAGGCGTTGTTGGCATTGCCAAAGGTCGAGTCCTGACAAAGCTGTAGGGTTATGATATCTCCTTTTTGATCACCAACACGCATACGGAAGAAATGCTCAAGCATAAGCTGGTGGATTTCATTATCCAATTCATGGAGGAAGTCGACAAGGAAATCTCGGAGATGAAGCTCTTTGTAAGCTTTAGGTGACGCCTGAGGACATCCTATCTGCGGAAACTGACCTAGTCTGCAGCTGAACGCCAGAGCTCGCTTTGTTGCTGAATCATTCTTGACTCCGGTAAGTCCTTGAGGTTTCCAAGCAACTCACCAATGTTGACGATAGGGTACAGTTCGACTAGATTTGAGGTATTCAACCAAACAAAAGGTACAAGAGCCGCGGATCTGTGCTCGAGTGGTGGTATTGGGCGGGTCTCTCCTTGCGGATCCCGTCATTTTGGCTGAAGCCACACAAGGCTGCGGATGATTTACGACCCCTGAGATCATGTGACGACGAGCCGACGACATGTCACCCACGCAGAATACTGAGAAGGCTGGGAAGCAGCACTAGCGGTGACAATGAGCCATGTCCAAAGATGAAACAATGAGCTGAATGGCGAGTGTCATGGTCCACATGATGATCCTGCCCCTCTCTGTACACATGTTGAATACAAAGTTCAAGTTGCTTGTTCAGGATTCATGCTGTCTCACTCACTCCCTCACTGACAGACAGACAGACATTTCATGTGAAGCCATTCGGAAATACTTACTGTGTGATAGGGACCGGTTCCGAGCGACGCCAAAGTTGTTTGTTTGTAGGGGCTCAACAATATACTCTCGCTGGCTGGCGACCACCCGAGCCAAGCAAAGGAAAGGAAGCCGGCCAGATACGACCGGCAGTATCTCCATGTCGTTGGCTCTAGGCGGTGTGGCAGACGCCAAGGGCCCCGTCTGAATTGTATAGGAATTCGGACAAGTGAGGCCAAATTTGGGCCTTTTGCTGGCCGGGTTCAATATTCTGGCTCCACCGCCTTCGACTTCTCACCACATTTTGCGGAGGAGAGGAAGTAGAGCACCTGTTCTGTCTTTTTCAACGCGCGTCTGATCTCTCACTTGTCCGTTCGACTGGACTATTTGTTTGTGTCAACCACGGACTTCTCTAACATCACTGTCTCCTTACCTTTGGCCTGCTTCTATTCCACCTCAACCTCCCTCCTCCCTCCTCCTCCACCTTCTCATCCTTCATCCCTTCTTCATGGTTGTTTGACGTTACTCTGAGCACTTGTCACCACCATGGACGGCCAGCAGGGTTTCGGTTCTTGGTCGAGTGACGACCAGGACCACGACCACGACCAGAACGTGTACCAACTGCCCCCAGGCTATGTGCGAATTCCCTACCCCTCTGTGGCACCTTTTGGGCCACCACCTCTTCCTCCGGTGAACTTCCATCCTGGACTTCCTCTCCCTCAGCCGCAGCAACCAGGATTTGGCGGGATCAACCTGAACGGAACGACCATGGGTACGATGAATGGTGGTGCCATGCCAACAGCGTCACTTCCGACCATGCAGCTCCCGTCGATTCCCAACTTCTACCTCCCAAACAACAATGATCCCTTCGCCGTCGCCGGTGGTGCTGTGTACACTCCTGCTCAACCTGTACGTGTCGTGAATGATCCCGGAGTTCCTTTTGATCCAAGCACCCCTCCACCGTTTGCGGATCGTGCTCAGCTGCAGTTTCCCAGACGTCATGGTGTCCTCAAGATCGAGAATGTAAGTTTTGCTCCCCTGTCTGTCAGCCTTCGTTTGTCCAGAATTGGCGGGGTGTTTCGAAAGCCTTTGAGCAACGCGTCACCTGTTCGTCACTTTGTGTAATATCGCAGTTTCAGTTGAGTCAGGGGACTTTGCACTTCAGAACGGCTGGCCAGCAATTTTTGTGGCTCGCGAAGTCTTTGTTGTTGTCCTTGTTCTTCTGCATTTTTGAGTTGTCGCCTGCGGAAGAGAAGACGAAGAAGAAGAAAAAAGAAGAAGATCTTGCTGACCATGTCCACCTTCGCCAGATTCCGTACACCATCAGCATCCCCGAGATGCAGCAGTTTGTCTGCAAGTACATCCCTTCGAGCCACTTGATCGAGGCCCACGTAGCCGGTTGCCCTATCCACATCATCATGGAACGCTCGACTGGGAAAACAATGGACTGCTATGTTGAGATCATTGCTCCACATACTGCTGCTCAAGACTGGGAACATGCCTTTGGCCTCAAGCTCATGCGAATCCCCAAAATCGGCCAGCGCAACGTCGAAGTCACGCTCAGCAACCAAGGCGAGCTGATGAAAGACATGTTTCCTCGTGCCAAATGCATCCACTTTGATGCTGAGCAGTTTGGTGCCCCGAGGTTGGTGCCGAATCGCGATATCTTCTCGTCGGGTTACAAAGGATTCATGACCAACGAGGAACTCACCTGCATGGTCCGTCATGCTGAGTATCCGCAGCGTGTATGTTCATTTTCCTTTCCCTTCAACTGGGTTGCCAGCCTGCGAACTGACATCTTTGCCTTCGATATCTAGTCCCAATTTGCAAATCGGAGCATGCAACGTACCTTTGAGAGCATGATCAGTACTTTGTACAAGGTAAGCCGCCCACTGCTTTTCCGTCCTGCGAAGACCTCTGTCTGACCATGACACCCAGTTCCCGTGGTTTTCTGTCAAGCTCTACACCCTTCGTCAGATTCAGGCCATGTTTGATGCCTATAAGAAGCAACTTGACGTCCTTATTGTCAAAGTCGACTCTTCTAGAGGCATAACTCGTGAAGTGGGTCTTGACAACAAACTCTTGATGGATTTCGTCTTTGCCGGTCTCAATGCCCCTGGCTTTTCAGAGCGTCAGCGTGCAGACATTGTCGAGTCCTCTCAGGCATTGGCGTGTGGGTTTCGCATCAGCAAGCATGCTCGTTACTGGCCGTTCCAGACCCTGTCTACCCATCCTGCCAACCTGTCTGACCAAGACGTGGGAATGTGGTTGAATGTTTTGAACATGGGAATGGGAGTCATGGAGTCTCAAAATCGCAAATTCATTGGCGTCGAACCATATCTCGAAGTCATCCGCGACGCTGACGGCCATGTCTTGTTCCAGCCTACTGAACAAGGTCTCGACTTGAAGCGTGGACAGTTCTCCGCGATGGAGAAGCGATACATGCATGGCATGATGCAGCTTGGTTGGCACAGTTTCATGGATCAAATGGGCATGGAGCCACCGACACATACGCAGAATCGCGGTATGCATACCTTCAACGACAGCTTTATTGTTGGCTCCGCTCGCATTGATCCTGTCAACCCATTTACCGGCGATGGGAGCAGCAACCGCCGTCCTGGCGATCTGTCCAACAACAATAGCAACGGTCGAGGAGATGACAACTTCGAGGATGAGGACGAGACTCAAGGACTTGAAGGCAATATTGACAACCCCGAGCAGGCACATCTTGCCATGCGCGAAGTCCTCAGACAAGTCCACGAGGCTCCGCCGGCGAGGCAACAAGCGTCCATGCACAGACAGAGTGGCTATGAAGGAGAAGTCGAGGGATTGGGAGCTGGCTTGCAGCACATCGAGTCGTCCGCCGGCGGCAACGGGCCAGGACCTACCATCATCGGCCCACTCCTTCCACAGCACCCTGCCCGCTCCCGTCCTGTCCTCGGTCGTCCGTTCAATCCAGAGACTCCTGCTTTCGAACCACCGCCAAGTCAGAATCCTCGTCGCCGTCATACTCCCAGCAACTCTGACTCTACCTTGGGGACTGGCCCTGTCTTTGGTGGCTCCGGTATCGGTAATGGCGACTTCACTTCTCCGCAGAGAATCAGCACCGCTCGCAACAACGTCAGAGGCAATGGTAGAGAACCCGCTGCTGCCGCTGCTGTTGGCAGTGGCGCACCGGCTCCTGCTGCTGCTGGGATCCGCCTTCGGCCCACTGCACCAATCTATGGCTCCCTCCTGCCCGTCGCTCTTGGTCGCGCCGACGCCGTTACTGCTCAGCCAGCCTTATTTCAAGTGCCATCAGGCCGTGAGCGTCGTGGTGTCACAATTCGTCCTCCCAACGATGGAAGGGCCTTTACAACCCTGGGAACCACATCAGTTTTAGATACCGGAACTGTCGGTGGTCCCAATCCATTGACACTGTCTCCTGAAGAGGCCCATGACACCGATCACTCTGCTTCTGACACTGGGAGTGTTGGTAGTCCTCATTCTTTGACGCTGTCTACAAGAGAGTCGCAGAACACTCGTCGTCCTACTCTTGAGACCGGAAGTGTCGGTATTCCTCATACGTGGACGTCATCTCCGCGAGAGGCGCAGAACACCATTCGCGCTGATGGTGTCGACGAACTCGACGAGTTCTTGGATGAACTATTCGGCGAAACCACAACCCAAGCTGATCGTGTGGCCATGCGTGGTGGATTTGTAACTCCGACCAGCTCTCCAGTGACTGCGCCAGCCTCGCCTCTGCGACGCGTCATCGGCCGTGTGCCTTCCGGTGGTATTGGTCAAATCGAGGACGATTACGATGATGGCGAGGTCGTCAACAGATCGGCCATGTCTCGCTCTTCTCCAGGTTACACCATCCCCCATGATGAGTCTTCCAGCCCTTTCGTGTCGACCAGTCCTGAGATGTCTTCCAGTCCTGGGGTGTCTTCCAGCTCTCTCGCGTCTTCCAGCCCTGTCGTATCTTCCAGCCTGGACGCTGCTCGCAACGGCGCTCCCGAATATCGTGGCCCCGGCTCTGGCTGGGAAGGCTATATGGCTCTTTCTCAGGATCCTCCTGCTCCCATGCGAGACCCTCTCCATCTCACGATCCCAGGGATTGGCGATCTCGCTGAATTTCCATATCCTCAACGCATGACCATCCTCGAAGGCACTGCCGAAGCGCGTGATACCCGCCTCACTCTACTGCAGCAGCGTGGATGGCGCATCCACGAGACAATTGACGAAGAACCTGAGCCTTCGAATGCAGGCCAGTGACTGACTCATTTGAGACTGAAGTGAAAAACGGAGGTTATCAAAGTCGATTGCGACATTCTTGGCGGACAATTATTGGAGAGAGGCATGACCATGAGCAACTGCGCTGCTGGACTGGTGGTGGCGGAAATGAATCATGACAAATTTGATGAGACGAGATGAACAATGACGATGACTTGCGATGAGGAGCTACTCGATGCAATGCAAAGCGACGAGAGCTTGGATTGGCAATGACGGATCATGGTGAACGAGTGCTCAACTAACTTGGGAGGGACGAGAAAACAAAAATCGCCATGCCATGCCATCACCATGTCATGGGCGCAGCGAAAAAGAACCTGTTCAGAGCTGAATGATTATCGAAGAAGAGAAAAAGACCCGGAAAACCTCCCCCAACCAGGGCACGAGCTACTGGAAGGAGGAACCAAAAAAGATTGCTCATTGGAAAACGAGAAAAAAACCAGGCAAAAAAATATCGTCACTACACACACAAACACACAGACAGAGAGAGAGAGGAAGGAAGAAGAAGAGATTAAAGTTGACATGGCACTTTTGCAAAAAAGAGCCGAGTTGACTGTTTTCCTCTTCCTTCCTCTCCTCGAGCTTAGCAGTGACGATAGCAATAGCAATAGCTCAACATATTCAACAAAGCCAAAAGATCCAATCCATTCCATTCCATGAGACACTTGGTGCTGTAAGTATTGCATGGGTAGGTTGATATCTCAGCCTCGTACAGTTCTCTCGAGGGGGAGCGGGGGCGGGTGGCCAGATACTGCACCCCCCCGGGGCGGCATACACCCAGGCACCTACTGTAATAAACTCGGTACCCCGTCCAGCTAAGCATCCAGGGGCCGCTAGCTAAGCTACAAGCCAAGATCTATTATCAGTTAGGTACGTGCCTAGGTGCCTAGGTAGGTAGATATGCGTGCATGCAGGCGGGAAAAGAAAGTCAGACAGCCCCCGCCAGCTGACTGACCTTTTTTCTATTATTCATGTTCCGCCGCTGGGCATTCTTGTATGGTGCCAGCGCATCGACGCCCCCAACACCACCGCCAACCACCAACCACGTCGTCTCCTTGTCCGCCCCCTGTCGATATTCAATCCACTCCCCTCCCTCTTTTTTTTCTTCTGCCCTTGACACTCCCAACCTCCGAGCCACCTGTGACCCCTCCTCCACCACCCCCCCTTTGGCAAAGGACAACAGTGGTAATGCAGGGCAGCGCGGGAGGCACCGCGCGGGCGGCGGCCATGTGGTGATGATGGTTGTGGTGGTGGCCGTGCTGCGGCCCAGCAAGCGGCCGAAAAAAAAAGTCAGTCTCGTCCCGCCCTCCCCCCCGACCTGCATATACCGTACATTGCATCTGCATACCCTCCCTCCCTCCCTTCCTTCCTTCCTCCCGTGGGAAAAACCGGGGGGACTTCGGAAATCGGGTAAAACGAAAATAAAAAGGTGGAAAACAAAATTCAATGTCGTGCATACTTGGTTTCGTTTCCTTTTGCTTGGTATATCGCCATCTACATCATCTAACTCGTGGAGGGGAAAGGGGGAAGTGACGCTCCCGGGAGCCACGGCGCGCCGGGTGTCCTTCCTTTTGCCGTCGCTCGCCTCGCCATTCGACCAGCTCAGGCAGTCATCGAGCGTCGTGGTTTCAGACACCTTGCCGAGGGATCGAGTCTCCGCTGGGGATTGGCTCCAGCTGATGGCGAAGAAAACGGACCAGACCAGCGCTGCAAGAAACGCGATTGGGCACGTCTAGTCGCAATGAGGACCGGTCCACTGCCTATATATATGGAGGGTGCAGCACCCCAGCGGATCACTCGCCGACAAAAGGACACACGCATGGCACCAGAGACTAAAAAAGATATACGCATTCAGAAACTAGCAATCAATCAAGCTCGATAAGCGTCCATTGATCCTTCCTCTTCCTTTCCCCAGTGTGTCGGCCGAGGCCACCAGCATCCCGTCGAGCTCGAATGTCACTCGTTGGCTGGCTGTGTTGAATAGGTTGCAGCGCCAGTTGTTGCGGCCGCTTCGCAGAGCGCCCCCAGCTGTGACGGGACCTGTTCTCGCCTCTCATCTTCGCCCATTAACAACTCCAGTGTCTCCAAACGCCCATCTCGCGCCCTTCAGCCAGTAGATTTGTTCTGCCGCCCACTCTGCCACCCTCGTTGTGATCACATCGAAATCTGTCGAGAGACTCGCGGTGACCAGAGAGCCGGAGAAAGAACAGTTTCACACAGAGCCGCTGCCCGACGACCCGAGAAGGTGGTAAAGTATACTATGAGTACACAAGATTGCAACGCCGCGTTTGGTTTTGGTTTCTGCGTCGAAAAACAACAACAAAAAGAATTCAGACAGCCGTCCCAAGTTCAGTAGTGCGCGGTCAAGCCAAACAAAAAACAATAACAAAAATATTCAGATAGCCACCCAGGTTTGCGTTTCGTTCAACATTCGCAGAAAGGTGAATCGGGCTCTGATAGCCGAGGACCATCGGGCAAAAACGTCGTAACAGCTTTGCGGTCTTCCAAGAGTAAGAGAACTTGATCAAACAGCCACCCATTGATTTATCTTATCCCATTTTAGCCCTTTTCGTCCGATTCACAGGCGAAAATCCAGTAAAGACCGATAATGATGAAAATAAAGAGATTCGGGTTGCCCCAGGTTGTGTATCCTTTTGAAAACGAAGAAAAAGTCATGCCATCCATGAATACGTCGCCTAGTTGCGACATCGCCCTGAAACCCAAGTGCACGCATGCGTGCACGTCGAGTTGATAACAATGATGAGAAGAGTGCTCCGCGACCCAACTCCTGTCGAGGAAGCAGGCTCTGCTGGATGTTTGTCGAGGAAAGCAGAGTGGTGGGCGCGAGGTCGAAGAGCGTGCCAGAGCGCACGAGCGAGCTTTCATTATTTCTTGCCATCGAGCTTGCTCAACATGTCATTGTCGTTCTTGCCCCGCAGGTCCGGAACACCGGTTCGGGTATGGTCAATCATCTCATGCACCTTCATGCCACTTCTACCGTTCGTGGATGAGCCTGCAGAACCAGGCTGATTGGGTGGCGGAGTCCGCCCGTCGTCATAGCCTGCCGGCGCCTGACGGGGGGAATTGTAGCTTTGCGCCGACTGCGGTGTCAAGCCGGACGGAGACACGTTGCCCTTCTGAGGCTGGTGGCCGTTGGCATAGCGAGCCTGCTGCTGTTGCGGAAAAGACTGATAGCTCATGGTAGAGGTAGCGGGCGAGGTAGGCGCGCCGCTGGGATGGTCCGCATAATCATAACTCCCACTGCTGTTTTGGCGCGACTCATACGTACTGTTGCGCGCACGGGAGGTGGGATGGGGAGACTGGGATGCATGAGATTTCTCATTGTGGGGGTCATCATCAGGAGGGGGACGTTTGAGACTGACACGTTCATCATGCTGAGCAGCGTGACCCTGCCCATGTGCGTCATACGGTGGTGGTGCAGAAGCAGGAGGGTAAGTGTAGGGATAAGGCGCCGGCGGATAACCAGCATGCGGCGGCGGGGGGTAGCTGTACTGGGGTTGGCCATGAGGTCCAGCGGGTCCTAGAGGTTGACCGTGGGCACCATAGAGCATTGGCGGCGGGTCACCCTCCCGGGCATAGTGGTGACCATTTTGGCCAGCTCGGCCATCTGGCTGGCCAGCAATGGGAGCCCGCGCTGCATTGGGTCCGTATACGGCGTTGGCGGGAACAAAGGCAGCTTGGGACGAGACGGGATGGAACAAGCATTGCTGATTGAACCGGACACAGTTTTGACACCGGCCATCAGGAGAGCTGTCATAGCCAGAGCACCGGATCTATCTACACGTTAGTGTACGTTCCTTCCACTGTCTCGCGATCGCGCGCGCCAAGGGATAACAGGCGTACCTTTCTCTTTCGGCAGTATTTGCAGGCGATGGCCGTACGTTGTCGCGGTGCAGCCGCAGGAGCAGGCGGAGGGTAGGGAGATGAATAGTAGCCTGCGTGGGGATGCGCATACACTGGTGGAAGGCGGTACGCATCCGGTTGCATGGGTGGTGGGGGTTGTCCCAGATCAGGCCTTGGAGGATATCCATACGCTGGATGCGCAGGGTCCTTTTTTTCAAACTGTCAGCTGAACATGTTGGGATTGCTCGACAAGAACGGTGACTTACAGGATAGTGAGGATAAGCACCATGCTGGCCTGGCCATGCATGGGGGGGAGGATATGGATGTCCTGTCCTTGGGTCGGGGTACTGCGGCCTCGCAGGTTCTGGGGGAGGGTACCCGCTCCGGTCGTCTCTCGCGGCCGAACGCTGAGGAGATTGTTGTGCATAGTAGCCAGCCTGGATTGAATCGTCCGGAGGGGGATACTGAGGACGTTGAGCATCCCGGGGATCCGCCATTTGAGCCGCCATGCGTTATCCAAAGATCGTGGGTGGGTGACACAGGTCCAGCGAGATAGTTGACGCAGGCCAGGAAGCAACCGAGGCTAACGGAAAACGGGCAAAGGAGAGGACCGTCGAGGCGTCGATGGAAAAGCAAACAGAGACTTTGCTCGCAGAGCGTATGAGGAATCCGAAGGATAAAGGTTGTCGACCTCAGAACCAGCTCGAGGTCGAACAGTGGGAGGGGAGGATGGGGGGAGTTCAGGCGCGGGCGCAGTCGCAAGCACTGCACGGCGAGGAAGAGAGAGGGGGGAGGGAAAGAAGTAAATAGAGGGATGAGTTCCTGCAAGGGTGTGCGAGGTGACCGGGCTGAGGTATTAAGTTGCTTAGAAGGCGTACGGGCAACGAAAAAAAAACTTTGTAAGATGGTACGAAGTCGGGGCCCTGGGCCACAAAAGGATCAGGTGTTCGTAGGCGGGCGGGCGTTCGGACGGGAGGGCTTCGTCAGAGCCCGTCGAAAGGAAGGCGATCCAAGAGATGGTGAGAGGAGGTGAGAAAGGGTGAGAGTCGATGTGAGAGTGGACAGGTCGGTGAGGACGTGACGAGCTGAGATGACGATGATGGGAGGGAAGAAGCGGTTGATGAAGGATGATTGGAGATATGGCGGGTGTGATGGGGGTGGAGAGTGGTGGTCCAAGGGCTCCAAGGGCTCCAAGAGTTGGCTTGGAACAGAGTGGCAAGCAGTCGCTATAGGCTCTCGACCGCTGCAGGCACAACCGAAGGAGGGAGAGATTTTGGGATGGGAGCTAGGGCTTCGGGCGGGAGAGCAGCCAAGGTAAATGTATGTAGGCCTGGTGGGCCGCTGGCTGTCGATTTTCTGGAAGCCGCTAAAATACCACTCCAAGAGCCAGAGGGGCACTAAGGGGGTGTCCCAAGGACGCGGTCCGGAGGAGCGGTATTGAGGCTACTAGCGCTGCAGGACAGGGATCATCAGGTGCCAGGCGCCAGGTGGGGTGCTGTGCGATGGAGCCAGGCTAGTTAGGCTTTTGGAGGGGGGGCGTGGTGGCCCGTGGGTGGGTGGGTAGGCCGTGGTCCTCTCACGATCCTGAGGCTGGGTCTGCTGCCACCTGGAAAAATGGTCGCTGGAGGGTAGTCGCAAGTAGCAGCAAGTCACAGCAAGTAGTGCCGCTGGCTCGATAATCCGGCACTCTCCTGGCCCTCCCGCCGCCTGGAGCCTGGAGCCTTGGAGCCTGACCTGTGCTCGGCAAGTGCCTTGTGGCTCGGCCTCCTCGGCTGCCTGACGGAAAATGCTGGTTGGGCGTAACCTTGAGCTGAAAAAAAGGGCTTCCCCGCCAGTTCCCAGTGATGGCGGACTTTGTCGAGAGTTGTTGAAAGGTTAAAAAATGCTGCAAACTGCTGCAAGGGGAACTCCGGCCACTGGTCTCGGTGCTTGTGGAGGGGACTGAAATATACCTTGCAAGTAATGCAGTCCAGGTGGGTTCCCCAAGGCCGAAAAGAGACAAAGACGGAAACCTCCCTTCCTTCAGGTGTGACCTGCCAACTTCCAGGTGACGGGCGTCCTGCGTATGGATGGCGGGGTGACACCTTTTCTGGATGCCTTGCTGCGTGCCCCCCTCCCTTCTCCTTGCTTTGTTCGACACACACACACGGCTATTGGCGCTCTCGGTGGAGTGGGATGGAAATAATGGTCATGGGTGGTCAGGAATACCCGGCCTGAAAATTATTTTTTCTTTTGGGCTGTGCCTCGTCGGCGTCACTGTCGCAACAAATCGATCGACCCTCGCTAGCCACGCGTGACAGCAACCTACTGGGACTGAAAATCCGAGATGATGAACCTGGTCTGCAGGATGCGTTGCAGCAGAGCCACGCTTTTGCTTTAGGGGTAGCAGCGTGTTGCGGTACGGCGAGTCGATCCGAATGTTCCACCAGATATCCAGCCCTGGTGGTCTTTATTGGCCAGCGCGTCACCCAAGTCCCCAGCTCACGTCGAATAAGACGACCCTCGATGTTCTGCAGCGCTCGTCACCGGCCGCCAATGCAGGCTCCACTCTCGGAAGACGGCGAGCGTGATGGCGGACGGGGGCAGATGCGGATGGCGAAAAAAAGAAGGGAAGGAGGAGATGGAGTCCCAGAAATACCTAGGCCACAGGCTGGTCCCGCAAGGCACAGCGGTGGAAAGTTGGGAGCCAAGCGAGGACAAATGCCAGTCAGCTTGTCAGAAAAGAGCAAAAAAGGACAGGAAGGACCCGGAAAAGCCTGTAACCTGTAACCTTGCTCTCCTGCACTGGAGATGGGAGGGCAGTTCCGTCAAGCCGGTCAACGTATGTATGCCAGATGCTTCCCGGCTAACGATGACCTCCGCCGTGGCCCAAGTGCGACGGTGACGCCGCTAGGTACGTGCCTCTCACTGGGATCCTGAGATGGCCTCTTGAGAGTTCCGCAGGCGTTGGTGGGATGGAAATGGATTCAGGGCAAGGATAGGGTTGCCGCAACCAGCCGCGCTGAATAATTGGCCACTGTGATCACTCGACTCACTCGCTAGTCTCAGACTCGTGGCTGAGGGGCATCCGAGAGCTTGCAATTCAATAGTCGATTAGATGCCTCGATTGGTTCGCAACAGTCCTGTGGGATGACTTGCTGCGCGTGGCCACCAAACCGTAAACTCTGGGTGGTCCTTGGGTTGTGGAGGAGGTAGTAATCCGAGTCGTCGCCGCTGTCGAAAAAGGTTCAACTCGTGATGCGAAATTCTTTTTGTGGAGAGGATGGTTTTCTTGGAGGGGGAAAAACATGCGCAAAGTCCGACAATTACCGTGCGACGCCGTCGTGCGAGCTGGCAAAGCAAGCCCTGGACAAAGGCCACCCCCAGAATCAAGGGGAAGAGAACGAGGGGTGGTGGGTGAGCGAAGTGTGTGCTGCGTGAGATTGATCCTGGTGCGGATTAGCAGCCGGCAGACAGTAAGGGCGTGAATAATACGAGGTCTGATGTGGAGGGGGCTCCTCTCCGTGGATGATATCGGTGGGCAGTCGTGGGAGGAATCGGAGCCCAGGAGACACACTCCATACAGAGAGAGACACAATGAGCCCTGGGAGGGAAAAAGGAGAAGATCGATGATGTTCTAATCTTGCGACGGACCAGGTCTATCGAACCCTCTTATCTGTCGATCGGCCCGTTGCTTCTCGCCTTGACGCTGATGCTGGGACTGCCCGACCGCGACATGCTGCAGAAGCTCCCGTCTGCCTTTTTGCAATCAGAGTTGCACCCTTGCTGGACCAGCATCTCAGCAGACGCTGACTCGTGGCTTCAGGTGTCGGACAGGACCCTCATGCCAGGCGACGGGCCATACATAGCCAGGTGAACAGCACCCTTTCAACCCTAGATTCTCGTAATTCGAGGAGCGGTCCCCCAGGAAGCATGCAGCTTCATGCATGCAGAAGGGAAGTCCAGGGACACTAGAGGACGCCTATGCTAGGCACCGTCGATGCAGGCGTAGGAGCAGGGCCATCCCATGCACGATGCACATCCCTTTTCCCTTGGGAGCGGGCAGCCGACCTGCTGAGCAGACGCCGTTGGCCAGTCCACGACGCATTCCTTTTGACGTATCGGCTAGTATCTTACAGCGTTGTTACGTACCATCTCGTAACACCCGATGCTTCCCATTCTCAACAGAAATATGTATATCCATATGACAACATACTGCGTCCAAGTGTAGGTCAGAGGGGGCAGATGTACCTTTCCAAGTGTGTGCTCCGGATCCGTCCAGGCTCATGAACGTCCAGCTGAGTACACTCATGGCCAGAGGACTCGGTCACCCTTTGACTTTGCGGGTTCGGTTGAGGTCCAAAGAGCTCAGGAAAAGGATTCCAACTGCGGCGACAAACTTTCGTCTAGCATCCGGACTGTGGAAGGTATCGAAGATCCCGTCTGCCGTGTAACATTGAAGACAACGGGCGGCATATGACAACAACCTAGAGTATGCAGGTCTAAGGGATTTGCATCACCTTCAGATCCTTGTCGATTTTCGCCCGGTTGGCTGCGTCCCGCTGCCTCGCCCCGTCAAATGTTTGCTCTCTGCTTTCTCGGGTGACACCAAACCCGTGCTTAAACCATCAACGTGTATCGAGTTCGGGTCGTGGATTTTCCCAGAACCAGCTTTGACAGATTGATTTCCGGCTTGCCATTACGGCTAGAATAAAGGATCATGCCAGACGGGTTGAGAGAGCGTCTCGATTCAATGCCGAGAAAGCGGTGTGGTTGACGGCGTTATCCACCACTTCAATTCTTCCAGCCAAAATTCAAAAATATCTTGATGGAGGATTTGTGGGCAGCAACTAAATGGCGCAGCTTTCCTGTCATCTGACCTTGTCCAGGCTGTGTATTGCTGCATGATGCAGGACTAAGGACTGGTTGGGTATGTGCTAAGTGGTTGATCTACCTGTAGCAATGTGTTGCCGTCAGGGTCCGGGCCCTCACATTCTGGCCTCCAATGTGCGTTCGACGCACTCCAACTATCGCCATAGTATAGCGAAGGTGCCTCCAGTAGTAGTGGCGATGCTTAAGAGAGGGCGAATGGAAGGTGCCCAACATACTGCGACCTTGCACGTTCAGTTAGCTCATCATTTGATGCTGGGGCGACCAAGGCTACACCGGTTGCGCTGCAGAGCGTCAGCTCACGGATCCGTGTCCTGCTGCTGACCTCGCTTGGGCTTTAGCGAAGCCTGGAAAGAAAAATCCTGCGAGCCCAATTCTTTTTCCCATGCAGACTGTACGTGACTTTAGTTGGGATAGTGCGACAGACTATGTGGTGACGTAGCACCAAAGGGAAGACCGTTGACGGACTAGTCTTTCCCCAGGCCGTGAAGCAGGCCTGTGGAGAGAGATCCAGAATCCAGATAAAGGACCTTAGCGTCAAAGATTGGTGGCCGGTGAGCGCGGGAGGAAAGCGCTGGAGCAGCAGGGAGGGCGCGCAGTACCGAGAGAATCGAAACCCGACAGGGGCGCTCAAGGCCTAATGCCGAAGGCGAAGGCCACCAGGCTCGGCTCTGCCCTAGGGCCCGTCCATGCTCGAAGCCTCCCAATTTCCTTTTCTCTGCGACAGATCATGCAATGTTCGGATCGACGCCCGAGGCTTGCTTATCTCTCTGTGAACAAATTCTCCATATTGTGCTACCGGGTGGACGATTAGGTGCTAACATGACCAGTAGACTGTGGATGCGTCGAGCTTTGTCGCACCACAAATCCATCCCTCGCTTTTAGTTTGAGACTTGATCAAATGAAACTTCCAGGGCTCGAACCTCGGAAGTCCCTCTATTTCGACATGCTATTACCGAAGTAGAGTAGTTTATTAGGAGGGACTGGACTGCTGGTCCGTCTGAAAGGGAACAACGCTGGAAGTAAAGGGACACTCGAGATACACTTTATGACATACCTCTTGAGGTTTGGACGAAACCTTCGGTGGGAGACTGATCCCAAGCTGGTGACCTGGTGACACAAAGAGCGACAAGTCTCCACCCGTGGTGAACAGTGGTCAAGATTCAAGACGGTGTCGAGGGGTCCAAACGCCAACCTGTCCAACAAAATAGGAGGACATCCCGGGAGCGCAGCTAAGAGGGATACAAGTGACAAACTCAGTCTCTGCGGTGCTGATGTGTGTCGGACGATCAACGGGGGTTGGTCCCGAAGGCCAACATGCTCGCGCCTTTGGACATTCCCAGTTCCCAAAGTTGAGAAATCGCCCTGGCTGCAAGAGCGTCGGTGGTGCAACCGACGTGTTGGAAGCGAATGGAGGATGCAGGAGACACGCACGCCGGCAAGGGTCGAGCGAGAACCTGCGGTAGCCGAGCAATCGGAACGCATTTACAGACGGGCCGCCATCGACCCTTCCATCGTTCCAGCATAGTCCGCGGCGAAGGCAAACCAGATTGCGAGCGACCTCATGCGTGTGCCCGCCTGACCCCCGGGCGGTCAAGCCGTGATCGTCCCACGTAAAGAGTCGACCACCCCGGCCTGGCGCGGTTAATTTCCCTTCTGTTTTCTTCTCTTGTCCCTGTTGGGTGTGTCATTGATCTTTTTCTCCCTCCTATTGTATTGACGGCGTCTCTCTCGGAGAAACGTGGCAGGTGAGGGAACATGCGTCCTGCCATCAACACGTAAGCTTTTGAGCAACAGGACAAAAAGAGGCTATTGAGTGAATAGACCGGAAACTTGTTCCCTCCGAAGTCACCAATATTGATCTCGTTGACAGCAATGGGGAGTGACGGGGAGTTCCCTGTGCACAGGCTGGGTGGGAGGCAGGGTTGAGAGGCTGGAAGGTTTTTGGTATGTTTTCCTGACTCCCGTCTCGTACCCGTCTGGTATCTGTTCGAATGGGTCTCGTGTTTGGTCTGACAGACGGACAGACGGACATTTCCCTCGCGCGAGACCCTTCACATGACTTTGGTTTGACGCAGCGGCTCGGCTCTTGACACGGCGGAACAGAGATGGAGTCGGTCGCCTGTTACTGGTACCAGCTGGTCCACCCTTGAACAGCCCACCGCCATTTCCTCCTCCTGACAGTCAGAAAATTACTCCATCTTGTGTCCAGGGGAGCGACCAGCAATTTCTCTTCTTGGGCTTGATCTGGCCCAACGCCTCCCCGTCACCGGCCCCCGCTCAGTCCATCGATGACTGGCCGCATCATGAGGTAAAAAGTGGACTGCTCAGCTGAAGCCCTGAGACAGCACAATTGCCGCCATGTCCGAAATGGAAGGCAACAGGCTCAGTCCCTTGCCACGTCAGAGTTCAGAGTGACCGCCACCACCACGTTTTACTCCAGTGTACGGGGCAGTCCTTCTGCTACCACCATGTCACCATCGACGCGAAGGCGGTAGCGCTCCAGGTGCGACCATCTCGTCCCAGCGTGTCTGACCCCGACATGGAGAGCGTGGCTGCCCAATAATGTTCGCCCTCGACACGGTTGGCTGGCTACCAACGCAACATCTCTGACCCCCTAGTACTCCTATGCCGCTCGCATGATCGGAGAGACATGAATGTCACAGCACAATTATGAATGGCACAGAGGTAAAGTGACTTTATGTAAAGAGGGCCTTCAACTGCTCCAGAGTTTCTATACATGCAACCCCAAGCTTCTTACCTTTGCCTTCATCACCAACCTTTTGCTCGAACGACGGTGGCAAGGAAGTTGCCTCGTCACCTCCATCCTCCTTATCCCCCTCAGTCAGTTGCCTCATCGTTGCTGGATGCGTCATCGTCTGGCATTACGACACTATTGAGGTATGTGACCTATTCGTGCCGAAAGTCAGCAAAAGCCCTTTTGGGATGCTCTGGTCAAAGAAACTCAGAGTTTATGCCCAACCGATGGAGTGGGGAGAAACTCAAGACCACCAGTACCGCCGGTACCGCCTGGGCTCAGGTCGGCCCGACCATGCCTATTGATGGTCTGAGCTGGAGGTGGTTGACGTGTGATTGGGCACCCAAACAGTTGCAAAGTCTACACGGAAGTTCTGTCCAGTCGCAGTGCCAGTCACATCAGGTTTTCATCGAGGTGGCAGCCTGGAGACACTGGAGACAACCGCAATTGCAACGATGGGCACGAATAGGAGGTAAAGAGGTGGACTCACAAATGGTACCATGACGCGAATTAACTCGAGGATGGTGGGCAGGCCGTGCTCGCCTACCACCTGTTCGTCGGCGAGTCTCTTTCCTAGGGTGAAATTGCGCAGCCGAAGGAGTTCGATATTTGGGTTGTCTGCTTCGTAGCCCTGTCAAGACAAAGGGTCAGCCCAGTCTAGATCATGCAATCTTCGACACAGACTTTTGGGCTCAGGGTGCGGTCCGTTCAGGAGCGACTCCTTCTTGTGCAATGAGGAATGCTGCCGTGGTGATGAGAATTGCGCGCACCGCCGCCAGCAAGGGAGGGCCCGGAGAGCATTACTGCCAGGAGGGGCAATTGTAGGGCCTTCCCGCTCCAGCAGCCCGGCAGCTCCCATTCTTAGTTCTTTTTGGGCTCAAATTGTGACTTGCAACGCATGTTGATTTGTTAAGATAGTGCGCACATGCACCACTGACTTTTGCTGGCAGTCATCCTCGGCCCCCTGGTTGAGCGTGTCTAGCCCTGACTCCTTGCATCGACTGCAGTTGAAAATCCGGGCGTGGTCTCAGGGGGTATTCAGGTCTGCTGCGGACGCGTCCAGCCAGCCTGTGCTCTCCGGTCGGCGGAACAGTTGGGAGCAGGTACCCTCCTGTCTACGATTTTGTGGCTCAAGCACGGGTGGGCTTTCATCCTCGCAGGCTTTCCCCGAATGTTACTGTGGTTGCAGGACTTTTGATGTCGCTAACTTGGGAGCAGCGCTCGAACAGACCTTCACGAGTCGTTGACTTATCCCTTTTCCTGTGCACGGGTGCAGTCTGTACAAAAGCAAGAAAACACATACCTTCGGTTTCGTTTTCAGTGCATTTTCCTTGTTCTGGTCGGCAAAGGCCTTGACGGCCTTCTTCTCGTCGTTCGATGCGACACCCAAGACGTTTTTGCGCAACTGAGCCTCTGTGAGGACCCTCCTCAGTTTCTTCGGTTTGCGGTCGATATTCGCTCTCAGCAGGCCCAGCGGTTGGGACTCTGGCATCCACAACCCAGAACCTGTCACATTCAGTGTTTGGCAGTCGGCTTCCGATGGATGGGTGTCTGTCATACCAACGAAACTTTTGCCTCCGGGCTGAATATGTACGTAATAACATGCATAAGGTCCCTTACGACCAGTTCGAGACCTGGTGGCGGTCAACACAGGTTATAAGAGCCGGCAACTGGAAGTTTATACCATGCTGCAGAGAAGTGAGGCTTCGAAAACGAGTTAGTACCATGAATTCTACGGGGCGAGAAGCGAGGTGAAGGAGAGCATACTTTGTAAGGAGTTGGATCAGAGGAGAATCGGATGTCTCGATAGATTCTGAAGACCTGGTATCAGGGGGATTAGTGTGCGAAATCGCAAAACGCCTTCTCTTTGCACAAACCAGATCCTTTGGCGGCAGCTCAGGGATCGTTTCGTCAATCTCTGTGATTTTCTCGGTCAGGGCTTCCACAAAGCCTTCCCAGTCCTTCCACGAAGCCCTGTAATCGACGTCGTGGACTAACACACGCCGACGTCAGTATGGCAAATTACACTGGGATGGTGCCAGAAACCGGCACGCATTCAAAACCACTGGGGCAGGACGTGACCTACTCTTCAGCCATTCTCTGTCATTATTCTCCTTCAGGTCTTTCAAGAAGGCCATGGTGTTCGGATGGATCTTCTCATTGACGTATGCGATGCCTCCATCCCCCCTGGGTTTCGGTTTCTCGATGAAGACCTGCTTGCCCGGTCCCAAGCCCGTCTTGACTCCAGGTCTCCAGAGTTCTTTGCCTTTCTCCAAAACGGCGTTGGCCACAGCCTGGACGCCGCCCGTGATCCCACCCCTACGCTTACCCGCGGCCTTCGTCGTCGGCTTTCGTTTTCTTTTGTTCTTCGCGCCAGAGGAGGAGGCGGAGTCGTCTTCTGTGTTCGACTCCTCGGTCGTGGGATGATCTGTTTCCGACGCGCTTTGGTCTTCATAGCCCGACTCATCGACATCGTCCTCGTCCTCGGTGGGGTCGACATCCTCATCCTCATCCTCACTGTCCGGCTGCTGGAAGTACGGGCTTTTTGTCGGCGTCGCCTTGCCACGACCTCGACCCTTCTCGACAGACTCCTTCAGCCTCTTCGAAACCCTGCTCCCAGGGGTTGTCGAGGGAGTTTCTTGTGACAATTGACGTTTGTGGGCTGCTTTCGCGCCAGGGGTTGATTTTCGAACTGGCATCGTCGAACAGTAATTGTGCTGATCTAGCTAAGGCCCAAAAATATCGATGTTACGTCGCGATTATCCAAAACAAGATCTGAGTCTGATTTCTCGAAGTACTTTGATCTGCTAATGGACTTGTGGTCCGTCGTCGTTGATGTCGCTAGGAGACGCGTTTGCCTGAGAAGCGTGTCGACGATTACGTCATCCACCCTACTATGACTTGGTGTTACCGCTTGTCCGTGGGTGGCCTGTGTGCTGTACTCTTCCTCTCTCTCCGTCTCTTCTATATTAGCATCTACGATCTGACAATTGTGGCTGTTGACCATATATTGAGGTCCGGCAGCGTCAATATCTCAGTCACTGGTCTTCAGTCGGTCAGTTTATTGTGGCATCTATGCTCTGACGTTTCACCCTCTTCCAAGGAACTCCCAGGACGACCCGCCTCGCTGGTTTACAACTTTTGGACACTATCGTTCATCACCTTTCAGCTAAAAGTTTGACGCCTCCAGGGAAGTACACCGTTCCAACCAAGAACGAGCCAAGCTCTATAACCTCCTCTGGTTGAAAGCACGAATGTGGGAGTACACCACTGCATGAAACCGGAGTTGTCGCTTTGGCTTTCTGCCTGATATCGAGCCAGTTATATTGCACTTCAATTTCCAACGTCCTCAAAATCAGGTCAATCTCGGCGAGATTTCAAGCACCTCCAGCATCGACTCCACGAAGCTGGTAACAACCAGAATCGGACCACGTCCTTCGGCGACTTTTCCGTTCTAAACCCACACCACATCATCAGCTGTTCGACCAGCGTGACTGACGTTACCAGCTCTTTTGGGAGCCCCGTGTGCGTCTTTCCGCGGATTTGGACGGCAGGTTCCCTTAGGAAAAGTCCTTCGCATATCACATCCAAGTACTTAGGACGTGAATTCGCGCAGGACATCCAAACGGATTTGTGCAGAATGTCTCCGTGATCACAGAAAACTCTCCGGCCAATTTCAATCTCAGCCTTGTGCGCTTTGTTCGCTTTGTTACACCCTCGGATACATTTTGCACAAGTCCTACTGGTATAAATCTATTGTAGTTTTGTTGCACTGAATTAAAGTCTTCCACCACTGTACACAACTGGGATATCAGATCTTTGCAAGCTGAAGCCCATCGCTACAATGACTGAAGATTCACACCACCACAATCACCACCACCACCACCACCACCATCACGGTGCAAATCACAGCCACCATCCTGATAATGAGGCCTTCACTGAAGCAAATCGCACACACTGGAAGTACGTCACTGGCTTTGTTGTTACACTAATTTGCATACCTTGATCATCAGGCGGTGTAAAGTGCTTTTTGGAGCAGCTTCCATTAATCAGAGGCGAAGCTGACTCACTCCATCAACAGTGACTTTGCCTCACGATACACATCGGAACCGTGGCAACGAGACCTCCTCAACAAAGTGACTGCCTTCATCCACCAGCATGTGAACTGGATTGGTGTGGACTTCATCGACCCCTCGACGACCTTTCAAACCCAATCACCAGCATCGGCGGCCACACGACAGATCCGCGTCCTGGACTATGCATGTGGGCCTGGAACCATCACGCATGCCCTCGCGGCTCGCGCAACGGAATACATTGGTATCGATCTCAGCGAGAACATGGTCAAGGCCTACAACGTGCGCTTCAACCCCGACCCCGCTACCGCCGGCGCCCCCTCGTCATCCGCAGCGGATGGATCAGCCGGACTGGACGACAGAGTCGACGACACACTGACCGCCCACGCCGTGGTCGGCAACCTTCTTGACCCCAAGGACCCCTCCCCGTCGCATCTCTCTTCTCCCGAATTCTTCAACTTCGATCTGGTGGTCGTGGGCCTGGGCTACCACCATTTCCAAGACATCCCGCTCGCCACGAAACGGCTCGTCGAGAGACTCCGGCCAGGTGGGATCTTTCTGATCTTGGACTTCGTCACGCACGCCATGGAGAAGAGTTCGGATCCCGTGATGCAGCGGAGCGTGAACACGGTCGCCCATGCGGGGTTCAGCGAGGAGGAATTGAGGAGCTATTTCGAGGACGCGGGATTGACGGATTTTCGATTGTGAAGATGGATGGTGAGGTGGTGATCCGGGGCGAGGTGAAGAGGAGGCCGTTCCTTGCTCGAGGTCGAAAGCTGTAGAGACTGCTTGCTACATGGCGGATTTGAAGGGCCACGGAAGAAAGATGTAGTTGAATCGCCACGTCAGTCAAAGCCTAGCGCCGTGAGATCCTGATCTATCTCCTCTAGCTGCTGCTGCTGCTGCTGCTGCTCATGTCCTCGTTGCCTGGTCGTATTATTCCTCGTGGTCGCCCCTTCGTTCATGATCTTCTGCCTCTCGAGCCCTTCGTCTCTCTTCCGCCTCCGTCGCTCGTCTTTATCTTCCCACCCTGATGATGATCGGGTCCCGCGGCTCCTCTCACCGGTGGCCGCCGCCTCCGTCATCTGAGGACCAGGACCTCCGCCCAGCCCATCCCTCTCCATGGCGCTCTTCAGCTCGCGGCGGAACCGTTCCCTGCGCTCCACGTTCGCCGCGAACCGCTCGTTGACCACGCCCGCGCACAGGGCGAGGTACTCTTCGCTGACGAGCCGGTGCACCACCTCGCCGGCGCGGCCTTCGGGATGGGCCGTTGTTCCCTGCTGCGCGACAACAATGCCCACGACGGTCTCAAAGGCTACCCCCCGCCGTGCGCACGGCCACCATGACGCCGTGCCCGACGTCATCCAGCGCTCGTAGGCTCTGCACCCCGCTCTCGCGGAACCCGGCGTTGACGGCCGCGGCGAGCAGCGGGCGCGCATGGCGCAGCGTCGCGCAGTGGATGTGGAGGATCAGGGGGGAGAAGGAGAGGTGGATGAGCTGTGGTGAGGGTGAGGCTGTGGAACAGGACGAGGAGTGGGATGGAGATTGGGATGCGGACGACGACAGGGACGGGTCGTTCAAGTGGAAGAGCGAGGAAAAGTACTCTTGCTCTTGCTCTTCCTCTTCCTCTTGCTCCTGCTCGTCAGCTGATTTCGCTGCTCTTGGGGTCCCACTCTTCTTGACGCCGCCGGCGATGTGTGTAGGAGTTGGCATGGGCACAGGATCATGCGACACGTAGAGCCAGCGTCCTCCGCCTTTCCCACCGGGCGACGTCGAGGTCGAGTTTCCTCCTCCTCCTCTTCCTCCTCCCTTTCCCACCCTCGTCTCCACGTGCGAATCCGCCTCTCCCTCTCCCTCCCCTTTCCCGTCACGCTTCCTCGCGCCACCGCCGCCACCACCTCTCTGTTCGCTCCTCGGCCCCTCGACAAACACCGCCACCCTCCCCGCGCAACTGCTCGTCGTCACGAACCCGTCGTACCCGTTGATCTCATCGATCAGGTCGCGAATCTGCGCGTCCACCGTCCCCTTGGGCGAGTTGTCCGCATACTCCTCCTCCGGCTGGCCGAGGTGCGCGAGGATCTGCGACTTTTTGGCCGCAAAGGACGCGGGCACACATGACGGTGGTGCAGTAGCTGGTACTGCTGCTGCTGCACCGTGCGGCATGGGCAGATTTGATTGTTGTTGGAATAATTAGAGGCTTGCAGGGGTGAACAACATAGAGTGTGTTGGCGAATGTATTCTGCGGATTTTGCCTGTTGTCGATGGATTGAAAAGTGGCGTTTAGCGTCCATTTGCCGGGGTTTTGCAAAAGCCGGAGACGAAGCCTTCAAGATATGGAAATCAAGTGTATATAATAGGAGGGAGACATATCTCATTCAATTCATTACTTGTCGTACACGAGTCTTCTACGACATACCACTGCATCTACACAAATTTATTTCTAGATTCTTAAATCCATGGTTTGAATAACCGTTCAAAATTCCATCCGTCATTATCCATCGCCTCCCGCTATAACCCTCGATGGGAACAAACATAAACAAGATTTCAAAGAAGTGGTACGTTGAAAAAAGCTGCTGTCGCCCAACACAACAGCCTATGCGACTGGCGCCGCAATGGCAGCCATTGCGTGGTCTTTGTCCAATACGGTGGCTGGTTGGGTGAATGTCTCTGGCCACAAGAACGCCTTCTCTTCCTTGCGCGGGCTCAGAGCCGCGAATACAGGCACAGCAGCCCGGCTGCTGACTCTTCTCCACATGTTTGCGCGAGGGTTGAAGTTGGATGGCAAGCCTTTGCCGTGTGTCTTATCGTCATCGAGTTTGGCGATCTTGATGACTTCTCTTTGAATGTCGGCAAATGTGTCGAAGGGGATGTATGAGAGCCCATGCTCAATGCAGTACTCCTCCAACTTCAGTCCTCGACGAGCGAAAAGCACGTCAGCTTCACGTGCTGCGGGAAGGTCTGAGACACCGTCACCAATGAAAACGATCATCGGTATCGTGCCGTTGTCGCTCTCCAGCTGCGCAGCCGCTCTGTACTCATTGATTGATCGCGCTTTGTCGTGACCAAGATCGGTGTCATGTCTCCAGATAGCTTCCCATCTGCTGCCGTCGCCGGCAATTTTGGCATCATTGGCCACGATGTCAATGTGTTTGCTCATTTCTTCTCCAATGAAGTGATCGAGAACCTTCCGCAACACGGGCTTGAGCCCCGCCGAGATGACATTAAAAGGAATGTTGTTGTTGACGCAGAATTCGTGGAAGGTCTGAAAGTCAGGGTCGATGTCCAAAGCAGTTTTCATAACCTCGAAGCCGTCCTCGAATGGCACATCGAGCGAGGCGTAGAGCTCATCAGAGACTTCACGAAATGACCGTTCTCCAGACTCGAGTTGCTGCGCCAGAATTTTCCTTTTTTCCGGACCGCAACCGAAGTTGTCAAAGAGGGTGTGGCCAGTGTCTTGCATGAAGATGGTGCCGTCAAAGTCTAGATTCGGCTATCAGACGAGATCAAGTGTTACAATGCGCGGCGGGCATACCTGAGAAACAGATAATCTTTCGCTTCGTGCCCATGTTGGCAGTGTTGGCGCGATACACACCAGGTCGGGCCTGCTTGGGCTCGACCGGCGGAGGAGTGATAGCAATGGGTGCCATGGTGTGAAGGGTCTATGATCGGGTGGGCTTTCTCGATAGTGTGGCTGATGAATGAGATGGTGGTGGTCAAAAGAGGTCAAGGCTGTCTTTATACCTGCAAAAGTCTTCAGCAAACTTCAAAAGGATGTACGTAGGAGGCGGCAGTGGCTGCATGAGGGCTTCAGCGTAGACGATGCAGAATCACTAGCTCTAGTCTTCAGAGCCTGGGAGTATAGATGTCATCCCGTGGCAGTTGTTGTCCGTGTCACTTGCACAGTGGCCATCATAACCTTGGTACCCTCTCCATTTGGTCAGATGGGATGCGATGGTTGGCTGCAGATGCACGACAGATGCGTGTTGACGCCATCATCAAGTGGGCAATGCCATGACAGTGGCCAAATAAGGGCGCTGTGGATACCGGAAACGATTCAAACAATGGGAAACCTCGAGTGGCAAAGCCATTTGACCATATCATCGCACATTGTGTAGAGCGGCAGGTTGCAGAAAATGCACATGCTAGTTCGAAGAGGCTCCGCTAGCACGATGAGGACTCCTGAGAGAATTGGCATCTTGATATGTACGATGACGCCGATTCACCGCGCGATTGGCCGGCTGCAATCAGCGTGGGAGTGAGCTAGGCCATGGCTGGCGGGAAAGTGACGAAGGAGAAGCGGTCAGCGCTGGTGGCACCGAGATGCAAGGCCCAGGGTGCAGTCAGTGGTGGGGGTCGAGTAAGGCTATGATGACATGGTCTAGCATTGAAACAAGGAAAGCAGCAAACCTGGCATTGTTGGAGTCTGTGGTAAGAGAGAAGAGAGAGATTGATGATCGTAGAGAGACAAACTGCGACAAACTGCGTTTGGTAGCCAGTCGCCGTCGGATCGGGAAAACTATGGCACCGTCACCGCCGTCAGTTTATCCGAAGATCGACGACAACATTATCGACAACTCATGGATCTCGCAACCTTCTTCGATCGGCGACCGATTTGCAGCCATGGTCGATCACCGCAGCTTTACTTCTTCTTCATGCTACTGCTGAGACTGGACTCTGTCTCTCCTTGTCCGTCTGGAAAGACTTACTCCGGGACACAGTCGAGGCTGATGTGAGATACGAAGATGATGCAGAACATGGCGCAGACACTTTGGTCTAGGCACATATCCCGACCAAGTTCACACCTATTGCTGCCGTGCCTCTCCAGCTACTTTGTCTTCTTTGTGCATGTCGCGGGCGCCGGTGCGAAAATGAAGGACCTTGCACGCTCTCATGTCGTCTCCCACGTACGGCAAACAGCGAGCAGCAGGCGCGCCCACCTGTCTTTCCGACAGCAAATTTGATCCTTTCTCTCAAACGCTTCACTGCTGACAACACCATCTCTTCAAACAGTTCATCTCTTCTAATCGCATCCCTCATTCTATCCAAGCAAACATGGCTGAACGCAGACTCGTGATCCTCGAATCCTTCTACTTGAAGGACAACAACAAGCAGCTCTGGCGCATCACGAATCCCCCGGGGCTTCCATTCTACGACAGCATCAATGACTACGAATTCGTCCGACCTGCTCATTGCAGACCGGGAGTGATCGACGAGATGTCCAAGATCCTGGCACTCATGTCAACAACCAACGACTGGTATTTCGCGCTGAAAGCTGGGCTGGTCTGTTCTGTCTTAATCGTTTCTCAGGAAGTTTATTGGCGTCATCAGCAAAGGTCCTGCGGGCGAAATCCTCAAGCCAGACGGGGACCACTACAGAAGAGCAGTCATTGAGCGAGTCTCGTGTAATGCCCACGCCTGCAACCACTGTGGCATGCCGTACTCTCGCAAGTGAGCAGACAACCCTCCTGTTGGCGTGTGCCTGACCTGACTGTAGCATGTCCTAGCGAGGTCTATCTCCCGGTTCGCAGACACTCGACCAACTCTACTGGCCCTCCCGTACCTCCTGTCCAGAACAGTCAACCGCCAGCGTACAGAGTCTAGCTGCAGAAAATCGCATTCCAACTCCAGGGTTGCTTCTTTTGAGCTCCTGTGAGATAGTTTTCATGCATCTTCCGGTGGTGGGTTACTGTGACCAAGTCACGTTATGATGGACTGTATCCATGAAAAACAGATGGACAGTGGATATGAAGAAGTGAGCTGAAGTTCACGTTGCAAAGGGACAACCTTGGCTCTAGCATTCAGAGGGTTGAAAATGATGTCTATGGTCACGTATTGGAGCTCGAACACAAGGACAAATGTCTTCGATAGCTGCATGGAGAGCTAGAATTAGTCCAACAAAGGAGATATTTTCCACTTGACAGTCCCCGCAGCGAGCGACGACTGAAGCCTCCCTCGGCAAACGCGGTTAGAAGCGGCACTGCCAGACTGCGGAGCAAGGGAAATTTATCCAAAGTAATAAAAGTCATAAGCAAGACCTCGCTCGCTCCATTGTTGTCTTCATCAAGTCAGTAATTACAAATTTCACACCATCAGCCGTTCTCTGTGAAGACATTCCTTGTGAGTCTCCTACACTTGAGCCACTGAAGCAACCATGACGTCCGCTCTCATCCCCAGATTTGCCCGCTCGGGCATACGCGTCTCTCGCAGTTGCAGCGTTTCCCTCCCCGTTTCCTCCAAAGCCGGCGCCATACGAGCAGCGTCCACCACGTCGAAGCATCCTGCCAACTTCACCCCTCCCACCACCGAAGACCTGTACGAACTGCGCGAACGCGTGCAGGAATTCACCCGTCGCGAGATCCCGGAGGAACTGGCGGCGCGGACGGACCGAGAAAATGACTTCCCTCACTTCATGTGGAAGAAACTGGGCGAGGCGGGCTTCCTGGGCCCCACGGCGGACGAAGAGTACGGAGGCCTCGGCATGGGATATCAAGCACACAGTGTGATCATGGAGGAGATTTCGCGGGCATCGGGGTCCATCGGGCTCAGCTACGCGGCTCACTCGCAGCTGTGCGTGAACCAGCTCTCGCTGAACGGGACCCGGGAGCAGAAGGAACGGGTCCTGCCCGGTCTGATCAGTGGGGACAAGGTGGGAGCGCTGGCCATGTCGGAGCACTCGGCGGGTAGCGACGTCGTGAGCATGAAGACGACGGCGAAAGCGGTCGACGGGGGCTACCGCCTGAACGGGACCAAGATGTGGATTACCAACGGGCCCGAGGCCGACTTCATCGTGGTGTACGCCAAAACGGAGCCGGAGAAAAAGAGCAAAGGCATCACGGCCTTCATCGTGGAAAAGACCTTTGAGGGCTTCTCGGTCGCGCGGAAGCTGGACAAGTTGGGCATGCGCGGCTCCAACACGGGCGAACTCGTCTTCGACAACGTCTTTGTGCCCAAGGAGAACGTCCTGGGCGAAGTCAATAGGGGCGTCAAGGTGCTGATGGAGGGGTTGGACCTGGAGAGACTGGTCCTCTCCGCAGGACCGTTGGGGATCATGCAGGCCTGCCTGGACTTGGTCCTGCCCTACACGCACCAGAGGAAGCAATTCGACACCCCGATCGCGCACAATCAGCTGGTCCAGGGCAAATTGGCAGACATGTACACCAAGCTCCAAGCCGCGAGAGCCTACACCTACAACACGGCGAAGAAGGTCGACGAAGAAGGCGAGATCCGCACGCAGGACTGTGCCGGCGCAATTCTCTACGCCGCCGAAAGAGCCAGTGAGTGCGGGCTGGACGCGATTCAGTTGATGGGCGGCAACGGCTACGTCAATGAGATCCCTGCGGGGAGGTTGTTGCGGGATGCAAAACTATATGAGATCGGGGCCGGTACCAGCGAGGTCAGGAGGATGGTCATCGGTCGGGCATTCAACAAGGAGTATGCTGATCAGAGCATCTGATTTCGTTTTCTTCAAAGAAGAAGATCATCACTTCATGGTTTCATGCCGGTAGACTCATTCGTCATCCACAAGGGACCACCACAAGCAACACTATCCAAAAGCAAGGCGACTCTGGCCCTTCTCGACCTTTGAGCCTCGCCCCCGCGAACTACTGGCGGCGCCACGCCTCGATTTACTACCGGTCTGACCAGGTGGACGACTGTTCGTCGGGCCCGTCACCGACCCCGAATCTTGGGCTTGGAGGTCTTTGGCAAAGTGCCAGTCTTCATGCTCACCTCGCTCGGATTCATTGATGGCCTTCTGGCAACTTTGACAGAAGTAAGTGGCGATGTCTTGTTGATGCAGTTGAGGTGGTGGGGCAGGGTTGGTGTCTCGGTCTTCCTTCTCTTCACCGTCACCCTGTCCGCTCACGTCCTCCTCCTCTTCCGGATGAGCTTGGGCTTCGTCGTCGCCCTCCTCGGTGCTCTCGCCCTTGGAAAAGAAGCGGGCAATGCTGGAGGGACCTTCGTTCAGTCGTCGCCGTTTCTCAGGCCGCCCTTCATCGTGGTCCGGTGTCGCAGTGCTACTTCGGTGTGGGACATCCATGGCCGCCCGGGCTTCGTCCCCTCTCAGCAGGAACGTATCGATCCCCTTATTCCCCGACACGCCCTCTTCAAAGCCACCGACGCTGAGCGAGAGGTTCGCGCACGGCCAGGCCCTCCCATCGACGATAACCTGTCCGAGCAGGGTCTTGGCGAGGTCGAAAAGCGCCATCTCGTCGATCTTCTTGCCTCCGGGTATGGGTAGTTGTTTGGACCGCGTCTGTCCGCCTTGCCGGTGATGCAGAGTGATGGTCTTGGGTCGTCGCTTGTTCTCGAGCACGCCCTCCTCGACCAAGCGAGCATAGATATCCGCCACAAATATTCGAAGCCATTTATGTGCCTGCTCCGTTGTATTGATAGACGGCCTGAAGGACTTGGCCGATAACATGGATTTGATCTGCGTCCGCGCACTGACTTCGCTGTGGTCCTCTCCGCGAATCGTCCCGTAGAGCCACGTACCCGTCTCGTCGCCCAGCTTGGCCTTGAGCTGTTCGAGGGGAATCTCCCGTAGGTCGGTGACGTCGTCGGTGTTGAATGTGTCGACGACGTGGTCCCCGAGTTTGCCGCCCAGGTTCCGGATCTTGGTGAACTTGAACCCGGACAGGAAATGCTGCACAGCCCGGTTGCGCACGATGGTCTGCTGGTTGGGCTTGCGGTAGCCCGCGCCGAGCTTGGCCATCATCTTGTTGCGCGCGATGCCGGCCGAGCAGGTGTACTTCAGTCGCTCGCGGATGGTGGTGCGCAGGCCCCGTACGATCTCGGAGCCGATGTTCATGACCACGTCGTCCCAGTCCGGGTCGTCGTCCTCGGTCTCGGTGGCGTCCAGGTCCACCAGCGCGTCGGCGGATTCCCAGTTCAGCGCGGTCGACGGCGGCGGCGGCAGGTGCTCGGTCGGGTCGTCGTAGGGCGCATACCGCAGCAGCTCCGGGTACCGGTCCAGCAGGATCTGGTGGATCTGGGCCGACAGGTCGAGGAAGACCTCGTCGATACTGGCCTTCTCGACGCGCTGGACCGGCGGCGGCGGCAGGATCTCCTTGATGAGGGCCAGGCTCTTCCGCGACTCCAGCCGGTAGGGGTCGAGCGACACCTTGTCGGTCTGGATGTGTTTGGCGGCGTCGTCGCGGTAGGCCCACTTGTCGTCGCCCTCGCGCCAGGTGGCGACGTGCTGCACCACGATCTGCGGACACTTGGCCTTGGCTTCGGTGATGGTGACGTGGCGGTTCAAGCCGAAGTCACGGGCCGGATAGTTGATGGCGATGAGCCCCTGCCACTGCTGCACGGCCAGCGGCTGGGTTTCGGGGACGCCCAGCCGCACCATCTCGCACTGCGCGTAGAAGGCATCGTAGTCGACCAAGGCAATGCAGCGCAGGGGACACGATGTGGACGACTGGGCCAGGAGCTGGAGGTGTTTGAACGTGAACCGTGACTTCTTCCTGGCGCCGGCGCGGAGGGGGATGGGCGACGACGGCACAAAGGAGGGCTGTGACGAAGACATGGGTTGAGGTGGGCAGTTGTGGCACCGCGCCCAGCGTTGGCTGCTGGTTATGAGAGAATTTGGATGGATCCCTTCATTTTGACTGCCATCTTGTCTGGCTGTAGTCGGATGGTGAACAACGATGTCGCGTGGTGGTGGGAAAATTCTAGACGCGTAGTCGGTATATAGGGGATGGTGATGACGTAATAAGCCCAATGGGCGGCACCAGCGGCCTTCTTGGGCGGGGTATAGTTAAAGAACGCCTAGGCGCGGGGGTCGGATGTCACCTACAGTCGCATATACAATAGGGCCGGTTTGGGGACCACATTAACCGTAGTGTTGCCCTACAACCCCTACTAAGCTCACCCGTGATATTGTTTACCCCGAGAGCCAGGAGACGAGACCTCTAGGGGATACTATATCTCTCCTAGCCCCTTACTTAGAATTTGGTAGTTCTCCCAGCTTCAATATTGCTCCTCTCGTAGTTGTGACTTCCTCCTCTTCCTCACCACCACCATGGCGCAGCCCGATCCTTTCGGTCCAGGGCCAGATACTGGTCGTGTCGTATTGTAGAAGGGGCACAAGTTCCCCCAAAAACCTCGGGTTTCATTGGTTGCGTAGAATCAACGTATCTATCTGATTGGCTAATTTAAGTCAACTTTCTCGATGTCCATACACAGTTTGGAAAATATAACTGGTGACTGGGACGCCTGATAGTGCCTAGGCCACCCATAGGCAATGTTATTATCCAGCTTACATACGCAGTCTGATGAGACCAATCCGGCAATACCAGACCACGTCCCTCCGCTGTGTGTTGTTGCTTGTCGAGGACATTTTGGACACTCAAATATATACAGTATCGGGTGGAAGACATAGTAGTGTACTACCGGGTCTCGACTGAAGTGACCGTCATTACATTGCCTTGGCAACCCTATCAGGCGCAGCCGCACATTCGCCGCTGAGGACCCAAATACAGCATCTCTCCATCGTATCTCTCACATCGAACGCCGCTTATACTGTATCACCGAGAATCGGCTTTGATGTCCTAAATACTGCTCCACGGGTCCTACTTCTGGGAACCCGCTCAAGGCCAGGGCCACAAGCACACGTGGTGCGAGGCCATCACGCTCATGACGACCGACGCAACTCGCCCTCACAGGGTCAAGAAGGGAACAAGCCGTGGCACCTTCCCAGGAGCCCTCTCGAGCTCTCCTTGGGGCACTTGTTGAAACTTGAAAGGCTCAAAGAGAGAGGAACCCGAGCCACGGTGTATTACTCCTTGGCAGCACTTTGAACAGCAGCCTCAACCGAACCATCGGCCTTGGTCGCCAGCTTAGCCATCAACGCCTCGATCTTGGCCATCATTTCACTCTGCACCTTGGCCGTTTCCGCCTTTGCGTCCTCCAGCTCCTTTTTCAGCTCTTTGGAATCTTTGGCGCTGACGGTGCCCGTGCTGACATATAGATCTGGATCATTTGCCTGCTGATCAGCTCTTGCCGTGTCGAATAGCTTCTGGAGCCGGTCCTTTTCTGCTCGTGGATCGAGCTTGACGCCGCCACCTTGACCACCGTTGTACTCGAGGTCCACGAATGTTCGCTCCGCCATCTCGATCTCGAGGATCAAAGCCTGATACTGGTCTTGGGCTTTGCGATATCGTTGGGGCACCCCTTGGCCTTTCTGCCAGGCTAGACAACTTATGATCGAAAACAAAATCAGTCGTGCGTGGTCCGATGTGGAACTCTGCCTTGGGGACTTACCCAGCCAAAACAGTATTCAAGGCTCCCAGCACAGTCAACGTCACACGATGCGAGTTCTTGTACGCAGACAGTGCCGTGAACGTTGCTGCGAGAAGGATTTGAAACATGTACAAAGTGTTGCTGATAACGCTTGTGCAGAGGTAGGCTAGTCTACTTGCCCGTTCCTGGTCTTTGGCACGCTGATAGAGACCAATGTTATCCGACCGAAGTCGCCTCGATCTTGCTTCGGGGGCTCTGCCGAGATCAACACCATCTCGAGTGAGGGATGGTGGCGTGGATATGCCGACCAGCAGCTGGAAGAGCTCGAGAGGTGTGTGCCCACTGGGCTCGTTGACGATGGCCTTGTCAGGAGCAGACGAAGCCCGCGAAGGTACTGCAGAGGGCGCTGATGTAGACACAAGGCCTTTTTCAAAATCTCTGGTATCCATGACCAGGTTATCCAGGCGGAAGAGTAGGGAGATAGACCAGTCCTACCATCGAGGCTGGAAAGCCGTGCGCATTCTGTATATACTTTGTACGGCCAGAGTTCCTGGCAGCGAACAGTGGTGACGCTCGCAGCTGGCTCACTCATCGAGCCAACTTGGTTATCATGTCTATGTGATTGGCGCGCTATCCGGGGTGAAATATAGTTGTAGAGAAGCGAAGTGGTCTAGGCTCGCGGGGCATTTTGGTGGCGTAGCTGAATGGCAAAGCCGTAGCTGAAATCAAATGCTCTGCACCATACAGCAAGTCCGCCAGTGAAGTCGTTGCTACAAAGTGCCCATGGACTTCGACAACAGTGTTCAACCCCGAAATACATGGCATTTGCTGTGCCAACGTGTCACAACCCCCAGCCTTGCTGTCGCTTCAGCATCAACAGGTTCCTCACTGTCTGTGCAGCTCTGACGGACTTGCTGGGTCTTCTGTCTATCGTATTCTTGTACAGTCTACACCACACGGCTTGCACAGCACTGCACGCGCGCTCGTGGCTTGTGCGGCTGAAGACAGATCACTCATTGTCTCTTCCCGACATGACACTGAGAGCTCTCGATTGGCTCACCAGAACTGCGAACTGGGCACGGGTGCCACGTCTGCTATGAGAAAATCGGTCTAGATGCTCGGTGGCTGCAGATGTTGGACCCTATCCACCAATCCTGGAAGTTTATGATTTGGCCACCTGAGGGGTCTGGACAGCTTGGCACATGGTGATGCCCACCTCGCCTCAACCTCGAAGCATGAGAAAGGGAGAGAGAGAGGTGACTCTCATGCGAAGAGGCTGGGTTTCTGTTTCTGTCTGGAATGGCGAGTCTCCCACATCTCAGTCGGCATTTGTCAGGAGCCTTCGACAAGGGCTACATGATAGGAAGGCTGTGGTATATATAACCTATAGACCGTTGTCCTAATAAAGCTTCCTAAGCCAAGGCAATATAGAAGGCGCTACCGATATCAAGGGATGGGTATAGGCTTCGAGACATACCCACTAAGCATAGCTAAAGTACCTAATAACAGCGGTACCCGGAATCAGGGCTGAGCACCATTGATGAGAAGGACAAGGAGGACGAGCAGCTGCCAAAGCAGGCTGAGTAGCTCACCACAACCTCACCCAAAAGGAATTTCCAAGAGCCATTGACACAGACAAGTGCTCCCAGCAGCTCTCGCTAGCGGACTCGCACTGATAATGAACGGATCTTCTCAGGTTCGTGCGACTTGCAGAACGCTTGCCAAGGTAGTCATCAAGAATGAGGAAATGTTGCTCGTTCAGCTCCTTGCTAGCCCAACAAGGGCTCATATATACAAGTCACTCACCAGTCTCAAGGCGGTCAGTATCGAGGACGTCAAATGTTGCTACTGCCTGAGTCGGAAGCTCGTAAGCGCCACGACACTTACAATGCAATCTACTCTCATCTCGGTCGCTTCACAACAAAAAAATGGGGAAACGCTTCAGCTGAAAGTTATCAACCACGCTCCAAATACAAGGCTGTCTTTCAGCTTATCGGAGGAGCCGGTGTATCGCATCGCCTTACGGCGGTCCTTAATCTACTGCTGGGTTGCTTCGAGATCAACGAGATACATGAACCCATGTGGCACCTCAGAGTATACATTGATGGTCGTTGAAACGCTGCAGCCTGACAATGAGCACGGACTTCTTACGTGGTATAGGAAAATACGTACTGGGTGCGTACCGGCATCGATGTAACTTTTGCTGATAAAGGATTCCTTGATCCCTCAGCATGTCTCGACAGGCGTCTCGAATAAATGATGCAGATTCTTCAGCAGGGTCGGTGCTGTGAGATTTCCAGCATACGAGTCTTTCCCTTGTGCGATCAGCTCGTCGGGGAAAGCAGCGGAATGACACAAACAAGGGATATCGAGGATTTGCCCACAGAACCTGGACCTCCCCTGCTGCTCGACTATGTTAGCTATAAGCCTCGCGACTAGTACGAGGCAGAAATCCTACAGCCCTCAGATCCTCAATTGCTGTGCTGGCAGCTACAAGAGCACCGGCCTGCGATAGTCACTTTGGTTACCTCCCTGCCTAACATTGGCATATTATCGAAGACCCTGTGGACTGCCGCCATTGCGTCTTGACGCTGTGTGGGCCACTTCCATTCTGGAGTATGTCTATAGCAGACGTTGACAAGGATGCCCCCATGTGCAAGAACAGTCCGAGTTGCAGTGGGTGTCCTCTTCATCGAGCGAGCCAAAGAGGGAACCGCCTCCATGAAACCAGATATAAACAGACAAACCGCTACCCTTCTATTCCAAAACAGGCCAATAAACACGGATCTAAATGACAGCATGCGAGTCAATTGGAATGCAAATGCATGATCCAACCTTAGGAAAATGACCTACCCAGCTCTTTCAGGGCACTTTGCGCACGAGCAGCCCTCTCTCGATTTATTTTCTCCTGGACCTTGAGGAGAAACGACTCGCCAAGAGTTACTGCGACCGGTATTGCTCCTGCGAGTAGCTCTGGAGGGATTGCAGCGACAACCCGTTCCAAATCCGCGGACATGCCTCCATAATGCGAAAAGTCTGCCATGGCAGGTGCCAGATTGATGCCACCGCTTCCAAGGCCCGACTTGCATACCAGACCGAGATATACAGCTTGGATGGCTATACTACTTGCCCAATGCCAACCCCATGAGAATCCTGAATCAGGCAAGGCCGGATAGCCTTTTTAAGGCGGACCATACCAATCCCAGGATAGGATGGTTCCCCGGGACCAGGGCATTCGGGTATCGGCTATACAAAAAACTCAAAGGATGAGGGATGCGGGGGCCGGAACCAGCTTGGACGAATTGGGTCGGTATTGCGTGCAAGGCTCCTGAATGCCGGCATCTGGTGTTTGACCCTCCACACGCTCGTTCATCGTCGTCGACTCTGTTTCCTCCCCTCTGAGCCCCAGGCGCCTTTTTCGTCCCTTGCAGAGATCTAGACACAGCAGGCCCGTTTATGCAATGCTTCCTTCCTCTCAGAACCCGGTGGCTGTCTCAAGGCACATGCCGGCTCGTCAACGCCGAGCGGGGAGAGCTTGTGAGAACTGTCGTGCACGCAAGGTCCGATGCGATGTCACTATTCGTGGATCTCCGTGCCGCAACTGTGAGCTTGACGAGACACCCTGCCTCATGGCTCAGTGCCGTCGCGGCAGGAAGCACAAAGAATGGTATATGGGACTGGGCAGACCTTTGCGGGAACCCGCTCTTGCCAGGTCCTCTGATAACAGATCAGAGCAGGAGGATCTCTCCTATACAATCCGAAGCAAAAATGCCCGAAATGCCGTTCGACCCTCCACTAACATTTCTACAAACGCTGTGGCCGTCTTGAATTCAATGAATTCGTTGGAAGACGTTCCACCGGGTCTGGACAGGCTTCAAATACCTTTCCCTCAGTTATTTCAGTTTTCCGAAAACGCTTCTCTACGACAATTGCCGGCATACATTCAGCCGTGTCCCAAGCATCTCACAGACACAGATATAGCATATCTCCGAAGCAAAGGCGCCCTGGATATACCTCACGAAAGACTCCGCAATGAGACGATCAGATGTTACTTTGAATATATTCATCCTTTTGTGCCTCTCCTCGATGCGGCGGAGCTCCTTGTTGTGGTTGATGGCGACAACAGCCATCAACCTGCGCCACAACTAAGCCTGCTGCTCTTCCACAGCGTCATGTTTGCCGCCGTCCCATTCGTTGATGAGAGCCTCGTCACAGAAACAGGATACGCCAACCCGAAGATCGCACGAGGGGCGTTCTTCCAAAAAGCAAAAGTACGTCCCCGTTAGCCCTAGCCGTGCCAGACGTCTCACTCATTCAGCATAGCTTCTGTACGATCTCGACTTTGAATTCGACAGCATCACTCTCATTCAGTCTATGTTGCTCATGAGCTTTTGGTCAGATAGACAAACACAAGACGCCTATAAACAAACCTGGCACTGGGTCAACGTCGCAATCTCTCTGGCCCAAACAATTGGACTGAACCAGAATCCCGAGAGTCTGCCGCTCCCTCCGAGAAAGAAGAGCCTGCGAAAACGTCTGTGGTGGTGCTGTTTCATGCGCGATCGGGTCATTTCCCTGTACCTGAGTCGTCCGTTACGCATCCATGGAGACGATTTCAACGTCCCTTTGCCCACCATAGAGGACTTCGAGATTGACAGCCCAAGCGCTCTTCCTAGCTCGGATGCGTGCTCGCGCCGTCTGCTGCAACTGTCTTGCTACGAAAAGACCACGCAAATCGAGTTGGCAGAGATCTTCATCTCGTTTCTCAAGCTCTGCATCGTGATAGGAACCATCATGTCTGCCCAGTACTCGCCCCTCAGACCAGCCTCTGGGCCTCGAAGCAGCTGTGTAAGGCCAACTTTGTCTGCAATGCTCTTCCCCGTCCACAGCCCGAACTCGGAGCAGTCTGCCACAACGCCGGCCGAGTCTGCTATTTCGCCCCTCGAATCGACTCTCAGGGAGTGGTACGACACTCTCCCTCGTTCAGTCTGCCTCTGGGACCCACAGCCAGAACCGCAGCGTTGTTCGACGTGGGATGGTATTGTCCGCGATCATGTCCAACCTGTAAGGGAGGGTAATGCTATAAGGACAGACTCCTCCAGACCACCGAGCGTGGTGATCCAACGCGCCATCTTGCACATGTGCTACTATACCGCTGTTTCTGCACTGCATCGCTCCCAGAACAAATCCCGTCACTCTCAGGAGCAGGTTTCGGATTCGGCGAGCAACATCGCCAAGATCTCTGCCTTTTTGAACGACAGAGGGCTCGTGCGATACCTCCCTGTGACCGCCATCACCATGTTAGTCCCCAGCATCATCACGAATGCTCTTCGCATCAAGTCGATAGTTCAGGAATCCCATCAAGGCAGGGGAGTCCCCGCGCACATCGATGAAATGGCCAGAGCGAGAGACAATGTCAACAGTCTGTTGGTTTCTCTCAAAACCCTGCAAAAAGTATATGTGGCCGCAGACTGGGTGGCTCTCTTGGTCGAAGCCATGCTTAACCATGCAAGAATACGCATTGTAGTGCCCCAGACCGGTGACTTACGACTTTACGCCGGAAACAAAGCAAGAAGCCGGGCATTCGAATTGGACATTCAATTTGCACCAGCGTCTGAGAAAAAAAAACCTATACCCAGGACTCCCACTTCGATTTCACATCAAATTCAAGACCTACAGACAGATCCCACTCTGTCGACAGGCCAGCACGCTACCGATATCAACGAGTGTGCCACCGTCGGGGATTACAACTGGCAAGAACTGATCAGTCCGGGCGCCAATCAAGACCTCAATGTCGACGCAGATGGAAGCCTGTGGGATCCGGCGGTTAATCTCGACAGCAACGATTCGACAGGACAGTGGAATTTTGGCAGTATCGGCATCGACGAGTTTGACGAAAACGTGGACGGTATGATACCCTGGGACGGCACCGATGTAGACTGGCTGGCCTAAGATGAGAGCCGAACTGAGCTTCAAGGCTTGGACTTCATGTTCCAGTGCTGGTAAGCGGTGATCCGGGTCGATAGATAATCGTGCAACTGGTGGTCCGTGGCAAGTAATGGAATCTTATAGAGAGTTTGGGGCCCCAGATAATGCTCTTCCAGCTTTCATCTCCATGGGGAAAACATCCATTAACAAACCATGGACGGGTCTGAAGGGTGGAGACCGTGCATAGCCCTATGTGAGCCAATCGGCTTCACGAGCTGGGTATAGGCATGGATCCGGCATTGCGGCTATACTAGCACTGCCGTGAACTACATATCTACACAACAGGCGGGCAGAGATTAAAACTTGCTTCGTATTCTGTGCAGAAGGAAAGATGCTGCTTATTGGGTCTGTAGCCGACGTTTCATATTTTTCCTCTGCTGCCTATTTTGTGCAGCGACGGTTATACTAAAATACGCGTCTCGCTGGTGAGCCCACCTTGCTCGACGATACCAATAACGGCAGCAATAGACTGGAGGCCTTGAGTTTAGCCAAAGCGCCTAGAACCGGCTGATGAGAGTTCAAATCGACCAGGGTGGTCCAGGCTAATCTTCAGGGACATATCTCTTTCGGAACAATAACGTTCAGGGGACGTTGGGCCTTTCCAACCGCGCGAAAACTGTCTCCGGGCTTGTTTACCCCTGTGACGAGAGCATCTCGCAGTCTGTCAATCGCCCACTGTCGACATGCCGCTCCTCGCTCAAAAAAAGCTGCCGGTCCCGACCCAGGATCTTCTGTCGTGGATTTTCGACGGAGCAGACTATGACCCCAATAAACCAGTATGCGATCCAAGATGTGGAGATGGCCTGCCGAAGAAGAGAGGCTGACATCAGGACTTACGACATGAAAGATCTATATCGATACTTCAAACCCTTCACGAACACTGTCTCTCAACCAGGGGCTTGGCTTGGTTCGGAAGCTCGCGGCCGGGTTCCGAGCCGCCGGGCTCAAGAAGGGAGAATGTGTCTGTGTCCACTCTTTCAACGATGTAGGGAGTATTCTTTTTCGATAATCTTCTAGTCTGTTTTTGGTCCGTGGCGTTTCTCTCCGAATGAACTCCCCTGTTGACCCATCGGATCACCCTAGATCTATTACCCGGTCCTTTTCCTAGGAATCCTCGCCGCTGGGGGCACTTTCGCGGGGACGAACCCTTCCTACACGTCTTTCGAGCTGAAACACCATCTCAAGACCGCGGGCGCAAAGTATGTCGTCGCTGAACCTGAGTTGCTGGATGCAATCAAGGCCGCGTCTGAAGATTGTGGCATTCCCGACTCCAACTTCCGAATCTTCAATGTCAAAGGCCAAGCAGTGCCCCAGGGATTTCAGTCCTGGGAGGAGCTCATGGAGCATGGAGAGCGAGACTGGGACCGATTCGACAGCGAAGAGATCGCCAGCACGACCCCGGCGGCGTTCCTGTTTAGTTCGGGAACCACCGGCCTGCCCAAAGCAGCTGTGGTATCTCATCATAACCTCGTCGCACAGCACACTCTTGCAATCGCGCCGGATGTGGTGCCCTGGCAGGTAAGGAGTCTCCGTCACGCTGAGTGGATTAGAGAGCATGGCTTCCTTTGTGACACGAAACCTCAGCTCTCTAGGCACGCATTCGTCGAGGAGATTCTTGCTCATCCGTTGATATAGGTCCGGCGGCTGTTGTACATGCCCATGTTCCACGCCGCGATCGTGCCCGTCGGACACACCACCCCCTTCAAGGCCGGCCATGAGACGTACGTGATGCGGCGGTTCGAGATGGAAGAGTTCCTGCACTCGATCCAGGAATTCAAAATCACCGACCTGTCCATCAGCCCGCCGGTCGTGGTCATGGCTCTGGCGAGTCCACTGCTCAACCGCTACGACCTGACGTCGGTTAAATGGTGCCGGTCCGGATCCACGTCGTTGGGCAAAGTCCATCAGCGCGAGTTCGAGAAGCACCTGGCTCCGGACGGCGTCTTCAATCAAGTGTGGGGCATGACGGAGACGACCTGTGTAGCATCCCGGTTTTGGTATCCCGAGAGTGACTCGACAGGGAGCATTGGGCGGTTCATCCCGAATTTGGATGTGAAGTAAGTGACCTCTAGCAATGTTTCCCGGTCTCGCTTCATGAGGTCTGTGTGCTTTCTCGTCTTCATCAACGGCCTGAACAAGGACGAAATATCAAGAACAGCGCTGCCGCGGATCAATATCTCCAGAAGTCTTGTAGGATATGCCGCTGACAAGGAACTCCTCTTGGCAGACTAGTTGACGAACAAGGGAACGACATCACCGCAATGGGGGCAAAGGGCGAACTTTTAGTGAGAGGTCCTACCGTCATAAGAGGCTACTACCAGAACCCTGCGGCCAACCGGGACGCATTCGACGACGAGGGGTATTTTAGGACCGGTGATATTATTTCGTGCGGGAGAATCGCGGACGACAACAACAGCAATACAGGCCAGACCGACGATGCGGGGACTGCCGACGAAACTGTGGACGAAACCCCAGCCACAGCCAAGTGGTACATCCACGACCGGAAGAAAGAACTGATCAAGGTGCGAGGGTTCCAGGTGTCGCCCGCCGAGCTGGAAAAGGTCATCTTGCAGCATCCTGCCATTGCGGACGCGGCCGTCATCGGGGTCAAGGTCTACCACGATGCCGCACCATCCTCCTCGTCCGTGTCATCAAGCACTTCCGTCGATAGTGGGAAGGACGGAGAGCACCCCCGTGCCTACGTGGTGCTGAAGCCGGGGAGAACCGCCACCGAGGCAGATGTGAAAGAGTGGTGCGCTCGGCATTTGGCCAAATACAAGGCTTTGACCGGAGGAGTGAGATTCAGTGACGCGCTGCCCAGAAATGCAGGGGGGAAACTCTTGAAGGGTGTGTTGAGAGAACAGGCTGCCAAGGAAGCTCGATCAAAAGGGCGTAACGAGCAAGATGGTAGTTCGCCCATCCGGGCCAAGCTTTGATTCCTGCCGTAGGAGGGTTCTCTGTTGTAGAGGAAGACATCAAAGAAAAGCACAGACAAGCAGAATATTGATAGCACGTATTCATGTGCAGGGTCTGGCATCCCCCTTCGTCACATCTGTATCGTAGCCACCGTGACAGCCTAGAACCTGTTGACTTTGCTGGTAAGAAGGAGTCATGACGGCAGGTCACGACGCCGTATTAGAATCGGAATATTCATCATTCTGCCGCTGGAGCTCTGAATCAATGAGACAACTCGTTCGCAATTGCGCCTCGAGGTGTATCCCCAGAGGAATGCGAGTAAATGGTGGTAATATCGTCGCCTTGAGCCAAGCATTCGAGTATCACCTTGCCAGTATAGCCACGGGTCTCGGTATGTGCAGTTCATGGCTTTGATCCAGTAATTCAAGTCACCTCAGCCATATGTAGGCGGCCTGTTGACAAGCTATTTACATCTGAAGTCCCACGCAGATGCATCATTTTCAATCTAACCTGCCTTCGTGAAGACACGATCTTGGCTGTACGTGGAGCTCTGAACAGTCCGCCTCAAGAATCGGATGTCCACGGGCCGGCACATGGTGGACATTGCCCTTTGGATGCTCACATTATTCTCAATTGTGCAACTGAGATCCCACATCGACGTTCGCCAACATATTCGGCTGTCTGAATGAACGACGTGATTCCGAGCGTGAGGCTCCCAGGAAAAAGGGGAGGCTGGTGTAGCCAATCAGAGAAGCAGTGATCAACTAGATCGAGCTAGACTCAAGTTAGATATGGAATAGTCTGAGGCTCTCTCGCTTGTGATTGGTAGGGCTCTCGAGTGCACCCAATTTGCTTCAGGTGCGGGCGGCGACAGAAGTCTCAAGATCTGAATTTCCAGCCATCCCACCTTCTATCCTGAAACAAGCCCCTCGGTTTTCACTGCATCGTCTTTGAACGCGATCGGTGATGCCCGCCGTCATTGACAAGTTGCTGCGAACTTTCAGTGGCAACGATCCAGACCGTATCCTCTGATATCCCTCGAAGGTCACAACCTACAGAATTGATCTCCGATGCAATGCTCGTCCTGCGTCGAGAACTCGGAATCCACTCCGATACTTGTACAGCCTGCAATAAGAACTCCAACCAGTACCGAGTACAAATCGGTTCACATGGCGAAGTTGGGAGCATTGGTCGCGCCGAGTGGGGAGTGGTAAGGCCACTTCTGGCAGCAGCATCCAAACAATGACGGCGGTGGCTGGAAATCTAGATCGAAGAGGGGTATATTCAGATCAAGGTATGGGATTCTGGGAGATTAGGATGTACAGCACCCGATGAGTCGAGATCGCTACCACTGGCTGGAGTTGCTGCAGGATGTATGCAGGTGTACGGAGTACGGGGTTCCTACCAGTGGTTTAGATGTATTATTGAGGAGCGCTCACGCCCTCGTCTTCTTTGCACAGAATGGCACAGACTTGCGTGCTTCAAACAGAGATTCCTGATCATGTTCGTGCCATGCCTTCAAAAGCCCTTCGCTCGCGCCAAACCTCGTCAACAAGGCCAAGACGCTAAATGGCCCCTCCTTATCGATAATGAAACGCGCATGGGGAGCCCAAGGTTCGTCCAACCTCGTGTGTGGCGTGAGATAGCCGAGTGTGCGCCCACTCCCGCCTTTTACCAACCACATTGATTTCACCATGGCCTCAAGAAAATAGAAAGGCAGGCTGTTTTCCCAGCTGCAGTTTCGTGCGATCATCCAACGAACTTCTCCCAGCTTCTGTCTGCATTCATTCCACTGGCATAGCTGCAGCATTGTCGACCTCAAACCAACCCTGCGAGCCCAAGACCAGAGCAATTCGGTGTGGTGCCGTCCAGTGCAAAGCGGGGCAATCCCCGACAACAGGTGTACATCATCCACCATCGAGAACAACGGGAAGACACGAGCAGCAACAGGTCTGAGGGAAGTGGTTCGGTGGTTCTTCTCATTTCGGGACATCGCAATATTGGCTGCTGCGCCTCTGCGCTGTCTCGACTCAACAGGTGGAAATAATCGCTGAGGTGATCTGCTGCCACGATTTCCCCGTGCGGGCCGGACCCTGTCGCCCAGAACCTGGCGACGGATCAACCTGCGATCCAACTTCCACTTCCAACACACCTCTCTCAATTATTGCATCACCGTGCCGCCCAATGTCCCAAGACATGTTTAATCAAGGGTTCGGAGCCCTGGCACCGCCCAATCCACGCAGATTGCCTTTTGATTCCAACGAGACCGACTCTTCATTATTCCTCCCTCCTCCGCCACCCCCTGCCAAAGGCCACCAACGATCCAGAACCACCACCGATCTCCCTCCGCTATTTACCCGTACTCAGTCTTCGTCACCTACGAGATCCTCTGCATTTTCCTTCCTGCGCCCTCAAAGCACCCGTTCCTTGTCTCCGGAAAGGCTCAGGCCGACAGAGACGACTGAGGATTCTGGTCCGGCACAGTCGCCCACAAAGAAGAGACCGGGTGGATTGGCGAGTTGGTTCGAGGGGTCTTCGGAGCCGGTCAATATAACTCTGGTGCCATCGCCTCGCAAGGAGAAGCTGGATCCGCTACGTGAGGTCTCTGCTACCGAAGAAGCTTCCACCATGAGTCCGGATTCTGTGGACGGGAACTTGACACGACGGCCAGAGAAGAGGCCCGCTCTGACAGGTCCGACTGTCTCAACCATGTCGAAGTTCAACAACATTTTCAGGAGGAGTACCGTGACACTGAATACCCCGGAGGATCCGGATGAGTTGGTCCAGCTTGACATCGATGAGGCTCTCTTCCCGTCCGGACACCCTGGTGAATTCTCCCCTGCAGCCTTCAAGAATCTGCAGCTCAATGCCGAAGGGACCATCCGTCGCTTCCAACAAGCATACAAAGAACAACGACAGTCTCTCAGATCAGCCACGTCGACCAAAAATGTCCAGGCAGATGAACTCGAGGCGGCCCAGACGAGAAACGAGCATTTAAAATTACAATTGCAAGAAATGGCAGAACGAGCAGCAGAGCAAGAGAAGTTGATTGCAGACCTGAGGGCGCAGCTGTCTGCACAATTATCCTTCGAATCCCCACAGGCGAGCGTTCGTATGGTGGCCCAGGACATTGATCCTAAACGCCGTCCCAAATACCGCCGCTACCGCTCGTCCGACGTCTCCACGTCCGGGGAATCAGAAGCTGGGTCTGAAGTGAGTTCGGTAGTCAGTGTCTTTTCAGAGGCATTGTCAGCGGCGCCCTCTCAAGCCACATCGATCGCCAGCCCGGTCCTGAAGTCCACCAGCTTGGCCAGAGACGATTGCCCCAGATGTCATGGGTTACGACCTTCAGATGCGTGGGATGTGGTTGGCATGATGAAGGAGGAGTCGGCAGCTCTCAAACACCGCATCGCCGAACTGGAGAGTGCACAGGACGACGCGCTGGATTTTCTCAGCGGGCTGAGGCTATCCTCGTGAGAAGCAAGCCAGCCATCTCGTGAGCCATGAGTTGTAAAGATACCCACGGGGGCGTTTACAGATTGCATGATAGGTTACACAGAAATGATTGTGTATATGCAGATTACCCTTGTATAACCAGAGAAGCCAGTTACCTACCTGTATAGGTACAATCAACGGAGTACAAAGCTGCCTTTCGTACCTCGTACTCGGTACATGACACTGATCGATGCCTTCAGTGCGGGTTGAGGCTGAGCCTAGTCGTAGCCGTAGCCGTACCGAAGCTGGACCCTTGCACCGCCCAATTCGCATTTTCCCAGCCACCGCAACCAGCCACTGAATGCCTGGAACCAAAACATCCAACCCACTCGTGCCACTCTCTCCAGTACTCGACTTTCAGCTTCATCTGCACCGTTTTACCGTTCCGCCCGATGGCGTGGCCGCGCAGTTCGCATCTCTCATCTCTAGCTTGTTGTCACTTGATGCCAGTGACAAAATTATTGTAAATCGTCGCTCACTCGAACAGAACAGACTGACAGGACCAACTCGAGCGTCTTTCTCTCTCTCACATTTACACTTCTTTCCTTCTACATTCATCCACTCTCCTTTCGATCGCATCCCCTCGTTTTGCTACTATATTCCCGTCATACTAATTGATCAGGGCCACCAAACCATGTCCTTCAGTGGGAGGACGCCCGAATCTCTGCTCCCGCGATCCGACTCGAGAAACCCTGCGACGACCTGCAGAGGCATCACCACCACCGGCAGGCCGTGCCGCCGACCTCTTGCTGCTTCCCCACAGAACTCTCCGACGCCCTCGCCCAGTCGCGGTAACAACGGGGTCCTCGCCGTGCTGGACGAGCAGCATGCCGCGGTGTTCTATTGCTGGCAGCACAAGGACCAGGCCGAACAGTTGGCGGCGGCAGCTCCGGGAGGACGGACGAGTCTACACCCATTGAAAGAGAGGTCGAGCATTGATACGTTGATTGAGCAGGTGGGCATCCTCGACTTGGACGAGAATGTGCCAAAGCGGCAGCACCATCGGCGACATGATGCAGACAGTGTGAAGCGCCGAGACACGTTGCCATCGGGCTGGAACCAGATGGAGAGTCCCTTGATGACCGTGCCGGACGAAGTGGTACATCACAAACGACCGAAACGACGTCCTCCTCTACCTCCACCCCGACAGTCGAACGTGAAACTCTCCTGGGCCTGCTGCATTCAAGCCGACCATGACGATGACCTGCCTCCTGTCAGGGTCCGAAGGGAGGAGAAGGACAGGCGTCCTCGACCTCATACAGACGCGAGGCGACCGTCGTCCGAGAGACCTGAAATGCGGCAGTCGTATACCCCCGCCACACGACCAAAACCGAGTCCCGCACCTTCTCAGACGCAGGCCCTCCTCTCGCTCATCCCATCGAATCTCTCGCCGCAAATCACCTCACAGCTGCTCGCGGAACTGATCCGGCCCATCTCGGCCGCGGACGAGGCCGGATACATCTACATCTTCTGGCTCACGCCGGAGTCCGAGGTGTCCAAGCCGGACGACGAGACAGCCTCGTCTCTTCTGGACGATGACGACCTCGACCTGGACGACAGTGGTGGCATGCACAGCCGCAGCTCGCAGAGGACGAATCAGGCCCTGGCGCGCTACGCCTCCGTCCGCCGTCCGCCGAACCAAGTCCAGCCGAAACGCACCATCACGCTTAAGATCGGCCGGGCGGCCAACGTGCACCGGCGCATGACTCAATGGACCAAGCAGTGCGGGCAGAACATCACGCTGATTCGGTATTATCCGCACAACACCCGTGACTCCGGCAGCAACAACACCATCCACACTCCTCGTCGACCTGGGGCTACTGCTGGCGTATCACGGAGCAGCGCACTTCTTCCTCCTCCTCTCCCTCCATCTCTACCGAGTCCCGCGAACAACAACAAAGTCTCGCACGTGCACAAGGTCGAACGGCTCATCCACCTGGAGCTCGCGGAGAAGAGGGCCGTCAAGACCGAGTGCGAGCAGTGCGGGCGCGAGCACAAGGAGTGGTTCGAGATCGAGGCCACGCGGGGAGGTCTGAGGGGCGTGGACGAGGTTGTGAGACGGTGGGTGGCGTGGGCGGAGAGGCAATAAAGAGACGGCAGGCATTATCTCAGTCGTCCTACTGCAAGACCCCTCCTCTCTCCCTTCGCTCCCATCTGTGGCAGTTTTCTGCTTTGCTAGACTGGGGAACTGGGTTGGGTTGGGTCAGGGTGGTTAGCTGGCTGTGTCTGTTCCGGTTTCGACTCTGCATACAGCCATAGATATTGTCACTAGACTTGCGTTTGGTGCCGGGGTTTTTCTTTTCCTTTTTCATGAATCGAGGCGGCCCCAGTGACGGGACATATGAACACATGAAGATATGAACAAATACCATATATTCTCAAAAACATGACTTGATCCCCACCTTCGTCCTCTATCCAAGCAGACTTATAAGACACATACGCAGGAACAAAGCACATAGCCATGCGGGTATGTATATGCTTAAGCCCCAGGGTGAAATCCGGCGGGGAATGGACGAGATTCCATTGCTCTCAGAACATGGCATCTGAGGTGATTCATGATGTAATCTCCACGGCGTATAGAGTCACAGCAACCGCCTCAGCCGCATTGTGTTCATCTCATCTCATCTCATTCCATTTCATGGCATGCCACCCTTTGCTCTCGGATGTTGAAGGCTGGGTAACTTTGCAATACATCATAATGTAGATATAACTAGTTATAGATATATAGATATCTGGAGATATATTGGGTCCCTCCCCTCCCTCTGATCCCCCGCGTCCCAGCCAGCAACTTGGCTACATAAACCCACTTCCGCGTTCGTTTGGTGACAGACAGACAGACAGACAGACAAGCAAGCGCACACGTGATGCCCCTAGCAGAGCCGGTCTGGAAGGAAATAAAGGGCGTTGAGACATCCAATGGAATCATCAACGGCGGCGTGCGTCAGGTCACGAGCGGGCGCTCGGCTGGTGGTCTTCCATCGTTCAGGATTGCTCATGCTGAATGGGGAGGGTTGCGGGATTGGAGTGAGAGGGTGAAATTGGGAATATTAGTGATGGTGAGGGTAATGGGGCGAAAGAGGAAAGACAGGGATGAGAGGTGGAAGGGTAGACGGGAAGAAGAGAAGAGAAGGTAAGGCAAGGAAGGCAAGGGGAGAAGAGGTAAGGATTATGTATCGACTCTGGCTTGGTACGTCCATCCACCCATTCCTTCATCCATCCATTCATTTCACTTGCAGACGGACCAACCCCTTCTCTGATTCATTGATTGATATTCAAGAGAAAGAAAGAAAGAAAGAAGGGATGACCTGTCTGGTTCTCGGCGCCTGAGGATCTCTCGTCTCGTTCACCCGCCCGAGCTCGCCCAAAAACAACGTTCTGTTTATGTACCTGCCGAGTGTGCTCCGTTGTGTGTGGCATACAGACACACGAACGATGTCTCGCAGCCCAACCCCAAGATTCATGAACGTCCGGGCTGCCCAGAGCTTCAACCCCTGGTGCGTCTGTCCCCCACCCTTCCGACCAGGATGAGAGGAGAAGAGAAGAGGTGAGAAGAGGCGCTTCAGCATCGTGTGCACACCGTTGGGTGGTATGTATGTAATATAACATAGCTTGGCCCTGGGATCTGTGTATGTACTTTCCCGACGCCGAATCTGGGTGGATGTTCATCGACAAAGCTGCACCGAACCTGCGAAGCACGTCGAGGCCTGGCCATGCCCGGCCCTTGCTCGTGTTAACTGGCGTCTCTCGACAGGGAGGCTGATGGGTTGATCTCTTGTTCCCGAGCCCTATCCAAGTCAACTGTTGGCAAGGTCGTGGTCACCAGGCTCCTCCATAGCTCTCACCCCGAGCCCGAGCCCAAGTCCGGACGTGCTCACCAAACCGGCAGGGTTAGCTCGAAGGTCAGTTCTCCTCGAAAGCCTCCGTCTCACACTGGCGTAGTCGCCCATTTCTCGGATGGGGGAGGCAGGTAGAGGTCGTCTGGTCCGCAACAGAGGGCGGCCTCCCATGGGTTGAGCTACCAGTTGCGAAAAGCAGTGGCCTCTTGGTGTGGTATTAGGCTCGTATACCGCTGGCTGTCAAGCACCGAACGCGTCGTGATGGTGCCAAAGTCTATCCCCACTGGAGGCGAAAGGCATATTATACATATATGTGTTGTCAGGTGGGGGGTCCAGCACGATCATTCATGGCCTTTCGTCTTCTCATTCTTCTCCTCCACCTCCAAAGTTTCTCTCCAGGAAAGAGCATTCACTCGAGTCCCTGATGTAGCACGCAAACCACGACTGACCGTTCTCCCAGGATCGCAAGTGCAGCACGTCGACTGAATTCACCAACACAGGAAAGCCCACGATGGGTGGACAAGCCTGCAACCTGAATCAGACTGCAGCTCGACCCCGCGAACGATTGAGAGAAGAATCATGGGGGGTGTTTCTGATTTCGTACTCGCTGCCACGAAGCGGTACCGCAACAACCGTGGCTCGCAATTCCGGGGCACTTGACCGCGCGCCATGGTCGTTTGGGACCTTGCAGGGGCACACATGGATGACAGCCGGGCGAGAAAAGATGCATTTGTGATAGCATAGTGGGAAATCCAACCCTTGGTGGAGCAGGTAAAGAATTCTCGACACCGCCGCGCGTTTGAAGGTCGAAGGCAGAGAGGAGAATTCCCAGAGATCATCGTATTGTGCTCATGCATGGAGGACCGTGAGGTCTGATCATTCCGTCTCTTCTCCTGTTGAGAGCGGTATGATGGCATGGAGCCGGACTGGATCCTGACAATAGGGCATACCGACCAGCGTTCCCTCGTTCCCAAACTTGTCGACAAGACCACACTGGTCAACATCGGCAGATGTGCTCTTGTCCTGGGCCGTCTGTGAGTCCGGGAGAGCCCATAGGTTTGTCTCTCGGGCCTCAACCTGGCGTTGACTTTTGTGAGGGTGCCACGAGACCGATAGCCAGTCTTTCCTCATCAGCCACCGAAAGCACGGAACAGGTGTTCCCGTCATTGGTGGACTTTCCCTTACTCCAAGCGAGCTAAGCTAAGATTCACTCCTCGAAGCACAAAACTCGCTGTCGTGGGGTATGTGGAGTGCTCAGAGGCCCAATGCCCCCTCCAGCCGCATGATCTCTTGAAGTCGCCAAACCTCTTGACGCCGCGACACCTTCAGAGAGGTCACCTCTTGCTGCTGGCATGATGTGTCGATATATATGTATATATATATAATAATGTTGAACTGCGTATAAGCAGTGTTGACAGTGGCCACCAGTCCTCCGTCACCCGGTGGCTCTGAGACTGTCCGTCGGTCTGTTCTGGCCTGGCCGTTGGTCGGCGTCTGGAAGGAGAGTGGCACAGAGACACAGAGACGCCAATGTGCTCTGGGATACTCTCGCCCCAACAGGGTACGTGGGTGGATTTTCAGGGTCAAATCTGCAGTCAATCGGATGCCAAAGGGCAGCGCCTAGAGGATGAGAGGCCAGGAATCCATTGGGGTGGTGGTGAGGGAGATTTCAAACAGTCGATCGAATGGGCCAGTTGTTGCAAGCGCACAGGCGGGAGAATGCCCCAAGTGATTTGGGAGTCCGGAACCCACCGCCACCGCACACATGGCTGCCGACATTCGCATTGACATACCAATGCCCGACCCCCTTCTTGGTACCAGACGTCCCGGCGAGGGCTTGGAGCACAGCGCACTAATAAAATGGTCGCTTCCGGCCCGGGTAGCGATGCAAGCGGACTCACAGCCTCCTGGTGGAGGTTGTATTGCCATCGGAGAGCCGACTGTTCTGCCTTTGTGCAAGCTGTGTTGTGTAATATGTATAGGATGATAAGAGGGCCACAGCGCTGGTCCTCTCTGACAGGAAACAGTAAGAAGAGGGGGAAGATGTCAGTCTGAAGAACGACAGGGCATTGGAAGACATCGTTGGAGTGACGTGATATCTTGGATGATGATCATGTCGGGCGGTGTTGTCATGCGTGAATCATCGCTGGCTCTGGCATTCGTTCACAGGCATCATGACCAGACACCATAGCGTCTCAGAGGTGTGCCATCAGAGGCCTCTGAAAGAGCTACCCATGGTACATCAGCTTCCGTCGCGAATGGTCAAAAACGAGGAGGGAAGGTCACTCACTCACCTGATTCGTGGCGGGGCCGTTGTCGGGGAAATAGTGGTGGCCATGGTCGAAGGCATCCCCTCGTTGAGCTTGCAGTCATAAAGGAGCACGGGCACCATCTCAGAGAGAAGAAAGAACCTTGTCTGATTGCCTCCACCAAAGCTGGCTGGCCTGGTGGATGGTCGTCTGCATCGGAAAGTGTTCTGTGGCGCAGATGCTGACAAGGCTGAGATATCGACATAGGGGAAGTTAGTCAAAAGGCACCACTCCCTTCATCTTTCTGTTCCCTCTTTTTTCTATCTTTTCTCATTTGGGGCCCAGAGAAGAAACACGCAAAGGAATGGAAGTTCTTGAGAGAGTGCACGAGAGAGAGACCTGCCAGTCTTTTTACGTCCCAGATGGCGGTCAGGAGCAAAGTCGACGAAACGTGAATTTGTTTGCTCGATTCCCCCAAGTCCGAAGTGTGCCGGTCGAGACGGAAACCAGCAAACATTCCCACCGCTTAGCTCAGTCTTTCGATTAGAGATTTGACCAGAAAAGGCGAAATCCGTAGCCCTGACATCGTCAATCATTACGCTGTACGCAGCAGCCCGTCCAGAAAGAAAGCCAATCACATATTCTCCCCCTTATAGGTGTACCCGGTCGTTCCCCCTTAACACCACCGCACATACCCGGCCAACTAGGCACCTGGCTGTGTTTCGTTCCCGTCTCCCTTGGTTGACGCAGGGGTGGTAAGATTCGTCGAGCTGCTGCCCTCGCTAATGACCTCAGTGGACGCGTTCTTGTCCCTCTTCCCACTTTTCGCACTTTTTGAGCTGGAGTGGCTCGTCAGCCGGGATAGAACCGACCCGCTGTCCCCTCTTTCCGAGTGATCACTGCCAACACTGGACCTCGTATCGACCATTTTCAAATCAGGCTTCATCTCGTTCCACCGTCTGAGCACCTCGACCTTCTCCTCCTCCGTGGCCTTGCTCACCTGCTCAAACCCTTCGACATACCTCGTGGCAAGGATGTAACTCAACGTTGGATCTCCGTCCAGTCTCTTCTTGATCACTTCGTACAAAACTCGGACTCCATATGCAGCGTGGCCCACGACCAGTCCACGGGGCGAAAACAGCAAGTTGCCGATGCCCCTGCCCAGGCCCTTTCCAAATCCCTTCCAGCCACTGGATCTAGCTCCCTTGTAGGGTTCGTAGACCACGCCGGCCCAGGCCTTCGCAATGTTGATGGGTGTATGCACAATTCGAGAGGTGATGGAGCCCATGGTGCTGAGCATTGGATTGGGCCCGACCACGTGAGAACTGATGGCACCGAACTCGACAGGCCATTCACAGGGCCGATAGATGGTAAGCTGGTTCACGTCGAGCAAGCCCTCGTTGCCCAATACCGTGGCCGCAAAAGCGCTCAGCCGGATGTCTTCCGTGCTGGATCCCTTGGTTCGGACGGACCACACGGCTGGCCGCGACGGCGCCAGCATGCAGCGAAGGCGGTCAAGCTCCATCTGTGCGTGGAAACTCGCCGCGCCCACTTCGGTACCCTTTTCCTCCTTGATGCGCTCGCCCAGTTCACGTGCCCGTTCCAAAGTTTCGGGCTTCAGCGCCTGGAGGATCGCATCCGCAAGTCGGTCTGCTGTCAGTTCCTTGGATGGAATTGGTGTCGGTCCCGCACCCGCCCGGGCCACCATGGCGCCCCAGAATGGCTGGTCGCCAAAGAAGGGCACAATCACCGTCGGACGACCCAAAGCGATTCCAGCTGCAGTTGTACCAGCGCCGCCGTGATGCACCACGCAGGACACGTGCTGGAATAACCAGTCATGTGGTACATTACCCAGCATATACACGTTATCAGGCTTGCCCATGTCGTCTCCACCCAGGCCGCCCCATCCTTTTGACACCAAAGCTCGGTGTCCCGTCTTCTTGACGGCATCGAAGATGAGTTTTGTCATGGCATTGGGATCGTCCACCACGATGGAACCGAAGCCGATGTAGACCGGGGGTGGACCTGCCGCGAGGAAGTCGGCGAGACTCGAGTCTGGCTGGTAATTTGACGCCAACGAGAGGAAGTAGAAGCCTGCAATGGTGATGTGAGGACCCCAATCCTTGGGCTTCGGAATGAGTGCTGGAGACCTGGTTGTTGACTCATCAATAGAGGATCCTTGTGGTTTCAGTCCCCTCCAGATTTCCAAACTCACCAGCAATAAGTATAAGGTATCCGTAGACGATGAAGCATATCCGTTGCCGCCGCCTGGGACAGGATGTGCAGACCCAGCGTCTCTTTTCTGAATTTGTTCGTGATGTCGCCCAGACCTTCCCAAGTCATCATGTCAACCAGCGTGTAGCTCATTTCGTTGGTCATGCTCCCGCTGGCCTTGGACGACTTGATGTTCGCGATGGGTTGCGGAAACTCTCGCGTCGGCGACCAAGGCATCCTAAAGTCAAACCAAACTCAGCAAAGGATCCAGAAGACAAGAGGCCTGGACAAGCCACTTACGTGAACATCAAATGCAACGGAATGCCCAACTTCTCGGCGCAATGGATATGTGCGAAACTGGGGGGATTCGCAATGATGGCGTGCGCGACGAACGGTTTCTTTTTGGGTGCCGCCCCCAGCGCGTTTTCCTCCTCTTTCACCTCGACAAAGTCGGCGCACGACCGCCAGCACCCCTGCAGAATCTCCGCCATGCCTCTGCGTCTCTTGCCCACGTCGCCCTCCTTGATGGATTTCATGCCCGGGATCAGTCCCGGGTTCTTGACCATGAAGGCCATGAGTTCGGCCGGGTCGCCGCCGATATCAAAGTATTCCAACCCGTTCTCCTCGACGAACTTCTTGAATGTCCCGTGCGTCGCGAGCCGGACGCGGTGACCGTACCGGTTCTTCAGGACGAGCCCCAGCGCGACGAATGGCTGGACGTCGCCGCGCGATCCAACCACCTGGATGACGACATTGAGAGGCGGAGGGATATTGGAGGGTCTGTGACTCGCCTCGAGAAGTGTCCGGGCGGTCTGTGGAGGGGCATCGAGTCCCTCTTGGACTCGGGAGAGCTGGAGTTGTTCGATCTGACTGGCGAAGAGATCGTTAATTTCTTGGATGGTGATGTCGACGCGACCATCGTCTGTGGATCCTGTCAATTCACGTCGTTGCGTCAAGATGGAGAAAGAACAGAGCAACTAACCTCCAAGTTTGGTGTGCGTGGTGATTCCATCCTGCTGCTCGTCAAGAGTCCCTGCTGCGTCGACCGCCGGTGGTGGTGGTGGTGGTTGTTGCTTCACGTCCGACGCCATTTCCGCGATCGATCTGTCTGACAACTCGTCTTGAGACTGCCTGAGAGGCTGGTTATGGCTGTGACGCCGTGTGCTCGCGTGTCATGAAAGGACCTGTCTGAGTCGCAAGACGACCATCTTTCGCAGCTCCATCCCGGAAAAAGGGAGCTGGTTTGAGAATCCCCTGCGAGCACACACACATGCCAGGGAAGAGCAGGCGATAAGAGGCGGGAATTGGAGGGGCACAGCAGGGTGGTGTAGCCTACAGCAGTGAGCCGGTGTCAATGATCGCAGGAGGTGTCGGGCGGTGGGCCAATCCTGCATGGGAAATATCCATCTGTGCCCCGGGGACCGTTTCTGGCCCCAGCCGACCATGCCTAAATGATCCCAAGGGGCCCCAAGCAGCCCCAGCAAAATAGGTGCCAGTGCCCGAAACCTTTTGCTTGATTGGCCTTTGCGAAAGCTTGAACATGGCTTAATCAGCATCGCCCCCGTTTTCGTTGTTATTGACATTGGCTAACGACGAGTCGCAGGTCTCTTGCTAAAGCCTGATCGAGTACGGAGTGCGAATACGAGCGAGAGCACTTCAGATGAGATACACCGCCACATGCAATTGAATGATATTGTCCAAACAAGTCAAAGGAGCGTCTGGAAGGAAAGGCGATCCAGGGCATACACCAGTCGATCCATCACTCCATCAATAACTCAACTTCTCCCCACCCTCCTTGTCTTCCGGGGGAAACACCTCGTCCAGGTACTTCAACAGGGACACCTGCGCCATGTTGGCGTGCACGTTCATGCCCAACTTCTCCGTCAGCTCGGGAGACAGCTCCTTCTTGACCTCCTCGGGCATCTTGGCCGACCAATTGACCTGCTGCCGTAGGAACGGCACGGTGTAATACCCGAAGAGCAGCGCCCGGTCCTTGTCCTTCGTTACGTTGGACCCGGACGTGTGCCAGACGCGCCCGTTCATGAGCACGATGCTGCCAGCCTTGGCCTCGAAGGGCTTCAGCAACGAGCGGGCGTTTTTGGGGATGTCTTCGCGCGTCGTCCATTTGTTGCTGCCGGGGATGTACAGCGTCGCCCCGTTCTCCAGATACACGTCCTCCAGGCACCAGATCACGTTCATCGCCCACGTGTTCAGCCACGGCTCTGGCATCACGAGTGACTGATCGCTGTGCAGGGCCATGCTCTTGGACCCCGGCCGCGCGATGTTGGCCGTGAAGTTGCTGATCAGCCAGTTGTCGCCCAGCGCCTTCTCCACCATCTGTACCGCGACGGGGTGCTGGATTAGGTCGCGGAAGATCTTGTCCAGCGCCATCAGGTAGAAGACGCGGATATTGGAGGCATTCGGGTCGAGGGTCGGCATGAACGTGTCGTCGCCCTGCTTGCGGAACTTCTCCGCCGCCGCCCACAGGTGCGAGAGCACGAGGGCGTTTTCTTCCGGCGAGAGCACGTCTGGGATCACGGCCCAGCCATGCTCCTCCAGGTGCTTCTGCGCCGTGATTAGGGTGGATTCAGGCGTGTGGGAGGCAAATTGAATATCAGGTGAGGTTTTGGTGTCGGTGCTGGTGTCGATAGAGCCCATTTTGCCTGGGATGACGCTGACAACAACCCGAGGCCGGACGGTTGTGTTACCACGCTGCCTCTCTATGCTGCTCTCTTACTGTCCCCTCCCGTTGACTCTCGTTTCGTGTATACAACGGGGCAGATTGGCCCCAGGAGAGGGCAAACGCGTACGGCAAAGGACTGAATAACCCACTTGTGGCGTATAGTGGTCTAGGTACGTCCAAGCTGCTGTCGGATTGAATGATGTGTCGTTTCCAGCTGCAGACTTGAACGCTCAGCAACGAACACCTGATCCTCTTGTATATACATCAACCTGAATACGCGGCTCCTCCCCGCATTTCCCAGCTAGCCTGTAGACCCCAGCATCTACACCCAGACCCCGGATAACTTTATGCGGTATGTTCGTCTTGGTCCTCGGTTACATTGTCAGAAACACTTGCGGGCAAACAGTCGATGACTAAGAGCAGGTTGACTCAACGAACACATCCTACATCACCAGGAGCAAGTCGAGTAGAGGTGGTCGAGTAAGACTCGCAATGAGTAAAATTCTGCCCTGGAATATCCACATCAGGGTATACGTTGCCTGCACAGATCAGAGATTCTACAGTCTCTTCGCCGCAATCTTCAACGGGTTCGCAGTGTCCGTTATGACCCTGGATTGACCCTCCTCGATCTTCCACCAAAAGATGTGCCATTCAATCCGCTTTTATGATCGTCCCAGTGATTTCCGCCTCAGCCTGATGGAAGCTGAGGTGTCCAGTCACCCGACCCGCTCCGCCATGTTTGCCAACATGTTGCTAGAGCGGTGAATGGAGCTCCCGCCCAATGATCGCTAAGAACACAGAATAGTAGACCCCTGCCCGCTTCGAAACGACTATATGCGACCCCATGCACTTCCAAAGTTGACGCTGTTTCTCATTCTCAACCTTGGCATGTCGTCGTCGTTGTTAGCAGAAGACTCTCCTTGTTGCCCACTCGCTTCCTGTCCATCCTCGACGGTCCCTGACAAACTCGACTCGGCCTTGTCTTGGTGTACTTTTTCTTCGATGAGCTTACCATCGAGGATGTTCAAGAACGCAACGGATTCCACGGATTTAGCGTTGGGATCAAGCATGAGTGGTCCTTTCAGCGCTGGATCCTGATGTGTTTCGTAGATTATCTCCGGCTCTGGTTCCGGCTCCGGCTCTTCTTCTACTGTCGGGTTCTCTTTTCCCTTTTCCGCGGTGGCAGAGAACGAAAAGTAAGAATCGGTGTTTTCCGCGGGAAGGAGCGGAGGCCGCGTGGTGGGGGCGGGAGCAAGAGGCTCCTCTTGCTTCGGAGTCAACGCGCTACTGGCGACATCCGAGGACAGAGTGCCATCAAACGCCATGGGTGTATGACCAGCGTGTCGTTTCAATTTCTCATCCAGCGGCGAGATGAGAGAGTTGACGTCAAGTCTGAAAGGCTCCTCTTTGGTGGTGTGGGGGACAGGTGACAGGGCGGGACTAGCGAACTGCGGACTGGCGATCTCCTTGTCGAAGGAAGACGTCAAGGCGGCCGATTTGATGGTGATGCCATCCAGGGTGCTATCGACCTGTTCGATTGGTATCGGGATATTCTCTTGGCCTCCCGAAGTCGGCGAGACCTCCTTGGACAGGGCGGGCATGGCCTCATCCTCCGAGATGCTGGGTAGATGAAACACTTCGTCCTCGCTGGCAAAGACTCTGGTAACGGGCGGAGTGGATTCAGGACCTTTCCAGACCGGCGGTTCTGCAATGGTGGGTTCGGGAGAGATTCGAGAGCGGTGTTTCCCATTAACCCCAGAGAGCGGAAAGTCTGACTTGAAAGAGCGAAGGCTCGCGGAAGACGAATCATTACTTGATCTCCTCTTAGGGTCTCTGCTCTTGTTGAGTTTCTGCTCCAATTCGCCGATACGAGCTTTCAGCGCAGTTCGTTCTATATCCCAGGCTCTTCGCTCGCTTTCGTGGGTCTGTCTGAGCCGCGTATTCCACAACCGGCAGTGCTCCATGTACTCCGTGATGTCCACTTGCGGCGTAGGGTTCGCGATTTGAAAGCCATGCTTTGGTAGTTGACTGGCAGAAGGTACTGCGGGCAGGAGAGGCGGATTTGTCGTCGCTACCGAGTGGCGGCCTGTCATTGGCATCGAGGGAGGATCTGAAAAGCGAACTTCCTTGGGATCCAAGGAGAAGCTATTGGTCCGGGGAGGATTAAGAGGAGAAAAGTTGTCTGGGTCATGTTCGAGGGCCGGGGTGGGCTCGAATGAGAGGGACGGAGAACGGGGAGCCATCTGCGGGCTTGGGCAGTCCGATGGTGCGTCCAACACTGAAAATGAGCGTAGGGTAAGGGATATATTGCAGGGTACGGTGTCTGTACACCGTCGCTGTATGCTCAAGGAGTGTAGAACTGGCAACGTGTATAACCAAGTCAAAGAAGACCTGAGGATGACGTCCGAAATGGAGAAGCGCCGGGCTCTGGGGAGCGAGATGACAGGCAAATGCAGTCAAAAATATAAACGAGATTATGGATGCGGACGTGACGATGAAAATGCCGCTGCCGATGCCGATGCCGATGCCGATGGTGATGTTGACCACAAGTACATGGAGAGGAAGAGAGAGTCGACAGGGAGAGGACGAGAGAGAGTGCGCAAGGTGAGGTTAGAATTGTGGGCAGTAGCAGCCAGGTGTTTGACTCGCAGTTACTTTGTGTGCTGGTAGTCGCAGCCTGCACGTCTGCAGGGGAAGAGGAGGTGTTGTCAATGGTGGAGGGTACCAATGTACAAGTCACAGCTGGCAAAAGAGTGGATTGAAGCGATAAACAAAAAGCCTCGTGGCATCCTTTTCGTCTCGCCTCTTTTTTTGGGATGACGTTGGTCTGTGCCTGAAGCTGAGATGTGTGGATTGTGTGCGTGTGTGTGGCATATTGGGGGAAAGAGGATGCTGTCACTTTTTTGCTGGGTGCCATCGCTAGGGGCAGAAATTTTGGAGCTTGGGGGCGCAATGGGCGGAGCCAGGAGCGATTAGCTGCACCTAGGGTCTGTGATCTGCATGGGTATAATATGGATCCATCTGCCCGAGGGAACAAACAGGAGGCCAGGGGACGAGTTAGGAACGCCTCTTGGGGCCCACCTAGGTGTCAGGGTCCAGCACCGTCTCAGGCGCCAAAGCTCCGAAGAACACAACGACGCCCCGTTAGAGGCTGCTTAGGGGACACCAGCGAATATCTGGGAACTGCCGATTAGTGGCCGCTCTAGCTGCACCCAACATAGGAACAAATAAGGGGCCTGAGCGGGGTGGGTTCCCTGCTCACTTCTTCCCCATCCTTTCGCTGGCCAGCTCTCATGCTTCGAGAAGGATGCCTCTTCTTCTTAATTGACTCCCCTGGCACCCACTGGCTTGTTGTTTTCTTGGTGAGGACGGTGGCATGGCATGGACATTCTCCGGTGCTCGAAGGACACGCGATACACACCCCCAAAGAGGGATTTCTCAAGCTCACATGAATCAAGCCATTTATCAGTACCATTCGTCATTCACAGAGGATGAACGTCAAGTTTTGATTGTCACCACCCCAGAACCGGCGGATTCCTGGAGATAAATACTGTTGTGCCATAGGAAAAGAGCAAAGCAGCAATGACTCAATGGCTAGTCACTCCATTTATACCCGACATGGTTCGATCGGATTGGCAACCGCCTGTCGTCGAAGCACGCTGGCGCTGAAAGCTGGAGTTCATTTCCACCCAACCGAGGCCATAGCTCGTCTCAATCAAGGCAAAAGACGATCCATCGGTGCAATAGCCATGACTCAGCAATATTTTCATGCGTCTAGATTGCCATCCGTGGAAGCAGGAGCCTGGTGTGTTTTATATTCACCCCCGCAAGAATCGCACAATCTCAAATACTTCGGTACGTATTTGAGTGATGCATTTCCATACACATCCGCCCGGTCGCTTCTCCTGCTTTATCGGGAAAGTGTTCTTTTCTCAATTCTACGATAGTACACCTTGTCTCGTTTCACGGGGTGACGGCGCTATAGCCGAGTCAATCACCTTCGTGCTTGGATACTCCGTACATGCCTCGGGAAGCATCGGCAGTCGTGGCCATTTGCAGTAGCAGCTCATGCTCGACTCTTATCGGCACTCCTATAAGGGAACCATCCCGCGCCAGAGGAGAGCAGTCTCGCCTCAGAGTCTGTGACCGAGACAGCCATTTCCAGGATGGACAAGGAAGAAAAATCTAGATATCTGTTTCTGGTCTCAACTCCCCACCAGCGCGATCGAAGTTCCTTGAAGAAAGATCAAGCTGCCGCCAGAGCCCACGCAGCTAAAATCTCTCACCCATCCGCTCGGGCACAACCCGTCCCAGAACAACAGCTACCAGGGCACCAGGTCGCTGATCTGAAGAGTCTAGCCGAGGACTCGGTGGCTTCCAGCGATGGTGAACATGATCAACAGCATCTAACGGGAGCTTCTGTTTCTGTCCCGAGAGACAAGCCAGGTACCTCTTCGACTTCGAAAGCACAAACTTTCTTCACCAAGAGCAAATCACGACCTAGAAAAGCCCCGCCTCAATCTCGACCTCCACGCTTTTCGGGTCAGACGGCCGGTAGATCTCGAGAAATCAAACAGAATCCTGGAGCTGCGAGACCATGTCCTCCAGCTCTGGGCGTCGACCCGCTATATTGGCTCCCATACGAGAAAGATGAAGACGCATACCAGGCTGTGGATTACTGTGAGTGCTTCATTCTGTCAGGCCATGTTCACACGCCAGGAATTCACACCTCTTGTCGCTCTAAGTCTCGAATATTGCCGCGCCTGCGCTTTATCCACTCTACGAAATATTCAACATCACCAGTGTCTATACTTCCCTGTTCCTCGAGTGCATCACCGAATGCGAAAGCTTTTATCATGCAGGTATTGCGAGACTGCGCGTCACTGCGGAGCTGTTGAGGAATCCTGGAAGCAAGCCTGCCTCGTCAGTTCTGTTACACCAAGCAAAAGCAATTTCCCACCTTCGGCATGAGATTGACCAAGCAACACAACCGACCAATATGATGCTGGCTACCATCCTATTTCTCATTGCCATCGACGTACATCTCTCTGTGGCCCTGATTTGAACACGCTAACAACCACGCAGATTGCAATTGGCCAGCACAATTCAGCAGACATGCATCGAGTTAACCTTGCCCGGTTAGTAGGGGCTCGAGGAGGATTGGATGCCCTTGGCCGCGATGGGTTCGAGAAGGCGGCATTTATGCAGTCAGTCGGAACTGTCTCTCGCGATAATGGCTAACCCTTTTTCCTGCCAGATTCGATAACATATATGCTCTCGAGCGAGGTTCGAGTGTCCTCGTAACTTTACAGCGCTACCGTCCAAAATACCCTCCGGATCCCCCTTCACCGAGGCTTACACAGATCATCAACTCTTTCCCAGATGGCTTCCGGTGCCTGGCCTTTCATCGCCTACTGCCTCTCGACATGATCGAGTTACTCTTTCGCATAGCCACCACCGTTGGTCGTTGTGCCGGCCGCACCACCTATGTGCCTTTCGATACAGCTGAAAATAGTTTCCGTTACACGCGCCGCAAATATGATTCTTTTAGCGACGCTTGCCCCTGGCTTTTCGCACCCGAGGATAAGGTGCACCCCTTGCTCAAGCCTTTGACAATGGCTCTGGTTCTCTGGTGCAGCAATGCATACTCCGAGATCCGCGCCTCTACGGTGGTATACGCTGGCTTTCTCCGCGCTCTCACGATGCGGCTGCTGCGGGCACCCATCGTGCCGAAGCCACCTATAAGTCCGCAAGTAGATGTGGGGAAGGTTCCTGACGAAGAGGATTGCCTGTTGTGGATTTGGATGGTGACGTTGGATTCCTGGCGGCCAGATGGTGCCAAGTCGCTGCATCCTTTTGGTAAAGGGGTATTTGCGCGTTTCAGGGTCCGCTTTCCGCATGCGGCCGCCGACCTGGCGGTTCGTGACAAGGTCCTGAAGAGGTTTTTCTGGACAGACGGTCTCAGAGCTGGGGTGAGGACACTATGGAACGAGGCAGCAACCCTAACGAAGAGTCCAAATTCGTGATGTGCACATCTCTCAAGTCTCTCTGCGCCGACGAGAAAGCGAAGGGGTGGTGGCACGTACGGCATAATTCGAAGTACGACAGTGATGCTTACGCAGCCAACTTCAGCTTGCTAACCTTTTCACCAGACAGCGAAATTGTTCAGGTTATACCGACGGCAAGCCCTGGAGTTGTTGTCCGAAACCAAATCGGCTTCTATCGTCCACGTCTCAGTACTGGTCCTCTTGTTGCATGGGTTATTATCGCTTAGGAGGTCTGCAGAGGTGGCACCTATCTCTACGAACATTGATGATACAGCAACAGTGTAAGAGGACAGCTCCAGGTATTGTCCTTTCTTCCCCCATGGTCGGTCCTCTCGTGTTTTCAATTTTGAAAATAATGTCGTCCACTCATTCTTACTCCCCATATAACAGGAGAACTGTTCCCATGGGTAGCGATTCCAGTTTTCCAGCTTCCCACTACCCAGCCAATATGTATACATATCTATGGTTGCTACGCAAGCGCAGACGCGACATCCAAGGTTGTGATATTAAAACTACACATGCTACTCCTGAATTGCTGTGGTTTCCTATCACCAACACGGAAATGATCTGAAGTACGTATCTGTACATAACTCCCCCTCCTTCGGCGACTCGCGGAATGGGTTCGACTGTCTCGATTATAACGAGCGTCCACCAGGTTGCTGACAAGTTAAGCGCCCTGCAGTCCCCAAACCTGCTGTCGCCCTTTACCGCCATGTAGCTCACGACCCTAGCCACTCGCCCGTTCAGGCGTTTCCAAATTCCCTGCAAACTACTGACGCAAAACCCGTGCTTGGACCTCCCTTAAGCACAGAGCGCACCCTGTTAGCTGCCGATGGAGCAAGCTATCCCCGCCTCCCCGTGCAGTTGGAAGGGGCGTCATCATGCGGCAATTTCGATCAAAAACTTCCCAGAACTCTACTCTCAGGCATCACCTCAAGAACCATAGATTTCTCAGCCCTAGATCGCCTCAATTTGGTCTATTTGGACTGTGTATGGGGATATTCTGTCCTAAGTGTATCTGGCCGGGCTATTCTGCTACCGACTCGTGTTCAGCCCTTTGGTCAAAATCCCCGGTCCAAAGCTCGCAGCTCTGACGTTGTGGTACGAGTTCTATTACGATGTCATCAGGAGGGGATAGTATCTGTTCGAGATCAGGGACATGTATAAAGAGAATGGTAAGTGAGAGCCCGGAGGACTGCCCATAGCCACTGCTGCTTCGCCGCTTATTGGGCCATGAGACTCACCTGGCCCGATCCTTCGAATCAGACAATACGAGCTTCATGTGAACGACCCGGCTTTCCTCCCTGTGCTCTATGCTGGCGGCACAAGACGTCGGGACAAGCATGCCTGGGCTACCCGAGTGTTTGGCGGTTCAGGCGCTGCCATAGCCACCGTCAGCCATGACCTGCACCGTGTGCGCTGGGGAGCGATGAACCGCTATTTTCCCAAGGAGAGCATCCGTCGGCTCGAGCCGATCCTCAAGCGCAACTTCGAGAAGCTATTGCAGAAACTGGCGGAATTCAAGGGTTCGGCCAAACCCTCAATGTCAACCTGCCATTCAGCGCCTTCACCAGCGACATTATCACCGAGTATTGCTTGGGCAAATCTCATAATTCGCTCGACAAGCCGGGCTTCAATGAGAAATTCATCGTAATGATGGCTAGCGTGCACGACATGAGTGCCGCGGCCAAGCAATTCAACTTTATGGTTCTGGTCGATATGCTCCCGGACTCGTTCGTCGACAGGCAGGACGCGGGGATGGCGGCTTTCATCCAGTTCAGAAGGGCGAGCTTCTACAATTGATCGGGATTGCAGTGACACCTATGGCCCTTGACGGCTGACGCTATTTGAGCAGGAGATGAGAGCTCAGATCGATGAGATCAAGGCCAAGCGAGCGAAGGGCGAGAAACCGTTGGCCGAGGCAGGAGCTGCACAGACCACTATCTTCGACTCGATCCTCGACAGCGACCTCCCAGACGCCGAAAAAGAGAATGAGCGCCTGTGGCACGAAGCACAGGTGATGTGCATCGCCGGCACCGAGACGACGGCTTGGACACTGTCGGTATTGAGTTTCTACCTGCTCTCCAACCCCGAAGTGATGCGGAAACTCCGCGGCGAACTCGAGCTGGCGATGCCAGACGTATCGGCCAACAGCGTCGAAATCAAAGATCTCGAAAAATTGCCGTACCTGGTAATATGTGCCACGGAATGGTCACGGGGAGATTTGTGACCTCCAAAGGCTGACATGGTCCAGACGGCCGTGATACAGGTGTCGCTTCGGTTATCATTCGGAGTCAGCACGCGGCTGCAACGACTCTGTCCAGACGAGGCCCCCGTTTTCGACGACGGAGAGACTCGGTGGAGGGTACCCGCGAATGTAAGTTTTCTGGACTGTCGTTCCCAGCGACAAGAAAAGAGCATTAGTTACCACCCCTCGGTAGACCCCTGTCGGCATGTCCTGCGGCCTGGTCCACCTGAACCCAGACATCTTCCCCTCGCCGCTTGAATTCACGACCGACCGCTGGCTGCGAGACCCGCAGCTGGGGCGGTACCTGTGCTCGTTCTCCCGGGGCACGCGCCAGTGCATCGGGATCAATATGGCCTACGCGCAGCTGTACCTGTGCGTGGCGGGCATCTTCCGAGGGTACGGTGGGCCCGGCAATGCCGGTCCGCTGGGGTATTTGGAGTTGTTTGAGACGACGCACGAGGAGGTCGAGATCCAGTATGATTTGTTCATGCCGTTTCCGAGGCCCCGCTCGAAGCGGTCCAGGGTTGTTGTGAGGTAGGGGATGGTGCTCACTGGGCTTCGGAAAAGACGTCAACGACTGAACGCACTCTCCAGGGCCATTCACGGCGCCTTTTCCCCCTTCAGAAGGTTTCCAGTCCACCCCATCAACACAGGATGTATTAACGGGCCAGTGGCGGGGGAAAAGGAGGTCAAGTTCCCACGGTTGCACATCCATCGATGCATTGCCTTCGCTTACCTTGCCATAATTCGGCCACACTTATGCGAGATGAAAATCTAAATCAGTTCCAAAAAAACCCCCCTCCAGATTTCCAAGCCTTCACCACCAGAAGGACCCTCGATCGGAATCCACAAGAGTATCCAAAAAAGAGGTGCTCAAGCGGCAGCTTGTTCGAACACAATGTCCTCTTTTCAAATGAATCAAGCGAGCCCCCTCTTGAGCGTGTGGCCACCAGGGCCAGGACCCTCTTTTTTCTCCCGCAAAGGTATTACTCGCGTTCACAGGAGTTACTTTTGTAGGTATAGATCTGTATGGTGGCAAGCGAGAAGGGCCAGGGGGTCCACAAGACTAACTGCATGCGGTATCTCGCTCGTTTTCATCTTGTATGTGTGACTACTCGGTCGCTCTATCGCTGTGTCTACCATCTTTGGGAAAATAGCAGCGACGAACCTTGCGGGCTGGTTACCAGGGCGAGAGGGGGACACTGAACGTGTAGACTGCATCTTGATAGGTCGGACTTGGACGACATGTCATGCCCGCACTCACAGTAATCTCGTACTCATGTTCTATTCCTGTTGATCCTTGGTGTGGTTGCGCCAAAAACAGTTGGAGAGAGAGACGGACGATTGAGGTCAGAATATGGAGAAGAGGGCGAGAAGGACAGGGCGAGAGAAAGAGCGGCATAAGATCAGGATCAGAAGGGAGAGTATCAGGCCTTGAGCACGGAGAGTAGAAACAATATCGACAGGGAAATCGGACTGGAAATTGGTTTGATGCTAATATTACAATGCTGGATTCCTATCTTGCCGATTCAGCTCCTCCATGCCTGCTTGCTTGCTCCCCTCCCATCCTCTCGCTCTTCCACAGAGGCTCTTCAAACTACATATAACTAGCGTAGGATATTTGCTTGCTTGCTTGGGTTCATTACTTCCCACTCTCGATGCCTCTCCGGCCGGACTGATTTTTCCTGCCTGCATTCATCCGCTCATCGACCTCTCATTTGTAGAGGCTCGGGTACTCGGCCTTGATGAGGTCCGCGCCCTTCTCGGCGACCATGTAGACGTCGTTCTGGATACGGCAGTCCGGGATGACGGGGAAGATGGAGGCGTCGATGACGCGCAGGGCGCTGGTGCCGTAGACCTGCAGCTTGGGGTTGACGACGCCCTGTTTGATGTCCTTGCCCAGACGCGCGGTGCCACACGGGTGGAAGCCGGTCTGAGAGCGCTCGAGGATCTGGCGAATCATGGCCTCGTCCGAGTTGCGCGGCAGCGGCCACGGGTAGTCGCCCTCGATGAGGTCCTTGAGGCCCTCGCCGTTCATGACGATGTCGTCGATCATGCGCACGCCCTCGCGCAGCGCCACCAGGTCCAGGTCGTGCGAGAAGAAGTTGATGTTGACGTACGGCTGCTCTGTCGGGTCCGTCGAGTTCAGCTTGACCTCCCCGTTGCGCGACAGCGGCCGCATCAAGTCCACGATCACCGTCAGGTAGTCGCCCGAGGGAGGGGTCGGGAAGTGCCACTGGAAAGCGTCGCAGAACATGGGCTGTGCGGATACGGTGTCAGTCTAAGGAAACAAAAAGGGGAGGTGCTTTATCTGGAGACGAGAGAGAGAGAGAGAGAGTGTGTGTGTGTGTGTGTGAACGGTACTTACCACAAAGTCAACCTCAAAGTGTGGCTGCCCACCAGGTCCGAAGGGGTCGACGCCGCCGTTCTTGGCCTTGTACTCGCGGTACTCCTTGGAGGTTTCGAACCATTCGTCGGCGCGGGGAAAGGCGACCAGTTCGAGCAGGCCGCTGCTGTACGGGCCGGTGCGGTTCTTGCGGTACGCCGCGACGGCGCCGTCCTTCTGGGGTCCGGCGCGCAGGAGATGGCTGTCCAGGCCGTAGCCGTCCTTGAGCTTGAAGACATGGGACAGGATGGGGTGGTCCAGGAGGTTCTGGCCCACGTGGGGCGAGTCGACGAGGGTCTTGATGCCCTTGGACTCGAGGTGTTCCTTGGGACCGATCCCCGACAGCATCAGCAGCTTGGGGGACTCGAACACGCCCTCCGAGACGATGACCTCGTACTTGGCCCGGAAGGTGTAGTCCTGGCCGTCGGGCCCAATCACCGTAATGCCCACGGCCTTGGTGCCCTCGAAGACAATCTTCTTCGATATGGTCGAGGACATGAGGGTGATGTTGTCCTTGCCCTCGAGGAAGACGGCCGCCGTCGATCGGGTGCCCTTGTAGATGGAGTTGACGCACTTGAACAGGCCCTTCTGCGTGCCGCTGTAGACGTCGGTCGTCAGCTCCTGGCCCTTGCTGACCCAGGCCTTCTCGAGGGCGTCACGGAACGGCTTGAGCTCCGGGACCAGGTCGGAGTGCGAGATGTGCAGGGGTCCGCCCTGGTTGCCGATCTTGGCCAGGTCGGTGGGATAGAGGTTGTCGTCGTCGTGGTACGTGGTTGACTTGTTGAAGTATGCTTTGGTGTTCTCCCAATTCCACTCGTCGGTGCCGTATTCGGCCCAGTCGTCGAAGGTGGCCGCACTGCCGCGGACCCAGGTGTAGTAGTTGCCACCGCTGCTGCCGCCGAGCATCTTCCCACGCGTGTTGGGCTTCTCGACTCGGGTGTAGTCCGGTCGGTCGATCAGGGTGGTCTTGTATTGCCAGTCATACTGACTGCCTCGTAGCTCAAAGGCACGAGCTGGGGTGGATATCTCGGGGATTTCGCTTGTGTTACTACGTCAAGTCAGCTTCGCACTGTTCGACATAGAGACAGAGCCCGCGACGTACTTGATACCAGCTTCGATCACGAGTACCGAGACCTTGGGGTTCTCGGCTAGACGGCCAGCAACAACACAGCCGGCGGTGCCACCTCCGACGACGATGAAGTCGAAGGCTTGAGGGGCACCTTTGGGAGCTGTGGCGGGGTGCACCATCGTGATATAGTCTAGAAGAGCTTAGTTCCTTGTCTGCAAAGAGGTTGTATTGGTAGGTCGTCTGGATAGCTTTGGAGCTGTGACTATGTCAAGCGTGAAATGCTTCGAAGGGATAGCTCTCTTTATACCCTCGAGGCAGAGATGCGAGTGTCGGACACAATGCCACACGTCGTCATCTATACATCCTTTGAGCAGGTTGCCGTCTCAACCGCCAATCCACAAGAAGGGCTCGCACTCATGCAGAACGTTATTTCGAGACAGCACTCCTGGAGGCAGATGGATGAGCCATTGGTCAGGCTTTCCGGGGTCCAGCGTGGGCTTGATGGGGACAGACCCCGTTCTTTGGCCCATCAGAGCATTCACATGGCATCACATCTCGTCCAAGGCAAGCTGAAAATGAAAAAAGCCGACTTTTCCGTGTGGGCGCGAGGCTCAGAGCCGTTCAGTCGATATGCAGGAGAGTCTAGACAGCTCGTGCGAGGATGTGTCGCTGGAGCAATTCATTCTCCACACAGCCTAGCAGGCATTCGCACGAGGTGAACGTTACGGCTCAACATGAGGACCTTAGTATCTGGTTCAGATGTATTATTCATCCGAGGATTGGCTGTTCGAGGAATGGTCCTGGGGGTGGCGGACTTCAGCCTCGCAGCAGCGGTCTTACCTTTCCACGCCAACGAGACGTCAAAGGGTTGGCTCTCTGCGAATCATAAGGTCGAGTAAACTTTCTCGTTGCACGTGTAGCACTCAGACTATGACCGCAATGGGGACAGGCTCTCACACACGGGGCAGTCTTTGCTTTGTGCACCAGTACCCATGGCTCCGAGCCAGCCCGGAAGTTTGGGTTTGCTGGCCGTCAATCGATGTGATCAGCTATGTCATGGTGGGTGGGAGCCGGATATGTGGTGGATCAGCAGGCGCAATGCTTCCTCTCTCACCGTGCCAGATGCCTGAGGGGAGGCGTGGCCCATGGGTGAAAGATCAACAAAGTAAATGACCGTGACGAAGAATTTTGGGCATGGACCGTCGGCCAATGACTCACCATACTGCACTTTTCTCCCTATCGAGCCATGGACGTGTATGAGGGGAGTGTGCTGAATGGCCCTGAGGAGTTTTGTGTCGACCAGATCATGCATCGGTAGTGTGTCCTTCCATAAGGGTACACAACTTGAATCCTGGTACAGGCAGGTAGGTCTAGAGTGAGGCTGGTTAAAAGATCGGTGAATATGGCCTAAACGGGCACTGGGGGGGGGTGGTTGTCCTCGCTGATTCCTCGCTCCCTGCTTGCCCCTGGATGATTGTAGTAGCGAAACGCCCGCAACTTGTCGCCCACTTTTACCCGGCATAGTAAACCCGCCCACCGTTACCCGGCGCAGTAAGAGCGAGGCGAGTCTCGGAAAGCCTGGCAGGGAGTGGGTGGGTTTTAGCGAAGTTGCCTCGCACGAGGTGCTCATCAGCCTCTCACGCCCTCGCCTTTAATGGCTCAATGCAGTCTGATGAGTAACGGGGCAGCCATGTCGTATATGGTGGGAGTGTCCGAGCAAATCAGACAGAGTGCTTCTGTGTGCCGTTCAGCGCATTGCTGGAAGAACAATAACAAGTGGACAGGACATGACATGGACCGATTGTTCAGCATCACGCAACGGATGGTAGTCTTGATTGGCAATGTTTGGCCTGTCTGGGACGAAGACAACTATACGAAAGGTCGGAACTAGGGCGGAAACTATCTGTCAATCCCTGTTTCAGGACTTGGGCGCTCGTTGGAACTCCTACTCGGAGATTATTCAAGCAGCCAGTTGCTCTCCGAGTGTCTCTGTCTGTCCGAATGGGGATTTGGAAGCGTAAGTCGAGATTCCTGCCTTGAGTTGTCCTGAGACGCGACATTCTCGATCCAGCTACAGCTCGCTCATCGAGAAGAATGCCATTGACAGTGCACGGACCTGTACTGGGTACCACGATATCCGCTGCAAGGGATATTGACGTGCAGCATCCCATTGTTCATCCACGATCCTGTCAGCCAGATCAGGTAGCTTTTGTCTCCTATATGCCTCGCTACCCGCCCTCAAATGGATACTTCACGGAGTATTACCATATATGGCCAACGATGCACCTCTGGCCAGCTGATGGCGGTACTTGATGGTACCCTGAAGACAGACAAACCTCATGTGGACTCGTACTGGCCGGCAAAAGGAACCAAAGACCAGATCCCAGGCTGGCTCCGCGACCATGAGTTCATTGAAGGAGGACACTTGCTGCCAGCATCCTCGTATGTCCGGTCATTTCGTCTCTGCCAATGCCTGCACATGAGCCGATGAGCATATGGACGCATATTCTCGGTTTGGTAGTATTTGCTCCAGGAGGTCTTGCTCTTTTCATGCGTTCCCAAGAATCAACGACACTCAGCTCAGTTCCAATGTCGTGGGAGACGAGTTCGTTCTCGGGTTCGCATTCTTCGTCCCGGTGCTGTGCTTCGGGTTCAGTACCCCATTCCACCTGCTCAGAAGCCATTCCTATCATGTACAACACTTCTGGGGCAAGGTGGACGTCCTCAGCATATGCATCCTGGCTATCGGCAGCGCGACATCAGCTACCTATGTTGCGGTCTACTGCAACGAGACAATGCGACATGTCTACTGGGCTATCAATGTGGTGGCTGGGACTGCTGCCGGCGTCACTTTCTTCGACACGGGTGGAGGGGGGCAGCAAGAGGCGAGCTCGATGGGCTAGGGATTTCTCCCTTCTTGCACTGTCAGCCATATTGCCTGTGGCGCACCGCATCGGGTCACTGGGTTGGCACGAGGCACGTTCCAACATGGGAGCCCAGTGGTGCCTTTCCGAAGCACTGGCTCTTCTGCTTGGGTTAGGCCTGTTTGTTGACCGTATCCCCGAGAGGTTCGGGCCGGGTTTCTTCGACGTCTGCGGCCATTGACACCAGCTGTTCCACATCCGGACCGTACTTGTGCAGGATTTCCACCAGCTGCCCTCGTCCATGGATATAAATATCGGGAGTCGCATCCATATTGTTAAGTTATTAAAGCAGAGTTCGACTTTCGTTTCTAGACCAGGGCACCTGTTGTCTTGCCAAGATATATGGCCGGGAGCCCTGGCGTCAAGACGACTCATCCAGACGCACATTGACCGGTCAGAACCAATGCCAGCAGGTCATTACATTTCCCACAACATCCCCCAAGCCCGATCCTCCATTGAGTGGACAACCTCAGTCGTCGAAATTCCGGTGTCATGTCTTGGTAATGGCATTTGCAATTACCTTCCCCGTGGCCGTGGCACTCAGAGGATTCTGGCCGGTAATCAGCCGTCCACCCCTCGCCACGACCACACACTCCGCCCACGGCTTGTCTGCTTTCCGGTACTTCCCATTGCTGTGTTTGTCGAGTTCGGTCTCCAGCATGAACGGCATGAACTGGGACAGTCCCACGGCATCTTCCTCGGCGTTGGAGAAGCCCGTCACCTCTGCGTCTGCCACCAGGTAGCTGCCGTCCGAGAGTTTGACATTCACCAGTGCGGCGGGACCGTGGCACACGGCCGCCACGACCTTGCCGCCTTCGAAGAATTCCCGAATGAGCTGGATCGAGGTTGCATCGGTGGCAAGGTCGAACATGGCTTTCCGAGTTTCAGCATGTGGAGTAGCATGGGCACCAGGAAAAGGCATGATACTCACGACCGTGTCCACCGACATAGAAGATCGCTGCAAAGTCCTTGGCCTTGCCCAAAAAACTCTCGAGCTTGCGTGTGTTCTTCCAGAGAGAGGATTGATTGTCTAAGAACTGGACCGACACCTCATCCTGCTTCCAACTCTCGACTGAGCCGGGATCAAGGGGGGCTTCACCCCCCACCGGGGACGCTACAATGATGTCCGCGACCTCATGCAATTCATGAAACGGGTGGGCGAACTCGGGCTGATGATGAAGCATGAGCATTTCCCCACAAGTTGGGACAGATAAGAGGCAGGTGCCTTACCAGATACCAGCCGGTAGGCTTTCCAGTCGCACCTAGGACGCTGTGGGAGGTTAAAACGAAGAGCACACGAGGCTTGGGGGCAGAAGACATTGCAACGAAGATTTCAGTCAACAGAAGGAGGGAGAAAATGCCAGATTTTGGGGGATGTAGCAAATGAAGATTGAGAGCCAAATCCTCAGCTGCAGACGAGAGCATGGTGGGTATATGTACATAAATTGCCAGAGAGTCCTGTCGAACGGGAGGGAACAAACGTCATCTCGGTGCTTGATCGGCTGAAAACAACCCCTCTCTCTCCTCAGCAGTATGGGTGGTGATGTGTTGGGTGGTGGTGGTGGTGGTGGTAGTAGTGGTCGAGCATATCCCACACATATCCTATTCCCCCGGTTAGCAAGCCATATGGCGTGTCGCACGACAGATCCAGGGCTTCAACCAACAAAAAGTTCTACAACACTGAAACTTTAAGGTCTTCGTCCACTCCTGGGCGGGGCTGCATGGCATGCATGTGTTTATATCCTTTCGAGGAGCCGGTGCTTCCGCCGTGTCCTAGACTTGCTGGCTGGCGGCACCAGCGATCATTGGATCAAACTTATGTAATTAATGGATGACTTCGGAGCGATAAGAGGCCTGACGTTGCTGTGTTTGATTGACCGTAAATCTCTCCGTCCTCATAGTGTCTTATAGGTGATTTCTCGGCCTATGACGCGCCTCGGCTCCCTCTCAGCCTTGTTTCCGCAACTTACCAGCCAACCAAGTCCTGAGTGTCTCGTACTGCATTGGCCCACGGAAGCACCCTATCGAGTATCCATACAAACGGTCTGTCCCGGCATGCTCCTCTTGGCCATGGGGCTTCGTCCACCCTGACAAATCGGGCCTTCCGTGTTGTCTGACGGAAAGTATCCATGTTAAAGCGGACAGCATCCGTCGACCCCATCTGTGGTACCTCCTCACTCGCACTACGTCTGCGATAGGAGTTGTTGTTGATACGTGATCATGGACGTCGCATTCGAGAGATCAGATGCCCCGTCGGATACAGCCACTTCACAGCGGCCATCAACCAAAGGACGTTCCCGTATCAGTGCCGCCTGTGTGCGATGCCAGAAACGGAAGATTCGTTGTGACGGAGCTATGCCGGCCTGTGGTGCCTGTCGCAAAGCAGGGGCAAACTGCGTGGGTGGAGGAACATCTCGCGACATCCCTCGAAGGTGAGTGAGGCTTTACTTGAGTTGGACGGCCCGGAGAGAATGGCCTTGTGGCTAACTTCTGCCGTGTGACACAGCTATGTGCACGACCTGGAGGCCCGGGTGGCCTGGCTGGAGTCCATCGTGCGGGAACATGCCCCCAGCGTCGACCTCAGCAGCGGACCACATTATCAGTCACTATCCTCTGGCCGTACACCCCCGGGGCAGCGAGCGAACGAGTCCACAAGTAGTAGTCTGCCACAGCCTCCACCACACCATCCAGATGGAGGTACCTACGAGGCCTATTCTCCCGAAGACGACTCCCTCAGCGACATTACTCACCAGATTGGCCTCGTCTCGGTCACCACGGGGGCGGATCTCCGCTACCTGGGCCCGTCCAGCGGCTTGTTCTTCACCAAATTCGTCCTAGCAGGGCTGGGACCGAGGGTCCGGGTCGAGAAGCAGAATTCGCCCGATCCCACGAAAGATTGCCTCTCCATCCCTGCTGATCTTTTGGTGGTGAGACCCCAAGAACTGCCCTCGGACCAGCGACACGCGCGGTGGTTGTCGCAGGCGTACTTCGAAACCGTCCACCTGCAATTCCCCTTCCTGCACGAACCGACCTTCCTAGGAATCCTCGACAGACTGTATGACGGCGTCGACGTTGGCCCGGCATGCGAATTTCAGGTCTTCATGGTCCTCGCCATCGGGGCGACCATCCTGGCCCGTCGCGCAAAGATCCCTCTGTGTGCTGAAGGCTACTGCGCGTCTGCCATGACGCGGCTCGAGGGTATCTTCCAGAGGGCATCTTTTACTGGCGTCCAGTGCGTCTTGCTTCTGCAGATGTATGCTATGAACAATCCGTCCTCGGGTTTGAGCTTGTGGTCGCTCCATTACCACTGTCTGGCATGGACGATTGAGCTGGGTCTGCAGCGCAATGCTCCCGGAAACACCTTTTCCCTGCCTCAGCAAGAGATGCGAACTCGGGTCTTTTGGTGTGTCTACACGATCGACCGCGCCCTGTGTACTCTCATGGGAAGACCCCTTGGGTTGATGGACGAGCAGTGCGACCTGAGGGTGAGCTCTACCCTCCTGCATGTGCCTACCATCACTAACTTTTCTAGTTACCCCTAGATATCAACGACGAAGATCTTGACTCGAGTCATCCCCAGTCCGTTCACAGTGACACTTCCCTGACCACCATGTCCACCGCTATTCACCTCTACAAACTCGCGAGACTCAACTCTGAAATAAAAGCCGTCCTGTACTGCACCGGTCGAACACACGCGCCATACACGGCCCCGGCCATGGCCGATATCGTCCGATGGAAAGAGGATATACTGAATCGACTGCGACAGTGGAAAGTGGAGATCCCACGACATCCACAAGGCAGCGAAAGATATTGCGTCAACCATCTCTGCGAGATTAAATACCACGAGCTGATCATGCTGGTCCTGCGACCGAACCCGGTTTTCCAGCATCCTACCAAGGACGCCCTCCGCGAATGCTTCGCCAGCGCCATGCGGTGCAACAACCTCTACTACGAGCTCTACGCCTCCAACACGCTCCATTACAGCTGGATTAGCGTGCACTCGCTGTTCCTATGCGTCATCACCATGTTCTACTGCGTCTGGACCTCCCAGGGGATTGCAGACGAGGTGGACGTCGACGGTCTGACCCGGGCGCTCAAGTCGACCTCCGACATCCTCAGTGCCACGGGGGAGTATTGGCCCGAGGCGCGCCGGAGCCGTGATGTGCTGGACCGCATCGCAGCGGCGACCATGTCACGCTTTCCCATGAGAGTCAGCGAGACAACGAGACAGAGCGGCAAAGTCAATCCCAGACCACCACCGACGCCGCCCGTCTCCTCGAACTTGGGTATATTAGATCCTCCACCAACCGCCGTACCTCAGAACATGAACCTCGTCACCCCACCGGACTTCCAGGCGCTGCAGTTTGGCAACGGAGATTTCGGCATGGGTCACATGTCCCCCGTGTACGAGACGCAGGCTGACGCCTTCACCACCACCGACATGCTGTCGTACTTTATGGGGTCGGGGGGAGACGGGACTGCGAACAATGCACAGATAATGGGCGAGTACTATCCCAGCGTGGACGACGTGATGCAGAATTTCCTCGGGGACGGGTTTCGGGATTTCGGGCAGTATCAGGGCATGAATGTGATGGTATGAGGAAAAGGGCGTGTGAGAGAGGGAGGAGAAGTTGATTTGTCCATCTCTCCATATTCAGCTGGAGCAGCTGTATCTAATTCAGGGCCACATGGTCGTCTTCTCGTGTATCCAATGCTCTTTTCAGTAATCAAATATCAGGTGCTGCAGTGTTCACACAAGTCACAGACCAGTCTCGATTGATTCAGTCGATTACTACAAATGTTACCCAACCAATACCCATCAATGTGCCTGTTCTGGCTTTCCTGGCTTTCCTTGTCCCCGGGAATCCGATAAGTCCCTCCAAGAGGTATCAATATCGAACATTCTACCACATCATCCGCTTCTGGAGACTTCTTCTCTGGATGCATCTCCATATCCAGGACAGATTAATCAGCGGCAATGGCTTCTCACGGGCATCGCACAACATTAATAACCATCCTCCTAGCCAACGTCATATAGAATGCGGGAGACCCCGACGCTGGCCACGGCATCCCGCTTTTCCACCCCCAAGCAAGGATCAGCCGAACTGTCTCCGAGCTTTGCCGCCCGCTTCCCCTGGGTGGGTCTTTTGGTAATGTAGGCGAGGACGCCGTCGACGGCTGTGGCCCGTCTCTCAGTTGTTGTCTACACACATCTTGCTTGGTACATGGCCTTCTCCTTCTTTGTGGGGTAGTAACGGCTGGGCCGTCAGTCAACACCACGATGACGGCAATGGTGATGTTGATTCCACTGCTGCCATCTGGCATCGGTGAGCAGCACTTCATGCAGACGGCAGAAGAAGCAGACACAGGATATAAGGCAGACATGTTCTCTCCTCGTCCATCGTCTCTCCATATTCAACAATCACATCTCATCGCAACAACTATTCCACCTCCTTCAGCCCCAAAGCTATAACAAACAAACCACCTAGAACACCAAAACAAATAAACAATTCGCAATGTCTGCCAGCGCCCCCGTCCAAACCATCGCCATCAACGGCAAGGACATCTCGATCCCCACGGGTCTGTTCATCAACAACGAGTTCGTGCCCGCGCTAGGCGGTAAGACGTTCGAGGTCGAAGACCCGAGCACGGGCAAGGTGCTGCTGTCGATCCAAGAGGGACAGGCTGAGGATGTCGATGTCGCGGTCAAGGCTGCCCGCAAGGCCTTTGACGCCGGCTGGGCCGACTCGGACCCGGCCTGGCGAGGCTCGCTGTTGCAGCGCCTGGCCGACCTGATGGAGCAGCACCGCGACGAGATCCTCGCCGTCGAGGTCGTCGACTCCGGCAACACCCTTCACCAGGTCTCCACCGTCGACCTGCCCGCCTCCATCGGCACCCTCAGGTACTACGCCACCTGGGCCGACAAGGTCTACGGACGCACCTCTGCCACCGTCCCCGGCACCTTCACCTACACCGTTCGTGAGCCCGTTGGCGTGTGCGGACAGATTATCCCATGGAAGTAAGTATTTTCGTGATGAATCTCTGGAAATGGCCGAGGAAAAGCATTTACTGATGGACCATTTCTGCACTAGCTTCCCCTTGATGATGTTCATCTGGAAGATCGCCCCCGCCCTGGCGACCGGCAACACAATCGTGATCAAGTCGGCAGAGAGCACCCCGTTGTCGGCCCTGAAGATGTGCGAGCTCATCCGCGAAGCTGGCTTCCCTGCCGGCACCGTCAACCTGATCTCCGGCTTTGGTCCCACTGTCGGGGCCGCCATCGCGAACCACATGGACATCGACAAAGTCGCCTTCACCGGCTCGACTGCGACAGGCCGTGTCATCATGAAGGCGGCTGCCTCGTCCAACCTCAAGAAGGTCACCCTCGAGCTCGGTGGCAAGAGCCCGGTAAGTTGGACATCCACTGCCCTCTCTTTGCGTTTGGTTCCCTGACTAACCGCCTGCGACAGAACATCGTCTTCCCTGACGCGGATCTCGAGAAAGCCGTCGACTGGTCGGTGCTGGGCATCGACTTCCACGCAGGCCAGGTGTGCCACGCAGGCACGCGCATCTACGTGCACGAGGACGTCTACGACGCGTTCCTGGAAGCCTTCACCAAGAAGTTGGCCGCCACCCACGTCGGCAGCAACTTCAGCTCCGAGACCGACCAGGGCCCGCAGATCAACAAGTCGCAGTACAACAAGATTCTGGGGTACATCGAAACGGGCAAGAAGGAAGGGGCCACGCTCCACCTCGGTGGCAACGCCATCTCCAAGAACGGCGGTTACTTTATCGAGCCGACCATCTTTACCGACGTCACGCCCAATATGACGGTATGCATACATTCCCCCTTTGTCTCTGACGCCTTCAACTAACGAAATCCTGTCTGGTGTAGATCGTCAAGGAAGAAATCTTCGGCCCCGTCGTGGTGATCGCCAAGTTCAAGACCGAGGAGGAGGTGCTTGCGGCAGCCAACGACACCAGCTACGGGCTCGCCGCCGGCGTGCACACCAACGACTACCAGCGCGCGCTGCGTGTCACCAAGAAGCTCAAGGCCGGCACCACCTGGGTCAACATGTTCAACTTCCTGCACTGGAGCATGCCCTTTGGCGGCTACAAGGAGAGCGGCATCGGGCGCGAGCTCGGCGGCGAGGCCCTCGACAACTACACCAACGTCAAGACCGTCTACTTCAACATGGGGTTGCCGGCGCCGAAGCCTGCTTCGTTGTCCGCCTAGGCTTGTCCCAGGCATGGGAAGTGTGAGACGCAGGAGACAATCTTGTAGGAATAGGGAGGCGGTGGACAGACAGACAGACAGACAGACAGACATGTACGATAGCATTGCGACGTTCTTTTGGAGCTGGAAGGAGAGTGAGACATAGGGGGAATGATGAGAACAGAGTGATTCATTATGCCATCTGCCATCTTCTTTGCTTATGTCTATGTGTGTTCAGAACATAGATGTGCCTGTACCTCGTAGCTAACAACCGTGAACTCGAACTCGAACTCGACAAGGCTGCCATCAAAAAGGGGCGGGTGCCTTGCCGTTTGTGGACGAGCGGCACAATGTCTCGATTGGGTTAAACACCTTTTTTTCTCTCGTGTTTAGACTTTTCAGGCGTCCTTCAACGCGGTCATTCTATCCTCATCCTCCTCGCCCTCACACACCGACTCGTATTTCGCTGATGGATCTAGACTCGGGTCGACGCCGTGGCAATCGGAGCGACACAGAGACGGAAACACAAAGAGGTAGAGGAAGAAGTGCCAGCTCGTGTCCCCTTCCCCCTTCCTCCCTCATAATTGACTAATTGACCAATCGCACACCGATGTGAGTCGAGACGGCCAACACGAGCACATTCAACAACGTCCAATCTACACCGTTCCTTGCTCTCTTTCCTTTTTTTGGTGCTGTCTCCTATCACTGAGATGGACAAACGCACATGAACGATCTCATGACCTTGCAAACTTTACTTTCAGACTTATCACATGCAGGATAGAAGACAGAGGCTATGCGTTTCCTTTCATAGCTATGAATCAGGCCAGGCCATGCACGTCACGCTCCGTCAGCGAATCCGGGGGACGGTGGGCTGGCGGCCTGAAAGGTGAAAGAGAACAGATCTCTAACTAGCAACAAGGTAACCCCCTCCCCAGCTCAGGCAGACAGCATCCGCAAGATGCCGTCAGCCTTACCTCCTGTCCGGCCCGCGGTGAGTAAGGGGGAAGGGTTACGCGAGGATGAGGGCGTGGATGGGGGAAAGGTGTTTCTGTCAAAGGTTCAAGCACTAGCCTGCCGCAGCCTATCACCACTCCCAAACTAGGTTTGTCGCTGACCTGGCCTTTCTCATCCCCCGGATTGAGTTTCGCCAAGCAGAGGCCTGCAGCCTCGCAAAGGAAGGAGGAGACGGAGGGGATGGAGGAGTTAACGGAGGAGGTCGACGGTGAGTCCTCGCGCCCGGCACATGGCGTCTCTCAGCCTCAGCTCTACGTCGCTGGGCTCCACTGTTTGTCGACTGGCCATGTGCGCAGACGGCCTCTCAGAGTTCAGACATTAGACCGGCATGACGACGTGGAAAATGAGACATGGGCTCTTTTGGATATTTGGGAACAGGCCACGTCCGAGCACATGTATATCCGGGACAGGACAAGGAAACATGATTGTAACGAACCCATCCTTGCCGTTCTACTAACTACCGTCGGTCAATGCGAAGGGAAAGCAACAAGCTTGGTGACACAGGAGAGACAGGGCGGTGGCTCATCACACCTGCGCGCGACGAATCAAAATCTGGGCCTTGTCCGTCACTGCTTCATATTCGAAGCTCGTCAAGCTTTGCTAGTGCTTCTTAAAAGACAGAACGCAACAGGAGAGCGGTCTTTTTGTCGACAAGCAATACGACACGCCAGCCACTGTCACTATCAGGCTGAACTTGTGTGTGTGAGAGAGAGACATCGTGTGTGTCTCGGAAAGAGAGACGACCGTCGAACCTCCATCAGCTGATTGCTATCAGTGCCGCCATGATTGGTTGAGAATGCCTCGATTTGTCGTTACGCTCCCCGGGCCAGAAGCTGACCCCCAGAAGCTCGTTTACAGGGTCAGAAAAAAGACTCAGACCGCATTGCTTCTGTGTGTGTGTGGAGGAGATTCGCTTTCTAAGGGGACGAGTGGTTGTGTTTTGAGGCCCTCAAGGCTGCTACCTTTCAGCCGCACGCACACACGCACATGCACCATCGAACAACTGTGTCTTCACCCCGTCCCTGCACGCATCCCTATCACACGAAAGTTGAAACGAGAAAGGCATTTAAGAGGTCGAGGCAGCCCTCTCTCTCTGTGTGTCTTCATTTACACCAGACGTACATACCCCATTTGTATTCATTGACAGAACTCTTTGAGACCCATCCCACAACAGCAGCCATGGCATCACAAAGCGTGCTCAACGGAGTCAATGGCCTCTCCTCAGCCCCCGTGTTGCCGGTGACGCCTCTCCCCTCCAGCTTCCGGATCCAACCCCAAGACGAGCGGCTCAAGCGTTGTTCCGCTGCCTCCTCAGCAGCCCCAGGCACAGCCAGGTCGCCATCTGCCGCCGCCGCCGGTGCCGCGCCGAGCACCACGATCCCACCGCTCAGCGTGCTGTCCAACTTCGCGGGCACGTTCCACGGGACGGGATTCAACACCATCTTCCGCCCGAACAATGGCACTGCCAGCAACACGACGTTCCCCAACCCGGTCTCCCCCCCGCCGCCGGCCGTGCCCAACGACAACACGCTCGAGCTCAACCTAACCCAGGAGACCTTGACGTTCCAGCAGCCCCTGGGTAACGTGCCCAACCGCGGCTCCGGTACCCAGGGCGACATCTTCCTCAACGGCGTGCCCTACACCCAGGTCATCAACGACGTGGTCAACCCGGCCACGGGTAAAGGGGACGGTACCCCCTCGGGCATCCACTTCGAGCCGGGTCTGTGGATGCACGTCCCGGCCACGACGACCGACCCCGTCGTGCCCGAGTCGCTGAACCGCATGGGCTCGATCCCGCACGGGACCACGATCAACGCGCAGTGTCTCGACCCGACGTCCAGCGTCGGCACGGTGCCGGGCCCGCCGATTATCGCGGCCGTGGACATCACGCCCACCGTCATCGCGACGGGCAAGAAGTTCAGATTTCCCTCCCAGACCGCCGCCAGCACCGACACGGCGCGCCTGCCGCAGGATCTGACCGCCTTCATCGCCGCGGGCACCATCACCCAAACGATCCTGGACGACCCGGCCACGGTGCTCCGCGAGGCCATCGTCGGCCAGAACATCACCCAGACCATCTTCTTCACCGTGTCCACCACGCCCGTCACGCCCGAGCTGGGCGGCGGTGTCGCGAACACGGGATTCCTGATCGGCGCCCCCGCTGGCAGCGCGGGCGCCACCGGCACGGACACCGCTACGGGTCCCAACGCCCAGGCCACCCTCATGTGCGCAACCTTCTGGATCGAGACGGTGCAGTACGAAATCACCGTGCCGGCGTGGAAGCCCGGCCACCCGGCGCTGCTCATTCCGGGGCCCGTGCCTGCCGGCAACACCAGCGGCGTGCCGACGCCCACCTTCCTGGTGCAGCCGCCGCACGAGATCACCGTCCCCACGACCATCTCCGTCACGGCCACCCAGATCCAGTACTCGCAGCTCGTCAACCTCGTGTTTGCCGGCTTGATCTGGCCGCACGCGTCGCTCGCCACGTTGGTGCCGCAGAGTCCGGTACCGGTTCCGGCCTCGGCGTTTAAGCACAGCACCACCGTGGCTGCGAATGGGAGCAGCTAAAGTGGCTTGGGGGGAGGGGGAGAGGGCATGTTGTTGCTGTTGTTGTTATTGTCCTCTTTGCATGGGTAAGTGAGGCTGAGGAAGGCCGAGGAGCATGGCAAAGAGATGAAAAGAGAAAATGAGAATGAGTGCGAGAGGACTTGAAGAGGAAGAGGATGGAGAACAGTGATAGTTGGATAAATCCTTGACCACAACATCGAGGTAGTCGGGTCGGTCGGTCGATCAGTCGGATGGATCAGATAGCAGAAGAGCGTGCTCAGGCCCAAACTTTCTTCCTTTCTTTATAGGAGCTACACACACACACACACACACACACACACACACACACACACACATATCTATCTATGTATCTACCTCCTTCTCCGTAGGTAAACAAGAACAAGTGTGAAGCTCCATCCATTTATCCATCCATTCCTTGTGAATACAGAAGAAGTCCCAATCAGAAACAAAACAAAGCATTGTGTTGTATTGAGCGGAATGGAGTTGATCGTCGTCGTCGGCTGCGGGATATTACAGTAATTTGTAGAAGTAGTGGGCCCGGGAATGCCAAGCAACGACCTGTCAACACCGCTCAAGGAGGTAGGAAGGTAGTTTGATCTAAGTAGACACAGAGACTGACTGCGGATGAGTCCCACGTAGTGTACAGGTACAGTGTCCATCCCCGTCTGCTGGATGTGTTGTATGGTTCAACGCAAGGCAGGTCAGTCAGGCGTGCCTCAGTCTCCCAACCTGGTGGGCCTTGATCGTGGAGCGGCCTGTACCAAGTACCCGGTCTGGGTCGCATCCTCCCTAGTGTGCCGTACCGACCTGATAAGAATACAAGCGGGCATAAAACGTGGGTTGCATCTGCGTCCGACGACAGGACCGAGTCCCCCAGGCAGTCGACCGAAACAAAAGCACAATTTAAATCACAGTCCAGCACAGTCAAACTTGTGGTAGAGATATTAAGGTATTGGAAGATACAGCCACCTGGGCAAGAATGATATGGTTGTCATGTGGGCTGATCCGTCAACCTCCCTTGACTAGTCGTTCTGATACCTCAGCCTCCAGCATCGTTTCTTCCAGGTACACATGGAAAAAGCAATTAAGCCTTCCCTTGCCTTCCCAATAAAAGGATGCCTTGCTAAAAGGATATCGTCTTTTCTTCATCTTTGCTGGCGTTGACCATTGTTTCCACTCCACTTCTTCGCTCAAGCAGCAGGAGCAGCAACCTCTTCGGTTGTGCCGTTGGTCCCATTTTCGGTGGCCTCAGCACCCTCAGCACCCTCTTCTTTTCCTGGGCTGTCGATGGCCACCTTGACTGCGATCTCGCGCCCTTCGATCTGCTTGCCGTTCATCTCCTCAACGGCCTTCTTCTGCATCTCCTCCGAGGCAAGAGTGACGAAGCCAAAGCCACGGCCCTTGCGGGGCTCGTTGCGAGCCGCAAGTTTCTTGACCATGAATCGTGGGATGGGACGCAGAGCAATCTTAGCGGAGCTGGGTTGATAAGCGGCGAAAAGTTCCTTGAGCTGCAACCAGTGATTAGCACAACCCTACACAATATTGCTCTCTGTTTCATTACCTTTTCTTCGCTCAGATCGTAGGGCAAGTTGGCAACCATGACCTTGGTGGTGGACGGGATACCATCTTCCGGAGGACCGCGTTGCTTGGGGGGACGGGGAGTGCGAGATTTGGCATCAGCTGCGGGAGCAGCCTTGTTGGCTTCGGCAGTGACATCCGTCAGGGGAAGGGGATTCTCTGCAAGATCCGTGCCCGGTGCACCGCCCTCCTGCAAATGTGTCAGTGATATGTTCCTGCATGCCCAAAATGTATCGCAGATAACGTACAGCAGCGCCTCTTGCAGCTCCACGGCCGCGTCCACCTCGGCCACGCCCGCGGCCACCGCGACCACGTCCGGAGGATCTCTTTGCGTCACCTTCCGCGGTGCCCTCAGGGGTTGTGGCCTGGTCGGGCTTGCGGGCAACTTGGACAGAGACCTTGCGCTCGAGAATCTCCTTGCCGGACAGGTTCTCGATGGCCTTCTCTGCCTCTTCTGCAGTCTTCAGATCGACAAAGGCGTAGCCTACGGGGCGGTTGGTGCGAGGGTTGACGGGGATGGAAGTCGACTCGCTGCGGAGAGACATGATTAGCAACATACACGAAACAGGTGAGCCTGACACAAGCTTGCCACCTACACATCGTAGCCAGCAAAGAACTGCTTGAGTTCCGCCTCAGTGGTCGCATATGCGAGATTCCCGATGTACAATCGACGCCCTTCGGCTGCAGAGGCCAAAACGCTCTCGTTGTTGGCAGCAGAGGTATCCTCGATGCTGGCGTTCTTGAGGTTTTCGGCGAGGTTGTCGACGGCAGAAGACATTGTGGCTGAGGCACAAGTTGGTTGAGTTGACAAGTGGTTTGAAATGGGGACTTGTGGAAGGGAACTTGACTCAGGTAGCTAAGGGCTGCCTTTGGGAATCAATTGACGGAGGGGTGTGAAGGGTAGCTAAGTGCCCTAGATTCAAAGGATTGTTTGAAGATGAGCTCGGGTTGTGATCAGTCGAAGGATGAACTGGTTGATGAGAAACAAAAGGGAAGGGAAATTCCAAAGGGGCGCTTTTTGACTGCAGGCCAGAGAAAATTAATTGTTAGCGGCAGTAGCGGTGGGCTCATTTTAGTGACGCGGAAGTGACGAATCGGCGGGCCCAAAAGGGCGGCCGCGAACCGGAAGAGGGCAAGCGCCAGTGACTCCCGGGTGACACTAACAGACATTAACATGGGCTGGTGAGGCCCCAAGGAATGGGTGACAACTGTTGTTGTCAGATGCCATCTGGGTGCCATCCGGTGGCGAAAAGTGCTGAAATGCCGTGGATCAGTCACCATCAGCATCTTGTCTCGCGTGCCCAAAGTGATGCCTCCTTGCCCAGTGCAGCTAGCCTGGATAGCCCTGCGTTTGGCCCTGCTCCACTGATGAATTATTGCTTGCATGGACTGCCTACAAGAGACTTGTACCTGACAGGCGCCCCTTTCGACCCGCACCATACCGACCTACCGGGTTCTCCTCATGCGATGGCTCGCAGACAACGGCACGCCAATCACCATTGAGAGGTGTTTGCACGAATGATACGGGGTAAGACATTGTGGTGTCCTTGGAGAAGAGGTGGCGATGCACTGCTGAGGATGGGGAACTGGGTGGATATCCAAAAAGGAGCAAACAAACACCGCCAGCCTTGTCTTTCAGCAGGTCACCCTTGTTCGACAAGTCTATGCCAGCGGCATCCACTTTGTACCTGCGCCAACCCGACGGGCGCAAGGCAACACAATTCTTGGGCAGATCGTACAGTTCAGCTGACCCTTGCCCTATCCAGAGCGATCGCTCAACAACACACCCGAACTACATGGTGCCTTGATATCAACCCGGTAACTTATGATGGCAGTAAGGAGAAGGCATCGGCTCACATAGACACACAGCTCGGTTAGAATGCTAATTCATAACCTATCTGTGCTGTGGGAGTTGGCACAGTCGGGCATTGGGTATCGTTCCACCTGGAGCAATCAAATGGCAACCAATGAGACTGGGCATTAAGTCTTTCCTGCCAACCTTTATCAAGAGGTTCGGAGGGAGCAGAAGCCATGCAGAGAGATGAATGCCAACTTTGAATGAGAGTCGATATAAGACAGTAGACAAACAGAAACACTGTAGCGCCCGGACGAGCCTCAGCCTTACCAGTTACACAGGCTTAGACGCCACAATGGCGCTGCGCCCCCAACTTTTCGCGTCTCAGTTGCTCCTGGCCCCGTATCTTCTTCCTTCATGTGTGTTCGACAGCCGCTTCTTCACTTCACGTCTGCATAATTATCGTCACTCCTTTTGTAGCTCTGTACAGTAGTTCTATGCCATTTGTATACTCACTACTCGCTGGTCTTTCTTTCCCGTTTGACCAAAGTTCCTCCTTGTCCTCGTCCTTGTCCTCGTCCTACGATCAACAGACCTCCCACCTGACTCTGATCTATCCCCCGATTCCAAAGTGACACAGACTAGGCAAACCGATTCTATTCCTGTGCCAGCCTCACCGGTGCCGTTCTCTCAAGTTGTGGCCTCATCGGACGGCCACCCTCGAATTTCCTCCCCCAGACCTTTTCCTTCCACACAACCTCAGTCTTCACAACCCACAAGCAAAGATGAGGCTCCAGTTGGACCAATTCGGTCAGATCAAGAACTACATCCACATGGGCCAAGGGGTTATCCTCTTCCTTGCTTGGGTTCTCACAATCGCCTTACTGACAAGGCCGGGCACGACAGATGGTCGAGTCGGCTGGTACTTTGCCTTGGTGAGTTCCTGCGCCCACCCACTGCCAGTCATGGAGAACCCCATACTAATGGAAAGTTACGTGACAGTGTTGGCTCACGATCCCCATCCTGATCTACCTTGTCATGGTCCCCATGTGGTCCCGCGCTCGCCGCTTCTCCAATGTCTATGCGTTCGCCGCACTCGATTCTCTGGCCGTGGTCCTCTGGCTGAGCGCTTGGGCTGCCGTTGCCAGCTACGTGTCTGCGGGGAAGGGTAAAGGGAAAAGCACAGACAAGAATGCAACAGGCTGCGATAACTTCAAGTACGGCAGTCCCGGGCGTTGCAAGCTGTCGGAAACCGTCATCGTGTTTGGCGTCTTTGAGATGTTGCTGTTCATCGCGACGGCATTCATCTCGTTCCGGGCCGTCATGACATTCAAGAGAACGGGCATGATGCCCCAGAATCTCCCGGGTGCTGGGGGAAAGAGCGACTTTTCTGCGCAGACGCAAAATGACTTCTCGAGCAACATGCGGACTGACGATGAGGACTTCGATGAGCGTCCAGGTGTGGGTGGAAGACAGGAATATGCATACCAGAAGCCTTCCCTCGATGACTCGTATGCGCCGATTCGCCAGAGCGATCACGACAATGACCTCGCACAGATGCCTGCTGCGCAGCCGACCAGTCCACTGAACCGTACCGGGTTGGGCATTCAGGACTACAACACGAGTTACAACCCGGGGGCGTTCAATAGTCAGAGTCAACCGATGATGGCAGGGCGATAACGATTCTCATTGCTTTGCATATTTTTCTCTTTTCTGTGCCCAATACAACAATATGTGCTCCTTGGGGATTGTGTTGATGTAGAAAGACATTGTGGCTCCTGTTCTATGTGATGACGGCTGAAGCGTTCGAGCGTTTCTCCTCTTACTTGAGGTTATAGTAGTATAGGGAAGGTTTTGTAAGTGTCGGGGCGATTTGGAACCTGAATAGACTACGAGGTAGACAGGAAGGAAGGGTTACTTATGACGATGGCAGAGATAGTCAACTCGTTAAGGGGGGGAAGGGGAAAGGAAGCCCAAAGTTTCAAAGCACGGTGATGCATGCATGTTCCGGCAACCCCTTCTTGACAATTCTTCAGAGCTATATAACCCGAAGCATCACTCTCTTATTTTAACTTGGAGGTTGACCCAGGCTATGAGAGCATGGAGAATGTGTATACGAAATATGTATGTATGTATGTCTGTATGTATGTGTACTAACTCGGGCATGGAACGAATCAGTCGTTCTTGGTCTCAAGCATGGGTGCAAGGTACAGAAGGATGATAGCCCCATAAACATGCTTCGTGGTACTGTACTGCTTCTTTGATCAGCAGATTGTACGGAAAATACAGAAGGATTTGCTGCAAGACAAATTGACGACCATATCGGAATCCTCTGTTATTTGTTTTTGTTTGTGGCTAATCTGCTCTCTGCAATGCTCGTCTCATAGCTCAAAGATCGACTCTTTCCCGGCTAAAACAAATAGCTCAATCACGATTCGTTTTCGTTTTGACCATGGCAAAATCTGCAGACTCGCGATTCGTAAAGTTCAGAAACCCAAGCTCTCCACTCACGTACCATCCACCCCGGTATCGACACATGGTATGCTTCCAACACCAGTTCTGATCAGAAACAAGACTGGACATATTGCGTGCCCTCGTCGTTGTCCTGATAGATCGGGAAAAAAATGAAATGCCCGGGTATTCCAGGCCCAATCCCGCTCCAGATCCTCAACTGGCAGAGCCCACAGTCGCTGATACCCTTTCGCCCATCCGAATTTGCGCCATGACGCCCGTACAAGCCCTTGCGAGCATATCCATACCGTTCGATTCGTCGCCCAGGTGAGAAAGAAACAAATCACAAAAAGCTCTTATTGCCAACCCGCAGATTCCAATACCCTCTTTTGTTTCGGGTCCCGTCTAACCAGAGAGAAAGGTATTGAGCACGCACAAGCTTGCTTTCTGTATGGTGCCCACCAATGCCGTTATGAGGTTGCACGCTGTAGCTCCATAGAGTCCAGAAAGTCATGTGCACAGAAGCGAAGAAAGATACAATGTCATCAAAATCCGGTCATTAGTGTGATGTCGAGAACCTTGATGGTAACCGGCCATCATTCATAGCGACAACCTCTCCTCAGAAATTTTTTTTAAACTTGATGTGTGATTGTTTCATAACAGGATCAAGTAGTTGCTCGGTGCGATACCTGTTTCGCCGTTTTCTTTCTTCGCCTGCCACCACCGGCCGCTTACATCAGACACTTCCAGGATCTCGTGTTTGCTGAAGCTGATCTCATTCGCGTCATCTGGATTCGCCTCATAGCTGTAAATAGCTTTGGCGCGGTACGGATACTCGGTGGGTGGGCTGACTTCTTGAGCGGGAGCGGGGGTGCTGCTTGTGTTGACTGGTGGTTGCGCAGAGGCCCGGGCCGCCGCTCCTGCAGGTCCACCTGGGTAGCCAGAAACAGGAGAAGAGGTCTCAAACCCGCTCAGTTGTGCCGACGTGTACATTTGAGGAGGTTGAACAGAAGTGGTTGTCTGTGGGCGATTATAAACATTGGTCATACTCTGCGGGGGCCCGCGGAAAGATTGGCGGTCTTTGTGCAGGGCGAATTGATCAATGAACTCGCGATGCGCCGCAGCAGGCGTGGAACCAAAGTAGAAAATCCAGATGATCTGGACAAAGTCAGTCGACGGCGAGAGACAAAGACACTGATTGACTTACCGCAACCATAGAGAGCAGAATGTGGCCAGCAGCAGCAGCTTCCATGGCGCCCTGTGGTTGGTAGACGAGCGAGTTGACCGCAGATGTTGTCATGACAAGACCAGCCGCGAGGTATCCAACAATCTACACCTTGTCAGTCAGATCGAATCCAACGAGTCAGAAGTCCATACCGCGAGGCTGTATGTGCTTGTGGAGTTGGTAGCAAAGACTATCGTAATGCCGATAATGCAGCACAACATGTATGCAACCGTCCACCAGGCATATTTGGGGAAAGGATCTTGAATATTAGCGATGATGGACGCGATGAATGCGATTAACCAAGCCAGCTGTCAATGTAATTAGTATTATTTTTTGCTGCAGGAAGCGCAAGCACCTTACCAAACCAATGGAGATGGTCGCCAACGCAAATGGATCCCCAACAATGTAGCCGAAATCAATTCGACCCCCTCTTCTTGCTTCCAACATATTGTTTTTCTTTAACGAAGGGGAGTGCAGTGATCCGTATGGGGGCATGAAGGGTCAACAATCGGCAGCGGCGTTTCTCGTTACCGGGGAGCCAGCGCAATGAAGTCGATGTGGATGAGATAGTCGAGGGGATAGTTAATAGAGGGACTGAGTGAGGTCAAAAGTCCAGGCGCAGGCTGGGTTGACGACTGGTCCGAGCACAGGACGACTGTGCACTTAAGGTCGCGTGCGTGCGTGCGGTATGTTGTATGTCTTTCTCGAGACTCGTTGGGACTGCAATGGCGTGTATCGGATGAAGAAACAATCGAAAGCCTGAGAGGCAAACAACCACAGCCGCCGATCAATCGACAGAGGGTGGGAGGCGAATATCTTGTGACTGGTGGCTAAGAAAAGAATAACAGAGTGGATAGGAGGTTCACAATGGCGTCTGCCGGCAAAGGGGCAAGGTAACGATCGACAAAGAATGCAATAACGTGAGAAAGAAATAAAAGGTGGTTTGGAAGAAGTTTCGGAGACGATTGAAGTTGTTGCCTGAACGAGCGTGGGTGGTAAAAGGATGGTCGAGGACAGAGAGGTGGATGTTTTGGTGGTCGAAGAGATGGTCGTGGTGGTTTGAGAAGTGAGGAATCGGGTTCAGGAGGAGGAAGCAGGTTCTCGGAGCCAACAGCCAGCCAATTCCCCCCTCCCTTTTTGTCTTGGGGGCGCCCTTCTTGCGGCAAGCCGCCTATGCCTTATGGGGACCGTTAAACCCTACAGGAGCCAGGAACGCCCATTTCCCACCCCCATCCAAGACTCAGGAGCCCTGCTCCTGCAACACGTTTCACTTGCGGTTAAAACCCACCCTGCCCCGAATCTCCACCTGCGCCGATCGAACCAGATTCAATCTCTGGCCTCTCTGCCTTGACCTTTACAATTTTCTCCTTGCAAAACCGAATCCTGCCCCGACTCATCCCTGCTCCCATGGCGTCTGGACTGCTATTCCCCGACCTTGTGAGTGCCTCGATTTGCTCAATGGCACCAGGTGCTAGTAGACGCCACTTTTTCTAGCCTCAACCTCCTCGTTCGGCTTTGGATCAATGGCACGTCGCAGCCGGTTGGCCACTTTTGCATCGTCCAGGTCGCACACGCCACGCGCTCCATGCAAGCGCTTTGTGGCACGTAACCTCTCAATTTGGCCCAAAATTGAACAATTTCTACTGAGTATTGTCGGCCACTTTACAATGCTTTCGTGCCTTGTTCGGTTGCTGTCCTCACTACGCTGTTGCTATGGCCCGTTTGGACCAGTTTTGACACAATGTCCCACGCAAACCACCCTGCAAAATCATGGCTTGCCAGGCCCTGAGACTCGGGTGTCCTCTTTCCCGTTCGCATTTTTGTCGAAATGAAACTGGGTCCCTGGTGCCTGACCCGCCGATTTGGGCGATTGGACGAGACATGCCTCTACCCCTGACAGCCGCTGATCCATCGTTCTCGACCAATCCCAATGTCTCCACAAGAATGGTCCTGCACCGCCACATGCGCGCTCCCGCAATTCCACACAGTGCAATTATCCTTGGGGGTGAAAGAGGCTGGTAAGCGATCCTTCAGCCACATCCGGAGGTGCGAATAATCGCGAAAGTGGGCGTTCGCACTCGCTTTGCACACTCCAGGAATGCGGCAAACCCACCCAACCCGAGACAAAACAAATAAAGAGGCTCACGTCGAGGATAGTCTTTGCTCACGCGGACGTTCTTGTGTCGATCTTTGCGGGGAATTGAGTCGTCGAGTACCAATTTGGGTCGACGACAATGCCTATCATTCCACTTGCAAAGCGACGAACATACGGAGGCGAACCTCTTCCTTGGAACATCACCTTGTTCTTTAACGTCACACAGGCGTCAGATGATTGCCACATGATTCGGTTTACACCAAATCTTGACTCGGATCCAAGGATTCCCGACGCAGGCGCTAGGGATCTACCTCGTGTACCGCTCGGATCGATGCTGCCTGTTCCATCTTTTGTCATTCTTCACAAGTAGCCTTGCTGTTCCTTTGCGCGTCGCTCTCGACGGATGATATTCCTCTCCACTTCCGCAGTCCGTCTCTCCCAATCTTCCCACATGTCTCCCATTCCGACCACTCCAATCTTGACCCACCATTCTAGGCACCTTGCACTGCGCTCTCGCAGCTCTCGAACTTCTTCTTGGATCCGTTCCTCTTCTTGCCGGAGCTTTTCAAGTCTAGGCGCCAGTGATACCAGCTTCGCACTTTGATCTGCGGGTGGGATTTGCAAGGTTTGGAGAGAGGATAACCTAGATGCGGTCTCGGGATATAGGGTGGCATGAGCGAGGACGATCGAGGCAAGAGCACTGGTGTCCTCGGACTCGTGAGTTGCAGCCGCCGTCACAGCAAATAAATCAGGATGGTGTGATGCTTGGGGCTGTGATCAGCGGAGGTTCTGGCATGGCATACCCTCACCTACATAGCCGCTCAATATCCCGTACGACTGACCCAGGTGTACCCGTGAGCTTCTTCAGCTTGGTCAGTGCAGCACCGAGAGCATCCAATCTGGCCAATAGTGTCTCACTGCTGGAAGATGGTGTTGTGGTAGGAGGCGGAAGCCCATCATTATCACTGGCACCGCCAAGGAGAAACTCCAATCGATGGAGACGGGTTTCCAGGAGAGCAAGTGTGCCACGAGCTGCGATTTCTGGATCTTGGACATCGCTTGCCATATTCAAAGAAGTGCAAAAGAATTATGACTTAATGATCTATTGTGTTGGGAAGACAACCGCACTGCGACACGACGCGGTTTCTACAGCGCAGTCTCGGGACAAACTAAACAAACTAAGCTGGAGCAAACCCTGCAAACAGGCTTGGCATTACATCGTGCACGTGCTATGCAGCCCATCTGGCATCACGACTTTTCAGCTTCCAACTTCACCTCCAGCATCCATGGTCCACTCGTATTCTCTCGACTCACCGGACCCCGCTCCTATCATTGGCGTTCTTACTCGAAATAAAATAATGTGATCAGTCGATCCGCGCGACATGGCGCATGACTGTCTCACGGCGAGTTCTTTGTGTCTGGAACAGCCTCTTGGGTGGCTGGGAGTTCGGACCACCCAGCAAGCTTCTCACTATCCACTTCTCCACACTTCGTCCTTCCTCGACGCCCTGATTTGTTCCTTCAGCGCCATCCACCTGAGCTTAAGCTAGTTCTCGCATCACCTTTTTCCTTAGGTGGCAGGAAAGCTCCTCTCGAGGTTCCTTCGCCAATAATAATACTGAACTATTCCTTTGCGACAGCCCACCCCGGCCCATGGCCCAGCCTACTGCACGTAAGGGCACTTTTGGAACTCAGCCGAACTCCGGTACCAAGGCAAGAATGGACTTCAATTGAGGATAGCTGGAGCGATCGTGGCGTTGACCCTCGAACTCCAGAGGGCTGATATCAACCCAATGATTCAATGGATGGAACCACGAGGTGCTGAGGACAAGGTTGTCGTCAATAGCCAGCGGAACTTAATCGTCGGTCGGATGAGGCCGTCCTAATGACCATGGTACCACCAAGCGAATCCTTGTTAAGGCTAGCCAATCGCCAGCCTTGAAAGCTTGAGGGTGGCAGCCATGCTCCCCAGCCGTCTATATTTCACCTCCGCCTCCATGCTGTTGTCCATCTCGAACCTGTTTTGAATTCCGTCCGCACGCTACAACCCGGGCCAGCCGGTGTCTGCACCTCAAGTCTTCGGTAGCTCTTCTGCAGTTTTTGTTTCTCCCGTCAAATCGACCTCCCAGCAGCCCGTCCCCCTTCTTCCCACCTTCGTTCTTGCTTTTAACTCAGAAGACAACTTCCTCCTTCGATGTGATGACTTCTGACCGTCCAGTCCAAGGCTGTTCCACCTGTACTATGGCACCGCTGGATCCCAACCGCTGGACGTTCACAGAGTATGTGTGCTTTCTGCGAAGCCATGGCTTTCATAATCTCGCTGGCCTTGACGCTTTCCTCCAATGGGGACTCGAGGCTAGCCGAATGCCGACAATGCAACGACCTCAGCGAGCAACAGCCATTCTTCTAGAATTCGGCACGTCCAGCTTCAGAACGTCAGACCTTACAGACACTTCGAAACTCAGGGTGTTGTTAAAGGAATGGACCAGAAGGTCTCCCGAAACACCGCCTACATCGCCGGCTTCTGGTTCACAAGGACGCGGTGCTCGAGGGCGGATCATCATGGTCAACAATATCAACCCGGAGATGGTTGACACGCTTGGGAGTCTTCTTAATATTGAGCCGGCATTCTTCGCCTCGCATATCAGTGACTCTGCCATTGGCGGTGCTGGGGACGGCCATACGGGATCGCCACTAGCATCACAAAATCTAAAGCACCAGAAGAACTTCTTTTCAATTGAATACCCTTGCACGTTCCTGACCACAAACTGTGGGAAGGACGTCGACATCGAGAAGCTCTACAGCAAAGGGAACTATCACAGACGAGTCGAAGTTTGCTCGAGACATGGAAGACAGAAAGTCGCCGTAGCCCGTCGAAAAATCTCTTTCTATATGAAGAAGACTCTCGACCCATGGATATGTGAGTCTGAGCCCTTGTCCTTTTGCTGTGAAATGCCCCCCTTGTGTATCAAATTGGACTTTTAGGAGAATGCTAATAGTCTCTCTCAGGTGTGGTACTTGTTGACCCGCCCATCTCCTTCTTCACGCTTGGAGCAGAACCATACGGAGCGTACTCCCCGAGCCAACGCCTTGAAGTTGCCGGCTATCAGGGAGGCTACCTTGACTTCCTTGAACAAAAGCCACCTTCAAACAGGAACGACCACGACTATCGTTCATGTGGTGCTAGGCCAATGTGTCCCAATCCATTCGACGACCTCTGCCGACACTGGCAGATCATGGCCCGAGACGGCCTTCTCAACCCAGCCGACAAGAATTTGGTCAACATTATGCGGCCAGCATTTCAAATTGCAGCCAGCGAATGTACCAATTTCTTTGACTACATTCGGTCGACACTAGAAAGCCAGATGATCTCCACCTCCCTCACAGTCGACCCAACAAAGACGAAGAGGATTCTGGACAAAGTTATTTCCCTCGACTCGATGCTCAGCAGATACAAGCCCATCCTGACGCGGATTAAAACCTACCTCTCCTCCGACTCGGAATTGAATGAGGACTACCGGAGCCTCTTGATCGACCTGCACCACTATAGAGCAGAATGCGACTCAAAAATGCAGCACATTCTCGCCGTCTCTCAATGCCAAGATACCTCCTCCCTCCGTTCAATAGAGTCCGATTCCCAACGTCAAGCAGATTACTCACGTTACCTAACCATCATCGCCCTCATCTACGCTCCTTTTGCACTGTCATGCGCGATATTCAGCCTACCGCACGATTTTGCCCCTGGAGCACATTACTTCTACGGGCTTTTGCCTGCAACTGCCGGGGTGGCGATTGTGTTTTTGTTGCTGGTCTTGCCGGAAGCGAGGGACCCCTTACCAAGCATCAAGGCAGCATTCTGCGGGAAGCTCACCAAGAAGAAATTGCTTGCTAAACCGAGCAGTCGGGGTTCGAGAACAGGGCTCAATGAGAAGTTGGACATGGATGAGGTATAACGGGAGGAAAGCAGCAATGAGGGTGAAGAAGGGATATTTCTCCCCGTCGTCCAGGAGCCTCGAAAGGTCGCTGCACCCTTCTCTTCCTGGTGCGTTGAAAGGAACAGACGCCATAGTCCACAGTACCCGTGTGTTCGCAACGGATGACAGCGCAAAGCGTCGAGAATAGCGACCCAGTCTCATGCATTGGAGCCCGTGCGAGGGGAACTGCACAGAGAGACATGTGTTTGGGAAATTGCGACTCGAACATATCTGTGCTGTGTTTACGGAGCACTGGGTACTTACGGCCTCTGCAGAACTACACCGCTATCCCAATAGCAAAGCAGCCGCTTGAGCAATTGTTGGGGCCTTCTCACACGGAGGATATCTCGGATGCTCATGCTCGGAGCATGACCCATGATAGGACAAGAGAGCAAGAGCAATCCAAACATGCGGAGGAAGGTCTGCACGATTGAGACGCAGCATGGTTCTACGTCGTCCTGTTCCTTCATCGATTCGCGAGGCGCCCTACCCACACACGAGCTTGTCGGGCCCATATTCTTTCGAACGACCGTGCTTGGAGCACTGCTTTCCAGGATTTTTGGGACTTCCTTTCGCTTTAGCTTTGAACACAGCTACCTACCTACCTACCTACATATGTCTGTATCCAGCCAGCTAGCTCGCACGGATTCACGTACTTCGTTTTAGTGCCACGAAATGCCACGAAATGCAATGCAATGAAATGCGATTTCCAAAAAATAATAATCGGAAAATGGAGAATTTGAAATGCAACAGGACGACTTTTGCTACATACACATACATATCTGCTCAAGATCTCGATATGTAGTTTTCGCTAATATTATTAGGTCCTTCATTGCCAGGACGAATTTGTCGAAGAGAGGGCGAGCGAACAAGCAAGCAAGCGAGAATGTACATGAAAGAACACATGCACATGCACACGTAACATGTTGATTTTGATATGTTTGTTTATATATTATACAAGAATCTGTCCGTCTATGCACCATGTCAGGTCAACTGACGAGGGTGGCGACAACGCTGGCCAGGTCTGGCCCTGGCACAGCATCGGTATCGCGAAGTTGAGCAGCGGTAACCCAAGTGTCAAGGACCAAGGGCCTTGTGCGACAAGGTACACAACAGACAGAAGGCTTGGCCAATCTCTGTTGTCATGCACCAGATATACCATGGTCTCATGGGAACCAGTGGGAGAGCCGCAGAAAGTCGTGGCCAAAGAGCGATCGGGCGACACAACGCAACGGAACTCGACCTCGATTTGGTCTGAGACTTAGAGCCTCGTGCTGCCAGCAATCACTTCTCAGCACCTAAAAAGTGCGGGTTCTCCTCCTGCCTCTCTCCCTGGCGACCCAGAGAATCGGATTCGCGTCCTCCGATGGTATTCTGCTTTCTTACTTATACATCCACCTTCGTAGGAATCTTGACTTGGCCCTTCTTCCTTTCCTGGCTCGGCACACCATATCTCTGACCCACGGCGCCTTTGCCTGATCCCCGGCCATCCAGCCCAGTCCCTTGTCTGGTACTCTGCACCTCCGTAACCACAAACTGCCAGCGGCCCACATCAATCCTCGTTCTCTTGCTTTCCTCTTCCTCTTGTAACTTGGCTTTGAGAGCACGCCGTCTCTCCTCGTCTTTCTCCAGTCGCTCACGATGTCGTGCACGTCTCTCAAGTGGTGTGAGTGACCGGTCTTGTTTATCCTTTTCAAACGCGATTAAATGCGGATGGGGAATACGTGAGTCTGCCGGTTTCAAGACTGTGCGCGTATGGCCCGGTCTGCCAATTATCTCGGGTCTCGAATCTTGCCATGCTTCATGGGCTCCTTCGTCTATGGCATTTTCTTGCTCGTCAGAGAGCCTTGGTGCACCACTAAATACTCTTCCCGCATCGGTACGATTGAACGCGCGTGACTCAGAAGCTGGGTAGAAGATTTGTGGGAATGTGAGTGGGTGCTGCTCCAGATCGTTGATGGATTCATGAGGTTCGTCGGGCAACCGCGTTGTCGGGTTGAGAGTCGTGAGAGGCACCATACCGTGGACGGCGCGAGCATACGGGATGGCGAGTGGTTTACCCTGGAAAGAGACGGAAGAAACAGCGTCAGCGTTGGTCGTTGGAGGACTCAAATAAAGCAGCGTGCCGTGTTCATGCCCTTCCGAATTCAGAGAGTTGTAATTTGTTTTTGAAAAATCACCATGCTTGGAAGTCTGGAAGACTAATCGATTTGGTTTATTCATCACAGGAAGGCCGTCGCGAAGTGTCAATAAAAAGCGGAATATGTGCTCACCTCTGTCCTCATTCTCCTCTCAACCTCCACTAGCCTCACCACAGCGGCCACTCTCCTCATATCCACACCCATTTCCATCGAAACTTGCCTGACCGACTTTCCCCGCCGTTGCACTCTGTCCCAAATCTCATTTCTGAGATCCTCTGACAGAATACTCTGGCTCACAAAGTTCTTGTTCCAGGGAAAGGGCCGTAGATCTTCCAGTGTCTCTTTAGGGAGCTTGTACTCCTGCTCATGCTCCGTAGCAGCCGCTTCAAGAGCTTCCTCATCGGCCGTCACGGCGTCTTCAGAGCTTTTTTCCTTTTCGGACTCTCCTGACGCTTCTTGGCCCCTACCGCGACGAATGAGGTTTCCTCTCCTGTCGTATGCGGATAGGTAGTTGGTTGAACCCGGAAGGGGGTGGCGGAAGTTCTCCCCAGGTCCACGCAGCCATAGCCAGAATTGCTCACGGAGCTTAGTCTGGGACAGCGAAGGGGTAGAGGAGAAGGAGCGCTGGAAACAGGATTTGCAGTGTGTGTGGATGTTAGGTGTCTTGAGGGAGACCGCGGAAGGAGATAATCGGGGAGGCATATTTGGTGCGAACCGCGCAGGTGGACCGGACTATGGAGCTGGTAAAGAGACCATACAGACGCCAGAGCGCGGTTGCAGAGACACCGCGATATGTATACAGTGGAAAGAGAGACTTGGATTTGCTGTTGATCCCAAGGACTGCAGACAATTGTCGAGAACAGAGGAAAATTATGGACCAGCTTTGATTGGCCCCGTCAAACCTGCCTCTTTTGGTCACGTACTTGATGGAGACTCCCCAACACCAAAATCCGTCTTATCCCTTATTAGACAATGGTCAGTCCATCCATTCTAAGCTTGCAATAAAAATCTGAAGCGGTCGAGACACAAGTTTCTAGAATAATTCATTTTTGTCTTGCCAAAGTAGTGATACATATACTGCTAACCTCTATCCTCTAATCTTGATCTCATTCCTCGTAAAAGACAGACAATCATATGCTTGCTTAATAAATCATAGATCAGGATGCCACCGTGAAGGGTATCTGTTCTATAGGCGCAAAAAGAAAGGGCTCGCTCGAACGCTGCAACAAAATGACAAACGACACATAATGTACCAGAGTGTATTAAACAATTAACACTCACGAGTCACGGTCACGACAATAAGACGTTCGTGCCCTGGAAGGTGGCGGTGCCAGACCACATACCTCGGACCAAAGGCAGGTTCACCTTACTGACCGTGGTGTTTGTCGAAGCCGCGAGGGTCTCGGCCTCTTTCTTGATTGTAGGGTCGTTGTTGATGGTCATGTGGCCATGGAATAGAATGAGATTGCCGCCCTTGACGATGTCCATACCGCCCGGTCCGGTCAAGTCAGCATCACTGGTGACGAGCAATGGGCGGCTTGATTTGGTGTAAGGACCCCAGATATTCGTCGCGGTGGCATACGAGACATCGTATTTGGGCGTCGTAAAGCAATTGCTGCTAAAGAACAGGAAGTAGATTCCTTCATCGGAACGGTGGAGCGAGGGAGCTTCGATCAATGGCCCGTCAAATTCGTCACGATCGAGGATCTCAACGGCGTTTCCAATGAGAGTGATGCCGTCAGGGCCGACTTGTTGGAGCATGAGGGGAGTCGGTACAATAGGCTCAACAGTGTTGCCACAGGACCCGCCGTGGCCAATGGAGTTCCCGTCGACTTTGTACACGACATAGCGTGTATTGGTAGATTCGTCGAGGAATCCGTCGGGATCAATGGCTCCACCGAGCGGATTGACGTCTGGGCAAGCGAAAGGAGTGTCAAGTGGGACATAAGGTCCCAGAACGTTCTGAGAAGTCGCTGCACCCACACAATGGTGTGCAGGAGACCAGACGACATTATCGGCGTAGTAGAGAACAAAAGATCCATCGTCCTGACTCGAGTATTAGTCATGACACTCGGAACCATGCGCGTGGAACGCTACTCACCAGTTGGACCACATCTGGGGCCCAGACGCCAGCGCCTGTCTCCCATGCCCCTAGGTTAGGCAGAGCGTCATGATTGTCGAGCAGTGTCCACGTCTGGTTGTCGGTCGAAGTGGCCACCTGAATATGGATCAAATCTGGTTCAGGGGCGCGATTGTTGGTCGCAAAAGCGTATGACACGCCATCAACGTAGATGACAGCAGGGTCGGGGAAGTTGGATGAAATATGAGGTCCCAAGATAGAAGCGAAAGGACTTGAATCAGGATCTGTCAATAATGTTGACGACGATGACTGTGGCGACGGATCCGGTGATCGAATAACAGAATCGCGAGGAGTCAAAGGCCCCAGGCTGGAAACGGCCGAGGAGGCCAAGAGGTAGGTCGGGATGGCGACCATGATGCCGAGTAATAACTGAGTTTGCAACGAAAGTGAAAAGAAAGGATTCTCTTGTTTCTCGCAAAGAGGATCTGAAGAAGATGAAAACGACTGTTTCTCTGAAAGAATGTGAGAAGCTGCTTCACCTCCCTGATGAGGGCGCCTGGAATGAGCGGCGAGCAAAGGCTCTTTTTCTGGAATGCGGTAATCGGTCGCCATCTTGTCAGAGGGTAGTGGACAGTGATAATATAGTCCCGAGCAAGGGGGTGAGGACCTGAGGTTGATTGCGTCGCGCCAAATGCGAGGCTCCGTTCCTCGGCTGGCTGGCGCAGGAGGTTCAGGGGGTGGATCGTTTGAACTTTCTGAGGGGCACAACGGCTGTTTGGCGCACGACAAGGGAGCTAAGCAGGGCGTGAGCCGTGTAGTAGGCGATAACTTTTTGGCAGATTTGGTACCGTGGTATCGTGGGGGTGTGTCTGTGTGTCCAAATGTACCTGTACACCGATTCCGCCAGTGTTTGACCAGGGCAGAGTGACAATGCGATGCGATGGGAAAAAAGTGTAAGCCAGGGCGAGTTTAGCTGATGGCGCACTGTTGCCAAGTAGGGCGCAGATGACCCGAAGAACCAGAAGTAGCACCGCGCTTAGCATGTTTGCGGAATGGTACGGGGTTATTTTGGAGCATCAGCGGTCTCGTGAGTGGCCAGCATTCGGTCTGAGGTCATGTTTCGGAGTCCTTTGTGGAAGTATCATTCGTGGGATGTTGGCGCGGGTTGTAACGGCACAGCCACTCAGAAAGTGGGTGTTTTTTAGGAGGTCACGTGGATGCGCTCAAAGTTCGTGCGATTAAGCTTTTGCATGCCAAGCCTTCGCTTACACATCCTTATTCGGTAATATCAAACCCTTCCCCTTTTTTGCCGCTTCCACAGCCTCAATGAACTGGTACTCGTACACCGACTCCCGAGATCTCAGCTTCACATGTCACGGATGAAAAAAAAAAAAAAAAGAAATCAGAAACAGGCACTTTGGCGCCGTGTTCTGACGTTGGCTCTACGAGTATTACCGAGGACTCTGTACGTACAGTACTTCCCGTTGAGCGGCTACGACTTGTCTCAAGCTAAGAGCGCCTCGTTATCATTACCCATTGTGTTGTCCCGTTCTCTCGCATGCATCTCCCAGTGGACTACGTCAACTCAGCTGTCGAGGATACTCTCATAGTCCGTTGCGCGACTTTTAAGAAGGTAGTGTCTTACAAGTGCTCTCGGAAGCATGTTTTTCCAGGGTGCTTTGGTGAGCTCATCACTTGGAATAAGCTGTCCCACGGAAAGCAACCGGTCAGGTCAACCTTGCGTGTTTCATTGACCGCGTCCCTATTGCAAGACTCGTGCGCAGAATGGAGTAACATTTAGGCCCAGTATTACGATTTGTGCTCGTCCGGGACTGATGAGGCTGAATCCACTGCCGGCTGCCTCATGCAACAGCAATCCCCTTTTGCAGGGCCTCTTCTGTACCACCTTTGGCGATAATCTCTTGTGCAGCGTACATACATTCGGAGGGTTTGTTTTCTTCTTTGCCTATCGGTTCTTTAACTTGCGTGGTTGGCTGAGTCGTGATTGAGTCCGAGAATTGTCTCACATAGTTGTCGGATGAGATTGGGACCTCGAAGCTCATCAACCCGTCGCGGATGCTGTTTCGCGAAACGTTTACAAGGGAGTCGGTAACCACCAAAGGAATCTTTCTGGTCAGGAGGGAAGTAGCCACTTGTTAACGAGAGGTACGACATTTCAAATTGAGGCCAGACCAAAATATCTCTTGGTCCTGCACTCAAGGAAAACTTGAGGTCATCTCCTCTATAGGCACGTGGGCCTCGCACATGTACTTCCCCGGGGTAGATGCCGTGGTTACTTCAGGTGCGTGGCTGTTCTCAGGACAAAGATTTTCCTAAAGCCTGCGTTGAACTGCCGAATCACAGCGCCTAGGTTACAAGCATAGCGGATAATGGGTTCCTTCAAGGGTAGGATGGATGTGGGAACACCAGGCGGAGAAGAGCAAATCAGACAGTGATTCTTCTGCCAATTTGAGCCCCGTCGCGAATGTACCGGCCATAACACTGTGGCTATTATGGGTTCTGTGGCGCTTAGATCTCCAAGACATCTTGCCGTCTGTCCCTCTGTCTACTTTTCCCTCGTGTAATCACATTCTGACTGGCAAAAGATCGCCTTGGCACCAATCACTCAAACGGTGTAGCGGAAGAAGGTAGCATCGTCGCCCTTTTCCCTCTCTGCGGCCTTGTCCTGCTCGGTGTATTGATCCAGGGGTTTGTACTCGCGATCGCGACGGGCGTTTTCGCGTCGCAGATAAGTGGTCATGAAAATCTGCAGGCATGTGCTGGCAGTGAGCATCGCGATCAAGATGGCGTGGCCCTTGGTGAACTTGGGAGAGTCGGAACTCAGGTAGATGAACCCAGCAATGGCGCCACCGAGGTTGCCTAGAATTGCGCACAACGTCAGGGTCATGCCGTGCTTGCGTAAGGAGTGTTGCTGTTCAGGCCGCAAAGGGCTAGACTTACCAAAACCCACGTGCATCGCTATGCCCACTGCTCTTTTGAGGGAGCCGCCAATGTTATTGCCGTTCCAAGCAACACCTTGAGGGACATTGGGATATATTCCCGCCACGAAGAAAAAGCACCCAGCGTATTTGACATGGGGGTTCTGGGATGAAATGAGGAGAATCAGTCCAAGCAATGCGGTGCAGTTAAAGCCGATCATGAAAAGTCCGCGAGTCTTGAGCTTGTCGGCCGCATAACCACCCGTGATGCAGCAGAAGCAGGCCACGATGTACGGCGGGACCGTCATGAGCTGCGCTGTTTCGTTCGTATATCCTAGCGTCTTGACGATTGTTGGCAAGAAGAGGGACACGGAATACAAAGGTGTATAAATGCTAGAGCATGGTTAGCTGAAGGACATTGATCTGCAATGAGTGGCTTACCCAATGGTAATGAACATGTGAACCCAGATCTTCCAATCCTTGAGAGCATCGCGGCAGTATTTCATGTCGAACTCGTCGGCAAGGGAACTGCGATCTCGTTCCAGGCGTCGAGATACTTCGTGTCTCTCCTCCGGAGTAAGGAACTTTGCAGTGGAAGGGTAATCATTCATGGTCCAAAAGGCAATGATGGCTGCAGACAAACGCGTTAGCTTGTGCCTGATACTACTACCATGGCTAACCGCTACTCACCAATGGCCAGTGTCAAAAGGCCTTCGAGGATGAAAATCCACGACCATCTGTACTCCTGTCAGCTGTCTGGATAACGCAGCATGTGACTAACTTCACACATACCCAGATTTCCCACCAACTCCGTCCATTTCGATGATTCCGCGGGCCAAGAGACCGCCAAATGCCCCCGCTGCTGTAGCTGCAGAGAAAAAGATAGCCTGTCGTTGTTGTTAACCCGAGAAACACAGTGGAATCTGGGTAGGCAAGCTGCGGTACTCACCATCCTGAGACCACATTCATGACGCTTGTACCACATGGTGATGTAGAAGGTCACTCCAGGAAACAGGCCTCCTTCCGCAATGCCCAAAGCAGCACGAGCGATAAGTAGACCTGTAAAGTTCTGAACGAGACCCATAAGAGTTGTGCAGATTCCCCATGCAACCATAATAGAAGGTATCCAGATCGAGGGCCGTGTCCGCTTCATCATGAGATTGGAGAGAGGCTCGACGAGGACATAGAAAGGGAAGAAGATTGCCAGAGCTACCTGGGCCATGTGAGCGGTGATAACATTCGCAAAAGGGAGAGCCGAACGCACATTGTAGTCCAACCCTGTCATTCCCAGATCCTTTTCTAGGCCAGCAAGTCGGGCATTGCCAATATTGGTGCGGTCGAGGAAGCTGAGAAGGTAGAGAAGGGCCAGGAAGGGCAGAAGTGTCCAGTCAATCTTCCTGATCAGCTTTTTCGTAGCCTTCAAATCGAATCCCAAGTCCTGAGAACTCGAGGATGCTGATTCCAGCATCTCAATCTTTGCTCCGACATCTTTGCTGTCAAGGCTTTCGACGGGTATCTCAACCTCTGTGCGACCCATCCTGTCTTTTGCTTGGTATATACAGAAGTTGTCCCGTCCTACGGGAGAGGTGTACCGACTATTTGGAGGTGTGTAACGGCACCCACGGTGAAAGCGGCTTTGGAAAAGGCAGAGAAACGCAAAGGAAATGGGAAGCCACAAAAAAAAATGGAACAGTGAGCTGGATCACAGCAGGCAATATATAGAATCCCGGCGGAAGCACTCACCGTTGTTGACTCGAGACACAAGAGAGGGCAATAGCCTACTTCCCCGTTTCACACGCCTTGCTCCGCATTGCTCCAGGCTCCCCCCAGATCCATTCGTGGCCTACCAGTAACTTCCATCCCGTGTTGCATCGGAATGAAGGAGCTGATCCTCAACATTTTTGATCAGACTCAGGCACTTTGCTGAATTCGTCTGCCCGGACAAAGGGAGATTCAGGAAGCAGTTCTGGGCATATTAGACCCCTGTTTCTGAAAGTCGTCACCATGCAATACGAACAATGGCATGGCGGGATCACAATGGTACGACGGAGCAATATGCAGATATGGATGTGATAGGACAATCTCTCGAATCCAACATGCCGTCAGGTACTGCCGATGGATGTGGTCATCCTTGGCATAACTGGGGTTGCTCAAGAAGTCCAAGTTTGAGGTCGGAGAGAATGGATAGATAGATCTTCCGTAGGCTAATCAGAGGCTGTAGAGGAATGACGCGGACGATCCGTGCCCCTGAGTCGGTGACACCCGTGTCCGATGCGGAAACTGCGTTACCTGAACAGCTAGGTTTGGGAACACGAGGAGTGTGTCCATCCTGTAATTTTGCCGTAACAGCCAACACTCTCAGATGATCGGTCAACGGGAAGGGAGCACATGGGGCTGTGAAGATGAAGCCAAGGGCAGAAGACGTCCGCCACAACTTCTAGGCCAACGTGTGCCATGCGCGGAGCATGTGCTGGATCAGGCTGGCACGACGAGGAGATACATGTGGACGAGGAGCAAATGTAACCACAGCCTCCGGAACCAAGCGATCAAGATGCCTAGCGGCGCGCCAAGCCATCGCGCCAAGAGCGGAATGGGATTCTCCTCCGACCACCGCCATTCTTCATTAGACGTCGATCCAGTAGCCATATGGAATACCTAGCAGCCAAGCGTCCCCACGACCATAAGCAGCTCGAGCCCCTCGCCCGAACACGACATTCTAGAACGCCATGATCTCAAAAGGACATTGCCCCACGCATGAGTGGTGAGAGGTCGAATTGGCACAGAGGATCCGTCGTCGCTCTACGTGGCGGCAGCGCTCTTACACTGAAAGCTCGACTCGCGCGCGCTTCCCCGGACAATCCCTATCAGTAGCTTCCATTTGGCATTAGCCTCTCACCATGGGACATTCAAAGCTTCTTCCCATCTCAAGAAAACTTCTCCCGATCGTTCACATGTCAGAAGCACTGATTGCTTCCTTGAGACGAGCCCGAATGCATTCCGCTCAAGCAACCAATCATTTGCGACGAAAACTGTTGAGCTGGATCCAACCCCAGATGCGTCACTTGATTCCCCAGATATCGCCATAACCTCGTATCAGGACATACCTAGGTGTGCAGCAACTCAAAGCCTTGTGACGAAGGACGAAGATGTGCCGCGGTTTCAATGGAATCTCCCGAAAGGATACCACAGGAGACTCCATGTGGTAGTTCTTCTCTCCCAGAAGCCACATGCGCAGTCCCCAATGATGGTATGACAAGAAAGGCATCGTGATATGCTAGTGCGATGACAACATACCCATACGATGCGATTTTGTCCTATTGACTCAGAGTATGATTGAGTGACATTTCAAGGTGCCTACTCAGTTTTGACTTCAGTAGAGCGTCAAGGATGGCGGTGTGGCTTTTCGCTCTATATGCAGTGGATGGAAAAGCAATCTTCACGTCCTCATACCAACGAAGTGTTGTTCTGCTTTTTCGGAATGCAGATTTGTTGCCTCCTGCTCATGCGTTACGCGTTGAATGCGAGCTCGGTTCGACCCCTAACTAGTGGCCAGGTCTGCATGCAGGGTTCAAGGTCTGTATTTGCATTCTGAGGTAGTAGTCGGCAGGAGAAGAGCATCTCGAAACACATTTCGAGCGACGACTGCTCAACTACAAAACATGCTCAGGTACATCTCTTGACCCTGCCGGGATATCCCAGAAACCCGAGGTCTCTCGTCGCTACTCCCCCAAAGGCCTCCATTGCCTAGAGCACAAAGCGCCTGCGACTCCTGGATGAAGATTATAGCCACGTTGACACACGACAAGCGACCCAGTACCAAAGGCTCCTCATGCGTTCCCCTTCAAGCTTCACACATCAGTCCGACCTCCCATGGAGATCTATTCTCCCTTTCGAATATCACAACGCATTTTTCGAAGGAGGAGGTACAGGCCTTCTTGAAGTAGGCCAACCCCATAGCCGCTTCGAACATGGTGGCGGATTCAAGGACCAAATCGAGTGGCCCTATGCTTCGTTACCACGTTATCCCTTTTGCAGTTATCTCTTCACAAAGGCCCCCACGCCAACTGCCACGCGAGAACATGAGGGTTTCTCGATCCCATATATACGTCTGGTCTCAGATCTAGCAAGGCTGGATCGATCTGCATAGAGTCAGCCTGAAGGAGGAGAACTGGACGCACCCGGACTTGGGTCGGCGTGCATACCGAGATCTTTTGTCTTCTCCATACCGAGTGCATCGAAGTGGCCTCTCCGCATCGTCACCCCACGGTGAATCTCCGAGCGGCTGAATTACTTGCTGGCTGAATTTAGCCGGAGCCACATGCGGAAGCACGCTACATACGACATCAGGCGACTATGGTCCGAGAAAACAGCAAAGAGCCGAATGAGGGACTATAAACCACGGCATTTCGAGTGCCACATATACAGTCTACAGTCAACGGCTTGAGACGGGTAAAGCTCACTCAGGAGACACATTCCATATAAAACTTGTCCCAGGTCTTTCAACACTGTAAGTGGTTAAGCTTGACAACAATGGAGCCCATCCGTCTCGGCATCATAGGCTATGGCTTCTCCACCAAATGCTTCCATCTACCATTCATCAATGCATTGTCGGATTTCAAGGTGGTCGCTTTCTTTCAACGAACGGAGGCACCGAAGGACTCCAAGAGCGCAGCACTCGGTTCACATTGCACTGTCGACTATCCCGACATCAAGCACTATCGGAATGCCGATGAATTCTTCGCCGACAAGGACATCGATGTGGTGATTGTGTGCAGCAAGCAGGATACCCATGCAGAATATGCCGAGAAGGCCATGAATGCTGGAAAGCATGGTATGATTCTTTCTTGGACAGCCTCCTTAAATCGATATGAAAAACGGAAAGGTACTAAACCGGTCTGTCTGTGTTTGAACAGTGGTTGTGGAGAAGCCGTTCACCAGAACGACAGAAGAGGCCAACCATCTCATCGCGCTGGCAGAGAAAACCGGAAAGATCTTGACAGTGTTCCAAAATCGAAGATGGGTAAGTTCGTGTGGATTGACGCGCTCACCCCGGAGAGATCGAACCGAGCCCTCCTCTCTCTCTCTCTCGTGTGGAGGCCATGACATTGTCTTTGTTTCCCGAATGCCAACGTCTTTGGTCTTCTTTAGGACAACGATTTTCTGACCCTCCGACACTTGGTCGACAAAGACGCCTTCGGAACCATCAAGGAATGCGAGATACACTACGATGTCGACTTCCCTTTTTGGATGAGAGGGATGAACAAGAAGGAGTACGTGCCGGGAGACGGCATGACTTTCGGTCTCGGTATTGTCCCCACCTCTCCTTTTCTCTTCCCCATCTGTATAACACGAAGTTCTGCCCGTGGCCATCCCGCTCTTGTCTACTTTGGAAGCAGGCATGACGTATAAGCACGTGCTGACGTCGACGGTGCAGGAAGCCACACGTTCGATCAAGCACTGCTGCTCTTCGGGCGGCCCAAGTCCGTGACGGGGTTCCTGCGCGTGCTCCGCGGCGTCGACAGCGAGATCGAGGACAGTTTCACGGCCATCCTGCAGTATGACGGGGAGCAGAAGGACCTGCTGGTCACGGTAAAGACGATGGTCGTGTCGCCGATGAAGGACCAGCTGAAGTATTTTGTCCGGGGGACGAAGGGGTCGTTTGTCAAGGTTAGTTGTGTTCCTTATACTTCCTTCCCTCTCTCCAAGAACAATGCTCTATCTACACCATCCATCCAGCCAACCGTCCAATCCCCAACCCACCCCGTTATCTATTTCTATTTCTCGTCTCTCTCATCTCTCTCGACAACTGACCAACGCGCCCGAACCCGTCTTTGTTAATAGCACGGGACATGCATCCAAGAAGCACAGATCCTCGCCGAGCCCTCGCTGCCCACGACGCACCCGGACTTCGGCCGGGAGCCGCCGCACCTGTACGGCCTGCTGACGACCAAGGGCGACCACGCCTTCGACCCGGCCCACCAGGTCCACGAGCCCGACGCGAAGCTGTTCGTTGGCCGCTACCCCACCATCCCGGGCCACTGGGTGGGCTTCTACGAGAATCTGCGCGATGCCGTGCGCGGTACCGCCCCCGTCGCCGTCAAGCCCGAGCAGTCCCGCGACGGCATCCGCCTGATCGAGCTGGTCCGCGAGAGCAGTCTCAAGGGCCAGGCTGTCGAGTGGCATTGATCAGCGGTGGCAGCAACGGACGACGACGGCGAAGACCAGGGCAAGGGTAGAGAGACTGGACGGACAATGGACAAGCGCGGTGAAACCAAATCATGTTAGAGCTATTCCACGCGAAGCGAGTGTACGGCTCTCTTTACAAGCCAATCCCAGACAGACCCGTTGAGCAGAAAAAAGAAGGGGTGACAAGACTCGACTGCCTCCGGCCCTTGTAGCAATAGTCATCCGCCAGTACCACTCTCTGTATGATTCCATCAACACTGGGCTTGTCGGGCTCATTCCCCTGGAGACTCCTTGTGCAACCCGGTCCTCCTTTTCCAATGTAGAGAATGCGCAATTTTGACCTTTCCACCACCCAAAGCCAAACCTAAACAACACAACAGGCATCCAAAACAGCGAACAATTACGCGATGATAAGGAACAACCTCCAAATGCAAACCCTTCCAAACCTGGAGCCCAGACATCAAGAAAAGAGAACATCCCCCCCTTTGTTCTTGCTCCTTTGGATAGAGGAGCCCATTCTCAGCAACCACCCCTTCCACAACGCCATGCTTTGAAGAGGGGAAGGTCGACACCAGCCATGTCCGTTTGAAGAGCACACAGAACAACTGCTCCATTAGAAGTGCTGCAAACCCCTCCCACAACCCCGAACCAAAGAAGCCAATCTTTGTCTCCAATGCCTCCCGTCCTTCGATGCCATTTTCATGACTCCGAAGACCAACCCAAGAGCCATATGAGTCCCTCCATCTTCCACCTTTTGATAATCGAGATGTTGCCCAGATCTCCACTCCTTCCATCATCTCACAGCCCTCGGTGAGCCCAATGACCATGCGCTAAACGACTGAAATATCGCTGCAAAATGATCCCCTTCCCCCGTAACACACTATGTGGAAGTATCGTGACGACACCGACATGTATAACGACCCACGAGCACTCCCCCTATGCAATGCCCTGTACACCGAAGAGATGCTTCAAAAGGCAACACAACTCCGCGCATACAAAACATGTTATGTTCAGGTCGTGTCTTCATAACTCATTTAACCCCATACTGAGGTCGCACCGATTTTGTTGGACCCCCAAACTCCGCTCCCCGTGCCCCAAGTACCCATGCCGGAATTCGACGACTCTTTCTGTGCATTCGAGTTCGAGTTGGCGGACCCTGCTCGATCAGCATTTTGTTCGTTAGACCCGAACCCGTATCCCAAAGAAGAAGGCAGAGGGGACGTCGTGCGCTTGTTGATGGACTGGTTTGGGGCCTGTTGCACATTGGGACGGCTGCCAATTGGCCCCATGCCGCCACTGACGGGCGCCGTGGTTGATTTGGAAATCTGCCGAGAGTGCGATGGCTCTTCCCCAGTCGGTGGTGTAGGTGCTTTTCCGGAAGCTTGAATGGAACCATCAAACGTACCGAAACCTGACGATGTTTGCGCAGATGGAGAAGTTGCCTTTTCAGCACGAGAGCCATCCTGACCCGAGGATGCATTCTGAGCGCCGGATTCACCTTGTGAAGCCTGTCCCGGCACGCCAAAAGGATCAGACGTGCGGGGTGAAGGACCGCGAGGTGCCCCAGGTGCATTGCCAGAGACCGCTCCCGCTGGATCTCGGCCGGTGAGCTCCTCCGCAGAGAAGGGCACTTGTCCTACAAAAGCGTTGGGGTCACCGCCATATAATGCGCGATGCTGACGAGCAATTAGCTCCCGACGGCCTTCCTCACTCAAGGTGCTAGGGCTCATTGAGCGATCGGATTTGTTGGACGACATTTCAGCCAGAAGACCTGTTCCCGTCTCAGTGCGGTGTCCCGGCTCGACTCTGGGCACACAATGCTTACTCCGATTGTATTGCTGCTCTTGATGATAATTGCGCAGCTCGCGCTCTCGCTGAGCTGCCATCCTCCTTTTCGCTTGCATCATCTGGTCAGCGTCCCCATGACGACCTTGGTGCCTCTGCGCGGCATAAAAGTTCTGGAGATTCGAGCCGGGGTGCGGTCGCGAAGGGTCAAAGTCGCCGGCGGGATGGCGGCCTCCGTGCATTCGGGGACCTGCATATCATGAGTTTTTCGGCCACCGTGCGCACAATGCTGCGATAGTACGCACCATGCTCCACCCCCGGGCGCAATGGACCCGGTGGCATTGATCGTTGTCCACCATAAAATTTGCCACTTTTGACCAGATTGTCCATTGCTCGATCCACCTCTGTTCTCTCACGTCAGTCCTTGGAGTGGCAGCTCCTAGGGGCAATCATCACACCTTCAAACTGCATGGCAAAAGCATTGCCATCTTCGCGCTGGGAGGTAGAGCTGGCGCCTAGCACGCATTCGTTAGTTCCAACCACAGTATTCCAGAGTCCATCGTCCGTCACACACCTGATCTTGACGGCGGAGGCGGCTGCTCCCATGAGGGCTGCCGAACCGGCGCCTGCCATCCTTGGGGTTCATATGGGAAAGACATTTTTTTGGTTCTACCCGGCCCCTCTTTGCAACAGAGTCTCAGGTAATCCTCCAGTCGAGATTGTGTGATCGACAACGACGCAGGGTATATCCGAAAAGCAGTGGCTAGCTAAAGAATCGATCAGTCAATTAGGACTTGTGGACAAAAGACAATGATTAGGCAGGATGCGACTGGCTCAGGATCGAGAGAAGAGAACATGCAGTTTGGAGGGGAGAGGGGTTGAACATGTGGTGTATGTGTGTGGCCCAGTTCTTTGCTTGAGGGGGAAATTCTGGTACGTTGGTTTGGTGCGAGGATGTGGGTGGGGAGAGTGTTCATTTTTCTTTGAGGGATCGGTTCGGTCATCTTGAGCCAATGAAGGCCTCTGTGCAATCGGTCGAATTGTCCCGGGGAGGCCACGGCACAGGAAGGCGAGTTGAGGGAGCGTGAGACGACTTACAGATCAACCAAAAGCCGAGCTCGGATCCTCGTAGGTCGCAGGTCGCAGGTCGCAGTTGGCAAGTATGAGTACCGTGCGGGAGGAAAATTGGACGAGGATGGAAGCCCGCACTGCAGCGGCAGGCGGCAGGCAACACCAAAAAAATATAAGAAACGGGGAGAAGGGGGGACGAAAGGAAAAGAGACCGCAGGCGGAGAAAGATGGAGAGAGGGTTAAAAAAAGTTCTGCGACGAGAACGAAGATTGTCGTTGGCGAGGGAAATTCGCCCGGGCCTCTAGAAGGCAAAAGGGAAACCCCCCACGGCGCAGGCCCCGAGGCCTCGAGACCACCTACAGCTACTTGCCTAGGTATAACTAAAAGTATGCTCAATTCCCCTTCCTTAGGTACCTTACTCCCCCTAACCATGTCGCCAGGCCATACGCAGCATTGCGCTCCTGAAACTGCGATTCCGCTGCCTGACCGGTACCTAGTAGGTAGTCATTTTCCGTCTCCCACCGTTTCCCTCCCTTATTCCTCCTAGTCACAAATCCATCTTCCTTTTCTCACCTTTTCTGCCTTTCGTGCTGAAAAATGGCTCCAGCGAGACTGACAATCGGCGCAGGCGGGTCATCCCCGACCATCACTACCCACGAGCTAACGGCGGCCGGCTTAAGGCTGGGTCGCTGGATCATCGGCAAAGCGAGACCCAGACGAAAACACTCCCTCCGCGCATTGTACCTCCCTTTACCGGGATACTGAGGACCAAAGCGAACAGTCGGCGAGCCGGAACAGCGACTGACCCTGCTCTCGAGATCGGCCCTCTCCCACGAGTCCTTTCAGGCGGATCTTGATGAGGAAAAGAAGTCGAAGGCGAAGCCGAGGCCAGGTCCGCTCCTGATTCTCTCGCCAAACGTTGTTGAAGCAAATTGTCTCTCCGTGGTGGAGACCTATGGAATGACCGGTAAATTGTTGTGCTGGTGCAGGTGGGGGACATTTTGAAGCATTATTATTTGCTTTGGGTTAATTTCCCTGCCTGCGGCCGACCACCTCGAGTCAGAGACTCACGACTACCGAGTAGGTACAGGAGTGCAAAATGATGGCTTCTTCCAAAAAGAACTGCGATGAAGATCATCCTATGACGCAAATGCTGCAACCACAGTGACTGGTGAATGGCAAGTTTTGCCATGGCCGTTCCCGTCCAGGCCGAGCGCGTCTTGACCCTTGACAGCCGATGGTCTTGGTCTGCCCCTCAATGTCGAAATGGCTTAAGAGCCCTGCACGTTACGCACCATGCGCCTACCAATCCGAGTCTTCCGGTTCTTTGGGGGCTGTCCCACTCGTGCTTTCGAGAACCCTCACACCAAGGCTACTGCCAGCCAGTCACTCGTCACATGGGCCACGAGGTCGAGGGTGGTTTGGTTATGTGACGCGAAAGCTCGTGCTCCAGACTCGGCATAGGCAACGCTGAAGATTGCCGTTAAACTCATGTTCGTCACGCATCGGCTGCAGCCAAACATCACACAACTAACCATCTCATGCAGCTCTCCCTTTTCGTTCGTGGTACAGAGTGCAGAAGTCCAGGCGACTCCCCAAGCACCTGATCGGTCCAGTCCGCGAGCTCCCAGAAATCTGAGAAGCCCCAGCTCCTGCGCGTGATTCGGTCAGATTGATAACTGGTTCTAGTCCTCAAATTTCGGACGGTTCCACAAATCATCGAGGTGACTCCAGGAGATCTAGTTACTACTGCGTGCCAAACCCGTGTTAGGCGAGCATCAGGCTCGATGAACCACAGGTCGCGTACGGGGGCACCCATGAATCCATCAGCAGCCCTAACAAACATACTATTCGTGTCCTATTCATATTACGTGCGCACAGGATGTTCTCATATCAAGAATTGATGTGTCCTCGAGGCTTCTGATAATTATTGGCCGATCCGACAAAGGAAGGCATCTATCTGCAGGGCACATGCCATCTGCGCCCGTTGATGACCGCAAGATCCCTCGGTCGTTAGCAAAGTCGGTATGATAGTCTGTTGTATACGAGGTACGGTACGGGGCGTTGAACCGCCTCTCGTGAGTTTCTCATCAAATCTTGGTTCACGAGCCTCACACCAATCGAGATCCCGATGCTTTGGACTGGCGAGAAACCGCTGGACCATACGGAGTACAGATCATCACTGCATGCACTCGGTCGGGGTGAGCCAAGATTTCAGAAATAGGGGTGAAGAGATTGGGCTTGCTAGCAACAACTGGTGTGCTCTCTTCCTGCGCGGAGGGCTCCTGGCTTCGCGCTCTGAGTAATCTGGGCTCAAGCGTCTTTTCTCTACCTACATAGTTGACTCGAGAACGAAAAACCTAATTGCCATACACAGTTTGATCCCAGAGGGTGAGCGAAGCCCACTTTGAACTGAGCCTTCACCCGGCCTGTAGCTGAGCAGCCCTCCCTGAGCAAATACGGCGAGGGCCTAATCCGACCCCCTAGCCATAATACCTGCCTCTGGGCTCGACATCTATTTCGGACAGTGTGTCAGGAAGCTAGCAGCTTCTCTGGCCTTACGCTGCTACCCAAATTTCCTTGTGGAAAGTGGACGAATGTGTAGGCTGTGCTGTAACCCATTCTTCGGCGCCGGATCCAGAATGATTTGAATTGAGAGAGGAGAAATGTACGGAGTAGAATCCTTACAGGCCCCATTCGGGGACGTAGAGGCCCTGCCAGCTGGGCAAGTTCCAGAGCTTGTCTCAACTCACGACCCTTGGCCAAGATTGTCATGCACAAGCACGTCTGGGGAAGAAACGAAGCTCTTCCAGGGTATGAGCCGGCAAGTGTGGCCGAGATGGCAGAACCTCGGTATTTGGGACTTGCTCATGTTCTATTTGGGGTTATAATTTACACTTGCGCAATTTATCCCAACAATTACCGACGCTTTGGCCGAGCGGTTAAGGCGACACCCTGCTACCCTGGAGTTGAGGTGTTCTCTTCGGAGGCACAAGTTCGAATCTTGTAGGCGTCGATCTATTCTTTTTTTTTTTTCTTCTTACCCCCTCAAGAGGCGCTCAAGAACCGTGGCACTTAGTAAGTAGGTGATACAGGATCACGATGAATTTGAAATTGCTGAAAACGAGAGTGCTACTATCGGTCTCAAAAAAGGCATGCCCAAAAACACGGTTGCCTCTTTCTGCTGCATAAGCTGCATCTTTTGGTCATTCAACGCGTAATGCTCTAATAACGTGATTTGATGGATTACAATCATGCGCTACGGCATCCTCTTGAGACTGCGGACGGACTCGACCATCGACATGTTTGCAATTCCGAAGAGATCGCCACTTCCCTCCCCATTCGGCAGCCTGCGTTCATTTACATAATCATGGGAGACTCAAATGAGACGGAGGCCTTATACTCACCTAGCCTGTGGGTGATACAAGATTCCGTGGTACAGGAAAATGACAGCCCTGTCAATGGTCAACAGAACTGTTCGCCCTTTGCCGGGGCCCCATCGAATACAGCAGATTGGCACGATACGTATGAACCTGTAAATGAGCCTCCGCGAACCCGGAAAAGACTACGGACGCTTCGGAACAACTTACCATAGCTCCAGTTTGAAGAGTGGGATCGTCAGCGTGCGTACAATGAAGAACCGCCGGTTTGCGTGCATTATTCCGTCGAATGGAAGGTATTACTTAATGACAAACAATTGTTCAAAAATTCCGAGCGCAATGTCGTACTCGAACCTGCTTCGTTCTGGCAGATGATACTGCGTCCCCGCCTGGATGGGGTGGTCGAGAAAAGATAGGCCATGTGCAGAATGTACAGCCATACGAGACTAGCGTCGTCACGTCCGTGACTGCACGAGGGGAGCATGACTTGACACGAATTTGAGGGATTGGATATTGATTGGACGGACGTCAGTTCACAACTAATTGATTGGAGCATTTTGTTCCAGGATGGCAAGAAGTTACGAGTCGATCTTACTTTCCACGACCGATCGCAAAACCAATCACCAACTGGTACTAATATCGCAAGACGAAGTGGACGTGGTCGGTCTTCAGCCACCCAGCAAATGCTTCAAGAGCGAAGCGCTCGCCTCCAGGCCGAAGAAGAGACGGAAGGGCGAGCCTCAACATGGACGGAAGTGTACCAGAAAATGCGATGTCCCGTTGGTTGTCCCAAAGGACTCAATTGTTTCATTGAAGATGAAGATCCTGAGAAAACGCACTACAAGTTGTACACTCCACATCTTCGACAACTCGTGAAGCATAAGCTTGAAGGGAAAAAGTTTGACTCACACGCCGATATCCCCGATGGCCTTCGCAAAGATCTTTATGCCGAAGCAGAAAGGGCAAATGCCCGCAAGCGCACGGCACGAGCTCTTTCTCCAGCAGGGCCTGTGCCGGTTACCATCAACAACCACTTTCCTGAACAGTTGACCGCCGGTTCATCGTCGACAACTGCTGTGGGGGGGCAGATCTGCAGACCTGCTAAGTCCTGTTGTTGTTACTGGTCACCATGATGTTGCTGTACATAATTAAGCACATGGCTGCAGTCACGCTACGACGGCGCCGTTTACAAAGAAGCAATTGTCGGGGCAGAACGCCTTGTACAAGACCGCATGCTTGGTCTGGGTCATCCTCATGAGGATAGAAATTGGCAGTTCCTGGTGGATGAGGGGATTCCAGTCGGAATAGCTCGGCGATTTGTGTGCGACATCAAATTGTATTTTAAACATCTATATAACGAGTGAGGAAGGCAGGCGAACATGTCAGCACAAGGATTTCGGCTCTGGAGTATCGGTGGTATGAACCTGAACATCAATATTGTGAAATAGCTTGTACAATATCCCATTGGAAGATTAATGTGATCTGGATGATTCAGCTGTTAATGACAATTCCTGCATGTCTGAAATCATTCCGTGCCGATTCCTGATCTTGGCCCACCCGATCTACACACCATTGTAGGTATCCGCTGAAGTCATCATAATGTAGGTCCTCATACTACATCCAGTGCTTCTTGATAAACTTCTTCAACCGAGCAAAGAAGAGCTCGATCGGATTCAGGTCGGGCGGATACGGTGGTAGGAAGATTACCCTGACGCCAGCGTCAGCACACAGCTTTTCGAGAGAAGGTCAATGGTGAATGGATGCATTATCCATCACCAGCACGGATTTAGGCTCCGGCCATCAGCCGCACAGTGTCAGTGTGTCAGTAGTTGAGCAACAAAGTCCTCGAAACTGGCGCTGTCCGTAGAGCCACGAAAAATACGAGACAGAAGAATCCCATCCTGTGAGTAGGAGGGCGGCTCTATCACATCACGTGATACGCAATATCACAAACCTCAGTGCTTTCCTTACCGACGACTTCACATGACACTTGTCGGCGTGGCAGAAGCCTACTGGGCATGTGGCGAGGTCACGGGACGAGCCAAACCATCCTTCGAGACGACGCGAGCCCCTCTGATCGAAAGGCTCGACGATGGCTCCTTGCACGCCGTGCAAATTATTATCCTCCTTCAACCCTACAACCAGGTTGCGAAGCAAACGGTTTGACTGATACATAGGCAAAATGCCACAACCTCTATCCGCACGGCACTCGCAGCCGCGAACCCCCGAAGACTACGCAATCGGAATTATATGCGCTCTAGCGGTTGAGAAAGCAGCCTTTCAGGCAATGCTCGATGACGTCCACGATCCCCTCCCGACCGTCGAAGGCGATGAGAACAGCTACACATTTGGTAGGATCGGGGCCCATAACGTCGTCGTTGCCTGCCTGCCCGCTGGTATGATGGGCAACAACTCAGCCGCAACGGTCGCGAATGACATGCTCCGCAGCTTTCCGATAAAGATTGGACTGATGGTTGGGGTCGGCGGAGGCGTGTGGAGCAATAAGGTGGATATGCGACTCGGGGACGTGGTAGTCAACCAGCCCGACGGAAAACACGGCGGGGTAGTGCAGTGGGACTTTGGGAAGATAGAAAAAGGGGGTATCTTCAAGCGAACGGGGTCACTCAACAAGCCACCACGGGTGCTGCTCAACGCGCTGCAAGACGTCAAGACAAAGCATATGATAGAGGGTGATAGTCTCGCCGAGCACCTGTCGCAAATGGTGGCAAATAAGCCTTTTATGGCGCAAACCTTCGGATATCAAGGTGCTGAGTGCGATCAGCTATACCAAGCCGCTTACGAACACATCGGCGGCGAGACATGTGAGGAGTGCGATCCAGACCAGGTGATCGAGAGGCTCCCGCCTCGAACTAGCTCGGCTCCGAAGATCTACTACGGCAACATCGCTTCCGGCAACGAAGGAGTGAAGCATGGCTTGACTCGAGACCGGATAGCAGCGGAAGAAGGAATAATATGCTTCGAGATGGAAGCAGCTGGGCTAATAGACAGTTTTCCTTGCCTCGTTATCAGAGGTATCTGTGACTACGCAGACTCGCATAAGAACAAGAGATGGCAACCGTACGCGGCTAGTGCCGCGGCGGCATACGCGAAGGAGCTGCTGTTGGTGATACCAACGGCAGAGGTGGCGAAGACACAGACAGCGGACGAGACGATCAGGGCAGCGGATAACTACGACTACCGTCTGGAAGGCGCGTCCAAGCCGGTTGCAAGGCTGATGTTTTACAATTATGGGTCTGTTCGTGGGAAGAATATATTGCAAAATACGACCATGTCTGGAAACTCGAACAGTTTGACCTTCAGTTAACTCGAAGGAAAGCTGCAAGTTATAGATAATAGGGAAAGGCTTAAATGTGTAGGAGCAAAATTGATAAACCCACTGCCTCCCGTAAATCGTTAGGCTCGACCATACGATAACCGTAGGTAATGGAAGCAGTGGTCGTTTACAACCCTTCATTTTCGTTTCCTCGAACAGGCAGAGACAGAATGGAAGCAGCATGCGGGGGAAAGGGCACCTTAGCTGAGCGGTGAGGCAGCTGTCCTGCGACGTGTTCTAGAACCTGCGCCCCATCAGCCGATCTGCTTGCGATCTGCGGCGAGCTGGGCGGCTGCGCTTCACATCTCCACGAGACGACCCTTTGATGCACGCTCAAACGGCTCTATCCCAGGGCGCACGCGTATGCTTACGTTGAGTTAAACCTCCGAGTAGCTTCATGTCAATGAGTTCTTCACTATGGACACTTCGAGCCCTCGATTTGAATCGCGCGGAGACGTTCAAGGCCATACTGTGATCCAAGGCTTGACAGCGCACAACCTCAAAATGTACCTCCAGGACAGCAACAAAGGCGGAGTCCCGCCAAATGAAAAGGATGGCTTGTGCACCCTTTGCTAGATTTACAATCTACTGCCTCCAGAAGTCTGACAACTTCGCAGCTTGCCTCAGCACCCTCGGCTTCCGCGGGATGGACACCCGCGAGCAAGACATAAGCGCCGCTGTCGAGCACACGTGCAACTGGCTGTTTGATACCCCCGAGTTTAAGAAATGGCGGGATCGCACAGATCTGACGGATAACTATGGAGTGCTCTGCATCAAAGGAAAGCCGGGAGCGGGCAAGTCAACATTGATGAGACATACGCTGGAATACTGTCAAAAGAAATTCTCCGATCATCTAATCGTTGCGTACTTCTTCAACGCGCGAGGAAATACCCTAGAGAAGACTCCACTGGGTATGCTACGGTCAATTGTATACCAGCTATTGGACAAAGACGACCTGCTGTATGAACAGTTTGTCCATATCTACCGCAAGAAGCAAATCACCAGTGAAGGCCGTGGGTGGGAATGGCAACAAGGAGAACTGAAGACTTTCATCATTTCAGTAATCCAACAGTGGAAATCAAAGCCTTTGCTTCTTTTTGTGGATGCGCTGGACGAGTGCAATGAGACAGACATTCAGGACGTGGTAGAATTTCTCGAATTACTGAGCACCGATGCAAAGAAATCTGACGTCGCTCTGAGAATCTGTCTCTCTAGACGCCATCATCCGCCTCTCAGAATCACAAAGTGCATGGAGTTGATCGTCGAGAATCACTGCGACCATCGGGAAGATATTGCAACATATATCAAAGCGAAGCTGGCGAAACGAGATGACGAAATCGAGGCCGAGATCGAGAGAAAGGCGGATGGGATCTTCATGTGGGTTGTCCTTGTTATTAAGCTACTGAACAAAGCCTCCCTCAAGATGCAGGGCAAGAGAAAGGCCATGCGGAAAGTGCTAGAGGAGATCCCAGGCGAGCTAGAAGAGGTGTTCGGAATTCTATTTAAGAAAGATAAAGACATGGCTGAGACAGTACTCATGTTACAGTGGGTATTGTTTGCCCAACGGCCACTGAAGCCAGAAGAGCTTTGTTCTGCTATTGAAGCAGAAGACGAGGAGTTGTGGAGTCAGTCGGGCGATGTTGACCACGATTCTATACAGCGAAGCATCGAGCACTTATCCAAAGGCCTAGTCGAGATACGACGCGGGGATTCGACAACTGTGCAGTTCATTCATTTATCAGTTAATGATTTCCTTCTCCGGAACAAGAGGCTGCAGAAGTTGGACCCGGCGCTGGAGCCGGATCCTGTGAGTGCTAGCCACTACCGTCTCTGGGCTTGCTGTTGGTTGCACATTGAACAAGCCGGCATTATAGCTGCGAACGCGAAGGAGGTATATGAAGAACAGCATCGCAAGTACCCGCTTCTAGGGTACGCAGCCAGTCATATATTCGACCACGCAGAAAAAGTCCTAGCTGAAGATACAGCTGGACAAGCCGGCGCCGAAATCGGAAAGTGGCTAAGGGATGCCAATAGCTGGTTCAAATGGTGGAAAGGCTTTCTCAGTACCATTCATACACGTAACGAGCGTCAATCCCTGAAAGCAAACATGGATGCGGGGCTATTGTATATGGTATCACTTCGTGGTTATAGAAGCTTAGTCAAAAACATCTTGGCTGAAGGTGGCGCCGACGTCAACGCTCAGGGCGGTGAGTACGGTAACGCGCTCCAGGCGGCTTCCCGGGGAGGACACCGGCAGATCGTGGAGCGGCTACTCGAGGCGGGCGCCGACGTCAACGCTCAGAGCGGTAAGTACGGTAACGCGCTCCAGGCGGCTTCCCAGGGAGGACACCGGCAGATCGTGAAGCGGCTACTCGAGGCGGACGCCGACGTCAACACTCAGGGCGGTTGGTACGGTAACGCGCTCCAGGCGGCTTCCCTAAGAGGACACCAGCAGATCGTGGAGCGGCTACTCGAGGCGGGCGCCGACGTCAACGCTCAGGGCGGCGAGTACGGTAACGCGCTCCAGGCGGCTTCCCTAAGAGGACACCAGCAGATCGTGGAGCGGCTACTCGAGGCGGGCGCCGACGTCAACGCTCAGGGCGGCGAGTACGGTAACGCGCTCCAGGCGGCTTCCCAGCAGATCGTGGAGCGGCTACTCGAGGCGGGCGCCGACGTTAACGCTCAGGGCGGTGATTTCGGTAACGCGCTTCAGGCGGCTTCCCTAAGAGGACACCAGCAGATCGTGAAGCGGCTACTCGAGGCGGGCGCCGACGTCAACGCTCAGGGCGGTGATTTCGGTAACGCACTCCAAGCTGCCTTGCACAAAAATCATCACGCTATCGCAAACATGCTTCGTAAGGCAGGAGCAAATGTCATCCCTAGACCTACCGTCGACTCTGGAGACAATGACGACAGTGATGCTGGCGCGGACGCTACCACCAGTGAAAAGAGTCATGACAGTGTTTCGCCCGAAGCTGCTCCGGCCACGGTTTCTCCAGGTACAGCAGCGACATCACCTAAGATATGGTTTCCATTTCGGACTCAAGGGACGCAATGGTCTCATGTTTCTCCGCGCCCAACTTTGCTGTGGCAAAGGCTGTTCTTCGTAGCAACATGCGGGCTTATTCTGTGGGTGGTGCAGATTTACCTGCGAGGGAGGAATCAGCACGTCTAATACCTCCATTGAAAGATGTATAAGTTCCGAAATCGGCATTAATTCATATCATAATAGCCTCACATTTGAAAATCCATTTATCATTCAACAATATCTTCTACTAACTTTAGTAGGAAGAGAGGTCTGGGGAATTACTTTAATATATACTTACCTGAATTAATTCGTAATCATGATTCGAGAAATATTACGAACAAGAGGTGCTGTCAGGGACAAGGGGTGCTAAGACTCTCAGGGGCTGGATATATGTAAGCGTACGGGTCGCGGGCTGCCTTCTGAATCTCTCCAGCTTCGGAATCTCTGTCGTCTGCGCCTATAGATAGGCAATATACTTATTGGATAGTTTGCTGGCGAGCCATTCCTGACAGACACCACAGCCTTGTCGTCGTTGTGTCCATGCATCTACACGGGTCCTTTCCATTCCGAGCTCCTGCAAAAGATCGATCAACTCTTTGAGTTAGACCTTAGATCTTAGTCCAGGCTCTCACGGTTGATTGAGTCTCCCTCTTGCTCGTTACTTGCTGTTCTTGGACACATGTCAGCTGCAGCCCTCGAAATGGCTCTCAGACCCTACCGTCTCGCGGCCCAGAACTCAAGGTTATTAAGGTCTAGGCGCGTTCCAAGTACAGAAAGATCGTTCCCAATCCGTTGGCAGTGGTTCATACTGTCCTTTAGTCTTCGTGAACACGGATCGGGACGCGCTTTCCTGCTTGAGAACACTTGAGTTTCGCCCCGCGACGCCAGCGAAGTGCTTCACGCCGGACACCGCGTGAAGGCATGAACTCGTCGTCCCTGCTGCCGGCGAGAAGCAGCTTCTTCGCGTCTTCGCGAGGAGGGAGTATATGCAGAATAACAGACAGCAGATCTTCGAATCTCAAGGAAACGAGACGCCGTCCAAAGTGCTGCAACCGAAAGCTTTGTAATGACTTACATTGACCATGTTCCACTTTCTTCTCATGGATATGTCGCATCTCCTCTTGTCACGAGAGCACCACTCTGAAACTCCACCGAACTCCTATCTGCTCCAATAGAACACAAGCCCATCGAAAGCATGCATGATACCATCCGGGTCGCTTGGAATCGCCTGATCCCGTCCCAGCCTCGTCCGTAAGGTCAGCAGTCCGCGCTCCCGAAGCATAGCTGACGACTCTCTACCAGCTGCCACGCCGCCAGGAAGATCGAGCGTGCCACCACCACCGCCAGGGTCAATGACAGCATCAACACGAGTTGTGTCACCATCTTCAATCGGAAGAATTTTTTTGGCCTCTAACCTTTCCAGCACTGTCGCCAACTTGAATTGAGCCCTCGCCACCAGGACCTCTGAGTCTTGATTCGCCTTTGAAGCACACACTTCATAGATTGTAAGTGCTTTTCGCAAATACGCCTCAGCACGACGTAAATTGGCATTTGGGAATTCTTCCATCGACAGGATGCGACCGACTTTGAAGCAGGAGTCAGCTGTCACTGGATGAGAGCGACCTAGACGTTTCGAGAAGATTTCGAGTGTCTCTAAATGCACTTCGTATGCGCGCTGGATCCGCCGCTGTGCCAGATAAACGTTGCCCAAGGCGTACAAGGTACAACATAGCTTTCGATCATAGTGAAGAAGAGCCTTATGTAGGGTTGCCTCGGCCGCTATCAGGTCGCCTTTCCACAGGAGACAAGATCCCAGATTGGCGTATAGTCGACCAAGACGCTCTTCCACAATCTCATTGGCTTCAAGGTAGAGGTTGATGGCCTTTCGATGGCTTCTTTCAGCCTCCGCAAATCTGTTGTAGCTGGTCAACGTGTTGCCCATGGAACTATAAATGTGCGAAAGATTTTTCGTGTCCATTAGAACCCGGGGTTCTTGTTTCATCGCGTCCTCGAGTAGATCGCGCGCCTTACCAAAGCTCTCCACTCCCTCTTCTAGGTGGTTCGTGTCATTGCAGATGAGACCCTCGACGTAGAAAAGAAATGAGAGAGTTCGCTGGTCCATGTTGCGCCCGTTCATGATTTTCTTGGCTGTGTCTAGCATTGCCAAAGCCAAGTCAACTTGACACGTCTCTACGTGGAAGCTAACGAATGGTCAGCAAAGCGAATTCCCAGCTCCTCGACAGAAAGTACTTACAAAATATGATCTGATACTAGTTCGAGAAGTGCCGTCGCTGTCAAATCGGTAAAATCTGGTGCCAGACGCGCCGAAAGGAAATCCACATGCGGCCCGTGTGCCCTGCGAATGTCCCAAAATTGAGGTTTTCGATGGTAGCCGAAGCCTGTCCGAGGCAACCTTGCCCTCAGTAAAGAGAGACAGTCTCTGAAAACGCGCTCATGTCTTGTATCATCCGTTTTGACTCTTGCCTGCATTACTGATTGAAGGTAGCGGTGCAACTTGATTGTTCGCGCGATTCTATTCACTTCGACTAGCGACTTGCTTGTTAAATCTGCAAGGGCGTCGTGGAATAATTCCTCCCCGGTTCTCATTGCCGATTTGTTTGGATCGTCTGTCACCGTGGCTAGCTCGTCCTCGAACAGGTCCATGGCAATACTGTCCGGATCCAGAAAGGCCAATCTGCAGAGGTAGTCTTCCCCGTCCCTAGTCAACGAGTCGAGGGACACATCCCAGAGCGTCTGGAGAGTTTTTCCAACATTTGGCATTTTCAGCGTGGTGACGGCCTCCTTTCTCTGCTTGTATAGACGCAAAAATCTTGACGGACTATACTGTTTGGTGTCCATGTACACCGCAGCGGTGCATAGTCCAATGGGTAGTCCATCAAACTCGCAAACCAGTTCGTCGATGGCTGAAACCTCCACTGGCGATGACTCCAGATCTTCCTCCCATGTCAACTGTGACTTGAAAAAGTTGCGTCCTTCTTTGAGCTCGAAGACTCCAACTCTGAGACCTGCCGCCGCGAGTCCACTTCGTCTAATCGTTGGATCTCTACTCGTCGCTATGACGGATCCTTTGGTAGACTTTGGCCAGTACGCGGCCAAGACATCGGCGTCATCGGCGTTGTCGTAGATCAGCAACCACCTGAAAGCTAGAGGGAAAGTTTAGCAGATCTCTGTGGCGCCAGGTTTCACTTACAACACGTCGCTAGCCAGTTTAGAACCGTCTCATAGACGCGATCCATGCTCTTGGACTCTTCCACTAGACCACATTTCATCGCGAACAAGCTGAATTGATCCTCCAGTTTCGACTTGGAATCTGCATGAAGCCAAGCGATGATATCGTACTCCTTCATCTTCAGGTACGCATACTCAAGAGCCAAAGTCGATTTTCCACAACCACCGATCCCATGCAGTACTACACTTGACATACGGGCCGTATCTTCTTGTAACGCCTTCTCAATTCTTGCAAGTTCCTCCTTCCTGCCGAAGAACCGACTGTTGCGAAGCATTTCTTGGAGGAAGTACATAGGCAGCTTAACATCCGAAGGATCCCCTGTAGAGGTGGAAGTTCCGCTTGTGATGAGCCCGCGCAGCTCTCGATGTCTGTTGTCGTGGGCGATAAGACCTGCCGTATGGACCTGCACCATTAAATGGTCTGTGAGGCGTCGAATTTTCTCTCGGCGTTTGTAGAAGTCTGTTCGAAACTTTGGTAGCGTTGCTCCTTTCAACATGTTCACTGTCTCCCAGTCAGTAATCCGCGATATATTTCTCAGTCCCGATTGCCTGGCGCACTGACCTGTTTGAGAAGACCGAAAATAGTTGATGGTGTTGACCAGGAAGTCCAGGTATTGACAGCATGTTTGAGTAACACATTCCGAGATTTCAGTGTGATCCGATTCCGCAAAGAGGCGAAGCCAGGCCTCAAACAAAGGCAACTGCGCGGAGATCGACTCCAGCATCTCTTCAATTAACTCGTAGAGCTCGATGGATCTCGTGGAAATCTATACATCGCGAATTGGCCGTCAGTACATCAACTCCTCGCTTTGATGGTTGGGAAGAAACACACCTCCAGAACCAGCCTGACGAGCCCCCATATTAATGCACCTGGCGTCGGGTCCGCCTGCATACACACGTCGACCACTGTGCCGAAGGACTTCAAGTGATCAAGGAAAGGGTATGCAGTTCTCATCACGCGATGTGATTTCCCCTTGAGATACGACTGTTTCAAAGGCGCAAGGATGCAGTCAATGTCCTCCACCGAAAGTCCTTGACTGTTCTTCCATGCGAGGACAGCAGTTCTGTCCTTGGACTGCAACTGGTCTATAAACTGATCTACCGCCATGTTCCATAGTTTCTGTGTCAAAGGCAAGTCTCTTCTCCCAAGCACAGTTACAGAACGGTGATTGTTGCCACTCATCGTTTGATCTTGGGTAGGAGTCGAGTCAACAACGGTCTCCCCATCGGTGCCTTGAATCTCGGGCCTTGGACGGTGCGACGCTGAGGTCAGGCCAGGTGTGCCAACGACGGCCTTTGTTGTGGCATTTTCGGTCAGAATGTCTCCATCGATTGGTCTGGTCTGAGGCCGAAACAAGCGGAACTTGATGAACCTCATGATTCTATCTCACACGAAACAATTGACATGGAGCTTTTCTACTTGCTACCGTAGGAGATGGACAACATGCGCAATTTTACACCGCGGGCAGAGCCAATATACCTACATACCAGCCCAAATACCCTTCGTGTAACCTGGATCTCAAGGCGCGAACTGTTTCCACTCTTTGGGCTGCTTTCTTTGCCTCTCGAGTTCTTTCGCAGGGCTGGGGCGCACGACTCGCTACATTCTACTGGACACTGAGTTGGCCCCGGGGGGAGGGGGGAGCGAGTTTGCACTGGCGCCTCCAGCCGTACGCCTGTTCAACACGGGGCTGAAAGGAATTCGCCGACAAAGAAGACAGGAGGAACCGATCGTCGCCACATTTCAATTCATCAAAGATGTGTACACGGTAAAGTGTTGAAGAAAAAAAACGAGAGTCTCTTGCCGTCGAGAACAGGGGCGACTGTTTGTCAACATGAAAAGCCTGATCCACCACCACTACCATTCACCACGTTCCACGCTTTACCACTGTAGTTTTGGACCGGGACATCCATTGTCTCCAAGGTCTCTCGTCCGGTTTAGCAGGATCTGGTTTCCATGCCAGCCAGAGCATTTTCTTGCGCTCTTCCTCAGTATAGTTCTCGGCCTTGAAGGGCCAGATTTTTTTCCAAGGCTGAGCTTTTCCAGCGGAGATCGCGGCCAGATCAGCGGTGCTTGTGCCCATCGACTGCGACCTATGACTGCCGGCAGACCCGCTCTCGCCTGTTATAGACAAGGCCGCCATCGTCGCAGATCGCCCGGCGTGTCTGTATGAAATGTAAGGTGAAGATTCTTGGGTAAACCTCAGCACCGTCACACTGACGAGTTTCGACCAGAAGCCACACCGGCATAGCCACCACGAGCTAACCTAGAGGCAGACATTGAGAGCGTGTTTGCTTTTAAGAGTGAAATTCAACCTCTTCAAATCGGATCTTGGAGACGAACGAGAGGACCACGGTGAGGCTGCATCCGATTGTGCCTTATAAGTGCCACTCTGCAAAGCCCCCCACATGCGAAATAGATGAACCTCTCTGACGTGGCACCGTTTCCCATGGGCAGGACTTCAAGGTGCATAGCCTTTGCATCGGACTCGGTGAGCACAATCCCTGTTTCTGGTGCGTTCAGGGCGCATCTAGAACGGATAGCAGAGTCTTTCCAACCTATGAGATCCAACTGTCTGGCCGTCGGCGGGAGACACAGGTTCATGTGCTGGAAGCACCGACTGTATTAGCTGGACGGGCTCGACTTCTCAAGATCAGCAAACTCTCCTCGCTTGCACCCGCATTGCAACCCTCCATCATGTCTGCGGCAAAAGCAACTACGGGGCTCGACTCTGCAAATGCCATCTACCGATTCCTTCATGGATCTGCGGCAGCCTCTGCCTGGACCCCTTCTCCCACCATCAGAAAAGTAACGCCAGTCAAGGGAGGTTCCACGAACCACACATTCAGGCTACATTTTCACAAGCCACTCGAAGCGATTGGTGTCGCTGGAGAGTCCTTTCCCCCGAAAAGCGCTATTTTCAAGTACTTCCCTGACAACATTCTTCTGACCCCGGAAATCAGCTTCAGTAGCCGGCGCCAGGCCTTCGAAGCTCGCGCTCTGACTGATCTCGCCAAGCATCTCGACTCTGCACCACGAAACGGCGTTCAGATCAGCCTGCCCAAGTTACTGCACGCAGATCTGGATGAACATTTCATTATAGTGGAGGATCTGAGTCCAGAACGCGATCTTGGCCATCTCAATTCCAGGTCCTCCATCAACTGCGCCCAGTTTGTTGGCCAGGTGGGCACAGATCCGTTCAAGGCTCGGGCCGCGGTCAATGTTGCTCGAGCTCTAGGGACCTGGCTTTTCAGCTTGCATTCGCTTGGCCGCAACATGCGACTGGGGCTGCACAGTCGTTTCGACCACTTCGAGTCACGGAAGATTCAAGATCTGACGACACTGGGCGACTTCATAAGGTGCATTGAACTATGTGGAGTCCAGCTGGAATCTGAGCGGAAGCGGCAGCTTCACGCGATCCTGAAGCAGCACGGAGACGAGCTGGTGAGAAGTGGCGATGGCGGTACGCTTGTGATGGGTGACTTCTGGTGAGTGCGTTCGTGTTTGACGATTTCTTTAAGACACTGTATTCGTGTCAAGATTCCGCAACGCATAAAAGCTTACCAGTTGCAAGGATGGGCAACTTCATGATTCGCCTGACAGGCGGTGGCGAGATGGAGAGGAGCAATGGACCGGGGCTCCGCGCCGAACCATCTCAGGTGACAGAGGACACGGGCTCGACATTCGACGTATCTTCTGAGCCCAAACTTCTTGTGCACGTCATAGACTGGGAGTTCACAACGTATGCTCTGCCATACATCGATCTTGCTCATTTTGCAGCAGAAGCATGGCTGTTCGATTTCTTCCGGCGTCAGTCCGTCGGTGTGAGCACAATATCCCGGACCATGACAGCCGCGCTCTTCGACTCGTACTCTCAGGCTGGAGGGACGATTAATTTGGACAAAGTTATTGTCTACATCGCTGGACACATCGGATGCTTCTTGCACTACACGGATCACTGGACCAAGGACCAAGGCCTGAAAATTGCAGCGTGCATGCAAGCTGTGAGAATGATCGAAAATGCAGCTGCTCAACGCTGGGACTAACTGTCTGAGGACTTATTCTTGAAGTCCTTACTTCCGCCCGATCTGGTGGCTTAGAAGTCGGTCTAGTCGGGGTACACCACAAAGCTGACCGTCTCGACGCTTTCTCTGGGCGCCGCCGACGAGGGGGCGAGTTCATTGTCAAAGGCACAATGTGGGCAGCCTGTAGAAAAGTCAGCTGGTGTTGACAACCATGCCATTCGCTCATGAAAGTCGAGGAGGCCAGGTCCTTACAAATGGCGACATCGCCAGAGCCGTGCGAATCGTAGCTTTTGAAAACCAGAATCTCGCCAGGCTGCATTTCCGAGAGATAATGCCACCGATGATGAGCGCTGTAGTAGATCAAAAACGATTCCGATTGCAGATGAGGATATATGTTGTCCCCAGCTTCGAAATCTGATCGAGGATTGACAGACTGATAGTCACACACGGCCAGTGGCCAGTCGAACAAGGGACCCTTCAGGGGGCGCCAAGTGCTACAGAATGGCGCGGTCAGAGAGTTGGCTTTCAGCACAAGTTTGGTAGCGCCCACCTACTGCATCACTTGCCATCGTCTTTGCTCTGCCCATGACACGAACTCGGAACCATAAACCATCTGCATTCTTCGCAGAGCCCAGTCGCGAGTGAAATCTACCACGCCGAAATGTCAGTATTCCGCTGTGGTGCAGACAGCAAATTCGGAAGAAGGCAATGGTGGCAGCATACCCACATGTACCCCTTGAATTGGCTGTGGACTCCCGTCGTCGCCTCTTGGCTTCTTTGGGAAGGACTGCTGACGCCTCCTGACTTCATGAGTGAAAGTTTTTGTCGTTTCAGCACCCAGTAGATGCGTCAAGAAGTCCTCCGACGCCTTTCGATACTTCGTTTTCACCACGGCATAATCATCATACTCATCGTACTTCAAGCATGATCCCAAAAAATTCACGCCGAGGCGCTCCCGAATAGCGGACGACTTGAAAACAGATTCGTGCTGGCGATCATCTCGAAACACTGCGAATCCGTTTCGGTCCAGGGTAAAGTTGTTTTCTTTACCTCGCATGTCTTCGATGACGATCCCGGGGTAGGGGATGTAACTCTCATTCGTGGCCAATCCCGGCGGCAGGGCCTCTGCAGGAATGTTGATTAGGTAGGGCTTTTCCTTGTAGAGCTCCAAAGGTTCTAAGTATTGCATTGTCGCTGTAACGCTCGAAGCCTGTTGAACGGATCCTGCCAGCAACCGCCACACAGAACGCAAGCGTTTGAGGGGTTGAGCTCTGGACCCCAAGATGATGCTCATTTCGCTGATTGCCGTCGTAAATTCGTTACCAGTTCCGGTGCAGCCTGTACCTTAGGTCAGGGCACTATTGCACTGATCTTCCGGGCGGTAAGAGTGATTGTGTGTGACATGGGGATGGTCAAAACTCTTGTTGGCGGCAGAAGTGCCGTCAATTGTACGACAGAGGAAGGCAGGCTTCCCCGCTCGAGGGAAGGATGAACAAGGGTTCCAGCATTGCAGTCTTCGTAAATGGTCCGCTTGTCGAGCATGACCGTTATCACCAGTTTTCTTTGCCATGACCAATAAGAGCTTACAACTTGAGCACCGTCATTCTTCGTCATCGAGTGCAGCTTCGTTGGCGCGGGATGCATGTCTCTCTGAACACAAAGCCAGGAACTACGGCCGGTGCTCCAAAGTCAATGGTTATTCATTGCTGAGCGAGCGTCGGCGCCACCTATTCATTCCAGTTACCAGACAACAATATCCGTGCACTTTTGCCTTCCCTTCTCATTCTGTGAGACCAAGCCTTGAGATGTCGACAGCAGGTTTCCTGCCAGCAATGAGATCGCTCATGACCTTCCCACTACCCGGCCCAAGCGTAATGCCATCACTTCCGTGTCCGGTGTTGAGATAGAAGGATCCTTTGATATTGCTCGGTACTTTTTGTGGACCCATGAGTTGCTCCAGTGGTAGCTGGGTGATGACGGGATGTCTCATTTCGACCATTGGTCGATAACAACGCCCCACGCTGATCACCTCGAGAGCTTCACCCCTGGCAATGTCCAGATTCTGGTACACAAATCCGTCATAGCCGCCGACATAGAAAGTGCCTCCTAAATAGCTCGAAATGTCTAGGGTGCGATTCAAAATCCCGGCCAGGTAAAGTTGGTCACATCCGTCCTCATCATCTTCGGGTTTCCAGCGTGGAGCCCTGACAAGCAGGTGATTGCCGGCAGCATGAGCCAAATCAAAAGGGATGGATATCTCAGACCATGGAAAGAGCGTAGACAGCACTCGCGGACTCCACGGCCCTGCTGAGATAACGAGATTGTCGAACTCCATGGCATTCATGCTTCCTCCACGTTGATAGTTCATGTTGAAAGTTGGTGGCTCAAGTGGCCATTGATGGAAAACCCCGCTGTGAGTGAACTTGTTATAATCTGACCTCCCAGCGACTCGAATTTTTCCCGAAGCCACTTGTAGAACTTCCAACTATCACTAGTAACTCACAGTCATTTAAGACTCACTCTCATGTGCCACGGACAACCATAGACTACATTCTTGCAGTCAAGTCAGGGCCGGTTCTCCAGTGATAATGGTAACCTGTGGCATTTGTGAACCAACGAGGCACCGGACGATCGAGAATTTTGCCGTATCCTGGTGGCGCATGCTCCTAGGAACTGGCGCTTCTCACAACGATGTCACTGCAGCCGATAATTGATGCCACCATCGAAATCTTCGTTCAAGCTATTTAGGAGCTCTCAAAACAATGTTGCCAGCTCCGCAGCTTCGTGTTTAAACCCGATGATGCCGGTGTCACCGTCCAAGGCACCTGCAAAGAGTTCAGACTCAGAGTCGAGAATGACGATGTGTGGAAGACGATTCGACTCGGTCAGTCGATCTTGGACCATGTAGTAAGTGGTCGAAAGCCCAATGATTCCTTCTCCGAGAATGACAATTGCGCTATGATCTTGTGGCAATGGGATCATTGGCGCCATTGGGTTCGTCTGAGACGTGTGACGCAGCGAGAAGCTAGGCCAGAGGATTGACGACAGCCAAAACATCTGGGCAGTAGTTGTGCTTCTTATGAACTGCAAGAAAACTGGAAAGTGCAGTTTGAATCTGTCTCGTGACAAACGTGGCTTGGATCGTGTGGGTGTTAAGCTATCTTAACATTCTCGCTCCTGCGCCTGACTGCGCGATGTCGGGCGCGTCACCTTGTGAGGGCGTGGAAGTGTGTCCCTTCTAGGCCGGCGAGGATGATGGGGTCGACATCTTGCCGACCCCGCCCTGCTACGAAACAATGCTTTGAGCCTCAGCAGATGGGTTCCAGCCATGATGTGAATCAGCCAAGGTCGCGCGTTACTTCATGGAGGCGGGATTACCCGTGCGCGGAACTTTGGCTAAGTGCAAAGCTGAAGTCTGTTTGAAGACCAGAGCCAAAGAGAAGGTGGCATAACTCCAGGGATTGTGCTGCGATTTGCAGGCAAGCTTTTCACATGCCTCCATTACACCCACTATTGGACCTAATTAACTTAAGCATTTGGGGCTAATGATTAGCCTAGTGAGCCGTCTCTCAGGTGCCCTGGTGGCTGCCTGGTGAGCCGCATGCCCAACTGGCCCCAGCGCAAATGCCACCGGCTACTTGACACCCAACAACAGACAACCAAGGACGCCCACGATGCCACGGGCCCCCCCTTCAGGACAAGTGACAGTTGGGTGCCCGGGTGACAATCAGGCGTCAGCTTTGAGACCCTTTTTCCATCCTCATCATGACCTACTAGCGTGCTAGCCTAAGCACCGAGTATCGATAGCCGAAAAGTACCAGTCCAAGTTGTGCAACTCACTAGTGAGATATACCATCACATTTCTTCAGATGGCCCAGCATACCCACACCTCGATTCAAGGTCGAGTCCCAGATGATACGGAACATGAAGACACCGCAGACGAAGGTGTTACAGATCGCGAACCGCTTCTGCACGATGTTCAGCGCGACGAGGACGAAAACCACCCGAAACCATGGGAATCTTCTCGGAAAAGCCGCATTCCCATGATTGTCTATCTCATCTTCCTCATGGTCTCCCTGGAGTTTGAAGAAAGTGTTCAGGCTGTACCCACAGTCCGCCTCTACGAGTCAGCAATCTGCCAACAATACTACCATGGCCCAGTCGAGGAGAGCAGGTGCAAAACCAGGCCAATCCAACAGAAGCTGGCCCAGATACGCGGGTGGCAAGGGCTTTTCGACGCCCTCCCCAGTCAGTACAGGGTGAAAAACTGCTTTGGGTGTTGCACACAATGACTGACACTTGCCACAGCCTTGATTCTTTCTATTCCTTTCGGATACATGTCTGATAGAAAGGGCCGTCGACTGATTTTATTTCTGAGCGAACTCGGCGAGATATGCTGCTTGGGCTGGATCCTGATGACTTGTAAGCTATCTCCCATGTTGCTTCCAGCGTTCGCTAACCATAAATTGGTTTGAAGGTTTGCTCTGGGAGAAAGTCCCCATCTATGTCGTCTGGATCAACTCTTTGTTCAGACTGATAGGCGGTGGCCCGAACGTGTCATTCGCCACTCTCCTCGCCATGGCTGCCGATGTCTCCACGCCGCAGACACGGTTGGTCAGCTACACTATTGCCACGTAGCTGGGCTGACATGATACAGGAGCCGCACCTTTTACATCGTCTTCTGTTCAATGCTCTGCGTAGGTGCCGCAGGGCCACGCATAGCATCTGTTGCCCTCGAACACAGCCTCTGGCTGCCGTATCTCTTCTGCGCCGTCGGACTAGCGGCATCTTTTCCAGTCCTTTATTGGATGCCAGAGACCCTCCCTGATACGTCTACGAAACAACCGGGCTCGTTGGAGCTTTCAATCTCTGCGGAAGACTCTGAAACAACACTGAAAGATAAAATCACCTCCGTACTGCACGTCTATCAACTCGTTCTGAAAGATCGGAGGATGCTGGCTGCACTTACCTGTGTATTTCTCGCACAGTTCAGAACGGTCGGCATCGACATCCTCTTGCCCTATGCTTCGTTCAAATTTAACTGGCCTCTCTCAAAGGTGTGAACAAATCTCAATTCATCAGGCCATTGCACTGACATAGGATCTTCCCAGACTGCAGTCCTCATCACTGTCATATACTCCGTCAACATCGCAGTATTTCTGGTGATTCTGCCGTTTGGAGCCATCGGCTTGAAACGTATTACTGCGCTGCCAACGACAGGTGTGGACCTACTCATTGCCAGATGCAGCTTAGGACTCCTTGCCAGCGGAGCTTTCGTCATTGGCATTGCGAATACAGTCGGGCTGATGTTCGTGGGTACGTTATCGAGTCTCTCTTTTTCATCAATACTACAACAATGATCTAATCATTCTTTGATTATCCAGGCTTGTCAATTTTTGCCGCTGGGTTCGGAGCGAGAATATCCATGGTCTCTGTCATGACAGACTTCTTCCGAAAAGACTATCGTGCGCGGGTCTACGCGCTTCTCTCCATTATTGAAGAACTCACACGCCTGATCGGCACACCGTTGATCCAGACTGCGTGGGCGAGAGGGATTGAATGGGGCGGTGATCTTCTTGGATTTCCTTTCTGGATTCTGGCTGTGAGTTTCAAAAGCTACCCACATATCACAGAGTGATGGTTATTTGCTGACAAGTACCGGCCTACCGGCAAGCTTTATTTCTGATTGCTTGCCTCACTGCGATATTCATTCTAGATTCCAGGCGACTTGGGAGATCAACACTGCAAGACTCCAACTCCGACACCAGCGAGCAATTTGAATGAGCGCGACAGGTCCACATTGGGTGGCTATTGTGACAAAGTCGGCTAGAAGGAAGGATGATCTTCGGTAGATTTGTTTCCAAGGAAGGCTTTCCCCATTTCCGCTCTTGAAGAGATATCAAGTGAGAAAAAGGATCAGACAGAGTCACAATCCTACCCGTTTTCAGAGGGTGCCAAAAGAATATAATTCGGCGTACCGCATCAAGCCTAGAAACAAGGAGAGCAGCAAAAAGACAAAGATGAACCCCACCTGATTTGACTGAAAGGAACTAATTAGTGGAAGGAAGAATTTTACTTGGGCGTAGAGATACATACACAGATAACCTTTCGATACCGTGCTGGAGTCGAACGCGCTACCGTTGCGCCAGGGGTCCTGGGACAAATTGTTGAGAAATTTTCGAGTTTGAAAAACATATAAACTGATTTTTTTTTCATAGGTGGGGCCTTCCTACCACGGCCAATAGGGATCCCGACGAACTTGGCACCCCCTGGAGACCCTCGTTAGGTGGTCTCCCCGCAGCGTGCACCACCCCACAGTATCCGGCACGTTCGAGACGCGTCCATCCACAACCTTCAGTCAAACCTGATGGATTCAGAAGCTCAGTGCGCTGCTCTATCGACTAAGGACGATAGTTCTACCCAATTGTATCGAACAACGCTGTCCAGACGGAGAAAAGGCCAAATCCAGTCCCGACAGGACTACCGCGAGCAATGCAGTCTCCTGTCTCGAGCCCAGCAAGAGCGACTTCTCAAATATATCGACGAGCTTACACGCCGTGGGCTACCTCGTAATCACTATAATATTCGCACATTTGCGTATAAAATCAGCGGTAAGTGGCCTGGGACAAACTGGACTTCTCGCTTTGTGTCATGAATGCCAAGACTGCCTGGCTCAGGGGTCCATAACTGCGCAACGCATGCGAACCTCTTGTGTTCTGCATGCGCTGAGTCTCCGTCGATAGCTTATATAGAGATATCAGCTAGTTCGCGCGCCCTTTTCGATACTCTGTGCTCCTCCATTCCTGACACTTTGTCCAACAGTACCGAAATACTATCACGTCTCAGTACCTATTGTGCCGGGGCACGCAAGCTGTCCTGCATGAGGGAAGGACACTAGTAGAGCGAGGCGCCATCAAGTAGAAAACACGGCATGAGAAACAAGTTAGCAGAGAGGGAGTCATCGAGCGGTGGACAACAACGCAACGGGCTTTTGTCTGATGGATATTCTCTGTGCCGTACGTATTCCTTTCGAAGTGCTATACAACGTTCGATGCGATTGAGAATTTCTCGTCTATTCTCGCGAGGTCGAGAAAGGCCATTTCAGCTGTGTCCCATTGTTCAGAAGCCCTGACATGCCAACCTTACGACCGACGCGACACACCAGTTTATTTAGCTCTCAGCTATCCCAAACAACCCACTTCATTGTCTGGCTTCGATATCTCTCGGAAAAAGGCGGATAATTGGTGGTTGAAAAACCATTTCTTCAATCTTCTACAAGAGAAGTGGAATATATACGACTGTGCTCCGCAAAACGTCCATAATTATGGATGAAAAGGGCATTCTCATTGGATTACTACAAAAGATTCGAAGGATCTTCACTAAAGCGTGGCAGGATCAAGGAAAGCTACAAGGAGCCGCCCGGGATAGCAACAGGACTTGGATGACCCTAATTGCTTGCATTTGTGCGGACGGAACCTCACTGCCACCAGCGCTTACCTATCGAGCAGTCTCAGGCAATATCCAGGACACTTGGCTCGATCACTGTCCACCGGAAGATAAATGCTATTTTATAAGTTCCCCAATTGGATGGACTAACAATGAGCAAGCCACCAACGCAATTAACATGTCTCATCGTTAGAACTACCACGGCGGTAACACCACCCGGCTATATTACGATCACGATAACGGTGTCCCACTACGACATCGGCACCACCACGGCAATAGCATTTCCATCACAACGATGGTATCTCACCACGGTGGCAGTATTGGCCCCGTGCTATGAATGCCACCGCCACGGACAGCTATACACATCCTTTTACTCTCGAGATCAACGGTAAACTCGAGATCCACCCCCTGTGCAGTCATTCGCATGGATAGCACTGAACAGGGATGAATGGCTGGAAGATATCCTCGAATGGTACGAATCTCATTTCGATGCAAAAGGGTATGAAGTGGAGTGTATTCACGCTGCACGTTTCACTCGAGCTGTAAGTGCGCTCACCTGTCAATTTCGCCCAGGCAGTAAGTATCGCATCGAAGTCACACATAGTCAAGTGAAAAATTCTGGCAGGAGAGTTACGCCTTTCGTTTTCCTTTACATTCTCTTCCACTGCTCTTCCACCCTAGTCTCTCATTCAGAGTTTCGAACAAGACTTTGTCAATTCTTTCACAATGTCTGGATCTCCTTCTCAATTGCATTGTCAACTTCCTTCCAGCAATTACCACAAAGAGCCTTCCATGTACAAAGTTCCATGCCGCTGGGAAGAGCTAGGATCTTGATTTGTGGCGCGCCATGCAGATTCAATTACCTTACTCGATATCTCACAGAGGTACATGGCGTTGATAAGAACCACTGGGCTGCAAATCTTGCGGCCTTTGTGACTCCTCGGATTCCGTCATCCGCCATCATATTTCGAAGGATCATGGGTCGATATTCATGCCAGCCGAGCCATTCAAAGCCCCCCTCGCCCTCGCATATTACTATCTTCAACAACTCCGAGATCGCGAGCCCGCCATGGCTCAAATACCTACGCGAGGTTTTTACTACAGCAGCCTTCAAGATCAGCTCACCGCCGGGCGCCGCCACGTCGAAGAACCCCATATGCGGTCCGCGGATGTACACAGCCAATCCGGAAAACAAAATCTTCAGCCCACTTAGCCTCAGGTCCAGTCGACAATCACAGAGACTTTCGAACTTACCATGATTCGACCCAAACTCGACTGTGAACAGGGCTTATACCCGGCTAAAAAGAACAGGCATAAAGCCAACGCTACTAAGAGTCGTTGCTAGATGTGTGATATTATCATTGACTCTGACAACAGAACTAGTGTTCGACAGCACTTACGGGACTACCACATAGTGATTGTCGATCTGGACTACACCGAAGTAGCTAGTCGTCACGATGAATCTGGACTCACTGGGCCTCTTTCCAACTTCATGACAGATGATAGCGAGAGTGAGCTGCTTAGTGATAGTGGGGGCGGAGGACTACAGCGAGGATGAAGATGAAGACGTTGATGGCTTCCACGATGAGGATGGCGATGGAGTCACATATCTCGGCCAAGAAGAAACCCCACGCTCGAACCCAAATCACTTAGCTTCTGATGAGCACAATGAGCTAGGTACGTCCAGAAGTACCACGGAGATTCATGAGTCGATGTCATCTTCGGCCTCCACGTCTAAGCACGATGACCGTCCACAACATAAATGGGAAACTTTCATGGGCTGCGTCATGGAGAGCCCATCAGGAGATGTCGAGAGTGTCGCTAGTGCGCACGAAACCAGGGAGCTTGAAGATGGAATATACCGGGTAAGCAAAACCTGGCCGTCAGATCAAGCGCTTGTTTCTGGTGAAACAGTGCATGCTACATTAGCATTAACCGTTGGCAGTGCCAGGTTTTAAGTGCGGAGCAACTTTTCCAGACACATTCGTTACTAATATCCACCTTGAAGCACACGGCGCAACAACCTTATCAACGTGGTACTGCGGAGACGTGACGTGTCGTACTGGTGCTGAGAGAGTTTTCACGGATCAAAAGAGCTTTGACAGTCATATTGAGGTCGAGGATAAGAATTCTGACTACAGCATTGCAGCAGGGCGTCGCTGCCAGAACAGGATGTCTTGATACTCAGCCTCGTGCTGCGACTAAAGTTAACACCAAAACCACAAATCGAGTCTTCCAATTCAAGCGTTGTCCGCGACACCATATGAAAGACATTATACCTTCACTCTAGATGGGAGGATAAAAGATTGCCGTCGATCTTTCGCTACATATCCAGACTTGTGTGCATGGGCGCAATTCTGTGGTGACGAGGCACAGAATGGACCTAGAAAAGGGCAAACATGGAGACACCAGGCGTGGGTGACATTCGCCGTCCATGAGGCGTTTGATGATATCATGGTAGAGGAGCTGAAGCTTCTACGAGGTACATGAGGATCAAACAGAGGATGTAATTGCATGGGCTAAGTTTGTTCGGTTCCGCTTCCCAGACAACTTTGACGCACTCAAAGACGGAGTGCTCGAGTTCATTAAAGATGAATGCGGTCCCAACTTCCTGGAACAGTACGACGATTGTTTCGTACAGCTTCTCCCGCCGATACAGTCTATACCTACGAAGCGCCGTATGTTCCGAATACAGACGATGAGAGGTTGCATGCGGATGTATGAGCATGAGGCGACAAAATTATTCAAGGCGTATGAAGAACTGTGTGAGATGACTGGGACAAAAGATTGTAACGTCCTCCGTCGAATACTTCTATTTCCGAGTCAAGAAGTCGCCGATGAGGTGAGATTACGGACCATTGGCCGACCAGTGTATGCAACGGACGACACGCCTCCAGAATTTATGAGCTAAGTACGCGTGCGGGTGCGCGAGCTTCGCCGTCAAGAGGTAGCGGAGATGAATGGACAGCAGATTATTGTACGGAGTACACAAATTTCAGAAAACGACATCGATAGGCCAAAGTAGTTGGTGTCAGGGGCCTTCGCTAGGCCTCATAGTGAGCCTAGTGAGCCTAGTAGCCCGTTGAGTCGGCCTAAATTGCGGAGGAGGGCGTCTGGTCTATAATTGGCACCGGGAGGCTGCATCAGGTGTGGTCAGAATCTTAAGACAGCATACCAGATCACCAATTTGCATCCAGCTGGCAGGAATATTAACAGGCTGAGCATCGCTGACCCCAATATGGCACAGGGATCCAAAAGCAGCCCTCCTGCCCGGGAGGGGATTTTGACAGAACGAGTAGAAAGGATCGAGCAAGTCTCACTCCTACGGCTTGACTCCCCGAGCACTCTAGGCGTTGGGCGTCCCCTTGTGCGTCCTCCGTACCGAATTAAGGATGAGGTGCAATTTGAGAGCTTTTTTCAGGCTGTGACCCCGGCGACAGCGTGTTGACCATATAAATGGGACCATCAGCCTCCAAAAAGCAACAAACGCGGTGTGTAGTAGCCACCACAACCACGTGACCTCACGTGGTCCTTGGCACTGGCCACATTCTTTGATCACAGTCGCCTAGCGCTCCTGGTCCTCGTCCTGGCAGCTACAGGTGTCCTCTTGAACGCGACGCGCTAGAATCTGACAGATGCATATATATAACCTTGTAGTTTTTGGATGGACTGTGGTGTACCGCACATTCCTCACATCATGGAAGACCGGTCAGAACGAGGCAAAGCCATGCCCACGCCGCCAGTCAGGGGTTAGGACTGGAGGATGTAGTGTTGGATGAGTAGGCGTCACGGGTACAGACAGCACAGGCATCGGACGGGTGAGAATGGCGGATGGAAAATGAACTTGGCAGGACTCTCACCCTCTCATCTTCTCACCCGGGTCATACCCTGCTTGGTCTTGCAGTGCTGTGTAGCGTAATTAAGTGCCCAGCTGCACGTCTTGGTGCCCGTCAGCGAAAGGCAGCCTACAAACCTGCAAACAGCAGATGCCACCCGTTACCACCGGTGTGTGTTTGATGAAGCTGAAAGTGAACGCGTGACGGACATCTGGAGGTTAGGTACATACATAGACGGCTGAACACGATGACATCGCTGTGTCTGCGCTTGTCTGTGCCGTCCCCTGTCACTTGGTCCACAGTTGCTCGTGCCCTGAAGAAAGGAGTTCTCGCTGAGTGTGAGCAAAAGGGCCTGTTTGGAATTGATGCTTGGCACCAGTGGCCGCATGGAAGGGATTTTCCCTTTCTTTGGCTGATCCACCACGAGCCACCACGGACGTTGGACTATCATTCGGAGGCTCTCGCCGTGTGCTGCTCCGTACAACTGCCACCCACCGCCGACGGCACGGGCATCCACCCAGCACGAGAACCAGGGCACCAGGGCACCAAAGCAACCCCCCCAAGACCCCGGCACCGCAGAGCCAGTACCCGTCCACCGTAGCAGCCAGTGCAGTAAGTGCACCGCACCGCAGCCAACAGCCAGGAACAAGCGAGGATCATCTCTCGTTGCACCTCGCACCTCGCACCTCGACCACTTCCACCCATCACCTACCTACCTCCTCAGACTCCCTTCTGTCGCTATACCAGGACTATCAAGCGTAATACGGTGCGTACAGTGTGTGAGATACATGTGCGACATCATGATTGAGTGACACTCCTCGACAGCTCATCAGGTGATTAGACTGGTATCGCCCGACCACATCCAAAGTCCTCCGTCTCTCGAATTCCCTCCTCATTGCAACTTGCATTGCGGCTCTACGCCTTTCTCGACGTCGCCCTTGCCTCCTTTCGCCAACAGATCCGTTGACTGCTCTCTCGTTCACCTCGCCGCCCTCGACGGGCTGACTCAGACAGTCCTCGACACAGACGAGGTCTTTTTGCCCTGGCTGCGGTCAGTGTCATTCCTGGGAAGAAAAGCAACGTCGGCTGTGCGTCGTGTCCCACAGTTTGCTGTAATCAGCACTCGTTGCTCTGACACGCTTGCTTGCAACATTGGCCAATCCGTCCTTAAGTCGTCTTTACAACCCTTTCAAAATCGCGACTGGACGGCTGGCATTCTGAATCTATACTTCCGAGGAAGAGGGAGCCAGACGCTATATACGGGTTGAACCAGCGCGACCGGTCTCGTAGCAATTCCTTTAGCGAGCCACTTCAGCCCAGTCTCCTTCTGGTCTGTCATATGACGTGCAGAGTGTCGAAAGATGATGGAAACACTATATCTACACCGATGACCGCTCCATCTTCTCAGGCTCTTCAGCCACAGGTGGAAATGGAGTCAAGTACTAGTCCCTCAAAGCCTGTACGACGTCCACATCACGTCTCCTCCAACTCCAAATCGATGCCCTCCACTCCCTTCCAGCGAAGCGAGCCTTGTTCACATTCAAGAACCTCTCCTTCCCCAGAACCACCAGCCAAACCCAACTCCCCTCGTTCGCTACCATCCGACAAGAGTCACACGCCACCTGCAGGCCGAAAGCAGTACGGAGGCTGTAAATATGAGACTGGTATGCAAAGAGCACGGCGGCGTGTTCCCTATTCATTGGGACCGGACCCATTGGAAAAGGACAAGTCCGAGTTAAAGACAAGGTTGACTCATGAAGAGAATGAAACACTAACGCGGGACATGCAAAAGCTTTATGAAGAACTACAACCCACTGCAGAGAGCGAAAGCCGTCGGTCAAGGTTTATTGAGAAGCTCGACAAGATCCTTCGCGGAAGATGGCCGACGTCGTCTATCAAAGTCAATGTCTTTGGTTCTACAGGGAACAACCTGGGCACTTCGGATTCCGATGTCGATATCTGCATCACTACTGATTGCAAGGAGATGGAGCGGGTTTGCAATATAGCAGATCTCCTGGCGAAACATGGGATGGAAAGGGTGGTGTGTGTCTCTTCCGCCAAGGTGCCCATTGTTAAAATTTGGGACCCTGAATTACATGTTGCTTGCGACATCAACGTCAACAACCCGCTGGCTTTGGAGAACACGCAACTGGTCCGAACGTATGTCAGCATTGACGCCCGAGTGAGACCCTTGGCCATGATCATCAAATATTGGGCGAAGCGAAGGATGCTGAACGATGCTGGTATGTTGTCTGTTTCCTAATTTGCGAGTTTGGTGCTGATGTTTCCCAAAGCTCTTGGAGGCACCCTTAGCTCGTATACGTGGATATGTCTGGCCTTGAATTTTCTGCAAACAAGAGACCCTCCCATCTTGCCTACTCTGCAGCAACAGCCTAACTTGCAACCGAGAGAGGTGGCCGGAGTGAAGGTTTCGTTTGATCGTAACGTGGACGCCCACAAAGATTTCGGCAGCCGCAACAAGTCCTCTCTAGGAGAGCTCTTGTTTCATTTCTTCCGCTACTATGGGCACGAGCTTGACTTTGAGCAGAGCGTGGTGTCGGTGCGGCTAGGTCGGGTGCTGTCGAAGGTTGAAAAGTCGTGGCACCTTCTCCAGGACAATCGGTTGTGCGTCGAAGAGCCTTTCAACGTGTCGAGAAACTTGGCCAACACCGCGGACGACACCTCGATGCGAGGCATCCACCTAGAATTGCGGCGGGCGTTTGAGTTGTTAGGAGAGGGTAAACTGGCACAGTGCTGCGAGCAATTCGTGCATCCTCCGGATGAGATCAAGCCCTCAGAACACTTTGTGCCACCTTCATCACGCCCGGTGATTCCACAACCTCCCAATCAGCCCCCACGAGGAGCTCGGAATACCCCTCGAGGTGGCAGCAGGAATCTAAGTTCCATGAATCGCAATCCCCGACGGTCTTCAAATCCCACTGTACGGAATCCCAACTATTTGCGCAATCCTCCGTTCCATATGACGACCCATGAATTGCAGCTTCAACAGCAACACCAACAACATCTCCTGCACGACCAGCTGTTCCAGCAATACCAGTACCTCCAACTTCAAGAGCAGGAGCTGAGAATGCAGCTCTATCAACAGAGTCTTCGGCAAAGAGGGTTAATGGCGGCTTATAGTCAACCTGCGGGATATACTCAATTTGTCTCCCAAGACGACGGACTTGATTTTGGATCCAATCAATCGGTCAACGGCGTTGGTCGGGCGCCCATGTCGGCACCATTATACCAGCACGGCTTTCCTCGATCACCCTACCTCTCTGCGAGCCAACCAAGCCAGGGTGTCTCAACCAACCCACCCTCACCGAGACTTAATTCGGGAATTCCGGACACTCGAAGGTTCTCTCGGCGAACGTCGGTAACACAATCATCCACAGGAGGTTCCCTGCGAGCTCAGTCGCAACCTGCACGGGCGGTTCCGGTCACTTCTTTGGGACATTTGCCGCGCCCGGATATTACAGGCCTTCAGGATCCTTCTGTCGGACGGAGGTCGTCCTCGTCGTCGACGTCGCAGGAACCGTACATCGGTTACATGGAAAATGGTTATGGGATGATTGGATCCATCTATGATCCGGTACGGCGCCCGGCCGAGTATCTCGGATATTATGTCGGCCAATCGCCGTCATTATCTGCTTATACTCAAAGCACGGCGATCTCCCCCATCCCTTCACACGTCGGCCTCGCCATCCAGAATGGAGGCCTATCCCCGCGACTTGCTCCAGCATCGACTCGACCGTCGGGGACGATGCACACGCCCCCACTCCAAACGATCTCCACGGCCTCGGTCGAAGAGCAAACCGAACCTGAGCAGGAGTCAAGAAACGGTAAAGGCGGCAACATCGAATCCGACCCGCCAAAGCCTCGAGAGGGCCCGCTCATCGTCGATGGCTCGATAAATTCGCCGCTACGAAGGCGCACGACCCACTCATTCCACGATCCTGAGGATCATATCAATTTCAGCGCATCGACGTCGGAGGACCTGGCCTTTGACACACCATCGAGTTCCGACGAACAATCTCAAGACGCCTTCGACTGCAACGCGCTTGGGCAGATTTCGCCAATCAGTCCCAGTGGGCCTCGAAATCATCTCCCGCATGCAAGCGGTGCTGATCCCGATTTTGCGAATGGCTATCTGCCCTCGAAAGGTATAGCCCCGAGTCCGAAGGCTGGGACACAGGATTCCGTGGGAATGAGTGTTCTGACGAACCTGAAAAAGACGGGCGGCCCAGCGTGGTCTCTTGACCGGCAACTTTCGTCTGTGGAGGAGGTACGCACCCCTTCTCCCAGAGTAGAGAAATTTAACGGACAGAGTTCTTTCCCCAAGGAGAGCAAGGGTCATCATTCTGGGCCGGATGTGGCCTTATCCAATGGTGAAACATTGTTGAAGAATGGTGAGGATCATGCTGTTGCGAGACCGCTTGCAACCAGGACCAACGGAACTACAGGATCTTCGAAACAAGGACCCGGCTCCGTCCCGAATGCCAGCGGACCGAGCGGCTGGCAAACACAAAAGAAGAAGAAGAACAAGAGAAAGACGGTCAAGTCGGAAAACGATGCGCAGACGTCGAGTCTTTCCGTGGGAGAAACGCTCCCGGCCGACGAATCCCTACGGAAAGGCGGCTAGGCGCTCCTTTGGAGAATTTTGCCATAACCTGCAGCTTATTTGGCTTGTCCACGTCATGGAGATGCCACCCCCCCCCAGCTCGATCATTGGGTTCTGACACCCGTCTCACGAACCGATGCATTCTGAATCGAGCCGATGGCCTCCTCCAAGGACAGCATTTTATGATATCAACAGCACACATCTAGTCGTTCTATGGATTTTTGGGTTATGCATGGACAAAATTTGTTGGCGTTTGTCGATCTAGCAGGAAGCAGCATCCCCTGAACCGGGGTGCCAGGCATGAAGGATGGCAGCGGCGTTTCTTCAGCACCACAGGGACGGTTTTCACATACCCCGAGGTTGTGGGATGCATTCACATATACGGCTGGGTTGAAGGCTGGATCTTTGACGGCTTCAAGCAGCACCGCTTCGACAGACGGGCGGATCTCACGGCCTCGCGATCAACGCGGAATGGATGGTTTTTTTTGTTGTTGTTGTTTTTTGCAAAAAGCCGACAGCCAGGACGATGATGAGATTGGGCATTAGAGACGGATCCGTTGCGACCCGAGCCAGTCGTCGGGGGTCTGTTCCCCTTTCTCTTTTCTTTATTTTTGATTGTCGACAGTTGGGGGAGGAGAGAATAGAGCATGGGAGGTTCACAAAAAGCGTCGAATTCCCCAAGCATTCAGCACGCTGCTGGAGCGATACAAACCAAGTGGGGAGAAGGAAAAAGAGGCCGAAGCTGGCTGAAATGAGGGATCGTAAGATTTCTCTGGAGGGGGGAAGAGAGACAGAGCAGGGGGCAGTAGATGAGCACACTAGAGAGAATGAATGAAAGGAACATGACCATTGTTAAGTCCAAGAGCCCAGTCGTACTCTGTGTGTATGTGCTGTATGTACTCGGTACGAGGTAGTTCTCGCTGTACTCGGTCACGTGTATACTGTATGGTACACTCCATACTGTATGGAGAAAGAACATTTTGTCTGACCAATGATGATGCACTCGTACGATCCGGAAGGAGACAGACACTACCTCGTACAGAGCAACATTCGGCGGTGCCTTGCATGATTCACCCCTCGCTTGACATGGCCGGCCAATGGATCTGCTCTTCTGGAATTTTATTGTGGTTCTCAACCCTTTCACCGTTCAATCGAACCCCATGTGCAAGTCGTCACCACCCAGCGAGCCAGCAACCCAGCAGAACGCCGCATGCGGCCAGTCTAGTCAGTGCAAGATCTTGACGAGACTCTTCTGAGATCATTGCTGTCTATCACACCACCTCTCATGCCACAGAAGTCACCGTCCTCCACAACACACAACAGGGTCTCTGTGATCATTAAAGCACACTTCTTTCCCTGCCCTTGTCGGGTTCGACACAGCCGGTTCATGTCTAGATAACGCCTTTATCCTCCAATCCTCTCCCTCTCTGCTTCCCACCATGCCTCTCATACTCGACACTCCCTCGGAGTCCTCGGTCGAGTCGGACTCAGACTTCCAGGAAGAGAGGCGAAAGGTACACCACGATGCGGACGTTGTCATCGTGGGCGCGGGCATCGTGGGGTCTTCGTTGGCGGTGGCGTTGGCAAATCAAGGGCGCAGTGTGATCCTCCTCGAAAAATCATTGAAAGAGCCGGACCGTATCGTCGGGGAACTTCTACAACCAGGCGGCGTCCAGGCGTTGACAAAACTGGGCCTCCGCCACACGCTCGACGACATCGACGCGATTCCGGTCAAGGGATACACCGTGGTTTATTACGACGAGCAGGTGGCCATTCCCTATCCTGCATCGACGAGGGCAGCACAACAATCACCCTCGGAAAAGGCAGGAAATATTCAAAAAGCAGAAGGACGGTCATTCCACCACGGCCGATTTGTTTCCCGCTTGCGCGCGGCGGCAATGTCACATCCCAACATCACCGTCTTCGAGACCGAAGCCATCTCCCTCATTGCGTCGTCTCACACGGCCGAAATCCTCGGCGCCGAATCCATCACCCAAAAAACACAAAGGGATTACTTTTTTGCGTCATTGACCGTCATCTGCGACGGATACGCCTCCAAATTCCGGAAGTCGTACATTCCTCACACGCCCAGGGTCAAGTCCAAATTCTGGGGGCTGGAACTCATCGACTGTCCCCTGCCGGTTCCACAACATGGCACCGTAGTTTTGGGAGACAATGCCCCCGTCCTGCTGTATCAGATCGGCACCCACGAGACTCGTGCTCTGGTGGATATTCCCGAGGGATTGGCATCTACGTCGACGGCAAACGGGGGCGTCAAAGGCCATCTCCAGAAGGTCGTGCTCCCATCTCTGCCGGCCATGGTGCAACCGTCATTTCAAGCGGCTCTGGAGCAAGGCAATCTTCGAAGCATGCCCAATTCCTTCCTCCCTCCCACGACCAATACGACCCCCGGTCTCGCCATCCTCGGAGATGCCATGAACATGCGCCATCCCTTGACTGGGGGCGGCATGACGGTCGCTTTGACTGACGTTGTGTTGCTGTCCGAGCTCCTTGCTCCCGCAAAGGTCCCCGATCTCGCCGACACTCGGCTTGTGGTCAGGCAGTTTCGCACATTTCACTGGCGGCGGAAGGACTTGAGTTCGGTGATCAATATCCTGGCTCAAGCGCTGTACTCGCTGTTTGCCGCCGACGACTGGCAACTCAAGTACCTCCAGCGGGGCTGTTTCCGGTATTTTCAACTGGGCGGCAAATGCATTGACGAACCGATGGGATTGCTGGGCGGAATCATCCCGCAACCGTTTGTGCTGTTTTATCACTTCTTTAGCGTGGCGTTGCTGAGTATCTGGGTGCTCATCCAGGAGCAAGGGTGGCTTTTGTTTCCCGTCAGTATGTTTCAAGGGGCGTTGGTGTTTTTGAAGGCGTGCGTGGTGATTTTCCCGTACATATTTGCCGAATTGAGGAGTTGAATGAGAGGTCCGTCCAACAACAGCAACAGCAACAGCAACAGCAACATTAAAAGGGCAGGCAGGCAGGCAGGCAGGAGAGTGTACAGATTCACAGACAGACAGACACCCATAAATAGATAGATACTTGGTCCGATCGGCACAAACATTTGCAGACCGGGAAGAAGCAGTCAGCTTAAGCTTGAAGAGCGATCGATGCATGATTCTTCCCACTCACTATACACGGTCTGTGAGACTGAGCCGTCGTGTTGTTTGTTATCCAGAGTTACATACATGATATATACAGATATACAGATATACAGATATACAGATATACAGATATACAGATATACAGATATACAGATATACAGATATACATTCATACATACATACTGACCGTACTTGCGTACATAACACCCGGATAACACGATCTCCATCCAACACTACACTTTGGAGCCCGGTCCTCGACACGCAGATAATATCCATTCTCTCATTTGTTTGTTCGTTCGTTTCAGCGCTCCTTTTCTTTTTCTTTTTTTTAATTTTCTCTATCTTTCCTTATTTTCCATCCTGGTTGATTGACTGATTGATTTAATACATACTTAGCTACGTAGGTAGGTACGTAAGGTATGTACAGTCCAGTCCATATATCACAACTTCCCTCCACCACCACGGCCCGCGTCGGCCTTCTGCTGCTTCTGCTTCTTCTCCTTCTCCTTGACCTTGAACGCGTTGATGGCGCCGACGACCAAGGCCCCGTCATTGAAGCGCGTGGGCCACAGCTCCTTCATTCGGGCCACGAGCTCGCGGGCATTCTGGGGCCGGGGGGAATCATCACCGCTGCCTCCTCCTCCTTCGACCAACGCGTCAAAGTCAAGGATGTACCGCCGTGTGCGCTCGAGGTGCCACGCCCCGCACAGCTCGTGCGGCTTGACGTGGCCCGGCACGACGACCTGCGGGGTCGGGTCCAGCGCGGCCACGGTGTCCACGGCGCGCACCCACTCCATGCGCAGGGCGTGCGTGTTGGCCTCGCCCAGCATCTGGTGCACGTCGCCGTAGACCACGTCGCCGGCGGCCACGAGCCGCAGCGCCGGCACGAACAGCACGGTGGACGAGTGTGTGTCGGCGTGCCCAACCTCGACGGCTTGGAGTTTGTATCCTTGCTCATCAACACCCTTCGGGGTGGTGGTGGTGGCGTCGCCCTCGTCCAAGGGCAGGTAGAACGTCCCCGACGCCGGCAGCGGCTCGGCCAGGCGGAACGCCATGTCAATCTGGTCCGGGAATCGCGACCCCCACATGGCATGGAAGGCTTTGGGCGCGATCTGCCCCTTCATGTGCGCGATGGTGCCCGGGGTGGCGACCGCGCGCGCCCCCGGCCACCGTGCCAACAGCCGGTTGATGCCGAACCAGTGGTCGCCGTGCCCGTGCGTGACGTAGATGTAGTCGAGCGTCGCCCCCGGTGCCAGGGTCTGCTCCATCCACGCGATCAGCCCGTCCGTCTGCGACACCGTGATGGGCGTGTCGACCAGCACCGCGTGCGTGGATGTGTGGATCAACGTGCATGCGATCGGGGACCAGGGGCCGCCCGGTTTGCCGTTGGGTGCGGTCCAGGGGATCGAGGGTGAGACGTGGACGGAGGCGTAGAGAGGCATGATGCTGATGGCTTAAGGTTGGGATTGAGATTAGATCGGTGTTGCGTGGCGGTTGATGTATGTGATGGTGGGTAAGCGTGTGTGATAGAGCCACCTAGTTGCTGGGAGATTGCATGCCTTGGACGAAAAGGTATGTTGGGAAGGTGGACACCAAGAAACAAGTAGCAGAGGAGGATGTCTTGGGGAGAGGAAACAGAGAGACAGTTAGATAGATAGATAGATAGATAGATAGATAGATAGATAGATAGAGTCACTCACTCACTCCTTTGCTTTGCTTGCTTCTTTCCTTACCTCTTTTCCCTCCCATTCCCATGATCTCGGCCGGGGAGGCATCTCAGGTTATTATAGCTTTCTCGCTTCCAATCCTGGAGGAATAGACGGGTGTGTGTGTGGGAGAGTAAAAGTGGAGAGAGAGGCAGAGAGCTGTAGGAATATTTGTATAGTAATCGCACCGCGCCGAGGGTGGATGCTGATTGGGTGGTGATTAGCTCCAGCAGCAGGTCTCCGCTATGCACTTGTAGGATCAGATGGATACGGCCGATCTGAGCTGGGAACAGGTATTGGGGGCCCAAACAACGCTGGCATTGCAGGTTTGAAGAGCGTGTGAATGTGAAAAATGAAAAAGGAAGCGATTTAGGAGAATAGAATAGAACAACAAAGGTATAGAAGGAGGTTTGAGGGATACTGCTCTCTCTCTCTCTCTCTTTCGGGGACAGGTATGGTGGAATGGAATAGCTCCTTTCGTAAGCCCCCCGTTCTCATTCGTCCCCGCAGCACCGCCAGATCTCACATATATTGGGGGATTCAGTAATCGAGCATCGTCTCGTTGCTTGCTTGTGGACTCGAAGCGGCCAAGGGAAAGCACTCCTCGGGCCTCATCCATTTTCTGTTTGCTCTGCTCCTCGTCCTCCTCGTCCTCTTCTTCTTTTCTATGCCGTGGTCGCCCTCAGCCTCTCTAGGATATACTCCCCCGCCTTGACGGGCTGCCAGGTGCTGACGCCTACGATGCTCTCCGGCAGCGGCACCACCTCGGCGTCGTAGTTGATGCTGAAGAAGAAGGGCACCGAGTACCTCCCCCCGGTCCCCGGCTTGCTCACCACACGGTGGATGGTCGACTTGTACAGGCCATTGGTCCACCGCATCAGGAAATCGGCCACGTTGACAGTCAGCGTGCCCGGGCGCACGGGGCAGGGCAGCCAGACCGGCCGGCCGTTTGTCAGGGGTGAGGGGGGGAACAGGATCTCGAGCCCTGGGTTGGCCGACGACAGGAGCAGCGTGAAGCATTCGTAGTCGGTGTGTGCGCCTAGCCCGAGCTTGCCTTCTTCGCTTGTCGTGGTAGGGTCTGCAACAACTGGTTGCCCAGCATAGTACAACAACCGGGCAATCCCGCCGGGATGGGTCATGACGTGGTCGAAATACCCTTCGTCCAGGCCCAGCGACAGGGCAAAGAGTCGAAACAGGTGTCGGGCCAGCTGGAGCACTTGGCCGTAGTAGAGTTTGATGGCGTCGTAGAAGCCCGGGAGATCCTCCTCGGCCGGCCACAGGTTTCCCTGTCCAGTCGTGGCGGGGGACTGGCCGTCCAGTTCGACGTACTTTCCATCCCCGCCCGTCGGGTCGAGTGATTCTTCGTACCCCCAGTTGAATCCTTCCTTCGTCTCGGGCTCGTGCTGTTGTTGTTGCTGTTGTTGTTCCGGGGTACTGCCCGCCATGTCGTCGACGTTTACGTACGTGTAGTCGTGGGGCTCGTACCCGCGGAACAGCGGCGAGTGCCTCATGTGCAGCTTGTCCTTCTGCTCCGGCGTCAACTCGTGGAAGAATCTCGACGCCTGCTTCAACACCCCGTCCATGGCCTCGGACGAGATGCCGTGGTTGCTGATCTGGAAGAAGCCGGTGGCCACGCACGCATCGCGAATTTTCTCAGCTACGGCCTTCCTCCGCGAGCTGTCGTCGGAGAAAGAAGGGCCAATGTCAATGAGAGGGACGGTCGGCAACGACTCGGACGGCGCGTTCGATGGAGGGCTGGCGAGAGCTCCAGCGAGACGGCTTCGGAGGTGTTCTTGAGCAGCCTCGACTTCGTCCAGGATACTGGGGCCCGATGATTTGTGCGACAGACGGTCTGGGACGGGCTGCGGTGACAGGACGGATGCTGCCATTGTGATATAGCCGCTGTTTTGATTGCAGAGGATCAATGTAACCTGCAGGGCAGCGAGGGATGATCAAGAGGATCGGGTGATGAATCAAGGTTCCTTATTCCACTCCAGGCATGAAGTTCTGAGGGGCCAGACTATTTGAGGGTCACACAATCCTTTCACTGTGCACAGGAGGCAGATAGATTCAAACGCCGTACGATAGGAAACAGAGAAACGAGGGGCGGAGTTGTGCGCCGGGGAAGACCAGGCTGAAACATGTCCAAAGAAGGAAGTGTTGAGAGAAATAAATATAGTATCTCCAGTCTCGCCTGTGTTTCATCATATTTACCTCGTTCTGTTGCTGTAACGCAAATCTACATGCATTCGAACAAGGCGTCATTTCTCATCAATGGCTCATAACACATCTACTTCGTTGCGCAGGAAGAGATACTGACGGGCTGTTGTAATGCCTGCCCGAACATCTGCAGCCGTCACAGGCAGCACGCGGGGCAAGACATTTGCCGTCGTGTCCTTCCAGTATACCGGCTTTTCCATGTCGGCAGGCCACCAGTCAAACAAAAGAAAGGCTTCGTCCTCAGTCCACGGTCCTGTGGGCCCTTTGGTGCCGTCCTCGGTTAATTCTTCCATGTGGTGGTTGTCTGCATCCAACGTACTGGTGTCGGAGGCACACCGTTGGAGCTTGCTGGGGCTCTTCCTCACTGGGACATTGTCTAGCACCTTCAAGGGGCTTCTCAAATGCGGTGGTGCAGGTTCTGGGATCAGAGTGAATCCGTCGTCTTCCACCACGTCATTTTCAGAAAAGACTCGTCGCAATTGACGTCCATCAGAACCATTGGGAGGTCCCGGTAACAGGTCGCGTTGACTGGGAGGATGCTGGTGGACCACCAAGGGGGGCTGTGGGCCGGGGCATTCTTTACTCGCAGATGCTCGGGTATCTATGTCAAGCTGCGGTGTAGGAATCGCCACCTGCTCAGCTTGGAGGCATGCGGCCACACTGGATTTCGCTGGACTTTCAGACAGCTCGCGGTTATCAGAGCCGGGAAAGGGGAATTCCTCTTGGGTTGGGAGCGGTGGAGGAGAGGGTGAAACCTCTTTAGGATGCTCCTCTGGTATGAATAGAGGGCTGCAACTGCCGTCCTCTTCCTGCACTGGCCCATGCGTGCTTGACTGACCGGAGCATGTGGGCTGAATTGATTCCACACAATCATCGACATTGGCTTGGACATCCTGCCTGGCTGACATCGACACGTATTCCTCGAGAGGTGACGATATATGTCCTTGAGAAGAGTGTCGGCACGGACTTTGGAGTGTTTGTGGCCTTGACGGATTTTTCACAAACGGTAGCACACAAGTCAGTTTGGGCCGGGGCCTTGGTTGGCCGATCAGCAGTCTCGAGATGCGAGACTTTGAGGGCTCCTCGTTGGTGGATGTCTTTGGATTTCCAGGCGCTTTGGCTTTCTTCTGCATCTCTCTGCTCGCTTTCTCTTTCCTGGCATTCACTCTTGGGAGTGGCCACGGTCTCGCATGTGGTGGTTGTTCAGGAACAGGTAGCTGCTCTGCCACTGTTCTCCTTCTTTGGTTGCATACCACTCCAGTGCCCGGCCTCGTCGCCTTCGTGGGCGGTTGTGTAGACTCATCGTCTGACGACAACTCCACAGCCTGTTCAAATTCCACCGGGGATCCCGCGCGGCGAGGAGTTGGCGGAACAGTCTGACTTAGCTGCACGGGCTGAGGTAAGCGCGGCCTTGTTGGTCGGACCGGTGGGTGGCCTTGGTCGAACTGGTTTTCCTTGTCGCTGTCCAGTCGTTGCCTTTTTTGAGGCGACTCGACTGGCCCTGCCCGACTAGATGACCACCTTTGCTCAAAGGGAGACTGCGTAGGTATCCTCGCACGTCCCAGGCGGCCCTGAGACGGTCCCAGCACTTCTAACAGCGACTTTGGCCTTTGGGGGAAGCCCGTGGACAGAGGACGACTTGCCATGGCCGTTGTTGCCAGTTGTGGTGGAGGGGGCCTCTCTGGACGTGGTCTTTCGAGAATGGGGGCCAAATCTGTCTGAGTCTCACCGAGACGCTCTCCGACTTCCACCATCACACCGCGGTCCAGCTGAATCTCGACGCCCTCAGCAAACTCCTCCTCTTGCCTGTAGTGGAGATCCCCAATGTAATTTTTCGCGTCGTCGTAGACCATGACGCGTCGGTTGAAGGTGCGGAACCGTAGGGAGCCATCGTGCCATTTCTTTGCCTTCTTGTGCAGGTCGCGGGTGTATAGACAGCGGAATTCATGAACGGGTGCGGTGTTCTGTGTGGGAGCGACAGTTAAGCTGGTAGAGGCGAACCCACGGTGGGTGGATGTGAGGGTTGTCATGATCACATTTACAGCTGCACCTCGAGGCTGAAATGGTTGTCAGCGACATCCTGTCCGGAGACGGCCAATGGAGATGTTGGCGGACGAAGCTGCGTCGCCAGAGAAGTGTGAAGATAACCAGTGAGAGCAAGTCTCAGATTAACCGGGAGTGGATTGACGGGGTGGATGGGAAACGCGCGTCAACTGAGGCTGGAACTCGGGTGAAGAAGCCAGACAAGCAAACCGCAGGGCCTAGTGAGCCCCCAAGCTAGGGAGGCCCAGGCTTCATCCGCCCCCGTTAAAGCCTGGTGACTGTCTTCCCCCCTCCTCGCCCCTCCCGTTGATCCCCTTAGCTAAACCCTACGGGTAGCCTTTACCAGTATGTCTCCTTCCCTGGCTTGAACTTACATCCCCCCCTACATTTCGTTGCTGGACTTTATTTACTACTGTCCAACTAATTTTCTCGCATTCTCCTCGTGTACTTTTTACTCACATGAACAAAGGGTAAACATTTTAAGCTGCTGGTCAGTTCCCTACTACCAATTTTAATACCACGCTTTCCCTCCTCACCGTTCGTTTCCTCCAAGCCTGGCCGAGCCTCTACAACGTCGATCGACCCTAGTTCCCGTTCTGGGCACAGAGACTTTGGTGGTGGCAGAGGCCAGCGGCAACAGTCCTGTGCCACCACGGACACCTGCACTCTCCTCGTTCTCGAGGCAGCCAAGGGTCTCGCAGCAGGAAATCACATCCGCATCCGCGTTGTGCCTCGACACCCTCCTCATTCTGGCCTCCTCCGCCGAAATTCCTCAGGCCACTGTGCTTGTGACGGTCTTGCCCTTGCCCCAACAGCCAGCAAGCCCGCAGCCACCATGCACAGTGTCCAGCGACATTTTGGCAAGTACATGAAACGGTCGGCCGATGAACAACAGGTCTCGGTGTTGCTCAAAGACTTTGAAGAGGCCGATAAGTTGTTGACAAAAGTATGTGTTCCCGACTTCTGGGGAAAAGGATCCCAGCTGACATTGTGTCAAGATTATCGAGGCCTCCAAAGCCTGGCGAGAGTCCTGGACGTCCATCCTCACTCACCAACATCGTGTGTTCGACGAGTTCAGCCTCCTGTACGCTCCGATCGTGGGGGCCAGCGACGATTACCACGGCCATGTTCCCGTCCAGACCCCCGACCACATTGTCCGCAGGACCGCGAGGATTAAAGGCGAGTACGAGGACTTGAAGAGAGATCTCACCGAGGACTTGGGTCAGGTTGAAGAGAGGCTCATCCGACCGGCTCAGAATGCCAAGGACAGCTTGCACACCATGAAGAAGACCATCAAGAAGCGCGAGGACCGGAAACTCGATTTTGAGAGATACCAGAACCGGGTCGACTCCCAGCTGAAAAAGACCAAACGGTCGGAACGAGACAATGCGGCCCTGGTCAAATCCCAATCCGAGCTGGAGGCGGCCACCGAAGCATACCACGCCGCCGATGATAACCTGCGAGGTTGTCTTCCTCGTCTCTTAACGTCGGTGTTCTCATTGCTTCCCCATTTCCTGGCTGCTCAGATTCAGATCCAGAACAACCTGCTCGGACACTATTACACCATGCTGCACACGTACTGCACGGAGGAAGGGTTCCCTTCTCCGGCTCCGCCGATGGATGAAGTGATTCGACTGTGGAACGATGCCTTTAAACCCGTGCAACGCGAGGCTGAGTCATTGGCTATCTTGGCGAATGGAAAAGCCGCGAGGACGTCCATGGAGAACGGGAGCAACACCCCCGTCAACGGCTACCGCCGCCCCAGTGCCTCTGCCTTCAGTGCACACCGCCAGCAGTCGGTCTCCCCCGCCCGGGCTCTTCCACCGTCGCCATCTTTTGAGCCGAAGACCAAGCTGTCATCGTCGCCCGCCGCGTCGTCGTTTCTCACTGCCACCACTCCCCAGGAATTTACCGCGAGTCCGTCGCCCTCTCAGTCCGTCTACCAGACACCGATGGCATACTCTCCAGCAGGGCCGAACACAGACTATTTCTCTCGTGATCGACACCCCTCTGGGGTATCCATCGTGTCGGCGGCGGCGGCGGCAGCCATTGCACAGAAGAAACGACCTCCACCACCCCCACCGCCGAGGTTACCATCCCAGCAAACGAATTTTGTAACAGCACTGTACGATTTTGACGGGCAAAGCGAAGGTGATCTGGCATTCCGAGAAGGCGACCGGATTCGGGTCATCAAGAAAACGGAGAGTACCGACGACTGGTGGCAAGGGGAGCTCCGGGGCATGAAGGGACCGTTTCCCGCCAATTACTGCCAATGAGATAACCTCCCCATCAGTCAATGGTGCTTGGGGTTGGATGTATTCTGATGCCTTTGCTTTCTGACGAACATAGCAGGGGGACAGGATGGAGCTGAAAAGGGCTGTTACAGGCCTCTAATAATAGCAAGCGAACCAGCATAGACGTGAGCAAGTGAGCGAGTGAACCATGATTTGCACAGGGCAGCCTGCACGGCATTGGAGCAGCATAGCAAAGCGTATGGGATGGGTTGTCGAGATTTCTCGTTGCAGGCAGAAACGGTCCATATACCCCCGAACAATAAGGAGCAATGGTTTTCCATTTGTCTGTTCGCCGTAGACCAGTAACGAGCTCATGTTTGCCTTGTACTTTTGAACATAAACACTACAATATAGACAAAATATAGGAGTTACACATGTCGAAAACTGGATACAGCCTTATACAGCCTAACTCTGGCTGATTGGTTGGATCAATCGTGCGTCCGGTGACTCTGAGCAAAATCCAAGAACATATAAATATCATGCGACTCCCGATTTTCCTCCCGCCTTTGACCTCCAGTCTCTCACCACTCCCACCGACACAATGCCGTCCCAGGAAGAGCCACTGAGTGCACAGAACAAACCCGAGATACTCGTCCGAGGGTTGAACTACAAGTTCCCCGATGGGTCCTTGGGTCTGCGGGACATCAACCTCGAGCTGCCTGCCGGGTCGCGGACGCTGCTGATCGGGGCCAATGGGGCGGGCAAGACGACGCTGCTGCGGCTCCTGTCGGGCAAGAAACTGGCGCCGTCGCGGTCCATCTCCATCGCGGGCGTCGACCCCTTTGCGTCGGGGCTCGAGGGCGTCACCTACCTGGGGCTGGAGTGGGTGCTCAACCCGATCGTGCGTACCGACATCGCCGTGCCGGTCCTGCTCGACTCGGTCGGCGGCCAGCACTACCCCGAGAGGCGGGACGAGCTGGTGCGCATCCTGGACATCGACCTGCGGTGGCGCATGCACATGGTGTCGGACGGCGAGCGGCGCCGCGTGCAGCTGGCCATGGGCCTCATCCGGCCGTGGGACGTGCTGCTGCTGGACGAGATCACGGTCGACCTGGACCTGCTGAGCCGGAGCAACTTCCTGGGCTGGCTGCGGGGCGAGACGGCGCGCCGCGGCGCCACCGTCGTCTACGCCACCCACATCCTCGACAACCTGGTCGGCTGGCCCACGCACCTCGTGCACATGCACCTGGGCCGCGTCAAGGAGTGGGGGCCCATGGCTGGCTTCGACGCCGTGTCTGACGCCTGCGACCCGGCCACGGGGAACAGCAGGCTCGGCGAGCTGGTTTTGAAGTGGTTGAAGGACGATCTGGCTGAGCGGGGGCCCAGAGACAACGGAGCCGCGGCCGGTAGTACCCAGGGCAAGACGTACGAGAGCCTCGAGGGAAAGGGCGGGTATGGATCCGAGAAAGCGCGCGAGCTTAACGATAACGACGACGACGACGACAAAAGCCACTGAACAATGAAGGGCAAAAATGAACCGCGAGGGAGAGGGAATTCTATATGCATTTTGGGAGGCATTCTACTGCTGCTACTGCTGGCATATACTTACTTGGGATACCCCGTCTGATCTTCATTCAACAAGATCATCGAGCGCGTTCGGATCGATCTCATTTGGCCCAGGCGCTGGTGGTGGTGGAGGAGGAGGAGGAGGAGGAGGAGAGGGTGAGGAAGAGATACAGCATTATCTTAGGAGGGGTGGGCCGACGAGGGAAAGCCACATACATATTGGTTTTAACACCATGTGAATACATCCGTAGGGAGAGAGAGCGTACGAGCTGGCAGCTGGGAGCTGGGGTTTGGAAATACTGCATATTACATATTGCATATTGCATTTTTGTCCTTGGTGTTTGTTGCGAACCGATGCTGTCAACAGCTGGGTAGATAGATGGATGGTTTATACGGGAAGCAATCGAACCGGGGGCAATACCACCTAGGACACACTCACACACACCCATCCACCCACATACTGGCTGATATACACTCTTTTCTCCTCTTGTTCTGGAGCTTGTCTCCTCCCACTCACTTCCTTGATGCCCCCGAACAAAGTAGACGTGTCTGATGTCAATCGACTATGGAGGCACCTGTGGTCGTAATATCGTACTGTAACATCCGAATAGACCGTGCCTGTTGCGTGCTTGTCATTGCGCAAGAGATGCAGGTACTCGGGATACCGAATATCTACCTCGTCTTGAATCCCAGCCTGAGCGCTGATGGGAGCGACCATCGATTGACATTCCACCAATGTTGCCCGAGCTCGCGGGTCCTGGGATGGGAAATGAAGGTGGAAGAAACCATCTGGGAGACTCCGGCTGGTCATCAGTCCATGCAGGGGCCCAATACCGTTGAAGACCCTGTTGTGTGGATAATCTGGCCACAAGCCTCTGTGAAATGAGGGCCGTTAACCTGCCCACCGTGTTCGACTATCACAAGCAGCTCTGGCCCCTGCTCTCGAGATGTCCTTTCAACCTCTCTCTGCTTAGCCTGATACGCCCAATCGTCATTTAATCAGAAGAGGAGTTCGATCTCTGGAATCCTTGCCCATGAGTCTGAGAGGCACCGCCATCGCCGCGGGAACCATCTACCCTTCCCTTCCCAAAAGGGCACAGACACGTCCTCACCGCAGCGTGCTTGTCTCCACGTGCCGTGCCACGGGGACAGTTGAACGGATTTGCCCTCTAGATGATCTCAACAAAGGGACATCACGAGCACCCATCCGGTCCACGTGACATGTCTGATTTGCCAAAGGCTGCAGTGTTGATCCTCAGAATCCGAACTGATCCGTCCGCCGAGGCTGCCGCTAATAGATGATAGCCTTCATCATTCTGATCGTTGCTGTCGTCGTCTCTCCTCGGGCGCCAGGCGAGCCGATTGACAGTCTTCGACGGGCAGAAGGATCTTGGGACTTCTACGGTATGCAACACCTGGAGATCCGGTTTCATATCGAGAATGTGGAGCGAGATGGCGCCGTCGTCCTCGCCTACTGCGAGAACCCCACGCAATCCGTCGGGGGCGACGATGGACGTGGCAGAAACGGCGGTGACGGGGCCCTTTCGAGCGATCGACGCGCGTAACGTGAAGCTGGTCTCATTCTCGTTGCCGATATCTCGCGACCACAGCTTGACGAGTTTGTCCCTCCCAGCAGTGACGAAGCTGGGAGTTGCAGTGGTGCTGGGAAGCCACGTCGCGTCGAGAATCATCCTCGAATGCGCCTTGGCGTTGATGGCGACACGAGCCCAGCTCTTTGAATTCTCGCTTGATCGCCGAAACAATGCCCACTGCCGGTCTCGTCCGACACTCAACAGGTATTCTGAGCTCCCTGGGGAGAATGCAAGCCTTGTGACGGTGAGCGAGTGCGCCGACAGAGGCGGTCTGATCTCGTTCCAGTCCCGTGTGTCGTACAGGCGGATCACCGCGTGCTCGAGGGAGCTCGCCCTGCACGCTGTAGCCAGGACGCTGCCGTCCGTAGTTGTCGCTGCTTCGGAGATCTCTGAACCGTGACCGTACAGCTTCTCGTGCTCGGGCCACAGGGTGTGGCGCGCCAGCAGGTCCTCTGTCGGTGGTTCTTGAATGTCAAGCAGCGAAAGCCCGAGACCGTTGGATGTATCAGTTGGGTCCCACGTCTCGTTCGCAGCGCCATCGCCAGTCTCCTCGCTGTCCTCCATAGCCTTGTTCGACAGGCCCAGCACAGGGATTGCTGCGGTGTCGGGCATTTGGGCTAGTTCCGGGGGCAATGTGGTCTGGCAGAGTCGATGGAGCATGTTGGCTATATCCCTTGGTTCGTTGAACACGCGTAATAGCTTCTCGTCCGCGCCAGAAGAGAATTGATGTGGTGTCGTGCTCGCGATGCAGTTGAGGTCGTACCCGTGGATCTGAGGTCGTGAGAATTCGTGCCAGCTTCGTTTTGCGCCCCTTTTCCACTCTGCGTGAAGCCTGGTTGTCTGATCAGAACCGGTGGACAGCAGGTAGCTTCCGTCCGGCGCCCAGCAGATCCCGTTGACAGATTTGGTATGGCCGCTGATACCGAACCTTTGTGTCCAGAACTGCGAGGCCTCGTCGTACTGCCACAGTCGCCAGCTGCCCGTACGGCCGAGGCAAGTGACGGTCTTGCTGTTAGGTCCCCATAGTCCTGTCCAGAAACCCCCGGCAGAACCGGTGGCGGTGGTAGCCCCCTTGGCCGCACTGATCTCTCCCAGACGAGACATGCTGATCCATATTCCAGACGACGGGTCCGGCTCCCATACTGACAGAGATCCGTCGGCCGACGCGGTAAGGAGTTGGGAGCCATTGGGGCTCCATGCGGCGGAATAGATCCAGTCCTCGTGGCCGAGAAGTAATGCCTCGAATGTAACAGAATATTTATGCTCCCCAGCGGACACGGTCTGAACCTTTGCTGACAAGGTACTGTTTGCGGCAGAGACTCCATTCAGTTCGGCGGGTTGCCTTGTGACGTTGCTGCCTCCCAATTGAAAGCGCCAGAGACGGACATATTTGTCCTGGCTAGCCGAGGCGAGCAGGGCCCCTCCATCTGGAGCTTGTGTAAGTGCCAGAGACCGCACCCATGCTTCGTGACCAGTGAGAGTGGCATGATGATGGAATTGCGGGGTCGAGGATAGACCGTCGATGGAGTACACCTGGATATCGTTCCGAGTACCGCCAGCGACCAAGTAAGCATTCTCAGGAGACGATGTGGATGGAAAGGGATTGATGGCGAGAGCCAACGGGATGAATTTTGGTTTGAGGGAGAGAGTAGCCAAGGCTTCAATTTCTGTCTCCTGGATTTTCCAGAGTCTCACTTTTGCATCGGCTCCCCCGGTCGCAAGAATCCTGCTCTGATTTAAGGCGGCAATGGTGTTGACGGCGCCTTCATGCGCAGTTGTCTTCACCAAGCACCTCCATTCCTGGGTTGCGGGTCTGTAGTCCCATACAGCGATCTCGCCGTCTGCGCTGCCCGAGATTAACAGGTCCTTAAGGCCATCTTGAGCTGGATTCATAAATCTCACAGCTGTGACCTTCCCCGTATGGCCGGACAGGAGGGCGGAGATGCCGTGGCCTGAGTCATTCAGCGGCGACCATATGCCTACATTTTGGTCCGCACCAAAGGCAAGAAACCCCGAGCTTGTTGACCAATCGGCGGCCGCACTATGTCTGTTGGCGCCGGCGCTGAGGTACTCGTCCTGAACGAGATGGGGAGACATTGATCAGCAAAGCAGGGCCGGAGTGAGCGAGAAGATCGAGGTGTGCTTGATACTGAAAAACCTACGCCAAGATTTTGGATCATATACAGTCGATTTAGGAATGAAAGTGACGCCGCCCTGTTCTAGGCGTCCAATGTAGCCAATAGCCGTCGTTACATTTCTGACAACCATGTGGCCAGTATTCGGGGCCGCCAAGCAAAGGACAAGCGCCATAAGATTTAATGTTAATCTTGTGCTTATGCACTTAATGAAGAGTACTCTGTATCTACGAGGTACTTCATTCAACATTTCTGTCATAGTTATAATAAAAGAACTCGATGCTTTGAAGGATGTTAAGGGATTCCTAAGCTGAAAGAGGGCGTCCAGCGCCTGTCAATCGTCTCCATGATATCTATGTCTATATCAGATGTATCCTTTGGACACACCAACGGGACAAAGCCTCTAGCGCCTGCTTTGGTTGGAATCGATGGCTTGTTTAAGAGATTTCCTTCTAATCCTTCCCTTTTGGTGTCTAATGGTCCGAGAAGACATTTCCCCTTCCTCGCCCGAGTTTTTCAATGTTGAACGCCGTTGTTCGCCTTGCTAGCTAATTCCAACAACAGAGACATGCAGAGTCTAGTCAGTATTCGTTCAAGGGGACGACAGATCCGTCAATGTTTCCAGCGGAAAGCACTTTCCCCGGATGCCAGATATTCATGACCAGCAAGGCGAAGAACATCGGCACGCCGTCGAAGACGTACTCGCACCACTCGTGCTTGTTGATGTAGTTGTTCAGGCTGCTGCCCTCGCCGGAAGAGAACTCGACAATTCGGTAGACGATCCGGTACTATGTGGCAGTCTCAGTCCCAGTCCCCAAATGAAGTATGTTCCGAAATCATCGTGGGGCGATACATACAGTGATCAAAAGCAGTGAGATCTGCACGGCGTGGATTCGGGTTTTGGCGTCCTTGGATATCTGGCTGTGTGGCATGGCCCAATCGAGCTTCTGCGTCAACCGCATGGTCAAGGCGAAGAAGAAGACGATCAGTGCTTCCTGGAAGACCACTCCAAAGGTCACAATATGAACGCCCGTCTTGGCCGAGTTTGGCTTCTTGCTGAGAGTCATGAGACCGCCGCCGATCTGAATTATGAAGGATCTGGAATTTGCAATGTCAGCCAGAGCTCGACTTCCTCCTTGGGGCCTCAGACATTATATCACAGCAGACAAAGATCTTTCCCATGATATTCCCCCCCAGGCCAAAGACCTTGGTCTTCCGCAGAAAACACCTGACCAGTCGAGAGATGATCATGTAATCGAAGGCGTTGACGAAGATCGGCGCCAGAAGATTCAGAAGGAAAGACGCATCATACGCTCCCTTCTGATCGGGGTGTTTGGCCGACGAGAACCGGAAAGCAAAAGCAGCCGCCTCCATGAGCGAACCAATGATAACGACCAAACAGAAGAGTTGTCGGTGGCGGGCGGCTTGATATATGTGCGCAATGGATGTGCCCAGGAAGAGCAGTGCGAGGATCGCTGCCGCGGCGGGCGATGGGCAGAATGGCCACGGGTTCGAAGGATCGTCTTGGGCTGAAGAAGATTTCGTTGTTTAGCCGACTTTGCAAGACTGACAGTAAACAGACTACCACCACTTACAAGAACAACTAGAGGATCCCATTTCGGAAGGACCTGCTTCACCGCAGAGAGTCTAGGAGACGGGCAGAACTGGTAGGTAAGGGGGGTCGTTAGGTAAGTAGGCGAGCTTCACTTCAATGAGTGTTATCCAAGATCGGAGGAAAGTTCCACGGCTCCCAACGTTGCCGAGTCTCCTTTATAAGTACTCTTTCCCCTGCTGCCCTTGCTGAGACACAACGACGGCCATGGACTGGGTCATTTGAAGGGAGCATCGACATCTTCAGGCTTATCCTCCCAATCAGCCAGCCAGGCGAAGGACAGCCCACTGATAACAGCTCACCCAAAGCATAGATCCCCATCGGAGACTATGCCCTGAGCCCCGTCAACTGCAGCGCTCAGGCCCAACTTGCAAGTCACAGCAGGCGCGCTCCTAGGAGGCTGTGCAGGAGGAAAAAGAGGAGACAAGAGCTCGTTGAGGAATACCTTCCGAGATAAGAGTGTCTCGGATTTTCTCATGTTCAACAGTACAAGGGTGGAAAGGGAAAAGGGGGTTGGGGCTGTGGATGGGGGAGGGGGGGATTGTCGACTTTGAGTAAACAATCGGTCCATTATTGTTCGAAATGCATTCCCGGTTTGGGTAGCTGCTGGCTGCCTGCTGCCTGCTGGGTAAGGCGATTCCGCCTATTATGCCGAACGTGGCCCATTTTGCGATGGAGATCCGGTTCGGTACGTCCAGGAGAGGCGGCTATGGCTTGTGAGCTTCCTTTCCGGTTGACTAGTATCGTGGCTGTGCATCTCGTTGTACCGGAGGTTTGTGGATTGGGGGCCATAATAATCACGACATTTGCGGTACTCTTTTGGCGAGCGGTAGCTGTTGTAAAAGAAGATTTGTCGCGTCCACTGGTTTTTCGTTCCTTTCTTTGTTCTCAGGCTCTGACGCAACCTCATGATCGGTACCAGGGCGCCACCTGAAACATGAGATCGATCAGACGTTGCCTTCTGCATGTGCTTCAGCAATGTTCAATCAACAGCGGCAACTTGCTTTGGAAGGAAACCCCCAAAATTCTCAAATACTGGTCGAGGAAAGGATGAAGGCGAAATAAAACAACTTCAGATGGTTCAAGAATGAAATGCTATTAGCATTTTATCGCAGCGTTATGATATTGAACGCACCATACTTCAAAGATCGACCGCTGAAACAAGACATGAGGAAACATTACCATTCTATCTCTTCCTTTCCTTCTTCAGATCCTCCACCAGGATAATCGAGAGTTTCCTTCAAAGGACCGAATCGGACCGCAAAGAGATTGTTTCCTCGACGATATTTGAACGAGTCGCCTTGTTGGTGATCCAAAGACCGCCACCTGCGTCCGAGCTCCCTCCGAAATGCCAATGCTTCAGATCGGCAGCCTTGACTTCGACAGTTCGTGGACGTTGAGACTCTCTTACAGCCTGTGCCATCCACTCGAAGTTGCCGATCGGGGTATTCTCTTGGATCCAAGCCGCATCTCCAGCATCTATATGACCGCTCAACATCCTCAATCTCAGACTCAGTCCGAACCAAAGGACAAGTAAGAAAGCTAAAAGAAGGAGAGTCACGCCAGAAAGCATGATGAGCTCCCATAAAATGTGCGTTCGCTGAGTAAGGCACCCTTGTGTCTCAGATGAATGACTGGAATCGAGGAGGTAGTTGTCCCCTCCTGCAACCATGGTCATTGAATTGAGAGCTTGTTCTAGGATTCCTCCGGTGTTATTGGATGCAGGTGTGCCCGTACCCTCGTATACTGAGCCTTGAAAGATTTCGACCCAGTTTTGGAGAGTGAGATATGAATTTATTGTTTCTTGAACCGGTTGAAGCTCTCCGTAAGTGTCATTCAGAGTGCATTGGTAACTCTGCATGTGTTTCGTCTCGTTGCCATATGCAGTGGTGTCGACCGAGAACCGCACGTCGAAGACAGCGCCAACGTTCTCTCCAACGGATGTGTCAACAATCACCAAATGAGATATATTTCCGAGATTGGCATCGACATAACACGGAGTCTCATAAAGCAGATCATGTTGTTGTAGACTGGCTACTATGTCGCTGGCTGATACATCCCAGGGATAATCCAGTTCGAGGGGGTTTCTGACACAGTGCCACGCACCCAGCACATCACTGGCATCGGCACTGAAGTCAAGGGCTCGGTTGGCCTTTCTGTAAATGCCCTGCAAGCCGTCATTGAGCAGACTGATGACTTGTGCTTGTGAGACGACCGTGTATGGCGCTCCGTTCCAAGGGACCTTTTGGACGAGCGCACTTGAGACCACCAGGCCCGTGCCGAACTGGCAGCGGTCGTGAACGAGCACCGACTTGATGAGAGCCGAGGTAAAATCCGAGCCCAGGTTCAGGAGATAGGCAAAGATCATAAGCAAGCTCAGCCATCCGCCTGGCAATGTCCTCACCGCAAGCAAGGCATATAAGGAGTCGAAACTTCCCAGCCAAGATGTCATATACGGTAGTGGAACAGTGCGTCGCTGGATAAGTCGAAGTTTAGCGCGTGCTGCCAGACATTTAGTTCCCAGAAGGTTGATCAGGATGAATGCAACAACAAAGAAGATACGGAAAAACAGCCGGACATCGGAGCCAGAATAATCGAGAAGGATTTGTGCCATCTGAGCGAGAAGACCTTTCGTGAACAGGAGGAGGAGCCTGATGCAAACAACCAGGTGGGAGGGGGTGGTGCACCACCCTTTTTCTAGGTGGTCGGCACTGGTCCCAGGAGGCTCTGCGGCATAAATCTGAAAGGGGTGCACAAATCTGCCAAAATCCGTGGAGGCTCCAGGAACCGTCAAAAGTCCCTGCCGTGTCTAGACCAAAATGTGGCTGGCTGAGTATTTGTTCTGGGCTGTTTTAGGCGAGAAATCGACCAAGTTGGCGAGCAGTCTTTGTTGTTCGGCTGGCCTAACTAGTGATAGTGACACGCCTTTAGTACAAATCTGGCCACGGTTTGCAGACAGTCCAGTCCAGCCGGCCACGCCGTCTGTCTCGATGCGCATCTCGCGTGGATAACATAGGACGATGTTCACCCGTGAATTCGGGTCTTCACAATAGCCACACCTCGCTTGGAACAAAAGTGCCGAGGAGACGTATAAATGCCGGATAGCCTCCCCTCTCGTCGTGCTTCAGCCTGATCCTGAAGACGACCGAATTCCTGCCCAAATCCCCGTGCAAATTTGACGATGGTCTTTGCTCTCTTGTCAAGTGTTGTCTTGAGTGGGCTTGCAGGCTCCGCTGCTGCCAACGTGAATGTCTTCCATGCCAGACAGGATGCGCAGACCACCTCGGACCTTTCGTATTCAGCCTTGTATACATCCTGCACCAATTATGTCGCCACATGTCCTCCCATTTTGACCTGTAAGGACATCAGGCCATGTTTTTTCTTTCGAAAACGTCCCTTGGTTGCTGACTGTGAGACAGCTTGTGTCGGCAATTTCTGTGCTTCCTGTGCTTCTCTGGGAGGTAGCCAGTTTATCTCATGTTGCAGTCAGACCGCAGCAGCTGATTGCTTCTCATCGCTTTTGCTTGCTACCACAACTAGTGACGGAAACGCTTCTTCCGGAGCCGTGACTATCACGGGCACAGCATCAATGGCCACCGACTCGTACTCGGCCAGCTGTTCCAGGGCCTTTTCGATGATTGGATCGTGTGCGGCCGCGACTTCAGGATTCACCTCCTTGGATGATGGCGGCCAAGCAAGTTGCCTATGTTACTCAGGCGCAACCTTCGACCCTGGCCCATTCGATCAGCTCCAGAGTGCCTGTATTCCTTGGGCGTCCACTGCGGATCCAAGCGGTGTTTCGGTGTATCAGGCGGCCGCGGGGCTCTGTACTCGGGTTGGGAACGTCAGAAGCGCGACAGCAACAATCAGCATTACAGAGCCGCCAGCCCCAGCTCCGACCACGTCGATTCCCGTAGCCACCCATACGCTGCCTTCGGTCACCACAAGTACCGCATCGAGCTCAACTCCAGCTGCAAGTGGTGCTTCGTCCAGACAAAATGTGAGTACTGCTTCGGAGGGATATGCATCATCTAACTGAGTGTTCAGGTTCCGGCTGGCTGGCTCTTGCTTCAACTATTTTGGTTGCTCTGAAAGTCTTTTCAAGTGCAACTCTGTTGGGACCTGCCTGGGCGAACAAATTGTGGGATTAGGTTGGATGGGGAGGCTCTAATAGAGTCAGAGGGTGGCGGATATGTAAAGCCGTGACGGTCCAGAACCTCATTTGGTGGATCGCAGGCGGGTAGAAGGGGAGGGTTCTAATCTTGAAGGCGACAGAACATGGGACTGGTCCCATTGCTGCTGATCAGACAAGAGCTGTATGCCTGACGTTTGAAAAAGCCATAAGCGAGTACGGGCGCCGAGACGTACATAATCGAGTCTGGTATTGCCGTTGAGCTATGCCAATGTCACACAGATGAAGCTAGTGACAAGATAGGTCTAGCTTGCTAGAATTCCGGACAATATATATTCCGCATATCCCGCTATCAATATGTGCAAGCCGACGATGAAATTACAGTCACTTTAACGACACCCAGTAGGTGTATACCCAGCCACGTCTGCTCTCACAAGGCTGCGGCGTTTGGCTCGTCTCCGCATAATGTCCGAAACGGTCGATATTACTGTTGAATTCACGTACGTGAACCTTTTCCGCGTCTATTGATTGCTCGGCTGACGGAGCGCCAGTGGTGGCCTGGAGATGCTCTTTGATAATGTGTCCAAGCACTCGCTGTCACTCGCCAAAGACGCTGACGACGGAAAACCACCTACTGTCGGATACCTGGTCAAGTACTTGTGCAGTAACTTGATGAAGGACTCGAGAAAAGAGCTGTTTGTGCTCGATGGAAACGTGTAAGTGAGATATGCCAGTGTTCGCAATGCCAGAGCACTAATGCTACGACTGGAAGTCGACCAGGGATTCTCGTTTTGATAAACGAGTCTGACTGGGAACTCGAGGGTGAAGACAAATACGAACTAGTCAACAAAGACACGGTTCTATTCGTGTCTACCCTCCACGGTGGCTAACAGAGGATGCTGTCACGAACGTCGTATCGCAGCCCACAATACTGAGTCTATGACATGCCGAATAGATACCATACATCACACTTGTCACCGCGAATCTTCCGAGGCTTCCATCCGACATTTTCCCGGCGGCTAACCCCCGCCGTTCGTTTCACACCACATCGTGCATCCTCACCGAGAGATTTTCCGAGTCTTCTGGTGTCTTGTAACCAGAGCCCGGCTCCGGTGTACTTGTTCCGGTTCTAGGACTGGCAAGGCCACTACCCAGGCCAGGCACTGGGGTGGCGAATCCACTGGGCGGAGCGGGCATCTTGATGCCTTCCGGTGAGGCGGGAATGATCTCAGGAGGGAGGTTCGGAATCTTTATTCGCTTCGCTTCATTGTTGTAACTGGCGGGAATGATCTGAAAGGGTGTCAGTGTCGGGTTCCACATACTGATATCCGGATATTACCTCAATTATCTCGTCTCGTGGGAATGAGAGGAACGGTATATCCGCAGCGTTACATGCCATCAGATACCCATAAAGCACACGGAGGACGCTTTCATGGGCGATGATGAGGAGGTCGTTCTGCTCCCTTTCCAACTCAAGAATGATAGGTTCCAGTCGAACTGCAACATCGTGGTACGACTGTCATTGTCAGCGCCGCCAATCAGCATCCAGACAATGCCTTTCTTACCTCCGCTCTGGGGAACCTGTGATGGTAGGGATCCAGATCATGCTTTACCACCTCTTCCGGGTATTGCTGTCGAATTCTACGCTCTGACTTCTTTTCGCAAACGCCGGGATTGAGCTGGCTCATTTGGGACCGCTGCCTCACTTTGAACCCTTTGGCTTCCAGGAATGCCGCCGTTTCCACGGTCCTGCGTCTCGTAGAAGTCCACACAATAAGTGGCTTCAACGGTGTGTTGATCCCTCCTTTCTCGATCAGAGTCTGTCTCTCCTCTTCTCGATGCTTGAGCAGTGTCTCGGTCATTTTCTTGGCATAGTCCTTGCCCTGTGGTGACAGACGTGCGTCTGCCTTGAAAGACTCCTCTTCCAGAGTGGTGCCCGCACGAGCAAAATAGGTATGCCGAGATTTGATGTGGAGGTTTAACAGGTAGAACACAATCCGGTGTGATAGATAACCGAAGCTCGTATTGTTGACCACCAGTCTCTCTCCCGCATTGATCATCTTGATCCAGTCGAGATCTGGCTCTTCCATGGTTTCGAAGTGCGGGATCTTTGCAGTTACTCTGTTCAGGTAATGTTTGACCGCGTCGGCTTCAGACCAGCCTATGTAATCGGGCGAAGAGATTTTGACACTGCGGACGTTCTCTTCGATGATCCGCTGGTCGTCACAACTTGACTCGATGAACAGACATTTGATGTCGTGTTTCGCAAACTCCTTGGCTAGGGACCTGCGTCCAGCAGACAGAGGATTGACTGCATCGTAGATGGCAATCTGGCCGTTTTCATGGTTGAGGAAATGGTAAATATCCTCCCTGCACTTCTTAAGGATCTTTTGCCTCAGCAAAACCGACGACGCCGAGGCGTTGACAAAGAAATAGTCGTCAGGGACATCTTTCCCTGGGCCTACGATCGCTCTGCGATAGTCGCCCAGGTGAAAGATTCTAGTCTTCACACCCAGCCACCGTAGATAACGAGCCAATGCCACTGAGATGTGGGTCTTGCCGCGAGCAGGTAATCCTACTGTGGTAATGGCGATCCGACCAGCATGGAACAGTCGCCCCGACTCAGTACTGTAGAGCTGAGCGGGTGCCATCTCGCTCTTCTCTGGGAGATCATGGATCGCATCGACAAATGTGCTCGACTTGCGTCGATAGCGGGGTGAATTGACCGCCGACTCGGCGGTCAGTAGGGTATCCATGGTGGGAGGCGACACTTGTTAGAAAGCTCTAAGCAGGATGATAAGTCACCAGCCGGGCCAGGCGTATTAAATGTCGACCCTGGTTGATCAAACGGACATGGAGCTCCAGCTGCTCAAACGTACGGGCTTGCGGAACTCTTTTGACCTCGTTTACTGCTCGGCCCCAGCTCGGTTGAGTTTCGTTGACAGGCTCTCAGCGGGAAACGCAATATTTCTGCTTGCTACCTTTGTGCATCCACAGCCAAATATTGTCTAGGTATTGTCATGAATGGCGAGGCCTGATCTAACAAGCACTCTCGGAAGAATGAACGACTGTCGGGGCATTTCGTAACAGAAGTGATAAGGTGGGAAGAACGTATGGGGTGGAGACCGAGGTTATTGCCGCCTGATCGCCATCTGTCGCATCCCGCCTCCCATTGGTTACAGTCCCAAATGTTGGTCTTAAGGCAGCAGCCAATCTAATGTCATCGAATGCCGCAATCCGATTCGTCAATTCTGTCCCTTGGCACGGGCTGCGTACGGAGGACTTGCCTTCTACGGAGTTACAGGCCATTTCTTCATAGATTTCCCTGCGCCTGCAAAAGTTGAGCTCCAAGGGACAGCAGATCAGCGCAGTCACGAGAGCATCTTTCAGCTCATCAATCCTCTTCCTCTCCCTCCTCCACTAACCTACTCGAGCATCTGATTCTCTCGGGTTCCGAAATCAGACGGTTGCTGGTGTTTGCGGAAGTGCTGCACTTCAATCCGAAAAGATGGCGGTCGTGGTCGAGGAGAAATCATCATCGACATCTATGTTGTCTTTTTTAACAGACAACGCCATCGCCGCCACCATCGCAGACTCCTACTCCGGTCTCTCAGCGAGGCGGAAGTTATTGGGCCTCGAAAATCCCGGGACAGTCGACAACATCGCGCGCGAGGTCCAAAAGGATGTTCTCCTGTCTAATTTCATGTTCTCGGGCTTGCGCTGCGACTTGCAAAAGGTCTTCAGCATAAACCCTCTATTCCGCTTACAACATGGCTTTGCCATGGGCTCCCAAGCTCTACCACCATGGCAACTGATGGCTCTGTATGGCAATTCTGATGTACGTGTCCCCATTTCCGGTCTGCTCTGCGATAAGAATCATGCATCCGGACTCACCATGTCAATAGGTTTTCATGCAAGCTGCCTACTCGAGCGACCGATCTTTGACTGCTTGGGGCAACCTGAGATGGTCCCCACGATTCGTGACCAAGACGCAGACCTCAATTGATCCGCGACAGACCCAGACAATGGTCCAAATCGAGAACGAGTACACGGGTAATGATTTCACGGCATCAGTCAAGGCCCTCAGTCCGTCGATCCTGGAAGGCGGCCTCACGGGTATCTTCATCGGAAGCTACCTGCAATCAATCACACCAAAGCTTGCAGTGGGGCTTGAGGGTGTATGGCAGCGACCCGCGTTGAACAGCAAACCTGAGACTGCCTTGTCGTACTGCGCAAGATACAAGAGCACCGACTGGATTGCTAGTGCACAATGGTTGAGCCAAGGCTCTTTGGGAGCTACATACTGGAGACGATTGACAGACAAGGTTGAGGCCGGTGTCGACTGTCAACTATCATTTGCTGCTGGTGCGAGCATGTTTGGAGGTCCACGACGGGAAGGCACGACGACTGTTGGTCTCAAATACAGCTTCGCGAATTCAGTCTATCGTGCGCAAGTCGACAGCACTGGCAAGTTTGGTGTTGTACTCGAGAGACGGGTAGCACCTCCAGTGACATTGACTTTTGCAGCAGAGATCGATCAGTGGAAGGTGAGTTTTGAACAGTCTTCCATATATCCCTTACCCTTTCATCGCAGGACGGTTGCTGACTTTCCTGTAGAACACCCACAAGCTTGGTGTTGCTGTCTCTCTGGAGGGTGCTCCGGAAGAACTGCAAGAAATCATGGAGCGTCCAGAGAACCAGAGCGCCATTCCACCGCCAATTTAGTGCATCCGTGGTATGACTTCACCACAAAGTGCCTTCGAAAATGTTTTACTACCCCCTCCTCTTCACTCCCAAGCGAATACCTTCGACAGGGCCAGACATCGCAAGAGTCTCATGAATCGGCGTGGTGAGCAGGCCATTGAGGCCCAACCAACAACCCCTCAGAAACATCAGCCGTGTTCACGACTAGCCATTTTGCCGAGTTTGAATTCTCCCCCACTGGTCAAGGGACAAAAGAGAAGTGTTCGACTCGTTCACTTTTCTCTGTGTATCTGTATGTATGGGCAGGAAGATCATGACGAAGTCGGTGGGCGAGCCGTGTTTGGTCACGGATGGCCATCCTCGCTAAATGAGATTCGACCACGAAATCTATCGATACTGCATAATAGAGGAAAAAGGAAGGCCTGTATCAATAAAATCAGATGCTGGAGTCTATGTGACCGTTTTTAAAAACTTGCCCGTTGCTCAATAACCCTTCGCCTTCTATTGTGCACGTTACACGCCTTGCCGGAGGGACACTTTTTGTCCGCTGATTTCCACAAGGTGTACGAGGTACTCGCCAGTACATCCAAGACTCTCCTCATCCATGCATTTTGTCTTCAACTTCTATCGTCGAGAGTGTCTCTGGGCTAGGTGATTGCTGCAATGGTACAGCTTCTCCTCTCCGAACATAGTCTGATCCCGATTTCCATGTCATGCTTACCAGGGGCGGGTCTCTTGCGGCCTCTGCGCGGCGAGTCATCACAGAGATAAAAGGGACAGTAACTCGGAGCAGGGAGACCTGGGACATTGCTAACTCAGCGGACAAAGAGATGAGGCTACTTCCCAAATTGGAGAGCACCAGCCCCCGAAGCCGAGCATGACGGCAGCAACAAGGGGAGGGAAGAGAAATACAGACCGCCTTTCTCACATGCGACAGACGTTGCAGCCTAGCGAGGCCACGGCCACTTGCGAGGTATTTTCGGGGGAGCCTGGTCAGGGCAATTAAGGAGGTGATTTGCCCCTTGCGTCGACACTCTTTCAGGATATGATGCAGGACAATTTCGTTGTCCGAGCTGTGGAATGCGAGAGCCGCAAGTGCGAACAGTGCACGACAATCTAGACCTCCGCCGAAGCATTCTTGACATGAGCTGGTTTGATTGAATCTTGTGAGGGTGGAGGATAAAGCAAGGAATGGGAGAGTCCCGCGCAGAGGAACTTTGTACCTATTGGGTGAGTCCCAATGGGACGAGCGGGCCGTCCACCACAACCCTTGTTGGAGTTCGAGCCTCGAGTTGCCATCTTTTTCCGAAGTTCAGCTCCCATGGCTGGTGTGGCCGGGGTTGGAAAGGCGAATGACGGATGTATCAAGTGCAGATGGGGTTGCATGCATTGGTTTGCGTGAGCAGGGCGACGTCTGGCTTGTCCATAAATGGAGTCTTGCATGAAGCGCTAACCAAGGCAGAAGAACATCCTGTTCCCACTGGTCTGAGTGACACCTCCTTGCTTCAGTAGTCCCCTTCAACAAATCTTGCTGCAGCTTGTGCTCGACTCGAAGGGAAGAACAGGGATGCGGGTGATGCATTTGAAAGGCATTCGGGTCTCGTGTTCTTCGGCCGGAACAGTTGTAGTTAGGGATCTGGATCAAGAGCAGAAGAAAATACGAGATTTTACTTGGTTGGCCCTGAGTTCTATTGCCAGAGATGTTAGATCCTGTTTTGTAAGATCGCTCGTCCGGTGGATTCTTGACATTTGATAGCCTTGTGGGAAGAGAGAACAAAGGTCCCCTTCAATGGTGATCCACCTAAGCTGCAAGAAAGTCGAAGGAACTTCGGCTGAGACGAACTACATCTGCAAAGGTCGAACTGACGAACCACAAAGAATGTCAATACGGCCTCATGTGTGCCTGGACCAAGTTTAGACAAATCTGCGAGGATGAAAAGAGTGAGGCGAAATGCGGGTAACAGCTGAGGCGCATGTACATACATACGGAGTATGTAGGGCGGATGTTGGTGACCAAAAACGGTTTCGTCTGTCTGAAAAATCCTGAATGTAGTTCAGCCTTCCTGCTGCAAGGAGTGGAAGCGAAGAAACCGGAAATCTGGCTGATGGTGTAGCACAGCATACGTATTAGTTGAGTCAAAGGATACCACAATTTGGTTCATGCACATCAGCTGTGGGCAAGTAGACGCAGAGCGTCAGGAGTTGGCTGTCTTCTAACGATGATGATTAGTCTGTCCGAATCCCAGATCGACAAAGGGATCATGTGTGCAACACGAACCTTTCCCGTCTTGCAATAGGAAAAGGGGGGGGATGCTGGATGGCAAATGCGGCTGTGCATGTGAGTGGATAGATTTTCATGGTTGGCCTTGCTCAGCCCGACAGCTCTATTTGGCTCGCACGAAGGTTTTCTTACTGTCTCGTGCTTTCATTGTTTCAAATGCTGATCTTCCACTTGGTCCCTGTCGTCGGTTTCGTAAGTTGGCCCTTGGGCGGCCACTGTGGTGGTGGCAAGGCTCGGACCTGAGCGGGTTGATATTGTTTAATCTCACCAGACATTTGGTTCCCTGCAGTGGCCACCACGTTGTGCCCGCGGCATGGGTCCTGATGGCTTTTTCCGATGACAGTCTTTCGCTCCCACCAAGGCCGTTTGGCTTGGTTTGAATTCCTTGTCCACTGGCACAAAGTATAAGGAAGAAGTTTCCATCCCCGAAGTCAAAGGATGGAGGAGGTGATGGTGACGGTGCCTGTCTCCAAGGTGACAGTTCTGGGTCGAGTCTCGCTTGCGAGCCTGAACACCGCCCTCGAAGGCAGGGCCCTTTTTTTAAAGTTCCGGAATGCTCTAAGCGTATGCTGAATGACGTTTTGGCATGTGTGTACGTAGCAAACTAGTCCTTGGCCTGGAATCAACCGTGCTACATACGACAGGTTTGTCGAGTGCGAGCCGTTGCACCCTTGTCGGCTGCTAGACTGGCTCGAACTGGTAGATTGCTTGCCCCGTGCCATGCCTGCCATGCTGCCACTCCTTCCTTCATCACAGCTCGTATGCCTCAACAGTTCGGCGGGATCTGGCACAAGGGGAAGCAGAGCCGTGGCCTGGATCGTGCATTGACATTGATGCAGGGCGCGGTTACACCGAACCAGGATGAAAAAAATATGTTGTGTCACTCTCAACACAGAGATTTTGGGCCGCAAGGGCCACCAGCAGCCAGGCGCCGGCGAAGGCGGGTGGTGAGACCAACAAAGTCATGGATCAACAAGCGAGAACGGTGATTCATTGGCCGTGTCGCCGGGGAGTGATCAAACAGCTTGTAAGAGCACGTGGAGAGAGGGGAGCAGATGGAGGTGGTCCTTTTTGCCCAACTTCCCTGACAGGAATGTTTGAGGTTGTCTCGTCGCAAGCATCAACAAAAGCCTTCATACGAGCTATAAGCTGAGATCTGGCTGGGTCGATGTTGCCCTCCGGTCCTGGGCCCTGGTGGCTTGCTTGCAAGAATACCTCGTACTTGGAGCAGCTTAGCTGGAGGGGCACGTTGACGGCAGCCCGGGGGGAGCAGAGTGGATCTGGATCCTTTGCGGGCGAGCCTAACAGGCGATTTGTGCAAGGTGAATGGCCCCTCAGCTAGCATGTCGAGGGTTAAACGGAGATGGGGCCCAGCGTAATGGAGACATGATGCAGTATAGTCGGCGTCAGGGCCTACGACAGGGCATCATCTGACCTGCGACCACTTTTTTCCTCATGCCTTTATTGATTGTCAATGGCTTTTTCTGGGTTCTGATGCCCGCTCTGGGTCTCGCCTATTTGCTCCCAACCTCAGAGCGTCTGGTCTATGGTGGTCTTGTTCCCACTGGCCATGCTGTTCTCCAGGGCCGTTTCGAGGCCCGTCCATACCAGACCCCCTTCAACCCCCCGGGTGCCGAACGAGTGGCAGTGGCCAAGGAAAAGGTGGAAAGAGGTGAGGGACGGGACCCTTGTGGTCAGCATCATCGGACATGTGACGGAAAAAGTTCTTTGCGGATAAGGGACACAGTGACCTGGGGATTCCTGCTATGATGATCGTATTATTCTGAAACGAGGTTGCCACGGTGAAGCCAAGGGGGGGATGACCGTGCCTCCCAAAGCAGCCGGGACAAGGAAGTCGAGACTTGACGAGGATGAGAGCATGTTGCCAGCGCCATGCAGCATGAACCTGAACAACTTGCATGCGGTGCATGCGTTGCCATTCCATCCAGGGAGAGGCCTGGATGAATAATTGGCCCCCCCTCTCTCTGGTGCCCGCTGTTTGCCTGCCCCTCTAGGTCTCTAATATGCGGACTGCCTGTGTAGGGGTTCTGCCGCTGCGCCTGCATCTTAACTCACGCGGCACCTGCACCTTAAGTTAGATGCGCTAAGCTGCCCCAAGTAATAATCCCAACTGCTACGGCGACCTGACTTGTGAACCACTGGTGAACGTGAACTTAACCAGTTAACGGATTCTTATTATTATTATTCCTGGTTCTCCTGCGCTGCACTTTCCTCCTCTCCTCGACCTCATTTCTGACTGACCCAAAACTGAATTCGCCAACTGCAAAGCTGCAAAAGTTCCTTGACCTCAGAGCCCGCATTCTCAACCTCTTCTCGCCCATCCTCCTTGATTCCCTGTCGTGACCTAAAATCATCCATTTTGTCCTTTCCACCCGCCTATTTTCCTCCCTATTCTCCCATCCTTAACCCAACGCCCCGGACGGTCCACCTCTCGACACCGTCGTTGCTCTCCTTTCCCTCGACATTCCACGGTACCGTACCCTTCATCTCCGCCCACTGATCATCTAGTCTAATTAATACCTCCAGCAACCCCGGTTTCATCATAGCGGCGCGAGTTTCCACACCTCATTTCGAAAGCCTCACCTACTACGCAAAGTGGGGAAATTAGCGCTTCGTCTGCCAAACCAAACCCTACCCTCCCTCCTCCTCCTCACCTCCATCGCAAACCTATCCCTCGTCTTCATCCACCTCGACCACATCTTCCTCTCGAGACTCGATAACGTCTGCCTGCGTGGTCGTTGCTATCTCGACCCCCTTCGAAGCCTGGCGTGGTCCGTCGTTCCTTTTGTTTTGACTCTCTTCCTCTACGCCGCTCCCTCTTCGCGCCTCTCTCTTCGGACTGAGTTGCTGTCCTTCCCAACCTACCACACCGTCGCCAAAGTGGATTCCAAACACCCTTAGGGCTCGACTATGTCACAAGCAAGGCCTGGTGGAGTGTTCTCTGGCTTGCGCATGGGTGGTACGTCTTCTTGTGTTACTTGACAAAATCACGAGAGTTCCAGCGATTTCGGAGCACGTGCGCTGACACATTCTTTCAGAAGTCGTGCGTGAAAAGGTGCAGGATGGCCTCACCGGTGAAACAAGAGAGATGCAGTATACCCAGTGCAAGATTGTTGGCAATGGTTCGTTCGGTGTAGTCTTCCAGACGAAGTTGTCGCCCAGCGGGGAAGATGCCGCAATCAAGCGAGTGCTCCAAGACAAGCGGTTCAAAGTGAGATCCCTCTGCATTTTAACTGCCCCTACCTCTTGGTTCAATACTGACGGGCTCCAGAATCGAGAGTTGCAGATAATGCGGATCGTCCGACACCCCAACATTGTCGAATTGAAGGCCTTCTACTACTCGAACGGTGAAAGGGTACGGGGGTTTCCCCTCCTCTCCTTGACACTTCACTGCAATGCTAACCACGGTATTGGTGACAGAAGGATGAAGTCTACCTCAACTTGGTCCTCGAGTACGTCCCCGAGACTGTGTACCGAGCCTCTCGATACTTCAACAAGATGAAGACCACGATGCCCATCTTGGAAGTCAAACTGTACATCTACCAGCTGTTCCGGTCGCTGGCCTACATCCATTCTCAAGGAATATGCCACCGAGACATCAAGCCACAGAATCTCTTGCTCGATCCGGCCACTGGGGTGCTCAAGTTGTGCGACTTTGGGAGTGCAAAGATCTTGGTGGAAAGGGAGCCAAACGTCTCATACATTTGTTCTCGATATTACCGCGCTCCGGAGTTGATTTTCGGCGCCACAAACTACACAACCAAGATTGGTACGTTGACACATGGGTGGTCTGCGCGGATTCGTGAAGCTTGCGTACTGACGAAAAACCAGATGTCTGGTCTACTGGTTGTGTCATGGCAGAGTTGATGCTTGGCCAACCTCTGTTCCCCGGCGAGTCAGGCATTGACCAACTGGTCGAGATCATCAAAGTGCTCGGCACGCCCACTAGAGATCAAATCCGCACCATGAACCCGAACTACATGGAGCACAAGTTCCCTCAAATCAAGCCTCATCCTTTCAACAAAGTCTTCCGCAAAGCGTCCCCCGACGCGATCGAGTTGATTTCGGCACTTTTAGAGTACACGCCAACTCAGCGATTGTCCGCCATCGATGCGATGTGCCAACCATTCTTTGACGAGTTGCGAGATCCTAGCACTCGTCTTCCCGATTCGCGCCATGCTGGCGGTGCTTCACGCGAGCTTCCACCTCTCTTTGATTTCTCTCGACATGGTTCGTCTCCCACGCATGATTTTCCCCTCTTACGTGATTAATTGAGACTAACGGGGCAAGCAGAGCTTTCGATTGCACCTCACCTCAACAGCAAGCTTGTCCCACCGCATGCGCGACCCCTTCTAGCATCTCGAGGGCTGGACTTGGACAACTTCACCCCAATGACAAAAGACGAGATGATGGCACGACTTGATTGATTCGAGGTTCTGCCAAATATGTAACGACGTGACGCCGAGGAGGATATTGTGCGTTGATATGTCCATCATTGCATGCATGTTTCGTTTGGCGACTACACCAACATGCGCCGAGAGACTCCTACGGGTAGCATTCCAGTCATCATGTGTCTAGATGGATATCTTAGCGCAGGAGCAAAGATATCTGTCACGAAAAAGCAACGGCTTTTGCATGCAGGGCAGTAAAATGGACTGGGCTGGCGGTTCGCTGGTTGACGACCCCCGAATAAGGGATGAGCATGAGCTGAGCGATTCACAAAAAAAAATGGACCTCTTCTGGTCTGGCTGGGAAAGTGTGCTCTGTCACAAGGTCCATCATGTCTGAGCTTACGAATGGAAATGGGCGGGTTGAAATGAAGGAGCTGGGAGGTTCAACGACTTTGGCAGCTGGCTATTGTGCTCAGAATATGCAACAGGAAGTGTGCAAGCTGTGCGTGCGTATATTGCTACTGCATCCGCGTACACCTCACGGAAGAAGGGGAGGCAACGCCTTCTTAGAACGATTGGACCACAGAAACTTGAGGGCTAGTTTGGGTCCTCGTATCAGTCTGTAATGCTTTTTTTCCCCAAAAGATAGAAATTGTCCTCTACCCATTGCCTCGATTCCCAAACATTTCACGTCTGGTATTAAGAAGCTCGACAGAGATCCTTGCGAGTGCGGAGAAACTGCCAAGCCTTCGATGATCCAGCTGCGCGACTGAACCAAGTTTCACCTCGTCTCCAACGCGTCTCCTATACCTTTCCCTCGCCCTGTCTCTTGCGATCAGAAAACATCAATCCCCCCGCAAGCACAATCTACACTGACTTAGTGTGCGGCCAACCCCCATCATGGCAGACTACGACCGGCGACGAAGGGGCGGCGGCGGCGGCGGTGGTGGTGGTGGAGGAGGAGGCCATTTCAACAACCGCAAAAGAAGATATAGAGGTAGGCTTTCTCTCTAATGACCGGTGGTCATCTCATGCTGATGATCTCTCAGAGGATGACTACGAAGATCGCCGTCCACAGCGACGTCGCTACGAGGAGCCGCTCGCAGCGACTCTACGTAAACAAGTTTTGTCCATCGCAGAAAGTGTAAGCCCAACATGCTGCTGAATTTTTTCAATTACTCGGCTGACGCGCTGCTAGCCTGTTCGAAGAGCCGAAGACGAAGTTGAAATTATCGCAAAGACTCTGGCGGAGAACTACTTTGATAGCGATCTCACTTCGGGATTTCTAGATCTCGTCGTACAACTGTAAGCCTTCTTCCAGCTTCTACTTACGCGCAATTCCTCTAACGATATCAGCCCTGTCGAACAACCACTCAAGATTCCGTTCGTCGCGGCCATTCTGCTTGTATCAAATGTCCAGAAACCTGAATTTACCACCGAAGTCTTGGTCAAAGTCGGAGAAGCCCTGCAAAAACAAATGAACAATGGCGCGTGGCGCGAAGTTAAACTGTACCTGCGGCTTCTCGGTTGCCTTCAGGGCATGTTTGAGGGAGACGGTATCTTTCCATTGCTTGAAGAACTCTTCTCCCGCGCAGCCGACTTGCAAATGAAGTCGTCAGAAGACGTAAGCTTCCCTGACGGTGCTTTCTCTGAATTTGGCACTGACCCTACCGCAGTCCTTGGGTCTCGAGCTCGTCAAAGTCATCTTAATGACGCTTCCTTACACCATGGCATCCTCCGCAACGGGCTTCGAGACACAGGCCACTGCTCTGCTAGAGAAGACGGATATCATTGCTTCGACTGCACACCCTCTCGAGTCGTTGGTCGATCCATTTCCGAGCCGCGAAGTCGGGGCACCCAGTGGTTCAGAGAGCGCACTTGCGCTTCTTCAGAAACATATGCAAGACGAGTCCAGGAATTCCTGGGAATTGGCCTGCCTGCCTCGCCCGTGGAAAGGAAACCGGTCACCTGAAGAGGAGGATCCATTGACTGGGGCGCAAAAACATCCCTTCCCCAATGTTACTGTCCCGGAGACCGTTAATAACGGCCCTCGACCACTTTTCCCAGAGATTTACTTCTCCGTCTATCGGGAACAAGATATCGAGACGGTGCCTCCCCTGTCGGATCCCGCTGCATTATTGGTTCGAGACGCCCTATCCGACACGATCAACGTCCTCGATTTCAATCGAGCGGTAGCCGCCAAATTTCTGATCGATGTCGATTGTTATTTTGCTCCGGATACATTTGTGAAGAGAGCCACACCATTTGACAAGTTGAGGGAGGTTGCTGGTGACAAAGCAACCTGGAAGCCTGAGGATGTCGTTGTGGACGCGGCATTTTCCCAATTGCTGCAGTTGCCAGCTCCCGAGCACAAGTTGGTGTACTATCACTCGGTGCTGACCGAAGCATGTAAGCTCGCCCCTGCTGCTGTTGCGCCTAGTCTAGGGCGGGCCATCCGGTTCTTGTACAGGAACGTGGACAAAATGGATTTGGAACTCTCTCAACGCTTTTTGGACTGGTTCGCCCATCATCTCAGCAATTTCGGGTTCACGTGGAAGTGGACTGAATGGTACGTTACTCCTTCGGCAGCTGTCTTGGATCTGCTAACTCTTTAGGGTCGATGATGTCAATTTGCCTGACGTTCACCCAAGAAAAGCATTTATTATCGACGCCTTGGACAAAGAGATTCGACTGAGCTTCTCGAAACGCATCAAGGGCACACTTCCAGAGCCATATCAAGCCCTGATCTCGGAGGCCAAGGAAAAGGACGTGCCCGATTTTAAGTACAACGATGAATCCACACCCTTCGCTGCCGAAGGAAAAGAAATTGCCCAGATGATCCGACGAAAAGCGACCAGTGAGGAGTTTGATTCGATTCTGGAAAAAATTGAGCAGGAAGCGGCCGCTTCAGGGTTGTCCGACCCTTCTCTTGCATCAACAGATGTTTTCGTCACGTCAATATGTTGGGTTGGATCCAAATCGTTGTCTCACGCTTTGGCTTGTATTGAACGGTGCAAGGAGCGTCTGCTGGCGATAAGCGCTTCCAGCTCCGCTTGCAGAAAACAGATCATTACCTCCGTTGTCGATTACTGGCGGGATCAACGCGGTGTGGGCGTCATACTCGTCGACAAATTACTCAACTACCAAATCTTGACCCCGGAAAGCGTGGTTGAGTGGGCTCTGATCGACCACGTCTCACGCGGCACGCTCCTCGCCACCACATGGTGTTACGAACTTGTCAGCAACACAACTCGCAAAGTTGCCGGGCGGGTTCGAAGCATTGTGGCTGCAGTTCGCTCGCCTGGCATCCCAGAAGGTCAGAGGTTAGAGCTCCAGCAAACATTGACCCGTGAACTTGAGGGCATGAAGTCGCTTTTCGCCATGATTGAAGATGCAGTTCTCAGCATCAGGGACGGCAATCAAGATGAAATGATGGAGAGCTCTGATGCGTTACGTGCCGAAGAGGAGGAACTGCTGAAGGCGTGGGGAGGGCGATGGGCAAGGGTATTTCAACGAAAGTACGCCGTGGAAGAGAGTTGGGTTAGGGAGGAGTTGGCGAAACCCTTGCCGGTGGTGGAAGAGAAGCCTGCAGCGGATGAGGCGATGAAGATCGACGACGACACCGGCGCTATGAACGGTGCTGGGCAGGTGGTAGGAGCGGGAGAGAACGGGGCAACCGACGCCATCGACGACATTTGAGTCACTATGGCACAGAGGTCCAAAACTGCACCTCAGCAGTTTGGCTGGCGCAAGGCTTGGGCGCTGCAGCTCTCTCTAGCTCTTGTCTGGCACGGTATCCTGGTCTTGGGTATTCAGCAACGAAGGCCATGGGAGAAGATCGAAGACGTCTGGGGTGCGATTATGAAGCAGGTAAGCAAGAAAGCAGCTCGTTGTCATCTCAGGCCTTTCTATTGCTTCAGAGAGCGGCAGCAGGGCTTGTCGGGGGTACAGTTGTAGACTACAGATCATTTTCGCATTTCTTGTAAGCCAGTTCTGCAATGACAATGGAGAGACATTGCCTACATACATAGATGGTAGCCACATGCATGAGCTTCTCATTGCTGCCCTTGTGTGCCGTTGACAAGCACCAGCACTCTGGTCTCTCATCTCTCATCGTCACCGCCAGTAGGAGGGCTAGTCCAAGCACGCAGTGGGATGATAGATGCTTGCATATCCTCTGAGCTTGACCACCAGGCCATGCATGACTTCTGGACTCTCACACATGCAGGCAGGCCACTTGCTCGATCCCTGTCATCTTTTCCCTGGCTATCTGGGTTGTTGTCAAGTCTGTTTGGCTATCAATCGATCACTTGGGTCATTCATTCATTCAATGTCTCAAAGTCAATCAACCAAATGAGATCTCCTCGTCACCACCACCACCTTCGTTTTCACCACAAGCAGCAGCTGCTGCAGACCAGCTTGACTTCAGACGTGTGTGTGTCTAGAGATCCGCCCAGAGCTCCTCGTCTTCTTCCTCAGCCGTGCGCTTTCGCTTTCCGAGCGCCCACCGGCTTCCATCACCGTCGTGCTGCGTGGTGGTAGTGGTGGTGCTGGTGGTGGCTGTTCGTGTCTCTGGCCCGGGCGTGGCCTGGGGTAGTGCGTCGCCGGGGCGTGTCCCCATCGCTTGCGCCTGCAAGTATGCGCGATGGGCCTGCACATGTGCTCGATGCGCCAGCACACGTGCGCAATGCACCCGCACTTGTGCGCAGTATGCCCGTGCCTGTGCGTTGTATGCCCGTGCTCGTGCGCAGTATGCCCGTGCTTGCGCCCAGTATGCCTGTGCATGTGTGAAGTCATGCGCATAATGGTCCGTACGCAGCGCGCTCGGCCGATGGTGCATGTGGTGGCTTCCAACGACGGTTCCTGGTGCGAGGTTTGCCGTCGGAGGTGGCGCTTGCGGACCGCCAGACGCCCTGTTGGAAGGCCCCGAACGTGCGAGCCCTGCATGGGACATGGCGGTCCTTGCTAACAGACTCGCGTCACGATCCAACTCCTTCGTCCAGGATGGCAATTGAGGACTCCGCCGCTCCCAGGCATCACCACGAATTCGGTGTGCTTCCATCTCTTCGAAATCCTGGGCAGCTTCCCCTTGTCCAGCCGTGGGTTCGTCGCCGTTCGGAAGGTTAGCGGAGGTGATGATTCTATCCTGTTGAATGACTTGTGTCACGAGCGAGGGACCTTGGCCTTGTGGGGTCTCCTGGACTGTTGGGCGCCGCTCCACCGTTGTCTGTGACGCTGAAAGGTGTGATCCCGACACGATACTGGTCCCCGTTGCTCCCCAGGGTGAGGTCAAGGAAGTGTCATTCTGGCGACTATCGCTAGCTGCTCGCGAGTCTGTCCTCGGCTGGCGGCCACTGGTTGCTAGACGGTAAGGCTGCTGGCTATCGGGCGCTTGTGCTGGCTCAGATGGTTTTGGGTCACCTAATTCTAGTGTACTCAAGATTAGAGATTGATGGGGTGTTATCACCCTGTATAGGAAAGAAGGACTCACCGTTGGGTACAGTCTCGAAGCTGGGATCTCCTGCATGCATTGTATCATTCGACATGTTGACAACGTAGGGGACAAGGGAAGGAGAAATGACACGTTGGTCGTGAAAATGACGATTCGTGGATCTGGGATTGACACGTAGAGAACAGAAGAAGAGAAGGAAAAAGATCGATGCCAAACACCTCGACGGCTTTGTTTTTATTGCCTTGGTCCACTGCCCTGTCGCGGCGTCGACATCATGACAAGTGATCAAAACATTCCGGACCATTCCATCGTGTGAATGAGGTCGCGATCTTGTGGTGAAGTCGTCCAGGAGGCGCGGATGTTTGCTGCTTATAGATTGTGCAAGACCCAGAAAGCGAACAATTGCCACAAGCACAGAAACCATGTATGCTGTTCAAGTCAACTGTCCTTGTTGTTGTTATTGCCAGCTTGATTCCTCTTGTCATAAGCTGTGTGTTCTTTCGCAGAGGAATCTGAATGCCACCTAAGCCGTCTCGATCATGATTCCGACCCTTCCTGCCCAGGAGTGGATTTTCGGTTGCGATGCCGATGAGAGTGGTCCAGCGGCGGTCCCATCGGTTTGGATATCCAGAATGAGCGCCTCATTGGGAACAGCACAGGGAGCTGCTGCTAGATGCGCAGTACATGAAGTTCACTGGGCTCCAAGGCGTCCTCTTCGTCTTCCTTCAATTTGCAACCTCCACCAATAAGACAGACATTTCCCAATCTCCCAAGCCATAGTCCTCGCCTCCTGTTCTGACAGAACCATCTGCGTTCCATGTTTTGGACATGAACCAAGTTTTTCATAGGCATGGTGGCAGCCGAACTGCAAAACGCCAAAGCAGGCGCCCTGATGTTGGCTCGATGCTAGGCGTCAATTGCCCTAGTAGCATGTACCCTTTTGGCTTTCCCTTGACCGCACTTACACCTAGGGATTTCTACCTCCAGTTCTCCACCAGCATCAACGTCTCCATATTTCCACAAGCTGTGGTGACTTGCGGCTTCGGATAGAACAACGCTGTTTTGAAAGAGCATGGCCGACACCGGCTGAGCGACATCGAGCTCCGCGACAATAGTGGTTCGAAAGTGGTCTCGCGAATGGACAGTTCAGTGCTGCCACACGACGAGGTAGACCAGTGGTGTACGAGAGGTGCAGATAAGATTCCCAAGTATCAGCAAGTACGAAACTTACGAGACCGTTGTGGAAGGTGTCTCTGAAAGGGCTGGCGGCTCCAATGATAGTGACTGTCATGACTCTTTCGCGAGCATGGAGACCTCACTGTTGATAGTTCTCACAGCCCCCGGGTATATCGTCGGGATTACTTCCGGATACCATATCCAGAAAATCCACCCGGCGGCATCACCGGTGCAGAAGGTATGGTACCAGCTTGTGGACCCCCAAATCCTGGAGGAGGGGCAAAGCCGGCAGGTAGGGCATTAGGTTGTGGAAAGCCTGCGGGCACCTGATTGAAGCCTGGTGGCATGAACCCTTGTGGTCCGCCATATCCGGCCTGGCTTGGAGGCGGTCTCGCTGGAAGACCGCTTGGTGGAGCCGTGAGTGGTGCGCTGGGAGGTGGTGGTCGTACTTGTGCTGGTGGCGGGACAGCTTGATAACCACCATTTGGTTGTGCAAATCCCACTGGAGGCACGGGGGCTTGTGAGACACCACCAAAGACTGGTCCGCCAAGCGGAATCGTGGCAGGGGTAGGTTGGACGCCATGCGCCTTTGCTTGAGCCGCAAGCATTCTTTCGGCTTGGTCACCATGCCTTTCACCTTTGCCGTCCTTTTTATAGGCGTATTGGACTGAGACCTCCTTGTTCATGAGGTACTGGCCGTTCATGTTGGCGATGGCATCATCTGAAGACTCAAAGTTGGCAAAAGAGACGAATCCATATCCTTTCGACAAGTTGTTTTCATCGCGAGCAATCTATCCACCATTAGTAAAATTCCAAGGGCATACGAAACAGAAATGAACGTACCTTCGGAGCAGCCACCAATGTACCAAATCGGCCAAATGTGTCGTAGAGCATTCTTTCATCAACCATCGGGTCCAGGTTGCCAATGAACAACTCTGCACCAACTTCAACAGACTTCTGCTTGTCGGCACTAGCCTTGTTGACGCGGATAGGCTTGCCGTAAAGTCTGACCTGGTTCATCACCCTTGCCGCATATTCAGCATCTTCTTCTGAATTGAATTCGACAAAGCCATAGCCTTGGTGGGATTGAGTGACCCGATCCTTGGGTAGATGGACGTTTACAATGCGGCCTGCTTGCAGAAACAACTCCCAGACAAGGGCATCTGTGACTCGCTCATCGAGGTTACCGATGTAGATCGTGGAGTCCTTGTCTTGCTCCCAGTGCCTCGCGCCGGACATGATTTTCAGAAGTATACCAGTACCCTCGGGTGATTTAGACAGTCCTTCAAGCTTGTTCAAGTCGGATTTGGAAAAAGGAGCAACAGAATTGTAGAATGGTTCGTATCCTTGATGGCGAAATTGTTTGCCAAACGTTGAAACTCCGTCAACAACCGCGCGTTTCTATTTTGAGACTAGTTCCAGCCTAAGGTCACGTGCTATTCTCGCCTCATGAAATTGTTCCGCAGCTTCATTCTGTAATTTATTTGCATCAAAGCACTCGATATCTCGCTCATAGACGAATCGACCCTCCTCCTAGAACGCCCATCCTTCTATAGCCAGTCGCAGGGCAGTACTTCCCTTTTCTCGACCAAGATGATTCAGTTCTCCGAAGAGACCAAGGTCAGTTGAGCCATGAAGGCAAGCAAGGACTATCTTTTGACAATGTTTCCCTAGGAGCGCATTGGGAAGATCCTCGACATCACCCGCGAAGTTGTGCATTATGGATATCTCCCTCTCATATTGTATCTGGGTAATGAGACATCGAATGCTTTGAACTTGAGCGAGGTCTAACTCTGACAAGGATATACGCGAAGCGAACCGAAACCCGCATTGATCAGGTACTCTCTTTCCCTGTTGACAGCGACGTGACCTCATATTGATTGGTCCTAGCTTAATATCGCCCTTCGCAAACTAAGAGTCCTCCGTGACAGCTCTGTACAACAGTTGAATGGCCACAAGTTCCAGGTGCAAAACCGCAGAATGATCAGTTGGTGCGAGGCGACGGGTTTGCTGGCAGTACTTGGAGCAGCCCAAGTTCAAGAGAGACAGTGACCGGTCTATATTTGGGGATCTCATGGGAGTTAACGCAAGAGATGGACCAAGCACGTCGATACTCCTCCAATGTTCCCTCCCTCCTCGCACAACCTTGTACAACAATTCTTGTGGTGTCATAATGACACCTTCATTTCCCGACTCTACAACCCGGCCTGATGTGGCAGGTTCGCTTCAAGAGGCATACAAGCCAACCCCCGAGGTCGACTTAGCACATTCTCAGTAGATTTCTGACAGCCTTCAATTGAATCTTCTGAGAGATTTTTGGTCTTTCTTTTGCGCCCCTGTTCCAAGGCTACGTTGACCTGCGACAAAGCCTGTCTTGTTACACGGTAACAGCATGCATGTCCGTGTGATTCGAGCAACCACTTGAGCGATCTATCATATTGAGACTTGTGATCGCAATGACCTCTCTTCATCTCGTTTTGCTTCGCTCACTTGCATTCGGGACAGCATCCACTGCACTGGAGCGCTATAGCCCAAAACACTCCGTTTACGAGGTGGTCGCCAACTGTTTCTACGAACATGCCTGCAGAGCACCGACTGGCCCGTGCGTCCGGGAAGATCCATCTGGTCCGGTTGTGGAGATGACCGCTTCCTGAAGCGAAGACCAAGGGTTTTTCGCGCCGTACTTCAGCCTGATTGCTCGCGGTCCATCTCCTCACTCCCTTTACAAGGCAGCCTTTTGAAAGAGGAACCACAGCTCACAGTCCTGCACCCTTTCGTATCTGCGCAGTCCCGGTCCCTGTCTCTAAGTGCCGCCGTGTTCTGTGTTACACGACACTCTCTCCTCCTGTTCCCTACCCGGATTTCTGACCCGGCGCCTTGGTAGTTGAGCATGATTGAATTCATAGCTGGCCAGATTGTTACACAGTCCATTTTGAGAGAGCTATGATGTTCATGTCATTGGCTTCTATCCCCTTGGGCTGGGAAGGGGTTCTGTCGCGCTCTCCGATCCTTCTGAGTAAGATACCTTACGAGCCTATGCTCCCCGAGCTGGCTGCCAATCGTGTGGGTTAGGCTACCAGGCTACCTAGTGGCTTCTTTTAGCGTGTGATTTTAGGTGACCCTTGCTTTCCCGCCTATTGCCTGCATGCCCGTACGCTCTTTATTTGGCTTCTCCTTACCCACGCCCAGTGCTCCCACTCCGTCCCTACAAAGAGCATCCCATGGGCCATGGCTACCAGGTCGGTGACCCATGATCCTATCCACATCGGCCATCCGGGGCCTGGCGCCTGGGTTTGCATCATGGTTCTACGGCTGGTGGATACGAAGTAAGTCAATTAGACGCTCCAGCCATCCGCCATCCGCCATCCAAGCTCTTGCCATCATCAAAGCTCGCCCCCATTATTCTCCTGTTCGTCGTGCATGGCCCCATCCTCGTGTCTTTGCTTCCTGTTTTCGTGCTGCTGCTCCCTTCCCGTCTTGCCTTGCACCACAACCAACTCCACCAAGACACGCACTTTTCTCTCCTTTCCACTATCCTTCGCGTCAAAGCACCTCTGCCTCTTGCTTCCTCCCTTCACTTGCGCAGGGCTCTCTCCGTCATCCAACGTCTATCCCCCGGCCACAGTGATTTCCAGCACGAACCTGCGCTCCCTGTTGCTGCATCGATTGTGCCTTGGGCCGTCGCCCGGGGCTTCTTTGTGAGCTTATCCGCAATTTTTCTACCCTTACCACTAGCGCCTTTTGCTGCGCTTTCTCTCGCCGGTACCTGCGCTCGTGGCCACGTCCAACCCTCTTCTTCACTCCATTCACTGACCTCTGCCGTAGCCATCAATCATCGCAATCCGGCACAAATCCTTCACGCCGTCAATATAGCATTGTGCATTCATCATGTTTAACGCAACTCAACATCGCGGCAATCCCAATTTGGGGCCTGCGCCTCCCGGCCAGCCCAGCCATCGCCTGAATGAGATTTTGGATCAACTGCGAGCAGAGTTCGACAATCAGTCTAGGGCCTCTGAGCAAGTCGAGGGTCAGGTGTCGCAGCAGATTCAAGAGATGGAGTTGATTCGTAACAAGGTCTATCAGCTCGAGCAGAACCAACTGAAGATGAAGCAGGAGTATGAGGCTGAGATCCGTTTGTTGCGACATGAACTGGAGATGCGCGGGGGAACCCAGGTGCAGTCGCACCTCGGTGGCCCTCCCCAACATGCTGGTCCAGCGCAAGCGCCCCCAGCTTTGGGACACGGCCAGGGTGGCCTATTCAGTGGAATCATGGCAAACCAAGGTCAAGGTGGTCCAGGACTGGCTCCTCCACCAGAACAACCTCCTCCTCAACAACATCCTCTACAACCCCCTCCACCCTCGGCACAACCCCAGGGACCGCCGCCACAACCACCCAATCCCTTTCCTGGCTATCAGCAGGGTCCTACGTTGAACGGTTATGGGCCGCAACCACAGCCTCCTACGAATTCCCCGGGTCTTGGGAAGAATCGATCTATGGCAAGCAGAGGCGCACCCGGACCTGGACCGGCCACTCCTCAGCAACATCCCAATCAACCACAGGCTATGCCATATCAGAATGATCCGAGAGCTTCGCCTCAAATTCCCCGACCCACGCCTCCAGGTTCAGACATGGTACTTGGACCGCGCCACCAAATGCCGGGCCAAGGCCAGTATCCTAATGTCGGCAATGTTCTTGCCGACCTGAATCCGGATGATCTGCCAGATCATCTCAAGCGCACCAGTGCCGATGGCGAATGGCATGCTGTCTTCAACCCAAACGTCCCTCGTGTGCTGGATATTACTCTCTTGCACAACCTTCAGCATACTTCCGTGGTGTGCTGTGTCCGCTTCTCGAACGATGGCAAGTATGTCGCGACGGGCTGCAACCGCAGCGCTCAAATCTTTGACGCCAGGGACGGCCAAAAGGTGTGCGAGTTGCTCGACGAAAATGTCCAGGACAAGGATGGTGACTTGTACATCCGATCTGTTTGCTTCTCTCCCGACGGCAAACTATTGGCCACTGGTGCTGAAGACAAGAGAATCCGCGTGTGGGACATCGCAAGCAAGCGCATTCGCACCACATTCGACGGTCACGAGCAAGACATCTATTCCTTAGACTTCTCTCGGACCGGGCGGTTGATAGCGTCTGGCTCAGGTGACAAAACCGTGCGCCTGTGGGATATTGAGTCAAACCAACAGGTTATGGTCCTCTCTATCGAAGACGGGGTGACGACCGTCGCCATGTCTCCCGACGGGCGTTTCGTTGCCGCCGGTTCGTTAGACAAGAGTGTTCGGGTTTGGGATTGCTCGAGTGGATATCTCATCGAGCGACTGGAAGGGCCACAGGGTCACAAAGACAGTGTCTACTCGGTCGCTTTCTCGCCTAGCGGGCGGGAGCTGGTCAGCGGTAGTTTGGACAAGACGATCAAGATGTGGGAACTCACACCACAGCGAGGACTTATCCCAGCTGCCACAGCCAAGGATGGCAAATGCATCCGCACCTTTGAAGGGCACAAGGTGAGTCTCCCCCCTTTTCTTCCTGTCTCGAATATCTCGTGAGAGAGCCACTAACCATGACGTGCGCGCAGGACTATGTGCTCTCAGTCTGCCTCACTCCCGGAGGCGAATGGGTCATGTCTGGGTCGAAAGATCGGGGAGTCCAATTTTGGGATCCCAACACGGGTAACGCACAGATGATGCTTCAGGGTCACAAGAACTCCGTGATATCTGTTGCGCCGTGCCCGACAGGCCATCTCTTCGCGACAGGATCAGGAGACATGAAAGCTCGAATCTGGCAGTATACCACATGGCGACCGGCACATCAAGGGCTTTGAGCTTGATGGAGTGCGCGAAATATTCTAGAAGGAAAAAAACGACCGCAGATTGGCGAGACTAGGGCTGGAAAGGTTGGCGGAGTTCGCAGTTGCTTGCGGTTTTTTGGGGGGAGGGGGCATTTCGAGACGTCCACCTTCCCATATCAGTTGCTCGCAGTGGTTATGGAACAGACTGAAGCACTCGAAGGGTATTCGGCAATAACGGCAAATGGCATGAGGACTCGACTTGCAGGAGCCTGGGCACGTCTGCATCAGGGGGCTCGTGGCTTCAGGGTATTCTCTCTTAGCTTGACGGTCACTGGGCTCTGGGAATGGCTGGGCTTCTTACGGGCGTGGGAGGCTCGCATTAGTGGATGTTTGGGGGTGTGTCTGGTGGGTGGTCTGTGTTTGAGCTTGGAGTGAGGTTGGAGCGACCGTCAGCAGCCACTCTTCCTTTTCTTTGGGCTATACTCGTGACAGAGGGAAAAAATATTGCTCATTTCGCGTATTGCTCTTCTGTTACACCGGTGAATGGAACGGTGGTGCAGGGAAGACATGGTGATCGTGTAGTCGAAATGCGCATTGAGGAAGACTCGGACGTCAAGACAAGGGCTGGTATCTAGCCGAGCGAGCCAGTCAAGACGGGTATACATTGATGATCGAAGCAGAATTTTTTTAGTCAGGGATACCGATAGCACCAAGAAAAGCCCAGACCATATGTTGATGGGTGATGGGTGATGGGGGATCGTGGTGGGCAATCGAGATGGGCTGGTGGTTGAGTGTGGCAGTCAGTCCCTGACGTACGGGAGCCAGATCGACAGCCAACTGGCGCAGTTACAGTCATGTACAGTTCTTTTTGCTTCCCCCTGTCGCTGGTACTCTACCTCCTCCTCCAGCCAGCCGGCAGCACTGGAAGACTTGATGCACCCAGCACCAAGCACCCAGCACCGTGCCCAGAGATGTCCTCAGAATCGTCCGAGAGTCCAATTCACTTTCGGAGGCGGCCGAGCGCAGCTAGAGCGGGCGTACCCGTTCCCCTTTTCCCTCCCCTCCATCGTCAATCAATCCTTCGTCCGTACTAACTCGATCTGCCTGTCCCAGACAATGAATGTTATCTCTCACCATCACCACCGATCAATGGCAAATACTAGTCCTGAGACCCCAAATCATTCGTCACTCTGGGCGTTCGCTACCCCCGCCGTCCCTTGGACCCAGGAAGCCACCCTTGCTCAACTGTTATCCATCCATGTGACCACGTCGTCCTCTGTCTCTCTCAATGACCGGATCTGAGATCGTCGATATCGGGTCAAGAGGGGGCGAGGATTTCTTCACGGAAGCATTTGCGTAAAAAACTATGGTTGGGCCGGTCGCTGCAGTCTCGGCTATAGGGCAGGCAATTTGAGGGGAAAGCCGCGTGGGATGAAGCATACCATGGACCACTACGAAGCCCTGCATCGCTTGCTTTTCTCCTGATCATGTGCCAAAATCCACGATTGGTCTAGCAATCATCCTGGCGACTCCAAGTCTTGCTCCCAGAACTCCGATTTGCATCCCAGAGCAGCGTCGTGCAGTTCGAGAGAGAAAAAAAATTTTCATGCTCAGCCCAGGATATCTGGGATGCATGCAAGGGAGAAAATCCCGATAGGAAAATCTTCAGCTGCTGCAAGACACCACTAAAGGCACTGGCTGCGGGCAAAGGTCAACTAACAGTAGCCGAATCTTGTTCCTGGCTCGTCCTTGTTCCCAGGTTCGCCCAAGAGCGATCTAAGCCTCACCGCAACCACCCAGAATGGTCATGGGCCGGCTTGTCCTCCAAAGATTCCATGGAAGATGGCGGGAGGAATGCACACGCAGCATGCAGGACCCAGGATCAATCGACCACACATCAGCCTGGGCACTCGCTTATTGCCAGGTTGGCGCCACGAGTGTTTGCTGCATGGAGTGTCCTTTAACAGCATAGCCTGGGAGATCCTGGTCGAGCCGGCAGCCAATGTGGCCGAAATCCCTCCTCGTGCTCCACCAAGCAACTTTTTCCATCCGAGCTTTTTCATGCAGCTCAAAATGGCCTGCGCCTTTACCAGCGCCGACGTGGTTGTGACGGATGAACTACTCGACTTAGCGACCCAATGCCCCCAAACTCCTCCTCCTCCCCCATGCCAGGGATCCGTTCTTGCTTCTTGACTCTCTAGTGGGCTCCCCCAAATCGCACGATCGCTGCAGGCTGGTAGGCTATCGCTCCTGGCCCTGGCCCGGTTGTCATGCTCATCCACCACTTCCCCCCGACCCACCTGAGGGTAACGACGACATCTCCTCACACTCTGAGCTGTCCGCCCCGGCCTGAGTAAGTTTCTTCCCTTGCAGCCCTAATCCCTCCCTTATGCATACCCATGCCTAACTCGCATCTGCGAGTCCCGAAACCATCTAGGGCCGCTCTGACTGGCCTGACGGCTTCCCTCTCCTTCTGTCGGCCACTGGGATGATGCCCGATCTCGAAAAATTTTCATCTTGTGTCATCTGGCTCGCCCAAAGTGGTAAGCACAGGCGCTGAATGGCCTTGTTGCACCCTCGTTCAATTTGGCTGAGAGGCAAGGCTGCACCCTTTCGATACCTTAGCCTCGACGACACCAGATACGACCGATGGGGTCTGCAATCTCTTCCGCTTGCCGCATAATCCCTGAAACCATCATGCTATGGAGCTTTGTCCTTTTCGGCCATGACCATGCCGCTGACTGGTTGTATCAGCGTGCAATGGGTCTGGTCAAGCGAAGAGGTATAATACCCAGTTTGATCTCGTCACTCGAACTATACTGTCTACTCATCCGCAGACCATATTAGACCCGGCTTACGATCTCCAGGCTGCAAGAGATTGTTTCTTCTTCAAAGGCTGCTGTGTTGGCTGTTCACTGTCTGTTCATCCTGGCCACCCCGAGGGCCGCTCCGACCGTCTTTCAGCCACTGGCGACCCGGACCCCCACACTTCGCAGTCCCATATCCGCCCTCTCCTGCTTGATCTGCTGCCAATCCAGTTCCTGGACCGCTATCCGAGTGCGATGTAGTCGTGTCGTTGGCTGTTCCTTACTTCAAGTGTTACTCTATACCCTCGACCCATTCCGAGCGTCGCACACGCTGTCCAAAGAACCATCCATTGTTTTCTCGGTCTCTTCTTGATTTCTTCAGAAGTGAGGTTGCTTCGACACAGGATACCTCTCGGTGTGCAGTCCTTGACGTTAACCACGAAACCCTCTTCAATGTTCAACATGGCCTTCAATCCAACCGTCGACCAGATCGAGTGGCATATGCATCAGTTGAGGCAATGGATGGTGCCCACGTCGGTGCCAGCGCCGTCCAAGCCTGCAACGACGGCACAACAGCGCACATTTCCCCAGGAGTTCTATCTGCAGAATGTGCCTTCGAACGACATGTACGACTATGACTCCTTCAGAGCCCCTGGCTCTGCGCCGCCGACCACCCTTGTTCGTGCGCAAACGTTTTCCAACTTGTCTGAGTATGATTTCTCTCCCCTGGACTACTTCACTCCGGGTCAGGGCCCGGCGACGCCAATGAGCTGGGCAGGAGAAGAGCGAGGCAATTTTGATGATGGCCTCTCCAGCTACTCAGAGGCAGCCTCGAGCTATTTGTCCTCAGATCTCTCAGAGCAGAACCGGCTTGAATCCGTCATCTCATCGAGCCGCACCACTCCTCCCACCGTTCCACAACCTGTCTCGGCCTCAGATCAGACCTCCGAGGTCGATTCGCTCATGAAGACCTTGCAACCTCCTCAGCTGCCTGTGCCAGCGAACAAATCCGGTGGCAAGCCCAAGAAGCACCTGTGCCCTTACCCCGACTGTCTCAAGTCTTTCTCTCAGCCAACCCACCTCAAAATTCATCTTCGTTCCCACACAGGAGAGAAGCCATACACCTGCTCTGTGCCGTCGTGCAGACAAACGTTTTCGCAGTTGGGTAACCTTCGGACTCACGAACGACGGCACGTTGGCCAACGACCGAACCGAAAGAGATCGTCGTCCGATCCAGGAGCCCGAGCTCGGAAGTACGAATGTAAACTCGACGGCTGCAAAGGTTCGGACGGCAGCCATGGAGGCAAAGTCTTCACACAACTTGGAAACCTCAAAGCCCACATGAACAAATTTCACAAAGAGACCCTGGCAAAACTATCGGAACAGTTTGCACACAACGAGGAGCAACCTGAACAGGCTGAGCTTCGTGCTTACTTCCAAGACCTCTACAAGCATAGCAACAAGGGTATAAAGGGGAGGGGCAAAGGTCGGAAAGTTGAGGTGATTGTTACGCCTGAAGAGCCTTGAAGGAGTTGCCCTTTCTTCAAACGACAAGGGGCATATACCTGCAAGCCAAAACCAACGCGAATATCAAATGCATGTCCGCAAACTGATCCTAGTGGTTCAAACGACGTCCCGCAGTCGGTCGGAACAAACATCAAACAGCTCGAACAGCCACGAATTGATCTGAATGGACCATTCCCCCTAATCAGTCTTTACCGACGAGAGAGCCGAACCCCACCATCTCACGAATCCGTTGGGAACGCAGCTTGAGCGAGGACTATTTTGTTCGACATCGATAGCCTCATTGTCCATCAACTACACACAACCAGTCATTTCCGCGTTCCACTTCAGCTTTCCAATCCACAAGGGATCTATTTGTTGGAGGACACAACACAACGAAAACCTGTAAGAGTATCAAGGCGTGCCGGAGGGGGAAGGAAAGAAAGGATGGTAAAGCGATCAAGTTGTCATTTCACGCAGAAAAAAAAGACGCGCCGGTAGGGTGTATGTTTATTCACATGTATCGCCTGCCATCTGTCTATCCTGGTTTGGAGCCATTTTGATTTTACTGTTTTTCCATAGCCATGTCAAAAACATACGCTATAAAATCGCCATCTCAAGGAGGGAGGGGCCTGTCATTACCGCACGAGATACACCATCTACCACAGAGATATGATATGATTACGACTCAAATGAAGGATGACATGATGAAAAAGGAAACGAAGCTGATTCGGATGAGAAAAAGCCGATATCAAAAACACCTTTCTATGTATTATCCCTGTTTTGCAAGCGGTTCTTTCTTTCCCCTTCCTGGCACCTTCTGTGCAGAGTTCCCCAGCTGGGCGCGAGTTTTTCAGAAGATTCTTCTTTTCTTTTGGCCGTCGATCTTTGGAGAAAGGTTGACAGAGAAGCAACAAGGCTGAATTTCCGGGCGTCCAACAACCGGGCGGTTAGCGGCGGAGATATGTTGATGCTACGCTACGTCGACCAGGTGGATATGAAGCTTGCGGCGCCATGTTTCGGTGGGTTTTACCTTTCCATCAGCGGGGCCAAGTTCTTTGCAAATCACGGTCAGTACCGCCTCTGACCGTCTCTCTGTCTGCCTCGCTCGGTCTGTCTATCCGGTCTCCTTTCGACGACGCGCTTTTGGCCCCGAGTGGCTCGACTCAGCCGCCGGGAAAAGGACGACGAGCACAAAAGGAAACAAAAAGAAGAAAGGAAGAGGAGAGATCTGGATTTCCTTTGAAATTCTATGGATCACGAAGATGAGAGAGCGGCAAGACATACGTCCTGGACCCGGGTCTGGAGGGAGAGGGGGGCCTGGAGAAGACAGCGAGACGAGGCGCAGACGGAAATGACTGATCCCGCTGATCTGTCGCAGGGGTAGCCAGGCAGGTAGGGCAGGGAAGGGTAAGGAAGGACACAACGGACCGATCATTGTTCGCCTCGCTCTCCACCGTCCTCCCCTTCGAGAAGAAGCAAGACTGCGAGTACGAGAAAGAGGAGACCGCATTAGACCACAAATGCCAGTCCGGACCTATCTTCGTCACAGCCAGCCAGCCAGCCACTTCCGGGGAAATGTGCCCGCTAACCGGCACAGGCGACGCCCGTTGCAAGCGTACGAATGAAATGGAGGCTGGATCCGTTTTGGGAGACATGACCGGACTCCCGCAGGTGGCGAGAAAGGAAGGGGGGAAAGGAGACTGAATTTGCTTTTGGCGCTGGGCGGGCATGAATTAGTGAATGAATGGATGGATGGACGATCGGGACGGGACGGGCACGATATGCAGGGGGGGAGATGTTATTGTTGTCGACTTGCTGTTGACCATGTTGTTGCCCCCGTGCGCGCGTGACATGGCGCCCGTCCAGTTGTGATACGACGGCGATACGATACACTGCTGCTGCTGCTGGTGCTGCTGCTGGTTATGGGATTTTCGATACAGCGAACGGGTCGTCATCGGCGGTCTCCTCCTCCCGGACCTTCAACCAAGTACGAGTGATGTACGAGTATGTATGTTTTGCCTAGGGAAAGTTCCCACAGGGGAATATTACGTCAAGGAAACTAAGCATCGGTGTGCTTTTGTCTATCCGACACTGCGTTGTGACCTTGTCGCCTCTATCGGGTTGCTGGGCATGTGCTCTCCTAACAAGGCCTCACGCGGCCCTGCTGCCTCTGCTGGGTGACGCCTGATGTCCGAGGGCTAGACTTCAGTATTTTCTTCTGTCTCTCTTTTCTTTCGTTCTCCTTCCGAGTGACGGCGACCCCGGGAGCTGTTGTTGTTATTTTTGCCGCAAGGCTGACTGTCTGACTCGCTCGATCACACCACCGGGTGGGCAAGATGGAGGGGCAGGCGACTGGAACAAGCCTGCCCCTGGACTGGTCTGAGTTAGACAGGCTTCAGGGGACAAAACGACTGCAAGTCATGACTCTAGAGGGGAACGAGCAAGTGTGGACCGTTGGGACCCTCATGGGGATTCTTCTTTGTCGGAAAGTTGCTGCTGGGTCGAAGGATATCATTCATTCACTGTTCACTGTCTGAGATAGGGAAATCTATCATGGTGGTTGTCTTCACCTTCTAAGGCCAGGCCAGCCCGAGGCACTACCTTTTTCGCATGGCATGGCATTGTAGGTCGGAGACACCCAAAGACAATGGTGACACCCTTCGAAGAGTCCGCTTCTTTCTCTGCGCAAGCCTTCCCAACCGGTCCAGACATTCCCTTTGCCTCGCCGAGCTGGCAGACACACACCGGTCACACACTCCATCTGACGTCATGCCTCCAACGTTGCACAGCAGGCCCGGTAAAGAAGGCAAGGCGGGCAAGCAGCGAGGGCCAGGGGACAAGGGGAAGGGGAAAGGTAAAGGGTCCCCCCTTCAGAAGGGACTTTTGACGTGCTCGTTCATGATCGGGCGTCCAGCCATCCAGCTATCCCGCCACCAGACCAAAGGGCAATCTTGAAGGGGGGGAAAGTCTTCAAGTCCACAGAAGACAACGGGCGTGGGATCCTTATCTCTTGTTGCACAACCGTAGGGCAACAGGGAGGGGGGTTAGCAGCACGTCGGCGGAACAGACAGAAACTCGCGGTCAATGGCAGCGGCGCCCCACGACCGTCAGAATTCCCCCGGGGGTTCTTTCCTGTCGGTGAGCAGGCGGGTTAGGCACCGGTCACTATTTTTCTGCCCTTGCCGTTGCGCCTGATCCCCTGCGTGAGGGGCGTTGTGGTACAGCAGCATACGAGGAGGGGGAAGAGGAGGAGGCCGAGGCCGTCGATGAGGTCTCAAAGGAGATAAAGAAGAGAGAGATTCCGATAGCAAGCCCCGTTGCACTTAGTTGCATGAACTGGGCCTTTTGTCATACTATCCCTCGATCCATCCTCACCGTGTTCTTTTCAGAGATTCCAGAAGTTGTAAACTGGGCCGACGTTGTCCAATGGGTCATTTCTTCCAGCAAGCAATTGACGAGGCTGCCACCATGAAGAAGTGGACTAAGCAATTAGTCAGTACTTACGCCTTTGGGGCCAAGGACTGATTAGCGCTGACGATCCTCTCTTGCTGCCACCTCGAAACTCTGCAATGATAATAATATAGTATCAACCTCCCGGGTTGGGGTTGAGATACCACGAGGTCGTGCTGGTAGCAATACCTGGGAAACCAAGATGTCAGGTGTCCTGTCGTGTGACAATCACGCTGTCCGGCCTTGTCGAACCTGTACTCACCAAGGAGCATTTCGGATATTTGGGATCCTTGGTCCTCGGATTCTAGGCGGACTGCGCTGCATGTCAGAGAGAGAGGGAGAGAGGGAGAGATTGTTGCATCGCACCAGACGCAGGTGGTACTAGGAGCAGAGTCTTGGCCCCGATACTGAAGGATGTACCTCGTAGGTACTCCGTAGTCACGCTAGAACGGCTCTGGTCCACGTATCTGTCTCATCATGTAACCTTCCTTCCGTGTTGTGTCCCTGGATTAGCGTCAGCCACGAATAAAACCTCCTCTTCCCCAGCTAGTCTCCGCATGAAAAGTGGCGCATTGGACGCAGACGGGAAGTGACCGGCACTGTCGTCCGGCCCAACTTCTCCTACAGTATGTCTGAGTGCCAGTCAAAGACAGGTTCAAAGCAGTGAGCATCTACTGATAGAGATGTGGGCGGACAGCGTGCATAATCTACATAGTGAACGAAGAGACACTAATCAGAAAGATGATGATGATGATGCTGCTCGGGGCCGGCTGATGCCTGCCCCGGGAAGACTACACGCCATCGAAGGGTCATGCGATGACGAGTGGCATGGGCTCAACTAACGAGGTGATTGGCAAGACGTGCTGGTAGAAGGGCCCCCGTGCCAGATGCGAGCAATGGATTCAGGAAACCACACATGATGTATTCCGCAGCACCTCCTCCATCAAGGGATCCCGAGTGGTAAGAACAGGACGGCACTTCCTCTTCCTTCGATGAGTGGAGACGGGCATCGAAGGCGTGGGATGAGTTCGTCCCAGGCATGGAGAGGATTCTCTGTTCGGCTCGGGCGGTTTGCTCAGAGTTGCAAGGCTCCACCAATGCCCCGCCTTTCTCCCAGCCACCTTGCTCATTGGGGGCCACTAGCCATTCGGAACTAGCGCCAGGGCTAGAGATGGCCGCTAGAAAGACGCTAGAAGCACACTAGAAATAGCTTCTCGAACGTCGGCAGAAGGTGCCATGGGCGCTAGCAAAGTCAAGTCCGACCGCCACCAACCAGGGGTGGGTGACCAATCGCAATGCAACTTCAGAGCAGGCGTTCACCAAGGGGCCTGGGAGCTAGATCATAGAATCCCACCCATTTCGTTCCCACGCTACGAAAACCCCTCTCTTTGGGCCATGCACTGGGTGCTGCCGCTGTCCCCAGGCCCAATCCGGTGCAGGAACTAAAAGCTGCAGGACGGGTAAGCCTTACATACACTTTCCCAAACACGACGGTTGATTTCATAGTTTACCACAGGCTGGCGGGCGACAAGTTGCTTTTTCTGCTCGTGCCAGCAAATCTCGAGGCACTCTCGCAACTCGTGCGTCAATGCATTGACGCAGGAACAGACCTGGCATACGCCTTGCACCCACCCTTTCGCAACGGGCTTCGGACCGCTGCAGACAGAGCCCGCCACACGTGCCCCGTTCCACCCCAAGGTTACGCTCGGCAAGCTTCTGCTTGTCTCCAACATATCTCCTTTGTCGTCCCGGGAGATGGAGATTAGCTTGGAAGGGAGGTGGATAAGGCTACGTGCTCTAATGCTATGCAAGGTACTGGGTTGTAGGCATGCATAATGGTGATTGTAAACTTACAGTAGTCTTGCAAATCCAGTGGGGAGACCTAGTATTCGAAAGTGGAAATTTGAAATGCTGCCTAGCTGATCTGCCGACAACCCTCATGATCGGTGGCCTCGATCAGGGCCGCGTTCCATGTCCGCCTCTTATGGCCTTGTGACGTGCCAGAAGCGAACGATCGACTCTGAGTCTGATGTACCTAGTGCGTTCCATCCCGCTTCGGAGGCCGCCGAAACTAGGCCTCGACTACTCAATTGAGTAATGTAAATTCGCGCAGACCTGGCGACTGACCCAACCGCTGCCTCGAGATGGTGAAGAGACTCTTACCAAGACAGTAGTATTAAGGAGCCACCGGTCCCCTATTTACTAGGCCACACGACCGCTGATCATGAAACCTGGATGGCGTGGGATGCTGCAGGAGCCAATTTCATGCAGCACAGTCTGGCGAATGCTCTGACCGCTTGATTCTTTCTCACAGGGGCCTTTCCCCTTTTCGCGCCACCCCCGTGGCGATGGCGGGCTCCTCCTCCACACCTCCAAACATCCTCGGCAAAGCCCATCGAGTATTCTCATACACGAGGAAAGTGACACATGTGCTGGGGACAACACGAAGAAGGTTGGGAAAGAGACCTTTGTAATAGCCCACGAAACCTTCGTTGCGCCAAATCTGTTTGATCAAGGCGATGACACCTGGACCCCTGACATGTGTGGTTGCACTCGGATCGTATGTCTGCAGCCTAGCCCGCACCAATTGATGAGGATATGTCACGGTCCCAGCGAAGACTTTGGACAATGAAGAAGCCATGATGGTGTCTAGGTTCGAAAGTGGCTGGTCTCTCTTGGACTTTTTGCGCCACAACTTGAGCTTCTCATACGCCACAAAATACAGCGAACCATGACTGACACCGACGAGCGTAGGAGTCAGGCCGTGGAAAAACCCACGTATCCCTTCTGTCCTGTATATTGCTCGCAGCCCATACATCAAACCCGGATATGCTCCCGCTTGAGAGGCGGAGGTGGAGAGCATCCGCGTCTTCACCACCCAGATAGGATTCGTCAGGATGGCAGCGAGGAGGCCAGAAGCAGAGGAGGCCGTGAGATAATCGACAGCCGTGAGTTGTTGACCGGCAGAATAGCCTCGGAGGCTTCGGATAGCATCTTGAGCTTCACGGTACCACAAGAAGTACAATGCCCACCCGGCAGAATTTCCCACCAGGTTGGGGCTCAGCCCTCGGTACATTGCTGCGAGTCGACTCGGGCCTTCATTGCGCAAGATATCGCGAAGAACAGCTCGAGAGGAATTGAGGAGCGGGTGGGCGGAAGTGTCGACTATTTCAGGATATCAATAGGACAGTCTCTTGACCTTCTGGGACATCACACCTTACCCTGCAACCTCGTTTTGATGATATCCAAAGGATGGACAATCACAGTGGATATGAGACCGGCAGACAAGCCTGCAATGGTCTCAATCGAAGCAGGTGAGAGACCATGGCTACGCTGAGACGTCATGAGCCAAGAATACGGGGAGACGAAAAGAATACTCGAAATTCAGAGGATCAAGGGACCGAGGAATGACTGTAAGTGGTTGCGCCGAGCTCGAACATCATGTCCGGGCAAGACGAAATGAGTAGTGGTGAGAGAGCGATTAGGCCAGCATGCTAGAGAAAGAATTGCGAGAGGAAGCTCTTGTCCATTGACTATGTGTTTCTGCTGTCCAGGTGGAATATGAATTGCACAAATTTGTCGATTGATGACGCAGGGAAGGAGTTGTTTCGGTGAAGGCAAGTTAGCCGATCTCTCACGTGATGAAGCAGGGGATTACGGTGAAGCACACCACTTCTCGGATGTTGTCAGTTGTCTGCGATTTTCCTCCACTTGAAGCTTGAATGCTCCAATGCCACTGTGTTATCACCTCCACAACCTGCGCCAGCTACACGGGAAAAAAGGGTCTGAGCAAGTCACCGCCAATCCTAGAGCCAATTGCTAGCCCAGCCTGAGCCATACACTCTCCACCTTTTCAAACAAATAATTTCAACCCCGTCCGCTATCGGGCTTTCGGATCGTCGAGATGCCATTTCACGCCACTTCTTCTGCTCCTTATGTAGCGAAGTCTTGACCATCCTCAGACGCTCTCCTCGAACCTAGATACCATCCGAACCTCAACATTGTCTCCTTCTAATTGTTCATTCGCCTTGTCGGTCAACGTCTCAGACGCCTCGGGCGAGCAGCAGTGCTGAATTTCCAGTGCGGAGTCGACGCGGCACTGCTTCCCTCGTACGGTCCTCATCATGGATATCGTCCTGGAAATCGTCGATACCCTCATCCTTGACCGCGTCTACGCGACATTATTACCCGCCAGCCCATCGTCCTATCTTCAGCAGAAATTCAACAATGGATCAAGTTCCACTTTTTCGAGCATGCGGGAGAGCGCGACCTCTGCGCCGCAATATACATACATCTACGAACCCGCCTCGCGTCTCGTCAATTTGGACCCGACGGAATGGACCTACAGCAGCTCATGGCCTCGCGACAATATTTTCAGGCAAGGCATTAGCCTGTTCTTTATAGTTTGGTGAGCTTGAGACAGCACCCTTGACAACTCGAAACAAGTCCATCCGCTAATACTTGCTGCTCCAGGCTCTTTGGACTGGTTCTCTACTTCCTTTGCGCTTCGCTTTCGTACTACTTCATCTTTGACAAGACCACCTTTCAACATCCAAAATACCTGAAGAATCAGATCCGCAAGGAAATCAGCCAAGCCAACCGCGCCATGCCGGGCATGTCTCTGTTGACCGCACTTTGCATGCTCCTCGAAGTGCGTGGCTACTCTAAACTCTACGACCTCCCCAGTGAGGCTCCTTTTGGATGGTACAACGTCCTCCAATTCCCTTTCTTCGTCCTCTTCACCGATCTCTGCATTTACTGGATTCACCGCGGCCTACACCACCCGATTTTGTACAAACATCTACACAAGCCACATCACAAATGGATCGTGCCTACGCCTTATGCGTCGCACGCTTTTCACCCTCTGGACGGCTTTGCGCAGTCCATACCGTACCATCTTTTCCCGTTCCTGTTCCCGTTGCAGAAATTCGCCTACATTGCTCTCTTCGCCTTCATCAACATCTGGACTATTTTCATCCATGACGGAGAGTACTACGCCAACTCTCCCATTATCAATGGCGCAGCGTGTCACACTATGCATCATTTGGCATTCAACGTCAACTATGGCCAATTCACCACGCTGTGGGATCGTCTGGGTGGAAGTTATCGAAAGCCGAACGATGAGCTGTTCAGGCGAGAGACGAAGATGGGGAAGCAGGAGTGGGAAAAGCAGAGTCGAGAAGCAGAAATGATAATGAAAATGGTCGAAGGAAAAGACGAAAGGGAATATCTGGCTGACGATGCGAAAAAGGTCCAGTGAGTTCTAACCTATTGTCCGACAGAGAGGTACACGCCACGGGATGATGGATTCTGTGCAGGAACCCGGCCAAGATTGCCTCTGAGCACCGCCGAGCGGGCGTTGCGTGGGCAGTCTGTCATTTTAGATATTACGTCTAGCCAAAAGAGCTTGTAAAAAGGCAAGCGACAAAGAACACAGTCATTCAAATGAAGCTGTACATAATCTACATGGGCCTTTCCCTTGGTGCAGGGACACAACTGGTGTGATGGCCCAACTCTCAAAAAATGCCAGCCAACTATCTCGCATCAACCCGAGAAGAAAGAGGCGCCGTGGAAGAGGGTGCCTCACGCTATGCGAGGATGTTAGGAACCACGGACATGGGGGAATACTATGTAAAACAGGCATTACCACCTCTCGTGGCCGGTAGAGCAGAGAAGGGACGTCTGGGCGCGATCAGGTTCCACGTAAAAGACGCGAGTAATATCTGGAGCGCCCTGTATCCTGCCCTGGTCCAGAGCAACGGATGCATCTGAGTTGCTGCGCTCAGGAGGACGACATCGTGTCTGACTCTCTGTGGTGGGTGCATCCATGGCCCACGGCCTCTTCAAGCGCAGTTTCTGGCTGGCTGGCCGACTGTCCCGTCACGACGACGAGTTCGCCATCCACCTCCTGATTCCCGGAATGCTGGGACCATCCATGCGTGACCACATCACGAGCGTCGTGCGTGTCGGGCAATATTGGCGCAATGCACTCCCTCCCTTCTTAGGGTCCCAGGCCCACTCGATTTGAATTGGCTAGTTCTGTGATTGTTGGTTAACCAAATCCGATATGTGCCGTCCTGCAGTGATGCCGTCGGCGTAACGGATTGTATACATGCTCCATGCGGTTTCCCTTGTCGGTTGCTGGAGAGCCTGGCTGGATGTTTGGATCATTCGAGAGCTGGAACTATCAACATGTGTAGAGTCATGCGTTCACGGCACGATAGTCGATTTCTAGACCCCCGAGAGCCTGGACTTTCCCTACCTAGAACTCACTCATTCTTTCTGTGTCCGAACGGCGCAAGAGATGAGGAGCAAAGGCAACAGAATGTTGTAACGGGGAAATCATTCCATTGGAGATCGATCTCGCACATGGAGCCCAAGTGTCCACCACAATAGTCGTGGAGACACGGTTCTGCACAAAGCAGCTTGAAAGAAAAGTCTTGAACCTCCCCAGTACTCCCTCCCAAACATTAAGTGCGTTGCCCCAGCTGTGCCGGCGCAGTCCATCCATTGTCCACACCGTGAAGCCGACCCAACAAACAAAAACGCCGTGGTCCGTAGTTCCGTCTATGAGAACGACACGAACTTGGGGTCCCTGGGAATTCCGTCCTCTCCGATGCCATTCTTCTTGAATCGCTGTTCCATGTACACCCTCCTGGCTTCGTCGAAATTGATGCCTCTGATCTTCATCAACCTCTGGATCTCGCGCTTCGCCTTCTGGTCGAGGCCGCCGCGGCTGTCACCCTCCATGATGTTGGAACTGAGGTCGAAGTCCGCGGAAGTAAAACCTGATTCGACATCGCCCATGAACGAAGTCGGGAGACGGCTGTATGTGTAGGGGTTTAATCGGGAGAAGAAGTCTTGCACCGCGATCGGGAGGTATGGTGTCCAGCGGCTGCGCGTGAAGTATAGGACTGGAGCGACGGGATCAGTTACAGCTCGTCGTATGGTAGAGTTCGCAGGACAAGATTAATCAACGTACCTGTTGAGATAGCGATGGAGAAGAAAAGGATCGTGTAGAGAATATATGCCATGATCGCGCCGGTATTCGCTCTCTCTTTCGATATCGACAGATGTTACGCGGGGTTCCGGAACAATGTGGATTAGATCTTAGACAAGTATGAGGCTTCGTATCGCAATGATCATAGCCTGGTGCCCATTATGAGGTTTGCGCAATCGTCGCTCCCTGCGGCAAAGGTCAGCGTGAAGCTGGGCAGTGGTGGCAGTGAAGTTGAGGCATTTGGGGGTGGCCTGGTCTTGGGCATAGGCTCGTTGTCGTCAGCCTGCCGCGGCGGCGCAAGTCGGACGTGTCCGGACCTCGCATTACCGATCAGTGCTCCGCCGTAGAGAAATGCCAAGCCGGCAAATGCCATAGCCAATGGTGTCCCTGCGCACAGAAGCCATGGCAGTCCAGACACAAATCAACCAAAAAGTTCGAGCCTGTTCAAGTCTGAAATAGCTCGACAATCTCGACCAGTTTTCTCGCCGTCACAATGTCTGAACGTCCAAACGTCTCCGGCGACCTCATCTGGGAGGTTGTCCGTAAGTTCACACCGCCCACGAATGCTGTAACCCCCAGCTCCAGGATACTGATCAATCGCAGGAAACAACAATGCATTCCTGGTCAAGAGGAAGTCCGGTGGTGGTGTCCAGTTCTCCCGCGATCCCTTCAACCTCGTCAACAAGCACTCGAGAAAACACGCCGGCTTCGTGAACGACAAGGCCGTGTCCATCCAAGCCAACGAGAAAGGAGGAGTGACGTTGTTGACCAAGAAGTCGGGATCATCACACAAGCCTGCGTCGCATTACAACACCCACGCCTACGGCAAGACTACCTCGAACCGAAAGTGAGTTTTTCCCCCACGCACGCACGCGTATTACAGGACCGCAGAGAAGGGTAAGAGGCTGACCCAGTCTACAGGATCTACAAGAGTGTGGCAGATGCAGTTGGCAAGAGATCGTACCGTGGGGACTTGAACAGAGACGCCGTTGCCCGTGCCAGTGCTCTCAAAGACTCCCAGCGACCGAAGAAGGAGACTCCGGAGAAGAAGCCTCGCGGGCTGGCGGGGCGAAAGACGGAGGCATGAAACTGCTGAAGGAGGACGACATTTTTTCTCTTCCTCTGTCTGGAAGGTTCCGACTTTGAAGTGACAGCTTGAGCAAACTGAAGGCGGGGGGCAGCATCCGAAGAATCTAGTTAGATGAGCATCCGAGAGATTTCTTCCGGGATGCGGCATCCATCTGAGATGGGAGGGCGGCAAGATATTATGTCCTGGCAATGCAGGACGGGGGTAATTCCTCGACAGACAGACCAACAAACTGGGGCCTCGGAATGCATTTGCATCCGATGGAGGATAATAAGAACACCATTTGATGAGGAGAGCACTGCACACATGTTCGGTACTCCATAGGTAGAAGAAACTCCCCAATGACCAACCGAACCTGACCGAGCCCAAAACCACAGTTCGCAGCCTGATCCGAGCAATTCTCGTTGACCCCCCCAAAACAGCCTTGCCTCCTCTAGCTGATAGAGGACTAACCAGGTAAGAGGGCAGTTGTTGTTGGATGGCAAAAAAATAGCCCGAATGGCCCAAAGGCTCAAAAGACGCGAAATATCGGAGCTGCGGATTGACGCGGGGCACCGCAGCGACCAGTCTGGCTGGGCAGCTGCTGGGCTCGATCGATATTTGGGCTTGGCGCTTCCCCTCGCTGTTTCTTCTTCAGCGTCCCGCGTCACTGCTTCCATGAAGGTCTGACCGCCCCAACTATTTCTTAAACCTTTCAGTCTTCTCGCGAACACCAGTTCTCGAGCACTTCACACATACCTGTCTCATTGAATCGTTACAGTTTCTTCAGGTGAATACGAGGAACTCATCTGAAGAACAAGAGAAATCCTAAACTGTCGTCACAGTTCAATCAAATCCCCCCACCAAACTCTCAACATGGTCAAAGCTGTCGTTCTCGGTGCCTCTGGCGGCATCGGCCAGGTATGGACATCCCCTCTACCTGACTACAGCAGATTGGAGTCGAGTCTAACTTGTTGCCAGCCATTGTCTCTTCTCTGCAAGATCTCTCCCGTCATCGATGAGCTCGCACTGTTCGATGTCGTCAACACCCCCGGTGTCGCAGCCGACCTGTCACACATCTCCTCTGTCGCTGTACGTCTGCTGATATCCTCCTGACCAATCTCAGAATGCCACGACTCTAACATGCACAGACCATTGGCGGCTACGTCGCAGCTCCAGGTGACTTCAAGGGAGAAAAACCAGAGACGGAAGAAGCAAAAAAGAAGGCTTTGACTGGTGCAGACATTGTCATCATTCCCGCCGGTGTCCCTCGTATGTATCCCCTTCACACTGGAACATTTGCTGGGACTGACAATGGTTCTCAGGCAAGCCTGGCATGACTCGGGACGACCTGTTCAAGATCAACGCAGGAATCGTCAAGGGCCTCATCGAAGCTTGTGCCAAATACTGTCCCAAGGCATACATCTGTGTCATCTCAAACCCTGTCAACTCCACCGTCCCCATTGCCGCTGAGGTTCTGAAGGCAGCTGGTGTTTTCGACCCTAAACGGCTGTTTGGTGTCACCACTCTGGACGTCGTCCGTGCTCAGACCTTCGTGGGAGAGATCATTGGCGAGAAAGACCCGAGAAAGTTGACCATTCCTGTGATCGGAGGCCACTCTGGTAACACCATTGTACCGCTATTCAGCCAAGCGAAGCCTCCCGTCAACATCCCCTCGGACAAACTGGATGCTTTGGTGCACCGTGTCCAGTTTGGTGGTGACGAGGTTGTCAAGGCCAAGGACGGTGCTGGTTCCGCCACTCTGTCCATGGCATATGCCGGTTTCAGATTCGCCGAAGCCCTGATCAAGGCATCCAAGGGTGAAAAGGGCATCGTTGAGCCAACATTCGTCTATCTCCCTGGTGTCCCTGGCGGTGAGGCTATTGCCAAGGCAACTGGCTGTGACTTTTTCTCCGTTCCTGTTGAACTCGGGGTAAGTTTCTTCTGCATCTGATTGCAATCTTGTCTCTCTTTTGTTCTCTGCTGACGCTTGCAATAGCCCAACGGCGCGGAGAAAGCCATCAACATCCTCGAAAGCGCCAATGACTACGAAAAGAAGCACCTCGAAGAAGCGATCAAGGGCCTCAAGACCAACATCGAGACCGGTATCAGCTTCGTGAAGAACCCTCCCAAGTAGGTCTGGTATTCTCTTTCCTCGCAACGTTACCTGACAGTTTCGTAGGTAGGATGTGAGCGACTTCTACACCCCCAGAACGAGCCTGCCTGCCACGCAGTTGTTCGGTCTTTGGACGTTGTTGAGAGCGCGAAAAAGTGAGCCGGCCACGGAGACTGACATGGAGCTGTCGGAGCAGATTGTGAAAGCATGGCTTGACGGACATAAAGATTTCTCTTTCGTCAATGCACAGACAATCGTCATCGCAAGGACATAGCCTTCGAGGCTGCATCCCCTTCCGCAGCCCGGAGATCGCGTAGACAAAATTCACTTGTCCACCTCTCTACACCCCGTGCAACCACCTTCCTGCGCTTTTCGAATGCAGCCATGTGTCATTTCTGTCGCCACTTTTGGAGGTTCCGTGTAACAGGCTCCTGCCTTGATCTTAGACTAGACCTCTTTCTTCACGTGGGCGAGAGTCCTTTGTCGCTTCAATGCCACCTCGTGCCGTATCATTTCCGGTCACGGCCTTATTTGGGGCTGCACCGTTGTAATCTGGAAAATCGCACCGGGTAGTTCTATTGTCTCGGCCTGGACGGTGGCTTTGATTCCCAAGCTACTCAGCACGCCACGGATGACACCGCAGGGGAAGAACAGGTGCGGTCGAGCTCGCTGGAGGGCTTCGGCGTGGTTGGCCATAGACATGCGCGTGAGCGGACGGAATTTGTTGTCGGTAAGAACGAAAACGCCCTGTACGAACATTGTCAGCGGCTCAATCTTTCTTCCTTGGGACCGACAGTTCAACACCAGACATCCTAGACCCTCGGGGGTTGTGTGTATGTAGCTCTCTACCACTCCTTCGACTCTTATGAAAGGTCGAGGGGGAACAACGTACCCGGTGATTCGTCTTCAAGTTATCGACCTGTTTCCTCCACACCACGCCCCAGATATCCTTGCAGAGGAACTTGATCACGTCCAGGTGGTGGTCATTCACGTTGCCCACGTTGGCCCCGTTGAGCCCGGCCTGGTTGAAGCGCGGCCGGTCCCGCGAGATGCGCTCGCTGAGACCCTCTCCGACGCGGAAGCCCAGGCGTTCGAGACGCACGTAGACGGAGTCGGCGAAGATGTTGGTCGCGGGAAGCCCGTCGGCGGCCAGCAGGGTGCCGGTGGTGTTCGAGGGTTGCGAGGACGCGGCGGCCGTCGTGGTGGCGCCCGTGACCGTGATGCTGGGGGTCGAGGTGTTGGAGGAGGCCGTCGCCACGGTCGTGTTTGTTGCGCTGGTGGTGGTCGGGGGAGGACCTTTGGACGTCCGTTTCGTCGTCGTCGAGGAGCTCGTTGGGGAGGGAAGCGGACGGTCTAGAGACGCCTCGTAGGCCCGGGCCATGCGCTCGGCCAGTGGCACCAGTTCAATCAGCAGCAGATCGAAGCAGGAGAGGCTGACGAGCCGCGAGTCGGCGTCCAAGGGCAAGTCGGTGGGCGCAGGGGCGGCCATCGCGCTGCGAAAGCCTGGGGAGTTGTCGATTGGTTTCGCAAGGGGCCAACCCGCGGAGGTACAGGAGGAGGAGCAACAGGAAGAGAAGGGCCTGCTTTAGTAATAGTAGTAGTAGTTGGAACAGGCTGGTGGTAGTGGAGGAATTTGGGAGCAGTTTGTGCTGGTTCGATGGACGAGTCTCATAGCTCGGTGTCGGGGTCTCTCCTGGTGACGGGTTGACGCGAGAGATGCTGCCTTACCGAGAGGGCGGCAGCACGGATGTTTTCATCTGCAATGGTTGCATCATGTCTGCGGACGGAAAAGGTTGGCTGGCTGCAACAAACTGGAGAACCGTGGAGGGCTAGTGATGATCAGACCCGTCGTGGGAGGATCGGATGGCAGATTGGACAAGATCACGTGATGTCGATGTTGCAAGGCTGAGATTTAGGAGTCCAGCACCTCGTACTCGGTAACTACATATGTACCAGGGAAGAGTGCCTACACATCTCCTCGCGTATCTTGGAAGTCTACGTTGGCCATTCTACTTGGAGGATATGCCTTCACTGTTCATAGAGGCAAATATGGCCATTATAGATAGGCGCAGGGCCACGTACCAGTCGAATGTCCCTGGATGTAAGGGGAAACACATCAGGGAGAATCGTAGCACCACAAATAGGTCGAAATCACAGTATTAAACTATAGGTAGTATACCTCCGGGGCCATTACCAAATCTTTGATCCCATATCGCCAGCGATGGCATGCAGTCATAACTGCATACGCCTCAATTCTCAAAATGCACATGTACACATTCAACAACCCAAGATTATTGTACAGTCAGTTACAGCCATATCGTCTTTTGAAGGGCTCTTTCGTAATTTGTGCCCGGAATCCTTTATTCACGTTCCGTCGGTAGAAAATCTATTGCGCCATAACATCCACATATCTGCCCGATTTGGCTCCTTTCTTGCCAGGTTTCCCAGCCTTGCGTCCGGTAGCCGGGCCGATCAGGTCATCAATGCTGCTAGCATTGCTCATTGCCGTAGCAGGACGCGGTGGTGGGGCGAGGCCAGGAGTTGTAGGGTGACCAATTGGAGGAGTACTGGTGGCACTGGGAGGACCAGAAATTCCAATTTGTGGCGAGGGTCTTGCTGATGCTCCAAGTCCGTTTGCAGGAGTACCAGCACGGCTCGATGGCGCTGACGGGGGTCCTATACCTAGGTCTGGAAGATTCGGATGAGAGGTTGGAGGTGTAGGTATCATTGGAGGCCTTGGAGGGCCTCCAGAGCTCATAGGAGGCGCTGGGGTGCCTCCCATCCTCGGGGGCGGAGGGGTTGCTGTCTTCTTTGCTGCATCCGGATTGTCGGGATTCACCCATTTCCCAAGTTCTTTGTCGTAGTACAGTTTCATCTTCGATTCGCCAAGGTTTGCCCGGTAGACCTTTTGATCGACGCCCTTGCTTGGTGCGGCATCCAAACTTTCAGTCTTCTTTCCTCCCAGCCAACCACCAAACCACGACGAAGATCTTTTGGATTCTTTCTTCTCCTTTTCGCGAGCAGCATCTGCTTCCGCTGCGGCACGGAAGGCGGCTTCTGCTGCAGCGTCATTCGCACGTTTGCGTGCTGTCCCATCTTCTCCTGAAGACTTCGGCCCAGACTCCTGCGGCTGGTTTGAAATTCGGGGAAAGTCAACGTCGTCGTCATCCATGAATGATTTCTTCTTAGATCGTACTTCTGTGGGGGATTCCTCTGGTGAGTCGGGCTCCGGAACGTAGGGAACATAGCCCCCGCCGGTAGGAGGCTCGTAGCCGTAAGACTGTGTGGGGGCTTCGAAGCCCGTCCCAGCGTCATCATCCCGTTGAGATGTCTCAGGTTCTCCGGGTCGAGGGGGTTCATAGCCGGTATAGGACTCTGGTTCTTCGGGTATCTGGGATGCTACAACCGGCTCGGGGGTATATCCATATGATTGTCGCATGGCATCTTCAGCAGGTGGAGTTGGCGCATAGGCATTGGGGCGCATGGCAGCCGGGTTCGCAGACGCCAACTGAGAACTATTATTCGGCATATAAGACGACCTCGGAGGGCTCTGCGGGAAAGAAGTTGGGGGTGATGCTGCGGCAAAAGCTTGATAAGGATTCGCAGCAGGCGGGGCTTGGACATGCTGAAACATGTTCATTGGTTCGAATTGATGATTGTTTTGGGAGTGGGAAGTAGATGGAGGCGATCTTTGTGAGTCCAGAGAAGGTCGCCCACGCGTGATCTCTGCAGAGGATCGTGTTGACTGCATGCCGTTGGGTGCATATCTGGATCCAGCAACTGTGGTGGGAGCAGATTGTGGGTAAGATCCATATATATCCGACTGGGATGCGGTTCTGCTGATCGATGGCGTGCCAGCGACGTGGGCAAACGGACCGGCATCGACTGCATCTTTTCCCGAGCCCTTCGATTCAGCGTCACTATCATCGCCTGCAACGAAACTGCTGAACTTATTCCACATAGATCCCCCGACTTTCTCCAGGCTGGGCTTTCCAATCCAGGATGACGACCCTTGAATCGGCGTTTGTTTGAGCCGATTGGATAAATCATCCAGTTCGGACAAGAATAGTGGATGATAGTATGCCGACATCTTGGTGCTCGATTTGAATGTAGACGCGATTGCATCACAGTAGGATTGTGCCTCCGACCTCAATCCGGATTCCGCCATGGTTACTGCTCGTTGCAATTTGAAACTAGAAAGATGCGGCATGAATGACAAGGATGCTCCTGCTGCTAGAATGCTCGTCGCAAACTCGTATATTTCCGTGAGCAGAATGGCATCCTGGTCGCGGCCAAAGTCGGATGGTTGAGCTTTGTGATTCGCACCAAGCAAGACGATAGCCGCATGCTCTTCATCCAGCCCACCGAACAGAACGGGTCTCTGAGGACTCCTCGAGAAAAGATAGCAAATATGTGCCGCTTCGATGCGATTGTAATCCTGAAGGAGTTTCCCAAGGGCTGCCAAGGCTTGATGATCGCCTTGACATCGATTGTTCAACACAAGACTCAGGGTTTCCTTCCATCGATTCAGGCCATCAAGGGCGTTCTTGGCCGGCCCGCCCGTATCGACTTTGCTCACCATCTGGAGCCCGGCACGGGCAGACGGGGGAACCAGCTCGTCTATACTCTCTTCAAGGTTACCCCCAAAGATTTCGTATAAAGCAGACAGCGACTCGGTGTTCTCACCAGTAGTCTTCACCTCTTGGCGCACGAACTCTCTCACTACTTGGCTCCAGACCGAACGATCCATCGTCGAAGCTATGATGAGAGCGTGAGACCACAGGCGGCTGTCCATGGCATGAAACACAGCCGCCTGTCGGTCACCACCAAGCAAGCGTTTTCGTAAAGTCTCAACTGCCATTGGGTCCACGGAGTCGGGGCGCACGTTGGCACCGGGTGGTCTGTAGATACCAGAAATCTGTTCTCCCTCACGATACTGGATAGGACTGGACAGATCCACATTATGAACCTCCGGAGAAAGCAAAAGATTGATTGCCTTCAATGCCGGTCCATCAAGGGAACCATCGTGTTCCACCAGGGTACGAACGATCTTCCAGAGCAGGACCTTTTCATGGTGACGTGTAGCCGGATCATCATGAGATGGAGCGTGCACAATATTACGGTCATCCACTTCCAGACCATTTATATAATTTGCCATCCACGACAGGACATCTTTCTTCTTCGACTTGGATCGCAACGGGCCCGGAAACTGATTCCAAAGCTCCGCCAGCGGCAGCACATCTTTGGCGTTTTGAATGGACACTGATCCAGCAGTAGGCTTGATCTGAGGCCGTGCTGCGCCAGTCGCATATCTGGGCACAAGTTTCGGAAACGTACTCACAACGGTGCCGCCAAAACCGAACTTGAACAAAGGCGCACCCTTCCAGCGCTCCAGAGGATCAAATTGCGTGTCATCTTGAGGCTGTACGAATTCGGTTTCGGGAGCTAGCCCTCGAGCCCGGACACTAGGCCTTGCAGGCGGGACATGCTCCAGGGGCGCAACGGCCCTACTGGGTGGCGGTTGCCCATACGCAGACGCTGGACGGTTGATGATGTCGCTTGAATAAGCATGAAATGCTCCCTGCGGGCGCTGTTTGGATGGAGATTGAGTTTGCGATCGGCGTGGAGGTGGTAATTGTTCGCTACCCGGTCGTCTGGTAGCTGATGCCTGATGAGAGTCTACCAGGCCACCTCGATCGGGGGAAGTCATCGAATAAGGGGCAGCTCCAGGAGGTGAGAACTGGGTTGCAGGTGCAGGCGGGGGCGAGGTCTGCATGACTGAAACCGGGATGCCGTCGACATTTTCATCGACAGAGCTTTTGTGATATGCAAGTGGACTTGAAGTCCGAGGTTGAAATGGCAGGATGGCGGGTCCGGCATGTGGATGTTGTGAAGGGGGTTTGTTTGGCACTGCTGCCGTGCCTTGAGATGGAGCAGGGGGTGGGGTCGGTTGCGCTGCATACCTTGACACCGTTGCAGTCGCAGTTTGTGGGGGAGGTGCTGGAGAATATCGAGGAGAAGGCCCAGGTCGAGGGCCTAGAGTTGATGTGACAGGTGCCGGCGAATACCTGGCAGTGGTAGCTGCCGGTACAGGAGGAGGCTGCAGCGGGACATTTGCGTAAGGATCCAAACGTTCGGGAAGTCGCAGCTGATACTGAGAATATGGATCGGAGGGAACAGGGGGTGAAGGTTGGTGTTGAGGTGGTGGAGGAGGAGGAGCAACGGGTGGGCTGTGTGCCGGTAATGGCGGCGGAGGAGAAACTATGCTATGTTGAGGAGTGTGGCGGCCAGGATGTCGTGGCCTTGATGCCAACGGCAATTCTTCAAAGAAGCTTGAAGAAGAACCAGATGTCGGTGTCTCGGTTTTGCTAGACGTGAAGGCCGAGACGCTCCGCTGGGGGATGGCAGGTGACGGTGCTGGGGGTGGCATAACACCAGGCCCTGACATTTGCGGCACGTTCGGATGAAACGGCGACTGTAGAGGCTTCTCGGACAGACTGCTACTCCTCGGTGGCGGCGCAACAGACATTGTCGTCTGAACAGGCTGAGGAACATGGGCTCTCTTCCTTGACTTGCTCAGTTCCAGGGGCAGATCATACGGAGATTTATAGCCGTCTTTTGCCTGATCAACAAAGCTCTTTACATTCTGAGATTGTTGTTCCTGTTGTAGATGGGCTTGGAAGGAACCTATGGGAGCCAACTCCGGACGCGACAATCCCACATTGTTATGGGTGGTGCGGGCTGTAGGAGATAGCTGAAGCAAATCAGAAGTAGAAGGTTGATGAGGCGCATAAGGGTTGAGCGAGCTCTGTCTTTGAGGTTGGGGTTGTTGCTGGGGCACGGCATTGGGTGTCGGTTCCGTAGTGGGGATATTTGGTATATTTGAGGAGCCTTGTAGAGATGCAATGAAAGAGGACGGCGACCCAGGTTCGGAATCAGGAAGCAGGTCGTCAGCATCTTCCACTAGAAACTCCTCGTCGCCAAGTGCTGCTGCCCACATAGCGTCGACATCTTCAGTCTCTGAGATAACAGGCATCTTATTGTCCGCATTAGGCGCTGTGCCAGCAGCCAACTCGTCAAAGAAAGAGGTTTCAGCTGGTGCTGACATTGGCGGAGACTCTTGTGTATCGTCACGAGGCAGATCCAACGACTCCAGAACCTGAGCGGTAGACTTCCGGTCAAGAGGAGGGCTTTGCGAAGCTGTGACTGTAGACCCGTTGATGTTCGAAAAGAAAGTGCTTTCTTCGTCGTCTTGCGTCGCTTCGAAGGGATTTTGTCGTGATCCTTCATCTGGAGCCCCCTGATCAGCCTGCCTCTTATCATCCTCCTGGATAAGCGGTACGCCCTCTTCAAAGCGTGCAGTGATCGCATCAACCCTTTCTTCCTGCGGTGGGATTGTCCACGATTGAGGGTCGCGCGTCCCATCATGATCATCGTCCGTCCATGATAGACTGTGTGGCTCCGCGGCGCCGCTTTCTTGCCGTGTTGCCTCCGAAACTTCTGCAGTGCCATTGACTGTCTCGAAGTCGATTCCGTTCATCGCCTTGTCGACAGCCGGTTGGTCTTTTGCGGTCTCGGGGGGAACAAACTCGGGAAATGTTGTGGAGCGATGCACCTTATCAAGAATATGCGCACTATCGAGACGTTTGATTCCCCAAGCGGGATCCAAGCGCTCATTGTCGTCATCAGACGGCAATTCATCGCTCTCAAGACTTCCGCCTGAGGGCTGAGAGGACCACGTTGTATGCGTTCCCTGCCCGTTGGACAAGGCGATACCTCCTACACCCGTTATAGGCTTATCTTGAATGTTCGGCTTTGTAGATGTATCTTCCGACGAAATCCCGGTATCCCCATTCTGTCGTGAAGTAGGTGTTGGAGGAATCCCCGTCATCGTCGTGTTGCCGAGCGGGTTGGATTCGACGTTTCTGCTCGATGGCTCTTGGGCTTCCGCTTCCCTGTGAAATTCATCGATGGTGTCAGGGCGCAGGGCTGGGAACCAGTGACCAGACTGCATAGGTTCTCTCGGCTCCAGAGAGCGTGCTTCACCGTGGGTGGCTGTGTCCATTGCGACTCCGGAGGAAACGACGATAACTAATTCCAGTCAGCATAGAGCAGGGGGTTAGTTCACACTGTCCTAATACACACAAGTACAACAAATTAGCAACGCCTTTGATGCATATCGCAAAGGGACAGCCTATTCACGGTCGAAGAAGCTGTTTCGACACCGTGAAAGGGGTTTGGTGAAGGGTTTGACGGATGTCCAGTGATGGCAGAGATTGTGAAGCGGAGGCCAGATTGTTTCTCCAGACTCGAAATGGAGATGCGGATATGAGGGTGCGGATACGGATGAGGACCTGGCCGCCCACCCAGGGAGAAGCTAAAAGCAGCGGCCTTAGGAGCCCCCAAAGGGGGGTCCCTAACCCAAAGCGCGCCGAGCCGCGCTTCTTGATCGCTTCCTTGGGCCAAAATGTCATGCCTTGCCTCGACAAGGCATCCGTATTATTTGTCCTCTTCGACAACATTCTCCTCTATCTGACCTATTATCTTCAGTTTTTCCCACAAACCTAGGGAGTGCCTGTATCGACCGATTCTCCTTCCGACCGATACACACAGAAGTATGGATCCAAGTTGAATATCCCTTAGCCAACCTTCCGAGTCCCTCCTCTCACTCAAACGATACTCCTGAGGATGACTGGGCAAAAGCATGTCTCCTCCCAACACCACACCCACGGCCGGAGAGATAGACTCTGGCTCCGATGACGATCTCGACCTCGACGAACTAGATCCCATCGTTAATCCCTCCCGTCACGTAAGGGGCGACGCTCCCTCTGAGCCTGCTGCCCGCCGTGCAGGAAATGGCTCCACAAATATTCCGCTGCAACGACTGCAGAGGTTTGGCAGCAGTCGCTTATGGCCATCGACAGGAAAGAGGAGTAGGGGAGACGATGGCACAGAAGATTCAGAAGGGCTTTTGGGCAGCTGGCGCGGACACACACAAGGCAACGGCCATGTCAGACTGTGGTCGGAGGACCAAGTAGGTTGGAATGTCAGGCCGGAAAGATATCAGAGGGTGCATCGACAGGGGAGCATCTCTCAAAGCCGGGACACGCACTCACGCCGCTCCAGCGTCCGTCAAAGCATGCAAATCTCCGACTTTGTCCGACAAGAATTGGCAGATATGCGTGAGAATGAGCAGGAATTCAGCGTCCAGGAATCCCGTGAGGTCAGCGTCGGGCATGCTCAGAAGAAGCGATTTCCCACGAATGTCGTGTCCAACGCCAAATACACCGCTTGGTCCTTTTTGCCACGAACCTTGTACAACGAATTTTCCTTCTTCCTCAACGTCTATTTCCTCCTGGTCGCGTTGTCTCAAATCATACCCTTTTTGCGAATCGGTTACATGTCTACATATATTGTGCCTCTGGTGGTGGTCCTTACAATCTCGATCGGGAAGGAAGCAATAGACGACATTGTGCGGCGGCGACGAGATGCCGAAGCGAACGCTGAACTATTCACCGTGTTGTCCTTTTCCGACACTGCTCGGAACGGCGTGTCCGAAATTCAGAAACGGTCGCGAGATATTAAAGTCGGCGACATTCTAAAACTTGAGAAGAACCACAGAGTCCCTGCGGATCTTGTCATCCTTCAGAGTCATCTGACGGAACTGACACTAGAGTCAGCTTCTGATTCTGCAGCAGCTCCTTCATCTCAGGGTGCTGGGGAGACCTTCATCAGGACGGATCAGTTGGACGGGGAGACGGACTGGAAGCTACGGCTCCCGAGTCCATTGAGTCAGAATCTCACCTTGAAGGATCTACAACGTCTTAAGGTCACAGCTGGTGCTCCCGACAAGAAAGTCAATGAATTTGTGGGGACTCTAGAACTTCAAGCAAGCCTGGCAGCGGCCTATGACCCACATTTGCGCAGAGACGACCTGGCAGAAGACGGCCCCAGCTCAAACGACCTTGATCACGTCGCGTTTAACAGACAGAGCTCAGCACCTTTGACTATTGATAACACAGCTTGGGCCAACACCGTGTTGGCGTCGAGCACCATAACTTATGGTGTGGTCATCTACACGGGCAGGCAGACACGATCTGCTCTGTCCACGTCACCATCAAGGTCCAAGACTGGTCTTCTGGAACTGGAAATCAACAACCTAACGAAAATCCTCTGCATCATGACCCTGAGCCTTTCCATCATTCTCGTCGCACTTGAAGGGTTCGAACCATCCAACAAGAAGCCATGGTACGTGGCGATCACGATCTACCTGATTTTGTTTTCGACAATTATTCCCATCAGCCTCCGTGTGAATCTTGACATGGCGAAAACGGTGTATGCCTATTTCATTCACCAGGACAAAGGGATTCCAGGCACAGTTGTCCGCACTAGCACTATCCCGGAAGACCTAGGTCGAATCGAGTATCTGCTGTCTGACAAGACTGGGACACTGACTCAAAATGAGATGCAACTTCGGAAGATCCATGTTGGTACAGTTGCATATGCAGGCGAGGCAATGGAAGAAGTCGCAGCCTATGTTGATCAAGCGTTCGCAGCTGGCGGGAATCAAGACGTCCACGTCTCAGAGCTGGGCGCAACGACGAAAACTCGGCGTGAAATAGGCGTTCGCGTTCGCGATCTCGTTCTCGCTCTCGCGCTATGTCACAATGTCACACCCACTGCGGACGAAGTTGATGGAGAAAGAGTAGTGTCCTATCAAGCGTCATCACCTGATGAGATTGCCATTGTCGAGTTTACGGAAAGCGTTGGCCTCCGTGTTCTTCAGCGGGACAGGGAGAACATTGTCCTTCAGTGTGTCTCTACAAAGCAGGTGGTCATTCGAGCAGAGATCAAAGACATATTTCCATTCACTTCGGACAGCAAGCGCATGGGCATTATCGTTCACCTTTCCTCAGAGGTGCCTGGATTGTCTCACATCGATGAACTATGGTTCTTCCAAAAGGGTGCAGACACGGTCATGAGCTCCATTGTGGCAGCGAATGATTGGCTGGACGAGGAAACAGCCAACATGGCCCGCGAAGGGCTTCGCACACTCGTGGTTGGCCGCAAAAAGCTGTCGCCAGAGCAATACAGAGCCTTCTCCTCCGAATATGCGGATGCGTCATTGGCATTACACGAGCGAGATGCGGGGATGGCTGCTGTCGTGAAGAGACACCTCGAGCATGACCTGGAACTTTTGGGTGTCACCGGGGTCGAAGACCGCTTGCAAAAGGATGTCAAACCCTCCCTCGAACTGCTCCGTAACGCCGGGGTCAAGATCTGGATGCTGACGGGCGACAAGATTGAGACAGCGCGTTGCGTAGCAATTTCAGCTCGCTTGGTGGCACGAGGCCAGCATATCCATACAATGGCCAAGCTGAAAGCCAAAGCGCAGGGCAAGGATGCGCTGGATGTAATGCGCAATCAGACTGAATTATGTCTGCTCATCGACGGCGAGTCACTGGCACTGATGCTCAGCCAATTCCGCCAGGAATTCATCACCATCGCAGTCCAGCTATCCGCAGTGATTGCCTGTCGCTGTTCGCCGGCGCAGAAAGCTGACGTGGCGCTCTTGATTCGCAAACACACCAAGAAGCGCGTTTGCTGTATTGGGGACGGCGGCAACGATGTCAGCATGATCCAAGCCGCGGATGTGGGCATTGGGATTGTTGGCAAAGAAGGCCGCCAGGCCTCACTGGCAGCTGATTTCAGCATTGAACAATTCTGCTATCTGACGAAATTGCTGGTGTGGCATGGGCGCAACAGCTACAAGCGTTCGGCAAAGTTGGCTCAGTTCATTATCCACCGTGGATTGATCATCAGTGTGTGTCAGACGATGTATAACATCGCCGGGCACTTCGACCCCAAGGGGCTTTTCAAGGATTGGCTGATGGTTGGTTACGCCACGGTCTACACCATGGCTCCTGTTTTCTCCCTCGTGCTCGATCGAGACGTGGATGAGCAGCTCGCCAACCTCTACCCGGAACTATACAAGGAACTCAAGTCGGGGAAGAGCTTGAGCTATCAGACTTTTTTCACCTGGGTGTTGGTGTCGGTATACCAGGGTATCATTATCCAAGGTCTGTCGCAACTTCTGGTTGGGGAAGTCGACGGGCCTCGCATGCTCAGTGTCAGTTTCACCGTCCTCATCCTCAACGAGCTGATCATGGTGGCTGTATCAGTGACGACGTGGCACCCTATCATGATTGTCTGTATTGTTGGCACCGCGGCACTGTATGCGGCGAGCGTGCCCTTCCTCGGAGACTATTACGACTTGGCGTATGTGGCCAGCTGGAGTTGGGCTTGGAGAGTGGCAGCCGTGGGAGCGATCAGTCTTGTGCCTGTTTGGGGTGGGAAGGTCATCAGACGGACGTGGAAGCCGCCGAATTATCGCAAGGTGCAAGGTATATAGTGTAATGACCGACTAGATTTCATTTCACGTTATGTTCTACATACGAGATGAATGAGACTTTGATTCAGAGCCCAGCGCACCAAAAATGATGTACTGTACCTCACAGGGATATCATTTCAACACCCTGGCAGGCGACTGGGTGATGGGGCAGTTCAACAAGGCTGAGCTGTACATAGGGAGAGGGAAGCCTCTTGGCAGAGCCACCGAGAGTGGGGGAGTAACTGGGAAGGTCTGCCGAGTATCGACTGCAACTCCAGAGCCGGAGTGAACCTGTTCACCGCTGTGCACGGCTGCAGTCCTGCTCACCACCAGTCACTGTAGGCTTGACAACGGTTCCCCGAAGCCATTGTTCCCCCGCGCCATGGCGTCCTATCTCTCCTACTTCACCTCGAATTCGTCGACGCCACAGCCCCCGGCGCAGGGCGCAGGCACTCCCGGCGCAACGTCGACCTGGTCGAGCACCTTTTCCTCTCGATTTGAGACGCTCCGCAAAGCCCTGACGACCAGAGACTCGGAAGAAGACGATCCGGACCACGAAGATTGTTCGCACATCTCGAACGTGTTGCGAGCATACTACACAGAAAAGGGACGGCCCTTTCCCGAGTGGCTGCCACCCGATCCCAAAAAGCCGGTCGCCGCACCTCCTCCTCAGCCTCAAGGTGCGTACGGACAATATGCCAGTACATACGGCTCTCAGTACGGAGTCCAGCAAACACACTCGAGGGGACCTTCTGGTGGCCGTGGCGGCGGACTCTCCGACCTGTGGGATCCTGCTCCTGCCCCCGTCGCCCCTCCCGCTCAGAGTCTACGCGCTGGTCGACCGACACCACACTCTCTGCGTTCCAATGACTCGGCGCGGTCGCAGTCGAGCAACAGTGGCGGAACGACGCCTTTGGCACAGGCCAGCCCCAGCGCCCGGCCTCTCCCCAGCCAAAGGGCTGGAAGTTACCAAACAAACCCTGCTACCAATCCCGGCGCCCTGGGATCTCGTGATCGACTCCGAGCTCGGTTACAGGGCGGGGGCAGTGGACGAAACAGCCCATCCGGTGGTATGAGCAGTGGTGGAGGAAGTGGCAGTCAGGCGTCCTATGGTGCGTCGGGCGGGAATTTGACTCATCAACCGCCAGCTCGCAGCAGGTCGTCGCAGCCCTATATTTCAGCCTCAGAGCCTTGGTCGACGGGCGGAGATGATCCTTATGCGTACAACTACAGTAGCGGTGGCGGCTCTGCGTCCAACCCGTACGGAAACCAGGACTATCGTCCGCGGCCCGGAGGCCCCAGGTGAAGCAGCCACAGTTCGCAACGGGTTGGTGCCACCCTCGAGGCCCAGGACGAGCTCCTGTGGCGTAGTGAAAAGTTCCCAGCCCTGACATGGCCCCCGGCCCAAAGCCTCGCAGTTCCATCTCCCACAAGAGGTCTCCGGACCGATTGGCACCCGATGTAACGGCAGATGGCCCTGTTGACGTGAAGTCAGATCTGCTGCGGACCGGATCAACCTCGATTAACGAAGCGATCTCCCATTGGCAATGTCACGGTCGGCTATCTGATCGACTTGTACGAGGTATACGAGGTTCCCAGAAGGGGGGCCATGGGAGTGGCTGACCTGGTTACCAGCCTCTGTGAGAGTGGCTAGTTGACACACGCGACGGGGAACACACACCAGATGCTACTACTACTATGTACTAGAGGGGGGCCAGATATAGGGCTGCCAGAGAGCGGACCACGACACTAAGCACCAGACGGGGGGATCCACGCATAGACGACAAATGCCAGATGGGGCGACGGACAGCGAGGTCTTTTGGTGTAAAGGGATCCACTGGAGGTGACTGAGTGCTCAGCAGCAGCACAGCCGCAACACCACAGTGATAAAAGAGGCTGAGGTAAAGGAGGACTGGACCCCAAAGCCACTCAACAAGGGCTAGGCTCGGCAAGATCGGGGGAACGGCTGCCCTTAGTAAGCCACTACAGGCTGGTCCCGGCGTATTGTAGTCATGGTCCCCTAGGCTAATCAATAGCCAGTCATCCAGTGTTGTGGAAATGGGCGAAATGAAGGGCTTTTGGGAATCAGAAAACAGCAGTCGGTCATATTAGTTGGTTCCAACGTGCCTTTGATTCCCCTTTTGGACCCACGATCGCCGGGGACGTCCCATCATACTCTTTCTGTACCGAGTACAGCATTTGCTCTTTTTCTCTCCGCCACACACGTTAACATACTTTCGTTCTCACCACCGCAGCAGCCTCACTAGCCGCTTTGCTATTCTTCCTCGTACCACTACTACTACCATCACGACCGCTCTCGTAGTGCCCCTCTTCCGCCCTCCCGCGCTTAGTGACGTCCGAACTCGTTCCCCTTTGTTCCCTTCTTTGCTCTTCTCGCTCCTCTCTAGCTGTTTGGAGCTCTCAATGTCTCTCCTCCCCTTCTCTCAGCTGTTCCATCCTCACCGACCGGAACGACCCTGTTCCTTTCCCTGGTCCCTAACCCCCCCGGTCGCCAATGCTCGTTCCCTTGCCCTCTTTCCCACTCCCACCTCCCACCCCTCCTTCCTTTCCTTTCCTTCCTTCCTCCCTCCCTCGCTCGCCGCCCTCGTTGATGAACCGGCCCCTTCGTCAGATCTCGGCGTCCGGCACGTGGTCCCAAACACGCCAATGGCTCTAAATCCCCCGTTACCAGATGATGCCAAAAAGTCTCCCTTCCCTTCCCCCACCTCCCACCCCGGGAACACCAGAGGGCCTGAGGCTGAGGGTTCGGACGGATCATGGTGTTGTCGAAGTCCCATCACGTTAGATCTGGCTGAGGAGCTGTAGCAGCACCTCGTTCGGATGATGACCCTGCCGTGCCTTGGTGTGTGGCGGGGGGCAGCAGACAATACAGCCGCACAGTGATTTGACGCCAAAACGGTAATCATTCCTATAGTCCTTCTCCTGACCGTGTCGATGGAGAAGATTACCGGACTTGCTAACTCTTTTGCTCGGCACATCACGCTTCTGCCAGAAAGTCATAATACCTCTGCGGGCACTCCATGTGTCAGCCTCTCTCCCTGTCTTGGTCTGTTCCATTCGTTTGAGTCCAACTGTGACACTGCGCGCCGCTTCCTTCTACAGTCTCTTCTCATCATCGTCCAATGCTGCGTTCTGACTAAGTTTGCGTCCACACACACACACACACACGCACTCACACATACGCACACTCACTCACTCACATACACTCCATACATACCACACCCCCATCCCCCCTCCCCTTTCTGCCTGCCTGAACGAGTCGTGTTCCACCCTGCTTGGGTTATATCATCCACGATTACTCAAGGACCGCCAACACCCTTCTACCAGCTGCAGTACATCCTGCACGGTCTATGGACGATTACTCCGGTGAAGCCTCGAGGAGTGTCCGGAGTACGAGTACAAATACGTCCCGGAGACCACCACCCCGTCAGCGAGGGGAGTCTTCTACTTCAGGACGCACTGCTTTGCCCTCTCATCCTGCTGGAAGAAGTACCTCGAGTTCCTCGTCGAACCGGCAGCCTGGACAGCAACCCACGACGAGTGATTTCCTCTCCGAGTCGTCGCCGTCTCGAACAACCCCATATCAGTCTCCCTCGTCTCCGTTTGACGACGCCATGTCTCGCTCCGCCGGGCCAGGACCGACCACGGTCTCGACGAGTCGACCTCAGCAGTATCAGCTTGTTTCTCCTGGCACGCCAGCTGATCCTCGAGCAATGAGCCAAGTCAGTCCAGGCTTTATTTTTGTAATGTTTCCTATGTGTGCGAGTTTTTGTTTGCTGAGTTCCTGAAATCTTTCCTTTTTGCCCTCGTCTCTCTCTCTCTCTCTCTCTCTCTCTCTCTCTCTCTCTCTCTCTTTTCCTGTCTTCTCTGCTCTCTTTCCAGCTTATTTTGCTCAAATATCTGGTGTCTTGTCGTGCACTCCCAGCGGGCCGCATTCGGAAAGCTAACGGGTCAACGCAGAACAACAAGGATCAATTGATCCAGTCTCTTCGAACCCATCGAGTGAACACCATCACCGAGCTACGCCGCATCGAAAAGATCTTTGCGTTTCTGGATTCTGCCGAAGTGACCGAGCCCATGACCACGGCATGGGCCCATTACGTGAACTCGAACAACTTGTTGAATGAGCTTCGCGGCTTGACCAGGACATATCCTTTCAGCTCGGAGTGTCTGGATGAGGCGAAGGCGATGGTGGTGCGTGACCCAAGCAGCACTCGGAGCTGGAACTATTGCTGGTTAGTTCTGGTGAAGATGGAAAAGGAGTAAGTCCCTCTCCGCTCGGGCCGTCTGGCCTGCAGGGGCTGACCTCTGCCACTCAGGAACCTCATTGCGAAACACGCCCGTGCTCTAGCCTCCAAGGCAAGCACCTGGGGAGGTCGCAGGCCTACCAAAGAAGAGTTTGACCGCCTGGTCAATGCCTGTGTGGCGGAATGGACTCGAGCCCTCCGGCAAATGCTCAAGCACTGGGACAAGCCTCCAAGCACGACCGGGAATTAAACGCGGAGTAAGTGAGCTTTCGGCATGGACCGAGCGGCAGAAAAAAGGAAAGAGAGGTTGAGGGTTTCCATTCTTGCCACCCTGCCCAAGCGTCGATGCTTTGCAAGCAAAAATGGCCTTGGTCTTGGCTTTTCTTTTTTCTCTCTTTTCTCATCTTCTACTTCCAAATATACGAGGACTATGGTACGGGAATTGCAGCGCTGCCTACGAGAGCGCTTTCGGATCGGAACATATTGGGGAGCGTCGGAATGCGGCAGAGCGGAGACTGGTTTCTCGGCTGTTGTACACCGCGCACAAATCTTGGCCACACGGGACAGTCGAAACGCCCCTTTTCTCTCTCCCTCTCTCTCTCTCTCTCTTTTTTTCCCCCTTCTTTGAGGTGCATTGCCACTGGAAGTTGAGCAGTGCTTTCCATTCTTTTTGTTTGCCAGGAGCATGCTGGGACTAGAGGTAGATAGGAAGGTCTGCGGGCAGAGACAGGAGGGATCTCAGGGTGTACCATCATCTGGATGAAACTGTACGATGCTCTGTACGAGATTTCTACATGCTATCACTTTTTTGCTGGAGCAATAAATTGGTATTGGGGATTCTAGAAAGGAACACGGCTCCCAATAACGCCTAGTTCCCAGATGCTGCGAGACTAGGACATTCTCTTTTCCTCCCTTGTCTGTGATTATCAACTGCATAGCACTGGAGAGATGGAGATACGATTTCCGGAAGGCGCCCGGGGTCAAGGATCGGTGCGGCTCCGCGGGCGGTGGCATTATCCTACAAACCAGCCCACAACTCTCACTGCCTAGAAGACCTGGGCGGGAATCAGAGGTAAAGAGAGGGAAAGACAGAGAGTAGAGAGGGTTGGCCGCAAAGGTGAGGAAGGGTATACGAAGAGCCGGGTTTGGCCGAGGGATATCCCGCTGGTTGTACCAGGGAGGACATTGTTATCTTCCTATTCCGGCATGCGTAGCCATCCACAACCCCCCGGTCTCTTGGGTGCGAACCAAAAGTTGCAGTCACGGGCTCGATGCCAAGCGCCGTTTGAGCCATTACGGATCTTGTCCGATTCTTTTCGTTCGTGATTGCCCCATGCCCGCTCGCGAGATTCAGGCCGGGGTTGGATGGTGTATCGTCTTGTTAGTAGCCGTAGGGCGAGCTAGAGGGGATGGACGAAATAGGATCCATGACATCACGGTAGAGAGGATCCCGGTTGTGGTCCTGGGGTCGAATATCTGATGCCACGATTGAATTTTTTGAGTTCGACGTGTTCGAGTAATGCCAGCCCAAGGGACGTTGATCGTGAGACCATGGAGCCAACCAACACCCAACCGGGGCGTCATAGCCGCTCCTCTGTCCCCTTCTCTCCTTGATTCCCTTCTCTGTCTGCAGAGATCTGACAAATAGTTCCTGAGGGAAACTGAACGGATCTAGGTCTTCTCCGTCGGTAAACTCTAAACCCGCTCTGTTTGTGGTCCCTCGCTTTGGCTCTGATGAGTTGCGCAATGCGGCGTGATCATCAACGCAAAAGAATCGATAACCAGAATACATGACGGGAAACAGTGCACATGAAGTCCGGGAAAGGGAAGGCTGCCGTGTTGTGTGGCGAAAACTGAAACCGGCAAGACGGCGCCGGGAGAGTGGATTGGGATAGGCACGGCGGGCGGGCATCCTACAAGCGACTCAGGTCCAAGTCACCATTATTCACTAGGGAAAACCACCCCGACTTCTGGATGAAGCACCTTGATCTGTCAGGCTCTGCAGAGTCATTCATCCAACGGCATTTGACACGCAAAAGGACTACAACGAAGACGATCGGCTGTCGGGGTTAATGGCCGCATCAATCCATGGGTGGTGGCATGGTGTTTCCAAAGTTGGCAACCTACCACGCTTCATCCCGCTGCCGCCATAGCGCTGACGGGGGACCACGGTACCTGCTTTGGAGCGGCGCCATTCAGGGAAAGAAAAAGCGCGGACGATGATGCACCTTTTGGCGCAGCATTTCCGGGTCGAGCGTCTGCTAGGTTCCTGGATGACGAGAGAACACGACCCGGCTCGGGGTAGCGTATTTGGGAGATTTTGACGGCGAGCCGGGTGGGTTCCAGGAGCAAAACAGGAAGAGGGGGAGGGCCTTGTTCGCTCCTACGCCAGGACCAACGATCGACTGGGCTTGTTCTGGGTTGTTCTCACCTCACCTCACAGCGGAACGATTATATAACCAAATTCTACTGGTCAGATCGGATCTCGTGAGAGCTGGACAGGGGGTGTAGCTCCAGAGCAACAGCACCCGGTATAATCAATCCGTCTGTCGCGCTCTGCATACTGGCACCACGAGATGACGTCGACCCCTGAGACAGGGACCGGTACAACAAGACAAGAAGATGATTGCGGGTTTGGTTGTTGTGCTGACTGACTGACTTGGTGTCAGTGACGGGGACTGATGATCCTATGGTATTCCTCATTGGGGAATTGAATTTGTTGTCTGTTTTGAGGGAAAAGAAAGCGCCCCTCCCCCTTCCCGGGCGGCCCCCAGAATTTACGACTACTTGGTGAAATAACAAAAGGGTAAGTGCCAGGCTGGGCAGAAGCAAAGGCGTTGCTGGGCTGGTGCTGGCGCTGATTAATGATATGCTGGTTCAGGGAACAAGGCTTTGGCTCTGATTGGCTGGATGCTGCCGTACCTTTTGCCCGAAATAGTAAATGTGGCTCCACCTGCGCCTCAGGCTTCAATTTCGCTGGATTGAAAGAAATCTCCTCGTCCTTCTTCTTCTCGACCACGCCTGAAACACACCTTATACCCCACCGCCGTTTTGGTGCCCTGCTCAGTTATTACTCGAACCGTCGAAATGCCCTCCCGTCGCTCTCGCCTCTGCCAGAAACGCCCTCCACCTCGGCAAAAGGACGTCCACACCTGTCCAAGCCTGTGCACGGGGCGGGCTGAAATAAGACACACACACACACACACATACCAAGACAAGCACTCACACAGGTGCAGATACAGACACATGTTCCGTACACATAGCCCCTCTCGACGCTACAAGCCACAGGAGAAAGCCCTCCGAATTGTGCCCCTGTCCCTCCCTCCAAGAACGGCCATCGATGCCAGGCTTGCCAGAATCGGGAAGTGGCCCAATGTAACCTGATTCATCATACGATGGTTACCCACATTATGGGCTCACAATACGCAGAAACGGGCACAATCAATCACAGCTCTGACAGGCGGGTGGTGCTGGCCAGCCTTGTGACGACGCCCCGAATTGAGCATCTCTCCCCCCCACGTGACGATACCAACCCCCATGAGCCGCCGACGATTACTATTTGCTACAGCCACCGGGCTTTCGCTACTCGTACTCGTACGTCGCCATGCCGGCCCCCACCCCCAAACACACACACACTCTGGTGGTCCCCGAAAAGCGTTCTAAAAGGCCGTCCCAGGAGACGAGGGGCCAAACCCAGATCGTCCTCAGCTGGGCTCTGGAGCAGCTCTCGCTTGCAGACCACACCATCTCCCTCTATCTTCACTTCTGATCCAGCCGCCTCTCATCGTCCTCAACAAGCTTTAGCAGAAGCTTTAGCAGACCGCTTTCACGCCGGCATATTTTTCTCAGGCTGCTCATAATCGGTTGGTCGGTACGATATCGGCCGGCTTGGACGAACCCCAGCACTGAGCCGCCGTTGCGGTGGAATTTCAATGGTCACATCATGTTCTTCGGACCAGTTGCGGCCGACCAAATCTCAGTGAGAACAATCCAATGCTCGCTTTCCCCGAGAGACCTATTCCCCCGCTGCAGTCATCATCATCGCGCCCAAACAAGGAGGTCCTTTGCCAGAGTGCTTCTCAGTATTGTCACTGTGGAGAAGATGTCGTTGATCTGGGTCTGATCTCTGACAAAACTTCTTGCAGCAGACCCGATGGGCCCCCCCTCCCCACTTACATCACCCCATGAGCCTGGTCATCCTCCTGGTACACAACGGAGCTCCCCAGCAGCATCCACATTTGGGGCCCTACCAGGTTTCTGGTTCTCGCCTGTCACCAATCATGGTGTGGCCCCTCGCCAGACTTCGGCATGGTGACTCGAGAATGCATGGTCATCGCTTCGCCAAAATGTGCGACCTAGATCCTTCACCCCAGTCCGCCACAGAAGAAGGCCTCACTCATGCGCCGTAGTCAGAACCGGCGGATCGGCGATGACTCTGCCCTGGCGGCACGGGCGCATCTTGATGGGTGGAGGTGCACCGCGGACTTTTGCAGTTGTCGACTTTCCACATTTTCTCAAGCCTGATGAGACCATCCACACCGGGTCTCCGCTGCCCTTTGACTCCAAATAGGTAGTTCACTACAGAAGCCGGTTGGAGGGGGAGGGGAGGAATCAAGTATCCTGAGCACCAAAGATAGCAACCTTTCTCACCGCTCGGCTAGGCAAGAGGGTAAGTCTGGAAGGATGCCATTTTAGGCGTCGAATCTTGACACAACCTTCTGGGAAACTTGCATTAACTCTCACGCGCCATCTGCAGGATGCCAGTCTCCATACAGAGAGCAGGTTCGCTGGAAGGTTCCGAAGTAATTCCCTGCTTACATATGCAGGAAAACCTCTCGAGGGATTGCTGAGCTAACAGACCCCACCTACGCCTCGGACAGGGATCCTTCGAAGCCCGGACGACGGTTGGCCGGTAGATTGTTTGCAGAACTCGCGGGGGCGGTCGTTCTACGGAGTACAGACACTCCCGCGGCGTTAGATTCCGATCTAACGCAGAGAAAGGGGCCCAAGCGAACAAAGCCCGCAGTCAATGCTTTTCACCGTGTTTTGGGAGGATCAGCTGGCCCTCGCGCCCAGGAGGGGTGTGCAGAATCCTCTTGGAACTCTTTCCAGCTGCGACCTGGACCGAGGTTTTCCAACGCCCACATGCACTTCTCCATGGGCAGATCTACGACAAAGCGCACATTGAGGTGAGCAACAGTAAGGCATGACCCCTGGATTTGTTGGGTTGAATCATCAACTGGTGTGTCTTGGGCCCTTCTTGCACATCAGGATGTCTGTCCTAGTCCGTTCATTTTCGAGCCATTGTGACCAGTCCGTTGGGGCACGAAAAGTCTCCCGGCCCTGCTCAGACCTGCATCCACCCATCACTACGGGTGCTGAGTTTTCTCGAGACTTTAACCCTTGCCCTTGCGGGCCCCACGAAATCCGGTACCTTGATTACCGTGCGACTGCCGAAGACCTATCACAATTGTCTGAACGGCGTGACAAAGGTCCCCTGGAGCCGTGTAACCGCACATGCAGGGAGGACAAAGCAAGTGTTTTAGCTTGATTTTGCTTTCAGCTCTTCGAACGACCGCCACTATCGTTCCTCCTTGCAGATCGAACCCTGATGTTGAGCAAGATTTTCATGCTCGCTTACAAGAATGCTGACTTTTGCTGCTGTCAAACGTGGGCCCAGAGGATGCTCCCGGGGAGCATGAACGGCCTTGATCCGAGCCGCGAAGGATTCAAGACAGGCTGAGCTCTTCCAAGTTGGATTACTTGGAACCTGCCACCAGTGTGCCAATGGGTTAAAGCCATTGGTCATCGAAGAGCTAACAACCAGTGAGTCAATGGTATCGAGCTTGGTACCGTGAACCACGACGTCTCCTCATCCCGTGGCCCATGATCTTCTCGACACCCCTGCTACTGCCTTCGACGTGGCTGACCCTGGTGATCTATCTTTTTTTTTTTGCTGAGAATTCAAACATTTGCGTCATGGTCTGTCCATAGCCACGGGGACAAACGTGGATTTGAGAAAGGCCCCCCAGGAAACTGGATGGCGTCCCTTCATAAATCCTGATAGCATTGAACAATATCCCTGAGTCAGCAGCCTCGCTATTGGTGGCCTCCATATCCGCTCTTGGTGCCAGTCGACGTTCAACGTCCCGTTGTTTCGCATTAGAGTCTTGAAATGGCTCGCCTTCCTTCTCTTTTCTAAGGGCGATAGTTGTTATCTTTAGCCGTCGTCGACAACAATTGAGTCAAGGTAGGTCTCCTGCTGCTTTCGACGCCGGAGTCGGAACAGCAACCTTTGTTGGAGGGGGGCCCCGCAGTGCATTTTCTGGCCAGAGCCCGATAACAGACGATGCTCGTTCGACAAACTAGAGGATCGTCAAACCTCATGGGATCTTAACCGTCATGACAGACAGGCCCACGGGTAGGTGTTTTCCTGCAGCCCATCTGTCAAAAGCGGGGGTGACACGGGTTGGCCTCCCGCCAGGGAGGCGGAAACCTCGCTGTGTTGGGTGAGGGTTTCGCCGATTTCGACCGTCTTCATGTCTCATGGTGGTCGGCGCCGCGCAAGTGACTTCGGCACGCTTCCTATGTCCTGGTTGGCTCTCTTCGAGCAGATCAGGTGCTACGTCATCATGCATCTATACGTGATTGACATGACGGTTGTTGCATATGGTGCACGGCCTTTGTCAAACAGGGATGGGATATCGGGCTTTCATACTTCCAGGCTGGAGTCGAGTTTTCATGTCTGCTGCATTGGGACGCTCTTCAACCCCATGATCCACCACGGACTTAGGGGAGATCAGAGAGACAAGCCAGGGCCAACCGTTCCATCAGGCGTCGGTGTCGTCATTGGCTTGAACGACAAAGGCTTCGTCCCGCCCCTGGTTGAGTTTCCAACGCCGGGACATCCACCATCACAGCCTTATGCACCATGACTGAGGAACCACTTTATCTCCGGAAACTAAACCCGATGGAATGTCTTTTCTGTCTTTCCTGCTATCTTCCCTTCTGACAACACGTTGCCGTGCTCAGGATGTCCATCGTCCAAACAAGGTAGATGGTCTCTTTCTCTTTTCAATTTTTAGCCCAGGCCAAGCCTTTTACGTGTGCATCCGCCATCGAAACGCAGCGCAGACATAACGAATCAACCAAGAAGCAGGTAAAGGAAGGGAGGGCACCCATTATAAATCAATAGGGCACAATCACTGAGTTCTGATTTCTGCATAGTCCGGATCTGGATGACAAGCGTTTATTTGCTGCTCGGTGACTTGTTGCTGGAGTCCATCCATAACATTTATGGACAGCATTGCGGGTTGCATTATGTCCTATTAAGGCACGCCGAGAATGGATTGTGCATGTCATACACACACACAACAAATAGAACAGGGGCCGCCGTCTCGGGGCCAGTCATGGCGCCGACACTTGGACAGCGACAGGGAGGCAGAGAACAGTTTTTGGTTGGTTGTGTTTACCTTTCTCAATGAGTTATGGTCTAATCCATTGCCATATACTAATAATACCAGTCCCAATCTATCTCGGCTTCCTCAGACCGTGATTCAAACTTCATCTGATGTGGTTGGTCTATTCTGCATGCGCGTGTGTAGGTAGGTAGGTCAGCAAGTAACGTATCTATCTAATATGTACTATTATCACCCCGGAACTCGCGAGGTAACGTAGACGTTTCCCCCCTGGAAAATCTCAGCCTCGCCTCGCCTCGCCTACCCTCCTTTTCCCTTGCCAAGCCAATGAGAGATTTGACCGGGCACCGGTCGGATTCTCAGCCTCTCGAATCCTATCTCACACACACTCACACACATACACACACACATATATATATACACCATTAGGAAGGGGGTTGCAGGGTTCATTTCTGTAATCTGGATTTGTACGTGCGTTGGCTTGGGCATAACACTGCCTAGGCAACCTATCTATGTACCACCGGATAGACAAGTGGATGAATATACACACAAACACAAAAACAAACAAATGAAGAGACACATGGATGCGCGCGTGTGTGTGCGTGTTCATATTCATGTTTATATTTATACACAACCCATGATTATAAATAGCGGGTCTACATCCGTGCCACCAGGATTAGCCCGGATCTTCTTCTTCTTCTTCTATACGGTAAGCGAGGACGGACGCCATGTGCTGCCTGCTCATCACTACCCTGCCCCCGCCCCTCCTTGCCTTCTCTGATAGTTCTGCTCAACCCTAACTGTTTGAAATGCGAGACACGCCTCTCATGGACCATTCCTTCCCATCAGCCCACGAAAGTTAAATCGTCGTCGCCCAAGAGAACAGGCCTAGAGGCCGGCTGAAGTCGAACGCACTTTGGCGCTAGCTCGGAATCAATTGGTCGTCGGCACAAGGGAAGACTGGTGCCGGGTCTCTGCACATCCCCTACTTCTTGCTGAAAGTGTGGCTTCTGAGCGCTCGGAGGCCGGAAAAGGGGGAAGATGGAAGCCATGGATCAAGAAGGGGCGGGGCAAGGGCCACCCGAGGACCGTGTCCGCCACAACTCCTACCCGAAGAAGCACTCCGGGTGCACACCGCCATGTACAACGTCGGCAGTCTGTGATACCCCTAAAGTCGAGATCGAGGGAGTGCGTAGGCCGTCTTTGTCATCGTCGGTCAGCGTCGCAATAGTGTCGCATATCGTTCCTGTGTGAGCGAACCGTGTGGTTCGAGCTACCGTGCAACATGGGATTGAAGGCAGCGATCGTGGTTGACGATCTGGGAAGGACGCTGGACGTCTCTCGACATATCAATTCTTTAAGCTCGCCAGGCGGATCGGGCCGGTGGCAAGGATCGGGAAAAGTATACCTCCACAGGGTTCATATTGCTGAAGGGATTTTTCGGATTGAACAACTTCTGGAGGTCCAGCGCATAAAACGAGCTTGACGAGCATATACTCGGGAGGTGGCGAGGGGGGAGCGCACATCGCTTTCTTCAGATATGCAGGTCATGACCCAGAGCCTTGCACTTGAACTCGCTCGGCGTAACCATTATTTAGCCTTGTTAACCTGTAGAACTTAGAGGGACTTGGCCTTGAAGTGAGAAGTCTGGTTGGAGGAAGAGAGCCTCTGGACGTTGTCATCACCTGCCCGATCGACTCAGACAATAAGAAGGACAAGACAAAAGGTGAGAAATCTTGGAGCAATCCCTGCTCTGGCGCCACTTGTCGTTGCTGAGGTGCTGCCACTTTGATACTGGTGGTGGAGAACGGCAGGGTTTAGGAGCGCTTTTATCCGTTGGGGCCCAGTCGCTATCTCAGCGAAGTCGCAACAGGGTGGGAATATCAGGTGGAAGCGCACGATAGCGGTCTGATAATGTCTTCATTGCACATGTCTATGCTCTCGGTCCAGTAAGCCTACTGGCGACCGTTTTGACAGCTGCCTCTTCACGGCTGAGAGTCCACATAAACAGCAGCTGGATCACAAAAGCATACAGCGCCAAGAAATACGTGCGACGGTTCTTTTGTGCGCGTGCCACGGTGTATGAACTTCCGCCTCGCATGGCGGTCGGATCCCCAGAGGCATCTGGCAGGAGGACGTATTTCAGAGACCTCAGCTAAAAGGTTGTCAGATCACAAATAACGTGGTGCAGGGCGCGGGGACATATACCAGAAAGAATGCATTCGCGTACCAGGTGTACAGGAACAACGTCCAGCCCACCCAGTTATTTGTCCCGTTCCCGCCGGTCAGCAGCTCACTCAGGAAGAGCGTCACAATCACTCCCACAAACTTGTAGCCCGAATAAGCCACCAGATCCAGGAGTTGAGAGTCGTTACTAATGCTCAGCATGTACATGGCGATCTTCAGGACGATAATTTCGAAAATGATGACGAAGATGGCTGTGCTCGTGATGCTGCCCAGCAGTTCAGGATGGAATGATCCCCTGACTCCGGCGAGCACAGTGGACAGGAGGATATAGGTGATCAATGCCATGATTGGGATGTACATATCTGGCGAATTGAGGTCGTCGCGGGGCGGAAGGTAGTTGAAAGAATAGGATTGTTGGGTCATTGTGCCGTCTGCAGCCGTCGAGGACGTGGTCATTCGAGCTTGTTGTCGCGTCCACGGCTTGTGGCGCCAGGGGAACAGGACTAGTAGCAGTTTCCGTACCACGTACGAGTTTGAGACATTGAAATAGTGTTTCAGCGCGGAGACGGAAATATAGCGGTTCAACTGCCAGAGGAAGACGTCAGCGCATGCCATTTCCACCTAGATAATCCACGAGCTCCAGACTGTAACTACGATATATGTCTTGTCCCTGAGTCACACACGTACGTTCTGTTCCATATACTCTTGTCCAGCCTTCATGGCATGCTGGCCTACTTGAAAGCCCATCTGGGCTGTCGGATCACTCATGAAGCCAAAGTTTGGACCGAACCCTCCCCCTCCACCGCCTCCCCCTGCAGGCGGCGACTGGTAGGGGTTGCCATAGCTATTCACCGGCGGCTGTGACGAGTTCTGCGAGGCGGGAGGAGGAGGGGATCGCATCATAGGAACTTGAGAGATATGCTGAGGGCGAGGGTGGAATAATTCGGGGGATTTTTGAGGCGGAGGAAAGGGCTGGCGCTGCATGCTGGCCGAGGGAGGGCGAGATATACCTTGGGATGCGTGATTGATGCTGTTTGGAGTCGTGGTCGGTCTAAATCGTTCGGTGAATGGAGTGACAGGCTGGCATAAACAAATCTCGAGTGTGTCGCAGTGCAGCGTGGCACACAGTTCTGGAAATCTGTCCCCGATCCAATGTCCCGCCACTTTAACGAGTTTTCTCCGCACTCGAGTGGTTGGTGGTCGAATATGTCCCGCTGCTATAGTGCCATACGCTACGAGGCTCTGTCGAGCTGCACACCTTGATCTCCTTCTCTATTCAACCACCAACCCCTCCGATCCTTCCTGGGCACAAATCTTTCCCTCTCACTGATAACAGGCCATTCTATGCTCTTCCACCTGCTATCAAAATTCAAGGTGGGATCAAAGCCAGGACGGTGGCAGTGCATTCCTGTCACGGGCAGTGCACAATCCTCTCCGTACGAGCTGATTGACTATTGCTGCCACAGCAGGCTATGCTTGTCTTTACTATCATGCCTTACCGGTGGACAGAGTTTTGGATCCGTGAGTGGGATTACGGGAACACCTGGTGCTATTCCTTGGATGGCCTCATCGTAGACTACTTGGTGTCGTGTCTTCAAGTGTGAGTGTTTCCTGGAAGCTGGTGGATATCGATTCACTACTCCCTCTCCATCTCATCTGTGCAGAGGAGTGAGGAGGGCCTTCCTTGACGACGTCTCTCTTAGGACAACTCGGACTCTATTACCTAGGTGGGCCCCATAGCCATCGAGGCGGTAAAGTGCATTGCAAAATGCAGTGAAGATGGATGTAAGTCGTTTTGAGCTTATGGGCAGAACTCCAAGACGTTCCTCGCACTCTTTGGCCACCTGTCTGCTGTCGTGCAAGGGATTGAGGAATGAAGCAGCTGGGTGTTTGCCAGGTTCACACCCAGGAACATCACCGCATGACAGCAGTTATCGAAGATTTCATGTGCTCAGACGACCTCGACCACAAGGGTAAAACAACAAGGACGGCTTAATAAGTGGGAATATTTGAAATCTGTCCCGACGGTAAAGGCTGTATCTAGAACAACGATCTACAGGTCCACCCAATTGAACAGGGAGATATACGTCAACAATCGACGTAAAGAGACGCCTCACTGAGCACTTGGCAGGCAGCTCTGACACATGGCGCGTACCGTTCAGCGGGCGTGAGCGTAGCCTTGGGAGGACGAGAATGTCTGGCGGCTGGATGACCAGAGACTCGATCTCTGTCGACAACCCGAAGTGTCTCTTGCTCGAACCCTTCAAGTCAGTTTGAAAAGTTCGACTCTGAACTCTTCAGGGGAAAAGCATACTTGACAAATGCCAACGCTGATCTTAAGTTGACTTTGGACGTTCGAACTTTATTCCAGGCAGAAACGGATCTTCTGGCACAGATGCCAACGGTCTCTTGTCTCCTCCGATGCCCGACCCGTGGAGCCGAGAAGATCCCTATTCAGCATGATACATAGCAGCTGTGCAATGTTGACCGGTATTCATAACGGAGCCGGAGAGGTTTAAAGTTGGGCCCGAGAAGGCAAAAGGGTGCACGGGACAACGGCCTCAAGCCGAGTAGCAAAGAGCCTACAAGAGCATCACAACCAGGAAGGCGACATTCCAGAGGATTTCAGGCTACTCAACTCTACCTGACTCAGAGACCCTCGTGGCGGCTGAGAGATGCATAGGGGTTCCCAAAGTTCCAAGGCCGTGCTTGAAGATCGATCACATGCTGCGAGATGGTCTTGCGGAGAATAGGCGAGACCCTCCCAATCCTTTCGCTTCTCCAGGCTTAGCCACACACTAACGGATGATCTGCAGGGCTTAGGACGACGCGCCCAGTTGGTAGTCAGGTACCACACACGGGGTCGGAACCTTGCTGCCCCTGAAAAGGGGTTCTGCGATGTGGCCAGCAAGAGGGCGAGCAGTGATATCCATTCGCCTTGCAGTGCTGCCGGCCAAATCTGCTGGATAGGCACCCCCATTGTCCGTGCCAAAAAACAACGATGATTACTCGTAATCGTCCTCGACGATACCGATACTATCAACCCGGTTCCTGTCGCGAAGCGCGTTGAAAAGCGATGCTCGAGGCCCTAAAATTGTTCGGAGCGGTCCCGCGCCACGGTGGTTTCGACTTCGCTCTTTTTCTGGGCTGCCGGTCAGTCTTGGCCTTTGTGAAACCTTCTTTCTCGTATTCAGCGCCTGCAATTTGAAGGGGGCGTTGAGCAAGATGAGTCAAGATGGAAAAGCTCCGGAAAACCTGACTGCAGACACGAGGTTTGAAGCCATCTTCGCCCCATGCCACACCATTTTGTGTCGGGAACCTTGTTTCCACGCTCATTTTCTCGCTTGATAGCGTTCGGCTCGTGCATCTCACGAGGCTGGCTCCGGATATGGAGAGATTTGCAGACGGCTTGTTACCCCTCTCCACCAGGATTGTGGCCAACGAAGCTGCCTGTCGTGATTACACATCTCAACACGTTCCCAGGCACGCCGAGAGACCAGAACATTTACGGCTTGACGTGTGATTAAGGAGAGCATATTGCTCATGCAAGAATGGGCTTAGGCTCACCAACCACTCCCCTTAGCAAGCATTGAGAATGGCCCCAGAACGGTGAGCTCCCGATGCTTCAAGGTGATATATTGCAGGGCATGGCCATGAAGCCGTGTTCTCTCTCCTCTTCCTCAAGCACCTGTCTTCGTCCAGTCCTTTCCTTCTACTGACCCCAGTCATTCCTTCCTGAAACCATCAACACACTACTTCGAAATGGCATCAAACGGAGCGGCACAGGGCGGCATGATCGACCAGAATGACGTGCAAGACTGGGTCCATCGCTTCAACGAGGCCCTGGCAGATTCGACGACTGTCACTGCACCAGCCGCACAAGATGCCCGCCCGTGGCACTCGTCTTTCTTCGGCTGCTTTGCACCCATTGATACTTGTATGTTGGACAATTCCGGAGATATGATCCAGAGGCTCTGACATTCGTTCTCCAGGCTTCATCACTTGTTGCGTACCGTGCGTCACCTTTGGCAAAACCCATCATCGCAGCCGCAAGCATGGAAACATGGAGGGATACAGCTGCGTCAATGCTTCTGTGAGTCTTTTGCTCCCCGTTTCCCCTTCTTCTTTGCAACTGCATGTTCTGCCCTTGACTGGAGAGCGGGTACTGACGGCGATAGTGCCTCATGTTCACCGGTTTCTCGTGCTTCGGCCTTCACTTTATCCCGATGATGTTCCAACGCGCAGACATCCGCAAGAAATACAACCTCCAGGGCGACTGCATTGGTGACCTGCTGACGTCGTGCTGCTGTGCGTGCTGCTCGCTCATCCAGCAGGACAAGGAGGCCGAGTTCCGGGAGAAAGAGTTGGCTGAGAAGGTCAATGGCACTGGATACACCAAGCCACAAGACATGGCGTATCCTGCCTAGAGAAAGCGGGAGGCAGTTGGCTCTGATCTGGAGGTGCTGTGTGCGGTGTTTACCCATCGGCGTGTAGTGGTCAATGGCAAGATGGGTGTCACCATGTGTTCAATGTGTCCCATGCTCCGACATGATACAAAGAGTCTCGAGCAAAGTCTCCAGCACCGGTCTCCCTTTCCCGTCCACGCAAGGACAACTCGTTTGATCCGACATTGGGATGCAGAGCTCCCTTCCAGCGCATCCCGTCCCTTACTGAGTCAATAAGGCTGGCCCCCTTTCTATCCGGTGGTCCTTTTCCCTTTGTCACCTTCACGCAGAGTCGAGTTTCCTTCCTGTGGCCCAGTCCCTCTCATCTCACGTCAGAAGCCGCTCCGTTCTGATGAGGGGGAGCTGCTGCTCCTGGTGCCGGACCTGTTTCCCGAATGCGGGGTGTGGATAGGGGATTCCCGTCGTGCATCGTGCAATACTCGTTACTCCCCGTCCACCAGCAAGCCGCCGCCCAACCATCGAAGAGAATTGATATATCAAGAAACGACGACATGTGCCGAGTGTCGTTCCGCCTTACCAGCAAGGGTAAATAATATATATACATACTTGCCAGCACATCTTGCGTGGTCGACCACCAGCCCCTTTGCTTCCCTTTTCTTTCTCTTCCTCTTTCCCTGCCTCAACCCCTCCAAGATGACCACATCCTCCGCCGACGCCGTCGTCACCATCGACTTCCCTCCCTCCGAGACCACCGTCCGGGTCCGTCTCGTCGACACCACGGCGGTGATGACGGTGCGGGCCGAGTCGTTCGTCCAGCCCGTGCTGCCGGGCCACGAGCTGCTGAACCTGACGTGCGCGGCGTTCCTAATCGACCACGCGCCCTCGGGCCGCCGCGTCATGTTCGACCTCGGCGTGCGCACCGACTATTGGAACTACGCCGCCGTGCTGCAGCGCCGCATCGGCTCCATTATTCCCAGCCTGCGCGTCGACAGGGGAGTGCCGGAGATCTTGGTCGAGAAGGGCGTGGAGTTGCACTCTATCTGTAAGTGACGTGATGGACCTTGTCTTGAGTATGTGAGGGGACGGGAGGAGAAGGGGATAAGGGAGTGATTGATATCGTTAAGCCTCCCTCTCTTTTTTTGGGAAGGAGGAGAATGGGATGGTTGTGATATATAAATATATATATATACCCCCTCTCTTCCTACAGAGTCACAGCCACGTCTGTAGCTGACCCGAAACCTGCGAGAGCAAATTTCCAGCCTCGGTCATCTGGTCACACTTCCACTGGGATCACATCGGCGACATGTCCCTCTTCCCGCCCTCCACCGAGGTGGTGGTCGGACCGGGCTTCAAGTCCTCGCCGCTGCTGCTGCCCGGCTTCCCCGACAAGCCCGACTCGCCGGTACGCACGTCCGACTTTCACGGCCGCGAGCTGAGGGAGATCGACTTTGGGACGTCCGGCCTCCGCATCGGCGGCTACGGGGCGTTTGATTTCTTTGGCGATGGCTCATTCTATTTGCTCGGTGCGTGTTCCCTTCTTCTTTCGTTTTTCCACCCCTCTGCGTCTACCATAGATTTCGGCGGGATATGCATGGTAATAGCCGATATGTTAATGCACCACCACCGCCACCGCAGACACGCCCGGCCACTGTCTGGGCCACATGTGCGGCCTCGCCCGGACGACAGGTGGCGACGACAGCACGTTCCTGCTGCTGGGCGGCGACATCTGCCATTTCGTCGGGGACCTCCGACCGACGCCGACATATCCCATCCCGGACCCCGTCCCGGCCGACGTGCTGGACCGTGACTCGGCCAGCTCGTTCCCCAGCCCCTGCCCGTGCAGTCTCTTCACCGACCACCACCCGGGCATCTCCCAAGGCTTCCTGGACGGCGACCCGAAGCAGACGCCGTTCTACCGGGTCTCCACGCACGCGTCGTCCGCGTACGTCGACCCGCCCACCGCGCAGGCGTCGGTGGACAAGCTGCTCGACTTCGAACAATGCCCCGCCGTGATGGTCTGCCTGGCCCACGACGGGGCGCTGCTGAAGTACCTGCCCACGCTGAACCGCGAACCGGGGGCGGACCTGAACGCCTGGAAGAGCGAGGGGTGGAAGAACGCGTGTCGCTGGGATTGGTTGAACGAGTTGCCGCGCAGTCACGACGGCGACAGGAGCAAGAGTAGGCCGGGGAGGAAGCCCATCGTGGAAGGGTTCTGGCGTGATGGGAAGCCGTGGGATCGGGCGAAGATGATTGGGGAGTGAGTGAAATGAGTGAGTGAGAAATAGGAAAAGAAATGAGGAGAGGGAGAGTCTTAATGGGGCTAGCTAGGACAGGTAGATTCCTCAAGGGGGTTCCTGAATATCTGGGTTCCATTTTGAAGGCCGGGTCGCTTTACTTCTGTTTGAACGTGAAGAAAACGTCAAGCTTAGCTTGTCAAGATGTCCCCTTTCCCCCCTCCCAGTCTAAGACAGCCAGAACCAGAAGGCATGCATAGATCCATTCAAGAACCGATCTTGCGCCAGTTGAACTCTCCCCGTGCCTGTCTCCCATCCTAGACCACCCCCTCGATTGTCAGCATGGGAGATGCCAGCATTTCTCTTCTTCACCCAATGGAGAGACAAACCTTGAGCGTATACCACTTGACCGGGTTGAGCATCATGTACTCCCCACCGTCGGCGGCCTTGGTGTAGCGTGCCACGCGGGTCTGCGGCTTCCCGATCCAGCTCGGGTTGGAGGCGATTTCGACCTGGGTGTGCCACAACAGCGACCCGTCGGCCTGCTCGGACAGCGTCATGAAGCCACCGTACGAGGTCAGGCTGCGGCCGATGCGCAGCACCTCGGCGTCCGTGGGCTCGGTGGACTCCAGCGGTTCCAGGCCCGGGGGCGCCACCAGCGTCGCGAGCAGGAAGCCCGAGTTTGAGATGACCACTTTGCCCTGTGGGTCGTCGCCGTACGGTTTGCTGAGCAGCTTTCGGTCCGGACCCTCGGAGTCGTACATCTCGGCTGAGATCAGCGTCCACACTCCGGAGAGGATGTGCTTGTGCTTGTCGAAGACGTTTGGTGTCATTTTGGTTTGGTTTGGTTCGGTCAGGGATGGACTGGAGTGAGGATTGCTGGGACTGGGAGAAAGCTATAAACTATGCCGAGAGTATCTATCAAACAATCTTGTCAGAGGCTGTCTAAGAACCGGGAATTGGTTGTCACAGAGAGTCCAGGAGGGTGGATCACCCGTTCATGATATACCCGAGGTTGTCTGGAGACTCTGCACGTCCCAATCAGAGATAGTTCGGTCATTGGAGAAGCGAGAAAAGCATATGTGAGCAGCCATCTTGTCGGACGCATATCTGGGCGGTGCTGAGGGCAATGCTTGGAGGCACGCAAGGATGCTTTTGTTCACCGTGGAATGTGAGACGCAAGTTGGTTGTGAAGGAGAATGGAAGCAAAGCCCGATGCTGATAGCTTGCAGCCAGAAGAGACTCGATGGTTGTCATTGCACAGATACGGCCTTGTTAATAGGGGAAGAATGGAGAACACATATGTTGGTACCGGCGCAGTTAGGATGGAAGTTGACGATCGGACAGACAATGACAACAGAAGGTTGACCGAGTGTGTCTCTCTCTAATGGCATCTTGAACTGCGACTTGTCTGCGTCTCATTCATCTGCTTCACCTGAGACTCTTTTCAATTCATCCTCCCTCTTCCTTTTCTTTCCCCTTCTCCTTTTCAGATCCTTCGGTCAGTGACATCGAAATGCCCTTCTCCGACTCCTTCGACGTCGCGGTCCACATCGACGACGTGCCATTGACAAAGTATCCTGATCCAGAGGGTTGACACGAGCCATGCCACAGAAGAACTCGCTATGTCGACGTCACTGCAGGCCAGAAGCTTGCAGTGGTCGTCCAGATGCTCCCTGGATTCCACAGTGCTTCACACCCTCGCGCCCTCCGCGGTCCACGACGGGGACTATCAGAGGATATTCCGGCAGCGTGACTGGTCAAGACACCGTGCAGGTTGCGCGACGACGCTGAATCGACAGCCGCTTGATGCACGACGAGACAACTGGAGCCTGGAACAGATATGCCCTGTAGTTTGGAGGTCTGCATGTCAGTGAGTACAACACTTCTTTCCCACAAACTTCACCTCAACCACCACTGACGCTATAAATATAAAGGAGAGTCCTCATCTGCTCCTGAATATCCCTTGCCCAACCAAATCTACTTGCTGGGCTCTCTCCGAGCCACCGTCTTTCGAGCCGGCAAGATCAAGCGAGACAAGCCGTTCATCTACACAGCCAGCTTGACGAAGCCACTCGAGGGGATCCCGGAGATAGCCTTAACTGGGAGGGATGGCGAGAACAACGTCGCGTCCTTCATTCAACTCTGCTTTCACAGCAAGTCAACAAAGCCCCCCCTGTCGGTTAGGTTAGGTTGTCGAGCGTGAGGCTACGCCGCCACGACCAGGTTTCTCCAATTACGTCGCGCTCGAGCGCGAGCATGGTGAATCGTACGAGTTTGTCTTTCTTTACCGAACCAGACGTGAGTAGTTAGGAGAAGATGACCTGCAGAGCTGTGCACTGACTTCTTCCTCAGAGTCTCGGATGCATCCCCAGAACCCCTTCCCCTTCTCCCCATCGTGCCACCAGTCTTGAGTGCATGGAAGAGATGCTGAGAGAAACAAAGCAGTGAACCCAGGCCAAAACCTTGGATTTGCAGGTCGGTGCTTTCATACTTTGCGAAAACCAGTATCTTGCTGACTAACCACGTCAGGCGCGACTAGCCAAGGCGGAGGAGGCTGGTTGACACACCAACGCGGCTCATAACGGCAACAACCCAGCGAAGCGAACACCAGAGCAGGCCGGGGTCGACGATGACGATCATTACGAGGAACTGCTCGTTGTGCCGCCTCCTCCTATGGAGCCGTTTGTTGTCATCGATTTCACCCAGGAATGATGCATGCGGTGGTGGTGGGCTGGCTCAATCTGACAACTGATGAAGATTGCAACTGTTTTACTTACAACAGACCGGAACCACATACTCATGGAATACAGTCGCAGCAATTGTGGGAAAGATAACTCATCAGGATCGATCCCAAGCTACCGCAAAAGAGTTGGAGTCCCTGATACCACCGTCGCCATAATATGAGAACTCATTTCCAGCACACAAGACCGAGCATCAGAAGTGTCGAACAAGGCTGGAGGAGTGTTACAGTGGGAAAGAGATGTGCTCAGAGCATGGGTAACACAAAGTAAGTCGAGGTCTAACATGTCGTGAGTAGACTTCCTGGTCTCTCCGCAGCAAGTTGGAGACATGGAGTAGGATACTGTCGGCTATGCACATGGCTCGAATGGAGCTACAGTACTCGGTATCTCGTACATCCAAACAATGCGGAGAGGGGTTCAATCAATCTGGCGTCCTTCCCTTTCCATACAGGCATGGGTGTTTCTGCTCATTCTCCTCTCCCGGCCGTTATCCGGGTGTGTCGTCGTATTAGGAGGAGAAGGAGGAGGTCGATGGGATGATCCCAGCCAGGGATGTTTCCCCGCTCAAGAACACATCCATATCATGCATGAACGCGGCTCAATGACTGCCGGCCCATGGGGTTGTTAGTGATTTCAACAACGACATCGCCCATCTTGCAAACCATCTACTACAGAGCGAGCAGGGCAAAGAGCCAACCAACCAACCAACCTTTCCTCTCTTTCTGACCGACCATCAAAAGGATTAAAGAATTTACTATCCATCTGTCTGTCCGTCTGCCCGCAGCCATGGCGGACAAAATAATTTGCAAGGAGATCCCCTACACGGTAGGTATTTTTTCTCTTGACTACGTTCCATAGTCCTGTGAAGAAAGATCTGATACGGGGAAAAACAGTTCAAGGACCCGACACTCTTGGACACGAGATCCTTTATCGGCGGCAAATGGGTTGATGCCGTCAGTGGAGACACATTCCCTGTTCTTGGTAAGGCTGTTCTGTCCTGTCCTGTCATGCCCTGCCCTGATCACAGAGAGAGAGAAAGAGAGAGACAGAATCCATCAGACCACCCTCCTATGAAATGTGTGAGACTCTACTGAAAGGCTTCTTCTTCCTCTCCAGACCCCACCGACAACGAAAAGATCTGCGACGTGGCCGACGCGGGCCGCGACGAGACGCGCCAGGCGCTCGAGGCCGCGCAGGCGGCGTTCAAGACGTACCGCAAGACGACGGCGCGCGAGCGACGCTGGCTGATGCGGCGCTGGGCCGACCAGATTCGACAGGCGGCCGACGACCTGGCGGCCATCTGCACGCTGGAGCTGGGCAAGCCGTACACCGAGTCGCACGTCACGGTCAAGTACGGCACCGACTTCCTCGACTGGTTCGAGGGCGCCATCGAGCGTCAGTACGGCGAGACCATCCCCGCGGCCCGGGGGGAAAACCGCATCTTCACGGTGCGCCAGCCCCAGGGCGTCGTCGCCGCCATCACGCCCTGGAACTCGCCTATCGCCATGGTCACCCGCAAGGTGGGCGCCGCCATCGCCGCGGGCAACACCGTCGTGTGCAAGCCCGCGCCCGAGACGCCCCTGTGCGCCATCGCCGTGGCCAAGCTGTTCGAGCGCGCCGGCGGGCCTCCGGGCGTGTTCAACGTCGTCACGTCCAGCGCTGCCAAGTCGGCGCTCGTCGGCGAGGAGTTCACCCAGAACCCCATCGTGCGCCACCTGAGCTTCACCGGCTCCACAGCTGTGGGGAGGTACTTGCACGCCGAATGTGCAAAGTCGTTCAAGAAGACCAGCCTCGAGCTGGGCGGGAATGCGCCCTTTATCGTTTTTGAGGACGCGAAGCTCGACAAGGCGGCCGAAGGTATGTTCACCCCACACACAGCAGTAACTTCCCGTTCTCCTTTCCCTTTTCCTTGTCCACTTGTTATGCTCCCTCTCCTAGTCAACTATACTAAAGAGGCAACGTATAAATATATACATTTCACTCCACTAACCCCCTCCCCAAAAATGTCCAGGCCTCATCACCTCCAAATTCCGTTCGTCGGGCCAGACCTGCGTGTGCGCAAACCGAATCCTCGTGCAGCGTCCCATCCTGGAGAAATTCGCCGCGGTGCTGGCCGAGAAGCTGCAAAAGACGTTCCGCTACGGTTCCGTGTGGGATCGCCAGGTCAACTTCGGCCCGCTGTATGCGCCCAAGGCGTTTGAGAAGATCGACGCGCAGATCCAGGACGCGCTGGACAAGGGGGGCAAGATCTTTGCGAGTGGGGGCGGTGGTGGTGATGATGATAAGAAGACGAAGAACGATGGAACAGAAGGAAAAGCAAAAGGAAAAGGAATGTACGGACCAAACTTCTACCCGCCGACGATTGTCACGCACGCCACCACGGACATGCTGTTCATGAAGCAAGAGACGTTCGGGCCGCTGGCGTTCCTGGTGCCGTTCGACGACGAGGACGAGGCGGTGGCGCTGGCCAACGACACCAGCGCCGGGTTGGCGTCGTACTTCTACACCGAGGACATCTCGCGGCTGTGGCGCGTGAGCGAGGCGCTGGAGTCCGGCATGGTCGGCGTGCGCGTCGGGCTCATCAGCGCCTGCGAGCAGCCGTTCGGCGGGGTCAAGGAGAGCGGAGTCGGCCGGGAGGGCGGCCGGGATGCTTTGGATGAGTATACCGAGATCAAGAGCGTGACGGTCGGTCTCTGATCTTGATCCATGTGATCCCACTCGGTGATGGTAGCTTGGTATTGACTTGATGACTTGATATATGTTGCCTGACTTGAGATATGCAAGAGGGGTTGGTTTTGGGAGAGGAGAGTAGTATAGAGGAGGTGAGCGAGTGGTAGAGCAGCAGTATATCACTGAGATAGATTTCAATATATTTCTATATATATGGATGGACGATGGCCTTGGGTCTCTATCTGAGAGGGCTGTGCACACACACACACATATATATATATACATGTATATTTGTCACTCAACTCATTCTCATACCCGTCTCGCTCTCTCACTCTCCTGACTGTCCTGTCTTGACGGGGCCACAAATGTGCCGCTGCTCAGACTTTGAACCGTCCCATGGTACCAGTACCAGTACCAGTATTCCAGCTCATGCTGTTGCTGACCACAAGCCTAGTCTGTCTGTGCCTGACCCCTTTCTCCCAACCCGCCTAGCTGTCTCTCTCTCTCTCTTTCTCAGCTAGCGCCGCCGCCCACCGCTTTTGCAGCAGCCGTGCCGGCTCTCCGTCCAAAGACCGCTCCGGACGTCAGGCCACTGCCACCGGGGTAATTCTCGTAAAACAAACCCCCCAGCATCTCCCCGACGGCATACAGCCCGGGAACTCCCTGCCCCGTCATCGAGCTGACGACCTGTGCCGTCTCCGGAATGACTTTTAACCCGCCAAACGTGAACGTGATGCCACAGGTCACGGCGACGGCCAGGAAGGGCCCCTGGTCGACGGGCAGCGCCCAGTTCGTTTTGCCCAAGGGCAGCCGCTTCGTCCTCGACTGGGTCGACACGCCGTCCCGGACGGCGGGGTCCCATTTCTTGTCCGGGTTCTCCTTTTGGAACGCGTAGACGGCCTCGTTGTACTCCTTGACGTTTCGCACAAAGGCGTCGGGGTTCTCGAGGCCCAACGTCGCCAATTTTCCAGCCAGCTCCTCAATCGAATCCGCCTCGATCCTCTCGACTCTTTCGGGCCGATATTCTTCAGATCGCAGCCACGAGGTGGTGCGGGAGTCCCAGACCTGGAAGGCGATGTGGCTAGGCTGTGCGAGGATGGCTCGTCCAAACTTGGCGTACGTGTAGTTGCGGAGGTCGATGCCTTCGTCCACGAACCGCTCGCCGAGGATATTGAACATCAAGCCCAGCGGGTAGCCGGACTTGGTGAACTCGTTGGACGCTTCCCGATCGCCCGTGTCGCTCGGAGCGTTGGCGTCCCAGGCCACGGAATGACACCCAGACCAATTCCCAGCCTGACTCGCCGCGACGTCACGGATGGCCGTCTCGAGGCAATCACCGGTGTTATGAGGGGTGCCTCTCACTTTCGCCAGATCCCAACCAGGTCCCAGATATTGTGACCGCAAACGAGGATTGCTCTCGAACCCTCCGGCAGCTAGAATGACGGCCCCCGTCTGAATAATGGCATCTTTGCCATTGGCCTGCACGGCGACTGAGGTGACGGCACCCGTCTTTGGGTCCGTTATCAGGCGCTTCAACGCGGTCGAGTAGAGCACTTCAACGCCGTGCTTTCGAGCTGCAGCCTTGTGGTCTTCGATCAGGCCCTTTCCTCCATCCTGGGTCTTCAAGGACAGCCCACCCCAGAACTTCAGGCGGCCGTCGACTTCGTACGCCTGCCTGTTGAACGACAGCTGGAACCGAATGCCGTTGCTCTTCAGCCATTTGACCGTTGCATTTGAGTCTCCCACGAGAATTTGAGACAGTTGTGGATCAGAACGGCCACTGCATATCCTTTTCATGTCGTTGGAGAAGCTCTCAACCGTATACGGCTCCAAGTCGATCTTCTTCGCCGTCTCATCGTCGACGTTGTTGACCAAAGGGAGCAGATCCGCCGTGCCCTCGTGAACTGTTCGATATGCGCCGGCCGTGAAGTATGAGTTTCCTCCTGCCCATTCTTCCGGGCATTTGTCGATGAGCAGAACATGCTTTGCCCCAGCCTGCTTGGCCGCCACTGCCGCTGAGAAGCCAGCATTGCCGCTCCCTGCGACGAGGACATCACAGTGGGATGGAGGAGCCATTATAGTTCTGATGATTGCCACCGGTGGATGCTGGCTCACATGGGATTCAGTCAGGACGAGCGGGCAGATCTCGACGACGTTGTGACCGGTCTGTCCCTCTCCCTGTCCTATTCAGATGACGATGATATCCTGCGTCTAGATGGTAAAAGACGCCTTTTCGGCTGTTAGATCTGGATCGGCAATTCGGTCACCATCAGCGTGTCAGGAGATCTGGGGGAGGCCGCTATCGGCGCGGCATTAGGCCTGTGGCCCACCAGTGTCCCCCAATTTTGCCGGGGTCAGAGTTGGAGAAAGAGGTCGGCAGTGCCTGTAACACAGCTCGACGGGCATCTCACATCACACTGACGACGGCACCAACGGTGGCACTGGGGGGCAGCCCCTCGGCACCCATCGGCGCATCTCCGCATCCCCCTCCCTCTCTCCTTCAGCCTTGTCAGTGCAACTCCAAGGTGAGAAACCCAACTTTCACAAGAACCCCCCGTATCAAGAAAGTCAATATGGGACGTCTGGACGGCAAAGTGGCTCTTGTGACAGGAGCCGGCAGTGGCTTCGGCGAGGCTATCGCACATGCATATGCCGCAGAAGGGGCAAAAGTGCTGATAGCAGACATTGCCGTCGCCAACGGAGAGAAGGTGGCCGCGGAGATCGCAGCCAAAAGCTACACAGGGGAAGCCATCTTCGTGGAACTGAACGTCACCAAGCGCAGCGACTGGGAGAAGGGCCTTGCACTGGCCAAGGACAAGTTTGGCAAGCTGGACATTGTGATCAACAATGCGGGCACTACCTACAAGAAACAGCCCAGCATGGGCGTCTCGGAGGCGGATTTCGACAGGGTTGTGGCCGTCAACATCAAGAGCATCTACCTGAGTGTTTCGGTCCTGATGCCGTATTTCGTCGAGAGGAAGAGTGGTGTCTTCTTGAGCACATCGTCCATCTCCGGCATGCGAACCCGGCCAGGTCAAGTGTTTTACGGCGGTACCAAAGGATTTGTCAACACGGTAAGGAAGAATTTCGAGAGCCCTCCCCCGTGATGCTCCATGCCCTTTCTGGGCCTGTGCTAATAATGGATGTGTTAGATCACTCAAGGCCTGGCTGCTGAGTATGGGCCAGATGGGATCCGCGTGAACTCGATCTGCCCGCTCAGAGGCGCCACTGGCCTGTTAGAACTATTTAGCGGCGTCCCAGACACTCCTGAAGAGAGGGAGAGGTTTGCCCAGACCGTGCCACTACGTCGTATGTCGGAACCCAACGACATCGCCATGGCTGCCGTGTACCTGGCAAGTGACGAGGCGGCATTTGTCACTGGGGTCAATCTGCCGGTGGATGGAGGACGACTGGCTCTGTGATCCGTCGAGGAACGCTTGGAGAACCTCCTTCCCCTCGAGGAAAGAGCAGGATAGCTGCATTCGAGCAGGTTCTGTGAAGATCGGCGAGCCAGATATGCATTTCCAAATCCACCTGACGTCGATGTGGGTGTTTGCTCTAGTTTAGACCACAGGCGCATCTCAGAGACCTACCTTTCCAGTTTTCCCCGTTCATTTGCTGTTCAGGTTGAGGTTAGCAGCGGCACGATGGTCCAGCCAACCTCCATATGTGGGAAGTAGGGCGTCACGTAAAGTTTGCGGCGAAAGGCCACAGAGCAGGCGGGCGGCCAAAACGAGAGATTGAATCTAGTCGAAGAGCTGACCACCACAGGGCAAAGAAATGACCAAAATCCTTCGTGGCCCAACATGCGGCTTCGAGGAAGTGTCGACACCTATTTAGGTTCTCAGGACTTCGTCCACGGCCTTGTACCGGTTGGTATCTCGATGGCTTTCTTTTGCAGAACTGATGACGAGGGTCGACGGTAGGGTTCGGTGCCTGGCCTAAAAATAGTGGCGCAGGAGACGGCATTTTGTCGGTCTCTTTGTATGTGTGGTTGGTGTGTGTAGGTAGTCGCCACACCGGCACACAGCCTCCTTCGTCTCGCCCTCGTGAGCTTTGACTATTTGGGAGTTTGCCCTCCTCTTTCTTTCTCGGATCTCAATGTTTCCGAGCGAGTACGAGGGAGAGGAGGTTATCTCTTCAGAGGCTTTGTTTGACGTGTTGCGTAACGAGCAAGATCCCCGGGTCCGTGCTTGTCGGCTCTCACGTTTTCGCCCGTAGGATAAGGGCCGTCGGGATGATCTGCCCTCGCCAAAGGCCATTGTATGTCATGCCTGCAGGTTCCTATTCGTGCGTATGTTGCTGGCTAGCTGTCTAAGCTGCGACGGGGCTTTGCAGGAGTGGCTGCTGGTCTGGATGCCTGCTGTTGTTGTTAGGTGTCCTTTTTCACATGTTCAAGACTCTCAGGAGGCACCCAGGAGGATGGGCTTGGTGAGCTTACCTTATCATCATCGCCCTGTGGTGCTCACCCGTGCTGGTGCTGGACTGGCCCAAGTCGTCACGGTGGAACAATGGCTGTGGGGAGGGAAAACAAGGGGTGGCGTAACAGAAACCGTTTCATCACCACCACGTCTTCTTCGTCTCAGCTTCTCACCATCGCTGTCAGAGAAAAGTGACTGCCATCATTGGTCCAACCGTCCTATTTTTGAAACAGAGGGAAAAGGAGAGAGCCTTCCTTCCCATTCTCCACTTGGCTCTGACAAAGTCCCTCGTCCAGTGCCGCACGTATCGCGCGTACACTACACCCGCTCTGGAACCGCTCGCCTGCACCCACCTCCCCCCCAACGCCAGGGCCGCGTAACGGCCACCCATGCTGGAGGGGCTTGCTTCCCCTGATACGGCCAAGTGGGAGATCAGGAGGGCTGGCAGGTTGGGGAAATGGACAAGATCAAGATCCGTGAAACGCCTTGGTGATGGTACCGATGATGAGGGCGATGGGGAGGATGCGGATGGTACAAAGTAAGCTTCATGCCCACGTCTTTCTCAATATAATAACCATAGTCAATACTTCCTCCACCATTACTGTGTATTTCTGGAACCATTGCTTTCAATTTGTGATACCCCATACAGTTACCCTTGATCACTACTATTCTTCTATTTGACCAGCATCACCCCTTGCGCCCTCCTATAACAGCGGGATCCGCCACAGATCAATCTAACAATCATGGTCGCCAGGCTCGGCCACCTCAGTGCCCTCAAGGACTTTATATCTGTAAGCAGCAACCTACCCCATGTATATTCCTCTAGAGCCACCTCGCTGACATGCTAACCCCCCTCGAAAAAAACAGTTCCTAGCCACAGTCAGTGGTGACATCTCACATATTACCGCTCCGCCCTTTATCCTAGCACCATCTTCCCTCACAGAATTCCCTGCCTATTGGGCAGAACGACCGACATTATTTACTGCCCCTGCACATGAATCCTCGGCAGAGAGACGCATGCTCTTGGTGTTGAAACTGTATCTTGCTTCCCTCCAAAGGCAGTACTATGTCGGCCGGACCGTCAAGGAAGGACTCAAGAAGCCTCTTAACCCCTTCCTTGGCGAGCTGTTCTTCTGTGAATTCAGCGACCACGACTTGACCCAAGAGAAGGCCTCGGCGTCGACGGTCAGAGTCATCAGCGAGCAGGTATCGCATCACCCGCCCACGACGGCAGCGTATATTTCAGCAGACGACCATGGAGTCCACGCCGAGGCATATTCGACCCAGCACACCACCCTGTCCGGCACTTCGGTGATGATCCGTCAATCCGGACACGCTCTGTTAAAAGTCGACAAGTATAACGAGACCTATCTTCTGCCCTTGCCAGATGTCTGTGCTCGAAGTGTTCTCACCGGTGTGCCTTGGCCCGAACTCAACGACACGTATAGAATCATCAGTTCCAGTGGATACACGGCAGAGATGCGGTTCGTCGGAAAGAAGATGTGGGGTGGACAGCGCAATTGTTTCGAAGCATCAATATACCGCACGGCCGACCCGGAGAAAAAGCCCATCTTCACTGCATCGGGCAGCTGGAGCTCCAAGTTTTCAATGTTCAACTCGGAGGGGAAGGAAATCGACGTGTTCGATCTTGCCGACCCCAAAAATCATCCGGCGCCCATGGTGGTGAAGCCGTTGGAGGAGCAATCACCTTGGGAATCGAGACGGGCATGGGGTCCAACTTTTGAGGCCATCAGACGGACGGATCATAATGCAGTCGTGACGGAGAAGTCGCGGCTAGAAAATGCCCAGCGTCACCTGAGAAAGCTCGAGCAGAAGGAGGGCAAGAAGTGGGAAACCATGTTCTTCACCCGGTGTGACGCCCCGGCTGACGAGGATGACATTGTCGAAAGCCTCTTCAATCAACTCGACGAGCATGAAGCTGATCGGTTACGGGGGACAAATGGTTGTTGGAGATTTGACCCAGAGAAAGAGCAGAGGTGGCGAAATGGACAAGGCAGTTGGAGACCAGCAACACCGTTTGGCTGAATGGGCTTGGACGATAAGTCCCAAGCATTATCATCCGAAGGCGACGACAACGTCGTCGCTGCCACGGAGGCCGCGTGACTGTGGGAATGTACGGAGTGTATGCGGACGCTCGCTGATGAATAACACACGAGCGATTCTGCAGGCTCTGTATCAGGGCCCTTGGAACGACGTCTATGACTTTCGGTTCCAGGCTCAACCGGCTTCGATCGACCCTGACCTTCGACGTACAGTGCAGCAGTCGTTTGCTAGCTTCGTTGATTTCTTTCGGTCACATAGACGGTATCCCCAGTGCGCAAGATGGCACCGGAAGGACCTGCAAAGGCATATTGACCAAAGACAGGTTTATCTGTGTCGAGGGTCAGATTTGCGGATAGAAACAAAATGCCTATGAACTTACGAGGAAACTTGTCGTTGACCCTCCTATCGCTGGCCAGTAATCCATACAGCTGTCGATCTCGTTGAATCATCTCCCCGGTGTCAGGGTCTGCGTTCAAGCTGAGACAGCGGACTGTCCTGAAGATGCACTTGATGGTGACTTCCTGTGCCTCGTCCGACTGCGATCGAACCAAGAGCGACGACCAATTGTCCTCGTCATAGGCTGGGAGTTGACCCTGGACGTCCACGTGAATATTGGGTCGGAAGCGCAGTATCACGTCCTCGTACTGATACTCGGGGGGAAGACGCGAGCGGGCATCTTGCTCAGACGCCGTCGAGGTAATAAGTAATGGAGCAGCATCGGCAAATCGGATGCGCTGAGGTTGCAGGCCTTCTTGGAGAGCCAACGACAGGGCACTGCGTTGGCTGGGGATATATGCTGCGCCAGGGATGTCCCGACGGCCGGTTCCTCCTATCGACAAGAGACGGACTTCCTGGTCAAGGTGTTTGGAAAAGAAAGCTGCCGGCTCGTCCCCCAGGTCAATGCCTATGGCGGTGGTGCCAAAGATGCTGACTTCGAACGTCTTATTCGCGAGCAGAGACAGTGGCGAGGGAGTTAGTGGCACGGTAACTGAGGAGGGAGGAGTGGCTCGTGTGTGGTGGATTGTCAGCTTCGTCCAGCTGTCATCCTGTACAGCACAGAGGGGCAGCAATCAGCGTGGGTGCGTCCTGCCCATCGGCCACTAGACACAACACTTACTATTGTCGGCTTAAAGAGGGCGAGCTTGAATTGCTTTTTGATCGTGAGGAACTTGGCCAACCGTGAGCCGTCCTTGGGAGGATTCACCAAGACGAAACATCGGTCAAAGCGCAGCCCCTCGTTGGTAAGCTCCACCGACGACACCTGGACCGGCGGAAGAGACTTGACGGGATAGATGAAGAGCTGTTGGATGGTCAACGGGGTGCTCAAGGACATGGTGGGCTGACTTCGCCGGTGAGGAGACGCCGGGAAAGCTCTGCACTGACCCTTTGCACCGTGATAGACGGCATCGGTGACATGGTGCGTTAGAGGCAACCAAGCAGGCCCGGGTTTAGCCTGATCGGGGAGCCATGGGCGACGCGGAGAGACAGAGGAACAGAAGGAGGAAAAAACCAGAAGAGGGAGGTGAGGGCGAGTCGAGGGCGAGTCAGACCACTTTTATCTGTTTGGTGCCCGTGGTGCCCCTCTTTACCCAAGAAATATTGGTTATTTCAGTAGTCAACGCGGGACGGAAGATGAGCGACGCTTATGACGAGGAGAGCGACAGGGAACCGCTGACGCCGCTCGGAGCCACGCCGTCACACAGTCGCGATGGAGCTGACAGTCACGTGTGAGCAATATCCGGGCGAGACACTGGCTAAACCCAAGATGGCAAAAGACAGCGAGAGGTCGCCCGGCCGCAGCGAATCAGAGGCCACCCAGACACCATTAGTCAGAGCTTGGCCATCCACGGAGACTATTTCCCTTCTCGGATCCCCTAGTCTTCTCCCGTCGCCCGCTCTTTCTCTTCTACAATCCCATGGATGAGACTTGATCCTCAAACCATCGACCCTCCAGTTCCTCGATTCGAGGGGTCTCGCGCGACCTGTCTCTTGATGTCGTAAGGTGTCTTCCGGAGTCGCTGCCGAAGTGGATCTCTTCAAACCACACCCTCCCGCCGCCACCTAATTCCAACCTCATCCCGACGAGAAAAATTCAGTCCCAGGCAAATCAGACAGCCAAGGGCGCTCAGAGAAGGGCCGTTCTTCTGCATGGCCAACGTCACGCCGGGGGTCGAGCACGCCGAGCGTGCCTGCAACTCATGCAGACAGCGTCGGGTCAAGGTAGGCAGCCGAAAGTTCCTTGCTTGAACTGCCCTGTTCCCATCCACCATTTCTCCAACGTGCCGCTTTCCGCTGCTTGGCTTGCTCACAAGGCGCGTAGTGTGACAAGACACTTCCGACCTGCCTGCGGTGTGAAAAACTAGGCAGACCGTGCACGGGCTATGATCTGGAACGCAAGTTCCTGGATGAAGGCGTCAAGGTTCGGCGGAAATATGATGGGAACTTTCAGTCCCCGGATTTCTCGAGGGCTGTAGTCTCGAATTCCCCCAAAGTCTCGGCAGGGGCAGTACCTGACCGTCGAATCAACCTCCCGCCGATACAAGTAAATTCACCACCCGTGTCTTCCGCTCCCAACCTCCACAATAGACAAGGCGTATTCGATCGGAACTCGATTCCCAACGTACAGTTTCCCGCCTTTGGGATTCTCAACCAACAGAGTCCCGACTTCAATCTATTTCCTAATACTTCTCCCCAGCCGGCCATCAGCGCACCTCCATCGGCACCTCCGACAAATTTCCAATTTACAGCGGCTGCTCCTCCTCCTCCTGCATTCCCTGACCACGGTCAGTATGCGCATCAGGAACACCCCACCGCCAAGCTACTACATGGCAAGCCCCAGTATGCACCGTCAGACTTGGATTCTTCCGTCAGCGAGGACTATTTCGACCTTGATATCGAAACCTACTACGCGAGGGGGAACAACGCCTGTGGATTCATTCCTGGTCTCCCGGTGATTTTGACCGATACCAATGTTCCTGAATCCGACGACGATTTCCTGACGAGTGATTTCGCCTCGATCAGTGGCCGATCATCAGTCTATGATGGGCAAGTTGACCCTTTTCCGTTTCGTGTTGCCCTCCTTTACCTCGCAATGCCTGGACTGACAGTTGTGTGGTTACAGCTCGGAAGGTAATCGCAACAGCCGTCCAGAGTACAGCCAAAAGTACCTCCACGAAAGGACAACCGAATTGGCCTGTCTGACACGACACTTTGTCCAATCAGTTTCACCATCGTGAGTTGCAGTGACTTCTGGTGAGTTTCGACCCGATATCTAACGGACAAGCAGGATGGATCTCTTCGACCTCGACAACTATTTTAGCAGGATCGTTCCTCTCAAAGCTGTCCAGAATGTCATGTTAAGATCTGCAATGGCCGCCGTGGCTGCCAATCAGATCGGGCAGATGATGGCAAACCACTCGCCATTGGAAGACTTGCAGCATCTATTGCCATTTATCGGAGAGGACGGGGCGTTGCAGCACACGGACTGGTTTTATAAGGCCGCCAACTACTACGACCGGGGGATTTCATACCTGCGAATCTTTTTGCAGCGCTGGCTGAGTGATACAAACAACGAGGGGCTCACGGGACATGCCTCGAGGTACCACGATCCGCGAACTCTGCCAGAGACGAGCAATAGCGCCGCGCTAGGCGTTGCCCCAAACAAGCGACGACGCATCAGCAGAACACAGTCGTCGGATGGAGCAGACATGGAAGCTCTGGTGGCCGCAATATCTGTGTTCTCTCTTTATGAATCTCTCGACAACTTTGCCGATGATTGGTCACAGTAAGTCCTTTTGCGCGGCTTGTTATCGCAGACTTTCTTCTCTAATCTAGTCTTAGACATCTTGATGGCTTCAAAGCGCTCCTGGAAAGCAAGATTCTCCCCCAGGCCGTGGTGTCTATTCCCCGTCCACGCGCGAATCCTTTCATATCAATGAAGGCGGGGCGGGCGGCTTTCTGGAACTTTGCCCGAGCAGACTATCTTGCAGCATACGTCAACCACTCGAAAACTCGACTGGATCCGGACAATTTGACCATGTGGAAGGCAGCAGGTTTGCCAGTGATGGACGACGGAACATTAAATTATAATGATCCATCGACTCCCATCAACACCATCGTTTCATATCAGCCCGGCGACAGAGAAGACCTGGTTTCCTGCACATTGATCTGGATAGTCTTGAGGACCATGAATTTTATTGCGCCGCAGGAAGAGAGCACCGGAAGTTTGGTGGGCACTCCCCGCGTGTTTGACAGCCCTGGAACAGACGCCAAAGCGGGTTCCGAGCCGGGCACACCAGGCGCCATGCACAGTCGAGTTACTCGGTGGAAACAACTGCGCCGACAGCTCGAAGACTGGTACGACAACCTTCCATTCACCTTTCAACCGTATGCGATCGCGGCTGCAGGGGCACAGCACCCTTCAGACCTCTTGCCCGACGGCAGACCGCGCTTTGCCAGACTCTTTTTCAGTGTGCCCATGTGTGCCGCTGCTCTCCAACTGTACCACTTTGCACAGATCCTCCTGCTGTTGAACCAGCCTGTCGAAGAACAGGACACGAGACATCCGGCGAACAGACTTCGGATGTTTCGCAAAGTTGCCGAAGAGTCGGAACATCACAGCCGACAGATCTGCGGGATCGCATTGGGGAAACCCCCGCCGGCGGTCAGCAGGCAAATGGTGCACTCGCTCTACCTGGCAGGATCATGCTTTGAGGAGAAAGAAGACCGAACCGTGGTTTTGGAACTACTGGACAACATTGCCAAGGAGACAGGTTGTCCGACGGCTCCCCGGATCAGAGAGTTGAAAGAACAATGGGGCTGGGAAGATGACACCGTCAAGGAAATTGCCTGATGGGAGTAACATGAAGCAGAAAGATGTGTATATTTGGGGGGGCTTCTGGCAACGGGGTGAGCAATTTTGAGGGTGCGGAAAAATGTATTGCAACAGCAAAATGAGCCCATGTAATGTGTCGATGACCAATGTTTTGGAGGTTTGGAATTGGCGGATAATTATTGAACATTCTACATCTACCGAGTACATGATCTGAAGTGTCGACCCGGTGATGCCTGAGGCGAATTTTGGGAATAATCCAGGGCTTCTAGACTCTCGACAGACCCGAGCCAAGCAACTCAGCACAGTCACGGAGGGAGGTATTACCTTTTCCATTCTGAATTTCTATTAGCCGCCCCACACGCATGTACCGATTTGTGAATTTGTGTGGGCTGACTCGTCCTGCTGCGAAGCGAAATTGCATGCGTCAATGGGGATTAGTTGAAAACATCAGCGGCAAGCGCCGAGAATGCCGGCATAATGTATCGGCGGTACATATATGGGAGTGAGGACGGGAGGGACCGGAGTGGTATATACGCCTTGGGACTAGTGCGGTCGGTGTACGTACGCTGTACTCGGTAGCTTACTCGGTACCTATCGAGCTATGTAGGTACTGTCATGGTTCCTGCCGTAGCTAGATAGGTAATTCATTACCCAGTACAAAGTCGGGTGATGACCTCCTGTTTTAGCGTGTCTCGCTAGCTATTACCTAGCCCTGTACCTGCCTTGTCCTTTTATGCAGGCCCCATAGGAGGTAATATGGCGTTATGCGGTCGGTGGTGGTGCTGATGATGGGGGACATACACATACGTATCGGGTATGGTGCGTGCGAGACTCGCCCGGAATATCCTGAAGCGGAATAGCTCGCGGCCACCCCAGCCGCATTGGGGAGGGTATATATGCGGCACTATCGAGTTCACCGGGTATTCGGAGACGGTGGAGCTAGGTCTCTCCGGGGCACGGTCGGTCTTGTGTTGTGTTGTGGTTGTGTTGTGGTATTGGGGTGGCATGCGTTGTCAAACCATCCATGTGCTTGGGGGTATGTATGTATGTAAGTGGACGAAGGTCCAAGGGCTTGACATGTCCCGATGGGCAAGAATGGTTGGAATGGATGGAGCACCTCTACGCAGTGTGCGATCGTGGTTCGAGGCCCAGGGGACGGACTGCGTATGTGATGAATCTCAGTTTTTGCAAGCCAGTAGTAGTTGCTCGCTCCTATGTACAGAGGATGACATACATGTACAGGTCCGCGCAGTCGCGTGGACCAGATTGATCATGGATGATGTCCTGGGCCAAGGAATCGAAGAAGGAAGCCTTCGTCCCTTTTCACATCTGTCCACTGCAATTTCGACCGATGTGCAGTCTTCCCTCAATGCTATTCATAACCACACTCTTATTGAAACCGGTGATGCATCATCACGCATATGCGTGTTCGCCTCCAACTCTCTCGGAATGAACGGCACCACACCTATGATTCGGAGATCTGAATGCTCTCCAGGTCCCAGACACCGTACCACTTGAAGAAGCTGAGCACTTGCGGCGCACTGCCGCAGCCGTCGGGGCTCTTCATGCTCGCGTTGAAGGACAGCAATGGCACCTGGCCGCCGTTGCACTGCTGACACGTCGCGGACATGGTGTAGCTGGTGTTGAACTTGAGTTCGCGCCCGATCACCTGCACCATGTCCAGGCCGCCCAGGCTCCGGATCGTCACGAGGGCGGTGGGGGGCGCCGTGTTGTTGTTGTTGTTCATGTTCATCATCATCATGGGTGACTGCGAATCGGGCTGCTTCGGGGTGACGTCCACGATCTTATTGAGTGCCGGCGTCGTCGAGAGACCCTGTCTCCCGAGATTGGCGGTCCCGTCGCCCTCGGGCACCGCGTTCGCCACGTAGATCAGCGCCTGGCCCTCTTGACCGACATTCAGGGTGTTGGTGATTTCCATCGTCTCGAGAGAGATCACGTCCACCGTGTCGGAGTGTTCGTTGACTGTGTACATCCACTTGTTGTCCGGGCTCCCCCAAAGGCCGTGGGGCTCAATGCCTGACGACCGGATCGACGTCACGAAGACCGGGGCGCTGCTGGGCGAGTCCTGGCGGAACACCTTGGTCTCGTTGGTGGCTCCCACCGTGGTGAAGACGTGGGTCGTGCCGTTGAGGACCGCAAAGTTGGCGTGATTCACCTCCGCCCCGATCGTGACCGCCGTGACCACGCTTCGGGCGTTCAGGTCGATGACGGTCGCCGTCCCGGCCATCTTGTGCATGGCCCAGATCGTGCCGCCGTCCGCCGAGATCTGCATGTCCGAGGAGAAGACGTCGGCCAAACCTGTGATGTTCTGCACCGTCGTCCGCGACGCAACATCGACAATCGAAAGGATCGGGTCACGGATGTGGTTGACGTACGCGGTGGTGCCGTCCGGACTGAAGACAACTTTACTCGGTCCATCTGCTGTGTGAATGGTCCCGAGGATCGTCCCCGCCAGTCCGTCGACCACGGTGACGTGGTTGGTGCCTCGCGTGCCCACCCAGATGGTGCGATTGTCCGGGGCAAAGAAGGCTTCGTGCGGGGCACGGTCCGTCCAGATCTGACTGACGATGCTGTTGTCGATGGTCCTGACGACCGTGACCGTGTTGGTCGTGACGGACAGAGACACGATGTATTTGCCGTCCCTGGAGAATCCCAGCCCGTGGCTGTTCGTGGACCGCACGTACTGCGGCCCGATGACATCCTGGAGGCGGGACGAGCCCAGCGCGATGGTCCCCAGCACCGTGTTGTCGAAGGGCGAGATGACGGTGACGGTGTTGGACGACTGGTCTCCGCAGTAGATTCGGTCGGCCGGGGATATGGGTGCTCCTACCCCTGCCAGTGCCGGAGCCTGAACCTGGCCATGGGCAATTCTGGTACCACAGCTCAGCAGTAGGAGCGTCGCTAAAGCGGGCGAGAGTCGTATTTTCATGGCTGACAATATCTGAGCCGCAACAACCTTGTATAAGATCCGGTATTCGTAGGTGTCAGCTCAGCAGCAGGAGCAGCAGGAGCAGCAGCAGCGGGATCAGGGACCGAGTACGACGGACAAGTATTAATATTGCCTTGTGGTCGCCGTTTTTTCCTTCCTGCCATTTAGCCGCTTCACATGATACCATCTTGGTGGGCGGACTGGATAGATGGATCCACGTGCCGAGTTTTGTTGCTCATTCTGCGTGGTACAAAGTCCTCCGTTAACATAGTCACACCAAAGCTCAAGTCGTGAGTGGTTCAAGCCCTGGGACAAGCCTACAATAGTTGCCTTTGGAGGCCTCTGGGCTATTCCCCATTCCCCTCTTTCGTCAATCTCCGTTTTCCGAGTGATGGCACGCTGAATCTCCCCGGTCATCAGCCGGAGCGTGCTTCGAATCCCTCTGGACAAAGGAGCCAACACGATTCCATGTCGAGTAAAATCCAAGCACCCGTGGTGGAGGTGACGATGATCCATCGTGCGAGGTACCTCTCCGGAAGTGCGGAGCAAAGATCGACCATTAAGATTCCGCGTACGGGGTGGCTAGTTGCTCGGGGGAAGCCCGCCCCGGTGCTCCGTCGTATTGCAATGGTGGGGGAATGGAAACATTTGAAGGAGCATACTCGTACTCCGTATGGGTCGTAATCAGAAACGACAGAACTTGGTACTGCTTATGTATGGCTGCTGCTCGGCTCTCGGTGGCCTTCCTTGTCTCGCTCATGGCCCTTGAACGGGAGTCGGGATGCCTCTGGACCTATTGCAGTTGAAGCATGTTCCCCGATCATGAACTAGTGAATAGGAAGTTTCGCTTCAAGTACACCAGGAACGGGTATCACAATCAGAGCGCTTATATGGACGAAGTGATCATGCAGAGGGATGATGGTATGTGATAGACAACAGAGTTCGGGGAATGCCAGCCATAGCCGCCAATCCCGGACCTAGGGCTGCACTGGCATGCGAAATAACGACATGCCTACTTGGGAAGTGAGGCGAAAGGAGCCAGATTAGGTCCCTACCTTCGATGCTAGGGGTGTTTTATCTCTGGAGGTTAAAGTCACGTGATTTCAGCCTGGAGTGAGGCTGTGTTACAGAATTGGCCAAGTCGTAGCAGCTTGCTTGCAGAAGAATGACATGCCACCTATCTGATCACATCTATTATACCGTATAACCTCACTTTAGACGCTCAGATGCTTGCCTGGCTTGTTTTCCATGCAGATCACGGAACCAAGTCAAATCCCCAAGGAGCCCGCCATGTCTCTTCCTTTCCAAGATCTTGACCAATGTCCTCATTACCCGACGTACGAGCCGCTGAAAGAAGTGAACGAAGAAATTCGCATTTTAACGATACATTCTGGTCAAAAATCAGAAGGCTTTCGATGCACACTTCAGAGGGTTCCCTTGTCCCAATGCAAACCTTTCTACGCATTGTCATATTGCTGGGGCTCACCGGGCGAGACCATCCCAGTCATGGTTAATGACGAACAAGTGTGTATTCGTAGAAACCTGTGGCTGTGCCTATGGAATCTATGGCAAATTCACGGATCAATCAGACTTTGGGTGGACTTTTTGTGCATCAACCAGCGCGATATACCCGAACGAAATTGGCAGGTCAAAATGATGGCCAGCATTTACTCTTCAGCCTTCGGCGTCATCGCATGGCTTGGGGATTCGACTGCTGAAAGTGAAATTGCTTTTGATTATATAGACATGACTCGCAGTCTCCGCCAGCGAAGAGCCAAACAGTCTGTCATTCAAAGAGGTCACAAGGTTGGCAAGCGCGCTATTGCCGACCTGATCAGTCGGCCGTATTGGGGTCGCCTGTGGATCATACAAGAGGTGCTGCTTGCTCAGAATCTCTGGGTCATGGCGGGATCTAGGTCCTCCGATTGGGATGATCTGAGTCAACTTGTCCAACCAGGTCACCTATATACAAGGACGGGGTTTGAAGAGGAGGGCGCCGGCAAACTGAGTTTCAAGTCGATCAAGAGACTGAAGCGAGGCAGACCGGATGTAAGGCCGATGAAGGAACTTGTGCGCCTGTTCCACACGGCTCTTTGTCAGGATCCAAGAGACAAGCTCTATGGTCTTTTGGCTTTGGCTGATGAATCTGCTCGAGATGCGGTCCGGGTTGACTACGAAGAACCTATTCTGCAGGTGTTCGCGGCTAACTACGATTTGTGGTCAGATGAGACAGATTGGTCGTCACCAAAAGCAGCGAGGACTCGCTCCGGGTACCCTGCTCTGCAGACCATTGCGGACAATAATTTCCTGTGGTCAGGTAGAACAAATCCGTGCCCAAGAGAGGCAGTGAACAGTGCGTCCCGGAAAGCACACAACCCAGCCATCTTCATCAATGCCGTGGACGCCATCTACTCCGACTTGATCAGCGAACTCGACAAGATATCTCAGGATCCAGGTCTGCGTTCAAAGTTGACCACCGAGATGATATTCCAAGCCGACTTTGAACCACGTCAAACTAGCCACTACCAAACCTTCGCGGCGGTGGAAGCCCCTGGATCCACGATCGTGTGGATGACGCCTTCCGAGATGAAGTATTCTGTATATGTATCCGAGGTATCAGTACGAGGGGATGGAAGTCCCGCCCGCCGTTTCATCGTGTACACGACGGCCCTACCAGAAGATGGCGACGTCTTTTTACACCTTTCTAAAATGGTCATCATCCTAAGGCCGATACAAATGGGTCTTGACATCGTCGGTACTGGGGTAACCGTTCACGGAGATGGCCTTAGCCTGCCAGATCCCGGGCAATGGTTTCGAGGCCGAATCCCGGGAGCAAGCTATGCCCTCGTTCCAGAATCCTGGTCTGGACGCTACTTGGCCAGGCAGGACTCGTGCCACGTCCGTCTAAATGGGCCTGCAATCGCCGAATTGTTGCGGAGTGAATGTGGTGCGGACATCAGACCGGCCACTTGCAAGAAATGGGATGCTAAGCAATTCATTAAAGAACATGGACTGGCGGCGTGGAATTCCGAAAACTGGGACTATGAGGAGCACGGCTTGCGATTCTTCTGGCAGCTTCCAAACGCTTGGACGAAACCTACAGCTGGCCCTGGGTTCCAAAGCTTACCAATATGTGCTCCTCCACCGAGAAACCAAGACGCGAGCCGTGGGCAATCACGATACGCCAACATCTTAATAGCTTCTACTCCCGGTGTGGTGAGTCAAAAGAGGAAGAGGGAGCCCAGCCCGACTGCGAATGAACGCCACAAAGTTAGAAAGACTTCTTCTACCGCCGGTGCACCTCGGTGGTACTCGTCCTGGTTTCCTGCAACAGTATGGACGTGGCTCACGCGAAAGACGACCACTTAAGAAGCGGCTACGTCCAGGAGCGAATCAAGGCTCCTTTGTTCTTCAAGGGAAGCCTAAAGTAGTATACTCTACATTTCTCTCCTCTCGATCGCGGCGAAAGGGGGAGCCGAGGGTGGGGGGGGCGGCGCGGATGTGACTATACATGTGACTGTAGAGTTCAAGACATCCCTATGGTTCCCACTGGGCGTGGTTTTTGTCTCGGGGATTAGACCATAATCTACATGGGCGGTGCTACGCTTGAAAATGATAAGACATTACTTCTGATACATAGTAACACTTACTTTCTGCCTTACGAAGCATTTAATTGGTTCACTGAGGCGCATCTGGAACAGATGTCTGGCTGAGAGGAATGTGTGGCCGATCGCACAGAGCCAGATGAGGGCCCCCTTGTGGGGTGAGGGTGCTGCTCAGGGTGGTTTTCATAGAGTGCTCAGTGAGACTCTGGGGTAGACTTCACGAGAGAGAGTTATCTCGCCTCGTGCTTGTTTTATACTGGGCAGTCCAATCAGGTCAGTCTGTCGGCTATCCATCGTGTCTCTATGTGTGTAGCAGCCAGCACTACTGGCAGTGGTCAAAGGTATGAAGATGAAGGACAGATAGAGGCCAATCTACCGGGTAACAAATCTTAGAGGGAGGACTGAGTTGTAGAGAGCAAGTTCGCATTATCCGTCCTCAAGAGATACCTATCTAATATACAAAGCTGATCAATCTGGATATAGCCGAGATCTCTTCCGGTTGTGACGCAAACGGGACCGTGTCACGGTGGCCCACGGATCGAAGCTAGGCCGACCTACTCTGTGGCATTGAGCCCCTTGGCTGCTCTGACGCGCTCTGTTTCCTCCCGCACTCTTCGTCCCAGATCCTTGTTCACCCGCTCGAACATTCCATACGTCCTCTCCCTGACGTCTTTGACCGCCGCGAACAGATGCACCGAAATGTTGTGCACCAAATGCTCCTGCTGGTCGTTGGTGCGTCCCAGAACCTCCCAGAGCATATTTGCCTGCACAAAGTCCTCGTCTGTCACAGGCTGCAGGTTATGCACAGCCTGACCGACCCAGGTCTCGTGCGCGGCGTCAATGGGTTTGTCCACCGGTAAGTAGGTGTTCGGTCTCAAGGGGGACGGGTAGTTGGGGTTGGCACCGTAGTTGCCCGTGATGGCCATGAAGCCGTCGCGTTGGAACGGCGCGTAGGCGTGGAGGGGGCGGTTGACGGGGATCTGTTGGTAGTTAACCCCCAATCGGTGTCTCTGGCTGTCGGCGTACGAGAACAAGCGGGCTTGAAGCATTGGGTCTGCCGAAGGCTCGATCCCCGGGACCAGGTGGGCGGGTGAGAACGCGATTTGCTCAATCTCAGCAAAGTAGTTCTCCGGGTTGCGGTTGAGCGTCATCTTGCCCACGGGCCGCAATGGCACTTCCGAGTGCGGCCACACTTTGGTGACGTCGAGGATATTCCAGCGGAACTTCTCGGCGTCTTTCGGGTCCAGGATCTGCACGTACAGAGTCCACGATGGATACTCGCCTCGCTCAATCGCGTTGAACAGATCCTCGGTGGCGTGGTCAGGATTGCTTGCCGTCAGGGCCGTGGCCTCCTCGTTCGTCATGTCCCAGTGGCCCTGGTCCGTCTTGACGTGGAATTTGACATACTTGAACGTGCCGTCGTTCTTGGTGAACTTGAAGGTGTGGCCCGAGAAGGTATCACAGTGCCGATATGATCCTGGCGTGCCCCGGTCGCTGAACAACTGGATGACCTGGTGCACGGATTCCTGGTTGCTGGACAGAAAATCCCAAAACATCGTGGCGTCCTTGAGATTCGTGCGAGGATTCCGCTTTTGCGTATGAATAAACGTGGGGAACTTGATTCCGTCTCGAATAAAAAAGATTGGTGTATGGTTGCCGACCATGTCCCAGTTCCCTTGTTCGGTATAGAACTTGATAGAGAAGCCTCGTGGGTCGCGGGCTGCGTCGGCCGAGCCCTTTTCACCACCAACGGTGGAGAAGCGAACAGCGACCTTGGTCTTCTTCCCAACCTCACTGAACAAGTCGGCGGAAGTCTGGAGATGTAGTTAGTATTTGTTGTCTCGTTGCGAGTTTGCAGGTCGAGCATACCACATCGGTAATGTCGTGGGTCACCACAAATTCTCCAAATGCTCCCGCGCCCTTGGCATGGACGACCCGTTCAGGGATACGTTCTCGATCGAAGTGGGCAAGAAGGTCGATGAGATGAAAGTCTTGCAGCAAGATAGGACCGTGGTCGCCGACAGTCTGAGAAGCAGTGGCGAAAGTGATGGGACGACCATTGGAGGTCGTGTAGATAGGTCCTGCGACAGCCATCGTTTTTTGGTGAAGTTCTGATGGATCTTGGATTTGTGCTTGGACCTGTTGTTGGTATTCGAGGTCTGTCTGATTTCAGTCTTGTCGTGTTCGTCGTCGGGGCCATGGTGGTAGATATAGGTCTTTCCAACGTTCGAGAGTCTCCACGGGTTCTGCTTTCCAACACACAATAACGGAAAGTGCTCCGTGAAACGATGATGGCATTCTGAAAAGCAATGATGTCTTCCACAAGGCTGACCGCTATGTGGTGTCCTTGAGCATGATTAGTGAGGTTGTGCAGCTTGGTAAGGATGCGAAGAGCGAGGAGCGAGGAGCGAGGTCCGAGGAGCGATGTCGCTGTATATTTCCATATACGGTAGTCGTGGCCGAGACGACGCCCTTCTAACTGCACAAGCTCGCCGCTGTAAACTGCGACTTCAGTGTCTCGCTCTCGCTTACCGTATACAGTATTTCACCACCGAGATGACTCCTTTGGGCGAAGTCAATTTTCGACTCTCGTTTCTTCCCGAACGGAAACAACTCCAGAAAAGGCCTCACGCTGAGTGGGCTCCACGCAAGAAACATCAGCCGCCCGCTCAACGACGCCTTCTAGCCCGTCGATTTGACATCTTCCCCGAGGAATTCCAATTATTCTTTCTCAATGGGTATGGGGATGAGACGTGACCTCACCAGGGATGAGCCATGTTGCCTTGGGCGTCAGTCGGGCGTGTTAATATAAGGTGAGGCGTCGAGCACCGGTAAGTTTGGGGCTTGGGCATCAAGACGCCTTTCAACCCCTTTCCATCTGAAACAAACCTGTTTCTGGCATTCCCCTGTGAGCCCAACGATCAAAGACACATCAACAGTGCCACCCTTATTATTTCTGAACACGATAACCACGTAGAATCAACTACCGATACAAACAAATCTTATCGAATTTGTTCAATTTCTTGGGAAGGGAAAATGTCTACACCAACGATCCAGGTCCTGGGTGTGTCTGCAGCCGAGGAGGCAGGACTGAGAGTGGATGACAAAGTGAACACTCGATCCCGGCTGAGGCTCCACGGTCGGATCAGCGTCTTCAACCAGGATGGCTCTTTTGATACTGTCCGTATCCGGTTGCAAGGCGCCATCCACACCAGAATTGGGTCACAGGCCGCAGTTCAGAAGGTTGGTTGAACTGCCATCACTCCAAGGTTGAGGAGAGACACAAGCTAATATTGATTGATCAAGATCCCTTCCACATCCATCGTCAAAACCAACTTGGACTTCAAGCCGGCCTACTCGGCTTCCCAACAGCGAACCGAAGAACAGTATCTCGACTTTGTCTGCCCCATTCCGTCTCCCAGACGTGGTGTTCCTGACGAATTTGTGCCGTCAATGACGTTGTCTGGCACCACATATCTCACCAAAGTGACTGCTTTGACGAACAGGGAACTGTTGGAGGGCTCTTGTCAGGTGGCCTACACCCTCGAGGCCGAGTTCTTGCGGTCACCGACGAACCAGGTGGTGCGGAGGATCAGTTGCCCTGTGGACGTCTCATCTGGGTTGACTCCTTTGGAGGTGGAGGTGACCTCTGACGGCTACTCAGACCACGTTGCACAGATTGCAAAGCCCCAGCTGCGGTGGAACAGGTTGCTTGGGTCTCAGTCACAACCCGAAGTTTCTGTACACTTGCCGAAGTTGGTCGGCTGCGCTGTCAACGACTCCTCCACAGCTTCCACTGGTTGCCGGCGACTCACGGTGCCAGTCTCAGTTAATATCGCCTTCCCCTCGCACAACCGTCGCCCAGCACAATCATTAATGGAGAAAGACTCTCTCAACTGCTCGGTAACGGCACGCTGGTTGACCAAGAGAACATTCACAACCGGCCCTGCGGCTGTGGAATCCACAGTTCACAGCGATCGCGCGTCGACCCAGAAGTTTGCCACGACGTTACCTCCGCTCTACAAGTCCAGCACCGAGACATCCAAATACACCACGTCAATGGAGCTCGAGCTTCTCCTGCCGGAATCGATCTCGACCCCTACAATCTCTACGGATCTATTGAAAGTCAGCTACACGCTTGACCTGTCAATGAGCTTTGAAGTGATCGGAAATGATTTACTCAAGGGGCCGTACACGGCAAACTTCAGCCTCCCCGTGGCACTTCGTGCCGCTCAACCACAATCGTTGATCAGCCGTCGCAGTTTTGATCCACTTTTAGGACTTGTGGAGGAGCAGTCACTCTATGCTCCGCCTCCATATGTGTACTAGATTATGCGGAAAGGACTTGTATTCTACGAACTAGACCGTCTTGTCATGTTTCAACGAGCAATGGGAGACGGAGCGCTTGACACATTTAGGCGGATAGAGTTAAATAGACTATTGTAATATACTGCTCGAAGTTTGAGACGTTCAGAACTACAAGTGACGTGCCGTAGACTTGTCAACCGAATATCAGGACTTACAGTACATGTCCGTGACACTACACTTCGTATCGGAGAAATCTTACCCCGTAACGCCGACGTCCCCCAATGTCCACGACTTCATCTCACACTTCCCCAAGTAAGACGTTCCCAACCGTCCTATTCTTGTTCTCATGTCAGCCAAGTGACTTGCACGTCCCTGTACCGGCCGCTGTGGCCGTGGAGAGGTTCAAGATGTTGAGTGGAATCCTCCTCTTCAACCAGAAAGGCGAGAACCTCATCTTCAGAGCGTTCCGTCCTGATTGCCGCCCTCGCCTGGCAGATATCTTCCGCATTCAAGTCATCTCCAATGCTCAGGTTCGATCGCCCATCCTCACCTTGGGCTCTACCACGTTCAGCCATGTCAAGCACGAGAATATCTATCTCGTGGCTGTCACAAAGAGCAATGCCAACGCTGCCGTTGTGTTCGAATTCGTCTACAAATTTATCGCGCTTGGAAAGCAGTACTTTGGCAAATTCGATGAAGAAGCGGTCAAGAACAATTTTGTCCTCATATACGAGCTCTTAGATGGTATGAATAGGGCGAGTCTCTGAGAAAGTTGTGGCTGACCTCTCCATAGAAATCCTCGACTTTGGCTACCCCCAAAACACCGATATAGATGTCCTCAAAATGTACATTACTCCAGACAACATCTCTTCTGCCATTCGATCGGTCTCCGCACCTCCCAGCGACACTTCCAAGATCACAATGCAAGCCACGGGGGCTCAATCATGGAGAAGAGGGGACATCAAATACCGCAAGAATGAGGCATTTGTGGATGTGATTGAGGACGTGAACCTGCTCATGAGCGCTACCGGAACCGTCCTTCGTGCAGATGTCACAGGACAAATTGTTATGAGAGCATACCTCAGCGGCACACCGGAGTGCAAGTTTGGTCTTAACGATCAGTTAGTGGTCGGTCAGATTGCGCATGGATTAGACGGTCCCATCGGAAACCAAGAAGGGAAACGCAAGGCCACGCGGGCAGCAGCTGGCTCGGTCACACTGGAAGATTGTCAATTTCACCAGTGTGTCCAACTTGGGAAGTTTGAGACGGACCGGACCATATCCTTTGTGCCACCAGACGGAGAGTTCGAGCTGATGCGCTACCGAGCTGTCGAAAACGTCAATCTGCCATTCAAGGTGCACGCTATTGTCCGTGAGGTTGGCACCACCAAGGTGGAATACAGCATTGCCGTCAAGGCCAATTATGGGAGCAAATTGTTCGCGACCAACGTGGTAGTAAGGATACCCACTCCCCTGAACACTGCCAACATCACAGAACGGACCACCCAAGGGAAGGCCAAGTACGAACCAGAAAACAATTGCATCGTGTGGAAGATTGCCCGCTTCGTTGGCGGCAGCGAGTTTGTTCTCAGTGCCGAAGCCCACCTCACGAGCATGACAAACCAAAAGGCATGGTCGCGACCTCCATTGAGCATGACCTTTTCGTTACTCATGTTTACGAGCTCCGGGTTGCTGGTGCGGTACTTGAAGGTCTTTGAGAAGAATAACTACAGCAGTGTCAAATGGGTCCGCTACATGACGAAAGCCGGCAGCTATGAAATTCGATTTTGAGCTGTTCCATTTACATTTCGATGCGTCTCTGACGGTGGCAGCTTGCGCCATCTCCAAGACAGCTTCGTCCGTCAACCGGGTCGCCATGAACAGAGATTCGGCCGGTTGGGACATTTTCCTGGACCACCAGCGGCACGTTCCCCGATGCAGCGGAAGCGGTATCAGTGAGGATGGGAAGCACGGCATCAGTTCGCGTCGAGATATCAAAGGTCTGTCGTGGACAGGATCACGGCTAACGCATCCTTCCTGCTTACGAAGCCAAGATGCATGTTCGCTCAATCTCTACCAATGTGCCCGTTGGGAGATTCCGAGAGGCATGGAAGATACCGTCTGCGAAAAACAAGAGAAACACAATCAAGGCGTCTGTCAAGTCAATGATATCTCAGTGATATACCTACTAAATGCCAGTTCGCTGGAGCTGGAAAAGAATATTTATACAGACAAGAAATGTTTGGGATCAGCCTGTGCCACCAATGTCAACAGAGCCGTCACCAACTCGAAATGTCCAAGTTCGTTCTTGAGATCCTGCCGCCTCTTCTCAAGCCAACATTGCCCTCTCCAACTAGCAGGCTCCACCTTTTTCCAAGGCTATCCCTGTCCTTGCCCAGTTTCCTTGCGCAGTCATTCCAATCGCGCTTTGACAGCTTCAGCTTTTCAAGCACTGTCTCCACCAACATGCGGTCATCGTCTTCGGTCCACTCTGCGTCGTCCACGCATGGGGATGACCCGTAAGCCGAGTCTTGGTCTGAGGGTATGTGGTTGTGAGGGCTGATTACGGGTATGTCGAGCTCCTCCTCGTCGGCAGGTGTCTCTAGCGCACGGAAGTCATCTGCTGAGAGACCCATCGGTATAGACAAAGGGACTTTTCGTCGCCTTTTTGGAGTTCGAACCGGTTGAGTTGTGCGCTGACAATCTTCCATGAGTACATCTGTAGATGATACAGAATTCATGTCCTCTTCGAATTCACTGCGCCGTCGCTTATTCGCGCGTCTGGGTGGTGTCTGTGCTTCTTTGGGAGGTATGGTCTCTTCAGCGGACGCAAAGGGATTTCCTAAGTCCTGCGACTGAGTCGGTCGTGTATTATGGATTGCGCTAGGAGCTCCTAGAATGGCCTGTAGAGCGCGGCAACTCGAGGATAGCGGACTCGGGCGCGCATTTGCAGAGAATTGGGGTTCGTATGCGCCGAAAGACTGGAGCTTCGGTCTTTGGAGTCTCAATTGGGGCTGCAGGCCGCCATCGCACGAGAATGCGGATGGGAGCAGCATGGTCAATGCGCCGTGAGGTGACTTGCGATGCGCAAAGTCGTCGAGACGTGCGCCAGTGACTGTATCGACGCGCAGGCAGGCAATCAGGACGGGAAAAGTGGGCGCATGTATCCGTAGGTATGGTCTGAAGCTCGAGAGGCGATCGTTGTATGAGTATTGAGGACGCTGGGAGGTAGTCGGCGGGTGAAGTGTGAGACGGAGAAGCAGACGCAGGTTCGCAGAAATGATGGGCGTGGAGGGATTCGAGGAGGAGAAGGATCTGCGAAAGGCGCCGGGAAGAAAAGGCCCGATGCAGGCCGCAGGATGCATGGGCGGCAGCCACCCACTGGGCCACACCCCGTTAGGATGCCTAATTAAGCATCCAGACTACCTAGCTTGGTGCCTAAGAATGCCTAGTGAACCCAGAGCATTACCAAGACATGCGCCCGTTAAAAAAGTGAGGACAGCAGGACAGCAGAAGCCTACACTAGACAAACAGTCTTGCTGCGTCGACCCAGGAACACGGCGCAGCCCCTGCTGTCATCTGACTCTGTTCCCAATCATCATTAAAATCAAGCTTGTGTCTCGTTTTGGCTGTAGCACTGCTGGCCAAAACGCGTCATCTCGCCTACGAGACGAGCATAGATCCATGGGTCTGGGTGTACTCGGTACGAAGGACAAGTCTGGCCTGCTATCTCAATACTGAAACATGGCTACAAGGTACCGAGTACTTCCCTCTGATGCTCGATTGCCCGCTGTTCTCTTCGATCGTCACCGACTTTTTGGACCGGTGCTTATCCAACGGTCATGCAGTAGTTGGATGCAGCGACAGCTCCGAAGAACAAACTCGCCCAAGCTACTGGATAAAAGTATCGATTGGCGTCGGAGAATTTGTTATCGAAAACCTGGTCAAAGTCTACCAAGGAGCCCAGTACAACGTTCGCAACCCATCAGGGTTTCCTGGTACAAGCACTGAGCTTTGCGTCAATGCAAGCCTCGAGCTCCAATTTTCAGGGATGAGCTTGCAGGGAAATTGGCTGGATCCAACCCGGCGATCTCGAGGCGCCAGACGCGTGGGCGAGAGCACGCGTCCGTGACACGCTAGAGTGGAAATGGAAAAGCGTCGCCTTATCTTTCCACGTGATATCCCACATCCACGAGCTGAGACCACGAGGCTACACATTCTTCGACTTCATCTAGACTTCCACCCTTGCATCGCCGGTACATCAACGCACGGCCTCCTCTCCCCTTTCTGTTTTCATCAAGCACATACTATAGGAACTCCTCACGAATATGTGATGGATCTTCTGCACAAGCTTGCGCAAACTGATGACGAGTACATGGAGTTATTCCATTCACAATGCCAGTCACACGGTCCAGATCCTGTCTGTCAAACAAAGGCTTTCTCGTGCCTCATTGTCTCTTCTGCAATTTTATTACCACGTGCGTAATGCTGCTTGCGAATTTTCTCCCTCGCGTCTTTGTTTTTGTCCCAGGGGCCTCTGCAAACGAACTTCGATTTCCTCCCATAGGTTATCGACATGGTTTTCTTATCCTCATCTGCCAATTGGCGCGGAGCTTGCCAATTGCGGCGGAAGATACATCTCAAAGCAGCCAGAAAGCTTCTTTGCTTCCTTGCCGATGAGTTGCCGGGACAAAACGACACTCTTCTCCTCTGTCTTTTCCTTCTGTTCTCCCAGACTGGCCCCCATCGCTGCCTAAGGTCTGTCGTACGTGATCAAGATGAGGAACCTCTCAGTCGCCTTTTTGGCTATCGTGCTCAACTTGACCATTGGCCATGTCTCTGCATTCTGGCGTATGGTCTGCGGAACCGTTCAGGTTGGCAGAGTCGACCCCATCGTCAACCCCGGCGGGGTTTCCGGTCACTGTCATACCATAGCTGGACCAAACAGTAAGCGCTGACTTTACTACCGTCGCGGAATGTGCCTCACTGACTGCGGGTAGACATCAACACGACCTCGACGTTTGACAGTCTCCAAGCCTCTTACTGCACTTCTTGCAGCATTCAACAAGATAAGAGCGCCTACTGGACCCCAAATCTGTACTATCGGCACCGCAATGGAACCTTTGAGGAAGTCCCGCATGACGGAACTGTCGTGTACTATTTGGACCGTGGCGTGGATGTCGCTAACATGGTTCCTTTCCCACCTGGCTTCCGTATGCTTTCTGGCGATGCTGCGGCTCGATCATTCGACCCCAGCACCATGACCTACGGAAACAAGACCTACGGCGGCACTCCGATTTCCAACCGTGTCAGTTTTGCTTGTTTGGACAGCAGTGGGCCCGAGCCAGAGACCCCGGGCTTCAACTCTACCAAATGTGACTCAGGCCTTCGCGCTCAGATACACTTCCAAAGCTGCTGGGACGGTGTCAATCTATACAAAACTGACCAAAGCCACGTGGCGTACCTCTCTGGAATGGACAACGGAATCTGCCCGCCTGATCATCCATATCTGCTCCCTCACTTGTTCTTCGAAGTCATCTATTCCGTGGACAGTGTCGACCAATCTGACGGTGGCATGTTCGTCTTTTCCCAGGGTGACACCACCGGCTATGGCTTCCATGGTGACTTCTTGAATGGCTGGGACGCTGATGTTCTGGTGGACGCCATCGACCAGTGCATGGGCCCCAACGCGGTCAACAACGGTCAGATCGGTCTGTGTCCACCGCTTCAAGCGTCCGTGGACCCGTACTTCAGCCAGAACTGTCCCGAACAGGCTCCCATTGTCAATGAGACTGTTCACGGTCTCTTGAATGTGCTTCCAGGATGCAACCCTCCAACAGGCGGACCTATACGTGCCACTCAAAACATCTGTCCTGTCCAGCCGATGCTCAACTATATTCCCAATCAAGACTGGAAGAACCGATCCGTCGCCATCCCGGGACAGTTGGTAGGTAGCTGGCAATACATGGGTTGTGCCCTCGACTCAAGCACACCTCGCCCGCTGGCCGGTCTGAGCTACACCAGTCAATCCAACATGTCCATCGAGAGCTGTACAGCTTTCTGCAAGCAAAACGGCTACTTTATGGCTGGCATGGAGTACTCCAGTCAGTGCTATTGCGCGAGTTCGCTGACGCAGCCGCTGCAAAGCCCACTCAATTGCTCACAACAGGATTACATGATCTGCACCGGCAACGAGTTCGAATACTGTGGTGGACAGAGTCTCATGCAGATATGGAACGACACCACATACTCGGGCCCGGCAATCAAGGGGACCCCTGTAGCTGGTTCGACAGTGATGACCCTCCCGGGCGGTGGAAATGCAACCTACCAAGGCTGTTACATGGAGGGAGTAGGAGGCCGAGCCCTCTCGGGTACGTCCTTCTCGAACAGCACAGGTATGACCCTGGAACTTTGTGCTGCGTTCTGCTCCATGACCAACTCTGCGCTCTTCGGGACCGAGTACAGCCAAGGTAAGCTAAGCGTTCCCTGTTCCTCCCAATTATATTTTCATCTGGCTGACCTCAAACTCTCCTAGAATGCTACTGTGGTAACAGCATCAGTACCACTTCCGCCCCGCAATCAGCCTGTTCATCCTTCTGTACGGGCGACAAGACCGAGTTCTGCGGGGGAGGCTCTCGCCTTTCTGTGTGGTCGTTAGGAAACTACCAGCCTCCCGCTGGAAGTCAGAATGGCACTGGTACCGGCACCGGCACCGGCGGAAGCTCTGCGCCATCATCGACCCCCAGCGTTGTCCCCGCTGCCACAGGCGTAGCTTCGATGGGCTGCTACAGCGAGACCACGCCGACACGAGCGTTGACCGCGCTCTTCACTGCTGGCACGTCGATGACCATCGATTTGTGCGCGCAGCAAGCGCAACAGCTCAACCTGAAGTACTTCGGCGTCGAATACGCTTCGCAGTGTCTCGCCGGCAGCGTGCTGAGCCCGTCGTCCACACCCATCGCATCCTCCAGATGCAGCATGGCCTGCGCGGGCAACAGCTCCGAGACGTGTGGCGGCTCCAACGCCATCTCTCTGTACCAGAACACGCAGTACGTCGTGCCCAGCAACCCGAATCCGGTCAACGTGCCGAACCAGCCCGGGTCCCAGTTCGCTTACGTGGGGTGCTACAACGAGGGCACCGGGGCGCGCGCGCTGGGCAGCACGGACCAGGCCGGCTCGGCGGCCACCACGTCGGCGACGCTGACGGTCGAGGCCTGCGCGGCCTTCTGCTTCTCCAAGGGCTACACCTGGATGGGCGTGGAGAACGGCAACCAGTGCTTCTGCAACGCCGCGGGTGTTATCAACGGCGCCACCCTCTCCGCCGGCGGCGACGCCGACTGCACCGTCACCTGCGCCGGCAACGCCACCGAGAACTGCGGCGCCTCGGCCAAGCTGAACGTCTACAAAATGACCACGGGCAGCGCGAGTGCCCGGTACGCAATGATGGGGAAGAGAGGCGAGAGGGGCTTGAGGTTTCGAACGTGGTGAGTAGTTGAATGAGTGGGTGAGTGAGTGAGTTTGTTGATTGTGGGTGAGAGCAGCGAGTTCTGTACCTGTGCCTGTGTGTGCGTGTGTGTATTTCACGTATGTCTATGCGTATGCATCCACGTACGATGTATGCATGTTGTGCATGCTTGTCAAGAACAATGTTCGTTCCCGTGGACTCCAGATAGAAAGAAAGAAAGAAAAGGCGAAGAAATGGGGGCCGTCGAAGTATTTGCCAGTGTCATTGTCGATACATGTTGATGCATGATGTTATGCACCCATCCATCTATTCATCTATCTATACTATGCTGTGCTAGCAATGTCGGTGCCTTGCTCCTCTGAACACCTACCCGTCCGCTCAGATAAGGAAGGATTGCTTGCCGCCCTGGAGAACACAAAGATCGAAGCCTGTTTCTACCTGCTGAACCTGCAAGTCCGTCCTCGGCACATAATTCCTTCATCGATTCCTTGGTTGGATAGTTGCCCTCTTGATTGACGAAGTAGACATCACTTGCACCGTCCTTGACGAACGTTGGTGTGGGTGTCACCCAGCCAGCCAGCCAGGATGGCGGTGTAGCAACGATATTCGTGCCCGTGGTGACCCTTTTTAGTCTCAGGACAGGCTACCAAGTCCCCCAGCCATTGTGCGCCGCTGATGAGGACGGGGAAGTGTAACATATAAGAGAAAGAGAAAAGCGTCATGAGGTTTGGGAGAGACGACGGATATTTTGAATTGGTTGCATGTCTTTATAAATGCTCAAAGCTCTCCAACATTTAAGATAATCGCTTTCCAACGCGCAAGAGACGCTTACAACACGAAGAAGAATGACGCTCTTCAAGCGAGGCAGAAGTGTCTCTGACATGACCTGGGTGGTGAATCTCGATCAAAAACTGGCAGATCTGCTCCCCTTGGGCCCCGCACCTCTCCTGCTTGTCTCAGACAACCGCTTTTCCCGTATCTGTCTGAATGTTGGTCTGTCCAACTCCCAACTCTCGGAAGGATGAGTGACACCCCAGTGCAGAAGATGCAACAGACCATGTGCGTTGTCAAAATAGAGCAATGATTCATTGCTCCGAGGATAGACAACACGGGCCCAGGCGAGAACATATGGAGTGTTACGTTTGAAGAAAGGGCTGAAACACGGATCTGGTTTTGGCGTCCATCGCAAGGCGATCGTCAGGTTTCCGTAGAGCACACCGGTGCCTTCTCTCCATATCCTCTTGCAAACACGGAGAAATTGCGCTGAGAGACCGCTGCTGTGGACATAATACCGGTCGTCGTACAGGTCAGCCCAGTGTAATTCACCAACACTGGAGGCTTGATGTCCATTGACCGCCTGTTTCAGGTCGATTGTTTGGTAAGCTGGATCTGTAGAACACAGAAAGCAGAGGACCTGGTTGTCATCGACGAAGAGCTCGTGGTAGATCTGATTCAGAATTTCTGGAGGATAGTTCAGGGAGCCCATAGGACCAGTTGGAGTGCAGGGGCTACTGGTCGGAAGACCGTCCATTTCGAGCGCCGTAGGGTCTGTTCGATGGGCGTGCGTTTCAAGATACGTAGTTCGCAGGCAGAATGATGAGATGGCGGTAGAAAACGGGCGTTTCCCCAGACTCGGGAAGCTGAAAGATAGACGGTAAGATTCTGTTTTTAACGATGGATCCGAACACGGACGGTGGATGGCTGATGTAAATGCATGAAGAGAATGAGGCCGCAGCCAGCTCGTAGGTAGAACAGCCTCAACAGTTTGATCCCCTGCTAGTTGACGAAGCAAGAGCAGAAGGGGGTGTGAATGGCAAGCACAAGCAGCTCAACGGCAGAACATGATCGAGGATCGCGGCAGCCACGGCCTCCTCGCTGTAGAAAACCACAGGCTGATTACCGTCCATAAGGTATTCGGGTTTCCCTGTCCTCTTTCATCGTTTGGTCTTTTTTCTTGCCATTTTGTTTTTCCTGGCGATTTCTGAGGCGAACACGACGGAGTTCTTGGGTTTCTTCTTCTTGGAGACTTTGTGGATTTTGCGGTTGCTTTGATGTCGAGCCGTGGATGACTTGACCAGCTTCATGTCCGTCCCTTGTGCATCGACATCCATTACTGTGTGGTTGAGGTTAGCGGTGGCTTGGATTTACTGGAGGGTGAGGGAAATAACCTTCTTGGTTGTTGTTGCGAGGCTCGTCTCCTGCAGCCTGTTCAGAATTGTCATCCACGTCCATGGCCTTCTCAGACTCTGGTTTTGGTTTGGCTGCCAACTCCTGGAGTTTTGCAGATAATCTGGCAGTGCGAGCATCAGACGCAGGGCCATACACCTTGGCCCGGAGATTGCGGTGATTCTTCTTGACCACGGAGGCCCTGGCAGACTTGGCCATGGCTGCTTCAACGAGAGTGTGTGCTTTGCAAGAACAAACACTCAGGTAGTGGAGGGAATTGCAGGAATTATGGTAGGGGTGGTGGGGATAGTACTGTAAATTTCTATGGGATTTTTCTCGGCCAGTCAAAACTGCCGGGGTTGCGCCGATTCGCGAGGCAGTGACTGCGGCGTTGTGACGACTCGGCGACAGCATCAACCTCACACGTTTGTAAAAGTCCATCCTCCCAAGGGGAAAATGAAGCCTAACCTCAGCACCTGTCCTCATTTCTCACACTCCCTTCGCTTCCTCTTCGCAGAGCCCACTCCCCAGCGGTCAGAGTAAGGCGTCCGAGGAGGTTGCGACTGCGCGCAAGCTCGCTCTCGCCCTCCTCTCCGACCATGTTTCAACGCCCATTGCCACCGATCGACCCAGCCTGACTTCGATACGTTCCTCTCTGTTCGGCCATCTTGTAAGGAGAAGCGCCCAAAGAGAAAGAAAGAGAAAGAGTAGCAGGCAACATGGCCTGCTACGTGCCTGCCCAGGCACAGGATAATGTGCAGGCATTGATTGCCAATGTGAAAACCCTGACTGTCGAGAAGTTGAAGAATGTACTGCGCAGCGAAGGACTGCCTGTGTCGGGAGTGAAAAGTGAGCTTCAAATCAGAACAATAGCGTGTATGTCAAGTGCCTTCTCTTCTGCTGCCTTTACCCTGACTTACGCCTTTACAGACATCGAGAAGCTGCGCAACGGAGCAGATATACCCGCGCTGAATCGACTGCGCGCGATGATTAGGGGTGTCTCTCATCCATATCAAAATGGCAACACGTTCAATTCCCACTACTCGAACCACGCGCCCACCTCTTCGGCCTCACCTCAATTTTCCACACTGAACGCTGGCAACTCGTACAACATGACCTCCCGCCATGAGCCTGGCCCACGTATGGAGTGTACCTCTGATGAGAGAAGGGAAGAGGCGCTGACCGAGAGCAGGCCAACTGGCTTTCAGCCCCACGCCTTTCTACACCATATTTTCGCCGCTCACTTCGCCGCTCGAGTGCAAAGGTCGCTTTGATGTCTTTCCCCCTTTGAGGCGTCTGCATTCGCTGACGAGAATCCAGCCCGAGAGTCGAGCAGAGACACTGCAAGGGTCATTGTGCACCTGCCCCAGTGGACCATGGATCAGTTGCACAAGGATCCGTTATTCCGTGTTATGGTATTTTGCGCCGCTGAACCTTTAGCCTCGGACAGAGACCCTCACCACTTGTATCGCAACAACATTTACGACATTGCATTTCCTCATAACGTGGAGTTGAAATGTAATGGTCAGGAGGTCAAGGCGAATCTGAAAGGACTGAAAGGCAAACCGGGATCGACTCGACCTGCGGATATCACGAGCTTTATCAAGAAAAAGCCCGTCGGTCATTCACACACGGTTGAGATGATCTATGCCTTAACCACAAAGGTGCGCTCGATGATTCGATTTGTCCCCCGGTCTTTCTCTTTCCTTTTTATTTGTGTCCGATCTCACTTCAAGAACTCTCCATGCTAAATAGGACCAATCAAAACCGCAGAGCTTCTATATTGTGGTCAATCTCGTCCTGCTCAAGCCGATTGACGCGATGGTCGCCGATATCAGACGAGGCCGCATGATCACCAAAGAGCAGACGATACGGGAGAGTGAGTTCACTTTGGCCTCAGACTGATTTGGAAGCTCACGATCAAAATTTAGTGCGTCGGAAAGCTGAAGACCCAGATGAGGTTGTGGCGACATCCATGCTTCTATCGTTGAAGGACCCCGTTGGTTACACACGCATCACAACACCCTGCCGTGGTCTCGGCTGCCACCATCTGCAGTGCTTCGATGCGACGTTATACCTCCAACTCCAAGAACAAGCCCCTACATGGATCTGTCCAATTTGCAGTAGACCTGCCCCTTACGACCAGCTGGCCCTCGATCAGTTTGTTAACGACATTCTGAACTTGACGCCAAAGAGTGTCGAGGCAGTTATTGTCGAACCCGATGGGAGATGGCACATCAAGAACGAAAACGAAAATCTCAGTCGCACGTCCAACCCTACGCCATCTGATGATGACGATGGCGACGACGCCGAGGAGGAGGAGGACGAAGACGGCGACCTCGTCGAGATCACCGGTGGATCCAGCCTCCGGCCCTTGAAACTCGAAACACTGACACCGCACAGTGTCAAGACGCCGCCACTATCTTCTCGAGAAGTATCGACAGCTCCTCCGGCGTCCAAATCATCAGCACAAGGCAAAAAGAGACCTCGCGAAGTCATTGATTTGACTCTGAGTGATGACGAGGAGGAGGAGGATGGATCAGCATCCAAAGCTCCGCGGGTTTCCCAAGCCTACCCACCTGCAAATGCTCCTGGCTCACGCCGGGTCTATTTCCAACCATTTCCTCCATCTCAACCATCGTCTTATGACTTTAACAGGTTTAATCCGTCGCTTTAGCGTTTTGCAAGGGAGCTTGGCTTACGGACGTGGGATTTCGGTTCGCATGGCGCTCGGGCGCAAGGCGGGACTCATTGGCGGCAAACTGATCTTTGCGTGGGCCACACTGAGGGTCGGAAGCGCTCACTGGCAGGTTTCCTTTTTCCAAACATGTCTCAGGAGACCATGCCTACACCGAGGGAATGGCTGGGATCCTTTAGCTAGGAACGAGTGTGACGACGACTCTTCGGCTTGAAACGGGCTGTGCAACATGGCACAGGGATGGAATGATGATTCATGAATTTTGCTCTACACACCAATTGGGATGAGTCACTACAAGCACGTCAAGGTATGTATGTTTCAGGGAATGGTCATCAACAATGGGCAGAGGAGATGGTTTGCACATGCGCTGCATGAACAGTTACAGGGGTGCAAATGTATGGCTGATGCAGCACAAGCATCCTCGTCGTGACAATTTCACACGGAGTGACAAAAGCTCTGCACACAAATATCATCGAATTTCTTTGCCCCTCCAGCAAGCAACGCTCTCCAAGATCGGGATAGCCGGCGAGGACGGACGAGGAGGGCATTGGTCTGTATCAGTGAGATATACAGGCAGTCACAGTCCCGTACACTCCAGGTTCACGAGAGTTGGCTGGTGATTAGAAAGATTGTACCGAGTACTGTCGTGACTGTCCATATTGAGCCAAGACGCGGGGGTTGATTTGGTGCCCTGATAAGATTAGATCGATCAGCAGAAATCTATCTTTGTCTTGTACTTGCGGCAATCAAACAGGAATATAACAATGATTCGACAAAACTATCATCACCACAACGCCAAAAAATATGTCTGTCGACAAGCCCCATCCAGTTCACCTCGAACCAAGCGAACTGGGCACGAAGGAGTAGTGAGTGCGTCTGGCATCTCTTCTCCCTCATCTTTTCCTTTGATCGACGGAGGCATGGCAACTGACTAACACACACATGTGCCCCGATTGATCGCAGCTGGGATGAATACTACCAGAATGATCTAGACAACGAGACCGGTGCCCTGTCTGAAGACGAGGATGGAGATGAGCAGGATGCTGACGCTGCTGGTGGCGGGGATGACAACGGAGATGATGCCTCTTCTCACCAACCACCACCCGATCCCACAGAACTAGACTCGTGGTTCGACGACGTCGGCGCTCCGGCCAAGACGCTGGCGTTCCTGACGTCGACCACATTCCCGCTGTCTCCGAACTATGACAGATCCACCAGACGGACTCAGACACAGACACAGAGAGACAACAGCAGCGACGATGATCCTCCCACCTTGTTACCTTCGGTGCTGGACCTGGGCACCGGTAACGGCAGCGCCCTGTTCGCCCTACGTCTCCACGGCCACTACGCTGGACCCATGGTCGGCGTCGACTACTCGACCAAGAGCGTCGAGCTAGCGCGGAAGCTGTGCGCGCAATACGCCGCCGCCGCCGCCACCTCGACCTCATCATCATCGTCCATGGACAACATCGAGTTCCACGAGCTGGACATCATCCACGACATCCCCGCCGCACAATTCTGGTGGCCCTCGTCGCGAGGGGGCTTCGACCTCGTGCTCGACAAGGGCACCTTCGACGCCATTTCCCTGTCGTCATCCACCGTCTTCGACGCGCCGTCCAACCGCCCCAGACGCATCTGCGAGCTCTACCCGGCCAAGGTCCTGGCCATGGTGAAGCCGGGCGGCTTCCTGCTCGTCACGAGCTGCAATTGGACCGAGGCCGAGGTGGTGGCCTGGTTCACCACGATGGGCGGCGGCGAGAATGGATCGGACTCTACCAATAATACTACGGAAACCGCTGAAACCGCCGAACAAAAAGAAGAAGAACAGAGGCAAAGCACAGGAATCTCGGAAACCGGCGTATTCGAGGTCTACCATACGATCAAGTACCCTGTCTTCGAGTTCGGGGGCCAAAAGGGCCAAGGCGTCGCGAGTGTCTGCTTCCGCAAGGTGCAGAGACGCAGACCGGACCAAAGATGAAAATGGCAATCTCGAGAAAGGGGGCAAAGAGTATCTATCCAGTTTCCCAGTGATTGTTTTGTTTTGTTTTTCTCATCCTCCTTGTCTGCAGGGTCGGCGACACGCCATGATTAACCCCCGTCGCTGCCTCTGTCACGGCATTGCTAAAAAGTCCCTTCCGGGAAGCTGGTCCTCTTACCTCGAATCCAAGGCAGGGCTGGCCTTCTAAATCGCTCTGGTTTCTCTCACATAGCCATCCATCATCTTCAGCAGTGCGAGACTCACATTCCCATCAAGTTCTTGGCCGTATCTCGTTTCGGCCACACCAGGGGGGCCCTGCTTCATTCATCAATCGGGCCCCTCGATCGTTGTCGAATCTAGTTCATCAGCATATTCACCGCCCAAGGAACTGACAACTGGCGTAGATCTCCGTAATGCTGACCCACGCCAATAAACTGCACTGGCACGGAAGTAGCATGGACGAGACTGATCATGGTCCCGATCCCAGATCCCACCGTGTCGACCTTGGAGACAATGAACCCATCGAGCTTACGGTTCTTACCCAATGCTCGGGTGAAATTCTGCGCCTGGCCCACCGAATCATTGCCCACCAGCGCCTCTGCCACTTGAAGGATCAAGTCGGGTTTGGCAAAGTCGACAAGTTTCTCCAGCGCCGCCATGAGTTGCGTGTTGGTGTGGGCTCGTCCGGCCGTGTCGATGAGCACCACTTGATAGTCGTTCTCTTTGGCAAAGGTCACGGCATCCCGGGCCACATTTGCTGCATCTTTGCCGTAGCCACGTTCGTAGATGCTGACTGCGCCGAGACCTTCGCGAGCGGTGAGCTCCCTCAGATTCCGCACATGCACATTCAGTTGTTCGACAGCGCCGGACCTGAAGGTATCGCCTGCGGCAATCAAGACGCGATAGTTGTTTTGCAGCAGGAAGTAGCAGAGTTTCGACAGGTTGGTGGATTTCCCAACGCCATTCACACCCAGGATGGTGATGACGAACGGACGGGGCTGCGCTTTTGCTCCCGTCGGATTTGCAACGGTCTCGATCTGTTGGAGAAGGTCCAGCGACGACCTGGGTGTGAGAATCTTTCTCAGTGAATTTTCCAGCGCTGGTCGCAAGGCTGCATCGATTGATTCGAATGCCCCCGTCTTTTTACCAACCATCTCAGCCTCCACTCCCTGACACAAGCGGATAGCCGCGTCACGGGCGACGTTTTTATTGATCAGGTGTTCCTCCATGGACTTCAGGGGCTTCTCCAGGTCTGCCTTGGTCAGTGTCTTCCCGCCGACAATGTTTCTAAAGTATCCTGAGATCGCCCCGAAGGTCGATTTTCCAGTCCCAGTGGTTTCGCCTTTGTTGGCGTCCGCCGATTTGAGGATGTTGTTCACTTCATCGCCAAGATCTTTAAGGACAAACTGGCCTTGTTTGTTCTTGGTTCCCCAACTCTCTTGTGAAATGGTTTCCGGTGGCAGAGAGTGCATTCCTGTCTCTCCGTTCGTGCCAGCGTCACCGGCCGAGTAGTCAAGTTTCACATCATCTTCCACGTCGGCGATTCCATCAGGACCCCAAACTCGGCCTTTCTTTGCGCTACTTTTGCCGGGTTTTTGTTTTCTAGCTTCGTCTCCGCTGGACACGTTTGCTGAAGTAGCAGCGTGAGCAGCCTTTCTTGCTCTCCGAGAGCCACGACTTTGCGGTCTGCCATTCTCCGTCAACAGGTGTGGTGCAATGCCGGGTATAGGAGTCGTCGGACGAGATGCATCGGGTGAGTGTACAGGAGTATTCTGGAAGGAGTCTTGGTTGATGCCGGGCACAGCTTTCAGCTGTGCCTTAGCTAGCGGGGGTGTTTGTGGCGGAGGCGGTCCTCCAGTGTCCCCGTCTTCAGCGCTTGTTTTCTTTTCTTCCAGCGGCGGTGCAACGTGACTTGGTTCCTGAGTGACGGCGCCACCTGTACTTTCATCCAGTCGACGCATCTCTTCATCGAAGTATGGATCAAAGGGATATTTCAGAGCAGCGTAGTCGAGTTCCTCAAGCTGGCCTCTGTAGACTTCGACAAAGATTGTCTGGATGTCATCGAGCAACTTGTCAACCCAGGTCAGGTGAAGGAGAGATTGGTAGACGGCCACGAAGATCAGGCCCAGATCCTTGACCAGCGTGTATTTCAAGGTGTACTTGTCGTGTCTGTACGTGGGATTGTTTGAACTGGTCGCAGTCGGGCGGACTTTCTCTTCGATGAAGACATCGTTAATCAAACTGTTGACTGCGGCGGCACCGATCTTGGAAGAGGACCTCGACCACAAGACGACACCGGAGGTCGTCAAGATCTCGAAGGCGTCCAACATTTTGCGGGAACAAAGCTGGGCCACCTCTGGCGACGGAGGCTGCAGGAGAAGGGACAAGAGGCGCAGGAGAAACCTATACAGAAGTGCCTTCAATAATGTTGATCTGGCGCGAAAGGGCGAAAATGACGTTGAATCCACAATCACGTGTAGATACGAGGTCCGGAGGGTTTTCTCCGGTGGAGCATCTGACCAGTGCATGTAGAAAACAGGAACGGAGGAGTATTGCAGCTTCTGCGCACTCGGTGCCGATTCTCAGATCTCTTCCATCAGCTAGGCACCCTATCTATGTACGTCTGTCCACATAAGTAATTCCTCCTCTGCTGTTGTTCAATCATCTAGACCAGAGACAGCCAATGCTTTCCTAATCACGGTACAGACATCGGTATGAGACGGCGTTGGACCAACGACCAACAGCCAATGGAAGAAAGACAATATAGGCAACTATATGCCTTCTTCATACTGTCAGGGTGATGGCATCAGATGTCGGCGCTGCTCAGACTCTGCGTTGAAGTCATCAGCCTGCAGTGCGCGAACTGACCCAGTCACCGAAATCGTCCAGATTCCTGGTCTGGACGTAAATCCGACCTGGTCCTGTGAATCGACAGACAAGACCTTCACCGGTCTTCATGCTGTTCATGCCGCTCTTCCCGGCCTTTTCAATTGCATATCGACAGTTCCACGCCACAAGGTGACCGTTATCAACAATGTGCTGTTCGTTGTCTTGGAGCTAGTGGACGGTTAGATGTACCTTTCAAAAGATGACGACGGACGGGAGAGGTGAGGTTTGGCGGAATAGCAAGAGGGACGATCCACTTACATCTCGGGCGACAATACCACCGAAGGACGTGACCCAGAGTGTCCCCTGGCCAGAAATGCGGTAGACGAACAAGTCTTCCCCACTGAAGAAAGCCTTTCCGAGGCCCTGGCTCTTCGCCTCCTTCGTCACTCCACTCGTGCACGCCAGGAAGGCATCCTTTCCGAGGTTCCAGCCTTCGTCTCCGCGAACAGTGATGGCGGATATATCACCGAACAAGGTGGGTGCCAGAGACACTTCGCCCGGCCCAGTGTACATGGATTCAGCCATCTCCGATCCCGTGAACATTTTCTTCATGCTGAACTTTATCTTCCCCTGAAGGACGATCGTTGGAGACATTTGGATCATGGCCCCTGGCTTGGACTTGATGACGACACCTTGGGGGATACGCACGTTCACCATGGCGTTCGCGTCACGGTTAGTGATCGAATATGAGATGCCATCCACTGTTGAGTGCCAGCTGGAATCGAAGCCCCCCGTCGCTGGCGCTCCTTGGGGAGCATGGTGCTGTTGCTGTGGATGCTGCGGTGGATATTGCTGGCCCTGCTGAGGGTATTGATTCTGATATTGATTCTGGTACGAGCCCTGGTCCTGATACGGCACTGTCACGATTAGATATGTAAAGAGAAGGCCATCGAACTCGTTGTCTTACCATTCGAACCATATTGCTGTGGAGGATAGTACTGGCCGCCCGGATTCTGGTTGTACGCCATTGTTCCTGGATCGTCGACAGCACTTGCAAAACAGAGCCAATCAAACGCACAATTTGCCGACCTTCCAGCTCGAGGTCAATAGAACGAGAAGTGCCCAAAGAGGAGCTGACGACGCTGGAAGCCACTTTGTCAGAAGACTTATGCTTCGATTACATATGGAGCATACCACAACGAAAGAAGAGCCCCTCCCGGGGTTCAAAGGTAAGACGTCTCCGGTCTCAGTCAAATGCATTTCGGACCCCAAACTATTGTTTTCGCCTTCAGCTGGCCCCCAACGGCTGCTGTACTTCTACTCGACGGCGCCCGCATAACCTGACGAAGGGCGAATCCTTCTGGGGCTCCCAGCCAAGGCTCTGCTTATATTCGTTCGATGTCACGGTGTGGCGATATCCTTAGCGCTTTCGTGTGAGGATCCTTAATCCCACCGCACAACAAAAGGCGTCTCATCGAAATTTCCTTGCAACGACCAAGTCCGCGACTAGTCCAAGTCGGGTTGCTATGTTGCCCCGATCTGGCCACAATGGCGCTTCTTCGGAAGGATTCAGTCTAGAGCGTGAGCCAGGGCTTTGGTGGGTGATTCAGCATAACCGTCCCACAGCCTCGAATGGGCGCCCCCTCGTCGGCAAATACACAGATACGGTGGAATTTCGCTTCATTATTGTTGGCCACTACTAGACGACGGAGCGTTTGCGCTCAGCGCTTGACAACAGTATCTCAGATGATGCTCGTATACGCTGAGAAAGAGACAACCGGCAATGCACCACAGCCAAACGAACCATACCCGCTGCTACGGTTATGAGTATCTGCGGCCTCAGAGGCGAACCGCGTCGTGTCCCAGGATTAACTGCATGCGTGCTTATGCCTTCTATGAGACATGCAGAGCCGCGATGGATTCAACACAATCCTGTTGTTTGCCACGTTCTATAGCGACTCTTCCGCGAGCCTCAGGGACAACTAATTTCACGTGTCTGATGGGATATTGCACTGAAGGTGGATCTCGGTAGTGGCGAGTCGTCAAGAAGCTTTGCCCGGGCGGCCGGCTGCTCCGCTTGTGGCTTGTGCGAGGTGTCAATCGCCCTGTCTATCCTGCGCGAAAGGCCTCTATTCCCGGACAGCTGAGGCTTGTTTGAGGATTCATTACTGTACCTATTGGGTACAGCGGGTCTCAGGAAACAACATTGTCCGTTGATGCCAATCAAGCTACCACAAGAGTCAGACGACTTTGTTTCATTTCGTTGATCAAATTTTGCGGCCAAACCGGCGCTACCTGCTGTTTTCGTCTCTGTTGTCATTGAAGAACTCCATACTACGCGAAGGACCAAAGGATTGAGGCTGTGGATCAGGTCAGCATCGACAGACCTTTCAGCCTTCGACATGGCGTGCACTAAGATGGGGGGGTCAACCGCCGTCGACTTAGCGACAGGACGGTGATTCTGTCGTGTCGGAAACCTGTCGAGACTCCGTCGATTTGGGGCTGGAGACTGGAAGTGAGATACACCCACAGAATATAAGTAGCAGCCTGCGACATGAAGACGGTCTGCCGGAACACTGACTGTACCTTCTGCATCCCGAGATAATGTTTTCTTCAGATGCATTCCACGCCTTGTGCGTGCTTGCTCTCACGGTTACAGTGGGAGCCCAGTCCGCCACAACAACCGGTACACCCACCACCCAGGAGCCATGTGCGCAAGTGAGTGCCTTTTCGAGCCAATATAAGGCGGCCAGTCCTTCAGGTAAGCCTACCTCTTGAGGACGGTACACGGCCATCTACTGACACAATTGATAGCCCCCTATGTTCCCGTACCACCAGGTTTGTTGGCTTCCACTCGGCCAATCCCGTTCGTATCTGATGGATGCAAATAGATATGGCTTATGCCTGTCAACAGTCGGTTCCCTTGGTGAAAGAGGATACACTTGCCGTACTCACTGGACTCAAAGCTTTGGTAGAGTGGCAAAGTACTCTGATCTGGGTCAAGAATCCACCAGCCAATTGGCCATTTGCTCCGGCCGACCTGGTGGGAGGACTGCAAGACCTTACCGAAAAGGTGGAAGATGGAACCATCACCCAGGAGATTGACTTCGAAACCCGGCTGGTAGATTTGATATCTGCCGTACACGATGGGCACCTCAACTACATCCCAGATGCCTACTCTGTCTTCAACTACGAAAACCTGCAGCTGCCCATAGTTTCCGTCTCGAGTGATGGCAAACAGCTACCAGAAATCTACGCCTTGGCCGACATGCTGGCTCAACAAGCCGGAGCAGCAGAAGGATGGACCCCTTCTCCGATCGTCAAGGTCAACGGGACCGAAGTTGTTCCCTATCTCAGTCAGATGGCTTTCAATGGGACCATGGCTCACCAGGACTTGGATGCCTTGTACAACCGTATATTCTTCAGCCCTTTGGCCACCGCCGACAGCGACTCGGGTTATTTCAGCGCCCCCTTTTTGAGTCGGTTCTGGGGTTCGTCGGTCGCGGTCGAGTTCAAGAACGGGACCCAAGCCTCCTTTCCCATAACCGCGGTTTTGCTCTATGACTTCACGGACGTGGTCGACGGCGAGAGTTTCTACCAGACTTTCTGTAATGCCACGGTGAAGGCCATGGCATCAGCGAGCGCGTCTGCAACAGCTACGGCCCAGCCGACGGCGACCGCGGCACCCGATCCGGAGGATGCGCTCCCGTTCTATCCTACCGCCGTCGCAATCACTGACGATGGGACGCTGGCTGGCTACTTTCTGGACGACGAACCCAGTGTGGCCATCTTAGCAATCCACGCAATGTCTAATGACGGAGTCTCGTCGCAGCAGACCCTGGCCCATTTTCTGCAACAATGCCGGCAGGAAAACAAGACCCATCTCATTGTGGATCTCAGCCAGAATGGCGGAGGCCTGATTGAGCTATCCTACGATATCTTCAAGCAGTTGTTTCCAACCATTCAGCCATACTTAGGGGCCCAGCTGCGGGCGCAGGAACAGGTACGCGCCATGATTTTTTCCAAAGTCTGACAGCCAGTATTCTAAAAGGAGTATCTACAGGTAAATATCCTCGGGGAGTTCTACACGCCCATAGTTCAGCAGGCCAGACAGCAGGGAGATCTAGACACCACCGACATGACAACACCAATCTTTCAAGGCGAATACTCTACATTCGATTCCTCGACATTCTACAATGACAGTGGTCTGCCTTTCCCATCCTGGGCAGACTACTACGGCCCTGTCCAGGTCCATGGTGACAATTTCGCGCACCAGTACCAGTTGAACCTTTCAGACGTTGGCTATGATGAAAGGACCAGCAGCATGATCCCCTTCGGCTATGCCAATAACTCCAAGATCGCCCCCCAGCCTTTCCTCTCCGAAAACATGGTTATTTTTGGGGATGGATACTGTGGATCGTCATGCACAATTCTGACGCATCTTCTTAAATATCAAGGCAAGGTCAAGTCAATTGTGATCGGAGGTCGACCGCAGACTGGGCCAATGCAGGGTATCGGAGGGACCAAAGGGTGCCAAGTACTACCGTTGCCCAACATCCTGACAGCCGTGGACGTGTTCTACCAAAATGCTTCAGCAGATGCTATCACAGCGGCAAATAAGACAGGACTGAAAGACCTCGCGGATCAGGGCCCGACGCTACTGCTTCGGCAGGATGCAACGATCGGGGCTGTCGAGATCAACCTTCTGAACGCTATTGCTCAGTATGATGAGTCGCAGACGCCGCTCCAGTTTGTCTATGAGGCTGCGGACTGCAGACTGTGGTTGCAGACGGCCCACATCACCGACGTTGCGGCGATCTGGAAGACGGTGGCAGAGCAGGCCTGGGGACTGAGCGGTCAAGAGAAGTACTCGCTGTGTGTTCCCGGCAGCACGAATCAGCCCAGTAGCTTGAGCGGCAACCAGACGCTGTTCCAACAGGGCCAGCCCTCCAACGTCACCGGGTACAACCCTGGGGGCGAAGACGCCGAGCAGGACAAGTCGACGGAAAATGCTTCTGGGTCGCTGACGTTTGCCGCCGGAAGCCTGTCAAGCATGGTCTTCGGGATCCTGTTGGCTGTGGTTGCATCATCAGCCAACTTGATGATCTAGCCACCGGGGTTTTCTTCAGGAGTGGTAGCTTCTTGGAAATGTCGTTTATATATATACCAGTTTCCACCATGAAATTCTATATGTCGTTGGCTCGCGGCACCATCCGACATTGGTTGATACGGGAGCTCTCCGAACCCGCTACCGTCCATGTCATCGCTGTTCTCGGCGACGGTGCCGCGGCATCCATTCACCTCCCTCGACCACTTCTCAAGAGGGCCTCCACGTCAAGGATGGCGTGCAGGGCCAAGGCACACGGCCGCTGGGGCGTCTCCCGTCGAACTAGTCCATATCCGGGCCATAGTTCAAATACGGATTAGTTCTCCTCGCTTGGTTCGAAGGGCGAGCGAGGTCTGTGGCGTCTCGTCTGGTCGAAGATGGTGCCCGAGCCCTACTCGGTACTTTCTGTCCTCCCCCCCCCCGAAGGTAGAGTGTCGCAGAGGGGTATAAGAAGTCCCCAAAGCCCGCAGCTCATCAATCCGTCTCATACCCTGCCTGCCCTGTCGATCGAGATGCTTCTCAACACACATAGATATACATATAGCTCTGGGCCGGCTGGCAGAGGAGAGCCAGCTGCCTCCCTCCCGCCTTCAGCGTCGTCTACCATCTGCTGGGAGGCTCTGAACAAACAAGCCATCTGCCACTGTGCCCGTTCATCCATCCACTCATCTATTCATTCATATGTTGTGTGTGTCATCGACGATTGAAGATTACTGTACGAACCTCTCTCCAATCCGTCTCCTCCGATGCTGACCACACCCGTCGAGTGAAGAGGGAATGCCCTGGAGCCGATATGTCATTCAGCAAACCTCCATCTCGCCCCGGATTAGCGAGGCGTGCCGTCTTTTCGTACTATGCCTGTTGGGTGGCTTGTACATAACACTGGCTGGCATGCTGAGCTTTGTCAGCTTCCTCAGGCCACACGCTCTTCGCGCGAGACGGGCGACAAGCCTCGCACGAGAACAACAAACCAACAACACCGTGAACCGGGGGTCCGGTCCCCCAACCCATCCCACCAGAGTCGACGACCGTCATCCATCATCATGCGAGCCTGGATCGATCCCGCAGGGCCGGACGAGTCCGCGGGTTTTAAACCGCGCCAACTCGACTTCAATGTCCCTGGCAATATCAAGCAAACACATAGGCATCTCGCAGACCCTCGAGCTCTCGCCACGTCTGGCCTCCCCGCCGCATCATTCGTCTCGCACCTCAGCCGAGATCGTCCCAAGGGGCCGAGTAAGCGGAGCATACTGTAGACGATACCATACCACTAGTAACGGCGATCCTCCTCGTCTCCTCTCGAGCTGGGCAGGGGCTGTTCGGGGCCCATCTATCGAAGGCTTACATACTCTCACTGCGCCATTCTTCCCTTCGAGAGACCTGTGCAAAGCTTCAGCCGACAGCTCCTCTGGCCCACGGTCTCACGTGTTGTACGCGCTCCGTAATCGATACATTTATCTTCGCGGCGGCAGATATGTATCGAGGCGACCGCCAGGCTTAAACTCGACGTCGAAACCTTTGTGCTCGAGTTGAATTGACGAGTCCATCACCAGTGACTTTTGAGAGACCGGCTCCAGATTGATTTTCCCCTGCCACGCTCTCGATTTGAAACTCAACCCATGGCATCGCCGTCGACAGACACCACCAGGCGCACGACCTTGGCTTGCAACCATTGTCGCCTCAAAAGACAAAAAGTACAGATGAGCCTCACAAGGACCTCTTTTCTCCCTCGGCCCCCTCCCGTTTTAGTCTGTGCCTGGACTGACCAACTCTTGTCCACCAGTGTGACGGTAACAAGTAAGTATAGCCAACAGCTGATTTTTTTGATGTCTTCTGCTGGGTGTTTTACCTCCGTCTCCGTCCATGTATCCCCAGGAGGGCGCCTCCTCGGGGCGGCCACTCTGAGTGCACTTGTTGCTGGAAATGTGCAAGGAGAAGGAAGCCGTAGACGGCAGCGCGCGCGCTCTCTCTCTCTCTCTTTCTCTCTCTCGCTCAAATGGGACGGATTTTTGCTCTATCCCAACAGTTTTGGGGGGTCCCATGCATAGCATGCATGCATTCTCAGCACGTTCAGAGCTTTCGATTCGAATTGGGGCAGAATCCACTCACTAACCTCGACGACTTCTTGCAGGTCTGGCTGTTCGCAATGCGCCGCCCTCCGGGTCTTTTGCACCTTTCCCGACGCGAAGAAAAGGTAAGCCAGAGCTCTCTCCCTCGCTCTCTCTCTCTTTCGTGCTCTATCTACGTTTCTACATACGTGTTGGAAGAGCGATACCCTTTCCTGGCTAAATCTACACAACCTGATGTCTCGGGAAGGCCATATTGATTGCCCAAAAACCCCGGTCCTCGAATGAGCTCATGCTGACACGGTGTGTGTCTTTTTTGGGGTTGTTTTCAGGGGCCCGGTCAAAGGCTACATCGACGTGCTGGAAGGCCGGCTCTTCGAGCTCGAGTCGACCCTGCTGCAGGCCCTGCCGCCCGTGTCCGACGGACACCTCGACGAGATCACCGCCTCGATCCCGCCCACCATCCCCAGCCGTCCGCACTTCCGGGTGCGGTTCAACCAGTCGAGCGGCAACGGCAACGACAGCTCCAGCTCCAGCTTCGGCTCCTCGTCTTCGTCCTCCTCCTCCTCCTCCTCCTCCTCCTCGTCGCCACAGAACCCCGTCGTGCCCGGCAGCACGGGAGCGGTGGCGGCATGTCCGTCGGAGATTGTATTCCGTCGTCATGCCCAACATCACCACCACCACCACCACCGACGAGGAGAGAAACTCCGACAGCGCCAGAACCAGAACCAGACCCAGCACCAGCACCAACAGCGAACATTTCAGATCATGACGCCCACCGGTGCTACCGCCGGCGCCGGACGACGCTCCTGTTCTCTCCAGCATAACCAGCAGTACCTGAAGCAGATGGTGTCTAGTCCGTGGCTGCTGCAGCCGCAGGAGCAACGGCATCAACTCCTGCTGCCTCCGCTAGAGCTAGAGCTGGGCGGTGGTGGTGATGGTAACCCCTTTATCAACAACAACGAACGCCCGTCGCCGCCGTGGCCGCTCCTCGCTTTGGAAGGAGAAGGAGCAGCAGCAGAAGAAGAAGACTCCCTCTCGCGGCTGCAGGACCAGCACCAGCACCAGCACCAGCACCAGCTGTTACTCGGCGCGACTACCAGAGACCACAGCTTTGGTGGGGGACCAGGGGTGAGTTCCGAATTCGACTTTTTGCCCGACTTTGATCGAAGTGCCGCCACTATCAACATCGTCAACACCATCATGGTGTCGGCACGGGGATTTTGAAGAAATCGGTCGGCTCAAGGTTGGGAAAGAGGGTGGGGAAGCAATCAATTCAATGTCCCTCTCTCTCTCTCGCGCGCGCACGCGAGCGCGGTGGTTTCGTCTGATCTCAAAGGGGTTGGATGGATGGATGAAGTCTGGGTCTCGTTGCCGTTTGCATTGGCTTGGATTGGATCTGTCATATATGATGGACGATGGACGATGGACGATGATCAAGGTGACGGCGGGCCCCAAAAAGGAGGTTCGAGTCTTCGAGGTCTAACACGCGAAATCTATTCTTTATTTTTCTTCTCCCTCCCCTGCCTCAGGCGACACATACGAGCCTACGGCCCATCAGATTGCGCGAGAAATGCAGAAAATCATGTCTTTCGGCGAACCAAATCTCTCGGTGGTGGTAGCGGCGGTGATGATACTGGACGAAGACAAAACTCGAACCACAACAACTCCCAAGCTCTGCTCGACCCAGCTCAATACATACATATATATCAACCATACCTACCTTGGAGCACGCGTTGTCAGCCAGCTAGCCAAGCAGGGGATCACTCATATGCCTATGCCGGCTCCTTTGCAACCCCCATGTCATGCAAGAGCGAGACAGTCTTTTTTCTTGTCATCGAGGCATTGCATTCTGTGAAAAGTAGCTAGCTAGTCGGTCACCAGTGAGTCAGCTGTTTGCTGCCCAGGTTGGCCATATAGTGGCCTCCTCGTGGGGGACAGAAACAATGAGCGCATATGAGCGCGAAAGCGAGGGACAGGAAACAAGGAAAGAGATAGAGACATCCAAGCAAAATGCCGGAATCCACTCCTGAAACCGCTTTGCCCTCGCACTTTTGCCCGGTTCAAAGAGCCGTTCACAGGATAGACGCTGTCCTTGGAAGGCACCAGAAATTGCTTGTTTCGTGGTACATAAGTGGAGGGATAAATGAGTCGACTTCTTCCCCGTTGCGGCTATACAAGAACAACATCTCTCCTCACTCTCCTCAATTCACTTGGTCGATGGAGCGATTGACCGGGCTTATCAATTTCTCACCTAACGGAATCCATAGCGCGTGCCCAAGACCCCACGACGCTTCCATTGGCGTTCTGACCTTAATTAACTTATTTTGTTTGCTCGGGCGTTTCTGTGGTCTTCCCCTTTCCTACTCTTCTTGCTCTCTCTGGTCCATGAAACTCCACACTTATCTCCCAGCCATAAAGTCCACAGGGATGAAGTCGGGGCACAGTGGCGGCGGTGACTGTTTGCGCTCGTCCGTCGGTCCTCGCGAAAGCAGCAGCGCCTGGACGTCCTTTCTGTCCTGCGCCTCTCAGGTACGTTATCGGCAGCGCTGCCATGTCCTGGGACCTGGACTGCGCAGCGACTGTGGTATCTTGAGGTGGCTTGTTTGACTGTCTTCGTCAATTTGTTCCAATGGGCATCAGCCTACCTCGTTTTTACCACCATGTTGACTTTACTTTTCGTCGCGACTCGCTTCCGACACTGCTGGCTTCGAAGTCTGGACGCACCGTTAGGCGCATGATGGGTCCATTTCGGCCGACAACTGACAATGGAGCTCGCAGGACCGCGGCCTTGGAGATCAGAATGCTCGGACCAGCTTGATGAGCACTCCAGAACCTCGACCATGTCAATCTCGAGCGAGCAATGTCGATGCACTCTGGGGGGGAAAGAGATAGATGGGCTAGTGAGCCTCGGTCCGCTGCCCCAGCAGGCTGTTCTTGGTGTCAGCATGGACCCGCAACGTCCCGCATGAGGCATGACGGACGGGACGCGTGCTATTTCTTGGTGCTGGGGAAGGCCTCAACACCTGGGAGATGGACGCCTGGTTCCCTCCTCCACTCTCTCACGAATGGTGACTGAACCAAGGGGACTCCGTACGGCCTATGGGGTTTTCTTGATGCGGTATCAGACGCGAGAAAAACGAGCCGACGCTAAACGGTCGTCCAGATCCAATGGCAGCCTCTAGGTAGCCCTTGACAGCGATTGCTCTTACTCAGCAAGTCGGGGACCAAACGCACCCGAAGCGATGATGTGGCTAACAAGCCAATCGACCGCTGCGTGCCAGATTTCAAGCATCTTTGGAGCGGAGAAAGATGAAGCATCGTCATGGTCGCCCTCCAGACATCAATATCAATCTTTGCGTGCCAGCATATCCCAATATTATACATTGATCGGCTTCAAGAATGGCGATGACACCTCCTGGAAGTGATTCGGCAGGCGAGATGAAGACGCTTCGATCGGATTTCCTGTGGGTAGGCTCAAGCAGTGGCGCCTCGGATCCTACCACCACCGGTTACGAAAAAGCGGTACGGAGTCATGTCCAACGGTGGTCAAAGACGCATACTGGCCCAACGAGGCTGCGCAGTAGTCCTTTGATCAACAGAAAAAGGAAAGCCGCCCCGAAGGTCCAGTTTGCGCAACCTTTGGCCGGCAGAACCCTTCCCAAACCCCAGGATTCACCATCACGCACACATTGTTCCGTCCAGTTTGCGACGACGCCGATGACGCCTCCTTCTAGCCATGATACTCCGATCGAACAAGAGGATCTAGATGCATTGCAGGTGAAGAACAACAGTGCGACAGAAGCTGACTCCCCGGCAGGAGCGCAGCCTGAGGATCAACATCCCTCGCGAAGCGACGTAATTGTCCACGATAAGAATGCCTCACCCAAAATCGAAGGCACCATTGTCCCCGCCACATGGGGAGATGACCAACGACGGCGGCAGACCATTCAGTTTCCCATCCAGCAAACTGTGCGACTCTGGCATTCGATCGCACCTTCATTGTCCGCGCCCCTCGACTCAGACAGGTTAGAGAAAATGGTTCGATGCCACCACCTGACCTTCTCTGCCGTCTGCTCGGTGAAGAAGGCTGCACCCGCTCGAGAGTCACAGGTGGAAGCACTGAGATTCGAGCTGTTGATGAAGAAAGGTTGCAGAGCTTTGGAAGCAGGCAGATTGAAAGAGGCCTTCCAGCTGTTTGACGAGGCATTTTCCTGGCTGAAGCCAGTTTTGATCTTACAAAACATCCGTGGACAGCCGACGTTGTGCCGTCTGATTGCTCAATTCTCTGGACCGCTCTTTACGCCCATCTGGCGACGGGTATTCCAGTATATCATCGAGCTCGCAGAAGTGTTGATGAGTCCCGGAAACCCCTTCGGACAGAGTGCGGATTTGTTTATCCGATCTCCCGTCCCGTTGATCGACGCGTCAGAAATGGTCCTTCGGTGTATCCTCGACGTGGTGCAGATGCAACTGGGACCATTGCATCCAGATGCCCTGGATTCTCTGGAATGCTTGGCTTGGTCTTTGTTCGAAAGGGGTCGTGGGCAGGAGGCTCTCACCCGCTTCACCGAGCTGCTACAGAAACAAGAAGCCGCCAGGGGACCTATGTCTCCAGAGGCCTGCGATGCCCTCCGTGGACTTGCCGAGACGCATATGCGGCTGGGCGAACCGGACGTGGCTGAGCAGTTGTTTGATGAGGTACTTGGCTGGCGAAGCACGGGACCGGATCAGGAGCGTCCACAGGTGTCCGCTGTCAGGGTCAAGTGCTTACTCTCAATGTCTCGTCTGGCCCAGCGACGGCAGAATCCATTTCGTGCTCGCTGGCTGCTGCAGCAAGCAGCTCAAACAGCTTCCTTGGCATATAACGAAGGTGGCCTGACGGCTACAGATGTTTGCTTCAATGTGAAACCCCCAGAATTCGATCCACTGGACGAAGTAAGAGAAGAAGTCCAGAGGTTGTTGGGCGCTGTGGAGTCTTGGTCGATTGATTAACCGATAGGTAAATGAATCAAAGTCACTCAGAGACAGATGCAGAACCCTACAGTAGTCTTTCGTGCCCTCAAACAAGGACCACGGTGTTTCGTGTAGAGGTGGTTGGTTCTTCCGCCCAGTGGTCCTTTTCCAGCATCTTTCCCCTTCCCAGTGCATGCTCTGCCTTTTGCCCCGACTCATTTGGCCGACCAGGCGAAGGGGTGGCAAGGCCGCGGATCGGAGAACAGGGCTGGAGTAGTGTGATGAGAAAAGAACGGGGCTAGGATGGCGTCTCAGAATCCGAGGTATCGGCGGTATGGGCAGGGCTGTGTGAATAATGACTCGTAGGGGTTGGCTGGAAACCCCTATGTAGAGCTCACTCACCCGTCATAATAGCACCAATAAAATGTCCGAGCCAGGGACAAGATGCAGGACGCAGGTCGAGAAGTCTAAGGAGGTGCAGGCTGCGAGGTGGTGTTTGTTGGCGACGGCCTCAACAGAAGAGAGGGCTACGGAGAGGCCTCCAGGGGGCAGCAGGGTCAGCGTTGGCGTTGGCGTCATCGCTGCCCGCTGTCTCGACCTTCTCAACTTCACTTCTCGCCTCATCTAGACCATCGAGACTCCCGTCACACTCGCCAGTAACTATTCACTACTATTGCTACTACCACTGCTGCCTCCACTGCAACAGTTTCTGTGCTCGCGTATCTTTTCCCAGCAACACCTAGCCACTGAGTCCTTCGATCCCTCTCTCCTTTTCTTTGTCCGCACAACGAAACGACCAAGCTCCCCACGTTCCAAGGGCCCTGATGACCATCTCCCGCTGTATGTTGCTTTCCCCCCACGCCTAAGAAGTCAGTAGGGTAATTCAGGACAAAGAAGAAAAGCGAGGACATTCTGTGATGAAAGCCATGGGCCACTTATCCGGACTCCAAGGAGCACATGTCTGTATACCAGGTTCTTTACGTACTTCCACCGGGAATTACACCCTAGGTGCACGCAAAAAGAAAAGGATAATATGAGGCTACTTTAGCTTCTTATAAGGTAAATTCCCAGAGCGAGCTACAGGCTACAGGCATGTAAAATCCTCCCGCCCGTGCCGGAGAGTCCAAGCCTACAAGGGTAGGAGTAGGCATTCACCGACAATTCCCAGGGACTCGTGGCCCTCCCAACATCTTTAATCTTGCTATCCAGAACGAAGAAAATCTTGTCCAAGTCGAAATTTTGTTTACCCCCAGGAAGAATTTTGTGGTCAGTATATGTCTTTGCGACCGACCGACCAACCGACCGCTCGTCCTTTTTTTTTGTATCCGGAGCCCCCGTCCCCAACCATAGGCCCTCCCGTTGAATTGACACATCCTAAAAGTAAATTCGTCCTTCAGGATTATTCGTCTCGAATCATAATCGTTCATGGTGTTTGGTGAAGACACCCAATCATTAAATCGTAATGTGAGATCTGGCGAAAATAAAATTCTGAATAGTTCAACAAAGTAATCTTAGCCGAGCCAGAGATATTCAAAGCGTACATCATGGCTTGCTGGTAACAAGCAACCATCAGCTGGCTGCATTGGTAGGAAATAGAGAATAGGAGACGCGCGTGTTGCGTCTAGGTCGAGAAGTGGCCGTGGTGGCTCGTTTGCGACCAACTTGAGCCTTCGAAAGTTCCACTCCTGGCATTGACGACTTCCTCTCAGGCACGGGTATCTGGGACGCAGAGACACCCCGGTCATGTTTGATGGTCGGAGATGTAGTGAACGGTCCAACAGGTTCGAGAACGTGGGAATCCGCCGTCTTACTGCTCTGTGATCCTTCCCGTATCGTGTCTTGGCTTCCTTCGCGGAAGTGCTTTTCCACGTTGGCGCCGAAATCTTGGAGGTCGAGCTTGAGACTTTCCATCGAGTTTCCGAAACTAGCCAGATGGGCGAGATCAGATAGGCTCGTGCTGGAATTCGACGACCGGTGTGTGCCGAAAATCGAGGCAATAAAGCTCTCTTGAGAGCTCGACTTGCTCATGGTGGAGACGGGACTTCGCATGGGCCGGTTGCGGAAGGCGTCTGTTGAGACAAAACTGTCCTGTGGTTGGGAATCACTGACTGCTGCTTCATCCAAGGAGACGGTGGGAACTGGCTTCGGAGACTCGATTCCAAGCCCAAGGAGTGGGGATGAGGGTTCGCCTTCGAGCCGGCGAATAGGGCCACTGTCATCTCGAGAAGGGTAGCTGGGCATTTGCATGGTCAACGGGGTCGAGGCCGAGGAAGATGCTTCGTCCAGAGACGGCTGCTCTACCACCAAATAATTCTCCGAAGGTATGCTCAGAGCCCTGGGTTGATGAGAGATTGCAGCTGTATTCGAAGTATTGTTGCCATCGTCCTCATCAAACTCTGCGGCATGTTCCCACGAATAATCAATAGCATCCTCCCAATTCTCAATATCGATAGGCTTCACACCAACAGAGAATCGGTTCTTGGATTTAGGACTTGCCTCCGCGCCTGCATCTTCCAAGCCGGTCGTTTCTCGATCCGACGTCCTGCATGGCGAGATGTAGGAAATAGCACCGAACTGAATCTCACCGGATGATTGACTTCGCCGCTTGCGCTGTTTGGTTGAAGGTGAGGCGAGGGCGTCCACAATTGGTGGCTGACCAGACGTATGGGCCGCCTCTGAGACAACCTTTTCCTCGGTATTCTCCTCTTCAACCACCTCCATCAATGTCCTCGGAGGCGAGGGCAGCGGAGCAGTGCGGAGTGGTAATGCAATGTCGTCCCTAGTTGAGACAGCGTGGACAACCAAATCGTTTGGCAGGTGTGGGAGCGGCTTGGCGAGGGCTCTGGCATGGCTGATAGGGCTCATGGCAGACAACCTTCTACCTCCATCTGAGGAAGGAGAGATATCCACGGCAACCACGGATAGTCTCGTCGGTCGAGAGAAATTCTCCATCGAGCGAGACAGTCGAAAGTCGATAGGACTGTATGGTGGCACGAAGCTATCCTTGGGCGGCGGGCTTGGGCGTGTCGGGGTCGTTGGTAGGTAAGGAATGGCATTTGTAGTCGGCGAAGTCGGCTCATCAAATCCAACATGTATCTTTGACTCGTCATCGTTCACAGGCAGGTCCGTGACAGGTATCCCACGAATCTGGCTGATCGGTTGTTGGTCCGCTTGGACGGCATTGAATTCTGAGGTGAGGTCTGTTTTGCTGACTGAATCCAGACTCTGGAACTGGGCTTGATCTCCGTGAGTCAAATGCTGGAAGGCAAAGGGTCCTGAAATACTCCGCTTCAATCCTGCGTCTCGTTAGACATCGGCATCGACGAGAGGTCCGGCAAAGGGCTTCTTACGTCTGGAGATCAGTGTGGGCTGGCGTTGAAGAGCTTTTACCGGAGCCATCTCGGCAATCCTTGCTTCGGGGAGGACATTTGGTCTGTCTTCGATCTGGGAAGGTAGAAGATTGAGCTTACTACCTTGCCGTTTCAACATGCGAGTGCCCTTGTTCAGTAAGGTCTTCGCAGCACTTTCTTGGCGCTCGGCCATAGGAAGTCCACCGTCGACGAAACTCTGACGAGAAGAAGGCCGGGAGGCCATCTCATTTGAAGTATCCGACAAAGACCGAGTATAGGCAGAAAACGATGAAGTGATAGTGTTCGTCCGGGACCTCACTCGACTTTTAGGAGATATGTCGGCATTTCCTGACTCGGCAGAGTACTCTTTGATCAAGTCGGCCAAGGCTTGACCCGACGGCTCACCATTGTCCCTCGAAGACCAGTCACCGGCGACCAGATGCAGCCTGTCGCTGCTTTGCTTTGAATGTGCCTGGCTCCATGGGAAGCGACCCATTTAGATCTTGGGGTGTTAGGAGGCTGACAGTATCCCGGGACCAACACGACAAGTCTTCAGTGTCTCATCCACAAGTGGACAGGTACAGAATTGGGTCGGCCTGGTCTCGCGTATGTGACAGGGCAAGATCGTCGTACGTCGATTACTCAAGTGGAATTGTTTTGTCGATATTCCGGGGGTACGGGAGGAGAACTCGACCAGCAGCGGGGTCTATATGGCACACGAGCTGCCTCGACCTGATGTTTCAGTTAGTCGATATTGCCATCACGTGAAACGTCCCGTGCAATCGTTCCTCAGGACCACTCTTACCAAAAATCAACATTTGAAGGCAGAGGGGTTTCAAAGTACAGCCCGCCAACAAGGTGTATCTTGGAATATCTCGAAGAGCCCGGCAAATATCTGAGGAATCTCCTTGTCAAGAGAGTACCAGACCTTCCTGTCTTTGTTGAAGTGGCAGGCCGAACAGCTGTTGTTGACGCGTGAATCCAGTGATTTCGGAAACGGCAGTCGTATCAAAACAAATCTTAATATGTCACGAAAGAATGTCACCGCGCAAGTAACTTAGAATAGCAGCAGCAGGAGCTGGGTGATATACAGAGCTGAGGACGAAAGACAGACGTGCACAACGAGCGGGAGACGAGATATTTGGGCCTGATCTTACCAATTGGCAGAGCCCCGACCAGACGAAGAGTGGAGTGAGTACCTCGTCGTTCATGGGTCGAAGGCGTAGTCATGCAGAAGATAGAGCCCGAAAGCAGGGGCAGCGAGTGGTCCAAACTGCCGGCGAGGCTTGATGGCGGGATAACGGGGTGAAAGGACGATCTAAACCGCGGAAGGAATGGCTCGAGGGCGTAATGCTTTTCGACAGACGCGACTGAGACGGCCGGCTCGAAAAACACCCCCATCCTCGTAGAGAAGGAAGCAGGGGACTTGGGGAAACGTTGCGTTATGGTGGAGGTGTGAAGGAGCAGGCGAGGAGATTTGATGGGGCCATGTTCTCGTCAGGAACAGGTGGATTCGGCGCTGACTTCTTGTCAGTGGGTCGCACTCGTTGCGTGGGCGGAAGCCACAACCCGGCACCTTTGACTCGGGAACCAGGGGGTTTTTGGCCTCGCAAACCAGGATGGTGGTAGTGCGATGCTGCTTGCGCATCGGCGTCATCCTCCGACGCCCAGACGGGCTAGCCCACTATCGTGCCTTTTGCGAAACTCTCTTTTTTCCTGCGTGCCCCTGGCTTTTTTTCCATCATTGTCCGTTACTTGAAGCGCGCGTCCAATGGCAAGTGCCGCGGTCGAGCAGGGAGAGGAGGGAGAGGGGAGCAATGCAATGTTCATGCATCAGGACGTAGACAGGAGTCTCCAGCACCATCTCGTGTTAGCCATGTGGACGGATGACGACTTGTAGCAAATCAGATCCAAGAGCCACTTCAATGTGTCTGTCCCCTATTACATTCCGACCTCGTGAGGAAGTCCTCGTTGGCGAGACGCTGAAGAATTCAGAGGGACCACCGGTTCAGAGGCTTGACGATCGACATTGGACCGAGTCAGACAGGGCGACTTCTGCGCAGTCAGCAGTGGCTTGTCAATAATGGCTGGGTACCAGGCTGGGGGCTTGATGAAACGGGTCCTGGGCACGCTAGGCGATGAAGCAGACGACCTCCTTTCCGCGAAGGCAGGAAATGGGTACCTTAGGGGAGACTTCGGCGAGAAGGTGGGTAGAAGGTTCTGAGAGAAGAGCAGAGAAAAGCTAGCGAGGTGAGGGAGTCGGGAGAAACGGAATGCATCTGCGCAGAAACAACGCGAAGAAGATCCATCACAGACTGGGACAGAGATCTACTCAACGGTCCATACTGTATTAGGTTAGAAACTGTGCTAGTACCAGATGGACTCGCGCTAAATGGAATTAGCGTGATGCAGGCAGCGTCTCCTCCCCTCATGCATCACACACGCCAAACCGAGTTGGGAAGATATTGCATCCTGCCCATGTAATATCTGCTCCTCTGCTACGGCTTCTTTTCGTCTGTTGGGGTTCCAGCTCCTCGTAATATGGTATAACGAAATCTGAGGACAAGTCATACCATGGACCTACCTAAATGGGCTCTTCAATCTCTGGTCTTGCTGCAACTGCAACTGGAGATTCGGCTCATCCAGTTCGGAACAGATTTCTCCCCAGAGAGCGGTGAGAGGGTCTTCATGAGATTCAAGAGCTGCTGGACGGACAGCAAGAAGTCTAACATATCCTGGAGCATAGCAGTAGCATAGCAGTAGCATAGCATCAGGTTTGCCCTCGCTGTCTATAACGGAGATTCCCCTCTGCAGCTCTTCCGAAGATCGACATCTCCGTGCTGGTTTTGTTCCAGTGCCGACTACCTTCTGGGATAACTTTGACTCCGTGTTGTGTACGGAGTAGCCTATGAAGGGCACAGAATTTGATGGCAGAAGGTTTTACCCGTCAATATCAGGCTTGAGTGATCGATCAAGGATGAAACTCCCAGCACGAGATGGCTACTGTAGTCCTTGGGGTAATGGAGTCTGTGAAGTTTCTGCCAGAGATGGTACCCCGGAAGTTGATCAGGTCATACCGAGATATCAAGATTGAGGATGAAAAGCCAATGCTTGTTGAAAAGGACACGAGACATCATGTCTACTCGGTACAAGAGGCAGACTTTTCATTTTGGCTCTGCGGGTGACGATCCCCCTGTTGTGATCTGTGTACACCGCACCGTATACGGTTTCAAGTCTCTTTACAGATGCTTTTCTGAATGTCATTAGCGTGTGGATGAGCTCCAGGTCAAGATCAACAAAAGCAATGGTCTTCGATATGCACGTGTACGAGGTACCTTTCTGGTGTTCCTGTGCACGTCGTCTACGCGTGCAGTGCAGGCTAATCATCGCACCAGCCACCAGCAATCCAAGATGGCTTCTAATTTCGGGCCCCAGATTTGCTATCACCCGGTCAGTCTCTTCTTGTTCTTGACGCGGTTCATGGTTGATGAAGATCGGTCACACGGCTCGTCGATCTGCTTTACTGCCTTATCTCGAAGTTGAAGCGAGGACGACCACGACCGACGGTCGGAATGCCGTGATGGCTCCAAGCCGTTTGCTTTCTTTTTGCTGGAGTGAACGATTGCAGCTTATCAGTCACACCGACCAGGTGTTGGACCTCGCCGCATGCCGCTACCATGGTAAGGAAAGTCCCTGGTGACAACAGGGTGCTTGCACCGCAGATGGATGTTTCTTCATCACGTCTTTCAGCCGACCGGAAAATATCTCCCCTCGCATCGTCCCCTATTTGTGGTGTGCCTATGAATACACCCAACAGCTGAAAAAGTAACCGACTTGCCCTGAGGACCCCCCTGCGCCCCTCACTCCTTCCGAACTCGCTTATCGTTCTCGCTTCCTCTCGCAAACAGGACCACCATTCGGTCAGCATGCCTGACGGGAGTCGAAGAGCTTGGAACTGAGGAAGAAGAGGCGATGATCAGCTACAAGGAGCACGTCCCAGCCATCTTTGCCAGGAACTCTCAAGAGCGGTGAAGATAGATTAAGAGTTTGGCAGGAGTTCACAAAAATCCCACGCGTCTACCGCCCATAATCTTCCAAGCCCATTGGTGGCATTAGTGAAAATCACGAAGCGAGCTGTCTGCACGTCTACGTGGGATATTCACCAAGAACACGAGCCTGCAGGGACCCGTCGCTTTGTTCATCAATCGCACAATCATGCTTTCTCGGCTGTCTCAAGGTCTCCAGCGACGCCAGTGTTGGGAGCATGAGGGGCTCGTATCCGCCAGCCTAAAGTTAGAGGCCAAATTGTGCACAATCTACGCCTCCAAGGACATGTGAGAGATAATGTGTACTCGGTACACCTGATGCCTTCTGCGGCTCCATGATACGACAGTGCCCACTCATCAGCTATTGGGGAGCGTCTGGACGGAAACCTTTGTTGACCTGGAATGCAGCATCGCAACTCAAGGCTATGGAGAGCAGCCGTCGGAACTGTCTGCATTATTGAGTCTCGAATCCAGCATGATCTATCACGGTGAAAGCACGCGAGTCTCGCTCGCTCGTCACTGGCACTTCCACTCGGTACAGCAGACGGCACCTGGAGGCGAGCCAACGAGAGTCTTCCTTTTCCTGCCGCAGGAGCTCCATGAGGCGGAAGACTTACTAGCTCCCCCTTGTAGCTTGCTGGCCAGGGTATTTCGTATATTGTAGCGCAAAAAGCTGCATTTACCACATGGCAGCGCCCTACGGAGTATCCTCGAACCTTGTCAAGCTGGTATGTACCTAAAGGTGGCCCTTGACTGCTTGGAGGAATGGCGCAGCTCCCCCTGACAGATGCTTCAGGCATCCGGGCACTTTTGCCTTAGCCTGCGAATGTCCAATGCGTGTGCCGCAGGTTCTCCACGCTCGAGTTCCGGACAAACCAAAACGGTAGGAGTTGAGGGCTCCTGACCGAGCCAAACCGCCCTCAGGCACGCCGTGAGAGGTCCTGGCTCCTCGATCAAGCGGTGAAGCTTCATACGATGGACTTCTACTTTATTCTGTCTGGTACAATGAGCGGCCCGATCTCTGGTTCCATCCGTCAAAAAGTCGTCAACTGCCTCAACGATTGCTTCTCTGCCACTTAATGCCTTAGCACCTTTGAGGGTCTCGGTGGCTTCAATAATCATTTCAAACTTCAGCCACATCTAAATACAAGCTATTACAGAGGAGACCAGCAACCCACCTACGAACTTTGTGCGCGAGCAGCGCATTTGGGTCTGGACACTCCTCGGCGGTCTCTTCATCACCACGAAGCGCGACATGGCGCTTTGCTTTCTGGACAAGCTAATCCCATCTGCTCCAAGCGTAACGTTGATTGTCGTGGCTTCTCCATTAAAAGCCCGTCCCAGTCTATAAGCCGTGCGTTCCCAATAGTCCGCAGTCGCGTTCAACCACCTAGGCGACTACCAGGGACTTTGGTACGCGTAAGGACAAGGATCAAGGACTCTTCTTCGCATGAGGATGGAGACGAGGACTCCCTATTCTGTATTACCTTGTCTTGCCCACAGAATGCCCGCCCACAGAATGCCCACATCCGCTGTTGCTGGCCTTTCGCCTAGATGGTTTCAGCTGTCCCCTCACGCCACTGGCCTACTTATGCGTGACCGAAGGTGTTCCTGGCATCCCTTCAGCCCTATAGCGGCCCCTTACCGCTGGGGGGGAAAGCGACCCTCGGGAATTTTTGCTTTGAACATTTTTGCACTCCTTCTGTGCGTTGATCTTTACCGAGACTTCAGCGGACATCCACTTGAGAGACCAAGCGGACACCTCCACCTCCGGGGAAGCCATCATTGGTGTTCCTGATTCTCTGGTTACTCTAGCCAGGAACATCCTCCCTGGGCATCAGCAGCCAGCCCCTCGGATTCATTGAATAACGATTTCAACCGCCGCGCTCGGAGGGATAATCATTGAGTGCTTGCCCTTCCAGGGAATCGCCAGGGACCTCCCTTGGACGGACTACTCCGTACGGGGTACCTGCTCGTGCGCCTTACAGCCTGCTCTAATTAACATACATAAGTACAGTAGGCGCTTTTCCTACGGTGGTGGACATTTTGACAGCGGGCCTGGCGCGCAGGCTGATGCATGGCCGTTGGGGCACATCCACTCAAGGTTAAGATAGACATTATTTGACAGCTGTCAAAGTTCTTGTCTTCGCGTTCACGACTTCGGTTTCACCCTGAAGACTGGGGCCGTTCTTGTCGCGGTTGTCCAACCAGGGATATGGCTGCACAGGCAAGGCCCCATACTTGTCCCTTTCCCCTTTTGTTGATCTTTACTGCATGATGATGTCTGCCCTTTCCACACTTACTTTCTTTTACGCTACCACTTGAAGGAACTCTCCAGCATCGGGGACCTCGTGAGGGTCGGATAATGATAGGTGTGCTGGCTGCCTTACCACGCTGTCTCACTCTTGCAGCAACCCACAATGGATTAAGACATCGGTCGGAAGGAAATTTCTGCAAAACTTGATGATCATTCCAATGGCAGTGGGAGGTCCCCTGACCTATCAGTGGAGCTTACAGCGTGTCTTCCCACTCGGATCAGATATCCATGAGTCCAGAGGTCTGAATCCACGTCTGAGATTTTTTTTTCTTCCAAGGAGATAAATCGGCATGCAGAGCTGGGACGAAATGTGGCAGGCATGATTCCGGGAAGGTCGAGGACAATGCCCTGTCACAGGATGCTTTTTGAGGCGGAATGGTCAACCAAGCAGTGTCCTGTTCCCAGCCTCAATGGCTTTCCGCTCTCCTTCACTCATGCCTGAGTTGAAGTCCCACGTCTTCTGGCCCAGTCCCATGGCACGTTTGCCTGCATCATTGACCTGATCCCAGGCCACAGCCCCAGCAAAGCCAACCTCGCCGTCACCACCAGCTCCTGGGAAGTCCGGTGGGGGGCTGTATGCCAAAGCACTCATCCGTTGTCTCTTTAAGAACTCCAGGTTCGGTCTAGTTATTGCACATGCAGGAATATACATGACGCTGCTGTCACTTGTTCCATGGTGCTCCTGGTCCACGGCGTGGATCTACGGACCAATGTCAGCCTTTCCACGACAAGCCAAGATAGGGATGTTGGGGAAACATCTCTCGGTGAGGACCAAAACTTACCATGTCACAGTGCCAAGCAACATAATCGCCTGGTTCAACTTTGGGCATGCTCACCATGGTGGTGTCAAGCTCGAGGCCTGGGTGAGACACCGGGTCATATTCCTGACAAGCGGCTGGTACAGAGTTTGGGAATGTGGCATCCAGATTCAGCTTGCCAGTCTGAAGGTTGATAAAGGGTCTCAATATCAGGTAAGATGTCGCCTGTCGGATCAAGGGGCACACTTTCAGGGTGCCTTCACCAGGTCCTGTTGAGGACATGGAGAGCCAGCCCTGGAACAGGCGAAACATGCTGCATGCGCCTGCCCCATTATACAGGTCCATCTTCGCTTCGATGCGGTGGCGTGCGTCGAAAGGATCATACTCTTCCCACTGACCTTTGAGGATGGCCTGATACACGCGAGCATACTCGGGATCTTCCCAGCGCTCGAGACTCCCTCCGTCAGTGTGTGGACCGAGTGAGAACTTCGCGTCGCCCGGTTGCCGGATGCGAAAACGGTCGGCGTATGTCAGAGGGTAGGTGGTAGAAATCTCTGATGACGGGTCAGACGAGTGCCAGAAAGAGGCAAGAAAAGCCTGCGCTTTCAGCATGTTTGGATGAGCGCGTGCCTCGACCTGGGAAGGCGTCCAATACAACTCGTACACGGCAGGGTCATCTGGCGGAAAGGCCCTGACTTTGGATCGATTTGCTTCGATATACTTCCTGGCCTGCCGCTTCAGATCCAATGCTTGTTCTCGCGGGAGAACATTGCGAATGACTGCAGTGCCTCGATGCCGGATCGCGTCAAGCTTCGATTGAGGGACAGTCCCGGCAACTACATCCTGGAAGTCGATGCTTGGTATAACCTGGACTCAACAGTCAGCCGTGGCAGTCACTCGAGGGTAGAGATGGGACCGACATTACTCCCTTCTGATCTGATCTCGGCAATCTCCCGCGCCAGACTCTTCGACAGCCGATGCCAGGACGCTGTGATGGCGTCTTCATTGCCCTTGATCAACGTCTTCTTCAAGGCACTGAACCGCGGTGGCAGAGGGTCAGACTTCTTGCCAGACAGCGAAGGAAACACGGAGCTGATGTCACCAGCCTCTTTGGTTAAGGTGGATGCGGCACGGCGCAAGACAGCGGTAAGCTGGTTTTTCATGGTCTCTGCTCTCTAAGGGGACAGTCTGAGGATGAATATCTCATGGTCTCAGTCTCCCACGACTTCTCTGCTGCGTTCCACCGTCTGAATTTATCCTTGATCATTCCGCAAGAGGAACCGGATACGCTTCCCAACCAGGCGTAGCGTCGGATGAGGCAAAGGTGTGGTATTTCTCGGGGGCAAAAATAAGAGTCACCCATGTTGCGCCAAACCAGACGATCATAACCTCGGGCAAACTGTGCCCGAGAGTCTCATCCCACATTTCGTCGTGAGGGGAGAGCTGGCTACATCAGGCCCGACGTCTTTCAGGAGGGTCTGCTTTGTCAATGGCAAATGACAATGCAGGCTTCAAGTGCTGTGTATACCGAGGCAGAAGTAGTGTATATATAAATATGAATCTACAAGGTTGAGCTGATCTCCGATACACTTCGATTGTTAGATTGCCATTTTATTGCTCTTGCTCCCCAGACATTCTCCACAATGGCTCAGCAGATACAAGGAAAGACAGCGATCGTCACGGGCGCCGGCTCAGGTAGATATCAATTCCAACGCGACTTGGCCCCCGAGGCAGGAGCAGGACTAACGTGAGCGTCTCCTAACAGGCATCAATCTCGAATTTGCCCGTCTTCTGCTGGAACATGGCGCCAACGTCCTGTTTGCCGATCTTGGTCTGCGACCAGAAGCCGAGAAACTGGTCCAGAAGTACCAGTCAACGCCTAACAAAGCTGTCTTCCAGAAAACAGACGTGGCCTCGTGGCCTGACCTCGAAGCCATGTTTGCCGCCGCCCAGCAGCACTTTGGATCCATCGACATTGTGTGCCCGGGAGCAGGCGTGTTTGAGCCTCACTGGAGCAACTTCTGGTACCCACCTGGCACGGAGAAATCCAAGGACGACCCGGCTGGGGGCAGGTATGCTCTGTACGACATCAACATCACGCATCCCACTCGCGTCACGCAGTTGGCCATTGCCCACTTTTTGGCAGCGAATCCCCCATGCAGCACTGACAATCCCAAAACAATTGTCCATATCGCCAGCATTGCCGGTGAGAGTGCGAGTCTCGCGTTCCCATTGTACTATGTGAGCAAGCATGGCGTCCAGGCGTTGGTCCGCAGCTTGGCCGACCTGGAACACCTGCACGGGATACGTGTGAGCTGCGTGATGCCTGGGGTGGTCAAGACCCCCTTGTGGACGGACCACCCGGAGAAGCTGAAGATTGTCAAGCAGGAAGGAGAAGGGGCCGACACCTGGGTGACGCCAGAGGAGGTCGCTCAGGTGATGCTCGCCCTGGTGAAGGACAATGAGGTTTCTAGTGTTATTGGGGGTGGGAGCACGAGAACCAATGGCGTCAATGGAGAGCAGCAGGACATGATCCCGATCAAGGGAGGCACCTGCTTGGAAGTGCTGGCGGGTGCCGTCAGAGATGTGCCTCTCTATAACAATGTTGGGCCATATGCGACGGGCAAGCAGGGGGCGAGCGTCAGTGATGGTGAGAAGATATACAAAGAGGTGCTTGGGGAGTTGAAGCCGGGGTGGGGGAAGTATTGACGAAGGATACACACACCTCAGCTATAAGTAGAGAGAAGAGAGAAGAGAGAAGAGAGAAGAGAGAAAATGATATACTTACTATACACAAAGAGTATGTATATGCAGAGATGGATTGATTGTATTATGGTGACAGGGGGACACGGGGAGACACTGTGTCTCCCGATTGTGGCCGGACATTTGACGCCATCCGCAGCCACAATTATTACATACGTATCGTATCATATTATTATCCGTCGCCCACTCACTCACTCATTCGTTTGTACCCCGAACATTTCCACAATCAATTCATTCACTTCCTGCTCTTTCTTCTCACCCGCTCGCTTTGGTGATTTTCTGCTAATTTCCTCCACCCATCATCTATCCGTGTCGACTCTGTCTCTTCAGTCAAGTGGCTCTTGCGAGAGACGCAGAGAGATGAGCACCCCCGATCCAACGAGATAAACTGCGCCGCTCTCAATCCGTCATGTCTCTACCTGCGCCTGCCTCCTCCAGCAGGACGCAGTCTCGAGCCCGTCGGTATGTTGCCTCCCATTTCTCCCCTCCGACGATGACTGTGCTGTTTTTGTGTCCTAACTGCGTCCCAGGCGACCCGCTACCCCGACTCTCAGCAAGCGTGATCTCACAGGAACTGTCGGTCAGGCAACATGGATCAGCAGCGTTGTCAATCTCCTCAATACGATCGTGGGCGCCGGGGTTCTCGCTATGCCCCTCGCCATGTCACATATGGGCATCTTGCTGGGAACAATCGTGATACTGTGGGCGGGCCTCACGGCGGGGTTTGGCCTCTACCTGCAGACTCGCTGCGCCGCATACCTCGAACGGGGCTCGTCGAGCTTTTTTGCGCTGTCTCAGATCACATACCCGAACGCTGCGGTCATCTTTGATGCTGCGATTGCGATTAAATGCTTTGGAGTGGGCGTCAGCTATCTTATCATCATTGGCGACCTCATGCCCGGTGTCGTGCGAGGGTTCGCTCGGGAAGAGGATCTGGGCCAATTCATGTTCGACCGCCATTTCTGGGTCACGGCCTTCATGCTGGTCGTTATCCCCTTCTCCTTCCTCCGTCGACTCGACTCGTTGAAATACACTTCGGTCATCGCACTGATTTCCATTGGGTACTTGGTCATCTTGGTCGTCTATCACTTTGTCGCACACGACACCTTGCCCGATGGGCACTATCAGACTCCGCTGAGGATATTCAAATGGGCGGGTGCTATCCCGGCGCTCTCTTCCTTCCCAGTCATTGTGTTCGCCTATACATGTCACCAGAACATGTTCAGCATCCTCAACGAGATCAGCGACAATTCACATTTCCGCACCAGCGCCGTGGTGTTCGCATCCAACGGCACCGCTGCCTCCATATATATTTTGGTTGCTATTACCGGATACCTGTCATTCGGCAACGAAATTGGAGGAAACATTGTGGCACAATATGCACCCTCAGTGTCCACAACCATCGGTCAAGCCATGATCGTGGTTCTCGTCATGTTCTCCTACCCTCTGCAAGTTCACCCCTGCCGAGCTAGTATTGATGCGGTGCTCAAATGGCGTCCTTCCGACAAGTTCAAAGCGAGACTTCGCTCCACTCCCGCCACACCCAATTCACTCGATTCTAGTCCTCCGCGTGACGTCCCCTTGCTCCAACCTGGCAGAAAGCGGAACACAGAGATGGGAGAGGCTCGGTTCGCTGCCATTACCACCGCGATCATCATCCTCAGCTACATCGTCGCAATGACCGTTTCCAGTCTGGAGGCCGTCCTGGCATATGTTGGTTCAACGGGCAGCACGTCCATCTCCTTCATCCTTCCGGGATTGTTCTACTATAAAATCTCTTCGCCCGATTCACCTTTGCATCAAAAACTCGTGAAAGAGGAAGACGACTACGACTGGCAAGGGGGTGATGATGAGAGCGACAAATCTGACGACGAAGGTGTTCATGATGAACCACCGAACCACGAAGGCCAAAATCTGCTGGGCAACTCGGGGATACTGAGCATCAGCGGGGTCAGCTTGTTGAAACGGACGAGGAATTTCCGCCGGAAGATGCTTCGCAAGCTCAGCCTCGCGTTAGCCATTTATGGCATATGCGTCATGGTGGTCTGTCTCATCACGAACACTTTTTTCATTGTTTCACACTAAAGTGTCGCGGAGAGGAGGCAGCGAAGCGCTTGTGTGTGCGCCGGTATAGGAATGTCAGATGTGCACGTGTGCCGCCTTACGAGAGCTGAGGTCTTATAAGAGTGGACTGTTCAACCCAGCTGTTGACCATATCATGGGATTATGACCTGCTCGTCGGATCTCGAAGAAGAATGGAGGCCAGTTGGTCGATATCCACTACCATCAACTAATCAGAGGGCCTCTCAAATACTTGCTTTCTGGGCGACATCTCACCCTGCAGGCACTACCCCGTTCCAAAATCGATTCATCTACAATTTGTGCAAAACCATCGTGGAGCTCAATTGAGAACGGGACAGACATCATCATGATCTCCTTCAGAGCTTCCCAAGATATGGATGTCCATTTGGCCAGATCAACAAGAAGAGTTATGTCGTGCACGCTTCGTCCGACTTGGAATGGCGGAGCCTCATGGTGGGAAAAATTCGATGCGGATCAAAGAGCACCCATATATGCAAACATACAAACAAAACCAATGGCGTACGAACGGTGCTCCAAATCTCTTGCACCAACCACAAAATCGACACCCCCAGTGGGGAAAAGGGAAGAAATAAAATGACTTGTCGATCCCATCATGACCTTGATTTTTGAAACTTGGATAGAAAAACAAAGTCTCGTAGAGCGACGGCGTCCAGGCACCAGGCACGGCAGGCAGGCAGGCAGGAGAAGGGATGATTTTTATGTCTTATAGTATTACCATTTCCCATATGCCACATCATACCATACTATACTATACCACACCATCCTTATTAGCCAGCCATAGTCATAGTACAGTATAGTCATAGTTCGAGTCATTGCATACAGTACGACCAACAGTGAACACATTACTGGACCTGTCCTTCGCAATACTCCATCCATAGTCCGTCCGTGCGTATTCCGTTCTTGAATTTCCCCCTTTTTTTCCTTGCCTCTTTCATTCATTCATTCATTCATGAATTAGTCATCCTCACACAATGAATTCCGTACGTCCTTGACGACGATGACGGTGATGGCCTGCCTAGCTGCCTGCCTGGTGTGAATTCGTCTCTCATTGTTTCTTCCGTGGCGGCCAGCTGGGGTCTGGTCTGGTCTGTCTTCACAAGATCTATCTTCGAGCGAGCATATCCAGGAAGGAAGGTTGTCGGGGAGGGAAGGGGGAGACGGATATGGACCTTGATTCGTCTGATGTTTGTACTTTGGTTAGGAACTTCGGCGAATGGAAAAGACAGACGGAACTATGGAACGAAACGAAGTAAGATAACAATGTATGTATGCATACTCGGTTCCCATTATGTTGGCCCTTGGCCATTGAAAAACGATTCTAATTAAAGCCAAACGAAACCGTGACGGTACAAAGCCAAGTCCAAGAATTCTGTGATGATTCCCCAGTGCTTGACTGTATATTTCGCAGCACAATCGGCCGAAAAGAAACTGGGTGTCGGCACCCAGCAGAAGCCAGCGACATTTTATCCCGATCATGCGAATAGCCATTTCCCTATTCAAAACCCCTTGTTTTGAATGGTCGCATAGCCCGAATCTGATCGAGCATGCCCACAGGACGAGTTCAAACCCCGACTTCCCCAGCTCAACACACCCCTCTCACGGTAAGACCGTGCTAGCTGACCCCAGCATCTGTCACCGTATTTTAGTTGTTGTTCTGAGTCGCGTTCAGGATCCTCAAGATAGCAAGGAACAAGTTGAGGATGTCGAGGTAAAGGCTGATGGAGGCTGCGATCTCCTCCTCCACGTGATAGTGTCTCATGACCATCTGGGTGTCTACGAGAATGTAGCCACTGAAGATCAGGGCGGCAATCGCGCCGTAGACCAACTCGACCGTGGAGCCGTGCGGGAAGAAGGCCGCCATGAATCCAAAGATGATCAAGATCCACAGGCCACCAAACAGGTAGGGCATCCAGCTGGTGAAGTCGTACTTGCTCTGGCACGCAAAGAGTGTCAAGAAGACGAAGATGGCCAGTGTGAGGACAAGCGCTTCGATGACAATGCGGCTTTCAAAGAACGATGTGACGACGCTGATGCTGTACGCCTCGAGCGCGGTGAAGCCAGCCAGGAAGATCATGTTGGTCGGGTATGACTTGCGTTTCCAGAAAGTGAGGATCATGAATCCGATCGCCCCGATCAACGACACCCACATCATCCACGAGTTAGACTGGATCCAGTTTCGATAGCCGGTCGAGAAGAACGAGAGCGTGGACAGCGCCGCAGTGAGGAGGATCTGGACGGTGAGGATAGTGTAGACTTTGCGGATGAAGGACATTCGGATGTCGAGGGTAGCCTCGATGACGGCGCCACCAAACTAGACAGAGTCGTCAGTATACAGATCACAGCAGCCAGAGCGAGAGAATTGGGAAGTGTACCTTGAAATCGTCCGGGACATTGTCGTCTTCTGTTCTGGGAGCACCGAAGATGCCCTGCTCAGGACCAGGACCGGTAGCCTGGTAGTTTGGAGGGGCTTGAGGGTAGGTTTGTTCGTCGAACGAGTCGCGCTGAGGGGCGGGCTGGTATCTGGTGGAGGAAGCCATTTTGCGTGCTGATGAGCAGGGTATCGATAGAGCAGAGACGAGGATGCGGGCAAGTGAGCGCAGGAAGAGGAAGAAGGAAAGCTTTGTACAAGTAGGGAAGATGGATGTTGTGGAAGAGTGGCGTGTTTAGAGGAGTTTGTGACGCCTGCGCCTGCGCCTGCGCCTGCGCGGGCCCCGGCGAATGTTCCAGTCACAGGAGCCAATTGATGCCTGGATGGAGTTGGCGCTACAGGCACGTGGGGAGGGTTCCACCCTTATGCAGGCACTTCCGCAATAGGCACTGCCAGTGCCGGAGATGGACTCACATGTATTGTCGGTTCTCTTGAAGGAAAGAATTGCAATGTCACCCGGAAACCACCCGGATACTAACACTTAACGTTCATGGACAAAAAAGAAAGTGTAACAAAGCAAAAAACATGAGATTATTATTTGCGTGTACCGCGACTCGAACGCGGGCCTCGAGCATGGGAAGCTCGAATTCTACCCTTGAACTATACACGCGCATTTTAACACTTATAATTGGGGTAATAATTATATATCATCAATTTTGTGGGGCGCCCACTGAGATCAAACTCGGTCGGCTCTGCCTTTGCCTAGGCTCGATCACTCTCTTACTGTACAAACTTCACACTTCCTCTCATTTTACGCCTTGCAAGGAGAAACTCAATTCCTTTGCTGTTGGTCGAGATCTTGGGTTTGACTCATTCATTTAGTACAGGACTGAGTGCTTTTGATCTGGGCACCTATTGGTCCGGGCGCTTTGTAAGGCATGCAAGAGTTCGAGGTTTCGGCACTGTATTGCAACGCTCCTTAGTTTTGTAATAGTGCCACCCCAGTCCAACTGCGCTACAGTCACTGGCCCCATCTGTTCGAGTGTCGGTCGTGGCAACTAGCTGGAAGCACGGCTATAACAAGGTCTGATCATAACACGGCTTTTCCATTTTCCCATGTCTATCTGCCGAACCATGGTCCAAGGGCTTCATGAAGCATCAACCACCTCAATTTCACACATTGCAATCTACAAACACGCCAGGTCTCAGAAGAAGGACGCGCTTCAGCGCTTATTCGACTGTCTTCTCGGTCAAGAAAATCCCGTACTTCTCCTTCAACTCCTTCAGTATAGGTTCCGCCAACTCCCACTTCAGCGGCGCCAGGACACCCTTCTCGTTAATGCGTCCGTCCAACACCATCAAACAAGCCACGCCACACGGGACACCCACCAGTTTCGCCATGGAGCTATATCCGTTGGGGTCACCGTAGTCACAGAGGGTGCTCGTCCTGGTCTCCGTGCTCCCATCTTTGTGCTCAATTTCGAATTTATGCTGCAGCATGACCATATCTCTCTCCCCCTTTTCGTACTGCATCTTCTCCTCGAGAGTGGCGCAGAGTGTGTCGAGCGGATTGCCTCGTGGCGTAATTGGTTTGTCGGAAAACAGGCCGAGCCACTTGATTCCTGAGATGATGCGTTGTTTCTCGGGTGTGTCCTTGAAAGTCGTCTTGGAGCTTATTGCCCACGACAGGTCGGACTCCTTGCTGCTGGTCGCGCCGATGATCTTCTGCGTGGCTTCTGCCCAGGTCAGTGGCTTCTTGTCGGCGGATGGTTTGAGGAAAGGCTGCTCTTCTTCCGAAAGGAAGCCAATGTCGACCAAAACCTTGACAAATTCAGGGAAACCTTGGTACCGCAGCGTACCACGGATCACAGTCTGGGCTTCGGGGATATTGTATTTTTCTCGGTATGGCGTCGAGTCTCTGTTGGGATATGCAACGAACGCGAATCCGGGGTAGATGAAATACGGCTTGGAACTGCTCATGAGGTCTGGCCCCGCGATTTCTTTGATGGAGCCATCTTCGTAAAACTTGGCCGAGTTGCGCAGCGCAAGCAGGACTCCTCGACTTGACCACGAGAATTTGTATCCCAGGGGGTTGTCGCTAGCCTCGGGCGCCGGCAGTCCACCACAGTATGATAGGAACGACTTGATCTTGCCGCCAGCCTTGTGGACCTCCTCGATTGTCTTCACAGCATAGAGATGGTCGATCCCCGGATCGAGACCGATCTCGTTCATGACCGTGATGCCTGCTTCCTTGACTTGGCTTTCCAACTCCAACATTGCCGGAGACACGTAGCTGGTGGTGACGACATTCTTCTTCTTCCGAATTGCAGACTTGATAATGGTGGCGTGGAAGGTATAGGGGATCAGACTGATTGCAAGGTCGGTTTTGGCCATCTCACTATCCAGTGCCTCTTCGTTGGTGACATCGAGGGAGATTGGGCGCGTGTTTTTGATGCCTTCGCATAGTTTCTTTGCACTTTCGAGCGTACGGCAGGCTACAATGTGTCAGTCAAGACGGATCGTCCATGAACCTAGGATGACGAACCAACAGTGACCTCAACGCCCGCATCTGCGAGAATCTGGACGGTGGGCTTGGTGACGAACCCGGCGCCGAGAAGGAGGGCCTTCTGGGAAGAATAGCCCAGCTTGGATTGGATCGTGGTGATGAGAGATGCCATGTTGGGATACTGAGGGGCGTCAACCTGCACTCAAGTGTTTGCGAGGAATCGTGATAAACAAGGAAATGAGTCAACCGACACTCCCAGAGATTTCTTCAATCCGACACGGAAAATTGCATCAAAGGTCCCGCGCCGCCGATTGCGGAGTTGAGCGAAACCCCTCTTTTATCTCCACGTGACGATAGCGCGCTCCCGATAGACAAATATGTATCTGCGCTCGCTGTTTCGGTCAAGTCGCCGCCTCTGTGACAATTCTCCAATGTTTCGTACTTACCAACCTAGGTTATCAAGCTCGGATACCAAGATGGCACGCTTTACAAGAGTCTATAACCCCTCCGCCTCCTGCTCTCTTGTTTCTAACGTTGCTCCTCCGGGATATCTCTCTGTGATTAGAGTATGTGACTGGCACCCACCGTCTCCCTCTCTGTTCCATTCTCTCACGCTCCATTCCTTCATCAATACCGATCTGTCTGTGTCGAAATCATGCCTGTGCCTCTGCTCGTGCGATTGCAGGCATACATAGACCCTCTCTTCCTTCTCAGCATCTCCATTGCCTACCTCCCCCTAACCCTCGTTTCTCATCCGCTGCTGCTCGTCACCTCCCCTTCGTCCTTCCGCTCAAAATGGTTCGAAACCTTCTGGCGAGTCATTGGCCCCAAGATGGCCGCCTCGGAAGTCCAAGTCGATCACATCGAGGAACTTCTTTCCCGCGCAGGCGGAAAGGTCCTCGAACTGGGCCCTGGGGCAGGCGACCAAATGTTCCACTATAAGCCTGGCCAGATCGATGTGCTATACTGCGCCGAACCAAACGTGTTTTTGCATGACAAGCTTCGTGAAGCTGCGGAGAAGCACGGCCTCGGAAAAAAGCTGGTGGCTCTTGAAGCGGGAGCCCAGCCAAGCAGTCTCCTCCCTGCGCTCAAGGAGGCCGGCGTGATCTCCAGCACGACGTCGAGTCTTCCGGAGGACGGCGTATTTGATACCATCGTCGCCATCAAGAGTCTTTGCTCAGCACCGCAGAAACAACAAGCTGCCACGGTTGCTGTCGTCCAGGCCTTGCTCAAACCCGGCGGCGAGTTCCTGTTTTTCGAGCATGTGGAGAACAACTCGGATTCCATCACCAGGTCTTACGTATGGTTTGTAGACTGGATTTGGCCGGTTTTCATGGGTGGATGTCGTTTGACCGGGAAGCTCGACCGGGTTGTCTTGGGGATGGGTGGTTGGGATGAAAGGAAAATAACCACTACAGCTGAATTCAAGGGTCACGAGGTAAGAAATGCACTCCAGAGCCGCTCGAGATTTACCATGTGTTCAGCCCTCGTTTCCCTCTTCCCAAATGCCAACACTGACGTTCGAGTACTCTCAGGTCTTCAGATATGTCAAGGGAGTCTGTCGCAAAGCTTGACGAGACTGGCCCCTTGCCAGCAGTGGCCAACCAAGAATATATCAGCAAAGTGCGTCTGACATTTGTTCCAGTACGATACGGAGGTAGGGACTTGAGCTCGGCGACCCTGTGCGAAGCTGTTGCGGTTGATAATGTCGTTATTCGTGACCTTGAGACTCAATCTTAAACGTCTCGCTTTTGAGATTGTCTCTAAGGAAAGACTTGGTTGACTCCCAAACTCCGTAACCACGTGCAGTATCGAGGCGATAACCATTTTGAAGTCCACACAATGCAGACCCTAAGCCAGTACCGTCTCCTTCAATGGCAGCTCGGTCTCATACTCAATCTCCACTCGGCCACGAGGCTTCTTCTGTGGCTTTGATGGTTGCCGCGTATGTCGCTTCCTCTTCTTTCCCCCTGCGTCTTCGCCTTCATCCTCGTCGCTGCCTTCACTTTCGTCTTCGTCTTCTCCAGACTCTTCGGTGAGATCTTCCTCGTCTGGACTCTCTCCACCGAGCCAGTCGTCAAAGTCCTCCATCTCCTGCTCCAGTTCGTCCTCGCTCTCCTCCAAATCGGAAACATACTCCACCTCGGCCTCGATTTCTTCCCCATTCTCGTCCTCTTCCAACTCGTCATCCAGCAGCTCTTCACCTTTCTCTTTCCTCTCGAGGCCTCTCAGCACCTTTCTCCACAGCCCCTCCTCGATATTGAGGGGCCGGTCACCGTAGGCGCCGCTCGTTAGCCGCTCCATGAGTTCCCGTTCGATCTCCCTCTCCACCTTGGCCGCACTCTCTGCTTTCCGCTCGCGGGTCTCTTCCCTCCGACGGACCTTGGGAGCCAGTCGACTGACATTCTTCTCACCCAGTCGCACCTCCTCCTTAGCGATGTTCCTCTGGCGAATCTTCACTTGCGTCAACCGCGTGAGCCTCTGTTTGCACTTGTGGATGTAGAATTTAGGCCAATATTGCAGTTTCTCGTCGAGAGCCAGCAGCGCCTTCTCGTAATTGTTGGGCAGCCGGATCTTTTCCCACCACTTCGACGGCAGGTGATTGCGTTCGGGGGTCTTGATGAACAGGCAGAGCGCCCCTGTCTGGGGATCTGGTCGGACGGTGGCATAGCGGGAATTGGCGAGGGGGCAGGACTGCCGGTTGCAGAAGCCCGTCAGGTTATACTCGTTCCGACAAAATGTTTGGTCTTTGCTGCTCAGCCTGTAGGTTTTTCCCCTCTGTTAGCAACGGCGGCACTCGAATTTTTGATGCACCAGTTTAACTGTGGCTTACTTTAACTTGAACGAGCAGAATTGCTGGTTGATCACCTGCCACACAATCTCGTCCGACGACATTTTTGCGGATTGGGAGCGAGAGGACAGCGCAAAAAGCCCGAAAAGAAGAGGAGCGGGCGATGGGTGGGTGGCTGTTCTGCAACTGCCAAAAGATGGGAACCCAAAAATTTCGAGTTCGGGGAAATGGCAAATCTGCCAAGGGCCGCCTTATCGCTTATCATAATTTGGCATGTTTGCTAGATTTGTTTCTTTACAGTCGCACCGACGTAGAGCATCGCTCTTCTCGAGCACTTGGGCACGCCTTTACACTCATCTCACCCGGTAACTGCAGTTTCTAGGACTCTCGGGTCCCATTCCGAGACAGGTCGGGGTGGCTCTCAAAACGGTGTTGTTGGAGAAATCTAGCTGATGCGGTATCATGATCATGGAGGGATGATGGGAGAACTACGGGACAAAGTATATTTGTCAATAGCAATGGGCTACTGTACGCCTTCCAAATGCACAATTGGAAATGGGTCAAAGACCAGAAGTCACTTGAACTTGGATCATGGACCAATGTAAGCGAGGCGTCTGTATAGGGGAGCATGAATATAGCTTGGACAGTTAGAAGACTGATCACACTGTGGATGATCCCGCAGGTCCACCACCTACGTAAAGGATCTGTTCAACGTTGCTATCAAGCTAACGGTGGGATGTACTGCACAGCGATCAATGTCACTCAAAGCCTCTCCATGCATCGGATGGCCTCCGGCAGAGGAATAATGCTTTCCTTGTCGACATACTACGCTTCCCATATAGAAACAAGAGCTAGATCGTGGTAAAGCCTTTCAATGCGACCGTAGAAGATCGTAAACCGCTTAATATAGAGCAATGGCTGTTGGAATGGATGTGCAGATATTCCTACAGTGGCCAGAACAAGTACAAGAGTTACCGGCCAGACGTTAACAAGCAAGGGATGCTGTGCTAATCCTCAATTTCAGTTTCCCGTTCCTCGAACCTCAGAAAGGTGCTGCTTGTAGCAGCCTCTGGCCCCAAGATCACTTGCCAAGCATCGTTCACCGCATGAAGTACACCATCGTCGAAGGCAACATCTTGAGGCTTGCGTGGAAATATGATGACTTGTGGATGTTTCCGCGACGTCGGAAAACTGGATGAAAAGTCTATAGCAGGCCCCAGAGCTCGATATGAGAGCGACCACAAGAGTGAGCTTTTTGCACTCACGGTGCTGAGAAACGCCCCCACAGCGGCTTCAAGCCGATCTTTCGAGGAGGCGTCTTCGGAAACGACTGAAGCATAGATAAGACCTGGTCAAGCTAAGTCAGCAAAATCTGGTTTGCGTCTAGAGAGTTGGAAACAGAAATAGTTGAGAGGGTATCCAGATCAGGTTGTCAGAGGGTAATTATCAGCAAAGCACATAATGCTCAGGCAATGTAGATAAGTATTCGATGTTGGATCATCACGGAAGTGAAATCAAAAGGCAGAAATGGGATGGACTTACATTGACCTGCGGGACATCCTCCTGCATCCTCTGAGTGAATCTGTAGATAAACAGGGTTCTTGTACTCAGGGGTGCCATCATCAACTAGAACAATTGTGACTGCAGGAGTAGGGCCATTCTCTGATGTTGGAGGAAACATTGACTTTAACGAATCTGCGATGACATTGATAGACCTCCAGGTGGTGCAGGGCGAGGCCGCATCTTCCACGGCGTCTTTCGAAACCGGAATATCGTCACGATTTCCAGCGACATATCGAGTCCGGATTCGAGTGCCATCGGAAAGCGTGCATTCAATAAGAGGGTCATCCCCCCCACCCGTCCTTTGGTGAACAGGCGTGTCACCAGGAGCACTCAGATTTTCTAGTGCGTGCCCAAGAAGATACACGCCTCCGCCAACAGCCCCGGCACGACAGGCCACCTGCGATATCTCTGCAGTGCCACCGTATTTTGCAACAACTGCGCCAAAGCCTTGACCGAAATGACCCATAGACCTCATGTGTCTCCTGATCCTGACCAGAGCTTTATCGAAGGGAACCAAGTCGGCGGCTACAGGAGATAGCGCAAGGGCTACCAGCGGAGCCTGCAAAGAGGCTGGGATTCTGAACTTCGTTGACAGGGCGGCCTTGAGCGACATTCTGGTATCCTCATTTTCCGAGGTTGTTGTCGACTCTTCCTCCTCTTGCATGACGTATCTCAGGAACTTCATCAACCCACGCTTGTCTTTCATTGAAAGTGATTCATCATTGAAGACGTCCTCACGGGTGCTGGGGATCTTGTGCAGTGTCCCATCCCTTTGTACCCACAAAGACCCAACAGCAAGAAATTCGAGTTGGGTATGTATCTGTGATGAGACGAGGCTGGGGAGAAACTCGGACTTGGCATAGATGATCTGGGGGCTCAAACTCAGGGTGTATGACCGGGATGGTCCAAGTGACGAGGAGGACGCAGACTCGTCATCCGTATATCTCGATATGGTTGCGTCTTTGAACACTGTGCTTTTGACTGCGAGATCATCAGTGACGCCGCGACATACAACGCGCAGTTTGCGCACATTGCCGTAAATCTTCTACCCACCCCTGGGTGTCGTCCAGGCTCAAACCGGCGTCGTCACCTCCATAATAGGCATGGCGATCTACATGTAAGATCTTCTTGCCTGAACGAGAAAGAGCCCTTGAGAGGAACGCCTTGTCAGTCAGTTAAAGCCCCGGTTCAAGTAGGTCAGAAGCAACGTACAATGCCAGAAGTGATTGGGGAATGCTGGTTCCAGCTATCACAGCATCCCAAATTTCGTCACTCAGGCTCTCCATTTGCACCACTGAGGTAATTGCAGAAAAGGCGGAACTGCGTTTATATGGGTGAGAAATTTCAAAGCTTGAAAGGGCGACCTGATACTGGAATCATGTTTTAGGGCAACTATGCCGAGGCGTCCAACACGGGCTACCAGGCTGCCATGAAAAGGAATGAATAGCAGATCAGACCATAAACCGATACGATCAAAACCTGGGCGAGCTGGGGGCACTACGTGGCCCATTTCTATGCGTACAGCTCACATTTACCGGGAGACGGTCTGCGCTGTCAATGAGTTCTCAGCCTGAGAGTATTTTCGGTGCTCAGACAAGGTAATCGACCACAACTCCAGAGTAGAAGTACTTCGCTCGAACCTTGGAGGAGGTATTGTCCCTGCACACCGTCTAGAGCTCTCATACAAAATGCCTCGGGCGGATCCTAGCGCCTATCTTCGGGGCCAGCGAACACGTCTCGACACCAGGTTGAGCAGCTATCTGAATCTCACTCTTACTCCTTCCTGGACTCTGTGTGGAGGGTTCTGTATCCAAGCAATTCCAATCCACCAAAGACGCGGTACATGGCAGTCGGATCCGTTGGCACCCATGTTCTTACAACGAGAGCATTGGAGGGCTGCTTGCTGATGTATGCGGTGGGAAGCAGGTCGGTCCCGAGAGGCTCATCCTGTCTGTCCACCGAAAGGCCCAACCTCTTCCTCTCCACTGCGGACCTTTGTTTCCCACCCCAGATTTACGAAATCCCACATGCAGATTTCGGCTGGTTGTCGATATAGGAATGGTCGGCATATTCAAGCAGCCCCGCCAGGAGAAAATGTCAAGGTGGCTTGCTATCCCCTCAGATCAGGTTGGTATGACCAGCCAATAGGTTGGCATTTGTTCAGGACGGCATAATCTTGCTGGCTCTGTCACTTCTTGCTTGCCGACTGACTCGTGAGACTCCATTGATGCGTCTCACCACCCGGAGAGCACCTCCTCCACATTCTGCCCCACGACTTGAGGAGCCCCATCTTCACCTAGGCCCAAAAGATGGTTTCTCGACCCTCTTCGTGTGAAGGTGATTCTGGATTCCATCGATTCCAACGCAGAGGAGGGTATCTGTACAGGGCAATTTCACCCAGGGAATCGTAAGTTGGACTCTCAACAAGATTCCTATCAAGCAGAACAGACACCTCATTGCTGTCAATTCTCCCACGGCGCCTCCTCGATCCCTCACTACTGGAGAACAAAATTGGTGGCGAAATGGGCAGCTACGCTGAGGAACCGGAGTTCAAAACCATCACCATCCAAAAGCTTCATCCTACGTTTGCAGCTGAGGTCGAGGGCGTCGATTTCCAAAATTTATCCGATGAACAATTCGCCGAGATCCTCGCCGCAATGGCGAAGGTACCAACATCCCTATTTCTTCTGAACCCTTCCTCGTCAATCTATGCCATGTCTAAATTTCAGTTTGGTGCTGACTTTGTCCCTCTATGCTTTAGTATGGTGTCTGTATGTTCCGCAACACTGGCCTAGAAGATGCTAGCCACATTGAGTTCTCTAGACGTATTGGTGATCTTGACACCATGAAACGTTATATGGTCGATGGCCGGCGGCCAAGATATGGCTTCTACGAATTGTTCGACGCCGGGAATATCGATGATCAAGGTGGTGTTCTGGACCCCAACAGCCCAAGAGCACACTATGGCAAGGTGAGCTCACCTGAAAGTCCTTTTTAGCTGCTGAAGGCTCATCTCGTATTCCAGGGTAATGCCCTCTTCCATGTCGACTCCTCCTTCAACCCTCGGCGCGCAAGTTTCTCTCTACTTCGTGCGGTTGAAATTCCTCCGCCAGGAAACGGCGGGAACACTGACTTCGCTGACTCACGCACCGCTTGGGACGAGCTGGACCCGGAACTTCAGAAGGCACTCCTGGAGAAAGACTATATTGTTCATCATTCGATCGCGCAATCCCGCAAGTTAGGATCTCCAGAATTCTTTAAAGACCTTGATCCGACCAATGGCGGTGTTATGGCTCGGCATCGACTCATCCAGGTCCACGAGCCCAGTGGACGCAGGAATATCTACATCGCCGCACACTCCCATCATATAGAAGACATTCCCAAGGAGGAGTCCGACGCCCTGATCAAGAAACTCATCGAGCACGTCACCCAGAAGAAGTACACCGTTAGCGTCGAATGGAAGAACCCATCGGACATGATTATCTGGGACAACCGGTGCACGCTCCACAGAGCTAATGGCGGAGCCTTCGAGGGAAAATACAAGCGAGATCTAAGAAGAACGACAGTGCACGACGACAGCAGCACCGCTTGGGGACTGAACGAGGTCGCAGATACGGAGAACTGGGTTGTGAACCACGCTGCCACTCGGGCCGCTGGGCAGACAAAATAAGATGTCCAGGTCTTTAGAACAGCGCGACAGAGCCAGGTTATTGTTTATCTAGCTGTGCCATTCCGTTTCACGCGAATCTGGGTGCTTTGTCTAGCTGGTGCGCCACATGATACAAAACAAAGTCGCGCACTGTATTCGATACATAGGATCAGACCACAAAAAGGGGTGAAGCCTTGAGGTCCGTCACCTATTTTGGCTTTTGGCGCGGAATAACGGAGCGGAACAATCATAATCCATCCATCTTCACCACCTGATGCCTATTCATGTCCTTTCTATACTCGAAGTCCTCTTCACTTCCTACATCACTGCTTGCCCTTATACCATATATATTCGGTCCATTATTGTCCAACTCTGCACTGCATTGTGAGTCAGGGTCCACACCATAAATGGAGTATAGGCATATATAAGGGGCTCAGCTGCTTCGCCATGCAGACTCATTCCGTCAGCAAGACTCATCATCATCCAACGGAGCTAGATCCTACTACACAACCCAAGAAGGCTTGCCATCTAAGGGCCTAGGAGAGATCTTCCCAACATTCGCTCTCAGATCCCTCGACTCTCCCGGAAACCGTCTCTAGAATGGCCGACCACAAGGGAATCTTCGGCTTGCCGCTGGAAGTCTTCGACGACCTGATGTCCACTCTAGACTATGAGTCCGTCCTCGCCTTCCGCCAGACATGTCGCCTGGCAGCCTCCCTCGTGCCGCTGACCACGGTCGCCCAAGCTCGGCAAGCTCTCAAAACCACGCTGCTCGCTCGGGAACGTGCTGAGTACGAGCGCCGGCAGGTCGCCTACGCAAACCAGCGTCGCTGGGCGGGCGTGTACCCACAGTCCGTTCAACCCATTGCTCCACCTCAGGCCGATGTTGTGGCGAACATCATCTCGCTGGGCTCCGCCCTGAACAATATCCACCGCAACCACATCACCAGGGCGGAGCAACTGAACTGCTACAGTTGCCTGAAGGCCCTGCCGCGAGAGTGCTTTGTGGAGAGCCAGGTCACGGGAAGGCGGAGTCTCGGCCACCACGAGGCTCGCCGGCGGTTCTGCAGGACCTGTGGCGTCACCAAGGGGATCTGGGAGAAGGGGACTGTGATCAGGGACGGGAGATGTACCTTAGTCCTCTGCAAGGCGTGCAACAACCTGAAGACGCCGACTCCTGAGTCCAAGAATGAGGGAATGTGTGAACTGTGCCATCACGAAGCGACTTGTGAAATGTGCCAACGCAAACCCCCTGAGAGTCTGCTCGAGACCGCCGCAGAGCCCAGAACGGCACAGCCCAGCACTCGAGCGACTCGGTGTCAGCGCTGCTGGGCCATCAGCCACACCGAAGTGCCTCTCGGGTCGACGGGTTCCCATCTATGTCCGGGGTGTGAAGCTGCTGTCAGCTCGGCATAGACGGTGCTGGGGGGAGCGGGAGATGGTGGGCGGAGTGAACCCGGGTAGAGGTATGAAAAGGGGCGATAGCGGAGCGTGCGGTTGAAATATTGTTGTTTTCTCCCATTGGATTGTGATACCTTGGTTGAAGTCTTTTTTCGGGTTCGAGGCTCAAAGGTACAGGAGGCACATTGTTCGGCAGGGTTTTAGGCTCAATTGAAACAGGAAACGAAAACATTATCACTTTAACTCCTCGTTCGATCAAGTTCCTCGACTTCTTTCTCTGTCTTTGTGTCCCCATTCGAAGGCCCTGTGTCCGATACTTAGCAGGGGGGTTATCCAGACCATCTAAAAACCGTTTACCACAGCTGCTCAGACTATGAAGTCAAATCTATACTCAAAGCATAGCGAACTACAGGAATATCGAGAGATTAAGGGGAATTGTGGAGGGTTGTGTACTCGATTAGAGGAGCTCCTTCGGTAGTAGTAAGCCTTTTCGTTGTACTACCACAAGGGAAACTAGATACTTGATTACTCTCGAACACCTTCATGCATACTTCGCATCCTATTACAGACAAGGTCTTGTGCCAAAGATACGATATCTGCGATGCTCAATACTTGTGATCAAACCGTCGTGTCCGAAACCAGTCAGGACAAATCTCTTCACGCGTCAGGTTCCGTAACCAGACGATAGTATGGGTGGGTGGACAGCATGTGCGACTCCGGTTGTTCGTGATCTCGTGCTGTGACCGCCGTAGGAGGATTGTACCGTAGCCCTGATACCTGGCCCAGCGAAACCTGAAGTACGCTATCTCGTTCAGAGCGGTCGATGCTTCCTCTGGCTGATCACAGGGTAGGTTGGGAAATAAGCGATTGTCTGTATGCCTGAGGTCAGTGGTCGATTATCTGACCTGCCCAGCACTGAAACAAAATCATGAGGCACAGGACACGGGGGTAATCCTCTCCATATCAACGAATCGAAGTACTCTCCTTTCTCATAGGCCTCCATTCTAGCCAGGCTGTCCTGCAAGAAACTCTTGTATGCAAACCAGGGCTTGTTCACCGTTTCAAAACATTCTTGGCAGAGTCCAGAGACCCGAAGCCTGAAAGTCAGAGTGCCCTCCACGCGTTTCATGGTCCGGCATCGTCCACATCGAATGATCCAACGCTCGTCGCAGATGTGCCCAAGACGATGGTATCTGCGAGGTTCTTTTGAAGTCGTACAATCTCCACACAGCATATATTTCAGTATGTCTTTACCCTCTTGCTGGGTTGCCGGAGGATTCATGGGTGTTCCTATAGGGTATGTGCGGCGTAGGCTGTCAAATGGAAAGTCATCCCATGGTTTCACGACACGACACTTGGAGCAAGGGTAGTGGAAGTCTTTGGGATGAGCGAGCCACCGAGCGAGCGTCTTCGAGAAGCCACACTGCACGGCATGTTCCTCCACTCGTTGTCCAAGGGTCTTGCCGTTGACAATCAAGCCTGGGAGCGACAGATTCAAACTCACCCAGTATTCATCCCGAAAGTGGCTTCCAATTTCAACCCAAGCCTTTGAAATCTCGTCGGCCAGGCGAGTTGCAGGGTCAACGAAACACCCGCTTAGCGCTCGCGATGTTCCACGGACGTTGCAGAGATCGGCGTAGCTGAGATGCTTGGCAATCTCGAGTTCAATCTCACCGGGAAGAGATGACAGCAGGTCTTTCGATACATCATCGTCTGCTGGCTCTGGAGGTTGTGCCATCGCTGGAATAGCTTCAGTTTGATATTGTCTGTGTGTCAGGATCGAGAAATGGAGTAAGGTGGGAAGATGGTGGTTGGGGAAGAAGAGGTCCATCGATAGTGAACAGGAAGTTAACAATTCAAGTAAAGGCGCTTTGTTGCTACTGCCTAAGCAACCGATTGACACTGACTGAAGGGGCAGGCGAAAGCAGTGGCAATATACGCACACAAAGGTGAAGCCCTGTCATCCAACCGCTTTGACTGGACATGACTATTTGCCTTTGTGCACCAGGAGACATCGACTGTAACAATGTTTCTTTATTTCTCTTTCATTGTTGATTGTAGGCTGCCACAGTCAAGTTTCTTTGAACTTGCCAAGCGCTCCTCGGACGCAGCATAAGTGTCCAGCTTTGACCATGATCCCATGCATTGCGTGAATCCAGCTCTTGTTGCCTCGGGCTCATTATTTCAATTCCTTTGCTCAGCCTTTGTTCACAAAGGCATCCTCACAAAGCACCCATAGCTCTCAGAGGTCCAGATCGATGATCATCAGCAGGTCCTTTGGAAGTCTCGATAGGTGAGGAGGAAGTCATTGCGAGCAGCATGTTGGCGTCGTATGAAGCCCTGAACAGGGGGTGGTTGACAAGGCGAGGAGACAAAGAAAGACGCAGGAGAGAGTGAAGGAGGTTGAAGCTGGCTTCGTAGCAGTAGCACGTGACTGACATGATTCGTTCCCTTTTTCGCGCTCTGCGAATCATGTTCCCACCACCAAACAGATGACATGGTCAAGTCAAGTCACTTCTGCTTCAAAACCAATGGATTCTGCCGTCACACCGGAATCCCTCTTGGTAGGACACTTCATCCACACTGCATCACCCAATCATGGGCCCTGATCCGATCCGTGAAGATCAAACCAGCCTTGAGGTGCTCTCCAGCCCGTAAGGAAAGAATCCAATCTTGCCCGAGACATTTCCAGACAAACGCAGCCTCTTGTGGGCACCTTTGGCACTCCATGGCTGATCAGATAACCTGTTATGTGTCAAGGACAGCATTTCGAACAGTGACCGGCGGTCCCACGCAGCTCTCACCCCTGTCCATTTTTGTGGTGTTTCGCGGTCGTTGTGGTGATTGTGCCACAGAAGCCAGCTTGCACGAGGGAAGTCACACTTGAACAAGGTTCCCGCATGTTCATTGCAAGTCTAAAACCCATAAGCGCCCGTCTGGCGCCAAAATCGCTTGGTCATGTTGAGGTCGGTGTAAATTGGACGTCCTCCAGGCCACCTCTCGTCCATTTGCCGCTGACACTTAGTACAAGGTTTTCGCTGGGAACCTCGTGGGTGAGAGATGGTCTTTTTTTTGGCGGTTGCACGACTCGATGAACCTGCACTTGATCTTGTTGAGAGATTCGCGGACAAAGTCTCGAACGACGTGGAAGAAGGTCAAGAAGATTGGACACGTTGCCGAGGACGGCAGCAAACAGTGCACAAGATATTGAGTCCTCATAGCTATTCGGGTATCGACGTTGCGTCAAAATGGAGATCATTCTGAGACAGCCAGTGGCGGAAGCCGAAGAAGAATTCAACACACTATGTGACTTCATGCTGCCGATGGATTCGGATCCCCTTTGGCACCTTAGCCTCGACGCTCAGAACTCAACGTGTTCTGCCAGCCCCCTGTCAAAAAAGCTCGAAGCTCCGTCTTTGTTCCAGGTCCAGGGGTTCATTTCAAGTTCGTCCCCCTAACAACTCCTCTCTGCTTTTTGCTCCGCCGAACCAAAGCGAGAGAGTCAATGGATCCTGGCCCGGTCAAAGCTGGTTCGTCGCGGAGATGGCCGGACTATATGAGTCGTTCACTGCTTGACGAGCTCATAAATCCCTCAAGATTATGAATCACGCCTTCAGCCACCACGGGCGTCCACGTTCAGAGCCAATATCACCCAGATCTTTGCAGATTCCAACGGTGCGAGTCGAGCTTATAGGCATTAGAGCTAGGGCACCATCTGCTGTAAGCGACTGGGATAAGAAGGCTTGAGGCAACTCGGTGATTGATATTGATACAATTAGCAAGTTTCAGCCGGGCTTGTGCTGACTGGATCGTGAATTGCGAATCTGCGAAGGCAGTATATGAGGCTGTCCCTCCTCTTGTTGCATGTTTGTTATCCCCGGATGAGGCTGATACCAGCCGTGAGAATATGAGCGGTCGACAGATGCAGGTGATTGCTGCAATGCTCCAGGATTTCCCGCCGTCCATCCCTGCTGCAAATTGCCCTGCACGGTTTGATATGAGGGTTGTTCTGGAAAACTTGGATGCGTTGAAGTGTGCTGACTTTCTATACCCATTGGCAACAGGCTCGAACTAGTCGGGGGTAGTTGCTGCATCTGGCCTGTCATCGGTCTTTCGAAAGACGGGTACGTGTTTGTTCGATAGGGGGTGGGGAAGCCAGATGACAGTTCGTCAGTGTGGTCAGACGACATCGACCTCGAGGGAGGATTTGCCCAATTGTAAGCCCCGTTTGGAACCGAAGTCTGGTACGGATATGCCTGTTCTTGGGAGATCGTTGTCATTGTGGAAGGTAAGGAACCAGGTGCAAATGCAGATGAATATGGCGTGGGTGCTGAGTGTCCATATGGGTGCTGCTGCGCATGCTGATAGAATTGAGGATTTACCGAATCCCCGTCAAAGGTCCTCGGTGAGTACGGAGACGGAATGTAGCCCTGCTGCTGTAAACGCTGATGTTGAGTAGGATCGTAACCATGCCCGAAATCGAAGCCTGGAATAAGTCAACACTCGAAGACGCAGTCGAAATCTTGTTCCTACTATGGACAGGCACAGATCTGGTGCCTGTATGAAACCCTGAGAGCCCGGGGCTCTCATTGGACATAGGAGGAGTATCCAAAGGATGTCTGGCATAGTTCATTTGTTCCATGGAGTTGCTTCTTAGGATGCCACTTGGAGAGGACGATGCGACTGAAGCCTCTCCCTCGTTGAATATGCCATCCCCCGCTTTTGCCGCTGAGCGTTGTCGTTTCGTGGTCGGCGGATTTTGCGGGTCAATTGGCAAGAAAATGCACTCCTTTTTAAGGCGAATGCAATTTGAGCATCGGCCTACAGGGTCGTTATAATCAGATATGCAACGAATCTTGCGCCGTCGACAATGGACTAAGTACTTCGTCAGAAGGAGTCGCGCATGGGGAAGCCAGATACAAAGACTGACCGCAAGCGACAGCAGTACGATGGTACCCCAGTTTGTTCCTCTTCTTATCGGCCGGTGACGGAGGTGGTCCTTCTGCCGCCATGTCGCGAACGTTGGGCGATGAGTTACCGCTCTGGATCAAACCAGGCATGTTGAACTGCTCAATCTCGGAGCCAGACTGGTCTCGCGCAGAACCACTTCCCTCTGCGTAAGCCCCGAAATTATTTCCTCCCTCTTGCATCTCTTTGGGTTCGCCGACGAGCACTACCTGCGCGACACAAAGGCTGGGCGATGATCGCTTCTGGTCTCTCGTCTTCCACCACTGTTCTCGTCGAGCTGTTGAGCGGGGAAGACTGGCAACATCACTGGTACCGTGGAGCAGAAGTCGAATTCACACCCAACTTGATTTGTCGCAAGTTGATTGACGGGTTCCAGCGCTGGTTTTGCCTGCGGCGACTCAGATGCTGCAACGAGGACACAATTGCAAGCCACAGCGACCAGAACCTCGTTAAATCCAAGACCGTTCGCGCTGCACAGATCTGGCAGTGCTATCTACCACGCATCGGAGAAGAGAGGTGTGGAATGTGCTTCCCACGTCGCACTGAATGCTAAAGCAGACAGGGATATTACTCGAGGAATTGATCGGAAGTGGTCCCCAATCGTTATTGTTGAAGGGTCAACAAAACGCAACCACATCAGGAGATCAAGATTTAAGACGACCCCTTCGATCGTGCAGAGAGTGGAGAGGATTGTCAGCCGCCCCGGCGTCCAGATCAGAGAGATGGAAGAGAAATGAAAAGGACAGTCAGATTCAACAAAGGGCTCTTGATGGGGATAGACCGGGATTTGCCCTGAAAGTTGGCTTCAGCAGACTGACCAGTGATAGGGATAGGGAACTGAAGTTCACAAGGACGGGGTTCCCTCTTCGTGGATCGTAAAATATTGTCGGAAGAAATGACCAGCCACAGCAGAGAGACACGGATACCTGCAACAGACGAATCAACGAAAAAGACAAGCGCCTCCAACATGCATGACAGGTGGTATATGACTCTCACTATCGTGCAGAAAAGGTATGGTTCGGAATCTCGCATGGGCAGTTTGGACCCCCAGCTCCTCCCAACTGGCGATGAAAGCCACGAGAACCAGATACCTGGTCCACCTGTGGAGGAAAGATACGGGTCCAGTCGCTCGCGCCATTGACTTTTTTAGGCGTCGAAGTTGCTTGCAGAGGAAGCGGATGGGTGATCGCACGACGTACTCCCTAATGAGCCAAGGCAGACGGGGCCAGCCCCGGCGAGATGCGAGAACAACCCCCAAACGATTATGCCTGACTTTGGGTCCCCTTTTGGAGACTATGGCTCTCACTGAATGGCCAGGGTCTTTCATAAGATCCACTTCGGAGAAAAGCCACAATTCGATTCCATCTACGTTCCAAAAGGCCAGAACACCCGTAAAACGAGGATATTGAAGATCTAGATATCTGAAAGGGGTCCCTAGGTGGGTGCGGCTGACCATCTCTAAGTTTCCTGGATCGACTTTGAAGAAAGCAACGACAGCACTTGGTCAAAGTCGGGGGGTGGGGGATGATGATGATGCCCATCATTTAGCCTGCAAGAGTGTATCGCGTTGGTGCCGAGACAGAGCTACCAGGAAGTTCGGTTTCTAGGAACGATCTGCACCATCCTGTCTCCACCAATGAAGAGCTGACAACGGCGCCCGGACAAAGGATTCCCAAGGAAACGACAAATACGAACGCGACATACCTCTCAGGAACTCGAAGACCAATCCCGGAAAGTGGTTTATACCCGACGTCTGGCCGGGTTCTGCTGCTAGCGAAGGCACTATCATTCTGGACTGGAAAGCTCAGCTACTGTTCGTCGTCGTGCAACGCCTCGAAAGAGACTACGACAAGGCCCTACAAGTCCGAAGTAGTCGATAGGGTAACTCGCGAGCTAGACCTCAGACACTTTCCCAGCAAGCTAACCGGCTCTGACGGATGACAACGTGCATTGATCTTCAATGTCGCTTCGGTGTCGAGCGAAAGCGCCTTGGATTCCTCTCCACTTGAGCCACCGAGCTGGGGTTACCAGCACTTAGCCCCGAGAGCACTGGGCTGATCCTCAAAAGCTAGCGCCACCGGACGCCAGTCTTGTGTGGCTTTCACGGGGTGGAAGTTGGTCTCTCCCTACTGTAGGTGCGGATGGCTCGGTTGAGGGAGCGAACTTCCTCCACTCAAAGTCCATGATCTGAAGAGCGGCTATCCATGTATGAGGGTCATGGTGGAGGCCAAGGAAGTCTTGAGTAAACTCTGTTCTACTCTGCCCACTTCCAGCTCGCTGGGCGCATGGCAGGTGATACCCCTGTTTAGTGAGTCGAGGCCCAAACCCGACATTTCATGCGTGCTGAGGCTCAGTCTAACTGGAACCAGACAGGTCGCAACTCGTTCCAACGTCTCTCTCGCGAAGAAATACGGCGAGCTTGCGAGGTTCTTGGGGGCGGGCGGCTATACGTGCAGGCAAGACTGGACCAGATGCCACGTTTTGCGTGAACTAGGTCGCTGTACCTGTCAGGCGCATCAAGATCCGCCCACTTTGAATGCCACTCACGTCACCACCAAGGCTCTGTATCCCTTTTGTCAGCAAGTCTTAGCCGAGAAGGTGGCGTGTGTGCGACTGCGTGGAGTCCATCCCAGACCCACTCGCAGCCATCAACTCGGCCAAAGCCTCGTGCTGGCCGAGATAGACGCAACCAGGTCGGTGACGAACCATGGCTCAGCGCCTAAGGGAGCCTCGTAAGTGGTTTGGGGGGCAGAGCAGAAGTGGCAACTCTCTTTTCGTTCAACTGACTTCCTCGCTTAGCATGGCGACTATCATTGCCCCTCGTGGCATAATTCATTTTAGCCTGGGACACCAGTGTCATTGCGGAGGAGAACGGAACAAAAGGCCAACCGTTGCTCGTATCTCGGAGGCGAATTGGCTGAGGAGCTACCATTGGGGAGAGACACAACCACCGTGGGAAAAGATTCCAGACAAACTCCCACGATAATGGGGTGGTGTCTGATGCGGCTCTCCCCCGAACCCCTGGAACCAGATCTTCCAGGGACTCTGTTCAGGGATTCTAGACTGAACGGAATCGTGGGCCGGTGCACTGCCAGTTGATGGCATGGTTGGTAGCTTCAAAGCTACTGTCCTCGCACCCACATCCCTGTACATTCTGCAGGCCTAAAGGATAGCGGCACCAGTACACCTTTTTCAACCCAAAGGCAGTCGTCCGTCACTCCGTTTCTGCAACGTCTGCCCAAGTGGCGACCAGTTTTCCACGTGGATCAAGCACCCTGGGGCGCTTGCTCTAGGAGGCAATAATGAGCACCACGTCCCCTCTGTAGGAGCTACAGGTTTGACAGTTCTCCAGACGAGACGTGAGAAGAGCGAGCTCGGGGTCGCTGGAAGCACTGCGACTGCGTCTTCGCTCATTTCTGATCATGCCTATTCCAGGATTTGGACCACGTAGTTTGAAGAATTTGGGAACTGGATGCCTGAGAAAGCTGCGAGGACAGACCAGGGCTCAAGGGCTTCATACTGGTCCCAGAGAAATCCACCAAGAGAAAAGCACTTCAAACGCGGGTCTTCAGGGCTTAATCCGCGCCCCTCGGAAAACTCATGGCTCTCAACGCTGTTTGGATCTTACCATGTGGTTTCTTCAATCTACTGAGGCGCCAACACGGGGGCCACCACTGAAAGGCACCATAAAGGTTCCGCAACACCGACTACTCCCATCTACCCGATTTCGCCAAAGTGTGGTTGATTGCGCATGGTCCAAATCATGGCAAATGGCCGCCTCTGGCTATGCAGGACTTGGAAGATGCGGCATCACTGGCAGCTCCGAGATTGTTGGTGCCGTCTGGCCGTATTTCAATAGGCTTTTCTGCCGACGACCAATTACTCCGGGGGCAGCACTGAGGTCGTCTAATACGGTACTACTAGAGACACACCTCCTGCACGCTTCGGAGTTCGGCAGAGTGGCCAAACAGGGGGGACAAGTTGGATGCCAGCTCCCTTGTCGATCTTCGCAGGCAGTACCGCCTCATTCTGCAGGAAACGAACCAATGTGAAGTGATCAGCTTGCAACTCTGCCACAAGAACCTCTGCCACCGCTAATCCATGCCCGACTCGGGGCTCAAAAATTAAGCTGAGAGCGATCATCCACTTCTGCTGGTCGGAAGAGGGCAAGGTTTTACCCCCGACGACCCTTTCTCTCTCTTTCTGACTACTGGCTTAGGAAACTCCTGGTCTGCCATACGAAGGTGCGTTGGGATATCTACTATTACCTGGTGGGTCGAGCTCTTGGAGGCTTCCGTCATCTATTTTTAAAAAAAGAGTTTAGTGGGCTCGTTGGTGGCAGATTCAACCATCAGACCACTTTCCTGCTAGAATCCAAGGGCCTCCGCCTATTCAGGATGCGGGAGAAGCGAAAGACTCGTTCCTTGATGCCCGACTTTCGGCTCCAGCCTCTCAGCATGCCTGACCTCAGGGACTGGCACCGTCGAACTATCCCTCGCATCCTCTCCCAACACTGAGGATCGACATGTTATCCTACCAGCTCAGCAATTGTTTGTCACTGGCAAATCCCGCCAGAGAGCTCACTGGAACTTTGTGCGCAGACAAAAATACTACACTTAGCGTGCGTTCGTCTGGGTTTTCACGTCAAAGAGTCTCATTTTATTATCTCGGTGGCTGAAAGGAACATCCAAGACAGTCCCCAGGGCGGTTTGTCTCCGGGGGACTATGCCGGCGCAGCACACGCGAGCGGGTGAGACGATTTCTGGGTTTGACCCGGCAGCTTGATGGCCCAGGTCAAACTCCTTTAGGACGTGTACCGGCAAATAATCCCAACCGAGCTCGGCCATCAAGATAGAATTCTCCGCAGAAGGATGGGCTTCGGGTGGGTTGCGTCTCTCATCAACGGTCGAGGGAGTGCTATCATGTGCACGAGTGCCTCCGTGTAGGGGGCGTGTTGATCATCACCCAATGTACGAGGTTACCTATGGAGTACTTGTTCAAGATATCCATCCCCCTCTTTTGAATGCTGTGGATAGAGTGGCTCGCAAGGCGTCGTAGGTATGGGTACTGCAATGCGTCATTCACCATCAGCCAACCAATTTCATTCAGCAGAGAGAGACGACGCACCATTGGACATCCAGAGCAGATCATTGCAAGCACTGCGTATTCGCCAAGTGGCAATGATTCTGATTGGGCTCGATCTGGATACCATGGAGCGCTTTCTTACTGGGTTTGTCGATCTGGTTCCCAGCATCGAAACGCCCCTCATGGCCAGCTGGAGCCTGCCTTGGAAAGTTGTGACGAAAAGGTCTTTTTGAGACATGAGGGTAGTAGACCCATGTCGTGTCAAAGAATACCAAAAATGGGGAGAGGGACAAGAACAGGGCATTATTTGAGACGATCCACGGGGGCAGCGCATGGTTCCTTCCTCTTCCCGAAACGTGCAATCAACCGCTAGAAATTGCTTTGCCTGCGGCCCCCTCTTCTCCCTCTTCTTCTTCTTCTTCTTCTTCTCCTTCTCTTTCTACCGCATAGTCAATGACTTGAGTGCTCCTTCACTCGTCGATTCTTTGAGCTCGCTGCTGGTTCCTCGTGGACAGCTCTGAAAGACTCCCATCGAAGTTCTAGGCCAGGTCTCCTCTCCTTCTCCTCTCCAGGCTCACCACTAGCTCACACAAATGTATCTAGCCCCGTTGACGCAGCCACAAAAGCAAAGCTAAGCTATTTACTACTCAGGTGTTCCGAACGCCGTACCGAACCCCGCTCTGAGGAGCCCACTCGCCCTCGAAGCCAAATCCTCTGATCTTCAAACGATCGTGGCGAACGGCCGTTGAACACGACCAACTGCAGGGACATGGTGATGGTGTCACAAGCACCCCTTGACGCTCCTGACTCCAACCTGGTCCCTGTCCTAAGCCTGCACGAATAGTCTATGACTGCATCGAGTTATTCACGCGATTTGTGAAAGTTGGATGATCTCCCTGGTCTAGAACATCACCATGCAGCGCGTGCCCGTTGACAACACTGAGCACCCGACCCAGTCACCTCGACAATACCAAAAAGTGCCTCATTTCACCTACTGACGCTGGATGTATCATTCGCTAGGGCAAATATTTCCGATAGCGGCCTTTCAAATGTAAAACACCCGAAGGTGGTTGTTCCAGATGTTCGAAATGAACAACAAACCACCAGTACTTCGTACAATTTAGAGTCCTAAGACCTGGAATGCCACCACAATTAAAGCTATCAAAGCAGCCTAAAGCAAACTCCTCCAAACGCGTGCTGCCACCAGAAATTGCACACTAGCTTTCACCATCACATGAAGGTAAAAAGGGGGAGTTCTTAGCCTGCCCGAACTGCATTTGGAATACAGAGTCTAGACTCTCCCGTCTCCTGGACTCTTACGAGACATCAATCAAGGTTGCGCACAGCATCGCAGGCCACAAACCAAGGCAGACGGGGACTTCTAGATTCACGGCGCCTCCGCGAGCCTGAGTACAGCATTCAGCTTCCTTCAGTTTGGCAACTTAGTTTTGGTTGTTCCAGCGAAGCGTTGCTCGAGGTTGCAGGAGCCAGGGACGTTGGGTTGACGCCGTTGCGGTCCTCGACCCATCGATTTTCTCAAACTTCCACCACTCAGTCTCGCGTTTTCAGTTTTCTAGCTGAGCCCCCTGCATGCTCTTCTCTTTATTTCGAGGGGCAGTGTCTTGTCATTGCTGCGGGTAGGACGGCGCTGACGTCTACATTCTCTGCGGAGCGCTCTGGAGCGTCATCTTGCACGTGCCACGAGAAGGGTAGGTGGGATGAGAAATCTCAAGAAGATGCATCGTCATTGCGGTCGTGGCAGTGGCGGTGCGATCTGCTGTTCTCTTGCGGTGTCAGGCAGCATCTGCCAGACCACTAGCCACAAGCTCCTGCAGTTTGGTCGCTGCTCTGCGAGCGACGTCTCCATGCCCTTCGGTACGTGAGGCAGTTTCGCAGCTGACCCGCCAGGCTCGCCCTCTCAAGATGACTCCTTGAATCATGCCGGCGAAAGGTGCCGAGCATCGCGATCCACAGGCAAACCGGACTCTGGCCGTCATCAAAACACCCTGTGGCCCTTGTGTGTCATACGTTCACACTGCGCATTTGCGTGCCTCTCTACCCAGTCTGAAGGGTCGGGATGCCCGATACCCTTCCAAAAGGGAAGGACGACGTTGTCGCTCCATTCAGGTTTACAAATCCTTTCGAAATGATTGCCCGTGGAGAAATACGGTGGCCAGCCAGCCAATCTGCTTGGGTGTCCTTTTGAGCAGACGGCCGGCGTGCCGACCAGACTTCAGCTACCTAGGCTACCCTCAAATTTCTTTTTGCTAGAGGGACTTACCGCTCAACTCACTCACTGGGACTCTTGGGAAGGTAGATGGCTACAGAGGAGCGCATGCTAACTAGCTAGTGCTCAACCATGGCGGCATGATTCGATCTCTCTCTCTCTCTCTCTCTCTCTCTTCCGCCTTTATTCGTCTCCCACTGCCTCTGACTGTTTAAACAAACGTGATCGCGCAATGGACGCTGGATACTCTCCGAACTGCACGCTTCACAAACGCAGCAGCTGTGAAGCTCGAGATTGCCCTCCGTTCAGGAAGAGGAGACGATCGTCTCGATTATCGATTCCTTCCGAACCACTCCCCTCTCCATATGCTCGCCCATCGTGACCTATGCTTCCTTCTTTTTGAATGATATCACTGCCCGTTGGAGAATGAATAAAACATGTGCACATATCAAGATCATATATTGCAGCACGGAAGACACAACAGGGGAAGGGTATGTCAGGTATTGTATTGTATTAACGAGTATCATTCGCGGTATTCCAAGAAATATCATTGCTTAGGCAAACAAGCTCCAAGTCAAGAGAAAAACATCCCAAAAAAGCAGATCCAAACTTCTCTCTGGAAGATATATAGCGTTCGTTTCCTTCGATTGTCCCTTTGTTCCTCGAAGGGAGTTCCTGCTGCCTCCCTCCCTGCGATTTCGTTTTCGTTAATCATTCGTGAATAGTATAGTAGTTTGCGTTTCCCCGTCCTCCCGCCGTGCCGTCATCATAGTCGACCGACGGACTGACTGATTGACTGACCGACCGGCCCAATCGACGAGTAAAAGAAATTCCTTGGGCTGATTAGGTCTTCCCTTCTTTGCTTCTTCCTTTGCATGGCGAGTCGGATTGAGAGGGAGAGAGAGACATGACACTCGCTAACCCTGTCCCTGTCCCTGTCTTCCTCCTTCATATCCATGGTCATGTCCAAGGCCTGATCCGATCACATGTCCAAGCATTGCAGGGGAAGGGCAAGACCAGACGGGCGGCGCGAGAGAAAAAAGAAAGCCCCGGGGGGGCGGGGGAGGTGCTGCTAGCCCTCGCTTCCATTACTCTTCGTTTCTTTCCAACTTCACCAGTTTCTTCATCTCTTCATGATCAATCCATCCGCCACCCCCGCCCGGCGAGCGCTGGAACAAGAGGGTACCACTCACTCACTCACTCCTTGATGCCGACCCTGATGATGACCGAGATCTCGAGCGCTTTGGCCTCGCGGATCGCACAAGGCAAGCACGTGCGCCCGACCCTGGCGACGATGGCGTTGCGGCCCTTTTCGGCACACCACGCCCGCACGAGGATGTCCTTCTTCCACAGTTGCGGGTCGTTACTCCCGTGCAGGTAGTGCTGGAGATAGTCGAGGTGGACTTTAGGGGACGTGACGGCGCCGCGGCCGGCGGTGGCTTCTGTCCCTGTCGCTGATGTGGGCGGCGGTGTGGGCGTCTCGCCTGCCAGGGACGTCTCGGAGTTGTAAGGCGAGCAACCGTGGCTGCGAGCATCGATGACCCAGACCCCTTCCTCGCCTGTTCGCGTCGGGTTCGGGGGGTCCAACTCGGGATTCTGGACAAGCTCTGCCAGTGTCTTGGTCACGTATGCATACGTCTTGTGCAGTGGATGGGCAGGAATGTGTTCCGCCACGCCCCGGATATGCTTGGGGTGTTGTTGTTCATAATGTGCATCCAGAGAGCCCGGCTTGAATGTGGCGTGGCCGTGGGGCAGGCGGCACGGGTGGGAAGTTACAAAATACACGGCACGATCCAGGCCGTAGCGGATCTGGAGCAGTGACGGCTCGATGGTTGGGGGGTCTGCTGATCGTGGAGAGGAGGATGGAGATGGCGGTGTTATCGGTGGTGCGAGGACGAGATCGAACTGGGCCCACGCCGACAACGGGTGCTCTGCAGATGTCATTGTAGCATCCGAGCTGGATAAATGGACCTTGATATCCTTGACAGTGACTTCGGGCATGCCCGCGTCAAGCAATACATGGTCCGTTACCATACTGAACTCGGTTCCCATGATCCCTCCTTTGCCCTTGCCCAGCGGAGTCGAATCCTCGGCCAGCCTGTCACCGTCGAATATCCTAGGCCGGTCGCGATCTGTGGGCACGGGGAAAGTTTTGATCTTCACCCAGCGGTTGCTGAGGGGCTCGCGGGTATTTTCATACAAGGGCACGAATCTGGGCGTGTGGATCCAGCCCATGGACTCCTTTGCGCCCTGCATGGGGGCCATGACCCGCCCGACGATGCAGGATTTGGACCACCATGAGGAGCCGTCGAGGATGAAGCCCGATCCTCGCAGCGGTATGTTGGCGGTGCCGAGATCCTGGAGAGTTCGTGGGTTCGGATCGTTCTCAAGCAGCGTAGACATCAGAATATCGCAGATCGAGGTTCCCGGGAGGATCAAGCCCGAGAGCCAGCTGTGTGAGAGCCAGCCGCCGACGGTGGAGGGCGTCGCGGCGTGTAGATCGACGTTGAAACTTTGGAGCGAGGGGGTTAAGTTGACAGGGTGAGTCGCGACGATGTTGTCATCAGGACACACGATCGCATCCATGAGCAGCTTCTCCCTCTCTTCCACGGACGCCGTGCATAGCTTGTGCTTCAGAGAGTCGTGAAGCTCTTCGCCTCGCGGCCACCCAATGTTGGTGGCGAAGCGAAAGAGCCCGTCCACCATGACAGCCGGTTGTCGAGCCATGATGGCCACGTCACAGGCGTCGAGCACCACGGGTGGTTCCGACTCGGACCTCTCCAGCCTCATCTTGTGTCTGAGGTCGCCGAAAAGGCCATGGTGGTGATCAGCCGAAGACTTCTGCCTGAGAGTCAGAGGCCGCTCCAAAGTGTGGACTGGCGATACGGGAGCCGAATCCCTCCCTCGGATTCTCTTGACGTAGGAGAGAAACAGGAACCGTCTGGCCGTTACAAGATCCCAATCGACCTTGAGGTTGCGCAGTTTATTGAAATGGTGGATCTCCTCGCTGCTGATCTCAAAATGCTCGGCATGGAGTGCCACACCCAATCTCAGAGCGGCGTCGAGGCGAATGACCAATTCTACAGCCAGGAGAAGCTGGATGAGCAACCACTTGCGCTCCGGGTCGATGACCAGCAGGCCTGTGTCATGGTCATGTCGCGTCGTCCGGCTGTGGAGGATTTTCCCGAACCGCAAGCGCGCCTCGGGAGCGCTCAGATCGAGCCATGCACCAGGCGTGGTCAGGACTTTGACCAACGCTTCGATTTGGATCTTCAGAGATGTCTTGCCGTGTTTGGCGTCTGCCGGCACCCGATGGGGTGGATAGAGCAGCTCACTGAAGAGATGAGCATAGAGTTGGGCCGCGTCAATGTGGTTCAAGACTGTGACTCGCCAGCCCGCGTCGAGAACTTGATTGCGCAGTTCGCCAATCTGATCCATCCTCTCGGCCAAGGCCTCCATGCTGATATCCCGGACACCTACCGATTTCCACGCGTGGGGACCTTCTTTGATCAGTCTGGTCCGTTCCTGGGCAGGCGCATGCTTGCCGATTTTCGCATTCAATTCCTCATTCTCTCTGCTGAGGGCCAGCATCTTGAAGGCTTCCACCGAGGGCGCATTTGCGAGGGCCAGATCAATCTCCACGTCTTTACCGTGCTCTTTGATCTTTTCGTCTGTCTGGCCATCTGCAACAGGCCTTTCGAGAAAATACCGCATGCCCACGGTGCCCGGCTCCCGACCTTCGATGCCCAACATGTTCGGTCGCTCAAAGATTCCGAGTTCAAACATCGGCCGCTTTCCCAGTTCAAGACCCTCCTTCTTGACGGGGGGCGCCATTCCTGGTTTCCAGTTGACTTCATCGGGGATGGGTAAGTGGGCGTGTAACGTGGCCAGGGCGAAGCTTTCATGCTTGATATATCTCCGGTCCTGGAGATCAGATATCTCGAGATCATTGTTCCATGGGAAAAACGCCTGGGGGAAGTAACGGCCCCTCCGGCCCTTCTCGAGGACAAATTGAGGGGCCCCGGAGAACAGACGCTCGACGTCTTCCTTGGTCAAGCCTGCAGGTCGGCGACTGCTTTTCGGCTGCCCGTCTGCGCCTTCAACATTAGACTGATGTGCGCCTGGCAGAAGACCTGTAATGTGAATCCTCACCTGCTTCAACATTGGTCTGCAGCCTCTCGGCGTTCTTCCTGCGTAGTGAGGCAGCTGTGTTTTGCGAAACGGGGTCGATGGGATGGGGAGCCTCAGTGTGGTCTGCATGAGGCGACGGATTCACTTTGGTGCCATGGTGACCGAGCTCCGGTGGGACTTCAGCGACTTTTGATGAAATGGTTTTATCGCCCACATCTGCAGGCGCTACCTTTCGCTGATGGTGCACCTTTACCCCCTTCTTGTCAGCCCGCTCTGCCAGGCAACACATTACAGACTCACCTCGGTCGGCTGTGGAATCGACGTCTCATTCTGAGCGTGGCCGTCTCTCTCTCTCGATCGGCTGGTCTTCCTGCTCAGCCGGCGAAACAGTGATGGTTTGGTATCCTCGGGCACCCGCTCTGTTGTCCCAGCATCGTGTTCGGTCGGCGCTCTCCCTCTGTTCTCCTTCTCTGGAGACGCCTTGCTCGAAGTCATGCGCGACAATAGATTCATGGTGGATGATTAATAATTGGCCACCTGTAACCGGATTGGCCGGAGGGGGTTTGTTCGTCCCTGAAGCTGGAGAGGAGGGGCAAACCGCTTTCTGACAAGGAAACGACCGAGACCTCTGGTAGATTTCTGATGCAATGTGCCTTCAGTCGCAATAGGATCGAGACGATGGAGAAGTGTGGGCAATGGAGGAAGAGGAGGCCGCCATTCAATGATGCTGCTTAGTCGGTCGAAGCTTCTAAGCTGCTCCAAGCGGCAAAAGGTCGCATGAGGGTCTTGCAGGCGTCAGTTAATGGGGGCTGAATGGAGTGAATGGGGACATCTGCTCAGATAATGATGAACAGGATAAATTGGATGAAACTTGTGGGAACGTTGATGGACAGCGAGACTGTTATGTCAGCGGGCTGCAGGCCACGTGATTGAGTGATATCTGAAGCCCTTCTGGCGTCACGATCACAAGCGATACAAAACGGTCTACGACATATCCTGATGTCATCTAGAACGCCCATGTCGCGCTTGATCGGCAAGGTGCGGAACCCCAAGGCTGGAGCACAAAGCAACTGATACTCTATTGGGATGCCGAGATATCTCCCGAAACGCGCGTGGAAAGCCGCACGAGATCACACAGAAGGGGGAAAACCATATACCAATACATTCAAACACAACATAGACGCATCGACACAAAACATCGCTTTTCGAGGTGGCCACCCACGTCGTCGTTGATCATCATCCTCCAAATCCTCGCGGGACACCCGTCCACTGCGGCGAAACGGCGTCGAATCCCACATTCATGCCGGGTCCCATGTTCCAATACTGCGGCACCAGATCGGGATCGCCGAGCCAAGCCTCGACCTCCGCAGCGTGCGGAATCTGCGACACGGGTATGGTTGCCGTCGAGACAGGTGGAAGGCTGCCGAGATGGTGAGAGGAGTGAACATGGGCTGGTGCACGCATCGAGGCCATCTGCGACTCTGCGGTTTCCTGCTTTTCCATGGCCCCAGCAGGTGCTTTCTGAAGTGTCCGTCGGGAGGCTTGTCCCGCGTTCAGTCCTGCCTGCATAGGTACTTGTCCGGCTAGAAGCAGGGATCGGTCCACAGACGCTTCATAGACCGGTATGGCACCCATCAGTTCGCTTGCATGTGCAAAGAAGTCCTTTCGCATCGTCCACGAACGGAGGTCGCATTCGCGCCGCTTGAATTCCGGCATCACTGAGTATAGCTGCGTGACGGGGTCCCGCTCGTACACGTCTGACACGTTGTAGGGCCACAGGAACTTGAGCGATCGTCTGAATGAATCTGAAAACTTGTTGTTGATATACCGGGTCGCATTCTTGCATAGGCAGGTCCGCATACCCGGCCAGATAAAGTGCTCGATGAGGGGCATCTTCTCCAGGGCCTCCGGATCTTCAGCGGGGCCTCTCTGGAAGAAGGATGGTAGAGGGGCCAGAAACTGTGGATTCACGTTGCTCTGATGGAGCAGCTTCAACCGCATCATGTGGAGGATGGCGATCCTCTCGACAACGCCACAGTCGCGGAAGATGGACTGATCAATGCTCCTGAGCGCCTGCCAGCCTCGATCAAGGAGGTACAGGTCCTGCACGTCGCGCCATCCATGTAGCACCGCGCGGACGACGATGTCCTCGTCCAGAGGCTGGTTCGCAAAGGATTGATGGCCTCCGGCCAATACTCGGTTGACCTCACGTTCGGAGAGGTAGAACAATTCACCCTCGACCCTGTCCCCGGCGGCGTCCAAGGGCTCTGACTTTGTTGGTTCGAACACCGGGGCAGGAGGGACTAACCTCCCCCGGCTGTCGAACCGGTCCGGGTGGTGCGGAGGAATGGATCGAGGGCCTGACACCCTGGGGGTATAACTGGGCGCAGATACCTCGGCAGACCTCGGTTGGTCAAATGGCTGGTAACTCAGCTCGATGACAGGGGACGATGAATCCGAACTGTGGGAGTAAACGGAAGCACTGTTCTCGAGGTGATCTTGCACCGTGCCTGGCAGAGGCGTCGCCATCTGTGTCGGTTGCTGGATGTTGTATGCCTCAAGGCCGCCTATTTGTTTCGTTGTCGGATCCTCGCCAACATTCAACGCCCCTGCCACCAGCCTCTGTACTCCAGTGACCATCTCCCTCAGCCGCCTGACTTCGTCCTCGCTCTGCCTCAGTTGAGATAAAAGTGCTCTGACTCTCTCTTGACCTTCCTCGGTCATTGCCTGCCCCGGCAGATGCTCACCGCTCTCACCGTGACTCGCTGATGAGCCCCCATTCTCCATGATTCGGACTAAGTTTTCGAGATGAGCAATGTAGTTTTTGGTTTTCAGACGGATGCTTCGCTGTGCCTCGCGGTCAATCGCTCTTTTTCTCTCTCGTTGAGAAGCGGTGAGCTTGAGCGTTCGCTTAGGCCTTTTTGGTGTCGGGTCCTCGACCGGAGGGCCCGCCTCGGTTGGTGGTGGCAGTGGTGCAACCTGGGCATTTTCGAAAGGCTTTTGAATCTGGCCCGAAGTCCTTCGGGAGCTCGTGTTAGAGACGGTGATTGTCGAGGTAGGCATGTCGGAGAGGTGATTGTTAGACCGACGCGGCTGAACTGTGGGTTCAGTCAAGGGTAAAGTATCAGATGGTAACGATTGGGTTGGCTGCTTGGGCATAGTCCTCGAAGATAGTTTTTCCTGGCTGAATGAGTGGAATTCACCGCGACATGAACTTTCTGAGCACGTTCGCAGAGGGTGGGTATTTCAATGATGAGCCTGAGGTTGATACTGGCACTAAATGCGAAGCCCACGTCAACACATGATCAGTCTCGGGCCGTTTACACCGATTTGCGTCGTGAAACACGGGTAGAGGAGAGGTGCAGGGGTCGATAAGAGAGCGACGTCCAATTCTACCAAGCGACTGAACCGTCACTGATCGCCCGCAAAGGATGCCGGATACAGGGGCGAGATGATGGGACCTTGCAGAATCCGGGGCCGTCTTGGGTTTGAAAACGGGAGGAGTCAATGGAATGAACACGGGAGACGAGGGGCGGCGTCAAGTGAGGTGGTACGAGCAGCGTTCCAGTACTTGTCGTAAGCAGTCCGCAAAAGAAGTGAACGAGGTGCAGAAACCATGCCTGGCGCCTTTGGCAAAGAAAGCGGTTCCGTGACCTCACAAAGTCGGTCTCGACCCGATTTCTGTATGATGGGGGCGGGAGACGATAACTTCTCTCTGTCGAACGAGGATATGGATCCGGTTGATCTCGACGGCCAAATTAGCGAGACGAAAATGGATAATGGTTGAGGATGGACAGGAGGTCGCATCGATGGATGAAGAAGTTAGAATGAGTCGAGGGATGGATGATGCTGCTTATCCAAAGTTCCATCGGTGAAGAGCGGCTGTCCGCGAAGAGTTTGGTAGTGGGTGGTAGAAGCTGACCAGTCGCCCACCAGGAGACTGGGGGGGTTGCTCCGGGGAGGCCCACCGGTGGCTCCCTGGTGGCTCTCCCTGGTGGCTTAGGCATGCTTTGGGCGAGACCGGAGAGGATGGAACGGCAGAGGAAGGAGAAAGGCACCTAGAAAACGGCATTACTTAAGCCCATCCGGTAAGGACAGCCTGTGGTTGGTGGGTGCCGCAACGCCTGGGTGCCCGCTTCTGGCGGCACTGGCTCACGGGGGTCCTTGGCTCATCCACCCTTGGTACCAGTGAGAAGGGTCGCGCCCTGGGCCGCTTGCTTACTGAACAACACCCAACGGGTACCAACTGCCCAGCCTAGGGCTAGTGAGGCCCTGATGCGTTGCTCATCCGGGCCCAACGTCAGGGTGCCTTTCCGGCGATCCGGGGTTCCGTGTCTTGCAAACTCTCAGGTAACACAGGATCACCACCGCCAGTCTGGGAAATGAAATGGCACCAGATGGCACTATTCCCGTCTATCAATGCAGGGGGTGCCAGAAGAGCGTCGCAGCTATCGTGACGGGTCAGGCTGCAATTCCTTGCCACTCTTTCTTAGTGTCTCAGCCCGCGGACTGTCATCCCTCTTTCCAGAAAAGCGCCCTGCTCACGGTGGAAGCGGGCAACAACTAGTTGACAATTACGACCCAACCTGTGCGAACGGGATGATGAGGTCTGTCTGTCTTTCAGGGGTTCGGGGCCAAGAGCACGTTGAGAGCCCATTCATCAAAGTCGAAGGTGCCATCTCGTCTTGTCAATCCGTTCTTCTTCGGTCAAAGCGAATGCAACCGTGTCCGGCGAAGGATCAAGGATAACGCGGCAACACATAGTGCAGGTTCAAGGGCGAGGACCAACCCTGGACTTATTCCGATTCAAGTTTCAAGCCAGCGAAAATGACGACTGGGCGTAGTCAGCAGGAACTGACACGTTGAGTGTCAAGAGGCCATAGTCTGACTAGGGGAAGGATCAAGAACCATCCCGTTTCTCGCTTTTTGGGAAGTTATAAGAGAAAGTACAGCCGCGGGCTGTTCGAGATGATCTAACACATCACCGAGTTTCTGGGAACTTCATGAAATTCTGTCGATCGCGGACCAGCGTGAGGTCGCATTCTGTGAAATTGCTCTCTATCTCCAGGGAAGCAATCTGCTAATGAAGTGCCACGAACCTGTTCAAACGCCACGCGCTGTACTGTAAGATACCGGCCCTGGGTCATGCCTCGCCATTTTGCCTTGCCCGTACCTGACGCCTCTATGATGATTTCAATGCATGATGGTGAAGCTCTGTATCTATGCCTCGCTCGTAAAATAGCCCCGGCGCATTATGTTGTAGTCATAGCTCGTCACTGGAGCTGCTTGACACGGTCAAAACGCTCAATGATTAATTATGTCCATAAATGTCGTCAAAGGTCACGTTGCTTCGTGCGTTGCGTCTCTGCTTTCACTCTCCGGATTATTGGTGAACGGTGTCTAGGTGGTTCTCCTTTTCTTCGTCAACCGTGGTGTTGTTCCGTTTTGACCCCAGTGGTGTCGACAAGCTGCGTCGGTGACTTCGACGATGGGCCAGAGCGTCTGGGGCGGTGGTTGAATCGGTCATCTCCCCAATGGGTGTGTCAGCTCGTGATGCTGCCCGTAGACTTGCCGCTCGGTGTCTGCTGGGAACGTCGCGAATGCTCTCTACACTCATACGGGTATGTATGGGGTTGATGTCTTGCTCAAGGCCCATGTCTTGGAAGTCTTTCGTACTCCAGCTCACACGATGGGCCCTTGCTCCATACGGCAGGTTCGATACACTAGTTCGAGACCGCGTGGATTGTGACCGAGACACGCTCACTTGATGACTTGCTTCCTTCTCCGGGTCCATGGAAGCGCGTGGTGACATGTACAGCTCGGCCATTTGGTTGTCTGGATCTTCGTCCTCAATTTTAGGCTGTCGCCGGACGCTCGACACCATAAAGTAGGGTTCTTTCGGACGTTCAGGCTCTGGCGGCGGTGGTGGCGGAGGTGGTTTCGGTCGGTCAGTTGCCTTACGGTCGACATGTGCGAAATATCGCGTTCGAGGTTTCAGCCATGATTTGGGTTTGATGGTCTCTCGGTACCGCGTGATGGACATGTAGCTGGAAATGGCTCCAAGGACGATCGCGATCATCAGACAAATGGTCAAAATCCCCTGGATGACGATGATGACCACTCCAATCACTGTAGTCATGATCCGATCCAGCCCGAATCGAGCGTCAAAGGCTGATGACAAGGCCACCGTCGCCACTTTGCTGAAGCCTAGGAGGTATACCATGATCAAGTTGAGCCGGTTGCTTTCGAATGGCCTCAGCAGGACAATTGCGACCAGAGCAATAATCTCCCAAGCCAGTAGACCGAAGACCTGGGTCAAGGCATGGCCTGCGGCACCGCCGTAAAATGCTGCCCTTACAAGTTCATAGATCAACCAGACGAAGAAAAACCACCACCTGCTCCGGCGGAATCTGGATGCCAGCCAACCGAATCTGGTGATGTAGTTTTCATCGTCATGAACATGAACTCTGCCAGTGTTCGAACCCGAAAGGTGCCTCTGGAGCCACGTTTTCGGTCGGGAGGCCTGGCCTTCTGCGTCCTGGGTTTCTGGCGCTTTCTTAAAGCTGATCTTATACCAAGCAGACTTTCCAAGATTTTCGCTGCCACGAGATTCGTGGCTTGCCTGCTCCTGTAACTCTGGCAAGACCTCAGACTTTTTCCTGTACCAGAGGGCGTATCCGGAAATGCCTAGATTTCCGACCAGGAAAAGTGTTAACATCACTGCTGCAATGGACTTGACGCCGTGGGCGCCCCCCAGCGTGAACTGGAACATGGTCAAGAACATCATCATGAAGAAGGCAATGTAGCATGTCCGCAAGACGGCCACAGCCATGAACCATAGCCAATGCTTCCGGAAATACCCAAGCCGAGTTGTCTTGACTAGTCGCGCGGCGGCCAAGCCTTCGATAGTCCATTTAAGCAGGAACACAGCGGCCAAAAGGCAGGCTATCAGGATGAGGAACCATAGAAGGCCCGTTAGAAATGCGTTGGACGCGGGTATGTTAAGCTCGGCCAAGGTTCCAGCAAAGCCAGAATAGTTCCCAGGGAGTGGCAATCCTGGTAGCACCGGCCTTCCGTACCACGAGAACTGCTGAGTACCGTTCGTGGTGTTCGTACCTTGTCTCTTGAGCAGGTGACCCATGTCAAAGGGATCCCCTTGGAGTGACGCAAACGGCGTCGGAACTGCTCGCTTGTAGATCTGTGAAATTTCATAGCCACCCCCGAGCCCGGAAGCATTTTCGCCGTTAGGAGCGGCGCCGACCGTGCTGATATTGCCGTGGTTGTTACCAATGAACTTGTTGATCGAATTCTGCATCTTCTGGCTGTAGATTATCCCGGCAGACCACGCATAATTACTCCAGAAAGAGACCAGAACACTTGGCCAGTTCATAGATAGCCCTCCAGTAAAGAAGATGTGCTGGTAGACGGAGAACACCACGAAAACAGAGACCGAGTGGGCATAATGCTTTCGGGTCTCGAAAACATCGTGTCCATACATGGCCGTGGCTGCCGAAGATATCAAGGCGACGACGGCAAAGGCGCCGAGCACAGAGGCCACGGCAGACGGATGCGAGAACGAGGCTCCATTGGTCACGACCGCAGAGAAGCAAGCAATTTGAGATTCGGTCGAGTTGGCAAAGATTCGAAGTATGGCCTGTCCTTCGAAGTCCGGAATGGTCAAGGCAATGGAGGGGATATTAGCCACGTCCGACGGCGCCACGGGGATGATGCCATTTGCGTTGATGGGTATGGACGAGTTGAGAGGACAAAGACTGTTGATATTGGCGTTGCATGGATTGAACGTCAGATTAAAACGGGACTGTCCATAAGCGAAAACGCCGATATACACTGCCATGTTCCAGTCAGCGGGCTGTCAGCACTTTAATCTGGAGAACAGTGTAACTCACTCATGAGACTCTCGTTTGTCAACGCAGAAGTTCCCTCCAGATGGAAGAGAACGGTCATGTTGTCCTTGTAGTAGGCGGCATCGAAACGGGTGACATTGATGAGTGAGTCGCCCTGGCAATCTCCATAATCCTGAGTGTACAGGGACGGTCGTCGGTCGTCGTTGAGGTAGACAGTGCCGTCGTTACCTGTATACTCTATCCATCTGATGTTGTCTGCTGCAGCCTGCTGCACATTCAATGCTAGAAGCACAATGACGATCGACCATGCTGTCCACCTGAAGTACCCGGCGCGCCGAAGCATCGACGCCATGGCTGCCAACGGCCCACGCCCGGCTTGTCAGATCGACGAGGATCCTTTTTCTAATTTTGAGTGACTGATCGCAGGATGAAAGATTTTGACATAACCAGATGGATGGAGCTTCGTTGGCTTTAGCTATGCGCAGCTTGACCGATCGGGTTCTTGGGATTAAGTGAGGATTCCGGGATTATGTGCAGATTTCTTCTTTATTCTATCTGGGAGCCCATTCTATGAGAGATCCAGGACGCAGGAGACTTGTGGGCTCAGTTCTGGCAAGGTCGCAGCGAGGGCATCTGGTCGGAGGTTCTGAAATGGTTTGCGGGTCGCTCGGCTAGGGCAGGTCGTGGGGGAGAGGGCGTGTATGTGCAGAATTAAGAGTATTGGACAGCTGTCAACGAAGGGTACGATGTTGTTCAAGGGGTGAGAGTAAAGGTTCGAGCACTTCCAGAGTGACAGAACGAGAGACGATGGGTGGGAACATGTCAAAGACGGGTACTCTTTAGTATGGTGGAAAAGTGGAAGGTGGGCATGGGAATTGTGACTTGGGTACTACTACCACGGCGACAGTGACACCCCACCAACCGGCTGGAGGCACCCAGGAGGGACGTGGCTGGAAAGCTGGAGCTAGCTAGTGGTATCAATGCATGCATCGTCCTACCTTTCGCAGATGGGCACGATGCCGAGACAGCAGCGTGGAGAAAGAACCGAGACCTCCGTTCCGCATGCGTTACTGCGACCACCACCACCAGCTGTTAAGCTCTCCAAGCTCCCTCAAAAGCCCATGTGAAAAGAGGCTAAACTCGCGAGAAAGCTTTACGAACTATGCCTAGTGTCTCGAAAAGCAGGTTTTACGTTAGTTTCCAGCTTCACGGGTCACTACGGAAGTCGGTGCCAATCAAGCTCAATGCATGCAGTGGCATATCGGCAGCATCATCCTTCTGGTGCTTCTGTGTGGCGCTTTCACTTTTGGGAATCAATGACGCGCGGCGTCGGCGCTGTTTATCCGGCGAGCGGCTCATGGTGGGGGAAACAGCGCCAGCAGTGACGTATTGACTATTGACTACTGACTATTGACTGCCCATTCCATGTACCGAGTACAGTACAGTGAGACGATTGAAAGATCTCTATCAACCTGACGATCCTTCATCTGTCTCATTCATGTCTGTTTCTCGTCCACAATGGCACTGCAGGCAAGGAGGTCCAGAAGCACACTGGTGTCGGTAGTTTATACCTCGTGTTCGCATGCATCAGTATCTATGTACGAGGTACCTCGTATGCCCAACCTCGATCCTGTGTAACCAACCCATCAATTGTGGGGAGGCTCGTATTTTCCGTGCCGTGTTGCAATCATCCCGCTTCTGCAGGAATGCTTGTCGACCCCTTCTCGTTCTCCATTTCCCTGCTGCACCATGACATTACACTTTCTATCCACAAATTGACTGCGGTGAGCCACAGCGGCACCGGTAAATCTCACTCCAAACAAGTTCGCGGCGCTGATCAGCATCTACCAGGATCTGAAATTTTTTTAAGAGAAACCGATCTGTTTTATTAATTCCACTGGATCTGCGGCTGACGAGGTGGCTTGCACGGCGTGGAGCTTCGTCGGGTAGTACAACCGTGAATATGCAGCCCGGTTGAGATGAAGCAAAGCTGTGGAGGCTAACGGTCGCGACAAGAGACGTCCCAAAAGAAAAATAAGATGGTTCCATATCTTTCTATCCCAACTTTCACAGTGTCTTCTCGATCTCGTCCACGGGCAACATCACCTCAACAATCTTCTTCTTGACCGCTTCACCGGGCTCTTCATACGGTCGCCGAGGTCGCAGCATGGCCTCAAGATCGCCTTGAACTCCGGCTTTCTTCGCACTGAACTGACTCACGGCATATTTCGTCGTGGCAATCCCGGCTTTTGTGGGGTTCTCGGCATGAGCAGACAATCTCTGCAGTGCCAACGCTTGGTCATGTTTGCCCATTTTCCACAGGTCGAAGACTTTGACGACTGTCTTGGGGAATATGTTGGCAAAGGCAGCAATGCAACCGGCCGATCCAGCCGCCAGGCCACCGACTAAGAAATCCGACTGCCCACCAAACACCGCAAATCGCTCGGGGTGGAAGGTGGCCGACAGCCGTGTGACCTTTCCCACCGAACCACAGGTCAATTTGACCCCAACAATGTTCGGAAACTCTTGCGCCAGAGCCGCAATAGCATCCGAGTCCAGGTCGAGGCCATTACACACGGCAGGGAAGTTGTAGATGAGGATGGGAAGAGGAGAGGCTTTCGCGACGGCGGCGTAGAAGTTGTGGACGACGGTAGGTGTGGTCTGCTTGCCGAAGTATGCGCACGGGAGCACGAGGACATAGTTCGCCCCGGCAGCATGGGCGTCAGCGATGTACTCAAGCACCTGTGCAGTCGAGTGCCCTCCGACCCCGGCAATGATGGGGTAGTTCTCAGGAACGGACTTTCGTGCCAACCGCAGGAGCGTAGCTCTTTCGTCGCGGGTAAGCAGAAAGGTCTCTGCATTTGTGCCCAAGATGACGAGTCCTTTCAGCCCCGAACTGGCGAGGTAGGAATAATATTGCGCTTGTTTGTCTGGGAGTAAGGTATCGGTGGCAGGATCGAAGAAAGTGACGGCAGGACAGTACACTCCCGCTGGAGGGACGGGATAGGCGTGGGGGGTCGGATCTGTAGAGCCCATGTTGCCTGAATTGATTCCTTGAAGGAAGGTTACTGGTCTTCAGGTGAAGGTAGTGATAGACAGACTGCGCCCTGGAACAAAATCCTCTCGTGAGAAGATGCATCGTTTTTATCATGCTGAGCCAACACCTCCGACAGCGGCACAGTCAATCGGTAACTGCGCCGTCGCCATCCTTGCCCGTGTTTTCCCCTCGCATGCGGGGACGCATTGAAAGGATTCTCAGGCGTTTCTATTGGCGATGCGGTCCTCCCTTTCGGCGTGAGATATGCCGGAGTCACGACTAGGCCAGCAGAGAAGGGATGCCCTGGCCACGGAGATACGAGTACAGACCTCAGGGATACACATCGGATCACCTTCGTCGAATCTGGTTCCTCTAGCAGAGAAAAGAACGTGTGCATCCAGATGCAGAGCCAACGAGATGGACAGCGCGAGCCAAGAGTGAAGATGCAAAATGCTGCTGCTTAGCAGAAGAGAAAAGAAAGTCAAAATCCGGGCCAAATATGCATCTATTTATTCGCTCTTCGTTCTGGTGCCGAAATCCTGGTTTGGAATATATTCCTCTCGTCTCACCAGTATCCTCCACTTGTCTGCAGGCTGTCTGCCACGAGTAACGCCGAGGAGACAGTTTTCTTGCACAAACCAGAGCATTTCCGATTTCGAAGCAACTAGGCAGTGCGAGACGGTCGTCCGGCTTATTCGAAGTTCAAGACAGCCATTTCGACTCGATCAACAAGACGGACACACAGTATAACTAACAACATTGACGACCAACGAATCTCTTGAGGACCTGTTCCGGGGACGCAATATCTCTTGCCTGAGGAATTGGGCGATGGCCCGATCTGGAAGATCAAATCTGGCGCCCACACCTTCGACAACTTTCAAACTCGACCGAGACTGGCGCTCTCGGAGGCGATACCAGTCGAAGTTGGGCTTGTTTATCCTCATCTTTATTGCAGCTCTCCTGGCTTTCCCTCTACTGCGCCACGCACAAGACGACACTTGTTCAGCTTCTCCTTTTCTCGTTCGGACTGGTCTGTGCAGCACTGTTTTTCATGCTTTGTGGAACTTGTTTCATCACCTGGGCGGAAACGGTCCTTGGATTCACAAGGTAGACAGTGTTAACTATTATAACTCGCCCCTCCCCAAGAAATGTTCCGTTGATCAAGTTCACATGGTAAGGTACAAATATGTAGACAGCACTCGGCAGGCTGGCACCCTCCGTGCTAACTTCTCTAGCTATCACGGCACGCTGAGCGATACCCGACAAAAGCTGCTGGCTCTCGTGAGTTGCTTTGGTGATCTAAAACCGGGGAGGCACTAACGGACTTGACCAGGTCACGTCGATCTCCTTAACCGACTTCAGGGCACAAGGGTGAATCTCACGGGGTCGCTCTCATTTCTCGAAGAATGGACCTATTTTACAGATCTCTCTAATCCTGCGTTCGAGAATTTGACTGCCACGGGCCCATATGCTGGAACACGACAGGCTTCTAACACGGGGAGAATTCTGCGGCAGCGGTACAACCATCTTGTCCCCGAGGGTCGCCCAACCAAATTCTGGTCTTGCAGCTCCCCACGGGACGTGGAGACTGCTGAACACTTCGCCACTGGATTCTTTGGCTCAGACTGGAAGTCTGATGGCTCAGCAGTGCTGGTAGTCATTCCCGAGGACGAAGATCGAGGCGCAAATACGCTTACACCAGGAGACACCTGTCTCAATTACCGCGACGACAAAGAGTACGGCCATGACCACGGTTACGCAAAGCTGGCAGAGTGGCAGAGCACATTCTCCCGGGCTATCAGCGAGAGACTCGCCAACGACGCAGAGGGAATGATATTCAGTCCCCTCGAAGTCTATGGTATGATCGATTTGCTTCCCTGGGCCCGTGTCACGCTCGAGAACTTTTTGCGATTCGCATGTGTTGGTTATCAAACGGGAGCTGACAGATATCCACAGGCATGATGGAAATGTGCGGCTTTGAGATCCTGGCAAGGGGAAAGAGCCCGTGGTGTGATGTATTCGAGCAGCGTGAGTGGCTCGAATTCGAGTATGCGCGAGACCTGCTGCACTACTATCGAGCTGGCCCAGGCAACAAGTTTGGGGCAGTCTTGGGTTGGTTGTGGCTCAATGCGACACAGCAACTCATGTCCAACCACTCGTCCAGAGACGTCTATTTCAGCTTCGTCCATGACGGTGACATCGTCCCTGCAGTGACCACGTTGGGAATCTTTGATGATTCTTTGGATCTGGGTCATCTTCCCACTGACCGGCTCGTGCCCGAGCGGAAATGGAAGACCAGTGACGTGGTGCCAATGGGGGGACGGTTGATATTCGAACGTATAACCTGTGAGACGAATAGAGAGGAACTCGCAACAGGCCGAGAGCATGCCGTACGGCTCTTTATCAATGACGGCCTGATCGATCTGACCAAGTTGCCCGACACGGTCCCTTTCAGTGCCATAGAAGGTGCCGTGTCGTTGGAAAGCTTCCAACACACCTTGTCCACCAAAGGGACACAGCTGGGGGATTTCCGAGAAATCTGCTCTTTACCCAGCGACGCACCAGATCGAATCAATTTTTTACATCAATAGGACAAGAAAAGGTATATAGACAGTGATAGAATCAAATACAATTGTGGACAGAGCCAACGGCGTAATGAATAAGGCTGGAGTGTATTAATAGCATCTCCTACTGCGCACAGGGTAATACCTCGTACATACTGAAGTAATAGAGCCTAGTGAGCCCAAAACCCCTGAAATTCGGGTTATTTGGGGAACACGGCCCGAGGCTGAACCAAATCTCAATGTTTCAGTGGGTTGCACCTCGACCAGAGCTGATCTCACGCTGCGGCTGACACAGCGCACAGGGGCTGAAAGATATAATACTGTTGAAGACAGGTTGCTTTACCATTCACTTCAGGAAGCCTGACGAGCTTCAACTTCTTCTGCATTCCCAACAACAGCACCAAGTATTCACGGTTGCCCTTGGACACACTCTCTCACCCAGCAAGAAATCCACTCCAACTCCAGTCCTGCGACGCGGGTAAACAAACACCAGACTGCACACACTATCTGCAGTGACCCTGCCGACGAACCCATTCCACTCCCTCTGATACCCTTCATTCGAGCCAGAAGTCCTCTCGAGAGCCTTATCTTCTCGTGTTCCTGCGATCGATAGCCTAGTGGCGAGAGTCTGCGGATTTTATCAAATCCCTTGTTTTGGAAAAGTGATAAAAGAAGGACATAAACCCGACCAACAACGAAGAAGCAGCACCAGCACCAGCACCAGCACCAGCGATGGCCGACCTACAAACGCCCACCGAAGCAACGCTTCTGTCGACGTCGAACTCAGCGACCGAGTACACCACCCCAGTCTCAAAAGAAGCAGCTACACAGGTCTCACTCGTGCCCGAGCCGACACCTGCCCCCACAGCGACAACCACAGTGACTATCAATGGTGTCGCAGACGCAAGCACCAGCACTGCTACCCTTACAAACGGCACTGCACCTACACCAGCGGCGACCTCTACGCCTGCCCCTGTAGCAGATGGATTGGCCCAACACGGCAAACCAGCCAACCTGAGGGAGGAAGATGACCCGCTGCTGTTTTCCCCGTCGCTCATTTCCGAAGAAGTCATGTCACGACTGCCCGAGGGCTACACGATCCGCCCTCTGCGACGGAGCGATTACTATGGAGGTACGTCTTGGCCTTGAGCTCCCTGGAGTCACAGACATCATATTCCCAATTTTGGCAAGATACAAACCCGTGTACTGCGCAAGAGGTTGACCTAACCCTCTTCCTGCTCCAGGCTTTCTTCCCACCCTCCGCGTTCTCACCACCGTGGGCGAGCCCACGCTGGCCGAATTCAACGCGCGCTACGACTTCATCTCCTCGCGCAACGACACCTACTACATCCTGGTCATCTGTGACGAGACGTCGACCGTCGTGGGCACAGGGGCTGTGATCGTGGAGCGGAAATTCATCCACAATATGGGCCTGGTGGGCCACATCGAGGACATTGCGGTGGCGAAGAATCAGCAGGGCAAAAAACTCGGGCTCAGGATCATCCAGGCGCTGGACGCGGTGGCCGAGAGAGTCGGCTGCTACAAGAGTATTCTGGACTGCAGCGAGGCCAACGAGGGGTTCTACGTGAAGTGCGGCTTCAAGAGGGCCGGGCTGGAGATGGCCCATTACTATGAACAAGGCCCAAAGTCGAGTTACGAACGGTCGTGAGGGGCGATCTGGGCCGTCGGAGCAGGTTAGGAAAAATCGTTGGGCGGCGTCGCTGGGAAAGAATGGGTCTGGGATTGGCGCTGTGCCGGTTCCTGTGGAAAGAGTGGTACACCTGCTGACACGCCACCACTTCGCCACGAGGTCGAAGATGAAGATGCGTCTTATACTGCTATGGATGGACGTTCTGACGAGTCTATCATGGGAAGCGAGCTTTTATGTCTGCGATAAAGCGATTCTGCGGGGGATAGAGAAAAGACAAATAAATTAACGAGAACTGTGTCGGAGCCACCAGCCACGGAGACAGGAGGAGCTGGAAGACAGAGGACGAAGAATGAAGGAGACATGCCTCGCAGACACAGACACATACACAGAGGAAGAAAGAAAGAACAGGCCAGTTCGTCCGCCCGTCTGCGGGTCTATCATCGGCCTCCTCAAAAAGTATCGAGTATTTCTATTTCTTTCTCTGTCCTTTCTCCTCCGAGTGTTTGGCGGCCCCATGTCTGGTCCTGGGCCCGGAAAGCAAGTCAGGGGGGCTTTGTTTACATAGAGCGTTTCTATGAGGTCTCATGGAACGAATCCTTTGAGGACCAGACAGACCGACACACAGACAGACAGACAGAAAGAAAGAGGAGGGAGGGGACACGGGGTTCCTTTTTTCTTGAACAGGATATTGGAACAACCCAGTCGGGAAGGTCAAGAGGGTACCAATATGGGCTGGTATGTCATATATCAACATATCTCTGTGTGTGTGCCACTCCTGTTCCGTTTTCCTTCCTGTGGAGATTCTTTCCTTCTATCCCTACACAGCGAAGCTTTACTCTCTCATGCCAGGCTTGCAAGACCTTCATGATTTCTCGCGGCAAGTTATTCCTCTTCCTTTTTTTCTTTTTTTGGGAGAGAGGGTGGGAGAGGGGTTTGGTTACAATGCTCGGTAGTCGATGGATAGATGCTTGAGGGAGATGAGAGGAAGAAGTTGATTTGCAACTACCGTCAATCTCTCCCTACTGCTGATCGCAAAGGGGACCAGCTCGAGCGAGACGCTTCTGCTACCAGCGGAAAAGTCTTTGCCTCCGGTTTCCATGGTTGAACGGATGTATACAACCTGGCACGGAGTCATCTTCATATTAGGTGCAGAGGTTCAGTCCTGATGGAAGAAGACAGTTCCGGTGTACCTATCACCTATTTCGTCCCAAGCACCGACCTGCATACCTTCACGACATTTCTTACGGGACGGAGTGAGTCAAGCATCTGCAGCCTTGGAACCCCTGAACCTTTGCCCTTCTTTTCTCCTTTAGAATCGTGGCATGGGAGGTTGGGAGCGGACGGCGTCAACACCATGGACAGGAAACTTCGAGGCTGTCTCTGGCTTCCACGAAAGAAGGTGATAGGGTCTCCGAGCCGTATCTCCCTGCCTTCTATTGTTAGGACATATCCGGCAAGTCAGAGCTCAAGGTCGATCGATCTGTGTCCGTTTGAGACTTTTTTTGGCCAGCTGCACAGCCTTCTTCCCTTCTTTTCGGCCCCTTCACAGACCAAGTATGGGCACCAGCTCAAGCGCAAGTCTTGAGAGGGCATGCTTTCTTGCTCGCTGCATGTCATCCGGCTCGCGCCGAGTTGCGCGGTTTTGCATTCTCTTTGCATGGTGAAACCGAGAGCCTCGCCTCCGGCCAAGCAAGGGGCGTCTTGAAACAGGCAGACGAATCCCCTGTGGAGCTATTGCCTGCTTTTACCTTGATTAAAATGGCGAGCGATTCACACATCTCGCTCTTCTGTAAGCATTATGACTCAGGTCGTCCATTGTTGGTTCGCTTGAGTGACACGTGACCCGGATGTGTTAGGCAGCACTCAAAATCTCCCCTCTCAGACCTTGCAGATCATGTGGCGCTGATATTTGCAACAGGCTTTGATGTGCATGGGACACGTATGAGTGCGAAAACCCTGAGCGCCCCCGCGTTAGCAGATGGCGAGGCGAGGTTGATTGTTTGAGTCCGGGAGACGGGTTCGCTGCTCTGCTGCTGATCAGAAATCATAGCTGGTTCTTACCTGGCCGCTTGAATTCGTGCGAAATTTGACGACGATGATGATCAACTTTGATCTTTCCATTTCCTACTCATGGACTGGTCTTACCTTGAGGCTGCTGGTGGAGTGTTAACCGCCGGCTCTCCGCGTCAGCTTCCAGAAGACTGTGGACGTGATTGTCACAGATGGATTGGGATCCCCGTATTCGGATGAGTCCAAGGGATGCTACTGAGCGGATCTCAAGAAATCGTGCTCACGTCCGATGTCATCTGGCTCCCATCTAGGCAGCAGGCAGCCTGGACCATCGAAACCGACGTCTTGACAACGACATTCCCCATAGCAGTGACTGCTGGGTCTGAGTTGGCGGCATCTCACGGGATTCTAGCACATCCGGTCGCCGGAGTGGTGCCCATCGTGCAAGGCCGCAGGGCGTTGGGCGTTGTTGCCAGCGTCTGATGTTGCATTCCTGCATCGACGACGGGCACCAACGGGCTTGTTGTGATAGAAGTCTATGTGATGACAAATGCAGAGATGTTGACAGGCAGGGGCGGCATTCGCGTCGCCGCTCACAAGTCGACCGAATTTGTGCAATTTGCACAACTCTGGCAGGGCCCCAGAGGAGATGGCCGTGCGCTTTTCTGGCCAAGCGACAGCGAGCCCATCAAGTCCCGAGGGCTGGTACGAGCATCTCGACTTGTGTTCACAAATTTGGCTTTTTCGAGTAGCAGTCAGTCATTGGGTCGGCAGGAGTGCTTCTGCCTGTTTTTGGTGGCCAATGTTGGCCGCACTGCTCTCCCATCTCGGAAAATTGAGGAACGTCTGATCCGTGACCTGGGCTCGCTGGCTCGCTGGGCACTCGCCAAGAGGAAGTTTAGGCTGCCCCAAACTGGCAAGGATAAGATTTCAAAAATGGGTCGCGCTGCTTTCTATTCCCGCCCGCCCTCAGCCACTCGCAAAGGTAAGGCAGCCTCCAGCAGACCTGAACCCAGCCCCCAACTTCGCCGCGTCTAGCAGGACGCAGCACACGGGAGGTATGTTGGAATACTTGATATGAGGCTGATTCTAGGTGAAGACGTAAGTTTTGCCGTGACTCTGCAACAGGGAGGAGGCTCCTGATGTTCCTGGAAACACCAGTGGGATCCATCAGCCCTCATCCACCGGTAGAACAGGGAGGCAGCGGAATCACCGCCCAAAGGAGGCAAAGTGGCGGTTTGCCGCCCGGTTTGACTCACGCTCTTTCTGCAGTTGGGCTTCGTCCTCCCGGTCAGAGTGCCGGTCACCCACCCACCACACCTGGCCACGGCAACATTGCCCTTCGCTAGGGGGGCGAATCAGGCTGGCGATGATTCACCACCACGCGGGGTGTTGGCTGGCCCGATTGGAGAGTGCGTCGCGTTGTCAGACACTGATTAGTTGTGCTTAGCTTGGTTTGCTCTTCTTCCTCTTGTGTGTTTGACGTATTCGCACAGTTACACATGCGGCCAGCCTCATGTTGACCTGGCGGTGGTGGCCGGACTCTGTCTGTCTCCCAGGTGAACCAAGAAGGCCAATATAGGGCTTGGGGGAGGCATAAGGAGCTCGATCCGGCGAGCCGTCAAGGAACAGTTTATGAATGGAACGACGGACCTGGATAGCAATCTATTAGCGGAGATGACTAACAGAATCTGATATAATCTTCGTTCTGGCAAAAAATCCCAGCGAGCTTTATTGGCTGTTGTGTTTCGCCAGCGTTCTTGGTTGCACAGAACTGGGAGGGCGAGCGGCTGTAGGTTTCTTGACCGAATGCTCCGTACTCCGTGCTCGGGCTGGAGAAGCACATCATCGACGCCTTGTTTGCAATGAGGCCCAGGAAAGGCCCCAACTGAGGGCCGCCTATCTTTTCCCATATGGTCTGTTGGATGAACTGGAATCCCAACGGAGCAACGAAGAGGCCATAGGAGGGAAAAGACAGGCAAGAGGAGCCACCGTAGTTTGTTTGTAGGGGACATGCTTGTAGGCCCAGGCAGTGTCGTTAGGCTAGAGTCAATCAATAATAATAAGCAAACTTCCAGAGGGCACTTCATGCCTGGTCCAGACAGTGGGTGTGAGTGAGTGTTGGGGGGGAGAAAGGTCAAGGGTGGGTGTGTGTCGCTAGGGGGAGCACTGGGGGGTCTCAGGTTCAGGTTGGAATTTGAGTCATCGGCTGATGATCTGAGGCCGCTCGCTGTTCAGCGGTGGGCGAGCCATCCAGTGCAGTGGCGAGGGTGCCACCCCCAGCCCTTATATCCTCCATACCACCGCCAGCGGCCCGGCATGAGGTCCTCCTCTACCACCAGACAAGATGAAGCAATCCATGGATCGCAGCACTGGCTGCTCGTTATACTTTGTTCACATCTGAATCCCCCTGAGGACGTACTCTGGTCATAAGACGCAGGTTTTCGCCAACCCGACGCACTCGATCTCCTCTGTAAGCCCTTCCAGCACTCCTGGCTGCGAAAAGCATCTCTCTCGCATATCGCCACAAAGAAGAAAGACTCACATCGAGACTGAATTGCTGTCCAAAACACATCGACTGACTCACGGGACAATGTCTGCCTATAGACACTGTATATTTAGGACCATTTTATATTTGCCACGACCGCCGCCGAGTACACAGATACCCAGAGACACGGGCTGAATCCAGATCGGAGCGTCTCCCGTCTCTCAACCACCGAGTCTTGTCACGCATTCACTCCCTCCAATTCACATTTACCTCTTAATCACCGACACATCATCGCCGCCGTGTCTACGGGACCTATCTTCAATTACCTCTCTCTCACTGCCCTCTGAACCAAACCTTGCCGGTTGTTTCGTGCCTTGAAAAGAGTCCTCAGAGAACACGGCCTAACCCACACCTCTCCCGTCAACACTCTCCACTCCCATCAGAGTCATCAGGACAATTGGTCATTAGCCATGGTTTCTTGGTCGCTGTCATATATCCACGAAGAACCATCTGCACGCCGAAGCCCACCGCCAGAGTCACGAATTGTTTTGGTAACGCCTCACCAAGATCGGTTTGAGACAGACGAGCATTTGTACCTCGAGATCTGCCTCAGTCAGTTGGCCTAGGCTCAACTTTCCAAGGCGCGTCAGATCTCGTGCTTGTCGTGATCAAGCCAGCTTGCCAAACAAAACAGTTCTTCAGTGCTCTGACTTGCGGTGGGTTCGCCACCCATTGCCTTCGGTAAGAATGAATACAATCCAAACAAAGGACAACATGCTCATTCCGCGCGGCAGGTTCTTCTAATCGGTTATTCTTCTATCAGCGTGGATATTTTGTAATTGAAACCGTGAACGCCACCAACTCGGGACGGTCTTCTCAATCCTTCGAAATCGCAGGATCAGTTGGCCTTTGCGTATCTAGAAGATGGGCTTTGAGGAGGTCGCAGCCTTCTCCAACTCTCATCCCCCCCAAAATATACAAGATTCAGTCGAAAGATGGCTCTCTCCGGTGTCGAGGGAAGAGCCGGGCCGATTCTACAACTACCGGCAGTCCCATGAACGATGGGCCTTCAATACCTATAACGTGAAACCGGACCTCGATCAAACCAGCACTGCTTCCGTTGACGACGATATCAGTGTGAGCGATTCGGCACATGAGTCGTACTCTTCCGAGTCATCGTCTCAGACGTCATGGACGTCAACAACCGATCCTGGCGACATCTTCCTGGACGAGGACGGCAGAGAACCACTCCCGCCTCTCAAGAAGGTGCTCTCTCACCCACCACTGGAGCCCCAAGAGCTGTTGCATGGACTACAGATAAAAGATGCTGGCGCTTCTGACAACAACTGCGTCATTGGGTATGCCTATCGTAGCCTCAAGGCTCGAGTCTCAACTCATCTCCAACAGTCTGGTAAGGCATGTCTACGACTCGGTCGTGGTGGTGAAGCCAGCTTTGACCCAGATGCGCAACACTGGAGTGCTCGGAGGAACGCTTGTTCCCTCAGGAGACAATGCCCACCCAAGTTGAAGAGAGACACCGACGTGACAGAGCAATTTGTATCTCTGCTCATCATCTTTGCCAAGAGACTGATCACCGCCATATGGCCCCTCTCTGACCGGCCGCCGATGATGTCGGACTGTTTCAATGGCGCTGGTGTATTACGTCTGGATACCTTCATCAAGGAAACTCTCCGACGCTCCAAGACAAGCTACTCGACTTTGCAAGTCGCGCTGTACTATCTCATCCTCCTCAAGGCCAGGATGCCCCATGGCCAGTCCAAAGCCGGTTGTCGAGGCGAGCAGTCTGAGAGATCTCAGTGTCGAGCGATGCAGTGTGGCCGCCGCATGTTCTTGTCGGCGCTCATGTTGGCTTCGAAATATTTGCAAGATCGCAACTACTCGGCCCGGGCTTGGAGCAAGATATCGGGCCTACGAAGCAGTGAAATCAATGAGAACGAAAGGGAATATCTCGCAACCATCAACTACGACCTGCATGTCCCGAAAGAGGCTTTTGACAATTGGAGCAAGATTGTTTTGGTCTTGAGTAAATTGCCCAGCGAGGGGTCTGCGTGCCGGCCAGGCTCTTTCGATGCCAACTTCGGCCCCCCTGGTGGCCGTGCCAACACTTCCTTGACCGCCATGATCTCACAAGTGGGGTTGGACGAGAGCGTCAACGACCATCTGTTCTCAGAGACGTGGTGGACAGCTTTACTTCGGAAACTAGACCCGAGCATTGTCAAAGACACGACACATGTGGACGACTTCTTGCGTGCCAATATACCTAGCGACAAGATGGACGTCGTCACGTCCCTTGCGCATCTCAGCAAGCAAGAGAGCAGGCGACCGGAAAGCGCAGAGGCTAACTCTCATGGCTATGATTTGAATTTCAGCGAAGCCTTGAAGACACGCGCCCCCGAGCCAACCAAGACTCCAGCTGTTCCAACTGCCCAAACTCCTGTCCAGATGAGTCCCGCGAAGGGTCTCGCACTACCGAGTCGTCCTCAGCTCGGAAACCTTCCGACCCCGCAGACTACTCCTCGCATTCCGGATCAATATTCGTGGGAGCGAAGCTGTGGCCGACCTTCTCTTCGCTGCTCCGCCTCGGTGGATGCGCTGCGAAGCATGCGGAAGCAGTGTTTCATGAACGCTAGTCTCGAACGTTGCCCCCCTCCTCGACCCCAAAGCCTGGTTCTGCCATCTGTGAAGTGCCTTTTGCGTCCTGCCGAGACAATTCAGGAACTTCCCAGTCGGTCAACCACCCCAGTGCTCTCATCACCCGCCTCGACCGCTTCGGACTCGACGACTGTGACGTCGCGATCCCGGTCGTCATCAATTTCATCCAACTCGTCGTGGTCGTCCTGGGCACCAAGCATACCGCCGCTGCGGAGAAGGGTGTGGAGCGGCATCAGCTCTCCTTTATCTCGAGTGTCTTCGCTGTCAGACCGGCATTGCAAGCCCGTCTCGACGGATTGTGAAAGTACCGAGACGACTCCCAATCAACAAGGCTGCGCCGAGGAACCTCTCCACCAACATTCGAACAACATCCCTACTAGTTCTGAGGTCGCTGCCATCCGTGGACTCATGTCATTGTCAGCGCTGACGGAATCACCGAGCCAGAGTGTCACCCCAACACCTCGGCGACTCGCTGACACAGGTGAGGGCGTGGCTCATCAGAGCCATGATCACCCCAGGGGACAAAAGAGGACTCTCTCCAAGGTCGACTCCGAGCTCCATGCCCAAGTAAGGAGCATTCTGTCGCAGAGCCAGACACACATGGGCGTCGTCGAAGATTCTCTACCACTTTACCCCTGCATCACACCCACGCAACTGCAGCATCCAACCAAGCTTCTGACCGAGTCGCGGAGAGCAGTCTCCAATGCCACAGGCACGAAACGTCATTGCTCCATGCAACACTCTTCCTCCACGCCTGACCTGTCCATGCGCTTTCTCACAGAAGGCATCATCGCATCTTGATGTTGGATGATGTAGAGAGTTGCCGTCTCGTACGAACATCTCGTGACCAGGTCTGTGTCCGGTATGACGGTTTCCGTGATCCTTCGTGGCTGTGGGGTCTCGTCGGGAGCACTCTGTTACCACGGCTGCCTTTGCTGTCGCTGTCGTATGCGCGATTGGAGACACGATGCCGCGCCGGGTGTAACCCTGCCTCTGACGAGATGGTGCCGGACGACACCCAACGTCCTGTACCTCTGTCCTATATAGCCCACAACGGCTTCCGGACCCGTCCACAAGACTCTTACACAGACGAGCAGTCAACTGCCACAAGCATCTACGCCATGTCAAATGTACAAGCGGGACGCAGGGCAAAGTGGAAGGTCCCGAAAAAGCACCTGTTCACTATCCAAGTTAGCAGATAACAACAACCTCACCATCCATCTTGATATCAAATCTATCGCCAGGACGAATCAAAGGGATCCAAGTGGTGCGGAGGAATACTCGCATAATCATGTCAGCGCTATCATGTTAATTGTATAGCTCATGCAAGTCAATTTTTTTTTTCTCTTTGACTATATCGTCCTCCGTGATTAATGTCCCTGTCCCTTGTTCGTTCCTACTACTGGCGGATAATCCGTGATCTGATCATCCTGCTAAGCCCGTCCTGCGTTCTCTCTTTCTTTTCGACGCTGTCTGACCTCATGTTCCATCTACCTATCCTTTAACCCCCCATCACTGACAATCAATCATCCCCTCCTGTTCCTCCCTCTGGTCTTCCGCGGCGGTGTGCGTTCTTGGGATCGCCCTTCACCTTTCATTCTGAGGGAAAGCCCGAGGCAGTGTACATACTTAGTACCTCGCGTCTTACTGACTGAGTATTGGCGCGTTGGCGACTCGGCGTGCTCGGCTAGGGCAGTGTGTGAGTGATGTACTTGACTGATTGATTGGACTGACAAGCCACCTGGTGAGCGCCCGATATCGGGAACACAAGACGCCGTTTGTTACCTTTACTCTCTTGGTTGGCTTGGCGCCTGTTCACCGCCTCGGGTCACGAGGGACGAGATTAGATAAGATCAGCCGCGGATAATGAATCAAGATAACTAACTCCTAGCACATCGTGTTCCGTAGCCCATCCTCCGCCGCGGTCACCATCTCCATACGCAAGTATCATCTGCTCTTGACGGAGAGATCCTACTACTAGCGAGACCTGCGATACCTAGAAATACGTTCTGCCGGTAGGTGCAGGAAGACCTATCCATCACCCTGACCAGCCGAAAGTCGATTCAATTGCCCATAGGCCTTGACGGGGAGGGTGTTGACTAAACACGCTACAGGACTCTGCTCCCTGCAAGTACTTGCTTGTCCATATACCCACCTAGGTATCTCCTGTCCTACAGCCTCAAGGGGTCTAATAGATAGGTGACACAAGCCAAGGGGCGCGAGCAATCATCACCATCCACCAGCACCAACTATTACCACCACCTTCATCACCATCACCATCACCATCGCCAACGCCAACCGGCACTCCCGACTATATTATTCCCCGTTGGCCTCCCCTCCCGATCATTCATCATCATCTTCTTCTACCTCCCACCATCCGACTGGATTCTGAGCACCCTGTCCGCCAAGGAACGACGCAGGGACAGGATCAACCGATTTCCCCCAAAAGGAACGGGGCGCGATCAAATACACACTGATACACATACACCCAGCACCCACAACATACATTCCCCATACGCGCAGGTCTTAGAGCCGCACCCTCGAACAATGAGGATCCATTCGCCGTGGACGCTGGCGGCGGTGGCGGTGCAGATTCTGGGCCTGCTGGGCCCGCGGGCCGCATTGTGCGCGCCCCCGGCGGTGGGCGTGGCCGTGATGGAGAGGCAACACGGAAGACACCATGAGCAACAACAGGACGGCCAGATGAATATGGTGGTGGGTCCGTCTCCGCTGGCACCGGAGGAGCCACCACGCGAGCGGTGGGAACATGAACAGCAGGAGCAGCTGCTCGGTGAGAGTCCTTCTGCGGCGGGCGCGGGAATCGAATCGTTGTTCTCGGATACGCCGTACAGAATAATCCCCTTTCCGCCGCTGTTCGCCGAGTCGATCGTGGCGCAGCAGGCACGCACCGCCTCCTCCTTCAACGACGAGGACGACGATCGTCACAGTGAAGAAGACGGTGGAACAAAAGACGGCCAAGACTCAGACTCAGACAATCCCACCGTCTCCCGCCCGACGCGGTACTACTCGACCGTGCTGGGCCGACGGCTACTGGCCCTGTCGTCGCACGGGGTCTTGACGACCGTGTTCCCCGCGAACCTCTCGTCGTCGGATCCCTCCACCCACGGCGTCCCCGCGTCGGTGGCGGACACGCCTATCGGGCTCCCCGAGTACATCGCGTCGTGCGAGGAGCCGAGCGGCAACCCCACGATCCTGTCGCTCAAGGTGTCGACGTCGACGCGCAACGCCGTGGCCGGCTCCAACGTGTCGCTGACCCTCAGCTGGTGGGACGAGTACATCCACCTGACGGGCAAGCAGCCCTGGGCCCTGGCCAACCTCCCCCGCCTGAGCCTGACCGGGTACCTGGAGGAGATCTCGGCGGACGAAGTCAGCCAAAACTCCATCGAGACCTGCTTCTTGCAGAAGCACAGGGACAGTGTCATGTGGCTGCCCGGCCGGAAGTGGGCGGCACATCAAGGCTATTGGACTCGGCTGGTCGTGACGCAGGCGTATTGGATAGGCGGGTTCGGGGACAAGAACTATATTGGCTGGTTTGACCCTGACGAGTGGAGGACGGTGAGGAAAGAAGACTGGGAGGGTGTTAGATTGCCGGGGGAAAAGGAGTGAAGGAATTTGTTTTGGGCTCGGCACGAGAACTATCTGGTGAGAGCCGGTGCATGAATAAGGTTGGCAGAAGAGGAAGGAGAACATATTCAACAGTGATCACAGTCTGGGTTGGAAAGAATACTAATTCATTGTCTGTAGAATCTTTTAAGAGTCACGATCACTTCTGCTCCCTCCACGCCGGCTTGTTGGTAACGGTGACCACCTCCAGTCCTAGGTGAATAGGTCGACGACGATCCATGATGTGTGATACACTAGGATAAGATGTTGATTGCATAAAAGCCAGGGACTTCGTGCCCAGTATTGACCGCTCGCTCATATTCCACAACCAGGACGTTGTTCATGCTGGAGACAACAGGCTGGCATCTATTTCTTCTCGCCGGAAATGCTGCTAGCAAGATCTGAGAACATTGTCAGCTTGAGCACGCGAAGAAGGGGGGGGAATATGCGTGACCTGACGCAGCTTTGCTAGCGCTGTTCAGAACATTGGCGGTCATCTCTTGAGCTTGTTGCAGATAAGTCTTGCCTGAGTCCTGTGCGGCCGAGGTGTTGGAGCTAGCAGACTGGCCGATGGAAGAAGCAGTGTCTTGTGCCTGCTGGCCCAAATTGGAGGCAGTCTCTTGGACATTCTTGGTAGCACTGGACAGAGTGTCTTGGGCAGATCCAGACTTGGCTGAAGTCTCATCGGAGAGCTTCTGGGTGGTGGATTTGCTGTCACCTATTGGGCCGTGTCAGCAAGGGATGCTCAGAAGGAGGCGAGGGTACCAGTACCTGGCTGGACCATGCCGGCAATGTCGTCGGCGGTGCCGGTGGCAGACTCTTTAGCCTTGTCGAAGGTGGATTTCTGAGAGTCAGGCGTGATCTTCTCTTGAGCCTCTGCAGATCACCGTTAGCTGCTGGGAGCTCGAACTGAGAAAGGGAGGTGTACGTACGGTCAGTCAAGGGCTTGCGGCCGGTGTCAGACATGATGGAGGATGAGGTTTTTGGTTCGAACAAGGTTATGGTTTGTGCTAAGTGATGTATTGTGATCCAAGTGAGAGAGTAACAGTGAAGTTTCTGTGATGGTAGAAGGGAGGGAAAGATTGAGCAAGGTGAGAAGCAGTTTGAAGCGTTGCTTTTTAAGCTTTGTCGTCACCAGGCAGAGCAGAGCAGGTACTGTCACTACTTGTTGCTGGAGGGAGGAGCGAGGCAAGGGAGAGGCATTGTCTCATAGGCTCATGGCGGGGGTTTGGCACATGCCTCGTATACACTTTGACGTCATCGAGGGAGAGCCATTGCCATTGGTGCAGTTGCCCATGGGAGCATGTGCAAGTACAATCAAGCAATATCAACAATACTTCGTTCGGTTCACTGCTCCTATCTCAGAGAATGATGTCAATCGGTATTGGAAGCCAGCAGAATCTGATCGACAGCTAAGTCTCTCGCCTCTGATGATAGTCCAAAACAAAACAGACCTGGGGGTATCCGCTCGCTCAATCTGTTCAATAACAAAAAGAATGCCCAAGGCACGCACGCACCGTGTCGTCCCCTCTTCCTCATTACCTGGGTGTCGATGCTCTTGCCACGTTTTTGGATCGCATTTGCGCACTTTTCTTTCAAGGGTCAGCTGGCCCATCTGCCGTCCTCTCCATGTTATCCAGCTCCCTGGCAAGGCTCACTCCGCTGGAGTCTCGTCCTCGAGTGATGGCTGTCTTCCGGCAGAACTGAGAGCTTCCCCTTTTCCACCGTATTCTTCCGGCAGCATCTCACCCAATCCTTTCACCTTGCTGCTAGTCGCCATTTCCCGCGCCAGGTTGGCACCGTTACTCATTGGGTGGAACTTCTTGATTGTTTTTGCGGCCACGAACAGCTTCATGAACGTGTAAATGAATCCCATAAATGCTGGAACGTTCACGAAGAACTTTTCCTTGAGCAGCTCGGGGTAGTTTTGCGCGAAGATCTTGATCGTCTCGGTGCTGGCAGCTTTCACCACGGGAGACTGGCGAAGGAAGCTGATAGACTTGTAATCGTGAACTTGGAGGATCTTGTAGGGGTCGTAGGTCGCAGAGATGGGTTTGGTGGCCTTGTCGATTCCAAGGGCTTGCAGGGCATCTTCCATCAAGGCCACTCGCCACTCGATGAATCTGAGAAGCCAAAGAGTCAGTTATGGGATCGAGCTTCCGTATATCTCGTGCTTACTCAGGCAGATTTCCAAACGTCTCCTCCAGACTCTTGACGCTCCCATAGATGTTCCAAGTAAACACCTCCCTGGTCTCCGGGTCGGCTGCTGGATCAGCATCACCATAGACGGTGGTGTATCCCAGTCCAGCGAATTTGCTCCGGTTGAATTTCTTCTTGAGCAGTTCCACCGGCTTCATCTTGGCCCGCCATTCCAGAGTCTTGGTGAGGGTGTCTTTGGATTTTGCGAGATCTCCGTCGTAGGCATTCAGGTACTTTTGTAAGATCACCTGGGTTGGGACGTGGGTCGCCGGGTCTGCGAGTGTGACTCCCCAAATCTCGGGGTGCCCATGTGCCTGGGCGAGGGCCCAAAGCTCCTCGATCGGGGTCGCCTTGTTTTCGACGGGGATTTCGGCATCCGCAGCCTTCTCGGTGGCGACCGGGGTTTCTGCTGGGGCTGGGGTCGGCTCCTGGCGGTAGTCAGCTCTCGTTTTCTACGAAAGTTCGACGAAAAGGGGTCTCGCACAGTTGGGGCAGAAGAAGGCTCGACAGCAGGCTTCGTCTCTGTGGTATCTGGAATGACACTAGAAACCTCTCCCTGCAAAGCTGTGCTGTTGGGAGCGGCGGTTGTTGCTTCGGTGGTAGCCATTGGGATAGAATAACAGGGTGCACGTCCACAGGGGGGAAAGATGTTCTTCAAGAGATGAACCGAGCAGGGTGTTCAATAGATGCTTTTGAAGCTTAGCTTCGAAAGATCTGTCGCTCGGTGCGAATTGCAGCAGCCACAGGACCCAAGGGTGGATTGACGGCGGCAGAGGACTCGAGGTTTGTTTACGGTGGTTCGCAAAGGGGAACTCTTCGAAGATCGATATCCAAAGTCACAAATAATCCACACCCGTGTGTTATCAGGAGGATAATCCAATGCCTCTGACAGAGAGTATGGTCGGTCTATCGACAAAAAGCAGTTTCTATGGTACTAGGAAGATAGAACTTGATCGAATATGTCTCATGTTGGTAGAAGAAAGCAGCTCCCCCCATATTTTGGTTGCCTAATCTAATCTGATAGCCGAGATGCCAAGCTTTTCTACCATCGCCTAACTCCGACAAACGCCGAGCTCTCATCCAGGGCGAAAAACGGAGGATGGAAAGATACCAATTAGTTACATAAGATTGTGAGAGAAAATCAGGACTAGAGCTCAATATTTCTAGTGTTTGATATTTGGCCGGTTGTGTCTCTAAACTGGTGTGAAAGTCGTTGTTCATCAACAGCCTCCTCCTGGCAAACCCTCCTCGAGGCTTTCCAACCACTGTATCGTCCCCGTTCCCTGCGCGGCATGGATTTCGAATCGTATAGGCACATCCGAAACATGTCGTCGAGCTCCCCTCGTCCAACCATCTATTCATTAATCCTCTACCGAATCAGACATTCAAGAACTGGTTCCCTTTCCCAAATACAAAATCAAGTGCGCACTTCTGCTCGAGGCTCTGTATCTCCAAGCATGTCGAGGCAGACGCGGTGATATCACTGTTGTAAAATCGACAAAATCACAATTTGCACTTGGGCGGTATATTCCCCCTCCATTATATTCTTGCTCATCAAGACCCCAATAGATCGCCCCCAAAGGATAGGTCTGACGACCCGTGAGATATCCTGTCGTGCAAGCTCTAGGTGGTTGCTCTTCATTGCTCTCTGACAACGAACAAGAGGGCCTAGAGGGTGTAACAGTAAAAAAGTTTGAGATTCGTTTATCGCATGGTCGTCAAATCGTGCAGCTGGAGTCGGTCTTTGGTAGGTTGTATGAGGAAGACAGGGCAAAACGGGTTCTATGTGCAACACAAAACAACGAAAGGAAAACTGGCCATGGGCTTTTTTGCCACAATTTGATCCGCGTAACAGTCGCCCGGACGTGGAAGACGCGGCGAATGGGTTGAGACTCGTCACAGACTCATAGTCAGCCACTCCCATTCTTGGCTGTTCCCATGCGGGCCACCACCCATGGTCTGCACACCGGAGTTGAGCAGGCTGCCCTGCTGCATCACCGATGCCATCGTGGTGGCCCCTGCGGTCGAAGACATACTGGCTGCCTTGGCCCGGGTAACTGGGGCCTGAGTGACCTTGGGTGTCGACTGGCTAGCGTCGAGCATTTCCGCCTCATTTAACGGACCACTGCCACCGGATATTATGGGTAATGTGTTCGTTGACGCCCGCGACTGCCGTCTCTGGCGTTTCGGTGTCACCTGAACGGGCCTGGCCATGTTGGGACCAGGCTGGACAGGCGGCTTGGGTGGCGCCGCAGCGATTGGTACGACCCCGGGTTTTCCTCCTGTCGTGCCAGGTGGATAGCTCGTGGGTGTTGTCACCGCAGATCCCGAGTGTGCAGAGCCTTGCACAGAAGACGGGGAGGCCGAATTTTGCTCGCTTGCAGCATTGCCAGACGTCGGCGTCGTTGCCGGGGTCTGCTGCACTGAATTCTTGCGAGAGGCCTTTTTGGATGCTCTGGTGGCTGCTGACCCCATGGGCACCGTATTTCCACTCCCACGATTACGTTTCTTGATGACATCAGTCTTGAGCGACAAGGGACGCACAACACCGTGCAGTTTGAGAAATAATCCACATGCATTGCACAGTGGGTGGCCCTCGGGGTTTCGTCGCCACAGAGGTGTCGTCTGAGTAAAACAGTTGGTGCAGGTCGTAGGAACACCGTTTTGATCTGTGTTCTTTGGTCCTGGACTGCCTGGTCTGGATGGCTGTCGACTGCTAAAGCCGGACTCGCCGGGCGAGCTACCAGTAGACTGCATATGCTGGTTAGATAAGGCTGGGGTCGAGGTTGTCCGGGGAATCTTCTGTCTCCTTGGGTCTTGGTCCCGATTCCGGATGTCGCTTATTGAGGCTGCTGAGCCATGCGTGCGACTAAGCATGGAGGAGCTCCAATCCGGAGGCGAGTTGACCATTTCCGCTCCTCCAATTCGCACCTGTTTCCCAGGAGCGCTGCCAAATCGCTGCAAGTTGCCATAGTCAGCAACGTTTGGGTCCCAGTGCAAACTCGAATTCAAGTCCAACGTTGGGTCACCAATCTGACCATACTCGGATTGGATCATTGCAAAGTTGGCATCGTCGTCTTCTGCGTCAGAATCGGCACCGAAATGGAACAGATTGTCATTCCCCGCCACCGACACTCCTGGAGAGACACGTCGATATTCCGGAACCAGCACTCGGGAAGGATCGACGTGCTGCTGCATCGAGAACCCGTTCGCCGCCTGCGCAGAAGGGACCCCATTCATGAGGGAGTACACTTGCTCATTGTTCGACCCGTACGCATACTGCGGGGCCGCGGGGGTCATCAAATGGTTTCCTCGGTGAGGTGGATAGAAAGGCATGGTCCGTGTGTGACCGCTCTGGTCAAAGTAAAACCCTTGACCGTCTGCTTCGTGACCCGGCTGGGGCGTTGAAACAGCAGAAGGATAGCCGGATTGAGGAGGGGAATAAAAATCCGCTGAGTTCAAGGACGAACCCATTGAAGCTTGGGTATACACATTAGAGAATGGCCCGTTAGTGACCATGGGTGAAGCCGCGGGGGAAAACGCGAAATTTTGCTGGAATGGTCCAGCAGATGTCAGGATCGGGTCGTCACTAAGGTGGAAAGAATCTAGATGGAGAGACATTGAGCCCTGGAAGCTAGGTTGGCCCGAAAATTGGGCGGCTGTTGTTTGATCAAGAGCGTAGTCGGGCACACCAGGATCCATTTCGGCACCATTTGTAGCATGAGGGGCAGGTAAAGGAGGTACTTGAGGAGAGAATTCAGCGGGACGCTTGCGGTTCTAGATAGAGCAGTCAGAGGACGGCTTTGACACAGACATGGCTAAAGGTGGTGAAACTTACTCCTCTCCTCTCGTCAATACTCGTCTTGCGGACTCTCTTCTTGACGTACTCGAACTCTGATGTTCGATGCGTCGGGATCGAGGTCTGAGGCATTGATGACGGGGGAAGATTCTTCGGAATCTGGACTTGAGGCTTGTTACGGGAAGCAATTGGGATCGGAGGTGCCTGCGTTGTCCTGGGCCGGCCTGCCGTCTCTGACGGTGCGGGAGACGTCATGCCTGCCGGAGAGGCGACCGAGCTCGGGACAATAAAGTCGTCGAGGTTCATCGGGTCTGCGGGGTGCTCGAGTTCTGCAGACTTGTCCACTGACTTGCGGAGCTGCTGTGCGATCCCGCTAGGGGCCGAGGAAGGGGGTGTGGGATTCGTGAAGGGTGCTTGCTTTGCTCTAGAGAGACGGTCAGTCACAGCGCTCTGACGGTCGCTGTCCCCCGGGGCCATATTCCCGTACGCTGCTTGCTGTTGCTCTCGACGACGAAGATTCATAGCCATCATCCGCCAAGTCAGATTTTCCATGCGCTCCTGGTTGGGGAGGCGAGATTTGGTCCGGCTATACAGTTTCCATATCTGAGTACCTAGAGGGTCCTTCTTCTGCATCTCTTCAGGACTGTCGAGGACGGAGGATTGAGCATCGTCCTTCCACTCGGGGAAGACGGCGTCCCGTAGCAGCGACTCATTGCGAGCAAGGGCGTCCGGGGTGGAGAGATCCAGGTTGGGACTGAGACTGGGATTTGCGACCTTTGTAGGGGGAGGGAAATTGGCAGTGGGATGAATGGAGGTGTCGGTCGAGAACAAATAGGCGGGCGACTGGCTGGTGGACTGAGTATTTACGGTATGAGAACCCAAGCTGCTGGACCAGGTCGAGAAATCTGTGTCGTCAAGAGTGGAAGAGGGCTGTGATGTAGAGGCCGAAGAGTGATGGGAGTGGTCGGCAGGAGAGTGGACGGCGGAGGTTGCGCGCGAAGTTGCAGCTGCAGTGCCCCCACGTTCACCATCATCCGCACTCGACATTACCGGGGCGGATTGGAGCGAGAGTCGCGTGCAGCAAGGCGGGCTAAGGAAGGGGATAGCGAACAGGACCGTGTGCTCGTATGGTGTGTTGGGCTTCTTCTGGCAGCATTCCCAGCGTCGAGACCAGGGATGTAATGTATGGAGGTGCGAGTGGTTTTTTTTTTCTTTCGGGACAGGCGAGCAAAGGGAAAAAAGTAACCGGTAACGAGAGCCTGTGCAGTGTCATCACCACACGAGACAAGAGGAAAAGGTCGGCAAGAAGAGAGCGCGAGAAAAGGCACCTTTTCGTCGCTCCTGGCTTGCAGGTGGTGGGAGTGGGAGGGTTACAGGGTGCAGGGTGCAGGTCAGAGAGGCACGCAACCTATGGGGACCGAGGAGGCGCTGGCTGGGTGCTGGAGAAATGGTCAAGGCGCAACCCGGTGGACCAGGGTATGTGCGTAAAGTTGGGCCAGGGATCAGAGATGATGGTGGCTTCTGGCGCGCCCGCCTAGTCTAGGGCGATGGAGCAGATGGAGCCGGGTGTGGGAGGGGCAATGGTGTAGAGAGGTACCGGTAGGACATGATACCGTGATCGAGCTCTCGGGATTGGCGACGAGTCGGAAGGGAGGCTTGTCGAAGGAGTTGGAGGGAGTGGGTGAGCGGGATGGGCGATGCAAGCAAGAAACGGCCCTAGGGTTTCTGGGAGGTTTGAGTTTGGCTGGCACTGGCTGCAGGCAATCGCTAAGAACGAGAGTGGACAATAGCTCTTTTAGAGTTGCCAACAAGAGATGAGGGTATTAGAGGGAAGCCGATCAAAAGGCCGTGAGGAGAGTCAAAAGAGGCGATGACCCGTCGCTCTGGGACAAGTAGTGACGAAGGGGGGGGGATTCCGAGAGGAAATAGATGGACGGCGATGATCAGAGCTGAGATGGGTGGTTTATTTCGAGGCACCGAGTACCCCATACGAGGTATGGTCGACTGTGCTCGTCTCACTATCCCACCTCTTCATCCGCCTCCTTCTCCCTTCCCTCTTTCCCCCTCCCCCCATCCCTCCCTCTTTTCTCCTCTCTCGAGGGCCTCATCTCACATGGACCATGCCACTCCCGGGGCCCTTCCTCAATCCGCAACAATAATTGGGGATCTGTGGGCAAGGGAGGTAGAAGGGGGGCACATCGGCATAGCGCCGGTCCATGCCTGAACCATACGTAGGCGAAGGCCAGAAACGGGACAAGTCCAGCGAGTTCGGTGGGTGGGAGAGTGGGAGGCTTTTTTCGAGAGTGGGACATGGGCAGATTCATGCGCTCTCTGACAGTTGATTTGCAACGGCACTTTAACCTCGATTGGCCTGACTCAGTCGGCCTGAGCAATCCCTCGGGGATGATCTCCCTCGAGCGACATCAGCAGTGTGAAGAAAGTTGGATCGTAGGATACGTAATGGGTGGGTTGGAAATACCGTATGCCGCTCTGTCTGTGTCTCGAGACCGTGCCTACCAGAGACCAGTAGTATCTCATACACATGGTATTCGTAGGTAGGTAGGTATGTGCAGAAGCTACGCCCTAGGCCCTACCTACCAAGGCCCTGAGCCCTGGTCACTAGGCCCTGGTCAACCTCGTTGGAGCCTTGGGCCTTGGGGCTGCATCTGCATCTTGCGACTGCATCGGCGCTTTAGCATGCGCCTATGCGGCAACAGAAGGGGAAGGGGAGGGTTCCCCTTCACTCTCGCACCCGCACCCGCACCCACACCTGGATACCTACAAACAGTTAAACGTTCGGCGGGGCCTGGCTTAACTGCTACTGCCGCTTGCTGCTTGCAGCCTGCAGCGGCTAACCAACTGCGAAAAGCGGTTCGCCAACTGGGCAAACGCCAGCCCACCATGAGCTTTTGGGATTTCAAGCATCATGCACGCCAGAGGCCCTAAGAGCGCCACGTCCAGGTCTCAGGGTCGACATCAGCGGGTTTTTTGCGGCCACTGAAAGCCCGCTCACGAGCCCGAATCCGGGCTGGCGTTTGTGATAGCGTGGGTAGTCATGAACAAGTGGGCAGTAGCAGGAGGGAAGCATTGGCAGCTGCCGGCATCGAGCCTGTCATTGCCGTGGGCTGCAAGCATAGGCATTCCACCCTCACTCACCCTCGTCCTGGCTGTGTACATACATAGCTGTTGTCATCGGCCAAGGTAACAAAATCATAAAATCATCATGCTCACCACCCGACGCATCTCGACTAACGGCGTCTCTAACTAAGATGCAAGTAACACGCCCATCGTCGACACTTTTAGGTACACATGGGCGAGGTAGCATTGCCTCTCGGAACAGGCACGCGAGTGAGGGAAATAGTTATTTGAAAAAGCTGGGGGGGCAAAAAATGGAAGTGCCAGTGCTATGTACCGGGAAGGAACACGACACCTACCTACCAGAATCAGGTTCTCAACCCATACGGGCTCCGGCCTTTCGAGAAATGGCCGCTGACTCTGGAGCTGGAGCACGAGGTTGTGGGAAAATGGATTGTGTGCATGAACTCGAGCAAGATGTAGAGGTCCAGAAGCAATCCACCACGGTACCCATTTCCCAATCCTGTAGCCCCTCAGACGTGCCCACCCAGATCCACTAGACGACGCCTTGGAGGTTTATAGGCTTGACGGCGAGAGTACCCGAATCTGGCCTCCCTCGTGTTGAACCGCATGGACTCCGGATACGGACGTCGCTCTAGCCCTGGCCAATGCTGGCCTCAGGAATGTCTGCTGGGCCTGACAATGCGTGGTACAGAAAGAAAAAAGCACCCTCACAAAGATTTTCTGGCAAAGATTTTCAGCTGTGTGAGTCTCGATGCGAGGTGGGCAATGCTCATGCGAGCAGCAACAATGCAAGATGACCAAATTGGGGGGCGCTGGGAATTGCTTCTTGCGACATCCGCTGGGGTACTTCGCCCCCCATATATTTCGCCACGGCACCTTTTGTACCCCCGTACTCCGTAGCCGTTCTATAATTTGTGGTGATTCCTGAAGATCACGTCTGGTGGTTCCGCCTTTTTGGAAGTAAATGAAAGAGAAGCCAAGACACGTTCCCACCGCATTGAGTTCAGTAGGTGACGGTGCGTCGGCGTTGGTCCCCTAACGGAACACCAGGGACCCATGCGGAAGCCTCACCACCAAGGCTGATGGGATGCTGAGATACTGACTGGACTGGGGAGCTGGCTGGGCACTTTGTCAGGCTAAATTGCTGAACGAAAACGCTCGTGGCTGTGGCTCCAAAAGTCAAAAGAGAGGAGCGACCGCAGGCACCGCAGGCTCGGAGAAGAGACGGAGCACGAATTATGGAGGCAACCCAAGAGGATGGATCATTGACTGTCAGTCAAGACGCAACCAAGCAACCAGCATTGGCCACTCCCGAATCCTATTAAACCTTTAGCCTGGCCAGTCACAGCCTTGAACAGGCTGGAATGCCACTCCCTAGCTTGGTGGCACATGTATGTATCTATGTTCTTTCTTCGAAAGGTACAGTAGGTACAGTAGGTGCGTGGGCAGGCAACATTCTTGAAAATGAATGTACTCGGTACCTCGTACATTGCTCGGGACTGCGTTCTTCTGACAGCATGCAGATCTCTGTCTCGAGACACTCGACCATTCAGCGAGTGGGGTCCATCCCAGGCATAATAGTCGATGGGAAATTCCTTTCAGGGTCTTCGCGCGTAAGCACCCGCTCGCCGGGTCATGGACGAAGAAGCATGTGCTTTCATCTCTGCAGTTCTCTCCCTCACCTCCTGCCTTCCGACTTTTTGCCTTTCGGGCCTTCTCCGTTTCTCGGCCACGGCTTCCCTTGCAGATTCTAGCACATGGCAGCAGCACCTGTGCGCGCTATTTTCCTTCTAGACGAATGATACAACCTCGAATAGCATCATTGCCCGAGGCCCTCTTCGAATGGCCTTTCAGTCGATCCCGGTTCGACCGCGAGAAGCTGTCTCTCTCCACTGGCCACACTCCAAATACATGGTCCCTCCCCCCCTTCGTTCCCTTAGCGCGGGGGAGCCCGCGAACACCCTCGCAAATACATGCCCCTGACTTGTCATACCACGGCTCCGCATGACTCTGGCTCAAAAAATCTCACGAGCTGCTGGCCACCCTGGTTCGAGACGCTCCTGGATTTCAAGTGTTATACTGGCAGCCGCTGGATAATTGTTCCAGGACTTGATTGTAGGAGTTACGTGGCTTGGACATGGGTAGTGGCGAGACACATCACCTGGGGTCTCGGTCTTCTGCCCACAGGAGTGCAGTGACGAAAGTGATAGACGGATTGCTATACGCCTTTGCCACGAATCCGCGACAAGGTGGATTTGGAGATATTGTCTTGGGCGTGGATATGATTGAATAGGACTGGGAGGCTTGATGATCGTCAGTACCATGCCAATTTGTCGTGGGCGGTCTAATGCTGCTGGTGCAGGGACCGTGTTAACTCAACTTCGGTCTTGATCAGCCTCGAAGTCAGCGGGACCAGTCCCGATACCGACACGCATACATCATGGGCTGCGTGTCGTCTTTGAGGTCATCGAGCTGCTGGACAGCTACATCGGATCCTTCAACCCGTCCATCTGTCCGTCAGGGATGCGCATGTATGGAGAACGCAACGCACGACGCCTTTTCCTTTTGTCTCTGTGCCGTCCGTTGCCCCGTGCGTGGCTTGCTTCTTCCATGCGCCGTCATGGCCGCCCAAGCACAAAGTACCATTTTCAGATTGTCTCGAATCCATTTTAGGCTTTGTACTGCAGATGGCGCTAAACCTGGTGCATCGACGAGGCAGCCAGGCGCACCCTTGTCGCTGCCTCGAAAGTGCGTGGGCGGTCGCTTTGGGGACTCCCAAAGATCCTCTGGAGCAGACGTCAACAAACACCCGAGCTGTGACCCGTCCATCCGAAACTGTCCAGGCTGCTGTTGCTGTTGCTGAACCCAAGATACACGAAACCGGTTTCTTTTACTTGTAGAGATGTGATAATTGCAATGCAGGATCGACCCACAAACATGTTTAGAGATACAAGTGGATAGCAGCTAGAAAACGAAGGGGGTCTAGATAATGATCTGTGGGCTATGGGGGCTTGACAATCTCGGCTTTGCTGCCTGTGCTGGAAGCCAATGGTCTTCGAGTTTCAAGAGTCAACAAAGGCCGTCTTTGACTATTCTGCAAGAACTGAATATGTCGTTGCCGTTTGCAAAGAAGTCCAGAAGTATCCGGGTCGAAGGGGTCACCACAGGACACTTTGCGGCCTTTCCAGCAATGGTCGCACCGGTAAACGACCAAGAGCGCAATGCAAGCACGGCTCTTGAGGGACTATCGGCGCGCAGAATGAATCCCAATGGCATTTCGTTCTTTCGACCCGGTAGCATCTCGGTCTGATTGATCTCAATGATTGGTGATTGCCCAGTCCACTCCCCCTGCACCCTCCGGATGCACCCAGCTCTCAAAGTCACCTTTCGGACGGACCCCTGATGCCCCCATTCGAGTGCATATTGTCCCCTTCCAAGCAAGCCGACGGTCGAGACGGTGGAGAAGAGAGCGGTGACTTGAGTGCAGCAGTAGTGGTGAACCAAGGTGAACATAACCCTCCAAGACGTCGATGGCAGTGGTCGGCCGCACGTGACAAGACTCTCAAGAGAACCGAGAGAGGTTCCACACTCTCACTCAGCACACGACCATCCAGGTGTTGGGTGGGTGTCACAAGCCCAATCGGTCCGGGGGGGGCCGAAACAGGCTTGCTGACAATAATAGTCGGGCCTCTCCAGCCCAGACGATTCAGATCTGGGGGAAAAGGAGTAGGTCGTCCCATTATTCCACACGAGTGAACTTGTCGGAGAGTACTCGTCCTGCATCAAGAACGGCACAAGGACCGGTCATCACCCCCGTACAGCGACGAGCAACCAAGCACTGCGTCCATTAGGCGAGTTGAATCATTAGTGAGCGTGAGCACTTTCACTGTTCCATAGTCTTGTGCTCCTGTCGGTCCTTGCCGAGATGGTGGCTCACCAGAGGACGTGGGATGGGCTGGATTGGGAGGTCAAGCGTGCCAGGATGAGCCCTTAGCGATTAGGTGCATCGTTAGTTGCTTTTCACTCAAGAGCACAAGTCTCGCCCTGGATGGATGCCGTACGCTTTCCCTGCCATCATTGACTTGTTCGCTCCCTCACGCATCCGCCGCCCCTCCAAGAATTCATCGGACCAAACGCCTTTTCCCCTCTTCGGTCCTTGGGTCATCAACCCCCGACAAGTGGAACCCAAATCCCTTCGGCTCCAGAGGGAGGGGCCTCAGCCTGGTGCGTCTCGGGAGGTACTGTATGGAGAATCGTCGATGGGTCGGAAACCCTGAATGCGCATAGAGGAAACCGCGTTGCTGATCTGTCGGAGCGTCAATTCTGGCTTGCGAGACATAGCGTCCGTGGTTAGGCTCGAGTTTGAGCGAGAATGATGGCGGCCCTCAACATTCTCCCCCAAGCATGCCTCGTAACTCCGTTCCTAGTGCCAACTAGGTCCCCGAGAAGTGTCCAGGGTATGAGGCATTGCACCCCCACGCTAGCGCACGGCTTCGCATGGTGTCGTCCAACAAGCCTCAACAGCCAAGTTGTTGCTTACCTCCTAATCTGGTGAGCAGTCCGGGAAACATGATTGCGTGCATGGGAGTGTCCATGCTCGGAATGCCCAGCTCGCCAGTAACCCTGTTGACCCTGCCTGCCCGTGTGAATAATGTGTTCTTGTCAATAGTGCCCCAACTCATCCCGTGTCGGCTCTTATTTCTGACGTTGGGTCGGCGTGAGCGATGGTGTCGTTTCAGATACTTTTTGAGGGAGGCTTCGTTGGCGAGCTTGAAGGTGGTGGGCACGACAGCCGGCAACACCTGTCAACAACGGGGACTATCGGGCACTCCTCCGCCCGCCGAAAGTGTCGTGCGACAGTCGTGTAATAGAGGAAGCATCATCCTGATTGAACTGAGGCTGCTTAGGTGTAGTCTGCCAAGCGTGTGCTGGTGGTTTGAGTAGCTGGGTGACCTCCATTGGCCCAAATCGGAGTACCGTTCATCATTGGTAGCTTGCGTAGCCTGTTGGACGTACTCGAAGCGAGGCTTCGAAGAACTCCTTGTAAGGCTCAGAGATGGAAATCCTGGGGGCCGGTGGCCGACGGACTCTTTAAGTACAGCATGGCCAGAGCCGTCGATGGGTGAATGATAAGGCCAAGGAGATCAGCGACAACTGATACTCGTCGCAACAGCCAAATATTGGGACGAGTGATAACAAACAGGTCACCTTCTACGGACACGATAGGCTGCGAGCTCTCAGTCAGACATTATAGGGGGAGTTTGTTCAATGGCTTTCTGATAAGTGCGATAACCCCGCGATAACAAGGCGACCCTCTCTTGGACAGGCAGATAAAGAATCTGGGGCAGATTTGCTCAATCCAGCAGGTCATTGCCGTCTTGATCACCCTATCCCTCGTCAGTCATCCACTTAGATGCTCGCAAGAAACGCGTTGATATCCTTGTTTCAGCGTTGTGTTGCATCTGATTGCCCCATCTGTCACCGTCACTCCCTGTTGTTATCATTTCTGCCTGTTACGAACTTTATCGTGGCACTGCAGGGGGGGGGGGGGGGAATAGATTCAGGCGCTCAGAAGCACAATTCGATCAAAGCGGTCAATCCGACGGTGACAATGGCTAGCTATCTTCTGTCATGGCCGCTGGCAGTCTTGCCGATCCGTTGAACAACACAGCAGATGTAGTTGGGATCAGGGAAAATGATGATCTCTTGGTGTTTGGTTCGCAGCCTGAGCAATTGAACTTCATCCTCAGTAATTCCATTTTCTGCATCTTCTTCAGTGTGTCGCTCTTTATTCTGGACCCTTTTGGCCTCGCCATAGCCTGCGCCAGCGTATGGCCCTTCTGGGCGTTCCGTGTTTCGGGAAGCTGCACCAAGCGTTGCCCCCATAATACTGGCATTGTTCACGAATTGAAAGATGGATGCAGCCAACCGTTCAACCGGTTTCTCAACATGTTGGGCGTCTGATGGCTCATCTGATTCACTGGCAAGAGCCGAACGCCCTTTCTCTGACAGATCTGCGGCTCCCTTAGACTCTTGTGCCTGCGGCCAGTGGTACGCTGTAGCAGAAGCCGACGATCTTCTCTCCCCAGGGCCGGCAATGCCTGTAACTCTTATGATAGAACCATCTTTTCGAGATAGGATCAAGGTGGACTGTACATTCGGCCTCTCGGTTAGACCTCGAAGCATCGCATCGATGGAAGGGCCGTTGAGGATCTCCTGTGAACCACTAATCAGTATGGACATAGTGTAAAAAGAACGCAGGGGACAAAAACCCTTTCAGTCTGAGCCATCCTGCTCGAGCATCAATAAAAACTCTGATTCAATTTTGCCGGTCGGTGAATGTCATCTCATGTTGGCGTCGTCTTCTCGCGGTGACTTTGGACGTGCGCATAGACGCGTTAGGCGCGTCGTTCTTCGCCGGACCGATGAGCTTAGAAGCGCGTAGAGAAAGTATTGGATCCAGCTACTCTTGTCGGATGAGGTCAGAGGAAGCCGTGTGTAACCCGAGGTATGGAGCTTGAACAACGTGGAGAGTTTCTATGACCAACGTGAATCCATCTCCGCGAAATTGTGAAAAATCACCCGCAGATCCAGCGACTGAGAGATCGTCGCCATCTGCGGATCGGTCCGACCAAGGCGCAAAGCTTATTGTTCCCACTGACTATCGCAGATTCTGCTGGAAGAAAACCTTTCCCACATTTATATCCCCCTTAGCAATCTTCTAGTGCACGACCCCCGCCTCCGGAAATGGGCTCCAGTGCACGGAAGAAAAGAGAGAAAAAGAAAGACTTCCAGGTACGTTGGGTGTGGTGCCGTCCAAGCTTAATGCAAGAAAACTAATATGTCGGATAGAAACAAAAACTGAAGGTGGGCAAAGCGAAACCCAAGGCCCAGAACCATACCGATACAAGTTTCAAGTCCCAAGGTATGATGGCTTCTCGGTTGAACAGTGTCTTTGGCTGACAGTTCGGGAGCCATCGTTTTGAACCAGCAGCTGGATGTCAATGCCCCCTCACAATCTGCCCTGTTTCTGCATCAAATCTCCCTTCTCTCGTCCAGGTCCGACACTCAGAGGAGAGATGCCCTTGCCTCCCTAACCAGTTATGTCGCTTTGAGCCTCCCGGGAAACACTTTGCCAGTTACCACCAGTTCCCTTCTGAGCAGCATCTATCCTCTCATGCTCGATGGATCGGCCGCCGTTCGCAATCAGGTGCTCAAGCTCTTGCGCGCATTGCCAGGCGAAGACATCCGCGACCATGTGAGCAAGGCATTGCCCTACTTACGTGCAGCCATGACACATTTATCACGAGAAATTCGATTCTCCTCGCTTGAATTTGTATCCTACATGATCAAAGTCGCTGGTCCCGAGCTGGTCTCGTGCGCTGGCGGCTGGCACCAAACCTTGGAATGCTTTACAACGGTACTGGGGTGGCGGTCAACCGACGCCAGCAAATGGTCCTCTACTAAAGCATCGTTTGCTGGAGATCCCAAATCTACTGGGCGAATCATGCAGGTTCTTGCTGAATTTCTGCAAGCGGGCCTAGTCGGGCATGAGCAGTCTTCTTCTGAAACCCAGCCACTGCTTGCACATTTCCCTTTATGGGAAGTTGAGACACTACTTGTGCCCGGTAAATCCAATGCGTACGCTTATTTAAGTCTCTTTGGTCCGCAAACAGAGGATGAGACACAAATTCTCGACGACCAACAGGAGAGACTGCGCGACTTCTCACAAAACTTTCAGGCACAGATCTTGGCAGGCATTGACGCCGCCAGGAAAGGAGGGGGAGAGCTAGGCCGTGCTGCAGGGCTCCTAGTCAAGATACTGGAACGCGCACAGAGTTCTTGAAAACCCCCGTCTGAAAGGTCATCGGTATTCGTCTCGCCTCGTCGCACACTTTGTGATGCGCTCGTACTGTTTGGATCTCAGCCTTCGAATGCAGTCACGAGCGGTTGGCTGGAAGGCAGTGCGCTCATAGATATCCAGAAGCTAGAGGCATTCGGCTGGGACTGTTGTCAATTTCCACCAAACAAGAAAAGGGAGACCGCCATGGATGTTATGAAAGTGTATCCTATTGAAGTTCGATACAAGAGGCCGCTTCCACTCGGGTTGACCGTCATCTGTCCTCAGCAATGAACAGGAGTGTGTGTGCACCTCCACTCAGTCCGGGAAAGCTATTGCTCGGCAGCTGAGAGATGGATACTGCATTCCGCTCCGTAACAACAATTCCATGCTCAAGTCTCAACACCATCAAAGCACTCGTTGCGCAAAAGGTGGCTTGCCTTGGTTATGGTGGACGAGGAGCAATCCTTCTCGACTCGAGGTACAGCATCTCAGGAGCGGCCACGAGGCTACTCCACGCACAAGCTACATCCATTTGCATGAAGGATACTGTTTGACTCCTATGTTCTCGGCGCTGGCATGAGTTGGAGGAACAAGTGTGCGAATGGAAAACCCATATCTTGATATATGTAACACTTCATGGGTGAAAGAATGCTAGAGAGAAGAGGAACTTTGTTGGCTACAGACACGAGGCTTGCACAGCCAGGCAGCAAGCCAGGGGACATTGTTGAAATAACAGTACACGACTATTCAGCCCTGCGGCTTCGTGTCATCACGGCCAATGTAGAATCTTATAGATCAAGAAACACAAAAAGGGAATGTCCGTGACAAGCAAAACAAAGAGAGAAAAGTCGAGCATTTCATAAATCATCAAAGAGACGGGTGGAAGCGCAGGAACAAAGCGCCAGAGCCAAACAACTTCTCCAGCTATTTGAATCCAGCCCTGTCTTCGTTGCTCATCTAGAGCCCTGCTGAGATGTGTTCAATATGCCGCATTATCCAGGAGACGCCGATAACACAGCTTGTTCCATGTATGAAGAGGCCTTTGTTTCGTCCCCAGCTGCCTTGGTAGAGCTCATCCATGAGGCCTACAGCTTCGCGTTCAGCACACCCCCTGCCTTCAGCTCAGCTATTGCCTGCATTGCGCCACTCTCTCCGCTTCTGACTGCACCCTCCATATATCCTCTCCAGACGGTGCTCAACTCGGTGCCCACGAAATAGACGTTCCTAAACGGCGCGCACAACGCTTCCCACCCGTCGGCAAAAACACCTGGTGGCGTCGCAGGGCACGGGCAGCCCCAGCCTGAGAATTCCTCCTCCATCCATGGCGACTCATAAGCCTCTATAAAGAGAGGGCCAACGTCTCGTCCATCCGCAAACATGGCGCCAATCTGCGTCAGCACCGATGTCTTCTTTCCTTCGGCGTCCTGCGTGGCCCATTTCCTCCCAAACTTCCCGCCGATAAAGCATGTCATGCAAGCATCATCGCCCAAACTGGTGTCCCGAAAGACTGATACGGGGCCAACGAATGATTGCCCGAGCCCGCACAGGTTGCTCTTCGTCCAGAAGGGCTTGCTGAACCTCACGATATACTTGGTATAGAAGCCATACCGGGTGTAGTTGGCAACTGCCCTTTTTGCCGCCGGCAGCGGTGGTGAAAATTTGATTGTTTTGTACACTGGTGTTGGAACCGAGAGAATCACCTTGCGAGCACGATACACTTGCAGGGAGGATCCTCTTGTTGAGACCAAGACGGTTCCGTCCTGCTGTTGATCTATCCCTCCTACCGGGCTATCCAGCTTGATCGACCCGGGCTTCAGTTTTTGTGCCATGCCTTCTGCAAACGCCAAAGTTCCTTCTCGAATGCGAAGGTATTGGCCTCCATCTTTGCAGTCTGAACGCATGGTCATCAACCCTCCGCCAGCGGCACAATCTACAGAACATTTCGTCAGCCTGTGGACAATTTGCCGGATCCAAAACCCACATTCGAGGAAGTACAAGGCCGAAACCTCGGAAGGGTCAACGCCCAGCATCGCGTGAGTCCAGACCTGAGCGGTCGCAAACGCTTTTTCGGTGACGTTTGCGCGCCGCAGGAATGTCTCGAAAGAAATAGAGTCGAGCTCTTCTCGATGTGGTCCTGCCGAAAAGATTGACGGTGTCTGGGTTGTGGAGATACTTTCAACCAAATCCCGGATCGATATGCATGACTCCGTGTCATTGCTCGACGGATACTGTTCAGGGACTCAGAATCAATCATTTATGCCTAAACGTCGATGACTACTAGAACTCGGCGGCGGCAGTGGGGTCTCAAACCTTTGGTACGTCCCTGGGAACCTCAATCAGCTTTGTACCGATACAACGTTTACAAGAATAAACAGTCCTCTTGAAGAACGATGCTTACCCATATGGAAACTTGACCAGCGTTCCATCAAAATCCTGTACAACGACATCCCCCCTGGTGTTCTGGACATATGTGTGCAACCCAAGGTCATTCGCAAGTTCCCACATGCGACTTTGGTTGCTATCATTGATCCATGCGGCTCCCAGATCCGACTTCACGGTCCCGTCGCTGGACCGTAGGGTCAATGTCTTTCCGCCAACTCGATCCCGTGCCTCCAGAACCAAATAGGTGAGGTGCTCATGGTGGACAGTCAGAGCCGCTTGCAGGCCAGAAAGCCCAGCGCCCACGATTACCACATCATATACCGGTTGAGACATACTGTATCCGGACTCCTTGACCCTCTCTGGCAGACTCCAAACGACTAAAGATGGCGCTCCCAGGGTTATATATACGTACATCCTTCCTGTGGGTGCGAGCTGCGTGCGTCGGCTGAAAGCAGCAGGCGAGTTGGGTGGAGACAGCGCCCTTCTCCGTCTTGATGTCTGCTTGTGCCCCTTTGATGCTTCTTCTGCATTCTGTTGCGATCAAGCAATTCGATGTGGTATCACACACGAGGCGGCCTTTCGACCTGGCGATGGAGAATCCGTCGAACCCAATGTGCCGTACAATGGGGGCCAGATATCGTGTGGTTCAATAACCCACGAGGCGCATCCAGTTGACAGTGTCCCACATGATGTTTGTCCCAACTCGAGTCTTCAGGAATTTGCCCTGTGTGTTCCTGTGTCTCTCAACATCGAAAGCTGTGGCATCAGACACAACATTTACGCAGCGTAATAGACGCGGCATTGATTACAACGATGTCTATGCGTCAATGGTAAGGTCTGAATCAATTCGATTGCTGCTTGCTATATCGAGGATCTGGAGATGGCACAGCTTGACGTAGTGGACGCGTTCCTGAACTCGGATCTCGTTGAGACGGTTGACATGATTCATCCCACAGGGTTTAGTGAGAAAAGCACTTTTTGCAGAGTCCTCACGGCATTGTTCGGCCTGTGTCAACCGCCACGCGAATGGTGGCTTGATATTTCGCGGAAGCTCGCAACAATGGCCTCAAGCGATGCCAGGGTGATCAATCGGTGTTTGTCAACGCGGCAAGGGTAGTGGCCATTTTCTATGTCGACAACATGGCCTTGTTTGCAAGCAATCGGCCTTTCAAATGGCTCGAATGATGCTGCCGTTGACAGTCGATATTGGACTCGATGTGATCTGCCTTCTCGCGAGACATCGTGATCCAACGTCTTTGCGTTTGCTGCTCCAGACTGCTGCTGATCAGGAAGAGAGGACCGTCAAGTGGCAGCAAGTACTATCTGCGGGACAATGCATTCATCAGGCTGATCGGGACTGGACGACGCTGCAGAGCAACAAGACAATCTCAATGAGGTGAATGGGTTCTGGCTAGTCAGCCTTGCCCCTGAAGGTGTGGTTTGACCTCCATTGTCTTGACTTCTATCCCAACATTCACTACACAATGTGACCATTCAGTGTTTCTGCCGGACCCTCTGAAGGTGATATATGTGAGTGACGGATTAGAGAAGTGAATACTGCTCCTGCAAATTTTTCCCTGCCCCCCGTTTACTGAAGGCTTCCCTATCTCGACAAATTCTTTCTCTTCTTCTTCGCATCTTCCATCTTTAGATTCTTCTGCCTGAACACTCTTCGAAAGACTTGAAACAATCACTCCATCTCCGAGACATTATTCAGAGCTGCCGCGACGAAGCTTGCTGTCCGCTGCTCTGTTCACGACCCTTTCCCTGCTCTGCTCTCGCCTTCTCGTCCCTCGTCGCTCGTCCCTCTCACATCCGCCAACATGAAGATCGCACGAACACTCATCCAACCTTTCCGGCTCTTGACTGCCGGCCCAGCGACTGGGATCAAACCCAGCCTGCTTAGGCAGATCAAGGATGCCAACCGCAGACGCAGCCACTTCACACGCGTCCGGCCGATCAAACCATACTCCGACATCTGGCCCTTCTTCGACTCTCAACCTCCACGACAGCGCAGGCAGATGACGCCTGAAAGCTTTGAGAAAATATACGAGAGGTTCGACCATCTCGTGCCTCTGGACGCCAACCACTCCAAGTTCCTGAGTGACTTGGTCGAGCCGAGTTTGTTCCGGGAGAAGGACTTCGACGCTCAGCTGGAGCTCGAAGAGGCACAACGTCCTCTCTACGAGGGCGTGTGTAAGTCGCAACTGGCCGGAGATGGCGCAGTGGAGATGGCCGACGACGACGTTGTCATGGCCGATGTTGAAGAGGTGGATGATGTCGAGATGACCGACGTGTTGTACCCCCCGCAGTGGGTTTACTGGTGGGTATCCTCCCAGGAATATCATTCTTTGATGCTGACGGCAAACAGGCAAGGCAAATATCCGCCACCAGAGTTCTTCTTTCCTTTCATCCCTCCCCCGGCTGGAGCCGACGTCCTCCAGCAAGCGACAGAGGTGGCCACAGAGCCAGTGGCAACGCCATCACCCCTCATTCCTGAGCCAAGATGGAAGGATGAGCTGGCTGAGTACTTCGAGAACCTGGAGTACAACATCACTAATGGCATATTGCCACCAAAAATCAACGTAGAGGCGATGTACCCGGCAGACTCGCCGGCGTCGACGCCGAGAGATGAAGAGGTTGGTGTCGAGACCGCTCAACCAGAGAAGAACGAGGTCCCAGAGGAAGACTGCAAGAAAAAAGCCTCACCACAAGACAAGACCGAGCCAGTGGCGGCCACAGAGCCGGTCTCGGCGGAATCAGCCGTCGAGAAGAAGACCATGTCTCTGGGCCATGTGCCCGACCAATATCGTGGCCTCTTAGAAGAGGCAGTGAATTTCTCGGCCGACCAGCAGAAGCCGTGGCCAGATTGGTGGAACACCATTGCGCTCGGCGACAACGAAGGAGAAGAGGGAAAGGGGAAGTGTGTGGTTCGAAGTTTCGAACAGTATGCAGCCTGGCCGCCCTCATTCAAGGTGCAGCCACAATTTCACTGCCCGGATTCCAGCAACCCAACGGGAGAGTTCAACACACCAGCGAGCTGCCGATTAGGCCTCAAACGCAACACAGAGGAACGTAAACGTTTCTCTGAGATCAGAAAGAACCACCCGGAGGTGTGGGAGGCAATCATCGGCACGATGTTGCAAGAGGGCGTGAGCATTGACAGTATGCTGCTTTGCCACGAGAAGAAGGACGAGGGCGGCAACACCGTCGACCTTCGTCCACAAGTGCTCGACCACCAACAGTGGTGTGTCGACAACTGGCGATTTGACGGTCTGAGCTGGCACACAGTGCAGGGTGCTCCCCTGGCCCCTGACTGTTCGGCCGAGTTCCACAAGGCCCCGAAAGGTGACGAGCGGTTGTTCCAGGAGACAATCGGATATATCAAAAGCCACCCCGAGATCTGCTATGCCTTCCGGATCCTCGTCTCGGAGTGGCTGAAGGTGGAGGCGAATCAAGCGACCTTCCGCTGGATTGCGCGCAAGGCAGGCTGGTGCCCAGTTGCCGAGCACCAACTCCAGCGTGACTTCATCAAATGGGTCTTCGCCGACGCCGACGCCACTCCCAGAGAGATCTTTGAGGTGGTCGAAAAGCACTTCCCTGACCGGTATCCGCGGTTCTTCGCGGCGACCATTGAGGAAGAGGGCATCGACTACCTCTGAGGCATAGCAAAATCTCGAGGGCCAGGACGGCTTCGACCTCAGTCGACAGGAGAGTGGTGAGGTGGGAAGGAGATGAGAAAGATCACTGCAGGGCGGCAGGGTGGAGGATACAAGACCTCGTCAGGGAGACGTCAACTGCAGGATGGCAGGGTGGAGGATATGGGAGATCGGGAGAAGACATATCTGCAAGTGGCAGGGTGGTGGAACGAATCTGACAATACGGTCAGGGTGGTGGAGGCTGCACCTGGTGATTGTGAAGCTGAGGAGAGGAAAGGATGTCGTCTCGACACACAATAGAGGAGGGGGTTACCCATCCCCAGGCAACCTCCTTGTGGCAGTATGATGACGGAGGAGGTGGAACAGGCCTGAGACTGACTGGCACTGGAACTGCCCAGTTCAATGTCATATCAACAGGAATTGAGAATCTTTCACAAAGAAAATGTTTGTCTATGGTGGGCTTGCTGGCAAGGCTCTGTGCTGTTGCGGTCTGTGGCTTGTGGCGTGGGTGACCGAGGCACCGGCGCAACCTACATACCTAGTACTACTAATCATCCCCAAGCCTAGCAGCCCCCACGACACAGGGGGGGCGCCCCCCCAGCAAGCAGTGTAACTATGTAGGGCTCACTAGGCCTCTGATCGCCTATGACTACGAGCACGGAATAGGCACGGAGTTCTCATCGACCATGCCAGATAGGCATGCACCTAAGTATCCACAGGCACTACAGGGATCGTCAACTTACTCGGCCTGCCTATCTCCGCCTACGCCCACCTCCACCTCCACTTTCACCTCGAACTCTCGAACTCTCGCTCTCTACCTATGAGCAGCGCTTCCGCTTGCAGTTCCAGATCCTTCCCACTCGCTACCAGAGACTCGTGGTCCCAGTACAGTGGCTCATCGAGCAGAAGAATCACCACGACTCGTCCTCACCACTGGGATGTATGCACAACCAGCATCATCATCATCATCATCCTCCTCCTCCTCTTCTCCTCCCTCTGACAATCTGCAACATCGTCCGGAAGAAAAATGCTGTCTGCAGTCGTTCGTTCCACAGTGCCCGATCACAGGTGATGGATTGCATTGGCGCAATGCAAGTCAGTCTAACTATGTACAAGACAAGCAACCTCCCAGCTGAAGGTGCCTTTGTCCGTTACACTTATGCAGCTTTTCCAAAACGTCCTCGTTTCACCTAGCCTCGGGCTCTCCGCCGTGAAGAATGACGGTCGCTCCTCATAACCCGATTTGCCAACCGCAGACGAGAAGCACGGAAACATCACTAATATCACTACCTGCCTGAGCGGTACCGATCACACACACCCCGTTAGCCTTGTGCCTGGAGCACTGCCAGCTCTCCAAAATCTAGTCTTTCCTCCTATCGCCGTCGAGCTCAATCCCTCCAGACAATCAATATCTCTTGCCAATCTTCCTTCGTCTCCCCCCAAAAGCGGTCCCGCAAGCTTGCCGGCCAGCCAGCACATCATCAGACCGAAACTGTTACGCGAGAAAGACCTCATTTTCGAAGATGTTGCAAACTCAAAACGTCCATCATCGTAACCGCCCATGCGGGGTTAAACGAGAAGTCACCAATGCGCGCTGTCTATCAGTTTGCTGTTGCTTAGGCGATTGGAAAATGTTTTTTTTTCTCCTTTCCTTCTGACCGTGAAGGTTGACCTTCTTACAAAAGAATAGCGGCACTTGAGCTCCCCAGGTCGAAAGAGGACCAGGGGTCCCTCGTTTCTTTCGCCTACTCGGCCCATCTCCTCCTCCTGAGGGATCCGGCATAAAGATAGATCTGTCGTCCACCTCCCCTCGGTCCTTCGAGAGTTGATCTTGTGCAACACTCGGATTTTGACATGTGGTTATAGAATCCTGACTTGCTTTCTTGGGACCTATTCTCGATATGGGCAGAGAAAACGTCGAATTCAAGACCTCGGACCGGGTCACCTTGAGAGGATGGTTCTACACCAGCGACTCGGCGTCCGGGAAAGCACCATGCATCGTCATGTCCCACGGCTTCACGGCCCTCAAGGAAATGGACCTGGACGCCTTCGCCGAATATTTCGTGTCGAAGCTGCCCGTCACCTGTCTCGTCTACGACAATCGCGGCTTTGGGGATAGCGATGCGGCCGAGGGGGAACCGAGGAGTGAGATCATCCCGATGACTCAATGTAGCGACATCTCCGACGCCATCACCTATGCCTCGACAAGGGCTGAGGTCGACCCGAACAAGATCGGAATCTGGGGTTCGTCATACAGTGGCGGCCACGTGCTGTATGTCGGGGCCGTGGATCGCAGAGTCAAAGCCGTCCTCAGCCAGGTCCCTTGCGTCAGTGGATGGGACAACTTCAGTCGTCTTGTGCGTCCAGATTTTGCGGTCGGATTCAATGCGACCTTTGCTGCAGGTTTGACATCTCTCGCCTCAATACATGTCGCTCTATAGCCGTTCTGACGCTGCTTGCAGACAGGATTGCTCGAGCAGAGGGGAAGGAGCCTGGAATGGTTCCAGTGGTGGATGCGGATCCTCTGAAGCCGTCCGCGCTGCCCACTCCAGACAGCTACGAATTCTTTACCGCATGGGAGAAGAAGTCTCAGTGGAAGAATACTTGCACTGTCAAGACGTGAGTCCAACCAAACACCACGAGCTCTCCTCGCTGCCTCGTGATACTCACTCTTGGGTTTAGCGTCGAGCTCTTCCGCGCTTATGAACCACAGCAACTCATTGACAAAATCGCGCCGACGCCGCTCCTGATGACCGTTGCAAGCGGGGATGTGCTGACCCCGTCTGACCTTGCTCTCGGGGCTTATGCACGGGCAAAGGAGCCAAAGCAGTTGCAGCTTTTGCCCTGTGGGCATTTTGAGGCGTACTCAGGCCCGTATTTTGAGAGGAATGCCGGGACTCAGACCGAATTCATCAAGAAGTGGCTGGTCGAAGGTGGATGAAGGGAAGTTTACATGAGCCTCGAGGGATTGGTTCGGTAGATGGATAAATGGACATATGGAATATTGTGTTCTGTGCTTCTCCTCGACCCTGTTTGGACCCTCGGAGCTCGGCTCGATTGGATAGATGATGGATATGCCATATTGTTCGGATGAATGAGAGAGACACTTGAACCAAACTGTGCACGTTTTTAATGGGTTTCCCCGAATCTTTGACGGGGTTTAAATTTCCTGTCTGACAGCACGATAACCGAGCTGGCGAGCTGGCTACGCCCAAATTAACAGCCGTCACGTGGTATATCGTATTGTCAGACTGGCCATTTTCCCGTCAATAACCTTCGAACCTCGAGCTTGCATCAACCGCATAACATCGCACCACTCGAGCTCAACTCAAGAAAGCTTCGAGCATCAATCATTCCTTTTCCTACTCCTTCAGTAGGCGACATCTGCTGTATGTCCTGGCTATTCGGTTCCGATAGATTTGTTGCTTAGATCTGTTTGCAAAGCACACGGTCGTCCTCTGCCTGGGACAGCTTCCGAAAACTCTGGTGCAGCAGACCGTTTCCTCTTTACCCGTTCGTCCTCTATTCCGGATGAAGATTTGTGCCTGGATCTGAAGCTTCAAAGTAACTGAGTTTTCCATGGACGGCTTGTTTAAGACGACAAAAAAGCTCAATCTATCATCGTCGAGCGGACAATAGAGTTCCTGAGGACAATCACCATCACCTTACTGACGACTCGGGTCGAGAGTTGGTTTTTCAACCACCTCCTAAGATACAGCACATGAAGGACGGACAATCCCCGACTGGCCGTTCCAACCAGGCGATTGTGTGGGTTTCAGCTTCTATCTTCAGCCCCTAGCACCAAAGATACCATATCCCATTTGATCGTCCAGAAAACCTCTCTCAGACATCTTGGGAAAGGCGGTCCCTCACGAAGGAGACCACGCATGTTACGACCCGGCTCCTCCCTCCTCAAGAGGCTGGACGCGAGACTGGCCGGCACATGCTCAAGGGTCCGATATCTCTGGACGGGCGAGGACTCGACGAAAGGGTCCCGAAAGCGTCTTCTCCTGTTCGACATCGCCAGCAATCAATCGCCCTTTTCCATCCATAGGGTTCACTCGTCCAACTCATTCTTGCGCAACCAGCACTCGTTCTCCCCGAACACGATCCGCTCGCGGCTGGCCCTGCACTACAAGGGCATCCCCTACACAGAATCCTGGATCTCGTACCCGGACATCGAGCCGCTCTGGCAGGAATTGAAGATCCCGGTTCCACCGCGGCGAGAGGATATCTCGGGAAATAACAATAAGCGGCCGCCGTCGCCGTCTTGTACCTTGCCCATCCTGCTTCTCGACGCCGATGACTTTCGTCACGATGCCTTGAACAGATTACACGATGCAAAGATTCCGGGGGTCTACGAGACGGTGCAGACGAGGTACGGCATCTTCACGCCTGTGGTCTCGACGCTGGGCATCGCCTTGGCCCTCGAAATGCTTTTCCGGGACCCCGAACGGTATCCTCCTTTATTCCCCGACCGCCAGTCCCTGGAACAGACACAACAGGTGCAATCCATTATCACTCGTCTCCTCCCTGCCACACGTCGGCTGATCATCCCTTCCGTGCCCGACATCCTCGACGACAGAGGGAAAGAGTACTTCACCCGCACACGCAGCAAATGGTTCGATGTCTCTTCCCTCGACGAGCTCCGGCCCAGGACCCCCGAAGAGACAGATCGGCTGTGGGCCAATATCGAAGCTGAACTTGAGCCCATCCTGTGCACCCTCCACGACAGTCCACTGGTGAGAGGTCCGGAGCTGCACGACGCCCTGGACTGGAATGCCGAAGTGGGTGCGAGCGAACAGAATGATGGCGGCCACCACGCATCTGCTAGCCGCGTGCGCTACCTCTCCGGTGGACCCTACCCGACCTACGCAGATTTTATACTCATGGCGTTCCTGGCCTGGATCGCCCGCGTCGACATGGACGCCTGGGCGCGCTTGACGTTCTATATCGGTCGCGGCGTCCTCGAGGATCTCTGGATGGGCTGCCTGCCCTACCTCCGCAGTGGCGGCTATGTTGGGACGCTGGAGTGGTTCCGGCCCGCGCGCAGGCAGACCGGTCAACACCCCAGCCATTTATCGTGGAAATGAGGATGTGGAGGATGATGGCACCTAATCGGATCTCGTTGTTTGGTCAGGACCAGGAGGAACGGGAAGGAAAGGGCTAACTAACAACTACCGGTCACCCCACAAAGGTGATCTCTTCGAATAATGGAAGTGCCATCCACCATCCATCCCCCTTGTCTACCGACTTCGTCATGGCATGTCACGTCACATCACGTCATGCAGTACAAGGCTGTCTATACCCCGTTGGCATGCATGCCATGTCATTATACGCTGACTGGCTTCTCTCCCCTACATCCCCTACCGTACCAGGGTGGCTAGCCAACATCTCGCCTCGCCTCGCCTGATCGACATCGAGCCTTCCCATTCCTATCGAGCGTCCTCGTCGACATCGAACTTCGAGGACATCAAACCTCACTCAGAGATGGCGAACCTCGTCGACAATCCGACGCTCCAATATCTCTTCCTAGACCTTGTTCACACCGCCCTCTTCTCACAACAACATCAACACTGGTCTTGTCCACGCACGCACGCACGCACATTGGGAAGAGCTCCTCCGCTTGTCCTCATCGCCCTCCGCATCCTCTGGACAGGTTGAGAAAGCCCACTATCCTCATTGCCTGTGCCTGTGCCTGTGCCTGTGCCTGTGCCTGTGCCTGTGCCTGCTGTGCCTGTGCCTGTGCCTGTGTCTGTGCCTGCGCCTGTGTCTGTACCTGTTGTCCACGACGCCCTCATCCTCATCTCACAAAGAGGCCCTTGTCCGTGCATGTTGGATAGGGCTCTCCATCCCTGTCCTCACCGTCCTCTGGACAGGGTGAAAAGCACGCCGTGCTAAACCATGACCTCGGCGGCCGCCGTTGTTGTGGTCAACGGCGTCGCATGCTGCTGGGACGCTCGCTCCCTTCTGACCACCCCTCAAGCATAAGACGGCCACTGGCCTCATCAACGGCACAGGTAGAAGACGATATAGAGAACGAACGCATGGCTCAGATGCGTGTTTGTTGTACAGTCACCGTCACGCATGCATGGGACGGCCACTGTCTTCATCGACGGTACGCACGCAGGAAAGAGACGTTACAGAGAGCGAGCTCATGGCTCAGAAGCTTGTTGTTGTTGTTGTTGTTGTACAATATCATTACAATTGAGGCCCCTGTTGAGCCGCTTTCTCTGGCTCTCTCCTGTTTCTATCCTACAGGAAGGGAGCTTCATCGCTCCCAAGAGTCCACCAACGCCAAACGCCGACCCGGAAAGCACAAACACAAAAACATAAGCCCGATCCTTGTCGGGCGCGGGTATCGTCGTCATCAGCTCATCATGTCGTAGACTCATACAGATACAATTGAAAACAAAACAAAGCAAGAAAAACAAGAAAACAAAACGATCTACAAACTGCTCCTTAAGAGCGCTCCGTTCACAAGCTCCGCCACAATCCTCCTTCTCTGCAAGGGGATCATGTCGGGGCTGTACGACATAGGCGTAAGCCCCAACATGATCTGTCTTGCGCTCGTGATCGTGTACACCCCACAGTCGTCCATGTTGGTTTGCTGGGGGCTCTCTCCTGCATCGATGAAGGTCCACTCGGACTCCTTGTATGCAGTCCCCAATTCTGCAGAGACCCAGGACTTGACGATGTTGATGTATCGTCTTCCGTTCCCAGCCAAGCTGTTGTAGTGTGCGATCGTGCGGTTCCTGCCCGACACCACGCAAAGCGTCCAATGAGCGCCACTGTTGACAGGAATGAACACCGCTTCTGTCTCAAGGAGGTTCTTGCCCCCGATCTTTGCTCGTGAAGCCCATCGCTTGACACTATCATAGCCACGGCTTTCGAGGTTGTTGAAGAAGAAGGACACGAAAGCGTGGTGTGTCGGAACTTGTGTGGGACGGTCGTTCTGCTTGCCGTGGGCGACGACGAGGCTGAGGTACCCATTAATAACTTCGTCATTGAGCCATTGATCGGTGGCGCGGCTGGAGTGTCCATTGAGAGGGACGACGCGGGTAAAATCGGTGGCCTTGTAAGTGCCATGACCGTGACGAAGGGCGGTCTGAATTTTCGTCTCCCATTCTTCTGTGAGTGGGACAATCTCGTAGTGAGTCTTCTCTTCGAGGATGGCTAGTCTCTTGGACTCTGCGCGTGTGACTCTCTGTACCTTCTCGGATGAATGTAGAGTCGCCTTGGGGGTCGGCTGATCTGGTGTATATACATCATCTAGGCTGAGTTCTGCGAGTTGCTTGAGGGGAGTGTGAAGGGAAGATGAAGCTGATGAGCTAAATTCGCTGCGATCTTTGTCCTCAGTCAGGTCAATCGGACTAGCGGCTTCTGGTTTGTGTGTATTGACACGCTCAGGTGTCTTTGATGATTCTGTCTCGGAAATCTCTGTTTCCTGCATTGTGGCACCGTCCTCCACTATCTTTGTGACGTTGTGTGATTCTGAAAGAAGAGGGTCCTGGTTGGCCAGGCCAAGGACACTTTCAGCCATCTCTGCTATCACTTCTGTTGTGGTAGGGGTGGGGTCATTGTTTGCTTCGCTTTTGGTTTCTGGCGTGACAGGTTCGTCGCTGTTTGACGTTTCACCGGCTGTTTGTTCTAGTGCAGGCATTGCGTAGGAAGATAATGTCTCTCCAACACTTTCGCTCTCTGCAAGGGTACCGGAAGCTGGTATGGGGGATCCACCTCCTGCCATGATCATTCTGACAACGTGTGCTTCTTGTTGCGGATTTGGTGGTGGTGTTCCATCGAAGAAAGAAGAAATCTCGCTCTTAATGGGGGATCTTAGTGCATCGATGTGATAGTTTCCTGGAGAGCAGTCGCAGGCGGATGAGATATCTGAAAGAGGGCTCTGTGGAGTCTTGGGGAGAGTCTCTTTTCGTTGGACTGATTTCGGAGTATTGAATCGTCGTAGTTTGAGACGTGGCGGTGACAACAGAGTCGAGTCATTAGGTGTTGGGGCTTTGGGATTCTCTGATGATGGTGCGTCTTGCACAACAATGGTAGGTGTCGGAGAGTGTGGTGCGTCCACGCTCAGACCATTGGTCCGGACCCTCTTCGAGAATGCGGCTGTTTCGCCGTTCTCGGTCGCGCGGGAGTCTTGTATGTGAATGCGTCTCTTTCTAGATCGCTGAATGGAGGAGATAAGACTGTTTGATTCTGTGTCACTCTCGGTAACTGCTCGGAAGCCTTGTGGTAATTTTGCATTGGGTGTGGTAGGTTCGATGGAGGTGTCGTTCTCGGTGAATGCTTGAAAGCTTTGTCGTGACTGTGCGCTGGGTGGATCAAGGTCAATGGGCGTGTCGTTCTCCGCCAATGTCTGGAGACCCTGTTCTAACTGCGCACTGGGCGTGGTAGTTTCGATGGAGGTGTCACTCTCAGTGCATGCCTGGAGGGTTTGTTGCAATTGTTTGCTGGGTGTGGTAAGGTCGATGGAGGTGTCGCCTTCGGTGAATGTCTGAAGGCCTTGATGTAGCTGCGCACTGGGTGTTGCAGACTCAAGGGAGGTGATGGTTGCTGCAGGCGACGGGGGGGACGCAGGAATTGGTTTCAGCTGCGGATAGGGAGATTCGAGTTTGCCACATTCCAGCAATGGTTTCTCAGATTTTTCCTCTGGAGTTGGAAGGTGAACTAGTTTTGGTTCCCGCGGAGGTGTAAATCGAGGCATTGCAGGAAAGACTCGATCGGGGCGTTTGCGCCGGAATTGGACTCGCGGGGTAACATTTTTGCTGCGTCGGTTCAAGACGTAGTGTGGTCTGAACTCGGGGATTTCGTACAGCACTTCGTCTGTGGGTGGATGTTCTTCCTTTACAGGTGAAACAGGTTTGGGTTGCGGCTGGAAAGAGGCAGTAGGCGTTTGTGGAAGAGTAGGTGTTGTTATTTGTTGAGCTGGGATGGGCTCTCTGGCCGCGGCTCGATTCAATGGTGTCTGGGAGGGTGGCGGAGTACGAGGTCTTGGAGCAGCTTGCCGTCTGTTTGGGTGAGGTCTTTGCTCACGGCGGCGCTGCTGGTATTTTCGGACAATGTAGACGGTGGGAACAGTGACAACAGTTGTGGTTGCATCGACAGTACATCTGCCGAGTTGTGTGGCGGCGTGAAAGCCCAGTCCAGCCAACCCGCCTAGGCCAGCACATATTCTTTTTGCGACAGGGAGGATGTGGTCAAGAGGAGAAGGTCTGCGAGAAGGCATGAAGATACCGGCGGTAGGTGGGGGAGGTGTGGGAAGATCGACGGGCCAGCCACCAGGCATGTAGTCTCCTTGGTAGGGGTTGTGTGCTGGAGGAGGCGTTTGAGGATGCCAGTCCATGAAACCCGAGTCGTCAGCCATGGCTGTGGAGGTTGATGATGACTTAGGAGCTTGAGAGTGTCACAGTGCAGGATGCAGACAGACAGAGTCGAGTGCTGGGTGAAGTTGAAGATGGAGATGAGACCGAACAAGCGAAGTAGGAAGAACACAAGGAGTTCGACTGACAGCATGGGAGTGTGAGAAGATATAAGTCGCGTGAGGATGTAGAATCACAAGAGTAAACATGAAGTCAGTTTGAGTGAAGAGGAACCGTGCATTGTCTTGATGGTAACTCAGGAATTAGTTGTATTATTGACGAAGACAACCAACGCGACTCTCCAAACTGCGAAAATGCGGCACCACAGCGATTGGTCACGTTCTTTTTCTGCCGCCCCCTCTCCGCCAAGACAGTGGATTTCATATCCGATACCGCCTTTGTCGGTGAAACCTATTTGACCGTGAATTACAGGAAACAGCCTCAGTAATTACCATAGGAAGCCTGTGTGGACTCGGTACTGCCAGAAGCAGATGGTTCGCGTCGAAACTTGAAAGTATACAAACAAATAAACACACCAGAATACGACTACTGCCATTGGTATGTATATTATTGTACGGTCTCGTGGTCGATGTGTCATCCGTTGCCTTGTCCTCCCCCCACCGACCAAGGCTATATCATGATCTGGATCTTTCTCCTTCCTGTCAATCGACGCTCAAGCCAACGTATTTGAACAGCACAGGGATGCCCTCAATAGCCAGCCAGGCGATCCCCGAATACACAATCAATTTCGTCACCACCTCCACGTCGTATCGGACTCGAGGCTTCTGGATGCTCAAGAATATCTGTCTTTCCTGCAATTCATCCATTGCCTGAGCTTCCTCGGGGGTGCGTGCTCTGTCGTTGGCGGGTGGGGCCGCAGGAGCTGGTGATAATGTTTCCATCCCTGTCCCCATCTGCGCTCGGAACATCTCCAGGCTGTTGGATCTTTTCCTCCCCGTAGCGGTATCTTTGGTCTGGAAGTAGCCGGGATCAGGAGGAGGTGGGGATTGGGGGGAGCCTTGCATTGTTGGAGTGAGCGTCTCAAGAGCATTTTTACTGTCCCTCCTCCTCTTGTCACGGTAGGCCAGTGTTTCGTACGCGTCTGCCTCGGACTGAGGCCCAACCGAGATGGCCCTTCGGCGTCGGAACGTTGATAGCAGGTGAGGAATCTCCCGTGCGGGTGGGATGATGTTGTCGTCATTAGGTTGCCGCGGAATGGTTTCGTACTCTGACGCGGGTTTGAAGAATCGTCGTGGTAGGGTAAGACCAAGCTGTTCAATGACACGGAATATCGGTGGGAGTATTTTCAGTAGGGTGGGCTTCATGATGCCCCGCCATGCAAAAATCACCAGGACTCCAAGTAGAATGCGCGCCAATGTCATGATCCAGCCCATCTTCTCAAGATCGAACGGGATAGTGCCTTTGGCAGGAGTGGACCAGGCATAGGTGGTGCGGGCAAAGTGCCAAACAGCGTATTCACAGCCAATCATGACTCCCGCAAAAGAGACACTGTCATCAAAACAGGGACAGTCGTCTGCCGGTTCAGGATGGATGCGAACCAGGACCAAGACGACCAGAACAACAAGCACGACTCGTTTCAAGTCGCCACCGTGGAGCCAGTCATCAAACGCCTCCCCATAAAAGCATTGAACCAGAGCTATCAGGGCACCGAGAACGCTGCCCCAGATGACGTCAAAGAAACCATGCATCCCACAGTACAGCCGCCCAAGCACAATAGAAATGGCGTAGAAGTACGCTAAAATCTGCAGACCGAGATTGAGATTCGGGTCCAGGTTGTTGGATTCGTGCCGGAGAAGCCAGAGGGAGTAAACGGCAACCGAGACCGCATTAGTCGAGTGTGTGGAGGGAAAGCCGTATTCAAGGGCGGCAGACCCAGACATGGTGATTCGAGTGAGCGGCGGAGAGAGCGGTCGGGGGAGGCAGAGGAGATCTTTCAGAAACCCGCTGAAGAAAACTCCTGAAGCCAGAACGTGGACCATCCTACTGCAAGTCAGATGTGAACCGCCAATGGGATAACACTTGCATACCCTCTCCCCAGATTTGTATTCCCACACCAGAAGAGGATAGGCAGCATAACCATGAAGAAAGTGTGCGTGCCCAGGTTTGCCGACGTCGCAAAATATGTGTCAAAGGCTGGAGTTCGCAGCGTGTCTTGTAGCCAGGCGACGTAGGGAGTCTCCCAACGCACAACCGGGAGGAGTTGTTCTCTCAAAAGATAGCGCCATGGTGGCAGTCTGAGCTTGTCTGAGGCACGGTCAGAGTCATTCCGTGAAGGATTCGGCAGTTCTCCCCCCTCATACAGTGATTGAGCGACCTCAGCCCGGCATCTGGCCTATCTTTCTCCTTGTCCATTTCTGCAGAGGGAAATATCGACCAAGGCTCCCTTCCATCGAGGCCAATTCAAGGGACGAATTCCTCACGGCGATGCATTAACATCGACCGTGGAAGGCAATGGAGGGCATCGAGACTGTCAACGGAGAATCCAGGGCGTGGCTGTCAAAATCTGCGAGGCCGTCGAGTTCAGTAGTCGTAGGAGGACGCAGGAGCTGCGGCTGTGCGGCGATGCAGGGGACATTGAATTTGGAGATATTGTGGGCTCTCTCATTCGTCCACTCCGCGGCCTGCGGTGCCGAGCACTCTCTCACCTCTCCTCAGTCGGCCAACGCAAGGGAACTGACCAAGTGTTTTGTTGTTCGACAAGGATCCTGCATGCACAAGATGCATGTCGATAAGCGATAATGTCGCAATTGACGCAAGTATGCAGCTGGAAACAGGGTCAATGCTGGGCGAAACCTGCGTTTCACATGCGGTTGGGCGGTGGTTACTTGGGCAACCGCCACAGTCAACAAAGGCGCCCGCCGCAGTCATCATCCCACGATGAGACACGGGCTTAACAGAAACCTGCTTGAACCACATGTGCAGATCCATCAGCCGTTACCACACCACATATAATACTGCCGCTCCCGCCTGCAAAGGCGAGGTTCTCCACGTCAACTTGCCACTTCACTGCAGAGAGCCCTCCCTCCTCCAACTTCACCCACCATGGCAGAAACCGATCACCATCCTTTGCGAACGTCCACCGTCCTGTCGGAGAAAGGCCCAACTTCGTACATTACTCCCTCTTCGCCGAAACGAAGACCTGTTCGAGCACCCAGCACGAGGACCAGTAACGGCACCGTTAGCACAAACATGAGTTATGGCAGTGCGGGACGATTGTCGGAGGCAACGAACATCACCCAACCGCCCGCGCACTCCAAAAAGTTCGTCGTGGTCGGAGATGGAGGATGTGGGAAGACTTGTCTCCTCATCAGCTATGCACAAGGCTATTTCCCAGAGGTATGCAAGAGAAGAGTGGGAATGACCAGCGGATGACTGATGGTCGTTAGAAATACGTGCCGACCGTGTTCGAGAATTACATCACGCAGACCATCCACAAGCCCACGGGCAAAGTAGTTGAACTCGCACTGTGGGATACAGCGGGGCAAGAAGAGTATGACCGACTCCGACCACTGTCGTACCCGGAAACGGACCTGCTCTTCGTCTGCTTCGCCATCGACTGCCCCAATTCACTAGAAAATGTCATGGATAAAGTCAGACATCCTCCCTCGACAGCAGGCTATAACTTCTGCTGACTTGTCCTCACAGTGGTATCCCGAAGTCTTACATTTCTGCCCAACCACGCCCCTGATCCTCGTCGGTCTCAAGTCTGACCTCCGGAACAAACGAACCTGTATTGAGCTCCTGCGGACTCAAGGCCTCACACCGGTCACACCAGAACAAGGAGCTGCGGTAGCTCAACGGATGGGAGCGATGTATATCGAGTGCAGCGCCAAGGAGAACAAGGGCATTCAAGAGGTATTCGATTTGGCCATCAATACTGCCATTCAGGTGGAAGAGGAGAGTTTCGAGGCGAAGCCAAACAACAAGGGCGTCAAGGTCAAGAAGGCAAAGAAGAGGAAATGTGTTTTCCTATGATCCAACGGGATCAGAAACAGACCCTCGGAGGTCCCCATTTTCCATTCTCGGGGTACAAAACTTGGATCTTGTATGATTGACCTTTTTTGGGCTCGAGAAATCGCCCGTTGATGTGTGACGGTTCGCATATGGAATGGCGTTGGATGCAATTGAATTGCAAAACGAGGCGCTGTAATGAGGCTCTGCTGGTTCTAGAACGGGCGGTCGCTGTGCTGTGCGAGCGAGCCCCGGCCCAAGCTCGAAGACTCTTTGATGTGTTTTGATGTCATTGCCGTATGAGCAATGCATAGCATAGCACCTCCTCCAAGAATTCATGAAATACTTGTCCTGTGGAACATGCACGTGTTTTCTGAAGCGCTCTATCCACGACTCTGTGCTCGTGTCGTTGGTCCCCGTCCCGTCTTCCAAAGTGGTGGTTCATCACCTAGATCGACGAGCAAAGCAGCCATCCGCCATCCGCCATCAGCAGCACACACACAGCTCATGGCCCAAGACAGACAGGCTCAAGACACAGCTCGGATGTGGCCGCGACGTCGGTGCGGTGTGTCGCCACGGACACGAGTCTCATTTGCCATGCTTGCTGCCTTCCCCATTGCCAGCGGTGTCGCTCGCGTTATTGTTGTTGGCGTCGTTCTCGTCGCTCGCTGACCTCCCCATCACGGTCTCGAACTGACTCCACAGCGCCTCGACGCTGGAGAATTCGTTTCCAATCTAGGTAGGTAGTCAGTCAGTCGTCTTTGTCAGATGTCAGTCAGTCAGTCCGTCCCCAGGCAGGGGCAAAGAAAGTCCCTCGGAGCCGCGGTGGGGAAAAGAGTCTAACATACCTCGATGATCCCCTCGAGGCTGCGATTTAGAGCATTTATCTGGGCGAGGACTTGTTCCAGGGACTAAAGTTTCCACGCGCACGGCGGGCGCGTCAGGAGTTAGCTATCGCGTTCAGATGACATCCACGCCGATTCAGAAAGACGGACAGACGGAATAAAAGCATGGGAAGACAGTTCGAGCTATCGGACGGTCCACACGACGTTCCCAAATTGCCTCGCTGGACTGGGTCTTTCTGGTCCCCGTCTCCCCAATTCCACGCAAGTTCTGGTAGATTCCGTTGAAGGCAAGGAGACGACGGCATCATCTTCAACTGACTAACTAACCTCTCCAATCTCGCCGACTAGCCCAGCACGGCGCAACTCGAACTCGCTCGGTTGATGATGAGACTGGGACTCGGCCGTTGAGGAACGCGTGTTGTTTTGCGAGGTCGCCATCGCGGGAAGTTTTGGCCCCTTCTCTATATCAGCAGCATACGGAGGAGGTCCTGGCTCCTATGCTCAGTGTGGAGAGAGAGACGCGAATCCCTTTGATGGATTCGCGAGGAGAGATTTGTGTATGCGATTGACGGTGTGGTTTCTTTCCCAACCACTGTTTGGAAACCAAAGAAAGCATTGAGCATTGTGTACCTCGTATGGACAAAGGCTATTACTTCATCCAAGCCGCGTTCTGGCCTCCCCCAATAATCGTGTCCACTCTCCCACACCAACGCTGCCCGCCCCCACTCCAGGATAAAAAGAATAGAATTCCGGGCCTTCCACGCAGTACGTATGTACGTCCATCATCACAAGGTCCCAAAAAAATCATTTGTGCACACCATTGAGAGGAGTGGGATTCGAACCCACGAGGTTTCCCACTGCGGTTTGGAAAGATAGAGGACCTAAACACAGCGCCTTAAACCACTGCAACGGCGAGTTTTGTTAGTTAAACGTGGTTCCGGTGTCAAAGAAAAGAAAAGACAGGGGATGATATGTACCTCGGCCATCCTCCCGGCATAAATTCTGATTATTTCTGGAAACTGCAATACATACACCTCGCCTTTTTGGGCGGGGAGATAGCCCGCGTCTCGTGGCTTCTCGGGCTTCTTGGAAGGCGGCGGGGGATGATCGTCTAAGCATACGTGGGCGGGAGCGTTTAGTGGTTCTAGGCGTGCAACTGGGCGCCACTGGGCTGGGCAGGCTCAATAAGCTAGGCCCTGATTCCCCCCAACTGTGAAGCTTGCGACAAAACCCACCTCTTTCTGCTGGTGAGGTGAAATATAGGTGGCGAGGAAAGCTGGAGACAAGAAATACACATTCAGATATACGGTAGTCATTGTATTCGTCGCGTCTATCGTAAAGAAATGATGGACAAATGATCTAAGGTTCCCATCTGCTCAAAAGCGTGCGACTTCTGTACCTGCCTCAGACTCAGACGAAATGATGTATAAATCCAACATGCTTAGCCTCCATGGCGATTCTGTTTCGAGCTCGATCGGATGGGTGACATCTTCCACCTCCGCAAACAATGATCGCGAGATCCCCTTTCTGTAGGGACGGGCCTGTGTGTCTCGGATCTGTCGTCCCGTCCATATAATATGATAAGTGGCAATCTCGGTCGATCACGAGGGGTGGTCATTCGCACACCATGGACAACCATCATCGTCTTTGAGAAAGGGCATCTGTGCTTCTCCGAAGGTAGTTGGACTGGTAGTTTGAGCTTCGCTTTTGCATCCGCATGCCATAAAATGCAGGGCCCTGTTGCCGATCACTGCCCCTTTTCTGCTGAGCTAGTTTCACATCATAGTCGAACTTGCTTCGGGGTCTAGAAGTGTCTGGCGCAGGAACGTCCACCCGCGTCGACTCACAGCAGTTCATGCACACGGGACGGTCCCTCGCTTCCACAAGGCCAAAATTTCGGTGGCTCGTCTCTTCTCCTTTTTTCTATTGCTGTAGTGGGGTGGGGTGGTGTGTTGTTGAATTGGAAAAAAGTTGTGAAACGAGAAGGGCCAGAGCGATGCAAACCACCACCATTCGCATTGCCTGTGGCCCCGGCATGGTTTCTGCTCCATCGCGTCAAGATGGGAAAGAATTCGTCGTCAATGGAGGGCTTTTGGTGTGGTCGTCAGAGAGATGGATCCGCCGTCGTTATTGCTATGCGGTGCCGTTGGTCCCATGAGGTCATGATCGTGTGTCCTCCGTTGAATAGTAGTCAAAGTCATCCCTGATGGAATCACCGCTTGCCGCCTGACAGTAACCGTGAGAGCCTCTTTCTTCGTGGCTTCTCCTCGATATGGTCACCATCGGCGCTGGAAGAACTGGGACTTGTTGAACTGGCCTCGGAGGACGTTCGATCTCGGACCGACATGTTGGCTGCACCTATAATATCCTCCAACCGCACATCGTCCTGAGGGGATGTTGTTTGATATTGGGGATCAAGTATTTCAGTAAATTTAGAAGCCATGGTAGTGAGTGTAGAGAATTTCGGCCGGGTGAAGAAGGCAGTCGCCCAGTCTCGTGGTGCTGATGTCTATATTTCTCTGAGATCAAGAAGCGAATGCTCTCAGTCAAACGAAGGGATTCGAACAAACTCGATAGACAGCGAAAGTGGCGGTGATATACAAGTAAGGGGGGAGATGGAAAACTCGGGTCGGTAGCGCCCTAGTAATATTGTTGTCCTCTCCCATTTCGTCCACGGCACACGATCAAGTTCCGCCTATTCAGAATTTGCGCTCGCGTTGCTTTCCCCCTGTTTGAGGGTTTGGAAATCCAATAGAAAGTGCGGGTGGCTACGACGCCGCCTCGTCATTCCCCTCCTTCTTGCGAGTTTGCTCCCCCGGATAGAATGGGATCGCACATTGTCTAGACCCTTGTCAGGACCCAGAACCGAGGCGCTTGGAGAGGACCATCCCGTGAAAACCCACCGAGCCACCCACCGGGCCCTCAGGACCAATTTTCAGGGTCTCGAGTGTGTGGCTGATGGACCTCCCAACGCCTGGGAGGCCAGAGATCGACCACCATGGTGGCAGGCGTTGCAGGGAATATTCCAGGATGAGAGCTGCGGTCACGGCAAATGTTGCTGTGTAACATGGCGAGGCGTACGAGGACGATGGTCAAGCCACGTAGGACAGAAACGAAGATCGCAAATTCACAGCGTCGGATTCGCTTGCGAAGAGGGCCGAGCGTCTTCCGTGCCACCAAACGCCCTCCTCAAGCATGTCGTTCGTTCTTGGGATGGATGGAAGGACGGATATGTCCAAGCAGCACTGGGCACAGGGCGCAGCGTGCATAGGTGTGCACACCACATACAATAATATCCCGTATTTTGGGTTGACGTTCCCAGCTTGGGGAGAGGCAATAAAGGTCAAATTGCCAGTTTGGGCTCCAGTTTGCCTCCCTGACTGAAACCCTTCGAGTCGCTTGCTCTCCGCCTTTTTCACGCCTTCCTACTACTGCCCGAGTGCCGTGCCGGCTGACAGAACCAACTTCTCTTGAACCTACTTGTGGAATGGTGGCATTACACTGGTTCGCCTCGTGACTTTGGTTCTCAAAGCGACCCGGAAGCTCAGCAAAACAAGGGGGCCAAAAGCTACTTAGGGATTGGGGGATTTCTCCTGTTTGTTCGCATCGATTTTCATTGAACTTTGTTTCTTGTAATTCACGGGGCCGGGGCGGCGACCAAAGCCTTGATCTCCTAGGGATGACATCGAGCACGTTTTCCCGTGCATTGAACAGCTAATATGCACATGGCAAGAACTCTGATAATCCGTGGTTCGCCGTCCTGCTCCTCCAGTGCCGCCTCGGATGCCCAGTTGTGGCATAAGGAAGGCGACCAAGCTTTATCATCCAATGTCGGCTGGCTGTTATGCATGAACAATTCTCGGAGTAGACTCGTGGCTTTCGGAACGCGACCGATTCTCGTGGAGGATGGTTGTTTTGGCACACACAAGAATCCACTATCGGCAGCCACCCTTTCGGCGCCAATTGAGAACAGTCACGGTGCTCATCACCTCGAATTGTGATCTCTCAGTACCCAAGAACGCGACCTTGTTGTTGTGGTTGGTGCTGCCTAGATTGGCTGCGATGTCCTCAGCTGGTTGGAGGATCGCATCGACTTCCCCTTTCGCCAGCATGGTGCTGTTGTCTACCCGAGCCTGGCTCGACAGGAATGCGTTTCGGTGCATGCGCCCAGCGAGATGTGTCTGCCTGAGCATGTGCCCTTCGTGCGGAATCGCTTTAGCCGCTCCATGACCGACATTTGCGGGATCCTGAATCCACATTGCGTTCCTCTGCTTTTACGGCCTGTCGCCAACTTAATCCTCCATTTTGGTGTCGGGTCCTTCACCGTTCATTTCGACTCCTTTAGCTGCAGATATCCAGAGAACGTTGTTACATCTGATGGCCCAAGTGGTCAGTTACATCCTCTCATTGCCCGCATCGCATGGAACTCTGCCGGCCATACCTGATGAGCACCTGACCCAAAGTACCCGTATGTTTCCTGTCAATATACTCTTCCGTGTTCGAGAGCTGGATGTTCATGTATGAGTCGACGCTAATGAGCCGGCCTTTGTATTCTGTTTGACCCCATTTTAAACGGATGATAACTTCGTCATTGATCCTGCCATGTAGTCGGTCAATTCAAGTACATAGGTGCTTCGAGCGGGAGTTCGACAACGGGAAGCGCTCGCGCACTGCGACATAAGGGTACAAGGACGTACAAGCTCTGGAGGAGAGGTCGTGGGTTGATGGGCGTGAACTGCAAAAATATTAGAGAGAGATGTCGCAAAAGCTGCCTGCAGTTCATCTTACATTCATTGTTGCTCGATCTGCTGAAGTTGAGGTCGGGGAGATAAAACGAAGGACGCAGTGCAATCAGTTCTCATTGAGGAGTTGGCTACAAGTTGATGTTATGATCCGTTGCGTGGATCGAACTTTGGAGAGAAAATGTTCTGCCAAGGTACGGAAAGGAAAAACTACTCCCGGCTCAGGCCGCAGCAGGCGCGCTTCTACGCGTGCCTCCCACTTTTCACCAACAATGGAGTAAACAATCATCTTCCACTTTCATTCAACTCAACACTCACCCATCTCTATTTATATATATCGGACAGCAGCCAAACCTGGCCCTCTGCAGCCAATCTTTGCACACTCTCGCTGAAGAAGCGGAGAAGTTTCAAAACCTCGCACCCTTCGACAATGGCAACCGACTTTCTCTTGCTATAGACCGACTTACTCAAGTTGTCAATCAAAAATTCGACGCTATCGACCGAAAATTCGACGCTATCGACCGAAGATTCGATGCGTTGGAGACTCGGATTTCGGTCAAGTTCGTTTATCTCTTCATCTTCACTTCGAGATAGCTGGCTAATACTATTCCTATAGCGATTCGAACAGTGTGGCACGAACTCAAAATAGCCGTCTAACCAAAGACACTGACACTCTTTCGCCTTTGATGAGCCCTATCACCAACACCCCGATCCCAGACTTCCCGCAAACATCAGAAGAGATTCGCACTATGCCTACAAGAACGCTCACTTCTATCTTGGAAGGCTTGGGATTACCAGGGAGTGGAAATGCCGACGAGAAAAGGAAGCGATTGAGGAGCTTCATTGGTCTGAGCCCGAACCCTGCATAAGAAGAGTAGTACAAAACTCTTTATTTTTTACGGGGCACATGGTACTCTCTACGCATGAGTAACAAAGAGAGAAGGATCAGGACTTTTATCAATGTATTTTAGCTTGCCAGTATGAATCAATGACAACAGCAACCCGCTGGGTGAGCTGCGAGCAGTTTTTCCTTTGCTTATATTGCCAAGCGATTTTCGAGCCGCGCTGCAGCCTTGCGCCCAAACAAGGCTGAATCGCAGTCTACGACACGAAGCCTGTGATAGATCTCGACCCCAGACTCAAGCTCGTCGTATTTGCCACTTGATGTCTTTAATGCTGACTTCCTCGCCAGCTTTCTCGTCGTAATCAAACCACTCTCCCTCTGACAGGTCGATACCCGTGAATTTCGTCCCGGACTCGATTCCCGTGGCCTCCCACTCCCCCTACGCCGACCAATGTCAGTGGAAAGGAAGTCTCAACGTGGGAGATCAACATACATCTGGCTTGAAATCAGTGAATTCTAGACCCCGGCAATCGATATCGATGATGTTCTTTGGTTTTGCGGGAGAATTTTGCTCATATTTGGCCGGAGCTGCTTTGATCGAGGCGCTGGATTCTCTCTGTGTGGAAGTGTGTCCATTAGCACTCTGCGAAATATACACCAGTCTCCTCAATCAGCTAGCTGGTCTCTTCCACACACCTTACAGTTCTTGCATTTCCAGACAAAGTTTGCTTCTCCTCGGCTCCCGGATTGCTCGTTCATGTCCTAAATTTTGAGGTCAGATGGTCCCTGGGCCAATTCAACCCAAGACAACTGCAGTAAACACACAGGGCCATATCGCAGTCGTATGATGATAAAGCCACGACGCGCCACATTTAACAGAGCAAGATGACCTCAAGTTCCCTTTTGGAAGTGGGAGAGTGCTTACATGACGGCTGACCCCCACCCAATTTGCATGGATCTCACGACATGATGTACACTGGACCTTGAAAGTGTAGTAGTACGGTGTTTCAGCTGTGTCGGAAGGTACAAGGTCGGTCACGCTGCAGAAAGCCATCAGTATCAAACAGAGGTCGCATACTGGGCGTCCCACCCTTCCAAATCCGCCGTCAGAGTTAATGCCAGCATTGGGACAAATCCGGTTGAAACTTGGCTGCAAGATGTCTCTGCAGGTAATGAAAAGGAACAACGAAATTTGGATTACTAGAAGCCCAAACTAGAAGTTGTTGTCAGGAATGGATTCGAGATATGAATCGACAGTGGGAGAGAAACCAAATCCGCATACATACAACTGTTCGTTATTTAAATTTGAGCGAAGAAATTCTATTGGCCAGTTTTGCGAATTGAACTTCATTCTCAACTTGGGAATTACTACATTCGCTTCTATCGGGAGGAGTCAAGCACCTGTCGCCAGCTGTCTAGGCAAGCCAGATCGCTTGCTGCTCCATTCCTTCGTCTTCGGCTTTCGCGACGGCCTCCCCGAACATGATCCCGTGAATATAAACGGCCCCACCAACGATGTGGTAGAGGCTCTCCTCCCTTTCGACTTTGCGTAAGAGGAAGGGTAACGCACCACCCCACAAAATCCACACCATATCCCCTGGTTCGATATGTTCACATGCGGAGCCAATGTAGCCTCGGACAGTGCGGAACAGCCTCCTCTTATTGACGTAGAGGCCGTTGGGAAATGGGAGCTTCTTAAAGGCTTCGTAGTTCTGCAGTCGTTCGCTCCAGTTAGAGGAATGAGCAGAACTTGAATCGTGGAGAAGCCTCCCCGCGGACCACCATCGTCTGAAATCTTGTATCACCTCGGTCTGGGAATGTCCTGAGATTTTGACGTTGCCGAACGTTAGGGCCTGGCAGAAGGCTTCCACACGGCTTTCGTGGTCGACATATGGATCGTCCTTTATCTCTGTTGTCGCACAGTTCCACCAGAGGTTCCAGTCCATTTCCTGCCCGGCACCAACCTCCTCCCCCGGCGTGTTGGAGTAGCACACCGAAGTAATCGCCCGGACCTCGTCAAAGGCGATTCCCCTCAAGCCAATCTGATCGAATTGTCCGCTATAAACGAGTCCAGGTTCGTCTGGAGGTCGTCCGTAATAAGCTGGGCGACCTGCACAAGCATTAAACGGGACCTTGCCGCCCCGGCTTTCACTGTTGACTGCGTATGCGTCACAGCCTCGCTGTGGGAGAATATTGTGCACGTCAATCGCGCATCCGAGCTGGTCAGGGTGGACTTGCCAGTCATGCATCCAGGATGGAAATCCAGAATTTTGGCGAGATGCTTCAAGCTTACAAGCGCAAGAGAGCACGTCCAAATTCATTTCGGTGTTGATACAGTATGCCACAGTCCGTCCGTAGACCTCCTGTGTACTTCTCTCGTAGGAGATCGGTAACGCGTCTATCAGGCCCTTCTCAGCCCGAAATTCCTGGTCAGACATGTGCCAAAAGGCGTAGACTTTATCGCGAGCATCAGTGCTTCGAGTGACGCGGAGCCCCTGAAGAAGAGTGGACAGTGGCGCTGACGGGAGAAGGGTCTCATGTCTGTACCGACTTTCCTGCCAGTCCCGGGTTTTCTTGATAATTTGAAGTCCGCCTCGATGAAACGTCGCTAGGGCAGAGTCCTCCGCCGTACTCCACGGGATGCTCCAGTAGGACAGACCGGAGATGGCTTCCTCGAACATCTCCCATGGAATGACCACAGGGCCTAGATAGACGAGGAGACTTTTGGCATGCACCGCCTCCTGGATCACCCAGGATCGACTAAACCAAGGATCTTCCAGAATGTCCTTGACCATTTGCTTGGTGAAAAGGTGGTGGTCCTCGTTCGGAGGCGGATACAAATGTGGCTGTTCTGTCATCAACTTGGCCGTGAATTGCGCGAACGAGGGTGCATCTTCGATCCGACCGGTCCTTCGAGGGCTATGAAGCCATGTGAACATCTGTGCAAACATCTGAGTTTTCACTCCTCTCATCGCTTTCCCCAACCACACCAGAACGTTTTCCGCCAGGGAAAATATCATGTGCATTTGCTGCACTTGGCTTGCTCTCTCTTGCAAATTAGCCTGATCAATACAGATCTGATCTGCCCAGACGGTGCAAAACTGCTCATAGCCACGGATCAACATAAGAGCGCCAAATAGATTGGATGTGATCTTGATGACAGTTTTTCCGATGATGATTTCCTCCTTTCTTGCAGTCTCTCTGAGTTGCTGGCCATCGAGGACGACCGTAGGTCCATCCGGGTCAGTCCACACATACGACAATGCCGTCCACCGAGGCCCTGGATGATTTGGATCAGAAGCTAACGCCAGCCAGTCAGGGCGTATCGTCACGATGGTTGCTCTGAGGGGCTCCTTGGGGTCCCGAGATGGCATAAGTTTCAAAAGTCGGATTTCGTGGTGTTCTTCTTCCAGTGCCTGATATATGTATGGCTCTGGAGCTGAGCCTGGTGTTGTGCTCCATCCCTTGGTCATCAGAGCCAACGGATCCATGAAAATGCCGACATTCGTCTGTATATGATCTGGTTTCTGTTCTTATCAGCTCTTATATCATCTCTTCAGCTGGCTTGGCAAGCTGCAGTCTGGACCGATTAATACGAAGGTAGCTCTCCAATTCGAAGCTGACTGGAATCGTCCTGCACGAGCAAGACCACAACTCGATTGTGCAGCTCTCTATGGCTTTGCAAAGACCATACGGCTGCGTCCCATGGTCACAATTGTCACAGAGCTTCGTCCTCACAGCGTCGGCAACATCAAGCCGTGCCTGCTGGTGACGAATAGCGGTCTAAATATCACCGTGCCAGATAGGCGCCCTCAGGATAGAGGAATCCGAGCTATTTGAGTGAGAAAAGACTACCTATCCAAGAAGCTTGTCTGCGAGTTCAGGTTTGAATGATTTGATTGACGCGTTAATCCACCGTGATAAAGTAGGGGGACGATATGTAAGACTAAGGCGGCATCACTTTCGCCCAAATATGGATAATTTCACTGCTTGTTGTCTTGGCGCGATGTGCCTCATTCTTCGTCTGACCAAGAGGTAATAGCACCAAGACAAAAGGGTTCAGGTTCAGGAAACCCCTTTCCGTCAAGTTCGGCCACACGAAAGTCTTCCACAGGCTCCCAGTCTGAGCAGATTTCTGGCTGCTCATACCTGCTAGGAAATGGCCCCAAAGAAGAAAAAGAAGCCCGCAGCAAACCCTGCTCGGGGCTTTGCTACAACTTCTGTGCCTTCTAAGTCCAAGCCCATCGGTGAGCCCGATGAGGCCGTGGTCAGCGTCAATGACACTACCCCAGGCCCAGGCACTGACGCTGAGCTCACAGCACCCGTCAGCGACGGGAACGCGACATTGAAAAGTGGCGAACAAGCTGAACAAGGTCGCAAGATCCAAGAGATGACCCCCGAGGAGCTGGAAGCTCATCTGGAAGACTCTGAGCTGGACGGAGTACTCGCCAAGTACGCTACACGATGCATCGCTGATGCTCGACGTCAAGTCGCCAGGCTAGAAACCGAGCGGCGTCAGTTGCGTCCACAAGCCCTGAAACTGTCAACATACAACTGGCTGCCGGAAGAGACAATCGATGATCTCTTTGATATGGTGGCTCGTGATACGAGTCCTATGTCGTCGGCATTTAGGGGTGTTGAGATTCCTGTCGATGAGGAGAAGCTCTTGCTCGACCTGTGGAGCTTGGAGAGAGTCTTGGTGTCCTTGAAGTTTCCAAGAGTCTCTGAAGCCATTGCCCATGTTACTGAAACCGCCCTTCTGGGACAGCTGAGAACGATTCCCGATTTCCTGCCTGGTCTGCCTGAGGCTTTACAATGGTATGCCTCGACAGCGCTAGAGGGCGAACTCATGAACTATGAACAGACCACGGGTATAACGACTGGATTGAGCGGTAATAATACCCCTGACCAGGCATCATCTGGTGAGTGAGACAGGGCCCGACACTCGAATCCGTGCAGCTGTGCTTTCTGTCTCAGAGTGTCAACAAACGCAGATCAAGAACGGCCCTTCAAGATTTCTGCCTGCTGCAAGTATACGTGATGTTGCGAGACCTTGCGCCGTTTTTCTCATCTCGGAGCGATGTTCTTCCTTTTAGTGAAGCGCGGCTCTATACCTTTCGCAAGTTGACCTGCATGTCCCAACAAGACTGACAAGAACACAGGACCGCCCACCGCCAGCCAAAGTAGGCAGAGTCCAGCATCGACACCTGCAAAAGTATCTGAAGCGGAAGACGACTCAGAATCGAGCCTAGAAACTCCAGAACCCGAAGAAGACAACGACCCCGCGAAACTAACGGAGAAGTCTGTTCACCTTCAACGACTGCTCTGGGAGGTACAGAACAAGGAAGCCGACGATATCCCGAAGACAGGGGCCAAAAAAGAAAGGCGAATTGCTATGTTACATCGGAAGTTGGAACTGCTACGTCGTGATCCGCTGTTCGATGAGTACGAGGCAGAAGCTGCATGGGACGCCGTTTTGGCTCAACTCCTGGCAACACGTCAACAGCTCATGCGAGCCGCTGCCACGAAACGGCGGCAAGAAAAGCGGGCTGCTGTCGAACAGAACATTGATGATGATATAGGGATCCAGAAACCTATATCACAGGACAATGAGCCCGGCGCTGCGGAGGATGAGGATGCTCTTCTCGGCGGCATGTTTGGAGAATCTGAAGACACTACTGTCTTCGAACAAACCCCACCAGCATCTGAGAGCTCGGTCCGACTGCTAGACTTTGGGAAATGGTCGGGTCTTTCACCAAAAAGACTGCTTGATGAAGTCTGTCGAGCGCGTGATTCGAAAAGTCGAGTGCAGATCCGAACTTTGCAGCAAACCTCATACTCAGCAAGGCACAAACTACAGATTTCTTGGACAGCCGATGCCATGGTCGACGCTCACACGACGGCGGCATTGCCACCTGAAGTCTCTGTCCGGGTCAATCAGCGACTCTGGGAATTGGAGATGAAAAACATTGCAGCAGCGGGTGCTGCCCAATCGGAGGGCTATGTCTGTACTCTTGGCCTGTTCCTGGTGTCAACACTGGGTGCAAGCGAGCACAAAGCCATAGGTCGTCTGCCGACTGTCTGGAGAGATGTGGTGAACGACTTGACCGACGCCCAAGCAGTCCTCGTCAACAAGGAACGAAAGGAGACTCTACGGAGGCTGCGGGCAGTCATTTCGGATGCACAGGATCGACTGAGACAGCAACAAGCCAGACTACCCAGCAAGGAGCCATCTGAGGGTCAGGCCAGCGTCGCTCATCGTCGCCGCGCCAGAGCACCTGTCTCGGCGCATTGGAGCCCGGAACAAGTGTCGAAGGAATGGGAAACCCGAACCACTCGTCCATCTTTCCGCGAAATGCTCCAGATCCGCCAACAGCTCCCTGTCCATCAGTACAAAGACCGAATTCTCTCTTGCATCGCCGAAAACGCTGTGAGTGTCATCTGCGCAGAGACGGGTGCCGGCAAATCATCTGGAATCCCGGTCCTGCTTCTGGAGCAGGAATTCTGTGCCTCCCGAGACTATCGCATCCTTGTGACACAGCCAAGGAGGATATCGGCCATCACTCTCGCCAGACGCGTTTCTCAGGAGCTCGGAGAGAGCCGCAATGACATCGGCACCAACCGGTCACTTGTTGGCTATGCGATCCGGTTAGAGAGCAAGACCAGCAGCACCACTCGCATCACCTACGCAACGACTGGCGTCCTGTTGAGGATGTTGGAGGAATCCCCAAACCTTGATGAGCTGGATTGCCTCATTCTAGACGAAGTACACGAACGTACGATGGATCTTGACCTGCTATTTATCGCGTTGCAGAAGTTGCTGAAACGCCGGAGTACATTGAAGATAGTCCTCATGTCGGCTACGGTGGACGCGAAAAAGTTCTCGGACTACTTTGGCGGCGCCCCGGTGTTAGATCTACCTGGAAGGACATATCCGGTTGAAGTGGGATTTCTGGAGGATGCAGTCGAGGTTACCAATGATCTTTCCGGTGTCAAAGAGAGAGACCCAGCAATCCAAGACGGGGATGAAGACTTGAATGATTTTTCGGCGAGCGACAAGGGACGTCCCATCATTGCCGAACTGGAGAAATACAGCAGCAAGACCCAACAGACGATCTCCAACATGGATGAATATCACATCGCCTATAGCCTCATCGCGAAACTCGCCGCCTCGATTGCCAGCAAACCACGTTACGCGAAGTATAGCAGCGCCATCCTGATCTTTATGCCGGGGATAGGCGAGATGCGGCGTCTGCACAACCTCCTCCTCTCAATGGACACCTTCAGCAGAGACTGGGTCGTGCATTTGCTGCATTCGACCTTCTCGACCGAAGAGCTCGAACGAGCGTTTGAACGCCCACCAAAGGGACAACGAAAGATTGTGATCGCGACCAACATTGCCGAGACTGGAATCACCATTCCCGACGTGACGGCCGTGATCGACTCGTGCAAGGAGAAAATCATGCGCTTCGATGAACGCCGCCAGCTGTCGCGGCTGACGGAAGGATTCATTTCTCGCTCCTCTGCGCGTCAGCGAAGAGGTCGGGCGGCGCGTGTTCAGGAGGGTCTCTGCTTCCATCTGGTCACCAAGCACCGTTACGACAATCTGATGCTGGAGCAACAAGTCCCCGAAATGCTGCGGCTGAGTCTGCAGGACCCGATCCTGCGCATCAAGGTGTGGAACCTCGGGTCGATTGAGGAGACTCTGAACGCGGCGATCGAGCCGCCGTCGCGGAAGAATGTGCTCAGAGCGATTGACAAGTTGAAGGACGCGGGCGCGTTGGCGAGGAATGAGACGCTGACGCCGCTGGGGCAGCAGATTGCGAGACTGCCCCTGGAGGTGCTGTTGGCGAAGCTGGCCATCTTCGGCGTCATATTCCGATGTCTGGTAAGTTGCTTCTCGGGAGAACGAATGATTTTCTCCTTCTTGGAGAGTGTCTCTGACCTGTCGATGCACACAAGGACCCCATCCTGGCCATCATCTCCCTCCTGACCTCCAAGTCGCCATTCCTGCCTATTCCGGCATCCGGTTCGCAATCCGACGCCCGACACGCGTTCAGTCGCGGCGACTCCGACCTGCTCTCCTCCCTGAACGCCTACGAGGGCTGGAAGAAGGCGAAAGCGGCGCGGACGGCGCCGGATTTCTGCCGCAAGAACCACATCAGCGACCAGACGATGGGGCAGGTCGAGGCACAAAAGATCCAGCTGCTCGTGTACCTCGTCGACGCGGGCCTGGTGGCGCTGGACCCGGAGGAACGAGCGGCCCTGAACTGCGCCCGAACGACATCTTCCGCCGGACGGGGCGGTCTGCCGTCCTCCTCCTACGCCGTGCCTGTGCGCTACAACCAGACGGTGGCCGACCGGGCCCTCAACGGCATCATCGCGACGGCGCTGTATCCCCGGGTCCTCATGCGTGAAGGCAAGGGGTGGCGCAACGTGTACACGAACCAGGTCGTGTCGCTCACCTCACGATCCGTCAACCACCCCGCGCACACGCCCAAGGCGCCCCGCTGGCTGTCCTTCTACGAAGCCATGCAAAACACGCGCAGCGGCGCGCTCAACGTGTTCGAAACGTCCGCCGTCCCCGAGTCCGCGCTCGCGATCCTGCTGGGCGCCGAGGCCGAGTTCAAGTTCTTCGCGGGCGTGCTGGTCGTGGACGGCGGCAAGGTCAGGCTCGCGGTGCGGCGGTGGCGGGAGCTGATGGCGGTCAAGATTTTGAGGGAGGGCGTGTTGGGCGCGCTGGACAAGTGCTACCGCAGGCCGGGGGAGGTGGGAGGAGACGAGGAGGGGAGGAGGGTGAGGTCGTGGTTGGACATGTGGCTGAAGATCGAGGCGGCACAGGAGGCGTGACACTGTGACTAGTTGGATGTCAGGAGCAGTTTTGTTCCCAGGCATGGATGGATGGCTTCAAAGATCTTCTTATCATATCTGCGCACCACATGTGCCCGATGACCACTAACCCTGTCCACTCTCACCTCAGTAAATAGCCTCCATCGACCGGCAACGGGATGCCCGTGATCCAACCCGCGTCATCGCTCGCCAAAAACACCGCCGCCTTCGCGACGTCCTCCACCTTGCCCAGTTTCTGCCCGAGCGGATGTTTGCCTTCGATGTCCTGCAACTGCTGCGGCTGGCCCTGGAGATTCTGCGTCATGCTCGTCTCCAGAAAGCCCGGACAGAGCGCGTTGCAGTGGATCAGGTCCTTGGCGTAGTCCAGAGCGATCTGCTTGGTCAACATGACGGCGGCGCCCTTGGACGCGCAGTACGATGGGGTGCCGTAGAAGGGGACCAGGCCCTGGACGGAGGCGGTGTTGACGATCCAGCCCCGGGAGGAGTAGACCTGGGACTGGCCCTCCAGCATCTGCTTGAGGGCGTACTTGCAACCCAGAAACATGCCCTTGGCGTTGATAGCCATGGTCTTGTCGTAGTCCTCCTCGCTCGTCTCGTGGCACCGGAGAGGCCGCAGGTGCGTGCTCTCGACGCTGACCCCGGCGTTGTTCACCATGATGTCCAGCCTCTTGTATCGCTGCACGCAGGCTCGGATGGCGAGTTCCATGTCACGCGCCCGGGTGACATCGGCCTTGTGGTATGTCGCCTCGCCCCCGATCTGTCGAATGCGTTCGTGCGTGCCGGGCTGGCCGGAGACGCGGTTGTGGAAGTCATCGGCGCGCTGGGTGGAGGGGTTGATGGCGTTGCGCGGGGTTGGGTAGAGGTCAATGCAGAAGATTGAAGCGCCCTCGGCGGCCAGGGCAAGGCTGATGGCTTGTCCGAGCCCGGAGCTGGAGCCGGTCACAACGGCCACGCGACCGTGCAGGCGGCCTGGGGAGGAGGAGGAAGACGAGGAGGTCATGGTGCCAGAGACTGCATGTGTTGGGAATGTAGAAATGGAGAGGGAGGAGAGGAAAAGGAGATCAGCTTTACCTAGTGACGAGGGAGTTGAAACTCTCCAAGGGGGACAGCATTGTGGATGATATCACAACGATGATCGAGAGAGCATCCTCCACAGGCTGATGGGCTGGCAGTGCCTAGCTCCGGGAGTCTCATGCATCTCGACAACGCACAAGACACGGTAGATGAGGCTGAAGACGGAAGGAGAGATGAAATGATAGGTTGATTTGACTGATGGTTTTCGACGAGCAACACAATACGAGGTACAGGGCGAGATAGTTCGCACCCTCGGGGCCGGAATAGCGTTTGACCATTGTCTAGCATGCGTCGCAATGACTGCTGCACGTCTCATTATTGATGACTGCATAACCGAAGGGACCTGTACCTTGACGCATCAGATACCCAACAGTTTTCCTCGGCCAATACCCAATATAAAGAAGTTGTAGCTCGTACTGGTGAGAGGGAGACGAAGCATATGATCACTCCCAGTTGCCAGTCGGCTAAGCTGCCTATTACAGTCGCATACAAAGCACCAGGTCACAGGCTCAAAGCTGCTGCTCAATGCTGCTCAATGGCTCCAGAACATCAGTCTTGCCTGTCGAGACACAATATTGGTTATTAAGAGACCAGTTCGTATTCTGGCAGTTGGCCATGTAAGCGATGCTCGTGTGCCGCCCACTGAGGCGGCTGTATCGCCGTCCAGCATTCCTTTCCCAGCCCACTCCCACATCCGCCTTCAGCACCTTTGCTGGCCGGCCTCACAAGTCGGGCAACTCCATTCCCCCGCGTCCGACCTTGTCAGATGCCGAGATCAAACACACCTACGTCAAAGGCACGGGACCAGGCGGCCAGAAGATCAACAAGACCAACTCGGCCGCCCAGCTGACACACATTCCCACCGGCATCGTCGTCAAGTCTCAAGCCACGCGTAGCAGAAGTCAAAACCACACGATTGCGAAGAGGATCCTTGCCGAGAAAGTCGAGTTGTTGGAAAAGGGCGAGCAGAGCCGGGCGGCCAAAGTCGTCGAGAGGAAGCAGCGCAAGAAGAGGAGTGCCGACAAGAAGAAGCGCAGGAAGTACCGACGGCTGGCAGAGGAGAAGCTGGGCGTTCAAGGGGACGTCGAGGCGGAAGAAGACGAGAGCACAGAGCTGGAGAGTCGCCGGACGTCAGTTCAACCAGAGACCAAGTGATGGCACAGTTCAATCCCTTTCCCCATTGACGGCAGTGAATCTATCCTATCTCTCTTGGCGGGTTCCTCAGCCTTGTGTTCGAAACCACACAAATCACTTTTGGTGCACAAAAAGAAGGGGTGCAAAAACTCTAACCCAAGCCCAACTCCCCGGTGGAAGTTGAGGTTGGATCGAGGTAAAACTCCCAGCTGTGGAAGGAGTTTTTTCCGTCGTTTCGTCAGGTTCTCTCCGGCCTCGGTCAACCCACGCTTAGGGAGCCGTGAATGGCGCGGAACCACTGGGCTACCTGCAGAGGTAGTGCCATCAGTGTCAGAGCAGTTACCTTCAGGCAATCTCGTAACTCTCAAGAGAAGCTGTCCCAGATCTGGTGGCCACACCCTCACGCCCCAGCTAGCTCCGTCTGCACACTCGGTGTGGCCATCAGAGGCTGGAACCCGGGATAGACCTGGGAATTGTTGGAGGAATTCTGGGTCTATAATATATGTGTGTGTGGGATTCTGCCAGACCTTCTTACATGTGACGTTCACAGAATGAACAGTGAATTGCCAGACATCTTTGCTGCATACAATCTTCCAACGAGCCCAAGGGCATGCTCTTATCTATTCTCTCTATTGCGAGACTCAAGAATACCCAACTCGCACATCATGGAGGCCCGTCTTGTGTATTTGGCCATCCTCTCTGCTCTGGTGCTCCTCTGCTCGGTCCACTACTTCGCGGTGCCTGTCCCGCCCCTGTTCACCGTCTCCGGCATCGATACCTGGGTGATCCTCAAACACTTGCTGCGGAAGCTGATGGAAAAAGACAACATCTTCATCCCGGCCAGTCATCCTCACTTGCATGTAGGGGGCTTCCCCTTCTTCCGCCCACACCCGCGCGCAAGGACTGAAACACTCGAGTAGTACGTTGGACGATGGATGCCCACGGCAAACCAACTCCGGCGAGACGCGGCGTTTCGAGGTGATTATCAGTTTTGATGAGTCAATTACATACAACGAGGAAACGGAAGCACTAATGTGTCTGTCTTGTCTGAGCAGGTTCTTACGTCGAGATGGTGGTCGCCAACACCACCGGCCTCTCTGTGTCGCTCAACAACCTCAACTCGGCCTCCAAACAGCAACAACACCCTGCGCGTCTGGACGCACGGGACCTCCACCACTCCGTCCTTCCGTCGGTCAACGCCAGGGCCTCGGACCCGGTCAGCTTCGTGGTGTCGATCGAGGGCCACCACAATACCTACTGGGTCGAAGCGGCGGGCTTGGTTGTCCCAATCGTCCAGAACCTCGATCCACAGAAGACGTACAGAGTCAGACTCACACACATGGGCGGCCCAAATGGCACCAATGGAGACCTCGAGTTTGAAGGCGTCTGGCTTGAAAACGCCCGTGCAGCTTCACCGACCTCCTCGAACGAAACATCCCCAACAGCGAGACTCCTTGCTTTCGGGGACGAAGATGGCCCACGACGGCGAAGGAGGAATGTCGTCGAGATTGCCACGTCCGAGGCTTCGCTCTCCTTCATCAACCCCTTGCTCCCGGCGACTTCGCCAACCGACCCGGACGATGGCGGCGGCGGGGTGACCAATTGGTTCACGGAGCTGGACGCGGTCGTCGTGGACACGACGGGAACCGGGCTGCTGCCCACGCCGGAGTCCCGGTTGAGTGTCCGAGATTCATTCTTCCGCGCGGGACCCCCGGGCACCAAGGCAGGGGCGCGGTCGTGGAACTTCAAGCTGTACCACCCGTCGGTGCTGCTGCTCCAGCTCGGACTCGAGGATTTTGACGCCTTCTTCTCAGATACAGGTATAGGTACGGGCGAGAGGAGTCCCGTCACCCAGCACGCACTGGCCAAGTTCACGAACGAGTTCGTCGACGCCTACGTCAAGCTGGTCCAAGGAATCCGCGCCAACGCGTACCCGTTCAACTCCAACTCGGACTCCGAGGTCGCATCATCATCATCAGTAGAACTGCTGGACGACGAAGACCCCGACGACGTCAGCTACATCTACAACTCGGCGCCGTCCACGCTGACCATCTTCCTGCTCACCCCGTTCTCCGCCGCCGCGGCGCACCGCCACCACGTCCTCGTCGCCAAAAAGCTTACGCTCCACCGCGTCATCTCCAGCGCTGTCGCCCAGGTGGTGGCCGCCGTGCAGGCCGAGGGCGACAAGTCGACCTTCTGGATCGATACGACCGGCTGGCTGGATGCGGAGACGGACTTTGATGACGACGTCGACGATGACTATGAGGAGAGTTCGAACCAATTCCAGAAATCACCTTCGTCGTCATCGATGCTCAACAAGGCCGGGATGTCCAAAGTCACGACCCTCCTCGCAGACCACCTCTGCCCATACGTCGGGGTTAGCACGGCACATGGCTCGGCGCTGGGGCTAGGCGGAGGTGCGTGTCCCTTCGACCCCTACGACGACTATCTCGGCGACGTGTTCCTGCCGCAGGATGTCGAGTTCAGCCGGTCCGTCCTCAAACACAAGATCGAACTGATCAAGCAGAAGTTCGACTTGTGGCGATAAGAAGGAGAGAAAGACAGCAAAGGGAAGAGAGAGTGTCGGCTGGAGGGGGAATACATAGCCTTTGGCATGGTGGAACCTTGAGGGACAGGCCACGAAATGGAGGTTGGTGGTGGTGGTAGTGGTGGTGGTGTGGAGAGAGAGAGAGAGTCGCATACATAGTGCTCTATCATCAGGCCAAGGACTCGTCAGGAGGCACCAACAAAGCAAGCAGGCAAGCAGGCTTCGTCAAGTTGAGCGAGTGTTATACTTGCGGTGTCCGCTACGACACGAATCCACGGTCAGGGCCACGTGTAAGGAGGTCAGAAAGTGTTTCCGTTCCGTCATAGAATATAGGCAGGAGATGCTTGTTTGCACTATGTGTCGGTTGATTCCGTTGCGAATACACTGTCTCGAATTCTTCCCCCATGCCCAAGCCATGGACCTATGACAGACGTTGTCACTGGTTCCTGAGAAAACAGGAGCAACAAAGGAGCAGCCAGGTAATCAATTCATGCGATCCCGGATTTCAGGGGCTCTCTGAAACCCCAAACTCCGACCATTATACACACGCAAAGGGCTCAGTCCTTCAGTCCACTCGGTCTTGTCCTCTCCACGTCGCCTGATCCATCCTCGCCGTCCAGGGTGACGATTTTGTGACTGAGCAGGAGCCGCAGTTCCGGCGTGATGACTCTCTCTGTGGCCTTTTCAGCCTCTTTTCCCTTTGCTGCCTGCTGAGGTCCGCGTCTGCCCGGGCTTGTAGGTGGGTTTTGGTCCCGGCTTGACGCGGCGCTCGATGCGGCGCCTGAAGCTGAAGCGACCGGATGCGTCTCCTCCCCAGCACTTGCTGCTTCCCCAGGTTTCCTATGTCGCAGTTCTGCATCAGTTTGGCCAGCATTTGGCGGCGGGAAAGCGTCTTTCCGGTCAATTGTCTCAACCGTCTTCTCGAACCTTTTGAACAAACCCTCGGCTCTCCACAGAGTATCTGGAAGTTCAATCGTCCCACTCAGCTCATTTATGTACTTCAACACTTCGTCAAAGTGTTTCAGATGGTCCATGATGACGTCGCGATGCTTTTCGAGAATCGCCATGGCAATGAAAAGATGAAATTGGGAGGAATAGTAGTCCGTCCACAATGACTCCCAGAGCCTGAGAGTGTCGGACCATTCGAACTCCCTCTTAAACCAAACAAGCAACATTCTAAAAAAGAAAAAGAAATTTGTGGAGTCTGCCGATTGAAGGTGAAGGTATAGTTTCGGATCGAGGAGTTGGACAAGCTGGTCGAGGGTGTTGAGTTGGGCACGCATGCCCAGTTGTGAGCGAACAAAGTTTCGCGACATCCGGCGCATGAACTGCACAAAGGCCCAGAAGGCGATCGCGTCGTCTTGGAACACGGCGTAGAGGGGCGACAGGAGGTCGGACATGCCTTGGACATAGCCCAGATTTTGGGGATGGGGGTTTTGGGTCTGGTACCGTCGAGGTTGTGCGGAGGAAGAAGGTCGTGGCGGGTTTGCGGCAGTGGTGGAGGGAGGTGTGTCGTATTCCAGATACGTCAGGAGCATGTCTTTCAGCTGTTCCATATGCACATTTGTGCCGGGTCCATGGGGGTTGAAGAATGGTGAGGTCGGGTCTGGATGAGGAATGTCTTCGCCGGCGAAGAGGGGGATGTGACGGTCGGTACGGTGCACATCCTTTTCTACATGTCGCGCGGCCAGGTCAGTTGGGATCGTAAGTATGAAGAAGCAGGGGACGTGGGCAATATTCAGGCTTACCAATTCGGACTTTTTGCTCCTTCCACCACTCCTCCTGTTCGGGCGTGGCATCGCCATCCATCATCCTGTCCCACCAAGCGCCTTTCAGTTGGATGTATTCATCTCGTTTCTGGTTCATGAGAGCGTGCCGTTCCTCTTCTGTACTGTCCCACTCGTACACTCCTAAGAGGAAAGGCCATGCCTCTTTCCTCACACCATCCTCAGGATCCAGACCGCCGTGGAAGACACGCTCTTTGACCTCTTCCACCATAACATGTAATTTGCCCTTTGAATCGAAAAAGGACTTCCATTCTTGCATGTTGACAGGGCGCCTCTTGCTGTCGGTCAAGGTCATCCGGGCAGCCTCCATGTCCAGAATTTCAAAATCCCCGACGCTGGTCTCTTCAGAGTCCAGCACATCTCGTGCCGTCCATATCCTCTGTCTTCTCTCACGCTCGCTCTGCTCAGCAATGCTCATGGCCCATCGCGCCAAGTACAATTTGGCACTGTCAAATTCATCCTGCAGAGTCTGAATCTCGGGGTTTTGGATGAGTCGTCGCACTTGAGGAGGGAGACTCTTGTTGTTAGCAAGATCTTCCGCAGTGCGTCGAGTAAACGTTGTGACTTTGGACAGTTGCTCCAGGATCTTCCACCTGGTCTCTTTCAGGGCCTTTGTGAAAGGATCCATCCCTGGCCCTGGTGGTTTCTTCTGTTCAGGTTTCTTCTTGGATGTTGATGCTTCACTCTTGCGTCTTGCTTGTTCGAGTGACTTACGGCCTTGACCGAAGCCCACACGATCTTCTTCGGATGGGTCGATAAGGTATATCGATGGCTCTGCCGTGCTCCTCTCGACGGTTACATATCGCTTCAGCCACTTGAGCACCTCGTCACCGCCCCAAAACAGGTCACCGCTCTCTCCGAATGGATCGAATGACTCCCGGGCTCTTTTTTTCTTCTGAAGTATTGTACTTTCGCATTCCGAGTCGTGAAAAAACAACGCAGGTAGGCTCGAGCCGGCCCGGGTGTTGATGACTATGCTGCCATACCACCAGCCGAGGCTTGGTGGACGTACGTGAATCGAGTATATGCTGGAGAGAGGCAGCGAGAATGCATATGGTCCGACCGGGGATTCGTCAAAGGTGGTTGCAAGAGGGAGAGGAGGGACCAGGTAGCTTTGTCTGGGAGGAGATTCGCCGTCCTTCATATCCACCTTCACGTACGTGCTCAGGTCATCCTGTGCCAAAGAGGCCTCGGGAACCCAAGCCAAAAGATACGAGGACGCGTTCGTTTTCTTCTTGGACGAGGAGTCGGCGGAGGTGGGTCGCTGGCCCTCGTCAGCGAGGGCAGGACACTTCTGCTGGACCAGGGCGATGAAGCCGGGGATGTTGTCTTTGGCCGAGGGCGTTGGATGCACATAGACCTTGCTTTTCGAGAAGAGCAGCTTCACGCCCTTCGTGGCAGAGGCATGGGTGATGGTGTTATAGCCCCCTTCTTCGTCATCCGAGAGATCGTAGAACGATGCCGAAGGTGACGGCGCCTCTCGCCGCGAGGATGGCCCGGAAGTCATAACGCTGGTTTCTGGTAGAATGGACGACGGTCAGTGTACGATGGCATATTCCAGTGTAGAGAGTCAGATAGATGCCACTTTCCAATGGCGAAACAAGATGTGTATGTATTTGAAGAATGTCCAAACAAGTGGCGGTGCAACCTGAATTCCTGATGCCTGGGAGAAGGAAGCAACAGCTGACGTCGGTGAGAGGTGAAAGGCGAGAGGCGTGGGGCGAGGCGTGAGGGGCACTTGCAAGTACAGTAGGTGGCTTGCTTCGTCATCCCCCGCAGTCTAGCTGCTAGGTGATTAGGCATACCGAGTACTAAACAGAGCTAGAAGGCCCTGGGGCGCATGGGTGCGCAGGGACAAGGTTAGTGGTTACGTAGCACCAGTAGGGCCGTACGAGGATGTCGTAGGCTGCAAGGAAAAGCTCAACCACGTGCAAAGCTCGGTCAAACGCCTTGTATGGCAGATATGGCAGAGAGTTGTACTTGTAAAGGATGCCAACGAGAACTTTTGCTTTACAAATTATAATCCATAGAATCCATGCCTCCGAGAGAGCAGGGTACATTTTTGCCTTTCCCCTGCTTTCATTTTGTCCCACTAACACCATGCTTGCTATTCCCCTTTGCCCTTTTCCCGTCGTTGCAATCCCATGTCGTTGCCCAAAGTGCCCTCCTTTTCTTTCTTTTTCACACACTCGTCAGATGGTCCACGAGCTAAAGTCTAGCTGGGACGCCAGAGTGCCGTCCTTCTCCCGGGGTACTGGAGTCCTTCTACCGCTTGATGTGCCCGGCGCGATGCTGCTGGTGGCCATGACTGGGGCAGCTGACGGTGCCTGCTTGTCACCTGATTTAATCGTCACGCGTTCTTTGAGTCTTTTGATCTGTTGAAACCTGGCCCTCCACGCACTGGGAAATTCAAAGTCGTCGTCTTTCGTGTTCCACGTCTGGCAAAACATGTTGGCATTCAGCGCCAGAGTGCGCACAAAGGGGCCAAGCTGGGCAGCCGAGATGATCTTGGGATCGGCTGCAGGCGATATGTTTGGCAAATCGTCTCTCGTAACCACCCGAACCCAATAGAAGCCCGGCATGAAATCTGGATCTGGAGTTTCTCGGTCGCGGCAGGCTGGTCGGATCACAACATTCACATAGTTTAGTTGCGACTTGAAGTTGTTAAACTCCCATTCAAGGCCAGATCGGTTGAAAATAATGTTGACGTGACAGTTGCCAACATGCGACTTCTTGGTGATACATTGCGGATCGTCCTCGAGATCTGTTGGCATCATGGTGGGTACATGATAAATGATCTCTTCCACTCGGTCTCGCCACGCTATGCTATGTGTGCCGTCTCGAGGGAATTCCAGGCCTTGAGGATTGAAGTTGAGCGGTGGCTCAAGTGATACAACATAACCGAGACTATCGAGAAGACGGTCGAAGTCGGGGCTGCCGCTTGTATTGGCAAGAAATTCGGACTCAGCAGTCTGTCCAGGCCCAATGTAAAGCACACCAATCTTGTGGCTGGTAACGGTGGGAATGCGATCAAAGCTGTCAAGGGCGCGTTGGACAAAGTCCTCCTGAGGTAGAAGTAACGGTTGGTCGGCTGCAGTCGGTGTTGCCGCACTAGCTACCATTTGGAGGATGACATGCGGCGGGAGGATTCGCGTCGTGGCTTCTTGATGGCGAATCTCAGTATAGCCCGGGCGGTGGTGAGATGGCAACGGTGCAGTGAGTTGCTGATACCTTGCATATGTAGTACCCGAAGCCTGGCGCTTGGTTATCTGCGTCTTCCCCGTGTGTCCGGCTGTCTGCGCGGTCACGATACTCAGACCGACGATCCAGGAAGCAGATGAGACTGGTCCATCTTTAGGAGTCGCAAAGTCGTGGTCTGGTGATGTTTCTCCGAGGTCAGAGAATGCTGTTCTCTGCATCATGTCGATCAGAACTTGGCTCTGTTCGTCGATGGTCTCTTCCCCACGTGCATTCTTCCAGACGAGTCTCGGAATAATCCATGGCACATATTTCGCTCTGATGTCCAGGCGAAGGGACAAGAACCAAAAGATCATGTTGTGATAGGCCAATGCGGCAGCATATTGAGGCAATCCAGTGTCAGCCAACATGACCGCTCGGTATGGGGGGCGACGGAAATTCATTCCACTGTGTCTGGACGCCGGATTGATTCTTCCGGGAGGCGAAGTCACTGACGAGTGCTGCTGCTCTCTCGTCTTCTCCAGGAACTGAATGCAAATTCCAAATATTATTTGGATCTCATCTGGATTGAGGTTGGAGTGCATTTCTGGCAACAATGCAACCTGGATGAGAAATTCCAGGATGTGTGTGGTGAGATGAGTCTGTGTCATATTCTTAGACATCTTATCAATGATGGTGGGATACAAAGTCGCAACCGAAGAAGGGATTTCAAGGCTGCAGAGGGACAGTGCATGGATGCAGCCACGCGATGTGCCTTCCCAAGCTCCGCCAATACCGGAAAGAAAGGCTCGAACAAGGTCATCTCCAAAACCCTTCTGGATGGCCTCAGATTTCATTGTAGCATAAGGGATCAAGGGAACTAAAATGTTGAACATGCACAAGGCAACGTCGGATTTCTTCAGTCCAGTCGACGCGGGTGGCTCTCGAAAGGTATTGTTGACAATCTGTTCACACAACACTTGGCGGAGCTTGATGACAGCTTGGATCGAGTTGAGGAAAAGGGCAACGTTGCTCAACTGAGCCGCAGTATGAACGACGGTGTAGCCGTAAGTCTCCCAATCCTGGTCAGCTTGCAGGCACCGTATGATGCTCATGAGCCATGTGTCCATATCGAGCTCTGCTTGCACATAAGGGTATGCGCTTTTGTCAACATTGAGGACGCGGGATGCTCGGCCCTCGAGTGGGTAAGAGACATCTTCGGTGTCTGGATACATCCACAACGGGTCGCCAACGTCCGATCTGTTCGATAAACTGCTGCTGCTAGCTGAATGTCTTTGCGAAGCAGGAAGTTCACTGTTGAAAGCTTCAGCGGAATCTCGCGTGCGTACAAGCGCACTGGCGATACGCTGGCTTTCGCTCGAAGGGGTGATATAGACGAAGCCAGCGTCATCAGCTCGCACCCTGAAGATGAGGCGTTTCGACACGAGACGAGCAGGTCGGGACTTGCAGCGCACACTGGCCGCTTCCAGCAGGACCTCAAAGGCTTTGACAGCGGCTTTGGCATCGGTGTGGATACTGCAAGCGAAAATAGTCACGAGAGCTTTGGTCGCCAAAATTGCTAGATCATCGTTGAAAGCAACTCCTGCGGGACCCTCAACAATCAGTGTGTGCAGCTTCTCCACCGTCCGAAGGGTTGAGACCTGTGCCTCCGCAGCCTCTAGATAGGTTGATGCCATGTAGTCCAACGATTTGAGGAGCGTTTCGAAGACTTGGGGGTCGCGCTCAACATCGATCTGATCGAGTAACCTGTCGCAAATCCATGTATATGCCACATGGGACTCTGTGCTGGCTTCGGGAGACGCGCTAACAGCGCAGTGGCTGGCCTGGACGAGGACTTCGATACCTTTCAGTCGACAGACCGGTGGTAGGGAGTGGTTCAGAACAATATCATTGTAGACTTTATCCGAATACTGCATCCTGATGTCATGGTCCTCAGACGCCAGATATTTGTCCCTTGCGTAGTCCAGAGTCATTGTCAACTGAGCCTGGCCGGCATATTGCGGAAACATCAGGAACAGTTCGTGGACGGCAACTCGATCCTGGAGGGGTAACAAATCCCATATTCTCATGAAATCGTGGGAGAGCCGTTTGGTCATAGCCTCTCGGTCTCGGAAATGACGTTCATATTGGCGATCCTTGTCGTCCTCTTGAGGGTTGATTCGTGGCGACGTGGCCTGCAGGACATTTGTTTGCGGATGACCGGAAGGGGTTGTTTGCAAACAGAGTCTGATAATATCCACGGCTTTGGTAAAGTCAATGGCTGCGATTTCGGACTTTGGGCGATTGCTGGCGAGGATCCCATGCAAGGAGCTGAGGATATCATAGCCAAATCGGAAGATCCCTTGCTGTGCAGCAGAGTGTAATTGCTCTAAAAAGTCTCCCAAGGAGACTATGAAACCACCCCTATTGTGTTGGTCGTCGATAAGGTTCCGCAAGAGCCGAGTAGCACCTCGAGCATGGGAAAGATTTTTGCTTTTGTTGCTCAAGGTGGGAGTTCGTACAAAGGCATAGAGTATCCTCACGACGTCTTGTTGCAGGTCACCAGCAGCCAATATCCGCGCGCAGTCAAATAGGTGGTCAGGCACTTCGGATAGGTTTGCAGCAGAAGCACACAAAACCACGAGAGTCTGGTCGAGCCCACTTCTCGGATATTCAAAGCGGGACATTATGGTGTACAGGATATTTAGGCCTCCATTGATATCGCTGTGACGGCTAGCATTGAGACAGAGAGTAGTGACAGTGTCCACAGCACGGGATAACTCCAGCGGATCAAAACCAGAGTGGCCCAGCTCCAGGTAGTCGCAGATATACTGGAGCAACCAATGAAGGTTCTTCTGCTCTCTGAGAGATCCAGACTTCGAGCCCTTGTTCTCCTTTCGAACCTTCTCTGCCTTTTGCGACCACAGAGGTACCCACTGGATCAGCAGCGACAGTAACGTGACGGCGCCTTGATCGTCATGATGGTCTTCCCGGAGGTCCAGAAATCTGCGAGAGACGTCTGTTCCCGGTTTGAGGTCTCCAAACCCCACAAGCCAGGAGCGTGCATCTTCTGGCGCATCTCCAAGGGACAACCCATCCTTAAGGACGTCGCTCAAGATGAGAGCGGCTCCGTTGGGGGAGGATTTCTCGGAGCCTCGTCCTCCTTGAACGGCAACGTCGGGGCTGGGGGAAGTATGTGTCGAGATCGACATGTGCCACAGCGACAGTCTCCTAGATTCTCTCGTATTGGAATTGGCCGAGCCTTCCTGGAGCGAGTCATTTTCCTTCGACATACGACAAGAGTCCTCCCCTGAACGAGACAAAATTAGCCAAGCCAGAGACTGTCAGGGAAATCATGAGTCGGCCCGCGATGGAGCAGTTCGAAGACCAAGTAAAAGCAAGAGGAAAACATGGACGGACCCAACAGTGCCCTTCTGGAGAGAGTGCTCAGGAAAAGTGGTATCGTAGCAGGTGGGAAATCCAGCCTCGAGTCTGATAACGTGACACGAAGCAGAAGGTTATTTGAGCATAGAAACGGAATGTGTACACACCTTATAAGAACCGTGGCGACAAGGGTGTTATACAAGCACAGGCACAAAGCACAAACAAGCCTCTCATTAGACAGAATATGTTTTTAGCTATCTTCGAGATCGACTCGTAGGTGGTGGAGGGATTCTCGTTTATAATCGTATGAGACTCGACAACGTGGGATCAGGTGGCCACTTTTGCTGATAACGGCGACCACGTTATCAGCAGCATTTGGGACGGGCAGGGAGGGCCCGCCGAACGGACTTCGAAATGAGGCTTTTTATTGAGGGCGGATGGTGGAGCATGTATCAGTGAAAAATAGACAAGGGAAAATTTTTCTGAAAATCGAGAGATGGAATGGGCAGGATGAGACTCTGCAAGGGCTTTTGTTCTGGAATCTTGGGTTTTGTCCGTGACGCATGGAGGCGTTTCGAGGCTTGAGGTGAGCCATGAGGCAGGAGGCGTTGAAGGCGTTGGCGCCAAAGGAAAAATACGGCGCATGGATCCAAATGGCTCCCGCCCCCGGGAACCGGACAATCATGACCTGGAGAAGGCCTAGTAGCCGTATCCCCTAGGCGCTAAAGGGCCTACAGACGTACTGTAGTAACAACGGGTACCCGCAGCCCAAGCGACCGTCCCTACGGAGTACAGTACTCCTGGCATTTTCTCCCGAGCCTAACCGGACTTTGAACATCTGGTGATCATTATAATCCACCGTAATGAACTCATGATCCAAACTACGGCCACCTAGTCAAACCATACCGTAGCGTCACGTGGTCCCCGCTTTGCGTGGGCTCTATTCTTTGTAACGAGGTAAACAAATCCTCACCGATGCCGGTTGTCTTTTGTGCCAGCTGCCATTCAACCTTCCTGCAATCACCGCCATTTTTCTGTACGCTTGTCCTCTTGTATTGTACTTATCTGGGATGGATCAGGATCAGACAGCCATCACTCTGCGCTAATTGGGGCGCCTATTCTCCCATCTCACACAACTTCTCTCGTCGTTTAGTTGGAGCCCTTCGCCGGCAATGCGCTGAGAGACCCAACTTTTTCACTACAACGACGAAGGACTTTCCACACCATTTGAGCAACGAAACTCACCATGGCTTCTCTCACAGCCTTGGCTCAGCTCCTGGATGCTAGTCTTGATCCTAGGCAGAACAAAGAAGGTATGTGCATTCTTGTACTCTGATGGCCGAACTGATCTAACGCTGGCTAGCTGAACTCAAGATCCGCGCCGAAGAGAAAAAGCCCGGGTTCGCCATCTCTCTGCTCCAAATCACTGCCTCGAGCGACTTCCAGTACAACACCAGACTTGCAAGCGCCCTCTTCTTCAAGAACTTCATCAGACGCAGTTGGACCGACGTGGAAGGCAACTACAAACTCCCCCAGCAAGATGTGAATGCGATTAAGACAGAGATCGTGGGACTCATGATATCCGTGCCTCGGGGCATTCAAACACAGCTGGGTGAGGCCATCAGTGTGATAGCAGACAGTGACTTCTGGGAGCGGTGGGACACTTTGGTGGATGATCTGATCTCTCGTCTGAAACCAGGTGATCCGGTGGTCAATGCTGGGGTTCTCCAGGTCGCCCACTCCATCTTTGCGAGATGGAGGCCGTTGTTTCGTTCCGATGAGCTCTTCACCGAGATCAATCATGTCCTTTCCAAATTTGCCCAACCCTTTCTCTCTTTGTGGCAGAGCCTGGATGCCTACATTGAGGCTCATAGCAATGATAAGGCTGTGCTGCAACATGCTTTTGCTGAACTCGACCTTGTTCTTCAGCTTTTCTATGATCTCTCATGCCAGGACTTGTCTCCCGTGTTTGAAGACAACCTAGAGGGCATTTCCGGCTTGCTGCTGAAGTATCTGAGGTACGATAACCCTCTTCTGCACACGGATGACGAATCAGAGGCCGGCCCCCTCGAGAACATAAAGTCAAATATCTTCGAAGCATTGACTCTGTACATCGGCAAGTACTATGACGACTTCTCCAAATATGTCGGAAGCTTCGTCGAGAGCTCGTGGAATCTGTTGACCACCACCGGCCCGGAACCCAAAAACGATATCCTTGTCAGCAAAGCTCTCCAGTTTCTGACATCGATTGGGGGCATCAACGAACAGGCGCAGACCTTCAACGACCCAAATGTCCAGCATCAGATCATTGAAAAGGTCATTCTACCGAATGTGGCATTGCGAGATTCAGATGTTGAGATGTTTGAGGACGAGCCCATCGAATTCATCCGAAGAGATTTGGAAGGATCAGATAGCGAGACACGCCGAAGAGCAGCTGGCGACTTTCTTCGTCAGCTTAGCGATCAGTTTGAACAGTCGGTGACCGGAATTGCAATGACCTATGTCCAAAAATGCTTTCAAGAGTTTGCGGCAAATCCTCAACAGAACTGGCGGGCCAAGGATACGGCAGTGAGCGTGTTCTTTGCTACGGCAGCGAAGGGTGCAACAACTGCTACGCACGGAGTGACCAAAACCAATACTCTGGTGGATATCGGCGACTTCTTCTCGAAACATCTTGCGAGTGATCTTCAAGATGAAAATGCCCAGCCGCTGATCAAGGTCGACGCCATCAAATATCTCTACGTCTTTCGAAGTATCATTACGCGGGATCAGTGGCAGCAAGTCATGCCCTTGCTCGTCAATCATCTTGGTAACTCAAACTATTGTGTGTACACCTACGCAGCTGTTGCCGTTGAGAGAGTTCTGGCCATGACCGATGAGACTGGACGACCAGTTATCGACCCGGCGCATATTAGACCTTTGGCTAGCAACCTTCTTGAACACCTTTTCAGCTTGGTCGAGAAGGATCAAACACCACAGAAAGTCCAAGAGAATGAGTTCGTCATGCGGTGTATCATGAGGGTCCTGGTTGTCCTGAAAGATGGTATTTCTGCCGTGGCCGACAGTGTTCTGCGACACCTGACCACCATTACCACAATCATAGCCTCCAACCCCAGCAACCCCAAGTTCTACTACTATCACTTCGAGAGTTTAGGGGCGCTGATCCGGTTCACGCCGCCGGCGCAAGCGGGTGCCTTGGCATCACATCTCTTCAATCCATTCGCCGCCATCCTTACCAACAATGTCGAAGAGTTCATTCCTTACACTTTTCAGCTGATGGGTGCTCTTTTGGAAGCAGAGCCGAGCAAGCCGTTGCCGGCGGAGTATACCCCCCTGATTGGGCCTATTCTCGGTCCGACGCTCTGGGATCAGCGAGGCAACATCCCTGCTTTGGTTCGCCTGCTGAGTGCCATCATTCCCCGGGCAGCCAATGAGTTAATCAACAGCAATCAAGTGGAAAGTGTACTGGGAATATATCAGAAGTTGGTGTCGACCAAAATCTACGAAAGCTATGGCTTTGACCTCCTCGAAATTTCCATCGCAACATTCCCCCCAGCCGCCCTCGAGCAATATTGGGTGCATATTCTGAACATCATGCTTACGCGACTACAAAGCAAGCAATCTCAAGGTTTCCAATTACGATTTGTCCGGTTCTATCATTTCGTATCATCGCATCAAGAGAAGGGTCTCGGCACTGATTTCTTCGTTGCTGCCACGGATAGGGTCCAGCATGATGTTTTCCGACAGCTGTACCTGAGCATCATCTTGCCGAAAACCCAAGAACTGGCTCGCCCTCTCGATCGGAAAATGGCCGCCATATCTCTCACGAAATCACTCGCGGATTCCCGGGCTTTCGTCGAACGTTATCCCAAAGGCTGGGCATTGACGTGCAATGCGCTTCTCAAGCTGCTCGAAGATCCCCCACTCCCACCTAAGGCCGACGACGCTATCGCAGAACTCGACGTCGAAGACAGCAGCTTTGGCGTTGGATTTACGCAGCTGAACACCATCCGACCGCCCTCACTTGATCCTTTCCCCGAGGTGACGGACTTGAGGCGATGGGTGGGACACTATCTCAAGACTGCAGACCAGCGACACGGAGGGAGAATAGCTAGAGCGGTCAATGAATTGAGCCCGGATTCGAAGAAGGTTTTGAATGCTTACATGACCCTCCAATAGTACGGGCATGGAGCAGCACAGGTCGGAAGAGGCATTCATTGGGAGTACCGCCATCGGGCAAGATCAGGTGAAGCGATGTGGAAACACGAGTCTCCCCGTGGAGATGTTTGATCAACCGAGATAGTTTCATATGCAGTTGCTCGTCAAGGAAGGAAAAAGCATGATGTCTACCCATGCTTCGTCCCGAACTGAATAAAAGCGATTCAAACATATCAGGTTTTCGGGTAGGTTATAGTCAAAACGCTACCAAGCATCAGCTACACACGAGTAGTTTCGATTGCCGGTCAAGAGACTGTCTAACGGGTACCGAGTACACGAGGACCCATCTTTATGCCGCCGGAAGTATGCTGATACGCGAAATTGGAGGAGTGCGTCTAAACCCGTGAAAGGCAAGAATGAAACTCAAACTGCGCTATGTGATTGGCTATACACGTCACGTCCACCAGGTAAATAGTGAAAGGGGTCTCCATAGTCATCTTCCCAGTATCGACTAGGGCATCGAGCTCTGCTCAACTCCTCCCGGACCCAGGCAACCGCATTCCGTCCATATCTTTACGACCATATACCGATGGAGCACTGAATATCAAAGGCGGCTGAGAACGGTCCTACGGCACTGCTGTGCGAGAGGCTCAATCCCACACCCACGCACGTTGGTGTTGGGAGATCAAGTCTGGGCTTATCAGTCGAGCAATGAAACGACGTCAATAAACGGTATCCCCACCCTTTGTCAACACGAGCACGATAAGAAATCCTTCGAGTCTCTCGCGGGCGACTATTAGTTGACATGCCAATATTGCAAGACCGATTTGGACCTTCCAACTGCCCCTGTGCGCTATCTTTGACCAGTCCAGCGTGAGGCACAGGCCGCGTTGCTGAGCGCACCGAGTGTCTGAAATGGACTTTCTGGAGCCACGGAGGGCCTACACTCGGGCCCAGACAGACGATATCGAGCTCAACAACCAAGATATCTACATAGAGCAGCATTCTCTGGGTTCCAAGTCCAGTTTCACAACGACCTTCAGCTACTCGATCAAAGATGAATCGCCTCTCCTCAATGCTGACGGCGATCCTATTCGGAAAGGATCGTCATTCTTCTCCAAAAAATCTCTAGAACTTCCCTTCTTCACCTGGCCAACTCGCCTTTATGGGTGGCGCACCGGCGCCTTCACAGCGGCACTTCTGGGCACGATATCGCTGCTTGTCAATCTCGTGGTGGTCTCCTGGCTTGCTTCTCGCGGTCAAGGCTCTAGCCTGGTGGAAGTCTACAATGGCCACTGTGGCAAGGTCGAATCCCTGGACATCTGGATCCACTTGGCCATCAACACTCTCAGCACTTTGCTGTTGGGGGGTTCCAACTACTGCATGCAATGCCTCTCCGCTCCTACTAGGGAGGACGTCGACCGCGCCCATGCAAGGGGAGAGTACCTCGACGTGGGCGTGCCGAGCGTGAGAAACCTGAGGAGAATTTCGGCTCGAAAGATAATTCTATGGTGTGCTCTGGGATTGTCTTCCATACCTTTGCATCTCATGTAAGGATCTTCTCATGGTAGACTTCCAGTCATTCATGCCTCCTAACCACCTGCCATAGGTACAATTCGGCGTTCTATAAATCACTGGAAGCCAATGACTACAATATCTACTTTGTTACACAAGATTTTATTGATGGCAAACCCCTTGTGCCATACCACGGCATAGCGGAAAAGCCGAGCCAGAATGATATTCAGTCTTCGCTCCTAACGCATCCGGACACGTGGGAGCGCCTGGAAAAAGAGGCCTGCATCCATGCCTATGCGACGACTTTTTTGACCACCCGGCGGAATCTAATTCTGTTGTCAAATAACAACACGAAGCAGGCGAACGAGAGTGTGCTGGCGATCTCGTCGTATATAAACGGTGATGTCAAGGCTTTCGACTGGTGAGATCTTACCTCTTCATGCTTCGTCTTCGTTCTCGGCTGCAAGCCTCCTGGCCACACTATCCTGACCTCATATCCAGGATCTGCAATAGCGATCCCAACATCAGCACCAAGGTTGACGTACCTGTCCAATCGAACGGCGGGAGAAAACCATGCGAATCATGGGTTTCCAAAGTTGAAGCCATTGCAAGTCAATGGCAACCCTTCAATTTCGACGTCGAGTATTGTCTTTCTGAGACTGTGACTGAGAAATGCAGCTATAATGGCAACATTCCGATCATAGCGATCGTTCTGGCATGTAATGCCATCAAGATTGCGGGAATGCTCTACGTTGCGTTTCGACTGGAAGACAACCCGCTGATCACAGTGGGAGATGCGGTGGAAAGCTTTCTGAACGAAAATGACAAATCGACCAAAGGCTTCTGTTTGCTGAGTAAGAGCGATGTGATCCTGGCTAGGCAGACGAAGAGCCACTGGTGGCTTCGAGCCCGAGGGGGAGAACGAGAATCAAAGGCCAAGGTGGCCCAGTTGCGCACAAAACTTGGGCTCGAATCTGCCAGCCTTACCCGATGGTCATTGACCATCGGCTTTATGGTCCTTGCGTTGCTCGCGGTGGCAGCGTTTCTCTCCATCGCAATCAAGACCATCCATTCTGTGGGTTTCGACATCAAGGAGATTGGCTTTGGCAAAGTCACCCAGGCGGCGGTCATCGACGGCTGGCACGTCGGCGTCAATGGCTCGCCATCGTCGAAGATCCTCTCCTCCATTCTCATTGCAAACTTACCTCAAACAATTTTCAGCTTCTTATATCTGAATCTGAACGGGGTGCTGACAAGCATGTGGTTAGCCAGTGAGTGGAGTGATTTTGCCAAACAGAGAAAGACTTTGAGAGTGTCGAGACCGAAGGGAGCACAAAGGAGCACACACTTCCTACAGCTGCCCTACAAGGCTGCCGTGCCCTTGATGATTCTCTCCGGAAGCCTGCATTGGTTGATTTCCCAGAGCATCTTTCTGGCGGTGGTCGCAGAGTACAACGCCGACGGAACTCTGTTTGACCCTATTTATATTGCCTCGTGCGGGTTTTCTCCGCTGGCTATGATCGTGGTGCTTGCATTGGGAGGAGTCCTCGTTGTTGCTACATTGGGGCTGGCAATGACGATGAGATATGATGCTTCGATACCCTTGGTGGGGAGCTGTAGTGCGGCCATCGCGGCCGCGTGCCATCAGCCGACCTGGGACACTGATGCCTCACTGAAGGCTGTGCAATGGGGTGTCATCCCCGGGGTGGTGGACAGTCTTGGGGTCGGACATTGTGCTTTCAGCAGCGGCGAAGTTGAACCTGTACAGGAGGGAAGAGGATACGCTGGGAGCACAGATGACAAGCGGAATCCGGAATTAATGGGAGGACACGGGGATGCCAGATTTCGAGTCCGATTACGTGTATTGCCGGACTGATGTCGGACAGCAAGGCGATCACGACGACAAGCCCCACGGATATTTTCTTACGGTTAGTAGACAATGAAACATTTCTCCTTGCGACTTGGCTTGACTAGATGCATCGTTGACCTCACTGTACGAGGTAGAAATAATTGGGCGAAGATAGCACAAGATGCTTGAAGCAGACAAGGCTGTGGTTTCTCCCATCCTGATTAGCTAAACTGAGGTGTCCCGGCAGACCTTCCTTCCACGAAGATCCATAATATTTTTCGCGTTTGTACTCCAAAATTCTATCTTTGTTTGTGAGCTTGCCTTATGTAAATTCCCATGGCTCGACATCATATCCGGTTCCGATATCATGACAGGAACCAGCGTTTTGTCAGACGAGCAGATAGACGACCTGCTGGCACAGGCTGAAGCCCGCCTGCGGGAGAAGTCAAAGGCCACAGATGAAGACGAAATCAGTTTGGAGATTGTCAAGCCCACGACGACATCCAGGAAGATGTACGCCTTTTGTATCTCTTGATATACATGTCCTCGGCTGACTCCCATTGTGGCAGAATTCCTAAATTACACCATGGCCTTGTCCGACCGAAATACATCAACGACAAGCAGGGTGTCGCCGAGACCAATGCCAAAGCCGTCCTTGAACTACAGCAAAGCCTGCTGGTGGATGGATTCAGTTCCGTCGAAACGCCTCACAAATCCAGGAAGGTGGTACGTACACCCTTGCGTTGGAGATTGGCTGGTTCACATGAGGAAAATTATTCCCATCTTTTCTTGACGCAGATCAGCAGTCCATTCTGGCCTGCCCTGCATCCATGAAAGCTTTTATATCATAGTTACTCTGACTGCACCTCCTGTTTCTGCTTTGATTGGACTTGTCATTGCGAGTTGTGACTTAGCTAATGAGGAACAGAATGACCAAACCAGTGCGGGCCCTGACTGGTTCGACATGCCCAAGACACACTTGACTCCTCAATTGAAGCGCGATCTCCAACTCATCGAAATGCGATCAGTGCTCGATCCGCACAGACATTACAAGAAGAATAACAGAAAGGGCAAGGTGCCGACATTCTCACAGACGGGGACAGTCATCGAAGGCCCTACAGAGTTTTTCAGCGCAAGAATCAATAAGAAGGATCGGTCGAAGAACTTTGTCGAAGAGGCGATAGCCACCGAGAGACACACCGGGCGATTCAAGCGGAAGTACAGCGAAATCCAAGAGACGAAGACAAGCGGCAAGAAGGCACATTACAAAAAGCTCATGGCAAAGAGGAGAAAAAGACCCTGACACCAAGGGTATTTGTGAAGAGGAATAGTTTCATGAGGCCCAAGAGCCCAATACGCATAGTCTGCCTCCAGGCGCCGTTCATGCCCGGCTTGACTGCACAGCCGAGGAAAGCATGCATGGCTAGCGAGTTGGCAGAGCCTCGTCAGGCCTGTATTCTCTACGGAGATGCCTGCTCTTCTTGAGATCACTGCGAACCACAAGACACAGGCGAGGGAGCCAGATATCGCGACGTCCAGGAATGTTGCCGATGGGGGAAGTCGCTGGCTTCACTCTCACACAGCCACAGGAGATACTTTGCCGGCCCCATTGTTGAAGCCAATAAAGGAGGGAGAAATCGAGACCAAACAAGCATGTAGGGAACCCTCAAAACTGTAGGAGAGAGAATCTGAGATAATCCGCCTCCATCAGGAGACTAGAGGGGCCAACGCCCAAAGATTTAGATAGCAACTGAAGTGAGATTGACGAGAGGGGGATTTGGGCAGGAATGGCACAAAGCGTTCAAAGCCTGTGCATGCGGGACCATGGATACCCTGACCGTTTATTGCATGTGGCAATCGCAATCTACTCCCGTATGTACCGAGCACAGCGTACAGCTTGACATGGGACTGCGTAATTGTTTGCTAAAGGAAAAAGGGTGCTGACTTGCTTCGGGGCGCTCCTCCTGCGACTCCTCCATTGCCAATTATTGCTGCCACTGGGCGTTGCCACCCCTGGACACACCTCCTTTCCAGGTGCCCGAGTGCCTCAGACCATCCAATATCACACAGTCCAGGCCGTTGCAAGTCGGGCCTCGGACTCCACCGACCGTTTCTCCCAATTCTCCCAGCAACGTACCTGGGTGGCGCCATAGTAGCAATCACCCTCTCACCCTCTCAATTCCTCCACAGCTCGGATTGGGCTAGCCGAAGTGCCCAAGAACAATCATTCCTCATCCTGTTTTTGATCGAGGCCATCTCGCTACCCCATCCACCGGACGAAAAGAGATGACTTGGAACACGTGGATGACGATGAAGTCATTTCAAGCTGCTCCGAAAGAGGACACCGGAGCAAGCCTGCAAACAGGTTTAAGAATTGAAAAGGAGCATGCAGGCCTGGCTGAATCGTAACGAATCACCGCCTACCCCTCCGACGATCCATAAAGTCGGGTGAGGAGTGCCCCCGGGCGTGGTGGAAACATCAAGAATCAAGAACCCCTATGTGAGACACGCCATCAAAGCAGGATTGTCCTCATCCAACACAAAAAGCCGACCAAGTGCCGCCGGAGCACGAAGCCAAACGGCTGTTGTTGTCTCGCGAATAATCCTCGTTGCAGACGCCCTGGGCCTCGACATTTGAGACTTGTGTCCCGTGCCACCACCAGGTCGAAAAAGGTACACATTCTCTCATCAGGCCATACCTGAAAGGCGAAGGGCTCAGCAGAGGGGAGACAGGCATCCGCCCACGTCTTGCCGTTTCCTGCCGCCGCCGTCTCGCTGGCGTTCAAGCCTCACCTCAGGCCCAATCGCATCGAAGTGATCTTTGGCTGCTGGGCAGATTGGCCAGTATCAGACCTGCGCCGCGACTCCGCCCCCATTGGCGAGATATCTTTAGCTGGCGCCACAAGGATACGCCCCAGACAAATACTATGCCCCTTTGAGCTCCCCGCCTGGCCATGCCACGGGCCCAGTCAGCTATAATCCAAAGCTCTTCTCCAACCCAGCCCCAACCACCGACAATACGATAGCACGACGATTAGATCTACGACTTGCCGCTGCCGTTCCACAATTCCCTGACATCCATCATTTTGCAGACTGGAATTTAACCTGAACGCTGCCTTGGTCTGTTCACTCTCCTGCAGAATCCATGCGCAATGTGTGCGCGAGGTGAAGCCTCGCAGCGATCCACGAGCAGTACAACCTCGATGGTCCTCCTGATTGGAGAAGACCCTGGAAAGCTCGAAATTTGAAACGACTACATATCCAGAACCAACATGACATCTGTCCTGCGCCTGGGAAGCAAGGACCGTTCGTCCTTCTCGTTCTTCAAGCGACAGAGCTCCGATAATACATCGGATCTTTCTTCCGATAATCTTGCCCACCGCCTCCCCGACATTTCACATGTCGACACTCGGTCCTTCGCGGAACTATTTGACGAGTTCATGAACAAAGATATCAACGACGTACCCCAGCCACAGGTACAAAGCCAGCCGACACGACCCTCCAAGTTGGTGAAGAGCATCGAGTCGAATACCCCGGCCCAACCCACCGTGGCCAGAAAACCTTTTGAGACCAAAGTCGACTTCTTAAAAGTCAGCATCACCAGGAATGATTCCACAGCGTCATCCTGCTACTCTCAACCAAGCCAACGGGATAGCGACAGCTCACCCTTGGTCACGAGGCAGTCTTCCAGCTCAAGCTACACCCAGGAGCCGTCATCCGCAATTCAGAGAACCCTTTCGGTGAAGCCCAAGCCCATATTGATCCCCAAGCGACCGACACACGGACTTCTGGGCAATTTTACAGAATCTCCTGTAAGCGCCCAGCCTTCCCCGTCCAGGGCCAATTCCTCTCTACTGAGGGTCGTGTCGGGGCCACCAAACCTGGACAAACCACTACCCCCTGGTCCAATCGACACAAAAAAGGCTTCCACTTCGGCCCCGGATCTCCTTCTACTTCAACCGCCGGCGGAGCTTCCGTCTGCTTTCCCGATTTCAACCGTACATTCCTCTACCAAAGTACAGCGCACGAACTCTCAACCAGCCATGATGGTCTCCCCGAGACGGGGCTCTGATGGCGGTGCCGTATCAGAACTGCCGACCTGGTCGTCCCGATCAAAACGCGAAGCTTCGTCGGAGACGACTGCCACACTTGGACATCACAGGAACCGCTCGGCATCTGATACGGAGGTACCACACCCCGGGCGTTCTCTGAACCAGATGTCCAGACGGCACACGGTTGATATGCAGAAGCTTGCCTTGAGTGCCACCGCGTCCTCTCGTCCGACTCAAGCAGCCCGAAAGCCGAACCGACGTCCCATCACTGCTGCCACTGCAGAGCGTGTCATCTACAGAATCATGTGTAGCTTGCACAGCGCCCGAGACCTTCAGGCCACTGCCATGATCAGTAAAGGGTTTTTGCGGACTTTCCAGCGCAATGAATCCAAGCTCGTAAGCCATCTCATTTTCAAGACGTCTCGAGCTGCTTGGGAGCTCCGACGGAGCATTCTGGCCTTGAAAGGATCGAATGACTTTCTCCTGAAGGACTATCGCCGTGACTGCCGTACGCTTGACGCGCTCAAGGCGTTTATTGTCGCCCATTGCAGTTCGAGTTGTAAACAGAGCACGCTCGTGGGTCTCCTTGGTCAAGATGACAACAGAAAATCTCAGGTTGACGATGCGTTATGGCGGATTTGGACTTTCTGCACTCTATTTGGAAACACAGTTGGTCAATCTACGCCTGTGCAGACGGAAATCGACTGGCTTAACGGCAGCAGAGCGGCCACCAACAAGCAGCTGGGTGCCGGTTTCGCTATTGGTAACGGGAAAGGTCTTACGACTCACGAACTCGAAGATATCAACGAGATGTGGCAGTGTTTGCAGATCCTTATGTCGGGTTTCCATGGCCGAGAACAAGAAGCCAAGCGATATGGAGTCTTTGACAATTGGCACCTGCGAGATACGACTTCCGAATCTCAGCATCTCATGGAGTGGACCTCATACCTACTCGCCCTTGGACCACAAACCGTTCTTTCGTTGTCGAGCTGCTCGTTTGAACAAGCGAAAATGCTTGGTTTGACAAATTGGCCAGTCCCACAGGCAGGTCAGAGTCGATCTTCATTCTTAACCACAGCAATTGCACAGGTCTACCAAGACAGGGTGCTGGAAGATGTCACCCGGAGGGCAGCACGAATGTCGATGCGACACATGCCAGGACAAAACTCAATCCCTCGAGGCCCGGTCCATCGGCCAACCAGATCACTCGACGAACAAATGATCAACGTGCCCACCGCACGCGCCACTATTCAGTCGCAGTCTCTGCGAATCGATACCTCTAGCATGAAGAGGAGACCGATCTCCACAAACGCTCTTGCAGGGGTTCGATTGGAAATACGCCCGGACTGCGATCCTGCCAATGCTTGTCAAGAGATCCGACCTGATTGTGATCCTCTTTCCAGGACAAACCGGGCTTCCCAACTACTTGCGACCTCCCCCACCGTTGATCCGACCGTCTATTATTCGCTGTCGATGACTTCGACGGCAAGCACCAAGCTTGGGGCTACTTTATTTCCCATGGACTATGCCAGTCCTGCACCTCGAGTTCCTTTCCGAGCTCCTGAGCCGCATGCCGCCTCGGCTTCCGGCATTGTAGATCCAGTCGACAAAGCAATGGACATCTTAGTACGTGAACGGGGGTTTGCTGAAACCAGAGCGAGGAAGGCCCTTGCTATGTGCGAGTCAGGGTCCGGAATTGACTTGCAGAAGGCGATCGAGTTGTTGACTGTCGATTCAAAGGATGCGCAAAAAGGGAACCGTCTGCCGGTCGAGTTGCCTACACCGGCCAGTGTGGCCAGCTCCAACAAGCTGAAGAAACCCCAGCCGCCAAAGGCTTACTGTGACGGCCATTGCAAGCGAACGCCTACCTTCTCACATTCCCGGAACAAATCTACGGGTACAACGGGCACTGCTACGGATGCCTCTCTCAGTCCAGTCTCGGCGCTTGGCGAAGAGGAGTGGCAGGACACAATCTCGCCTCTTCTTACTACGCCAGCGTTAGCTCCTCGATCCAAAGCCCCTGTGACCCGGGGGCCAAGCAAGGCCAAAGCATGGAAAGTATTGGGGATGGACAGTCTGCCTAAACGGAAGAATTCGATTCTTCAAATCGACGAGTATCAAGCGAAAGTGGAAAGACGAAAGAGCATGCGCACGAACACCAATGGAGGACAGCAAAGTCTGAAGATCAAAGAGGGACTGAGCAGGAACTTGCTCGGTTTGGGACTTGGTATCGGTAGTGGTGCCGGAGCAAAATCTGCAGAGGCACAACTTGAGCGTGCCCGCGAGGAAGAGAGGCGGAAGAAGGAGAAAAACCGTACGAGCTGCATCCCCAGGCACGCCTAAGCTCGCTTGTTCCCTGTGGAACCGGTTCATAAAAGCACTTGAAGGACGAGCGCCGCGGAGTTCGACAACGTTCCCCTGCGATCAACATTGCGCACTCCGCCGCCTCTGTCCTGGCCACATTTCACTTCTGCATATCAACCCTTTGGGGTCGGAGGTTCAAACAAGGACATTTTGAATATATCACACAGATTCGAAGACCGGGACGAATCGTACACTCATTTCGCGAATATATGACGACTTTCAGGGAACATATTCCGCATCAGGAACGAGACGACATACGACACAAGGGACATGACACGAATTTGCGGAAATGCAACAATTGACGACCATATATACACCTTTACACTGATGACATGCGCTTCCCAGGCACAAAAGAGCCGGGCTTGAGGCGAGGCGGAAACGATATCTAGTACATATATTTGTCTTTTTATGAGTTCTATCAGCTTGCTCGGGTTTTTCTACCCGAATACAGATTTCGTGCTTTGTTTTGGTGGCTTTCGCTCCGCATTGGTGTTCCCATACCCACTCTCACCTACTGGAGTTCTGCTGAGAATATCGTTATATACACTTCAATCACGAGATATACGAACTTTTCTGACAACGAATGCGAAGGCCTATTCTTCGAATTTTGTTCCGCCGCAATTTGTTTTGCGTTTCGGGCTGGCATTTCTGCCTTCTGGTGAAACACGACCTTTCTCAATTGCCGCCAACAGCAGCTCCGCTCCTGTGGAAGGATCTACACTGACTGGGCTGAAAGCGATAAATCCGGGGGCACATCCTTGACGAGGTACACATGATCAGAACAGGCATGAACCGGCTTGAAGACCGTACCAAGGAGCCATGAGGGCACGAGGGGGAAGAAGAACCGAGATCAAAGGAAAGGAAGTGAGAAGGAGAAGAAAGTATCTGAAGTAGTTGTCAGGAGTTGATATATGCCTCTTAGTCCGTTTAAAGAAACGGAACAAGATGTCGGACTTCGTATCACTGCTTCTCTGTACCCTGTGGTGGGTTCTCTAGATTCTGACATCTTCGTGTATGCCGACATCGCTACAGCGTCGTTTACATACAATACCCACTTTCAAGTCTGAGAGAGGCAAACTAATTATCTGCCCTCGCTCTCGGCCTGACTCCAGGGCCAGGGCCTCCCTCTCACGGGTCCGCCTCATGTAGCCCGAATGCACTATGCTGGGGGATAGACCTGCAGGACCGGGTAATGCCGTATCTAACTAATTCCCCCGGTCGATCTGCTCCTTTGTTGTTACACAACAGCCTCTCCAAATCCTCGGGTCGGTTTATCCGCATGGGCAGCATCGAAACTTAGGTTCTTTTTCCCCGTCGTCCTCTCCCTCGATTTGACAGTCCTGGTAGCTTCAGGCTTGAGTCTAATGAAGCGCGAAATATGTGGGAATGAGCAGCATCGGGTGTAGTAGGGGAGGGGCAAGGGGAGGCGGTTCGTCGGTCGATCGTTGGTCCGATCTGAAACTCGCACACGCACGCTCACACCCGCGCTCTTTGGACCTTCGGAGACGAACGAGGGACGAGGAGTAGCGTTCGGTTCGGTAGGAAGTGGGCCAGGTACTCTCTTCACGGATTGATGTAGAGCGATAGAGAGATCCGTCATCGAAGGAGCTGTTGTGCTTTTCGTCCCTGGCCACCGCCTCTCCCTTCCGACCGGTTTGTTCATTTCCTGCTTGTTTCGACAGTTGCTGGCACACGCGTGCTTTCTGTCAAGCCATACAGGCCGTGCTTCTTCCTGTACACTGGATTCAAGAGGAGAATCGAGAGGCTTTGCATTCCGGTTGGGTGGTGTCCTGTCAAAGGAGGTCAAAGATCGAGAAGCGCGAAAGAGAGCTTGCTCCCTCGGACAGGAAGTTGTTCTCTCTGGTTCCATTCTCTCCCCCGCGGAGGTTTCCTGGGATCGAGTTTGGAGTGGGTGTTCTGCGTAGTTTGTTTGAGAGACTCGAGGGGTTGGAAGGAGGGATGAAACTAAAGAGGCATGCAGTCGTGCCTCTCTTGGGGGTCTCTCGCTGCCAGATTCGAGTAAGCGGTATGCTTTTCTCTGTGATTCCTCTTCCTCGTGTCAAGCCTTGTTGGCTTCTCTGTACATCCTTTGCACGAGATGTTCCACAATCGGTGTTGTTTGGTCCATGCGCAGCACAACCTCCACCCTCCACGGCCCCCTCAAGGTCCTGTCCACTTGTCTCTTTCCCAAATCCGGGTAATCATATTGTCATACAAAACATGTCTTCCCCCCGGTTTTTTAATCCAACGCGGCAAACAAGCTCAAGTAAATACCCCAGAACAAGCCCACGACGCTCGCCACAATCACCCTCCTGTTCACAGGCACGAGAGTGAAATTCAGCAACGCCACAAAGGGCCAGAGCTTCCAACTGCTGATCATCAACGGGATGACATCCCTCTCCACCTCTCGCTGTACGGCCTTGGCGGACTTGCCCTTGAAGGCGGCCATCGCAGCGACGAAAGCGACCGTGTTGACGAATGCCCCCAAGGTCTGGTCGAAGAGGAATTTGCGGAGCGTGTTCGGGATGTGCAGTTGCGTATCGGCGGTCGGCGAGGAGGAGGTGGTCGAGGGGGAGATGGGTGCGACTGTGTAACCGGGAAATTTGTATTCGAGGTATTCTTGCCAGAGGATGTTGGGCGGGCAGGAGATCAAAGTAAAGACAACAAACTGCGCCAGGGGAGCGAGCTTGACTGTGAAAGGAAGCGATTCGCGGTAAGCCTTAATGCCTTGGGCTGCGAGGTTGGACACCGCCGAGAGACATGCGGCTTGGAGAGTGGTGGTGATGATATGGGAGACCATGGTGGTGAATGCAGGTGTCAGCTCAACGCGAGAAAGGGGTCGAGAACGATCACGGAGGTATTGAGGGATGTGCCCGCATCAGCTAGAACATGATATGTGAATAACGAGCGTTGAAGAATGAAACGCACCCTGTTCGTACAACCCGGACGGCGACGACTCTCTTGAAACCAGTTTATTATTTGTGAACTATTTCACATGCAAGTTGCCAGATTGCCGAGAACGAGGCTTGCATTGAGAAGCGCCACCAGTGTCACACGCAGTACGGTGCAGTAGACATCCCCAAATGGCCATGCGCAGGTGTCTCTATATCCTGCCGTACAAAGCAAGTCACGTGCTGCCGGCCTACGCCTGGGTCTCGGATGACAACGCATCCCACCCCGCCTCCCCAGCTGAGTTTTGATGCCCGAAGTGAGGCGAATCACGGCTCTTAACCCTTTGCAGTGACCTTGTCGGCCATGAATAGAGATACCTGGGAAGTATCGGAGGCACAACATGGCAGAGGTGTCCCAGCCTCGCGGGGCTCATGTTTTTGGGGGGGTTGGGAAATCCAATCGTCGTGGATGACGGTGAGATTAAGAGGGTTGCAGCACGGGCCAATCTACGGTTGATGATCATGTGTGAGCGCCAGGCAAATAGAAACCGATGGGCAATAATGGCCCAGTCATTGTCGTCCTTGGTGTGTTGTCTCAGCGCTCAGCGCTCCCCTCGACGCTCTGTAATTCGTCCCATTCGTCGCCCTGGTCGGGTCGAGTGATGGCAGTCCGATTGGTTTGTCGGGAAGGCGTTTGTTGACATGATGAAATTGAGATGGGCGAGGCTCTCACCCTCGAGACTGAGAAATCGGGAGTCCAAGATCTGAGATCTTGGTGAGTAGTAGTGAGAGAGAGAGCGAGTAGTAGGGATTCAGCTGAGACTGCATGGGCTGGCAGCAAGCATGGCAGGCTGGGTTCCCCGCGCTGGTGGGCGTTGTAGGCGCAGCTCTTCCCTCTCTCTCTTGCCCACACACAAAACTCCCAGCTTGAGCTGTGACTACTGCTACTACTACTACTACATACTACCAACTGCTACTCTACCAACTGCTATGTAAATGCTCCTTGGGCTTCCTTCTCTCTCTTCTCTCTCCACCTTTTCTACCATCCACACTTCCTCACCGACAATCTATCCCACCCTGTCCATCTCTAATCCGGTTTTCGGCTGGATCTGACCCCTGCGCCGTCCCTCTCGCGCGACATTGACCGCTCCACTGACATCAATACGCATCCTGGTTCCGTTGGCGCGACACCCTGAGTTGGCTGGGTGGTGGATAGAGCAACAACACAACAGCTTCGCTCTGTTGGCTTCTCCCTAACCTTGCCTGCCTGTCGATACAATTCCCACGCCGCTGGCTTCCTCTCCCATCTCCAAGTTTCCCGTTTGCGCCGTTGTTGATATTCTCCCCGTCGCATCCGTGCGCCACTCTACCTACAGAAGCCACCTCCCGCTACGTCGAGGTCTCAGGCGACCATGGATCAACAGCAGAAGACGGCTCCTCCGGTCTACGACCTTTCTCAAGGTGGCCACTACGGAGCCAGCGCCGCGGTGAGTGCCTTCATCGTGTTTCCTTCAGGTTACAATGGACAGGCGCACAAGAGGAGGATAAGAACACGGCACATCGCCATGCGCAGATTTGATGTGACTCTGGACGAGCCTCGTACTGACACAAAATCATAGTTGTCCGCGCAAGGCTACGTTCCTCATACCGAGCTGTATTCAGGACTATGGTCAAATGTATGTGGTGATCCGTCCCGACCCAAATGCCATACACTATGCTCACCAGTCTGCAGATCAATCAAGGCCTGACTGGGCCATCTCGAGAAATCCTGGCAACGTATTGGCAACAGACCATCAATCATCTCGAAACAGACACTCACGACTTCAAAATCCATCAACTTCCACTGGCAAGAATCAAGAAGGTCATGAAAGCGGACCCGGAGGTCAAGATGATCTCCGCTGAAGCTCCCATCCTCTTCGCAAAGGGCTGCGACATATTTATCACGGAACTGACTATGCGCGCTTGGATCCACGCCGAGGACAATAAGAGAAGGACCTTGCAACGCAGTGATATAGCTGCCGCGCTCGCGAAGAGCGATATGTTCGACTTCCTAATCGACATCGTCCCCAGAGAAGACAGCGCTGGGCACGGCAACTCCAAACGGCCCACCACCAGCGGCCAAGCTACGGCTGCTCAAGTTCCCCCACAAAGTCAACAACAAATGGGTCCTCCCGACTATGGCATGCAGCATGGGGCAATGGGTCCCCCTGACAGTCAATACGGCAGGCCTCAAATGTACCCGGGCCATATGGGCGGTGATGCGCAACAAGACCCCAATCAAGGCTATGGTCAGCCTCCGCAAATGTTCACCGGCGGCGAGATGTACAACCCCTATGCCCAGGGACAGTTTGGCGGCACTGGTGCTCAACAGGTAGGTCGCATTCCGTTCCCATCATGCTACACCAATGACGAGCATGTCCCCCTCTTTGCTGAGAGCCGCGTGCACGAGATGCTGACATGGAGCCTTTTTTTCTCGACAGATGTACTCGAATATCCCAGGCCAAAGACCACAAAGTCAAGGATATGGAGGTCCAAGGCCCGGCACCGCAGGCAGAGATCAGCAGGTCAATGAGCAAGGTTACGGACCTGGTTAGGTGACAGACCCGGAACTGGATCAAGTCTGATTCTCCGCAGCCGTTGCAAATACTCACCCACTGGAGGCACCAAAATTGATACCACTACCGTTTGATGAAATTGTTTGAATTTGAATTAAGACCGTTATGCTTTCCAGCTTCGGAAATGGATACCACGAGCGAGGGTGATAGCAATATCTCACCACCACGGACGACGCCGAGCAAGGCAGAAAGACGAAATAAACAACCCATGGGCTCCCGCACAACACTGTCTTTAATGGACTGCATCCACAGCAGAATGGAAATCTTTGGTTTACAATCCCCCAAGTTTGGGTCTCTTTTCCTGCGTCCTTTCTTCGCCTCTCGTCTCTTCCATTGTTTCAGAATTCAATTCGTAAATCGAGCGTTATGTACATTGTTCCGTTTACAGAGCCACATGAAAATTCATTAGAGCTGCTCCACTTCACCGCACAACAGCCACCGCCCATTTCAGCTGCGATCCTGGACAGGGAGCCTCTAAGATGGCAGAATAGAAGATCACCTGTAGCCAGACATCCCCCAGATCTGATGTGGATCAACAGACAGTCCCACTGCGGAAAAATGGACACCAGCCCAGACAGATGTCGCAGATTCGGGAGCAGAATCCCCGGGCTACAAAACGAGGATAGAAAAAGAAAGGTAGATAGAAAACCAATTAATCAGGTACGCACGGTGTCCAGCGTGCTCTGATCAAGGAATAACATTCATCTCTCGGTATACGCATAGAGTATCACATTTGGAGACCAATGCCAATCGCCCAGGAACCGATCTTTTGATCCAGGCACCGTATAATACTGTCTTGCGGAAGAAGACAGAAGAGAGGGCACACCCGCTCAGGAGATAGATACCGGGTTCCGGGCCTTTCATCGTCCGCTATGCGACATGAAGCGATTCTGCAGCGCCGCAAAGGTATTGCCCCCCCTCGACCCGGTGCTCCCACTGTACGCCAGCCCTGTGCTGTCTCTGGCGTTGTCGCCGTCAAAATGGCCCTGCCCGGCGCCCCCGCCTCTCGCGGACACGGGCGACCGGACGTCCACGTGCACGACCTTCTCCAGCAGCTGCGGGCCCTTGAGCGGGTCGACGTTGCGGTATTTCTTGTTCCGGAGCGAGATGTCGTAAAACTCGTCGGGCTGGTCGGTGCTCATCAGCGCCACCGTCTGGATCAGCTCGTCCAGCGACTCGAGCAGGATGCTGTTGTTGGGCAGCGTCTCGACGTACGACCGGAAGTGCTGGATGTCCATGTCCATCTGCGCGATGCACGCCGTGGTCAGCCGGTCGACCTGCGGTGACAGGGGCAGGGACAGGATGCTGGAGGCCGTGTGCGAGATTGCGTTGAAGAGCATGAGATCCTTCAGCGATGATGGCAGCGAGAGCAGCACGCTGTTGATGATGTTCGACAGGTAGCGCGTCAGGGTGAGGATGTAATTCGACGGTTCGGTTGGGGGGTCGCGCGACAGCCAGTCGTACTCGGCCGTCTCGATCAGGTCGCTGACTTTGCTGTTGACCAGCTCGAAGATGCGGTTTTCGGCCGTCTTCTGGTGCGTGCTGAACTGCGCCGTAGCCTTGAGCGAGACCGGTGGGCCGACGCTCCCGCCGCCGCCGAGCGCGGAGGACGACGAGCGCGCCGTGGCCAGCAGTGTTTCGAGTTCGTGGCAGGCCGTGGTGAAATGCGAGAGGTTGATCAGGATCTGCACGATCTGACCCAGGTACTGCGACGAGAGCTTCGACACCAGACTGGCGCAGACCTTGGTGGTCAGGAGGTCGTCGAGCGAGGTCAGCAGTTGGGAATCGATCTTGGACGTGAGCGGCGACGGCGTGTTGTCCTCCTGCGCAGAGAAGAAGTAGAACTGATTCAGGAAGTTGCGGATGTCGATGCAGCAGAGCGGATACATCTGCGAGAAGGGGAAGACGGTCGGGAAGGTCATTTCGTGCACGGGACGATCCGGTGTGTACCAGGACACGTTGACGACCTTTTCGAATTCCTCGGCATTCTGGATCGGCATGGGCATGTAGTCGTCTGTGCTGACGATCTCGATAAAGTCCTCGCTGAACCGTTCTTTGAGCAGCTCGGCGTACTTGTCAAACAGGACCAGGACGAAATTAGCCATGGCCGCGGTGTTGAAGTTGAAGGCGTTCATGGTCTGGATAAACAAGGAGACGAGGTTTTTGATCTTCAGCAGGTGTTCCGCATTGTCCACCGCCGCGAGGGCCTTGGACATCAACGAGATGGCCGTTTGGCAGAGTGAGTCCCACAGCTCTTCAACTTCGGTGGTGGAACGGAGGTCGGGGACTTTCTTCATTGTGGCACGTTCCATAATGGCGAAGCCGGCGATATCTTCCAGGAGAGTGTGCAGATCGCCCATCTCTTCGTCGACGAGGGAGATGGAATTCTGGAGGAGAAGATCGCGTTGAGCGCGGCGACTGGCGGCGTAGTCGGTCTTGAATTTCTCCATTTGACCGAGTGAGCGGTAGATGTGGAGTGCTTCGAACAAGGGAGTAAAATCAACCTCGAGGTCTTCGCTTTTGAGCAGGTCGAATTCCTCATGCTCGTCCGCCACCAGCTCAATGGCAGAGTTGAGTTTAAAGTTGGCAAGATAGGGAGTCTTCTCGGATCTCTCCTTGAGCCGCTGCTTGCGCAGGTCGGTATGGTAGAAGGACAACTCCCCCAGGTATTGGGACATCTCTCGGACACGAAAGAGCCAGGTGTTGAGGTCGGCCATGACGGCTTCAGCAATCGATTTCTGAGTCGCAGGCACCGACTTCTGAATCAGCTCGCTCAACTCATACTGGGTCACGTTCTGAAGGTGGACGCTTTGCAGCTCGTCCAGTGCTCGTAGAGCAGCATAGTGTTTCTTTTGGTCCCGGAGCTCTTGGACTTGGTTTGCCAAGCGAAGAACTTCCAGACAGTCCTGCAGAGCGTGCCGGGCGTCTTCAATGTTCTGTCTCACGCCTCGGGACTCGACTAGAGCTTTCTTCTGATCGACGAGGCGTTCCGTGCTGGCTTGAATGGACTGATTCAGCTCAAGGATCTCGTTGGTGAGAGTGACGGTGCCTTCGCGGATTCGAAGAAGCTGATTGACCGACTTGACAAACTCTTGGTGGTTGGTGTTGCATTGGCGCTCAATCTCGGCCTCCCGCTCGCCGGCAAGGTCGGATAGCTGGCTCAGCAGATGGGCAGTCTTGTTCCCATAGCTGTAATCTTTGATGTATGGAATCAACTGATCTAACGTGTCTGCCTCCGACGACGAGGTGACGATCTGGGGAAATGCGTCAGCCTAGAGTTTGCGCGGGCTCGAGGTCACTTGTACCTGCTGAAGCACATTGTTCATGTCATTTCTGTATGGCGCTACTGAGGGCATCGTAACAAATGCCAGTGCTATACTAGCTCAGGAGGAAGCTGGCGTTCACAGTGTGGCCCAGGTCCAATGTCTGACTTTCTGATTCGCGTCGTCGTCGGCGGTCACAGATGGCTTGTCTTATGGAAGCCTTGGAAAGGGACGATTGAACAAAGGAAGCTGTGAGGATTGGAGCAAGTATCAATGTATGTGTCTAGTATAACATTCACTCTTTGTGACAGTGGACAGACGGGCAGAGTATGATAGATTCTGTGGTTGTCACGCCAGGCCGAACAGGAGAATGGGGAGCCCGGCTGACTTGCCACTGCAGCGAGGTATTGAAGGTGTTAGATGCAACGCTAACCTCATGGCGTTAGCGATGTCACTAAAGATTAACCGCTGTTCACCCCTTCATCAACCTCACGACGTCTTTGTTTCCTGCTCTTCCTGAGATCATCCCCATGTCATGCAGGTGGTCCTTCTCTTCAGAGAGTCAGGGCGTTGCAAAAGCTGACTCCAATGGCTGTGTGAGATGGAGCACTCGCACAGGCGAGGCCAGGGTTTCCGTGCGTGCAGCTCAATTGCAGACATGTCTGCAAGTTGTCGCGTTCGCGTGAAGGACAAAGGCGAGGCCCGATCTGAGAGCAGACCATGGCACCTGCCATTTGATAATAATGTCAGCAAACCTGGCCCTTCAGTGCTGTGGATTGCTGAGCAAGAAGACAAGAAGAAAAATATATGAAAGAGCTAAATACACAGATGTGACTGGTGAGAGGCAGGATGAGCCTTCATTTTCTCTTCAGGCCTCGAAGGCAGGTTCAGTGTCAAATCGTGAAGAGATTTGCAATGGTGCATGACTCCTCTTGCCCAGCTGGTTGCTGAGCTTTCCGAGACTGTGAAAGCCAAGAAGGAGACAATGATGTCGTCGTTGCCCAGGTGGCCAATTGAATGAACGACGCCCAGCCGCCTATGATGTCGTCGAAATGTGAGGCGTGAAGTGAGAGCACAGGGAGAGTCTACCCTCACTTTGGCCACATCCAACACACGTTCATTGCCGCAAACTGCAGCTGTGAGAGGGTCGTTGCTCATACAAATTGTTTGGGTAAAGCCCTGGGTACTGCGGCTGGGAACGTGGAATCTACGTGGAATCAACGACTCTATTGCTGCATCGCCCAGCCGACTGTTTATTCCGTCATTCGACCTTGTCGTCGTCGTCGTTTGAAGCGGTCTATTCCCGTTAAGGATTGTTGTGGTGAGTGTCTCCCAGCCGCTCTTTCCCACGGAAAAAAAAATTCGCTCCCTCTTTTTTCCATCTCAACACAACTCAGGTTTCATCACCCTGCACACTCTTTTCCCATCACCACACTCCTTCAATACCATCCAGTTCCTCGAATCTTCTTGGTATTCGTCCCACTCATCTCATTCTTTACCACAGCACAATCCCTTCATTGATTTCAAAGCGTTGCTTCATTTCCCAATCTCGAATCTGCTGGTTTGGTAAGTCCGGCCAATTCCCAATGGCACATCAAGCCTCCTGTCCTACCCAGGCCTCCATGCAAGAGACAATGGCATCGGTCTCGATGACCTTGCCGTCTCTTGTTGGCTTCATTGGAATCGTGATGTTTCTGCACACGAATTCAAACACCACCAGACACTCTCCCCCTCACCCTCACCTCTGTAGACTTGAGCCACCAGCTAATTGCCTGTCTTGAAAGCCATGTCTCCTCCACGTGGGCCAGCCATGGCATCCTCTCCTCGTTCTGTTGACGAGACCACCAATCATGGAACTCCGTCGACCAACCTCACTGCGTTCACCCCTGAGGCCGAGTTCGGGTCCAAGGCACGTGTCACAGACTTCGTTCGCCCTGTCTTGAAGCTTCGTCCTACCATGCCCAAACACGCGAGGTAAGTGTTATGCATAGCATTCCATCTCATCATCTCGTTGTGCATCGTACTAACTTGGTCCCAGCGTCTGCGATGAATCTGAAGAAGATGTCTTCCTGACTGCCCCGGCTGCAGCCAAGGGTCCGCAACTCTCACCTACGGCTGAGGTCTTCACCCCCAAGTTGACCAATGGCTCCATTGAGAAAGATGTTGAGAACCAGACTGGATACGCTGGCCGTGCCAAAAACAGCATGGTGGTAAGACTCTTCAGCAACCAACATTGTACAAGTGCATACACTGACAGCGCAGCAGACGCATCGGCCTACCAAGTTCGGGTACTTCCCCAACAATGTTCCTGGAGCTTTACGTGGTCAGCCCCTTCCAGTCCACCCGAACGCCCTTCGCTACGGGTTCGGCCTCCTCAAGCTTGAAGATAGTCCTTTCAACCACGTCGCTGGCATCTTCCTCCACGACTTCAACGTCACCGAAGGCGTCTTCAGCCTTGATGAGGGTATCTCGCGTTCATTCGTCGTCACCGGTGTTCCACTCAACTTGGGATCTCATTTCATCAGCCGCCACTTCCCTGTAAGCATCTCAATGACTTTTCAAGTGCCCGCACATACTAACACCAGCAGGCCGAACACTTCCCCAGTATCAGAGATATCAAGTCCACCGCCATCACTAGCGGCCTCTTCGTTGTCTCCTGTGCTGATATTCGTGACGCAAAGCGAGCTGCGGATGTCACCAACGCCATGCTCCCGTTCGCCTACATCTTTCCTCTCAAGGCTAAGAAGTACGCGTCAGACAACGGTGGAGACCCATCCCTCGTTAGCGACCACGAAGGACAAATCATCATCAGTATCTACTACAATGGATATGCGACTGCGCCACCGATTGAAGCAGCTCCTATCGTTGATGAGATCAAACGTCTCCTTGCGCAGTGTGGTGATGTCAAGGCATTTCATACCATCCCGGCCACGCAGCCTCTTGTCCGAGAGATTCGCGTGGAATTCTTCAATGCCAACCTTGTTGATGTCGCCATAGATGTCATCCGCGGAACCGTGATCCATGTATGTTGTCCCCCTCCACCCTCCTCTCCCAGACTAACAATGTCTTAGGAAGCTGTCTTGGACGTCGCGCCGTTCCAGCCTGATGTTCGTGTTGCTGCTCCGTTCGATGAGGAACACCCAGAACAGCTTTCAGTCACTGGTCGCTCAAGAGTCCCCTTTGATCCTGAGTATGATCGTATTGCTCATGCAATTCAACATGATGGTCTTCGTCATGGTCGTCGCCTCAACCAGGCCATGAACCATAACGCCGTCGACATTGCTCGTATTCAGGCAGGACTTGATGTTCGTACCACTGTGAGTTTCTTTCCCCTTCCATCTTCACTTGTACCAATTGACAATAGGTTTAGATCATGCTCCGCAACATCCCCAATCGCGTTGATCAAACCATGTTGAAGAATCTCCTTGATTGCACCAGCCGTGGTCGCTATGATTTCATGTACTTGCGCATTGGTAAGTTGAAGTTGGCCTCCACCATTCCGGACCATCTGTTCACAACCACTCTCAGATTTTGCCAACAACTGCAATGTTGGTTACGCTTTCATCAACTTCGTCGACGTGAGTTTGTCCCTACCCCCAGCTCATTGCTGCTGCTAACTCTCTTCTAGGCTCAGTCCATCATCCCCGTTCGTGACCTCACCATCTCTGCCGTCCTTTCTATTGCTCACTTCTCTCTTTTAGTTTGTCCTTGCTCGCGCCGGTAAGCGCTGGAACTGCTTCGCCTCAGACAAGATTGCCGAAGTCTCCTACGCCAGTGAGTATCTTCTTTCTGTGCTATTCACTGCAATGAGCTGACAACCGTGCGCAGCCATCCAAGGGAAGGATTGTCTTGTTCAGAAGTTCCGCAACTCCTCCGTCATGCTTGAGCATCCTGGCTTTCGTCCCAAGGTAATTTGAGACTTCCCCATGTCTTGTTTCCCGGCTGACCACCCTGAGCTCTTTGTCGCTGGCAACACCCCGAATGCAGGCGTAGAGGAGAAGTTCCCTGAACCTGACAACCACTCTAAGATGCGTCGCTCAGTTGAGAACGCCGAGCATGTTGGTCTGTACCTTCCTCTTGGTGCGCATCTTGGCTCGTACCCTTATCGTCGTCGCCGTTTCTTGCGTCGCAACGAAGTCGCTCTTGATGAGGCTCGCCGCAACGGTGTCTACTTGCCGCCTGCGCGTGCCAACAAGCCCAAAGAGAAGATTCCGCCCAAGGCTGTTCCACCCAAGGCTGTTCCTGCCAACGCATCCCCAACACATCGCCGAGTTCCATTCTTGATTGACACTCGCAATCCTTATGACCCGTTTGCCGGCCGTGCCGGTCGTCCCCGCCGCTACTCTCCGTGAGCATACTTATTCTTATCTCGCCGACAACCTCAACGTACTGACTGTCGTTCTCAATAGGACTTTTCGCTCCTAGACAAGGCCAGGTCTATCGCGAAGAACAGCGTCGTCGTCGCTCTCAATTCGACCGAGGCACCCCTGGTGCTGAGAACGAGTTGGGCGTTGCACCTCGCTATCGTCTCCAAGATCCTGCGCTTGAACACATGGGCAATCTTCATCTTCAACGTTATTAGCACAACATGATCGTGGCGCTGGACGTCTTTCGATGTTTCAGGTCACACCATGTTGGTACCATGGACCGTTGGCGGTGATCAAACCTTGTGGTCTGGAGGGCCGCTTCTTGCCTGTCGGCTTGGATTGTCTACCTGCTTGCTTACGGATGGATTGAGACACTTGGTCTTTTGAGATCAAGTTGGTCTCAACCTGGACACCCAAGAAAAAGAGCGCGCGCTGGAGGACTTCCCCGGCCATCGAGTCATCATTGTTTCTTGCCCCCTTGTACCACCCTGTGTTATTACACAGGCGTGCCCCTAATACTTGCAAGTTTTCCCTTCTTTTTTGCTTTCTCTACCCCCAAAAAAATGTGAGCAAGGTCTTCTATGAAATCAATGTACGGTAGTGAGATGGGATGGAGCTTGGACTTTACTGAAGACAAATCATGTACCATCAACACAGCGTTTACCGATCACTCATAGTGATTCAACAGCTTACTCAATCAAATGGATTCAATCCACACGCTCTTCTTGTTCACGGCCTTCCTTGTCGTTGATGTTGTATGTCTGGTGATGAAACAGACGGCATGAGTGTCAGGTGAGTGCTGTAGTCAATTTGCTGTGAACGAGACGACCGACGACGGCCTGTTTTCTGAGCCTCTACAAGCCCGTCGTTGCACGCCCTGAACCTCCTTCGACCACAACACGGCATGATCTAGAGACCTCCCACGAGCACAATCGAGAACTCACGGTCATCAGTCACGGGCCACGTCGATCCAGGCGTCACCACACGGCCCGCGCCTTCTTACTCACCAAAGCCGTCCAAACTCCATGAATCCGGTAGGCTTCCATTTTATACGACGGTCTTTGTGGGTGGAGGGGAATACCCCAGTGTCAGGACACTCAGACAATGTCAGAATTCACAGGCTGGGCAGGCTCAGTTGGCGCAGTGTCAAAGGAGGACTTGGAGGCTTCTTCAAGTTACAAAGGCGCCGGGCGGCTCCCAGAGAGCGTCGTGTGTGAAGACCCATTTCAAGAAGATCACGTTAAGATGTGATGGCGGTCAGCTATGCAGAAAGTATGGGGGATAGCAAGACATTTCGATTTACCACTATCCGCAGCTAATCAGCAACATGCTTGACGGCAACACTGACAGCCATCGTCACTTCGGTGGCCGAAGACAGACTGTCACATTTGGAGGTTCTGATCGGGAAGTCGACGAAATATTAAGCATCAGGGCAGAGCAGCAAGGGCACAGCACCGGCAAAACTGGTGACACGCCTTGTTACATCCTTTGGTGAGGCACCCATTGCGCCTCATTGCGAGACCACTTCTGCAATCCATGTTGGCTCGACGTATCGTGCAGCCACGCTGTTGGACATCCAAAGCTTCAAGGCCAGTGTAGCCGGCGAAGCTCATGGTCAACAAAAAGGTGACGAGCACGTTCTGTCAGGAGTTCCTGATACTCCAACCTGCTGCCACGAGCTAACATTGGGACTTTCAGGAAACCATTCCCTGCCATATTCCTATCTCGATACCTCCTACGCAGGCCAGCACGAAGCCAAGTCGCCCAATCATCACCACTCTTTCGTTCCTGGAGTGATCCAAAGACTGCCAAACAAGAATCTGCAAGAAAAGACGTTTATACATAAGGCTTCGGTCTCGGTCACCGATGACTTGCATGTCGTCTGCCGGGTTGGGGATTCTGTGGCCCGTGTCAAGAGCCCAGAACAGGCACTTGGATCATGGACAATACAGCGATTCTTAGCTAGAGCAATTCTAGGAATGGTTGCGACTCTATCCCAAGAGCTGGGCCATGTGTGGATCAGCGGAAAATGCGTCGGTGCTTCTGGTCAACTTGCAGGCAAACGGATATCATGGTCTTATTTTCAACTCTGCCTCCCCGGCCCCGTCTGCCTGGAGAGCTGGGATATCAAGTCACCAAGAAACCTTACCGACTCAGATTTCGACCAAGACACGAAACGTACTACCTTTCTCGCTCGGAGCTGAAAGCATAATTGAATTCCTTGCACGGTTCAAACCTCACCCCGCTTGCCCACCGTCGAGCATCACCAAGGCTGGATCCCGTCTTTTCTCACCACACATCCGACATCTTCGTCCCTCTTGCCCTCGACCACGTCCCTCACCACGCCTGCTCCGACGCTTGGATCCAAGGCACCCATCTGCTTCAACCGCTCTGGGTTGCCGAAACCAAGACCCGTCGCCAACAAGCCCGGGCTCACACACCACACTTTGACATTGTCCTCTTTCAACACCCTGACCCACTCGCGCATCACCATATTCAATCCGGTCTTGCTCGCTCGGTATGCCGGAACCCCTAGCGCTGCGAAGGCACCGCCGGCTTTTGGCCAGCCTTTGTCCGGAGGTGAGTGGTTGATGCGTACTGCCTGATTTCCGCTCTCGGCGAGAGTCGAAACACCGCTTGTGATGAAAAGCAGTCGAGGGTCGGAGGACTTCAGCAATAGGGGGATGAGTGTGTACGTGAGGATGTGCGTGCCTGTCACATTGACGTCCCAGGACTTGTTCCACATCTGACGCATGCTGAGTTCACCAGAGGAAAGCTTTTGATCGAATTGGCTCCCTGTCGAGGCGGAAAGAGGAAGCAACACGGTCAGAAGGTTTTTTGGTTGGACGCCAGATAAAGTGGCGACTCGAGTTGTAATGGGACGGGGCGGAATGATGCTTACCAGCATTGTTCACCAGCACATCCAATCTTCCATAGTCTTTCTCGAGACTCTCGAACAAATTCTTGATGGACTGGTCGTCTTCGATGTCAATCTGCACGGGGGCCACCACACTCTGACTGCAGGCAAACTCCTCCTTGACCTGCTGGGCGGCACTGGTGGCTTTCTCCAAGCTCCGCCCGCCGAGGAGGATGGTGTACGTCTTGTCGGCAGATTGGAGTAGAGACTTGACGGTCGCGAGACCCAAGCCCGTGTTTGCACCTGTGATCAAGACGATGATGTTGGCTGCCATGGCTGCCACTGATGACTGATGTTTTTGTTTTTGTTGTTGTGCTTGTATAGATCCGTTCTTGGACTGTTGACGAGAAGGCCAGACCCGTGTGGCCGATGCCTCCTCTCTGCCCGCTGAGATGATGCTGGATGTTTGTTTACCTTCAATTGTAGCTGCTGGCCCTCACGCCGGGGGGTTACCGATATACAGATCGGTCTCGTTCAAAACTGTTTCCTTCTCCCTCTCCACGTTGCTGATGACAAGGCTTGACTGATTGGCGTGATAGACTGGGACGACAGCCGCTGAAACTCTAGAGAAACAAACCTCCAGTGGTCAGTTGGTTGGTTAGTCACTCCGGCTTCGAGTGACAAGTCCAAAGTCCCTCCCTCCTCCAGCTTTATCAAATCCTCCGCGCGAAAGAGTATATATATATATATATATATGTATATATCTACACTCGGTAAATAAACAATGCCCACACAGTGGGCCGCCTGATTTTGATTTTCGTTTCTCTGCCCACCCACGCCTGCAATCTCTGACCGCTCATCAATCCGTGATGGCGCCTCTCTCTCCTCCAACAGAGCAGGAACGTTTCGGACATAAGCGTAGAAAACGCCGGAGCAGGCCTGCTGTTCTCGAACTAGGGCTTGAGAGGGGGGTTGTGTCTCAGAAGAGCAGAGTAACTCGCTGTTAGCGGAGTTAAAGCTCATGCAGACCCGCTGGGATGCTTGCTTGTTGTACTCGGTACATAAGATACATACATACACATACATAACTGGGAGCCTGGGCTCGGGCTCGGGCTCGGGCTCGGACTCGGGCTCGCGCACACACGGTATGTCTCGAACCACATGTAAAAGTCGACCGACCTCGCCGGGGACCAGTAGTTATTAATTAGTTGGTCTCTGACATCCCAAAGCAGCGACCGATGCAGCAGTGTGATTGGCTAGACGGCTGGCTCTGCAGATGTCCCCCCCCAAGTCGGGAAATGCAGATGGGATAATAATAAGAGACACAGTTGTTTGTCTACATTCACCTGCTTCCGGGGCCGCCTAGCCTGGCATCTGTCCTTTTTGTGTGATCGCGGTGCCCCCTTTCGTTCCCTGTTCGTCCGGTCTGAGCAGGAATGGAAAGGACTGATAGGGTCATGGCATTAAAATGTGATTTAACTTCTATAAAACAATCTAACTAGACGTCCTTCAATAGGCGGGCATGGAATGTAACCGTCTATCTATGGCGCCTGTACCTCTGTGGATAGAATCACAGCACGGGCAAGAACATTACAGCCATGCCAACAGCGCCACGTCGTGTCCAGCAGCGCCGCACAGCACCCTATCTATGATGGTTTCAAAGACTGAACACAGTCGCTGCAGCTGTTGTCGTAGCTCGCCTGCGCCAGACCCACGGTCAACGCGTCGTAATTGAAGAGCATGTACACGGAGCGCAGGAACGTGTCGCCAAAAATGTAGAAGCCCTCGTCGTTGGGCTGCGGGCTGAGGCCCAGCAGACACACCCCGTCGGGTAGTTCCGAGTCCGGGACGACCACCTCGGGCCACGGCACAGTGATCAGCACGTCGCCACCCGGACCGGTAAACTCGTAGCCAAGGCCGCCATCATCGTCTGCGTAGTCGCAAGAAACGACGTAGAGGGACTCGTCCTCGTCGTACAGTTCGGCGTCGAGTTCGTCGGCGATGGCGAAAAACTGGGATTTGGGGAGATACGTCAACGTGGTACCGGTGTCGAGGAGCACCGTGTATTCCTGGTCGTTGGGAACCTTGTATGTCTCGCCGTCGACAACGAACGTGATCATCGGCCCTCCAATATCCAGCTCTATCGCTCCTTCCGGTGAAGGCTCCACGAGCGAAAACGTCACCAAGTCGCCCGTCCACTTGCTCTTGTCGTACCCGCCGAAGATGATCGTGCCGGGAGTGGTGTCGGTGAAGGCTAAATGAAAAGGTTGTGTTAACTGGGTGGTGCAAGTCAATAGAAGAAACAAAGGGAGGCCGACATACCGAGTTCGTTGAGGTAAATGCTATATCCTCGTACGGCTATGATGCCCTGCTGGTACAGGCTGTCGATGTAGCTGGGATACGTGATGTCACTTTGGTAGACGCTGGCTTCGTTGGCAGAAAAGGAGATGCCCATAATCCCGCCGGCAGGGTCGCCAGAATGAGCCTCAGTGGCCACACCCAGGATGACATTGGCCGAGACTCCACCCGTCTTGAGAGTGTCGCCGACATAGTAGCCCAGCACCGACGAGTCTTGAGAAACGTAGCTGATGTTGAAGATGCCGAGGTCGTCGCGGCTCTTTGCCGTGGAGGACTCTGAGGGATCATCTGTACCGGGTGATTAATCGCCAACATCCGCCAGTGGGAAATAGTAGAAAAGTGAAACCGTACAGTATGTTGAAGTGCAATTTGGGCATTGGGTTTCCACCTGAGGACTATATGCCCAGATGTCACTGCTCCCGGTGTCCAAGACTAGGCTCAGAGCCTGAGGAGGCGTTCCAATGTTGACATCAATGGTATAATGCACCAGGTTCTTGTGCCCAAGCGAAGAGCTGAAGGCCCGTCGACGGTGCTTTGCTGCATCGACGGACCGCTTCTTTGTCAATGGCAATGAGACATAGGATGAAGCCTCCTGCTCTTGAAAAAATGGTAGGGCTGAAGCTACAGTGAGCGTCCAGAAGAGGATCAAAAGATGCATGTTGGCTAATCACGAAAGAAAGACACAAGACAATGGACGACGGAACAGTGACGGAGGCTCGAGGGGCTCCTTCTTATATATCTATCCCCCGTCTCCTCGAATTGGACCCCATTGCCGAGCAAAAGGCAACAGAAGTCCGTGCAGTTCGAACGGTGGTGAGGCTGAAGGCTGAAAAACCGAGCATCCCGGAGTCAAGCGGCGATTCTCGCTAGCTTCATGCATCCACATAATGGATCCAGTCCTAGGGCCGAGAATATGGGAGAGGAGGGAGCAAGGCGTAAGCTCCTTGGCTGGGACGGCTGTGCAAGTACCATGTCCGCATTGGGAGGGGGAGGGCAAAAGAGGAAGCAATATTTTGTGACCTCGTGGTCTTTCCTTTTTCGCAAAGTCGAAGCGCCATGGGAAGTTCCCCAGATTGCCTGAACGTGGGATCACGGGCCTAGGCCCAAGGGCGGAGAGGAAATAGAACCCACGAGGGTGGCGACTTCGCTTATTCTCGAGGACGAAACGGGTTGAAGTTTGGACAAGTGCAAAGTCTCACAAAAGAACAGGGAGCCGCTGAGGCGGGCACGTGAGAGATGCCAAGGGCTTGGCAGGGCTTGGCACCCGGCTTGGCAGTGAAGCTTCTGGTTGCTTACTAACACGTAGAAAATGGACATGCGCCGCCCGATGCTTCCCATCCTTCCCATCCAGTCCCCCCGCCATGCTGTAGTTCCTTCTAAATGATGCCATATACAATACATTATCCGTGACTTTGGGTATCAGTATTCCTTCGTGACTCGCTCCCCTGTCAACACAGCTTTATGCGCTGAAGTTGACGGCTCGCTTGCTCGGAGCAGCACCACATGATGGCGTCGCGCTGGCCGTGAGGGGAAGGCCAGCGAGACTGTTGAAACTGTCCGAGACGGTCGCTCCGTTGCAGCTTGCGCTCACGTCGTACTTGGTAAAGTTCGCGCCCGCGGCCGGCACTCCGAAAGTGGCCGAATAGAAAGTGTAGTACTGGCCGGCGCACACACTCGTCATGGGCGTGGGGACACTGCTGACCGTGGGCAGATTGTTATATGTGATGGGGTTGATGAGGTCGACAGAGAGGGTGACTGGGCCGTAGGTCTCGCTGTTGCGGGCCGCAGCGAAAACTGTCAACTGCTGGTTCCCGGAGCCGTCTGTCGCGGCGAGAGACGAGTACGAGGTTTGTGTGAAGATCGCATCCGAGATCGGGTAGCCCTGTCCGTTGTTATCGAAAGTCTGGGTGGAGCCGCTGGTAAGGGTGACAATAACAGTGAAAGATGATATCGAGGTCAAGGCTGGGATCGTGCCTTCGAAGCCGTAGAACTGGGAGACATGTCAGTATTGCCAGTGTCAAAGAGCAGCAGACTAAACATACCGTGAACGTATCATCGAAACCGTTGGCATCGCCCAGAACAGAAGCGGCGATGGTGTACGCATCACTCGCCGCTCCAGTGCGGTCCTTGTAGACAACCTGAACACTGGAAATGGAGGATGACGGCAAGCTGTTGGTGTGAATGCGAAGCTCTCCGGTGAACTGGAGGGTTTGTCCATCGGCCGCCACGTTGAGCTGAAGATTTGAAGGCTTCAGCTCGTAGGGAGCAATGACATCAGACAACTGCACACCATTTGGGACGGTGTTGACCATTTTGGCAAGAATTCCAGAGCAGGTGTTCGCGTAAGCGTTGGGATCGGCCAAGGCGGACACGGTCCGGCGGTTGTTCAGCCCGAAGATACGTCCATCAGAGTATGCGGCGGGATTGGCACCAACGACGAGAGGGTTCTGGGTCGTGCCGTCGAGATATTCGGTGACAACGGCGTTGTCGAAAGTGGCGTTGGTGGAGTCCAAGTCCTGGACACCCAGCGGCGTGGTGTATGGTGGGACAATGTCAGGGTGCTCGGCAGAATGGACACCGCCAATGCTGTGACCACACGCAACCATTGCGATCATCTCCTCGGGGCTGAAGCCCATGCGTCGGAATTCCCCAATCATCTGCGGGATGGGGTCGGTGGGCTGAGGGACACCAACGGGACCAGGACCCGTCGCGTCAACACGTCCAGCCCGCACGGGCACGATCGGACCACCGCACGCCCTCACCGCCTGGTAGAGCCCGACGTTGACCAGATCCGCCATAGGCGCGCGGCCGTTGAAGAATTGGGAATAGAAGTGCATCGTATTGTTGAAAGCAATGCCAGTGTTGGTGGGGTAGATACTCGAGTCCAATTCAAACCCGATCGAGGCATCGACACCTCCCACGCCCGTGTACGCGTTATGAGGTGCCATGTCGTGGAAGGCTGTCCGAATGAGCCCCGCGGCAATTGAGTGGCCTGGTTCCTTGACAATAGTACACGGTTGCAGGAGTATAGGGAATTCTCGGGCGTTGTAGCCGTTGTTGAGAAACATGATGTCTTCGATCTCGTCGTAGGCAGATGGCCAAGTTAGGTCTGCCAAGATCCCTCGAATGGAGGACGCCAGGCCCAGTGCCAGAACTCCTATGTTGTTGGTCCTTCGCATGTTTGCAGGAAAGGTGTTTTGCTGTATTCTTCTGTGTTGGTGCGGTCTAGGGGAAGGAAGTGGAGTGTGTGAATGGAAAAAAAGAGAAGGAGACAAACATGGTAAAGATGGGGTACAATAATATATCTACGGAGTAGTCATAGGGCAGGTCCATGAGCCCCCCGGTGTCTGATTCAGTCAACATAATCAAGAAGGCTGTGGGGTTGAGAATAGATTTGAAACGGTCGTTAGCGGTGGAAAGACGTTTGGTGGCGGCTGGTGTTCGTATAGCTTAATTTGGGAGATAATATTATCAGACGAATACCTTGGCTCAGGCCTGATTCCTCGGTTCGAGCCAGTCTGCATCTCATGGACTCCCATGTGGCACAAAGTTCTCCGCATTGGGAAATGTCTCATGTGGGTTACATGGGTGAGTACTCCGACCATCCACCGGGGTTGTATCTGCAATTGCCTCTGTGAGACATGGTGCGTCCGTCTGACTGGTGCATTTAGACAAGAGATCCAAATATGTAGTGGACCAGGTGCCAGCTGAAGCGAGGGTGCGGGGGCCTTGACCTTGTCCACAGTCGGATTTAGCAAGCCGAGCAAATGACTGTCATCGGAGCATCGGTACTTAACAAAAGCGCAGAGATCCTTGCTAGACTGGCACGCATGAGGCTCCGCCGACAGCGAAAAGGACATAGTGTACTCGGTAGACGGAGGCCTCTCTACCTCAAAAAGAAACTTCGGCAAGGCTAGAGCGTATCTGACAGACAGACACAAGAGTCCGAGATCTCACAAGGCTCCACTCGTAGTTCCATGGCGTATCATGTTTAGGAACCTGCGGCCCGGGAGCTGGAAGTAGAGTCGCGTATCTTGCTCTGCACCCTAGCGCAACCTGCTCAGGCTCTCTCAAGTCGGGGAGTCGGGCAGTGTAAGGTAAGCTGACGGCTGAAACAAATGCCCGCCACAGCACGATGCATGATCCCTCAACGGTTTCGTGAACGGCAGCTGGTTCTCGAGAGAACTTTTGATCTTGTTGCTGCTGCCAAGTTGCAGCCCATGTTTGTCTTCCCTTGATGATAGGCGATGAATGCTGAATGTGTTATTAGGTGGTGATTCGAGGGAAGAAGTGGTAGAAAGAAGGTGATGGACGGAATAGGGTTAGGGGCAGTGCCGATGTGAGCTTTCCTTCTTCTGTACTAGTGCTCAAAATGTACTAGCTTCTTTTGTACTAGACGCAGTATCAAAATAACCACTCTAAACGTTGGCATTTTCATGCTATGTTATCCTCGACTCCCATCTAGAATAGGCAGCATCGTTGTTAGCAGGCTTCAGTATCATTGTCTGCAGACGGATGTGATATAGACTACACATACTGACGCTTCGGGGTGTCTCAGTACAGCGCCACGCGTTCTGGGCGAGTTCATGATCGGAACAGATGGACCAAAGCCAGGACATCGAAGGTCGCCCCGTTGCAACCGCAGATACAGACACTCGAAACCCAAAACGGCGGAAAATATCAAATCCACCGTCCGAACCTCGGAATAATGCTCACGCTCGACGGCACACCAACAGGGTGGAAAAGACCTCGAGAGGCAAACGCCCTAGTCCACGTCCACCACGAGATCTCCGTGGATCGACCGGTCAGGCGAAGCCTGACTCTGGCCTCTCGACCCCCCAAGGAACATCGAAAAGGGAACCCAAATTCTCTTTGCCCTTCGCGAAATCGGTCCTCGACAAGATCTGGATCCGCAACAAGAATCAACACCGGACACAGCCGTGGTGGAAAAGTCTGTCGATGTTGAGGAAAGCCGTCTCCCGCCTCGTTACCATCGAGCAGGAGGAACGGTCTCTGCGGGACCGTCCGCTTGGGTATGGCGGCGCCACCGCTATGGACGCCAAAGCCGTGAGAGCGAGGTTCGAGCGTGAAGCACAACTTCGCGGAGAAAAGGAGATCTGGATCGACTGGATCCGTCAGGTCTTGATTCCCAAGGCTTACCTGGGTTTTTCGGGCCTGGTGAGTGATACCCAATTTGCACACCTGGGGCTGGTGTTGGTGGGGCTCCTTGCCGACGTGGTCGGTAGTGTGGGTTTACCGACTCCAAGCGAGCGGCAAGAGGGAGTTGAGCAGGCCCTGCGGCGGACAGGGACTATTACGGCAACAACAGGAAGAAGGGACCCATCCGGGACCCTCGAGACGGCAACTTCAGAGGCAATGGCACGGAGTCTGACGGCCAAGAGTATCAGGGTGACGGGCTTGCAGAGCGGTGAGGTCGTGGAGAGAACCTACGACAGTGATGACCTGGGAGAGGTTGTCGAGAGAAAGCGGAGTGGTCCCAAGCAGGAACAGGAACAGGAACAGGAACAGGATCGGGAACCGAGCCAAGCTCCCACGCGTCCGCGGTCTGGTCGAGGTGCAGACCGAAATTTAGCTGTTCTCGGGAAGGAAGATCAAGATCAAGCACTAATGGTGACCGGTCTTGCGGACGAAGATGCGCCAGAGACCAACCCGTCCTCGACGGCCGAGAGATCTCGCACAGCGCCCTCGCCCTCACCAACAGCAACAGCAGCAGCAGCAGCTTCACTCGCCACCTCCTTCTCTCCAAGAGATTCCGTCGCCATCGCCGCTCAGACATCTCAAGACGACGACGACGGTGGTTGTGGTGCTCTTCCGCCTCCTGGCCCTCCTCCTCCTCCTCGTCGTCAGCATCCTCATGCTTTGCCGCCCGGTCTTGCCGCGACAGGAACAACAACCACAACAACAACAACCACCAGCATCGTCCCGAACGACAAACAAGTGCAGACCACACCCACAGCCACAACCACCATTGCGGGAGCGGGAGACGGGGCCGGGAAACAGGTGCAGGCGAGGAGCAAAAGCAACCCTGAACACAACAACAGCAGCAGCCGCAGCAGCATCACCGCCACAACCACCACCAAGGGCAAAGACAAGGGCAAAGGCAAAGGGAAGAGGAAGGGGAAGAATGCTATCGACGACCTGTTCGCTGGCTTTACGTGACGTGACGTGACGTGATGTGACGTGACGGGAGAAGAAAGATAGGTTTACGCCCAACCCTCACTGTCGCTGTTTCGAGTTTCCGTATAACATAAATATATATATATATATATATTCACACATACACACACCACCCTTGTATGTAATCGCCCACCACCCAATGCACGACACCCAGAAGCTCAATGCACATCAGGAGTACGACTCTCCGAAGAAAAGGAATTTAGTACAATATGTTTTTTTCATCTGCACTGCTATAGCTAAGCTATAGATTTCTCTCATTCACGCATGGGGGAAAAAGGCCCCCCATTCTCTATCCGTCTCACGGGCAAATCTTTCAATGGGACAAGGGGGAACATAAAAGTCCTCCGGGGGTATCATGGTTTCCTGCTTGCTTTTCCGACCCCCAGCATGAGAGATTCACTTTCAGCCCATTGTGTTGCCATGCCCCTCCATCAAACAATTGAACGCCGTGCGGTGACCGGCAGACACCAGTGCTGCTGCTGCTGCTGCTGCTCCCTGTGATCATCACGTAACTGTGCCTGCCTTGAATCGAGCCTGCCGCGCCATTCGCTATGCAAATGCAAGAACGTATCTTTCGTCTTCATCCTCGTCATCGCCACCGTCAGTTCCACTGTGGATGGTGGTAATGCTTCACACCACTGGCCTGGAACCGACAATAATCAGCAAGGGTGCGCTGCTTCCCGTCGCCTAGGTATGCCATCATCACCATATCCCAAACTTCGTCGTTCCTAGCGACGATAGGGATCTTGTCCACCATAGCCACCTCGGTCTTTATTATCCCGCTCTCGGTAGTCTCTTCCCATATCGCGGTCTCTATCTCTCCTATCCCGGTGCCACTCCCGCCCTGGACTTCGACTCCTTGGCCTTCGCTCTCGCTCGCGATCCCTGTCCAGTGCTTCTCTGCCGCCAGGTTCGTCATAGCGTAATGGTTCGCCATAGTCAGGCAGTCTATCCCTGTACGGCGGCTGATCGTCCCTGCGTCGATGCTTAGGCGGGGGAGCATGAGGATCGGCGTGCGAGTATGAGGGGATGTATGTGTCACGGTTGCTGCCACCGGCAGGACCACCGGCGCCGCCACCCGCAGTTGGCGGTGCTCGAGATCTTGGTGGAGGTGGGCCACGCCCGTCGTCGCGAAAGGGTGGAACATCTGGCGGACCGTAGCGATACGGGTCGACATCTGGAGGTGGTAAACGCGGCGGCGGCGGTGGAAGGTCACCAGGGGGCCGTCTCGGGTAGGAGTCGTCATATGGCGGACGATGACCTTGGTCGTATGGGGGCAGGTCTCGGTGAGGTGGGTAAGGATTGGCGCCTCGATAGTCACCTCCACCGCCGCCGTACGCACCATTCTGAGGTGGACCTGGTGGTCGTCTATTAAAGGGGTGGTTGTTGTGGTGGCCATTTGCGTACGGTGGTGGTCTGCCACCAGGTACACGAGGACCAGGATGAGGCCCGCCGCCGCGCATTCCTTCGTGTGGTGGAAGTGGCCTCCCGCTGATACCCCATTCTCCCTGGGGCCCGATTCCGACAGAGCCACCAGCTGGAGCAGGCGGTCGTTTGGTTCTCTGATCCCGGAACTTCTTTCGATCCAGTTCGTGCGACTCTTCAAAAGAGGGCAGCTCTTCAGGTCTCGCTGGGTAGGGTGCAGAATGAAAATAAGGATGTTTGAGGGCGTCGATGGCGTTGATCCTTTTGCGCCAGTCCAGCTTCAACAGCTCACTCAGCAGTGAGAGTGCCAACGGCTCGAGGTCGCGGAATTGACGGTTGAGCGTCGAAGGCATTTTTTCAAACTCCAGGATCGCCTCGGCGCCAGGAAGCTCTCGCCAACCAGGCATGTTCTCTTCTGTCGGGGATCCCAGCAGCTCAAAGATCAACCTGGCCTGGTTCAGGTCACTGTCTCCCGTCAAAATGGGCTTGTGCTTGAACATTTCGCCAAAGACACAACCAACTCCCCACATGTCGATCGCGGTGGTGTACTTGCGCAGCTGGAGCAGCAGTTCTGGGGGCCGATACCATCGTGTCACAACCAAAGTGGTGTATTCCCTGGTGGCTTCTCCGCCGCCGTGACCCGGTCTAGGAGGCTCATCGTCGTAAGGGCGCGCCAGTCCAAAATCTGCAATCTGGAGGATGCCTCGGTTGTTGATGAGCAAGTTGGCAGTCTTCATGTCTCGGTGTAGGATTCTGTTCTCGTGGAGATATGCGCAGCCTTCGAGGAGTTGTTTCATGTAGCACTTGATCTGTGGCGTAGTGAAATTGACGTCGGGGTTTTCCAGGAGGCCCGAAAGATCGTGGTCCATGTACGGTGTCACCATGAACATGCTCGTTCTCTTGCTCGCATTCTTCGGCCGCTCGACCGCCATCTCGGCCAGCTTCAAGACATTGATGTGGTCGAGCTGCTTCAGCAACTTGATCTCCCGCAGTGCGGTGATGGGAAAGCCATCCTTCTCGTTGTGCATCAGAATCTTTTTCAGCGCCACTACCTGACCAGTCCGCTTCGATCTGGCCTTGGACACTTCGCCAAAAGTGCCCTCGCCGAGTTTGCCCAGGTATTCATATTCTGTGATTCTTGAGCAGCCGTGAAACCGGGGCCGGCCATCTTCAAGGAATTCGAGGCTTTTTCGTGGATGTTTTGAATCCGAGGACATGGCGAGCACGGGTCCCACGACCGAGGGCAATCGTCTGTCACCGGATCCTGCTGGCGCGGCGCACTACTGGAGGAGCCCAATGTGCAACAGCCTCAGCCCACTGTTGCAACCGTGGTGTGATGGATGATGTCCACGCGAAAGTGTGGGCGCTTCTTCTGCCGTGGATTTGATGGAGGCTGGAATTCGCTATCGACAAGGCCGAGGCCAGAAAGGATGAAGTAATTCCGTCATCTAGTCGCAGAGACACCAGATAGGGACGAGTTGTCTAGCGCGAAACCACGCAGGATTGCAGGATCGGAATTCAAAGGGTGCGGAGTGATGATTCACTGGTGAAGTGGGAGTGAATGGGAAGGGACATGCGCAGGTTGAAGCCCAACTCAAGGCAGGACGCAACGCCGGTTGAGGTGGAACGGTATCGATCGACGAAAATAACGATCTCTGCAAAGACACGATCTGTCACAGCCGGCTAAGATGAAGAGGATTTGGCTTTGCGATTGTTGCGATTGTTGCGGTTGATGCGGTGCCGGGGCATGGTTATTGGGCGGCAACGAAGACCCTGCAGATGTCCAAGCAGCATGTAACTGCCATGATCGTCGCTTGTCCCCAGATTGATTGTCGTGGACTCGGCATCGCGTGCGGCGTCATGCCGGTTCGCGGAAAAACACTTGTTCCGGGGACGCTCTTCAGACAGTCTATACCCTCACCAGGTCACCATGCCAGAAGCATCCTAGTTATGGCCGTTTGAGTTTGTTTGGGTTTGATGGCAGACACTAAAACATGCAGAACTGTTGCAGACTGACAATGCTGTGCGAACAGGTCACAATCACAGAGCAAGGCCAGACTGGTGCTCAAGTGAGGCGCGTGGGAGGCCTTAACAAACTACTCCGTGCAATAGTATACATGTATATACCGTCCTGCACACTCTGTCTCTTTGTTCTCATTGTCAGACTATTCAATAGACTGTAGGTGTATTTGGCACGGCTCATCACGATTGATCACTATTGCAAACTTAACCTCGCTTGCTCGTTCGCACACACTCATCCCCGCCATGGTTGAAGGAAGTTGTCTTTGCGGCAGTGTGAGGTTCACTCTCGACATTGATCCTGGGGCTGCGGAAACAGTAAGGCGTCCCAATTCCCCCGACTGCGTGTATGGAAGAGATGTTCACGCAAGAAAAACCAGCAAACAAAAGCATGCCACTGCCGCCCTTGCCGCAAAATCACGGGGGCATTCACCTCTCTCAACTTGACCGTTCCCTCGAAAGCATTCGCCCTCACAAACGGCAGCTTGAAGACGGTCAAGACAACTCACGCCGATGAAGGATTCGAATTTGCCTTGGCCTTCTGTCCGGACTGTGGGAGTCCCATCTACGCCGTACCGTACTGGGCAGGGCCGCAAGATATTCTCGTGATCCAGGTGGGCACGCTCGACGATGCCGACGTGCTGGAGAAAGTGCCGGCTGTGGAGATGAATGTGAAGCATCGACTCGGGTGGGTTAAGGATGTTGAGGGGGCTGAACAGAAGGAAAAATATGTATGATTTTGTCTTCCTTTTGAGTACTCGTTGGATAGCCATTCATGCGTTCCCGTGACGTTGTGTCCGCCGCTGCGTCGGGGCTAGTCTTCCGTCAGATCACCGTACTCCCACATCCCCCTTCGTTCCTTCTTCGCTTCCTCCTGGAGCTCTCGGAACTTGGCCAACGTGTCTACGGATTGCCTTTCCCATGCCTTCAACTTGACGGGAACCATGGCCAGACCTTCTCGGATGACTTCGGCATTGATGCTTTCGTCGATTTTGTTGGACGCCTTCGGGTCCAGCAGAGAAATATGTAACGTCCCTTCCGGAGAAATGTAGTCCACATTCGCCACCAGCTCTCGGCCGTCTGTCTGCTCCGCAATGAAGTCGACGCTATCTCGAAGATACTGCTCGGAGGTTGGCAGTTGGAGGAAGGACAGGACGGCATCGGTCGCCTGCGGCTTGAGCTTCTGGGTGGAGAATTGTGGTTGAGTCAAAGGCCTTAATCGAGTCCACGGGAGGGTCTCCGAGTTGCCATAGTCCAGGTAAACCAGATCCACCTTCTTCCCGTCACGGTCAACTCTCCTCACTCTCGCTCGGTACCACTGATCGTCCGCGGTGAACTTGGCCGCAACGATATCTCCGACTTTAGGTGGTCCAGGCAGTGGCTGGTCGTTGGCCTTGTTCAAATGGAAGGATTTGAAGGCGTTCATGAGCTCTGTCAGGCTTGCAGTTCCAGCACCGATTTGTTGGACCTTGAGTTTTCCCGTCTCGTCGACGTGTGTCACCATGACATCGCGATAGTCCTTTCTTCGCGAAGTCGGCTGAGCTCCCTCTCCATTTGTGCCATTGGCACCTTCGGCAGCGGGTGTGGCCTCGTCTTCGTCGGCGTCCTTGCTCGGGTCCCAATCGTGCCACATGCCCTTTCGAGCCTCCTTTGCCTTTTTCTCGGCCGCGAACAGCTCATTTGCGTGACCACTTTTCTCGGCCGAGTATGCATGAACCTCTGCAAGGCCTTCCTCCAACAGAGCTCGCGCGAAATTTTCCCGCCCCACGTACATGGTGCCAATAAACCCGCCGACCTTGTCGGTATCCTCCACGTCGATCTCCACATCACGCTGCATACATCTTCTGTTGGCAAAGTCATAGGCTTCCTGTCCAAACGGCTCGGCGGTGTCCCCCGGCTGCCGAGCAGGCTTGGGCGTTCGGATGCCGGAAAGGACAAAAGTCAATTTGGCGTTCTCGCGGGGAACGAGAACCACGAATCTCGAACCCGTCCTGACAAAGTCAACCACAGCTGGAACCTTTTTCTGTCTTTGCAGTACGGAGGCTTCCATTTTGGCTTTCTGCAGACTTTCTGAGTAATCTTGGTACTGTTTTGCTGCAGGAGGTTTGTCGGACCACATGCCCTTGCCATCCTTTTGGGCTGATTCCTCAGCGAGGAGCAATGCATCGTAGTCCGGCGAGCGGTCGTCGTCGTCTCGCCGATGTCGGATGACTGACGCATACCCAGCTTCCACCAAGGCCAAAGCAACATTCTTGCCGCCGACTGTCACGGTGGCCACTTCACGTTCTTCAAAGCCTTCCGAAGCCGGCTTCTTGCCATCAATGCTCACCTTGACGTGCTTTCCGATCAGTCGCTTTCTCAAGAACTCCTTTGCCTCGGCGCCGAAAGGGGATTGCTTTGGGTCTGAGGGCTTGGGTTGGCGGATGCTGGACAGGGTCACTTTGCGTTCGTCGCCAGCCCGGGTTCGAAGGAAGATCGTCTCAGCATTCAAGATCCTGGAGACTGTGAAGTCGGCCTCCTGCAGCCCGGCAGCTTTCGACGATGCGACACCGGTGAAGACGCCCTTTCTGGCATTCTTTGCGGCGTTCTCGGCGTTTCTAAACTGGGCCATCTGATTGCCCAGCAAGGTGACGTGCTGGTCATTCGAGCGAGCCAGTCCCGCCTCAAGCAGGAACATGGCGATATTTCCTTTGGGGTGCAGGACATTTGCGATGAGTTGATTTTGCGGCGTCACGCCCAGAAGCTCGACGGCGCATTTTCGCTGGTGTAACCTCTCGTCCACAAAGGAGTGTGCCTCGGTGCCGTAAGGCTCAGCCGGGACATCTTTCCCCTCCGGTGTAGTTCTCTTGGTCGCCGGAGCTCGGACGCCGGCCAGGACAAGCATGGTCTGAATGTGCTTGGTAGGAGTGAGCATGAGACGAGCAATCAAGCGGTCTCCTGTTAGAACTCTCTCAATGATAGCTTCGATCTTCTTGCCCTTGTACTGTTCGACCAAGGCATTTGGGTCGGAGACCTCGGACGAGTTCTCGATCTGACCGCCCTTGGCCCACAGACCCTTGCCCTGAGATTTGGCATCAGTCTCCAACGACCTCAGCTTGTCGAGGTATGCCAATGCATCTTCGTCGTCCTCTTTCTTCCCAGCATCGTCCCGCACTTTAGCCCAGCCCTCCTGGACGAGAAGATCGGGCAATTCGGCACCGTTGGGAAGTCTGACTCGGCCGTATTCGCGCTTCGTGGAGGGAACAGCATAGAGGACCTGGAACTGAATGACTTTGCCGAGGACCAGCTCGCGGACGAACTCGCGGGCTTGAAAGGCAAAGGGCTGGACAGGTTAGCTAGGACCGGTCATGTGGTCTCGTGAGGGATGTACCACCGACCTCGTCACCTTCTCTTTTCAACCTGGGGGCACTGATGTAGGCCAGAGACAAGGTTCGTTCGGCGCCCTTTGCATTGGTGATGATCAAGGTATCGCCTGACAGGATGCTTTTGACGCGAGCTTGGAGGAGAGCCATTGCGAGAGCGGAGTGAAAGCGGACAGGAAATTGTCGACCGGAGCAAGGAGACGGTGAAATGTAGGAGAGGCACGCTATGCACAGAAAGAGTCAATGCAAGTGAACCAAGAGTGTCAAGTTGCTTCCGAGCTCAAGAGGCGGTGGACGGCGAGAAGGAGGAGGGGGAGGAGGAGGGGGGGGGATTTCAACGGTTGTCTGGTGACGAGGCAGCACTTTTTGTGGACAGTTTTCGATTTATTTAATTACCAGCGCATTTGCTTTGGCTTGCTGTAATTTGTGGGGTAGAATAATAATAATATTAACACAGTATCTCGTGCCCACCTGGTGCCAGCCCAGGGCCCAGAGCCGCTGAACCAATGCTGCCAGAGAGCGAGGCAGCACGGGCGGTCATGCCTATTCAAGCCTAGGGGAGCCAAGTGAGCCAGCAGTGTCAGTCCAGCGTACCGGTGTGCGGCCTTGCGCTCGTTAATACTGTATAATTGTAGGCATTTGACGTCACCGCCACTGCCGCCCATGGGCCCCGAGGGGCACCAAAAGGGGGAAGTTCTGGAGCTACAACTTCGTTAGGGGAGCCTAGATTCAGGGACCTGTCCACACAAGTCCTTGACATATTTTGACCCCGATGCACTGGACGGCTCGACGGCTGGTGGACGGAGATGGCCGTACCGAGTATAGAGAAAGCCACAGCAGCACGGTAGATGAGGCCCGTCCCAGCAGCCGCTCCTTCCTGTTTGAGGTTCTTATCTCTTTCGTTGCGGGGTATTTGAGAGTCTGTCAGTGAGTGAGTGAGTGTCTTGCCGATGGATGGAGGATGGAGGATGGATGGATTCATGAGGGCAAAGGAGCCAATGCTATATCTATCCAATGCATCTCCTTTTCAGACCAGTCTTTCCTGACTCTACAGCTTCATCTCTGCTCATACACGTACCATCGAACTCGATTACTCCCCGTCCCGTCGTCATCGCTGTGCTGGAGGGATCTCTATCGTCGGCAGCCCCTTTTCAACTCCAGCCTCGTGCCGTCTACCCACACCCCACCCAACCACAACCACCATGAACAATACAGACCCAAATCACCGCAAGGGCGTCATCGGCAATCCAAATGCAACCTTCTGGCTCTATGACTCCCAGACCGGCTTCGATCTCACGCACCCCCGGACGCCCACTGCTCCCACGCCCACACCCAACTACACCGTCAAGACAAACACCCTCCCCATCACAATCCATCCACCGAAATCAGCTCTCGTGATCATCGATATGCAGAACTTCTTTCTCTCCCCCAATCTGGGGCGGCCAAAGGATTCCAAGGGACTCATTGCTCAACAGCAGCTTCTCAAGTATGCCATCCCCGCGGCGCGAAAAGCGGGCATCCGCATCATCTGGTTGAACTGGGGCTTGACCGACCAAGACATCGCGGAGATGCCGCCGGGCACGCTCCGCGCATTCGGATTCGAAACGGTTCTCGCCTCAGAATTCGAATCCTACGACAAGGTCGAGAAGAAGCAGGCCGCGGTGGACTCCCACGGCGTCAACGAGGGATGCCACGAATTCCCCGACCCCCAGATCGAAACCTCGGGCAAAAATCCCCGGATCTACAAAGGACTGGGCATGGAAGTTGGCCCGGTGTCTCTCGATGACGGGAGCACGATCCAGGGCGGGCGACTTCTGATGCGTGATACGTGGAATGCTGACTTGACTCCGGAGCTGAAGCAGACGTACGAAACAGACGGCAAGACGGCCAACCCGCCAGACGTATGGATCCATAAGAACCGCATGTCCGGGCTCTGGGGTCAAAGTACCCTGTGCACCGAGTTCCTGGAGAAAGAGGGCATCAAGACGTTATTCTTCACTGGAGTAAACACGGATCAGTGTGTCGGCGGAAGTCTTCAGGATGTAAGTTCCCGTGGCAGTACCGTTCCCTTCCCTGCCCTTCCTTCTCTGTCCCAGCGAGATCGATCATGGCTGATTCTGGACGTTGTTCGTGCGGCGCAGGCATTTTCAAAAGGCTACGACGTGGTTTTGCTCTCTGATGGTGCGGGCACGACAAGTCCCTCGAGCAGCCAGGACAGCATCGAATTCAACTGCGCCAAAACTTGGGGCTTCTGTACCACCTGCAAGGACTTCGCGGAGGGACTGGGCTTGTAAAGACTGAGTGAGAAACAGAGGAACTAAAGAAGTGGTGGTGTAGGCAATGCTGAATTGACGATCGACTGTCTTTTGGATGGAGTGCTCCGTGTCCCTCCACCTGGCCAACCCTGCCATACGGTCCATCCGTCGATGTCGTGCTGGCAAAATGCCCCTGTCTATCTAAGATCCTCCACCAGGCCGACCATGCAGTTGCTGTGCCATCCACAGATGTAGCTGTTGTGATCAAGAACCCCCAAAATCCTCCACCTGGCCGTGCATGCCATGACTGTCACATCCCGTAGATGCCTCACTTGTGAACAACCCCCGAGATCCTCCACCTGGCCGTTTTGCCAATGACCCAACCACACCAACCCCCCACGAACCCGACAAGGACCTCTCAACGTCAATGCCCACCCCTGCCGCGTCCACGACCGCGTCCTTGCACACCTGCACGCAATGCGGCAGGCCCACTCGGAGGCGTCGCATCGGCCCAACGACTGTCCGTCAGCTGACGGCCAGGCGTGGGAGCGGACGGGGCAGGTGCAGGCGTCGACGGCGCCGGAGTCGCAGCATCTGGCTCCTCAGACGTCGGAGCCGGCGCAGGAGTCGTGTCTCCCACCACTGGTGGAGAGACGGGGACCTGGCCGAGCCCCTCGATCTGCGCCTTGAGCTCGATGATGTGGCGGGTGTGCTGATGAAGCCGCTTGTTCAGCTTCACCATCATCTCCTCCCTCCGACGCGAGAGGTCCTTGTCGAAAAAGGTAGCTGCACGCAGCTCCTTGTTCGCCTCCTCCAGCTGTTTCGTCAGCCGGTCCCTGGTGCTGGCCAGCGCGCTCGCATGTTCTGCGGCCGCCTTCCTCTCCGCCTCCCTCTCCTCCTCCACTCGGGCCGTTGCGCCCTCCTCCTCTTTCAGCTCGTTCTCCTTCTGTCGGAGAACCTCCCGCAGCTCCTCGATCTCGGAGCCTTGCCCTACCATGAGGGCTTCTTGCTCCTTGATCGTGGAGTCTTGCTCCACCATGAGGGCCACCTGCTCCTCGATCTCCTCCTCCTTCTTCGCCAGGGCAGATCGCTGCTCCTTGATCAAGGAGCTTTTCTCGGCCAGCTTGGCCGCTTGCTCCGTAACCACCGCGGTTTGCTGAGCCATGGCGGCTCGCAGCTCCGCGATGGTGGAGTCTTTCTCAGCCATCTTGGCTGCTTGCTCCGAAACCAGCTCCATTTGTTGAGCCATGGTGGTTTCTTGCTCCTTGATCAAGGAGGATTTCTTTTCGAGCATCGCCTTCTGTTTCTCGACGAGCTCATGCATCTGCCCCATGGCCTTGCTGTCCTCGGCCAGTTGGGCCGAGCACTTGGCCAGCTGCTCTTCAACCATTTCTGTGCCGCGGAGGCGGTCCTCCAGGCCGGCAATGGTTGCTTCCTGTTCCTTGACCTTGTCGGCAAGGTCACGACTTTGACCATCGTGGTCGCAGTCCGCCTTGGCAAATGTGTGCCATATGGCGAGGACAGGGAAGACGAGACTGAGGAGGGCGAGCAGGGCGAAGAAGAGGACGGGGGTGGAGGGTGACTGCGGGTCCCCAGGTGTGGCGCCCGGGGAGAGAGAACCGGCCTCACTCATGCTGACCACGGCCGGGATTTCGATGCGAGGTTGTCGCTGAATCACCGGGCACGTTGGCCGCCATACGCCCTCGTCAATCGTCAGAGGGACGCATGTTTTGAGGAGGATGGGATCAACAAGGATCCCATGGTTGGCTGGTCCAGTTGTGATCTCAGGCACAACGAAGCGTTGTCCTTCGATCCAACTCTCGGACGCGAAGAGGGAGCCCCCAGAAAAGTCTCTGGCCTGGCGCGGGAAGTCTTCGGCTGGTGAGGCCTCGGGATATCTTGCGGTGGAAGACACCCACCATTCGAAGACGCCCACCTTGGCAAGGAGCACCATCCAGAAGACCTTGTCAGATGCCATTGCTGATTCTGGTATCTGTGCTGGGAGGAATATGATATATTTATTTTTCTGAGAGCAAGGTCAAGAGACTTGGTGAATCTTGAGCTTGCTGGTCGGGTATGAGGATGATGGAGAGAGCAGGCCGGGTGACGGAATTGTCTGAGAGGTTCTTTTGTTTGAAAGGGCTATGCTGGTGACAAACAACCAAGCAAGTCTCCTTTGTTGACCTGTGCAGGCAGGGTCCGGCAAACAAGGCGCTGCTTTAAATGCTGAAACAATGTGTCAGTAACTTTCTGGAGTTGGCAGAGTCTGGGTGTGGTACTTACGCTGGTGAGGTGTCGAGAAAAAGAGGAAGACTCTGATCGAGAATTAAGAGGAAGAGGCAACCAAGTCACTGATCCAAAGGCTGAAACAACGTGTTAGTGATTTCCTTGAGCTGACAGGGTTTGCACGTGAGGATGTACTTACACTGGTGAATTTGACTGAGAAAAGGAGAAAAGTCTGATCGGGAAAGAGAAGAAGACTCTGATCGAGAACAAGAGGAAGAGGCAATCAAGGCACTAATCCAAGAACTGGAACAGCGTGTGAGTAACTCCCTTGAGCTGGCAAGATCTAGGAGAAAGGATGTTACTTACAATGATGTTTCTGATCAAGATAAAGAGGAAGAAAGTTGAGAGGTTCGATGGTGTTGTAAAAGGGAGAAGCTCTGTTTTCACTCCTTGTCTGGGAAGTCTTTGTGCGAATGCGAATGAAAGCAGGACTCTGGCCACGCAGTGAACGGGATGGTGCCTGTTGATCTGGGACAAGGAGGACTTGAACAAAGAACACACTGTGGATGGATCTTGAAAGACTTGAAGAATGTGGAAAGGATGAAAGTGGGAAATCAGGGTGAGAGACGGGGTTTTGTAGAAGAGATCGTTGTGGATGTGAATGAATGTGAAAAGAATTTTCTGAAGGTGATGCAGATAAATAGTCGGAGCCTATTCGAAAAGTGATTGTTAAAATCATGCTGCCAGACCCAGATCGCCAAGGGAGTCTCTATATATTCCATATCAGTATGAAGCCGCCAAGAGATCGATATATTCAATACCAGCCAAGGCTGCCAACACAAGAGGGCAATACCAGATCGGGGCAACAAACCTCAAGGGCTCTTCAAGTGGCAAGAACATTTGCCAAGGCGTCAGGAGGGAAACTAGCAAAGGTCTGCAAAAGGAGGTTTGAATCGCAAGAATGGGGTATCATGTATTGGTACAGTGTCGCCCAACGGCACAGCCCTACTCTTCATCTCAAAGAGTGGCTTCCGCCTCCCCATGAACGCCGTAGCTGGTTCAAAATTGACCGAGGTATTCTCATGTACATGCTGGCACGGATATCTCCATCATACATCATTGTTGAGGCATCATCCCATCATTCATATTGTCGCTCAAGATAAAGTCGTTATAAGTGGGCTGCCCAAACGTCTCGGCCCAGTCCCATTCGAAAGTCATAGGCATCTGCCACAAGTCCTGAGGGACGAAAGGCTGTTGAAAAGATCCAACGTTGAGAGGCGACATGGTCGAGCTGGGCATATGCTGGCTGCTGAGGTCTGGGCTGAGGCCGGGCGCCGACATCATGTCAGCATAATCGTTGTCAAGTGCTGGCATGTTGAAGAACTGATTGTTAGGATTCAATTTGTTGCCCGCAGCATTGTTGGCAATGGGTGTCACTGGTGCGGTGGTTGTGGAAGTTAGTGGTACGTTGTTGCTCGTCGTGGTACGTGGCGAGGCTCCGGCGCCACTTGATCTCCTAGACCCAGCATTGCGCCCGTTGATCTGTGATTGTACCTGCGCCATGGCTGATTGATTGACGCGCATGACTTCTTCAGGAACAAGCCTGCGTTTCCGTTTTGAGCCTTCTTTCTCAGCCTTTTCAATCACCACTCTGGCAATGCGTGCAAACTCCGAGCACACAGTGAGCATTCGATTCAACGATCCAGTGCCTTCATCGTGCGCAACGTTCGAAAGAAAATTGACAACGAGGTCCATCAGCTTAATGTCGGCACGCGCACGGGTGTCTTGAGGATTCTGGAGGATGTTGGCAAAAAGAGTGACAAGTGCTGAAACGGGGAAGTATAGGATCAGCCAGACACAAGCAAAGTCACCTTGCGGGATGTATTTGATGAGGTGGATCGAGGCCCGCGCAGCTGAAACGCAGAGTGCCGCAGAGGAGAAGACTCTCGGATTGAGGGGCCGTGCGTTGAGGCCTTGGATGGCGTATTCCGACAGCCGGCTTGTCCAATATCCGTGGTGGACGGACATCCGGTGGATTGTCGTCAAGCAGTTGTAGTATGAGAAATGAAGGACGACAATATGCAGAATGAGCGGGGTATGAGACGTCTTGATTTCGTGTTCAGGCCGGAAATCCAGAGGAATGCTGTCCTTCCAAGCTTCCAATTCTTTGTCGAGCTCGCCGATCGTGTTCAGAAGCTCTCCGTCGCTTTGCTTTGAAGCTCTCACAGAGTAGAGTTGACGATACACCTTGCTTGAAATAATGGCAAACTCACACATGAGGCGGAAGAGGTTGATCTTGCTCTTGCCGTCCGCCAATGGGACATTTCCAATGTTATCAGGGGGATCTTCAGAGGGGAGTTCGACATTCATGTCATCATCGTCCTGTGCAGGGGGTCTGCCAGCCCGAAGACAGGCGTCTTTGTCCAGCAAGTACCCGATCCAGAAGACTCGTTTGCGCTGTTCCACTTCGATAGGATTGAGGTTGAATGCGGATCCTCGCTTGTGGAGCCCTATTGTATGGGAACATCTGATGGCGGCGGCAATCAGAAAGAAGGATGGCTGAGGGTTTGGTGTGCCTTGCAGGAACAGAGCCATGCCCAGAAGAGCCTGGACGCTGAGAAGATCGGTGTTGCGCATGGTCAGTTCGGTGATGACACCCATGGCATTCTTCAGGTAGAGCCACGCCTTCTGGTCATCTTCTTGCGGAACGACATTACTCATGACTCTGATGCGATAAGCAATGGCGAGAGCGACGTTGATGCTCGCCCACCATCCGCTTCCTTCATACGGATCTTTGGAATATTGTTTCTCGACAAGGTGCATGAAAGTAGGTTCATGGAACAATGGGAACATGCAGTTGAAGTTCTCAAAGAAATCTTTGAACAAGGACAAAGCTTCTTCCTTTGGTGGCAGCGGCTTGAAGACCCGGCGGACGAAGATGTCTCCAAACACTTCAGGTTTCCAGTACTGCCACTTGGTATCGTCTTCGTTGACGGCATTCTGGATTGTTTCCTGGAAGGAAGTATCTCCCGTCTTCTCATTGACCCATTCGATACCTTTACTCGAGAAGATGGAGAAAGCCGACGACGATCCTAGCTACGGTTAGGGGAGACGGACGCGAAAGCAAGCTAGAGATTACATACCAATGTACCTGGTCTCCCCAACATTGTTGGTGACAAGTGAGCACATGGCCTCAGACAGGTTTTCTACATCCTCTCTGCCTGGTTTGTCGCCATCTGTACTCGGTGAAGTGACATTGTCTCTGGGAGTTTCAAGAGAGTCCCGTTGTGAGCCTGGTCTGGGGGAGTTTTCGGCAGCCGCGGAATTGGCGCCACTTCTCGCAGTCCCCGGAGAGTCTGTCCTCTGTGTTGGGAAGTCCCTTGAAGAGGCCTTCTCGGCAAGACGCTTCTCCAGGGTACCCAGATCTGTCTTTCCAGCTTCTTCCTCACTGAGGAGGCCAGACATTCGTAGGAGCGACTCCATGCGGCCCAGACGGTTTTCGAGGCCTTCGATATATTTAGCTCTATCACAGCTATCAGTCTCCCAGCTATCATGTCGCACAGGAACCAAATCACATACCCCTTTGGAGGGTTGCGCTTCTTCTCCACCTGCGTGAAGATACATTCCGTCTTGTAGTTTATACAGTGACCACATTTGGGCATCTTGCCGTCACACTTGATCTTTTTCTTTCTGCACATGTCGCAAGCCTGCAGTCACCGTCAGAAGGCACGTTCTTGTTTGGTATGCAGATATGGGGGGCGCACCCTTGCAATGCGCCGGCGTTTTGGATCATTCTCGTCGGCACCTCCATCATTGAAATCGCCAAAGTATGCACCTGGTGGCAGGGTCGGAGGTATGGGAGTACCGTCTGGGTTGTATGCCCCAAAGATCTGTGGTGGCTGCGGAGAAACGAATTGGGACATGTCATAACCCAAGCCGTCAATGCTGCCACGAGGATCCATGCTGACTTCCCGGAGCCGCCACCACCGCCGTAGTATCTGAAGGAGGGTTTTGTGAAGGCCGGGGAGGGACTCGTGGAACTACACAGAATGCAGGCAGGCGGTTGGGGGAGGAAACGGGAATCCGGATCGTTCAGCAAGCGTCAGCCCAAGGACTCATTGTGTACGCGAACTTCTTGAAACGGGGTCCTTCGCCACTGGGGCATGGGACTGGATCGAGTAACCAAGCTGAGGGTTGACTGGAAGGTCTGGAGAGGGAAGAGGATCTGCGTACGCCTAAACCTACACCCAAAATCGACTGGGGAAAAATGGAAAATGGAAAATGGGAAATGGGAAAGGAAGTACGTGGTACAAGGCGATTATTCAGGCAGAGAAAGAGGTTATAATTCAGGAATTTCAGGAAGGTCGAAAGTGTATCAAGTACTCGGTACTCACTTCCAACGAGGAGCATGATCCAGATACGATTTACGAGGGGAGGTTAGTGGGCAGGGATGCGGACCCATCGCGCCACTACCATAGCTGCCCAGAGGTCGCACACCAAGCCTAGTTCGTTAGTCGGTCGGCCGGCTATGACGATGGCGGGCAGCCCTGCGGGTTTCAGGGTGGTAAGTAAAATTCCCCCCTCCCCCCCCCTACGTGCCTGGGCGTGTTAGGGGCCCGTTGAACTAGATGGTGGGGGTTGCCCATGCTCGAAGAGGAGCATCATACCGAAGCCCCCAACTCTCAGGCTCCAGGCACCAGTATTTGCATTTCCAAGGCCCCCAAGTGTCTTGCCTCCATTCCCATTCGACAGGGACCTAGACCAGCGGCTACTTCCAGAGTGATTTACGATTCCATCCTTGATCATCTCTTCATTCTGTCAATACCATCTTGGGCTGGTGAGGCATCTCTAAGTTCCGGGGTTAAGGCATCTGGCCGGAGACTGCCATGACATCAAGGCTTTATTTCCTTTCTCATGCGGTCAGCCAGGACACTGTGGCTTATACCGCTTTTCCGCTTCGTCCATGGACTTCCCCCGGGATGTATCAGACTACGACATTTTGGTCTCAACTGAGAAACTCTCTAGCTCGCAACCCTCACCTCACATTTCCCAGAACGACAAATCAGTTTCATCAAGCTCGAATCAGTCTCCCGAATGGATGGACGAGGCTTCTTCCTTGTCATTGGCAGTTGTTTCCATGAACCGGGGGACCATGCCGGCCTTACCAGACGTCGGCCCCTCCTACGTATCTTCTTGCGTATTTGCACTCTCTTTTTCCTCCCTCTCTCGATCGACCCTCAGGTCACGCTCAAAAGCAGACAGACTCAACTCAGAAAATTTCCTTTCATCCGCTCCGCCCTCGAGCGTGCTCCGCCTCCGTCTCCGTACATAGATTCCTGCGGCCTCTCCTCCAATCGCAGCCAAACACCTGCAAAGCTTGACATGGCGCCGTTCTACCGTATTATCGGATTCGGTGTCGTTTCGCCCCGGCGGAGCCGATGAATGGTCCGAGTGGCCTCATGTCGCACTCGTCCTCTCGATTTCTCGGACGGATATTCTCGCAACAAGTTCTCGAAACCGGGCGTCGGCCCCAACTTTCTCGGCCGAATCTGCCGGGGTGGCTCCTCACGACAGCACATGGCAACCTCAGACAAGCCCCAACCCGCGTTTTCTCATCATCATAATGGTCTGTGGCAGTTCAGAAAAAGATGGCGGGCTGACTAAATCAATTAGTCTTCTCCGTGTTCTGGACAAGGTTGGGCATATGAGCCATTTTTCGTCTGAGCTTCCTTTGGTCGATCTCAAAGCATTCACAGCTCGGCAGTTATTTAGATCCCGGGGCGCAGAAAAGACCTCGCAGATTATCGCGTCTACAATCCGATCTAAACAGTCGTGTGACTGCACGGAGTCGGTACGATGTCGGTGCGTTCAAAAAGAGCGAAAGCGAGAATCTCGAACAAGAGGTACAAGAGGTATGTGGAAATGCTTGAGTATTGGTTCTATGGAGACAATTATGATTCGTGGTCGGCATGGGCCCTGGCATCTTCTCGGTGCCTTCAAGCATCCTCTGCCCTCCCTGCCGCCCATTCCTCATAGTCGTCGACGGTGTCCTGGCACAGGTCAATCATGTCCCAGCCATGGTCTTCTCTGATCGAGAGCCAATTGTCCCAGAGCCAATCCCTGCCTTCGTCTGTGGTACACCACCACACGTTTTTAGCCACAGAGGCATGAACAAATGTTCGCCGACGGTTGACGAAGATTCGCTTTGGCGTCTCGATCCTGGAAGGCTCGAGAGCCCTTCGCTGAAGTCGGTCCAGCTCGTTGAACATTCTTCTCCTGCAAGGGAGGCTGTCTTCTTCTCCCGGCATCGACCTGGACAGGAAATATTCATACTCGTCTTCGCTCGAGTCGTCCTCGGCTTCCTCTTCGTCGTCAATGCGTTCATCAGCGTCCGTCGGCTCTTCCTCCTCTTCTGATCCTCCACTGTCCCCTCGCCTGTGTCCTCCACCATAGCCGTTATCGCCATCTTCCCCGTCCCCATTTCCTTCACTGTCACTGTCCCCAGGTCCTCCACCATAGCCGTTGTCGCTATCCTCATCCCACTCCCACCAAGGTCTCTCTACCTCCTCTTCATCCACAGACCGCCCGCCCTCATGACCTTGAGTGACGTCCTCATCAAGAGGAGGGTAATGGCTTGCCATTTCTTCTTGGCCGAGGATGTGCTCATCAGCTGGAGTTCTTTGGCTTGTCATGCCGATTTCCTCTAGCAAATCCTGATGCATCTCATCTGCCCTATCCTGAGATTCCGTGCCGCTCTGGAGGACATTGCTATCCTGGAGTATCGGGACCCCAGGATTTACTGGAGCCGCCGAGTATACCAGGTCTGCAAAGGGGTTCACCGCCTGCTGTGACGAGGCTCCAAGAAGAGTATCCCGCTGCGAAGGCTCGCATCGGAAATACACAGAGCTCATTGGCAAGATCTTTCGGTCATAACCACTGTATCTCGTGGCCCGGTTGGCTATAGGTACGTTTGCGTACTCGCCTCCGGGAAGCAGGTCGTTGTCTCGTTCGTGCTTGACAGGCACCACTTTTGCGGCACGTTCCGCTTCGAGGTCCGCCTCTTGATGCATACCGAGACCAGGAACGAGAGGCTGGGAGGGATATTCTTCGTAAGGCAGGGGTTGGGATGTTGACTGAACAGCAGGTTCACTGCTTGCTGCCTGCGCGGTTCCAGATGTTTCTCCTCTGTTGAACTCTAGGAGGGCGGCTACATCTTCCGGTGCCATAAACTCTTGCTGCATCTCTGTAGGATGCATTTGAGATTCCCACGGACCAGATTGCTCCGGTGCTGCTGAGCCGTCCTGCTCACTGTACATGCCGGCCGGACGTGCGGGCTCATATCCGGGCAATACAACAGGAACCTGCTCTTGTGCCATGGTTGACTGCGCTGGCGAAGGGTAGCTCTGGAATATTTCTTGTGCAAAGGGAACTTGATGCGCCGGGCCGTCGTGTTCATATTCCATGCCCATCTGCTCTTGCTGCAACAAAGACAATTCACGTATTCTAGCCGACAAGAAGTCGTCTGTGTCCTGATCATGCGAACCAAGTTGCACAGGCTGGGACTCTGCTGCTGCTTCGGTCATCTCGGTGAGATCTAAGCCCACTTGGTCACCGGCAGCAGGAAATAAAGCCGCAGTACTTTCTGCGAGAGATTGCGCTTGGTCCTCAAGAGACATGGCGCTGAACGACTGCAAGGCCATCAAGAAGGCCGGATCAATTGCAGGTGTACCGGGGAACTGCTCTTGCTCTTGGACTTGATATCCAGCAGAGAAATCTTCTGCGGCAAAGTCGGACAGTTGTTGCTCACCAACGGATGCATGGGCCATCGGAATCGGTTGTTCGTTCGAGACTTGAACGCCAGTCGCTGCTTGCCCTCGCGCATCTACGATCATCGAATCTTGCAATGCCTCAGGCGCCTCCTCTGTGCGGAAATAGCACGTATGTTCGACCACCGATCCGTCAGCTTCGGTTGCGAAATTGACTCCAGGGCTGCGTCCAGCCCGACTCGTTCTTGGTTCTGCAGCTCGAGTCGGAGTCTGGCTCCGAAGTCTACCGGGACGACGCTCACCTGTGCTCTTGGACTTGTCAACAACTGGCTGCTTTGACGGAGTTGAGATCGGGGTGTCCGTATCGAACACGCCGCCAAAATCAGCGATGTCGATGCCAATGTCGTCGCCGGCGGCTCTGGATGCTTCGTCAGTCCAGCCGGCAAGAAACCCAGTCGGTTCCTGGAGGCTTTCCTCTGCAGCAAGCCTCATAGGCTCTTCTTCCTGCGTATTCGCTTCGAGGATGCCTGTTATTTGACCGGAGGTAATTGTAGTTTTGTTCTCATCCACATCATCCTCTACGGTCGGCTGCGGTGGATATTCTTCTGGCTCCCTCCCCAGATCCTGCGGCTGGTTACCCTCGTCCTTTTTGTCCTCCTCTGTGAGAGTCAATGAGGCGAGTTCACAGGCAGGAGATGCAACCGACTCAGAAACCGTCATGATGCTCTCCCCTTCTGGGAAAGTGGGTTCGGAATCATACACGTCGGGCAGCTCTTGCTCATGCCGTGTTAGGGGAATGGTATTGGAGTCGGACTGAAGAGGATACTTGATCTCAACCGACAGGTCGCCATCATGAACCTCAGCTGGCGGCAATTCTGGCACCTCGAGGTCATCTTCATTCGAAGCGGTTGCCGGGCGCTGGCTATCAACAGGCTCGTGCTCGTGCAACTTTTCGAGCTCCGGAATGTCTTCTGAAGAAGTCAAAATGCTCAAACTCGATGGTGGGGAAGGTACTTTTTCGGATTCGGCAACAGGGTATTCCGGGGCCTGTATGACAAGATGAGCTTGTCGAGGCTGGCTGGGACTTCCGCTTGGAACGTGTGCCAACTGCAGGACTGAAGCCTCGATCTGCGCTTCGGGACCTCTCTCGGGAAGAGGCTCTTCCCGTTCCTGGGCCGATGACACGGCCACGGGCCTGTCCAATATGGTCGCCAGGTCATCGCGGAGCCGGCGTGGCGGCGAGTAGTTTGAAATCCTCTTTCGACCGCGGAGAAACGGATCTTTATGCCGCGATTTGAAGATTCCCGCATCTGTATAATTCTCGCGATCGAGCACTGTCAGAGTGGGTTCCGGTGATTCTGGTCGTAGCAGGTTTTCTGCGAGATCCGCAAAGTATGGGCGACTCTCTTCTGCATCGTCTGCCATATGCTGCTCTGGCTCGATGATAACGGCGAGAGGCTCAACTCCATCGTCCTCGGGAGTCTCTGCTAGACTCGACGAGGATTGAGTGGCAAGAGTTGGCTCTATCGAAATATCCGCTGGCGAGATGGGGCAATGCACTACCTCATCAACAGGCAATGGCTCGAGGCAAGCTTCAATGGTGAGGTCTGGCTCCTCTTCTCTCCCCACATGCCGCTCAATCCATCTGTGTAGATTGTCCTGCAGATAAAGGAGGGCGAGAGGAGCGTAGCGGGACAACAGCACGAGGGCTTTCCTTGCCGCGGCAGGACCAAGTTTGGTCACGAGTGGAATGCCGACCAGAATGAATGCAGCCTTTGCTGGATGAGTTGGTACAAATCTCAGGAAAAGAGCGAGCGCCTTGTTCAACAAGTCGCGGACAACAAAGAAGTTCCTCCTGGCAAACTCAATGATAGGCTTCGTTTTGCGGTCGGCATGTGCATTCACAAAGATCGAAGCAAGGTTCCACCGAGAGCAGGACACATTGAAAAGGCAAGGTCGATCTTGAGAGATGTATATGCCCAGAGAGACATTTCCAGCTTGGCGGTTGTCATGAGGAAGGGAAGTGTCTTTTTTGGCAGCAACAGAGCTGTTGGGGTGTCTGTCGCCGAGGTCGCCCACTGGCAAGCGGACAATCTCCTCAATCTGGATGATTGTGCCATTGCTCCATGCTTCTACCAAGAAGAACCGTGTCATGGGTATCATTGAAGGGTGCTTCGACTGAGCAAGCACATCTGTGCTGCCTTTCGATACGATTGTCTTGACAATTCTGGTGGCTTCGGAAGCTGTTGGTGTGGCAGTTGGCGTGGGCGATAGACTTGATTGCGCGACCAGGATCCCATCTTGCTGGGATTTTGCTACGGCATTCAACTGTTGCTCTGGCGCCCTTGAGTTTTTGAGAAGCTGCCAGCCGAGGACGCTGGCGAAGCCAACTGCGCCCGATGCGCCAACCAGGATCTCGATGTTTTGAGCCGTGGTGCGAGGGATCGCTGCAACGTTGCTAGCGAGGGACAAAAGGAAGAGGAGAGTCCACTTGAAGGACAGCATGGCGAAGGTATTCAAAGAGAGGTTTCGGGTGATGTGGGCAGGATTTAGGAGGTGGCGCGGCAGGAGGCTTCGTGTTTGTCGACCTCTGCTCAGGCTTACGACAGACGACGAGGGTGGAAGTGATTTTGACGAAGTGTATTCGACAGATTGCCAGAGCGGTTATTCAGGACCTTGTTTCTCTTGGTCTGATGGGACTGGACGATGGATGGTAAGGAATCGACAGGATGCTGGATTCGGGAGAAAATATGTGTGCGAGAAAATATCTGTGGGAGAAGGAATAAAATCGTATGGGTGAAGTCTTGTGTTCTGAGGAAGTGAATGGGCATAGTAGTTTTCATTCAATGTTGCTGGAGTGAATTCGAGGGTGAGGCAGTTACAGGCGGTCGTTGTACTGTCTGTACACCAGGCTATGCAAACACATCGATACTTGGCGAGGCAGGTCTGTGCGCCACCGGAGGGAGCGGCCAGTTGATGGTTTGGCTTCTGTGTCTGTTATCTCTACTGTCTGCGTCTCGGTGGATGTTGATGAATATCGAATATATGTATATCGAATGGTCGCAAGGCTGCAGATTCAGGGAGGTGGAAATACGAGCTTCTTACTTTTTCTATTTCTCTGGGAGTGGGCTACATTGTTGAGCTTCAAGTAATTAAGGCATTGAACAATCAATCAGCTATGTTTGCTATTTCCAGCACCTCTATGTGTTGGCGACAAAGATCTATTCTGTTTGTTCTCAGCTTTGTCCCCTGCCGCCTCAGCCTTGCTGCGACAAAGGCACGTTTGTGTGCTGCGGCCAATCACAGCGGACCGTAACATGGTACCGTACACCTCCCCTAGAGTGACTTATTTAAGGGGGGGAAGGATTGAAATGACGCTGCATGACCGATACAGCAGTCTCATCTCAGTCATTTGAAGACCCCTATGACATCAAGCTGCGATCTTCAGGCACGTTCGTCGGTGCCTCGTCTGGGAGGCGTTGACATGTGCGAAGGCACCACTCGAAAAAGGTAATATTGCATCCTAAAACCTGTTTTTTGGAGTTCTTCCTCTCGCGGCACTGGGGCAGGCGTTGTGGCGTTCTAAGAAGCTCCACCTTTGCAGGAAATATATTCCTGTCCAGTTTCCAATCCACCTCCTTCCGAACCATTTCTCCTGACGATATACCCCACGAACTACTTTTCTTTGTGTCGAGAAATCCTTGAGCTCCAGAGTATCCAGTCATCGCTTAGACCGGTTAAAGTCACGCGACAATGTCGGACGACGCTGGATTCTTCAAGAGGACGTCTGAGGCCGTCGCCAACGCTGGCGCCTCTGTTGCCGGCGCCGTTTCCGGCTCTCTGTCGCTAGGCGCCTCGGCCAGCCACAAGAAAACAACCACGACCAAAACAAAGACGACCCTCCCGGCACAACAACAGCAGGAGTACGTTGCCAATGGGGCAGCAGGACAACCTCCCCAAGGACGCATCACCAGTGGAGGCTTGGGCGAGCAGAAGAGGATCACCTCGAACGAGGCTGATGCCTTGTACACAGAGCGCATGGAGGACGAGTACGCGAAGAGGGAGGGTGGTGCTTGAAGATGGCGTGGGAGGAGGAGGAGTCTGATGTGTAGGGCCAGGGCACGGAGCAAGACGGTCTCTAGCAGGTTTAGACAAGGGCGTGGAATCCTCAGCTCAGGATTAATCTGCTCAGCCCTTCACGAACGTCAAAAAGATATTTATTCCAACATGCTACGCTCTTGGGAGCATTTTGTGCGGTCTGTCAAGATGTCTTCCATCCCCCAGTTCGAGCACATGGTGGAAAGAGAGGACTGTTGAAACACCCACGACTGCAGTGTGACATCATCGTCTGCCCACAAGACACCAGAGGTAAATCTTCGGCCAATTCGGCCATGGAACAATTCTATCGTGATCACCTCGCCTACGGTGCTGCAAACTCTTAGGACCAAATCGACAAGGCCGGTGCTTGTACGCAGTGCAACGCGCGGCCCCATTATTTCTATACCCTGCCATGGCTCCCGACGTGTCAAAAGCTCTGGAACTAATAGACGCCGCTCACAGAGAGGACCCGAACACCGTCGACATCAACGGCGAGAAAATACCCTACGAGCTACACTACGCTCAGAAGATGACCAAATTTCTCGATCTGCACACCCCGAATCCGGGTCCTCTGCTCGTCACGGCCGCCCGGGCGCAGCACTTCCGACGCTGGGAGGTGCCTCGAGACAGCTACCCGCGCACCAAAGCCGGGTACTTTGCGTGGCGCACGTTCCTCAAGAAGCGACAGGCCGAGCAGGTCAAGCAGATCTGTCTGGAATGCGCCTACAGCGAGGAGGAAGCGGACAAAGTGGCGGCGCTGATAGCGAAGGAGGACCTGAAAAAGGGGGAAGGTAAGGGCGACGCCGACGCCCAGGTCATCGAGGACGTGGCCTGTCTGGTGTTCCTGGACGACCAGTTTGACGAGTTCGAGAAGGGACACGATGAAGCCAAGATCATTGGCATCCTGCAGAAGACGTGGGTGAAAATGGGGTCAAGAGGGCAAGAGTTGGCGTTGGCCATGGACTTGAGCGACAGGGCGAAGGAGATGATAGGCAAGGCACTGGCTGGTTGACGGGAGGAAGGTTGGTCTGGTTCGGATGTGCTCGATCAGAACGGCTGGCGTCAGAACGACTGGAGTCGAGGATGGCCATATCACATCGTACCCTCCGTTCAACATTCCGTCCTTGTACCCTCTGCCGCTGGCCGCCGAGGGCTCTGCACGTTCTGGCATGTCTACCTACCTCCTACGTTGAAAAAGCCCAATGCTTGCTATGCCTAATGGATGGAACCCAGTGTTTGGTCATCAGCCTCCCTCGAACCAACAGGTCAGGAATGTTACACACGTCCTCGTAAGTCGTGGGACGTTCGAAGGTGCTGTTTCCAACTAGCCCACCACTGTTTCGGTCCCACATGTTGGCGGCGATGCGGGTAAAGATCGGTCCCTAGCAGTAATACGAAGTCCAGTATGTAATAGTGCAGAGCATTATGTGGGAAATAGCGGGCCTCCGCAAAAACTCGACCCCGCGAAGTTCGGACACGTCCATCTTATATCAGTGCCCAAACTCTCAAGGTGACCCGAAATCCAATTGTCTCCCACAGTATCTGACCTACTGAACTTTATACCCCCAATAGCGTCACACTCGCAACCGAGAAAATGTCTCCTTATCCAAAAGTCGACTGCCACTCTCACTATTTACCAACGTGAGTTCATTTTCATCCGCACCGAGTCCTGTTGACCCAAAATCTCTCAGCGAATATCGCAAGGCACTCGCAGAAAATGGCCACAAGAACCCTGACGGGATGCCAGCGATCCCGGTATGTCTGCAGGGAACTGACCAGGCTGCCTATCTTGTAGCTAGCTATTAGCTGCTGACCCTGGGCCAGGAATGGAGCGAAGAGAGTCATCTCGCAATGATGAAATCCATCAACGTGACAAAATCAGTCCTTAGCATCAGCACGCCCGGAGTCCACCTCAAGGCCGGGGACGACGCACTGGCCCGAAAGCTTGCCAGACACGTCAACGAGGTCGCGGCAGATCTGAAGAAACGAATGCCTGACCAGTTTGGCTTCTTTGCTTCTCTGCCTCTGCCGGACGTGGAGGGCACCCTGCAAGAGATCTCTCATGCCATGGATCACCTCAACGCGGACGGGTTTGTGGTGCTCACCAACTTCCACGGGACCTATCTCGGACACAAGGATCTTGATGCCGTTTTCGATGAGCTGAATCGGAGGAAAGCCGTCGTCTTCATACATCCCACCACGCCGTGCTTGTCGTCGGGGACTGCGGCGACGCCACTCCCTCAGTTCCCCCGACCAATGTTTGAGTTCTTGTTCGACAGTGCTCGCGCCGTCATCAACCTGTTCCTGACCGGCACCGTGAAGCGATGCCCCCACATCACCTTCCACATGTCACACGTCGGCGGAGCATTTCCACCCCTGATCAACCGGTTCTCGAGCGTGGCCGAGATTATGAAGCTGGGGGGTTCCGCCAACGAGGTCTCTCCGGCGTGGGTCAAGGAGCGGCTCAACACGCAGTTCTACTTCGACACGGCGGGTTGGGCGTTTCCGGAGCAGGCCAAGGGCTTGTTGGAGTACGTCACCGTCGACAGGATGCTGTTCGGGAGCGACTTCCCATATACCCCCTTGCCGGTAGTTCAGGCCTTGTCCAAGCAGCACGATGAATATCTGCCACAGGTGTTTGCCAGCGACGAGGACAAGGAGAAACTGTGTAGCAAGAACGCTCTGCAGCTCTTCAATAAAGTTTCCAGCAAGCTTTCTTGAGCGAGACAGGAAGGGCATTGAATTAGGCTTTTCTAGACGAGCATGAGGATCCCCAAACGGTTTATCTGCCGACTCTCCTTATCAAGATCCCTTTCTGCACCAATATCCTGGGACGCCTGCTTCCAGGGAACAACTACAAACTCTGGGGGGATGGACCCCTCTCTTACTAGATACCAGGCAAAGACGTGTCGTGTGACAATGGCTCAGGGCAGCTTCCTCCGCTTTCGATCGGAGAACTGTTCCGGAGACACTGTGCCCCTCCTTCCCTGCCAGCATTTGCCATGATCGTCATACTGCTGTCGTCAGATAATGCCAGGTGAAGTCATTGTAGCTGCGACAGTCAACGAGGGCGTTCCAAGTAGCATATATCTAAGGGGTGGCGTTGTTTGTTTGTATCAGTGGTGCGAAGCCTCTGGCACAGAAACCAATCCATAACAGAAATTAAGACCATCACAATACCATCCTACTGTTACAACATTGTCTACTGCACTTGATTGACCCAAATTCCTGAAAATGACAGACAGCCAGACCTCAGGCACGACCCGCCCCTCAGAAGGTCCTGCATCCTCCCACTCGGAACTATTTGGGCTCCAAGGCCAGAAGAGAGCATCGACCACCGCAGGCGCCGGAGCAGGAACAGGTATCATCGGGACCAGTGGGCACGTCGGGGCGGCAAAGAAGGGTGTCGATCTAGACACGGGGAGTGAAATTCAGAACGCGGGTGTGGCTGGCGTTGCCGAGGGAGGGAAGAGCAGCACCGTCACAGGATCGGGCGGCGAGACGCTCACTCCGAGTCAAGGAAGTGGAGATGTTCGACCATCGGGCGAAGAGAAGGGTGTCTTTGACAAGCTGAACCCATTAAAGTGAAAGCATTCGTGGGTAGTTGTGGTCGCATGCATGATGGCAGCGGAGTGATTGTGTACAGCTCTGGGAGCAGGGAGATGTGGCACCGAGAGTCGAAGAAGCCAGCCAGCCAGCCAGCCAGCCAGCCAGGAAGATGGCGTCAGTGACTGTACCAACATGCTTCAAGATATCCCAATACGGCTCCGTTGACTTGTCCATAAGAGGAGAATGCAAGAATAATAATATCGATCCCAGAATATCTCCCCAAGATCTATATAGGCCATGCTCGGAAACCGTTTTATCTGCAAGGGAAGCCGTGGCGACCCGCACCGGTGCTAAAGATGGGCGTAGTGCCAGCAGAGGGGGCGGGCCCAGTTAAAGCGCCCCAGCTAAGGAGGAGCTAGGGGGGCGTCCTTGGAGCGGATCACATCACTTGGTAGGTAACAAGCGGTTGCTGCTTGGGGGGCGTGGGGGGGCACTCGGACACCCGTGAGGCGCTTATAAGCCAAACTCTATGGGCGACTTCCATCTGCGGCTGCCGTGGAAATGGGGGAAACGGTGATCTCTCGTCTTCGTCTCTCACTCTCTCTGTGTTTGCCCGTCCGTGTCCCCAACTTCGCAACTCTGCAACTCAACTCTGCTGCAACTCTGTACAATACCAATCAATATCCTGACGCCCAATTGTCCCCCTCAACGTGACTCAATCAATGTTCCACCAGCTTGCCCATCCTTAATCAACATCGCGCCTCGCGATCACTGTTCACATCAAAGACCAAATCTCCTTGCCCAGCGCCAGTTCTGTCGCTGCGCTTTGCCTCATTTATTCACCACGGCTTCCACATTGGTCGCTTGATTATTTGGCTGCACACTCGCAGCACCAATCAGTCACCTTGTCACCTCCGGCTTTTGATCGAGGAGACTCGCCCACCACGGCGTTGTTGAGATTCAACCACTCCTTCGACAACGACGACACCGACCAAGACCACGAGGACAAGATATACATTGCTCCGCCACCTCATTCTCCCAGGTCCGAAGCGTCATCCTCGAGTCCTCCCTCCCCACGCCCACCTCCCTTCTCCTCCCTCTACTTCCCGACCGACGCCGAGCTCGACCGCATCAGAGCCACTGTCACCGAGGCTCCCTGCGACTCGCTTCTAGCCTCTGCTCCGGCACCCTCCTTTGAGGAGGCTCTCGCCGAAGACGAACTCGAGTCCAAGGCTGAGCGCGAGACCAAAGCCGCCCTCCCACAAGACACCAAGGCTCAGTCTTCCTCGGGAAAAGCTGTTGACGACGGAGAGCCGCCACCACCATACACCGAAGGTTCTAGTCCCCTAGAGTCGTTCACATACCTCATGGCGGCAGCAGGCGGTGCGGCCAGCATCATCACACAAGTTCAACAAACAGGCCCACCAATCAACACTCTAGGAGGTGAGTTGTGGTGATGCCATTGAGAAAGACGTTCATGACTGACTTGGTGGTTGTATAGCAGGCGAGGCGGCAGCTGATGAACACATCACGTTGGACTTGAGGTTGGTTTGGCTCCACGCGCCCGGAAATCAAGCAATCAAAAAGCTGACCATCGGACAGAGGCACGCACTTCACGTTGTCCCGTGATGAATTGTTGACTCTGCCCGAGTTTGTGTTGCTATCTTTATTCCCCAATGGGCTCCTCCCTGACGGCCACATGAACTCGTTTCATGAAGGCGATGTCTACCCCGTTGACGTACGTCCCGCTCAAACTCCCCATCCCATTGTCGTTCTGAGCAATCCTTGTATCTATATCGGAGATGTAACATATTCTTCACAGTATGACCCAGCCTCGCTCCAGTATATGTTAAACTTTTTTCGGGATGTGGCTCAATCAATACCCTCCACATCTCCCTCCCCAACCACGCCGCCAGACCATGATCCCATATCGATCGAACCGTTGCAAGGTTCGACCAAAGATATGCTCCAAGACCGAGCCGGGATCATTGTCTTGAGGGAAGATCTTGACTTCTACGTCATACCTCCTCGTCCAGACATCGAGCAGCCAGAGATGACAGAGATCAAACGCGCCGCTGGGAAATCCTTACTCAAGCAAGACGGAATCTTCTCTGGCCTTAAGCGGAGCGAGGAAGCAGGCACGACTGAGCAACATCTGATTGAAATGCTGACCGCAGGGTATGTCCCACGACACGATCGGCTTAGACAAAGATACTGACGCATGCAGTGGTTTTAATCACGATGATGCCTGGGGCCATCGAGCTGGAGAGCCAAACAAGGCCGTCATTTGCAGTCTAGCTCTTGCGAGATTGCGAACCGATATCAAGGGAGACCTGGCCGGTAGCAACGTGGTAGGCATGGCTCAAAAGCTACTGCTCTTCTGGCGCAAACCTGCTCGCAGATGCTGGTGGGAGGGCGTTGAGTTGACAGACGTCGAGGGAGTCGAGGGTAAACTCAAAGTGTGGATTCGAAGAGTGTGGACCCTGGAGATGGTAAGCTTCCCCTTGGCTCGGTCGTCATGGCGTTGTGCTTACATTTTATGCAGAGCGTGATCGGCCTCCGATGACAGGAACACCTCTGTTCATTTGCAGTTTAGGCGTTTTGCATTGAGCGATTCGGCGAAAAAAGAAGTCCAGTTTCGGGATATCCATATGTATCGAGCTTAGGGAAGTATCTTGTTTATGTGGGTAGCGGGTCCAGCAGTGAGGGATTGCCTGCGAAAGGCCGGTGAGGTACGATACAGTCAAGATTTGGGTTTCTTCTCAACGGTCCGTCACCCGAAGTCTTTGGTGAAGCTACACCACACGTTCATTCATCAGTAAATTGGGGTCACCGAAAAAAGCCATCCATGTACACGAGTGTCTAATCCGGGAATTGAACAGCAGACTTCAGTCACACTGTGTGTCTTTTACTACTAAGGAACAAAAAAAGATCTGTAGGCTCCGGCGACTACTAGTTTACCTTTCCCATTTCCCTCGCAGGTGTTGCGGCTCCTGATTCTCCCCGGTGGAGCGTTATCGAGCAATCTTACAACAACCACAAGGTACTCTCTGGCAGGACATGGCGAGACCCCTACAGCAAGCTCATGTCCTTTGAAAGGCCCCTCCCACCTAACCCTCTAGATCTTTTTTGTGCACATAGCCCCCCCCCTCAACCTTGAAGTTCTAGGGGTCTCCAAGTGCTTAGTTCAACTTCAGAGCTGATTAATAGAGTTGTGTGTAAATTTCTCACTTGGGGGGGCTATGTTGAAAGAGATTTGGCAACTTTAGATTATATGACCTCAGTCTTCGAGTGGAGACGGCGTTGAGTGAATTTGCCCTGTGTGATGCGATGCTACTTACTGATACTGCCGGAGGGACTGGCAGTATATATCACTTCAGCCTTGTCCATGATCAAAAGTGGGTCTGCTGACTACGCAAGGCTGAGACAAAAGTCTTGGGATTGGCACTAGACCTTTCTCGGAACTGAAAGTCGCGAAACGACTGCGAACATATCTCGATACCAGTTGCTGTGCATTGCGACTCTCGTATCAGACAATCATTCTTGATATCCTCTGACGGACGTGGTGCGCGTGGAGCCGACTCTTCTGACATTCTTTGCCATCGACCATGTCCTCATAGTGTTGTTACTTTCCACACTTAGTCCTGCCAACCGGACGATGAACCATGGCGCCCGCGCAGGCATATGTGACCACCTATCCCCCGCGGATCCGCCAGTACACCAATACCCTCCTCCAACCCGTGCTCCAGACCCAAAGTGTCGTCCCAGCCGGCCGCACCACCAAACGAGGCACCACGATAATTAATTACGCCGACGATGCCTACGATGAGGACGACTTCGAAGACAGCGAAGGCCCCCGGCGACCGACCGGGTTGCGATCGTTGCGACGGGAGGAGCTCGAGAAAAAGGAATCTCCGCATGAAAAGGTGGGAAAGGAGATACACGAACCCGTCGATTCGCAGCCCATATACCGAGACTGGATCATTCGGAGGACAGTCAGGCCCACGTAAGTCCCGTCGTCTGTCGAACGTTGTTGCCTCCCCCCGCTGTATTGTTATTGACGAAGGTGGTGTCAAACAGGACGGATAACCAGGCACATATCCAGTCACAACTCCCTCTCACCCTGATACCCATACGAATCGATCTCGATGTGCCATCCCACCAGCCTGATGCGCCTTTCCCTCCGCCACGCGCGGGAGTCGATATCGGGGTCAACCCTTCGCTGCCACTGTTCAAGAGACCCGAGCCATTGCCGGGGTACAAGATACGCGATATCTTTTTGTGGAATCTGCACGAGAACCTGCTGACCCCGGACGACTTTGCGCAATGCTTTGTTCGAGAGCTGGACTTGCCGAACCAAACAAATCTGGCGATGAATGTCAGTCAACAAATACGAACGCAGCTGGAGGACTATGCCGGTGTGGCCATGCACCCTCTCTTCCACACCCAGCAGAAGAGATCACAAATGCCTGACACGAACCCGGCTCCCACACCGTCAGCATTTGTCAACGGAAGCTCTCGTGGCGGCACACCCCGGGCACACTTGGGGGCGTCGATATCTCGTCCAGCCTCTACCACACCGGGCACTCCGGCCGCTTCGACGCCTCATCCTATTACATTGACTAACGGCGCCTCTATAACAGCAATTGCTTCGCCGATGCCGCCCGAACCACAAATGGAGCAGCAGGATGACGGTGAAGACCCGTATCTCAATCCCGACGACACCTACCGCTGTGTAATCACGTTATCAATTTACCTCTCTTCGAAACTCTACCAAGACAAATTCGAATGGTCGTTGCTTCATCCGCCGGGTGCTGCCGAGGCATTCGCGAGGCAGACTTGCGCAGACATGGGACTGGGTGGCGAATGGGTCATGGCCATCACCCATGCCATCTACGAAGCAGTGTTGCGATTGAAAAAGGAGGCATGCGAAGGGGGGATGCTCATGATCGGCGGAAATCACCTCAGTGGAGAAATCGACAATCAAGCCGTCCGAGGCGAGGAAGGCGCTGGGTGGCGGTACGACATTGACGATTTTGGTGCTGAATGGGAGCCGAAATTCGAAGCTTTGAGCAAAGAAGAGATTGAGAAGAGAGAGGGCGATCGAGAAAGACAGCTGAGGAGATTGCGGAGAGAAACTGCCAAGTTCAGCTCGACAGCTGGCATGGTGCCCTCGGCTCGAGAACAGGAAGCCCAGCAACGAGGAAGTTACTTTGACTACACCACTATCGGCAGCGCCGGCACGGGGGAGGAGACGCCCCTTATGGGTCGTGGAGAACGAAGCAAGAAGAAGCGACGCTTCAGATCACTCTCTCCCGTGGCGAAGGCACAGACCCCGGACGCGCCTGGAAGCTCTGCCGGTGCAGGATGGGGAGGCGAAGGCAATCGATTACAGGAGTACGAGAGGCAGAATTGGAGGTGCAAACATTGTCTCATCTGGGGCAGTGCCGTCTGGGCTGTGCGGGATGGACCTATGGGCCCTAGAGTGAGTTCTCCTGTGTTTTTTCTTGGTTTTATTGCTTTCTGCATTTGTTATCTGCGATATGAACTATGCTGACGGGTGATGTTTGTGAACAGACGCTATGTAACAGCTGCGGCTTGATCTACGAGCGAGACAAGAAGTTGCCCGTGTGGAATGAAGGATTGCATCGGCATACCATGCCTCTCGGCAGGTAGCCACAGTCAGAAGCGGATTTGAGCCACCACGCCTTTGTGCTTTTTCAATCTCGTCATATTTTTACATGTCTGGGGCTGCGCGGGAATGGATTGGTAGCCTGGTTCAAAAAGGCATAACCGATCAGGGCTACTTGCCTCAGGGCAGCACGGCGTCCTAGACGGTCTGGTCCGATCGGGGGTTGTAGGGCACGAATATGTCTGTCGGTTATCACAGGTTGGGTGTGTCTTGGGCTGAGGCTGGAAATGAAAATGTAGAACTACCCCAGATTTTCTTCAGGATCTCTTCAGGATCAGGACATGGCTCCTTTTCGGGCGATATATGCTCCTAGTTACTTACATCAATCAAGGCAGTATCTTGTACCTCGTACTGTTTGTATGTATCGCAGTCTGACTTAAGATAAGATAAGATGAAAAGTGCGGGATACGCTGGTGACACGCTGCGCATTATTTGGAGATTCCAGCAACAAATAATAATACTTGCCAGATCACGAACTTGCTTGGAACCTCATTTCTCTGCTCCTCAGTGCTCTCTGCCTGCCTACCTACTTCCTACCTGTATCACGGCCCCTTTAGATATGCGGTAGTGCTGCTGCTGCTCCTCCTCCTCCCGGTCCGGTCCTCTCACATTTTCGCCCTTGACATATTACATCCTTGTTGTACTGGAAGCGCAACACTTGACGAAAGTTGACGGTGGAAATGGTATGTTTCGTCCTCATTCCCCTGCCCCTTTCGTCCCGGTTGCACATCGCCTGCATAGCTCGTGCGTTCCTGTTGGTCAGACGTCCTCGACTGGGTCTCTGGGGGAGGATTCTGACTGACTGAACTCGTGAGAAATTACGACCATGGCTAACGTTTCCCTTCGCGCACCCAAACAGGCGCAAGTCATTGCGAACTCCGGCCACGATGATATGATTGTACGTTGTTGTCCCCTTTGCCCTTTCCCGACCAAACGAACTGGAAGAGAAAGAGGGAGAAGAAGCAAGAGGTGGTGGCTAACTCGAGCCGTGTGACGGGCGTCCTGTTTAACAGCACGATGCGGTCCTTGATTACTACGGACGACGACTGGCGACCTGTTCCAGCGACAAGACTATCAAGATCTTTGAGATCGATGGCGACCAGCACCGGTTAACAGAGACGTTGAAAGGGTAAGCGAAGCGCTGGTTGTCCACCTTTGGGGCACCTCCTCAATTTACCGTCCTCTTGTGCGCCAACCTGGATCGCTGACGGGAACAACAGTCACGAAGGCGCCGTGTGGTGCGTCTCCTGGGCACATCCCAAGTTCGGCACCTTGCTGGCCTCGTCCTCCTACGATGGCCGCGTGCACATCTACCGTGAGACGCCGTCGCAACAACAGACGCAACCGGGCCAGCAGTCGCAGTCCTCGTGGACCCTGGTCTTCACGAGCACATTCCACACCGCCTCGGTCAACATGGTGTCCTGGGCCCCGCCCGACCTGGGCTGTCTGCTGGCGTGCGCGTCGTCGGACGGCAAGGTCTCGGTGCTCGAGTTCCGCGACAACCAGTGGGGCCACATCATTTTCCCGGCACACCAGATGGGCGTGAACGCCGTGAGCTGGGCGCCGTCGGCTCCTCCGGGCGCCATCACGCGAAAAGACCCCGGCACGGGCACCGCGGGCAGTGGACTCGTGAAGCGGTTCGTCACGGGCGGTAGCGATAACAACGTCAAGCTGTGGGAGTTCAACCCGCAGAGCGGCACGTACGATAACGTGCTGGTCCTGCCGAGCGGCCACACCGACTGGGTGCGCGACGTGGCCTGGTCGCCCACGCTGCTCAGCAAGTCGTACATCGCCAGCGCGAGCCAGGACAAGACGGTCAAGATCTGGACCTGCACCAACATGGGCTCCGGCGCCGGGAACGTCGGGGATTGGACGCTAGCCAAGACGCTCGAGTTCGACGCCGTGACCTGGCGCGTGAGCTGGAGTCTGAGCGGGAACGTGCTCGCCGTCTCTGGGGGGGACAACAAGGTCACCCTGTGGAAGGAGGATTTGAAAGGAAACTGGGAGATGGTCAGGGAGGTCACCGAGTAGAATGTGTCGGTAGGCCAGATCAATGGTCCGGGCCGATCCTGACCTGACCTGATCGAATGGTGTGTGTGTTGGCTGGTTGACTGGTTGGCTGGGGGGTTTTGCTTGCATCAACGTCTGTTCCGCTCCACGCTACTTGCTACACGCGGTATGTTTCCATGGATAGGCCATGCGACGCAGAGGCAGATGCAGAATTGAGCGAAAAGAAACCAGAGATTCTCATGGGGAGAAAGGAAAAAAGACGACTTTCCTCACGTCACGTCCCATTACATCACATCACATCCTCTTCTCCCCCCCCCGGTCGAGGAAGGGGGGAGTCATATAAACGTAAACCTGTCCTCGACGACGACGGCGAGATATATCGACAGTACTGTACCCTCCTGTGTGGCTTCCTGCGCACTTGTACTGTTTGTTGTATCTATTGATACGGACCAAGACAGAGAGAGACACACACAGAAAATAGAAAACAGAAAACAAGCAAAGCAGGCGTGAGAAACCCCCTATTTTTGTTCTTTTTCTTCTCTTTTTTTGTCTTTTTCAAAAGAGTAGGAGGAACACACACAAACACACACGACACGTTATTGAATGGATGACTGGCTGACTGGCTGGCTGGCTGGCTGGGTATTGCTACTGGTACTGACTGCTGATGACTGCCGCATGTTCTGACATGACTTGCTATTACTTTTATTCTTTGTTCTCTATCTATTTATACAGCATTCTCCCCTACGACCGCAATGAATACCCCTTCCACTCCTTCTCGACCCTCCTCTTGCCCTCGACGTCGCCTTTCCACCCCTGAGCCCGGATGACGGGCCTGGTCCGGGCGGTCTCCAGCTCGCGGGCTGTGGTGTTTGCGTCCTGGATCCTCTGGATACAGGTCCCCCGTCCCAAGATTTCCAGCGTCTCGGCGATTCCCGGCCCCTGTCGTCCGCCCAGCAGTGCCCAGCGCAGGTAGTGGTACAGTTCCCGTTTCCAGGTCCGTGGGTCGACCGATTCGTCGGCGGCGGCAGCAGCAGGGCTGCTCGCTTCCAGAGCGCGGAGGTGCGCGAGGTGGGTGTCCCGCGTCCATGATTGCTCGGGGATCAACGCCAGAGTGGACGCGGCGACGCGGAGCGGGTGGAGGAGTTCGACGTCGCTGACTTCCAGGTCGCCTAGGGTGACAGGCTCGAAGAACAACGAGCACTGCTCCGCGAATTGGGACGGCGAGCGGTAATGCAGGGACTCGGCCCTTAGAAGGTTTGCGAGGACGTCTCTCAGCTGCCTCTTCTGCGACCCACTATCAAGAAACTGCATGATCCTCCCAGCGCCATATCTCTCCAGAACAGCAACGGCGACGTCGCGAATGATTTGCTCGAACGCCTCTCCTCCCGCCAGCACTCGCCGGCGAGCATGCTGCTCCTGTAAGAAATTCAATTTGTCGAAGGAGACGATCGTGTTTCCCTTGGTGATCTTCAGGTCGAAGAGGGATTCGAGCTGGGCGAGGTCCATCACATCTCGCTTCTGGGTGTGAGACCAGCCCAGAAGCGCGGCGAAGTTGACCAGGGCTTCGGGGAAGATGCCTTGGTTGCGAAATTGTGAGATGTCCGAGTTGAAGTTCCTCTTGCTGAGCTTCTGCTTGTTGCTGTCGACGAGCAGCGGAACGTGCGCGTAAGCTGGGGGCGACCACCTCAGGGAATTATACAGCGCGACATGCAGTGGTGTCGAAGCCATCCACTCAGAGCCCCGGACGACGTGGGTGATGTGCATTTCATGGTCGTCGCAAACATTTGCCCAATGGTACGTGGGGAAGCCGTCGGACTTCATGAGGATCGCATCCTCGTATACCGGCTCGTCGACCAGCAATCTCTTGGTCTTTTCGGCCCCGTGGCCTTGGGATTTGCCGTAGACGAGGTCATTGTAGCGAGGCCATTCGTGTGGAGAGCGGAAACGGATGACGTGCGCTTCACCACGGTGAGCCTTCTCTTCTGCCTGGGACGGGGAGAGGCTGTTCAGGCATTTTCTGTCGTATCCCAGACTCAATCCCTTCTCGTGGCGCCGGCGGTTCAGTCCATCCAGACGGTCCGACGTGCAGAAGCAGCGGTATGCCTGCCCGGTCTGTAAGAGTGTCTCGAGGTGTGTCTTGTACAATGCCAGTCTTTCAGATTGTCGATACGGGCCATAAGGACCTCCCACTTCGGGTCCTTCGTCCCATTGTAGCCCTGCCCATCTCAAATCTTTGTACAGCTGTTCCTCCGCACCGGGGATCGTCCTCTTTGCATCGGTGTCCTCGATTCGAAGTAGAAACTGGCCGTTCGTCGCTCGAGCGAGTAGGTAGTTGAATAATGCGGTCCGAATGGAACCTAGGTGTAGATTGCCTGTGGGAGAGGGAGCGAATCGAGTTCGAGCTGGCGATGAGGGAAGCTTTCCTCGTTTCTGGGTGCTGCTACCGACGACCGGACTCGAGGAAGACAGCGCAGTCGCAGTCGAGGCTCTGCGACGCAGGACAAGCGAATGTCCCTTCGTCGCCGGGGTTTGACGGGCACGACATGAGTTGCACACCCATTCAGTGACGCGGACGGCAGGCCTCGCCGTCATGTGCACCGATAGAAAGAAAGAAAGAATGAATGACTGACTGCAAGAAAAAAAATTCCTTGGAAACTCGAAAGCACCAGAAGATTCACGCCTCGGCCAGTAGGAAAAGAGGGAACATCCAAACCGCTCACCCGCTTCCAATGCTTCTTTCTATTCCTCCGTATCCCGTTGCACATGCAGCCCTACAGTACTGTACAGCTGGTAAAGTCAAGGCCCCATTTTCGAGCTAAGTGACGAAAACTGCTACTGTCGATTAGTTGGTTGGTCATCCGTTGGTCGCCTCGACACGAAAGGGATTTATTATTATTATTATTATTTTTTCCTTCCTCTCAATCCAAAATCAAAACGCAACGATATTCTCTGCTTTCCTCAAAACGTAATTCCTCGACTATAGCTTATCTCCCCGAACCGATTTGAAACATGAACGGCGACACCCCAGGCAGCGGCCCCGAGATCGATCTCTACGAGATCCTCGGCGTTCCCAGAGATGCCTCCCAGGCCGATATCCGCAAGGCATACAGAAAAGCGGCTCTGGCCAGCCACCCCGACAAAGTGCCCCCCGAGCAACGAGAAGAGGCAGAAGCCCGATTCAAAGCCGCCTCCCAGGCCTATGAAATCCTCTACGACGACGAGAAGAGACATCTCTACGATGCCCACGGCATGGCCGCCTTCGATGGGTCCCGCGCCGGCCCCGGCATGGGCGGGGAGGTGAACATGGAAGATATCCTCAACATGTTCGGCATGGGGGGTGGGATCCCGGGGATGGGCATGCCGGGCATGGGCAGCCGCAAGATGCGACGGAGTCCCGATGAGAATCAGAAATACGAAGTCACCCTGGAAGATCTGTACAAAGGCAAGACGGTCAAGTTCTCCTCCACCAAGAACGTCATCTGTTCAAAGTGTAAGGGCACGGGCGGTGTCGAGAAGGCCCAAGCGAAAGAATGCTCCGCCTGCAAGGGGCAGGGTGTCAAACAGGTCCTGAGTCAGGTGGGGCCGGGCATGTTGACCCAGCGCATGGTGGAATGCGGTGCCTGCGAGGGAACCGGCCAAGTGTTCAATCCCAAGGACAAATGCAAGAAGTGCAAGGGTAAGAGGGTCACGGAAGAGAAGAAGCAACTCGAGCTCTACATCCCGCGTGGGGCTCGAGAAGGGGATCAAATCCGGCTCGAAGGGGAGGCAGATCAGATTCCCGGGGCAGAACAGACAGGAGATATCGTCTTCCACCTGGTCGAACAACCGCACGAAGTGTTTCAGCGCACGGGCAACGATCTCAGCGCCAAACTCGACATCACACTCGCCGAGGCCTTGACGGGCTTCCACCGCGTGGTGCTCAAACACCTCGACGGCCGCGGCATCGAGCTCAACCACCCGCAAGAACCGGGTCAGATCCTCCGCCCCGGCGAAGTGCTCAAGATCCGTGGGGAAGGCATGCCGCTCAAGAAGTCCGACGCCAAAGGCGACCTCTACCTCGTGGTCGAGATCAGCTTCCCCGAGGACGGATTCTTCCTGGATAAGCCCGGGGCGCTGGAGCAGCTGCAGAAACTCCTCCCGGGACCCGAGCCGCCGATTGAGGCCGAAGACGCCGACGAGGTCCAGTTCGAGGTGGCCGACATTGAGGAAATCGGGGGCCAGGAGGCGCAGGAGGCGTGGGAAGACGAGGACGGCGCACACGGCCCGCAGTGCCAGACCCAGTAGTCGTGAAAAGGAGGGTTTCTGTTTCCCTTCCCTAAACGGGATGTCATGGGCTGGATGATTGGTTGGTAGGTTGGATGGAAGACCGAACGAACGAACGAAGCGATATGAGGTTACGACGACGATTCAAACAAATGACACCCAGAAACAATCAAACAAGGGATGGTGGTTGGTGGAAAGCCCAACAAAGCATTAGACGGCGTTTGTTTTTCGTTTGCCCGTTGAGAAAGCATTGCACCGGCGTCTTATGATATGGTAGAAGGAAGGGACGACGAGACGAGACGGGACTTTTTGCTTGCCTCTTGAGACCAAAGGAGGAGAGAAAGAAGAAGAAGAATTAGGGAGGGCCAGCAAGCCATACTCTCTCTCCCTCTCTGTGATAAGCCGAGAAGGAGGGTTGTGTCTTCCCCCGTCTGTCCGTCCAACCCTCCGTGCGTGGCTTCCTGACATTGCTTCGACTTGATATGAGTTGACTCGGCTGGCTCGATTTTTACCATTCATTCATTCCGATCGATCAAAAAACCATGTCGGTCGTGGTTGATGATCGGACGACTGCGGTTGACAGGGAGGACAGTCGGGTCTTCTTTCCGGGGTTCAACATACAATGTTGGATCTCTCTCAAGGGTGAAATACATACACATTTCCTCTACGTGACCTGAAGTCTTAGAATCAATGAACAATTGCTCCACTTTCTTTCTATCCAAACAGCTGCCATTCTCGACGACAGGCTCAGAGCTCGGGTGCCCCTGACGCCCTCAGACGGCCGCCGAACTGCTTCCTCATCCTCTCCCATGTAACTCTGTAACAGGTGGGAAACCAGCTCTTCAACTCGTCGCCATCGGTCCCTTCGATCATGCTTGCTGCGGCTTTGGCGCACAGAAAGCACAAAACCATGCCATGCCCCTGGAACGATGCAGCCAAATAGAGCCCTTCCTCACCGGGCACCGGTCCCACAAAGGGATACCCATCGCACGAGAAGCCCATGACGCCAGACCAGGTTCGTCGACACCGGCCTTCCGGGTGATCCTTCCCCCAATTCTCTGTGCCAAAGTACCGTTCCGTGCATTCTACGAGGTAGGCTGCGCTGTTCTCGTCGTAGGTGGTATCATCGGTGTTTCCGTACTCGGACGTTCCTTCGTCTTTTGCGACGTGCATGCCACCTCCGATGACAATATCACCCTCGAATTTGGAGCCGGCGGGGCGGGAGATCATGTACTCGAAGCCTTCGTCGTACACGAACGAGTATGTCGTTTCCAGCCCCTTCTGCGGCATGTTTTGCCCAGGCCGTTGAGCGGTCACAACTCCTCGCAGGGGGACGATCACGCCTTGCAGTTGAGGATAGAGGTGTGCAGTATAGCCATTTGTAGCTAGAACGAGGGTTTTGGCTTGGATATTGCCACGTGGTGTCGAGACGGTCCACTTTCCATCAGAGGTCGATTTGGATATGTGAGTCGCAGGAGTGTTGCACTGGAGGTTCAGTCCCTTTTGCAAAGCGAGCTTGAGAACGCCGATCGTGAATTTGTACGCGCTCAGACTCCCCGACTCGTACTCTAGCCCTCCCACACTGTTCGGCGCGAGAAATTTCTCGGCCGTTTGTTGGGTGTTGTGGAAAATATGCTCCGGAGCATTTTCCTTTCCCATCAATTTCTCCATCAGCGAGACCGATTCTCGCGCCTTTTCGAACTGCTTCTCATCGTAGAAGACGTCAATGGTTTGACATCGGACAGAGTCACAGTCAATACTGTTCTCGCGGGCGAACTGGTGTACCGAGACCATGCAGTTGTACTCCAGATTGGTGATCTTCATGGCATCCTCCGCACCCACCGAGTGAACATTGTCGAGGAAAGATCGATAGGTGGCTGTCTTAGTGTGACCTCCTTTAAAGGGGCCATGTTAGGAAAGTGTTTGGGAACCACAGAGGGGAGATAAGAAGAACAAACAACAAGGACATCGACTCAGCTTCTGGTCACCTTTTCAACCTACCATTTCGACCACTGGCGCCACTGGCAGCCTGACGTGCCTCCAAAAGTACAACCTTGAGATTTGGATTTGAGGAGAGCAGGTTGTAGGCTATAGAGGCACCACTGACTCCAGCGCCTACGATGGCTATATCAACCACATGGGGGAGTTCAGCGGTTGTCCGGCAGTCTGCGATCTCATCGGGAGGATCTTGCCAGTAACTCTGGATGGGATTGTCGCGGGGCAGGCCTGGAGGTATACTGGCTCTTTGTTCCATTGGAAGAAGCCACCGTAGGACAGGATCGGGGATCTGAGAGACTTTGGGACGAGATCGAGGAAGCTGACGGACGGTCAGACAGACAGATAGCCCAGCCAAGGGATTGTCTGTCCTAGCGAGCCCTACGAGGGAAGTAGTGGAACTCCGGGCACTTGGTGGTACCAGCCGGTGAGGATGAAGCAATAGCGCAGCTGCGCTTAAGACGGCCATCACGTGACAGAAACTGCGGCAGCCCCCAACCCTTTCCCGGGCTAACGCCGCTTGCGCCTTGCACACCTACAGTAGGCTTCCGGGTGGAGGTGGCTGCTTGGGTGGCTGCTGGGGTGGCTAATCCGTACCACCCAGTACCACTACTACTGGGTGATGCTGGGTAGTCCTAGGTGGTGCTGGCAGCCGGCGCCTAGGCTCACTAGGCTCGCCTTCTTTCGTCTTTTGCCCCGTCACCTGTCGACTCGACTTTCGATCCTGTCTGTCTTTGTCTTTGTTCTTCTCACAACCCATCCCGGCAAACAACTCTCTCCTCCTCCTCCCCCCACCGTTTCACCCAACGCTTCGCCCTCATCACGTCTCCCATCCTGCGACCGAACTGATTCCTCGTCCGTCCTCGTGTTGATCGCCAACTGCGTCCGCCCATCGTCCCCAGCCAATCCCCCTCCCGAAGTCGCCATTTGCAACGAATCCGATCGAAAAGGTGACGCCCCGCTCCGCTCCTGGCCAAGTGAACAGCTTCTGCTGCTTGGAACCCGCAGCACGCTCTGTTCGCGATCCCTCCGCTATCGACGGTGGCGCGCATACCACCGCGGAAGGACTTTTGTTGCGCGGTTTCATGTCCTCTTCAGCCCGGCCAACTACTGCCATCCCGCCATCTCCAACTTCTCCGTCCGAATCAGGTCTCAAGCGACGGCGCCTGTCTGACAATCTCCCGCAGTCCCCCATCTCTCCTTCTTTTATGTCAGTCGCTACAAAGAGCTATGTCTCCTCTTACGGAAATACACATAATCCCGACGAGGCTTCGGGGCGCTCGTCCCCGAACTCCCCCAAGGCGTCAGCACCGCGTAGTAGTCAACAACCGTTGTCCCGTCCCACACCCTCCCTGCCGACACCGGCGCACAGTGTGACGGGCACGTCGTCTGGTTTCGACATGGCGGATGATCTCGATCACCATCGGGATAAGCGGCAAAGAGTGGATTCGGATAGAGATCAAGAGGCGGAACACATGGAGGTAGAACCCCTTAGAGAGGCTACCAACCACGACCGGAACGATGAGATGGACGTAGACCGTGGACCAACTGCCCAGGGAAAGCGTGCCGGACCGGGAGAAAATGAGCAGGCTGCACGGCTCATGGTGGATGAGAAGACTCTGGAGCAACTACAGAAAGACATGGGCGAAGCCTTTCTTCTCTGCAGATCCAGTAAGACTCTCCATCTGTCCACCACTCACTACTACCTCCCCTTGCAGGTTTGTTAACAGACATTTTTTCGCAGAAGTTGAGCGCCAGAGACCGAATCCGCAGCAGCATTTGTTGGCATTGTACGGGCTGGGTCCCTTGTTGCACAGTGTCGCTCGTACCGATCCCAGGACGGGTGAGAAAATCAACAAGCTGCGGAAATCGTACGAAGGCCAAATCAAGGGATTCGCTTTGGCCGGGCGGAATAAACCGGTCAAGGGCGAACGCAACGTCGAGGAAGATCAACCCGGACCGTTACGGCGCATGGCCGGGTCGTCTCCGTGGGGTCTTCAACCGAACGAGCAGTGGAATGCCGAGCATGCGAAATCCAGCATTGAGGTGACGCCCGACTTCCGAGCCAAGCTAAAACAAGCCATGCAAATGCAGCCAGGGACAGTTCGCAATAACGCTCACTGGGAGGACATGCTCGGATTCGACAAACCAAAACCGGGTGTGGCTCCGGCGCAGCAGCAGCCGCCATCAATCCCTCGACCGGTTGCAAATGGAGTGTTGCGACAGGCTCATCAGCCTTCTGCCGAAGCAAAACGACAGACCCGTGGAAAAAAGCGGAGTTATGGTGATGACAGCTTTGTCGGGTACGGGGAGGGCTATTCGGATCCTGAAGACGGCGATGGCGACGAATATGGCAGCCAGAGAAAGAGGAAAAAGGTGACAGTTACGGACTACTGATGAGCGACGCCGTCTCAGGTTTCCATTGGGACAGACACCGTCTTTCCGTCTGGACCACACCGCTAGGATGGCCTGCATATTCACGACCTCACCGTCGAATGCATATTCTCTGCCATATTTTGCATGCATGGGATGTTTCTAAGATACCCTAATGAAGACAGATACAGAGAGATCAGAAAAAGGGGCACACGGCTGATGGGCGGCCAAAAGTCGTCGAGGCGTTTCAGGGGGCGGCAGGGGGGGTCCGATCTTGTCTTTCTCATGCTATATCGAGCATTGGACGAGGATGGAGGCGGGATATCCAGTTCTTTTTCCGGGCGAAAGACGGTGCTTGGTGTTTCTGTTATCTCTTCAGCGTCGACCAGACGCAAAGTGCAACGGGGAAAAAGTAGCGGCGGCCTCCGGATGACATGGCAGGTCTGTTCACGCCTTGTGGCATCGCTTGAGGCGCGTTCGTGTATGAAGGATCATGACACTAAATGAATAACACATTCATCGCAACAACACTATATATCTTTCATTGCACCCCGTACGGGCCCTTTCTTCTTCTCGGTATGGTGTATTTCCATTGACCACTGTGCATCTTGAGCAGCCAAGCACCTGATCTCCGATATCTCAGCCCCCCAGATAAGATGGCGTCGTCGTCGTATCTGCCCATGCCCGAGCCAACCGTGCCCAAGAGGCCCCTTTCGTCCTACAAACTCATCTCGTACGACATCTACGGCACGCTCATTGACTGGGAGACGGCGATCGTGAAGTTGCTACAACCGTTGGTCTCCCGCATCCCCTCATCCTCCCCCCTCAGTCAGGAGTACCGTGACAGCACGACCGCTGGGGCCGAGGGACGGATCCGCCTGGCGGCCAAGTTCAACGACGTCGAGCACGAGCTGGAGGCGAAGAACCCGTCCCAGCAATACGACCTACTCCTGCAGGACATCTACCTGCGCATCGCCGCGGACTTTGGCGTCGACGCAACGCAGGAGGAAGCTCAGCAGTTCGGCGCCAGCATCGGCACCTGGCCGCCGTTCCCGGACACGGTGGACGCGTGCCAGCGACTGGTGCGCGACCACGGCTTCAAGCTGGTGCCGCTGTCCAACGTCGACCGGGCGAGCTTCTCGCGCACCTGCGCGGGCCCCCTGGCGGGCGTCGACTTCTTCCGCATCTACACGGCCCAGGACATCGGCTCGTACAAGCCCGACCTGCGCAATTTTGAGTACCTGATCGCCCACGCGAAGGAGGACGCCGGCGTCGAGAAGCACGACATCCTGCACGTCGCCCAGAGCATCTTCCACGACCACATCCCGGCCAAGACGATGGGTCTGGCCAGCGCCTGGATCAATCGCCGTGGTGCCGGCATGGGCGGCAACGACGCCATCAGGGCCATCCACGAGCGCGGCGAGGTGGGATATGGATGGCGCTTTGGGACGTTGGGGGAGTTGGCGGACGAGGTTGAGAGGGAGAAGGGAGAAAGGGGAACGTAAGTAAGGGAGTAAGAAAGTATATCAGCAGGTATATGCATCGCAGCCAGAGGCAGGAAGAGGGACTTGTTGAGCTTGTCGAGCCCTGGTGCTGCTGTTCCCTTCCCTTTATCCACAATATATATAGCGAATGCTTCATTCATTCATATTGAGCACTGTCGTTGTTATGTCCTCTCTTTGCTGGTCAGCCAGCCAGGCAGTCATTCAGCTTCTCTTACATCCGATCTATCTGTCTGTCTGGGCTTCTGTGAACGTCTTTCCTGCCGATGCATATCTGGAATTGAGTGGGAGTGAGAGAGCAAGGGCGAGAGATGATACCACTCAGCTCAGCTCGCTCACTTGACGCCCCAGCTGTTCTTTCACTCTGTCGTCTTGCTTTGCTTTGCTTTACTTTGTACGGACCAGCAGCCTCGGAGGGGAAACAGAATTAAGGAAGCTTTGCCGAAGGTCGATGACGTAAGCTCAGCCAAGTGTGCTGACAAAGCATGTCCTTCGGGTTCAGCCTTGTCAACCATCCACGACCTGCTGCTATCATTTGGCTAGATTGACACGAGATCCATATTTCAATGGGGTCTTCGGCAGACCTATCAAGAGAGAGTGGAACAGATGCCCAAGCTCAGAACCAAGACTGGCTGCCTGACTTGTTAGCACACATCACCCTCTTTCCATGCCCAACATGCCGCTGACAAGAGCAAAGGTCGCCAACGTCGCAAGAAGTGTGACGAGAGCCGTGATCGCTGCAAGAACTGCACGAGGAATGGCCTTGAATGTGCCTGGCTGCCGAGGGACAGGATCAAGGGAACGAAATTTACCGCGCAATAGAAAGAGGTTCCAGGCCTCACAAGGATCTAATGGACTGGAGAGCTGGCCTGACAGGCACTTGTTTGGCGACATTTTAGCAAACAAAGGGCCACGGTCACCCCCAGCACATATTCCCTCCCAGACGCCTCTTCTTCGGCTCTATATCACGCCTCCGAGCACGGAGGAGTCAACATCTACAGCCTTGCTCGCCTCGTTTGTCCATGATTTCTTGCCCCGCCGCATCCGTCCACGCTCCCATGCATATTTCTTTCGTTTCTCCTACACATACGACCTGGCGCCGTGTTATCCGGCACTGCTCAATGCTTGCCTGGCATGTTCGGCTCATGCGATAGGGGTCAAGCTGGGCATTGCGCAGGAGGCTCGAATAAAAGCCGACGACTTCTATGCCAGGTCTATCCGTGCACTTCGGGCCACAATCCAGCATGGCGCATGTGACGGTACCGAGGATTGGCTCGTTTGTACGAGAATCACCGGCCAAACTATAATCCTGCGTCCGCCGCAGTACACGTCGCTGCAGCCGGCCAGGTGTTCCGCGAACGAGCAAGAAGGAAACTGGATGCGACGTCCAGAGGAGGTTGGTACCCGTCGATGAGCGCGCTGACGCGGTCAACCCTCGTCTTTGATCGCATTTTTACCGAGTCCTTCCTATATCATTCCTTGTTGATATCTATTCGGGACAAGAGTCTCTCACCCCTTCAAGATCCGACGCTCCGTCCTGTGTTCGACACTTATTTAGAGCACTGTCAGATCTCAGTGTCGCCGGAGCCGGAGAACTGGCCCATTTTCGGGATGCCCTATCCCCTCGTGCGGCTCTTCTCAGACCTTGTGGCCTCCCTCCACCATTCGCCGACTGCCTTCGGCGTTCAAAACGCATCAGGCCTTCAAGATATTCTGGTTCAGTTAGAGACGTGGGAAAGCGACGCCGCCATGATCCACAATGACGGCTTCCTTCACATCACCCTCTACATATCGGCTGCAAAGCTGTTGGCTTATTGCCACTTGTCTGCCTCTTCGAACTATTACTCCGTTCTCATCCAGCACGAGCTCGAAGACTGCCTGGGTACGCTCGCCAGAATTGATTTTGCCGAATCAGTCACACGCTTTTTCCATTGACCTTTGGCCATCATTGACAGAGTGGTGCGAGATCCTCACGCGTCGCGCCTTGTCCAGCAGAAGCTCGCCGAAATGGCTCTCGGCGATCCATCAGGAAAGAAAGCTTACGACTGGGTCGCTGAGGGATTTGAACAGAAGCTCAATCCGGGACGTTTGCTCACGACGAATCCGTAGAATTGCCACAAGGCCTGTTATGGATCTGCGAACCGCCCTCGGGCAACCTTTCATACGAACTGGTCTATCTTCTGCTGCCTAGTCTGAGGCCGTAATTCATCGTTTCTATATCAAGGCAAGGTTTTCAAAAGGCCCCCTGACCGCTTGAAATTGCCCTGCTTAAGGTGGCAAGCCACTCAAAGTTTCCCCTGATGGAGTTTCCCTCGAAGTCAACGTGTCAGATAGAGCTTGTGGCTCGAAGGCTCACCGCCTCCAAGATCGTTTGTGCCATGGTGAAAACCTTTTCGTCTTCCAGTTTCTGGGCCACAATCTGCAGACTCAAGGGCATGCCATCCACCGCTTCGGCATTGTAAGAGTCCTGCACCTGTGCATCCAAGTCATTTCGGGGAATGTACTCTGCCGGTGCCCGGTCCAGATCTTTGTTCGCTGCCAGTCCGCACGGGAAACTGGTGGATGAGTAGTCGAGGACGTTGAAAAAGGCGGTATACCCCAGGTACCTCAACCCCCCATGTTCGACGGACGCATACGGTGTGGTCGGACACAGAATCCCGTCAATGCCAGACGTCGTCCAACGATCCAAGTACTGCTGACACAGATCGTCACGCGCCTGGTGTATCTGCCACAGTTCGTATACACCCAGCTCCAAGGCATTCGCCCACAGCTGCTGCTCGGGGCGACATGGCCCTTGAGTGGGCTCCAGGTCTTTCCTCAGACTCTTCCCGCCGTCGGCAGAGATCATTTGACGAAACAGCTGCAGGCCGCTCAGGTGCTGCCCCTCGGGCTGCCAATCCACGATCTCATGCCCGGCGGCCCGGAGCTTCTTCACCGTTTGTTCGAGGGCGCATTGGATGGGCGGTGTCGGCGTGACGATGCCATCGGTCCACATGACCCCCAACTTCAGCTTCTCCTTCTTCTGTTCCACCGCACGCCATGGGAAGGGTAGAGACTTGGTGTCCCATTTCCACGGCTCAGCCGCGGCCACGACCTCGGAAAACAAAAGACAGTCTTGCAGCGACCGTGCCAAAGGCCCGATTACGGCTTGAACGGTCTCCAGCCCGGGAAGTCCTGATGCGCACCCCGTTGCTGGGAACCGGCCGGCGCTGGGCTTCAGTGTGAAGATGCCTGTGCACGCCGCCGGGATGCGGAGACTGCCCGCGACGTCGCCGCCAACGCCGAGGGGTGAGCCACCGAAAACGATGAGGGCACTCTCACCTCCGGACGACCCGCCGGCCGTGAGGGTGCGATTCAATGGATTCAGCGTCCGCCCCGTCACATTGTTCACGGTTTCGAGCATCATCATGGCCGTGGGCACGTTCGTCTTCACATACAGCACGGCACCGGCATTAAGCAGAATGTCGACCACCGCGGCGTTGTGTTCTGCCGGCTTGCCGACACGCGAGGTGAATCCGATACTGGAGTCGACGCCGGCAAAGTCGAAGCAGTCCTTGATGGATACTGGCAGCCCTTGGAAAGGCCCGATGGGCTGGCCCGTTTGCCGGAGGTGCTCGTCACGGGACTTGGCTGTCGCGAGGGCGACCTCGAACTGGTTTCCGACAGACAATTAACCTGTAGCGATCGAGTCAGATCATAATCCGCGTGCGTGACGTGTGTGTGTGTGTGTGTGTGTGTGTGTTGGTGGGTGGGTGTATCTATCAGAACTGCCTGACTGACTGACCAGCTGGTGTGCCGCTGGCGCTCTCTTAAAAAACGCCCGCGTAACTTCTTCCGAGCTCCATTCCCCCTTCGCCAGCCTTCTCATGAGGTCTGTGGCCGACGACCTGGTGATTTCAAGCTCCTGGTTGGTGAACCACCCCGACTTCTCTGGGAACTCGAGCACATTCAATTGAGAATTCGGAGGCTTGATGTGTGCCGGGAAGAGCCATTTCTGGGGAATTGAATCGAGCAGCCTCTGGCGCTTGGAAGCCCTGATCTCTTCCCACTGTCTTGACATCGCACCCAGTCGATGGTACGGAATTCGTTATTGGACTCGGTGGTGGGGTTTTCTGGATCGCGCAACAGTTCGCGAAACATTCGATGATGTGATGCTGTATAGAGAGCGAGATTCTTTCTTCAGCCTTCACTCTCCACTCTCCACTCGCCCTTTTTGTAGCGCGATTGAATGCCTGAGCCAATATTCATCGAGAATGTTGGCCTGAGACTCGCCGGTGGCCATGATACCCTGCTTACTGATCGACACACGGCCAACAAACGACAAATTCACCTCTCAACTTTTCCTCTAGCTTCCTCGGCTTGACAAAATCAAATGGCAGTGTCCCATTCACGAATACCCTTGGTTACAGAGTAGAATAGAAGAAAAGGCTGGCATAAACGTATGCAAAGTTGATTGGGCCAATCAGAGTAGTTAGCGCGTCGGTCCCACCCACCGAGCTGGTGTGTGGCCAATCACATTCACTGACATGGGGGTGAGGGCCAATCAAAGTGATTAACGCGCTGGGCCTAGCCGTGCTTGGATCTATATCAATGCTCGAGCGCCCAATGCGCGTCCCCTGTGATGACTACATACGGACTGTTCTATCAGTAAACTTGTCTTGTGTCTATCGGTCCGAGGTCCCGAATCAACTTGGTGATGTAGGATGATCCAGTATGGTTGAGTAATCGACGTTATTTGCACGTCAGAGAAAGCTTCTTGGGCAACCTGCTGGGAAGGGATGATTAAAACCCTCATCTGCTAGCTGCGGTATACGTGCTCTGTGACATGCGCCGTCGCTTGGTCAGCCAGCAATGGTGCTCCTGTATATATTTCAGGGACAGCTCCCGAAGAAGATGGAAGCTCGAGGGGGACATCAGCTCGGCTGAAGAAGACTACAAATGTCATTGACCCATGGCTAACAACAACATCGCAGCATCGTTTTCAAACGCGAGGGTTCGTTGTACTAGGGGGCACAGGCGCTCAGGGCCGATCGGTCGTCAAAGGTGAGTGTTGCGCGCAAGATGGAAGGGGTCCCAGGAGCCTCAGACGCATTGCCAAAAACTGATGGTGATGGTGGTCCATGTAGCTCTTGCCCAGGGATCCAATTGTCAAGTCTCAGTCCTGACGCGAGACACCTCATCGTCTTCAAGCCACGCCTTGCAGTCCGCATTCCCGACCGTCAAGCTTCTGCAGGGCTCGTACACCACCGGGGCCGGTCTGCGTACCGCTCTCGCCGACCAGGACGTGGTCTACTTCAACATCGACAGCTTCAGTGTCGGCGAGCCGTTCGAGTATTTCTGGACCTTTCGCGCCTACGAGATTGCGGTCCAGAGTAACGTCAAGTGGTTAATTTACGCTGGCACGGGTCCGGTCGACAAGTTTGTCGCCCATGGCTTCGCCGAAGAATATCGCAACAGCCACAACCTGGTGGCGGGACGGCTGACCGGCTGGCTCACCGCACAGCCCTTGGACCGGCTCGCCTGGTCGATCATCATCGGCGGGGTGTATGCCGAGATGTTGAATCGATTGTTGAAGCCCGTCCCGCGCGGGGACGGATACGTGTTCCAGTTGCCGCTGCACAAGGAATCGGTCATGCCGCTGGTTCCCCTGGACAACTACGGTGAGACGGTCAAGTGGGCACTGGAGCACCCACGCGAGAGCGTTGGGAGACTCGTCTCCGCCAGCCCGTTCCAGGTGACCTTTGACCAAGTGGCCGAGGCGCTGGAGCAATACACCGGCAAGAAGACGGAGTTCCAGCCCGTGACGCTGGCCGCGTGGATGGAGCACGTCTCCGCGAGCATCGACCCCGAGGCCAGATTGCCGCGGAACGCGGCGTCGGACGACACGACGGCCTTTACATTTCGCACATCGTTTGGTGCGCGGTGGAGCATCTGGCGCGACAATCGGGTCCGTGAGACGAAAGGAGATGGTTCTCCGCAGCAGCAACAGCAACAGCAGCAGTGGGCAGAGGTGCCCCCGGGGTTGTCCAAATACGAGACGTTGCAGGAGTGGATGGTGGGCGTCGAGTATAATCCGGCTCACTTCTCAACGAGCTTCAAGGGCAAATCAAATTATGAGGAGGGAGTTTGACCACTCGTAGGGTCGGAGCTCAAGCTGTCCTACTCCTCCTAAATCTACAAGGCTCAGACGATTGTTTGTTTTGTTTTGGTTTGCATTCGCCAGGGTATATGATTCAAAGATGAGATACTGTAGCTGGCTATACGGCACCAGTTTCCTCGACCGCCAGTTTCCCTGGAAAGAAAAGGAGAGGAATGCGTCGACTACGTCACGATAATGCTATGACCCCTCCGTCGGCACAGGGACATTGAACCCGTTGAGATTGACCGACACCAGAGCATACAGTGACACCAAGAAGATCAACTCGGTCAGCAGGCTCTGACCGAGCACCTGGACGCCCTGGTTGTAGAGATCGTCCGGCAGGGGACCTCCCACCACCAATGCCTTCGCGATGTTGTAGACCAGAACCTCATCCGTCGACAGACCCGGAGGCAACTCGCCGCGGGACAGGGCAGCGACCTGGTCCTCGGCGAAGTAGTGGCGCGAGAGGCCCGAATGGGCGTAGACCTCGTAGGCGGCGCGGTAGTGCGAGCCGACGGTCAGGATGGCGACCTGGCGCAGCGGCTCGGGCAGTCTGGCGTTGCGGAACATGACCTTGCTCAGGTGCCACATGGCCCCGCCGACCACGGGCTCATGTACCCACGCGTTCCAGGGGCCCAGCAGGGCACCCCGCTCGTCGCGCGTGATGAACGACTGCTTGTCGTCCAGCGTCTTGACGATGTTGGACACCACGTCGTCGTACAGCTCCCGCTGCGCTGGGGCCAGCTGCTCCGGGGGGATTGGTTGCAGGCGCATTCGTGAAGTCATGTTTTTTTTTCACTATTCTGGGTTGGTTGCTTGACAAAGTCTTCCAAGTTTGTAATCTAGTGACGAGTCAGAGAAGTGTCGATTTGTCGCCCGGATGTTGGGATGGGCTGCTGAAAGCCAGGGTATTTTCCCGTTCTTGTGGCCCTCGGGTCTGACACGTCACCGCACAGGGCAAACTCGCAGATTTCTAGGCCTTTTGATGGAGATGGATGATCAGCCAACGCTTTCCCAATGCCGAAGATGTGCCTTTATAACACCTTTCCTCGTGATTGTTGCGCGTTTTCTTCACGGTCCTTTCCCGTTCCGTTCTCTTCCCGCCCTGCCTTTCTCATTGTTTCCTAATTACCTTCTGACAGAGATTTCCACGCACGGGCGGAACTATCGGAGGAGGGGTTATCCGACTTCAATTCGCGATGCTAGACTGTTACGGTGCCGCCATCAGCGAACAAAGACGAGAGTCACCCACGCTATGATGTAAGCAGTGTCGTGTTATTAGACCAAGCTGGATGCAAGGCCCCTCGCCACGAAGAGGGAGGGGAGGTGGCGCCACTTTATGTCCTTCCTTTTCACGAGCTTCAGCTTGCGCCGACAGGAGAGGGATTTGATGGATGCTGTTTGCTAGGAACCAAGTACATAAGTATCCACAAATGCCAAGCCCGCGCTAGGCGTTAAGAAGTGGGGCCGGCTAACAAACCCTCCGAGGCTAGGCGTTAAATCGGCACTATCGCTTGTTTGGCTTTGCCGCTATTACTCTCCGCGCATGAAAGACTGACTAATAGCTCCGGGCCGAACCCCCGGCCACAGACAGCGGATCTGAAACGAGGGATTATGGGTGCTGGAACAGGAATTCCGACGGAAGGGGATTGAGACGAAGAGTTTCTAGACAGCAGAACGACATGGAGAACAAATGCACAGGACGCCTCGCAGCAGAAAGTCGATATGGTCAACTCAGTCGAGACTCCATTTAGAACTTCAGCACCGCTTTTCCAAAGTTCCGTCCCGAGAACAGAGCCAATAGGCCGTCAACTGCATGGTCAATCCCCTCGCACTCCCAGGTGATCACCTTGAGCGTCCCGTCTTTGATCCACCGCTGCACATTGGTCTGGTGCTCTGCATGATACTTGTCCCCGAAACCGTGGTCAAAGACAACGAACCCACGCACGGTGAGTCTCCTCCGCAGAATCAGACTGTAGTTGTAGAGAGGGTGTCGCTCGCCTGGTTTGGCATTGTATTCAGAGATCAGACCGCAGACGATAACCCGTCCATGCTCCTTCATCGCGTCCAGGGCGGCTTGGAGATGTGTGCCGCCCACATTCTCGTAGTCGATGTCGATGCCGTCGGGGGCCAATCGCTTCAGGGCGTCGGAGGGTTGCTCCTTCTTGTAGTTAAACCCCGCGTCGAAGCCGAGCTCGTTGATGATGAAATCGAGCTTGTCGTCCGAGCCCACGCTGCCAATCACCCTCAGTCCCGCCCGTTTAGCCAGCTGTCCCACCATGCTACCCACCGAGCCGCTGGCGGCAGAGATGAAAATGGTCTCGCCTTTCTTAGGTTGGCCGATCTCGTAGAAGGACGAATACGCCGTCAATCCTGACATCCCGAGGGCCCCCAGAAACACGCGGGTATCCTCCAGCCCCAAAGGGTTTTCCAGGTGCTGGATCTTGTCGAGCTCCGCTCCACTGAGGGCGACGTATTGCTGGATGGGGAGCTCCCCAACGATCTGATCTCCTGGCTGGTATTTGGGGTGGTTCGGTTGGAGAACCTTAGCAATGCACTGGGTCACTAGCGGCTTATTCAGCTCAAAGGCCGTGGCGTTCGATTTGACGTGCGCCGGGCGCATGCGTCCTTTCATGTAAGGATCAAAGCTTGCATACTCTGCCTGCAGCAAAACACCCCCGGCCGGGGCAGGGGAGGTCCCATCGTAGTCGGCAATGGTTTCGATGGTCAAATCTTTGCCTGCCACGGGGAGTCCTTCAGGGATTTGTCTGAAGACCATGGCCTTGTTAACTCCCATGTTGACAGTGTATTGGCAAGGCGGATCCGTTCAATCAATAAAATGAGAGCGACAGTTCGTGGATTTTGGCAGAGTGTGGGAGAAGGAGGGGAACAGGAGAGTGATTCTAGAGTTTGCAAGCATCGCAGCCAGCTAATGAATCCTGCTCTTTTTGTAGTAAGGGACTTTTCCTCTTTATGATTGAAAAGCTTCAAAGACAAGGACTGACGATCTCATCATACCATGTCTAGCACCATCTCTCCCGTCACACGAGACGGGTATGGACCTCGCCCTGCGGAAATAATCCTCCTCCTCCTGCTGCAAGAGAGCATTCTAGTGACGTGACGTCGTAAGCATGGCCGAAGAAATTTCGAGTCCGTGGTCCTGAGCACAGCAAAGAGCCCAAACTCACGACACAGGAAGGATTCATCGGTCTCCGGGTTCTCATGATTGGCTTCGTAAATTGGTCTAGCTCCTCCGCTATCGCCGCGGCGATGCATAAAACGTCTTCCGGTGGAACCGTTTGGCTCCTCTGCTCGAAACACTGCATTAGGAAACCAGCCCCACTGCCGCAAGAGAACAAGAGCCAGAGTGCGTGCTGTTCAGATCGATTCATAGGTCGTGCATCATCCGTTGAGTTGCCTGACATGACATCTCTGATCGAGAAAAAAAAAATGACGCGGAGTTTCCAGATCGAACGAGCTATTCGTAAGCAGAGTCTCTTCCGAAGCAGCACCTGGGATGTTGTTGATCCAGTCCCTTGGTTATATATAGGCTGCGCAGGGATCGATTCACTAATGTGCTCTGCAGAGTGCGTCAAGTTAGCAATATAGACAGCAATCCTCCCATCCAAAAAAAAGCATCTGTCCACGCATCTGCAGCTTCCACGGGAAAACACCCATTGAATCCAATTGCCGTGCAGAAAAATGTCAAGCCATTTAACCGTGTATCAGACGATCAACCCAGCCAATGGGGAGCTGATCAAGACCTTTCCGACGACCACAGATGCAGAAGTGTTCGCCGCCCTCGACACGGCCCATGAGGTCTACCAGAAAGACTGGAGACGCCGATCCGTGGCTGAGCGGTGCAAGATCATGGGCAAGGCTGCCGCACTGATGCGCGAGCGCAAACAAGAGCTGGCAGAGCTCGCTGTGCTGGAAATGGGGAAACTCATTGGCGGCATGCTGGGTGAGGTCGAGTTCTCTGCTGCTATTCTGGACTATTACGCCCAAAACGGGGAGAAATTCCTACAGACCATTGATCTGCCTGGTGTTCCTGGCGGGTACATTGCCTCGGAGCCCATTGGGGTGATTCTGGCCATTGAACCATGGAATTTCCCTTACTACCAGGTTGCTCGAGTAGCTGGTCCTCAGCTCGTTGCCGGCAACCCAGTCATACTCAAACACGCAGCGAGCGTGCCACAGTGCGCCCTCGCCCTCGAGAAGATATTCCTTGACGCCGGAGCACCAACTGGTGTGTACACGAACCTATTCTGCTCCATTCCCCAAGTCAACGCCCTCATCGCCGACTTCCGCATTCGGGGCGTAACCCTTACCGGCAGTGAACGCGCGGGCGCATCGGTGGCTGAACAGGCCGGTCGCCATCTCAAAAAGGTCGTCCTGGAACTGGGAGGTTCAGATCCACTCATCGTCTTGGAGGATGCACCGCTCGATCAAGCGATCGACGTCGCAGCCGCGGGTCGCATGATGTGTATGGGTCAAGCTTGTGCCTCCATCAAGCGATATATCATTGTGGGTAAGGAGCGAGGCCAGGAGTTCCTCGAGGGAGTCAAGGCAAAGTTTGAAGTAATGAAGCCTGGTGACCCAAAGGATCCAGCAACGACTCTTGGTCCGCTGGTCTCCGAACCCGCCGTCGAGAACCTCCTGACTCTCATCAACGAGGCCAAAGCTGCCGGTGCCACAGTGGTCCTGGGTGGAAAGCGTATCGACCGTCCGGGCAACTACCTAGAGCCTACACTTATCACGAACGTGTCTCCAGACAACCCGCTATTCACGAAGGAGGCTTTTGGTCCTGTGGCTACTCTGTACGTCGTCGACACCGAGGCGGAGGCTATCGAACTCGCCAACGCCACAACATTTGGTTTGGGTTCATCGGTATTTTCCTCCAACGTGGAGCATGCAAAGAAAGTTGCGGCAGAGATCGAGGCCGGTATGGTCTTTATCAATTCGGCCGTCAATTCTGGTCCAGGTGTGCCGTTTGGTGGTGTGAAGAATTCTGGGTTTGGACGAGAGCTGAGCGAGCTCGGGATCCAAGAGTTTTTGAACAAGAAGCTGATCCGGGTTCATGAGAAGTGGCTGTAAGCAAACAAGGCTGCTCGCTTTCGAAGTCGGGCAGAGGACAGGGAGAAGATACCTGTAATTCATGCAACCATTTTCCATGTGGTTGCCAAACAAATCTACCCGTTTGGTAGAAATGCAATAAATCTCATGCTAACAATGATTTCGCCTCCACGTCGACTCTACACAGAGGGAGTGCAAGCGGACTGCCCCGTGCGAGCCGTGAAAATTAACTGTCGGAAACAGAAGTCGTAGTTGGACTAAATGGGCAGAGGGGCGACGTATAATATATAATATATAATATTTGTCGTGTTGAAGCTGGCATATAAGATGCCTTTGCTCCCCCGTAATAAAGTGCGACGCGCGACGCGCGACGCGCTTTTGACGCGTTCCTGCGGCACCAATTAATTCCCCACGTAAGGAGACATTTCCACCGTCCTATCTACCCTTGGACTTTCAGGTCACTCCTTCAACCACCAAACCCTCACCATCGCAACAATGGCGACTCTAGTTGACTCGATTCTCAATTCAGACGCCTTTGGCGCAGCGCCTTCCTCACCGCGACGGAGTCAGAACGGCTTTCCCTCCTCTTCCAGACCGCGCCCCTTGCTCTCCGAGAGCAATGGCATACCCTCCGAAGCCGATGTCTTTCCCGACGATGAAGTTGTCGGCGCAGCTCGCGGTCGGCCGCGGAATCCGCTAGATCGCAACGTCTCACAGGTTACGGACAAGGCAGGTGAAAAAGTACAACAAGCCTTTGAAGACTTTCTCGAGTCCCATATCGAAGAACCCCCCTCATCAGGAGCGCCTCCCTCGAGCGAATTGAGAACAGACAAATACTACATCAATCAGATCCACGGCTTGCGAGAATTTCAGCTCTCGACGCTCTACGTGGATTTCCGCCACCTGCTATCTTATAAAGAAGGCCCTATTTTGGCAGATGCGATCGCAAACCAATTCTATCGGTTTCATCCATTCTTACTCAGAGGACTACACAATCTTTTGGCTAAATATGAGCCAGTCTACTTCAAAGATCACCGCCAGATGACCAGCAATGCTTCGCAGGCAGGTACATCGATGGCGGGCAACGCGACCAGCGTAGGGAGCAGTCAGGGTGACAAACCACTGAATCCACAGACGGACAAACTCTTCGCGCTGGCATTTTACAACCTCCCCCTAGTGTCTCGAGTACGGCAGCTGCGAACAGATCAAATTGGCAGATTACTTTCTATCTCGGGTACCGTGACGAGAACTTCAGAAGTACGTCCCGAGCTGGCCCTCGGGACCTTCATCTGCGAAGCGTGCAACACCACCGTGCCAAATGTTGAACAGACATTCAAATATACAGAGCCCACCGTGTGCCCCAACCTCACTTGTGGCAACAAGATCGCATGGCGGTTGGACATCAGAAATAGCACGTTTGTCGATTGGCAGAAATGTCGAATCCAGGAGAACAGTTCTGAGATCCCCACCGGAAGCATGCCACGCACAATGGATGTCATTCTCCGAGGAGAGCAAGTCGAGCGGACGAAGCCTGGTGAGAAGTGTGTCTTCACAGGCACTCTGATTGTCGTGCCCGATGTTTCCCAGCTTGGAATTCCCGGCGTAAAACCCGAGGCCTCAAAGGACAATCGAAATTTTCGAGGTGCAGATGCTGGTGGCGCAGGAGTATCAGGCTTGAAAGCACTGGGTGTTCGAGATCTGACTTACCGGATGGCATTTTTGGCCGGTTTCTCGAGCCCTGACACCACGACAGCAGGTCAATCAGCGAGTCAACTGAACGGTCAATCAACCAACATCCTAAACTCTCTCCACCAGATTGATCTCTTTGATCAATACGACAGTGGCACAAAGGCTCAAGAGGCATACCTGGAAACTCTGACACAAGCCGAGATCGATGACCTGAAGTATATGGTGCATTCCGACAAGATCTACAGCAGACTTGTTCAGAGCCTCGCACCCATGGTTTATGGCCATGAAATAGTGAAGAAAGGTCTTCTGTTGCAACTCTTGGGCGGCGTGTCAAAAATGACACCGGAAGGAATGCCGCTCCGAGGCGACATCAACATTTGCATCGTTGGTGACCCGTCAACTTCCAAATCCCAATTTCTCAAGTACATCGCTTCTTTCCTCCCTCGGGCCGTTTACACGTCAGGAAAAGCGTCCAGTGCAGCAGGTCTGACAGCCGCGGTGGTCAAAGACGAAGAGACTGGCGAACACACCATTGAAGCGGGGGCGCTCATGCTCTCTGACTCCGGCACCTGCTGTATTGACGAATTCGACAAGATGGACTTGACCGACCAGGTGGCCATTCACGAAGCCATGGAACAGCAAACCATTTCCATCGCCAAAGCGGGCATCCATGCTACATTGAACGCACGCACAAGTATTCTGGCTGCCGCAAACCCCATCGGCGGTCGCTATAATCGCAAGGCGACTCTCAGGTCAAACATCAACATGTCAGCGCCCATCATGTCTCGCTTCGACCTTTTCTTCATCATTCTCGATGAATGCAACGAGACGATAGACCGTCACTTGGCCGACCACATCGTCAACCTGCACATGCTGAAAGATGAATTCGTACAACCCGAATTCTCCACGGAACAGCTTCAACGTTATATCAGATTCGCCCGCACCTTCAAACCTGTCTTCCTGCCCGAAGCAAAGAAGCTCTTGGTAGAGAAGTACAAAGAGCTGAGAGCAAATGACACCGGTGGCGTGGTGGGGAAGAATTCGTACAGAATTACGGTCAGACAGTTGGAGAGTCTGATCAGACTGAGCGAAGCAATTGCCAAAGCGAATTGTGTGGAAGAAATAACGGAAGTCATGGTATATGAAGCGTTTGATCTGCTTCGTCAGTCGATCATTAGCGTCGAGAAAGACGATGTCGACGTCGAAGACGATGAAGAGGAAACCCCGGACCGAGGAGATGACGCCGAGCGTCAGCGAGACGGAGATAGTCCCATGGCTGATGGTGACAATGACCACCAGGGTGAGGCCAACTCCAGAGCTCGTGGCGCGTCTGCAACCCCTGCTGCAGCTCCACGACACACCACGAAAATCACCTTCGAGAAATACAACACCATTCAAACCATGCTGGCGACGCGTATACGAGACGAGGAAGACCGTACCGGGGAGGGTCCCGAGCGTGACGCATTGTTGTTGTGGTACCTGGAGCAGATCGAGGATCAGCTGGGAAGTGAAGAAGACGTGGAGCGCGAGAGGGGCCTGGCAAGGAAAGTGCTGAAGAAGATGGTCAAGGTACGCTATCACTCCCTCTTTGACCTGGGTATACGTTTCTCGAAGACTTAACTGACTTTGTGGTCTACAGGATAACATCATCATCGCGATCCGCGGAGAAGGCCTCGTTGAAGCGGACGAAGGCGACGCGGGGGAGCCTTCGACAACAAACCAGAACCAGCGACTAATTTACGGTCTGCACCCGAACTGCGGCATCTTCGACGACGAATGAAGCAGAAGCTGGCCGCGAGGACCAGACGGCTCGGGCGTTACACGCACATCCTGTTCTGGACCAATCATCCGGCTATACACAAGTATAGCTCTATCTCGTACGTCGAAGACTATGGGGATATGACGTGCCACGCCTGGACGAAATACATATCCATCGTCGCATGCCGAGGTCAAGGCATGCATGCAACCATGTTTGTGAAGGGTCGGCATTGGGACCGGGTTTCAAGACGCATTGATGAATTGATTGACTGACTGACTGATTGAACGCGAGGGAATATGCGGTAGGACATCCTAGATGGCAGACTGGCTGCACAGAATGTATTATTTTGCCTGGCCCTCGGCGAGGAGCAGACGGGTATTAAACTGCTGGTCCCTTTTTTGATACAGAAAGTATTTTGACATGACATGCTGGATGAAAGCCTGATCGTCGTATGGAGCAGTCCCTAAGCCAAAAGTCCTTGCAGGTTGGTGTGTATTCGTACATGCCATCTCACTCATCCCCAGAGCATCATCGGGTCCCCTCAAGCCCTCTTCGCCTCCGGGCCATCTCCACGAGGAGAATGCCGCCGCGCCTCTTTTGAGGAATAACGTACCGTGGAGCAACGTGTTCCTCTGACCTGACTGGAATGCGTTCAGCGACCCCTGCCTTCAGGACTGCTTGCTAAGAGTCCACAGCCTCTGCTTCTTGCTCTTGGTGCTCCCGGTGCTCTTGTTGCACTTGCTTTTGGCTGTCATCGTCCTCCTGCCGCTCTTTCTCTTCTCTCTCGGCGAAGAATTGCCGTCGATACTCAGAGAGAGTATGCGCCACCTTTTCGAAATCCCTCACCTCATTAGCCCTCAACCCTGCAATCACCAGCTTCAACCCGGCATGGAATGCGTCCCGTGTGGATTTGTCTTTGATGCCGCTGGCCGAGCTCATCTGGACAAGGATCGTCTCGTCTGCAAGGAAAAGCACATCAGCACGGGGAACCTTGACCGGGGAAAAGAGTGGAATATAATTCAAGCTCAGCAGGCCGAAGAGAAGATATCAGTATCCACCACGTACCTGGAAGTCCAAGCTGGGCAAAATGCTGTTCCTCGCAGCTATGGTCAGTACAAATTTGGCCGGAAAGTTCAGTGGGACAAAGGGGTCGGGACGGGTCAATGTTGTTGCTATACGTCAACGAGCGATAGCCAGTCTTGACTGTGTCTGGGTAGTCGGAGTGAAAGCGGTAGCTTTTGAAAGCGCTAAGTGGTGTCTTGTACGGCACATAATGCGCAGGTGGTGCGCAGGTACCATGCAAGAACGGAACCGCGTCGGTATCTCGACTTGATCCAGGGGGTGGTCTGACCAAGGTGTCAGCATCGGTCAACTGGTCCACGGACTCGAGATCATCTTTGGTGTTTGCTGGCACTTCCGACACCGCAGCAACTCCATTGACGCCGACGTCTGCGTCGACATAAGAGGTGTCAGACTCAATAGCACCCGATACATCTCGTGCTCTATCGACTGGAGTCCCAGCATCTGTATCGGGCCGGCTAGCAGCGGCAGTCCCTGAAGTCTCGTGGAAGTCTTGAAGCCCATCTTCCGGCACAGTCGTCGGCGTGACGCTGTCAACCGGCGCTGTCTCAGGATCATATTCCTCAGACTCGTCCTCGGACTGTTGCATGGGCTGTGAAGTATCGATAGCTGTTGGTTGGTATTCCTCCTCATCATCTGAGCCAGACATGCTCGCACTTCCATTACTGTCGCTGTCCACATCCATGGCGTCGTCGGAAGGCTGCATCGTCTCCACGTTTTCTGGCAAGTGCTCATGCGTTTCAACATAATCTTCTGGTTCAGGCGAGATCTCCATGTCATCTGCTTGAATTTGCTGTGCAGGATTGGCAATCCCAATTGACTGCGCGGGCTCGGTTTTCCCCCGAAGCGCCCCATGCATATCTTCGCGATCCATGCTAGCGTCAACCTCAGCGTCGACAGTTTCCTTGGCAGCCACAGTATCAGCGGGCATGCTGAGCGAGCCCTGTTGCGTCTCCATAGTTTCTTCGCGATTGTCAAGATGGCCGTTGCTCAAATCTAGTTGTGACTCGGAGATCGAATCTGTGGCCGGGTGCGATGGATCTGGACCAGCAATCGACTGCTCTTTGGTGGGAGCCGCTTGAGCTTCGGCCAGCTTTTCAAGCCTGATTTGTTGCAGCTCATCAGAATATCTTTTTTGACCCGATCGACCTTCCTGCAATTGCTCCTCGAATTTGGAGATTTCCTCAACTAATCTCTTCTCCTGCAGCCCTAATCGATCCAATTCGAGGTGTGTGGTTTGTATTTGAGCACGAACTTGTGCCAATTCCTGACGCACATCCTCCAACCGCGTCTCGGTCTTTTTCACTTTGGCATTCAAATCAGGCAAGCCTTCTTGTAACACTTGCTGCCGTTGAGCACGCTGTCTCAGGAGTGCCTGTTTCAACGCTGCCTCTCTTTCTTGAAGTTGTGCAGGGCTTAGTTTTGAGATCACCGGAGGGACAGTAGGACCTACAGGCTGGCGCTGAGTTACAGGCCGGGAGACACTAGGCAGTTCCACGGTGTGCGGTACAGGTGAACTGGTCAGTTGTTGATCTTCTTTGGTCACTGCGGGCGTCGGCGGGTTCGAGGACGATGGAGACTCGACTTGACTTCTGGTTCGTTTGAGCTTGTTTCGCTGCTCCAGCTCGGCAATTTTGCGACGCATAGCTTCAATCTCCGACTGTTTCGCACGATACAACTCATCCTTTCCTGAGTCACCGGTTGAGGCTTTTCGCAATGCTATTGTCGGAGTCTGATTGACGGGCGTCGGCTTATTCAATACTGAGGCGGCTGCCGAAGAATTTAGAACAGGTGCTGCGTCGTCTTCTTGCACATCTTGCTCTGAATCCGTACCCATCGCCATAGCGTCGCTCTCGGGCTCTTCGAAAATCTCCCCTTCCGACTGGTAGTCGGCTTCAACATCTGGAAGGGGTCGCGATGGTGTATACGGCAGATTCTGTTGTGTGTTCGGCTTCTTAGGAAGCGGTATGCCCATCATAGCTGAATCTGTGTTCGAGGGCCGTTTTGCTGGGACTGTGGAAGGCGATAGTGGCTGGAAATTTGACAGGCCAACTGGCGTTTCATTCTCGGCAGTCTTCGCTTGTCTGTTGCCCTCTGTGGAGCTCAGTGATGCCTCGATCGCTGATCTTGCAATCTCGTCGAAAGCAGATGGTTCATTCGAGGACATGAACAATCCCGGTATCAACGATGGCATCGAGGGTTGACTCTCAAAGGCAGATATTCCGTCTGCCGGCGAATTCATGAGGCTCTCGACAAAGGGGACGTTCATTATAAGCTCGCTGCCGATTTCGCGGCCGATTGCCACCGGCTCTGTGGGAACTTCCGATACACTACCTGCTGTCTTTGCCTGCGTTTCGCGTTTCAGCTTTTCCATTTTCTGTTTCACGAGCTCAGTCTGAGCCTTCGGCTTCGTTCCACTCGTTCCTTGAGAGGCAGCCACCGGCTCTGCCGGCAGCACCGACGGAATTTGTGGACTAGCGGAAGGCATGGCAACGCTGGTTGTGTCCGCAGATACGGTAGTCACAGTAGTCGGTTTGGGTCCTTCACGCTGGCTCAGGGTGCTTGATGTCGGGTTAGGGGTGGGACGGCCTGTCTTTGCAGCGAGCAACTGGGCAATGCGATCTTTCCTCTCCAAACTGGGACTTGGTACCGACTGTTGATTCCTGGTATCCACGATGGCCGGTTGCGCTATAACCTCACTGCTCCCACTTAGGCCAAGGGTGGTGGAAGAGGGAAGAATCATCGAGGATTGCGATATAGCCTGAGCCGTTGAGACTGTGGGTGTGTCCTTCTGTAATTCCGCCTTCGGTTGTGATGAAGCCGGTGGCTGCGAGGCTGTCGACGATACATTGCCACCAACCAGAGGATGTTGCTCACCGTGCACTTCCTCGCGGGCTTGTGATTGACTAAGTTCCGTCCTGAGGCCGAGCTCTTCATACAATTCATGCAAGATTTGGGGATTTATGCCTTCCTTGACCAGATCTGGGTAGAGGATCTTGTGGGGCACGAGCGATAAAACTGCGCCCTTCGCAAGTTGTCGCAGCTCAGCAAGGGACTTATTGTCATAGCTTCTCTCTACTGGCCTCAGATTGGCGCTTTTCGAGGGTTTACTAGAGGAACCAAAGCCACCTAGTGCTCGGTCGTTGATTGCCGCAGGACGAGTCGGGTCGTACGCTTACGAGCAGATTAGCAAGGCCCAGAGAGAGTGGGAGTTCAAAACTCACGCGAGACATTTCCATCAGCTGCTGAATCAGGCTCGGTGGCGTGGTTTGTATCTTGGGGATGCGAAGCTATCATGGACTGTTCAACTGCTCCCACCATAGCCTGCTTTTGGGCACTCGCGAATAGCATATCGACATCTGATCTGGAGCCAAAAGACGGAAGTGTCTGATCTGTGGCCTGATTAGACAAAGACCATACGAAGAGTAGTTTACATACCCTTGTCACGATCTCTTCCTTTGGTAAATGTGTGCGCAGGGTGTGAGATTCCACCTTGGACAGTGCCATACGTCTGAGTGTCTGTCTGCACATCCATTCCACCTCGTGAGCCAGGTTGCGCACCATTGAATTGATCTTCGGTCTGTTGGCGAGGTTGTTCATTTGGAACAAAGCCAGCGCCAAAGACTGCGGCTCCAGCTGCCACATGTTGAGGATAGGGTGAGGAAGTGGAGGTATTCACGGAACCTGGCAGCTGCGGATATGCAGCACCGGGTATTGGCACTGGAGGAAAGTTTGGAGGGGGTGGAGGCGGGAAACCCGCACTTGCAAATTGCTTGAAGAAATCGGAATTGAACGTAGTAGTAGGAGGGGGAAACGGAGGATGGAAAGGAGGCGCAGGAGGACGAATCTGTGAATTGACATCGAATCGTGGGCCATTTGCAGCAGGCGACGGCTGCTGTTGGTAGGCGGGATGCGTCTGGATTTGTCCCTGCGGTGGCGGAACCTGCTGAGGGATGCCTGGAGGAGTGTTTATCGGCTGCTGCAGGCCATTAGATGAAAAAGACGGGTAGTAAGACTGTTGAGGTGCGTATGACGGCGTGCCTGCGTACAACGGGGTGGAAGAGTAGGGATGCGCCATCTCTACGGCGTTGAGCAGCGGAGCGCACTGCGATTCGACAGAAAGCAAGTCAAGATGGGCGATGTCATCGACAGAATCTGATGTCCCCACAAAGACGCGCTCGCACTGATTCACACAAACTGCTCCTCATCATCACTGAGACAGCTCGCGAGACCAGTCCTCGACACGCGCAAAAACGAAGGGCGACCTTCTTACTGCTGCGTCACAATGCCCGCCAACTTCTTCACGTGGATCAATAATGCCCCTAAGGAATCTCTGAGGGTCGAGATCGGTGCAGAAGGGGTACTCGTCGTCCTCGAGGTCGTTGTGGTTGACACTGTCATCTTCTACAGATATAAAGGCGGCCGAAATGCAGAAGTCGAAGACTCGACTGACTTGGCATCCTGTCTACGGCAGTCGCTATGGCGGTGAAAGGCATATTTCTATACAGTTCCTGTCGCCCACCGTACCTCCATGGGCGGTGGCGTGCCCGCACGTGATGGACTGGTTGCTCTGCAAAGTGACGCCTTCCCCAATACAGAAGCACAAACAAAACATCGTCATCAAATCTGGATCACGACGAGGCTCCCAACACTCATCAGCCCTCATCCCACATTGACAACCTGGACACCGTCAACTTTACTAACATTCTCAGCCCATAGCATCTTGTCGCATGTGAAAAACAGTCTTTTCTTTGTTTTACTGGTGGCGCCATGCTGCTCCACGACCGCAGCCCAGACACCTCTCCGTTCAGCAACCATACTCAACGGCCTTTCACCCGATCAGTCCATTCCGACATGTCTGTGCCCTCACCGATGTCCCCTTCAAGCTTCAGCAAGTCTCTCCTCTTTGCCTCCCCGACGCCTACACAAACATCGACAGCCAGACATGAGCGCCAACAATCGTACTCTCCTACAGCAACCTTCAGCGCTGTCCCCTCCCACCTCCGCACCCATTCACTCCAGCGACAGGCAAGTACGTCCAGTACCTTTGCACCCAAATTCATCAAATCCGACGAAATGAGGAAAAGCGAAGATAGAATTTCAGCCATTGAAGGCGAGAATGACTTCTCTGGAAAGCGCTACGTATGGGTTAAAGATCCTGAAAAAGCATTCATCCGGGGTTGGATAACAGAAGATCTTCCGGGGAATAAGGTCCTCGTACAGTTCGACAATGGCTCATCAATAGAGGCCGATGTCGACGAGGTGGATAAGGTCAACCCAGCAAAATTCGACAAGGCCGATGACATGGCAGAACTCACCCATCTCAACGAAGCTTCAGTCATCCACAATCTGTACACCCGATATCAGGCTGATCTGATCTACACATATTCCGGCCTGTTCTTAGTGGCCATCAATCCTTACTGTCCCTTGCCTATCTACGGCAACGACTACGTGCGGATGTACAAAGGCCAAACCCGAGAAGACACTCGTCCCCATATCTTTGCTGTCTCAGATGCCGCCTTCCGCCGTTTGGTCGAAGAGGGAGAGAATCAAAGTATATTGGTGACCGGAGAGTCTGGAGCGGGCAAGACCGAGAATACGAAGAAGGTCATCCAATACCTCGCTGCGGTTGCCACATCAGATCTGGACACGCCCCTGACAGGTAGGACGCCGGGAAAACAGCTTTCAAATCTCTCCCAGCAGATCCTTCGCGCCAACCCGATCCTGGAATCGTTTGGCAATGCTCAGACCGTCAGAAACAACAATTCCTCCAGGTTCGGCAAATTCATTCGCATTCAGTTCACTCGATCTGGGCAGATTGCTGGTGCCTTCATCGATTGGTATCTGCTCGAAAAGTCTCGGGTGGTAAAAATCAGCCAGCAAGAAAGGAGTTACCATGTTTTCTACCAGCTACTGGCAGGAGCGGATCAAAGAATGAGAGATGCATTGCTTATTTCAGGCATGGACGTGGAGGATTTTGCATATACACGAGCCGGTAATGACACCATTGGCGGCGTGTCGGATCGAGACGAGTGGAACACGTTGATTGAAGCATTCCACATCATGAATTTCTCCGAAAAAGACCAAATGGCCGTTTTCAGGACCGTCGCTGCCATCTTACACCTGGGCAATGTTGCGGTCCGGCAAGAGAGCAGAGCGGCAGACCAGGCTTCGCTCGCCCCAGAAGCTCGAACTTCGGTAGACAAGGCATGCCGACTATTGGGTGTCCAACCAGACCCGTTCGTGAAAGCCCTTCTACACCCCAAAGTCAAAGCCGGGCGGGAATGGGTGGAGAAAACCCAGACCCCAGAGCAAGTGCGTCTTGCCTTGGATGCTCTGGCGAAAGGCATTTATGAGCGTGGCTTCGGGGACCTCGTCTCAAAAATCAATCACCAACTGGACAGAGGAGGGGTCAGCAGCGATGACAGCCACTTTATCGGAGTACTTGACCTTGCTGGTTTCGAGATTTTCGAGACGAATAGCTTTGAACAACTCTGCATCAACTACACCAACGAGAAGCTCCAGCAGTTCTTCAATCACTACATGTTCGTTCTAGAGCAAGAGGAATATGCTCGTGAGCAGATTGAGTGGCAATTCATTGACTTTGGCAAAGACCTCCAGCCGACGATCGATCTGATTGAGCTGCCCAATCCAATCGGGATCTTTTCCTGCCTCGACGAAGATTCGGTAATGCCCAAGGCTACAGACAAATCCTTCACGGAGAAGCTCAATTCCTTGTGGGAGAACAAGACGCCAAAATATGCACCTGCCCGTACTCGGCAGGGGTTTATTCTTACACACTACGCGGCGGAGGTCGAGTATTCCACCGAAGGCTGGTTGGAAAAGAACAAAGATCCTTTGAACGATAACCTCACTCGGCTGCTGGCTGCGTCGAAAGACGAGCACATCGCCAGCCTCTTTTCCGACTGTGTTGATGAAGTCGACGAGCCGTACAGCCCCCGAAGTCGCGTCAAGAAAGGCCTGTTCCGCACCGTGGCGCAAAGACACAAAGAACAATTGAGTATTCTGATGAGACAGCTGCACTCCACCCAACCTCATTTCGTCCGCTGCATTCTACCCAACCACAAGAAAAAGCCCAAGCAGTTCGTTGCTCCGCTGGTCCTGGACCAGCTCAGGTGCAACGGCGTGCTTGAAGGGATCCGAATAGCACGTACCGGCTTTCCCAACCGTTTGACTTTCGCAGAATTCCGGTCAAGATACGAGGTGTTGTGCGAAAATATGCCGAAAGGATACCTAGGAGGCCAGGAGGTTGCAAAGATTATGCTTGATCGACTGAAGATGGATCAGTCCAACTACCGCGTCGGTCTCACGAAGGTCTTCTTTCGTGCAGGAGTGCTGGCCGATTTGGAAGAGCAACGTGACAGCTTGATCCGGGAGATCATGTCCAATTTCCAATCTGTTGCTCGAGGCTTCATGCAACGGCGCTTGGCCTTCAAACAGCTGTATCGTGCAGAAGCCACAAGGGTCATTCAACGAAATCTCAACGTGTACCTTGACCTCCAAGCCAATCCGTGGTGGCGGCTCTTTGTCCGGATGAAACCTCTGCTGGGAGCGACTCGAACCGCAAGCGAAGTCAAAAAGCGAGACGAGAAGATCGAGCAACTGCAAGCGAAGGTGAGACAAGACGCAGCCGAGAGACAGCGGGTGGAAGAAGAACGGAGGCGGGCAGAAATTGAAGCCCACCGAATCCAACAGACTTTGGATTCAGAACGAGCACTGGCTCTGGACAAAGAGGAGATTTTCAAGCGATTACAATACCGAGAAAACGAGCTGAGCGAGAAGCTGGCCGAAGCGATTGCCGAGCAAGAGACCCTGGAAGATCAATTAGACGAGGCATTGGATTGCAAAAAGAAGACCGAAGAAGAGCTGGTCACTCGTCGGGAACAAGTTTTGCAAGCTGGCCAGATCATAACGAGACTGGAATCGGAGAAGAAAGAGCTTCAACGACAGATCGACAAACTGGAAGACGAGCTGGAGAGTGTGGAGAAGTCGCATACTCAGAACGATGACCGGCTCGAAACCATCAGTCAGGAGCTTCGTTCGTTGCGAAGCAATCTGAGCGTGAAAGACCGCAAGATATCGGAGCTCGAGGCGAATCTCCACCAAGCGGAAAAGGACAAGGAAACGCGCACCTCGAGCCTGGAGCAAGAAGTTCGATCTCTGAAGAGCCAAATCTCACAACGCGACCGGGCAACGGAAGGTCTTGAGCAAGAACTTCGGTCACTGAAGAGCCAACTCTCCCAGAAAGACAGAACGACTGAAGACTTGGAGAAGAAACTTCACCGTGCCGAGTCCCTCCGAGCGGAAGAGAACAGGAAGCAGGCAGAGGACTTTGACGTGCAAGTCCGCTCTCTACGGAATGAACTCAATGCCAAAGAACGCAAACTGCAGGAGCTCGAGACCGCACTGTCCAAGATTGACAAGGACGCCGAGGCCAAACTGGCGCAAGCCACGGGCGAATTGAACAACACCAAGAAGCTGCTCCGAGAAACCCAAGGCCAGAATGAAGAGCTTAGGAATCAAGTCACGAGCATGTCCCTGGCCTCCGCCAAGCACGAAGAGTCACTACGTCGCAAGGAAGGCGAGGTATCGGCCATCATGGCGGACCTGGAACAGCACCAGCGCGAGAAGGCGGATTTGCGGAGAGAAAATGACCGGCTGAAGGGAGGACACGAGGGCTTGGCTGCGGAAAAGAGAGAGGTAATGGCACAGATGGAAAAGATGCGGGAGCAGAGAACTAGGATGGAACGGGAGGCGGTGGAAGTCAAGAAGTGTCTGGAAAGGGTGATGCCCTTTTTCTCGCAGAACTTCACATGAGAAAGGGGGCGAGTGACAGTTACGCACGGGACATGGCAACGAGATGAAGGCGATGGCGTCGACAGCGGCTTCTTGAATGGGCCTGGCATGAATCGTTTTAATGTGTTTGGCGTGTTGTTTGGTTATGCATATTCACTGCAGGCAGGATGTTCTCAACACTGTATATAGTTCTCGATTGGACAGCAATCAATACTGTGTATGTGAGAGGTCTTGTTGTTGTTGTTCTTCTTCTTCGCGAGGCTGAACCGACCCTGACGCTTTTTCGTCATGAGAATTCGCCCAGACGCTGGCTCACGTCGTCGTTCAGCATTATCCCTCGCACGTAATGTCCTCCACGTCCATCAAACACGCCCCAATGTTGCTCAACGATGTTTCGGGACGAGCTAACTGTCTTCCACCGGAGGAAGGGAGGGGCACGTCCAGGAGGAATTTCAATCGCCAAGCAATGAGTGGCCTTGGCGAGCCAACAGCAGCAGCAAGGCCTTTTGGTCCCTTGCTGATTGATTGACGGATCGTCGTCACAGCGCGCGACCTTTGCCCTGTAGCTCATGCAGTGTTGTTGGCTTCTTTATCGCTAGTTGAAGTCGCGTTGCGGAATTGAAATCGACGCGGGCGAGGAACCACTTCCGACTGTATGGACCACTTCGGAAAGACGATGGGTGATTCCAGTCCTGTTCGATCGGATTGGGCTGGTTCTTTCCCTTGGCTCTGCGTTGCGTGACAACTGATGGGTATCCGACGTGGTGGTTCCGGCGTTGCAGTAGCGAAGCTCTTTCTCCAGAGCTGTCTGACAAAGATGTCGCTAAGAGTACTCAACTACCCAACAGACACGACACTTTTCCTTCTTGAAAAGAACATCTGCACCATACGTCGGATGTTATGGTCGCTGAGCTTTCGGCGTGGAACTCGGCAGTCGTGTCATCTCGGCGCCCGGTGCTCGACCCGCGAACATCCCACCCTTACAGCCCTCGGGTTTTGCTCTCGTCGAAGCCCAGGCCCTCGACCTCTCCTTTCTGGCCCTTACCCATCTGCTCGCGGACATCGAATGCGGGCCGTCCGGCGTACAGCTGGCTCTTGATGCCCCCCGCCCGGCGCCCCTTCCACCTTCCCTGCCCCCACCATCACCGCCCTCGAGTTCCAAGCTCGTTGAAATGGGTGCGTTGCCGCGAAACCGTTTCCGCATGTCCACGAGTCCGCGCCGACATTCCCGAAACCCGATTTTGAGCTGTTGGCATTGCTCGGGCAGGGTTTCGAGCAAGGGGTGGGAAAGGCACTCGACGGGGGTGTGTCGCTGTACGAGAATGCAGTCGCTGTTCTGGAGGCATTGGGCGAGGGCGTCGCCTGTCAGACGGGGGAGAAAAGAGGACGTTAGTAACACACATATCATAGGTTGAGGGAAGCAGAGAGCAAAGATGCAAGGATGTACCATGTGGCGGGAGAGAACGAACGTACGGATGTCTTTACACGAGGACGGCATTGTGGACACAGAAAGACGCGGCCAGCTGGGTCTGGAGAGGCGGGAGAGGTAGACAAAGCGACTGGGTGTTTGTTGATAGACTCCTTTCTCTTGATCCAAGGGAAGAGAAGCTACAGCAGCATGAGGATTGAAGCTATTAGCTATTAGTTATGATGATCTGAGCATCAGTTGATTCTTTTGGGGGAGCATTAAAATGTTCTCCAATTTGCGGAGTCGGCAGACTTGCCCCTTTCGAGCGCCACCACGAGAATGAGAGAGAGAGAGAGAGAGAGAAAAAGGCTCGACCTTCGACTGTGTGCGACACAGAGACAGTCTTGTGACTGCTCGACAATCCTGTCCATTGGGAAGAAGCACGATGAAGCTGGTAAAAGGGTCACACGCAGACCAAGCGTGGAACTGACCATTTTGCTGGCAGAGATTTCTCTCACAGAGGTGGTGGATGTACGTAAGCATATTGATATGAGGTTTGATTGAGGTTTACCCTTCCATCCTCAGTTCAACGTATATTGAGGCCACTTCTTCTTGACAGGTCAGGGTGAGTAAGGTGAGTCAAGTATATACATACATACACCTATATACGTCGACCCTCGCGAGTGACTACCTCACTTCGAACGGGAACGTCGGAACCGATCACTGTTTGTCCACCCCTTCTTCAACTTCTTGAATCTTCAGCTCCAGGTCCTGATCACGCACGGGCTTCTCAATGGTGATGGCCGTGACGGTCCAGACTGTCGGCAAGACGATGATCAACGAGCCCATCGACAACCCCCAGTTCATGCCCAGCTGCGTCATGGGACTCTTGTGCAGCGCATTGATCCTCCACGCCATGGCGCCACCGGTCGCCTGGAAGGTCTTGTACGCGCCCACGAGAATGGCCGCCCGAGAGGTCGAGTTCGACTCGGTGCCGATCAGCCAGTAGCAGAACCCTTGCCACAGGGCGTCATAGGCCCCGTAGAAGATGTACAGGAAGATCGGACCCGTCGACACCGAGCCCTGCGTGTAGTCGATATCCTGCTTGAACCCGGCAGCGAGTCGTCGGTCTTGCCATCTCTGGAACGCATATCCTCCACCCCAGATGGCCATACCGGTGACAAAAAGTACGACCCATCCCACACGGGCTCGCATCGGCCGGCTGAGAAACGGGAGATCCAGCAGTCATGCCGTTGACCTGGTTCTGCTGGTACGAGTAGAAGACGTTGGCGCAGAAGAACAGATGCAGCATGCAGAAGACGCGCCAGCTCGCCATGGTCCGCACGGCAATCTCGACGGTGGCCCTCCACGAGTGTTTCTCCCGCTCGACAGCGGCGTGGAGCTGCGCCAGGCGGATCCGTTTCGGTGAGCAAATAAAGACCCCCAGCGCCCAGCCGAAGAGCATGATCACCATCAAGGCGATATAGGTCGAGTCGGAGACCGTGCCAGACTTGGAATGGAAATTGAGCCCGAAGGACGCGAGACTGCCGACACCGCCGCCGAGATTGAAGATGATCCAGAAGACGGCAATAGCACGGCCTTTCTGAGATTCGGCGACGTAAGTTGTCATCTGCCAGTGTCTGTTAGATTGAACTAGTCACACGAGCGAGCCATCATAACAACGGCTCTCCTTGACAAAAGGGGAAGGCGGAAGGCTCACGATGGCACCCTGAACAACCCAAAGCATCGAGGCACCAATGCCCAGGATCGCACCCGACGCAATGACGAACGCGCCGTTGTCATGATCTGTCAGCTGTCAGAAAGATGCGCACCCTCGCAGCGGCGTCGTCCTTACGGTTGAAATTGAGCAAGCTGCCGCTGTACAGCGCATACGTCCAGCCACCGAGCAAAAAGCAGATCCGCGGCCCCGTGTACGAGAAGAGAGGGCCGACGATGAACAAGGCTGTGCCAGCAGTGGCGGAAAGGAGGGCCACGGTAGCATTCGCAGCCACTGTGTTGGTTGGTCAACGCATACTCTAGCTTGAACTTGTCGGTCCTGCTTCAAATACCTGTCGGATCGACTTGTCCAGAGCCTCCGAGACCACCAAGCGCATTGTACATCTATGAGGAGGTCAGCGCGTATCCCCTCGATTCCTCTCCTCGGTAGCGAACAGGTACTTACCCCAGGGCAACAGAAGCATATCAGACTAATGAGGATAATCTGAGTCCATGGGTGCGCATAAAAGGACTTGACGGATGAGAAGCGGGAGCCATCCCCTCTCTCGACATTGCCCTGATACGATTCAACCGGCTGGGCAGCCTGTGCCTCCTCTTCTTTGACCATGTTGAAGAAGACTCGCAGCCACAAACGGATAGGGTGGGAGTGTACACAATAGGTACGTCCCGCAATGGGCCATCGCCCATGTTATAAGGGGCAGCATACAGATTGGCGATATTGTCGTACAATAGTCCCCCAGATATGTCCCAGCACCGAAGGATACCGTTACCGTTACATCGACTATTTTGTTCTCCTCAATCCCAAACTCTGATTAGCCTTTGATAAGGCTCTTGTCGAGGCGAAAGAGAGTAGACCCTTTTCTTCATCTGGACGAGATCAACAGTTACCGGTACAGGGAAATCCTTCGGTTACCGGCACGCCACCAATCCCCACTCGAGCCTTTCGGAACATGTTATGAGCATGGCGGGAGATGTACCCGGGTCAGCGGGCTTCCTGTCAGGGAGGCAAGGACGCCTTTCTGCAAGCGCGTGGTTCTCCGCGTACTCCTATTCAGGTCATGCACGCTATCGTCCTTTGAAGTTGCATTGGGGATGAGTGTAGCAATCCATTATTAAATAGGATCGAAATCGCGCCTGGCCCAAGTGGACCTTCCAAGACCGAGATACGGTAGGATTTTGGAAAGGGAAGATCAAGATGTCTTTGGGCAGCGGTTGTCGAGTCCAACCCGGGGCCGCAGCTCTTGTCCGCGAACCTTTCTCAGCGTCCTGGCAATGCAGTGAATGACGACCCCGGCTTGTCCGACGATGAAGTGAAGGAAGGCAAGCAAGAAAGAAAGCAAGCAAGCCCATGGCCACATCCGAGAACTTGGTCGCATTGCAGACCGAGCAAAGAAATGCAAAGAGTCTCGATATTGATCAGGTCTCGACCGTTGAGCTCTGCCGAATCATCAATGCAGAAGACGCCACTGTTCCGGAGGCCGTGTCGAGATGCATTCCTGTTATCGCGACGGTCATTGACTGCCTAGCTGCCAGAGTTCAGGCTGGGGGCAGAGTGATATATGTTGGCGCTGGCACTAGCGGAAGGTAAAGAAAGCCATTGGTCGCGTTGTCCACAAGATCGAAAGACATTCTCATAATCTAACTGCGATCCTGGGTACAGACTTGGTGTTTTGGACGCCTCAGAGATTCCACCCACATACTCTGCCCCCGAGGGTCAGTTTGTGGGCATCATCGCCGGTGGAGATGCAGCCCTGCGACACGCGCAAGAAGGTGCAGAAGACGACCTGGACGCCGCCGTCCGAGATCTGAAGGCGCTTCACATGGACGGAGCCGTTGATTCATTGATCGGCATCGCCGCGTCTGGTCGCACGCCTTACGTGCTGAGCTGCCTGTCCTATGCTAAGAGTCTCGGTTGCGCGACGATCGGCGTGGCTTGTGCCCGGCCTTCTGCCATGAGCACCAGCGGCGACGTGGATTTCATGATTGATGCCGTTGTCGGACCTGAGGTTGTGACGGGCAGCACGAGAATGAAGGCCGGGACGGCGACGAAGCTGGTTCTGAACATGCTCAGCACGGGGGTCATGATCAAAATTGGGAAGACGTACGGAAACATGGTATGAAAATCAGAGCCCACCGTCGTCGTATCGGATAGGGGGAGAAGATGCTGATCAGATGCTGATCCGATTCAGATGGTCGATCTCAGAGCGACAAACTTAAAACTGCAGCAGCGATCGCGAAACATACTGCGCACCATCTGTGGCGCTCGATGTCCCGACTCGGACGCAAGTTTAGATGCCCTCCTCTCAAGCTGCCAGGGAAGCGTCAAGCTCGCCATTGCCACATTGGGTCTAGGGACCTCAGTCGCAGAGGCGAAGCAGCGCTTGCAAGAGGCGGGCGGCGTCCTGGCTAGTGTCCTGAGGGAGCCTATCAATGGATGTGTAAAGGGGCAAACAGCAACAACGACGACAGACAGCAGCCATGCTCCAGAATATGTGCTTTGCGTGGATGGCGGTGGGAGCAAATGCGCCGCCGTCGTGATCTCTACAGACGGGCAAAGAGGATACGGCGAAGGACCCGGTTGCAATGTCACCGACGTCGGCGTCGAGGCTGCCATTCAATCGATATCTGTGGCGATCCAAAGAGCATGCGATGACAGGCACTCCAGAGCCCGAGCCGGGGTACCGTGGACTCCTGACCTGTTCTCATCTGTCTGGATCGCCCTCGCCGGCTACGACCGGAAAGAAATCGCAGCCACCGTCGACCGCGTGCTGGCACAGCTCTTCCAGCGGCCCCTCGGTGCCACATTGACCGTCACCAATGACATTGAACTGCTGGCGACGTCAGCAGCGGCGAAACACGATAGCGACGCGGCAATTGTGCTCGTCGCCGGCACTGGATCAATCGCAATGACTTTCAAGCGCCAGGAGGGGGGCCGATTCGTCCGCGTCGGCAGGTCAGGAGGTTGGGGTCATCTTCTCGGCGACGACGGCTCGGGCTTCGATATCGGGCGACAGGCCATCCGTCTTGCACTGTCCGCCGTTGACGAAATCAACAACAACAATGGCCAACCCAGCTTAGACGCGGACAAGGCGCGGCTCCGCACCCCGACCGCGCTCGTCCAGCGAGTGTGTGACTCGCTCAGCCCCAGCAGCGGCGGGGACACGGGGGACTTGGACTTACTGAGCTCCGTCCTATCCCCTTCCTCGGACGTGGAGAAGAAGAAACAGATCGCGCAGGTCGCCCGGCTTGTGATCGACGCAGCAAGCATAGAAGGTGATGTACAAGCAACAGACATCGTCCGAAAGGCCGTCCAGAGCCTGGTTAAGCTGCTGGATCCACTCACCGGGTCGGGACAGGCTGATATCACAGCATCCAGCCTCGTGTTGGCCGGCGGCTTGATGCAGAGCCGGGCGTTTGCGGACGCATTTCAGGAAGCCCTGTCCACGACCGGGTTCCAGTTCAAGCATGTCGAAGTGGTCCAGCAGCCGGCGATTCTGGGCGCCGAATACTTGGTGCGAATGCAACAACAGGGCAGAGCTTGAACATATAACGAACGACCTGGGAAAGACAAAGTGGACGGATATCAATTGTACGCCGATTCAACTGCCTTTATGCGCGTGTATCAAGAGGCGGTGGCCAGGTGGACGAGATTTACCAGCGATTGATTCGAGTCGGCAGGACAAACAGCACGACATGGATGTAGATAAAAGTATGATCCGAATCAATGTTCTATCCAAAAGATTGGTCTTCTGAGTCCATCGCCTTTTCATTCAAAGCTTTTGTATCTAGAGAGTCCCTTATATGCCCCCGTCCATCCGTCAACGAAGCCCATAGAATACATGAAGTCCTTCTCCCGCAGTGGAAATTGTCGCAAAGCACGCTTAGAGCATAGAGAGGAAGGTCGTCACGACTGTTCACCTCGGGCTGCTCACACTCAACTTCCTCCGCCGCTCGGCTTCCTCCTTTGGTGGCTCGCAGTACAACCACACCAGAACAAAGGCCACGAAACCCACGATCACGCTCCACAAGCCCCCGATCCACGGCCACGCACCACTAATCGCCCAACTCCGAGGCCACTCGTCGTGGGCAAAGTGTCTCACGGTGACCTGTCTCTTCTCCTCGATGTAGGTGAGGAAGGGTCGCTTGTAGTTCACCTTGAACGCGAAGATGCCGTGTTGGTCCGGAGTCGTAAATGTCGTACTGAAGATGGTGCTGTTAGGCGTTACAGAGGATGGATGGAGAGGGATGCGGTGGAAGGGGGAGAGCATGGTGAACTCGAGCTGGAGAGCGTCGTCGGTTGGAACAGTGAAGGGAATGTAGTGTGTGCGGTCGTACTGGCCGATTTCGATGGAGAATTTCTAAAGAGTCTCGGTCAGTGGAAGACAGCCCATATAGGGACAAGAAGAGGCACTCACCACGTCATTTTTGATTCGATAGATGGCCGGATCGTACTCGCTGATCTGCGTCGTGTTCTCACCAGCCTTGATTGGAGCCTTGATCTCGTAATGTTGGATATGGAAGACCTTGAGGACGCCGACCTCCTGGAAGGTCCACTCGGTCAATTGCCTCGCAAATTCTTTGTTGGCAGTCTTTGCAGTCTTTCCACTCGGAAATTTCACGGACGCATCAAACCATTTGTCTTGAAGCATCTCCAGCGAGCCAAGGACTGTGAATCTTGCAGAATTGCGGGCTTGCATGGCCGTCACCAGCGCCAACTGCGAGCCGGTAGCGAAGGGCTCTTCCACGCTCTCGCCCTCCTCTTTTGGGTTATATGCATATGCCGTGACTGGTGCCTTCAGAATCGGCGCCAGGAGAGGACTGGTGTTCCCCAAGGTCTGCCCGACTGCTTTGGGCACGGCTAGGGTGCCATCACCACCAAAGAAGTTGACAACATCCGGCCTCAACTGCTTCGGGCGATCGACCAGGAGGACGTCGTGCTTCTCGGCCGCAGAGACAGTGTCGTAGTTGAAATGGTCGACCACAACAGACGATTTGTCCGGAGATAAAGCGATGTCAAACTCGAGGAGGAGGGAGGAGATAGCGGAAGGGGTGCTCATGTCGGACGACAGACCAAGCAAGACATTTCCACCTGCGTTAACATAGTCAAGCAGTATCTTGGGCGTCAAGGCCGGACCGTAACCTGTTCACTCTCAGTATCTATCCTGACCCAAGTTGTAGACTGTGTTCATTACCTTTCGACTTCGGGGGTGTGAGGAGTACATGTTCATAGGCCAGCTGGCCATGTCTGAAGAGGGAGAGGTCTTCATTTCTGGGAGACTGAAAGAACAGTTTAAAGTCACGCCCTGGTTGAGAAGATCAAAATCAGCCGTGGCTCTTCCCCATCGATGCGTAACGCAAAAGAGGCTCGAATCCAAGAAGAACGATACCTTCCAGATCAGCCCAGAATTGCGAGTAGAGTCCCTTTTGCGAATCGTCTTCCAGAACGACCAGCACTCGGTCTCCCACGGCGCTTTTAGCCAGCACAGTGCTCAGCAGCGGCAGGAGGAGAAGACAGATGGAAGACAAGAGCCGCATCTTGAGAGAAGACAAGATGGACCGACCTGGTTGCCGTGCTCAACCCCCCAATGGCTTTTGCGTACTGCGGAGACGAGACGAGATGTGGTCAATTATGTATGTATTCCTTGTAGGGAAACTGGCCCGATGATCCACAGTAGCTGCCAAGACTGCGCTTGGGGACATCCATCCTGAGCTTCCCATCTACTTACTACTGCTGCTCTGCGACACCCTCCTTCAGACAACCGCCCATTGAGCCCTCCGCAGGGCGAAACAACGGGATCATCCAGGTGGACCATATCGATTGCCTCTCTCTTTAGCAGCTCGCGACCCTTCTCGAACCCGGATTGAGCTCCCACCTCACACGATCCGGTCTTGTACAGCTCAATTGCTACGCAATCACAGCCAGCTTCCCCTTCCTCCCTCCACAACCTCCTCGCCAATCCGTGTAAACGCCAGAGATTTTCCTCCAGAGTCTTCCAGGAGCCCACATTCGCCCTATCCTCTCGTCAAGCAACAATGTCCGGCGCCCCTGCACGTTTCTGGGGTCAACCCATCCGGTATCTTCGGTGGGCGGCGCACGAGAAGCCGGCAATATTCTGGAGCTGCGTTATGGGTGGCCTGGGACCTGCGACATTCGTCTTCATCCCCCCCATGAGGAGATACTTTGGGGACCAGGATCCACCGAGAATTCCGCTAACTTATCCCGGTACGTATGCGAATCCGAGAGACCTGTATCCGCTGTTGGATTACATATGTGATAAGATCCTTAAGGGAGACTACGCCGGCTTTGGTCGATGTACCAGGAAGACGGGGAAACAAACATTGAACATGGGGATATCGGGTGGCTTGGGAACGCCGGGTTTGGAAATATCAGATGCTCTACACGCCTTCTCTCTGCGATAATTCAATGGACAAAGGCACTGTGGGACGTTTGCTGACATGTGCCCCTCGATATCTAGTACCAAGCGGGCCGAGAAAGATACCGACGGGCTTCGACGACCCCGAATGAAAGCTCAAGTGTGGTTTAAGTTTCATCCAGCCGGAATCTGAAGTCTTTGGCACATCAGGTGCTCAATGGCGGCGGAGGACTGCATAGACTGCAATGGCTCTGATGATGCTGGCAGCAGAGAAGGCGATGATGGTCAAGTAATAGACAATGGCCAGAGGCACTACAATTCATGGAAAAAAGACAAGAAAACATTGAAGAATCGATTTTGGACTCAATCCCGTTTGTTTGTCCCCAGCAATTCAATCCCTGGACTGCGCTTTTCTTCTTCCCAGCAGCTCTATTCTTGTGCAATGCCGAAGCTCCTCTGTGATCTGGGAACCACTTAGGGAACGTCCGCGAAGAATGGCGCCTCGTCCAAGAACCGAACCAACATTGCGCATGAAGGTCCACCTTCTGACGTGTGGCCATTGTCGAACTGATATCCTGGTTCACGTCCGTCGCGTCTGTGTTCGTATGTGTTTGTACGCAAGTGGTGTGCTGGCTCACATCTGTCTCGTCTCTCTCTTATGCTGTTGTTATGCCCATGCTTCTTTTCCGGGTGGCCGCGGCGATCACGAAAGAAAAAAACTCCCAAAAGGAAACCCTCCCGCCTACCTCCCCCCATAGTCCGAAGGATGTTGCAACTATGTGAATACATCGGGCAAATGTACGCGACCATCCCAAGGACGGGGCCAGTGGAGGCAGCTCCTGATCGCAGTTCGAGCGATGTTAGGTTGATCACTCCTCCATCTGCATCAGGTCATCAAAGCCAGATTCAGGGATGAACATGTCGTTTTCGGAGTCCGCTTCATACTCTGAGCCGCCGCTGGCACTGTCCAATTCGTCGACTTTGGCGCGCTTCGCTGGTCGGGCGGGAGGCCGATGATTGCTGCTGCTGCGGCGGACATTGCGCTTCCCGGCAGCTTTGTCGACGATACTCTGGACCTCCATGGCCGCTTGTTCCTCCTCGATGTCGTCGTACATGCTTTGCAATGGATCCGTGGATTTGTCCGCAGCCGGATCCGGTGTGTACCACGGCATATCCTCCTTTTCGATTGCCGCACACGTCAACCAGAAGATCTCATGCTGCTCTCTCTTCAAGTGGGTGTTTTGGACCATGAGGTCTTCCACGAATCGCTTGATGTCTTCCTTGAGCACACCCATGTTGGCCTCAAGCACATGACACGCCTTGATGCTCATGGGGAAATATTTGTGGAACTCTTGGAAGTCCATGTGGGTGAGATAGGCCGCACCACCCTCATGCAGGGCAGTGTAGAAGTTCAAGCCTCCGTCAGGGGCGCGTCGGGTGCGGTCGTCGGAAATGTTCTGGGCAAACCACTGTCGGAAAAAGCTCACAGCCATCCACATGTAGATGTCACTGGAATATGAAGGACGACCGGGCTTGTCGGCTGCGGCGCGGCGCATGAACTCCGGATAATGACCCAGCATGCGCAGTTCGATGGCCTCCTTGACCAGTCCAAGTTCATTTGCCTTACGCTCCAACATCGCACGGATGTCGTCACTGATGCGATTCTTCTCCGTGTCACTGATGGTGGCCCACTGACCGATCAAATGGATAGCTGCTTCAGAAAAGATGGCAGGGGACCGGACGCGGCGACCCAGCTCGATCCAGACGTGAGGATTCCCCAAGATGGAAGTCCAAAGGACATTATCTTGACGCATCAAAGCGAGATCAGCCACATCGCGGACATGATCGATCGAACCGACAGATTCAGCACACTCGATGAGAGCAACAACGCAGGAAAGGACCGTGGCCAAGGTGCTGTCGTCGAAGACAGGCTCACGGTTGTAGAAGATGCCAAAGAGCCAATCCCACGCCCGGTTACTGTTGTCGCGGGCCTTTCCATTCTCGAGGTCTGGCATAACGATATTCATGCTAGGGCCTACCACCCGCCCAGCCTCGTTAATCTCCTGCGTTGTAGCTCATTAGCCTCTGATCTGCTGCGACGTGTCCAAGTTGAGAGGGTCCTGGTTTACCACACGGACGAACTCGCCAAACTTATTTTCGGCGGGCGACCGCTTGAATTCAAACCGGTATGCGACCGCGTTGTCGCGGCGAGCCTGGGCATTCAGGCGAGGCCCCGGCTTCGCGGCAATTTGCTGAGCAAAGAAGGATGAATGAGCTGAGAGAACCTGCGAGTGAAGTTTGTAGACTTGGGTGGACGAAATGATGATGAGGACGTCGCCGTCCAGAAACTTGGGGAAATCTGACTTGGATGGCGACGCCATCTTGACAGCGTCGAGGGAGATGTTGGCAGTATCGAAAGGAGTAGACGAGATGGCAGAAGAGGCGTACACCCTTTCAGGTAAGAGAGGAGGAGGAGGGCAGAAGGTGATGAGGAAACGAATGAAGTGAAAAGAGACCAGAAAGGAGAAAAATTCGAGGCGCAACGACAAGTCAAGGTGACTACCTCCCACTAGTGAACCGCACGCCTTGTTGATATGAAGTTCGGGTGAGGCAGTACCTTGGTGACATGGGGCGCCGGGTGACGCTCTCGATCGAGGGCACGCCGAGCAAGTGAATTGAGGTTGGCGGCCGGGCAACAACTTCACTCGTGACCCTCTCTGCCCGATGGAGCGGCAGTCACCTCTGGACCCAATCTATAGTGCTTCGACGACGCGATCACGTCTAGCAAAGGTGTATACCATGGACGCAGTCCGGCATCTCCTCGGTCTCCTCGATTCCCGACCACGGAACAATGGATAGACCTACTTGGGATGGAGTGAAAAGGCGGCAGGGGGGTTGACAATGACGGGTACCAGCAATCCAGGTTCTTGGGTAGACACGGAAGAAGGGCTATACATATAGAAGGTGTTGTGCCATTAGTTTGTTGTCATCAGTCTCGATAGATCAAACACACAAAAACACCTGTCAAGCCCCTTGAATTTCATCTCCAGCACGCCAATCCAATGCCCGGTGCTTCCATTTCCTGATTCGTGAGACCGGGTTTTGCCATGATGGTTATCAATCTTTGGGAAGAAAATCCATTTCCAGTAAATTTCAATACGCCTCCAGGATCCGTGGGCAAGACGGTGGACAGAAAAGCCCAACTCCACTAAAGTGATGCGCTGGTTGGTATCGCTCTGTAATCATAGACGGTGCAAACTGTGTTGCCTCTGAAACCTCCAATAGTTCGTGGCCGTATGAGCGCCGATGTCACAATCCGGTTGTATCCCCATGGCACAGGTCGTCATGTCAATCCGGGGCAAAACAATAACAGTGCATTTGCAATCCATGTGGCCTGTTTGTTCCAAGGCCTGCGGCACGGCCGGGCAAGAATATAGGGACCTCTGAAATCGGAATCCCGGGTGGGTTTGGGGGAGCTCCTCGCTCAGGCATAACATCATCCGGGGACATATGCTGCATGAAAAGGTCACAAGCAAGATGGCGCTCATCTTCGAGTGGTGCGTGTCTCCGGATAGCCTGGGGGATACGGACCACCCATTATATCTCCCCTTCGCGCATCATAAGACGCTGATATCGGCTGGGTGACAGGCGGTGCTGACCCTGCCGGGTATCCGGGCCGACCGTAGGCGGTCGATGGTGCGGCTCGGGTGATGGCTGATGTTGGCGGCGTCGTGTTCCCGCCATGTAACGTCCGTGGTTCTCTGTCTACTCCGTAGTACGCCGGTTGGCCCGGGGCATATCCTGACTGTTGAGAAGAAATGGCATATCCGGTATACCCAGGTTCGGGAGGATAACCCGTGGTGACGGGGATACGGCCAGTAGCCACGGGGCGGGGAGGTTCCAGGTCACGCTCACGTTCACGCTCACGCTCACGGGGTTCACGATGCCTAAGAGGCGCACGGTAATCATCCTCGTCAAGGTCCATGTCTCCGGGAGGTGGGAAGCGTCGTCGGTCTTGGATCCTTTCTTGCGAGTCTGCCAAGTCGGCATAGGAACCTGCCCGAGCCTTAGACTCGTTTGCTGGAGGTGTCGTACGGCCCATACCTCGGTTTGGTTCACCTTGTCGACGCCTTCGTTCTTTTTCGCGGAGCCACCTCTCCGACTCGTCACGCAGGCTCTGTTCCATGGCCTAGCCAAGGGGGGAAGTCGGTCAGTATGGGGATCTCATCACACGAAGGAGGGGAGGCCGCAACCAGGAATCCGTACCGTCGTAAGTGCGCGATATCCCCTAACCCAGTAACCCGGACGTCCCTAACGACAGATGTTAGCAACCCATACTTACCATGGAATGACGTGTTTGAGGCTGCATACTCGAGAGTCGACACCGGGGCGACATGTGGCATCTTGGCCAAGGAATTTGCAAATCTCGTGTTGAATCACTTCGCGTTCAATTCCTTCTCCTGGGCACCAGAATTCGGAAAGCTGGAGTTGTGGCCTTGGAGGTTCATCACGGTCCCTCATGGCCGTGTCCATCGGTATACGACGACTGGGAGGAACAGGATCAAGGTAATCACGGTCTTCACGAGGATATCTCTGGGGTAATTGTCGGTACATTGTTCCAGTGGCGGGATCTTGATAGAGCCTTTCAGGAGGCTCGACGCTACGGTTGTCCACGGTACGTTCCGGCCGAAGAGGATCGATGCTCCTGGCAGTGTTGGCCCTGGTTGGGTCTCTCGAGATATCCATATTCATGCGGTCCATCCTGAGGTCCGGGCGGGCTTCCACACGACGGTCAATTCCAATATCCATGACATCAGACATTGGCGTGTCTCTTTCTCTTCGTTCGGGGTGGTCGTCTATTATCCTTCTCTCCCGCGGTGCAGGTTCAACACGCTCGCGAGGGTCACGCTCACGTTCTCTTTCTCTTCGACGAGGCTCGCCTCCACGGTAGTCTCGTTCTTCATAACGGGACATGCTGGCGGCCGCGAATATAAAGGGGCTCCGATGTGCAAGAGCGAAATCCTTGTTCCGTTGGGCAGCAACGAAGGCGGGAACAGACAAATGGGAAGGAAAGTGGTCAGGAGAACTGTTTTGAGGATAAGCGACTGGGATTGCGTTGGTCAGGTTTCCTGTGTGGGCTAAGGCAACTCCTGGGTAATCAGCATCCACCGGGATAGACAAGTTCCAAGGAGTCCGTAGGGATTGAGGTCCAATGGGTGGGATATGGCCGGCCTGGATAAAGGAGTGGGCGACGTGATTAATCGGACGGGGGAAAAGGTAATGATGTGAAAGGGACAGGTTTTTGGAAATAGGAAAGACAGAAGAGAAGGGGAGAGGGGGCGAGTTGTGTGCGCAGTGTGGCACGCAGGCAGAACTGACGAACTGACACCAGGCGGCTTTTGGGCAGACGGCGGGTGGTTCAAGCGAGGCATTGCCACCCAATCGTTGGCCCTGGGCGGCCTTGTACAGCCGCCCAATCCAAATAAGCAGCTTGGGGGGTAACCCAGGTCACCGGTGGATGACTAGGCATGCCTACTCCATACCAGAGGAGGTACCTATGTACGAGAACGGCAGGGAACGAGAACAGGTTGCGGGATCGATGCCCCGGAGCGTACAAGGACAAACAAACAAAGACTCCCTCGTCCTCGTCCCCATTAGCTGCGTCTCCTGCTGCATGATACAGATAGCAGAGGAGGACAAACCGAGCTTTGGAGTAAGCCCAACGTCTGGCCAGGTGCTGAAACGCGAGACACCGCTGGAGTGGGATGATGATCGCACATACCGTCGATCAACAGACACCCCAGTCTAGCAGAGAAGAGAAGGTGGCATTCCTGCTATCGAATAGAAATCATGCCTATCCTCCTGGATGCGATGGATGACTTGAGAGGCGAAGAACGAGGGAGAAATCTTTCCAGTTCGTACAGTAGGCAGAAGGAGAGAAAGAAGGCATAGCAGACTGCTTGCTTATCAAAAGGACCTGGCAACTCCTCCTCCGTACCTTAGCTATAATAGCCAACTGCGGGCGTAACATGTGCTTCCCACAAGATCCTCCTGTTCCACTTACTTTCAGAAAGAAAGAGCGAAGAATGAGAGCTTCTCCGGTTTCATCGCTGCCATCATACCCAAACAACCTTCCAAGCTCATCAATGCGCCTCCCGGTATCCGCAGTCGTCAGATTACCTCGTGCCTATCCTTACCTTCGCGACCCTGCAATGGTCCTTAGACCCCCCGTGGCGGACCATGGACAAGCGAGGCCGCGCGTGGGAGGCTCGCAGCTGCCTTAGAGCTTACCGGGAGTTTATCTGTGCAGATGACTGGAAAAAGCTCAGTCTAGTGACACCGGTGAGCTGAGACGACCCCCAAACATGCCAGCTGGGACTCAAACCCCAGCCAATAGCCTCGCGTTGGGCAGCAAGACGGATGGCCGTCGCGTCTCTGTGCGTTTCTTACCAGCCAAGAGCGACGCCATGGGCCTGCAATTGGTCACCGATCATCTATCATCCGTTGGGCATCTGCTGAGTTCTTTTGGCGTTGTTGCATGTGTGACATGTCACATTTTCTCCGAATCGCACAAAGCTTATTGACCATGAGGTGAGAAGACCAAAAACCTCCAGGCCCGATGCGCTCACCGTCTATTGCATAATACTCCCGTGCTGGGAAGCCCGCTGCTGCCTCCGTTGAAATCTTATCCAAGATACCCAGAGTCAGGAGAAGACCCGGGGTTTTCAAAAGGCTAGGAGTGCAGCAGCAAGAATTGGAAAATCTACGGCTGCCCTCAAATATCAATTTCCAGACCGGTGTGGCAGGCAGGTAGGTTGTACCCAACACAACAGCTCCACACGAGCAAACACGGGATAAAATGGAGATGGCATGGTCCGACACGCAGAGGGCCAGTGGATATACACATTGGCGCCTTGACATTCGGCCTCTCTGGCTCTCTGAGAGCCCAATATCAAGATTTCGTGACACATAGGTTGGCTCCCCCCGTTTCAGGTGGTGGATGTGGTCTGAACATGCTGATGTGTGCGCTACTCGGGCGGCAAGAGGGTCATATGCGTCCGTTGCTCAGGAATGGACAAGAACCTCGGACTGTATTGCATCTGTGGAACGACTATCGCCTTCTCCGACTGCAACATGGTGCAGCCACACTCACAACTTCGACTTGCTTCCACCAGTGACTGCTTTGATGCGGAACCCTGTCCGGGGAAAATGCAGGCGGACCTCCTTTCCCTGGGCTTGGGTGCTCAGGACAACTTCATCCTCTGTCAGCCCAATGAGGCGGCCCTGGTCACGATGTTGGGTGCCTGAGTCAATGGCGACCACTTCCACTTCGGTCCCTTCCTGCAATCCAAGAGGATCCGCGGGGTCAACGCCCAAGTCCCTGTCGGCGAAGGGAGCGTTGAGGATCCGCTCCGCTGCAGCGTTGCCCTTCAATGAGGCCGGTTTCGGCGCTTGGGCTTTGGCGACCTTGAGGGCATCGTTGAACCTGGCAATCCACGCAAATACCTTGGGATATTTCTTGTCAGAGATCAACTCCCGGGGAAGAGCCCCTTTCAGCCCATTCAACCAATCAAAAGTCCAGATGGCTGGGGCCACTTGCATTAGCCAAATCGACCAGGGAAGGGCCACCCTGCTAGGTGCCTGCAGTGTACTTTTTGCTTACCTTCGATGTCGGCGAGAGTCGGCTTTTCCGTCTTGAGCACCCATTTCCGTCCATCGGCCAGCAGAGTGGTCTCGAGGAGCTTGAATCCGTTTCTGATAGCGGCAAGTGCCTCTGGTCGATTCTCGGCAATGAACTCTTTGCTCCATGGTCGGCCAGAATACTCTTCTCGGTCTTTGGTGAATTTGGGATCGTTCAAAAGCGGCATACTGGTCGGGATCAGCTGCGACGCCCGGGTGAAGAGTCCCGCCTCGATGCTCCAGATTTCCAGCAACTTCTCGATTGCCTTTTCTTCGGTGTTTGATGCACCTAGAGCACCCTCGGGGAACAATTCCTCCAACTTGCGAAGGATGATGCGACTGTCGCAGTAGACGTCACGACCTATGGTCATTACAGGGATTCTTCTGTACTTGACACCCAAGGCACTGAGATCTGGTCGGGGCATGACGGGCGGTTGTTTCTAGACCAGTGTTCAGTTAAGCGCTCGATACAGGGCCAAAGGACGAGCAAATGGCAGGCAGTCACATACACACTCAGCATAGTCCATACCCCGCAGACTCAGGTACCACAGGACTCTCCTAGCGAACGGGGAGAATGAATAGTGGTAGAGGACGATGCCATTGTTGGGGCCAGCCATCTTTGTTCAATGCTCAAAACGATCAGAGAATGAGGATCCCTCGAAAAGATAGGTCAGTGCCAATAACTTTGAGGTACTATCGTTGCCCGGATTGCCTTGGGTATGTCCTACGAGAAAGCCGAAGTTGAGTTGAAAGCTATCACTTGATTATGTCTCATTGCTCACCGCGAAAGGTCTTTGCCTCGGCAACTCCAAGAGCTGCGGGGCACGTATTAATACACGGTGAGGGAAGCTAGCCTCAGAACTGTTGACAAAGCAACGCTAGAGAAAAGTTGTTGGATGGTCACCACCTCTTCTGACCTCCTCATCAATGCAATTCTTTCGATGCCAGAGATGGCGTTTTGATGCCAATCTCTCTCCACGAAGCTGACGACTACGCAGCAACTTTGAAATCATGCCACGAACATCAGGCACATCCAGGGCAAGTTTCGTGACATCATCATCTCCACTATATGACGATAAATGTCTATTGCACGATCCCTGAGCCCCTTGTTGAGCGATAAATTGTCTCGAGGAACTCGTCCGTTTCCTTTGTCCCTAATCTCTGACAGACCACATCGTTATTAACTCCCTGAACCCGTTGACTCGAATCGTCTTAACGTTGAAAGTACCCGTTATCAATTCCATCATGGCTCAATCCGGACGCGACAGCGGAGGTGACCTCTTCGACATGGCACAAAAAGGCACAAAGGTGCCAGAAGATGCAGCAGAGCCCAGATACATTCCCTCCAAGGCACGTCCAGATCAAATAGCCTCCGACCTAGATCAGAATACCCTTGGTGGTCGGACACTTGCAGAGGCAGCGACCAACGAAGGTGACATCCCTAGGGTCAGTGCACTTCAACATCCCATCTCCCACTGCTTAAGCTGATTGTTCATAGACCACCAAAGACACTGTTGCCAACGACATTCTTACCGGCACGGGAGACTCCCTCCCCTCTCAAGTTGACTCGAAGCGGCTGCACTCGGTGCCTGGCGGTGTCACCCACGATCCTTTTGCCAAGGGATCGACAAGAATGACAGAGCATAAAACCCAGCCGTCGGATTTTGTCAAGGGCGCATCGGATGGCCCACGAACTGATCGGGCTCCAGGTCAGGAGGGATTGAGTGATGAGCAGGCGATGGACAACCTTGAGCGCAGAGGATGAGAGGAAGGAAAAGGGCGTGAAAGCATGAAAACAATTGGAATAGTATAGGCCCTCACCAGGGAAACACCTCCAAAACAGCCGTCAAAAATCCACTCAAAATACTGGTCTTCCTCATTCCAGACATGCATTGCAAAATATTATCCATCCCTTCGCTCAGGCTTCTTAAATGCCGCCTCGGGCTTCCTAAAGCAGATATCTACAAGTCAACGCAAGTTGCAGGGAAAATTCCCTCCGAATATGGCGGTAGGCGCCGCCGCTTTTGGAGGTGGTTTTCCCTCGGTGCCAAGAATGCCCGACCCTAGTCACCCCTCGTCGCAGACTTACATATTAAATCTCCACCCAAGCCGGCTTCAGTAGGACTAGAAATAGTCCCCCTCCAGATATAACGGAATCGTCTATTCGTTGCTGAAATAAGCACCAAGTACTCCGAGCATCGACAACGCGCACCCACCACTTTGGACGCGGATTGAGTATGCGAGCGTACTCCCGTGTTAAAAAGTGATTATGCTATGAGTCACCATTGCTTTTAGTTCATTAATACCGTGACCTGACATTCTCAAGGCCCCGGTTTACATTGACCCACGAGAAAGCTCCCAAATCGGTCCATCTCCCGGGAGGGTACTGATTCCCATCGACTTGACATTTAAGATATTGAAGACAATGTTCCAGCTTATATACATTTTAGAATAGATAATCAATTCAGCAACTCAAGCTGTTCATCGTCTGTGCTGCGGTTTCGCGTGGGCGAACACCCCCGTCAGGTACTTCGGTGCAGATTGACAAATAGCCGATTACAATACCGGAAAACTGATAATATACACGCGACAAGCACAGCAAGTAGCTCAGCCACCGCCACGATGCTCGCACCATTGCCGCCTCAACCACACTAACTTGCACGTGAGAAGCTGCATCGAAGAGCGGCTGCGTAGTTCAGCCACGTCTGCGTCTAGCTTGAACAGACTCAGATACCGCTGCCATTCAGCCTGACCCTGAAAAGGCAACATTTTCACTTCGAATTCAATTATTGAGACATCTTCAAATCCGGCGGCGTTCCTCCACGTACTGGATATCGCAATATTGCGGCACCTCAAGAGCCTCGAAAGCATCCTAACTCGCCCTATCAGATAGCGAATCATGCCGGAGATCTCTCCTAAGCAACAGCAACTTTAAAGCCATTGAAGACTGGGTTCTTCAGGGTGGATTTGACCACCGCGTTTGCACTTGGCTCGAGGTCTTCCAGACCGGCAGATCTCTGAGCGAACTATTCAAAGGGCCTTTCACAATCGAGGCTACCATAAATGCATTGCATGCCAGAAGCCTTTTCTAAGGGCCAAATCGATCAAAGAACGTCGCGAATACCTAGCCGTTTGAAGGGCACTGTCCAGTAGGCCAATAGCGCCGTGTACGCTTTTCAGATGATGCCATTTTGGCCGTGGCCCACAGCGAAAATTACACAATGCCGAGCCCCTGACTCCTGCATGGTGCAGCCGTTATATCCTGATTCCAAGAGGATGTCATCACCGCGCGCTTCTATCATACTGTTTAGCGTTTAAATTCTAAAAAGCGATGGCGACGGACTCCTCTCCGGCTGGGAGCGAAAGGGTTTCCTCCAGCGCCCGCTCTCGTTGCGAGAGATATTTCAGCCAAACAGACCGTATTGCTGTCAGGAACTGACATATTCCTATTACAGGCCTCGAATTCTGTGCGTAATTCGCACGATTACTGTCTTTTTTGCATTAACCCAAGCTTCAACTCCCTGGCTCAATTTGTGATACGAGAGTGACTTCATTTTAGATACCGAGAGTAGATGGGAAAGACCCCCATGAAGAAATATTCAAAACTGACATGAGCTGGGATTAGATACGGGAGCTGAGACAATGAATGGCCTCGGGAGACTCTGAACTCGGCGAAGTACTGGCTGTCATGTGCTTGGGATGGCGCTCATTCTCGTGTAAGTGCGACATCATCAGGACCTCCTACTCCCACTCTCACTCCCATTTACTTCTACACTTTACGCATATGAGCCTGGGGATCCCGTCGATGCCAAAACGCCCACAAAACTGGTTACCATGGTCCGAAGTTTGTTGCTCGTTTGGACTCCGCGAACCAATCTGTATGCATCTCTGCGTAAGGCATTGTGCAGGACACAGAGGTATCCTCATGACAGGCCAATGGCAAGCTGTGGCTCCAGCTTGTGGAGTTCAAGTTTTCCCTCGAGTGATTCGAGCAACGTTAGTAGGGAAGAAATGGTGCCGGCCGCCGGTGTGGATGGTCCTTGTCGATCAGAATTGTCCCTTGTAACCCCTTGAGAATCGGATTGCGCCTGCAAAGAAGGTTCGGGCAGTACATGCAGTCATACTACAGTCTCATGATCACTGGAAGCCGACGTTCTTCATCGGTGATATCCATCCTTGCCATCTCCGAGGTTAGGAAGTGGTAGACAAGCATTTATGGGCTCGTATCTTTTCCCTGGTGGCTAGAGCTTGTCCAAATGCTTGGTAGGCGCCGCCCCTTTTTTGGAGGCACATGCTCTCGCTTAAGTTAGTGCGTCAGGGGTTTAGAGAAAACGGGGCTCTGCCTCCCCTAAATAGTTAAGGGCACCGTGACTTTTAGGCATCGTGGGCGCCATGCTCCAAGCGAGTTCGCCTAGAACTGCGATATCTGATACTTTCTGGTACCTCAATCTCGCATTGCTCCATCCCGCTCCGCTTTCAGCCCGCCACCAAACCACAATATCGAATCTTTTGCCTCGTGAAAGAGATGCTTCTGGCCCATACTGTGACAAACGATACGCGAAGCGTAGCCGAAAATTCTCTGTACAGACCCTGGTACGAGTACCTCTACCAGCACAGTGAGACCCAATTTCCACTCCAGCCGATTCAGCCGGAGCCTGAGGGTGGTTGATATAGGTACTGGGATGATGGCGACTTCCACGCCACCAACGCTGAGATCCTCGAGTACGACTCGATCAGTCGAGGGTTTCTTTCTTCGTCTTCTCGAATATCTCGCTTTCGTGTTCATTTTTCCTTGAATCGTGTCACTCTTTCCAGTTGGCGTTTTCTTTGGACGTCTTCTTTGCCCAGTCGCTCTTTTCATTCCGGGCGTTCCAGCCAGAAGATGGCCGTCCTTCGTTCTTTTCTTTCACTTCTCTCCCTGATGACCGTTGCCATCCAGGCATCGAAGAATGAAGACGTGTTTATCACCGTGACCCAAATCAACACACACTACGTTTGCCCCTGCACGACCAACGTGCTCAAGTCAACATGGAGCCTCGACTGGGAAGATTGGGGGTCTGCAGCGACGACCTTTTCACATACAAGGAATACTGTCGCCGCTGTGAGCGCTCATTCGACGTGGGGAGACTGGGAATCAGTCGGCAAGTCGGAAACATCTTCAAAGCCGACAACGCACACGAAGAGTAGCATAACCACAAGGTCGAAGAGCCACACGACTCCTCAGTGGACGAGTCTCCATATTGTTTCCACAGGATCCGTTCCTCATCATGACCATGGCACGAGTAAGAGCAAGAGCAAGAGCACAAGCACCACCACGTGGAGTGGGACAAAGTCCACCTCGACATCAACGACAAGCTTGAGCACGTCATCATCCTCATCTTCGAGTACGACGTTGACATCCAGCCCGAGTGTCAGCACCAGCACCAGCACCAGCACCAGCACCAGCACCAGCACCAGCACCAGCACCAGCACCAGCACTTCGTCCATTCCCAGCACTACTTCATCGAGTACTACCGCGAGTACCAGTGCAACCACGTCATCTGTCTCTACGTCCAGCCTGACTTCGTCCTCGAGCACGTCGACATCTTCTAGTACTACTTCAACTACGTCCACGCCCTCGAGTACTACCACGAGCACCACTTCAACGACATCCAGTTCTCCTGCTACTACGACCTCTTCTGTCGTGTCCTCCACTAGCTCGTCGTCTAGTACAACTTCCGCATCAACCACGACATCGGTCGTCCTCACAACATCCTCGTCCACCTCGACCACGACTTCCGCCTCGCCCACAACAACTTCGTCCGCGACCTCGTCCACCACGACATCCACCACGACTTCAACTTCGTCCGAGACCTCGTCCACCACGACATCCACCACGCCTTCAACTACGAGCAGCACCACTACAACTACGACTGCGACTACGCCAGCGACCCCAACCGGAGACTGCGCGCAACAGACCAACCCTTTCACCACGACCAATGGCGATCAGTTCACCCCGTATTGCGGCGTTCTGTACTACGGCAGTATAAGTGCTGTTTACGAGCCTTTTTCAGGCGACTTCGAAGCATGCGTAGAACTGTGCTCGCAGAATGGGGCATGCACAGCAAGTATATTGCAGCTTAACCCGACTGACCCGACTAACCAGTCGTGCTACCTGGCAGTAGGATCACCGGTTGATCGAGGTGCCAATTCTTCCTACGACAGCGCTGTCAAAGTCTAGTAGATTTGATCCAGGGCTCGTCATCGCCGAAGGGTATGTTGAGGATTGGGATTTGACTTTGTCTTCCCACATGGAAGATCCCTGTAACTCGTTTGGATACATCTGGGGAAGGTATGGATATGCCGATAGCGAAGAGATTGCCAGTGCAGAGTAACTATATCTCCTGCCATAGTGTCTGCACAATTCGAGGAGCAAGTATATCTGTGGAAAATGTGGATGGCAGAGTGAGCTTGCCGTCGACTTACCCTAGCCTTGTGGGAAACTGTGGCTCACTGCAAGTTCAGCTCGATCATCTTCGATCGGTCGCCCAGCTCCATTTTCCTTGACTTGGCTCTTAGTCATTCTACAAGACTGCCCTTTCCTTTCTCGATAATGGCTTCAAAGTCAGCATATTTCCGCTTCCTCCACGCATCCATACTCTATATGCCGGATGCAGGCTGCCAAAGATGATCACGTGCTCTCCCCAAATCTTGGACTTTTTTAAAACTCCAAAGATTACGCGATCGAGCTGCCATGCTGTCGTCCGTCGACTGGACCAGGTCCCCTTGAAGCCTGAGAAATTGTACGTCGGCAATATCGGCGTACAAGCCGTCACTGGTGATTGAGTTCCAGCCTTTGCAGGAAAGACTTCACTGTGGTCCCTCGAACGTTTCAATTTCAGTCTTCCCCAATCATGCCCGACTTACTTCACACCTCGAACTGGATCAATGGCGCGCATACGCCTCCAAGTGCCGAAAGAATCCATATAGTCAATCCAGCGACCGAGGCGACGATCGGCACCGTAGACACCACGTCGCGCGAAGCTGTCGACACCATTATTTCCGACTCTTTGCTCATATTCCGCCACGGCAAGTGGTCCCGTTCAGACGCTTCAGAGCGATATTCCGTGCTCTTCAAGGCTGCGGTCCTCCTACGCTCGCGAATCCCGGAGTTCGTGGAGCTGGAAACGTAGTAGATAGGTCGGCCCATCCGGGAGATGCGCGTACAGTTAGCACGGATTCCGGAGTGGTTAGAGTACTTTACCTCGCTGGCCCGCGTTCATAAGGGTCAGGTCACGCCCTTTAAGGGACCGGTCGTGAATACCCTCACCCGCCTACCGTTGGGCGTAGTCGTACAGATCACACCCTAGAATCATCCGCTCCTGATAGCGACGAAGAAGACCGCAGTTGCGCTTACGGCGGGCAATATCGTGGTAGTAAAGCTATCCGAGCTCGCACCGTTATCGATGGTGAGGCTCGGAGCTTTGTTCCAGGAGGCTAGACTACCTAACGGGACGTTACAGATCGTGTATGGCTACGGGCGCGACACGGGTAAGTTTTTGTGCGAGAATCCCGCGGTGGCTAAGATTAATTTGACGGGCGGGATTACCACGTATAAGACTATTACGCCGACAGCTAGAGAATATATAATCCCGATTATAGCCGAGCTAGGTAGAAAGGCCCCCGTATGCCTTCTCGCCAGTCTAGATATTAAATACGCCGTTAGGGCGGCGCTTTTCGCCAGTTTCATTATAAGTGGCTAGATATATGTAACGGGAAGTCGTTTGCTAGTGCATAAGGACATTTATAATCGCTTTGCGGAGTTGTTGGAGAGGAGAGTTAAAGCCCTACGAATAGGCGACCCTCAAGAACCGTAGATATAGATCGGGGTAGTTATCTCTTAAGTAGCTTAAGCGAGATGTGTCGCATTCGTGGATCGTACCGTCCAGGAAGGCGGTAAGGTCATCTATAGCGGTAGTGCGACGACGGTGGCCGGCAAGGGGTTTTTCTTCCAGCCTACTATTATTGAAACCCGCCATAGGTCCGATTTATCTTATAACGAAGTCTTCGGTCCCGTCATTACGCTCATCAAGTGTGAGTCGGAGGATGAAGTGATACGCATCGCCAATAACAGTCCCTTTACACTGGGCGCTTCGGTCTGGACGAACGACTTCGCACAGGCACACCGGATGGCGGAGAAGATTGATGCAGATATTGTCTGGATCAACAGGCATCACTTGAACGACCTCTCGTCGCCCTGGGGAGGGTTTAAGGAGAGTGGAATGGGGAAGGAGAACGGTATCGAAGCCTACGAGAGTTATACGAAGGTCAAGAGCACCGTGATCAATTATGGCGTGCCTCCGGCGTGGTTCGACGACGAGATCGAAAATGCAAGGTACGGGTGATTGCCCACCGCGCTTAGGTGTGCTCGAGATCAGCACAAAAGAAGCATCACTCTCCCCCTCTCTTTGGGTCTCTTCCGACGGGAGTTGAGTCGCATAAACGTCGAGCACCCGTACTTGAGCAGGCGCAAAAAGCGACACTCTCGAGAAGGCAGGAGATCCTGCCCATAGTTCATTTGACACGGCTGGCACTGGCATTCTTGCTCACCCGCCAGCGATCAACGTCGGGCAACATGAATTGGTCTGTTCGCCGTGGTGGACACACGCAAAGGTCTGCTTCTGTATACAATGGCACCAGTGTCAGTTTGCGAAAACAAGAATACCTGAAGGTGATGGTCTAAGTCTTGTGCATCAAAAACGGGCCATATGTCATTGAGGGAGGTCATCGCGTACTTTGGACGTGCTATCGGTCATGGGGGGAATACTTGCGTTCAACAGCCAGAACTCTGCGTGCTCAGCCGCACCGGGGCAAGTACCGAAAGGAACAAGATGTGAAGATTCCAAAGCAGGCACTACAGTTGGACTTCTATTAGATGAAGCATGAGAGGGCCGTGACAGCTGGAAGTGCTCAACGGAAGAGACATTACTAGCATCTCCCTAGAAGTGTTTGTAAGGGGCATACGGGCGTAGGTTCACAAACTCATTTGGCACCATATCTACGGAATTGCAGTTCTGCATCGCCACTCTTGTGGTATCGCAGTATAGCCACCCAGCTTCAGTCCGCCTAGCAGGCCCGCCAGAGAATAGAAATACTCGAGTACATCTGTGATATTTATACGTTCTCCATCTATCGTCGCTCCGTCGTGCTTCGAACTAAGACCCATCCTCGCGGTCCCACTCGCGCATGCCCCTGAATTTCCTCCTCAGATCGCTATCCTTGATGTTATACACTCTGGAGTCCTCCGACGGCAACGGCGCCAGCGCAGGAGGCCGCAAGTCCTCCTCCGTCGCGGCGAGTTTGCCGGCTTCGTGCCCGAACAACCAATCCTTGCGCTCGGTGTTGGCCCAGAGGATCGGGTTGTCGAGGTCGTCGTGCCGCATCATCTCGTCTCGCCTGTCCCGTTCGGACCCGTCGTACAGGTGCCACCAGGCCTGCAGGATCCTCGTGTTCTGGGCCACGTGCGTCGCGCGGGGGAGTCTTTGCGTTTCGTACGCTTTCAGCGCGCTGGCGAGGTCGTCGAAGTGGCGGAGAGCGGCTTGCAAGGTAGCGGCGTCTTCGACCGCCTACGCCGCTCCCTGTGCCGCGTACGGCATCATGGGGTGGCAGGCATCGCCCAGGATAGCGACCTTCCCGCTCGGGTGGACCCATCTTTGCAGGTGGTCGAAGTCGGCGAGTTTCCATTTGAGATAGGATCCGGTCAGGCCGCACAGTTTGCGGACGGGCTCGCACCAGACTAGCTCTGTGTTGTCGGCTTGGGAGCGCCATTCTTCGTCGACGATCGGTTTGCCTACGTCGGTCGCGTGGGTGATGTCGATGATGATGTTGTAGAGCTCGCCGCCCCGGAGCGGGTAGCCGACCGCGTGGGCTTTCGGCCTCAGCCAGTGCATGGCCCAGACATTTTCGAACAGGTGTTGCGTGGATAAGTCGGCTTTCAGAGGTTCGGCCGGTACGAGGACTCGATACGCTATGTCGCCTGTGTCTTGGGGCTCGATCGGCGAGTCGTTGATGATGTTTCGGACGGCCGATTTGATCCCATCGGCACAGATGACCAGGTCTGCTATGAGGTGTTCCCCGGTGGCAAGCGTGACGGCGGGTGCGTCAAAGTCGTAGTCCTGGACTCTGCTGTTCATCTTCAGGGTGATATTCGCGTGTTGGGACGCCGTGTCCACCAGCAGTTTGATCAGGTCGGCCCGGTGGATGAAGTAGTATAGGGCTCCGTATCTGGTTTCTACGTCGTCGTACGGAATGTCGAGGAGTACCTCGCCTTTCCAGTCCAAAAAGCGGAGGCCGCCAGCGGTTGATTTCTTGATCTTGCTGAAATCGACGCCCCAGCTGCGGGTCAGGCGCGAAGAGTTTGGAGGGACGCGAATCCCCGCGCCTACTGGGAGGAAGTGAGCTGAAATGATGCTGGGGCAAAAGTGGTATTCCTTGCTGCTCACCTCTTGGAATTCTTTCACGCCCTCGAGCACAGTGACTTCATAACCGTCTGTGGCGAGGGCCAGCGCCGTGGAGAGACCTCCTATGCCGCCGCCCACGACAATGACCTTCAGATCCTTCATCCTTGACGTTTACCCGGCAGCAAGCTTGGGAGAGACTCATCGGTAGAAATGGGTCTCATGGTCGGAATTCCCGTGTGAGATATAGGCCCTTATATGACTGCCTATTACATCGAGGGTCTTTGCGGCAAGGCGCGTAAGACTGGGTCCCGGCTGATTTCACAGCTTTTACCCATCTACTTCCGCTTAGAGCACAAGTCCACGTTGGTGTGTGGGTGTAAACTCTTTTGAGGATGTTCACCAACGCTTTGGGCCCTTTGATTGTGAGGGGTCTGTCTGTGCATCTTTACCCCGCAAAACGTATACCCACACCGTGGGCAAGGAGCCGCCAAAGCAAGAGCCAGAAGACCTGGCTCACGATGATCGATGATAGCCACCCTCCAGTTTCGTAAGAGGCACGGACCCGCGGTCAACATGTGACTAGAGTGTCGGCCTCAAGGGCGGCTTGGACCTCATTCTTTCTGTCGTCTTTGGCGCAGAGAGTGCACAGCCTCATCCACTATCATCTGCTCGAGTTGAATTTTCTTTCTTGGGGCGAACACAGACTCTTCCGTTCTAGGACGCTTCAGAGGGCTACGGGTCACATCGTGCTGCACAGTCGAAGTTGGAGCGTGAGGCTGCACACCTTCATTTCCATTTCCGATGTTCAATGAGTCCGGCGTGTCTTTGCCATCTGAAATCGTTATCACCGTTCGGTCCTCTGCGTCTTCATCATCGGAAATTGTAATTGGCGTTGACTGCAGTCCAGGATCGCCACAACCTCTGTCATCCCTCAGCAGATCGTCGCGCTTGACTGTACATCTGGCACAGTCTGTGGACCTACTCCACTAAATTCAGCCGCGGTTCCCAAAAACAGGATCTAACTACACTGCCATACTGTAACGACCACCGTCTGACGGAGCTATCTGGTAAAGGCATCCTCCCAATGGCCCGTCATTCCGAATGAATTCGGTCATGCTCCGTGAGTTCCTTGCTGGCCTGACATCATTAGACAACCTATGCTGCACCGTATTTTGCGCCCATAGTACCATGCACCGCTCGGCCGTATCCCTCAACTCTAGTCACAGGCCTCTTACGTGGTCCAGTGTTCAACTCAGGCTCCGAAATGAATGTACGGTGCCCAACTGAGCGGGATTCTCCTCAACCTCGACCGAACCTGCATGGTCGCCTTATGAACAGCCTCTGCTACCGCGCGATCCGTGTCTCGTTCTCCAAGGCCGTCCTTCAGTTGCCCGTAAAAGCCCGTTGCCATCTCTACACATGCCGCATCGACGGAGGGCCACATGGCCGCCACAACGTGGCCAAACCCCGCCACCTGAAACCCGCTCGCCAAATGGATCACCTCGTCCATCATCCGTACGGCGCGATTCTCGGCGGTCGAACACGCCGATAGATAGGCAATCGACGCCCGGCCGAGGTTCGCATTCGAGACCTGTTGCACACTCAGAGGGTCAACTGTTGCGGCCTCCGATGGGTCATGTTGCAATGACAGACTGCTGTTAAATGGGCCGAGGGCATCCGAGGTCCCGTGACAGGCAAAATGCACCATATCACAATGCTCAAGGCGCGCCAGCACCGATCGAGCGTCCGTGTGGACCAAGGACTCGTGGGAAAAGGCAGTGCTAGTGGCTTCTTGTATGGCACAGATCTCCTGGGTCACTCCAGGAAGGGCTCTTTCTCCGGGCGTCGTGGGCATCGACACCATTAATAGATGAGGCTTGGTCGTGCGATCTCGTCCAAGTGTCGACCGCCGCCCGCGGGCGTGGGCGAGTGCTTTGATGGTCGGGGTGTATGAGGAAATGGCCCAACTGAGCGTGTTATCAGATGAGCCGTCCGAGTGATCACCGGCGGCATGAAACGGCAGAGAGCTGGCGACACCGACACCGATCCACCAGATGCGAGGCAGCGAGCCTGACGTGAGGTTGACACTTTGGTAGACTACCAGCAGTACCTGCCGCACACATTTCTCCCACAGCCAGTGGAGAAAGTGGATGTACCTTTTGTTCTTCTTACCGCGATCTACTGGTGTCTCATGTGGCGTAAATACTGTCAGACCTTCTCGGAGCCAGGCCATTACTTCTGTGCGTGTCAAGTCAGCCAGAAAGATGGATTGGATGCCCGACCGGGTCACCACGACCGCATCGCTCCTGATGTCGGAGATGTTGACCACCACGATCGGGCCTTCGGAAGCCAGGTCTTGGAGTTCCTGTCGTGTCATTCCCAGTAGGAAGCGCTGGTGGTTAGGCACATCACGGATTTGGCGGATGCAGTGGTCGAGCTCTCGGACTCTTTAACCTAACTATTACTATCTCGTATGGAGGCGGTTAGCACGGAGTATAAAGCGCCGGCCGTAACTCTCAAGTATACCTCTATAGGCTTAGACGCTATAATCGCTCTATAATGTCTATCGGTTCGGTTAGTATAGCTTCGCTTTATATAACTATCCTTCTCGAAGCCTCCGTTTTCTGAAATCGCCGGATAATAGCCAAGAGAACTAGTATTATAAGATAGATTTTCGACCTTAATATCTAGGTACTAACGGCGTCTCTTATCAACGCGAGATAGAATAGAACCCCGTGAAGGAATATTATAACGGTTAGGAGGAGAATTCGAACGAAGTGGATAACTAAATCCTACGTCGTTATCCTATAACTTATTAGGACCGTTAGCTTTGGATAGGAAACGAAAGACAAAATAGTCTTCTAGAAGGCGGGAGAGAGACCTATTTTAGGGTAAGGACTGTTAGGTGTCGGCAGTTATAGTATTTGTAAATGCGCGATGATCATAATCCATCATTGAAGCCTATTAGCTATAGGCTACCGGCGCGAGTAGATACGAAGAGATATATAGCTTTACAAAGAGGATTTCGCCCCCAGCACTAAGGGAGAAGGGTCTACGTCAGGTGTAGTATCGTCGCCAATGCTATTTTAATATCAGGTCCTTCTATTATCTCGAGGTGCTGAAAAAATTCCCGCAGTTCCACTGCCTCCCCGTAAAGGTACACCGCCTGAGAAATACCGCGTAACGTGTTAGAGATATCAGAGCCCTGACGGGTAATAGTGATTATCGGGATGGCGTACGTATAGGCGTAGTCGGATTCAATGCCTAGACTAACGCCCTTCTCGCTCAATTCGATAACCACGAGCTAACATGAACGAATTATTTCAAATATCTCCTGCATTAGGTCTTAAGGAGATAGAGTAATGACGCCCCATTTCTCGAGGTCACGCCGCACACAGGCTGTCTCGGAGCCGCAGGAAGTCAGCAAGCGCGACAGTTGTTGTCATGAATGACAAGCATATAAGCTAAGAGGTCCAAGATCTGTCATGAAATGACAGGATTCTTAGTCTTTTTGGGCGATCCCCAAGGGGCTGTGGACCTCTTCCTGACAATTGTTCGATAATCTGTCGATTTCGATTGTCCTATGGAACTTGATACCGATGTACACTCGTATCGATATGGTGCCGATGATAGGTTCATCTCAGTGTGGCGATTAGTGTGCGTCAAGTAGCTAGAGCAGAAATTTAGATAACTACGTGAGTAAATAATTGAATAAAATGTAATATAGACGTCGTTACGGGCCTAGTAGAATAATTAGCTAGGACTAAGGAACGCGATGTCGCGCGTTACTGCGCGCTCGCGTTACTAGCCCCTACGTTATATCAGCCAGTCAGATACTATGTCTACTTCACGCAAAAGATATAGGGTGAGCTAAGGGTGAGCAGAGGAAGCTAGGTGAGTTAGGGTGACCTAAGGTAGGTGAGTGTTACGGCACCACCCCGAAGCCCTCGGATTGCGCCGAATAGGAGGGATCTAGCTAGATTCCACAACTATCAAGAGAATAGATATTGTTACGGCACCATCCCGAAGCCCTCGGATTACGCCGAATAGGAGGGATCTAGCTAGATCCTATAACTATTAAGAGAGTAGGTATAAGGCTCTAGTAGAGTCTTACTATAACTCCGATATATAACGACTCTACTAATATTAAACCTCTTATAGTCTA